TGACCCAAGGTTAAAGGAGTAGCATCCTGTGTATGCGTTCGTCCTATTTTAATTATATCCGAAAATTCGTCGCATTTGTTTTGCAAAGCCAATGAAAGTTGTTCCATTGCTGGTAACAAAAGGGTATTAATTTCAATAGCAACAGCTACATGCATAGCCGTAGGAAAAGTATCATTGGATGATTGGCTCATATTCACATGGTCATTCGGATGAACGGGATTCTTTGAACCCATTGTTCCCCCTAATAATTCAATACTTCTGTTACTAATTACTTCATTCACGTTCATATTTGTTTGAGTTCCCGAGCCAGTTTGCCAAATAACTAGGGGAAAATTGTCGTGGCACATTTGACCTTCAATGATTTCATCAGCTGCTTTTACAATTGCATCCGCAATTTTGTCTTCTAAACCAAACTTTTTATTGACAGTGGCTGCGCTTCTTTTTAAAATTGCCATTGCTTTAATAATAGGAAGTGGCATTCTTTCAGTTGGTCCACCGATATCAAAATTTTGCAAGGAACGTGCGGTCATTGCGCCATAATATTTGTCCGCAGGGACGCTCATAGGACCAAAACTATCCTTTTCTATTCTTTCCATGCTGCTATACTAATAATGGAATATCGTTGAACGATTTGTAAGGAGAGAAATGTCGTAAGATGATTAAATACGCACCTTTCGAGTGAATGATAATACCCTAATGGAACTTTTAACACTTCTATAAAGCTTTAGTTTCGATGTAATAATAGACCTCATGCAAAACGTGGCAACAGCCGGCCACAAAAATGACCTTTACCTGACAGAAAGCGAGTAATATGCTCTATAATAATTGGAAGGTTAAATAATAAGCTATCTGTTGGGCGATACGTCACTGGGAACCAGGGAATACTGCATATACTGTATTTTTTATATTTTATACGAACGTAACCTTCAGCAACTTCCGGTCATACGATTTTATTTATAATAAATTTAAAATGACGAAATAAGGCGATCCGTGGGGATATATATTATGAAAATAAATTACAGAGCCTAATATTCATTCATCACGCCTCTTCGGTTTCTGAGGAATTTGCGAATTTGCCTTAACCGTCTAGTCTAATTGTATACATGGACTTCTAGTGAAAATCTTATTTTTATATAATGAAAAATCAGCAAAAACACATTTTAGCTCTTTCTTCTCCTTTGTAGGCCATGCATTTGTTATAAATTCATTGGGGACATTCGAAAAAATTTCTATTTATAGTACCACTAAGAAAATTACGTGAGAGATGCAATAAATTTCCAAAATTGTCTAGGTTTCTTATAAATATTTGTAATAAATTTCTCAGTTGATTGACTGTTAGTTAATAGTTAAAGGAATAATGTCTCTGATTATTTAAGTACTGTTTTATTCCTATAAGGGTACTTCAACGTTAGTCTATATTTGGCTGATAGTCGATCCCTGAAATAATTGCCATCAGTTTACTAATTAGTTTTTTTGATGGTGGAAGATTAAACGTTAGTGGAATAAATATTATTTAGGACCTTTTAAAGGCTTTTAGATGCGTTTCTTCGAAATTAGACAGTACTAAGAATATAGGAAAACGTGCAAAAAAATATTTATTTAAAATGAGTAACCAATAAAAAAACATGCATCTAGAAAAAATATCACATTCAAGCACCTGTTAAGCGCATAAGTCCCTGTAATAGCTTGTTATAATGGACAATTTAAATAAAAATGGCACTGAGTATCAGCCGAGATAGTATTTATAAATACTAATTATATCCTTGTAATATTGATGTTATCCAATGTCAACTCCATTTTACTTACCAATTTTCCACTTCAATACCTTTTTCTCTGTCCCAACCGAATGAACAAAAGAATTAACGTTTTGTATTCTTGCGAAAGAGTGCTTTGAAACTAAAAAAAAAATCGTAAAAGAATATTGTCAGCTTTCTAATTAAAAAAAAATTGCATTTACACTCTGCTTTAAGTTAACTTAGTGTAGAACGACTTTTTTTCGTAATCGACAAGACCGGCTATAATTGACAAGTCACATAGATATAAGGCCAATGTACCGTAAGCTTTAAATAATTCTATTGAAAAGGATTTTTTTTCAAAAGAAAGAATTTTTCTAATAAATACAATTCATTGAAAAATTTAATGTTTTGTTTTGATTATTTTTTTACAGAAATGTTAATTTGAAATTAAACACTCCAAGTTCCAACACATTATCCCATGCCGACAGGTTTTCTAATTCAATTTTTCCATGAACCGGTGGAACCTATATTTTAGAACGGGTAAAAATTAGTAAAGCTTTGCGAAACTAATAGGGAACTCATGCAAATAAATGACGATAGAAATTGTGTTTTCAACTGTAAATTCTAATGGAAAGTGAGGGAGAAACAGCTAAATGCAACAAGAAGTAAAACGACGTGGGTCGATTGACGCTTTACTACACTTTCATAAACATTTATATGACAATTAGTGTTTCATACTTACAGTTTTCGAATACCAGAGTCAAAACGATCTGGATGCAATTTGTCGTCAGGCTCTCTATTTATAGGACCTTGAACTGGTAAGACTTCCTCTTCATCACTGTTTATTTATTCGATTAGGAAAATACAGTCTAGAAATTAATTTGAATAACCTCAATGGTGGGCGATACTGTAGCAATTCTTCTTCCACTTCAATTAATTTTGTCTTTAATTCGTTTCTCTCCTTCAAAAGATATTGAAAATCAATTAGATACATTTGAAAAGAATACGTAATCACGAATACAAAAATAAAAACAAAAGCAAAACCAATCCATCTTTAAAGGTAAATATGTTTATAAATAACGTATAGGTAATGTCAAAATTATGATTAAATTATATATTGCATTTCTTTCAAAATATTTCAAAAGAAAACTGTAAAGAATGAAAGAAAGAGTTAAGGAACTTCTTTGTTACAATAAAGAACTATAGACATTTACATTTGAATGTAAGGGAAAAACTACACAAGTATGATCAAAAATAGGGACATGCCAGTGGTGATAGCCTCTTCACAACAACAATTTAAACGAACCTGGAGCACATCTCTGAGCTCATTCATAGTAAATCTCGGTCGATTTGGATCCTTCAAGTCAATTACCATTTTGCCTTCTAATGTTAATTTTTGATGCCACTGATCTATGTCTTCCAATGTCTGGCATGCAATATTTGAATAGAGCTATAGTTTACAATATAACTAGTTAGTTTTTGACGGGTCTAGACAGCAAGCATATCAGATGGAAACACTTTTTTTAAAGGCCCTAATATATCAAGGAAATATATAAAGGGAAAAAAAAGAATTGTTAGGAGAAAATATATGTATATCAACATATCACACCTCTGTATAGATATAATATGTTAATGAATAAATAATATATGAATTCGGATGATATGTAAATAGATTATCTTCACATATGTGTCATACATACTGCATGAGAAAATATAAATCTATACATAAATATATACTGCCTAAATATGTATAAATTTGTAAGAAGCAATTAAGCAGAACATATTATATATATATATATATATTATTAATATAATTTAAATCTATAAGGGTTATCCAACAAACACTAGAGAGTCGATTAGTAATTATAACAAAATTACTTACTGGTGAAGTTGGAGAATCTAGACTTTCCTGTTGAAGTCTATCTCTTATGACCGTTATCTGTTGCTCTTTGTCATGAAGTTGAGCCTAAACCCCGTTGACATCTTATTATAGAAAAGTTTATTTTAGTATAAACCTACCTACCTGCAAATCTACCTTCTCGGCGATGAGACTTTGAGCGTGTCTTTGAGTCAAAGAGTTTCTCCTCTTAAAATCCGCATTTAAGCGAGCCAATCTCTCTAACTGACCTTGCAGCTGTACAATAAAGAATGAAGAAACAAGGAAATTTATTATATTAGACTAACCAACCGTTTCAACGTAAACATTTTTTTGTTTGACTTCTTTTTGCAAATTGCGTATTTCTTCTCGTTGCTTATCAATTATTTCAGTCATTTTTCCTAACAGTTGGTCTCCAGCATCTTTTTCATTATCCTTTGTATTTCTATTTTCCCAAGCTGCCTGACTATTTGACAACTGCTGCATTAACTTCTTATTATCTTTTTGTAATTTTTCTACTGTTGTGACTAACTCTTTGGTTTCAGATCTCCATGATTCTTCGATTGCTTCTAATTCCTGCAATAAAATTAACATGAACGTGATACTCTTAAATAAAAGATTGGCTATTGTTACTTAATAGCAGATAAACATGTCAGCTACATTTGTTAGAAAAAATATCCATGTCATGACAGCTTACGATTTAAAGTGTTTCCTTAAACTCTGGTTGCCACCTTTGAGCGACGTAATTATTCTCGAAGTAACGCAGTTTATTGAGTTCCGATAAGATGTTTACCAAACTAGAGTGTAAAGAATCACAATTCTTATTTACCTATAGATAACGCTCCAAAAAATATTTATTTCTAGAAAGGCATTCTAAATATAGACGGTAAACATCCTTTATCAGAACTATAGAGAATTTAAATACGACTTAAAAAAAGAACCTTTTCGTATTTAGCTCGTTCTTCAGCTTTAACAGTTTTTTCCATTTGTAACTTTTCAACAGCATATCGTAGTTCTGCCATTTGATCCTGTTCCTTTTGGTTTTGAGCAGCTAGATGTTCCAGCTGTTCGAGGACATTAATAACTTTCGGTACCAAACCGGAAAGTGGTTCCGCGCCGAACGTCTCAATAAGTCGTTCAAAATCATTTCCAATAGCGGACGCTATATCGTAGACGTCCGTTATTGTGACGCTCTTTAGTGGCTTTTCCATAGTCGGAGACACAATGCAAGCCATTCGTTCGACTTTTCAAGCGTAAATCATCATCATTGATCATTCAGGAAGAGAACGCCCCATAGTGCAGTTGCATTTCCGGTAAAGTATGCCATCTGGTGATTTTATTTGAAAAGGACGTGTTGATTGTGCCTAATTTGTGATTTGACATATAGTTATGCGCGAAGCGGATGAACAATCTCTTCCAATGTCTTCGGTAATTTCAAAAAAATTGAAATCTGTTTGGGAAGCATTTATAGATAAGGATAAGGATGTAAGAGACGACACGCTTATTCAGAAATTACTTGACTATTTGAGATATGCAATTACCATTCAGAAAAACTTAGGTTATATTATATAGATCGATATATATAACTTCTATATATGACATCTCTAATGACTTACAGATATTATCACTTCTTTGTGTCAAGATCCAACATTAAAGAAATTTGTAACGGCGAGTGTGGGGAGCAGTTTACGAAATCATATAGCCCAAGTGGGCTATAGAATTACTGGATTTTTAATCGACGAATGTTATAAAGATTCAGTGTGGCAAGAAAATCTCAGGCTTCTACTAGAATCGGGATGGAAATCTGACGATGATTTAATCAAAATAGCTGTGGTATTGACACTTTCAGACGCATCGTCTTCAAAAAATGTTATTGAATACCTGATAAAAAAAGAAACTATCTATTTAGACGAGTTATTCTCATCGTTTCTATCAACCAATTATCATTTGGCTAATGCAGTGAGAAAATGTATCTTATCAATGATATCTACGTGTCTCCAAAAACCGACATCAAAATTAAGGCATTCTCTACTCTCAAGTATCATTTCTCGTTTCAAAAATAGTGAATCGATCCTTATTAGTAAAAATTTCTCTAATCTCCTAAACGATGCTATAAAAGATCCAATTTTAACTGAGACTTTAGCATCTAAAGGAATTTTTTCTCAGCTAATTAAGTTAGCCCCTCAGTTGACAACAGATTTCATATGTATATTAGCAGATATTAAGAAGAGCTTAACCGCTGATGACCTAAATTTGCTTATTAATATACCGAAAGATTGCCAAGCAAAGGGAAATATATCAGTTTCATTGGCTATACTTGATTTCGTTGTCAAATTCGATAAATGCTCTACTTTAACCGACTATTTAACTGCTGACCTACTTGCCCCAGTTATAATATTTGTATCCGGAAAGAAAAATGAGAGCGAATGCTGGATGGATGTCATTAATGATGAGAATAGATCTCAGACCATTATGCTGGAATTGTTAGGCAGATTGGAGAATAATATGATCATTGTTTCAGAAAATTGTCAATTATTTCAATTATTTACCGAAAAATTATTCTTTTGCACAGCTAACGATAAAAAGGATTTCTATACCAAAGTTTTGTCGGAGAGTGTAAGAGTTCGATCTAGCATTTTACGTCTGTTATTGGCTGTTGCTCAATCAGAAAAGAATTTTTACGAAATTTCCTTCAGGATTGCCTCAGGTTCAAATTTTTCAGCTCAAGAACAAGAACTATCTTTACGAATTGCTGCCCTTAGTTGCTCGAACACTCGTCAAGCAAGTAAATTGTTCGACTTAATTGAATCATGCCTTAGTAGAATGCATAGTCAAGTAAGAGATGAAGCTATAAATAGTCTCAATATTCTGGTTAATGAAGACCTGCTTACCGAAGAACATTATGATAGAGCCATTCAACAAAGCTCAACAAAAGATGCTGATTCATACGTTAGGGCCAGTTTAGTTGGTTGCCTTTTGAATATGCTAGTGAAACGAAAGTTAAAAGATAATCAAATGAGAAAGGTATTTGACGACGTGCAGACTTTGATAATAGAGGATGATGAAGCAATACCAAGAAGAGCAGCTGTTAAGGGTCTCACGGAAGTTATTAAAAACTCAAAGGAGGGAGACGAATGGTATATACGTATGGTTCTAGATTCCGCTAAGCGGTGCCTAAAAGATCAAGACTGGGAAGTTAGGAAAAATCTAGTTTATCTCTTAAAAGAAGCTTTTCAAGCCGAAACTGTGGCTTCATCTCTTCTAAAAGAAGCAGACGCCCATATAGTTTTAATGTCACTCGCAAATGATATTGAAACGACTGTAAGAGGAGCTGCGCTTGATTTATTACAAAGTGTTTATCCAAGTTCTAATGATTTACCAAGCTATGCACAACCAGTGAAAGAAGATGTCATCCCCCTCGATGACTTTGTTACAAAACCTGTGTCACTATTGGACGATATCTTAGCAGATATGGAAGTTGATATTGACTGCTATTAATCTACCAGTTCGCCGCAATTGTGTATGATAACTCTTTCGCTAGGAGTCCCACTTTTTGATCCGACACTCTGTAGAAAGGATATATTTATCATTGTTATATCTTTTTTGTAATAAATTTGATTATAAATAACTCACCTCCATTTTCTTAACTACGCTTAAACCTTGTATAACTTTACCAAAAACAACATGCTTTCCGTCTAACCAATCAGTTTTTTCAGTGGTCAGAAAAAATTGTGAACTATTTGTATTAGGTCCAGAGTTTGCCATGGAAACGGTTCCTATAATTAAATTGTTATATTAGTTTTAGGATATTAAAACTATTTTTTTTTACCTGCGCCAATATGCTTCAATACAAAGTTCTCATCGTCGAATTTTTTGCCTTCAGAAAAACAAACGTAAGATGAACTAATAAAATATGCATGTATAATTACCGTATATAGACTTTCCACCCGTCCCATTATTATTTGTTATATCACCTCCTTGACACATCTGATTATGACAAAACAAGAAAATAATTGCAAATGTACTTATTCGAGAACAATTATAAATTTTATAGTTGCAGACTTTTAAGAAAAGCACTTACAAAGCCAGGAATAATCCTGTGAAAACTGCTACCTTTAAAACCAAAACCTTTCTCGTGAGTACATAAACATCTGAAGTTCTCTGATAGTGAAATATAGTATATTACTAAGTCGTTTTACTTATAAATTCAATGAAAATTTTATACCTGCTGTCATTGGAACAATATCATCACGTAAAGATATAACTATTCTTCCAGCATGTCTACTTCCTATTTTTATGTCAAAGAACACCTGAGGATTTACTTTTTTCTTTTTCTTTGCTACACTTTCTTCTTTTTCTATTTCTTCACTAGGCCTTTTATTCGCTAATTTTTCATCATTGTCTTCTTGAGTTAAAGATGATCCAGCGTGTTCTTGTAGCCATGAATCTTCAGACCATACTGGACGAGTATATCCTTCCTTGATTTTCATAGGTCTGGCGATGTTTACTTTTATTGTCTTTCCACAAAGCTCCGATTGATCCTAGAATTTTTATATATCAAACATATGCAAAAGAGAACTTTGAGAACTAACCATGTTATCTATCGCTGATTTTGAATCGTCCAGCAATTCATATTCGACAAAAGCGAAACCTCGATGTTTTTCTATTTTCAAGCACTTTTTAATAATACAAATTAGTACATAGTAAAGTGATACTAACCAGTTTCATAATCAATTGGCATTTGAATGGACACAATATCTCCGAAGGGAATAAAAGCAGCATGTAAAAGCTTTTCTGTAACTTCATCGGCTAAGCCGCCTAATTGTTAAAAGAGCGATAATGTAATGTTGTGTTAGAATAGTTGAATATTATATTGTATACAAAACAACCTTCACTCATAATACTATCAGAATTAAAAATATTTTCCTCTTAACTTGCATTGTTTAAATAGTTAAATAAAAGCGTTTTAAAGGTTATGATTATACTTACCGACGTATAAAATTCGCTTATTTGCGGTACCCGCCATCTTAACTGGTAGCTCTTTCGTTGAAGTTCCAAAAATTTATAAGTATTGTTTGACTGTTTATTAAAGAGTCTTTTAGTTATTATAGTTTCTTAAGTATAGAAAATGAACATTTATTTATTTGTATTTTATATCATTCAAGGAAGATTTTTTAGTTTAAAGTTAATAATCTCTCAGATTTTTTTAATTACAGAATTCTAGTCATATTTTACAAAATAGTTTGAAAACTTCTTACGAAGTTTTGTCTGACTAAATTTTCTACTCTAAGACACTAAAATTTGGTAATATTAATAACAAGAACGGAAAGAAAATAAATATTTAAAATCAATTAAATACTAAAGAAGATTTACAATTAATCTTTTTGTAATATAGATTTATACAAGCTCCTATATTGTTTTTTAGTGTGCTTTACTTCTCCGATTTATTGCTAAAACACATAAAATTAAGTAAATTAAAAAAGCTTTTAGTTCTAAAATTGAGAATATTTCTACTTGTCGATAGTGTCCACAGCTAGAAACTAATTTCTCTAAAGCATGGATAACGAAGAGCTCAATCGTCTAAAACGCAATTTCTCGGAAATAGGACTAAACGATTGGCTAATAAAGCAATGTGACGCAGTTGGAATGAAAAATCCTACATCAATTCAGTTGAATTGTGTACCAAAGATACTTGAAGGTAATGATCTGGATTATTACTGTGAGCGATAATATACTAAGTAAATTATTGCATCGTACTTTTTTTTCACAGGACGAGATTGTATTGGGTGTGCCAAAACTGGAAGTGGAAAAACAGCAGCGTTTGCTCTACCAATTTTACAAAAGCTGTCAGAAGATCCTTATGGAGTATTTGCTTTAGTCTTAACTCCGACCAGGTTTGAATGAAATTTGCTTCGTCGTACCCTTTTATCATTGTAAATATTTCTTATTTTTGCAGAGAACTCGCTTTCCAAATTTCAGAGCAGTTTTCTGTCTTGGGAAAACCTATAGGCTTGAGAGTATCTGTTGTTACTGGAGGAAGAGGTAATAATTTTCTAGTACTACTAAAGTTTTTGTTATTAAAAGTTTTCTGTTAGATATGGTGATGCAGGGGTCTTCCCTTTCTGAAAAGCCACATATTCTGGTAAGCACACCGGGAAGATTAGCTGATCATATAGAAACTGGTACAGAAATATCTCTCTCAAAAATTCGCTTTCTTGTGCTTGACGAAGCAGATCGATTGCTGGAAGATAATTTTGGTGAACAATTGAAAACAATTTTCAAAATTCTTCCAAAAAAGAGACAAACTCTTCTATTTAGGTAAATTTGTTATACCTTACATTTCGAAACATATTTTACTATTTTATTTAATTTTAGTGCAACGATGACTGAAAGTATTCGTACACTACAAGAAACTTCTGAAGAAAAGCCTTTTTATTTCAGCGCAATTAAAGAGTATGTTTTGGAAGATAATATCTATATTGAATTACATTGTTTTTCCTCATTTTAGCATTGCAACTGTGGAAACCTTGGAACAACAATATGTGCTTATGCCAGCAGATGTTAAAGATGCTTACCTTTTGCATATGGTTAACAAATTTCAAGAGGAAAACGAAAAAAGTTTAATTATAGTGTTTACCCATACATGCAAGTATTGCCAATTACTGGGATTAGTCATGAAAGATTTAGGTTTGGAATGCGTCACCTTGCATTCAATGATACCCCAGAGAGACAGATTAGCTGCACTTGCAAAGTTTAAGTCACATCAAGTTCGAACATTAATAGCTACAGACGTTGCTAGCAGGTTAGCACTTTTGTTAATAGGCTTTTTCCATGCATTATTAATTAATTTTTACATTTCCGCAGAGGTTTAGACATTCCTGCCGTAGACTTTATTATCAATTTTAATGTACCAACGAGAGCAAAAGATTATGTTCATAGAGTTGGAAGAACAGCTAGAGCTGGTAGAGGAGGTTTTGCTGTTACATTGGTTACCCAATTTGATATTAAGCTGTTTCAGGCTGTTGAAAGTCATATAAGTAAGAACTCATAACATAAAAAAATTTAAAGTAACTATTAAATATTCCATCCTACTCCAATTAGAAACAAAATTAACGGAAATGAAAGTAAATGAAAGCGAAGTGGCTAAAATTGCAACTGAGGTTGCTGTCAGCAAACGAAAAGCAGAAATCGTAAGAATTTGTATAATTTCATTATAATACTTTAAAGACTAATGTCTTTTTTGTTCTTACTTTAGAGATTGGATGAAGTTGATTTTGGAGAAAGTAAGGAAATACATTTAAGAAAGAAATTAATCCTAGAAGGTAAAGATCCTGAAAAATATTTGGAAAAGAAAAGAAAAAGAAAAAATAAGAAGTTTAAAGGAAATAAGAAAAAAAAAGTTTAATAATTTAGGTCTAATAATTATGAAAAATTGTCCCAAGTAAATCAATAATTCAGTTAAAGCATTTCGTGTAAATATCAGAATTGAAAGTTTGCAATTAATGTAAATAAAGCATCAAAACAGTTTGTAATTTTCAAAGAAGCAATTACACTTTATTACTTAATTTCTAAGCTCTTGAGAAACTACAAGCATATCATGCTCCTCCGGAAATAAACCAAATTTCACATCGGTTATATTTGTAGCATTTAATAGTTTATCATCCTTCAAATCAATATTCCAATGTTTTAATTTACTGGCTAAGCCGTTTAATTGCTGCTTACTTGTACAAATTAATTGAAGCAAAATATCATTCTCATGTCTTCTTATCTCATAGACAAGAATACCAAGAGTTTCTTCAAAAAACTTGATAATTTTCAGCCTATAACTCTCTTCCATAAGTGTTTCACTTATTGCACCAGATAAAGACTGAAATAGTTTAATGTCGTTGATCCTCTTATTCTTATCTCTTTTGAACATCCACGTGAAACAGGAACATTTTACATTTTTATTCATCGTAGTGTCGTGTAAAATGTCAGCTAATCTCAAGCACTTACTTTTCGTATTAATCTTTAAAGGTTTCAGTCTGACGTTCAATTGTCCTTTTCGTCGACCATTCTTTATTGCCATTATCTTTTCTTCATTATCCAAGAAAGATGCCAATTGAAATTGCCCAGAAAATCTTAAGGCATTAATCAGTAATTGCAGGCTTTTATTATCTTCCACCTCCTTCAAAATCATCTCCTTCTTATTTTCTTTTGCTTTTAAAGCAGCTTTTTTTGAAATTGCAGAATTATCATGAAGATAGTCGACCACTTCTTCAGTTAGAACCAATTTGTCCTTGACTTGGTCATTACAAATCTTGTTCGACATACTAAAAATATAAACAATAATCTTTTGAAGTAACTAATTGAATTAAACTGAATAAACAATACTCTATCGATTCTTAATTTATTTAAGTTAAATTGACTCTTTAACTCTTTCTAGTCCTACCTGCAAACTCTAGCTACACTGCTAGCTACAGAAGGAAAGCGGAACATGATTTCTTCTCTCTATCAGAATGTTCTTCTGAATGAGAAAACAAATGAAAAGTGCTAATCTCTGTACTCTTTTCATTTATATTACTCTATGATACTACTCAAACGACTTTAACCGCTTGCCTAGATAGCATAATGAAATTAATCCTAGTATAATTATACCTCTCTAATATAACTTCTTATACGAAAATATCTTCTTTTCCGATAAGTTCCAAATTAAACTGAACTAGAAAACCTTTATAAATAAAAATGGGGTGGGAAGTGAAGAAAAGAAAACAAATTCCGAAAATGAGGCTTGGAAGGTTATTCATCTAACCAACCCGGATGAATAGGCTTTTTTATTTACCTGGTACAGAGTGAGCAAATCCCAAAATATAATCGCATAACACATAAAAATATGAGAAAAGGAAGAAAGATCTTTACTCTTTTTTTATCTCTTCCAGTTCAATCTTATATCGATCAGAATAGTAAGAGAACAAAGAGAAAACGACAAATTGAATTGGCTACACTGTCTCTTCGTCTTTTCGTTTCCTTCTATCAGTCTATCTATCTTCTAAAGTTAGGATTGATCCTTTTTACTACGTAACTTACACCATTTCTTTATGTTTCTAGCAAAATAATAAAAACGACAAAAAGTGGCAATATAAAGTAAATTTTATCCAGCGACCAGAGGCGTATATGGAAGAAAGAGAATAAATGCCGAGTACAAGCTAAACACTTGCCCCTGCAGCCTTATCCAGTGTATTATTTATAGGTTGTAGGGGGATGGGGTTGTTATAGGCCTACATTTTTTCAGCTTTACAGTTGCTCGAGCGATTTAGTGAAGGGAATAGAGGTGTTTTTTACCTACTTTTTTCCCCTAGACTTCCGGACTTTTGAAATTCATACTACACTATATTTACCTATACTGTTATTATTTATGTATATATAGGCAGAAAGAGCGAGAGAGTAAAAGATATATATGTATATATATATAGGAAATTACTTAAAAAATAGTGAGAAATTCTAAAAATTGGGATATATGCTGTACATATCTTCTATTATCACTATAGACGTTTTTTTAATTAAGATAATAGGAATGGTTTTTTACCTTATATAGCTGTTTGTATCAGCTGGTATTTAAATTAATTCCGTATGCTACTATTCTTCTTCCCTAATGTTCCTTCTTTCTTCTGGCAAGCTTCAGAATGTACATAATCGACGTGATTTATTACGTTATTGAGTTTACAAGACAGGCCATTGGTACAAAATTATAATAGGATTAGAGTTATTTCCTATTGAAGAACTTTATCAAACTTATGTACATAACAGTTCTTGGTACAAAAACAGAGGAATTAAATTATTAATAAGTTAAATAAGGAATTACTAATTATTACTATTACAATAAAACTATTAAATAATTATTCTATTTCGTACTATAAATCATTGGTTTTGTTCAAACTTCGATATGTTTATCTTCGTATTTTCAATAAAGCTAAGACTTTCTTTTCTTGTTAATTTATTATAAATGTTTAAACTCTTTAACTTATTCGTTTATTATTAATTAATTGTGTTATCTTTTTTCTTTTATACAAATATTGAATTTCCTCTTGATTTTACCCTTACTAACCCTGTAAAACTCCTTTTGTATACTCCTTTAAACCATCTTTTAGCTTATCTGCTCTTGTTTACTCTAAATTAGATCCAAGAGTGCATTCTTCAAACAAATACCATAATTCTTTCCGATACTAAACAGATCCTTAATTAATTAAACCGGTATATAGTGGCGACATCTCTTAACAATTGTTTTTGTTATCTTTAAATTTATCTTCAGCATTGCAGTATTGCCTACAAAACTAGAAATATCCTTTTATTATATGACGTCATAGTCATTTAAATACCATGATAAGGTTTTAAGTAAATAAAAAAAATGCCAAACAGCGTATCTTCTAGTCTATCTCTTCTTTATCAAAAATTTACGGGAGCCCGTAAATTATTGGACTCGGATTCCCTAGCCGTCCAGCAACAGCCTTTTGATCCTAATGCACCTAAAGTTGTTATTTTGGCCGTCTCTATAGGTGATGGAAGCGAAAATGCTTTCAATTGGTACTTTGAAAATTTGCATAGGGATGGAAATAGGTTAGTATTCGTTCACGTTATAGAACTACCAGACTTGAAGAATCAGAGTGCTAGGAATTTACACATGTCCCCTGGAGTTTTGGCAAACATGTGGCAGACGGAAGAAGATAAAACTAAAGAGTTAGAAATAAGAATGAAAGCGCTATTAAAAGAACGAAAATGTAATGGTATATTAAGAACGGTGGCGGGAAAGCCAGGAGAAATGATATGTGCAGTCGCAAGAGAAGAAAGAGCCACAATGATTGTAACTAGTTCGAGGTCGCAAGGAAAGTTCAGAAGGGCATTTTTGGGCTCCACTTCAGATTATCTTGTACATCATGCCCATTGCCCAGTTGTTGTATGTCGACTTGATACCCTTAACTCAGCCCAATCTGCAACCTTATCTTCCTCTCAGCAAGCTATGGAAGAGCATATGGGAAAAAGGAGCGCAGGTTCCAAGATGCAACCCCAACTACCTCCCACACAAGATGAAAATGAATAAGATTTTCATTTTTTTCTCAACTAAGAAAAAACGTGCAAAAGAAGAAAAAGAAGAAAGAACGTTTTTTAACTAAATTGCAAACATATTTATTGATTTATGTTTACTTTTTTTATAAAAATCAAATGTCATAAACAAAAAAAAACAACAAATTTCATACGCTAACAATTATTATAGGCCAGAGGAAAATAACGGTTAATTTGGGGTTTTTAGACAAAAAACATATTTTCATTAGGAATTTTCCCACAGTAGAGACAATTTGAAATTAGTTAATAAAATTTGTTAATTAACTAGTTATATCCTGTAATTTTTAAAAATTCCAGAATTGAGAGATATTTTTTAATAGTTTAGAATTTATATTCTTGTCATTTCGCGTGCATTTTATCGAAGGTTAGTTGAATATTAATTATAATACTTTTGTGTAACCTATTTATTTATTTGTTTTTCCTTTTTATACAAGTTTTATCCGCTAATTTATTATTATCTAGACATCTGAAATACTGAAAAAGAAATATAAAGTCAGCTTGGATAATAAAATGAACTCGAAAAGTAAATTTAGAATTAAGAGACCGAATTTTAACAGTTTATCAGCTTTTGGCAAGACTATCAGGAACTTGTCGATAAATAGCAGATGGTTTGATAACTACTACTTGGAATACCGAAAAAGTACACTGATCAATTATAAATGTCCTAAAAAGACGGAATTAGACTTAAAAACTGATTTGAAACATCTAACTACGGATCCTAACACTTCTATGGAAAATATATCGAAAATACCTAATAATAAGCAAAGTCATTTACTTTCTAGGTCAGATTACACAGAGACTGTAAGAACGAATAACAACGATTTATCACAAACATGCAATCTACCTATACGACAAGAATTTAGAACGTCACCGTTGAATAATCCAAAAAGTCATTCTTTCTTCAACAATGCCAACATTTCCTATGAATCTCAGTCTTCTTCAAGTGCCATAAGCAAACACTGTAGCGAAAAAGAGTTTGGCAGAATGTGCACAGAGTTGCTCAATACATCTCTTAAGGAAACACCAAAAAGTAAAGACCGTAGAACCTTTGTCAAGACTCCTTCTACAGCGACTAGGAATAGTTGGAACAGGAGAGACAATACACTTGATTCAGATGAATTACAGCAGGAAATTGAGAATCCAGCATGTCTTTCATCGTCGAAAAGGTACGACGATGATTTTCTAAACACTGATGAGAGCATTATGGTAGTTGCATCATCGCCAAATGCAATGAAAACAAAATGCGAAACAAAAACCTCTCTGAACAAATTTCCAAGGTCTTTAAATTTCGATTCGCTAGATGAAACATCCATCAAACATAGACGTTGTGAAGTTCGTTTGGAGAACTTGAATGAGAAACAGTTACAAAAGTATACCGTGAATTACGAAAATTCTCATGATGATAGTTTCCAACGCAAGCGAGAATCTCTTAGTTCACCTCTCTTCACTAGTTATCGAGTTCGAGTTCGTATTTCTACAAATAGTTTTGCCTTTGAATCATAAAATGTCGTTTATTTTCTTTTTCACAGAAGAATTCGGGTAAACTAAGAAAGAGTTCAGCAGCCATTAAAGGTGTTCATGCCGAGACTATGTACAGAAAGGTGATTGAAGATGACGCCATGGATACCACCAGCTCTGAGGATGAAAGTTTTAATGATGAGAATGATAAAGATAAAAAAAGACTTACTCGTCGAAGACACCGAAAATTTTCCTCTATTTTCAAATGCTGTCCACATAATTGTTACGAAAGTCTAGAACCTTCCGCTCAGAGAAATCAGTTTGATATTTACTACTCCAAAAGCCCTAGCGAACAGATTCAACACATTCTGAAATACTTAACTCTTGATGAAGATAATGAGCCTATCTTTGAAATTCAAGAAAACTATTTCTGCAATCCCTTCATTGCAAACTTATTTAAAGTTCCGCTAGATTGGCTGGAAAGAGTTATTGAAAAGAATAATCCGTGTGGAGAGTTTACAGCGAAAACATGGCTGGAATCTGACGAGTACGAAGCACTTCAGAACTTTTGCTACATCAAGGGTATAAGAAGCAAGAACTTTCCATATTTAAAGAAAGTTTTTGGAGGTGTATCTGGTTTATACGCAAGTTACTGCTACTTTTTTCAAAATAATCATAACAGAAAGCCGAAAATTTCTAAACAAGCTTTCTACAAGACATTCCTTCAATATTTATCAGAAAAGGAAGTCGATATTGTATAAATTATTAAAATTCTTTATCATTAATATGCTTTTTTTTTTGTTTATGGTGATGGTCTCAAAATATTTAAATGTTTTGGCTTTTTCGTTTTTTCTGCATTGAACGCTCATCTTCAATATGTGCCTTTTGTTTGAATAAAAGTTTCTTAACTATTTTTAAATTCTCCGGAAATAGTTTCGACGATACTTCCGGAATAAGAATCTAGCAGATGACACCATGAGAAATCTGAGTGCTCTTTCGTTATATAAAAATTTATTAAGATATGGAAAACAATTGGAATATACAGATAAAGATTTTTTTTATAAAAGGATAAGGCAAGAATTCGAAAAGTCTAGAGACTTTAACGAAAATCAAATACGGAACGGCCTAAAGGTAACATCCCATACTCGAGATTCACTTTAAGACCATTTTTTACTTTTGAATTTTACTTTAGAAAGGAGAAGAGTTCCTGAGAAAGAAACATTTAATCTAAATGTTGTATAAAAGGCTTCTTCTTCAATTGCATACCTCTAAGATGCCCTTTATGGATCAAAGTTGAAAGTTTCAAGGAACATACTTGCAGGAAACCAGAAAAAATGATTTATTTATCGATTGTCTAGTCAAAGGCAATTCTTCAAAGACTCTTTTAATCAATTGTTGTATATGTTAATAAGAACAGCAATAATAATTATTTTTTTAGTATCTCTTGTTACTGATTAGACTATCATTCACTTGTTCATAAATCTCTTTGTTTTTCGAATAATTATGTTGCATATGACTAATTGTAAAATATATCTTATTATATAGAAAGTGAGTAATAATGATACAACTTATTACTATTATTAAAACTTTAAGGAAACCGCCAAGAAGGTATAACTGTTTGGTCACGTGACAGTTGATTCGAACGGGAATCCTGTCTATTGATTGTGTAAAACATACATTGTTTTCATGTTCAAACTCGTAACCAGAATGTTATTTAGCTGCTTTTTCGTTTACTTTATCAAAATAAGTGATATTAAGCTTAAATAATCTTTTAACTTGAAACTTCTAATATCGTTATGATAAAATCACGGAGAATACGTAAAAGTCCTAACGAGATTGAAAGACTTTTAAATGAAGAACGTCAAAAACGTAGAAAACAGAGATTACTCCAGGTTATTGCCTCTATTAAGTCATACTTCTGGTCTAATTATGTTTTAAACCAACAGGTCAGAAATCAGGATAAACAATTTGCAACTAAAATCAGGCAAGCAGTAAAGAATGAGAAAGAAAGACAACTCCAATTATTGGCAAAGAGTGTGGAAGTAAGTATGCAACCTTTTCATTATTTTAATTTAGCTTAAGATGGTATAAACTAAACGAACAAATCGAAAATGTAGCTTATCATAAAATTAGCTACCTTTGATATTTGTGGTTATATATGTATTATTAAATCGGCTCCCTGTGAAACCATATAGATTGAATTCACTTTGGAAAAAGCTGAAAAGTTACGCAGGTTACAAGAAGAATATGAAGATTCTTTACAGTACGTTGGAGATGCACAAAAGACAGCCTTATACCAAGTAAATATTAATTGCTGTTTATTTGATGTCAAGGTAAAAGGCTTTTTAAAAATCTTTCAGCCTGATAATAGCTTGAAAAATCAACAAGTAAAGTTAGAGCAAGCTTGGAAAGCTGAAAAAAGATATGTAGCAGCTTTAGAGAAGTTGAGAACACAAAAAGAGGAGACTGAAGAGGAGAAGACAAGACATATTCAAGCAAGGTAATTATAAGTTTGCTCTCCTAACATAGAATTTTTATAAATAATTTGTAAATTTTAGGCAAATGGCTCTAGAAGTGGAAAGAAGTAGAGCAAAAGAAATCGCATCATTACCCCCACCAGTAAATGATAAGGCTCAGGACCTTTTCGACAAAAGTTGTACTCTAAACTTGTTTGATTTTCATAATTGTAACCTAATTTCTTTTCTTTAATAGATACTACGAAGCGTGTTCAGTCTACTGATCGAAACGCCTTTGTTACTACATACTACCATTTAGATGGAAAAGTTTACGCTGATAAAGCGGAAAAGGACGAAGAAGTAAGTGTTTTAAGCAAGTTAATTGTTATGGTACTAATTCTAACGTTTAAAGGAGATGAATGCTAGGGAAGCAGCCGAACTAGAAATGGATAGATTAGATCATATTTCCAAGTCTCAAAAACGTGAAAAATTTGAGAGGATGGAAAAAGCTGATCTACGCCATAAAGAGGCATTAAAGAAGGAAATAATTAAGAAGGAATATAGTAGTCTGCTTAAAGACTTATCTAATCTACAGGTTCATTTATTTCATGTACTTGGAACATTTATCTATTAAATTGTTCTATATTAGAAATTGGACGCAACAAGAAGATCACAAGCTTTAGAAAAGTTACCAAAAAGGATATTTTTAGCTTCAAAACTTGATGAACAAAACGAGGAAAATCGTCAAAGAAATATAGAAAAAGCTTTAGAAAAAGAATTTATGCAGGCAACGGGTAGAGGATTATTAAATAAATACGCTATATTTTTAACTTTTAATATATTTTCAACAATAGATCATCTAGGAGATTTAAGTCTTTTTAGACAAAATGAACCTCCATCGTCTCCCACTGAGCAAACTAGTCAATTGTCATACGGTAATCCAGTCTCTGATCATTTAACAACTCCTGAGCCAGCCAAGCCAATGTCGAGAATTAACGTTAGGTAATAATAGATAGAAATTTTAACGGAACTATACTTAAATAATGATTTTTTTTTTTAAATTTTTAGAAGTTCCTTATCGGACATAACGAATGATGAAGAACAAGCCGCTGAAGCCCATAGACCAGCCGCCTTATCTAAATTATTATCAAGAATTCAATGTCAAAGGCAAAATGTTAGTACTACTAGTGAAAGCGAAGTTGAATCTCAAGCTGGTTATATTGGACAAGGTTCGCTTACAGACTCTCTTTAAAGAGAAATAATATAAATTTTTTTGTCAATGTATGCACAGAGCCCCAATCAATCAATGATTTATCACTCTCTGAATATACACTGAGGAGTCAAGTCATGTCTGATAATGAAATTTCGGACAAAGGTGTAATTATACCCGAGCGTGAGGTTGTTTCTATTCCATATGCAAAAGAAGAGGAAGATAACGAATCGGAGAGGAGTGATTCTGTTCAATTATTGGTAAGATCTTTAATAATTAGAGTTTACATTCTAAAGATATCATGTTTTATTTAGAAAGGACCACCTCCACCTACAACAGGAAAGACCAGCCTTGAAGAGAATCTTGCTGAATTTAATTCGCTGCGAGAACAAAATTTAAGAATCATTGATGACACAAAAGAAAGACAAACCTTACTCGAGTAAGTTACTTGACTGTTTTGAGTGGATATTTTATAGTGTCTATAAATGTGAAATTTTTAAATAGTAAGGAACGTTTCGCTTTGGAGAAACAATTGAAGGAGATTCAAGAAAAGAAGCAGGTTTTAGAAAAAATGCTGTCATCTAGCGTAAATAGCACATCATCGTCAAAAGGTTCCTCTAGATCGTCATCAAGCATTTCGCTAAAAATTCCTAAAAGAGCAGATACACCTGACTCTATTTCATCGAAATCTTCGTCTCTTGTTGAGAAATTGGCTCGAGTTGAGGAACTAAGGCAAAGAGCTGAACTTGAACACTCACGAATACAGAATTCGAGATCGGCTGGTTTCGAGGAAAATATAAGCAAAATAGATGAGATACTAGCAAAGATTCCAACAGTCGATGATAGAATAGAAAAAGCTGGCAGAACATTGGGAAAATTTGAAGATTTAACTACAAGTCTTCATAGTTTACAACTCTCTGAGACTGATAATAGAGATAGTATTGCTGCGAGAGAGTCAGACGTTTCAGCCGTTCTGTTAAGACCTCCAAGAGTAGGCACCAGTATCACTTCAGGAAGCAGTATTTCTATTCCAGAGGCATTTGCCTATGAATCATCAGAAAATAGCTTGAAGCTAGGCAAAGATCATGATTTTTTCACAAAACTTCAGAGCAGAGAAAGTTCAAACGTTTCGAGCAATTATGAAAAATTCGTAAAATTAGAGAACCACGATCCCAGCAAATCGTCTTCGAGAACGGATCTTGAGGCAGGAGGAAACGAAATAGAGGAAAAATATTTTACTGCCTTGAATTTTACCCAAAGAAATAATGGGGATAAAACTGAGACTTCTGTAAACGACGTTTGTAATAGGGAAGAAGAAGAGTTTATGCCATTAGAGAATGAATATCAAAGTTTACAAGAGCAAATAGAATCAAAGAATTCCACTGCTCTCTTTGAGGAAGGAATTAGAAAAAGTTCATCCATTCTATCAAATAAATCTGATGACGTATTAGAAAAATCAGATTCGGGTTCTGTCAAGTCAGCTAAAAAGCGTCTCTTCGATACTAGTAACCCCTCAAATGAACATCAGCAACCAGTAAGGAGGCAAGACTTTTCGTATAGTTCATCGAAAGATGGCGGACAAAATGTGGAAGAACTAGTAGAAACTGTCGTTTCAAGGTATCAAGAAGAAAAAGCATCCGAAAGATCCACAAAAGAGCCTGAAGATAGTGCTTTAGTTTTAAGTGAATATACAATAGAGTCAACTCAATCAGTTTTGAATACTTTAGACTTTAACGAAACTCAAAGGGATACTATTGAAAGGGCTAAACAATTACTTGATCGCGCTGAACAATATCTCGAAAGTAGAAAGCCAAGCGATAATAAAGAAGAAAGTAATTCCAAAAATAATACTAATTGGTCGGAAGAATTGAAAAATTATAAAATAACTTCCCCAGAGCGGAAAAAGTTTGCTCCGTTTGCATCAACTCCAGCAGCTTTTCAGAAAGGAGACTCAATATTGGAACTGACTGATATGCCATCTACAATTTTCTCTACTGAAAGTTTATCAAAAGCGCTAGAAAATAAAACAGAAAGTGAACACAGCTCAGTTGCATCAATAAGAAGCGACCGAAAACCTACTGAACACGACAAACGATCGTTCAGTGATACCTCTCCTCCGCCCTCTCCGCCCCCTTCTCCTGCTATACCGCTCGTCAAGGATACAACTAATGATGAAGCATCGAATACACAGCAGGAAAAAGTTACTTCTGAAGATAAATTTTATCCGCTGCTATCTTTCGATAGTGATCCAACAGATGATACTGCTTCTATAAAAAATGATAATCCAAGTGATTCATCTGACTCAACAAGATACAAGGATTTTCCTGAATTATTTCACTTTCCCATTCTAACTGAATTGAAAAATACCCTAAGTATTGTAGACGACGAAGAAAGGGATAAAAGTATGCCTTTGAGCGATTCGATTCGATCTTTCATTCCGAGTGGTTTTCTAGAAGAGCAACGTTTAAGCGATGTGCCAGAAGAGGAAGAAGTATCAGACTATTTTAAATTAACTCAAACTCCACCTTCTCAACTAAAGAATGAAGAAATTAGCAAACGCGGTATGCATTATTTTAGTCCTTGTAGCCGTGGCGATTCTACGTTATCGTTTGAGGCCCATGAGAAAAGTATTATAAGTGATAGTTCGAAGTTTAGTAGTTCAATTTTCGGTAAGTTGAAGGTACCATTACTTATAAAAATATTAAATAAACAAATATTTCAGACTCGCCAGCAAGCCAAAGCCATAAAGATAGTCAACTATCTACGCCATCGCCTAAACAGAGGTCGTTAAAGCCAGTTGTAGAGGTTGAAGAAGACGATAAGGAAAGTTACGCAGAAAGGAAAAAGAGGCAATTAATGAAAGCTTCAGAACAAAGAAGGGCAGAAGCCATGGAACGAGCTAGGCATAAGATGGAGAAAAAATTAAAAGAGGAAAAACAACTACACGACGACATGATGGAACGTTGGAAAGTAGGTCGGAGCGTTAACGGTAAAAATTTAAATGCCAATTCATCAAATAGTACAAATGGTAAACACTTATTAATAATATCTTATTAATATCATTAATATGTATTGATTTATTATTGCAGAAGATAGTAGTAAAAGTGAGGAAAAACCAATTAAATCAAATCCGAAAAGTAATGAAAAGTGTAAGGAAGAACAGATGAAGAAAAGAACTCAACGGTAATGAGACATCAATAATTAATTTATGATATATTAATATTAATAAATTTGCTTCTTTTTTTGCTATTTAAGCCTTTATAGCCGATTAGAAGAAGTTAAGAAACAACAGGAAGTGAAAAATCGACAAAGTGAATATGCTCAAAATAGGGAAAGAGCTAAAGCTTATAGCAAAGTAATTCTAGTCTATTTTTTAAAACAATCTTCAGAAATAATTATTTTAATTTCTTCTATAATTGTAGAAACAACAAGAAATTAGAAAGAAAAGTACAAAGTCGTAACCAAGGAAACGAAAAGAATAATATACATTCTCAATTTTTTACTTAGAAATTTAGATATATAGGATTTTTTTATTTTATTACTGTTACGTAACAAACAACTGTTGTGAAATGGCTAATAGTAATTTATAACAAATAAATTATGTTCTTAAGACATTAAATAGTTAATTAAGGGCAGTTATTAGTACTTTTTCTATTTGCTGGATAAATATTCAAATTTTGCGCCGCTCAGTATAAGTTAACCAGTTTATTAAAAGTTTCTAAGATGGCGGCACACGTGGTCGGTCGGAACTCTGTTTTATTTCAAATATCTCGGCGTATTCTAACGCAATTTTCGCCACAAGTGAATGCCATGTAAGAACTATAGTTATAAAAGTTGATTTGATTATTTAGAATCATCATTTTTCCATAACAGCCATTATACGGCGAGAAGATGTATGTCTGAGGATAAATCTACTGGAAGTGCAGCCGACGTTGACCTTCCAAAGCCGGGGACACTTGTTGAAGAAATGCGTAAAGTTGCCAAACAAAAAAATAATTCGGATTCCTCAAGTAGCTCTTCCGATTCATCGTCATCTAGTGACGAGGAATTGGAAAAGGCTGCTTCAAAAGCAGCCGAACATTTAGGCGGCAATGTTAAAAAAACTGCATCCGATTTATTAGAATCGTTACAAAGAATTAAAGAAAGTGGCAGTCCGCTGGATCTACTATCGAGTATGAAAGTTGAGAGGACTAGAGCAAAAACAGCACCGTCGCTAGAGTCAAATGTAAATAAGAGGAGATCGGATTTTCAACGAGGAAGCGTTACAGAGCAGTTTATGAAATTAAAAAAATCCGAAGATTACAAACTTTATGATGGAAAACGATTGGGGATTTTTGAGAAGAAATCTGCCGAAATTGTAGATGACGACTATTTTACTCTTTTGGAGAAGGAAAACTTGAAAAGTCTAGAAAATGACAGATTACCAAACAACGCTTGGGAAGAATTAGAAAAATGGACAAAAGAAAAGAAAATTTGGAAATACCCTATCGATAATGACCAAGATTGGGAGCAAGAAGCTAATGTTGGTTTTCACGAGCACGTATTTATAGATAGAGAATTAAGGAAAGGATTTCCCAAAACAGGACCGGTTAAACACTTTATGGATTTGGTCTGTGCAGGTTTATCGAAAAATCATTATATGACTGTTAAAGAGAAACATGATCACATAGACTGGTTTCGAAACTATTTCAATGAACGGATGCATACTTTAAGCTAATTGAAACGATAAAGGAATTTAGTAATACAGTACAGATAACCCATTTTTAAACGTCCAGCTATTTTCTTAATTAGTTAAAATATTTTTTCTATAACATTAAGTTTACTATCCAATAATTAGACATGGCAATTGTGACTTTGTAATCAACATATTCAAATAATTAAATATTCATATTTTACTCTTTAAATAACAAAAAAAATTTTATTCTTAAAAAATTATGAAAAGTGCTTGATATCCTATTTTGAACAATAATTCATAATTTACGAAAATGACCATATTTTTTTGCTTTCCCACACGAAAATATATTTCAAGAATCGAAATAGGATAAGAATTTAAAAAAAACTTTAAAATGCCAAAAATTAGCTTGGATGTGAGAAAATTAGTGGTGGAAAAGAGGAAGGAGAAGATGTCAATGGATGAAATCGCAAAACAATTAAAAATTTCAAGGGGATCTGTCCATTATATAATAAAAAAGTTTGAGAAACATGGAACTATAAACAATTTATCCAAATTATGTACCCCAAAGATTCTAACGGAAAGGGAAGAGAGAAAAATTTGCCAGATTTCAAAAAGAAATCCATTTTTAACAGCAAGAAATGTGCTGGAACATTTAGGACTAGGTTCCAAAATTTCACTGTCGACCTGCAAAAAGATTCTGCAAAAAAATGACCTTAAAGGCTACGTTGCAACAAGTAAGCCAGCACTAAAGCCTTGCCATGCAAGAAATAGAAAAGCTTTTTGTAACGCTATGCTAAACAACAGTAAAGAAGATACTAATATAAACAAAATTATATTTTCTGATGAGAGTCAGATTTAGCTGTATCTAAAAAGGAGAATTTGGGTCCATAGGGGCAGTGATAAACGGTATGACCCAAAATATACAAAAAAGGCCATTCGAACAGCGAATGCTTCAATATCAATATAAAGGCTGATGGGACAAGAGCCATAAAATTATATGATGGATACATGGATAGCAATTTATACAGGGAAATAATCCAGGAGAAGCTCTTTCCAATTTTTGAGTAAGACAACCTGCTTATGCAGGATGGTGCCAAATGTTATACATCGGCGTCTACAAGGAGGTTTCTCGAGAGAAACAACATTGAAGTTTTGGAAGACTGGCCTTCCAGAAGCCCAGAATTGAACATAATAGAAAATTTATGGGCTTACTTAAAAAATAGATTGCAAACCCATGTGTTAATTAGTTGAATATGTTGATTACAAAGTCACAATTGCCATGTCTAATTATTGGATAGTAAACTTAATGTTATAGAAAAAATATTTTAACTAATTAAGAAAATAGCTGGACGTTTAAAAATGGGTTATCTGTACTGTATATATTTCTCTATCGTGCTTGCTCTACCGTTATATCATTTCATTTATATAATAAAAAAAAGAAATAGTGTACTCATTATTTTTTACATGTGAATGCCATCGATGAAAGAAAAAGAAATGCATATTTTTATTGCTCATACAAAGTGTATCTTCTTTTCTTTTTACGTTGTATACGTCAAATATATTTATATATATATATAAATATATATAAATATGTTTATAGTATTAAAATTCTGCATTCTTAAGGTATGTAAAAAAAAAATCAAACAATTCAACAATATAAATCAATAATTTTAAAAACAGGAAGTATTTGACTATTCAAAAACATTTGAATAGGAAAAGTTGGTCCCTTTAGCGGTGGATATGTATATATTATATACCATATGTGATAATATATAGTTATAAATACTGCATATATTGGAAGTATATATATATATATATATATATATATATATATATACAGTATATATATACGTATACTTCATATATACATTTTACCTTTAAGATGTAATGTATAAGGATAATAGTGAACTATACAAATTAATGTGCTACATTGCGGTTGCTAATTCCATCTCTCCAACTGCATGAGATGCAGGTAAATCATTTCTATAAAAGTGATCCAATTCTACTAATTGCTTTGCAAATTTTTCTTCCAGTTCCTGTGAATAAACTTTTTAAATATCTGATAATAAAAAATAACATTGTGTTACCTTTTTCCTCGGTTTAAGATTATCTTTCCAAGCTTGAATCTCAGCTGTTAGTACTTTATTTAACTCTAGCTTTTTAGACTCTTCAACATCAATAATTGTCCTCGTTTTTTCCTTCTATATTCACAACAAACATATTTTATTACAGACTAGCAAACAAGTTAATTTTTGCTACGGATATTCTGTATACAAAAATATACCTGTATATCTATTAATTCATTCATGGCTGAGTCATTTTTCTTTATTAAATCATCCCATTGTTTCTTATGCTTTAATTCTTGTCTTAATTTATTTTGCGCAAATCGAGCTTGTTCCTGGTCGTCAAACTTAAAAAAACAATATTCGATTATAAATTGTGTACATGCTTACATCTTGTTCCTTTAGTTATATACAAACCTCCCTTAATTTATCTCTTTCTTCCTCTAATGACATATTTGGATAATCGATTTTTAAACTTCGCCTATACATTAATTGTCTAGTTTTCATCTCTTCTCTCTGAACTTTTGGAAAGCGATTGTTTTCAATTTTATGTCGTTTCAGCATTTCTTCCTCTTTCCTACTAATTAACGATTTCATTTGTTCTTTTTCCTAGTTAGAGAAATATGTGTATATTTAAGTAAACATTAGTTTTTCCTCGGTTCTAATTTCACCTTCTCATGTCGGTGTTGTGTCTGTTGCCTTTTCAATTGGAACATATCGGCCATTTGCCTCTTTTTCATAGCGTGTTTTTCGAGCAATTGACTCTCTTCCACTCCCCAAATTGCGGCCTCTCTCGCTCTAAGCAATTTATGTTGTTCTTGTAGGTGCTGACGAGCAATTAGGGCTTGTTTTTCTTTATGATTGTCGTGTAGTCTTTTCAATTCTTTATTTCTTTCCTCAGTTTGTGCTTCTCTGAATCTTCTTTCCTGTGGAAAGAGAGTTATCCTAGAATCTGATCGATTTGTATATTTTATATATTACCTCCTCCTCTCTTCTCATTTCCATGCCTTTTCCATGACTACCATACTAAAAAGTAAATATGTTAATAATGCGACTATTCAGTTATAAGAAGTTAAAAAGAGCATACTTTCAATTTTAAATCTTTTTTCAACGTATTTTTAAACTCTTTAAGCTTTTTCTCCTGATCTTTTTGTATTCTCTTCGACATATTTGCCACATCTATCTCACCTGTTTTACGTGATTTTGACATTAGCTCTTGGTGCTGTCCTTTCAATATATTTATATCATTATGATAACTTTCTAAGAGCACCTGTAGAAAAATAAAGAGACAAAGTCGGGTAATTAAATATAAAATGTGTAAGTAAAATATAGTTACCTCCATTTCTGCACTAAATCTTTTCAATTGTTCTTTTCGCGCTATCTCAGCTTTAGTCACTATTTCTTGATGTTCTCGATTTTCGATTTGATGAAGTTTCTTCATCTCTCGTAAGTTTTCTCTCCTAAAAATAGTAAATGTTGAGATATAAATAAAAACATAACATAAGAGTATTTACCATTTTTCATAATCTAGCCTCTTTTTATCTTCATCTCCACTTAAAACTATTCTTGAACTTTGAGAAGTCACAGGAATACCGTCAACAACAAATTTCCTTGTTTTTGTTAAAGTGCGGTAATGCGACTTATTCTCTTGTCTACTTAGAGTGGCCGCCGCATGCTCTTCTTGAACAGTTGGAGAAGTGCCAATTTCGCTTTTGATAGGTGAAGATTTGCCTTTTGCAGCTGACACGCCATTACCAAGTGTTTTAGGTCGATCGTTATTCGTTCTCTGAATATATTTAGGTTCATCGGCTTTTATCGGCACCGGTATTGGTGTTGGTGTTGGTGTTGGTGTTGATGCTGATGCTGATGTTGATGCTGGTGCTGGTGCTGGTGCTGGCGTATCTTTCTTCGAAAGACCAATTTTCCTTTCAAGTTGCTGTTTGATTAATTCGTGCTGAGTTGTTTTGTTATCATTGATGTCTTCAGTTTTGGGCTCCACAGGTACAACTTTACCATTAATAGTAATTTCTCCAGAAAGTTTTTTGTCCAGAGTCGTTTTATTATTTGTGGCCACTGTTTCCATCAACTCTATTGATTTAGGACTGGCACTTCTTCGTGCCTTCTCAACATTGTTATCAGTAGTACCACTTCCTGCGGAATGTGATGAATCCCTGAGTTCATCTTTTCTATTTTCATTTTTCAACTTCTTTCTCTCCCTTTCTCCTTCTTTAAGGGATGTTTGAGAATTAAGACGCTTAATGATATCGGTTGCCGAAGGAACACTTGTATCAATCGCTTTATCATCTTTATTTTGATTTTGTAAGTTCTCTTTTTCTTTCTTCGTATATTCTTTTATTGTCAAAAATACAGCTTCGGGAACAGATGGTGTTGTAGCTTCAGATTTGATGACGTCGTCGATAATATCTAGCAGTATAGTGTCCGATAACTCGTCCTTTAGACGATCTTTTGGCTTCTACAGAATTAAGGATCATAGTTTTCATATAGTATAACTTTAAGTTGATAATAAATCCATAAATAAATTAATATAATAAAATAATTGACCCAATTTCAGGTGAACCAAATTATAAAATTATAAAGCAAAAAAAGCAAATGAAAAATAGGCAAAAAGGAAGAAAATTAAAATAAAGTAAAAAAGCTTTGTACACCAAAGATTAGTAATAGCATTATTAACGAATACTAGTTTATTTCATATTTATAGTCTATATATGTTAGTATAGATACTAATATATATATACTGTATATATATATATATATATATATATGAAAACAAGTTGAAAAGTGAGAATTATGATTATAGCACCGTAAAGAGGAGACAAAACTAAATGCAGGAAAAATTGATTGATTTGCAGGAGAAATTACTGTTTTTTTTTTGCAGGAAAATGGATAAAATTGAGTGCAAAATAAATAAAAATTGTCAGTGAAGGTTATAATTAAATTACTTTGCTAAGCATTGTTAATTAGGCAGAAACAACAGACTCTCTTTCGAGTTTGATTATGATTTGTTAAAACGATCGAATTGAGATTGTGATCAGTTTTTTTTGGTTGAATTGTGACTGTAATAATATTAGTATCATCTACAGGAACTATATCTGCTGATTTACTCTTTTCGATCGTACTAACTGAACCATAACTAAGATTATCCACTGATTCATTATTGTTAGTTAAATTAGAGTCTAAAATAAGGCAATCACCAGACGTTTGCTCCTTTTTAGCAACTAAATCTATTATTTGATCGTTTGGTGGTTGAGATTCAGATAAAGAACAAATCACCTCAGTCTTTTTCTCCTCAATCTCCTCAATTCTATTATGAGTCTTTTGTTGACTAGTAGGATCAGGAAGCTCTTTCTCTTCGCTTTTCTTTTCCACTTTTTTCTCGTTAATCTTTTGTTCGGCATTGTCTTTTTTTGTATCCGTTTTTATTTCTTCCTTCTTGTCCTGTTTCTCTTCAATTTTTTTGATATCCTCCAACGTTACAACCGGAGTTAGCTGATACGTGTATATACATATTTTATATATTTTTGCAAAAACTTAATGTCAATCAAAACTCTTTCCAAATGGTCTATTTTGTTAAGATCATAAAATACGAACTATTCTATATTGAATAATAGTTTTGATCTGACAATGTCAGAGTTTATAGTCTAAAAATGTACGTTAATGTATTTACAATAGACAGCTATTGAATATATATTTATAAAGGTGAAATCAACTGTTAAAATACTTACAGGGGTCTTGGGGCCTTGTTCGCTAACAGCTGATTTCATACTAATATTATCTTGACTAGAATTATCAATGTTGGGATTATCATCGATGGAATTACTGTCTTCACTCATAGCCTCATCCTAAAAAAAATCATTTAAACGGATATAAATACTTGACAGACTACTTAAAACATATCATAAAGATATTTAACTACCTTAACTTCAGTGTCTTCCATATCTTTGGCTTCAATTTCCACTTCTGCTTTTGATTCTTCGATGAGCATCCTTATGTCTCTATTATCTTGAACGCTTTTAAGGAACGGATGCTAATATATATATATATTGAACACAATTATTTTTGAAATAATTCTTTGTTGAAATTAATATTTTCAAGCCTAACCTCGAATAACTCGGAACATTCAGGTCTTAAATCTGGATCTTTTACGAGGCATTTTGAAATAAAATCGTGAAAGTCCGTAGACCACTTTCTTCTACTTTGTAGTTTCGGAGGGTCAGCTTTTTGAACGCGTAGGGCAACTCTTCCCGGATTAAGTTCGTGATTCGGAGGTTCTATTTCAGCCATTTCTATAAGAGTTATACCTAAACTCCATATATCGGCTTTGAACGTGTATGCTTCTTGTCTTTCCCATTCACACCTGCTAACTTCTGGGGCCATCCAATAAGGGGTTCCTATGAATGAATCTCGCCTTTTGAATTTACTCGTATTCTTAGCCGAAACACCAAAATCCGCTAAATATAAATATTTGAACATGACATTAAGCAAACCGTTGTTATCAGGACTTTTGTTTGTCTTATCATTCTATTATCTAAAAGGGCAATATTTGCACTTACCTAATTTCACTTGACCATCACCGGTTAATAAAATATTGCCTGCTTTTAAGTCTCTATGTATGACAAACTTATCATGGAGAAATCCCAATGCTTTACATACTTCTTTTGTAACATATTTAATTTGAGGTTCAGATAATGGTTTTTCTAGATCGACCATTATACGATCAACAGCCCCACCTTCGCAAAATTCTATATACATCTACGATAATATATTTAAAAATAGTACATACGTTAATCAGATATTAATTTTAATATAAATAATATTTTAATACCCATAGTTTATCTTCCCAAAAAAATGCTTCATGTAATTTAATAATGTTAGGATGTTCACACTCTGTCAGGATGTCAATTTCAATAGTACAGTTTGCAACTTCGTCGTCATTTGATATATCAACTTGTTTAAGAGCGGCAAGTAAGCCAGAAACTTTATTTCTCGCCTAAAAAAATAACATAAGAAAGTAAAGATTATAAATATTTTCTTATTTTTATTTTTTTTTAACTAAATATAGAAAAATATTAACAAACGTCTAAAATTTAGTATAAAAATACTTCAAAATAGCTCTATAAATCAGCTTGTAGAAAAAAAAATAAAGCACGTAAAATCGATATAGTATACGGTAAATCTTAAAGCTAACAAAACTCTAGGAAAAGATATAAGACATTCCTATACGAATGAGGCCTTTGTTTACAACCTTGACATATTTTTAGCAAAAATTTTATAGTTAATAATTCGGATTCTGATATATTATATTTCTATTTTTATACTGTTAAAAATAACAAAAGAATAAAAATAGATGCTAAAAATCGATCATTTACTATAATTTACAATAGTTTCAGACGAGTTTTTACTATTGTAAATGATATATTAAACTATGTTAAGTATTCTACTCTTTTTAAAAAATAATACTAACGTTATTCAACATATATTAAGGGATAGGAATTGATTATTATTTTTGTGATAATACTTGCATTAGCTTAGGGAATTAAAATGTTACAAAAAAAATTAATCGGTCAAAGTGAACTCTAGGGACGTCATGGAAGGATTAGTAGAATTTTCCATTAATATAACAGATTATACTTAATTTACTCGGGTAATTTTTTAAATGGAATAACCTAATTTAACTTTTCTTTTTTTTTTTTTGATTGTTAAAAGATCGATGAAAACATTTTAAAAAAAAGAATTAAATTCGTATCAAGATTCTTTCATTGTTTTACTATGTTTTTTATATATATATGCTAACAATTAATAAAGTTTAAAATGCTTTTTTTATAGCAACACAACAGGCCTATTGTGAAAGGGATAGCTATTCTAATTTTATCAGCTAAAAAGAGAGAGAGAGAGAGAGCGAGAGAGGAGACACATACTGTTTACTGAAACGTGTAGAGCATAAAAGCCAGCCTATTTTATTGTGTCAAAGATATAAATTTCCACCATGCTACTGGATAGTACCTTTACATTGATAAGATAAACACTATCAATAAATTACTTTGAATTTAGAAGCAATTTTAACAATGAGTTTTACTTTATAGACTTGTCATTAAACCTACTTTATACACTTTGCCATATGCTCCATCGCCCAAAACGCCGATATTTTCCCATGTATCTGCTGGATTTATATTTTTCTTAACAAAAGGATGGTCGGTTGACTTCTTTTTATCCCCATCGGGTAGAGAGGTTCTTGAGAAAATATTCTTTAATTGCTTAAAGAAGGCCATCTTTTCTCATCACAAACGTTTTATAATTTTTTTGTACGAGCACTAAACTGTCATCCCTTGTTTTTCGTTAAATCCTCTTCAAATATTTATTTTCTTTGGATATCGTAATAAATTGTCTTCAAAAAGAAGAGTTCTCGATAACTCTTAATCAGGGAAGGTAAATCAAGGTAGAAGAAAGTTGCGTCTGCTAATGACGACTTAGTCACTTCTATTGATAAAGGTCACGAAGTGTAAAATAATAGGATGATTAATAGAAAATTAAGAAGACTTCGATTCAAATGCTGCAATACAAATTTGGAGAATAATATAGCCGTCTGCAATGATTCGCACGTTAACCACAATAAATAAAGTTGAAACAATTTTTAAACGCCATTTTAGCATGAAACCACGCCTCGTCTAAAAGGTATCTGCGAGATGAAAAGTACATACTCTAATTTTGCTGCTTCTTCAAAGGGACTTTATACAATCTAAATTAGAGCTTAAATAAATTACCTTGGATATCCTGAGAAAGTTTGAAATAACATGAGAAAAATGTAATTCTAATTTTTAATTTGATGAGCATTCATTTCGCGGTTGTGTTTGAGAACGAAATAGCATTAGAGAATCTTGGATTTTCCAAATTTAGTACTAACTGGGTCCTATTTTCGACAGCAAAACTAACTTATGAATTCAACACAATCTAATAAATCGGAGTATCTGTCTACTGTCGATAGGCTATATGACTTATCTGAGAAACTGAAAACCCAAGATTTTGTTATCAACTTATATATCAATCGATTATGGAGAAAGGGCATTCAGGTTCCTGATCAATGTTTAGCAGCATCAAGCGAACATCAGCGCTATGCTAAAGTGGAGAAACATTTGAGGGAAAAATTAAGAAAGGTAGAAAAAGAGGAAGAATTGTGGAAAAGAAGAGCTAACGAACTGACAACCAAACTATTAGGTTTAGCTACACTTCAACATCAAAATCCCCCAGGAAATGTTCGTGAAAACCCCATATTTAATCAGCAGTTTCAGACTATGGTAGAAGATTTCAACGAAGAAGAGAAAGATAAAGTAGAAATAAACAAAAATATATCAAAATTAGAAAAACAAATTGAAAAATCTAAAAAACTGCTATCGAGTGCTGTATCAAGCACTGAACCTCAAGATGAAAAACTACGCAGGCTAGCAATAGAAAGAAAGGCAGCTGTTGACTCTGCTCCTTCTGGTACACAAGTCTACCAGGACACTCTTGATCAGAAATAGTAAAGTTTAATTAAAATATAATATATATTTCATTTTTCAGGGAGAAGATACATCAAACATTCTACATTTGGTAGAGTGGATAACAGTCAATATAAAAAAAATAACAAGTTTACATAATTTTAATTTTAAACAAATATTTCAAAGAAGAACATTACATTGCATGGCTTAATATTTACTGCGTGAGTAAGCTTGTTCTCTATAAATAAATAAGACGATTTTGTTTTTTAAAATTTTGTAGTTTTTTCACTTTCTCTCTGTTTTTCGGCCTCATATTCTCTTTGTTTGAATTCAGAACTTTCATTTTCCTTTGAAAACGAATAAATCAGTATTGAAATATTGATTAAATTATGCCTTTATTAGGTAAATACCTCTGCATTTCTTCTATTCACTTCATCAATTATATATTGATATTTCGGAGATGTTATTCCAAAAAACCAAGCAAGCTTCTCACCAAGATAATCGGCAGCTGTCAGACAGAATTCAAATAAAACAAACTATTATTTATATTTGTCAAAGATATTAGCCATTTTATTCTAACCATTTAAAGTTTTAAGACCAACATGCCGAAAGTAATAGCCTATCCAAGGAGCCCAGGTTAAGGTTTTCTGAAAGAAAAAACTGTATTTGGAAATTGTATATAACTTTTGTTTAAAAGTTATACGGGATCAACTGGTGGAGGTAATTCAACAGGCTCCTCTTCGTCTGTCGAGTATTCTTCATAAACACCATCGCTGCAGTACACTCTCCTTCTAGGCTCCTTCTTCTTACCAATAGTAATTGAGGTGTTTTCCTTTTGTAAATGTATCTATAATAGAAAAATGGAAAAATGAATAATAAAAGCGTTTTTAAATGATCTTTTTTAAAGAGTACCGATGCAATATAAGTTACATATTTATTTTGAATTATTCAAAGTTCAATTTATATAATGTGCAGAAATAATTTAAACGTATGTTTACATTTTATGAAAGAAGACTATAGCTTTTTACTACTTTCTAATTATTTTTGCAAATATCAAAGTGGAGTATTGTAACTTTCAGGTAAAATATATGGCTTTGTTTACTTGACGAATTGTAAACATCGCTTTGTAAAAAATATTAAATCTCGCCATAGCTTACATCGATTATGAGAAGAAGTACATTTTTAAACTAGATTATTTTAACATGATAATAGTTAGATTATTGATTTCTCTTACTTATTTAAAAATAAGCTTTAAAAGGAGTTCATCTTAAAAATTTAAAGTGAGCAGCTATATTATCGCCCTCTATTTTCGACTTGAATTATTCAGTTTCGCTTTAACAAAACATTTTCTGAGCTATAATTGTTAATATAAAATAAAATTTTACCTCTGACATAGAAATTGTGGAGGGAGTAGGTGATGATTGTGAGTTTTCCATTATAACAGATCACTCTAACTTCCCAGATCTATTTTCGCAACCGGAAGTATACAGTGAAAAAAAGCGGATGACACCATAATTTACATATTTTACACATGTATCGAGTTTGACACTTATATACTGGACAGGAGTGAAAATTGTAACTGCATAGCAACTTTTTGTTGTCTAGGCAACATTTTATAAAACGTATGATGCACAAAAGCTAACAAAAAAAAACAGAGTACTAGAAACAGGAGATTAAAACAGAAGAAATGTCATCGAAGTCAGAGGAAAGTGGTTTAAATGAAATAAAATGTATTTTTTTTAGCGAATTTGATCCTGAAATTGGACCATTAATTCGTTATCAGGTAATCTATTATTTTGAACCATGAAAATTTACTTTTTAATTAATGTCAGTTTGTATATTCGAACTGAAAACAATTTTAATATCGCCCACTATAAAAAAATTATCTGTTTTCAGACGCCCCCTGACTATGTGAGCAAAGAACAGTTTGATTGTATCAGAAACTATGTTATTACTAAACAAGATTTACATAATAGAATAATAAATTTGTAAGTTAAGCACTTTTTTTCGGCTTATAAACAAGTCTCTTTGTTTCAGGAGACTACTCGGTTTAAGAGTTGTGGGTTTACCTATGTCAATAGATAATAGAAAATATATAAGAAATGCCTTGATATTTAATTTAGCGTTCGTTTTTGATGAAAAGTTTGATGGTATAGCTTATGAACCCATCGTTGAGAAGATGGCGTATTATTTAAAAAAATTAGAGTCTGAAGAGGAATTCCTCTACATTAAGGAGAAGAAGAGTAGATTACCTGATATTTTGAAGGATATGAGGGAAGAACTAAACAAGAACGGATTCTGCGCCGTTCCACTTAGTATGTAAACCACATCAAGTCGTTTAAAAAAATATTTTCAAGATGAAAATTGGTATATTCCCGACAGCTGAATCTCTAACTGCTCATCTTTCTTTGGGGAGAACGTGGGACGTACCGCCCGAATTCGAGGAGCATGACGTTCCTATTTTTTATCCCGATTTAGAATACTTAAAATGCTGTGAGAGAGTTGATATAACTACAAGACAAGTTATGTCGTTAATCGATGGCAGAAGATATGTTACTGCTTTAGCATCCGATTCAAATATCCATAAAGATATTATAAAAGTCTGCTTAAAGAATTTATTGCATTTCAAAGTTATAACAACGGTTCCTATGTTTCAAGTTAGTATGATATTTTCATCTTATAAGCCTATCTACAAGTTGCAATTTTATTCATATAGTATTCTAACACCTACGTCGTAACGGATCAATTTAATGAAATATTTAAGGAGGATAAGAAATCAGAGTGCCAACGTTATGTTGCACTTATAGATACCTCCTTGCCGTCTATATCTGATATATTTTCTATTTTACTTGCCATAAAACCGGGTCTTACTGTAAAAGAATTATATAAACGTACACATCCAGAGTCATTGGGTATTGATCTCTTTCGGCTTATACAATGGGCTGTAATGCGAAAGGTCATACGACGCGTTCATAAATATCCTGTTATGAAAAAGACTTGCACTCTGGGTGAAAGGAAACTAATATACGATTATTGTGACGGCCATTACTGTAGTGATAAAATTTGTTGCGAAAGGCAAATTGACTATAGCCAGTTGGAGGCTGAAATAGAAGAGGATGAGCTTCTTGTGACAATCTGCAAATGAATATTGGTTAAATTCTTTTTTCAATAATTTAATGATTATTGTTTTTTTCTCTTCTAAATACTTTTTAATTCAAATAAAAAAGAACTAAAATTTTTAGATGACTCATCAAAACCATAGAAAAAAGGAGAAAAACAAGATAATTTATATAGATAGATGTGTATTCCTCTGCTGGTTTTTTTTCCTGTTATCTTTGTTATTATATTAAAAAGAAGTTTTCTCTATTGTTTTTCTTTTCCTTTACTTTCTATGTCTAGAAGATCTAAGAATTAAAGTATGATGATAGAAAGAGAAGTAAGAGAGAAAGATATAAAGAAATTAATATATAAACATATATAGAGGAGTTATCGCTTATGAAATATAAAAAGAGATATTTATAGAGAACGTGTGAGGAGGGAAGAACAGAAAGGAACTAAAAGATTAAAATTTCTTTTTTTTTTTTAAACAAGTTTTTTCTTTTTTGTAATTAAACTAAAATTTTCATTTTTTTTTAATTCGTGTATTCTATTTATACATGTTTACTTTTTTTCTTTTTAATAATTATTAATGTTAATCCAAATCTGAAATATTAATAATATAATATGAAGTCATTATTTATAAATTTTGAAAATTTGAAATAATTATCTGACCTTCACCCTTTTAGAAAAAGATGGCAGTAGAAGAATTAAAAGTTACTAGTTCTATTTCACCAAGGAAACTATTTAAGAGAATTCCATTAACAAATCAACATAAAGCTTTTCTTATTGCTCAAGTACTATGTTTTGTATTGTGCATCATTACTGTCTCTCTTTCTGGCGCTAGTTTATCAATTGTCAGAAGTGATTCTATTATAAAAGTTTTCTCTGTTCTATACAGAGAGGGTAACATAGAAGAAATGTCACCTTTGGCAATATCCCATCTATTAATACTTATTGGGGGTACTTTTACTATATTATTTACAATAATTGGTTTTATAGCAGCTGTAAAGAATTTAGGCACATTGTTGGAAATTTATATTATTGCTGTTAATATTTTATTCTTGATACAAAGTTCATCTATTGTTCTTTCGTCAAATTTCTATGTACAAATCGGTAAAGAATTAGGTGAAAGTATGAAAATTCATATAAATGATTATTATAAGAACGAAGCTCACTTGATTAATGGTAAATTAAATTTTCTAAATGATCATATTGCAATGGCATGGGATATTGCCCAGTTTCACGTTGGTTTATTATTATATTTTCATTCCTTTTCCAGTTTAATTGATATATAATTATTACAGTTCAACTGTTGCGGAGTTAGAAAATCCCATATCGATTTCTCAACTAGCCCACAATCGTTTAAGTCGGCATTGTGGAATCATAGTTCTATTGATCCAGGTGTTAAGTTTCAAATTAATTTTCCTCCTAGCTGCTGTAAATCTTTAAGCGGTACAACATATCCTTTTAATAAAGATTCAACGTCCTTGGGTATGATTGTTGCGGGAAACTGGAAACAATGCCTAGTTGAAGGAGATCCTGTTTATACCCATACGACATCTTGTTTCGAAAAAATTCGTGATAGAATTCGAAAATACTCCCAATATGCTCTGGGTTCAGCAACTTTTAATTCCGCAGCTCATATTATTAGTATTATTACCGGTCTCCGATTAATTAGAATCGTTCCAAACTAGTATTCATATTCACCTTTTGGATTCAAACTTGTCATCATACGTCAGTAGCGTTAATAATAAAAAACAACAACCAAACGATAGTTAAAAGTACCAGAATGTACAAATTTGTTTGATAAGTAAATACAAACACCTCAGTATTATTCATTTTAATGATGAATGGTATATTCAAAACAAGATTGAAGCTGCATGGATTCACTTGTTTAACATGTTCAAATATAATTCTAAACAGTTACAATTCCAGTGAGCAATCCATAGTTAATCTATTTATATACAACTGTTTATAGATAAAATATTTATTAACAAGTTTTAAACTAGGAAAATCAGTCTTTCTTTTCAGTAGTCAAAAAAGAATATTTATATTTTTCTTAAAACGTTAATGCTGGGACCATTTGATTTCCTTCAAGTCTATTCCTTCTTGAACCATTTCCCATAGAGGGCTAAATATGAAAAAAAATTACATATTAAAATATTTCATATTCTTTGAAATTAAATCGAGTTACCTCATATCCCTGAGCCTGGATACTGTATCAATACATCTTTGAGCAGTGTATTCTACCTCTTTATCCGTAGTGAATCTACCAATACCGAATCTAATAGAAGAGTGGGCCAATTCTTCATCAGTACCGATAGCTCTCAGTACATATGACGGTTCAAGAGATGCCGAAGTGCAAGCACTTCCACTAGACACTGCCACTTCTTTGATTGCCATTAAAATGCTTTCTCCTTCGACGAATGAGAATGAGAAATTAACACATCCTGGGTAACATTCTTCGCTATCACCATTTCTAACGACATGACTGATACCATTAGTTATTTTGTTTACCAGTTTCTTAGATAATCTTGAAACATGTTGATAGTCATATTCCATATCATTTAAAGAGATTTCACAGGCAGCACCTAAGCCCACAACTAGGGGAGTAGGTACTGTTCCACTTCTCATGCCTCTCTCCTGACCACCTCCGCTCTGTATAGGGTCAAGGCGAACTCTTGGTCTTCTTCTCACGTATAAAGCTCCAACACCCTTTGGTCCGTACATTTTATGGCCGCTTATTGACATTAAATCAATTTTCATCTCGTTAACATCTATCGGAATTTTACCCACTGCTTGGGCAGCATCGGTATGCAAGAACACTTTTTTAGCCCGACAAATTTCTCCAATTTCTTTAATTGGTTGTTTAACACCAATTTCGTTGTTGACAAACATAATTGAAACTAAACTAGTATTGTCTTTTATTGCCTTCTCCAAATCCTCCACACGTATAATTCCATTTTCTTGAACTGGAAGATAAGTAACTTCAAATCCTTCGGTTTCTAAAACTCGACAGCTATCCAATACACATTTATGTTCCTATTAAAAAGTCATTGAGTATTAGAACAAAACGTTTATATTTTCCTTCAAGATCTTACGATTTGCGTAGTGATGATATGGTTCTTACGATTCTTATAAAATCTTCCAACACCTTTAACAGCTATATTATTTGACTCTGTAGCTCCACTTGTAAAGACAATTTCTCTTGGATCGGCACCGATAAGTTTTGCCACTTGCTCTCTGGCTTTTTCAACTGCAGCTTCACTTTCCCATCCATAAGCATGCGTTCTAGAGTGAGGATTTCCAAACTGTGCAACATTAAACGGTAGCATCGCATCTAATACTCTTGGATCCTAGTTAATAAAAAAAAACGTGGTTGTAAAAGCATACTCACTATTCGTTGATTTTAAGAGAAACTTACCAAAGGACATGTTGCCTGCACATCCAAATAAACAGGTTTAAATTCGGGAATTTCCTTATCTATTATTAAATAGGATAAACATTATTGTAAATCTATTAATCTTTTTCAAATTTTACCACTTGAGGGTTGCAGATTTGAACTAGCTGAAAATCCTCGATTAAATCCATTTATTCCAATAAATTGCTTAGGATTAAGATTTCTAACAATTCTCGACAATGTGCCAAATTTTAACATGGCAATGGCTGAAATAGTACTTAAATTTCAAAATAAAGGCTGATATTCGAAGTTACTGATGCAAGTTATAAGTCAACCGGAAGCCAAGAAGATTGAGCGATATTAGGATATTTGTGGCTTTTTACTAGGACTGATATTCCTTCAACCAAAAGTGTGGTTACAAATCACTCATCAAACAATTTTTCTGATTGGATCTCTTACGAAAATTTATGTAAAATGAAAAACAAGTCTTTTTAGAATTTTAAAAATGGCTTACTTGTCATTTAGTCAGAGGCCATGAGTATTTTTTTACAACAGCCTACCTCAACTCTAGCTGTTGTCTTGGTAGCATTTGTAAACAAAACATGGCTGCGCTGGAAGCCGAACCTCCAGAACGATTCTATTTGGAACGTATCCTTTGATAATACTTTTTTTGATGGTCTAGAAATGCATTAATTATTAAATGATCATTTGAGATCAAAAATAATTTCTTAAATTATATCTTTCTAAACTTAATTTAGTTTTCTTGAAGTCCGCTTTAGACTTCATAAAGTTCATCCAGCTTCTATTACCATAGTGATAATAATTAGAAGTAACCTATCTGACTCTTTTTTTTATACTTAATGTACAAAATATACTATTTCAGACAAACTAACACAATTCATTTGAAATTATCGTGTTTTTCAAAATTAAGTAGAAATTATGTTAAAACACTGTTTATTGTCAGTCATCCTTAACTTATCTTGAAATTAGGAAGGGAAATTTTTGAGGATACAGATACCGACTTTCCTTATGAAGAAATACCTGTTGACGATGAATTTAAAACCTCTGGTAAGAATATTTTAGTTCTATTTTTCTTTTGAAGACCATGGATAGTCTAACTGTGTGTCTTAGTAGAAATCGATGAGGATCTCGAAACAGCAGTTAGAACAATCAGGGAAGCTGAGGAGGATTGTAAAGCTAAGGTTTAACATTTCACACACAACTCTTTTTTAATATAAACAAAATTCTATCTTAACTAATCTTAGGAGCAAAGAGATGCTGAGAGAGCATCAGCAACGCTAGTAGAAACTGCAGAAGTAACAGATGATTTTGTCCGTAATTTCCTAGTTAAGATGAAAATGGAAAAAACCTTAGATTGCTTTCAAACGGAATGGTATGAAAATTTACAGAAAGGTCGACTCAATATGGAAGATGTTGGATTAGTTCCAGATGTTTATTTAAAAAACCAGAAATTAGATCATGATTTGAAGCATTATAGGTCTCAAATGGAAAAATATAAGGAAGCAGCTCTGTAAATATTATTTTAATTCTTTTTTTTCTTTTTACTATCAACAAAATATTTATGTTTATTTTAGGCAAGCAAAAGAAACTTATATCAAACTGAGAAAAGAGAGAGATTATCATAGGATGCATCATAAAAGAGTTGTACAAGAGAAGAATAAATTAATTCAGGATATTAAAAAGTATTGAATATTGTTTTTATGTTATTATCTATTAAAATGAAGAATTTTCTTACGAAATCATTTAGATTGAAGCATCATTACGCGTCTTATGAACCAACTTTGAAACAACTCAAAAGTAAATATGAATCTGCGATGAAAGAGAAAATGTTAACTAGATTAGAAAGAGATAGAGCAGTTGGACAAGTTTGTTTTATACTTTCGTCAATAATATATAGATGATTTATTAAATATGTTCTTTTATTGTTATTATTATTACAGATTCAGGGATTACAATCCACTATTCGGACAATGGAAACCTGCAGAACTGGAAGTTCTAGAGATCAAGAAAGTGAAGGATTAAGACCTGTACAGAGAGGTAGTGCTGTGCTAATGGTTGATGAAAAGGGTCGTGGACCTACTCAAAGAAGTTTGCTGAAGGAAAGAAGCAGCGCCAATAATGATGGTGAAACAACTCAATTGAGACCAGATATTAATCAGAGATCCCAATTCCCAATCGACACAAGAGTCAATCCACTTTTGAACGAAGTTCGACAATCGGCCCACACTAAGAGAGCAGGTGGTTTAAGACTATCTCATAGTTTCCAAGGACATTCTCACGCTATTAGCGGGTAAGACCTATCTAGTTTTTACATGTTCCAGACTCATCAATATCATCATTGAAACTTTTACCGCAGGGTCAAAATGCATCCAAAGAAACAAATCCTAGCAACTGCTAGTGACGATTCCACATGGAAATTATTTACAGTACCAGGAGGAGAACTAATTATGACGGGAGAAGGGCATCAAGATTGGGTTTCTGACTGCGATTTTCATCCTGAGTAAGAGAAAAATCGGAATGTAAATTCTTTAATTCTTATTGAATTCTTTTTATCTTGCAGTGGCACGAAATTAGTAACGGGAAGTGGAGATACAACAGTAAAAATATGGGATTTTACGAAGGGTAGTTGTATGCATACTTTTATGGAGCACAAGCACGCAGTTTGGGGAACAACTTGGCATTCCTGCGGAGATTTTATTGCAACATGTTCTATGGATAATACATCAAAAATTTGGGATATTAACTCTCTAGAATGTAGACATACTTTACGAGGACACGCTGATTCTGTTAATAGCATAGAGTTTTTAGCCTACTCTAATACTTTGTTAACGGCTTCAGCTGACAAGACAATTTCTCTATGGGATGCTAGAACGGTAAATATAGATGATAAATTCATAATTGTAATTATACTTTCTTGTCTCCAATAGGCAATATGTGCACAAACATTCTACGGTCATATGCACTCTGTTAACAGTGCTTGTTTCAACTTAAAGGTTAGTTTTAAATCATCCATGCCCAATTAGATAAATAACGATTATTTTCGCTCAAAATAGGGAGATACTGTGGCATCTTGCGACAGCTATGGAGTTGTTAAACTTTGGGACGTAAGAGCTGTTGCACCAATGCTTACTATTGATGTAGGCCCGCATCCAAGTAATAAAGTCCAGTTCGATCCTTCCTCTTCCGTTCTTGCTATTGCTTGCAACGATTCAATCGTTAGGATTTACGAAGTCGCAACAGGAAAGGTATGCATCAGTTTCTTATTTCTTATAATATGCTTGACAGATCGATTGATATTCTCTTATATAATATAGATATCTGAATTAATTGGCCATACTGATGCCGTCCAGTGCTTGACATTCGACAGAGCAGGAGAGTTCTTAGTGACTGGAGGAAGCGACTTGAACGTTCGAATTTGGACCTAAAACAATAAGAATCATAATAAAAAAAATAGGACTCGTCTTTCTATCTTATTTAATTGTTTTTAAAAGATTTTATCCCAATGAACAAATTTATGTTAATTATACGATAAAAAACAACAAAAAGTGCAACTATTTGTCTTATCTTTTCTCGATTATTTCGTAAAAATAAATTTTTTAAAAAAGTTCATCTTACACACTAGATAGCGCTATTTGTTTGTGTATATACCTTATTATTAGAGAGAAGTTTGCACTATCTTTCTACATAGTAATCTCCTTCTATAAAAGAGTGTTACTTTTTTAATCTAAGAAGTCTAAGAATAAGTTCTCTTATACATCAAATAGTTTAAATTTTGTTGTCTATTTACCAAGATCAACATTCTAAGAACCTATTTTCGAAATTGTACTTTATTATCAACGAGTTCGTTAATTACGTATGGATAACTCATTCGAAAATTTCTTTTCAAGTCACATAAATCCTTATTACTTTAATACTCATGAAATCGAAAGAAGGGAAATATTAGTTGAAAAATTGAATAACTATCTAAAATCATTTATGGAATCAAAAGTTAGCTTAGAAACAGATATTTTATATAAAGGGAGGAAATAATCGATTAAAATCTATATTTATAGGGTTACGGAATTGAAGATTTATTTCCAGTAAGATTGGAATGCTTTGGATCATTTGCCCTTAAAATATGTACAAAAGGTTATATATTTTTAGAATGACTAGAAACTGAAAATAACCTTTAATGTTTGTTAATAGATACTGATGTTGATCTGGCAGCTATAGTACCACAAGGTCTCGACAAACTAAATGATGATAATTTTTTTGATGAATTTGCTGATTATCTTAAAATACACGAAACTCTATTATTAGATGATTTTCGGGTTTGTTTAATGTTACATTTATATATAAAGAATGTGTAGAAAAAATAGAGCAAATATTTTTCAGGTCGTTAAGAAGGCAAGAGTTCCAATCATCAAACTGTGGATAGAGGGAATAGAAGTAACTATAAATAGTTTATAATAACAACTCATTTGCCAATTTTAGAATCATTTTACAAAGAAAATTAACATTTTATAGATTGACATTACTCTTGTTCGACCGTCCAATGACGTTCTTTATAAAGACTTGGGCTCTCGTAAGTATATTACTGGAATGAATGAAACTTCGATTAAAAGTATTTCCGGTAGGCTATTGTCATATGCCTCTGCATTTTTTTAACTACACAGTTTAATTAATTCTTGCAAAGGTCTTCGAGATTTAAATTGTATAATGAAATTCTTGGAAGCTAACGATATTAATAAGAAAATGTTTATAAACTTTAACGCTACCATTAAATTTTGGGCTATAAGTTTATTATATTTTCTTTATTTAGGCCTAAAATTACTAATATAGAATTTGTTTTTTTTTTGTTTTAGAAAAGGGCGTTTATAGTACAGTTCTAGGATTTTTCTCTGGGGCGTCACTAATCCTAATGGTTCTCTTTGTACTTAAAGAGAATAACACTGTTACCGATTTGAAAACTTATATACAATTATTCTTTTCCACCTTTGCGAAATGGTTATATTTAAATGAGAATTTTAAATAGTTATGATCATTATTCTATCTTCTTAAAGGAATTGGAAGATTCCACTAACTTTGGAGAATCCTTATAATGATCCGCCTGATTTTATAAAAAATTTTTCTGAAATGATTATTCATACTTTGTCTAGTCCGAGGAAGAATTCAATTAATTCTAGCAAATCATCTTCGGCCGCAATTAGGAAAGTTTTGTCAGAAAGTCATCAAACTTCCGAGATCGATGAAGGATTATTCGAAAAGAAAAATTGGATTGATGAATACAAGTTATAAGAACAATTTTTCTGTCATTTTCAATTCATTTATCTTCATTTTCAGTCATTTTATAACCATAACTGCAATCTTTGAGACGAAACATCCGGATGACAAAACCACCAAGCATTTAGATGATTGGTAAAGTATAGGATCTTGTCGTTTGTTTTAATCTTAACTACTTTTATTAATAGGGCAGGATTTATTAGGTCAAGAATATTAAGATTTTCAATTGAACTTGAAAATATGAAATATGATGATAAAGAGATTTTTAGCATTGTTCAGCCAATACTTAACAACGATAGGGAGATGTTTATTACGTATGTTTTTATTAAGACCAGCCTATAAAATTTAGTTGTTGATTTTTGTAGGTCTGACAGCCGTGTTTGGCTATTAGGTCTGGAATTTACTTGTAATTTTCAAATGAATCATTTGAATTTATCCCAGCCTACAAGAGCCTTTACTTGCGAATGTAAGCGATTCTTATTTTTTTTATGCTAAATTTAATTAAACCTATAATTTATACTTTTTTAATTGTAGTAAAACAATTAGCTACTGAAAGAGAAATATATAAATCTGGAATGAAAGTTAAAGTAGGATACTCGAATCGAAATAAATTGAACAGCCTAGGAATCTTTGAATAACAACAAAAATTTAAATAGAATGTTTTTCTATTTTACACAAACATTTCTATCATCAATTAGAGAATGAATATTGTTAAATTTTAGCTGGGAAAGAACCGTTATCTCTTTGTTCATCCCACTTGGCTGTCCATTCATTAGGGCAGAGTGATTGATAAACTCTCTTGAAATATTCACATGGTTCATAGTCTTCGCCCTTGATTTTGTGACAACGATGGTAGTCCACGTAATTTTGCCAGCAATTCCTTGTTAGAAAAATAGTTCATTTGAATAAAAGAGAAACTTTTTTACAATAATTTTCATATCCTTACTTAGTTTGGTTCTGGTTGGGGAATCGGGCGTCAAATGGAGCTGTCTTTATTTCAATAGCCTCGGAGTCCGACATCTGATAATATATAAGTATATAGTATGGTTGTCAAGTAATTAATTTTCTACCAATGTGCATTTGTAGGTCGTTGGCTTTGCCCATCAAAAATGCCGATAAAACAATGTCAAAACATTTACTCGTAGCCCTTAGATACTAGTTTACATTTTGGATTTCCTAAAATAATTGCTTATATCAAGAGCCCAAAATGAAAATTGTAATTTTTGAAGCAACAACCTTTTGTCAGAAACAAAAATGCTTTAAAGGTATTATCGCTCACGGTCAATGATATTCCTATTAGTTCTCTTTAAAATCACCCTATCTCTTTAAACATTATACCTCTCATAAAAGATAAGGCAATTATTGATTAGATTAATGAAACCCAACGGGAAACTTACCCTTAAAAATAGATAAATTTCGTTCTAATTTTTCTCCGCAAAACCAAGTATGAAGGTGAACGATAGGTGGCGCTCTACACTTCGTAGTTAAAAGATAAAACGCAGAGCAAAAAAAAAAATAGTACGAAAACTCTTTCGAATTTTCTAAATTTTCAAAAGAAGTTCGATATTTACAGCTTAGTTTGATTTAGAAAGTTAATTAAAAGTATTAAAATAATATACTATTGGTTTTATATATGCGATGAATAAATGTTTATATTAATTCTTGTCTATTATATACAAAACCAGGGTGTTCCTTAGCTTGAAAAATGCTCATTTAATCTTAACAATATACAACAGAATCATATTAAAGTATCATTCATCTTATAATTTTCCGCTATTCCCCTCTCTCTATCTTCTCTCTGTCTTCTTTCTTCCTCCTATTTTTTTTCGCTTAGAAATTCATATAGAGAGATGTATTTATCCCTCTTTCCCGTTATGCTCTTATCATATTCGCAACTAGACTATATTATATAACGTAATTTACGTATTATTTAATTTAATTAACATATTTTTGCTTTTTTTCCGATAATTTTAACTATTATAGTATCTTACTTTCTATTTTAGACGCTTTCGACGTTTACAAGAACCTATTAATAACCTGATAAGACACACGGTATATATCGCAGTAAATTTACGTCGTAGTTTGGACAAAGTTAAACTTTTGTCTTCAAACTATGTTAAAGGCTATGATGACAAACTGTCAAGCTAATATTTGTCTAAAATTTTATGATATTACTCAGATGAATAACTTCAATCCGTGATTTATAGTCTTAGAATTTCGCAATGTTTATGGAAATTTCCATTTTAAATATTATTATTTCTATTTGATCTCTTACTAATTAAAACTTAAAATAATGATAAAAAGTTTATGGTAAACGATAAATTGACAAAAGAGGAAACAATTCTATCTATAACAAATTCACCCGTTAGTCTGCATTTAATTAATTCTTAATTTACCACATAAGTTGAAGATTGACATTGTACATATTGCAAGAAGCTGATAAGCCTATACACTTTTTTATTATGATTATTATACATTTCAAACCATTTAAGGAAATTAAAGATGTTGCTATATAAAAACGGATATTGAATTTTGTCTTGTGAACATTACAGAATAAGATAAATGCATCTAAATACCTTTAACAAGATATATTTTAATTAAGTTAATCATTTATGGGAAGATTGATCAGCTCCCTCTAGTCTAGTTCGAGACTTCAAACTTTTCCGACTTTGGAGAAAGAGTGAAACATGGAAATGAACGGCTTAATACTCATCTTGTTTATCTATACAGCATTATCATTAACTACTAGCAGATTTATTAAAGAAGCTGGTAAGAGATCATTTATATTACAATTAAAACAAATTACGTAGTTTTATATGTAAGAAAACCTTTATAAATTAGTTACTATTTTACATTGTTTTATTACTTCCGCCCTTCTATTCGTGTATTTTTTTATACATATATATATATATAATAATAATTATGTCGATATAAAAAAATTACAATTATTCATTAAATGCGCGTGTATTCACTTATAACGATTTTATCGAGCTAATGACGTACTTTCTCCGATAATCCGTATGTTAAGAAAGGCAATACAGTGTTAAGTAAAAGGTTATTTTTATTTCATCATTTCTCTCAATATCTCTTATGTATTATGTTTAATAATATGAAAAAAATTAGCTATCTCTTTGTTCTTTAATTATAAAATCGAATTGACTTATACGACTTAATAGCTCTCTCTATTTTTAACTCTTCGCTTCGTCAAGAACTTCTATTTCATTTCCGTTAAATTGTTATTCTTCCGCGAAGAATCGACTTATTTTTCTTCTTTTGGTGGCAATCTTTCCCTTTTTAGATTATGTTGTTTTTTTTTTTTACTTCGATTTCTTAATAAAAAACCGATATGGTTCTTCGAGAGATGGCACCACTTTGGAAAGAGCGTTTCGAGTCAGGCAGAAGTTATTTAACTAGAAAGCGCCTGCATTGAAAAGAGGCTTATTTTTAGCGCTTAGCACAGACTAGTATAGCTATACAGTAAAGAATAAAATGGCTCAAAAAAAGAGCGCTTCGTTTATGGAAAAACTGCAAAAATTCACAAGACCAAGTCAAAGTTCCAAGAAAAAGCAACCTCAAACAGCACCTCCTAAGAGTAAAGAACCCGTTAAGGTCATTAATAGAATTCTTCAAACGCCTGTCAGGAAGAAAGAAGAAGAAAGACCGAAGTTTGGTGTTGAAACGCCCAAAGTTCGGCCAAATGAGAAAACTAACATTTTTACGATGCCTGCTTCTGCTGCCAATACTCGTCATCCTCCCCCTCCTCCCCCTCTGCACCCACCACCATCATTTCAAAGGTTAGAAACTCCAAAACAACACGAGATAGATGAGGATGAGTTTAGATTGAAAGCTTTAATTGCCGAAAGTATTTTACACGGAAAGCATGATGGTCTCTCAGAAGAACAAATAAAGGAGTACCAAGGTAAAGAAAAATATTCCGTAGTCCTATATAGAATAGCAGGTATTACCTACACACTTATGAACAGAAGCGTTTGCTGTATTCGATAAGGACCAAGATGGGATAATAACGAAAGAAGAATTAGGTCACGTACTGTTTGCAATAGGTCAGAGACCAACTATGAAGCAAATAGAACACGTACTGCAAAGGGTTAGTGGAGGTGCACCCGGTGTAACTTTTGATCAATTTGTAGCCCTAATGAACCAAGGCTCAGATGATTATGATGGAGAGCTAAGGCAAGTTTTTAGTGTTTTCGATTTAAATTCGGATGGAGTATTAAGCACAGACGAGGTTTATCACGTAATGGCCCAATTAAGTGATAAAATTAAATATGAAGAAGTTAAAGAAATGGTTCAAGAAGCTGACAGTAACGGTGATGGATATGTCGATTTTAGCGAATTCAAAACCATACTTCAAGCTAAATAAAAACATTTTTTTCCACACTAGTCGAATTATATAGCCACAGTAAGAAAAAAATAAGAATAATAAACAATAAATGAGAGAATACTCTAGTTTAAAATAAGAAAAAAACCTTCCTTCCGGTTCCTGTTTTTAGAACTGGGGAAAAAAAAACGTTGTAATAAAAACAAAACGACAATTTCCTTTTTTGGAGATAATTGTAATATATTTATTGTTAAATATAATAACGTTCTAAAGGAATATCATGATCATTTATTAACTTATTCTCAAGATGTTAAATTTTCATTCTTTTATCATTCCTAATCAAGTTCAATCCTTATTCAACTAATCTTTGATATCCCCGTAATATCTCCAACTATAAAATAGGTATTCAGCTATTTTAGCTATAGTAATAAATAATTTGTATATAAAAGTGGAATTTAACCAAAACAAAATTAGTCCTATATACTTAACGTTCTTGCTCGACTTGTTATACTTTAGGCCTAATATGAGTCATATTTAGGTAGCACATAGCAAACTTTTTGAAGCATTTTTGGGTTTTCAAAGTCACATGACGACCCTTATGTTATAGTTAGCCGTACGACACTATATAAAGCCGGTAAAACTACAAACTGCTTATTAAGAGACACTAGAGTATCTTTGCAAAAAATTACCACTTTGGCATCCGAAAAAATAAGTAAATAACTAACAAAACATGGACCGCAAAGATGGTAGTAATCATAAGGAGACAAGTGAAATCTGGAAACAAAATGAAAAACAGACTGATCAGGAGAAATCGACTGCATTCGGTAATATGCTTGAGAGAAGCCTAAATGCAACTTATTTATCAATGGGTCTTACTCTCGGTGGTGAATTAGGCCTATTTGATAGAATTTTAGAGCAAGATAGTTTAACTTGCCAAGAACTTGCAGAGAAGAGTCAAACTAAGCAGTGTTTTGTAAATGAGTGGCTAGGTTTGATGGTATCATCGGGAATTATTGACTGTATTCCAGATTCTGACCCAGAGAGATATTTCATTGCCGATTATAAGAAATCATCACTTCAAGGACAGTATAGCTGGTTGGCCTGGGCAAAAGAATTGTCAGGTTACTTTAAGACATATGACACTGTTTCCCAGTGTTTCAAATTGAGCGGACCTAGAGGAGTTGATAGAAATCAATTGGATGCATTCTATGATTTTTACGAAAATATGGACAAGGAATCGGCCGACAAATGGTCGGAAATGAAATCAACTTTTGCCCAAATTCCAGGTAATAGTCCGAAAATGACTTAATTAACATTTTAATTAATAAATAACCGATATTTGTTTATTTACCTGCTTTTTTTCTTTAGGTCTAATTCAAAATTTTGAAAACGGTATTGAAGCTTTGGACGTTGGTTGTGGCGGAGGCAATATTTTTATATCTTTGGCTTTACAATTCCCAAAATCTACTTTTTACGGAGTTGAAATATCTGAAAAAGCTCTTCAAGTAGCTAGAAAGAATGCAGAGAATTGCGGTGTAAAAAATATTAAATTTATAGTTGCCGACGCCACTAATTTACCAAAGGAATGGACAGGAAAATTTAAATATGTTCACACATCTCACGTTCATCACGATTCGTCTAGACCGAGAAAAGTGACATCAGAAATCTTTCGGGTATTAGCTAGTAAAGGGTCTTTGAGTATATTTGAAAATGGTACAAATGGTAGACACGGAGATAAATCTTCTGATCCCAATTACCTTATGGGTTACTTTATATCAACTTTCGCTTGCGTACCAAATGCAACATACGATGAAAAAGCTGAGGAACCTCTAGGTGTTTACGTTTCGAAGAGAACTATCATAAAAATGATGGAAGATTGCGGCTTTTCAGCAAGTGTCGTCGGAGGAGAGGATAAGTCAATTGAATCTCCAGTACATAATCACGGATCAACTATTTTACACTATCATGGATTGAAGAATTAATAGTTTTTGTCCTATTGAAGAGCTATAATTGTCTTTCTTAACATATATTTGTTTGTCACATACTTAGGGTTAATAATACAGCATTCCAAAACATTTCTTAGGTGTACTCCAAAACTTTAAGTCAAAAACATTAACTTTACCTTCTTATAATATTGCTATTTCTCTTAGTGAAAAGTTCGCTACACATGAATATTCCATGCCACTTGTTTGGAAGAAAGAATCAAACAATAGTATGGAAGGAGTTTGAGAATAATGAATATACAGATATTGTCAATATGGAAAGGTTGGAATTCCTTTCGAATAATAAAACATTAAGGATATATGACGTTAATCTAATGGACCATAATCGGTGTTTCTTCTGTTCGTACAAAGATTCGCCATCTGCTCATGAATGTTCTAAATGCATCTACGTTGGTCTTTTTGGTCCTATGACTTGGATAAGAAAATACAAGGAAACTTTATTGGTGAAAGATATAGGATCCAATTTCAGATTAAAGTGTCCCACGATCGATATTAAAGATAAGCGCAAAGTTTGTGTATCGTGGTATTTTAATGACAAACTATTAAAGGCAAATCGAAAGGGTATCGTCAAACAATTTAAAGGTAGAGTAAGAATTAGGCGAAATGGTTTATTCTTTAAAAGAATCTCAGAGGAAATAAATGGTCAATTTAAATGTAAAGCTGTGGATAAAATTGAAAGAGTAAGATCCGTTAATGTATTTAATATAATAGTTCCAGAGAGACTTGATAAGAAACCATTTTTTGATTATGTTAGTAATAATGTAACAGTTTCTGTTGGTGAAACTGTTAATTTGGAAATCAGTGTCGAATCAACATTACATCCACTAATATTATGGTTTCACAATCCCAAATCGAATAAATATTCAATCGAAAACGCTTTCAAAATGAACAACATGGAAGAGAGACATCCTCAACAACATATCATTGAGAATGTTACTCAAAAAGATGCCGGTGTTTATGTTATTACTGCTTCAAATTATTTTGGTACATCAGTGGCAAAAATATTTGTTGACGTCATTGATGTTGGAAAAAACGTTGGTCAATACAGTGCTCGAAAAAGTGAAGGTTGCCAAATCAAGTCAATCTCAATATTGCTGTTAAGTCTCCTATCGACTATTTCTATTAACTTGAATATTCGTCCATATATAATAACAATTGCCGAAAAAGTTGTTCAATAATACATTTACATTGAATTTAAATATTTTATAAAAACTTAAATATTCAAGAAAATAATCTAAAAATAGGCAAAAATTGTTTTTTCAAAGAAAAAACAAATAATTTTGTTTCTTTTTTCGAGTTAGACGTTGGTTACATAACATATTTTTTCTTTTTCATTTTAATATTTATAGTACATTTTTCTAGATAATTTTTTATGGTTATAAATATATAAATAGTAAATTGTAGTATTCGCACGGATTTTGAAGGAGGAAAATTTGGGAAAAACATAAACACCCTTTCAGTTTTAATCAAGTAGATGGTGATACAGCCAGTTTCTTCAAGTGATCCATGAACACTTGCAAGCTAACATCGTCGGTTAAAACGTGACCTCCATCCTACAAAAATATTAGATATATTTATTTTCCTATATACTGTAGAAATTTTTTATTTTAACTGACCTGCCATCCATACATGTTGTTATGCGTCTTTGATGGGTTTACTTTTGACAACAGAAATCTTGATTGGGAACCTCCCGCTTCGGTGTCAATATATCGCGGCATGGGGAAACGAGTTTGTAGGATTTCCTGAGCATCATCCACCGGAGCTCTTAATAATTGTTTAAAATTGTCGTATTCAGCATTTTCCTGGTAATTAGCTTTCCTCCACGCATGGATTGTTTCACCATGATATATCAGTAATTGAAAGAAAGTATCCATTAATAGGATACGGTCGGGAGCTATAGATTGTGTGTCTAGTAGGACCGGTTCAGGTGGTCCGTTAAAAGAGTAAGCGTAAAGTATAGGTTGAATCATAGTCAAACTCTGTGCCGTGTCCTCAACTAGCAAGCAGTGCCTGTAGTAAGAAGTCTCATCAGGCGAATTGTTAAACACTTGTAAGAATTGCGATCTTCTCAGATGAAACATAAATTGAGGATAGAGAGTGAATGAGGTTGGCAATTGGAAACTGGATGGATCATCTTTATTAAACTGTCCAAAGCGTTGACATAACCGAATTAAAGTTCTGTCAACCCATCTTAAGACATCTGCTGCATCATCCTGCTGTCCTCTATAAACTGAGCATCGGGCCATCAATACGGCTGCAGCTTCCTGATCGAAACCTGATACAAGGTGAGTTGGATTGGCATTGGTATCAACCCAATTTCTTGAAATTGTCGTTACTCTCACTCTTTTTTGACCACTCGAGTGTTGATATTGCGTTACAAACTGAATATATCCTCTTCCACCTTGAGGTATCGGAGTGTTATGTTGAGTGACAACATCAAAATAAAAGGCATAGGTAAAGTTCGGATATATGGATCCCATTCGCCATTGAGTAGTACCGCCCAATCCTATTTCGTTCTCCGAAACGTTATTTCCTGGTATTTTAGATGATGTACAAGTTCCAATGCATCCTTGAACTTTCAATTCTTTTGATGTTTTTATATCAATAGTTGTACTAAAGGCCATTTTTAAATCATTCTTTGAATCTTTTGTAAATACTCGCTGAAAGGATTGTTGGAAAAGCGATGTTGCGAAAGAGTCACCCATAACCATATGGCCTCCTGTTGAATTAGCTAAACTTTTCATTTCTAAGAGACCAGTTTGGTCGAGAGCACAGCTATATATATCAACGCAATGACCGTTTGTAGCAGCTCTTTGAGCCAAAGCTTCATAATGTTTCATTGCTTTTCTCATAAATTTTGCGCTGTCTTTTTCTATATCGTGATGGGATCTTATCGGATGTTTAAGTTCATCGTCTACCACAGCACCAGGTCCTTGAGTGCAAGGTCCACCAGCAAAAAGCATGATTCTTGCTCCCGTGTTTGGATAGGTACATTCTAATAGACCAATGGCGATTGAAAGTGCAGCACCAATACACCTTAAAGGTCTTTTCCCTTGTGAAACGGGCCAAGGATCTCGTTGCAATTGACCAAGCATATCAGTTAAGGTAATATCGACCTTATGAACAGGTTGAATGAATTGATTTGCTGGTAGTTGAGGGGACATTGATTGTTGTTGGTCTGCTCCATGAGATTTAGAGATTCCAGCTCTTCCCAGTCCCAACATATCCTGTATTTGTTTGGGGGATAATTCTTTTGTTCCTCGGAAAACATAACTCTTCGAGAATCCTTCAGGGGCAGCTAATTCATGGACTTGAACCATTTTACCATAAGTTATCAGACCTATTAGAGCATTTGGTGGTAATAGTGACAGCGACATTTGTAAAGACTCTCTCACAGCCTGTAAGTCACTTTCATCTAGACAAGTATCTAATACAATGAGATATACTGGAGGGTGACTGGGCGTCCTCTGAAATAGACTAACTGTAACTATGTACAAGTGCTACTGTTTGAAAGTTACCGTCAATGTATATTCCAGTGTTGTGTATTGTGGTATTAATTCAGCCGGCTGATACTGTTCTGTTATACTTCCATATTGAGGAGGAAACTGATTAACATGTAATTTTCATTTAAAATCTATTAATAATATAGAATGCAATATTATCGTACCGCATTTCTTTGCATGCAAAAGTTACATGTCCAGGCTTTATTCCTATAGTCAATAAGGCTGAAGGAAAATACTTTTAGTACAAATATACAATCTGGTTGACTGACCTACCAATATGGATTCAGCACTGCTTTGCATTGTTGTCTACTGCAAAGCACAGGATCGTATTGGATAGGTGGCAAGTCCTGTCGCTCTTTTAAAGGTGTATATAAACAACCCAGAGGAACGACCATCCTGGTTGCCTCCAATCTGCTGGAAGGCCACAGATTCCAGCTTAGTCTAACCCCATCTCGATCTTCATTGGTTTGAATAAACTCCTGATAACCAGACATCTCTGTAGTATGAAAAATGACCGAATGTTGTAATACTACTTTATATAATCAACGATTTGGTCAAAACGAACACGTCGGCTACAAACACAAAGCGGAACCAGTATTTATATCAATTATATTCGTATTTTTATTATTATAACATTACGTTTTAACATTACTGAAAAATTTAAAAATCATTAACTTAAATGCATAATATTAAATGAATTTCAGATTTATACGAAACTAACGTTTAGTATACATACTCCTTTGTAAAATATTTGCGGTATTTTTACTCGATATTTCTGTCACGCTGAATAAAAATATGGCTCCAACTGTTCAATCGGCTCAGAGGGATGATCCTCGGAGGCGTACAGGAGAGAAAAGGTAAGCTGCACTCTGTGCATTTATTAAGTGTGAGCGATATTGGAGAAAAATATAGATATATCATTTTTTTGACAACGTTTTTCACTCTTTTTTATCAATTTATTGAACACTATATGTTCATTTTTCAGATCGGATCTTGTTTGTCGTATCAAATACAATAATAAAGCACCCGATATACCTTTTGATCCAAAATTCTTGGTATATCCGATTGATAGGAATCACTTTGTCCATTACAAACCAACTTCTTTGGAGAGGACGCACAAAAGCGAACTCTTGACAGAACCAGATCTTGGAATGAACATAGATTTGATAAATCCGGATGCCTACAATCCACCACTGACAGGTTAGGTGCTCTTCTTTGTTTAATTATCACTGTCAATTTATCATTCATAGGAGGTATCTTGGATCCTGAGGATGAACAGCTTTTGGAGGAAGAATTAATAACCGCTCAAGACGCAAAACGTTCCCAAAGACATAATAGAAATGTATCTTGGCTTAGGAAAACGGAATATATTTCTACAGAATATAACAGGTTTGTTCAAAAGAGTGGGCATGAAGCTAGAGTAGGACATAATGTCAAGCAATATCTGGCTGAAGAAAACTTATACAAGGATAAAGAGGAACAAATTAAGGCAATTGAAAAAACTTTCAATGCTGCTCAGGCTCCAGTTAGTTTCCTTTATACTTTTCTTATGAAGAAAAGAAATAACTGGTTAAAAAACATTTTTAGATTACCGAACACTATAGTAAGAAGGGTGTCCATCCAGTTAGCATTCTGCCGGTCTATCCAGATTTCGATGTAAGATACGCAACAAATTTCAAAAAATATTTTTTAAATTTACATATTTAATTATTATATAGATGTGGAAATATCCATGCGCCCAAGTTATATTTGACACTGATCCTGCTATTAAACAAGCGGGAACCAGTAATCAACTTGAAAGTGATGAAATGTCGAACGCTATGATTAGGTTTGTTATTAAATACAACTAAGGAGAAATTTGATTAAAGTTGATTAATTAAAAAACAGAGGTATGGTAGATGCTGAAACAGGAGAACATTTTGTTGCCTACTTTTTACCTACGGAAGAAACTTGTCGAAAGAGAAAGATAGACAATGAAAATGGTGTTGATTATGATCCAGAAGAAGAGTAAGATTATCACCATGATGGTTTACAAAAAAGCTAATAATTGATTATTGTTTCGTAGATATGATTATGGACTGATAAGGGAGTATAATTGGACTGTAAAGAATAAGATGACTAAAGGATACGAAGAAACGTACTTTTTCGTTATGAGAGAAGATGGAGTATATTATAACGAATTAGAAACTAGGTAATTTACGAAAAAGTGTTACTATTGTTTTTAATTCAAGAGTTTTTCTCTAGAGTACGCTTGAGTAAGAGACGTAAGATTGGACCAAGTGCACAACAGACGTGCAAGTCAAGATTAATTGTCAAACACCGTCCACCAAATGACAACGAAATCGAGGCTCAGGATAATCGTCTTCAAATGCTTGAGCCGCCTGTTGAAGAAGAAGAAGAAGCAGAAGAACCAAACGATGAAGATGCAGAACCGGAGGAAGAAGAAGAAAGAGAAATTGAAGGTGATAACGATGCCGAAAATGACCGCATTTCTCAAAGATCTCCCAATTCTCCACAATCTGAAAGTTCGGAGAAATCAGGTCCAAAATCCCCTGCTTCTTCTTCCCAGTCAGGAAGTGGAAGCGAAAGTGGAAGCGAAAGCGATAGTAGCAGTAGCGAGGACAATGATTAAGCCTTACCTTATAAAATTAACGATGTACATATTTATAGCTTTTTTTTTTTTTAAATTTTATGTTACTTGTTTGCATTTGACGAATATTATATACATATATATGTATATATAGTTTTACAATTAAGACTCTAAGAGCATTTGAAAGTTTTTTTTCTAACTATGGTATTGCGATTAGAAGTTTTATCTCTAACCAAACGATAAAGCATGTTTTTTATTTTTTTCCAGTTCCAACTGTCTTCTTAAGCAAAGGTTCTTGGATTCTGCAATTATCCTTTTACTTTTTTCTGTAGTCTAAAATTAAATGTACTACAATTTAAAAATCTTGATATTGAAATTAAGAAACACAACCAATTTTCCTTTTATTTTTGATAATTCTTCGTCCTGTCTTCTTAACTTATACTTCAGCTTTAAAATGACATTTTCCAAGCTAGAATCGTCCTTATAATAATTTAAATAGAGCTTTTTAACGTATCCTCTATACCAAGAAACTTCTTGTCGACATTGTGGACATATTCTTTTAGTCGAAAACCTAGTTTGTAAATGTTTTAATGGAGGCATTTTTAATAATTTTTTCTAACAAACCACTCTTCTAGACATGATTTATGAAATACGTGTCCACAATACGTCACAGACAATTCTGAGCAATCCTTAAAAATGTCTAAACAAATTGTACAAGCGGCGTTTTTCATTCTTAGAAAATCTTCCTTTTATGAGAATTGCTTTACGCAGTGAGCAAATTAATACTATTTTTTTTTTACTACCGGAAACGGAATATCTATAATTGGCGCATATACAATAACTTCAACTAAAACTTGTGTATTACTGTATTTTTTTTACTAAGTATGTTATTCAAATAGAAATAACAAAATACGTTGTTTAATTTTATTTGAGCAATAGAGTCTTTACAAAAAAAAGAAGACATATAATAGTTCTACAATCGAGACAGATAATTTAAGTCTTGATGGCTATCACAGACGTAACAAAAGAGTACGAGATATATATATATACGGTAAAAAAAATTACTTTTCATCTATAAAACTACTGACGATTCCTAAAATCGAAATTATCTGCATCGCCAAACGAAAACACTGTTTAAAAGAGAATATATTAGTATAAAGATTATATAATAGAAAAATATTTATCTTACCATGAGTCATCACCTCCAGTACTAACTAAGTAACGATCATCGTGGGTAAACCAAACGTTGGTGACATGAGCCGAATGACCCGTATAAGTTTGATGAGGACTCTAAAAAAAAAAAAGCGGGAGAAGGTAAGAGAAAAATATAGTATTTATTATTAGGTCAAAAAAAAAAAAAAGACAAATTTATGGAACAGAAAATTTGCTACAAAGTAAGATCTAAAGAACATTTTATAGATAAAATATATAAACGAAATAGAACAGCTTTGTGGGGAATCTTACCTGAGTCTTTAAGTGGAGAATTTTTTTAAATTTGTGTAAAAAAAGATAAAAAATCAATGAGTTAGTCACAAAATCATGCAGTAAATGAACAGATAAGTTTAAAATCAGATTATTACTATAGAACTGTTTAGTAAACTTACGTATTTTTCAGAGCAAGGAAAGTTGAATAGTTTGACCAATCCGTTATCGTCTCCTGTAGCAACTGCATTACCTCCATTAGAAACATGACAGCAATTAACTTCGGCCTTTTCAGCTCCTCTTGGCCAAATACCAACAACTTCAGCACCGAGGATGCTCTTCCAAGAATACCAAGTAATTTTATCGATTCGACTGGAGTCTTTGACCTCTTTTCCAGTTTTTACATCAAATACTCTGTTAATATATTGGCCAGTAGCCGCCCTGATAAATAGACTATCAGCAGAAAAATCCAGTATGTAAATTGGAGATTGCAAAGTGCAAAATGTTATCTTTCTGACATCTTCCAATCGTTCGGTAACATCGTAGATGTCAACGTAACCATCCTCAGAAGCAACAGCCAGCCTAGAACTATCCGGGCTGAATCTTATATCATTAATGGTTCTACCTCGATCGCGTTTTTGTCCAACAATGGAAAATGTCTCGGTGGTAATTAAGAGGAAACCACCGTTCTTCAACCCGCAAGAAATTAAGCGGCCGTTGGGTGCAATATGAGCAGATCTGGCTGGGCCTGTTGTCAGTTTTCCCAATTGGGTATGGTTGTCAATATCCCAGAGGCGGAGAGTTCCATCATCCGATCCTGTCACGAATTTGTGCAAATTTGGATGCACTGCGAGACCCCATAGTTCACCTTCTCCGTGCCCACAAGGTAAACTTCTGCACTCTCCTGTCTTCTCATTAATTTCAACAAATTCCGAGTCCTTGGTTCCTACAACTATTTTTCCTTTTTGCCTGCAGACTGTTTTGACAACGACTACTTTTGAATCAAATGGCAAATGGAATGGTTTGTTCTTTCTCATTTCCTGATCCCACAGTTTCACAGGAGCTGAGTCCTTTGATCGTATCTCCTTTGCCCCTGTCACGATCAGACCATCGCGTAGCGTTGTATACATGGAGAATATAGGACCAGAGTGAGCCTTTACAACAACTCTTTCCAGCTTCTGACCCCTCCAGACAAAAATATCTCCGTTCATTGCTCCTGTATAAGTCATATCATTTGAACCAAAAGCAACTGAGAGCATTGTTTGCATCTTTTGCTCCGATTTCAGAATGGCCTTCTTTCCAACTAGTTGACTTCCAGCTAGAGTCCAAAACTTCAAATGTTTGACACCAACTGTAACAAATGTCGAATCCGAGTCGGGTCGGAAAGCGCAATGAAATATTCTGGGCGTTGTTTCTGAGAAGGATGCCGCCTCACTTCCGTCTTGCCATCGATAAACAATAATTGTTCTTTCATTATCCAATCCAACCGAGGCTAATAATTTACCACTTGCCGAAAAGCTTAATGAACAAATACCTTTCTTGTGTTTGCCTCTGAGAACACTAAGTGTCTTCAGAGTATTTGAATTCCATACGTTTATTTCTGGTTCATTTCCGATTTGACCAGTTGCGACGATACCTTTGAATTTTGGATGTTCATTAATTGCCAAACAGATGATATCGTCTGTATGTTCTGTATAAAATGATTGTTGACCACTGGCTGTATTGTGAACAATTCCTGCTCCCGCAGCGTGATAGACAACGTCGTTACCGTCATGAGTATAGAAGAGATTATTACGAGTATCCCATCCTCTATAACCAAATATATGCTCCAGTGTAAGATTCTGTAAACAGAGATATTAAGAACGAAATAATAATAAAGAATAGATTATTATTACCGTCACATGGGAAGGTCTCTTCTTCTTTGAGTCATTATTCTTCAGGGCGACTCTCTTTTTATTTTTAGTCGCTCTACTAACTTCTTGACCGTGCTCTTCGTATTCCTGTTCTTGAGGTTTCGTTCCAGACAGGTTTTGCCTAATAGGATTAGCATAAGTTTTCGATGTATAATCGATATTCTTTTCTCGGGCCACATCGCTATCATAGCCTTCCTCTTCTTCATCCGTATCGCTATCGTCAGAAGCGCCACAATCGTTACCTCTGTCCTTCTGGCTCCATACCATAATGCTTGTATCGCCACCCCCAGTGGATACTAATAAATCGTCATTGCAGGTCCAACGTACATTAGTCACATGGGCACTATGACCGGCGTACTTTTTAAATTTGGCAAACTTTCCATTACAAGGAAAGTGAAAAAGTTTTACATATCCAAAATCATCTCCAGTTGCTAAGATTTTACCATCACTAGAAAGAGAAGAGGCATTTACATCCGTAACATCAGCTCCAGGTGGCCATATTCCCTCACACATGGTACCCAAGACAGCTGTCCAAGAATTCCATTTCAATTTCAATACCTCTTCGCTTCTTAGAGTTTGTCGTTTTCCTCTGGGTGCCTCAAAGAACAGTTGTTCCTTAGCCCCTGTATTAACCATCAATAGCTTTCCCCTTGAATCCCAATCAACGTGAGTAATGTAGCTGGAAGCTCCCTTGCAAACGCCGACTCTTTTCGAACTGAGAACGTTGTAAATATCAACGTTATTATCATGGCTAGCGACAGCCAGATATTTGCCAGGATCAGGAGAAAATTTTATATCTGAAATATCTTGCTTTCTGTGATGGAATGTAACGATATCGTCTAATGAATCGCTATTCATTACGGTGAATGACCCATTTTTCATTCCTACTGCTATAGCTTTGCCGTCTGGGGAGAAACAAACAGCTCTAGCTGTTTGTTTCAAGACACGGCAATTGACCATACGATTCGCTTTCAAATCCCATAGCCGAACCGTTCTATCATCAGATACGGTTGCTGCGTAAAGTCCGTTTGGATGAGTTGCAAGGCCCCAGAGTTCACCCTCACCGTGACCTTGAATCAAAACTTGCATATTGCCTGATTTGTCTATTTCAACCAATTCGCCATTCTTAGTCCCAGCAATAAGATAACCATGGCCAAGAACAACCGCTCTAACAGCTGGATGCTCAAAAACAAAGGTACCTCTGGAACCTGGAGCCAGAGATGACCTCTTTAGCGAATAAGTTTTCAGGCATCTCTCGAAAGACTCATCCCACAGAGCTATAACACCGTCCTTACCACCAGTGACAAATCCCTTTTCCAACCCATGCATCGCAAGTACTGGACCTTCGTGAGCTTTAACGACTTTTTTAAGACTTGTTCCCGCCCAAATGTAAACTTGGCCGTTACCCCCGCCGGTAAACACTATCTCGGGCGTCTTACCGAAAGCGGCACACATCATACTATCTAATTTTCCAACATTACCAAATGTACCTCTAGAGGAAGTGAAACCGCTTCCCGCTTGAGTCCAAAATTTGATATGCTTCATACCAACGGTTATTAGCTTTCCCTCCTCATGGGGATTCCATTTAATAGTGAATATTTTGTCTTTGTGACCTCGGGTAGATGCCAATTTTTCACCTTTTTTCCAATCCGATATAACAATCATATGGCTGTCGTCCAGGCCAACAGTTGCCAATAGACGACCGTTCGTAGAAAAATCTACAGCGCAGACTCCTCTTTCGTGTATACCTTTTAAAATAGAAAGTGTAGCTCTAGTGGACGCATCCCAAATGTGAGTTGCAGCATCTTTTCCAACTTGGCCTGTTGCCACGATATCTTTCGTTGGATGAACTGACAAGCAAAGAATGTCGTCTGTATGTTCTGCATAGAATTTTTGTGAATGCTTTTCTCGGTTATAAATAACAGCAACTGCTGCTACATGATAAATTATTTCTCCACTCTGCAGGTAGAAAACATTATTTCTGCAATCAAAACCTCTATAACCATGAACGAAGTGCAATTGAACTCCATCTGACGGTGCTCTTCCTCTCTTTTGTCCAGCACCTAGCTCTTTCTTCATACTGGCTTTTAAAGAGGCAATATCGTCTTTAGATATAATTCTGTCGTAATTTTGCTGCCTCTCCGATTCTATATCCGAGTCAATTTCGGCAACATCTGATAAATCTGAATCAGAATCTTCCGAATTTGAATCAGCATAAGCATTCTGGTTTGAAAGATCATCTTCTTCATCCGCAATACCTTCAGGCAAAAATTTCCATTGAAAGATTGCATGATCTCCCCCTCCAGTTGTAATTACTCTTGATTTATCAGACGAAAAACGGCAATTGGTCACATGGGCTGAATGTCCAACGTATTTTCGGAATTTGGCCCCTTTTTTTAGGGACGGAAAGCGGAACAATTTTACCATTCCAAAATCATCTCCTGTAACGATACATTCCGTTCCAAAGTGAGCGTCCGTTGCGTTGATGTCATTGGTATCTGTATACTTTTCCCATATACCATTCGCTTCTGGACCTAAAACTCCTGTCCAGGTAGCCCATCGAATAGTTCTTATTTCTTCGGCATTGGTAACTTGTTTTCCAGCTGGTATTCTAAAAAATAGTCGTTCAGCTGCTCCGCTATTAGTTTGAATATATTTAGAATCTTCGCTCCAGTCTAAATGAGTTATAAAACTAGAACTTCCTGAGCATTGACCAACTCTTTTAAATCTTTGATTTACAGCATAAATATCAACAAAGTTGTCATTGGATCCTACAGCTAGGAAAGCTCCATCCGGTGAAAATTTTAATTCATGAACTACTTCTTGTCTGTCCTTTGTATGAATTACTTGACTTAAATCTCTGAAATATCAAATATAATTGTTAAGGGGAAACGCCTATCAGTTTGGTTTCTTACTTTGTTCGCAGCACCATAAAGGAACCATCCATCAATCCTGCCGCAATAAGTGTACCATCATTGTTAAAACCACAGCTTCTTATTGGATGATCCAGAGTAGTCTGATTTAGGATTTGATTACCCTGAATATTCCAAATTCGAAGCGTATGATCGTCACTTGCGGAGGCAAAAATAGGTTTTATAGGATGAACCGATAAACCCCATAATTCACCTTCAGCGTGACCGAGCATTATTGGCTTAGGCCTATCTTTTTCTGATAACCCAATTTCGAATATTTGACTGTCTTGAGTGCCTGCTAACACTTTATCTCCTCTCCAACAAACACTTCTAACAACAAGTTTTTGCTCTGAGCTTAATGTCGTTGTCTTAATAGGCTTGAAATCATTGTCCCACAACTTGACAGTTCCATCTTTACCACCAGATGCAAATCCATCAGGAGATGCTTCCATTGTGTGAACAGCTCCCTTATGAGCATTTCTAACTACACTCGATAAATTATTTCCTTTCCATACATAGATATCCCCATTCAATGTTCCAGCGTAGGTGATACCGTCAGCGCCAAATGCTACACAAAGCATTGTCTGAATCTCACCAGTCTTTCCGAAAACCCCTTTTTTTGCATTCAGAGTATTCCCTGAAACTGTCCAAAACTTAATGTGCTTCACTCCGCAAGAGACAATAGAATCAGCTTCATGTGGAGAGAATTGAATGTCCATTATTCGGTCAGAATGACCTCTTACAGTTGCGAGAACTCTGCCTTTCCTCCATTCCCAGACATTTATGGTTGAATGTGTGTCAAGGCCTACTGAGACGAGTCTCTAATAAATACAAGTACACAATTTTCAATAAAATACCACTATGGGGTAATAAAATATTTTACTATAAAGAACTAACATTTCCGTTACTATCAAATCCTAAAGCACCAACTCCTTGCTTATGGCCTCCCTTTAATATGGATACTGTCTGTACTGTCATTGAGTCCCAAACACAAATATACGGTTCCTTACCAACTTGACCAGTTGCAATGAGCATCTTTTCTGGATGCAACGTGAGACTAAAAAATTAATAAAAAGCATGTTGAAGCATGTATATTTTTGCAAGTTTTTAGGCCTAGTACTTTATGGAGAAAAGTAAGATTCATTGATAATTTGTGGAATAATTAATAAATTCACCTTATTATATCGTCATCATGGCCTAAATAGAATTTTTGGCGATGCTCCCTAAGATTGTATACGATGCCGACACCCGCAACAAAGTAGACGGCTTCTTTAGCAGCATTATAATACAAATTATTTCTGCATTGATGTCCACGATATCCGTATACCCATTCTAATCTCAATTGGCTTTTGGGAGCCGTTTTAGTAGACATATTTACTTTTTTAATAAAAAACGTTTTCAATCTGATCTAATCCTATCCCGGGCTCCACTTGGCTGCTTTCCTCCGCTGCCAAGGTATTCGGATCACGTGACACAGGTAAAATAAACTGGACCCGTATTCTACACGCATCGAATTGGTGCTTTCCTATGATGCTTTTACTACGCCTGCGCAGTTTATATCACAAGCTTAAAAACAAGCAGACGATATCGAAAAAGAAGAAAAATTAGACTTATTAATTGTTTTTAAAACATTTAAATAACTTACGCCAGGTTTACCGAGAACAGCGCCAATGAGTGGTGGTATTGCACCAAGTAAAAGCACAGTTTATGCTTCAAATCTTCAATTTACCTTAACAAACAATGATCTTCACAAAGTATTTGAAAAATTCGGAAAAATCGTCAAGTAATATTTATATCATGACCTCTAACATCAATTATAAGTAAAACTTTTAACAGAGTAACTATAGTAAAAGATAAAGAAACACGAAAGAGTAAAGGTGTTGCCTTTGTTCAATTTCTGGATAAGTTTGATGCCACAAAGGCTATAGAATCTTTAAACGGAACAGATTTATTCGGTCGCAAACTTAAGTGCAGCATGGCGAAAGATAATGGAAGATCTACAGAATTTATCAAAAGAAGGCAATACACCGATAAATCTCGTTGTTATGAGTGCGGTGAAGAGGGTCATCTTAGGTATGATTAATAACAAACAACTATTTATCTAAATAACTCAAATAGAAGATTTTCAGCTACAAGTGCCCGTTAAATGCTCTAGGAGATAGACAAGCTCCGAAGAAGAAAGAGAGAAAGGAGAAGATGAGAAAGAGGAAATTTGAACCAAATGAAAGGAATGTCGACGAAGAGGAAGAGAATATAGAATCTGACGACAATGCAGAAGATCCTGCTCTTGAATCTTTAGCAGCTATAATATGGGAAGAAACTGATAGAAAAAATGTCTCTCATGATGGATCTAAGAAAAAGAGAGTATATAAAAAAAGTTCATATTTTAGTGACGAAGAAGAATTGGAGTAACTTTTTCCAACATTCTGTATATTTTTTATAAAAAACATGAAAACTACAAATCATTCCAATTCAATTATGTCCGGTGTACTTTTTGGTTTAGACAAGCTGAATGAGCTTACTTTTTTAACTTCTCGAGACGATTGTACAAACTTGTGACTTCCTCCAAGTCCGTTATAGCCTCTAGAAATTACTGGACCACTGTTTGTTTTTTTCCATTGGAACGTTTTTGAACGTTTTAAAATATTTAAATTTTTAAGAGCTGAACTATTAGAGGCTTTTGGAGATTTCTCTTTAGAAAGCAAAGCTAAACAATGACTAGGTAATTGGGGAGAAGACATGTTGTTATCAAGTTTTAATCTTTTTGTAATAACTTCTTCGTCGTCAGATAATTCTATCTCTTCAGTTTGAGATTGTAACGGTGCAGGAGATTCTTTTAACAGTCTATGTGCAAAACTACTACGGGTTTCTGTGGGAGAGTCTATAGCTTTTGATAAAGCCTCAGATTTTTTTTTGTAACTCTCCGCTCGTTCCTCAAGAGTCTTGGCATTTTCTTCTAAATCTTCTATTAGCTTTTTTGATTGGTCCAGCTAAAGAAAAATATCAATTTTTATATTATATTTATAAATTATATAATCACGCGACCTCCAATTGCTTTTGCCGTAAACTCTTTTTAGCATCTACAACTTCTCTTCTCATTTTTTCTAATTTGGCTGAAACTTCGCTGGATTTCTTACGCTTCATATTTAATTCTTTAGTTAACATTAGACACCAGCTCTTAAGCTCATCTTTGCCTTGGTTTTCGACTGAGAGAGCAATTTCTTTATCGGATTTAATACCGTCCAATATATTTGACACTTCAACCAGTTCTTTTAGTTTCCTCTTAACGTTTTTAAGTTCCTCCGTCATATGATAAGCCTTTACCTCACATTCTTGCAAAGATGCTACTTGATCTTTAAGGCATTGTCTTTTTTTTCTTTCTTCATCCAATATCCTTTCCAGACTTGCTATTCTGTCTTTATCTAATTGTCGATTGCTAATACTCTGTGTCTACAATTTCAAAAAGTGGCTATATATACCATATATGATATATAATATATAAAATATTTTGTAACTGACTAATTTCTCCTTTGCATCTTTCGCTTCTTTCTCTTTGCCTTTTAGCTGGGCTTTAACTGACGATAGTTGATTCTTTAAAGTCGCTTCATCAATTTCAGGTTCGGTTCCCAATTGGAAAAAGAGCTTTGGTATATAGCCACTATTTGACGGTATATTCTGCCGGCAATGAGGACAACTTCGTCTCCGTTCGAGCCTATTTTAATGAATTTTTGCAAACTATTAGTTATAAAGGCAACTTTACAAACCATTGCTCAAGACAGGTTGTATGAAAAACATGACCACATTTAGCGACAGCTATGTCAGTAAAATCATCATAAAAATCCGAGCAAATAACACAAACGGCGTTCTTCATAATAAAGCAGTATTTCAGTTAAAACATAATGTTTGAAAACAAAATCAAAATGTTCGGTGCCATTTTACATACTAGTTGGATAGGTGTCCAGTTCCACAGCGGAAGAAGAACCAGTCGGAAAAGAATTTAAAATTAAGAACTTTAATAATATTTATATTCTCTAGCCTGTGTTCTACTATTAATAATGCGAATATTTTTTTTATCAATTATCAATAACTAATAAATAAGCTATTTTATAAAAGTTTTTTTTTAAAAACATTAAAAATTTTCATCGTTAATAATAAAGAATATAAAACATTCATCATTATAAATAAAGCTAATATAAAAGATATATTTGTTTGAAACCGGTTCAAGTTAACCTGACGTATCTTTATCGAAAGGTAATGAAATACTAGAAGTACATGAGTTTGCGGAAAAGGTCGAAAAATGACTTCTTGGTTGTTGAGTTATTACGGATAATGAGTTTTTAGATAAGTTCTTCTGTCTCAATGGAGCGGGTAATTGTAAAAAGTTAGGGCTAGGAATTGGTTTTAGCTGAGATCTTTTTAATTTTTTGCCTAAAGTAGTTTGGGGAATTATACTGGATATAGGAAGTTGTAGTCGTTCTAAACGAGGTCGATCATCATTTATCACTAAAGCTCTTTTGCCAATATTCTTTTCCAGACTAAGGGAATTTATTCTCGTGGCAGGGGGCGCCAGAGTACCTAAAATAAGTGAAACTATTAGAAATTATAGTTAAGACTCTCGCTAGTTTCATTTGTATTACTTCTATATTCTTTCCACTTTTTATTATGATCAGTAGCTAATTTAATATGTTTAACCTTCTTTTTAGAAATGAACACATCTTCTCTGCTAAAAGTTGACAAACTATCTAAAGTATCATTAGAATCGGATAAAAATTCTGAAGAAATTTGAAGAGAATTGGATAAAAATTTCAGTTGATGCATCTCTTGATTAAGAGCGCAACAAGGGCAAAAACAATGAGTTAAGCAATCACCAAAATTAGACCCTGGAATACGGAACTCTTTGCGAATTTTTCGTCTAAGTGTTAACCCCATTAGCCAATGCATACAAACCACAGTGGCAGCGCAATACAGACAAGTAAATATATCTTTATATAGTACTTTTAAATAATTCATAGCAATTGCATTCATCACGTAAGTTCTGCAAGGAAATAGAACGGAAGATATAGGGCATTGTTCCATATCACAAAGATTTATACTCCAATCCGGTTTGTAAGATGTCTCGGGAAATTCACAGTATACAGTTGGTTTCCTAGTTAAGCGATTGTCTCTAAGAGATGTATAACATTTTTGAACAGCAGTGATAGGATATTGGTCTTTTTTATCCATGTATTTGATATAATTTTCGAATATAGTATGATCTTTTTTTACACGTAAACATTTACAAAACCATCATATTAAGATTGACTTGGAGTAATTACTATATATACAGGATATACATATATACTGTATTTCTTGTATATATAGAATTTTAATATAACACTTCAAACTACCTATTTATTATATATATATATATATATAAAAAAGGAATCAATTTAATGATATTCTATAAAAAGAAAGTAAAACAAATTTATTTATATAAAGAATCGTTTCGACTATTGAGATCGTTTTTTTTTTTTTTAACTCTCAGTTTATTTGATTATTTATCGACCCAATTTCTTAATTGACTTCGTTCCTGAAACAATTAAGTATTATATAAATTTTTTTGTTATTAGGGATATAAAAAATGACTTTTCGACCTGGATAAGCGCACAACAAGGGCACATAATATGTATGATTGTATCGCAGATGGGGTGACTTACAATACCATATTCAGCCCTTATTTCTCCTCGAGTTAAACAACCAGTTACCCAGTGTAAACAACATAGTCCCAGAAATGCGTAGAGTAAACAATTTGCCAGCATAAATTGTTCACCTTGTCTCATTTCTTCTACTATGAAACCATACATACAACAAGGGCAACAGTAGGCTACTAGACATTGTTTGGGCTCCCTTATCATATTTGGCCCGCATAAATCATTTTCCCAATCTTCATAAGGGAGAAAAGACATTGGTTGATTAGCGAAACCGACATTTGCGGAGGAATAAGGGTTTTGTCCATGAGTTTGAAATGCATTTGGTTGAGTTTGAATAGCATTTGAAATAGACGGAACACTAGCTGTTAAACTATCCATTGATTTTAATAGCGCAACATTCAGCTTTTATTCAAATTTTCAATTGATGTCATTGATTATTAATAATGGCGCGAGGAAATTACGTCAGAACAGTAAATTTCAAACAAAAACAAAGGATTGAATAGATATGACTTCGTGGCATTTGTGATATTTTCGGTGAGTTTCTAGTTTTTAATATAATAAACTCAGGTAGTTTAGGTGAATGAAATTATTTATGAAGAGATAACTGACAGAAATATAGGCCAATTTTTTAAAAATAAACTCTAGTAGATAGTATAAACCATGTTTAACGATAAGATTATATATTCTAAAAATAGAAATATATCATCATAGTAAAACAAGAAAAATAACACAAAAGAATGTTTCGTTTTATTATAAATGTAGAATTTATATGGAAAAAAATTGCCATTTGTAAATTTTCTTTAATTTCGTTCTTAAAAAATAAATATGATAAATTTTTTTCCAGACATTTGTATATCACTACTGTTTAACGTCGATTAGTTTACATTCAATTATTAAGATAACACCTTCCCTTGTTTGAGGGCGTTACTTCAACTATTAAGAACTAATAATCCTCTTTTTGTTAAGCTTTCTTTCACGAGGTTGAATACTCTTAATTGATCTTCTTCTCTTAGAGCGAGTATTTGTTGAATGATTTTAGCTGGTTGCGCTAGTCTGTAATATTGATAGATGTTGTTAACTCTTCTTACTTTTTTTTTTGTATACAAATAGGCTTTCTGTTTGCAAATCACATCAAATTCATTTATACTACAGCAATGCATGCCAAATTTACAATTATGGCAAAAAAAAAAGAAGAAAACAAAAAAAGAATAAAGAAAAGTTTAAGAAAAATGATTACGAGACAAACATGTACAAAGTATCACAGTTAATTGTTCAAAAATTGTCAATTATTACCATGCTGCGTTGTTTTCTATATATATATATATATATATATATATTTATTTATACAGTATATATATATATATATATATATATATATAAAATGTTCTGTACTCGAGCAAAACATTTTCGTTATGCCTTATTAATTTTAGTGTGGAACAAGACCCTTCCGTATCAGGTTGTCTTTTAACGTTTGATATAGTTCGATTTGGTCGGCGGAATTTAATTTGAGGATTGTTGAGAGTAACTTTGCCGGACCTACGGCTCTGAGAAAACATGCAAACAATTGTTAATAACTACAACAAAAAAAATTACAATGATTTAGCTTATTTTACTATAAACATCAAAATAATATAATACAAACATCAACTAAAATTATAGGAAATCGTGTGTTTTATACGATAGCTACTATTAAATAGGGGAAATTTTTTTTTTAACTTACTTTATAAAGCTCGAATGGTAAACATGAACAAAAGTTGCCATTAAAAATTGACAATCGAATCTGTCCATAATTCCTCCGTGGCCTGGGATTGTGTCACCAAAATCCTATAATTGAAAGAAAGAAAAAAAGAGATTAATTTAACTTATTAAGTTTAGCTTTATTATAAAGCTACAGTGCGTGTTATTTATTTATATGGCTTTTTGTTGATGTTGTTGTTATTTTTGTTTTTATACCTTAATTTTAAAAGCGCGTTTGAAACCGCTTGCAAAGAAACCACCAAAAGGACCAATAATTGATGCGAAAATCGAAAATGAGATAGAATGTAACATGAATGGGTACATTTTTACAGTTTCTAATTTCACCCCAACCTGAAGAGACATAAAAATGCACATTAATTGATTTTATCTAAAAATAGTGTATAGTAAAAGCTATTTATTTACCAGTCCGTATAAAGTCTGTAGTACTTTTGGAAGTGTATAATCCGTTAATTGGAAAACGGGTACTCTTTCGCAGTCCATACTTAAGGAATCTTTACTTTCGTTGTATTCAATTGGACAAATGAAATAATCGAATGATACGAGGCAATAAGATAACTGAAAAAAAAAAATTTAACCGAAACGATTGTTGCAGTTGTTTTACATTGGTATGTAAAAAGAGATAATTTTAAAAAAATCATATTAGGCAACCCACCACCATGCCAAATATAACAGTACTGAAAGCTCCGCCAATAAAACCTTCCCAAGTCTTTTTAGGTGACAGTTTTATTAAAGGAGTTTTACCAAAGAAGAACCCAAACAGATATGCCATGATATCATTGCAGATTATCATTGAAACCGGAACCAAGAACCTAAAGTGGTTTTAGAAAAGCGCAAAACGATTAGTGTAAACAACACGCAAACATAGTAATCAATAGATAGCATAAATCTGATAAACGACTACAGGATTATGATAAAACACAATAGATATACTTTATAACGTACATTATATATTGAATTTTTTCAGTGCATTTAAACAATCTAATTCCTAATTATGTAACTAAACATAAAAGAATATGGTTTATAACTTTGTCAATTCTAGGAAAGAATTATGAATATAAATTCTTATATAATCCTTTTAAATTATGACTTTAGTCGTTTATCAAATATAACAAGAGAAGATATATTAAAGTAAAGAATATTACCATATGAGTCCTTCAAAGATATTTTGCATAATAAGATGGGATTGTGTGACAACAATCAACAGGGTTACGTGAGTCCATCCGAACTACATTAAGAAACAAATAGATTTTTTAACTCTAATAATAGAAAGGAAGATTGATAAAGTGCAAAATATAATTCACTTCTATTTCTCTTATTATGACTATAAGTTTTATAATAAAAATATAATTTACTTACAAGTGTAAATTGCTTTAGATAATGAGTTTTGACTAGGCTTAAAACAAAACCAACGAAGCCGCTAACGTATAGAGAGAAAGATATAAATCGATGGTAAGTTACAAATGGCTTGATAAAGTCCTGTATAAAAAAAAAAATAAATTATTTAAATAATTCTTATCTAATTAGCATATTTATGATTATAGAATAATTACTGTTTTGCTGGCAAGTACACCAAAATATTGAATTAAGCTTTCTCCATAAAAAAAGTAGTTTGATGCTATTAAAAAGTACCAGCTCAAGGTTCGGAACCAGGGTAAATCGTGAGATTTATAGACGGCGTAACCGATATTTATTATTTCATGAAAACATTTAATTTGTATAATAAAAATCTGTTTAGAATTAAAATTATATATAAAATATATATAGAAACATAATGCTATTTTATACTAACTAAAATCACTAAGGCCAAAGGTCCCAAGTATATGACTGCGGCAAAACCAAATATCATAACCCAAGTAAAAATACCGCGAATAATCCAATTTCTCCATCTAAACGAAAGTAATTTTTGAATATTAATTAAAGATTATCATTTTATTATAAGTTATAAAATAATTAAATTACCTTGGTGTTAAATCTTTTAAAGCGGAGTCAATTACTTCGGTTGTTTTATCGCTAGCTTGTGGTAGTTGTTGAGAAACATCTGGGTCTATAGACAAATCATCCGCTGTATCTCCCGAACCTGGATGATTTTCACTTCGCTATAATCGAAATAGGTGATATTCTATTAGTAAAATATATTAAAAATTATATATATATATATTTATACATATCTAAATTTCCAAACCAAGTTGGGCGATAATTTACTTACCTTTTATCTTATTAATCTTTATTCTAAGCATTTATTAAATCTATTTATAGATTGTGGGCAGTTTCATTTAGAATATATAGTAAAAATAATAGTTGGTCCATGAAATTCACAATACTTTGCAAAAATTCTGTATATAATTTTATATTTAACTTGTAGGTATTTTGCTATTTGCATTTATTCTTATTAATATTTTGAATAGTATTATGGTCTGAATTTTTGATAGTTTTTACATTGTTAGCTTTGCTTGATATAATCTATATTTTGTTGAGTCTGTATCAACATATTTTATAGTTATAAAACCATGTTGGCCGTTAATCATTTATTGACCATAGTTTTACGATGACTGTATTCATTTCAATTTTTTAAAACTATTCCCAGTAAATTTTGCAAATGACAAAATTCCATTTAGAGTTTACTATTTGAAAGCGATTTCAAAATATGCTACTCTTAGTCAAGGTAACACCCAATTTAATCTTATAAAACAGTTTACTTGTCAGTGACTTAAATGTGAAAATTAAAATAATCGTCAATTGATTAACTTACATCTGATTTGTCCTCAACTTTTCTCTGTCTTACGTCAGTCATTGTTAAATGATATTAATTATTTTATGTAGAAAAGCCTTTTAAAACCCAAAATTAGCGAAATTCTTCAAAATTTTCGCATAATCTCGCTGACCAAACGGAATCTCACGAGACTCTCGGGTCATTAATTGTAACCTGGCAACCTGTCCATTTTATTTGGTAAAGAATCGTCTTGTAAGAAATTGGGATTACCCAGAATAATAATAAATTTTTACTATTCCTACTATTATAGAATAAATTATTTTTTGCGGATTATTATAGAATCCATATCAGGATCCCAGATCATTAGACATGGCGCTGGGTACGAGATGTTTGTTTGTTTGCTCTTATTCAAGGAGGTATTTCTCCTGTCTTAGATCATCAATTCTAAAACAAAAGGTAAGAGTTGAGGAAAAAAACTATTTCTCACCATATATAGTAAAATTACGGTGAAACTTTTAGTAACTGTTACTTTTTTGCAAGGCTTTAGATTGGCGTAGTATTGTTTTATAAAGTCTGCAACATCAACAGCAATAAAAAGACGTAACTTGTTTTAATGAATTTTAGATACAAAATAAAATGATATTTCCCCTGGCTTTTAATTTTATAGCGATCTCTAGGCCCCTTGCAATGTATTAGTATTCATTGATCGGTAAAACGAACACTTCCGCGCCTAGTTGCCAGCTTCAAGGATTTGCTAATCAGAACGTATTGAATACAGATTTCATACCCGAGTGGCCTCTATGTACACTGCAGATTCTCATCCGTCCAGTCTGGGAGTGGAGGTAAGTTGAAAAAAAAAAGATAAAAAAAATAGTAAAACTTAGAGATAAGAAATTGCTTGGAAAGCAGATAATTTTTGAAGAGCTATCCAGTAAATTGTATAATAAACAACGGCTCAAATGGCGATGTATATATGTATGTATTATTGATGACTGCACACTAATGGTTGGCGATCGATTCATAAAATGCGAAAAATACCAAATCGCCATCGCAAATTGCTAATAAAATAAAGAAAAATTGATAAGATTGCTTATGTCAACCATACTCGATGCTCGATACCTCTTCAAAATGTTTGCAAACATTCCGCTAATCACTCTAGCGACTTGTTAGAAAATAAGAATAGTGTTTGTTTGGTATCGAAGATTGTCGACTTTAATACATCCCATTGACCTCTTGTTCAGGCAATTGACGCTTTGTTAATGACCACGTCGGTAGGCAGCCAATTCTCTCTCGTATTCCTATGCGACTTTATCAAGTACAGAACACGACGCTTATCAATATTCATAATTGTAACGAATTCCTTTCACTCGACAAGAAATAGCTGATTATCTCAAACTTTTGATGTACAATTTAATAGATTGCATACCATACTATATTAAATCCTTGAGCTAATTCACTTACAATTAATATACCTGTTGAAATTTAATTAGTGTTCGTAATTATCTAGGTTTCATTGCATATAATGAATGCTTACAGTTCAACAAGAGCGTCACTGTTCTATTTAAGTCATTTACAAATATCTGCTAGTGTCGTTTAGACCGAAAAAAAAAACCTAATGATAGAAGACGGTTATTTGTTAAAGAAAACGAAGAAGAAGGGAGGAGGAGGGGGACGCGAGTGGGGAAGAGAAAAAAAAATCTTCTTCTTACGTGTCAACCGAATGTTTGTTTTACAATATATAATGTCTATTTTTTTCCCTTCACCAGTTTATTCTGTTTATGAATGAAGGATAGATCGTTAAATATAATGATATAATAAGAAAAGTATATATTATAGTTTATCGGTAGTTGTACTTTTTTTTTATTTTTTTTTTAATTTTCTCTGTGATAAAATCCATATTCTTAGTGAAAGCCTCCAGTTACGAAATGGCCCCTTTTATGGAAACACTGTACTAATATTTATCTAATAATTCCTTATTTTCTTCTCTGTCTTTAAATTCTGCTCACTCGTTTTTTTATCTTGTATATTAGATATACTAATATGTATATATATATATATATATATATATATATATATATATATATATATAAAGAATATTCCATTTACTTAAAACGATTCTTAGTCTGTTTGAAGAGATGATTTTAGCCTATCTGAAAGAATAATAATCGATAGTCAGGTGTATATCCTTTATAGCCTTCTATATATATATATATATATATATATATATATATATTGTAAAGATCTATACTATATTTTGATATAGAGTATTGTGCAACAAAAAGAAGGACTTTATGAAATTTGTCGTTGTTCTTTTTTTTTTAAAGTGTATCCAAATAGAAGCATTCATAAAAATTTAAGCCTAATTTGATAAAGAAACTACAAGGGTTCTATTTTAGTTCATTAAGTGGAAAAATACGTCAAGTGATCAATAAACACATAGCGAATGCATTAAAATTGAAAAAAAAAAATCGATAAATTTCCTGGCAATTTACCTTTTCCTCTAATGATAACAATATTGGATTAATAAACAAATTGCATAATTTATATATATATATACAGTATAGACGTATATATAAGAGAGAACGAGAGGAAGGAACAAGGAGAGAAGGGGAAATTCCTCTTAAATTGCAAATTATATTTGGCCATGTAAGGGATGGATTTTATTTAGGGCTGAATATTTCTGGCCACGTTAATGCTAATTTTCTCCCTGTTTTTGGGAGGTTAAAAGGGTATGAGAGCAAAGCTCGATGCATTAATTTCCCGATAGATTAGAGCAATCCTAGTAAAAAAAAATTTTTTTTGCCTATTCTCTCTTGAAAATATAGCCGTATTGATAATATAAACAAAAGATTTGGTGAAAAGTAAAAGAAAATACGATTTATTTCGACTTTGTCAATGTTTTTATGTATTGTTTGTTTCTTTCTCTCTTTAGTTTTCTCTTTCTTATCTAGTTTCTCTCCCTTTGTATTTAAATATGCAGTATATCCATTTTTAATCTCGACATACCAAACAAATACCAAAAAAAATAGTGAACGTTGACATATTCTTTCGAAAAAAGAGAAAAGAAATAAATAAAAAAGGCTTTTTTATACGTCAAGGTTTTATTGACAGATATCAACTTCCGATACGAGAATGGCTTACCAGTTTTATCGTTACCGCTACCGTCGCGTGATGAAACTTACCAATTTACATTGAAGCCTATTTCAAACACATTAGGCGATTTATTCAGGTGAGTGAGAAACTTTTGTTGTTCTTAACGTATTTAAATATAATAAAGATATAGTACTTAGATAACGTTCCGTAAAATAGTCTACATTCATTAATAACTTGAAAACGCTTCTTTTTTTATTTCAAATGTAATTTCATCTTCATCATAAATGATACTCGAGTATAATGAAACGAGTACAGGAATGCTAACATCAAGGGATTGTATATAAATAGAAGAGAGATTTTTACAGAGATGCGAGCAGAGGCGACTGTCAAGACAGATTAGACTAAAATAGCTCTCTTAAACGATTAATCTTAAATGAGTGAAAAGATTTACAATTCTATAGATGAAGCCTATGTTATTTTTTACTTATAAAGGAAATAGGGAATAAACTGTAATTATTCTTATCTGAAGAGGCCAAACAAATATCCTACATAGATAACAAAAGAAAAGTTTTGTAAGGCGGTTAGCGTAAACAATCAACATATATGTGCTTTGACAGATTCGTCCGCAATGAGGATTCGTCTATTGAACGTCTGGCGGCATACACAACGGATGGCGAGAGATTAGCACAATCAACGCCGATGGAACACTTAATCCAATCAAGTTTCGAGCTCGTATTGAATGATAACAGGTATATGGTGCATCCAGCTGTTGTCGGTACTGTTTCCCACTTTCCTTTCAATATAGCGATTGATTTTGATGGAAATATCTGTTTTTTTTCCTTCTTTTTTATATAAAAATCGATATTTAGAGTCGAGAACATCTAGTGAAGCCGTTAGCGATTTGGAGAAAATGAAAAATGGTATAGCCCAATTGTATAACACTCTTCATATCGACCAGCACCAAATGCAAAAAGAAAAGGTTCTTTTGGAGCGTTTAGAGGAGCTAAAGATGGAAATCGAACCGCTTGAAACAGGTAGAATGGAATTGGATAGAGCAGCAGAGAAGCGGACGAAATTTCTCTCGTGGTTTGGATTAGGACTTATGGGATTGCAGTTTGGACTATTGGCCCGTTTAACATGGTGGGAATACTCGTGGGATATTATGGAGCCGATAACATATTTTGTTACTTACGGGACGTCGATAGCCATGTTCGCGTATTACGTCGTCACGAGACAGGTAATTAGCGAAGAAAGAGCATGACTTAGTAGGCAAAAAGCGACTGATTCTATTTCTGTAGATTATTCCCTTCAGCTAGATCCGTATTTAACTAAAATGTTATTATGTCAAAAAACTATATCACCTGCACGCATTTATACATTCACTTTATACCCATGCATCAAGTATTTATACAACAGCAATATACCTACGCCCGCAACGAATAGTAGATATATTCTGTATACAGTGTATATACCCTATATACTTGGAACTGTATGCAATTTCCTCCTCTGTATATACTGTCTACGTTTACACATACGTTTAAGTACATCTATACAAGCGCAGCAGAAATTATCAATAACTTACTATATTGATACGATATATTTACATATAAAGTCATTTATATTATAGATATATCTATAGTATTTCTTTTTACTGACTTGGTGACATCATGCCTTATCATCAAAACATTCATGCGAGCCAATTAGGCCTATTTCGAATAGAGAGGGAAGGGGCAGCGAAAGGGAAGAGGGAAACGTACGCCTCTAGAGGCTAGTCGTATGGAAAATCTTACAAAATTAAATCTTCGACCAACTACGCATATTTATTCCTACATAATTGGCTTTTTCTCTTTATTCTAATGCAAAATATATAAAATTTCATGTTTTTCTATAATAAGAGGATTTCTTTTTTATTAAGTCTTATTACGTTCTTGCTCTAATTTATTATCCTTATTGTGTATTTTGTCGTTAATCTTACGACTTGTTGGATGTTGGGTTTTGTTTAGTATTTTGCTCTGATAGTATTCGCCGTAAGGATGGGGGAATGGAAGGAAGGGAAGGGAGACAAATTGAGAGTGAAAACTGGTGAGAAAAGAAAAAAAATAGATAGTAAGGAGGGGGAAAGGGAAATCCAGGGGTTAAATGTTGATGGATTAACTATTAAAAAAGCGTCGAATGATATTTATAGAATATAGGGTCGTATAGTTGAATAAAATATGAGATAGAACTTATTTTTACACAAGTGGTAACACATCAGATTGGGAAAACAACAGAACATTAACAGGAGGAAATTATTTTTTGTTTGAACATCTATATTTAGAAAGGGAAATTTCTCTCTTTCTCTCTCTCTCTCTCTCTCTCTTTTTCCGCCTTTTCCTACTTGAATAGTGTATTCATGTTAAAAAGTGATGGAAAATCTATAATAGTAGATAAATATAAACAATTCGCTAGGGTATATAGATGTAGAAAGGCCTCTTGATACTTTTATATTCAAACGCTATTGTAAGAGAAAATGGCAGTTTATTGAGGCGAAAATTCGGTATGAACGAACCCAATTACTATCCGTCGCATTACTTTAATGTTTAACGATGGTCGTTTTTTTTATTGATTTAGGAATACAATTTCGTGGACGTCCGGAATCGGGAATATTTATTAACAATGCATAGGGGAGCCAAGAAACGAGGTCTTGATATCAACAAATACAACCAACTAAAGGAAGAGATCTATCAAGTAGAATACGATTTGAAGCGACTTAGGGATCCTTTGCAGTTGCAGCTGCCGATTAACGCCTTGAAGCCTCAAGATAGGAGTGAAGATGTTGCTTAGATTGAATTTAGGAAGTGAGGGTGTACGTCTTTATCAGTTTATCTGTCATTTTTACCGAGGTAAAATTTAGTTATGTAAGTGGGACGAGATGCTTCTTTATCAAAAATTTAATTTCAGTCTTCTTTTTAACATTTTCTTTTTTAAATTAAAAAAAAGAATGCATTAAAAAACAAAAATAACAAAAAAAAAAACAAAAAAAAAACGAACAAACAAACAAACAAAATATTAAAAATTAAACTTATTTTCGATCTTTTCACAAAAATTTGATTTAAAATGAAAATAATGGAAAATAATTTTATTTTATCTCTGCAGTAAAAAAATAATAATAACAACAATAATAATAATTTTCCAGATTTTTCCTTATCAAGAATTTTTAACCTTTTTATAGATTGTAGTTTTTTCTTTTTCTCTTTCTTTTTAAAGAAACAAAGAAGAGAAGAAATGGAAAAAAATTATAGAGAAACAGTTATTTATTTTTTAAAAAATGATATAAAGCTTTGTTTTCTTTTTTTTTTTAATGTAAAAAAACTTTTCTTTTGCCATAAACTTAAAATCCCCCCCAGAAAATTGTACAAACTACAGATTTATATACTGTATATTATACTATATAGATATATATAGTATAATGTTGAATAATAGTACTTTAATGTTTTAAAAAAATGAATATAATTTGATTAAAATTTCAATTAACTGTCATTTTAAAAAGAAAATTAACAGTTTTTTTAGTTTAATACTTTAAGACAAATTCTTTGAAGTGTGACATATCAAAAATATGATGATCTTTCTCTCTCTCTCTCTCTCTCTCTCTCTCTCTGTGTGGATCATTCATGCTTACTTGTCTATTTGTTATACTAAAAAAAGAAATACAAAACTGGACGGAGAAGGCTCTTTCTTTTTGTGCGATATTTTATTATCACTTATTACTCTTAGTTTATTTGAATGAAATACAAATCTTTTAAGCTTTTAATAACGAAATATAGTTTACACTCTTCGTCTATATGTTATTTTAACGAAGTAACATATATATATATATATCAAATATTGTTTATTAATAATGAATGAAGTGTCTTAAATGGCAGTAATTAAAGAATAAAAAGTTTCTGCTATATATATATATATATATATATATGTAAAAAAAACACCTCTATTAACAATAGAGTCTTTTTTGGGTTTGTGGTGGCTCTTAGATATTAGCTTTTTATTGTTATTTAAGCAATATATTATGTTTCATTGTTTCATTTTAAGAAATAAGATATAAAGTAATTGTAACTATTTTTATTCAAGTAATTTATTAGTAAACTGCTTGATATTTACAGATCTATCAACTATAGATAAATCCTAAATGTCTTGTGTTTTTTTTTTTTTTTTCTCTTCCTTTTCCTTCCAAATCTCTTCCAAATCTCCCCTGCCTCGTTTTGGTTGTCTCTCATCTCTTCAATGAAATTCTCAAGGGTTTTGATAATGTCACAAAATGACCAATAATCGTTAACCAATGTATGAGATTGAGTGTGTTCGACGATACCTTTTAGACCTTGCTTCAATGTTGGATAAATATCTCAAAAAGAGATCGCCCACTGCTGCTATATCAGCTCCTTACGAATTAGTTTGACTCAGTGGAGCGTCACAGAGGTTGTTGGACGAATAATCCGTGTCTTTTTGGCAGCTGACAGCTCTACGTAGTATTTGCACTTTTGATAAATTGGCTAATCATGATGATAACTATACTTTTTCATCATCGTATTTAAGGATGATAAAACTCATTCCAAGAAATAGAGATAACTATTAATTCTCTACTGTGCTTTTCTACAAATCTCAACTGTATACAGTATATATATACAGTGCCTTCGCCTATAGTTCATTACTCGAGGATACACAGTATCTCTTATTCTTTTTACTACTTTAAACAAGACAATCTACACAGTTTTAACATCAAAGGTATCCGAATCTTCAATCAATAATGTAGCTAGGTCAACAGATAGAAAATCCGAATTTTTCACACCAAACATACACATTTTAAAATGTTATTAGCGGCGTAATCCAGGGTAAGCGTCTCTTTTAAAATGTCAATGAATGATGTACATTCTCCAAAAACTTTAATGGCAACTGCTAATTGACCATTGGAAGAACGGCCTAAATGACTACTTCCCTCTATATCTTGTAAAAAATCCTCACCCTGGGGTAGGTAGCCTTCTTCTTTTTCATCATATCCTTCATCAGTTGCCAAAAAGACAAAGTTCATTTTTCATCTTTGTTGTGTCTTATCAAGGCCATACCAGAAAAAGGATTAATATATTTCCAAGGTTATGAAAATCTATCATATTGAATTCAGTAGAAAAATTCCCCTTTATGTTCTTGCGCACAATTGAACTAGACTTTGGAATGGAATGAAATATTTAACGATCAATATATAGAACATTCTTCTTGTTGGACAGACGTGTGGCGTATGTTTTTCTAACCCCAAGAGAAAATGTTTCTTTATTCTCTTCATATAACCAATATGGTCCAGATCGAAAGATTCTAAATTCCCCCATCCCCCTTTTCCCTCCTCCCTTTAATTTACCATAATATTCTGACGTCATTCGTAGATTAATTATTACTTTCACTTGACATTTAAATAACAGTAGTTTTTTTCTGATTTAAAGTCTTCGATCATTCGTTTCCTCTCTTTGCACAGGTTCTTTTCCTTTTTATCTAGCAAATTTTCCTTCAAAACATACCATTTACAATAAGAAATAGTTTTCAACTCTTATTCAGAACTTTCAATTGTATTTTAATCCCTTCTCTTCAGATTTCTCAATTAAATTTGTCTTCTTTAACAATCAAATTTCTCTTCCATGAAAATTATCTTTTTTTCGCTGGATAAAACTCAATAATAGTTCGTTACCGAATATTCTTCAGACTAAGCCTATCTCGAAAGATTTTCTACGCGCTACGGATCACATCTGTCTGGATTCCCTAAATGACCTTGAACCAGTTAATGTATTATTTTAAACATCAAAAAAAGAAGAAATAATAGAAAATCTATTCTTTTCTTCGTGAAATTCGATTAAAGAAAGTCATTAGCTTCAATTTTTGGAGAGAATTCATTTAGTGAACTTTGTATTAGAATTACAAACCTTCCTTATGCCTATCAGTCACATCCCATCCTCAACAGAATCGTTTTCCTCCATCTATCTTTTTCAGTTTTTCAGCTTTCAAAAAGGTTTCGTATTTCGAAAGAGAAAACCATTTTTAAAAGTTACCTTAATCTGACACGCTCTTCTCACCTTTCATCTCAAATCAATCAGGCAGTCATCATAATTTAAAAGGAAGAAAAATAACTCTCACACGGATTCTACTATATCCTTTTACTTATATCATCTCATCTTATCTTTTGGATTCTATCTCATCATTCTGCAGTACGGTTTCGTTTCTTGATCCTCCTTAAAGTGATTTCAAACAAGTAATTAATTTAATTCCGCTTCGCCCTTTCTCCTCTTAAAATAATAGACGTCCAGTTTCAGTGCTCTAATAGATATTTCTTTCATTTTTTTTTAAAAAAAAAACATTAGACGCTTTTCGACGCCCAAAGCTGTTTCTTAACTATTTAAAAAAATTATTCTTATTAATTGAATCAATTAGTGTTATAGGCCTTTTTTCTTTATCTTCCACTTTATCAAATTAAAATGTAATTCCCTGAGAATATTCTAAAATTTAATTAAATAAATCGTTTCTACTTAGGTCATACCATATTAAATAGATTGGAAAAAGGGCCTTGTAGAAAAGGGCATAGAAGATTTTAAGAGAGGAAAGTATTTAAATATTTCTTGATGACGTCACTAAACCCAATAAACCGTAATATCCTCAAACGCCTTTTACAGTTCGACTAATCAATCAGCCAGGGCATTAAATAATTTGAATAGGAACGTTCGAGTTGGAAAAAATTGCTAATTTCACTTGGGAAAATTTTTAAGAAATATTCAATCTATAGGCCTAAGTATATTTTTTTATTATTATTGTCAATAAAACTTGTTTCTTGTAAGCAATTAATGTATAGATAAGAAGATTGAATAGAAAAGAATGTTAGACAGTAAAATATTGCATAAAAAGTTTGTAGTTATTATAAAAAAACGCAAAGAGTAGTTTTTTTTTGTCTTGTTTGCTTTAAAGATAAACTGGTGGGAAGGTTTTTTCTTTCATATTTTTGTTTTGTATTATTAAACTTATTAATAATTTTTTAACAAATTTAGTACTGAAAAAATTCCTAAATTCTCCATATTCCAATGAAATACAATACACGACGACATACCAAGCGTGAAAAAACACAACCGACCAACTAAATATTCCTATTCCCATTCTGTGGTTCCTGGCGGTTTCGAGGTCAAATCAAAAAGAACTCTGGATATCCCGGGAACTTGTTTAACTGCTTCTACCATTTTTTTAACGGTGGATTCTTTTATTTGTCGACCAGGTACTGCAGCAACACCGGTCATAAAATCATTTGTCAGGAATGGCCTCAATACGATTGACCATTGAGCAGAAGGAATATTGCTGCCTGGTATTCTGTCAAAATGAATGGGGATCAAGACGATTGGCATCTGAGCTATACTTTTCATTTCGCCCGATTCTTTTAACGCATGGGTTGCAACACTATCAGCTTCTCTCAATGTTTCTATAACCCTTTTCGAGAGCATTGTATGGGTAATTTCTGTAACAGGTTCAGTAATCTTTTGGCCAAATGCATAAACAACTCTATTAACGTTTCTACAAATCCTTGGTATAATCTGAGCAAAAGTCGACAAGTACTGCCAATTGGGTGACTCATCGGATGAAAGAGCTGCTACGTAGCTATACGTTCTGCAATCACCTTGCACACCGACAGATTTTATAGGCAGTAGAGAAACCGATATACTGTAAGAAGACGTGATTTCTTCTAAGTAAATTTGTTCTTCTTCAGTGATAGCATCTCGAATCTTTTGTACTGTAGCTTGCGGTTTCTTAACAGCGCCAGAGAAGTTAACAATTGCCTTAAGAATGATACTAGTTTCGGCAAAATCTTTTTCCATAAAGGGCGTTTCAGCGCAAATTATTCTAATAGCTAAACCAGGACCAGGAAAAGGGTGTCGCTGCACTATTTCCTCTGGCAAGTTCAAATCTCTTCCGAGAGAGCGAACCTCATCCTTATGAAAGTCTTTCAAGGGTTCAATTACCTGTCCTTGTCTACGAAGTTCCCTAACCAAATCAGTATCGTTGTGATGTGTCTAAACAGAATAAAGAATAAAGCTAGAGAGATCTAATTTTTTTTCTAATTGAAGATAAATAATTCTGTGACATATTTAATAATAAAATGAAAATAGAAAATTGTACCTTAATTGCGTCTGCCTTATTTGAAGCTAATTCTGAAGCGCTTTCAATTAAATCCGGTCTTAGAGTTCCTTGAGCTAAATAAACATCTTTAGGATTCAAGTTCAGATCTTCAATTAGGCTGTTCGCAATCTAAAACATAAAAAGATGAAAATAAAAATTATAGATAAAATCTTATTATATATAATTAAAGAAAAATGACAAACATTCATAAATGTGTCTCCGATAATCTTTCTCTTCTCTTCCGGATCAATTGTCAAGCATAAGGGCTTTGTTGTCTTTCTAAAAGATAAATTATTATGTTAATAAAGAGGATAGTTGTATATAAAACTATAAATAAATATTTATTAATATATATATAATATAAAGAGAGAGAGAGAGACGGAGAAAGACATATATTTCCATACAAGAAATCCTCTACTACCAAAAAAAAGAAAGAAATCTAATTAGGGCAATATAATAGGAGGATATTTTAGTTATACTCCAGAAAAGAAAATACTTTACGTTGCATTATTTTAGAAAAATATAATAGGCAATTACACGAATCACATGATGATTTTAATTCTTGTAAAGGTCTAGTTTATAGATTATTTTATATATCCTTTCTGGTAATAAAATAAAAATAATACAGTACCGACTAATAAGTGCAAGTTTATATATATATATATATATATATATATATATATAATGCACTGCTTACTTAAATATAGCTTTATATCCATTTAAAAAAATGGATCTTGCCTAAATGTTATAGAGATTGCAATTATTTATCATCATGGCCTTTATATAAATTTATAACATAAATCATAAGGAAAAAATGAGGAGAATAAATAAAAGCCAATTTACTTTATCTTAGTATTTTTATCTTCTATTATAGTTGTGGAGTCATAAAATATTTGAGTAGCGTTTGTAACGTCCAAGTGTAAACCGTTTTGTTTTAAGGATGCTTCAACATTTTTACTTTCGTCTTTTCTCATAAAACCATTATCAATGTGTAAAGCGATTAGTTGATCTTTATTCAAAGCTTTATGTAGTAGTGCTGCACAAACAGTTGAATCTACACCACCCGATACAAGCATCTAATTTGGAAAAAAAAACTATACTATTGATTGCTTGATTGATTGATTATAGTAGTAATAAAAAAGAAACAATAAAGAATTTTATCTAAGGTTGTTTTTAAAAGAAAACACTGTTAAATATTACTGCCTTACACATATTATTAATACTCTTATAGTTATTCGCAAATAGGCTTAAACCGTCATGAGTAAACAATTCATTTAACGATGGTACCATATTAAGGTCACGGAAGATTACATATTGATTTACAATTATTTTAAGAAAATGATATAATCACAATAGGGATTAAACTTAATAGTATTATGTTTAAATTTATGCTAAAAATAGAAAACTAGTTTGATTGATTATTTATAAATCCGTAAACGTTTTTACGGCTCCATAAATAATATATATACTCCCAAGGCTTTAGAGTAGATTTTTGTCATGAAGCAAATCAAACATTAGATTTACTGTTTTTCCAATAAATTAACATAAAAATTTACTTACTAATACTTTTGACTTTCCTACTGATTTCTTTATATAATCAATACATAATTGTTCACGAGACTCCATTGTGAATTTTGGTTTAAGTTTTGAAATTTCAAATAGGAAATTCTGAAATATCTTCTTTCCATTCTCAGTTAATTCAACTTCGGGATGAAATTGAAGACCGTAGAGCTTCTTGCTTTCATTGGCAATACCTGTATAATAGTTTCTAATGATTAAATTCAATAAAACTAATATTAATTAATATTTTTCACCTGCTGTAATATTTTTTGAATTACAAATTATTTTAAACCCTTCAGCTGGCTTTGTAACTGAATCTGAGTGAGTCAACAGAACTTTTTGCTCGGAATTTAAATTTCTAAGAAAATCACAAAATATAAAAGAATTTAATTATAAACAAAACGATCAATCCTACTTGAAAAGAGAACATTTTGTATCAATTTTTATCTTAAACTGTCCATCTTCACGGCTAGTTGTCCGATTTACATCACCTCCAAATTCTTTATTTAGCAGCTTTTTTTTATAAAATTATAATAGATTTTATGTTTAAAGTTCGTTTAATTGGCCTTTAATAAGTTAAATACCTGCATTCCATAGCATATTCCAAGTAGTGGTAGCCCGCATTGAAATATTGAAGGATCGTACTTGGGAGCGTTGTCCTCGTACACTGAATTTGGTCCTCCAGATATGATTATAGCTCTGTGAAAGAAATTTAATTTTAGTAAACGTTTAAAATTTTCAAAAGATGCGCTATATTGGTTTTCCGTTCCATAGATAAAAGTTCAATGTTATTGAACACAATGAAATTCTATTTTTAAAAACAATAATGGATTTATTACAGTTAAAGTCTTTAAATTTAACGATATTTCCAAAAAAATGATCTTGCTAAGTTTTGTTGTTTTATAAAAGAAATGAGAAATTAATAAGAATTATGGAAAAAAAAACCAACTTGTAATTATTCGCTAGCAGAAAGCTTGCAGTAGTTTCAAGGGGTAGTAGTTCTGATTTAATTTTCAGTTCTCGGACCTTACGGTCAATGACCTAAAAAATAATATGTATTATTATCCAAAACTAGCAATAATTGATATATACCTTTCCATATTGCGCTCCAGCATCTAAAATAGCAACTTTGTTTTCCTCCATTAGACTAATAACAAAATAAGTCTTAGTATAAAGTATAAAAATTATTATTGTAAATAAAATTACATTTATTATTTATAAAAATTATTTATTTAACGCGGTACGAAAATAAAAGACTGTCCAAAATTTGGATAATATTCGGTATCGAATTCACTAATCTCAAAAGAATATAAAATAATAAATGTCTAGTTAAGTCAAGCAATACTTTTTCTATTGTAAAATAAGAAAATATTTAAAATAAATGATAAAATAATATAAATTTTTAAAAAAATCAAAAACCTGCCGTGTTATAAAGACGAATTTTAGAGATAGTGTGCAGCACGGTATAGCGATATTAAAGCATTTATGCGTGCGCAATGAAAAAAATTTAATAAACCTATAGTTTTTTTCAATTATTTTTAAGTAATGAAAAAGTTTTTAAATTAAATTTTAACAAGTATGAAATAAACAATTTGTCGGTATCATTCGTACGGGCGGAAATATTTAGCGTATTTCCTTCCATAAATTATTAAATTAGATTTTTTAATTTATTAGAATATTTTTCTAAAAACAACTTGTCTAAAAAATAACTTACGTGTATCAGCACTAGATTTTAGACGATGCCTTTTATGATCCCTTAATGAATAGTCTCTATTCTGTTTATTTTGTCTTGTTAACATATACTCTACATATGGACGAACATATAAAAAATGAATAGTCAGAGCTGCTCAATAGAATTATTGGTTTTTATAATAATATTTAGTGGTTTTATAATGTTAATAAACAGAAAGGAAAAGTACAATTTTAGATAAAGATGATATGAGTATTTTAAAATCTAGGAATCATATTTTTCCAAGCAACATACTTCGAGTACTTATTTGACTAGCCAAAACAAATAGTTGAAAATTCTATTATCATTTCTTCTGCGATTAATCAAACAAATTTCAAAAGAACCGCTTATTTGCAAAATATTCTTGATCATGTGACTCACTCATAGCTACTTACGCATTTAGTGCTGAGCTACTATTAGATATCAGGAACGATTGAACTTTATTTTGTGTAAGTGACTGTAATAAATAATATCTTTTGTTCCATTGGAATATGACAGTTATTTGTGATTTTTAACAGAACCAGCATAACAAATGTCAAAACAGTAAGGAATCTCTATCACGTGATATTGAAAAGGATAAACCTATAACTAATCAGATATGGCACTTTGTCAAAGATTTATCTCTATTAATCCAGATAGGGATATGAAATCCAAATTCCCAGTAGACATTACCAACCACCAAGCGAAGAATTGGGAAGAGCTTAAACAAATGGTTTATGCTATTCTACACCAGAATGTAACTAACTTTTACATTCTGAAAGTAGACAGTAGCAAAAATCTCATATCGAAAAAAAATACCTACGCCCTCATTTTCGATAAACAAATATCAAAAGGTATTAGTATTGCTGAAAAGTTCACAAGTTATAAATTTTCATACATTTTCTTTAGATAACGTAGAAACAATTTTAAGAAACAAGTGTACAAGTGAGTTTGAAATGAGACTAAGCGCTACAGATCTACAAGAGTTTGATGTATTGGACAAACCGGCAAAGTACGATATTAATAGAATAGAACTAAGGAAAATGAACAAACTAAATGTATTGGAAGAGATAAAGAACTTGTTTGGAGTTTATTGCGACATAGAATCAGATATATGCGTAAGAATAGTATTGGTGACTTTTTATTAAATATTTCTTATTAATACTTCTATTTAAAGATATTGAAAGGAGGTGCATTAGAAATTCGCAATGCGGTTGCATATCTAAAAGACGAATGTCCAGAATCCTTGCGAAATTATTTTAAAAGGGCTAAAAAAAGACCACTAACAAATGATAGTGACAGCGATGACGACCAGTTTGATGAAAATGGGCATGCTTTAACTTTTCAAGATAGAAATACAAAAGTATTTTTATACGAAGGAGATTTAACCAAAGTGAACACTGATTCTGTAGCTATTTCAGTCGGACCAAATTTTGAGCATTCCGTTGGTGTTGCTTCGGCTGTTATGAATTTGGCGGGTCCGGAAGCTCGCCAAGCCTGTATAAACAAGAAATCAATTAGACCTGGAGATGTTCATATGATTAGTGTGCAAACGACCATGCCTGTTAGTTATATATTAACAACCAATGCAACACTTGCTTTTTGTCACTACACATTCAGCTCACCAATCGACATTATAGAAAGCTGCTATAAAAATTGTATAACTGAAGCTGATAAAGGAAATTTAAAAAGTGTTGCCTTTCCTCTTTTCGGCTGTGGATTCAATAAATTACCTGTAGAAGAAGTTGTGAATGCTTTTCTCAATGGATTAAGAGACAGCAATAGTCGATTAGAAGAAATTCATATTGTTGAGTTAGAAACTAGAATATTTAATAAATTAAAATCTTGCATCAAAATTAAATTGAAAGGAGATGTCAAACCATGCCAACACCCAAAGAAGCGAAAAGACTCTGCGGCAGTTGCAACTAATGATGTTGATATGGAACTACCAAACTATGTAATGAAAAATGGATTGAATGTAGTCTGTAGGACTGGAGAAATATTGAAAGAGAAGAGCACAGTATTAATTTTTCCGTTATTATATGGATACAACTCATATGAAGGATTTCCCTACGACTTAGTACGTTTCATTGGAACATACAACTACTCTAAATATAAAAGAATATTGGAAAATATGACTCCATTTAGCTATGAGTTTGTCACGTTGTGTGATTCGCTAACGTTATGTCATTTTTCGTATCCAAATTCTCCTAGCGAATTTATTGAAAACAAATTTGAAACAGCCTTGAATAATATTCTAACAGAGCTTGATTCGTTCAATAACGTTACAAGCGTTTCACTGTACCCTTGGACAGGTAATTATTAGAAAACCTTTTTATTTTTATAGCTTACAAACCTTTTACTGCAGATAAATTCTATTCATTGGATATGACAAACTCGATCATTAAAGTCTTCAACGATTTTCCGAAGCCAAAAAACATTAATATAGTAACAGTGTTACATGAACAGAGACATATTGTACAAACTTTTCATCAGGCTATAAAAAGGTTTAAGGAACCCCCTCAGAGTATGAATGAGAAATGCCCCATTTGTCTGGATAATATAGATATGATATATACTACTCTACCTTGCAGTCATACTTTCTGTAAAACTTGTTTGGATCAATGGCTAAAAGGAAAGGGAGTGTGTCCTGTTTGTAAAGCCTATGTTGCGAAAACTTTAGGAAACCAGCCTGAAGGTCAAATGGGCTTTTATAGGGACAGTACTTGCCTTCCTGGATTCGAAAACTGTGGTACAATAGTCATTCATTACTCATTTCCTAGTGGAATTCAAGGCCCCCAACACCCTAATGCAGGTGTACCATATAGTGGCACGACAAGACAGGCCTACTTACCAGATAACGCAGATGGTAAAGAGGTATTAAACCTGCTAAAGAAAGCTTGGGATGAAAAATTGCTGTTTACAATTGGTCGTTCTGTAACCACTGGAATGGACAACTCTGTTATATGGAATGATGTTCATCACAAGACTAGTCGCTCTGGTGGACCAACAGTGTAAGTCTCCCTTCCAATTTTCAGCAATAATTTAATAATATATACAGTATATTATATATATGCACTCTCTATATATATATATATCTTTTTTTTTTCAGATACGGCTACCCAGATCCTACTTACCTGAATAGAGTAAAGGAAGAGCTGAGAGCGAAAGGAATATACTAATAAGCCATTTGATTGTTACCTTGATATGTCTCATTATCAACGTTGTTCAGACTAGACTAGATGTGTATATCGTTTTTTACACTAACAAATTATAGCGTATTTGTACTAATCACTAAACTGCAGATTTAATTGTTATTATAATCTTCTGCTCTAGGTTAAACAGAATTTTTATGATGAAAAACACAATACATTTTCAATTTCGTTTAATCAGCTTGGCAAGCCGATTTGTCTTGACCAGTTTCACAGTAGTCGGAATATGGCCCTCTAACTTCTAAAATACCATATTCTTCAGGGTCTGCAACCGATGTTTTTCTATTCTTAGCTTCCTTTTCTGGTGGTGAAAATCTAGGAAGATATTTATAAACGAAAATTGCATAACCAATAGATACAATAACAGAAAAGAGAAGAAACAAAGCTATTAAAAAAAGTAGTGTCCACGTATCGGATATTGATGTTGATCGCTCTAAGTATTCAAGACCATCTTTTCGAATGCTACAATAAAATAAAAATTATGTTATGAATACACATATATGTATAATAAATAAATAAAATATATATATGTATATGTACAGGCTTCCTTGAAAGAGAGCATTTGAAAATGATTCAAAATATCTTCTATAATTTTCGGCTGGAAAACTTTTCATAGATGTTTCACATCGGATTCGGTTTAAACGATCGTCTTTATTGTTTTTCCTCTGTTGTATAAATGCAATTGTATGGAGACTTGTTGGACACATCCATAGAGTATCAATTTTTAGTCTTTTGATATTGGACAACTTTGTTACATTCTTAATAATATACCGTGTTGAATGTCCTCTTGAATCTAAGTCAACGAGTTTTATTACACGATCCAAGGTTTTTGGACGAAATCCTAAAATATGACTGCCACTATCCACAAAGAATTTTGCAGTCTTGTTCAAATATGTGCTAACAAATATTGAACCTGAATCCAAAGCAGGTTCTTCAGCAGAACAGTGATTGATACGAAAATACTTGCTATTTGGAGGAAGTAGTGAAAATTCAAAAGCAAGATTTATTATACGATTACTTGTAAAATCGCACGGTATATAACTGTTTTTTAAAACTAAACTTTCTAATCTAGGCATATGCAGATATTTCAATGTCATTCGATTCCAACAATCGACTAATTCCAACTCTCTAACACTTAGTGTAAATCTGTTTGAATCTTTATCTAAAGGAGTTTGGGAGGTCTTGTTACAAGCAAAAACAAGTTTTTTACGATCAACTACATTAACTTCGAATGATTCATTATTAGCTGACTCCTTAAAGTAGCATGTATTTTCGACGCAATTATGAGAGAATTGAAAGGCAAAACTGATTGATATTAAATTATTAAATACTATATAAAAATAGAGCTCTTTTATCTGTTGTAATTTCATTTTTGTCTTTTAAAATTTAAATGCAACGAAATTATTTATATCATCTTAAATTATAAATGCAAATTAACTATTCCAGTTGGTTTGCTTCATTCAAAGATTTAGTGTATTCAAGACGGATTTCTCCTAGCGCACTTCGAATTTCATTTACATCAGTCATATTTTTATGCGCCAATTCTCTAATTCGACTTTGAGCATTAAAATCAGCCATCTTCAGCTTCTCCTCACTTGTAAGGACACTCACATCCTGAAAGGTAATTGAACTAGAAAAATTTCATGATTTAAATAGTACATACAGCATGATCAGTCTTCAATATCTGATGATATTCTTTCGCTTTTAAGAGGACTGTCTTTGGCATACTCGAGAGTTCACACATTTGTATTCCTATATGAATGAAAATAGAATACTCAATTCTTAAGAATGTAAAAACACACCGTAGTCAGTTAGCCTTGTTTTACCCCTCTTCATTTGAAAAGTGTAAACATATTTGACATTACTATCACCGGTTGTTCTTTCCTGAGTTAGAACATCCATGTAAAAGCTAATTGATAATTATGATTTCCATTAAGTGTCTGTTTGCCTATATTTTAGATTCTTACTTTCCAACATTATGATACATCGTTGCCAGTTTAGTCAGACGCAGGTAATGAGTAACTACAAACACAAAAGCCTGAAAAGTTTTTTCTCATTAGTACATTTTATAGCTGTAAACATGCTAACTTGTCTTGCAATAAGTTCCTCAATCATCGCTTGACAAATCGGATATCCGCTTTCCAACGATGTGCCTAAAAATATCAAATATAAACAGCTAAAAAAATTAATAAAACATACCTCTTCCTAATTCATCAATTATGATTAAAGAGGACTCTGACATGCTTTGAAGTATGTAATTCATTTCCTTCATCTTTAAATAAAAAATTGCAAAATTAAGTTCTTATGAATCGTATTAAACAACAATACCTCCAAACAAAATGTTGACGAGTTAGTTTCTAAATTGTCATCTGTGTTAACTCTCGAGAATATTTCAGTAACTAGTTTAAATCTAGCACTTTCGGCGGGTACAAATGAACCCATCTGTGCCATAATTTGTAGGAGAACAACTTGGCGAAGAATTGTTGATTTTCCACTCTGTTTTAAGCGCTTTATAATTTATGAAACGATTTCAATTTTACAAACCATATTTGGTCCTGTAATAATATTGATATTTCCGCCTTGACAAGCAAACTAAAAATATTTCTCAGAGTCAGACAATTAGTCCCAGACAGTATAAGTACTTACAAAATCATTTGGCACAGGAGGCTCGCACCATATTCTATCAAGTATTGGATGCTTTCCTTTCTGAACCACAAGAGCCTCTCCCAAGATAGGTTTTACTATTTGATACGGTTTAGATATTATTTTGCGTAGTCTTTTTCTCAAACTCCTTACCATAGTTTGATAAAGCAGCATTCGTTGCGAAGCAGACAAGCATATCCAGGGTAGCAACGCATTCTGATAGTCTATAAAGACAATGAACATGTTCCCTCACCTCATTCAAAACTTCATTCATTACTCTTTTAAAAATAATTAGTTGTTAAGTACTATGATTGAATTTTTAAAGCATTAACTACATATTAGTCATCCGGTAGACTTCGTGAAGAATAGTTCTAGCCCTGTCTGTTGAGAATCAATTAAAATAGAATTTAATAATAATTGTCTCTACCATTAAACTGGATCATTTCTTGAGTTGTAAAGCTTATTACATTTCTAAATCTATTAGCTTTAATAAAAGCTGGCGGTAGTTGTTTTAAAGAAAGACGTTTTTTTGTTGTGTTTCGAACCTGAAGAATCATCAGTTAATTTCCGATAACCATTTATTCCATTTGTATAAACCTGTAAATGATAACCTCTCACGCCGTTATATCTTAATGTTACCCCTAGCCCATGTGTATCTCCAATTTGAACAGCTAATTCTGAAATATTTAAGCATTTAGTGTCAGCTTTTTGTTCACTTGATTTTAACCTGTCATTTCGTCAACTATTTCTGTATAGCCCTTACGACAGACATCTAGCATTCCGTTTAGATTGAACTAATTAACATAAAAAATAAATATTCATTGATTTTGAATTATTAAGATTGTACATACTTTTACAAGAAAACATTTTTGTACTATTTTGTCCAAAACGTTTTTAGTATAAGTAGTGTCTTCAGAGATGTATTTAGATAAAATGTTTCTTATCGCTTGAAAGCCATCGTCTTGTAATCCCTAAATTTTTTAATATATGCATTGATTACTGTTTTATACAAATTTAATCTATTACTTCACGAAAACAAGAGAGAAGCTGATCGTCCGTTCCTTTCAAAGCTTCACAGATAGGGTCAACTAAATTGAGCATATGTTTCAGACAAATGACATTAGTGATTCTATATTCGTAATTTTTTATTGTCTCATATTTAGGAATCTGTAATATTAATAATTATAACAATGGAGTTAACTTTAGGTTCAACACAGAAACCTGAATGCAAAGGCTTATTAAATGATCAAGATCAACACAACTAGATATTACAGACTTTAATGAATGATAAAGATTTTCATCCGATAGCAAAACTGCAACTGTATCATATCTACTCTCAATTGTTCCAGGGTCTGTTGAAGATTGTAATAAAATATAATTATATTGTAGACTTGACTTATACACATTTAGATATGTATATTTAAATAAATTAGAAATATAAACCGCAAGGAGGCTGTAAGATATTTGCTCGCAGCATTCGCGATCCATTGTATGTTTTTGTTTGATTCAAACAACCATATAAGGTATTTGAACTTTTAGGATTTCTATTATTTCTTATCAACTCTAAATTTTTGGCAGTCGATGAATCTGTCGAAAGAGAAATTCTTTTTCTAATTTTTCTTAGATTTTGGAACCTCAATTGAATAATAAAGATTTACCGATAAGTGTTGCATCTCTAAGGGCCTTATAAACAATTTTCAGTGATCCGGGAGCATAAACACATCTTTGTATATATTCTATATATTTTAGAAGAGCAGCTACTGCTGCTAAGCAATAATATCTGAGCATTTAAATATCTTAATGATAGTATATAAAAGGATATGTAATTCTCTTTTACTTTGAGGCAATTTCTACTTCTATATTACGGGATTGAGGTAATCCAAGGGTCTTTACATATTCCATTCCTACAAAAATATAATCTGGAAATAATATTCGATTGTATTACACTCTTAACCTTTCTGGTCATTAAAATATTTTCTCTGAACTGTTGAAATAGAACAAGAAAAATTTTCAGATAACGCCTCGCTAAGATTAGTTTTTTTTGTGCAATTGAAATGCATAGAATCGGGAAGAATCATCTTTCAGAGAGAAAAAAAATGATTTTTTAATGAAAACTTTGAATTTGAAAAAACTACTTCAATTGGGTTAAGAAAATTTAACTTTGCGATAATTTTGGAGTAATTTTGTCCGTCAGTGAATTCAGTTAATGTTAAAACAGATCGTCGAAGGTCAATACTGGCCATTCCAATCTGCCCTCTGGCATTTCCACGTCCTTCAGCGATAGCAACAATCGTACTTGGTTGTTCAATTCCATAAGAACTAGAAGATGCTCGACTGGCGGATTGAGGAGTATGTGCGTGTCGCAGGAAAGATGATTCACTCCTTAGGATATATTTCTTCAATGTTTGAGCTTAAAAAATAAAATACTTACCTATGTGCAGAATTTGACTTTGTTGATGGTGTTCTAAGTGAACTTCTTGGAGTTTTTGCCTCAAAATTGAAAACTAAAAAGTATATTCTTTAATTAAAAAATAAATCAAAATGTTGAACAAGATCAATAACCATATTTTGGTTTGTAATTTGCCTTTGACATATGAGTAAACATATTGCTTGCTGTTAAAGTTAAATTTTGAAAATATTCTCCGAAAAGTTGCCTCAATTAAATCTATCTTCTTAAAGTTTTGAAGAACTTATCCAATTATACTCCCTCTATTCAAAATTTTATTTTGAATGCCTTTAAATACAGTTCTGAATCATAAACTTCAATAAAACATTTAATGTTCCAAACTTACTTCAGAATCGTTCTTCGAGTAGGCTTACACGATAAGTTCTTTGCTTTTTTTAGTGCTCCGTATCGATTTAGTCTATTATCTTCAGACTGGGAGTTAGAAACCTTACTAAATCTAAATGATATCTACCGGTCTGCAGATTGTAAAATTCTTTAAAAATCATTTCATTGTAATTCTTAAAATGTCAATTTCGTAGAAGTCAGTTATTGTAAAAATTTAAACCCGGCAGTATTGAACACAAAAAATCTTCATTTCAAAGTCTTAAAAGTTTACAAATTGCATATATAGTTGAACATAGAAATACAATGTTAAGGTCATTCTCATCACACATGTTGACGACTTCAGAATTAAATTTATAATCATAAGGTAGTTTTAAATTAAGTTTACACTCAAAAACCATTCATTAGTCTTTTAATGATCCCTAACTATCTTATCAATAAAACTCTAACATTAGTAGCATTAATATATCCAATATAATAGGACGCTAACTATTCAAAGTTACAAACATTTCACTTTCAGAATGAAACAATTATTTCGCATAACGACACCTATTTTCTATGCAAACTCAGGTTTGTTTAAAATAAAATCCTATCATATCATATAAACTGAACTAAATTATCCAGTACCTCACATTGGTCATGTATATACGGCCCTGATTGCCGATGCAGCAGCAAGATGGAATATTCTCTTAGGCAAAGACACACTCTTCTCAACGGGGACGGATGAACATGGACTAAAGGTAGTTAGCAAATCTACTCATTAGGATAAAATGAAACATTTTTTGATAATATGTTTAGGTAGAAAGAGAGTCCAAGAAAAAAGGACTAAATACTCTGCAATTTTGCAACAAAATATCTAAACAATTTCAGGTTTGATAATAAGGAGATCATTTTTACAAAAGATCTAATTATATTAATTTTGTTAGCACCTATTCGATGACTTGGATATAAAATATACCGATTTCATTAGAACAACAGAACAAAGGCATTTTTCGGCTGTTAAACAATTTTGGGTATAATTTAACTCAAGTTTTAAGGAGAATCTATACCAAATTATTAATCTTAACATAATTTTTTTCCGTAATAGGAAAAATTAAGACAAAACGGAATGATTTATAAAGATTCTTATTCAGGATACTATTCAATTGTTGACGAATGTTTTATCACTAAAGATGAGTTGATTAAAAGTAAAAATGAGCAAGGAGAAGATTGTTATGTATAAAAATTTAAAGTTTTTGACTGTGCTTGATAAATATTAAACTGATTTCAGGTTTCAAAAAGTAACTATCAACCGGTTATTTGGATGGAAGAAGAGAATTACATGTTTAAGTTATCAGAATTTACAGATCCACTTCGAAAATGGTTAGATACCAAAGTCATATATCCAGAACATTTTGAGAATACTGTTCGCTCGTGGCTTAATGACGGGTTGCCTGATTTGAGCATCAGTAGAAGTAAGGAAAGATTGCATTGGGGTATTCCTGTTCCTGAGGACGGAAATCAAGTCGTATGTATTGAACTTAATAGTTTGCCACACTTATCCGTCCTCATTTACAGATATATGTTTGGCTTGATGCCTTGGTAAATTATCTTACAGTTTGCAATTATTTCTCCGGTGAGTCAATCTGGCCAGTTGATTGTCATATCGTAGGAAAGGATATTCTCAAGTATTTCGATAATTAAAGTTATAGCAAGATTATATACTATTACTATATAACAGATTCCACGCTATATATTGGCCAGCTTTTCTTATGGGAGCAGGTCTCCAGCTACCAAAAAAGATAGTTTGTCATTCTCATTGGACAGTAAATAACCTCAAAGTAAATAATTTCCTACATAAAGCAGTACAAAATCGTCAATCTTATTTTCCTTTCCTAGATGTCAAAGAGTATAGGAAACGTTGTTGATCCTCAAGAGTTAGCTACAAAATACCAAACCGATGGATTGAGATACTTTCTCTTAAGAGAAGGTACTCTTGGTTCAGACGGAAGTAGTTTTAAAGCATGCTCATTTTTTTTTTTTTATTAATTTTCGAAATTTCAGATTTTTGTGAAAAAAGAATGATTGAAGTACTTAATGCAGAATTATGTAACGTTCTAGGGAATTTATTAAACAGAGTTTCATCTCAATCAATAAATAAAGATCAGATTTTCCCTGCACATGATGAACTTATCTTTAAGAAAATAGCAGATGTAAATGATCATAACTTGTTATTTGGAATGAAAAATTTGACAGGTGAGTAGATGATTATTGATAGAAACTTTTAAATATAAAACTTTTACTTTTAAAGATTCCGTAGGAGAAAAATATGAACAATACGAGTTTCATAGAGCAATCGTTAGTATTATGGATCAACTGCGAAATGTTAATAGTTTTGTTGATCGGCATAAACCTTGGATTTTGGCTAAAGAAAATAAAAAGGAGGAGTTAGATTGTATATTGAATATAACAATGGAAAATTTGCGAATTTGTGGAATTCTGTTACAACCTATAATACCGCGTCTATCCGATAGACTATTAACAACTTTGGGAATTGGAAAACATGAAAGAACAACGAAGCACTTGAATACTATACTAAATTTGTCTACAAATAAGCCTATATGCAGTATCGGATCTTTGTATAGCAGAATAAAAATCTGATTTTTGATAATTAATGTCTAAAAAATTCTAGAGAGCTGGAGTATACAAATTTTAATTTTCCATTCAAAGGAACTGGAAAAGAGATAATGACAAATTGTTCGTGGATCAGGTTGCTCTGTATGTTTAGCCGGCTACTATTAAATACTATTATTTTCGTACAAATTTGAATATTTAAAATTAAACACGGAAATTTAAAGTTATAATTTTTTTTTAAATTTTGTTTAATTGTTCTGATTATGATTTCAATTTACATACGAAAATATAAATAAAATGGCGTCACTTCCTCCTATGGCGGCTAAATCTGAAAAATGCGCTGATTGGACAATTGAGTTGAAAGATAGAGTATTTCGTTAAGAGGCTATTCGGGTTTCTTTCTAATTGTAAATAAAATCATTCCCCTCTGTTTATTCCCTTTGGTCTTGAAGATCTGTAAGACACAGAAACAATGTCTACTTCAACGTTTGCATCATCAAATCAACGAATGGTCGAACCGCCAACGCAATCTTCCATACAAAAGGTAAGGAAAATGCCGGATTGTACTTTTAATTACAATGGCCAGATCTGTTGTAGATGCTTGATGAGAACATTCATTTAATTCAAACTATCATCGACTATCAAAATAAAGGAAAAACTCAAGACAGCGTACAGTATGTATACGTATAAAAGCGACTATTTCCGTGAATGCAAATGTGACCTCCTTTCAGCTACCAGCAAATATTGCATAGAAATCTAGTGTATCTAGCTACAATTGCGGACTCAAATCAGAGTATGCAGAATTTATTAGTACGTATACTGGTATTAAGATTACTACCAAATAGTTAATTATGTTTTTTTTTATCTCAGACCCAACCTCCTAATCAAAGGCCTCAAATGAATTCACCCGGTCCTAATATGATGGGAGGTAAGTTTCATGCCGATTTATCTATAGATAGCGTCAATATTTATATAATTTCTAAAAATAATTGCACAAACTACATGTTAAAACATAAATTAATTAATTATTTATCGCAGGACCAACGCAACAACCCGGTGTATCACAAGCACCGAATTACCCTATGCAAAACACACCGTATAGCCAGCCTTCACAGGCACCTTCTGGAGGTAGTGTTTGCAGATGATTTTGATTCTAGCTAATTGTCGATTTATTTTAGGACCTCCGAATATGATACCCCAATCGAATCAAATGATGCCATCAGGCCCTCAATATAATCATCAGTCTCCGCAACAACAGATGAATCAAAATATGCCACAAAATCGGCCGATGCAGAGACCAATGATGAGCAGTTATCAGCGTCCTATGCAAGGTAGAGCCCTTCATAAATTCAATTACGGTTTATGTTCACCAGTTAAATTGATAAGAGCGTAAAGGATTTGTTTATTTTTTATTAATAAACTAGTCTGGACAGTCTCGTAAGTTGTAGAAAATTCCCTTTTAAATTAACTTAGGGGTTTTTACCGTTCATAATGAAAGAAATGTACTTTTAAACGCTGGTGAATTAGACCTTATTTGTTTCGTTACGTTTATATTTTTATTTGTGTGATACAAATGTACTGTTCGGTAAGGCGGCCAATACGGACAGCAGCAATATGGACAATATCCTCAGCAGTTTCAAGCTCAAAATTATGGCCAGCCTTATGGTCAAGGTTATAATCAATACATGCAACAGAATCAGAGTCAAATGCCTCAAAATCCAGTTCAGGTGCCACCAAATCAGGCACCAATGCAAAACAGTCAAGCTCAATTACAACAAAATCAGAGCCCATTACAACAGAATCACTCCCCAATGCCTAATAATCAACCTCAAATACAAACAAGTCAGGCACCTGTTCAGCAGCCGTCCCAATCACAAACACCACAACAGCCGACTCAACCACATCCACCAACATCAGGAATGGGGCAAAGTGTGGCTCAAAATCAGGCATCACCGGCAAACCAAAATCAGACAGAAGAACAAGCTGATGATCAAAGAGATGAGGGGGAAGATCGTTCATCAATTGATCAGGAGGAGAGGGAGGAAAGTTCTAAAACAAATGACAATGAGGAACACGCGCAACCCCCAGCTCAACCACAGCCACCACCACCGCCGCCGCCGCCGCCACCACAGCAGCAGCAACACCAAACACCTCCACAAACCCCTTCTCAACCACAATCTCAGCCTGCTAATCCTCAGCCACCTATAACACCTCATCCGCAGCAGGCCCATCCACAAGCGGCTCATCCATCTCCTCATCAGCCACCGCATCAAAATCCACATCAACCACCTCATCAAGCTCAGCATCAGCCACCTCATCAGGGGCCACATCAGCCGCCACATCAGGCATCTCATCAACCTCCCCATCAGCCTCCGCATCAGCCTCCCCTTCAATCCCCTCATCAGCCGCCTCACCAGACTCCTCACCAACCTCCCCATCAGCCACCTCATCAACCTCCTCATCAGCCTCCCCATCAGCCTCCTCATCAGCCACCTCATCAACCTGCTCATCAGCCACCTCATCAACCTCCTCATCAGCCACCTCACCAACCTCCTCTTCAGCCTCCTCATCAGCCGCCCCATCAACCCCCACACCAACCACCTCATCCACCTCACCAACAGCCACATCAACCCCCACATCAGTCACCACATCAGCCCCCTCACCAACATCCACATCAGCCCCCTCCCCATTCTCAGCAATCGAAATCTAGCTATCAGCAACCACCACAACCACTACCATCACAGCCCCAACAAAATCAGCCACCTCAAAATCAGATGGCTCCGATGCCCCCGCCAGCGTATAATCAGAATATGTCTGCTTATCCAAACCAAAATATGTACAATTCACCTCAGAATATGTACGGACAAATGTCTCCAGGTTACCAAGGCTATAATCAGCCTACTTATCCGGGCTATCAGAATCAACGACCTCCACCTGTTTCCTCAGGCACGTATCTGATTGTAACGACGTAGAAAACCTGCACTTTTCTTTGACGTTTTTTTCAAATCTAGTTCTTTTTTTCCTAGATTAGCATGTCTCATTGTTGTGTCATAGTCTGTGGTTTATTTGATTTCTAGCTTTCCTCTTTTATATGATTTTTTCCATTAACAGGTTATCACCAACAACAACAGTATGCTCAATACTCAAACCAACAAAGGTTTCCTGGGTATCCTCCGCAACAGATGCCAAATATGATGCCGCCAGGACAACAAGGACAAATGCCCGGTAATCAGGGACAAATGCAGTAATGATAATGTTGAGGTTATAATTTTTTCATTATTGAACTCTAGCGTATACATTTTCAAATTAACTGTATATAAAACTATATGTGCATATGTATAACAATATGCATAGAAACGTGTATACTTTTGTAAGTTGCAGAGAACTGTTAACTTATCAAGTATTTGTAGTATAAATGTATATATAAATGCATATATGTATATGTATATGTATATATATATATACAGTATATGTATATGTAAAAAAAAAAAAAGTAAAAGGCACACTGTTATAAGAGTGGCTTCTCTTTTTTAGAAAATATATTTTATATTGTAACTGTTATTGCTTCTTGAAATGCTTTTTTTAAATAGCATCTCATAACTCTTATCTTTCCCTCAACGTGTTCTTAAATTTGTTGTAGACATTTTTTTTAATTTATCCGATCTGTTAATGTGCATAATACGTCTATTGTTTAAAAACAAAACGAAAAACAGATATTTCGTCACATTACAATTCTTTACTGAAATTTTCAGACTTAGGAAACAATTTCTAAAAAGTTTGGTTGCTTATCTTTTTACTTATATATTCAATATTTTTCCCGTTTCATTGATATTAATGGCAAAGAAAAGCGGACAAACTTATTTATTAAGTAAACTTATGCTTGTATCATTTTTTTATTTCAATATATATCTGATTGAAGTAATCATGATAATTTTTTGAAAGAGGCATTTTTATAACCTTGATGCCATACCACCAGTTATACAAATGGTTTCTCCCGTTAAATATTTTGAATCATCGGATGCCAAAAATGCTGCAGTTCCAGCTATATCTTCTGGTTTTCCCACCCTGAAAAATTTCAAATTTCTGGTTATTGTATTGTTTATCTTATATTTCAAATTTACCTTTGCATCGGAACACTTTCCAATACTTTTGCTTCTGCTTCGGGATCACTTGTCAACTATAAAGATAATTGATTGTTGATGTAAAAATTAATAAATGAAAGGATTTTTACTTACAGCTTGACTAAAATTTGTTTTAATGATTCCAGGAGCAATGCCATTAACTCTTATATTTCTTGAAGCTAATTCAGGGGTTAGCGCCTTAACTAAACCTATAAGTGCTGTTTTACTAACACTATACGCTCCCAACAGCTGAAATGGGATATTAATAAAAATGGATAATGTTTGTGTAATATAAATTTTACCGAAAAAGGCTGATAACCAGCAATAGATGTGACAAACATCACAGAACCACCTCTGAAATATACTAAATATTTATAATTTACATAACTAATCCCCTCTACTTACCCTGCCTTTTCCATATAAGGTACGGTTTCCTTACATAAGAAGAAAGACGCTTTTACATTCAAGTCCATTATTTTACTCCAAGCCTTATCGTCTGTCTGCAACGCTCCGAGATTTAAGTAAATTAAACTTTAATATATCAAAACTAAACTTACATTTAACATGGGGCCAAAAACTGGGTTAACTGCAGCATTTGAAACTAGGATATCAATGCTACCTTTGATTTTAGCAGCCTGTTTAAAATAATTCATATTTTATTAGGGCATAAGTTCAACTTTATTTATACCTCTTCTATTAACTTTAATCTATGATCCTCCTTTCCAACATGGCAAACCAGACCATTAACTAATATTCCTTCTTGTTTAAGACTATTGACAGCCTTGTCCACTTTAGCTTCCGAGCGCGAACTTACAACTACATGTGCTCCCTCTTGTCCTAACTGTCGAGCAATTGCAAAGCCAATTCTAGACAATTAAGAAAATAGACCTATGAAAAAAGAATTTTGAATAAGATCAATCAAAATCCAACCCTTCGGTAGATGCCGTAACTATAGCAACTTTTCCACTAAGCCTTCCTGAACTAGCCATTCTCGAAAAAAGTAGTCGTTTAGGAATGTTTCGAAACAGAATTGAATGGTTTATCATTACAAGTGAGCTTGGTTCATCGGTCAGTCGTCTGCAGTTTTTGCACCCATACAAATATGGTTTCTGACTTAAATAGAATAATAACGTAATATTTTTTCCAAATATTGCGAGGAACAGGTAGCCCTACAGGAGAAACTTTTTTTTTTGTTAGAAAGTAATACATACGATATATATTATATTGTAATATAAATTTATTCATTAAGTCTTTCCGTAATAACAGTATTAAGCATTTTTATGACCATGTCTCTAATTGATAAAGCTTTTTGCGAATCATATTAGATATAAAAGTATCTGCGTCATCTTTTGTCAAGTTTCTTCCCTTGATCAAGCATTCTTTAACAGCATCTTTTACAGCCTCGGGCATTTGATTCGAGTTTCTAAATTTTAATATTTAATTAATAAATATTCTTAAAAAATATATAATAAATAAGGGATAAAATACCCAGCAATATAACAGGATCCCTCCTCATCGTAAATATATCGGCAAACAAGATCCACTTCTTGGCGTATTCGATGCTGAACGTATATTTTATCATCCTAAAAATGAATTTAAAACATACTTATAGTCATTCTAATCAATGGAGGTAAGTAATTCGAAACCTGATCTCTAGAAAAAGCTGTTCTTAATTGAAGAATATTTTCTTTTTGGCAGTTTTCCCAATCTTCTTTAAAAAAGAAGTCGCTCTTTTCATTTCTTGAACCAAAGAATAGTAGATTGTCTATTTAAATAGAAGATAATTATTTAAATAATTAATTAAGTCAGGTACAAAACCTTTCTTTTTGTCAATTAGCATATCTAGCAGATAACTACGAAAAGGTGCGACACCGGTTCCAGGACCAACCATGATACAAGGTTTCACGTTTTCTGGTCGAGGAAACATCATTGTACCTTTCTTAATCCAAATAGATGCATATTTTAATCCTGAATAAGCTAACCAAGTACTGCATACACCTTTTCGTGGTTCGAAAAGACGTGTTTTGTACCTCACAACAGCTACTAGTATATGAAGTTCATTTTTATGGTATTTAGGACTGGAGGCAATTGAAAATGCTCTTGGTTTTAATGGAGGAAAAAGATCAAAGAAGTATTCCTTTTCAATGCACTAAAAATCAAATTATCATAATATTAATGAATTATGAAAACTCTATATTTAAACTATTACTGCAAGAGTTTCTGGGAAATCTTGTAAAACTTCTAAATAAGTTCTCCGAGGTCGATTACAATAGGCAAATAGTTCTTCTTGACCTTCGGCACTATCGAATTCTTCTAATTTCTCCTTTTCTAATTCAGATGTAGAGAATTTTGATAAAATTTCAAAAAAAGACCTTTTAGGTCTTCCACAAAAGTCGAAGTAGTATTTAACTAAATTTTCTAAAGAATTTTGACCCTTAAGAACATCCGGTACTGATATTCCATCTTTTTCCTTGCATTCTACTATGGTACTTCGATCGAAACAGTTGAATATCTCAAAAAATTTATCAACATTTTCGTCCGTATTTTCCGGTTGTATCATTAAGACATCGCCTGGTTTATAAATGCAATGAGCGTTTACAGCTGAGAATTTTATCAGGCGAACATCTTGAAAATGTGTTTGTTTAGTTACTCTATCATTACTGATTAATTCAGCTTTATAAGGCTTTTTCTCAGACGCTTCTTGAACTGTAGGAGAAAATTCTTTGATAAAGTTCTCGCTAATTTCATTGGTGTTTACATAACAGGAAACGTCATATTTTGGCGATAATCTGAAAAGATATTATATGCTTTTACGTTCAAGAAAAGTAATATAGTAGGTACAAACAAGCTCTTATTTGGATTTGATATCGAATAAATTTGACCAAGTGTCTCCCAAAATTGAAGTAGCCAAGGTTCAACAGCAGCATCTGATCTATTACAATTAAAATGGTGTACAAGAGAGATGGTCTTATTGATATATTTTATCCTCCTACCCTAGATCGTGTTGATCATCTCCTAAACAGACGTTAACTAAGGCGTTCCCTCCTAACATTAACAATCTTTTATGTAATTTTTTTGCAACAAAGTTATATCTAAAATTTTCAAGGTTTAATTATAAAGAAATAATTTGCTATATGTATGAAATAATTATGCTAACTGTTCATAAGAAGAATCTCCTAAACCTAATACTGCAAATTTTACATTTATTAGAGAATTATTCGGAAGACCTCTCCTCATAATAAATTTCCAAAATAACTATTAAAAATAGATAAAGAGAACATTTTCAATAAATCTTTAATTCTAATGTATTAAATTAAACCTGCATATTATCTGGAGGATCTCCTTGACCAGTTGTAGAACAAACGAACAAAACGACATCTTCGTTTATAAGATTTTTCTGAAAAAATGGAATATTAAATAGGCTAAGTTCTAAGTGCATGGGAAAAACTTTTATTAGGATTTAGCATTAGTTGGATTGAGGAAAGATTTTCAATTAGGTTTACATTAGATAAGAAAGTATTGCTTTTATATATTAATGATAAATGATAATGTTTTAGTTAGCATATCATACTTACAATGCTGTATTCATCTAAACTTGATAAATATATCTTTATGTGTCTACTACGAGCTTGGCGGCTTATCCTATCTGCTAAATCTTCAGCGTATCCTGTTTGACTTCCGTATAGTATCACTAATCTTTTGAAATCCATTGCCAATCTCGGAAAAACTCTATAAATTTATTTATAATTTTCGAACAATTCTCTCGGCGAACGATAATAAAAAGTAAGCGAAATTGTTTCAAACAAAAGTTAACTATGCCTCAATCAATAAAAACTTTTATATTCCAGAAGCTAGTAAAATGGATTGATAATAAATATATATAAGGCCAAATATAGTATATATAATTCTTTGTACTTTAACTAAACAAAAGTCTAAGCTATATGACAAGGTGGTATTATTATGAAATTAATTCTAGAAACTGGTAATAGTGGAATATATTTTGCTTTAGTAACGGAATTCAACGAAAAGTCTCGCGAGTTTTTCGGTTGCTGATGGATGTATATAAACAACAAGCGGCAACTCGCTTCTAGAGCAGAGAAAAATTCGCTATTCTTGAGAAAATAGCACTTCTTAATTTGAAAACTTTGATCAAAGTTTAAAAAATACTTTTATGAAGGTTGACAATACTTTTTAGTTTTATTGCTTGAATATTTAATTAATTTGTAGCCTATTATATTTAATAATTGTTAAGAGAACGCTTGCAAAGCACATTTATCATAAATCGAATATTAAATCTGTCACTAAATCTGGTCAAATTCAAATACAGATTTAAAAAGAAAGCATGGCAGGACAAGATAGTGAAGAATATTCGGACGAGTTCGAATCTGGAAACGATCAAAGGGTAAGAATAACAATTTTTAGGATAAAATAGATATTTTTATCGTTATCTAACACTGAATCATCTAAAATTGTTAATCGAATATGAATTTTCTATTAAAATATAGTAAAAAATATATTCAGCAATCTTCAAATTTAACGTTATTCATGACTAATTTGTAATATGAAAACCAACAGCTTACTTATGTTACAGATTATCAATATATGAGTTTGTTGACAATCCCATATTTGAATACGAGCAATTGCATGCATTTTTCTGATCAAATATACATTTATATACTTATCTAAATTTGCAGTAACAATCATTATCGCACGAATTCTGTATAAAAAGTCAATATATATTTTTTAGGCCCTAGTATCACCAACTACTAAGAAGAAAGGGACTAAGAAAAGACCAAAGTCAGCGTCTTCCTCTCCGTATTCAATAAATTCGTCCAAAGTTGGTAGGAAAAGTGGAAGGAAATCAGCTACTGAAATGTACTTAAACTCTATGCAAACAACAAGTAGAAGAAATAAAGCTGCAAATACAAAAAACAAAACAGCAAGTGAATACTGGACGGAAACTTTAAGAAGGTCGGGTCATGGATTATCTGGACAAACTAGAAATGCCGGATTTTCGAATTTAGATAAAGGTCTTGCCAATGATATGGCTTATGGAAGTACAAGCCATTATCTTAGGCAAGTTGCAGGATTTGAAAGATCCGCAAATGGTATAGAGAAAAATTGTAAGCTAATAGATTTTTTTTATTACTTATTAATAAATAAGGCGTCTCTTTAGCAAAATTAGCTTCAGGAAAGCCTGCATATAAGACTCCAGAAGAATATTACGATGATATAATAACGCTCAAAAAACAAATTAAAATTCTTACCGAAGAGAATTCTGTCTACAAATCAAGAATGAGAAGATTAGAAGAGGAAAATGCAAAAAAGGAGAAAGAAATTGATCAATTATTAAATCCGAATAAGAATGATGATATTAGAAGAACACTGGGTGATAGAAAACCAGATTCTGCAGCTGTTATTTATAGTATGAAACAAAAAGTATTCAAATTAGAGCAACAGTTGAGAGATAGAGAATCAGCCTTAAAGTTTGTCTTATAAATTATTATCTATATTATTACTTTATTTGTTATCTTTAAAAAAATAACAATAGCAAAGTTCAAAGTGATTTGAAAACAACGAAAATTGAAGAATTACAAATTCAAGTTAAAGCTTATTTAGACGAAATCAAACGTCTTCAGACAGTCAAAGCCGTCCCTGTTCGAGTTACAGAGTGAGTAAAAAGTAATAGGAACACATAATAGTTTAATAAAACTTTATAATTCCATAGTTCCCCTGTCTCGAGAAACGATTCGAAACAGCTTTCTTGTTTAAAGAAAACTGTTCACAAAATGAACGCCAGTATCTTTAAATTAAAACAGGAAAATACTGGATTAAAGAGAGATTTAGAAAAATTTCTATCAGGAGAAACAAGCTCCAGGCGTAAAAGAGACAAAAGACGAGGAGGTGCGGAGAATGATGATATTGTTGAAGGTAAAATTGATTTGTCAGGAACAATGGAACAAAGGCTAGATACATTGGATAATAGAGAAACCGAGCTACTGCAACAAATTAAAAAACAGCAAGAAACTATAAAGAGGCTGAGGGATGATGTAGCTCATTACAAGGATAAATATACTGATAAATTGTTTGTATTAAACTTAATCGTGTGCTATTATTTTATTTATACTATTTTAATATTTGTGAATTTAGTAACGAGTGCAAAGATTTAGCGTTTCGCTTAGAAAGTGATAGTTCTCAGAGAAAATCACCTGGCCGTCCATCCAGTGCTCGTACTCCTAGGAATCAATCACCGAAAGTTTCCAGCAGATCCAGCAGGCCTATTAGGTTTGTATGCTTATTATCAAGAACGAATGTGCTTACTTAAACGCAATTTAAAATACATTAGTGGCAGACGCCCAAGTTCAGCTTCTAGTAGGAGAAGCGATAGTGAAGAAGATAGGGTGATGAGAATGAGGAAAAAACGAGCGGCAAGAGTAATAGAGAACAAATACATTGATTATAGAAGAGGAAAGAAGAGAAGAGAAGCAGAAGATGAGGTTATTATAGTTATTTAAAAATAATTATTATTAGTTAATTAGTTAATTACCTACCAAGTTGGTTTAAGTTTCAATTTATATATCATAAGAGCATTTACAAATCTATTTTAACGGCAATATGTCGATTTCATTTAAAGATCAAAGTCAAAAAAAAAGAACCTCTTTAATCATTCTAATTCTGAAACTTTTTGGTTTTTGAGGTCTTTAAATCGCTTTATTCACTTTATATATTTTTAATAACCTACATTACTTTACTATAGTTAAATATCTAGTTGTTTTTTGTTATTACTTGTAAACATTTTGCAATTTATGTTAATTTAACAACTATCAAAATAATAATAAATAAAGAGTTTGTCAACTCTTTAGTATGAGAGAAGAATAGAGGAACTAACTCAGCATAATAGTGCAAAAAGGATTCAAAGGAATTGGCGTAATCGTAATGATAACGATCACGTAAGGAATAGAAAAAAAAGAATATATAAAAAAAATGATAAACAAAATGGCGAATAAATATACTATAATGCTTTTTTCTATGCTTTGTTTTTATATTTAGTATGCTTTTATAGCTTTTTGCATTCTAATAACTTTTAAAGTTTCTCTACAGTTCTCTTTGCATATTTCCTCTTGAGAATTTGACAGCATCTTCTGTGTTTAGAATATTTATGTTCGAATATTGTTTGTACTAATTAAATTACTTTATATTAGGCTGCTGAAGTACTTCAATCGACCATGAGGGGACACCTACTGAGAAGGCAACAGATGAAAAAACAACATAGATATAGCTATAGCGATGATGATGATGTCGATGATGACGATGATGATGACAGTGATGATGATAGAAATACTCCGACAAGCCAAAGGAATCAAAGGCGTTATAAGGAAACATCATCTAGACGCAGAGACGATAGCGATTCCTTAGAAGAATCGACCGAATTTTTGCAGACAACTTTCAGAGGATACAGAAAGAATAGAGATCAACTAAAATACGCAAGGTAAAAACTATTAGATTTAAATAGTCAAAATAGAGATTTTAATACTAATACAAAAGAACAATTAATAATTAGAGCCGAATTGGATTCTGATTTCGAAAATAACGTCGAATTCTTACAAAGTACATTAAAAGGCCATTTAAATCGAAAGAAGACAAATAGTAATAGGTATTTTTGAAAAAAGTCTAAGCATTTTTGACATATTAAGCTGGCTAAAATTAGTGGAATGATGGTCTTGATCTCTTTGTCCATTTTATATATTTCATTATTAATTTGACTTTTGCATGATATGATCATATTACTTGTCTAGTCTGGCTTCCCTAATTTCTCAAATATTGTAGCATGATTATAGACTAACTGGATTCAACAATTCCATGTAGTACTAATTGTGTTCAGTAAAAATGAATTGAATAATTAAATACTCAATTATAATAGTTAATTAGCTAATTAATTAATTAAAAATTTATAATGTTTCTTGTTTTTTTTTCATGCTACTCTTTTCCTTAAACCGAAAATAGAAAAAGAGATGGTAAATAATAATGAAATTTTAAAGTTTTAATTAATAATTACATCTAATTATCTAACTAATTAAAAGATTTTGATGATGAGTCAGAAGATTCCTTAGTCAGTGGATCGAGAAACTCGAGGCCGTCAACAGCAACAACAAGAAGATCGTTTAGAAGATAGAAAGGCTTAACTTGGAAATTATTACATTAAGAATTATCTTTCTCTTTAAAACAAAAAAATCTTATTATCTATTTAAAAAAAAAGGAAAATCTATATACTGTACTTTCTCCATTGTCTGTGATAGTTTAATCCATAAATTGCTCATTTTTTACAATGTATTTTCTATTAAAAGAAATACAATTATGAATTTTTTCCCTCGTTTTATATCTTCTTCTTGTATACTTAATATTAAGTAGTTATACACTGTATGTAATCAATATATTATTTATTGGTTAATAAGATCAGTTTTTACTTGACAAATGTAATATTTAAACAAAGGAAACTAGGTCAAAGGTTAGGGAGGTTTCTTACAACAACTAGAACTATTAAACGCATTTATCTTGTTTATTTCAAGACTAGCGAATATAGCTATCTTATCAGAAAAAGTACGTAATTTCCTTCCAATCTCAAACACTTACAATTTGCAATTTTTAAGTACATTTTTATGAATACCCAACAGTACAGGAAACATACTCAATAGTACTATTCTCACTCTTTTTTAAAACCATTCATTATTAGTAAACTCTACGTGAATGAGAGCTGAACATTTGAATAAATATGTTTTTTGTAAAAAGAAAAAGCACAGGAAGTTAAAATATATTGTTATACAATACAATAATATATAAGTAAAAATGGGTTTGTGAAAAAAATTAAAGAAACATGGCACAAAAAAATTATCCCTTTCAACTGTATCGTTGCACAGAGAATTTGTTAATATATCCTTCCTTCCTTCCTTCCCTTCCTCCCTCACACACACACACACACACACACACTCTATCTCTCTCTCTCTCTGCTAATTAATTAATTAGCATACGGTGGATTTGTAAGGGGGTGACGCTTCATACGAATCGAAACCATTCGCCATAACTTCGTATTCTCCCGACGAATGTGCATTAGCTCTGTGCTCGTCACTTGAACGAGATTGCCTTGGGGTATTCGTATAAATATTTGGATTATCGGCTTTACGCTGTTCAGCAGATCTGACTCCGCCAACATATTCCTCGTGAATATAAATATTATCCATAGAAGCGTAAGATGTATCTCTCGAGGGCGTACTATGGCCGTTTGTGTTTACAGCGTGACCTTTAACCGGGTCAGGAAGCGACCTCATGTCGGTAAGAGTAGCATAACTTCCGGATGCTGATGCATATGCATTTGAAACTCCTGAAGTCAAGTTATAGCTTGTTTTTTTTATCAAAAACAAAATATATAAAAGAATTGCTAACCAGAATGTTCCAAAAATTTATCATATATATTTCTTGAGACCTTCGACAAATGATTATCAAAGGAGGAATCTTCAGCTGTCTTCAACAATGCTTGCATATTTGCCATTTGAACGTTTAACATAACATCTGGAGTTAGAGCTACAGCTTTCATCTATTTTAAATACATCACAATATAAGTAAATTTATAATAAAAAGGTCAAACACTCAAAAATAAAATTCCTAAAAATAAATACAGACCTGTTGAAAATTAACAGAATTTTCTACGTATTTCTCTAATCTGTCATAAATCATGCTATTTAAATTTAATCTCGTATTGAAAATGTATGTGCCATCGCCTGTCATCGATCTTCTGCCTGATGTAATTATAAATTGACTAGAACCCCTTGAACAAAAATCCTTTATATGAACCAAAGGCCAATAAGCTAGAAGGGCTTTAGAGACTTCTAGCAATAAAATAATACCAGATGGAGAGACGTGTAAAAGACATAAACTTCCTCTTGAACCTAAGGCATTGTGCTCACTTGTATTCTCTGGTCGGACTTTGAAACATTCTTCTTCTAATCCGTCTTTAAGGCGATAATTAGATAGCAAATAAAAAGCAAATAAATGCAAAATTCTCGCTGATTCGAACGATAATATTAATCTTTTATAGGGTAAATTTAAAACGAGATTATATTCCTTTCCATTTAAATTCTCGAAATACTTTTGAACGTGATAGCCATTATTTAAAATAATCTCAGATCTTCCTTTTTCCTTGTTTGTTCTCTCAGCTTCATTATGAGTTGATGCGTCAGAATGGTAATAAACCAATTTAAGATCGGATTCTATTCGAATGAGACGACAAAATCTTTTACTCCAATGTGGACGCTTAAGTTTAAATCCGTTCTTGTGTTCTGTTCCACACAGTTTAAACGCCCATGTCTAAAAATAAACAGGAAAACAAAACTTAAAAAATGAGATGAAAAAAGTTTTATTCTACTTTACCTGAAATATGACACCCGTCAAATCATTCGTAGATTCATTAAAAGAGTTCATAATAAAAGATTATTGCTTATTTGTTGAACCATTTATGATTTATTTCGAGAAATTAGCTGATGAAGGCATAATTTACTTCGGAAAAGTAAGAATGGTCTTTGTAAAACCCGGATTTAAATTTTATTCTTTTCGTAGTACAATGTTATATTTTTAAATTAAGTTTTTAGAACTGTTTATAGTAAATATTTTATCTAAAGAATCAAATATGGGCAAAATTCGAAAAGAATATCCGCCATTTTGAAGTAGAATTTAGGCGGGCCGCTTTGGAAATGAACAACCTTTAACTAGGTCAAACCAAAAAATTGTTTAAAAGAATACAACAAATGCTTTATTTCTATTAAAACGCTTTATAGACTCTTAAACGTATAAGATATTTAATTATTAGGTAAACATTTGAAGACGTTACGTTCTATTTCGTAAGTATTCTTAATCAATAACTTAATAATTTTACATTGAAAAAAATGAATAATATTTAATAAAATAAATAATATTTATGACATTCTTCTATTTAATGTTTATTACGCAATATTTAAAGCTAACACAGATAATATAAGAAATTGGCTAAATTCTGTCTTTGAAAAACTTTCATAAAGCGAATTAATTGTACTCTTTAGATGTATATATATATATATATATATATATATATATATATATATATATATATATATCCATTGAATATAATTTCATTCACTTTAGATTATAGTTGTTGACACCTGTTCAAATTTTTGAGCAAGTGTCAATTGTCTATAAATTTTAATAATTTTGATAAAAAAAACCTAATTAAAGTATACAAAGTAACGATTACTTTTTATTTGTTACAATATTATATTTTCAAGGTCAATATACTCTATTAAGTTTGAACTTCAATAATAAGTTCAATATAAAAAAAGTCATAGCCATTAGCAAGATTAAACAGTATAAAAAGATCCTCGGCTAGAATGATTATTCTTTAAATAGAGCTTTTCTTTTTATAGAAAAAAAACAAGATATTGTTGCAAAAGCGTCTTTTTTGCGGTTCTAGGAAAATAAATTTATATAGAATCGTATGTCTGAGTTTAATATTAATTCCTTCCATTCATTTTATCCTTCAGATCGAATTTTTTCTTCTTTTCAACTGGGAATATTGAAGAATCAAATATCAACAATTAGAAGTTAAATATATATACATATTACTTATTTTTACGTATTTTATATGATTTTGATATATTGAAATATAAATTATAAATGAATGAATCCTATTTCTCTCTTAATTGGACGTTATAGCTCGGTCTCTCTCTCTCTCACTTTCTCTCTTTCGTATTCATTAATTAAATATTGCCAAAAATAGTATAATCTAGTATAATCTTCATGAATTACGATCATAATAGCTTCTCTATGAAATTTTAAATACTCAATATTTTATAAATTTTATATTCTTACTCAGGAATTTGATACTTTGAATTTTTTTAATTGACAATTGAAATCTCATTATTTTACTGTAAACTTCATAGAAGAAATGACTACGGAGTAAAGTTTAATTAATATATAAAGTATTGTAACTTCAAAATATTTATGAATGAGTAAATTAAGAGTATTGTGAAAGTGCTGAAAAGCACTAAGCAGCTTTAGAAGAACACCCGCTTATGGAAAAATTCAATTACCAGTTTCTTTTATAGATTTAAGCGTGCAGTTGTATTTCCGGGAAGATTGTTTTCTTTTTTTGTCTATAGATATACTATCTCAATCACTGTGATATTACAGGTAAATTTTTTTGAATTTACTATATGTTAATAAAATTAAAAATGCCGTAGCATATCCATCTGCTTTAACTCAATATTTCTGTTATTCGACAAAATAATAGGCGGCGTGAGTGATAATTCAAGAATTGTTTCTTTCTTCTAGAACAGAAATGGTTAAATTATTCGTAGGGAACATCCCAGATGATCTATATAGCAATGAGTTGCGTGAACTTTTTCAAGAATATGGTTCAGTTGAAGAGGCAACTAGACTATCAAAATTTGCATTTGTTGTAAGTATAATTTATATCTATAGTTTTCTTTAATCTTGTAACATATTTTTTTGAATACAGCATATGCCGAATGAGGATGAAGCTGATCGTGCTTTGAAAGGATTAGACAAATATCATCTGAGAGGTTTTAATATTAATGTGGAGGTACAATATCACTAGACTGCACTTCAACATATTTTCGCCATGACAACCCTTTATTTGTTTTAAGATTTCAACTAGCACAGCAGGAGAGAAAGGCGGACCGAGAAATAGAAATGAAAGAGGAAATTCCGCTGGACCTACGCGTGGTAGGGGGATGAATGACCGGGGAAGAGGAGGCGATAGCGCTTACAGAGGAGGCCCACCTGGGGGTCAAAGTCATTCTAATAACCGATATAACCCATATAACGATGGACCTCCTGGTCCATATTATCAAGCGGGAAATCGATCTGAATATGAACGCTATTTCGAGAAGAGACCTCTTAATGATATGGAAAGGCGGCTGTTAAACGTACTTCTTAGAAGAAAGGAAGACTTTGATGGACCTCAGCAACAACCCGTTTGGGATCCTTACAACAGGCCACCGCCGGAAGCCTACAAGAGGCCAAATGAAGGGTAAGCGACGCTTAAACACCAATGTCGTTTACGTGGTCATCAGGAATATTAGGTGAAAACTTTAATTACTAGATATTTGCTGCCTTTTCTCTCTAAATGATCGTTGAGCACTTTTTTAATTAAACCAAATTTGTCTTACAATTACTTTTCTCATTTCAATTTTCTACTTTGTGGCATATAAGCTGACTTTAATTTCATTTAGCGTATTGATTGTTCAAGTATCGTACCAGCTTAACAGTATTTACTTAACACTACCTCTCCGACTAGAATTAATTTAATTTCTTTGGTTAATAGTGTTTACATCATGTAGTTCAAATAATTTGCAGCAAAGGTATGACATTTTATATTATTGTTACTAAAGTTAAGAAATGTTACACTTCTGTGTCAAAATATCAGAATGAAAGCTGATTCGCCTATGTATATTAAATCAATCGGAAGTGAATTCAGTCAAGTACACAAATACTATAATCTGTACATAGACTTGTAATATGAAAAAATATGTTAAAGACTTATAGATTAAACCCTAGTAACTGTTATATGAGTAGAATGTGTATTTTCTTTCAGACCGGGGAGCTCCTATAAGGCCGCGATTACAACCAACAAGAGTAAATCAGGGGTTACTGGATCGACCATCTATGGATCAACTCTGGGTGCCTACCAATAAGCATGTAGTAGATTATCATTGCTACTATTCTATGTATCTATTCTCTGCTCTCCTTCTATGTATATATATATATATATATGTATATGTACTGTATATATATAGGTATTAAGTGTATAAAAAAAAAAAGTTATCCATTTTATTCATATCTTTGTAAACAGCTATCTTGGAATCAAATTCATATGCAGCACAAGAAAATTGCACTGTTATACTATACAAGACAAAATAACTTTTTGATAATAGCTTTTTTATTAAAAATTTATGATTTTTGTTTCACTATTTTTGTCGATTTAAAACTGAAGATTTGTAATAAGGCGTTTTATTTTTTGTTAAAATATATGCTAGTAAACAGGTATTTTTTTAAAAAATACTTAATTCTGTACATATATACTCTATATACTGTACATATATCTATATATATATATATATATATATATATATTGATATATGTATACTGTGGGAAATCTCTTAGCAGGTTAATTATTACAGAGCCGGATCAAATTTTTCCAATATTCTAAAGTGATTTGTCAAAGATGAATCTTGATTTTCAAAGTATCTCTTACTACTGACTCTCCCACCTAATTTCTCTATATTGCTGACAAATGATGTATATTCCCTCGCTATCCATGGTCTATTTTCATCATCTATTTGATAGGGTGTTACGTGACATGAGAATTTTTTATCAATTACTTCTTTCAGAATCTTATTGTCAGTCAAGTAGACATTTTTACCACCGTTGTGACCCCCATCTAGATAATAAAATATCTCTGCTCTTTTTGATAAGGTCGGCTTTTCTTCAGTCGATTTTGCAATTTCGAATAATAATTGATTTAGAACTATAATACCTTTACTAAATCCGACTATCCTTATAGGCGTGTTATTGTTGATCAACTCTGAATAGGAATCATCGAATTTTACAACACCTTCTAATAAACTCTCTAGATGGCGCCAAGAATGATAACATTCGGTATATTCAGTGGGATAGTACTTATTGTCCATTTTCAAGAAATTATGGTAACAGCTGAAAAAGAATTGGCTATTCAGAAATTATGCTAACATATCACACTAAATCATTACATTGAATTTATACGTCATAAGATATCGAATCATTTACAATCTATGACCTGAAATAGACCTTTAACCTCTTTTTTTATTAAACAAGGACAATAAGAGAACCTGCTTTTCCCTGTTAGTGAATATTTAGTCACAAGAAAATATATTCACATAGGCCTAATAACTATTTTTCTATACACGTAAAAGAAAACTACTAACCTGTATGTTCCATAAGCATATTCACTAGGCCTAATGATAATTACGACGGAATTGAATTTGTTATGTAACACATCCGCTGTTTTCTCAAAGCTCCACATTGAATACCTTCGATTATCTTTGTGATTTAGCATACTTTCTTCAAAATCCTGAACATCGCCACCAAAATAAACGACCACTCCCTTACTAAAATCTGTTCCATAAACTAGTACATCATTTTTACGATCATCAATTCCTTTGACGTTTACTAAACTAAGTCTTTATTAGAGAGTAAAAAAGAGAATTACACCCTTAGGGCTTATTGCATTGTTTTTTTGTTCTTTATTGAATAAACAGCTCGATAATAATTACATATTAAACTTTAATGAAAGCATTATTATGACATGTATCAACCTCAACCTCTCATCAGCCTATCGATCTTTAAACTTCCTAAATAAATAGAAAAGCATATATCTCTCTTCTATATATATAAAAGCACCCTTTAGTCAAAATAAACATTCGGTTATTAATATAATTAAAGAACTGTTAAAGGGTGGGGAGAAGTTAGTGTGAGGATAAAGAAACAATTGACAGGAGTGAAGGTTGGGGGCAGAAAGGGGAAGGGGTGTGGCTTAATAGAGGTTTGTAAAGAAGGTAAAATATGCTTGGCGGGAACAATTTTTTCAATGTTCAAACTCTAGTCATAGATGAGTCAAATGGGTGGTTGACGACGGGAACAGAATTAAAACTAGGTCAAATTTTAAAAAATAAGCAAAAATGTTATTTTTTTTTTGTCTTAGTGCATTCGAGTACTATGAAATATTAACCAGACTAAAGGTTCTTTTTCACTCTCTAAAAGACCGTTTGGGTGTCGACATAGTGTACTTGCTAGTTCAAAAGGAAAGAATCTACTTATCGAGAAGATAATAATAGCTCTTTTTAAAAAGCTTCGTCAGAAAGAGATCTGTTTATCGCAATAGTAAAAAAATATATCAGAATTATACATAAGCTTACTGTGCGACAGCCTTCATAGATTAAGCAGTAGGTCGTCCTCTTAACCTCAACCTGTACAAAAATAGTATCGTTTTGTTAATAAATGTTAATTGTGTTCACCTTCCAGTCTCTTATAGACGAAGCGAACTCACGTCATCTACTTAACACCTGTTCTTTTTTATATATTTATATATATATATATGTATATATATATATCTCTTGAGGTTATGACCTAGTGATACACCCTGGTTTTTCTTCCTTTCAGATATTCACTTAATAAAACGTTAGATTTCACCTATTCAATACGAAAATAGAGTTTTTTTTTTTCTACTTACTTATATAAGCTCTGACTCAATAATGCGTAATTTTCAATATACAATGTACATATATTGGAGATATTATATCACGAACGAAATTATGGATAATCGATAATAAACATTATTAACAATTCGACAATAGCACTTAAAGGTCAGAAGAAACAGAATATTCTTTCTTTTTTTTTTCACTTTTATTAATTTACTGCTAAATAAGTAGAGTTTTCCGATTCTTCTCCGTTTCGTAGAATGAATATTGTCATTATTTTTATAAATAACAGGCTTAAACCGACTATTGCGCTTGCTTCTCTCTCTCTCTCTCTTTTTCCTTTATTTATTAATATTTCAGTCTGTTTTCGTAACATCAATCGTGGAAATTATATAGATAAAAATAACCCCGAATTACATTCTATTGTTAACCTGGTAATATAAAACGTGTGACGTGCATTATATCAATCATTTGCTAAACAATTTGTAAATAAGGCTAAAGCTTGTCTATAATCAAGAAGCAGGTATAGTTTTTAAGCTCAAAATGTTATTTACAAAAAAGACGTTAGTTAACTATGGAAAGGGATTTTATTTGTGTACAAACCGTATTATGTAATATGGAAAATTCCTCACTCACCCTCCCCTACCTACCTACCTACCTAACTCTTGTAGTGCACTTTCCTCCTCCCCCTCCCCCCATCTTTGGCCCAGCCCATGAGAAAGCGCCACCTACTAAAAGTCGTTGACTGGTGTAGTAGTATTCAGTTGAACGGCGCATCGAGAGAGTTTCATAAGGAATATATCGAAAAGAGGAGGAATAAATTTTTTTGTATGATATAGCAGAATTATCTATTTAACGGGTGATACAGTTTAAAAGGATTTATCAAAGGACCAACCGCTATTATTCCTACTTAGGAGTTTGTTTTCGCAATATCCAAGGTTTTTATTATGTTTTTATTCTATCCCCTAATTAATATTTCATATGTATAAACGGTTTTACCTGATAATAATTACTCAATGGTTAGATCTTTAAATTAAGCGTTACATGTTTAAGGAACGTTTAATTTAATAAGTAGAATAATAAATAGGAAAAACAACAATATCTAGCCTATTACGCCTGTTCTCCTTATAGGCTGCTTTTAGAATAAGCTTTATCGAAACGAAACTAGGCCTACTTATCCTTTCAGTTCGTAGCTATTTATTTCTTAGGCCTAAAAAACCGGCCGAATCGATCCTTCTTCACCTTCGCGCAGTTTGTTTTCAGGCGCAAACTGTTACGTACTTTATAGTAGAGAATGTTAAATGATAAGTACAGAGAATATTAGCGATGTTTTATTGTTAATCACCAAACTAGAGAGTGGAAGGAGTTAAATATCTGCAGCTTGATAAATAGAAAGGAGAGGTCGGTAAAAACTAGGGGGGGTGGGAAAATTGAGAACAGAGAAAGATACGTATATCTATCTTTCTGTATATATATATATATAGAACTAGATATATATTTATATGTAAATGGCGTACGGGTACACAGATAAAGCAACAACAAAAAGAACGAATAGAGTGAGTGAGTGAGAGAGAGAGAGAGAGAGAGAGAGAGAGAGAGAGAGAGAGAATGTGTGTGTGTGTGTGAGTGAGAGAGTGAGCGAGCAAAAGGGAGTAGGAGAAGCTTTATGACATATAGATATATAAATAGCTATAAATAATATACGTAGACCTATAAGAAACAAAAAATTCATTTGATCAAACTTTTGTACTGACTAATGTGCATATGAACTTTCTTATATATATATACTGTATATATATATGTAAATTTATTATATTATGTAGACTGGTATCGTTTTAAAAAACAAAAAAAAATCTGTATCGATACATTTTTATTCTCATGCTATATACAAAGATTAGAATAACTGATAAAAACTTTCTATTTTGTTCTCATGTTATGAGAAACTATTCAAAATAACAAAACGTTTCAATCTGGTACCTAGAAAGAAAAATTTTTTTTTTCTTTTTTTTAGTACTAATCCTTTTGTTTTTTTTATCTATCTATATGTCTATTTGTTATTTATGGAACTCAAAAGGTACGGCGTTCTATTTTCCTTAATGGCGGACATTTTTTTATAGTAATTTCTCATTTTAAAGTAGAAAAACTGTTAGATATCGATCGACCGCTTTCCTTATCTTCCCTTCATGTCCCTCGTCTGTACGTTACATCATTTCTCTCTCTCTCTCTCTCTCTCTCTCTCTCTCTCTCTCTCTCACACACACACACACACACACACATACACACTTGTTATAATTAACCATATTTTCTAATATGGAATCATATATTTATTAACAAAGCGACAGAACGGGTTATTTTTCTTCGAAAAGGTACTGGCCAAAGAAAGCATTTTATAATTTACTTCCTCATGAATATTCATTTATTCATAAGTAGTTATAAAAAGAATATCATATTTGATTTCGATAAGTTTCCTGAAACCATTATGCTACTTTACTGAAAAACTCGATAAAACAACACAAATGAATTGCGCAACGGATTTTAGCCTCCGTACCTTAACCGGATGTCAAAGTGTAGCACTCATAGTAAAGTAAATTAGGAATTGATTAACGACCTCTCGCAGTAACTAGGTGAAAATAATTTAATAGACGATTTTAGAAAACCTCAAATAAACACGTATAAACGATTAACTTCGTATTAGTAACCAAGCCTTTAATATAATTCTACCACGTTATTTAGAAAAGGTTAGGCTCAATTATTAGTTAGAGCTCCATCTATCGACTGTATAAAACACCTAGGGTTATCGTAACTGTAACATCAATAATTTAGGTAAAAAAAATATTTTACCTTTAACAGAATCACGAAATAACTTTTTTTTAAAAAAAAGAATTACAAACGAAAGAGGAATTTTTATAAATAATAACCTTGGTAGTGTTTAATGGTTAAGTGAATAGAAAATTAGTATATTACGACTTTTTAAAAGGTCTAGGCTTGATATAACGATAGGTCTTTGCTTGAGGTGCGGCAGGTCTAGGCAATCGTTGACAATACAATAAAGCACTGTTCAAATGTTAAGATCGCTCTCTTTTTTTTCAATTTATATCGTAATCACCGGTGAATAATGAATTAATTCATGTGTTATTTTTTAATTTACTTATAGCATGATGAACAATCGTGGTCCTCTGAAAATACGGGTAAAGCGAAAGCTAAACTCGGAAGATTGGTATCGAGAAAAGCAATCCGATCTACATAACGAGTTTCTACTGGTACGAAAAGAAGAAAGAGATAGCATCGCGGATAATTCAATAGATAAGATAATGGTTGATAATAACGACAGTGATATTACAGTTGTTTATGAAAAGAAAGCCGAACCACATAAAGTAGAAGTGCTTGTACAACCTACCTCTAAAGCAGAAAAGCCAGTGAGGAAGAAGAAATCGATTAGACGAAATAAAGATATCTGTAGTGCTAGAATAAAAAAAGAACAGCTCCAGGAGCTGTTAGAAAATCTCCAAAAGCCTGGGCCTTTAGTCGGTGGTTATGTGCTAAATAGTAGTGTTATGCGGTGTACTAATATAGCTCGAGATTTTACCGAGGCCGATGCTGTTAAAGAAGTAAATAGACATTGCTCAGATATTTTACACCGCCGTAGTAAATTGGTCGAAATACTGTTAGAAGGCGATCGGTCTAGATCCTTCTTCAATAAGGATTTCCGTTAGTATATATTTATAAAAGAATTTTATATTTGTCCATTTCTGGTCAATGTGCTATAAGTTTCATTATCTTTTTAGCCTTCTTCAAAAGTCTAAAAATACCGAAATTTTGGTCAAAACATCCTGTAGAATTAGAAAACAACTCAAGAAAAAGCGTTTATTGGTCAGAAGTGTTAGCGAAATCAGATGAATATAAAATCATTTCAAATCTATTTCTAAGCACGGTTGATTCTTGCGAAGTCTCCACAATTTATAGGATACAAAATCCTTTTTTATGGGCATCCTATTGTTCGATGAAAGAACAAATGTTAGCCGAAAATTTACCACTGTAAGTATGATTGAAATAGTCTATCGATCGATGGTTTTCCCATTATGAGATATTTTTTTTACTATTTTTTATTCCTCTTGTGAATATTCTCTTTCGTTATTAAAACAGTAATGAAAATCTTCTTTTCCACGGAACAACACACGAAGCCGCCGAAAGTATAGCTCGGGAAGGTTTTAATCGAAGTTATTGTGGTAAAAATGCCACAATGTTTGGTAGAGGCGTGTACTTTGCCATAGATTCCTGTTACTCAACAAATCCTTTATATTCTCCTCCCAAAGAAGACGGTACAAGCGTCATGTTTCTCGGAAGAGTTCTAATAGGCCTATCAATTCAGGGAGATAGCGGAATGAAATACCCTCCACGTATAGCAGATAAAACATCGAAAGAATTCAATCCAACACAATATAACAGTACAGTGAACGATATGACTTTTCCTGGAATATATGTCGTGTATAAAGACTGCCAAGCGTATCCACAATACTTGATTGCGTTTAAACGATCTAAATAGGCGATATATTTCATTTTTTTTTCATTACTATATAAATATACAAATTAAAACATTACTGTGTATTTTTTTCTTTCCCGTATTATTTATTATATTCTCAGTTTTTTCTTTCTATTTTCTTCTATATTTTTTTTTTGTTCTCTTTTTTTTTATTTTTAATATCAAAGAAAAAAAAAACAAAGATTTTCTCGTCTTTCTACAAGAATATTTCTTTTCTTCCTTTAATAAAATGCATTAAGAAAAAAAAAAAGGAATACAATATCGATGATTAAGTGGCCATGTGCCCCAGGCATATTTTAATTATGCATAACTTATATAGACAGTTAAAATACAGAGTATATACCAAATAATTCATTTAGATATATGAGAAATATTGTAATAGAACTAAAATTACAGGACGAAGAGTGTTTTTAAATGAATTTTTAGAATGACAAGGTGTAAAAAACCGTTACGTATCTTCTTTTTTCCTTTTGTTTTCTCTGTCTTTCCTTCCACCTTTTAAGATTGATCTTTATGTAATGTTTTTTTTTTCTTCTAGATAAAAATAGAAAGAGAGAGAGAGAGAGAGAGAGAGAAAGATTAAATAAGAAGAGTCGTAAGAATAGGAGGAAGAAGTCAAAAAAAAAATACTTAGGCCTACATTAATATTACATAAAAAAAAGAAGAAATTGACCTTATTCTCGACCAAGATTGGGTTGTTAGATAAGCTTATATACGTAGTATAAATTTACCAGAAAGTAATAAAAATTCCCAATATGTAAAGTATTTGAACGTAGCGATAAAAGAAATTGTATAGAAATATATCAATTAGGCATAAAAAAGAAGCAATAACGTTCTATTTCTTTTATCCATATACACATATATATATATATATATCTATATATATATTACTATATAGTGTTAGTATGTAAAGGTTTTATTTCTATTTGATATTATCTTCTTCTATTGTTGCCTTATTCCAAGCTCAATGAATACGATAGATTTACTTTTTCTTATAGTTATAGGAAATTAGAAGTAAAGCTGAAATTAGACACAAGCTGAGCTATTGGGTTATTCAAGGTCTTGGCAAACTACGTAATTTTCTAACCTGATAAGATAAACCAAGCGAACTTTCGAAAGCTCAAATAGGCTTATGGAATATGTATAATTACAGTTTTTTCAATACAAATATATATATATAATATATATATTAATATATTTGTACTTGTATTTATAGATATATTTATTAATACATATATTGCATTTACAAAATAAGTATCTATGAGTGAAGAACTGGGGATTTATTGATCAAATTCATAGTCTATTTATTAAAGCTGCGCAATATATTCACTTTCGCTTTTCATTGTATATTCGAAAATATGACGTTGCCAGCGATAGGATTGTCAGGCGTCGTTCGAAAGATTGATCCTATGGAAAAATTGTCTCTTTGCGAAATTAAAGAAAGAAACTCTCAATTCTATAAACAGAAATTTTTATGGGAAAAGACTTGGACAACTACAAATAAAGAATATGGTATTTGGAGCGATCAACCTTTCATTAGACCAATAACGAATAAATCAAGAAGGGAAACGCTTTGGAGACCTAACTGGTCTACAACTTACTCCGAAATAGGGACACAAGAGAGAAATCATTCTAGAATTCGCCTACCATATTTGTAAAGCATTTGCTGTAGTTCTTGCCTCTTTTTTCTTTTCTTACCTATTCTTTCTTTTTATTTTTTTGAGTAACGATTGCTGTAGGCCTTTTGGAATAATTCTTTGCAGAATAAAAAGTATAAAGTGAATAGTAAAATGTTGATTTACGTCTTTCGTTTGCGCTGGCTTTTCTTTTCATTAGTTGAAATCAATTCAGTTTGGTGAACCGGCTATGTCATACGAACGCTTTAGAAAATTTGAAACTCGTTGGGAACTTCCTCCAATAGAGAAATGCAGGTATCTGGTACAACAGCCTACTTTCCAGCTAACGAGAAGTTATCCGCCACCTCCTAAAACCGGAACAGTGGCTAAAGTCTACATGACAAATTCGTGCTCACGATTATGGAAGAATATGCGTACTATTAGAAATGGGGGTAGAACGCCATACGACTACTACCTTCGTTAATAAATGGTATTTCGCAGCAAGAGGTATAAGGATATATCGTCTATAAGACTTTGAAATATGTATATATATATCAGATAACTTTATAAATAAATCATTATTAAAAAAAAAACGACATTCTAATGCCGGAACCCGGGATTGAACCAGGGACCTTTAGATCTTCAGTCTAACGCTCTCCCAACTGAGCTATTCCGGCATCGTCTATTTTTAGTTTTCTTTTCAAACAATATAAATGAGAATTAACCTGTAATGTAAACCTACCGTTTAGATAGGTAATGATTTTTTCCCAAGTTCTAAATACATTCATATATATATATATGTTGTATTAAACTAATAAGCTGTAATATTATCTGTTAAAATGGAGGACATTCTAACATTATGGTTCACGAGGAAACTTAAGCCAATTTTTAAAGGATACTCTGTAACTTATTACTTTCTTTTAGCAAAGAAAAGGACTACACGTTTTTCTTGTTACAGTTTTGGTATTTTTCCTCTTGAATAGGCCTAAATTATACTAAAAGTGATAATTTATTTTTACGAAAATAAGACTAGAAAACTAGAACATTCTTTTTTCTACGACCCAGTTTTTATCTTATTCTTCTTATTATTATTATTCTTTTTGATATCATTAAATGAATTTTTTAATTAATCAACTTATTATCTAAAGAAGCGAAAAAGAATCAAGGAATATATATATATATATAGATATTCGCAGAGCAACGTATTTTATTGAATTTACTCAAAAGCAAGAGTAGAACGCTTCCGGAACATTCTTTTGTAAATAGGCCTTAATAAATTCAAAGAATAGTAAATGACATTTATCTGACTTTCTACTAAGCTGGGAGAATAGCATAAGAACAATGAGTGCTATTTTTCGTATTTTAACTATTATGTTTATTATATTCGTACAACCTAGGTCAAGGACTATTGGTTCATAATAAGGATACTTAACTCTTCTAACCTTTGATAATTCATCTTCAAACAGACCTAACTTATTTACTATTATCAAATTAGAGCGCCACCTACTGAGAAAATAATTTTTTTGATTAATCATTACAAGTAAATAATTCTTTGAATTTTTTACCTTTAGAGAAAGTGACGCAAAGTAAAAAAAAACACTCCAAGCTAAGAATATTAAATATGATGTTTTTTTTTTAAAAAAACAAAAGAGAAGATAAATAATCTACATTAAATACTATGGAAAGCGATTGTTACGTTGTATATTTAATGGAGTACATTTAATTAGATTTTAGAGTAACTATAAAAGGGTTAATAAAAACAATAGAAAATTGCTTTGGAAAATAGTTCATTTAAAGCATTTAAAGAATAAAAATCGATATATTAAATATGGAAATTTAATACTGTTTATATATATATATATATATATATATAATTATTGGAATCATTGTTGCTAGTTTTATAGTGTTTTGTTCATATTAAGTGAATTTCTCCATTTTGGAAGCCACAAACAAAAGAAGTGACGCCATATGTATGACTATAATTGCGTGTACCTATTCTTGGATGTGGCTGATGTACATTTATAGTAGCAAATCAATCCAAGGCTATTTTTCATTTCAATCCCTGAAGGCCTTCCTCTTCTACTAACTTATCTATATGTGTATAAAAAAAAAGAGAAAAATATTTAGAACACAAACACTGACCTCTCTTATGATTCATGCAATACCTCAATTCTTTAAAAAAAACCATTTTTCCCTATTACTGTTTGGTTTTTGTCTTTTTCTTACCCTTTTAGTAAATGTTCAGTTTTCAAGGGTTTTTTTAATAAGTCTTTGAGTGGGTATAAATTTAATAGCATGTATTAATACTTGTATATCACATAGATATAAAAGATAAAGGTTGCAGAGAACAAAAGAAAAAAAGAAAGAAAGAAAGAAAGAGAGAGAGAGAGAGAGAGAGAGGGAGGAGAGGGAGAGATGTCGGAAAGGAGAATAGAGTAGCAGCATGAGTGTATTACTGAGAAGGGTATATTCCATTGTTGAAAAATTAGTTTCGTTATAAAAAAGAAGGGAATATAGAAAAGACATACAAAAATAATTACGAATACTTTACTTAGCATTTCTCTCTCCCACTGTTATCTATCTATCTATCTATCTTTCTCTCTCTCTCTCCCAATGTTTTTTTATTTCGTCTTATATCATGTTGAAAATATTTTCTAGATATATTTTATCTTTTTCAATAATTAATTTTGTGCTTCAGAAAGAAAAATAACAAAGGAAAGAAAGAAAAAAAAAACAACACCTGTAATTCTCTACTATATTGCAGTGTGTTCTCTTTTTTTTTTGTTACCAAATACGTTTAATGCAGAAATATTTTTCTATTTTGTAACGAAAATGACTGTTTCTATAAGCTCTCTCATGTGTAAAATATAAAGATTTACATTGGTTTTTCTGCTTCCCTCTCTCCTATCCTACTCTCTTTAACAAATATCCCTTTTAATATATAAATAAATAATATACCATATACTGTATATATACCATTTATACATTATAATCCGTTCAACGTAAATCCCATGTGTAGTATGTGTTTATAATATCTAACATATATCTATGTGTATATATATTATATATTGTACATATTTATTATTGTAATTTGCCTTATTAGACCTATTTAAATTATAGATATTTGAAATTCCATGAAAGTTTCAATCGAGTCGTTAGAAATAATCTATTAAGTAGCATTTTAATATATTTATACAACATAGAACGAAATTGATTTTTTTTTCAAAATTACGTTTCACATAAAATTAGTTTTGATTACGATAATATTTTAGCTTTTTACATAATTAGATTAAGTCTATTTTTGACTAATTTAATAATTTTTCAAGAATTTTTGAGTTCAAGTATTATATTTAATATAAAAAGTAACTGTCATCATTACGTATGATTATTTTGCTCTTTTATAAATATCATTGACGAACGACTAGTTCATTTTCTTGTTATTTATCAATAGAATTAGTACTTCAATACTTTTCTGGTTGGGCTATTTTAAGAGACGACTTGTAACAGTACATAATGTCGTATTGAAATGACGTAATACCTTGTGTAATCTTAGCCTTGTTGTCTTGCAAGTATCGCAATATGATTAATGTTAATATGCCTCGACAGTTAGCGCTTGTTGGATAAAACAAATTAACTTGCAATATATATACAGTATATATAGAAATTGCATTGTTTGTCATACAAACCAGGTAATTTTACTTACTAATATGAAACAAGATGTCTCATAAAAACCTGACATTTTTTTTTATACAACGTCATACCAGACAGCAACCATATAAAAAAAATGATTGACAATGACTAATTATTGATTCGTCATCCGTAAATAGTCGATGAATAATCAAGTAAAAATATTCTTCGACCCTAAAATTTACTCCCTCTTTAATTACCTTTGTGTAATAGTTACGCTTCCTTTTAAGTTATTAGATTGTTAACCTAGATTTGCTGCATATTTGTGGGTATACGTAAAATATTAGACACACTGAGCCAATATCGACAGTATCTAAGCAGGTTAATACCGTTCGATGGCTATTCTATTAGTGTTCGTGATACGAAATCTTCTGGGAAAACTAGGCATGATATTTTTATGGTTAAAGTCGTTGATTCTCTTCCTTAATGTCATCCAACGTAAGTGTCATTCGAAAGTAAACTAATACGCCATCTATCGTCTTATAGCAATAATTAAAAGCAGCTCTTGACATATTTTTTAAAGCAATTTTATTATTATTATTATATTTATTATTAATATTTTTTTATACAAAATGAGGGTCTGGATAAACCCTTAACAATGTTCGAACGTTCCAAATTTTGTTTCCGATCAGATCATCACAGTCTTGTAAAACGAGCAAGCAAATTAGGCTAGAATTTCGTCCAACTTTCATTTTAACACGAAACGAGTAATTTAGCAAGTATAAGTATAGTGGACAAAACAATATTTTCATCTATATGAATTTATTACAAGCTTCCTTTTAACTGTTCGATTGTTGATTGCAACAGAGCAGTCTGAGCCTATAGCAAAGGACGAAAATACAAAGTATTAGTAGGTATTGCTATTTATTATAATTAGATTAAATAAAAGTTTTCTAAAAATACCTTGGCGTGCTTTATCTCCATTTCAGCTAAGTCTGTAAGATTCTTTTTAAAGTGTTTTATGCGTCTCTTCTTAAAGTCATCGAGTTCTGAAAGATAAATGAGATATGTTCGTGATTTAGAAACAGGAATATCATACGCTCCAAGGCTCGTATTATTTTGCAGTATGAATTTACATCATTGAGTCTTTAGTGGGAAAAAAAGCTAAAATATATAACTTACCCTCTCTTGCTGTTTCGGATAATTTTTCAAATCTTTCGCATGCTTCTTGCTGTTGCTTCTCGGTGATGTAAACATCTTTATTCTTACTTCTTGCTTTGTCCAGTGCTTTATTCGCATTTTCGTACGTAGCCAGAGCTTTAGAACGTCTATAAAGTAAATGTTTAGCCGCTGCCGAATCACCCAAATAATAACGGAATGTATCGGATAATTTCAAGTCTTCATCGGACGCTACCCGGCTTTCCAGTTCCTGTCGATAAAACGAATAATATATTTTTATTAACCTACTAGTACAACAATAATTAATTACAAGTTTAATCTTACCCTAATTTTTTCAAAACATTCGGCTAAACAATGTAGTAATCTAGTAAAATAAAATAAAAGAAAAAAAATATAGTCATAGTTTTAAATTGAATAAATAAAAAGTTTATAAAAAGGATTAAGTGTTCAACATGAAGATTACAAATTTAAACGAATAACTAAGGGAAAATAGGATTTAATAGTAAAAGTAGGGTGATGGGAAGACAATATCCAAGAAACGTTCATGTTCTTAACAGTGAAACAGACTTAAAAAGGGATCTATTTAAACAAAAAAAAATTAAAGCTACAATCCAACCTTCCTAAATTGGTTCTTTCTATCCGGCCTCTGTAGTTATTTTAATAGAATATTATCGCAAATATTAGTATTGATAGATATAAAAAGAAAAGAAAGTAAATTTTTTAAATAAACAACATTTGTGTAAATTCTTTTCTAATAATACTGTTATATAAGGAATTATAAAGAATATAATTTATAAATCATATACTTACGCTTCAATGTCGGTATTCTCTGCATTAGATAGTTCGGATAAATTGGACGATGCTTTAAGATAGCTATCTGATACGTCTGGAAATTATTTTAAAAAATAAAAATATGTTAATTTATATGGTAATATCGAATAAACTATTCATGCTTACTCTTATGGCACTTTGTCGTTTGATCAGCAGACAGTGTGGCGCCTTTTATTCTAAGGTAGTAGGTGACTAAGAACTTTCGTTGTTTTTCAAAGAACTCATCAACATCCTAATAATAGATCAGTGTTAGAAAAAGAGAATAAAAGAAAAGTAAAATATACGAGAATTATATAATTCATATCAAGGTATCACATCACTTGCTCAAAATAGTAGGTCTATATGCTATTTACAACGCCCCTTAAATTTAGAAGCATATATCGTTACACTTAAAATAGGATACTGAAAATTAATTAATGCCAAGCTTACTTATAAATCCTATTTTATTAGAAATTAACTTACTTTTTGATTTGAGAGGAGTACTTCGTCAACAGATTGAACTGCGGTTTTAAAATAGCCTCCTAGTTTCTCTTTCTTATTTTTTCCTCTAACGTTTAGCTATTAGAAAGAAACAAAAAAGTATAAATTTATAGTAGTTAGTTAGAGTTATTATTTAGATTATTTAAACAAAAAGAATAGAATTATCTTGTTATTTCTCTCTTTTTTTTATATTGTCATCAATGATTTAAAGCCAATAACAGAGTACAGGCTCCACCCACAAAAGGTCAGAAAACGTTCAATATTTTTATATTAACATATTTCTCTATTAACTAGTTCAATATATATATATATACATATATTTTCTAAAAGACTTACATCCGATTCGTACTCCAAGAAAACTCTAAATTTAACATCTTTTCTTAAGAATGGGTGGGCAGCTATTCTTTGTAAGAATACTTCATGCATTGCTACAGTCTTTTTAAAGGTGGCTAAATATTCCCTAAAAACAACAAACAAAAAAAAACAAATTCATTATTGGACTCTTTTGTTTATTTGTATTATTTTAAGGACAAACTTACGCTTCTAATTCTTTTTTCATCTTTTGGAATTCGTCTTTTGTAAGTGTTCCTTCACCTTCTCCTAATTTTTGCAATTTTTCCCTTGAAGCATCAAAGTCCGGCTTTGGAGGAGGCGGAGGTATCTATAAATTAAATAATTGCTTCATAATACCTAAATCATTTAAAAAATTCTTTCTAATTGTTCTAGAATTATACCAAAATCTTATGTAATAATATAGTATATTATCTTACAATTATTCCTGCGTATTCCTCAGCGCTTTCAAACATATCGTGCAGCCAAATAAATTCTTCATGTTGCCTAACAACTGAAACTTCTGGCTTTTGAAACTCTTGTAAACTAGTCTACAATTATTATGAAAAAAGTATTATTCATTATCATTTATCTACAAATCATTTAAAGAAACTTACTTTTGTGTGTACAGTAAATTTCACTTTATCTCTTTCGCTTAGAGCATCAGATATGTCCACAGCAATGGGGGTGGCCTCGGCGTTCAGGTCGACAGTCTCCGATTTTCCTTTCTATTAGTATTTGAAATTAGAATTATAAAATGTTAAACTTTGACATTGCTCTAAACACACTGTAAACAAGTTGTCACCAAGAAAATAAGGCAACTTTTGACTGCCGATTTTCCTATATGAAACTACTTCCTCATTTGCCATGTTGACTCATTAATTGCAAATGAAGGACATCCAAAGAGGCGTAGCTTACGTTAACGCCGTGAAGATAATATTACAATAGACAAGTTAACAAATTATATATCACGTGACACTGACTCAAAAATGACAAGGTACTCTTTAAAATTATGATTTGAAAATTTAAACAAAAAATTACACATTACCGTTGCTGTAGCACCGCTAATCACATCATGATCTCCAATATCATCCTGGAAATAGATTTATTTTTTTAATTTTTAAATTCAAAGTGAAATAAAACAGTTATTCAAGAAATTTTATTTACACCCACCATCATGGCTGCAATTTGGTCATGTGACCAAGAATGTTGGCAAGTCTTCTTGCCATCTTTCGGTAAATGTATGAATATGAATAAGGTATATTTCTTTTACAGAATTTTTCTTATAAAATAAAAAGAAAGTGTTATTGTTTTGTTTGGATGAACTAATGAAATTGTTTTTATGCCATTAGAGTAAAACTGTAAACTTTAGCTTGAAATAAAAATGTTCTTATTTTATTTATAAATATATTATAAATATTCATATATCGCATTGACGACTGAGCTTGAGAAAGTACGCATGCGCATTTGGGTGAAACCTCGTGGAAATAAAAAATGGCGGCTGTCGACAAACTAGCCGAATCGGGGCAAGAACCCTTGAAGATTAATGGGAATATGGAAGAAAATGGAGTGAATGGAGAAGATAAATTTAAAATCGAATGGGGTTTTGATTTGGAGGATGCCTATAAACTAGCTTTAATGTTTTATCGAGGTAGGATCCTACTATAGGCCTAATTTGGGCGTTTTACACTTTTATAGTTTGACGCTTGCGAAAATCAGATGTATTTTAATGGAAACAGCTATACAATGTATTATATTAAGCAAATAACCATAAAGTTTGTCTGTAATGATGAATTACTATCGCTGTAAATATAAAGTGAAAATACCTGTAAAAACACAAGAATTGGTTGCCTAGAAACAACTAAAATATCTTTGTAGTTTTCGTCTATAGCTAAGATTTTAATATACATTAATGTTGTGTTCTTATAACTCTGCTTTATTAATTATTTTTTTTAGAAAAGGAAGGAAAAGCAATGCAACTTTCTTATAAGGATAAAATACGATTAGTAGCCTTAATTAAACAAGTAGCTTATGGAAAATACAGAGCGGATGTCTCTCCTGCAGTTGGTTTTCTTGATGTCGTCGGTAATGATAGGAGGTAATATTCATTTTCAATTTTTGGTTTTTAAAAAAGCCGGGTTCGAATAATGGCGCCATCTACCCCCTATAGTCTGATACATCGTCCAAAACTATTTTCAAAGAATTCAACTATAAATAATAGATGATAGAATGGTAGACCGTTTGACAAACAATTTTCAGACCAATCGCCGATGCCAGTTTTGATATTATATTTATCACGCAAACCTACTAGGACGTTAATGCTCCTATAAGTTTTGTATAATTGCTATTATTATGGTCTATACAAAACCTAAATAATGAAAAATTATTGTCCATCTCTCATTCTTTATTAGACGAAGCTATCTTGTTTGTAATTAAAAGGATGATGGAAGAATATACTTGTTTTATTTTAGAGTTTTTTTAAGCACACACGCTGTCCTTTATATTGATTGGATTTTCTCTAAATGGGACTTAATTCTTCCACTGTGACGTCACAACTGATGAAATTTCAACAAACTAGAAAATCCTTCGATTAAATTTCTTATTTAGTTTAGGTTCTTTATTTGTCCGACATTTTGTCTTTTATATATATTTTACTGTTTAAGTAAAAAGAGAAACAAACACGAAGAAAGATGAAGTTATAAATACTTTATAGTAAAAAAAATCCTATTAGGGAAGTAGAAGAGAGAAATTGATTAAAAGCAAAGTTAAGAAAATATCAAGATAAAATTAAGAGAATGAAACTAACACGGAAGGGAAATCAATTAATTATATTAATCTATAGATTATCTCTATTAACGCAGATTTACTTAGAGAGCAGAGAAGTCAAGAGTAAAATGTTAAATGAGAAACATGTGGGTTTACGTATTTTTCTTCCTCTTTTAAGGAAGTTGGCGTGCTAATTAAGTGTGATTGTGCCTCAAATATATACTCTAGTATCCCTATTAAACAGTACAAACTCGGATAACTGATGTTTTCCAAGAATTTTATTTTTATTTTGTGATATTTATTTTTCTGTTTTCTCTCTTCTTCTTCTTCTTCATCCTCTTCTTGCTTATAGTCGCCTATTGCAATAAATACGTTGTACGTAATACGGGAAGCCGTAATATTTTTAGCCATTAATTAGAAATGGGATTCGATTAGTCGGCTACTGCAACGACTGCAAAATTTCGTTATGCCGCTTGACGGAATTAATAAAGTCTGGGAAGGTCATTTCAGCTTTAGTGTAGGTAGGTCGGGCAGAACGCTCTAACTTAATATTCATATTTAATAGAATATTTCTATTGATCTTTCACGCAAGTATTAATACTTTCGTATAATATCCTCGCGATAAGAAATAAAATTCTATCGATTAATAATGGCGTAAATAAAAGGAGTTTTATAAGGTTTATTAACTTAAATTATATAAAGAGTTAATATATATATTAGATATAAAAATACGGTTATGGATGCGCAATCCGTCTAGTTTATAATATTAATATAGATATAGATAAGGAAAGGAGAGTGTAAAACGGGTTGGGAAGAATATATATTGGAAGGGAGATAAAGATAAGGTTTTTATTCTATAAATTTCAATATGAATTAATAAAGAAAATTTTTCGTTTAGACATTCGAACCCGGTTGAATGGTGGTGAGTTTGCACGGGATTATTCGTTGTAATTAATTATTATTCATTTTTGTATAATTCTTAATATTTTTAATATATAAAGTATATATATATATATATATACTGTGTATATATATTTATATATATATAAATATATATAGACGTTTTTAAATTCAATTTCTAGAAATTATTATTGAAAAGAAAAGAAACCGTACAAATTCTTGTCATGTTTATTGATAATTATTTCGTTATCAACCGACCCTTTTTTTATTGCCTTTCGGTATTCAACCCGCACTCTATGTCAATTTGAAAGTAAATTACTACTTTATTTCTTTTCTTCTTTCTCCCTTCCACTCTATCAGGCAAGCTTGGCAAAGTTTGGGAGACATGAAGAAGGAAGACGCAATGAGAGAATTTATAGATCTGCTCAATAGGGTTTGTCAACTATTTAAGCCGTTCATGCAAGCTCAACTGGCCGAAAAGGAGGATAAAGAGAAACAACTGTAAGTCATAAATGTATCAGTAACAATTCTTTGTTTCTACGTTTTTCCGAATTCTCTTTTTTATAAGATAATCGCTGATCAGGGAGCTTTGTAGTTTTATAGTTATGTAGAATTTTAAATCTAAAGCGATATACAACGACAAAAAAACAATTTACAAGGGTGCTTTTAACGTATTCGCATATTTATTGTTTATTTCTAACTTATTATAGCAGGTTAACGTTTCTAAACTATAAAGAGCTATAGAGATTTTCTTTTTGTTATATTATTCGTTTTTTCAAAAGTAAAAGAGAAGAAAAAAAGAAACTTGTCTCCCTTTCTTTTTTCTCTGTGTTTCTTATGTATAAATCCTGCGATGTCATTTTCTTGGCGTTCTAAGCTTCCTTTTTCTAAGCGGACGATTTTAACGCGGTTCAACGGCTTTTTATTCCATCGGGCTTTGTAAGGATAAAGGGGTTGAGCGAGAGGGAGGGAAAGAGGATAGAGAAAAAAAAAATATATATAGAAAGAACGAAAGAAATTAGAAATATAAAAGTGATAACACAATTCGAGAGTGAAGATGATTCCGATCAATATTATTATCTCTTTTATTCGACCATAGACGGAATGGTGCACAGAATATATAGATTACGCAGGTAAAAAAAAACAAGAGGAAAAAAAGCGGTAAAGATGATTAATATGAAAGAAAAAGACACAAGAAGATTCTTTTTTCTTGTTGTTGTTGTTGATTTATGATAGGCGTGACAGAATAAATATGAGTATAACAATAACAATTAGGACAGTAACATACACACATATATATGTATATATAAATGTCTATATACGTATTTACATAAGAAATACAAGCGAACAATGCATATAAAGATAAATCGGATACTGATCGTAGAAAAGAGGGTAAAGCAGTTTTCTTTTTTTTTTTTAGTTTGTCAATACCTAGATAATTTTTTATTGTTATAATATCGTATTAGAAAGTTTTTGGGATCGATATAAGATTTTATATTATAATGCGAGATAATTTCTGAAGAAAAGAAAATTAGGATAGGGCGGGGGTAGTATTTTTCTTCTCTTTTCCTTTTTTTTTATTCTCACTTTTACCCCCCCTCCCCTCTCATTCTCCCCTACCCGTTATTCTAGAAATTATCAAAGAGTAGGGAAAGAAATCAAAAAAGAAAACATAGGCCGAAAACGAGAACGTTTTCCTCCTATTTTCTTTTTGTCCGTTGATGAATATTTATTTATATTTGGGTTTTGGGAATGAGGAACATAAAAGAGAGGTTGTACGAGAGAGATGAGAGAGAAAAAGTGTCAAAGAAAATAAAGTTGGATTGTTACTTCACCAGTGGACGCCGTTCGAATCGTATATCTAGAGAGTTTTATCTATGGGGTCACTTTAGTCTATATATCGATCGCTAGTCTGGGGTGGCGTATTTGCAGTCGAGATGGGAATACGATTGCAGTATGTAGAATTTGTAAAACTTTCCCCCCCCCTTTTCGTTCTTTTAGCCTTGAGCTTTCTTTTTCCCTTTGTATTTTATCAATTTACGAATTTTTTTTAAATATTTTATTTTCATATTTTTTGATTATAATTGATTGGATTATTGAAAATTTTCTTTTCACGTATTTTCTATTTCTTTTTGCTTCTAGAAGAGAGGAAGAAGTTGCTAGGAAAGAAGTTGAAGAGGCGGCTGAAAGGGAGAGAAAACTGTTGGAAGAAGAAGCAAGAAGACAACAAGAATTAGAAAGAGTCAAACTGAGCCAGCAAGAACAACATATCCGAGCCGTTCTCAATCAACAAACTTATCCGCAGTTTAGTCAATATGCCGCTCAACAGCACCCAAATGATAGTCAACAACAAGCGGCTTTACTAACTCAGTTGCAAGAGCAACACTATCAGCAGTATATGCAGCAAGTGTATAGGCAACAGCTTCATCAACAACAACAGTACAAACAGCTGAATCCATCAACAACGTCTTTGGAGGATGTGAATGTTAAGGATAAAACTGAATCGGATAATGAAGAAGACGAAGAAGAAGGTAAGAGAATTATAGCGGAAGAGGACGAGAAAGTTGATCCGCAGCTAGTGGATAAATTGCCGCCTATCGTTCCCGCTGCGCTTTGGACGAAGAAGGAAGGAAAACGGTTTAAGGAAGAAAGACGTAGGGCAACGCACACTTTTAAAGTGCCTTCGCTTTCTTCTGCGACGGTGCGTTTGTTAGTTTTGCGGTCGGCGGCACTCATTATTTACCTCTTTTCGGTTTTTTTAGCCTGATTTCTTTTTATTTTTTTATTAGTAATTTGAATGCACAGTAATTTAGACGCATAATGAAGCGTATTCTCGTTTCGTCGATCATCGTTCCATTTCATATAAGGAATAGACGAGATTAGGGACCTCGAGAAAACGTTAAGAATTATCCCCTACTTTTTAAACCCTCGAATAAATAGATGGAATATATATAGATATATAGATATACTGTATATATATATATAAGATAAAAAGTAGTATGGGAAAGAGAAGATAAAAAAACATTGATCGAATAGGAAATATTCCAAAAGCTTTCCGTTGTTCGTCTTTCTTACTAACAAAAAAGGAGAGGGAACGATGTATTGGCTCTATAACAAGAATACTACAAGACTAGTTTTTTTTTTCTTAGTTTTGAGGTATTTTTATTTTATTTTCCTTTATTTTAGATTTAGAAAAAAATCTCCTACTTCTCTTCTCTTCTTCCAGCTGTTTCTTTTACTATTTTTCTTTTCTTTTCTTGTTTTTTTGGATGAAAAGAAGAGAAAAGAAAAGAAAAGAGAAGGGAAGAAGAGAAGGTGAACTTTGGATAGTTTTAACCTAGAATTATGCTATACGAGAATAAATTTATGTTACCTCCTTCTCTTACACACCTCCCATAATTTTTACGTTAGACAATAACTTGGTTTATGAGAGAGCCGTATGAAGAAGTCTTATACGTGAGACGGAGAAGGAGTACTTGATACTTTTTTTGTTTGTCAAAAAAATGAAAGCCTAGGGCTATGACAAATTGTGCATAATTCTGGGAGAATAATTTTCTAGTATCTAGGGTTCTTTACGCCTTTACAATTTTATGAGTAAATTTAATTGCGTTTTCACGTTCATACCGTAAAGGAGTAAAGCCATTTTTCATTTAGTTTTATATATATATGTGACATAACATAATCATAAATAACGTTTGTCGTCGTTATCGTCGTTCTTCCTTCTCCGCTCCGATTTTTTACAAGGTTCACAAAAAAAAAGAAAAAAAAACAATTACTATTCCAGATACTTTTTATTTTTCTTTTTAGTTTTTGCATGCACGTATTCCTTTATTGTCTTGTCGTAGGAGAGAAAACATCGGTTATCAGTGCCCCGTCCATGTGGACTAGGAAAGAACTGAAGGAATTTAAAGAGAGTTTAAAAGCTGATAAGGATACTATCTTAAAAGTCGGATCGGGGGAGACAGTAACGGTATGTGTTGTGATAGTTATATTTAAGACAAAAAAAAAAACAAATAAGATAGCAAACTAAAAAAGAATATGATAACAAAGGAAAGTAACAAACTTTCCATTGTTAAGACAAACGAATAATTAAAGTGTTGAGCACCTACTTTAATCTGTTTGGCGTTGTGGTATTGTGCATGGCTTTTGTCGCCGACCTCAGTACCATCTACTAAACTTTTCTATTAACTATATACAAAACGAGCAGGAGATTGCCTACTGGAATTTGGCGCCTCCCTTTGATGAGAGTCATACCCTCTAGCCCTCAACTCTTATTCATCCTTTACTGTCTATTAGTATTTTACGACATAGGAAAATTTATATTAATTTATATAGTAAGAGACAAGAAAGATAATTACCTGAGCAAAGTTATTAATTTACCTTAAATAGTCTTCCTTTCACTTTTTGACAATGAATATTAACTGTAATGAGTTTCTATTCTTGTATACGTTTATAATATATATATATATATATATATGTATACGTGATGAAAAAGGAAGAATATCCTTGACCTAGAGTTTGAAAAAAAGAATAAGAGATGAGAGAGAGAGAGAGGGAGAGGCGGGAGATGTTTAAAGTCCAGACTGGGGAACAATTTACTGCTCGGGAAATAAAGTAAATAATGTTATCCGCCTATCTTACTAACTTTCCCTAAACAGATCCGCGTCCCGACTAGTGAACATGGCAACTGTCTTTTTTGGGAATTTGCAACAGATTACTTCGATATAGCTTTTGGTGTCTCTTTCGAATGGACTATAAATCCTGAGGAAAATATACGTGTTGAGATCAACGAATCTAGCGACGAAGAGGAGGAGATCGAGGAAGGTGCAAAACCACCAGGTGATGTTGAAGGTGGAAAAAAGAAACCGGATGGACCTCCTCAAGATGAAATTATACCGGTTTATAGGCGAGATTGTCATGAAGAGGTTTATTGTGGTTCCCACATGTATCCTGGAAAAGGAGTTTATTTATTGAAATTCGATAACTCCTATTCTTTGTGGAGGAGTAAAACAGTTTACTACAGGGTTTACTATACAAATTAGTCATAATATAATGTTGTCGGGGCTTAATATTTGTATCCTTGAGTCGGACTAATGTTGTGCAAAATAATTAATGAATGGCATTTCTTATTCAAAACGAAAAGGCATAAAACAATACAATTCAGACTCAAACTTTTTCAAAAATATAACATTTTTTTATGTTGTGATGAAGAGAAACGTGATATTACGAGATAATGATATTAATAATAATAAAACTAATGAAAAAGTATTGTATTTAACGCCCACAAGATTACTCTAATTATTTTATTCCTTTATCAATTCCTTTTTTAATCAAAATTAACGCCATCTAGGGAGTTAAAAACTTTTTAAAATTATAAACAATCGTTTATTTCTTTTTCATGCTTTTAGATTTTCCTTTACTCTATGGATCCAATCCTTTTATTCTAGTATTCTAGGAAACTAGGCCTAGATGTATCGTGGCGAACTACGTAAGGCAATTTTTACTTTTTGATAAAATTCTCGTATATTTTCTATGTTCTTTTGTAAAGGTTTTTTTTCTTTGGAGAGAGAGGGAGAGAGAGCGACATATATATATACAGCATATATACAGAATGCGGAGGAAAGGGGGCGAATAGGGAGCAAAATAAAAAACGCTAGACAAAAAGAAGAAGCGTCTCTTTCGAATTGAATTTCTCACGAGTTACAAGTTGTCATCAATTGTTTCTTTTTTCCCCTTCTAAGAGCTCATTATTTCTTTTTATGAAAATTATAAAAAAAGGGTAGAAAGGAACAAAAAAAAAACTCGTTATGGTAAGAAGGATACAACGTCGAAGTGGAGAGAAGAATGGAAAAAAATTGGATTCCTATTACGAGGATAAAACCATAGTAGAGTATTTTCTAAATGAATAATTGTTACTATTTTCCTGCTAACTTTGAATGAATAAGATTCACTATCTAAAAATCTAATCATCTTTCCTTAATTGGTGTTTCCTTACAAGAATACAAGTGAATCTTTGCAGTGGCAAGCTAATTTTTCCTAATAATCGAATGAAGAGACCCAATATGTTTTTGATTGGCTTTTTTTTACTATAACGGGGGGTAAAGTCGACCAAAATAACCCAAGATAAAGTATTAATCCCATATATACAGTGTATATATATATATATTGTATGTTAGTTACACATCAATTCAGATATTCTTCTCGTTCGAGACAATTAGCCGTAAAATTTATGTTAACTATATTTTGCTTCAAAAGCTTAGGCCTAACTGTTTATATAAACGTGCTATATATTCTCTCTTTGCAAATGTCTATCAATACAAACATTTACCAAGTATAAAAGTTACTTAAATTATTTAAATACTAAATATAATGATAATAATAATAAACCTTCTGTGTTATTGTTATCTTTATAGTTTATTTCTTGTTTGTCAGTTAAAAACGGATATAATTAAAATAGTCTACTGTATACTTTTCTGCATAGAGAAATCAATAGTTGGTAGCTAATTCAAAGGACTTTAGTAGTTTGTATGCTGTTTCTCTCTCTCTCTCTCTCTCTCTCTCTCTCTTTCTCTTTTTTTTTCTCTTTTGTTTAAGTAAACATAGAAATCTAACTTATTTTTGTTTGACATCTATAAGGCAAAAAATTCATCACACAGTTGGTTGTAAATGCTTTTGTTTTCTTTGTATATATATATATATATATATATACATTAAAAATATATAACAGTTTAAGTTTTGTATAATTCGTTGAGAACATTCTTTTCAACTTTGTTTTGAGTGAAAGGATAGAATAAAAGGAGTATAAGAGATATAGTTGAATGAGTTTCAATAAGGAGATTTGTTTTCGTAGGTCTGCAGTAATGGTATAAATTGGCGAAATAAATAAGACGGACGGAAGATCAATTCAAACGTTAAAAACATTCGCAAGGAACGACGCCGATTCCAACGCCACCTTGATGGTATTTCATAGGTGCTACCGTGTTCCACTCTTCAGTTTCTGAAACGAGAAGGAATGCAATAAAAGCTTACTTACATAATTCAGCATAACTGAATATATCAAACTCTCTGGTTTGAGAGAAAGAAAATCTTCCCTCTTAGATTTAGAACATAAAATTTCCCATCATTTAATTATTCTATAAGACTTCTTTTATTACTTAATAAGTAAATATAAATTGATTTTTTTTTTAACACTACAATTGATGATCATTTATCCTCTTTTATGTCCTGCTTTTTAAGTTCATCATAACAGAGTAGAAGTCATTATTGAGATAAAAAAAAAAAGAATGTCCTAGATATATAGATTAACTCAACAGACATTATGAGTTTGTTCTTTTTATCGAACGTTTTAAAGCATTAACTAAATACACACAAAAAAGAAAAGGATTGTTGCAGTTCAAAAGTTCAAGTATTCTTTGAGATTTGTAAAGCGTCTTTTTAGACTTGACGTTGCTGTACTAAGCTCTTCTTTTAGGTGATATTCATAGGAAAGAAGATATGAGACTAGTTGATGAGCATTGACTTATAACATATACCCCTCTCGCTATCTGCCTATTCTCAAGATATATTCATATTTTGGATATTTTTAATAAGGTAAATGTCTAATTATTACTACATAGACGAGCTACGCAAGCCCTCTATGCGTAGTTCCCATGCTATTTGATGTTATTAGGCTAATTTGACAGTTTATTCTAAATTAGGAGCGACATTTGTTGATTGCGTTTGAAGACGCCTCAGTAAATTAGTGCTTGCTTTATCTTACTGATTTATCTACAATTTTAAAGGAATTTCATTGTACTAATTAACAATATAGCTAATTAAACAACTTAATTTGGGAATATTTACTATAATTTACAATAAAAATGACGTCATAAACGGGTCCTAACCTGGATCATACATTTCGACAGACGACAAATTATCAGCGCCGTCATAACCTCCTACAGCATACAATCTTCCGCCGTTCGCTACCAAAGCCACTCTCGACCTTTTAACCTGTAGTAAAATAGGGTAGGTCACGTGAGTCTTTTTTCCAAACTTTTTTGCCCAGACAGGACGACGGCATGCCCTGCCGCATTCTACGGACTGAGCGCCTACTCGACGCATCAGATTTTCGCGCATTTGTTCATAATATTTCTTTTCCTCAAAAAAACGAGGAAAAAATTATTTTTGAATAGAATAAATGCACGATCTGGTGTGGCGAGTGACGCTTGTTTACTACCTGCATATTTGTAATTTGAGTCCATTGACGTGTGACTGCGCAGAAACATTCGACGCTCTATCGAATTAAAATTAACAGAGTGTAAAATTTGTAAAACAAGTGCAAATATTTACGATGGAAAGATAAAAAAAAAAAAAAGTTTGTAACTAATTTATTTAATTAACCTTTAGGAAACCATTTCCGTCGTAACCGCCAGCAGCATACAACTTGCCTAATAGCACTGTAACACCTAATCTGCAACGTTTTGTTGACATTTTAGGAGCTTCTTCCCATTTGGATTGGGTTGGTGAGTAGCACTCGACACTGTCGAATATTGACAAACCGTCGTGACCACCGAGGACGACTATGCGATTATCAAATGTTGCTATTCCGGAAGCGCTTCTATGCTTTCTCATACTACATATTTCTCTCCATTTCTTTTCTTTCGGATCATAGCATTCGACAGAATTAAGGGAAGATATCCCATCGTAACCTCCACAAACATACAGTTTATTTTCAAGCACGGACACGCCGAGAGCGCTTCTTCTACATTTCATAGGCGGCGCTGAACTCCATTTTTTGGTCCTTATGTTATATGTTTCAACGGTGGCTAAACGATTCTGGCCGTCATAGCCCCCGATAGCGTATAATGTATCATCTAAAACTGCAACGCCTACCCTACTCCTTACAGTTTGCATTGGCTGAGCTATTTCCCATTTTTTATTCGTAGGATCATAAAATTCAGTTGCCGCCTCTGAATCACCCGACAAGGTTATTCCACCCACTACGAATATCCTTCCAAAAGCCTAAACGAACAAAAGGTATAATTAATACCTCAAAAAGTATTTATATATATTTGGGTTGTGTACTAACTGCAGGACAGGCTCTCGGCCTAGTCCGAAAAGACTTAAGGAAAGGTCTGCGATCTGGCATTAGGTGATAATCCTTTGCTTCATCAACTAAATCTCTACAGTTGATATCCTGCTTTATAAGATTTTCATTCATAACTTTATCAATTAAATATTTTGGAGGTAAAAGGGGCAATCTGACTAATTTTAACAATGGATAAAGATAATCCTTCCTCTCTTCGCTCTCTTTAATCCATCTTATTAAAGCCTCAAAGACATTATCCTCTCCTCCATTCAAAGTTTTAACATTCAACTGATCGTTGTCCAATAATTCACTAATTTCGTCGGAAGACAATTTAAGAAATTCTTCCGTTTTTGAAATTTCCATAAAATTCTTGTGTATAAACTGAAATTGTTGTAAATATAGAATAATTTGATTAAAATCTCTTAATTATATATAATTCATCTAATTAGCATATCATTTTATTTCAACTATTTTTGTTACCTTTATGGATTCATCGACGAGACTCTTACAAAAATATCTTTCGGCAAATCGTTTAACACCAAGAGCGTTTTGAACGCTCAATCTTTTTTGCATAAATGCTGCGCAAGCTTCTTTAACACATGTTATTTGTAAAAAATTAGCACCAATTAATAAATTTTCGGCATTTGATGTATCTATTCGAACTTTTCCTGTATATGCAAAATTTAAAAGACTTTCAAGAGCTTCGACATTAAGTCCCTTCATGACAATATCATCTTGCCCTGCCTCAACCATATCATTTGTAAACATCATTTCAAAATAAGGTATACTCCCGCTTAAAATTATTCTATGAGCTTTGAATTGTTTATTTTCAATCTGCGCGAAATTAATAAACTATACGAAAATAGAAGAATTTCAGCATTTTGTCTACCTTAAGTGTGACATCGCATAATTTACCCATTCGTCGTATCTCTTCAAATTTTGGAAAGCACGAACTGGGTAGATCTCGCTTTTCATACATTTCTACATCACCAATTATATCTGTTGTCATTCTTAGTGTTTTTTCTTATTAATGTGGTAGGCCTTGATTGCGGGTGGGGATGCGTGGAGTGACGTAAGTTTGCACAATAGTATAATATGTCTACCTTATACTTAAAACAAATATGTATTTATATATATAAAACACCCTACTTCTTATTTGGCAAGAATAAAAGCAATTTGTAAATAGAGAATAAGGAAAAATTAGATAAAAAAAACTGTTATTGTTAGATTTATTGTCAAAGATAATTTCTATTACTCCTCTTTCTTCTATCTTTTTTCCGTTTAGGTTTGCTCAACTATCTCTGTGTGAGTGTAATAAAATTACAAATTTCCGCAATTTTATATCAAGTTATCTTTGGAGCAATTTGATTAAATTGGAGGAAAATACTCTTATTTATCATAATTTCTCATTTTTTTCTCCCCTTTAAATCACTAGCCTAAAAGTAGGAGAATATGAGAAATAAATTGAAAAAAAAGTCATCACATTTCGAAATATTTTTATATTTAAAATATTTGAATGGACATATAAACTTAATATCGTTTGAAAAGAACTGCAAAATTTCATATTAACCATCTAAAATTGAATTAAATGATCAAGATCAATAAAACTAAACAAAATAATCGAAGAAGGAAGAAGAAACATCCGTGGAACAATAGAAAGAAAAAATTGAAAGTTACCGATCATTTTGCCGAATACGAAAAGCTTATGGTATATTACGATGCAGTCGAATTAATTGAAGGTGTAGCAGAACAGCAACAAAGAAACGAAATAACAATGCCAAAGATAGGATGGATTATTTAAACCATTAAAGATTAAAATTAATTGCAATTTCATCATTTATTATTAGACGAGTATTCCTGTACAATTAATTCAATGACATTGTTCAATTAAATAAACTGAAAAATTAGATAAAAATTTCAATGATATAAATAAATATTAAATAGATAAACAATTATTATTAATAAACGAAAATATTAGAAAAAACGAAACTAAACAAATAGTATAGTGGGAGAGGGGGAGGAGAGGAGACAGGGATGGATAAAGAATTATTTAATTATTATAAAAATATAAATATTCATTAGTAGGATACATTCGTATCTGGAATGTAAGATTCGTATGTGTTATTCTAATGTTATCTTTTTTGAATCATATATATATATATATATATATAAATCACAATATGTTTTAAGTCTTAATTAAATAAAATGTCTTCGGGATCCTGGTGATGACACTGAGCAATGTGTCGCAAAACGTCTTTCTTTGTAATAATACCCAATAATCTCCTAACAATAATGAAAAAAAAAACAAAACAACAGGTTAGATACATTATTTATACGTTCTTGTAATTTCCTTACCCGTTGTGTGTCACAAGTGTTTGTCTCAATCCTAATTTTCTAAACATCTCAAGAACAATTTCCATAGGTGTTTGATCGGCAATTGTTATTGGAGCCTAAGGATAAAATAAACAACGAAACTTCGTGAATTATGTTCATAATCCCAGTCTAAATATATAATGTATTATACCATATCTAAAATCTTATTCAGTTTAAGAGGTGTCGGGCCTCCGGCTACAGTTGTGACCGGTACGTGACTAGTAAAGTAAACGATGGATTGACTAACTATTCCATCCTGATTATTTCGGGCATTTGCTGAAAATAAGGAATAAATTTAGTAAAGGATATTGTTAACACTTATAATTCAATAATAATATAATAAAGTCTATTGATACATTTGGAACAAAAAAAAAGGGAAAATGGAACGAATGATATGTGAATCTTTGTCGCTTTTATTTTTAAATAGAATATGTAAATATATACTTATAGCAATAGTTAGATCCTTTCTAAAAACAAATCCAACCAAATATTGAGATTCCTGCGAAACAACAACGGGAAAACCGTTATGATCCGTTTCCCTAAGTAAAGATTCTGTAAAGAAAAACAGAACATTCTTTATATCAAAAAATAATAAACAAAGAATCTACTAGATGGCTCTTTTATTTAGAGTTTACTTACCCAATTCTTCTACCGACATGGAATCTTGCGTAACTGTTGCCAAAGGTGGGTCATTTCGCCTGTTACAAATGAAATGTACTTCATATATAAAAATGTATATATTTATTAATTCATTCATTTACATATGTTTTAAATAACTAATTAATTAGTTAAAAAAAAAACAAACTTAATTAAAATTATTTAAAATAGAAAAAGTTAACTAAGAAAATAAGACTGTTTATTCTCCTTCTCTTGGCCTCTTTCTCTAGACTTTTACAAGAAAAACTATTCTTTACAAGATTAATTAAATTTACTATTTCAAAAAATTTCTGTAAATGCGCCATTTTAGCGAATAAATGACTTTAAAAAAAAAACCCCATTAGAATAGGGGTAAAAACACTTTCTTCTCTCCGGCCTTATTCTTTTTTCATATTAAATAAAATGTTAAAAGCCGAAAAAAGAAGAAAAAAAAAAGGTTTTCAATTTATTTTCTCTCTGCTAGAATGCCAATTTTAAAGAAGAATGGAATATATTCTCACGGAATAAGTAATAAGGAGAGATATTTGGGAAAGAGGAAGTGAAAATAGGTATAAATTTATAGTTTTATGGGAAAGAAATAACTAATAGCTTATATTATCTGATTTTTTTTTTACTCTTTTTTAATATTATTATTAATCCTACGATAACTTATATAGTATATTCGGTTTTTTTCGTGTCTAAATGGCCCAAGGCGATAAGACATATAAATAGCGGTGACAAAATATAAAGGAAGAAAACTAAGTGCTAATGAAAACATAGTTTAAAATGTCATTTCTTGACTGAGTTAGGCGTATTCATTTCAAAAATAAAACACTTTTTGATAGAAAGATAAAAACAATATGCTACTAAAAGACAACAAGTTATCGCAGCATAAATTATATAATACTACTTACGTCCCGTATCTTGAATAATTTTAATTGGAATATTTTCATATTAATTATTATACATTTAAAAATGATAATTATTTATTACCTAGGTCTCATTACATCAGCTGCCAAAGTTGTATGAGTAAACTCTTCTTTACTATCCAAAAACGGATATCCATTTAATCGTATGTGACCTTCGTAGATGCCTTCATGACCAAATGCATCACCAACCCACTTGCTAGCCATTGCGGCGGCCATCAGTGGTACGATATATTGAAGGCCCCCAGTTAATTCAAACATTATAACAACGAGAGATACCGTCATTCGGGTAACTCCACCAAGTGATGCTGCAGCTCCGACCATAGCGTATAGACCAGGGGTAACGCAGGTATGGCCAGCAGAGCACATTTCTTTAAATATCGAATATTCCTTATAATTAAATGCCAATTGTTCCATGCCAATGCCAATCATTCTGCCAGTAATGGCACCAATTGCCATGGAGGGTATAAACAAACCGGCTGGAACTTTGATACCGAAAGTAAAAATTGTAATAGCGCATTTAAAAATTAAGGCTAAGGCTAGTTGCCACATTGCCCTTTTAACTCCACTTCCTAAGGGTGCTGAACTTATTCCAGCCATCATATCTGTTACATTTCTATCATAATTGCATAAATCATCTTCGTCTTCGGGTCCGCATTGCCTTACCAATTCTTTGATAAGTTCTGAAGTGTTCATACGAGTGTAAGGGTTTGGAAAAGCCAAAACTGCCGTTAAGAGGGTAACCAGCAGGACCTCACTAATAGGATATTTACCCAGGGTTGATTGCTTTCTATATCTACACCACATTATGTTCAATTTGTTAAAAAAGGCGCCCCAAAGACCTCCTAATATTCCCAATATAATAAATGGTATTAATTCAATTAAATACCATGGATTATTATAATCAATATAGAACATAACGAGATGATCATTGCCAAAGGGATTAAATGATCTTAAAACAAATGCAGCGGCCAAGGCGCAAAAGAAGGAACGCCAAAGGGTCTTGAGAGGAAAATAATAACTAACTTCCTCTAAATAAAGTGAAAGAAGTTTATAGGTAAAGAAATCTGAAAGACAGTGTGAAAAATCTTACCCAAAGAAAATAAAACGCCTCCGATAGGGGCTCCAAAGGCAACGCTTACACCAGCAGCCGAAGCGGCTGAAAGAATCTCTCTTTTCTTTGCTTCGTTCCTACCGTACTTCGGAAAGAGATATGAAAAAATATTACCGCAGCAAGATGCTACATGGACCAAGGGACCTTCTTTACCAAGACTTAGGCCAGCACTAACCGCCAGCATCATACCAACAGATTTGATAATTAATGTCCATTTGCCCAAATAACCCCGTATAATGAAGCCTGATAAGATAGTTTTAATCTCAGGTATACCAGAGCCGCAAGCGTATGGTGCGAACACTCTAACGAGCATTACAGCAAGTGTTGAGAAGAGCATTGCCCAAAATATATAAATGATGTATTTGAGTATATAATCTCCCGCACCTTTTCCAGAGGAACCAAATAACTCTGGCCAAGTTTGCCATTTTGTACACCCTTTTTCGTTGAAAGTCGAATTAACGTCGGCCACCCAACAACATTGTTCTCTGTTCAACCAAAACGCTTCGGAACAAATACCCTCCTTCAAGTCTGACATCCAAGAAGCTCCGATGTCGATAACGGCGGCAAAAACACCTGCCGCACATCCAACAAGTAAAACACACACCCATCCAGACCAAGCATCATGTGCTGACTTTATAGATTCTAGCCAACTGTCCTGTCTTTTCTTTAATATTTGACGATGCCTATATCGATCTCGGGCAATGTCTCGAAGCCAATCAATAGTATGAAAGTCTTCATATTGCCCTATTCCAGGAGGAAGGTCATCGAATGTGTCCACAAGGTTAGCAGAGCCTATTTGTAATAAAATATATAGATATTATTAATGTAAATATTCAACAGATAAAGGATTGAATTGGAAAAATAGATTTATCCAATTTTTAATGATTTACCGGATCCGTATAATGACTGATTAGTTCTTCCTAAAAGAGGATCAATAGATGTTTTACGGAGCATTTTCCCTATACGAAAACTGTTAAAAAACCGATAAAATATCAATTTTTAATCGATTTTGCTTCCTTTCAGCTGCTCCACGAGTGAAGCTGACAAATATTATTTATATTTACATCATCAACATATAATGATGTACAAATTCTAAGTGATCTTTTCTAACTTTCTACACAAAATTATTAGACAGATATATAGAACGACTAACTGAACGAATATTGATCCTTGAAGAAGCGACTGAATTTCGCAAAGGAATGCATTGTAAAGATGTACGGTCGACGCAATCTGTACGACATAGCCGAAAAAGTAGGTGTTGGTAGTCGAATTGATGATGAAGAATCAAGTAAAAAGAAATAAAATATATCATTTCATCATTCAGATTACACCCTTTATTTATTTTTACATATCAGCGTTAGTCCTTTGGTCGAAGCGTTGTCAGTACGAAAGAAAAAAGCTAAAAAAAAAAAAGCCATTGCGGGTTACGAACGAGGGCGAATTTCCCTGCATTATGCAGCGACATATTGATTGCACTGCACCAAGAGGGACTAACTTACATGGCGCGATCAGCTTATCCGGGGACGAAAGACACAAAAGTATTTGGTAAAAATGTTCTGTACAAACTCTTTTATTGCATGATTTCTTTCCCTTACCTGAGTCATTACTTAACTTCGTTTTACTACGGCTTCTATTGTGACAGTACAGCGAATCCTCTTGAAGTATACAAACATCATCGTCCGAGACATTCGTCATTAGGATATTTAGTAAATAGAGCAAGAACAAAATTTTCTTATAGTCAAACAAGAGCAGTTACAAATTCCTCCTCCTTGTTATTTCAACAATAAGAAAAGATAAACAATTACACCTTAAAAAATAAATCAAAAACAGCTTTTTAAAAATAGCTAAAGAGAGAGTTTCAGATAGATATATACAGATATATATATATATATATACAGCAGACAGAAGAACTAAAGCACAAAAAAGTTGCAAGCTGATTTGCTCTAGTTTAACGCCAACGCCTACCGAGATGATCGTTTTTCGCACATTGGTGATAACGAATCAAGTATTAATCAATTATTACAAGTAAGATACCTTACAAATCAAAATATAATATATATCTATATATATATATATATATATTTCTTGGTACAGCAATAGCAACTCTGATAGTGAGCATTGTTTTAACTTGAGACTAAGAAAACTATACCAATCCTACTCTCTAGTTGATATTTCACTAGATTTGAATATACTTGTATTAGTGTTTATATTTAATAAAGAGATTACGGACATTAAAAATAAAAACCACATCTTTTTGTATGTTTTTTTTTACTATAAGTACCAAATATATACTGCTAATCTTTATTATACGAATCGAGTAGATTATTTATAAAATGGTAAGTAGAATATAAATGAACGAAAGAAACAAGTAATAATAATCTATAATAATTTGTTTTTACCTTGACTTTTCCTATCATTAAAAGTCGAAGCAAATCTAGATGTTTCAGCCAAAGATAAATCTAGCATTTCGTCGTCTGTATCTGATAGTAGATTTCCTGTACCATTGGATCTACTAACGTTACTGCAAAAGGATGGTTATTTTCATTATGTATAGTAAGTAATAAGATAATATACAGTATATTAAAGAAAAAGGTAGAAATAATGTTATGACAAAATTTAGGTCTTGCTTGACACTACCAGACTATTTAGTGACAATAGCAATCATCAGCTCGTAAGTGATGAAGAATTTGTTAACGTCTTCACCAATAAGACATAATATGCAATTGATGACTAATTGTAAAGTTTATGATCCATGGAAATTTTCAAGGTTTTTATTTAGAGCATTAGAAATGTGACACTGAAAAATAGAAATACCTATAAGACGGATTAGAAGTTGCCATTATTGGTTTTCCAATCAAATGGTCTGATTCCATTCATTTATAAATTCTACTTTTGTTAAAACTGCTTTGTTTTAACGAATTCGAATTAAATTCTGTAGAAAATAAACAATCAGTACTAAAGAGAGAGAAACAAAGAGATATATGTTTCAGAACGAGGAAAAATTATGTATTAATTTTTAAATAATCCTTACTTCTAATTTAACATTTCAACTTAAATATAACATTTATAAGTTGTTGTAGAAAATAAAAAAATATGATTTTTTCATGTACATTGGGTTATGTCCGCAGAAATTAATTACAAAGAGCCTATTGGACAACACTTTAGTTTTTACCAGTTTCTACTATAATTTTACGCGCTTTAAGAAATGAACATAAAATTTGCAAAAATTTTCCGGACTATTTGTCAAGATAAATAAGTATGACAATAATTAGAAAGTGAACATAGATGATGTCAACTACCGAGTTAATTAGTTGGACGAGTTGAACATTTGTAAATAAGATGCAATCCTTATTATAATGGTTTTTTTCAGGGCGATATTGTAAAATTTTTGTATAATTAGCCCTAAGTATGGCCAATAGAACTGCAACAGGAGATTGCAAAAACAATGATAATATTCCCTTATTATATGTAATAACGTGTAATACTATTTTTGCTATTGCCGTCGGCTCAGTTTTGACGTTGTTCATCATGAGAAGAATATCTAGAAAAATTCAACTAAGACACGAAAGAGAAAGAATATGCTCTCTTATGCATCGTCTTTATTGGCTGCACGAAGAAGATATTTCTACTTCTTTATTTGTTTTGAATAAGATGAGAGAAAGCTACTTATTTGACAGAGTTTCGGAATTATTGGTTTTTTCGCACAAATATAGAACTCATGGAATGGAAATTGTTGCCGTAGAATCTGATCTATCTTGTCTACCTCCTAAACGAAATTTTAATAAGTTATTATTAACCGTACGAAAAGTTGAACGACTTTTTGAGGCATTGACGATGGAATTACCGTGCGGAAATAATGGGGTAGATGGCTCAATATCATCAGCCGTAGGAGGTACAATTCTAATGTTAGCATTAGCGACAAGTACCCTTTGGTGCGATTCGAGAGCTAAAATGATAAGGTCTGTATAACCTCTTTACTGCTTACATCAATATTCCATAAATTAGTTAATAACAGTAGTAAATCCACTATAAAAAGATAATCAGTAATTCATTTATTAATGTAGGGTAAAAAAGAAAAGATATTGATTTCGTTTTATTACATATTTACAGGAGATTAATACATTATTTATGTGGTAGAGGTGCTGCAATTAGATATGAAAGAGAAACAATAGGAGACAAAAATTTAGCGGCTTGTGTTGAAACGCTTCAGTACGTTGATTATCTTACTTTAGTTGACGATCATTTTGTTTTGGGTGACGCCCATATAAGTCCAATATTAAAGGGTGACTTAAGGAATAAGATACGGTATGTTGATACCGTTTTGGCAAGCTGGACTGAACGACGGAAAGGAATGGCTAATAAGGAAATGCTGGAAGCCTACTATTCTGCTAGAGATGTTTGTATAGTCACTTAGTAGCGGAGGTAGTCTAATATCATATATTTCCACTTAACAGATATGTATTAGGGAGAATATTATAACGTCTAAGGCGAATTTTCCCGATATTGTTGAAAAGGTGTCCGATAATTCAAAAACACCTGAATGTATTAAAGGGTTACGTCATCTCTTAAGAAAAATGACAACACCGCCTAATATTACAAAATTGGAAAATGACGAAAAATTTTTTCAGCTAATAATGCATACTCATGACGCTTTGTATACTTGGCATGATAATCGTTCCATGTTAGATATAATCGAAAGAGTTCGCTCCAATATATACGCTTGTCTGAAGGGCTTAAGGTATTTTAATATTGAATATATCAATGAAATATGAATATATAATTGAAATATTCCATTTATATTTTCTTCTTTAGCATCGACGCCCTTCTAATCGATAAGGAGCTTAGTAAAGCAAAATTGGAGCAATTAGAGAGGGAACTATACAAGCATCTTAATTATTTAACTTTAAAACAAGTTCAAAGGGAACGCCGACACTATCCGGCCGATTCGACAACTCTTCCAACTGCTGAAAGCGAATCTTCCATTTATACGATAGCTCCGTCTGGTCCTCTTAATTCAACAAAGCCTTGTAATAAATACGTTGATGAATCGAGTATTATCAGCAGTGGTTCATTATATGCAACAGCCCAGAGTATAACCTCTAGCGACCTACGTGTTCAATCCAGCTGTGACGATGAGACTGCCGTATAGTCGTTATCTTCTTTGATCCCCTTAGTTAAACTTTGACCCATGTCTCAAAAGTCTTAAACTCATTTCCCCGTAGAAAATTTCCCCATAGTTTATTCCTTTTCAAGAATATTTGCTTCTTATCAGTATTAAGGAATAATAGGTTATTTGTGCTTAGTAATAAAACGCCCTTTTTACTTTTTCGGTTTTTGTTCAGTAGGTGGCACACTAGTCTGATAATTGAAGATAGCAAGGGTATTAGAAGCAACTACCCCATCTGTTGAACAAACTAAAATTCCTTTTTCGAAAATAAATAAAAGAGCATATATATTGTACTCTTTTAGACAATGTCAATGTTACAAAATGATGAAAAAAGGAAAAGATACACTAATAATTTAGTAAAAGCTCAATCTGCATTGATAATTTTACTTCCCTCTAGCGCATCTTTTCATCTTTCAGCTGAAAGGGTTATCAATACGCCAATATTTCATTTTATGAATATTTCTCGGGATCTCTCTAGATTACGTCAAACGAACATATCAATGGAAAATTATTTTCTTAAAGTTTCTCATCCTTCAAGAGGTTTTACTTTAAAACAAAAACTATATATAGAATATATTAATTATTAAAAACATAGAAAAGTTTCTTTATAAATAGATTACTGATCAAAAAACTTAACACGATAATCTCTTTTTATGAGAAAATATAAAGAAGAAGGAAAAGAACAAATATCCTACCAAGTATAACATTTTCCCTAATGTAAAAAGCGCACGAAAGAAAAGGAGAAACAAGTTAAATATATATAAAAAATAATAATTTACTACTATTCATCATTCTCAGTAGTCTCGCTTTGAAAATAGGCGATAAATACCATCTATGGTAACTGTACCACTGCCGCGAGTCTCAATCCGGAAGGGACCACCAGCTAGTTTGATGAGTAAAGCCTTTTGTAGTAAGATATCGCCTATAGGCGTTGGTATATATCCATTTCCTATTAATTTTTTGACAACAAGGTGAAGTGGCGATTTTACAAAATATCTTATACAAGTCACGCATAATGATGACAAATTTTCCATTCTATTCGTTTTTCCCAAAAGAATGTCTAGATGCTGAAATATTTGAAATGATATTTTTGAATGGAAGAAAGTAAATGATGAAGAATTATTTTTACCTTGTATTGTTTACAATATAAATAGGGTTTAATAAAAGATGGCTGAATAGAAGTTTGAATGAGTTTAATGAGCCTGCTATTATTTGAATACAATTTAATGAATCTATCTAAAGTGAACGGGTTAAATTGGAATCCGTAGCCAAAGGCAATTGCCAAGCATTTACAGGTAAATGAAACGATAGACTCATCTATTGGACTTTGGAAGATAAACGTCTCATCAGAATTAGCAAACAGTTCTAGGCAAAAGTTCATATCGGCTTGATTAAAAACATCCAAATCGGTGACAACTCCGTAAGTTAAAGCAATGGCTAAGCATTTTGCCGAATCGTCTAAGACATTTGGACAATTTTGGTAGATATTCCATCTTTTTAACTTTTTGCAGCTTTGTTCAATTAAAACCTTTGTAAACTGTTCATTCAAGCCAACTTCAACTGCAATCTTCAAGGCAACAACAGGTATGATTTGAGGATAATCTAATTCCACAAATTGAATATTTAAAAAAGGAAAAGAGAATTTTTTCGACATAATACTAATGCAAAAAGAGGCAAACTCGTCAGATAATTCATTTAAAAATCCATCCCTTGAGCATATTTTTACTATATCCAAGTAATTTATACAAGATTCTACTTGCTCCCTTGAATGCTGATTTATTAGGTAAGCTAACAAGTCTATATCTAACATACTTATCGCATTATCTACAGCCCAAGCTAAATTATAAGTAAGATTTAAAGCATTTTCTAGTATATGTAATCTATTCCATGGAAATTTTGATGACATTATTGGAGACATATTCCTATCAAGGGGTTTATCATATTCCCAAACATTAAACATTTCAATCAGAAAATCGTGTATTGGATGAGGGAATTTATGAACTCTTGATAGTAATTGAACTGCATTTGTCGGTTCGGGATAGAAGAACTCTATTAGTTTAGACTCTTTCAATTTCTGTACAATTTGTATTTCTCCTTTCTTGAAGCATTTTTGAACAAAATTTCTTATTAAATGAACAAGTTGATTATCCTTACTTAGTTCGTGTATTCTCTTCACTAATAGTTTTATAGCTTTCTCCTTTTCCGTCCAATTACTTTCTAGTAAACAAGCAAGAAGAACTTCCAAGTCGGAAGGTTTTAATTTAGAAAGGAAAGACTTGGAAATAAACTCTTCGAATTGATAATATTTCCATGTAAATACAGTTTTAAATAAATCTTTTATAGGGAAAAATTTATTTTCTAATAACTTTTTAAATGAAGATGAACCTCTCTCATTGAACAGACAATAGTCTTCATCTTCCTCGGAGGATGAATCATACTGTAGGTTCGTTCGAAGTCTTTTTTCTTCTATTTCAAGAATTTCAAATTCCTCTCTTATCCTTCCATTCTCAATAAATTCGTGAGTGTAGAGACCTTAGTTAGATTTAATATATTTAAATATTACTGTCTTTGACTTTCATACTAACCTTCCATATAACATGCAAAATCTCCTGTATTATCATCTATGTAATCGTGGTTTTCATGATATTTGAAGTCCCAATAATCTTCATTTTCAGAATCTGATAAGTATTTTTCACGAAATATCATTTCGAACAGTTTTTATTGATATTTCAGCAATAAGAGAATTGTGTCAGAAACATTTATGCTTACTTTAGGCCCAATGGAAACTTTTTTTGTAAAAATTGTCTTTTTATAAGTTGAGTACTTTTACTTTTCTCTTGGTCTATTATCGATCAATAGTCAAAAAAAAATAAAATATCCAAACGTTTTTTTTTCAAATTTCGCCATATGACCGATATAATGTTCAAATTTAGTTCACATTTTTTGTTGATTTACTTGTCTTTTACAGAATTCAGACTAGACAGTGAATGCTATTAAAGTATAGAAGTCAATGCCCCAAGGCCAATCACCGCTTACGTTACAATCTATTGTTTTTTTCTTTTTTTTGAAGTTGCAAACGTTACAAGTTTTTATTGTCAAAAGTTTTAACTTTAACAAGTTTTCTAAATGAAAATAGAAAGTTTTAAACTATTCTATTTCTACACAGCTTTAAAATTTAACATTTTCCTTTGACGGCGAGATAAAGGGGAAAGAAGTGTTACCTTTCAATGTCAAGGTCGAGTTCAAATTAAAAGTTAGTACTTAACGGGTGACATATTGGGAAAATTAGTGTTACAGAGAAGGCCAGTCGTGGAACTTAGTACTTAAATTAAGCGGTAAACCTCTTGCAAGCTTTTGCTCCCGGTTGCTTTCTTTTGCGGCGAAGTTATTTTACCAACAGAAAATAGTAGGTACATATATATGTTTATATATATATATATATATATATATATAAACATTGAAAGAAGTTTAGTTAATGTAGCGTTGAGTCTTTTCCCTTGAGTAACAACTTTTATATAAAACAGCCATTTTAGTTTTGACTGCGAGACATAGTCTATTTCATTATTATTTTTTCTTTAATAAAACTTTTCTAACCAATTTTTAACGAAAAAATTCATTAAGATAAATTAAATATAAAATATGCTCCCTTTTTTGATAATATGACGTTACATTGTTAAATTATATAAAAAAAATTAAAGATTTTTTACAATTTTGTAAGATTGAGAGAAAAATGGTGCGAAGAGGTAAGCCGAAAAGGAAAGTCCAATATGTTTTCACCAATCGTATACCGGAATTAAGTAGGGTAGGATGTAAACATAATGTAGGCGACCATTTCGAAAAACCACGCGGTGATGAAAGTATAGAAGAAATCGCTGATATGTGGATAAGAAACGTAGTTAGGTACCATGTTTACGTTATAGAAATTATCGGGATCTTGCCTAAGTGTAAATTAATTTCAGCAATAAAGAGGCTTTAAATAAACTACCTCCCAACAGCTTCCTAAGAGAAGACGACCTGATTCAATCTAACTACAATCAGCTCTCTCCAAGAAGTTTAACTTGGAGACGTTTTCGTGTATACGCCTTAAAATCGTTTAGACGGAAAACTAATAAACAAACAATGGAGAATTCTTTAGTTTCTAGGGAGACTGGGGAACAAAATCATTTCACTGAAGAGAGAATTACATCATGTATCCATGAATTGAGACTCAGTTCAATAACAAAGGAAGCCTGTAGTCAATCTTGTATTTTGTGTGTTGAACGATTTTGTTGGGCAATGTTGGCTGATGTTTTAAAAGGATTAATTTCTCTTGTTCCAAAGGTATTAAGTCCTAAAACAGAGTTAAATGATCAGAAGACTATAGAAGAATTATTGGCTGAAATGGGAGTAGTTCACGATATTGAAATATCTACTTCAGACCTAAAGGACGTTGTTGAAGAAGTTTTAGACAAAGAAGAACAAGATAAAAATTGTTCTCTACTCTGAGTTATCCGAATTTGAATGACTAAATTCTTCTATATATTAGACAAAAAATGTAAAAATATTCCTTAAGTTTTGTTTTCATTATGTTAAGTGTTAAAGGCTGTTCAAGCGCAAACAATTCATTTTTTTAAATACTTAAATATTAGCGGGGCTATGTAGATTGATCGATAAAACACTGTTCTGTACATTTCCTCCTTAGGTCAATAAAACTTTTTAATTGAAAAATTGCCAAATTTGGTTCATTTGAGTGATAACATAAGTTTATCTTATTGATTAACGACAGATCTAACTAGTCTCAAACCAATGATAATCGACCTTTTTATCAAGTTTCTTTGATAAGGTAAAGCATTAAAAGTGAACAGTTCATCTGCCGAAAGGAGTATAGAAAGACCTTTATAGATTAGGGATATTTAAATGAAAAAATATGGATATATCCAAATTGCTTCAAGGTTGGTAAATTATAGAAAATATCTATAACTCTAATTATGCCTATATAAGACATCTTGTAAGTGTATCAATATACTTTGTACATTTTATTAAAAGGTTGTACCTTTTTAAGGAGTTTGTGATAACTAATGTTATGTAATAATAGGCCTTAAGTAGACTATTATCTTTTCAATCAATAACGAATTTAGCATTGTAAAATTTAACATTTAAACATTTATTGTACGATAAATTCACGCATTTAACGAAGAATATTTTAATATTAAAATCATCATTTTTTGCAGTTTAAAATCATTTTTCTTTTAAAATTACTGATCTAGCAGTTTCCTAAAGTTGTTTATCTCATGAATACTTTTTGATAATCTATATAAAACATCAAAGAAGCAAAAATTTATCATTTTATATTTGTACAAAGTATTAATAATAGTAATACAAACCTTCCGAAGGCATTTAGGAGAGATACGATCTCGGTTCTTCTCATTTGGAAACGATTTTTTTTGCTTGCATCCAATGTAGAATTTGGTCCGGGATCGTCTCCCGAAAAGAGAATTTTAAGAGCGGTTCCCATTCCTTGTACTTGTAATTTTCCCCATAATCTGCATTTATCACAGCCGACACAGTCCATAATTTTTGATATATTTCGAAAATGAAGCTTAAACTCGTCCTATATTTTAAAATAATAATATTTACATTAGACATTGATGTTATCATATAGTTTTAATAAAATAATCTCACTTTTAATTTTGCTGCTTTTCTGGAATCGCCTTTAAATAATTTTGTTTCATCAAAATGATCCTCAAAACTATTCACAATGTCTAAGAAATCAGAAATGGCTTGGCGAACTTCTTTATCTTCTTTATCATTGCCAGTATAATAAAGTTCCTGGAAGGGCAAACATTTCTCAAATCTATTAAAAGATTTTTTGAAAAATTACCTTTTTTAAATAAGGCGCTGCTTTAGCTAAAGCACGTAGCTCTACCAAATAAGTGAAGTATAAATTCTTTAGTCTCTGTGGTCCTTCACCATTTGTAGTTTCAGGATTGAATCTTCTTTTAAATTCAGCAAGATTTGGCCCCCAAGTTATAGTATTGGCGAAATGATCTAGAGCACAAAAAGAGATGACCTCCTTCAAATATTATTTTTACAGTTACCTTTAAATTGCCACATGGCTGTTAAATGAGTATTTATGCTGGTATGTAGTCCAGAAATCATTCTATAAAATACTCTTTTCTCTAAGCACATATCTGAAAAAGATATAATTAACATCATTATTATTAAATTTCTAATAATAGTTATATCATTTTATTAATTTAATTAAAAATTTTTGACAAAAAGAAGAGAATAATAAAAAGATAAAAAGACTTGACACAAAAGGAAAGAATTAAGTTCCAAGCTTAACAACATTTTCCAAGACGTTCACATATCTTTTTAAACGCTGCAAGCACAAAGTGAATGAGTGCTAAGGTGTCAAGAAAAAGGCATGTTACATCTACAAACTCTAGAAGAGTATCAGAATGACCGTTTAGATTAAGTACTTACATTAAAACACTAACGTTTTCTTTTTTATGTCCAGCATAAGTTGTTATTTATAGTGTACATATATAATTAAGAACCTATACTGCACATAATTTTGTTCAAAACAACATTCGAAAATTTACCTTTCAAAATTGATTCTGTTTAATAAATTAATTATAAATACAAAAAAAGCGGGATTTCTACTATTTTGTTGTTGCTTAGGAAGAAACAATCTTAGTGCATGAAAAATTTTATTCAACAACACATAATCTTTCTATCAAACTTTTAAAACTATCTAGCACCAATTGAACTAAAAGAATTATATACCTGATCGTTTATCGGATAAATTAGCCCCTATTATAAATAACTCAAAATCAACATTTACTAAAAGAAAATTTCTATAATGTCACTAAGGTTAGATAAAAAGTGTTTGATTTTTTCCTTTAAATATCTATAATATTAAATAAACTACCTATATTTTTCTTTTGAATAAATGATGTATAATCAGCTGCTTCAGTCCTTTTTTGAAAAGAAAATTTTTTTAATTTATGTTGAAATAATAACATATTTATATTTATTATGTCCTACTTGAAACAGTTTTCCTCGTAGACAGAACTCCAAACTCTATGAGCTGAAAAACCTCCATAGCCAGTATAACGTTCAGGATTTAATAATAAATTAACGTATTGGCAACTATCAGAATTATCATCTAGAATGTATATGTTTAATTTATTTGTTGACTCATTAAGTAATTATTTTCTTATTTACCGTCTAATTCACAAAAATTATCTTGAGCTTCATCATGTTTTTGCCAACTTTCGAAAGCCTCTTTATTTTCAGTGCTAATTGTGTGATCCAATTTTCCTAAAGACCCTTTATTGTCGTCGCAATTTGAAGTTTTTTGACTTTCTCTAGCATACTATGTAGCATATGTTATAAAAAATTTGTAAAGAGGTCTTGTTTAAATAAATATTAAACCTTATGGAATGAGTCGGCTTTTTTGATACCATCTGGTAATTGATCCTGTATCAGTCAAAATGTTTCAAGCTATTATGAAAATGATGAAAATGTTTAAAATGTAACCTCTCGACATTCAGAAACGTGGCAGTCTTTTAAAACACATCCGGAATCATCTCCCCAAAAAGGACATCCTTTATTTAGATTAACCTGATGGGTTTAAATGTTTATGTTGCGTCTTTCAATATTGAAAAGAAATTACTTTAAAAAATTTGAAATAGTCTTTATCCAACAAACTCTGAAGACGAGGATAAATCTTGAGATTATTAAAACTGTCAACGCTGTCAACCGTACAAGAACAATCATCCACTTCACCCTTCAACTAAGAAAACATAAATATTTTAAAATGTTGTAAACATCATAGATCTTATTATTAAAAAAAGAACTTAAAAAAAAACGTTCGAAGACGAAATTATAGATCCCAATGAAAAAGCGCGATAAACTTTACGAACCTTGCAAAAGCAGCCCTGTCCTACATCATTTGCTAAGATTAGAGATGATGAAATAAATATAAAAAATAGATAAAAATTATTTTTTTGTATAAAAGCAAATATTCTTGAAATCATAAGAATAACAGAGAGCTGACAACTACAGTCAACGAAACAATAAAAACAGCAAATAATACGCCAAAAAATAGTTCGTTATTAATAGGAAAATCTATGCATTTTATTATCGAAAATAAGTTAAAATATTGAATAATTATAACTTAAATACAGCAAAAAGAGTTAATAATTTTATGAAATTTAATAATAAATAAAAAAAAATTAATGCGCAATAATTTATTATTTTTTAAGGAAACGTGGCGGGCTCTCATTTAACAATCTTTCAACTCATTAAATTCCTTTCACCTGAGCAACTATGTTAATTATTTTACAGATCATACTTAAAATACATATTTTTATTTTGAAAGTTTCCATTTAAAAGTAAAATAAATTACTTATTATCTTGTGTAGATAATAAAAAAGTTGTAAACAATTCACCTTTATATGAATTGATAATATAACATATAACTTAAAATTTTACATGACAGTGGTATTTAAAGCTATTAAATTAATTATTTTTCTTTAAAGTTTCATGTATTCAGCTATAAATAAAACAAAAAAAAACACTTAAACAAAATAAGACAGAGACGAAAGAATTCTCGTTAAATAGATCATCATCTTATATTTAATTTCAGAGATGACTTCACTTAAAAGTATAAGATTAAAATTAAATTTTTAATTATTACTATTGAAAAAATAGATAATTTAATACTTCTATTCAACTTCTTCAAAGAACATTTATGTAAACATTCTTTTTTTTTGTTCTTTTGTTCTCATGCATTGCAGAGAATAATAATATCTTAATAATTCTTTTAAAATGAATACATTCGTATATTACATTTTGATTAGTTTGTCAAAGAATTGAAAGAAATATCTTCCCCTTAACAATATAAAAACTCATGATAGTTGAAGAGAAGAGCTGTAAAGAAGATTTAAAGACCCTTTCCCTCGTTTTTCACGATAACTTATAAGATAATGTTTAATTCGTAAAGTAGCTCACTATAATCTGTTTTATGAGAATTATTGTATTTGATGCAGACTCATTTTGGGCAAAAAAGGAGAAAAAACGAAGCTAATCCTAACAACGCCATCTACCGGTTGCTAATAAGCTTGTACTAATACTGACAATAAGTCTAATAGGTTTAAGAGTATACTGATTGAAGAGATGGTGAACATATATAAATGAAAACAACAAGTGAGTGTCATTTCTTCTTTTCTATTTAACAAAATAGGAGACGGATAGCGTAATATTCGGAAAGAACCTATCAATCAACCTTAATAATCGATTTGTAAGTGGATAATAAATCCAAGATAAGCCTATCCAAAGGCTGAAAACCAATTTCCCCGATTATCCATAGAGTTCTTATTATTTATTATATTAAACTATGACAAAATGATGTACACTGAAGGGCGTAATTGAATGTACGAATACTATAATAAAATGCTTATTTTCAAAAGTAATTAATGAATAAACTGTGTATAGATTTTTTTTTCATGTGATAATTTCGTACGAGTGACGATAGGATGTTTTATACAATATAAAACTTTTACAGGAGAACGCCTCCTGGTAGTCTATTATTATATAATCTCACAGATGTTATTGTGCGTTCGCATTGCATTAAAGTCGTTGTATACATGATATTTTTCTAAATTTAGTCCTTTTTTTTTAATAGCTTTTATCAGCAATGGCCAGAAGAGGAAATAGATTAAATAATGTGCTAATTCAAGTAAGTACTGCAAGATACTAAGATGTATTTATTACGATTATATTTCATACTATATCAATTATTTCGAGTCTATAAAAAGAATTCTTATCCTACTTCTAACAATGTATAAAGGGATTGAAGACATTTGGAGAGAATGGATTTGAAATGAGAATTCGAAATATTGGTAACGAAACGTTTATCGCCTCAATAAAAGAAAGTTTTAATACAACTGAAAATCAGGTCTACAAACGCAATGATGATGCTTCGGGAGCATTGTATTATGTGTGTGCCGTTATTGTAATCTATGGTTTTGGAATAATCTTAATGATAGCTTCGGTAATAAATAAAGGAAAGCACGATAAATCTATTTACAAGTACATAGCTGATCTTGACAATTTAAAGAGATTGGAGAAGAGAAAGGAAAAGTTCAAAACAAGGTTAATAATGCAAAAGATACAAAAGAAAAAGATTCCTTTTAAGACTATACACACAGCACCTCAGAGAATGGCATTGGTTAAAGACGATGAATCCTATCCCTGGGGAGATGTTCCTTCCGGTCAGCAAACGAAAGAGGGAATAGATGAACAATTTGCCTTCTATCAACCACTTGTATCTCTTAAGAATACTGAAATAGAGCAAGAGTCGGATGAGCTGTGCATTATTCAAGTGGACGAAAATTGCGAGGAAGAGGAAGAAGAAGAATATGTTGAGCAAACTGCTTCGTCTCCCGACACACCGAAGAGAGAAGAAAACTTTGACTTTGTTTAGCAAAATTTTCCATTTTTTTCCCTTTTTCTGTTTTCCCTATGCTTTTCTAATATTAGTAAAATCCATTATATAGGAGCTTTTAGACGCCGTTAGCTTTTACGACGATTTGGAAATAGCGTCGCTTTTAACGTATGTTTAAATATTTATTCGATTTTATTGTACTACAAGTTATAAAGTTTGACAAGGGGAGTTACGGTAAAAACGCCACCTGGGCAAGATTATAAACATTTTTGAAAGATACCATCACTTCTAAACGTCTGTTTCCGTATCAGAGGTTTCACCGTTTAGCTCTATGACGACTTTAGTAGAATAGGGTTGGCTATGATGGGATTTACTTTTCATTTCTTGTCTTCCCTTCTTCCTTGACGATTTTCTACAAGACTCAGGGGTTAATCTGTCCAGGTCTTTGAACTTGACGATATTGTACTGCTTATTCGTGGGTGATTTTAGAAGGCTCATTTCCTCCGGAACAGGTTTATTAAGAGCGACACGAGCATCCTTTACCACTCGTCCATCAGTTCCTCGATAGGCGGCTAATTTGTTCGTAGCGTTCAACTATAATAAAAGCAGTGTGTGATAAAAAGGATGGAACTTAAATTTATACGGTGTCTTACTAATTGCATTTGCCTCTCTTTCTTTCTAACGAAAGCCATTTCCTTTAAATATGCACTTAATTTTCTGTCCATCTTATTTTTGCGTATGTGCGAGGCAATCATCATGATAATGGAGCAGGCGTAGATCATTATAACGATAACTACGTAATAAACGGCTCCAACACTATCCTCCCGATAATCTTTATGCTTGTTAACGATCTTGGCGATAAAAGACGAATTGCCAGCTGGCTCTACGCTAAACTCTATCATTGGAAACCTTAACCTTCTATGAACATGACTGTGAGGATGCAACAACAAAAAAATTGTTTTATTTTTGTCGTAATTGAAACAATATCCCTTCTCTTAATGATACAAGTCATAATACTGCAAAAACTCTCAATTAAAGTATGCATTTCCTTCTATTGAAAGAAATTTAAAAGCTTACCTAACCTTAAATGATATATTTTCTTCCCTTGCTTTATCTAGCAACATTATTTTCTCTTGTCAACTTAGACACTGCAAAACGAATTCGCTATGTTTATATCATAAAACCTTTACTATATTATCACTATTCCTTTTCTTCATACAATTTAATGCTATCTATTAATATTAGTACAAACTGACTGTTTATACCTTCATCATACAAAGATCTTGTGACAAACAAGTATATAGAAAGAAAACAAACTAATAGAGAGTAATAGATACGAACAATAATTCGTTTAATGTATCACTCGCATCATACGTTATGGTGAAATGTTTGACACATTACGTTTCTACTATTTGTTTGGACTTTTTTTTTTATTAAAACTAGCTGAGATTGGGTGACAATTGACGATGAATTGAGAATAATTTATTACTAATTATAACAAAAAGCTATATTATTTATACGAAAACAGATTTCGTTAAAAAAGAATAGTTAGCTTACTATTTTAAAAGTGATTCTAAAATAATAATATTGTCTTTTTTATATAAAACTACTTTAATATGAGAATAAAAAGGATGATAAATTAACAAAATTCGTAGATATACGTATATATGTATATTTACTTAACTAACGGAAAAATATAGTTCTTGCCTGAGGAAGTGTGATTAAGAGAGAGAACTTTTCTCATTTCTTATCCGCCATCTTGTAATATTAACAACTCCTCTACTCGTAATACATATTTATCATATTTATATTTACAGTATATATATATATATTCTTGTTCTTAACTTGTGCTATATATAATCTTCGTTTTGTATAATTATTTATAATTTATGTTGTTGAAGATAAGAGTTTGTTTGTTAAACAAGCTTAGCTTATCCTTAGTTTTTATGATAAGGATACTGTGTCCTTTTTAAAGAGAAACGTTAATAAATAAACCAATCTCCCTAAGCTTGAAAGCTATAAAATCCTATAAAAAATTAAGTATTTTCGCTAAAGGAATAATTAACCTGGCCACATGCATCTTCGGTCTTCTGGTACTCCTTGATCAAATACGTGCAAGTGAAGTAGGGAATGTGACTATCATTTATCGTCTAAGGAGCTAGGTGACGCAGTCTTTAAAAGGCTGTCAAAAGCGAATGCTTATAATTCTAAAAAAAACATTCGACTGGAAAAGTGCCTTTAAATGAGTCGCTCAAAAGCTAAATAAGAAAAGAATCATACAGATTTCCATATCTTCCTCTTTATTCTCCCAAGTCTCAATGAGCTTTGAGATAAAGAGACAAAACAATATATTTATCTTTATTTTTAGGTACACTATTTATTTGCTGATATAAGCACATAAATGTAAACATAAACATCATATATGCATTCCCATTACCTCTCTAGCTCTTTCCTTCTTTAAATAGTTTATAGACTCTAACGTTCATGCAAAAATAGTAACCTTATTTTCTTTTGTTACCACTTTAATTATACATGGGAACTGATGAATTATTTCACTTTTATTTGTATATTTTGCCTTGGTATTATTTATCTTATGGAAATTAATATAATTTTCATTTAGAGAGTATTTTGTAAACCGATATTGTTCTTTGTCTTATCTTCATTATATTTTCTGTAATGTCTGTTAATTTTTATTAACAGTTTGTTTACACTCTCCCTGGTAATAACTTGTGGATATTTGTTCTTTCAATGGCGTCTGCCAGACGATTAATTTCAATCGATTATGAGGTTTTCGGACGTGTGCAAGGTTACAATCATCTTCAATAGTTAACTATTAAATTAGGCTTAAAAAATGATGCATTTTCCAAAAAGAAATGTTTCCATTCATAGTTATTAAACGATTTTTCATTCTATTTGGAAGGGATCATTTAATTCGTTTTTATAAATTTAGGTGTATTCTTTAGAAAATATACTCAGAAAACAGCTGTTAAGTTAGGTTTAGTCGGTTGGGTAAAAAATACGGATCAAAATACCGTTGTGGGTACAATCCAAGGAGAAGAGAGTAAAATATCAGAAATGTAAGTGTTTCTTTTAACTATACACAAAACACATCTATAAAAAAAATACACCAGAGTTTTACATAGAATAGAATCATAACATTCCTAAATTGTTAATTGATAAAAATTGAAGTTTAAAGAAGAATTTTTAGCTTTCAATTCTTCTATTCGATAATTTCGTTGTTGATAATTAACAGGCGAAATTGGTTACAAACTGTTGGTAGCCCGAAATCAAGAATTGATAAATGCCACTTCAGTAATGAAAAGGAAATTGAAAATCCGAATTTTACTTCGTTCAATATTCGAAAACCGTTAGATGTAAAGAAAAAAAGAAGATAAAAGAATATTGATAAAATTTCAAGATTTATTTTTCTTTTTTTTTAAGTTTTGTGGTTTTTTTTTTGATATTTAAACAAATGAAGATACATACATACGTTTACAGAACAAAATATTCCAAAAATGACATAATGATAGACAAAGAAAAAGATGTATTCGAATAGAACATGGAACTTATTCTGTTCTTTGTTCTTTTTTTCTCCAACTTCAATCTATAAAATTAGAATATGCTGCGTCTTTAGAATAAGTTTGGATAATTATAATAAGAATAATCTGATTTTGGTTTATCTCTCATTTAATGTATATTATTCAATATTTTATAAGTTTAGTATGAGCCTGTGTCAATATTCTTAGTTGTTCTTAATCGACTTGAGGGTTATTATGAAATAAGTATTCGGCCTAAGAGATAAAGAATTATAAGATTAAGGTTGTTGAGGATAACGTTAAACTTACCAGGAAATCAATTGGATCGTCAGGCCTAACTTTACAAGCGTCAATTAGCCCCTGCGTTAAAGTTGGCATGACGTGTTTCATTAAATAGTTTCGTAAGGGTATCGATTGACTTTCAAGCATATCGTGTTCTTGCCTTTTAACCTCATTAAGACGTTCGGTCTATTAGTTTAAAAAAATTCGAAATAAAATCGTTAACAATTAAACACTCGAAACGTGAGAGTTACCCATTCATCCTGCCTGCGTTTCCTTTCTGCCGCTTCTTCTTTATCCTGCCTTTCCTTTTCCAGCCTCTCCTCTTCCTCTCGCCTTAAACGGCTTTCCTCTTGTTTTCGTCTTGTTTCCTCTTGTTCTTCCTCTGTGGGCCCGTAATTTCTAGGTTCTCCAACCTTTCTTGTAATCCTACCCATTATGAGCCGATTATCGATTGTCTTGTCCAAAGATATATCAATAGTCTCTGCATGAATTTCATTTTCCTCGAAGAAATTTAGAAGAGTGTTGTCGTCGTTATTTAGGTCGTGGAAAGCTTTCAGACGTCTCAAAAGACCTTTCTCGTCTGTATGTCCAGGGGTAACAACACTTTCAGGTAGATTCATCACACGACTTCTTAAGTAGTCGTCATCGGCTTGTAAAGAAATTACAAACTCAGGAGTGATTGTTTTATCATAATGCAGATTACTGGTTTCTTCTTCTCCGTCATTATCCTCATTTGAAAATAATTCCTTTGCCTGGTCAAGGTTTTTAGGAAAACCATCCAAAACAAAACCTTGATTCTGACATTTCATTGATTTTAACGTATCTCTAACGAGCCTAATTAAGTTTTCATCGCTGATACGGCCATCATTACTCTTTTCATCCTCTTCAATAGCGACCAACAACTGCTCGTCTTCAGCCGCTTTTCCGTCATCATCATCATCTTCCTCAGATTCTTGCTGAGCTCTAGATATAGATTTCCGCAATCTCTCTTTAGACTCTCTGATTATCTCGGACACTCTTAAATGATGAAGTTTATAACTGCTAGCCAATTCCTTAGCAATTGTCGACTTGCCTGCACAGGGTGGTCCATGTAGAAGGATTCTTATAGGTTGTAGCTTTCTAGATTCCCTATACTCTTTAACAACTGCTTCAATATTTTCGACTAGACCATGCTCACTTGTCCAACGTATTTGCATATTCTCTCTAATAAAACCCCCGTCCATGCGAAGATTTACCAACAGCTGATCAAAATCAGCTTGGCAAACTTCTTTCATAAGAAGAGCATCCTCTTTAACTATATATTTTACTTTTCCATTACAAAGGCCCTTCGATATTGCCTTAACAATCTCCTCTAATAGATTTTTCGAATCATCAACCGCAACCAGGTACCGAACTTTAGGCTTAGCGTCTAAAATATTCTGAACCACACTAAATAGAAAAAAAGCGAAAACAAAATTTACCTTCTTTTTAAAAACTTGACGTTTAATAGGCTTATATACTCACGCCGCTAAATCTTTAATATGTATAGTCGGTATGCAATTTTGACCAGTTCCAAAAATTTGTAAACTTTCAGTATTATGCCAAGCCGACTATTTAGGCAAAGGTTAACAATTTGTTAAATTAATAGGTCAATGGAAGTAAGAAGGGAAAAGATTTTACCTTAAATAAATAATGGAATATGCATTCTTCAGCTCCGTAGGTTAGGCCAGAGGCTATGACATACGTAACCAATTTCGTTTTATTTGTTTTACCCATTTTAATAACTGTTTTCTCCGCATTCATATGATCCTTCCAATTGGGATGCGCTCTTCTACGTCTGTAATCGTCTTCGGTAAATGGAATTTCCGTATCCTCCTATAGAAAAGTTAATAGTTTCGAAAGTTCTTCGAATGACAATTATGGACTTACGGGATCTAAAGGTTTACTATTTGCCCAAGTCATAACGGATGATATAAGTATAAACATTTTCGGCTTTTCAATTCTTTCTAAGTCTGCGTGTAGTTCGGAAACTACCCAGACAGCTTCATCAATGGCACTAGGCTCTTCGGTAATATCGTAGACAATCATATCGCACTCAATTAAATGTTCTAACAGGTCTTCTTTTGTTTTATAATCGAGAATATCTTTAATAAATGCTGGCTTATCTCTAATTCTATCCTTTTCTCTGTCTTTAAAGGTACTAATTATTTGATAACAGCCTTCTCGATGCCTTCTGCTGAAATCTCCACTGGCAACAGAAGCTTCTTCGTCTTCTTCTTCATTTTCATCAACAGTTGCTCCGACTAGACATTGGGATAAATACTGAAAGAAAAGAATGAAAATAGTATTAAAGCGCTTCCTTTATATTCATTTCAACCTTGGACACATTCCGTCCCTGGAAAGTATCGCAATAGTTAATGAAAACCCTTTTGGAATCCCTTCGTTCATTAACGTTATCCGCCATTGTTGTATCAACTAGTATCCAAGCAACAAACTTAAAGGACAAACTACCGGTTTTTGTTAACGAATCTTTCACCGTACACATGTTTATCAGGCGTCTCTTATAAATATTAGACGCCCAATCGAGAAATTTTCTTTACAGAAAACGAATATAATCAACAACTATTAGCAAAAGTTCACATACAGATACTAGTATAATAATAATAACTCAACTTTTTCAACAAACTTCAATAGAAAGTGATACTTAAAAAGAAAACGTTCAGAAGTTATTCGGCGTCTAATTCGATAAAGATTAAAAGATTATACGATGAAAATTACTGGATAATTGAGCATGTTTGTTTCTCTCCTTATCTTTGGTTTATCTTGTGAAATTCTTAAAAAAATTGCATTCTCGCTCCATCTCTTGCAGTTTACATGCAAATACTGCAACTTTGCTCTTAAGTTTCGTATTTTCTTTTACTGTCTCTTTCATTTTTAATTTATATATATCTAGATCAGTTGTTAATTGTTTTGTTGATTGAAGAAAGATACTCCTCTCTTTATCGTATAATCTTAACTTGCTACGAAGATCTTCTAGCATTTCACAATCCTTTTTTGACGAAATGTTTTCTTGGGCATTTATCTTATATTTAAGATTTGATGCTTCGTTATAGTATTCCATCAGCTGAACTTCTAATGACTGAACATGAGCCTCTTGCGTATATGCACTTGATCTTAGCAAATGAATTTTCCTTTTCAATGATTTTACATTATTCTTCTCCTCTTCTAAAGATTTCTCCAACTGTTTTATTTGTTCTTCACTGCTACTTTTACAAACTTTATCTTGATAATCAAGTTCTTTCTGATGTTTTAGCGTTTCTATATGCTTACAAGCCAAAAGTCTAGCACGTATTTCTTGATGTAACCTATGCTTCAAAGATTCTATAGTTCTTTCGAAATGATAGTTTGATGTTGAAACAGCTTCCTTTGATTCTTCTAGTGCCAATTTTGACGCCTGACAAGTTTGTAAATCGGCTTTAGTTTTAAAAAGTTGTTCTTTAAGGTCTTCAATTTCATCTTTAGAAAGTTTCATTGTCTCCTCCAAACTTTTACGTAGCTTAATTAAATTCCTTTCGTCTTCTCTTTTATTTACTTCAAGTTGTTCTTTCAATTGTTTAACGTTTATAGAGAGTTTAGTATTCATTTCTATGTTTTCATTCAATTTTATATTAGTTTCATTAGCTTGTTCTTTAAATAAGTTTATCTCATTTCTACAATCTTTTAATTCATTCTCAGATTGCAGCAATTGAAATTCAAGCTCTCTTCTTCCTTTAACTTCCAATTTTAATTGTTCTAACGAATGTTTATGCGATTGTAATTGAGAATTTTTAAAGTGTAATTGTTCACGTAGTTGTTCCATTTCATTTCTGACTTTATTCAACTTTTCACTTACAGCCTTCTTTTCCTTTTGGCTATATGTTAAATCATTTATGAAATCATTACGAATACTTTCAAGAGTATGTTCAAATTTTAGTTGTTCAGCACCCAAGAGTTCTTCGCTGTTTCCTAATTTCTTCTCTGAGTTCTTTAACTTCTCCTCAAGTTTTTCTTTGTCAGCTTTTAATGCTTCTACGTTAAAAAATGCTTCTTTCAACTGCTGTTCTAATTTTGACATCTGCACTTCGTACAGTTTTATTTTATCAAATAGCTGTCCTTGCTGTTTCTCGTCTAATTTGTATTGTTCTCTCAAAGATAAATGATGGTCCTTTTCGTTGTTAAGCATCTGATGATATTTACTCAGATCTTTGTTTAGATTTTCTTGTATCGATTGTAGAAACGACACTTGATTATTTAGTTGATTTATAAGAGTTTTATGTTCGCCAATTTCCAACTGACTCCTTTCCAATTCGTTTCGTAGTTTATACACAATTGCTTCTAGACTAGATCTTCCTTCATTGGCTTTTTTAAGATTTTCAGAAAGCATTTCTTTCTCTTTTTCGGCCGCTTGCCATTGGCTATTGGATTGTCTTAATTCGGCTAGTAGCGAAGAATTTTTGTCCTGGCTATCATTATACAGTTTCTCAAATTCCAAGCATGATTTACGAGCATCTCCAAGGCGTCGTGAATTTTCTTTAATATCAACTTGCATCCTCTGAATCATATCTGCTAAACGTTCATTATTTCGTTCTAAGGCTGATTTATCAGTTTCGCATTCATTGAGAATTGATTTAATATTTTCCAAATCGCACTTTAAATCGAAATTCTCCTTGTTCTTCGATTCAAATCCGTTTAAAATTTGTTCAATGTCTTCCTTACTCATCAAATCTTCTTCCTTCATTGTATGGAGCTTTGTGCTAATATCCTTTAAATTTAATTTAACAGTTTCCATCTTACTGGAAAATCTGGATGCTTCAATGGTTTTTTCATTAACTTTTTCCTCAATGATAAGTACTTTTGTTTGTAATATTCTATTATCATTTTTAAGAATTTCAACAGCTTCTTCATATTCCGTGTGAATCTTTGTAATTTTATTATTTAATTCTGTATCCTTATTTATTAATTTCGATTGATATTCCTTTAACATAGCTGATTCCTTATTTAATTCATTAGCTAAACGACGATTCTCATTTTTAACTTTAATCATTTGTTCTTCAGTTTCCGATAAGGTTTCATTTAATTTTTTAACTATTGCCATCAATTTAACCTTTTCAAAGTAGCACTTTTGTAATTCCCTGTCTAATTCAGTGGTTTTTATGGTACTTTTAACTAAATCTTGACGAGTACCTTCAAGTTCATTATATAAAGTTTCATTTTCAACTTGTAATTGTTTATTTTTGATTTCAGCTTCTAATAATGCTTCAAAACTATTGTTCTTATTTTCTTGTAAACTGTTAATAAGGTGTTTGTCAAGATCTTGTTTCTTATCGTAAAGTAATCTTTTAAAATGGTCTGCTTTACTTTTTTCGCATTGGTATTTATTGGTAATTAATTTTAAATCGCCCATCAATTTATCAATTTGCTGTTCATAACCTTTTAAGTTATTTGTTTGGCTTAAATCGGGAATAAACTTGTACGACTCTAATGAGTTTTTTGATGGATTATCCAATAAATCTTGTTTCGTTTCCCTCTGAAATGTTGCTGCTTCTGCAGACAATACAGCCATACTACGTTTAATATTATCGTTAAATTTAATTAATTCATCACGTGAATATGTTAAATTAGATTTTAAAATGTCAAATTTTAATAAATTTCCATATTTATTATTTAATTTATCTCTAAAATTAGAATCTTTCAATAAATTAACAATTTCTTTGGGATTCTTATCAATAACTTTTCGAGTATTGACATCTTCATCAATTAAATCTTTTATATATTGATTTTCGAGTAGTGATGTTTGTAAGTTTGCATCATTTTCAACAATATCTAATAGATTTTGATCTTTTAGAATAAAAATTAATAAATGATCCTTTGGTATTATCTTCTTTAGTTCGTCAATATCGAATTTAGTTTGAAAATCCTTTTTCCTACAATCTATGGGATTATCTTTATCAGTCATTTGATCATTATCAAATTCTTTATTTGGATCATTTTCATTGATTTCAGAATGTACTTGCTATAAAAAAAATGGTATGAAGGAGAAAGCAAAAGAATTTTACTGTATATTATATATATATATAGTATATACTCTTCTTGAAGGCCTACCAAGCTTTCTTTTGCAGGTATATATTTGTCTTCAGGTTTAGAGGTCATTATCCATATAAAGATTGTATAAGGGTTAATCTAACTTGACAAAGCTGTACATAAAGAGAGAAGGAATGTTTACTAATTTATTAACTTTATTAATTCCAAATTTCTAAATATTCATTCTTATTATTGCCTTCTTTTCTTTTATGAGAGAAAGGTATAAATAGATAGGCACGTCGATAGATTAAAAAGAGATAATAGTAAGAATTAAAATATTCAAATTTAAATATTGAAAAAGGAACGTCAAAGTTTGCTTTTCCATATTTATAGAGCAATCTTCATAAACTAATAGTTTCTTCTTGAAAACCACTCGACTATATTAGAAGGAACTATCACGTAGAGATTGTCAATATTTCTTTCAGATTGAGTGAATATTGTAATCTAATTATATAAATAGTTAACAATCATTTAAATGAGATATTTCTGTTAATTAAAAAGAAAGTTTTAAAAGAATTTTTTGTAGACAAATTCGATATTTCTTAGAAATATTCTCGAATATACGCAAAGGGTTGTGAAAGAACCACATGTTTTTTTTCGCTCGGTTCTTTGATATCGTTGGGAGATAGAGATGGAAGAGGTTCAATTCTTTTATAATATAAATTCTAAAAATAAATACGTACTTAATAAAAGTTGAAAAATATCGCGATAGTTTATTGCTTTATCTATTTACTTTTTAATACATGTACGTTCATTGATTTTGAAAAGAATTCTGATTTTTGACATGTATCTAAGTCAACTATCTCATATAATTTACTCTTTTTAACACTTTGTTAAAATTTTAGTATTTGGATTTAACGTTATTAAATATTGTTTACATTTATGCCAAAATCCTCGAAAATTTCAGCTTCTTTTCATAACGAATAGTAGCGAATCTCCATGGACAATTTCAGCTATAGACATTAGTACGGGAAGTCCTCTAGCAACTTATAGGAATGGAATATGTAGTGAGAATGCTTTCAATTTAGTAAATAATGAATATTTGGTGGGATCAAATAAGAATTTTATGTATATATGGAGACTACATCAAGAGGTAAAGTCCTTTTGTAAAAGCCTTTATTTTTTGTTTTAACAATGAAAATTAAAACTTTTTAGGGACCTGCCCAAAAGATATTCTTTAGGAATTCAATAAATTGCTTCGATATAACTCTAGATGGTAAATTTCTAATTGCATGTTTAGGTGAAAAAATATCAGTTTTTGAGGTATAGAACAAAATACCAACTCAACAAAAATGAAATCTCATATCAATATTTAATCCTATGTATTTATAGTTGTCTACTGGAAGCCAAATATGTAATTTATCTGCTCACTATTTGCCTATTAAAAAAATCAAATTAGCTCAAGACGATTCTTTTTTCGTTACCGTTGGTTCGGATTCTTTCGCTGTTCTTTGGACATTGAAAAAGTAATACATAAATAAATATATATACATATATAGTCTATATATCTTACACATGTATATATATATATATATATATATATATATATTTATAATTCAAATGTAATTAAAGCTAATAACTTAATCTTCTCAATTCTTCAATATATTTTTCAGTACCGCAAATGAAACTCATCAAGAATACGAACTATGTCGATTGAATGGGCATAGTGGGGCAATAAATGATGTTTTTCTTTCACATGGAGGATTAAACTGTACAATTTACACTGCATCATCCGATCACTCTTGTATTGTAAGATTTTAACAGTCTAATATAACATTGAAACATATTTCAATAAGTCATCTTTTTTACCTAGCTATGGAATACAAAAGGATCAGTATTAAAAAAAGTTGTTTGCCAAAATGCGTTACAATGTGTTACTGTTGACTGCCAAACTGGTGTTATTTATCTAGGCGATGCTAAAGGCAATATCATATTGAATAAGGTACTCTTTAGAAATATATATTTGTGAGGTTGTTTTATAGTTTTTTCTTTTGCAGAATGATTCAACTGTATCAATAAAAGCCGCAAGGTGCGTTTCATTACTTTAAACTCGTATAAGTTTATACAGTATAATTTTTTATATTTATTTTTTTAAAGTTCTGAAATAAGATGCTTATCTTTAAATATCGATACATCTGTACTTGCTAGCGCAAGCACAGATAAAACTGTTAAACTCTGGAACAGTTCTCGAAAAGAAACCATTGATTGTATAAAAGTAATTACATTAACAGGTATTAAATACTTTTATTGTTCAATTTATACTAAAATTGTAACTATGACTCTAATAGTAGAATATGAAATAAGTAACAATTTTACTTTCAGGATTTGCTACTAATTTACAATTTTTTATGGCTCCTTCCGGTTTGGGATTGAAGAAATCAAATTTAACATTGGAACCAATACCTATAGCTAAATCTATGCAGAGTTCTAAAGAAAATATGAACGTATTAACTAAAATAATAAATCAATCTGTAAGTTTAACATTCAGGAAGGCCTTTTAGAAAATCATTTTCACTAATCATGTTTTATATCTGTTGATTAGAGCTAAAAAAGAAAGCGAAGATATGTTAAAAGAATATTTGGCTATATTTTTTTATAAACATTTATTGCAAATCTATTCAAAAAGTTGTAAAGATCTTCATTAAAAGATTATATGTAGATATTCTAAGGAAAGTATAGAAGTAAATTGTGAAAACTCATATAATAAATTACAAAAAATTTGTTGAAACATTAAAAATGATATTATGTATCAATTAAGGCCACGATAGATTAACAATTGTCAATAGTTCTAAAGCAGTAGTCTGTTTTTTTGAAGCAGATGCTGGTAATCTGCATCGTAAAGAGTCTTTGTCTCAAATTCCAGATGGTTTCCATTGATTTACTGCTCTTGTCTCCTGTTGAGCACTGTTCAATTTTTTTTTCACATGATCTTTTTCCCCCTACTATTTCCCATACTTCATCTATATCTTGAATATTTATCAAAGTGCTCCATATTTCTATTGAAAGGGCAAACACTAGTAAAACAACTACGTCTCGAAATGTCTTAGAACGAACAGGAGTGCTTATGTTGCAGTGTCTTCTAGTTACTATCAACCTAATGCTAATTTTTTTCAGTAATTTGATTGCAGTTTTATAAGCCTAGTTCAAGGTTGGCGTTAGCCTATTAATCATGCTTTGAATATCAAAGAGTCTTACATTATAGTAAGAAAAATTTATTATTTCAAAAACCTTGAACAAACTTGACAAACAGAAAACGTATCCATAAATATGAGATATAGAGTAAGTTTTTCACAAACAAAAATTTATATATATATATATATCGATTAAAGTTTAGCCTGTATTTGCAGTAGGATCGTTAAGTTTAGAATTTGATTGTAGATAGATAGTTAAATAATCTTTATCAACTATCTGAGCAACAATCAAAATTTAACTAAACGACTAAAATGTAATTTAATTAATCGTTGAATAAAGCATTAAATTTGAATGTGATAGCTTTTCAAATTTGTTTGAAAGGAAGTGTCTGAAAAAGATAAGAAATGAAATATTTATATGTACGAATATCATTGTTATCTACTGATAGATTATATATATAATGTATATTTAATGCTATTTAAAGATAACGTCTGTAATTATTGAAAGATATAGTAACTAAATGTTAAAATATGGCAATAATTTAAAAAGAAAAATTACCTTATAAAATTCAATTTGTAGTAATATTTCTTATTTCTTAGGCTCTAATGTCTATTTGCATAGAGTTGACTTAAAGTATGTTAAACATTCTTTTCCTGACGGTGTTCGAATTTAAAATAGCTAGGTGTGCATACATCTGTAGACGTCAGCTTGTGTACACGTGACGTGCTCCGTGGCGTCGTTCGATTCTTTTTCTCTCTATTTCCTATCCCCTAGTTATCTCTGGTTATAGAATCCTTTATATTACATCTACACTATATATATATATATATATTGTATATTTGTAATTTAATACATAGATGTATTTTCATTACTTCGTATCATTTTCAAAAGTTTTATATACTAACTTATGTTTCCTTTACATTGTTTCTCTTTTTAACGATGCATAATAATACAGTCCATTCGTCGTTCCTTACTCTCTTCTTCTTCTTCTGTTAGCTTTTCCGTTATTCTAACATAGTGCGTCTAAGGTAGGAAAATAAAAAAAAACAACAAGAACAACGCAAGGAAAGTATTAGATAAACCTTTTATCAACATTCCTATTTTTTTCAATATAGTCCACCTTAAAAAATATTGAAGTAAAAGTTCACGCGAAAAGCTAAATCAAATAAAAAAAAACTCTTATAAGTTCAAAATGGCGTAGAATCAATATTATTTTTTTTTTTGGTTAAAAATTTCTACTAAAACAAGTTTAATGTTAAATTATCCTTAGAGATTATTATTCTTAATTATTGTCTAATTTGTCTAATTATCAAATTCCATGACTTACTTATTAAACTATTATAGGTGGCGATTGATTAGGTAATTCTCTTTAATTGGAATAAGGGTAAGGAGACATACATTTTTCGCATTAATGTTTATCCCATAAACGATTTATTAAATTATATTTAAGCCTATAGAAAATGTTACGTAATACTTTAAGTATTTTGTATTAGAGCTTAGATATCGATTTTTTTTTGTAGTTTTACTTTAAGCTAAACTGATGATGACTATGGTTATTATGCTATTTAATCATATAATTGAATAGTGAATTTTGTACTGTCTTGTCAGAGCTTAGCAAAGTTTATAGTTTGAATTTATATACTTTTTTTAAAAAACACTTTCTTTTAACGTTGTTCATGCTATGCTATGTTTAATAATCAAATGCTAGAAACATGTAGTATTTAAAATTGGCGCCATTTTGTTAAATTTCCAAGCGCGGTGTCCGAAATATAGAATGTTATTTCGCTACACATACTACAACAACAATTACTTCGTAAACAATAGCATTTTACAAAATTTGCTAGATTTTAATTGACTATTCTACTTAATAAATTTTGTTATTTTTGTAAAGATTATTTGTAACTTTTAAAAGTTTTAGTAAGATTTCTGAGCTCGAGATAAAATGTTGTAATATTCGAATACAATGCGTCAGTGAACCGCAATTTTTCTTCGATTTATCATTAACTAGGGATAATTATGGCCAAGGATTCAAAGTAAGTATTCAAGGAAATAATTTTTGTTTGATTTATATAAGTTTCATTGCTAAAAACTTACTATGAACATAGATCTTCGAGGAAACGTTCACGGTCTCGTTCTCACTCTCATAGTCCTAAGCGTTCAAGACGCTCAAGAAGTCGCTCAAGAAATAGGAGACGTAAAGATGATGCTTCATCACCTGATCGAAGACGTAGGAGATCAAAATCACGAGAGAGACGAGGCAGACGAAGATCACGTAGTCCGAGACGCCGGAGACGATCCCATAGTCGATCCCGAAGTCGTGAAAACCGAGAAAGTCGCGAAAATCGTGAAAATCGTGATAGACGTTCAAGAAGCAGAAGTATAAATCGTAGAAGAACCGGTAAGGACTATAGTCCCGAAAAAACATCTCCACCTCCTGTAAAATCTTCAAATTGGGACATCGGGGGTCCCGAAGAACGTAAGAAGAAGGAAAGTCTAGCAAAAGGTAGTGAAGGAGCCACTGTTATTAAAGAAGCCATTACTGAGGGTCAAGTTGACAAAGATGAAGAGCAAAAGCGTTTAGAAGAAGAAATGAAAAAAAGGCGGGAAAGAATAGAGAGATGGAGAGCTGAACGTAAAAAGAAGCCAGATGTTCCTGAAGTACTACAAACTGCAAAAAAATGGACCCTAGAAGATGACGATGATGATGACGAGGAGGGTAATGGAGAGAAGAAAGAAGAGGAAAAGAAGGAAAATGGTGAAGAAACTCTGGAGGTAAAAAAAGACGAGCCACCTCAGAAAGAGGCGGAAGAGGAAGAAGAAGAAGAAGAAGACCCATTGGAACTTTATATGCAATCAGTTCAGAATGAAGTGAAAATGATTGAAAAGCAAGATCTAAAAAATTCTAAAGTAACGGTTATCAAAGCAGTAGCACGACCCAAGAAGAAACGAGGGGAGTTGATGGAGAGTAACGCTGACATGATGGAATACTCCTCGGAAGAAGATGAGGAGGATTTAAATGATGCAATGGCCGGTTTAAGGAATAAAAAGAAGGAACTGGTAATGGTTGATCATAGTAAAATCTATTATAGGCCCTTCCGTAAAGACTTTTATGTTGAGGTACCTGAACTGCAGAGAATGACCAGTGAAGAAGTTGAGCAATATAGGCAACAACTGGAAGGTATAAAAATCAGAGGTAAGCATTGTCCTAAACCAATTAAAAATTGGGCTCAAGCTGGCGTATCAAAGAGAGTCATGGAAAGCTTGAAAAAGAATAGCTTTGATAAACCAACTCCAATTCAATCACAAGCTATTCCGGCTGTTATGAGCGGTAGAGATCTAATAGGAATTGCTAAAACTGGTAGTGGTAAAACACTAGCTTTTATTATTCCAATGTTTCGTCATATTCTTGATCAAGAGCCTCTTGATGACGAGGACGGGCCAATTGCAATAGTACTCACTCCTACTCGAGAATTAGCTATGCAGATTGTCAAAGAATGCAAGAAATTTACAAAAAATCTTAACTTGAGAGCTGTTGCAGTTTATGGTGGAACTGGTATTTCCGAACAAATTGCAGAATTGAAAAAAAAGTGCGAAATAGTAGTTTGTACACCTGGTAGAATGATTGATATGTTAGCTGCCAATGGTGGTAGGGTAACAAACTTAAGGAGAATTACTTATGTTGTTCTAGACGAAGCCGACAGAATGTTTGATATGGGTTTTGAACCTCAAGTTATGCGTATAATAGACAATGTCAGACCCGATAGGCAAACTGTTATGTTCTCAGCCACATTTCCCCGCCAAATGGAAGCTCTGGCCAGGAGAATATTAAATAAACCATTGGAAATCCAGGTGGGAGGAAGAAGTGTAGTTTGTGCAGAAGTCACACAGCATGTGTTGGTTCTGGAAGAAGACACAAAATTTCTCAAGCTGTTGGAATTGTTAGGAATTTATCAAGAGGAAGGTTCAGTTCTTGTTTTTGTTGATAAACAAGAAAATGCTGATGACTTGATGAAAGTATTATTGAAACATTCCTATCCCTGCATGTCCTTACATGGAGGTATAGATCAATATGATCGAGACTCTATCATTGTTGACTTCAAGAATGGATCTATCAGACTATTAGTTGCTACCTCTGTAGCGGCTAGGGGATTGGACGTGAAGCAATTAAATTTGGTAGTGAACTACGACGCACCGAACCATTATGAAGATTACGTTCACAGATGTGGCAGGACCGGTAGGGCGGGAAATAAAGGTTTCGCATATACTTTTATAACTAGGGATCAAGCGAGACACGCAGGAGATATAATTAAGGCTTTAGAACTCTCAAGTAGCAAAGTTCCAGATGATCTGAGGGAATTATGGGACGACTATAAAAGAGAACAGGAAGCCCAAGGGCGAACCGTAAAATCTAAGTCCGGTTTTGGCGGGAAAGGATTTAAATTTGACGAGTCTGAAGCGCAAGCTGTTGAAGAGAAGAAAAAATTGCAAAAGAAAGCCTTGGGCTTGCAAGACTCAGATGATGAAGACGTTAGTGAAGATATTGAGCAGCAGATTGAAGACATGTTTCAATCGAAAAGACGAGTTACTGATGTCAGCACACCCGCTGTTACTACTGCTCCTGCAGCAACTCCCACTCCTCAAACTACAACTCAAAAGACTGCTAATATAGACAAGTTGCAATTAGCGAAAGAATTGGCTAATAAAATCAATGCGCAAAAGAAACCAGCAGAAGCCGGAGACCTCTCCCAGCAAAAAGCAACGGCTGCTTTCCTGAAAGATGGTGTTATTCAACCTATCTTATCATCAAAGACATATGCGGAGAGAATAGCTGCTAATTTGAATGCTAAACTAGGCTATTCACCTTCCGAGGGTGCGGCAATAAGAGCAATGGCCGACGATGAGAAGGATGGAGCATTCAAAAAGTATGAAGAAGAACTGGAAATAAATGACTTTCCCCAATCGGCCAGATGGAAAGTTACATCTAAGGAAGCTCTCGCTCAAATTATGGAATATAGCGATGCCGGCATAACGGTTAGAGGAACTTATGTTCCAACAGGGAAAAATCCTCCAGAAGATGAAAGAAAGCTATACTTAGCAATAGAAGCCACAACAGAGTTGGCGATTCAAAAAGCTAGAAAAGAGGTTACTCGTTTAATAAAGGAAGAACTTCTAAGGTTATCTACATCATCTGGTCAGACTATAAATAAAGGAAGATACAAAGTTCTTTAGGTTGTTGTCTTTATATATGAATATATATAAATACTGGTATATAAGAATGTATATACAGTATATATATATGTATATATAGAAGTTTTATATATGTATGTATCAATATTTAAATATATACATGTATATGTATGTTTCAATAAAGAAAATATTTCAATTTTTACCATATAAACAAGAAGTGTATTACCAACATTAAAACATCTGACGGAAAAGAATTTATCTAATTATACCGAAATGATAAGCCAAAAGCAGGTGTTTTTACTCGATTTTGTTGGATCCTTCTTTAAACAATAGTCTGATTAATGCTTGTCTTTTAAATTAAAAGAGTAGCAAAATGTTATCGTTTTAATGGATTGAGCAATATATTATCAATTATTCGTATTGAAAAGAGAGAGAGAGAGAGTGTGTGTGTGTGTGTGTGTGTGTGTGAAAGAGACAAAATGATAGGAAATAGAAAGAAAGAAAAAGATAAATTTAGTAGTGTTAGTAGAATAAGAAAATAATAGGAAGATACTGCATAAAAAGTTAATTAAAGACAAATATGAAATAAGTGAGTTAATTTATTTGCATATATTATTGGCACATTCAGCAAAAAAAATAACTTCTAACAAGAAAAACTATTATCACTATTTATCATGGTTTGTTATCTTTTTATTATTATTTAAGTAAATTTTTAATCATTTAAGCATTATTGTCATTATTATTATTAAAATGGTAATGTAAGAGTGGTAATATTTATCGTTATTATTACATTATTACTGTCAAACGTCTTTACAACGCTATGCAAAGTTTTAAATGTTAACACTTTTCTAGTTTTTTTTTTCTTTTCCTTATTTTTTACGATTAATACAGAAATACATTAACTTCTTCTTATCTATAAGTTTCAAATAAATACTTTCAGACGTGTCTAAAACGCTAATTGTCGGAAGAGAGAGAAAAGAGTCAGCTGTGAAGACTTTCCATCATTCTCCAAAAACTTTTCAAAGGTTCCATACTATGAGGAAAGATAGACAGAGAGACAGAGAAATATAGTTATTAACTATATATAAATTAACTTATAAAGAGAAAGTTTAAGTGTAGCGATACATATGTATACACAGAGAGAGAGAGAGAGAGAGAGAGAGGGAGAGATAGAGAGAAAGAGAGATAGAGAAAAGAGAAAATGTAGAATTTAGAGTTCCATTGTCTTCTCATCACGTGCAGATAAAAGAAAATTTACAATTTTCTCTGCCTTAATTGGCTATTGTCGTTCGAATTCGTTAATCTACGCTCATCTTCATTTTCACTAACACCCTCTGGACTATTCTTCTTCTTAGACCTTTCATATAAAAATATTATGGAGCATAACAAAAACACTTCGGCGCATATTCCTAGGAAGGGCCACAGAGCTGCCAATCTATCTTTAACTCTTACTGTTATGGTTGCGTTGTGAAGGCCGTGAGTGTTTGACGCTACGCATAGATACCCTCCTTTGTCATCAAAATCTACGTTCTTTATAGTAAGGGTTGCGTTTTCTGAAACATTATAGGATGATAGCATGATCCTATCGTCCGATTTGTCAATTTTAATGCCCTTAGGGGTAACCCAGTAAATTTCACTAGGGGGAGGATAGCCGTAAATTTCGCACTGCAGAGTTAAAACATCACCTTGTACAAGATTTATAGACCGGTCATTTTCGAATTGAACATACGGATGCGCTGAAAAGGCCAAAGATATTAATGAATTGAATTCGTAGTGTTTGAAAAACAACGGAGGAAGATAATAAAAAAAATGCTTACATTCGATTTTGATCGTATCTTGGAAAATGCCTGAATCAATCTTGATTAGGCAACTAAAATTTCCGGAATCTCTTCGAATGTTTGGTTTTTTTATTGTTAAAGATGAGATATTATTGTAAATCTTGATATCATAGAAATGCTTCCTATCATATTCGTCTATTTCTTCTCCATTTCTACGCCATTCTAAATCGCTGGCCTTAGCCGCCGAAACATCTCCAATAGAGCAATTAAAAACGAGGCTTTTTTCTTTCTCCATCAATGGAATTTGATAGTTACTTTGTATATCCACTGTTTCGGAAAAAATCAATGAGAATTTCATTTAAAAGAAAAGCTCATGAAAAGAGGTTTTATTCTTTTTAAAAAAAAAAAGAAGGGGGGGGGGAATTCGATTCTGTAGAATAGTAATGATAGGACAACATCGAGAAAGACATTTGAGGAATTTCCTTTTTTTTCATCCTTCTTTTCTCAATAGATCGTTTTTCCTATGCCATTTTAGTTCTTTTCTTCCTTTCTACTCCTTATATTTTATTCCTTCCGCCCTTCGTCGCAATCGTCGCAACCGGATGTAGATTTTCCCCTCCCACGTTGAAAAATAACGGAAAAAAAGCACAACGGAAAGATATGATAACACAAGAGGAATATGATGGAATATCCAGCTGATAAGGGAAATAGCGATAAACGACAAAAAAAAGACTTACTTGTATAAACATAGATGAGTTTCGAAATTCTAATATTCTTGAACTCCTTTGACTGGCATTCGAGGTAGTATGTTCTGTCAACGTTCACATGCGTCAGTTCTCCTATCACACTATTACTGATTTTCTTTTGAGTAACTTCAAAACCAGTTTTTGGAGTGACATGAACAACTTCATCGTCTACAAGCCATTCAAGGGAGTATTCCTTGACAGTGCTATAGGACGGTGTTTTCAAATTGCAGCTTATAGTAAAACTGTCCCCCTTCTTAATATATATGGGACTTATGGTTTTATAAGGACCTTCCCATTGAAGATTCTTCTGCTCGATCTCTATTCCTAGATAAATATCCAATTGGATTTTACTCCTTCAGTTAACAAATTTAAAGAAAAAGAGAGGAATCTTTTTTGTCATTTTCTATCCGCTTTATAGCACAAGTCATAGCTTAACCCAGGTCTAGTAATCTGGCCCTCTATCGATATTTCTAAATTAAATTTATTCCGCTGGTTTCCTCTCTCCTTCAGTATAATGGCGTGGGGGGGGGGGGGTGGAGGTTTATATGTGCAAACAATTAAAAGAAATTCATTCACATAGTTTTCTAATTAATTACGAAAAGAGACTATCGAAAATACTGAGAGCATACTGCAAAACAATCAACTATTTGCCTCGGGAAAGGAATGATCACAATAAAAAGAAAAAGGGGAAAAAATCTCTCCCCTTTTCCAAAACTAATAATACTATAACAGTGCATATTTGAATGAATGAATGAATATATATATATATATATATATATTAGTATATATCTATATATATATATATATATATGTTTCATTGTAAATGGCAATAAACAAAGAGGAAAAATTAAAAAAACTCAAGTATCATTTAAAGGGTTACAGCATTCAATTCATGACGGATCAATAGTAAAAATATATACATTTTTTATATTTAAATAGATGTACGCAACATGAAAGAAAGGAAAAAAGAAATTTAACGATTATACGAAATTATCGTGTAACTAATTAACAACAGTCTTATGTGCGTCTATTCCGATTTTCTATGGGAAATCGGAAAGATATCGATTTTTTTTTAAAAAAAAAAATAAAAAATTATCAACCAACTTAGAGATTGTACAAGATAATCTTAAGCTACAGTCTATTCATCTAAAAATGATGGATTAATGATAGGTCACTTACCCTGATTCGTACTTACAACATTAATCGTGGTTAAAATGATATAGAATATGGCAATGTTTAATGCAGGCATTTTTCCTTGTTCAGGTTAATCTCTCTGTATTCTAGCCTAGGCCAATCTCACTCAGAATATGACGGCCTCTTCTGCCTCTCATTGATAAATTTCAGATGATTTTGGTGATTTCCAGTTCCTGTTTTAAGGCGTCATCTATCGTTCCTTGGAATGGAATATTTCGTTAGTGATGGCGGCAATCTTTAACATTAAAATAATATTCCCTAGAAGCAAGTCAATGTCAATAGTCCATAAACAATTGGAAACATTTATCATTTCTTTTCATTTGAACTCGTTAAATAATAATGTTATTGGCATTATATGATAAAAACATCATAAATAATTCATAAAATATTTACCAGTTTTCTACTCGAGGAAAAATTTATTAACTGGAATAATTTGTTCGAAAAGAGACAAGGTGAAAGTCAATGGAAGGAGAACGATCAAAACCAACAAGGAGGTTAATGAATCGAGTTCATTGATAATAGAGAGAGCCTATCTAAAAATTCCAAAAGAAAATCCTAATATCTTTTAACAATGAACGTCCTAAATATATGACACATCCTAAGACCTGAAAATTTTATTTCCCTAATATTATATATAAAAAAAAACATGGATATTCATGACCCAATAAATAAATTCATATTTAAATATATGTTTATTAATAAACATGTATAAAGAGTATAAATAGCTTATGTACATATACTGTATATATATATATATACGTGTATGAACAAATATAGAGAATAGATTTATACATATAGAATGTATATATATACATGTTTATAACAAACAAATATCAATGTAAACTTTTCTATGTATTATACATACTATAATATAAAGGTTTCAAATGTTTATGAATCTCGCCAAAGGCCATACGTATAATGCTAATTAATCTATATTAATTAGGAGAATATATATATAAAACTCCTCCTATGGCGTTCATTCATTTTATAGAAAAAATTCGATTCACAACGGAAGCGATCAACAAAAGACTGATTTTTAAGTAAGAGAATAGAAATCCAGTAGCAGTTGCCTTAGCATCTATTATTAGCTAATTTCCCTGAAGATCCGTGAAACAGAGCTAATACTTTCTTAATTTTGTCATCATTAGTTATCTTTAACGAAATGAAAATGAAAATTAACGTCTACAAGTTCCTTGACCTTTTACAGCGATCAAATTGATTTGTGATAGAACGTTCGCCAAGTTATTCCTTATAATCGAACGTTTCTATTGGCTGTACAAACATATCTTTGATACTGACTAGATGTCGAAAATTCTCAAATCATTTCAGAATTCTTTGTATCGTGTAATGTAAATTTACAAAAGAAAACCTATCTTTTCAGTATTCGCTCTCTTTTAGTTTTTCTGTTGGAGGGAAAAAAGAAATCGAACTGTTTACTCCCGTCAACATTGGGAAAACATGATAAAATGATCGTCAAATTCACCGTTCAATATATGCTTTTGAAATAAACAGGGAATTTCCTCTCTCTCTTTTTCCAGTTGGAATATATACCGTTCCATTCATCGAACGTTTTTTTTAAATGTTTTTTCTTATTGTAATAAAAAAAAATTCCTAGAACATTTTTACTTTATTAAAAAGAATTGATGCTTTTATATAAAAGCCCTACTTTTCTTCTTTTGCATCAAACCCCTTTCTAAACCAAAAGAAATATCTTCATTTTGGAATAATAAAGCTATTATTAGTACGAGAACAAGTACACTTCCCTCGCTATCTAAACGAATAAATTAAAGAAACAATTATAAATTTGTCACATTGCCAATTCTAAACTAATTACCGACCTAAAAAAAAAGATCTCCTTATTTAGCACATGTTAGAGTTGTTGATGCATGCACGAACGAACATTCGAACGTTCTAAGGTAAGAATTATCGAATTCCAATTTGTAAAGCAGTCAAAGCTGAATTTCTTTTATTATTTATTATCTTTTAACATTTATTGACAGTATTCCAATACTTAACAAAAATTAATTATAATATAATATTTCAATATTCTTTATAGAAATAAGAACATCTAATTACTTTCTTAAATCCAAATAGTATAAAAGTGATCAAAATTTAATAAACTCTTATTATTCTCTTTCTTTCATTAACCTATTTATAAACGAAAGGAAATATATTTTCTTTGAATAAAGAAATATAAAAACGCTAAATGAAGATAAAAAACATGGAGGATAGGTCTAAAATAAATCTTCTATGCAATCAATTTGAAAACAACAGATTGTTTTTTTTTTCTATAAATAACAATGAGTCTAGTGTCAAAAGGAAAAAGGATAGAAAAATACACTTTTTTCGAATATCCGATTACGATGAAGTTGTTTCTGGTTCAAAAGAGATGAGGAAAGGGTCGATAGAAATTCAATTGTCGATCAAACGATATTAAATCGAAAACCAATTTGAGTAATATTGCGAAATTGTTCTATCTCATCTTAAGGGTTATAAAATTCCTTTAGACTTTTAGTTGACGGGGAAATTCTATCAATATATTTTACTTCTCTTTCATTTATTCAAAACAAATCTCAAAATGATCAAATAACAGTCTTATTTAAAAGAAATTAGTTATTAAAATAAGAAAACTATTGTTTAAAGTTATCAATCTACTTAGGTATAATTATCTTCTCAGTGCAATTAACAAATAGATTACTTGCTTCTTTACATACTGAATGAAATTTAAGAATACGTAAAACATTCTCTTAATACTATTTGTTTACCTGGTAGGAAAAAAGAAGAGTATTTTCATCAAAATGAAACCTTCTCTTAGCAAAGCTCAAAGTAAAAAGAATAAACTTAGGAATAAAAAGAAACAAAAAACTGGTATTTCTATTCTACTATTTGTCTAAATTTAAATTGAGCCGCTTTTTATGAAACATTGACCGATAATAAGTGAACTACGGTTTATAGCCCACGTGTTATCTTTGTTGCAGGTAATTCACGAAAAGCAGAATCTCGTTCTATTGACAAATTGATTCAACATGTAAGTGGGATATTTTATTAGTGAGAAAAAGTCTCCTAAGACTTATTTCACTTTATATTTCGCAATAACTAATCCGTAAACAACCAATAACTTTGGTCACGCAAACTGACGCCAGCTACATAATTAATAAAATTTAGGGTTAATAAGATTTTCACGATATTCTATATTTTATAGGCGGAGGAGCTTATGGATCGATTTGAATTCGATGCTGCAAAACAATTTGTTGATAGAGCTTTGGTTCAAGAGCCCGAAAACGAGAGAGCCTTGACACTTGCTGGTATTATTTGCTTAGAAACTAACGACTTTGATGGAGCCAGAGAGGTTTCCTTTTAATCCTATTAAACTTAAATTTGACAATAAATTATTTAAAACAAAATTTAATAGAATTTTCAACAAGCCATTGAGATCAGCCCTGACGAGGGTCATTCCAAATATATGTATAATGGCCAACTTTTAACGGGAATGGATGCTGTAAATTGTTTTCAAAAGGGATGTGAAATAATGGAGAAAAAAATTGATGAACAAAAGAATGAAGCCTGCGAAGCGGAAATTTCAGAAATGGATTTATCTAGTGGCTTTTGTTCAATTGCTGAAATTTATATGACGGATGAATGGTATATCAGACTCTAACAAAGCTTTACTCAATTGATTTAAATGTTTATTTAAATTCTAGTATGTCGGATGAAGCTGAAAAGGCATGTGAAGAGGCAATTAACAAAGCCATAGAGATTTGTAATGAAAACGCTGATGCTCATGCCTTATTGGCTAGTTTCAAGTTGTCTCAAAACGACCCTCAGGTAATTAGTTAAAGTTTGAAACTACATATACTTAATTCAGCACATTGTCTTTTCGCTCAGTCTGCTCGCCAAAGTATCGAAAAAAGTGTATCCATATGGTTACCTAGTTATAAAAATGTAATGGAAAATGACTCCATGGAAGATCCACTTGAAGTATTTATTGCTATTCTTTAACAAAATATTTCTTTGATAACTTAAATTTATGTGTATGCATATTTGCTTTTATATAGCCCTGCCCTGTTCCGTACAATGCTCGAGTCAATTCTGCAAAACTTCTAATTGAAGTAGAACAATACGAAGTAAAAAAAAATCATATTAACTAATCTTTAATCGTTCTTAATCGTCTATGCTTTTGTTTAGATGGCTGTTGAAATTTTAGATTTGTTATTGGAAGAAGAAGAAAATGTTGTTGAAGTTTGGTATTTGTTAGGCTGGCTATATAAATTAAAGGGTGCTGGATTTGAAAAAAATGCCAAATTTTATTTAGAAAATACACAAAAGGTCGCAAAAAGTGTTCAATACGAAGACAAAGCTGTCCTTGAACACGTTAAAAATATGATTGCCGAATTGGGAGAATGTAAGTTAATTGCGTCGTTTGTATACTAAAATAAATTTTTATCATATTTTCAGTAAGCGAAAGTGAATCAGAAGGCGAAGAGAACGAAAATGCCTCAGAAAACGAAGACGAGAGTGAGAGTCCTATGCAAATTAGCTAGAAAAAAAATTACTTTATTTGCTCCTAGCTATTGTTAAATTGAGAAATGTCAGAATATACTGAAAGTTATACGAAATCTATATAAAAATGTCTCTAGATTGTACATAAACATATTGAATGCGGCAAATTCAAGAACCTATTGTCTTATTATGTTGTACCATAAGCCCAGTCTGTATTAAATTAACTATAGACAAGTACAGTTTTTGTCCTATTTTTGTCTTTTTAAAAAGCATTTTCAAGGTTACTTCAAATTGTCGATGAATTTCGCTAATTTTACGTCACGGACCGATAAGCCAGAACAATCATGCGTTGAAAGAGTAATTTGCACTCGATTGTAGACGTTGAACCATTCTGGATGGTGATTCATTACTTCAGCTTTAAGGGCAACACGGGCCATAAAGCCAAAAGCCTTTTAATGCATAATCGATCATGATTAAAAGCAATTAATATCTAATAGAAACAAACCTCGTTGAAATTTTCAAATGTAAATTCTTTGTAAATGGCATCCCTATTTGCAACAGTAGTCCAACCCCTTGATTTTAATTCATCTAGGAATTGAGTTCGTTCGGAGCCTTCTAGTTTTGTTGGCGTCTGTCAAATATAGATTATACTTAAAAAGATACAAGAGACAGCTCTAAGCAATTTTCTACAATCATGGAAAAGAAGATACTCACCTCCATTATAATAAGAACAATATTTGTAAAAAAGGGAAAATTTTGTATGCTCCGAACGACAAATCAATGATTGATCTAGATATGTGATGTGGAAGATTGTAGGCTTATCCACTTTGCAATTGCGCCATCTATCGATAATTACAAACTACTGTAAATGACATTTATTTTCCCATTTACGTAAATATTTCTGAATTTCAAGTGTTTTTCGAAACGTTTGTGAGAAATTCAATAGATAAAATTTCTATTAATAGTTTAAAATGAAAACTGATAATTGTTATTGCCCTTTTTTACTCGTAGTAAGTTAATAGTTAAATCAAATTGTTACTTACAACTCTACCCATACGCATGGCACAGCTTGCGAAAGATCTTACAATTCTCATGCTAAATGTTGAAAATTGTTTTCAAGATATTTGGGGGGAAAAAAACAACTCTCAGTGGAGTATGGGAACTCAAATTCAAACCGGTTACCAACCTCCGACGGGACTTAGTAAAACAGAGTTGTAACTTTGCACTAACAAATCTTAAAGTTTTTAAGGAGACAGTATTTGGAAATATGGAAATAAAGATAAGTCAGTTTTTTCGGTGCGACCAACTGCAAATATCTGAAAAGACCCTAATCAAATTAAGGGAAATATTCCAAAAAACTTGTGTGTTCAGGTATAGATGATGTTAAAATAATGTAATTATGGAATTAGTTAAGTGGGGTTTTCTTTTTATGATGAATTGGTTGTAAAGTTAGCGGTCCTGCTGAAGTTGTAGAGGCGGATGAATCCTATTCGTTTAAAAGGAACGGTAATAAGTGAAGATACAAAAGAACAGGAGAATTGATATTAGGAGGAAAAGTTAGGAACTCTAATGATGTCTTTTTACTGCCTGTACAAAAAAGGGAAGGCTGAAAAAAAAATTTAGGATGTTGAATGGGTCAAGGGCTAGGTATCAGTCACGTATCCTTTTCCTAATTTATTTATAGGGAAAAGTATGATGGGTAGTAAATACTTTTTTGCTCTTTTTTCAAAATAAAAAGACTATTTAAAGTCATTTTTTTGTTTTAAGTAAACATGTATAAAATATACATCATTTATAAATTATTCATCTTCTTCTTGTCTAACATGTTTAGTTTTACGATATTTAATAACTTCATCTTCTAACAAGTAACATTATTACGAATTGTAAAGAGTCACACTAGAATATTCGTTGACATCTTAGCTTAAGCATTTTATTTAATATATTAGGAAAATTACGATTCACTTTTAGTAACTACCACCTGTGGTTGATAACCGGTTCAATTTAAGTTCCTATACTCAAGTGTAGCCAAAAAAACTTTAATTATCGTCTGCTGTTATCTGCCAAAGTAAAAACATCCAATAGATGTCACTCTTCGCTGGAACTGACTTTCGTTGGGATTATTACTTTCGGATTACTCTAGCTAGTAAACACTATGGAGAGACCGGCTGAGTGTCTTATTTCTTTTAAAGATAGTGATAAATCATTTTACCTGTATTCTAAATCAATGAAAGATGCTGGCTTCATGCTTATTATTTCTGATCTGAAAAAATCTTGGAAGAAAACAGGTATAAATATATTTTCTTTTTCTAGTCAGTAAATCTTTTTAAATTCAACATTCCCATAACAGTTGAAGCTGATGAAATAGAGAAAATGAGAAAACAAACCACACTATCAAAGCTTCAATACGAAATATCTCTTAACATGGCTTTAACATCATCAAATGATGAATATTTTATAGAATTCAATACGAAAAATGCAACATTAATAATCAGAAAGAAACTTATGGACGATGACATGAAGGTAAAGTAATGGACAAAGATGAGCTCTTAGTTATTAACATTATTTCTTTGTCTTAGATTCGCTTAGCCGAAGCAAAGCTTAAAGAAACTGATATAGAAGAATTTTCCCATGCTACTTGCAATTATGCTCTCGTTACGACTGCTACCTTAAAAGAAAAGATAAAAAGCTTGGAAAGAGAGAAGAAAAACGCTGAAAATAATAATGAAAAATTAACTGAAGTATTCTTTTAATAAAGATTTTGTAATGTTTCACAATTAAACAACATTTTACTGTATAAAAAAAGGTTCTTAAAGAGGCTACGGAAGCTAAGCTAAATCTGGAAAATGATCTTTATCAAAAGTTTCTTGCTGTTTTAAATGCAAAGAAAAGAAAGATAAGGGAATTGGAAGATGGACGTAAGTTGTTCTTATTATAAATTCTATTTATATTACACTGCACAAATACTCTTAGTGGGTGAAAGCTCTTCGATTTCAAATAAAGACAGTAATAAGGACGAAAGAGCTACAGAAGAAGATGACATTCCAACAGAAGATGAATCAACAGTAAAAGAAGATACCCCTAAAAAAGCGTAAGAAAATCAGATAAACTTAAAGAAATTATTATGATTTCAACAAGATTAATATAAAATTTGCAGAAAAGTTGTCACTAGAAATAGAAAAATCAAGAAGAAGGATACAAAGGAACTTTCTGTTACTCCTAGTATAAAGAAAACAAGAACTCCGTCCCTGAGAAGGTCAAAACCCGTCTTACGTTTTATTCCTTCTAAAGCTTAACAAAATCTATTTTAACAGGTCTCTTAGGTCCAAATCGTCGTCCCAGAATGAAGAGGATCTTATAAACGATATGTGATATATTCTTTTAACCTTTTACAAAAATAAGTTTGTAGTTGATATTTAAAGTTGATATATTGTTTTATTTTTCTTTTAAAAATTGAATTATTTTAATTCACCATTTATTTTTTCCCAATAAACGTGTAGCCTTTTTAGCCATTTTACCCAATATTCTTTGCATGCATTTTCATCCATCAAATGAACATCAGCTTCGTCTCCATTAGTATAACAAACAATAACAGCACCATAAACTTTGCCTTTAATATATTTTTGTGAGTTGATTGAACCTATGTAAGCTGCGATTTGCGTTGGAGCATCCCACGTATACTTTAATGATCTTTTAGGTTTTTCCGATGTTTTCCAATCAATAACATATACATCTCCCTGAAAGGTGGCCACACAATCAACTTTACCCTTATAGAGTAGGTGTTGATGATGGAAAAATTGTTCTATGAAATGAACATCTTCAACTTTCGTTAAGATATTTCTTACGCTATTCCAAAGAGGTTCGATCTTTGTAATCTTTTCATCTGATACTATTTGATTTCTGTAGAAATGATAATATTCACGTGTATAATCCATATTCAATTATAACCCTAAGGATTTATACAAACTGAAGTTTAGCCTCAATGCAGTCGTGAAGCAGAGATCCTCTATTTAGCGTGTCCTTCTGCATCTGGGCAAAACCGTCTTGGCCTAATTTTTCTATCATTTTTTCTTTCCATCTGTCTAAGTAGAATTGCTCCTCGGGTGGTCGACTTTTATCTAAGATTCTAGTAACACTAGGCCATTTGTTTCTTAAGTCTTGGGGTAGATAACTCAGAGAACTGTCACATTCTCCACTTAATGGATAGTGAAGAATTCCATCTAGATACTTTTTAGTTTTTTTCATTTCCTTCTCTAAATCATTAATTTGAAAGTTTTTTTCCAAGTAACCAACTAAATCTGAACTTATTTCAAAGGGAGAGAGCGTCCGCGCATATGAGTCTGACTGGCTAGGAGTACTTTGGGTTACCTCCTTAAGCTGAGGTTCTATATGGGTTTTTTCCTGATCTGTTCCACTATGATATTTGCCTGAAATAATTTTTGGACCGAATAGAAGCGCATTTTCATTTTTGAATTTCTTGTTTGCTTCTTTTTTTCTCTTCAATTTCTTATAGTTTATAGTTTCAGTAGATGAACTGAGAAAACTTTGAATGTTTTGATAGTTAAATACTGGAATGACGCGTAAATACAACTTTCTACGGCAGGTTTGCAGCATATTTTATGTACGAATACATGCAGGACAGTAATACAAGATTCAACAACCAGTTAAATGTAGAATTGTAACCAGACTGGTTTTTCTAGACTGGTTCGTTAAGAATAACTTCAATAAAACCGCTCAAATTCAAAAGGAGTTACAATAAAGCGTCGAGCAGGCTCTTTTACGTAGTATGATAGTTTAGCTATGAATACCTGAGGGAGATTAGAAGTAAGCATTTACTTAAGAGCTATAGTTATTTGATGAAATATATTGGCTGGTAGGGTGAGCCACTATCTACGGGTTCTGCTTTAAACAATCCAATTGGTGTCGCTAGTTGTGCCGATTCTGATATTAATGGCTGCTCCAAGAAAACTAAATCAACTAGGCCATTTAACTCCCAACCATTCTTACAATGGCACAAGTAAGAGGTTTTGCCAATACTGATTTGTCTAAATATGAAATTTATGCCTTGCTTTGTGTACTTTTTGCAAAGGATGCTTATGTATCTATTATCGCTACAATTATTTTAGATGCTGAGGGTCTTATCAGATTTCAAGTGGAGTTAGAATTCGTTCAGTGTTTGGGTAATCCAAATTACTTAAACTGTAAGACATTTTTGTTTCAGCCCATGCTTTTCGTTCAAAAGTTGTTTTTTTTATAGTTCTTGCACAAAGAGGATTCTTTAAAGATCAATCATTTATAAATTACCTGAAGTACCTGATGTACTGGAAAAAACAAGAATATTCCCGGTTTATAGTGTAAGTGAACAAAGTACTTATTTTTGCATGACAAATTAGAATCTTACTTGTAAGATTCTAATTGTATAAAGATATTAATTTAATTTTGTAAAATACTTTTGAAATGAAGTTATTTTTAAATTGGAGAACAATAACAATAATTCAATTTTATTCTAAATTCTTATATTTTTCCAATAGCTATCCACAATGTCTTCACTTTTTGGAACTTTTACAATATGACAACTTTAGAAAAGAACTAGTCAATTCACAATGTGCTAAATTTATCGAAGATCAACAGTTATTACAAGTAATTATTGTTTTGCATTAAATATATCATATAAATATATTTAACTGAATTGTTGGCGTTTTTAAAACAGTGGCAGTATTATCATCGTAAAAGGTCTAAAACAATTGAAGAGTATATGCAAGAAGTGCAGAACGAAAAGAGAAATGAAAGTATGCCGACCAATAAGATTTTAAAATAGTCTTCCGATGTCTAAATTTCGAGTTTAAACTGTTTCTAAAGTCAAAAAACTAATGTTTTGTTAAGTATTTGAAATTTTCAAAGAATAAATTGAAAATTATATCAGTGTTTGTTGTTTTTCTTAAATGAATATATTTAATAAATATATATTATAAAATAATTAATAGAGTTTTGCGAATGATGTGTATTATATATTTAACTATTATGTTTTATAAAAAATGGATTGCGCAAATTTTACTGGACACTGTATCTAACTCTGAATTAAGTTTCGTTTTAGAATAGATCACTTAAAATCGTCCTCAAAACGTATCGTTTGATGGATTCCAAGCGTATTTAAAGCAGGATGGATAACTCAAGAAACTCAACAAGGTCATTTTCTCGACATCTTAATACGGAAGTAGTCTCTAATGATTCAATAAATAGCAGTGACCAATCTGGATTATATCCTTCTTTGGATTTAACCGACTATGAAGTCTCTCCTTCCAACGAAGTAAAGATAAAGAACAGACGCAGCCATAATTCATCTTGTGTATCTACAGATGGAACTGATATCAACGATGAAAAGACAAGAAAGGAACGAAGCCGAAATCCTTCTTGTGTGTCTACTGATAGCAGTAGCAGCAATGATTCGAAACTTCATAGCTTTAAAGGGTAGTTAATATTCTGTTAAGCTTTCTCTGTTAACGCTTTTATCAACATATACGAAAATTATTATTTTATTTTGCAGTATTAACTTTGGGCATGTCTGCATTGTCATTATTTTACTACTATTATTGCTAGTGTCGTTCAATTTTGGACTATTAAGTAGAAAACGAACTTTGGTAAAACAAGTCTCCTTAAAAACTGAAATTAAAAATCTCTCGTTGAAATACAAAAACCAAGCCGATATTCTGATTATAGGATCATCAATTCGCTCAAATATCGAAAATAATAATCCAACTTATCCATCTATTGTAATTTTATCCTCATCATCTAAAGCATCGGACACTGCAGATTGTTTAGCAAAAGAAGCTGCGTCAATTTATATAAAGTTAGTCAATGCTGTCGCTGTTGATGAAGAATCAGAAGAATGTGTTCAAGAACCCGGTGAAATAATGTTAAGCTCAACAATAACTAAAATGGAGTTAGAAAAAAAACTACACACCTTGTCGAGTCAATATTGTGCAGTTGTGCTAAGAGGAGTACATAACTTGAATGGTGATACTGCCTTGATACTACATGCTTTTATGGACAATGATAACGCTCATTATAAGAAAAAAATGTATGTTTTAACGGTTGAAACGGATAATTATGAAGAAAATGAAAAGCCTGTAACTGTCATCGAAAATCTACTTCATAAAAAATGGGACCCTGTCATAAATGCTGATAATACAGCAGCCATTTTAACCCGTATTGCTAATAATGCCTTATTAGTTAAACCTGGCCTCAATGTAACCTGCTAGTAAATAGATATAGAATCATTAAGGCTTTAAATAAATTTGAAAAAAATGATAAATTGATTTATAATCATGTTCAATTCTCTACTAAGTCAAAGTTTGACAAGGAGGTGGGAAATTACCAGTTTCATACAATTTCCTTTGTAAATCCCGTATTTTCTCAGATATTCCATGACTACATCCTAAAATGTTTATATTAGTTTCTTTGTTAAACTTAACGATTTGATCCGCAGACTTTTCAAATAGATCTTTATTCATATCGCTGTTTTTAAGTGTTTCGCAACTATCTTTATCGCTGAGATGAATATTCCTTTCAACCGATGTAAGTAGGTAACCGCTATTTGGTGATGGATGCTAAAATTTAAATGACAAATGAATAATAGATTAAACGCTTTTTCTTATCAAAATATACAATATCTGCTTTTAAGCAACGCATATCATCCGAACAGTGAAAACATCCAATGGCTAATCCCCTAGGATCTGGAGCACTCTTTGATATTTCAGGGGGACGGAACACCTTCTCAAAACTTGCAAATTCCGAGGAGCACTCATTATATATTAATTCACTTTTACGCGGAATTAGAGTAGTATAACGTTTGGCCGGGTCTTGATTAAAATCATAAAAGTTATTGTAACAATCGCCACAGGTAAGATTCGTTTGATCAGGCTGTGAATTGTTATTTGAATTTCTCTTATTCTCGAAATCTTTGATAACCTGTTGCACATCCCTCTGAGGAGAAGAATCAATGGTAGTTGTATGTTTAGAGGATTTTTCTTGAATATTTATTGATGGAGAACTATTTAGATGTTGAATATCTTTAAGGATGAAATACGAGAATAAAAGTATCATCTATATATATATATCTACTAATATATATGTAAATGTATTATTATAGAATATTTATATATTTTACATTCTGGCCTTTCCTCGGATACCGGGGGGGAGCCTAAAGATAAATTCATATAGGCTTTGGCTAAATCCGAATGATATTCATTTTTCATTATGGATTTTTTCTTATCGGCTATTAAGTGTACTCTTCCATCTATGTTATGTTTAATGCTATCCAAGTTTGTTTCGTTTAAGGAGGGACGATTCTCTACCGTATGAACTCTTGATCGAAGACTATAATTGCAATCAGAAATAAAGGAACATCTGTTACTTGAGTCCTTCACTGACGGATAATTGATTCTACAAAGGAATTCTTTTATTCCACTTCCACCAAAATTAGATTTGTTTTCCCCCATATCATTGGATAACGTAAATTGAGCCCCGCGATTATCCTCTGCAAGAACTATGGGATTTGAACTACTATCAGCCAATATATTTTCATTTCTCTTTACGTAATTAACGAAATAAATTCATGAAAAAAACAGCAATTTTACTCTTACAAGTTTATTGGTGGATTCTATCGTGAAGCAACAGCAGGGATATTTTTCCCTCTCTTCTTCATAGCTTTGATGTATACGAGTATTTGTATAATTTTTGAGCTTGCCTGATTCATGACAGCAACTGTCATCTTGTAAATCCGATTTTCTGGCAGCTTTATTATTCTGTTCAAAGAATTCATTATGATTTATTGCGTAATCATCTTGTCTAACGTGGAGTTGCTCATTTCCTGAATATTTTTTATAAGCAGAAAGGATAGGAGTAAGAAGACAAAGATATTAATTCATCTTTATTTAAATAGAATCTGTTAAGAATGGCATATTACTCGTGTAATTTCTTAGAAATTTACTCGTAATTGATGATTCGTTCCCATTTTTCATCAATGCTGAGTAATGATGTTCATCGACCCACGGACACTTCTTATACGTTACTTCAGGCGATTGTAAACGCTTGTTAGGATTCTCTGGAATTTGTATACATTTCGATAAGTTCTTTACTCCTTCTATCTGTTTTATCATGCAAGGATCTAAGCAATCTTTGCCACTTTTAGCCTACAAAAGTAATATTGAATATGAAAAATATTAATAATTTAAAAAGTTTGTTTCAAAATTTTCCTCCTCTTACATTACTTAATTTCCTATGATTTTGATGTTGGTTTTTCTGTTCTTCCGGAAGAGTTGTTGGTGAGTTCCGGGTGGAGAGGTAATTGCTCATTTGAATGTGACGGAAAGCAATAATTTGTTTATGAAGTAACTCTAGTTGATTTGACAACATATGTGGTAATTTATTCTCTCTAGACCACCTCTTGATACTATTAACGTCTGCCTTAATTACTTTCCTATAATCTCTTTGAGGTATTAGAACAGTTGCTTAAACATTATAAAGCATATATTAATGATCATATAGTCAGTCTTTAATGAATAACGATATTTACAATGAACGATCTCTTTACTCTTTTCTTTTACTGATGCTTTGGTTTTTTTATTATTAGATAGACGTAATCCTATAGATGGAGGTCTAACCATTTTCTTTCTGCCCTTAACCGACTCTAAACTCATAGATTGCAAACAAACATCCCTAAAACTCTTGACCTTCTCCCTTGGTTTCCGTTTTATTGAATCAGACTTTTTTTTGCCGTCATTTCTATGTTTCTTTTTCGTTCTAGGTGAATTTTCACTCATATTTATCTCAATTATTTGCTAATCTTTCTCTATATTCCTCTCTTATAGTTTACATGATCGATAAAAACGAATATTAAAAGGACTATTCGTAAATAATTCTTTTGGAATTTCAAATTTGAATATTAGCTGATTAATTAAGGATTAATTTATTTAAAAAACATAAAATATACAATGACTATTCAGGGTATTATCCTAATCTCTTTGTATTTTTTTTTAAATCTTTATCTTTATTTTAGTTTACTAGGCCTAACGTGCAAATTTTATTTTACTAGAGACATGTTTAACAAGATAATATTGATTTAGGGAAATTAGAATTTATTATTCAAGTCAATAATTAACATTTCTTCATTTAGAATGAAGATAAATACGGGAGATAAGATTTCTTCTCTTTTTTTTCTGATAATACGTATAAAGTCTTATGGGAAATAAGAATAAATAGGTCAAAAAAAGGTATAATTAGCAACAATTACTCCTTGTTGGACTTTTCTGTCGCGATGACGATGTTGTTTGATTCATATCTAACAGACAAATTATAAATTAATGATATTAAAATGACTTGTTACAAAGAATTAACTAACCAACTAGACTAGAGCCGATTTGAATATTAGTCTTATTGTTTATCCATTCGATTTCACTCTGAACTGTTTTATCAAAAGTCAATGCAACTGCTCTAAAGAAAAACTCTTTAACATTTTCACCAGTATAGGAAGATACTATCCAAAGTTCAGCACCAATTAATTGAGCCATTTTTTTACCTTCCTCTTTCATTAGCGCAACGTGTTCTTCAGTCTGTTGGATGAATGGAAAATAAGAGAAATTTTAGACACAAAAGTTAACAATTTATAATGATTAATATTGAAAAGAGTTATTGCAGATAGGGGAAAATAAGACAAGATAAATACTAACAGCTAGATCCTTTTTAGTAATAACTAAGAAAATATTAGGATTTTCGGCAGTTTTTTTCGCCTCATCTACCCAAGTTTTAGTATGATTTAGACTTTCCGGATCCATTATATCACAAACAGCAATAATAACTAGAAAATAGTATTATATATATATTTATATATATATAAAACTTCTTTCATTTAATAAAAGAACAGTCAAGCAGCAAATTTCTTTTCATATTAAAAATTTACTTACTACTTGAACCTCTGTAATAAGATGCTGCAATACATCGAAATCTTTCCTGGCCAGCAGTATCCCATCTAAGATAATAATAAAAAAAACAGCTCTACTTAGTATGATATTGAATATATTATTGAATTTAACTAACAATTGAAGATTAAATGGTATAGATAGGACGGAAAATTTTTCCACTTCAAAATCAACTCCTATAGTAGCTTTGTAATCTCTATCGAAGGCGTCGTGACAGAATCTATAAAGTAATAAAATGACATACTGATATAAATGGAAGGAGGAAAAAGGTCATAAAATTGTCTATATACCTATTTACCAAACATGTTTTACCCACGGCAACATCACCGACTAAAACTGCTTTACAAATCTTTAATCTGAAATTTATATTTTGCAAATGATTCGTCTTCCCATGTAGATTTATTATCACAATGATAAAGAGAAGAAAAATTGCTGCGAGCAATTCTTTTAAGAATAAAGTGATTACCCAACTGTTCCTGATCGATTTTCTGCTGATACAGATTTAACCAAAGGATGAAAATTAAGCTGATGATAAGGAGATGCTGATGAATCATAGGGCTGTATTACATTGAATCATTGTTAAAAATCTTTTCTTTTACTAGTTTGAATAATTATTTTATAATTTTAAGAAAACAAAATCATATTGTCGAAAAAAAAGCAAAATTGTTGTATTAAATCATTTACTTACAGAAGGAAAGTCTGATATTATTCGATCCGTGTGTACTTTGTGCATGTTCTATTATATATCTTTTAAAGGCTTCTCAAATGAACAGATTATTTCAAGATTGACGGTCTTTATAACGATTTTCTTATTAGTTAAATTAATGGCTAGTGGTGTCTTTTTAAACCGGATGTTCTTTTTACTCTATAATAAGCAATATCGGAAAACGATTTGAATTGAACTACTCAGAATTATTTATCCTTCGCGGCTTTTGTTGGTATTTAATAGCTGCGCACATAATTATAAATATAAACAAACCTCTAATTATTGTCGTGCTACTTTTTTCTAATCTGTATATAATTAATATTTGAATATATTAGTATTTCGGTTAGCATAAAATTAACTGCGAAACTAACATTTGGTTCCGACTTTCGTGCGTTTCTTTAATTAATAACGTATAAGAAACTCGATGTTTTCTGGTTCTGATTATTATCGTTAGTTAATGAACATATAGTGAGATGGGAAAAGTCAAAAAGTATGTATTAGTTTAATCAAAACATTTTATTATTAATTTTTTGATTAAGAAGTAATAATATTTATCCTATTGTTCGAATAGCACGTGCTTTATTTTTTAAAATAATTCAATCTATCGTTGGACTATTTAACAATTACTCAGCATAAATTAATAATACATCATTGCATAGTAAAATCTGTATGCATTGATAAACGAAGATATAAATTTTAATTTTGAGGCGCAATTAAATAAGTTGTAATGTCAATATTAAAACACCAATTATTTTTTCATCTTAATCACCTTATGTAAAAGGTTCTTAGCAAATATTTTATACAACAATATAATTCATTGTATAAAGTATTTGTTTAGACATGATGTGATATATAGAATGCAAAATGTGGCGTTTTCAGGGGGAAGAAAAAGCCAACTATAAAATATGATGAAGAGGAGGACACTCATGTTCCTGACGCCAAAAGTAATGAGTACTTTTATGATGATGTCGACAATTTTCATAATGAGAGAAACAAGGTATAATGCACATTAATTCTAAATCTGCTAGCTTAGTAACCGAAATAGCCATAATGCATGTTTTATGTTAATATATTGTTGGTTCGTTGGAAATATATAACATAAAGCTTTCCAATTAGATTCCTTTGGGTAATGCAGAACCCGCTGAATTTAGTTCATCGGAAGAAGATATTTTAAAAGTTGGTGAGTCAGATTCGGATGATGATGATGAAGAAATCGAAGCGTACAAAGCTCAATTAAAAAGAATACGAGCGAAAACATTTAAACAAAAGCACGCTAGTGATTTAGAGGAATCGACCGATGGTAATATAGATTTTGATTATCTTATGAATATATTATTTTACCGAGACCCATTTGTTAAAAAACGCTTATATTATTTATAAAATTTCTCTGCAGAGGAAGATGACAAAGCCTGGGGACAGAAGAGAAAAAAGTTTTACGGTGGTGATGTTACTGACGAAGATGACGAAGATGTATCTGAAGATGACGAAGAGGCCACAGCAATACTGGAGGAAAGGGAAGCTTTATCAATTCAAAAAAAGATAGCGCAAGAAATGGATGAAGATGATTTCGTACCAGAAATTTTCAAAAAGAAAAAAATAAAAACAAAGGATGACGATGAAAAAATAAAGAAGGATTTATCTAAAATGACAGAAGTGGAAAAAAGAAGATTATTAGAAGAGGAGGCCCCAGAGCTGTTTGGCCTAGTAGAAGAATACAAAAAGAGAATGGAGGAAATCGATACAGTTCTAGTGCATTTGGCTGAATTATTAAAAAAAGGAAAGCTGAAAGATGAGCCAAAGGGCTTCTCCGAATACGTAACATATAAGACAAATGTTACTTCAGGCTATTGTATGAACATTTCATTTTATCTGGCTTTGAAAGCTAGGGGAATACCTGTTGAAAATCATCCAGTTATTGAAAGAATACTAGGCTATAGAAAGGTTTGGTTATAATATATTCTCTTTCAATCTCGTTTTTCTTGTCTATTGTAACGCAACTCTCCTACTAGGGTGTTTATCAAGAGAGAGAAACATACAAATGTTAATATTATAGAGCCTTTATAAGCTGTACATGATGCTAAAGAGCAATAATAGATGCTAAAATATGCTTAAAGCAATCAACTACAAACGATAAATAGTATAGAGACGTCTAAAAATAAAAAAGTCTTTTCATTTCAGATTCTAAACAAATTAGCCGATTCCGACAACACGTTCATAGATTTCCTTCAGGAAACTCTCGAAAATTTAGAAAATAATAGAAATATTGAATTTGCTGATGAAACGCCTCTAGAAATACCAACACTATCAAGAAAAAAGAGTAAGAGACGAAGGACAGTAATCGAAACTGAGGATCTGGAGGATTACGATCAACCTGAGCCCTCTGGTGGATCGACTAAAAATAGGGTTAGTAATGATTTTTTCATTAGAAGGCTATATTTTTTGTTAGCTTAATGAAAAGAATTTTTGTTGTCAGAAACGAAGAATGGGTGAAAAGGCATCTGAAAAGAAAGAAGAATTAGGCGAAGACGATAAGAGAGCTATAACCTATCAGGTAAGATAATTGGACTCGTTAGTTTTTAGATCTATACTAATTTATTATAAATAATAATTGCAGATGTCAAAGAATAAGGGATTGACACCTAATCGTAAGAAGATCAATAGAAATCCAAGAGTAAAACTCAGGGAGAAATTCAGAAAGGCCAAAATCAGGAGAAAGGGAATGGTTAGTATACTAGTACTTACGAAAAAAGAAAAGAATTATTCTAAATATAGTTTTATTCTTTTTCTCCTTCTCTCTCTCGCTCTCTCTTTGCCTCTCCTTTTTTTTATCATAGTCTTTAAGAAATTAATTTCCCTTTTTCTTTTATTCTTAATTTAATAATTGCGAATACTCTTAATCCAAATCTTATTTAAAAACATAGTCATAAGATTGAATTAATATTAAATTCTATAGTTAATTATTGTTGGGCGACTATCCAACCTGATGCCTGTAGTTTTATACGTTTATTGACTTATCCATCAACAGGCCGAGACGAGTAATAAAAGCCTAGGCGTTATTTATATACTGTTTATATCCAGTATATCTATTTATCTCATCTATTCTTATACTGACATTGCTGTAATGACGTATAGTCGGATGTTTCCTCTATGCGCAGTGTATATAGTTATGCTCTTGAAAATTTATATATTTTTAAATACGTTATATAAAAGAAGAGAGAGAAGACCGAAACACCCAAATTGTTATATATGATTAAGCGCTTTTAGCTTCGTCAGCTGTAAAACTTTAAGCGATCGGTATTTGATATCCGTATCTACGTTGACCACACATTTCGCAGAAGAGACAATCTAACTCTGCTCACTCGTTTTCTTTTTTTTTTTTTACAGATACGAGAAGTTAGAAAAGAAGTAGATCGATACGGCGGTGAATTATCTGGTATAAGAGCCGGTGTAAAGAAGAGTGTAAAATTTAAGTGACCTGTTTATTTTTGTTGTCCAAAATACCTTTTACTTGATTGACTTCGGGCATTTTTAATAAAATAGGAAATTACGAATGTAATTTCAAACCGCAAGGTGGCGTTTGTGTTATTAATGTCTAAGACGATAGAGAGGGAGTAAAGAGACGGGGGGGGGGAGGAGCTGCCGATTTAAAGCCAGTAGCTTGTGCACACAGACTGCAGTCAGTAGCGCGATGTAATAGAGGAGATATATACTTCTTTAGTCACTCTTTTTTTTTGTAAATTTGTGATGAGTTCTGTTTCTACTTCCGCTTTTTCATCAAATTCCAAGTCGAAATGCGGTACGTAATTTTACTGAATTCTTTTTGTCCTTTAAGATATCATGTCTTTCTATTCTCGTTCACTCTGTTAAGTTTATAATCGAAATAATGTTGGAATAATATTTACACTCTAAACTACGTTTCCGCAGTTTGAGGTGTTAGTTATTAGCTATCTGAAAGGTTCATTTTGAAATAACAATACAAAATGCAAAATAAAAAAGAATCGATGAAGAGATTCGGGGAAAAGAATTTTGGAATAGGCGTTACCAGGGGCGTCTATTCGACCGTAGCACCATCTGCTGAAATTAGTAGAATATATATATGTATATATATATATCTTCCTCTCTTATTTGAATTTATATTTAGGTACCTTTTTTCCTTCTAATTGACATACAAACCACTCGAAAATGAAATGGAATAAACGCAACGTTTTATTCATGACTCCCAATAATTACAAACTACTTTCCGTTTGCGTTGCTATCGACAACGGCTCGGTTGGGTTAATTTACAAACATTTTATACCAAACACGAATTTTTCTTATTTTTTTTTGGTTGATAAAAGAGAAATTTGATTATAAGAGAAATAACGCGAATTAGGATGACGGCAAATTCGGCATAAACGTCTACTTTACACATTTTTACAAACTATTACTTGTATTGAGTTTTTGGATCGCATAGTCGTCAAAAGGCCTAAGGAAAAGTTCTATTTTTCTGCACATAAGCCTATAAGCTCTTAACTTTTCCTTGTTTATCTAGCCTTTTTCTTTGTAAAAAGAACGAAATGAGTGTAGAAAATTACTGCATTGAGGAACATAACAGCTTATTTGATAACAAAAAAAAAAGGAAGCTGCATAACAGCGCCGTGCCTAATAAGAATCGGGGGAAAGAAAGAAAGAAAAGAGGCTGTTCAGAGCACGGCAAGCGTCACTATACACGTTCCGCTTTTATGACCGGTTGAAAGCGTCCTCATTTCATTCTTCTCCCCCTTGTTCTCTATTATTTATTTTATTAAAGTAATAGCCGTAAATGGAATATTTTGTAGAATATTAGGGATTTTACTTTCTCGTCTATTTCCATTGTCTCATTGCTATAAAATTCATGCGGATCGTTTAGAAAATAATGTTATTGGGTTGGAAAAATTAAGAGGCCCAAGATTTTTTTTCTTTTTGTCTAGAGCGAGAATTCAATACGGCACGCATGTCGCTTGAACGTGCACTTAGCCGGCTTTTTTTATATTAAAAAAAACACAGCAGATTTTTAGGGCGAGTTTACGCAGCTGTCACCGAATCGACAGATGGTAGGGTAACGCTTCTAGATATAGATGAAAGGAAGGTGGATGGGGTAGAAGGTGTGTATATGTACGCTTTAAAAAGGTGTTTTCTAAATGAGAAAAGGGAGAAAACTGTTTTTCGCTCTTATCTTTCCGCTCTGTAACCTTTGTTTTCGTTATTTTTATACAAGTTTATTATTAGATTCGGAAGAAAGGAGAAAGAAAACTTTTTCCCGTATTTCAGTTATTGGCTCACGGAGGGACGGGAGCATGTTTGAATTGGCATCCGCCGGAAGTAGAAGAACAAAATCGAAGGTAATTAAAACAAGTTAATTACCAGACTGAAAAGTATCAAAAAGGATTATCGACTTGCAAACTAGATTTTTTTCGGCTATTTTGTCAACTATATCCGCCCGTTATATACATCAGTAATTTTTTAGTAGGCCTATAGTAATTATTCTATAATTAGAAAATGCATGATTGCCATAATGCTTGTTGACAGCGTAAAGTTAAGCTGAAAATGGAGGAAGATAGAAGATCGAACGAGGAGAGACGGTCAAGATCTGCTTTTCGACCTGGTTAGCATTTTACTTAAATTATTTAAATAGGCTCCATAGGCCTATCGATTCTTTATTTTCTCTTGTATTAACTGATGGGAAAAAACTCACACAAGATTTACGACTTAATAAGTTTTTATGTTATTCCTTGCGGTTTCTCTCCTCTCTTTCTCTTCTTCTCTGACAAATTATCGAAGAAGTATAAAGCGGAAGGAGGAGACCGAGAAGTATCTATAAAAATGAACTATTATTTAAGCTATATTAGAAAATGAAAACGGGTAATTAAACGTTTTGACCTACTTATCATGAACGGGATGACAAACAGTTTGCAAACGAAATATTAGATATTGACAGTAATCTTTCGCATAGAGTGTATACTATATACTTTATATATATATATATATATATATATATTATACAGTACATAATGTCTTTATATATAACACTAACTGTAATATCCTTTTTAAAAAAAACACTTTGGGAACCATATTTCTTAATTTAGACAATAAAAAAAAAACTTTTAGAATGCCAATAGGCCTATCCAGCGAGCCATACTATAATCTCTAATATAATAGCATATTTTCTCCTTATTAATAGAATGATATCCCAAGGTGATTTTGCAGGAAAACTACTTTTGTTTCTAGGCTCTTTTTTTAAGATTTTTCGTTAGTTTTAATGAAAAAGGAGTATATGAAAAAATGAATAAGAATGGGAATTGAGAGCGGGCGAGTGAGGGAATGAGTAAGTGAGTGAGTGAGCGAACGAGTGTGAGAGAATGAAAATAAGAGAAAGAAAGGAAGCTAGAAGAAGACGAAGTAGGAGTGTGTGAAAATTAAAGGAGGGAGTGAGGAGAGTTAAAAGCCAAAGCCATAAAACATATTGATTAAAGGGAAAAACAAACAGAAGCAAAGCGGGGAACATTCAATTGTTATTGAGTAACGAAGGAGAATAATCACAAAAGATTAAGGGAATTAATTTTTACAGTAGTTTTCTTTTTTCATCTACTTCCGTCTAAAATTTCAATATCAATGCTTTTCTACTTTATAATTAAATCTTTCCTTTTCCAGTTGAAAGAGAAATGACTCGGAGAACTCGTTCGTTCAGCGCAGATAGGCCTCATTACGCCTATCCCACTTGTAGTTTCTTGATGAAGTGCAACCAAACCGACGAACGTTTCGTCTGTTGCCAAGGTAACAACTTCTTAAGAGGAGGGGTTGAAGACTAGAAGGGGTGGAAGGGTCAGCAGCGGAGTGGATGTTCGCTGTCTTAACTGTAGTTTCAAATAACTTAAACTAGTGTTTCATTTACATTTAAATATACTATTAGCTGTATTTATATACGTATTTTTTATTACATAGCTCACGCCAAGTTGGTCGAAGATAGAGAATCAGTTAAGAGTCAGCCTAGTAAACCTTGGTCGGAAGTTAGCCAAATTGTCGATAGACTATCAACTCCCAGATCGGTTCCAAATAAGGATGTTCTAAACGTTAACTCCCCAAGCAAATCCATGTCTCTGCCTAGAGTCAAGGTTGGTATTTGTTTTACAGATATATATCATTGATCACTGAAGAGGTTTACTTTACAATATCAAAAGCTGTACAGTTTATATAAACGAGACCATTTCTAGAGGTTTTCCCTTTCCAAGCCAATAAAAAAAGCAGATAATACCCAAAATAAATTAGGAATTTCTTTTCTTCTTCCTCTTCTTCTTCTTCTTCTTCTAAGTCTTCTTATCCCTTTACAACCAATAGGCCTAACCAATTTCTTCTCTTTTTTTATGTAATCGCAATACGTTTTTTCTTTTTATACGATGCAAAAAAACATAAACTACGAAAAGATATTTAAAAAAAAATGGAAAGTAGGGCATCTCTTGATAGAAATTTTTTCCCTCATTTTTTTTTCTAACTAATGGCGCCGCGCTCCAAATAATAAAAAAAAAAATAAGAATTCATGTATAATTCAAGAATTAAAAAAAAAAGCGAAAGTTTCTGCATTGTATACAGTCTATACAGTAAAAAAAACCCGACTATTATGCATTTATATATATTTACTGTTTATTTACAAATCTCCAACATGTAAATATTTCGGGTTTATATTGGGAGCAAAGCGAAAAAAAATTCTGTATAAGAGTTTGGGGGATAGGGTGTTTGTATAGGCCTAATTGAGCTAGTGGAACTCTTCCGGTTTTATTAGGGGAAATAACACGGCTATCCATCTATATACAGTGTATATATATATATATATATATACACGCCTTTAATCTATACAAATTACGGTTGGAAGGTAAGATGAGGGGCGCATTTCTTTGTATTCAAGCAGTTGTCCGTGAAGCAATCCTCTTAATTATCTATAGCGCGTGCACTAGACAATAAATATAATTGGGTTATAAATTGCAGCAATTTGGATTTACAAGGAAATTATCGAGTTGTAGTATAGACAGTGGAAATGCTGTAACAACACCTTCTATTAAATCTGATTCGTCTGTTGATTCCCGAAATAAGATAGTCGAAAAGAAAAAGATTCAATCTTCCGGATTAAATAGTAGTGAGGACGCCGAAATTGAAGATAATTCGGATGTCTCAGAGTCCCATAAATCAGCTATAGCCAAGTTAAATGAGAAAAGGAGGTTACAGGGTAAAGAGCCCTTATTTGAAAAGAAGATTGAGGCTGAAGAAGTAAAGCAGGATAATAGTGATAAGCTGCCTTTGACAAAATCGGCCAGAGCTGCTGAATTCAAGGCCAAACTTGCTGAGAAGCGAAGATTACAAGGCAAAGAACCCCTTGACAAGGATGAAAACATTAGCTCAATTAAGAGTGAAGAGGTAGAATCTGTCGAGACAAAGGAAGAAAGGAAAGCAAAGAAAGAGGAAGAGGAAAAACGGTTTGTAATTATACCTTTTAGCTATATATTTTCATCATTATCCTCTTCTCCCTTATAAAGGAAAGAAGAAGAAAGACTAAAATTAGAAGAAGAACGAAGGGCTAAGGCGGAAGCCGATAGAAAATTGAAAGAAGAAATCGAAAGGAAAATGAAGGAAGAGGCTGAACGTAAAGAGAAAGAACGATTAGAGAGATTAGCACGCGAACAGGAAGAGAAGGAGGAAAGGAAAAGACGTTTAGAGATGATAATGAAAAAGATTAAACCAGAAAAACGTCCCGAAACTAATGATTCTCCAAAAGCAAACAACAAAGACGACTCCTCTATTAGTGAACAGACTGAGACCACCAACGGCGATGAACAAAAGATTAATACACCTCCATACAAAGATTTATTGGAAGAGTCCAAGACCGAAGACAACCAAGAAGGAACAGAAATGTCAATTTATCAACAAGATTCCCTCGACGAAACCAATTCCAATAGAAACGAAAATATTCAACAGACAACGAACGGAGTTCTTAAGGGACAAACTTCTGTTTACACCATTTCTAACGAATTAAATGGCGAAAATATGTCAAACAACCAAGTTAATAAGGAAAACATCGAACAAACTACCGACGTAAACGCGAACAAAGACGGCGACAGACAGACGTCAATTTATCGTGAATCCCTAGACGGTCCTGTCGACGACGATGTCAACGCCAATCAATTAGTTCAAACTTAATGTTTCTTTTTTGGTAATTTTTTTTACTGTTTCTACTTAATCTAATTAATGAGAATGGATACAGATCTAGGAAGATGCTTTTCTCCAGTTCGAAAATTCCACAATTCATCATTCTTTAATCAATGCTAAAAAAAAAACTAAGGATACGAATACGTTTAATTTAGGACTAATTAATTTTTTTCAATTGCGTGATAATACATAATTGGATGGATTGTCGGTTTGATGACCTGGCCAAAAAAGACTTTCTCTCTCTCTCTCTCTCTCTATCTATCTATCTATCTATCTTTCTCTCTACCAACAGTTAATATTTTAATTAACACTTTAAGAAAATAGAAAAGAAAAAAAAACACTTGAACAAGTCAAAGTGGTTTTGGTGGGTTATCCGGTAAAATTATTTAGCTAATAAAAGAGAATATTTTTTTAAATATAACAATTAATTAATTAAAACAAATAAACAAAAAACAAAAGAAAATGGTAAAATCTTTGAGTGTTGTGCCTATTTTGGTTATTTTAACAAAATGTAACACAAATACCAAAAAAAAATAACAGATAAGATATTATTAAAAGTTTTTTGCTTTAGAGTTTTATTTACAAATGTGAACATCAACTATTAATAATAAAAAAATTTATACACTGATCAGTTGTTTTAATATATTTTGGTGTCTATTTGACAAGAACTGAATCATTCTACTTACCTCTGTTGTTTGACTAATCTATAATTATTATAAACAAACATATAAATAAAATAGCAAAAATATGTAGATAAATGTAAACATAGAAATTTTTCACTTACGTTGCTATTAGTGCGCCATAATTCTAAGCTAGTATCGACTAAACGTCTCTTTAACGAATCCATTGTGAATTTATGTCGATTATTAAAATAGAGATTTATATTTTTTATATAGTCGAAATTCTTCACATTTCTTTCAAAAATTCGTTGTTGATTAAATGTTTAATTAATATAGACGATTTACGAATTTATACCTTTTGATATCATTGTCAAGTGAAAGAATTTCTAAAAGTGTTAATAAATTCCAGGAAAATCCATCAAAAGTTGCCAAAAGTCCTCTAAAAATAGCATAATATTGATAATAATTATTTGATTTATAACAATTCCTTTTGTTAATAAATTAGTCAAATTTCTAGTTGGATATACGAAATTTAGCTAATTCTCTTAATAACAGGAACTAACTCATTAAATCCTTCTCTCGTCAAACGTTCGAATAATTCATCATCTATATCAAACATTCCTTTTATAAAGTCTAGAAATTGAGTTGAAAAAAGCAGTCATTCGTAATTGTTATATGATTTTGTAATTGTTACAGTTTCTCAACTTACTAAAGTCAAATTCGACAGCGTCAAATTGAATACTTGGAATAACAAATCCGTATTCAAGTAATAATTTTGCATTTGCGTGAGAACCATAGGAGATAAAAACTTGATCATATTTATTATAGGTTTTAAGGGTTTTTATTTCATAACAATTTTTATCCTTATTAAATCCTGCTTCAATCTAGACCATGGATGAAAATGGAGAGGATTGAAAAGAATAAAATATTTAAGATATTTAAACAAACCATTGCGGAATCAGAATGATTTAACAAATCTAGATAGGGTATTAATGCAAGATGATTAGTATCATCTAAGAAATAATCACCGCTGTAGGTTTTCATATAGATGCACCTCGTATTTATAGCAGACCAAGCCCATTTAAAATCATTCCACGTTAGATCTGCACGTAGGAAAGTTGATAGATTACCCCCTAATCTCAAGCAACGTTCGTATAGCCTTTGAACTTGTTTTACTTCCGTGTTAACTTTGGAACGCAACGATTTAGGTAAAATATCAAGTTCTTCCTCTGTCCAATACGTTGGAATAGAATATTCTTCTGGTAAAGTTCTTATATAAAAATGCCAGATAGACTCGTCTCCTAAAGATCTTTCATAAATAAGAAATAAACATAAAGCTTCTAAGGATGAAAATTGCCTCGCTTTCCTGCATATGCAAAGAATTTTTGTTACGTTGTTAACATTCCTTAATAATAGAACAAACTTGCGAAAAAAAGGACCGAGACCACTTTTCAAAATTGTTCTAGTTGTTATTATGAGTCCTTCTGGAACCTGAATTATTATATCTGTTATCCTTTTTCGGGCCATAATTCCTCTACCAGTATCTGTAAACAATGAAGATTGATCGTGTTAATCGTTTTAATGTGTTATCCAGAAGTAAAGAGACTTTCTGATACTTTGAAAAACGGCGGGAACCAAAGATTTGTTTCTAAACCCTCTAGATTGCATCCATATTGATAATGAAATTATATCATTGTCCAGAGCCAAGTTCTTAAACAGTCTTTCCTTTGTTGAGTATCTTTTTCTCCATGTACGACCTTTTCGAACCATTTATTATCGCTCATTAACACGTTTTGTTTGCATAATAAATATATTCATAATCTTTGTGCAGAAAGACTTTTTAGATCAATAGACTATTATATTCAACTTTTCCCTGTAGTATTAAGCTTAGCTGTAATCTGTTATCTAAGAAACTAATCAAGTTCACTCTTCGGAATCGAATACTCAAAGCAAGATTTATCATCAGAAGGCGCCATCTCTAGGGAATGGAAGAAACATCAATCTCTATTGTCTGTATTGAAGTAATTTTCTCGACAAAGCCCACAATATAATTATTCCTCAAAGAAAAACAGTTAAATACTAAGCTCACAGAACATAGATTGCATATTGTAGTAACGTTACGACGGATGTAATAAATAGAAGTAGCAGAAAAATTGAAAATAGATTATAATTAAAGCTAAAGCCAAATTGTTCCACCATTTTTTTAGAGAAGAAATCTAAACTGGCTATTAGGGAACTTTTTATCAAACTTTTCCAAAATTTCTCGTCTATTATCAGTAGATTCTTTCTCGTATATTTCTTTTCTGTATAGGAATTACGAAGAGATTATATGCAATACTATTAGAAAGATGGATAAGATAATTTGAAAAATATTAAAACAGTAAGATTAGGTTAGTTAAAGAAAAAAAAACAGATATATAAAATTCAAGGTTTTTTAAGTGTATATATATATATATATATATATATATATATATATATATATTAGTATATACTGTGCATACATATTCTAAAAATACTGTATAGGTTAGAATAATAGAGGAAAAATACTCTTCTTTTTTTTAAAAACTATACTTTGTGTGTTCTAGATAAGACTGTCTACTCACATTTCGTTATCGTCCGTGTCTTTTGACTTCTCCACAAGCTTTTTGTTGAGAGAATAAAGGTATATCTTTGTTAAATAAAAAATAACATACTATTATTTTCAACTTTATACCAACCTCTTCTAAACGAGTTCCGTATACGTTTACCAAATTATTTGACCTGTAATACTGTTTAATTGGCTTCCGGGGAGATTCCAATTTAAACTTTGGTGAATAGTTAGCCTGGAAGTTTTCTAGGTTATTTCCAGTAACTTTCATTGACCACGCGGATCGGAAGCCTTTTGAAAGGGCGTTTTCATCGTCTCTTTTTACGTTTGGTAAGGGTAGTGTAGAGTAAGAGTTAAGGCTTTTATTAATATCGTCACCGGAAAGACAAGCCGTCCAAGCGCCTCTGTGGTAAGTCTTCCTTTCGGTTGCGTTGCGAATATCTTCACAACTTGACTCTTTGCAACTTTCAACGAAAGGAAATCTGTTTTCATCCAACTGGTAATCGGAAGGCGCCATTGACCAATATCCTCTATGGTATTGACGTTTTCCCCCACGCTGTCCACCTGAACCGTTTGCACTAACTCTGTCTCTTCCGTCGTCATCCTGAGAGTTGACCGAATTAGAGGATGAAGACCTTCTAACGTGGCTCTTTTGACCTATAATATCTTTAAGCATTAGCTTTCTGAGGAAACTATTATCTCCTTCGTAGTGAATATCTTTTTCGATAAGCTTATTGCTATTCCTCGGTTTATTAGTTATCTTCTCATACATTGAAAGAGCAAATGGCTCTGGATCGCTTTCGTATTGACCCTTATTGCTGGCTGGTGTTCCATAATGTATTGCTAGGGTACCGAATCCCGATCTATGGCATTGAGTTATCGGTAAAGTAGCATATGCCATGTTTTTATCGTGATTCCATTGACGCGATACCGGTTTACCCAAATCTGCATAGTATCCTGGATTCCTAAAGCGTATGTCCAGAGTTCCATGATGACTCCTATAATATGTCGGTTTATAGCTTTTCTCAAAGTCGGAAGCATCACAATCACTAAATCCATTATCATTAATACAGCGATTAGCAGTTAATCCGCTTTGATTATTTAATGCCACTTCAGCTGTGCATGGCGCCTCGTTAACTTGTTCAATTCTCTCTCCATCCGGCTCTTTTATTCCTTTATTGGATTTTATTTCATTAGTTATAATATATTCCATATGATATACCTCACCACTTTGGTCCTTTTTCACTAATTGGGCCGTAAATTCTGGTTCATCAACTGATACTCTCTTGTCGCCATTCTTCTTTTTTGTCTTTTTACCTTTACCCGATTCGAAATTGTCGATACTAACTCCCTTCCTGCGAGATACGCAACCGCACAGATGCATTTCAAGGGCTGAGTAACCGGCGCTAAAATGCTTCAAATTATTATGCTAATCCTGGCCTCTCTGTAAATACTCAGTGTAACTAAAAACCGTTCGAGACTTAGTAGCATTAGCAAGCGGTTAAACGTACAGTTTTTAATCAATTGTTCTCTTGGAGATTAATAGACTATTCGACCATATCGTCTTTCGTTACCATAACGCCCAATTTCTTTCTACCACTTAATGCATATGGTGTCCATCTTTTTTTTTTTTTAATAAAAAAATCTTAATAAAACACCGTACTAAATAGCACAAGAGAACATAGTGTACTTATGAATGTTTTGTATATTCAGCGACTCACAAATTTTAACAGCTTGATCTTTCTTTTTTAAGTTGATAAATGTTATATTCTAGCAGAGTAAATATATTTTTTTATATGATTAAAAAAACTGTAATATTTATTTATTAAAGAATAAGTAAATATTGAATTAAAACTATTTGTAAATTGTTAAAAAAAGAGTAAATTTCGTTCTTTTCGGAATATACTAAAATATCTATATATTTATATATACCAATTTTTTTGTGTAAAAGAACCACTTAATATATTTTGTAATTATCTATATAAAAAATGTTGATGTTAAACAAGGCATGTTTAAAAAAAAAGAAATGACCACCTGCGTAACTACTACAAATAACCTTGACCTTTGCACCGTATTTTCCTCAGCATTTTACAGTACTCAGAAAAAGTTATTCTGTTCTATTTCTCAGGTTATAAAATATTTATAAATAACAAAAATTCTCTCTTCTATATTATTCTGCGTATAGATATTCTATATCAGATATACAAGATGGAATTTTTATTCATAATCGCTCAATAGTTATATTTAAGTCTCTTTTACAAATCGTTTTATTCTAGTCTCGTTCAAAGTGATTTATTAAGCTATTTTATTATGTTTTCTTACAAAATATATTCTATAAATGTATATCTATGCATTTGTAATTAACAACACTAGGTTTAGGTAATAAAGACCAAAAATTTATCTCATGCTTAACGATAATAAAAGCCGTTCTCCTATTTACGTGTACTTTGAAAAATGGTCAAAATTTTGATATATTCTAACATTCTAAATTGTGCTGATCATCGTTACTATATAATTCTAATAAGAATTAGACATTGTGAATTGATAGATATCCATAAATTACGAAATTTTATCTGTAATTTTATTTATTATTATAATTTACAAGTATATTTATAAATGGAGTATAACAAATACGAAAAGACTTAAAAGAATAGTTTTATTTAGTGATAAATTCACTCTTTTATCAATAGCAAGAGGAGAATGAGCGAAAATCCAGCTACAACTCTCTTTCGAGAATATCTTAGAATAAAATCCGTACAACCCAAACCGGATTATGGTAACATAGAAAAGTAATTAAATAAAGATTGTTAAATCCACCCAAATTCTTCTCTCTTAGATGGTGTTGTTAAGTTCTTGACAAGAATATCAAAAGAACTGGACCTGCCCATGCAAGTTATCGAACTTGTTAAAGGAAAGCCCATCATAGTTATAACCTGGAAAGGAGAAAATCCTAGTTTACCATCCGTACTGCTGAACTCCCATACCGACGTTGTACCGGTCTTCCCTGAGTACTGGAAGCATGATCCATTTTCGGCTCATAAGGTATATATTATCTAAAAACTCAGTGCTTTCGAGATCTTACTAGGTTACCATGTTTATTTTATATCTTAAAACAAAGATTATATTTTTAAGCAGGACAACTCCTATTTTTTTAAAATAAATAAACAATGTGCAAAATGTTACAGGAGGAAAACGGAGACATATACGCCAGGGGGAGCCAAGACATGAAATGCGTCGGTATTCAACATATTGAAGCCGTCAGAAGGTTGAAATCGTCGGGATTTAAACCTCTACGAACGATTCATCTATGCTTTGTACCAGACGAGGAGATTGGCGGGATAGACGGTGTAAAGAAGTGGGTTGACGAAGATTCTTTCAAGCAGTTGAATGTGGGTTTATCCTTGGATGAGGGTCTGGCCAGCGAAAGTAGTGTAGTTCCCGTTTATTACGGAGAGAGAGCTATTTGGTGGGTTAATGTTACCTGTCTTGGACAACCAGGACACGGCTCTCAGTTTTTACCTGATAACGCGGGGAAAAAAATTAGGTTAACACTCTTAAACTTTAAAGTTCTATTATAGCTATTTAATTATTATTTCGATCAGACACGTTATTGATTCATTTATGAACTTCCGCGATGAAGAGGAAAAACGATTGAAATCAGATAAAAACTTAACACTTGGGGATGTAACAACTGTCAACTTGACTATTTTAGAAGGTGGAGTTCAGCAAAATGTGGTACCTGCTCAATTAAATGCAAAATTTGATGTTCGCATTACACCACACTTATCGCACGATAAAGTTAGAGAAATGATTGATAAGTGGTTGAAAGAGGCAGGAGAAGGCGTTTCGTATAATTTTTTGCAGTATACACCTGAAATAAAACCCTCTGAACTGACGGGTAAATGGTACGACGCTGTTAGCAGTTCATTGAATGAGTCTGGCGTACCATTTAAACCTGAAATTTTCCCTGCTGCAACTGACAGTCGTTACTTTAGAGCTAAAGGTTTGGATAAATAATTTTCTGTTGAATATTTAATTAAGATAACGATATGATTAATTAGGTATTCAGGCATATGGTATCAGTTATATGCCAGAGACCCCGATTCTTCTGCACGACCACAACGAAAGACTGAATGAAGCAGTTTTCCTTAAAGGAATAGATGTTTTTGAAAATCTTGTCAAGAAAGTTTCCCTGGTCAACTAAGCAATTTCTTTAAGATTTAATAAAATTTTTTGCCGAACTATCATTATATTTGCGTGGGTCACATTCGAGTTAATTAGGTTAGACATATCTTAATTAAAGCGTTTAATAGACGACTATTTGAAAGAAATGGACACTTTAGAAAACCCGCATACGTATATAAACAATTGTTTCGTAACATTACATAAGAACACGTTCCAAAAATATTATCACAAAGTTTATTTGAAGTGGAACAAACAAGGTTTATGATAATGAGAAACAGTTTGATACCTTCCTATCATTCTTTAAACAAATACAATAAAAATGATACAAAAGAGCTGAAGTTATATAGTTCAATAAGGTAAAACTATTCTATATGTTATTTAGTAGTAAATATTCAGATCTATAATGATTTATAAGTTCAATCTTAGGTTAAAGAGCTCCATCCTTCTAATCTAAATACGTTAATGGAGATTTCTATCTTTATTAGTATCTTATCTTTTGGCTTTCGTTTTCTTTACCAACATATGAGTTTTACTATCTAAATTTTTACCATTTGTTATAAAATATGCGTACTAAAATAGTAAATGTTTTTATTATCCTATCGGTGAAAATCTCACTTTCTTGTTCATATAAAAAAGAAACTTTGTAAAGGTCTTGTCACTTTCATAATTGCCGCCAAAACTGGACTACGTATTAAGAAGGAAGGCGAGTGGGCGATAATGAATTAAATGCATTGTACACTTTTACCGAAACGGAAGTATAACACATGAACGACATGGAGGGAGAAGTTTTCAAAGTACCGAAATCTGGAACAGCTACAGTCCGTCAACAAACCCAGAAATTATCATACATACCACCAGCATGGTCTGGTATTTGCAAAGAACCTTATTCGTTAGAAATCATTAAGAATGGGGCTATAGTTACTGATTTAAATTTACTCAATGAAGAATTTGTAGTTTTCGGCCGAGAACCTCCAAGTAAAATAATTATGGAGCATCCGTCGATATCAAGGCATCATGCTGTATTACAATACTGTCCTGAGGTACGTAATTTATCCATAAAAAGAAAAGACATTTAGTATTTTAGCGATTGAATTTTTAGGGTAATGCTTTTTATTTAAAAACACTAAAAAAAATCTTTTAATAAATACATATTTTAATTAAAAGGATACCGATAGGAATAAGAAAGGATGGCATGTGTTCGATCTTGACTCTACTCACGGAACATCTCTAAATAAACGAAAAATTGAATCAAGGACATTTTTACGACTACGAGTTGGCCATGTTCTTAAATTCGGCGGAAGTACAAGATTGCATATTTTAAAAGGTCCCGAAGAGGATAAAGATGATGAACTACCGATGCCAGTTAAGAAACCAAAGTCAGTTGATGAAGACGATGATAATTGTTTATGGGGAATGACTAATGATGTAAGGTTATTGTTAATTGCACAATATAGTTTTGAATTTATGAAATTTCAGGAAAAGGATGAAGAAAATGAAGACAACAAAGTTAATCCATTTAGTCAAGAAACTCACGAGCACTTATATCAAGATGATCCAAAAAAAGCCCTTAAACATTACTTTGACAAAGAAGGTCTCGAGTTTCCCGATGTACAAGCGAGTGAAGCCGGTTTTAATAAATATCGTTGTCGAATGGAGTTACCGGATGGCCTCTATGCTGAGGTAACTGTCTCGGGTAGAAAGAAAGAAGCACAAGTTCAGTGTTATCTAGAGGCTTGTCGAATTTTAGATAGAATTGGGGAATTAACAAAATCCACAACATATGAAAAAAGAAAAACTCAGGTAAATTAGCTTTTAAATATTGTTTATTCTATTTCTAATAATATTATATTTGTTTAAACCTATAGAAAAAAATATGGGAAGAAAACGATTACTATGATTCTGATGACGATGAATTTTTAGATAGAACGGGTGATATTGAAAAGAAAAGGTTAACTCGAATGAAAATAGCAGCCGTTGTTAAAGATAAAGTCCTTACACACGACGAAATAACAGCTCAATTAAAAGAAAAACGTCAACGTGTTGACGAACTCGAGGAAATTTTGGCAAAAGCAAAGAAAGATAGTAATAAATTGTCTAAAGTTGGTATGGATGCTTTAGAAGATTATATGACAAGTCTAAAAGAAGGAAAATTGGATACTTCAACGAGACAAGCACATCGTAGAGAGATAATTGAATTAAAAAAGGAAATTGGCCAACTGGAAAGATTAGAAAGTAAAGCGAGGCCGTGTAAGAATTTGCCAAAATTGTATAATAAATATTTTAGTCATATAAAACCAAAGAATAGTCAAGTGAAAACGGCCGATTTGCAACCAGCAGAGGTAAAGGAAGAAATCAAACAGGATGGACAGGAAAATAAAAATATTAGTGAATCCAATACCGAAAAAAATCTTTCAAAGGTTACTTCTGACGTTGAGGAAAACCAGACGAAGAAAGTATCTAAGATAGATGAAAGACCTGCTTCAGAGTTGGTAAAGGAACAAAAGGTTATTAATACTCCAACAGAATCTAAATCCGATGATAAAGCAACATCAACACCTATTACTAATAAAGAGCCATCGCCCGTTAAACAAGCAAAACAAATTGACTTAGAAAAAAAAGAAGATTTAAAAGAAACAGAATCTTCTCATAAAGTAAAAGTATCGTCTAAATTACTTCCGGAGGATGAAAAAATCTTGAATCAAAAAGAACAGCCACAAAAAGAGAGTAAAAAACCAAAAAAGGTTTGTTTTGGAACGTTTAAATTCTTTAGTACGAATTAAACAAATTTTTCTTTTTTACAGAAAGCCCAAAAACGAAAATTCTTTTCCAAGGATTATTGTGAAGATGATCCAAGCTACGCGACATGGATACCACCGGTTAATCAATCAGGAGATGGTAAAACAAGCTTAAACGAAAAATTAGGCTATTAAGTTCGATTCTTATCGATAATCCAATGATGAAAAAAAGATGTACAATAGGAGTTTGAGTGCACTTCAGTTGACATAAATTGACCATCCGAAGTTATTTTATTTGTTATATAGATTGTAAATACAGAATATACAGTGTAGATTTGAAAAATTCTTCTAAAAAGTATTCGATATTTTTATTACAGCATTTAGTCTCTTATTTTTACTTTCTTCAATCTCAACGTCACAAGAAAGTTTAAGAGATACAGGCTCATTTGCCAAAAAAATGAGTTTTTCCTGATTTTGTTAAGATAAATAGTCTCGTTTCTTTTTTCATTTTTTTTCAGCATCATCCAGGTGTTTTAAACTGGATATATACCACGATCATAACTTATCTCAAGCTCTAAAGTGTTATAAGTGATGGGGACACATTTATGCAGAAAATTCTGATACAACTTGTTGAAGATCAACAACAATGTTTGTCATGCCACTCTTTTTGAGAACGATCACCAAGTCATCGACAGTCCTACTTCTGCTAGTTTGCCACCTTTTAAGAGCAACGGCACATTGTTGCGTTACATCATAGTGATAATTAGTTTTGATTATTTTAATATCTTCATTTGACAATTCCAGCGCCTTAGCAAGTTTAGGCCAATTGCTGTTGATTCTAATAGAGACAAATAAACAAGCTCGTTTAAGAGCTGCCGAACCAGGCATATCCTGGATTATGGTGATGGAATTAAAATCTTTTCGTATTTGCTCTGGTAGGCCTGGACGTAATTTTGAAGCAGGTAATCTCCCTCTAACTGTTGGTGGATCTGGAACTGTTTTTTTATGAGCCGCTGCTATAACTTCGGCTATAGTTGAATACGGATCTTCCTCCTCTACGTCATCATCAACTATGGAATAATAGTGGTCTTCTTCCTCATCGCTTTCATCTGGAGGTTGAAAAATAGGGACTGGTGGCTTTGGCTCATCAGTTACTTTTTTCAAATTAGATTCATGAAACTTTTGCAGCTCTTGCCTGATAGTATCCATTAAGTTTTGAGAAACTTTACGATTTGGAGCAGGGGGCGGTATTATAGGCTTTTGTCTGGGTCTGGTAACTTCTCGTAAACTCGCTATTTGAGCTGTGTCGTCTTCATCCAATTCATCCTCTACTTCTTCATCAAGAGGTAAAGATGGAGTATAATCAGGCGATTCATTTCCGGATCTCCTAAAAAACAATTTAAAAGTATAATATATATTTTTGTGATAATAGATTATAAACAAATTTACTTTAACTGAGGCCGAGGAATACTATGACGTTGTGACTTTAAGTCGTTTGGAACAAGGTAGCCTTCATCTTCCTTTATCTCATCTACATCGATGTAACCATATCCATCTTCAGTATGATCCTTAATAGACAACAGCCGATCAGAATCATTGTATATTCGAATTAAATCAACTATTTCTATATATCCTGCTTCTTTAGCCCGATATGCTGCCGTTGTTCCATCCTTATCCCTCTCCATAGGATCAATGCCAGCCTCCAATAACAGTTGGGCAATTTCTTTCATCCCATCGACACAAGCAAAGTGAAGACAAGACCAACCATACCTGGACAGAATAGACATTGCTATAGATCAAAAATCGTACAGGCTATTGATAAAAGAAATACGTACTGATCAGGAATTGATATATTTCCTCCGTACTTTTCCACTATCATTTTCATGATTTTCTTTTGACCGAAAAGACTGGCCATATGGCATGCCATAATCCCTATGAGAATTTCATAATTAGGAGGGGAATCAATCGCTAATTAAAGTACTCAATTAATATTCATAAATTTTCAAGTTTACCTTCATCACTCAATGTATTTATTGGTACACCTCTAAGAATGAAAATCTCAAAAATATCAACTAAACCAAGGGCTGCTGATGTAAGAAATGGTGTAGTAACCGAAATTGAACATGATGTCATTTTTTCAAATACATCTAGACTTCTTATCGAAAAAGGTAGATTGGATATACTGTAAGAAAACGGAAATAAATGTATATACTGTACATAAAACTGATTTAAATAATTCAGATACGCCAAGTTTATTAGAAACGTGACTCTCTTTCCTTTTGAATAAAGTAGACCTACATTCAATCGATGAGATTGAAACATTTTGCAACGTATCCGTAAGAAAATGAAGAAAAAAGGGCATATTATATATTTAAAATTATAATCTATAGATTATAGAGGAAAAGAGAAGAGAAAATACCATAAAACTAGACTTGATAATAGATTAAATAAAGAGGAAATATAGAAAGGAAATTGTCAATTATGTTCAATATTATAAAATTCACAAGCAAAACCTACCTAATATTCTGAACGGCTAATTGCGTAACTTCTTCCGTATTCTTTTCTTGAAGAGATACTTTTACAGTACTTAAATCCTTCTTAAGAACGGCGGAGAAAAGATATTTATCCTTATCATCCATTGCCAAAAGGTATTTTAAGTCATAATTATTCACAATCTAACTATAGGTGGTAGATACTGTTACCCCTCTTTTACGTTTAGAGATTATTTACATTTTTTTCTATCGGCCTATCAAATAGAAAAAAGGTCTGTTGGTCGGTCATGCTTCAATGAATCCATTCATGTTTATTATCGTTGATAAAAATATGCTCTCACTTAACGTCATATAAGGTGGTAGTATATTTAGTATAACTTTCCTTTTGCCGATTTAAATGCCATCTGCTTGTAAGTTTCTTTTGAGGAAAAACAAGAATATTTTGTGCAGTCAGCCTATAAAACCTTCTCTCTCTCTGCCCCGTTCCTCCTCATGCACCCCTCCTTCTGCCCTCGTTAAACAATAAGCTAACCCTAAAGTAGAATAAATAATTTAACCTAATTAACGTTATCCTTTATTGTTTATTAATGAGGCTGTGTTCTTTTTTTTAAGAACAGAGGAGCATTTTAATTAATTTAATAAAAGTTTAAATATAGTAAAAAAATGGGAATGATAAGATATTATCTCATATTTATAAATAAAAAGTATATTAATCTGTTCAAACATGTATTCTCCTCTATCCTAATAGTGGTTTCATAGGCTTAATTAACATTGCTTTCTCAATAATTTGTAGTAATATTAATGTTTAAATCAGCTGAACAGTCATTTTTTTTTATAATAGAAAATGGGATTGTTCATACCCTAAACGAGTTAAAGATAAGGAAAATGACTAAAACTAAACTAAACTCGGATACGGATATCAAATTTTAAAGAATTCTTTCTTTAATGAAATATTAGGAATGGAGAGAAGAAGAGGAGTTGGCAAAAGCTACTTATATTTTGGTATTCATTTTCTTTCATTTAATTCTATAAACATATTCATTAAGATTAAGTAAATAATCCAATGAATATGGTTTTCCTATCAATTTCACCCAATTTCCCAATTGACTAGTTTTCTTTACGAAAAAAACTTTAAACAACAATTACGTCAAGGCCTATTATTTACAGTTTGAACTAGAAATATTTTTTATGGAAATTATATAAATTTACTATAGTAAATCATATTTTTTTAACTTAGATAGGTATCTATCTAATAGATAATAATCAAAATATTATGATTTTTATCTCTAATTCAATGAAAATATAAATATACTGTTATAATATATTTTGTTTAATTAATGGATGTTCTTTTTTTTTAATCACTCCTCATTTTTTAGTTAAAATAGTTAGCGAGATAAGGTTGCGATATTTACATAATAATATATATATAAATTTATATGTATAGATAAAGATAATGATTAATATCATTTTAGTAAGAGTAAAAAAAGTTAAGATTCTACGTTAAAGATCTTTTAGTAGTGCAATGAAGACATAACCAGTTTTTATCAATATTAGAGGTGAAGACTCTATAGAAAAACAAAATGTCCGACTTACGCTGTGTATATAACCACATTGTTCGTCCGATATTGGCGTGATTCGAGATCACTGTCACTGCAGCAAGCATGGATCAGCAATTCACCAAGGTTCGATATGTATTTATAGCTATTTCTATGAAATAAATTCATATTTTATTTATTAGATGAATTTAAATGGTTGAATAATATTTTTCAGAGCGTGTATAGGAAGAAATTTGAAGTTCTTAACAAACTATGTCCTAAATTTTGCCGAGCAGAATGTGAAAGTTCAACCAAGGTGATTCTTGATTAAAATGCAATATTAAAAAGATAAAAAGGCACAAGCTTTGTATAAGATTTTCTCTAATATAATATAAATTTATATTTTAGAACATTGCCTTCCTTAGACGAGCCGATCCAGAGAAATTAAGAACTGTCTTTGATAAGGTCAGTTTACGAATCGAGGGGGGGGGAGGGAGTTAATAGTCGTCTAGTAGGCTTAGAATTGTATACATTCAAAATAATTCACAATCAATAAATGGCGATCTCATAAAATTTGGTTCTTTTCCAGTATGCTTCGCAAGAAAACAGGCATAGTGAAAAATTTATGACAGGAGAAGATTTCCTAATAAAATACTTAGGAGTTGTCAATGGATCTGATCTAAATCAGAAAACTATAAATATACTATCTTCCTGTGCCGATACTACAAAAGATGGGTGAGCTTAAAAGGCTTAAAAGATTAATTTTTGTATTTTCGAATTTACTAAATCGCATACAGTAGACTTATTCATTGACCCATCAAACATTGGCCTTTGTAGCAATTTATGTACTTTTTTTTAAGTTGAACATTAAACGAATGCGAACCTTTATCCCCAACAGTCTTATCTCCTTTGTGGAATTTCAAGCTTTCGAAGCTTTGCTATGTTCACCAGCAGCAATGTATGAATTGGCTTTCCAGTTGTTCGATACTAATGGAAGTGGCTTTGTTACATTTGGTAAGGGAATTATTCAGTCATTTTTTCCCCTTATTAAAGCTAACAACCAAACTAATGGTTTCAGACGAATTTAAAGACGTAATAAGTCATACAACCATTCATAAGAGAATTCCATTCGATTTTGATTCTGAATTTATTAGGCTACATTTTGGAACGGATAAGAAGAGAAATGTTAGCTTCTCTGAATTTTCCCAATTATTACACGTAAGTAGACATATCAATAATGTTTTATACTTTAATTATCTAATTAAATAAATTTAATAGGACTTTCACGAAGAGCATGCTATTCAAGCTTTTAGAAAGTTAGATAAGGATAAACGGGGTTATATTACAACTCTTGAGTTTCGTGAGATAATGACTTTACTAAAACCTCATCTTTTAACTGATTTTGTCAGAGAGAACTTGGTTCACGTAAGTATTTATATTTCATAAGTATTATGTTGTAAAAATTTTGATATTTAAAGTTGGCTGGAGGCGAGAGATCTCATCAAGTAACCTTTCAATATTTTACGGCTTTTGTTTCATTGCTAAACAATATGGAATTGGTTAAGAGAATACACGATTTTATCAGTAAGGGATACTCTTCGACCGAAATAACTAAAGGTTAATTGTTTATAATTTTATTGTATACCATTTACCCATGGGGAATATTTTATATCGTTCCAGAGGAATATTTACATGAAGCTCAAAAGTATACCCAACTGACTCCTATGGAAATTGATATACTCTTTCAACTTACTGATGTATTACACCAAACAGGGTAAGAATTAAAGTTTATTTTCAATTGTTTTCTTCCTTTTGAAGCGTTCCTTTTTTTATCTTTCTTATTCTTCTTTCTTCAATTGTCTTTCTATTTCTATCAATTTCAGAATAGGATTAAGAAAAAGGCATAAATAAAGTTTTATCTTTTGATTCTGCCTTGATTAAAGTAATTATCAAATTAGCGCTTCATTAATTTTACAAGTAGGAACTTCAATAAAACGTTCCTTTTATCAAGCGTGATAAAGTATCTACTATTGCATCATTTCTGAAAGTTATTGATACTGACCACTTCAAAAATAGTAATTTATTGATTATATGCATAATGATTATATACTTTATCAGTAAAATTCACACTACTCTATCTTATTTGCTGTTTTTATTTTGATTTTAGAAAAATATCAATGGCTGATCTGGAAGTGTTTGCTCCTCTGACAGAAGAAAGAATGCCTCACACTATTATAGCCACACATATGGCAGTATGTAACAGCTAACATTTGATTAAATTAAACAGTTCATAGTTCCAAATACAATTTACTAGGAAAAGGTGCAAGATTTGGCAGCGGGAACTGGACGAAATGTTATGATACAAGTACTGGAAAATTGTTACCGTTTCGGATTAGGAGCAATAGCCGGAGGTAATACAACAATTTAACATTGACTAGACAAAATTTAAATTGTTTTCTTTGTATTTGTACAGCAACTGGTGCTACGACAGTATATCCAATAGATTTGGTTAAAACTCGTATGCAAAATCAACGCTCCCTATCTGTTATTGGAGAATTGATGTACAAAAATAGGTAAAATATTATACTATATTTTTTATAAATTAACAAAAACAAGATAATTTCTAATTCTAAATTTGTAATAATTTGTTTTCGAAAATAGTTTCGATTGCTTCAAAAAGGTTATAAGACACGAAGGAGTTTTAGGTCTGTATCGTGGTCTACCTCCTCAGTTGGTGGGTGTAGCTCCAGAAAAAGCTATCAAACTTACTGTAAGATATTTTTTTTATGTCTCCATATATTACTTATATCTCTTTCTTATTACTTGTAGGTTAATGACTTAATGCGGGATAAACTTAGCAACAAAAATGGCGGTCTTCCTCTGTGGGCTGAGTGTGTTAGTGGTGGAACAGTTAGTAAACATTATTGTCTTTTGAGGTATAAAAAGTCATTTATACAATTTACTCGTCTTTTTCCCCAATTAGGCTGGTGGCTGTCAAGTTTTGTTTACGAATCCTTTAGAAATAGTGAAAATTCGATTACAAGTTGCTGGAGAAGTTACGGCGGCTGTTGCCAAAAAAGAATCAGCCATTTCGGTTGTCAGAGACTTAGGATTACTTGGTTTATACAAGGTACTATAAAAAGTCTTAATAAAAATATTTTCTTCATTTTTAAACTCTTCTTTTAAAAAAAGGGGGCACGTGCATGTTTACTTCGTGATATACCATTCTCAGCAATCTACTTTCCTGCTTATGCTCATATGAAAAATTTTACGGCTGATTCTAAAGGATACAACTCACCGGTATCTTTACTTGTATCAGCCACAATAGCCGGTATGTTTTACATCATGATAATCCAATTAGAGAAAATTTTCAACGAACCTTGCCCCAATTAGGTGCACCAGCGGCATCTTTAACCACACCTGCTGATGTAATAAAGACTAGGTTACAGGTTGTAGCCAGGGAAGGTCAAACAACCTATAGCGGTCTCTTTGACTGCGCGGGTAAAATTTATAGAGAAGAAGGGTTCAGAGCGTTTTGGAAAGGAGCTGGCGGTAATTTTTTTATATAAATTTTTACAATAAACACTTATTAAAATGTACGCTATAAAATGTTTCTAGCCCGAGTTTTAAGGTCATCACCTCAATTTGGCGTAACGCTAATGGCTTACGAGTTACTACAAAGATTCTTCTATGTTGATTTCGGTGGAAGGTAATACATATACTAAAATTTTTTGCTATTTTATGATTAATATAATTTATGTAATGTGTATTTTTTTAGACGACCGGCTGGATCTGAACTCAAACCGTCGGCAGAAGAGAGATTACCAGAGAATCCAGATCATATAGGTGGTTTTAGGGTTGCGTGTGCAACATTTGAAGGAATCGAAACAAAGTTTGGCATCTCTTTCCCCAAATTTAAGAATGGACTGATATAAGAAAATATATGAGAGAATTCTGCAATATGCTATTGTGATAGCTCTTAAATAATATCTTGACTGATCATTTTATTTAATATTCATTTTGCAGTGGAATTTTAATATTTATAAAACATACCTGCATTCTACAAGTTTTTATATAGCTATATTTTGCTTACTTATTTTTGCAACTTGGCAAAACAGAGTAAAAGTAATTGAAAAGAATGCCGTATAGTATTTTTTTTTTGCAGTGCTTATGTTTTCATGATTAGCAAGAGTTATTATTAAACATGTCTTTTTTTTCCCAAATGTAAAAGCTATATCTTTTAAGCTATTTATTAAAATATTTTTATGCGCACTATTTATCGTATAATGGTTAATTTTGTAACAAATTTAAAGACACTTACTCAATAATAATTTAAAATGGAGCATTTATTTTTTCGGATTTATCGTAAATTTTTCTATAGAAAAGATTGATTTCTTTTATCAGTAAAATAAAAAAGTTATAAACCCTAACAAAGCTGACTAATATTTTTTTGTAATTGAGAATATCATTACGACAATATAGATGAAGCATTTCGTTTTGCCGCCAATTAACTATCAACGAACGTATCGAATTTTCAACCAATTATCTTTCGATTAATTTTTTGTGCTCAGGCCTACTGATACTGCAGCCGAGATTTTCTTTGTTGAAAAGCGGCACCTTTAGTCTATTATAATTGACGGTTATCAAAGCAAACTATAGATCATTCTATATTCTACAATATGAATACAGATGACCACATGTATAATGACAGACAAGAGGATTATTTCTCTCGTTTGGACGGTAGGAGGGTAGAAAAGGATAATCTTCCGGAGAAAATGTATTATGTTCTTAAAAACATTGAAGAAAAAAGTCGATGTTATTTCGAATATGTTAAAATCGGAACTGATTTGACTTTTAATCCTGGCTTACCTTGCAGTAAAATCGGAAAAGTTCTCTATTATCGCCAAACTAACATGAGTTACTTTTTTGTCAGGCTTAAGGGATTATGACAGAATGAGAAATAGTTGTGAAGATGTAAGTTACAAACGTCAAGCGGGAGTTTACATGGACATGGTTGAAAACGTCTTAAATGGCATTCATGACTTTAATATAGCTCAGCAGGATGTAGGAAATTTAATATTTATTTAATTAACACAAGTTCCTTTGCTTTCTTAACTAAATATCTTGGTGTTCACTTATAGATAATGAAAAAAACTGCTCCTGAGATTCCACAAAAACAGAAAGATGTAAATATTGACCGTAAAGTGACCTATGTAGAGAAAAAAAGGAAAATTCTAATAAAGCAGGAAAGACAAGTGCTAGAGAAAAAGGTTCAAGATTACGGCGAGAAATGTCAGGAGACTGGAGATAATCTATTTCTAGATATTTCGGATCATACGTATTGCAAAGGCAAATAATTATGATACTTTCTTTTATTAATGTTATGTAATTAATTATTAATATTGTCCTAAGGGAATCTATGTTATCTATTGGATGAAGATTTTGTGATGATTAAAGAAAAGCTAATAGATCCAGAAATAACTAACGATAAAAATGCGTTCATCCCTGTAAGAGTAGCTGCAACTATGATGAATTTTAATGAGTGGTGCAATCAAGTGTACTCTATTCCAGAGGTAGGTTTTAACGAATTTTGATTTTGAAAATATACAATATGCCGTATATAGTATATTAATAATTTTATAAGTTCTTTATGCAATCGTAAACTGCAGATGATAACAGTAAAAATCTTGGGTCATCTCCAAGCCCATATAAACTATGATAGTTTGTAATATACGACAATGATAAGTCAAATTTCGGATCAGCGAACGCAGCTTGACCTCCAGTTCCTGGATGTCCGAATATTAATCCTCCCTTTAAAACAATAAATTAAAATTAAAACATATTTTATATTGCAGGAAACTAATACTACATGAGGAGCTTTTATCAAGAAATATCCATAAGATATCTGACTGGGTTCGATATCCACAATGATGTTTCGTCCTTTGACTAGTGGCTTGTTCAAATCTTTCGCAAATTCTTTATTAAGAATTTCACCGGATAGAATAAGTGAATAAAATTTAGCTAAGGTCTGAGCATTGCTAAACCCCATTAGGGAACCATCTGGTATAGCTCTATTGTATGGATTATTTAACCAGTAGCTCTATTAAGATAACCGTAATCATGTTATTGTAAAATAAAATAAAAAATAATTAACTCAAACCTGTAAATATTCAATTGGATTAGTTAAAGCGGCGTTCGTTAATGACCCTGGTTTAATTAAGTTAAGAAATATGCTTAAATATTTCCTTCCTGTTGTGAACATGTCAAGGTTAGGTATATTGACCTAAGAAGAAAAATTTAAAAGAATACATATATATATATATATATGTATGTATATATATTAGTGATATATATACAGCATATATCTATACCTCGTAAAATTTCGCTGTTCGATAATTTTCAGTCAGAGGTAAACCCAAGTACAAATCTAACTGATAAGGGAAGGAGAACTCCTCTGCTACGTAGTCACTTAAGGATCTATGACTTAAGTCAACTCTTCTAACTATATTATCAACTAATACTCCAGTTGTTAAGCCATGATATCCAATTTTAGTACCAGCTGGCCAAGATGGTTTTTGCTCAGCAAAAATTTCAGATACTTTCGTATAGTTTTCAAGCAAGTCTTTAGGATCCCAAGTTTTCTCTATAATTGCCATTCCTGCCTGGAAATTAAGTATTTAACATAAAAAAGTATATAATTAGGAATTATAAAAGATCTTGATTCGCATCACAAACTCGTTTTCATCAATAAGATGTCATGAGGTGCTTACTGTATGCGTAAGTAGATGCTTGATGGTAATATTAGATTTTCCATTCTGAGAAAACTCTGGCCAGTACTTAGAAATAGGTTGATCATAATCTAATAATCCTTTGGATTGTAGATGGTTTAAAGCTGTCATTGCTACTCCTTTCGTGCTTGAAAATACTTGGGTAATCGTATCAAATGTCCAAGGATTTCGAGTTTCTTTGTCAGCATAGCCTCCAACTAAATTTACAATTAGCTTGCCTTTATGATATGCAGCAAAGTTTGCACCTTGAATATTCCCATTTTTAACTTCATTTCTGTGAATAAAGGAAATCACAGAATATTCTTTAGGAAATTTTCAAAAATAGGTATACTACATGAAGATTTCCGCTACTTTCTCGAACCCAGGCTCCGTAAAGATATGATAATTTAGTGGTGGATTATTAGTAGGTCGGAAGATAGCAAATATTGCAACAATTACTCCTAAGATACCTAACAATACGTTAATTTTTGACATGCTAGATATTATTAGTACTGAATATGGACACCGTGTTATGAGAAGAGGGAATCTTTTTCGTAAGCTTCAATATTCAATGTCTAGGCCATAGTAAAGTTGTGGAACTTTGGAAATTTATTCAAATTTAGCTGTTAATAAAATAATTTGCTCAACTAAACTAAGAGATCTAATTAAGGTTGGTCAGATGAAATATATATTCTTATAAGAATATTTTAAACAATGAACATTATATTTAATTTTTACTTAACCTGCAAATCTGATAATAAATATACAGGTTAATAGTTTAAAAATTATTAATCGCCGATTTAATCGCGTGATATTGTCCTAAATCATACGATTTAATAAATTTACGTCACATACATCAGAATTCCAAAGCGACTTCTGAATTCAGACCGTCTTCATCCTCGCTGAGCTCAATATGCAAATGAGGTTGGAAATAAACAGCACCCAAATTTGAATTTGTGGTTGGAGCGCTGAACAGTGTAACTTTGTATTCACATAAATAATTCGAGCACTTGTTCGAATTAATGAACTAATTTTTGTAGTCGTTTATCAAAGTTTAAACGACACCTATTAAAAAGTAAAAAAGACGTGGAGTTTTGCACGACCATTTCTCCTAACCTGTTGTTCTTACTACAACGATTCGTTTACTTGCAGTAATATGCGTGCTGTTATCAGAATCGCGCTGCTTACTCTATTAGTCGCTGTGCTGATTCCTTCATATGAAACGTCTAAAGAAGAATCAAATAAAGATGTAGAACATACAACTATAATCTTAATAGGAGCTACTGGAGATCTTTCTAAAAAATATCTATGGAAGTCTTTCTATGCGTTGTTTACCGATCGTTATTTAGCTGGAAAGCGTCATTTTTCGTTCTACGGAGCTGGGTTATCACCCATTGAGCAAGGTCGAACAAAATTGAGTGAAATTCTTTTAAACGTCGTTAGATGTTTCGATGAAAAATGTCGTGAGAGGAAGAAAAAGTTTATAGAATCAACTCAATACGTTCAATTAAAGACAAGGGAACATTACGAAACAATAGGTAAAAGGTTAGTATTATTTATTCGATTTTCTTTGTGTTTCTCCCTTCCAAAATTAAATCAAGTGTTATTACTATTTTCTTAGAATCACGGAAAATATTCAAACGTATTACGCAATAGATGACCCAGAAAGGAGTGTTGAATTTGGCAGAATCATTTATATGGCTATTCCTCCAAGCGCTTACAGAATAACAGCAGAATTAGCAAATCGATACCTCCGCCCAACTGTTGGTCGACCTTGGTTTAGGTTCTTGTCTTTATAGATTTTCCTTTCACTTTATGATTAATAATAATATAGGGAATATTTTCTATAGAGTTGTACTGGAAAAACCTTTTGGAAGAGACTTGAAAAGTGCGGAAAGATTATCGAAAGATTTAGCAAGTTATTTTAAAGAGGAGGAAATTTATAGAATAGACCACTACTTGGGAAAATCCATATCAAATTTGATACTACCCTTTAGGATTATTCATAAAAATTCTTTTGAATCATTCTGGAATAATAAATTTATTGAAAGAGTTGAAATATCTTCAATGGAAGAGTTAGACGTTAAAGGAAGAACTCAATTCTACGACGAAGTTGGAGTTTTTCGCGATATGTTTCAAAATCATCTTACAGAACTTTTAGTCCTTATTGCAATGAAACTACCCAAAGATTCTTCAAGTATTAAAACATTGACGGAATCTAAATATAACGTTTTAAAAAGTATAAACAAAATCCGAAAAAAGCACGTTGTTCAAGGTCAATATGCTCAGTTTAATGAACAATTAATCAATGAAAAAACAAGGACCGCTGGCAACGAAAGCTCTATGCCGACGTTTGGTTCTTCTGTTTTGTATTTAAATGATCCCAGATGGTCTGGCGTACCATTTATATTATCAAGTGGAAAAAGCTTTCCTGAAAAATCAAGTTATATACGCTTAATTTTTAAATTAAACGATGCCTGTCTTGTTAATGATAACTTGTGTGGAAAACGAAAAGAAGTTATCTTTTATTTAGGAGGCTCCAGTATTTTAATGCCTCCTTGTATTATTATTGGTGGTGATTTTCCTACTATTGAATCGTCTTCTAAGTGGAAACTGGAGCATGTACCGGGTAATTGGACATTTATGGGATGGAACATTTCATCTGTACAAGTTCTTCAGCCAGAAGAAATACGAGACGCCTATACAATTTTAGTTCGAGCACTATTCGATGGCAATCGACATATGTTTGTTGATACACCAAGACTATTGGAATCCTGGAAAGTTTGGACACCGATTATTGAGGAGATGGAGAAAGAATTGCCAAGGATTTATGAAAAATCAAAACCTAAACTAGTCAACTTGAAATTGACGCCCAACGGCGGCTTAGATTACAAATATTTCCCGAAAATCATCAAATTTAATGAAAATGATGAATTGGATACAAATACTTTTAGAAACTCTCTCTTAATTAGACGATCACACGAAGAGCTAGTTCTGAGTTTGGCCAATGATATTGAAGAAACTATGGTTGAAAGAATTGATTTGACAGGAGCTTTTCATTTGGTTTTGTCTGGTGGCTCTTCTCCTATACCGTTGTTGGAAGAGCTTTCCTCTAGAGCATCATTACCTTGGAGGCAAGTGCATATTTGGTTTGCTGACGAAAGATGCGATGAGAGTAATTTTAAGATGATAAATGAGAATTTATTGAAGAATGTAGCCATTGATGTAGCTAATGTTCATAGAGTTCCAATTTATCTATTTGATGAGGAGGAATGTTTCGAAAGTGCAAGATTATACAACGAATTAATAAAAAAGAACATTAGGAGTGGACACTTCGATTACATTGTTCTAGGCCTAGGTAATGATGGCCATACGGCATCCCTCTTCCCATTCGATAATCAATCCTTAGACGAAAGGGAGGCTTACGCATTATTCACGAATAAAGGACCAGTAGATGGCGTTCAAAATAGAATTTCATTAACTTTCAAGGCTATCAATTTAGGTAGAAGGGTAGCTGTATTTGTTGCCGGCAAGTCAAAAAGAGAAATAATGCAAAAATTGAAAACTGATGATATGCAAATATTAGAAAAACCTATTGTTGGGGTACAAACCAATAATTTAACTTGGTTTGTCGATAATGAAGCAATGTAAAGTTATTTCCTATGAAAAACAAAGAAATTCAACTTGAAAGGAAATTTTACTACTTACTTATTTTTTTTATATAAACTACATGGTATGCTCTACATAATTACACTTATATATTGTATATACTTAATAAACTAATATGAAAGTATTAGATGTGCTGTTTACTGGTATCTCTTTTTATATTTCGCTTAGGCAAGTAAAGCGTATTAATTTAATAGATATGGTGAGTGTAGTGAATCGCAAAATAACACGAACGCTTTTCTCAATTGCAACTTTACAAAGACAAATTTATTCCATTAAAGTTAAAAACTTGAAATCAATGACAAATGAACATCTTACTAATAATAAAAGAAAGTTTCTTTACCTTTATCTTGTTCTATTTATTTATATGTTGTACTATTCAAAAGGTTTTTGAGAGACTATTTACGTTCCCTTTTCGGGGGACGGAAGTCAACACTTCGGTGCTCCTTATAATCTGGCTCTTTATTATGAACAGTTCTAAAAATATATATTTATATATATAATGACTGTATAATGAAAGACATAATTAATAAATTGGCTCTTTTTCCCTCTGATTAAACTCTTACTTGAGGCATCTGGAGCAGAAAAGATCGTCTTCGCAATCGATACATTTGTATTTAGCATCTTCGTTACACAGACAGCAGTATGGTAGCTCATCCGGCACGTTCTTTATATTATTATATTTTCATTCGTTTATTAAAATATTTAATAAATTAAAAAAGAAAAAGCGTATTCTCTCTTTGTTACATACCGATTGTGCTCCCGAAAATCCTAGATTTTCCATTTCCTCCAGTTTTGCCTCTTCTAATAACTTGAGTAGTTTCGTATGAAAAATGTTCCTTTCTTGTACAAAAATGTGAAAATTTGGAGAAAGTAATTAATTACCTGTCTAACGATTTTTCTCGCCTCGAGTCTCTCCTCATCCTCAGGTGATTCTTCCTCCGTTGATAGTTTAGGCTGAACGTTTCCTTCTTTCGGGAGTTGATTGCCTCGAGCCTCATTATCGGATTTTGTATTGCTCTTTCTTCTAATTAATTGCCTTAGTCGTTGGAAGAGCGATTTATCCTTTTTCAAATTATCCATACTTTTTGTGGAGTCCATTTGTAATTCGAAAGCCTTTCGACAAGTTTAAGATAATTAACTTTCTACTCTTTCGTATAGTTAAATTGGGAAAAAAATGTACAAAAACTAACGACGTTTTTTATCAAATCTTCTACGTCATTTCCAGAATGACGTTTAATAGGTTCCTCAGGATTACTACTTTCGCTAGTACCAATTTGACTCTCTTTATGAGCTGAAGGAAAAATTCTTTAGATAGAGTTTTTCAACTCTTCTAAGGAGTGTATACTGACTAGTCGTTGTTTGCTCGCTCTTTAAACTATCCAGGCGTTTTTGTATTTCGTCGGTAGGTGGCAAGAAACGGGCATCTAATTCGACTTCATCATTTATTTCATCTAATAAAGCGTCAACTTGTTCTTGCTGAGTTCTCGTATCTTTCTTCCAAACATGCGGTTTATTAGAATTTTCTTCGGATCTTCCTTGATTCTTTGCTAATCTTGATGCAATTTCATCAGCAGAGGGTAGAGTTTCTAAAGTCCTTATTATTTGTCTTTAAAAAACAAAATTATATGTTTATTAGCTAACTTGTATCAGATTTTCCCTTGTCGCCCTCTTGTAATCTTTTCAATCTTTGCGCTATTTCCATATCTTTTCCTTTTAATCCTTTCATATAGTCTGGTTCATGCGTTATGTTTGATTTAACGATAGGTCCCTGTAAGTTCTTTGGTTTTAGTTTTCCCTCATTCCACAACGTTTCCCTCCTAACGGTGGTCAGTAAAAATGTATATAAGAATTATAAACAGTTAGGTTATTCATTGACAATTTACTTTTGTAGGGCTTCCGGTGGTGTTCTACGACCGTCATCCTCTTTAATTAAGCTGTGTGTTTTTGTTTATAATTTTATGTTACTTAAATATGGTTTTTTAATCATTTTTTAATATACCCCTTAATGATGTTGTAGCATTTCCGGCAAACTGATACCTTACTCTTTCCCTCATAATCTGTACTCTCAACGCATTTCGAGCAGTATATTTGCCGACATTTACCACATGATACCTAGTCATAAAATAAAACCGGGAACTAGATATTGAATTGATTAACCAACGAAATTAACCTCTTTTCGCCGCCAAGAGAAGCCTTCTCCACATCGAATACACGAATTAGGCATTTAAAATATTTTTCAAATCAAGAAACTTGTTAGCTTTACATTAAAATAATTTAAGAAGCCTCAAATTAGACCGCTCATCAAGATGTCGTAGTCAACTGACCTTGACCCTTAGTTCTATTTTGCAACTTCCGGTGAAACCTTATGCGATGCAATCTTTCTCTTTGCATTCGATCTAAATCCTTTCTTCCAACGAGTAAAGTGCTTTAAAGTACAAGTTAAAAGTATATAAGATGAGATGCAATATTACAGCGCTTGCGAGATATATAATTATTCAAAAATAAGAGTAAAACTTGTCCGTCAATCAAGCAACCTAAAGGCAAGTTTTTAGTTGCGGCACATTCTTTTTAGAGAAAGCATTTCGAAAGGTAACAAATTAATTAGAGAAACTAGAATAATATTAACTTTACACATTTTAATTAAAAGAAAACCGGTACACAATTGAATATTTTGCATTGTTATGATCTTTTTTTGTTTACAGTGGTCAACAGTTTTTTTTCGAGTAAAAAAATATAGCGAACATATTTCAAATATGTTAACATCAGTATTTTGCATAAGTTTTAATTAATTCTAATGATTTATCCAGAACATTTTCCAACAAACGAGTCACCATAAAAATTTACATGGCCAGCACAGATGCAGATGATTGTAAACACTATATTGGATCAGTTCAAGATGTCAGGTATAGTTAAGTTACTCTATTTAATTCAATTTCATATCTAATGCCTATAGACAGAGGTGTAGAACAACTGCTGAAGTTGGCGGTAGAAAAGTTACAGTTTTCGCCCTAAAAACATCATTCTACGCTTTAGACGACAAATGCTATCGTAAGTCACTTGTAATAATGGAGAGATATTGTTATTTGAATTTAAATTGCTCACATCCTGATATAGATGCTGGAGGACCATTAGAATTGGGCGATATAGAGGTATTAGTGAAGTTTTGTGTTTACTTAATAAATCATTTATTCTATTTGGTTATAGGAGATAAATAATGATTTATGTATCGTTTGTCCCTGGCATAAATACATAATTAAACTATCAAGCGGAGAAGGAGTTTATCAAGGAATTGATCCAGCTACAAAAAAAACAGAATGGAAGACTAAAGGAGTTAAACAAAGAGTTCATGAAGTTGTTGTCGAAAATGGACATGTCTACGTTAGACTTAATCTTGCTGGCAAATTGGATTGTGATCGTTATTATACGGAAGAGTACAGGAAACTAATGAATGAGGATGTTGTGGACCTAAAATTCGATTTTTCCGATCCAAATACAAAAATTGAATAGTACGACTCTCTTGTTGTTTTCATACCAAGCTTTTAAAATGTTGATGTTGTTATCTTTCGATGTTATCGTTATCGAATCTGCTCTTGTCAGTGTAGTTTTATTTTTTACCTTTGTACTTTAAATTTTAATCTTTTTTTTTAAAAAAAAATACAAAATATTTATTTATACCAAGTCTATTCTGGAAGTGTAACATTTATGGGCTTTTGGTGTCCAGCACTCTTTTGATGAGCTCTTAGTCCGGCTAATTGAGAATAGGCATTCGGGCATTCGCAACATTTGTATGGCTTTTCTCCTAAAAAGGACATTTATTGTTGATTTGTAGTTTTTCTATAGAGTATAAATATACCTGTATGTAATCGAACGTGATTCCTTAACGTTGAACTTTGACTAAAACTCCTTTGACAAAATTGACAAACAAACGGTTTTTCTAATGTATGAATTCGCATATGCGAACGTAGATTACTTCTTGAATTAAATCCTCGTCTACAAACTACGCATCGTAATTTATTAGGCGATTGTATAAGGCAACCAGGTAATGAATTAATTGATATTTTATTTTGAACTGCAGACGGTAAACCCAAAAAAGTAGAATAAGAATTCCCATACCAAGCTAATAGTTCTTCATCCGGTTTTATTGTCTAGAATAAGGGAAGAGATAAAATAAGAAAAGAGAGAGATAATTTTAATAATATGATAATCTTTTGTTTTAGTAATTAATAACATACTCTTATAGCCCTAAAGTATAATTGATTCTCTTTTTGATAAATTTCCAAGTTCTGCTCTCCATCGTATCGAGCGCATTGAATCATGGTTAACCAAACCATATTAAGCGGAGCCGATGAACCGTCCAAGTAGTGACTTAATGAGCCATCACCGCCAAAAATCTGTTTGAAAGGGAAGAAAGTGGATTAAGTCCATAAGTTACTTATATGCTTAAGCATTATGTAGCAAGATGGAATTTAGAACTTTTCTCTCTCTTTCTTTTTTTTCTTACCTCCCATAAAAAGCGTCCGTCAGATGAGGCGTCGTTTAATTCCCTTTTGTAGCCAGGAAAAGGACCAATATCTGCCATAAAATGGATAACTTCGGTCGAAAAGGCTCCTAATCTCCCGTGATAGGCTCCCGATGGTAGTAGTCTTATAGCCGGGGGCGTCGGCGTGTGGGCTATGAATTAAAAAAAAAAGGTGAGGAGGGGTAGGGGGAGGGGGCGAGGGAAAGAGGTTAGGCGGATAAGAAGATTTTTTTCTTTAAAAAAAAAAAATACTACAAGTAAACAACAAGAAAATAAAGAAAAGAGGGCTATTTTAAGGGATTAGCTCCACATTTAAATAAAGTAGGATAAAGGAAAGAAAAACCTCATAAATGAAAGTTGAAGAACGAAGTGCGCGAACAGATTGTTCGAACGGGCGACGTTAAATGAGGCGCGATATAAGTTTGGTGTCAGCATTGAAACGCTTTAAATGAAGCGTTAAAATCTACGTCGGGACGCGTGTTTCATTGTTATATGGACTTTTTTCTATAAGAAAAAAGTTCAACGAAAAAAAACCGAGTTACACGAGACAATTTCAATAGAGCCGCCTTTTTAGACGATAAGCGGCGGCGTCTCTTTACTTATAAATGCCGGTTTCGTGACCAATTTATATTTTTATCGTATTTATTCAATCGTAAAAAGAAATGTAGAAGAAGAAATATATACAATTTACATTCCAATTGTTAATTTCTTTTTTTAAATAGGCCTAGAAAGAATTCGAATGCCAACTCTCCTTATTCAAATCTTATTAATCTTGTAAATCATTAAAAAGTATAAGGGAAAAGAGTGAATGACCTAAATATAAGTTTTTAATTTAAATTTCTAATTAATATAATTAGATAGGCTATTATTCTATTTTCTTATTCAGCGAGCTACTTTTGTTCTTAATTAAGCATTGAAATCGTTCTAAAAGAATTTCATTTTGTTCCTTATCATTATCAGTTTTCTATGAATACGTGATATATAATTAACTCGATTAAATCGACAAAGCGGTTCTTTATTGTTCCGAGGCGTCAAATTAGGGACATGAAAACTTTAATTAGAAAAAGAAAGAAAGGAAGGAAGGAAGAAAGAATATTATGAATATTTTAATATTTATGAATAAATTAAATTATAATTAATTAATTCAACTTACCAATAAGCCTTACTAAATGATTTGTTATATTTCTATCTGTTGGTATCTTTCCGTATAGGCACATTTTCAATACATCTTCTGAGATTTCTACCTTCTTTTCAGTTGTCTTTAGAACTTCCTCCTTAGAACTTTGAGCCGATTGGGACAACGCTGTTAATTTCATTTGAAAGGATGTTTGTTCCAATTGGAAACCGTTTAATGGAATATGCTGCATCTCTCCTTTCTTCTCTATAACTTTTTTCTCTCTAAGAAAACTAATAATTAGTCTTTCTTTTCACCAATAGAAAATGAAATTAAATATAAAAAAAGTAACGCCCTATCGCTATTAAACGAATTATAAAGAAATTGAAGAAGTGTTTTCAACCAATCAGCGTTCAATTTCTATTTTCCCATGCATTTTGACCTCAAAAGTAGGTGGGGTGAATGGAAAATGTAGGAGGAGCTTACTTTTAATTTCATTCTTATGTATAATGTATAATATATGCATTTATAATAACGTTTATGAATATATTAGTACTTAATAATCCTTTAAACATCCATTTTGTATAGTTATAATAATAATTTCAATGGAATGAAACTTGGAGTAATTAGAGAAATAAAGGGCATTGATCGTATCCATACGAGGCTAGAATTGGGCCTTAAAGAGTACAAATTAAAAATAAAGAGTAAGCGTTCATTGTTATTGGAAAGTCGGAAAATGTATATGTAAATAATACTCTTCTATGAGGTTAGAAAGAGAAGAGAAGAGAAGAGAGGAGAGAGAGACGCAGAGAACTTTTAATAAAAAGTTGGAAGTTTGTACATGGAAAAAAATGAAATCGTATAGAGAAAATTTTACGGTTGTATACAATGTTTTTTCGAGGTTAAGTAACAATAGTATCAGGTCAATAAAGAAAGACTCGTTGAAAGATACAATCAAGCTTGAGCAACCCAACCTTGGAGACAATAAAATGTAGTCTATCTACAATCATTCATTCGATAAATTAAATAATCTACAGATCTTGATTCCAAGATGGAAACTCTAATTTATTGATATTAGATGATGAAACAATCAGTTATTATATATATATATATATATATATATATATATATATATATATATACAGTATAGGTGTATCATTTTGAAATGTCATTAAAGATACTTTGTTCTATACATCAAATGCGGAAGAATCAACTAACCTAATATGTTTATTTATGTACAGCGTTGTATTATAGTTAGTTAAGATTATACTAAAAATAACTGAGATAATCTTAAAGTATGTACGATAGGCAAATGTTAATGATTCGCATTGATAAAGAATTGAGAAGGTTAAGGAGTTATCCTTACAATATATAAATATTCGAAAAGGGATTATACTGTCAGAGAAGATATTCAAGTTGTAGATAGTGTCTACATGATGGGATTATTATATTTTACTATAAGATTGTCAAGATCGTTTTCTTTGTTCCTTACTTCTTTAAGGTTAAAATTAGAGTATTAAAAGATTGTATTAATTATATTAATATATTTTAAATATATCATTTAGACTAAGAATCAATTTCGCGAATTTTCGCGAATTTTACAATTTATTAATAAATAAGCATATCTTATTTTATAGTTAATATTAATCACGATTCTTTTCTTGGTGTTTTTCTCCTTTCCTATTCTCTTTCGTATTCTTAACCCTTTGCTATTATATCTATTGTACCAGTTGTTCCGTTTAAACGTAGTCTATCACCTATTTTTAAAGGAATGGAGCATGTTTTCATATATTTTTTTATTTGAAAGTTTTAATGTTAATGTACCGGTTTTAATAATCTTTGTTGCCCTTTCAACGGCTACGATGCAGGGTAACCCGTATTCTCTGGCAACAACAGCCCCGTGCGATATAGTTCCACCGATTTCTGTATAGATAACATATTTCATTTTCTTTAACAATTTTATATAAAAACAATACTAACCAGTTATTAAACCAGATATTAATGGGAAGTAAGGGGACCATCCTACATCAGTATAAGGTACCACTAATATATCTCCGTTTGCAATCGTTTTGGCTTCCATAATGCTTCTTACCACTTTGGCGTCACCCTCAATAAAACCTTGAGATACTGGCATTCCTATAGTGAAATGGGCAATATGTGTCATCTCTTATAAAGTAAACGGTAAACTGAGGTAAGAAATAATCAACCTTTAAGTTGCTCTTTTGATTGATAGGATAGCGATTCATCTTCTTCCGGATCAATCTAGAAATTAGTAAGTGCATGGTGAAGACAAATAGTTAGGAAAAATTGTCGGAAAGGTTATACTATACCGGAATAGGTTTACCAGCATTCATCTTATTAAATTTTGATTTTTGGAAATTAGGGAAATATCTTTTTCGTCTCTTCACCCTGTTGAAGGAAAATCAAATAGTTAGTTGATAGAAATTTAATTGTCAAGATCCATATTAGAGAATAGAGGAAGAAAGAAAGAAAGAGAGAGAGAAAGAAAGAGAGAGAGAGAGAGAGAGAGAGAGAGAGAGAATTCAATAGGAAAGAGAAATAAGAGAAAGAGGGTAATAGTAAATATACATACAATGATAAGAGTCTACCAGACCGATTTTTAATCATTTCACCTATTTCGTCGTGAGTGAAAAAGAACAATAGTTCTTCTTCTGGTATAAAACCTTCTTTAACCATTATACTTGCTAATCGCCAGTAAGCTTGTTTGAACTCATCGTGTATTTTAACGGCCATAGATTTTCCCTCTTCTCTTACGCCTACACCATTTTTAGCTTTTGGTAGAACTATCTTTAATATTAATCTGTATTAAATAGTATAAATAATTAGAAATTTCAATCCTATTGTACATTTAATTGGTATGTTTATCATTTTTCAATAATAACCTGGTTATTATATTCAATTTAGTCGACTTAATTTGATCGATTGATTCGTTTATGCCTAAGCCTTTATTGGATGGTTTTTCCTTTATTGGAGTTTGAAGCATTGTCTAAAATTGAAATTCTATAGAATGTACACATATTTTAAAAGGATGCTGGTAGGAGAATATTACTTGTAGTATGCTAATTATCTTTTCGTTATCGATTTTCCACGATTTTTCCATCATTTCGGCCTATATACAGAATATTTATACAGTAATTTTTCAAGAATTTGAATGATGTTTATTAGTACAAACCTCTCTAATACAACGATGACCGTGTCTTTCAATAAAGTCTTTAAATAGATTGTTGATATCGGTATTTTCTGGTCTTTGAAACCAATTATAAGCATCCTATTAAATATAAAGTAAGAATGTTTATCACGTCTTAATAGATAAACCTAAAACAGATGGGAGTTTACTTGAGGAGAGAGAGATATGAACTTTAATCTTCTTTTGTCATCTTTCGATATACAAGATGCTAAATGTTGAATAGCCTCGGGAACGCTTGCTGAATAGACGTTCTCGCAATTGGAAAGTAACATAGCCATGTCGCTATAGTGTTCCGATTTCCAATCTTGTAGATGGGAATAAGAAGGTGTTATTTGTATTGTTACAAATTTTCTATTTACCTGGAATTCCTTGAGATAAAATACTCATTATAATTTGACTCCATGAACTTCCTCTTGCTGAATTGATAAGAGTCATTCTCCAAACTTCGTTCAATTCGTATTTCTTTTTATTGATTTCTTCCCAAAGTTCTTTAGATGATGTTAAGTTATTTCCAACTTTGAAAGACTTTTCTCTCTTCGCCCATTCTTTCATACGTTTCTCTTGTCTTCTAAACTCCATAAGATAAGTGAAAACGTGATAAATCCTTTTAAACGTAGAGATCTTTGGCCAAAAATTAAATAAAGACTCTTCCGATATGAGATCGTCTAATGTTTGTCCAGCTATAGCTAACTCCGAAAATCGTTTATCTGCAATTTGAACTCTTACGCAGAGACCTTCCATTGCCTAACATTATATATTTGTTTTGTTTAATTGTTTGCTAATGCAGTATATAGAAAAGTAACTAACGTGTAAATTAATAAATAAGTGATTATTGGAGACGCCCATAAATCTTCCGTTAATGTGAATTTTATCTACGACGCCTATTGATTTAAACCATTGACAAAATGTATAATCGAGAGCATGAGAAAATGTTGATACTGTTAAAGGGGTTATTGCTCCGGGTAACATTTCTCCAATATTTGCTGTTGTCATTATTTCCGAACTGGAAAGTGTAGCTGTATCAAATTCATGTTTTAAATGTTCATCGGGTATTGATTCTCCGGTTGTAACAGGCCTAGCTTGGAGTAGGAATATTTCGCCATTGAAAATTGCCCATTCAACGTCTCTTGGAGATCCGAAACGTTTTTCCAAGAAGATTCCAATTTCTGCAAGTCTCAATACATCTTTTTCACTTAAGCAAGCAAGCTTCTCCTTATTATCAGTATCGTTAACTATTTCTTCAATCCCGCCAGAGTCCTCTACAAGAGAGCAAAAACCCCTACATAATTGATTTTAACAAATGATGATAAAAATAACCCACCTTTCATTTGGATAGATGCCTTCTTTTCTCCGATAACAATTTCATCTATGGATAACTCGTCTGTATAGCCTCTTTTTACCCGAATAACATCCGGATCAGACGATCCAGAAACAACTGACTATAATGAAAAGATGGGATAAAAACTTGAATTTATTTTGACAAAAAAAGAAGACAGTCGTACTTCTCCTAGACCGAAATTTCCACTAATAGTCATGAAACAGGGCGAATGAGTTACGGCATCTCTTGTGAACATTACACCAGCACTCTCTGCTGGTACCATTTCTTGAACAACAACAGCCATAGATTGAACTATTTCTTGTCCATTTTGTCTATTAAAAATTGAAAATGGCCGCTGTTCTATTTTTATTTTTATAATAAAGAAAAAGACGAACCTTCTATACTGAACTGCAACGAATGAGAAATAAGATGCCCAGCACTTCTTTACTGATTCTATAATCTGAAACGATTTAGTGAGTAAGTAGTATTTGTAACATAAATCTTCTTTTTATTCTATCTCCTACTTCATCATCTGTTTTCATTCCTAAGAAAGTATCCATTTGACCGGCAGCTGACATTTCATCTCCATCTTCCCCAACAGCAGATGATCTAACGGCAACTCTAACTTGGCTTCCTTGAAATGTATCCGTCAATTGGTTTTCAATCTCATCCTTCATTTCAAGAGAAATTTCCGATTGAACGATCAATTCCATAGTTTTTTCACAAGTCATTCTAAGATTTTCCAAATCGTTAATCGAACTAAAAGGAACATACTGTATATATAAATATATATCTAAAATATGTAATATATATACAACCATGCATTTTTCAGCATCTCTAGCTGTTTCTTTAAAATGGAATTTCCATTAAAGTGTTCATTGAAAGCGGTTACAGTAACACAAAATCCTTTTGGTACTTTAAAGCGTTTATCATCTAAAGAGTCCAACAACGCTAATTGCATTCCCTTTCCACCGACAATATTTGATGATTTACAGGAATTATGTTGAAAAGGAACAGTAATATTTCTCTCTTTGTTTATTGCTAATTCTTTTAAAAGTTGAAATTCGGGTTCGTTATTAAATAGATTGCTCTCCGTGTCATTTCTATACATCACTTCAACATTTCCGTAACCTTTTATATCATTTAATGTAAAATCACACATTTTATTTGTCACTTTGGCTATCCTATTTTCTCCGTAATAATAAAGCGTTGTCCCTGTCACCTTTACCGTCAGTTTATAATCTTTGTCCCCTGCTTTAAAGTGTATTGTCCATTCATCTGGCATTTTTCCTTGTTCACCAATTTCCCATATTTCTTTATCGCTCCATGTTATATTGTGTTTTTCAAATCCGTTTGGCATACCAATATGACCTAAAACCCAACTGTTAAGCAAGGAAATGAGTATTTAGTTGTTGTTCATTAATCTTTAAATAAGAAGGCTATTACTTTGTTACCGAGTTTTCTAATGATATAAGTGCAAGGCTTATATAAGTCCCATTTTCAAAGTAGGCGAGATGCATGATATATCGATGGAAATTATTCCAGTCGCGTATTCCTATATTTGTATTTTAAAGGGACAAAGAATATGAATTTATTAGGTTCTTTCCTAATTTAATTTTAGAAGGGAAAAGCTTACCGAAAGAATGATCTCTCATTCCTCGAACGTTTAAGGAAACTATATCTTGATTTTCCTGTTGAAACGTAACAAAAGATTCTCCCCACTGTTCGTAATGAGTTTGGTGGCCACTGTTCAGTGAAATTATACTTATTCGAAACGAAAGGTTTTTTAGATTAAATATATTTATTTACTTTTCCAATTCTTGAAAGAATTCTCGAGACCAGATCTCCCTTGCTATTCCCTGTGCAACCATATTCGGACAAATATCGGTATCATAGTTGTATAAAGAGAATCCAGCCTTCCAAGTGATCCATAGTTTACAGTGAACCAATTCGCCAATAGGTTCGTCGGACGACAGTCTACGTCCCTTTCTCAATAAACCATCGTAATGTATTATCCATTTCTTCATTGGTTCGATACATATAAATCGAAGACCTCCGGCACTGAACATTTTATTGCTTTGCGAACAATTATACAAAGTGGTATCTGGAAAGACGGGAGTCTCAAAGTAACCTTTCCCGGGTATTTCCATTAGAAGACAAATCTCCGCTCTGTTTTGCTGTCTATGTGATACTCTGCAAACGATTCTCGCTCCTTCGCTATTACCGAAGCTTGCGTAGACCGAATCGAAAGAGTTTTTATCACTGGTGAGTGCTTGTGGATGCTCCATCAAATCAGCTGTTTCATGAGAGCTTTTACCATAACCGGAAGACTTTCCAGACTTTTTTCGTGCTCTCAAATACATTAGAAGTTTCAATATCATGACTTTAACGCGGAAAAAGCTGCCTAAAAATGTAAATCAACAATATTAAGTCTATTTTAAAGGTTTGATATTAAAATGAGTGATAATAAGGAACACTAACCGGCTTGAGAATAAAATCCATAAATCTTTGGAGGAGAGCCCTTAAGAATAGCAAATCCACCATACAGCAAAATAGCGGCGAAAAGGTAAATGACAACAAAATACAACATTATTTTTATTGTTTATTTTGTTGTATAAATGAAAAAGTTCCTCTTTAGCTGACTTCTTACAATTGTAAAAAGTCCATAAAACTGATCTGACTTTTATACGGCCTATCTTATCTCCTCTTTAAAAAAATACCTTTATCTGAACTATCAAGTGCAAAAGGACTTTTCAAAAGTACACTTCTTTCAAAGAACATCTCTTACTGTAAAATATTCTTATAACAATTTATATACTTTAATTATTTAGAAGTATGGAAAATTATGATTCTTTGGCAAAGATATTGTCTTATAGTTTAGGGAATTGATTAAAACTTCTTCATATGATTTTCTTATTTTTTCATTAAAATGTCTGCTATCGTATTGATAAAGAAGAAATCTGAAATTTTTCAGATTCTTAACTAGTCGCACTAGTCGTACTATGTTGTCAGGACATCATCTGATAATGTTAACTTGTCGTACGACTATTTTTTTCACGTTAAGCATCTTTCAAGCCTATATATTTATTTGTAGATTTAACAATAATAAGCCGTATGAGAGACAGGGCGGAAGATAAGACTCCATCTAGTGTATGCAATTGGACTTATAAACAGAGATGGATAGAGAAGTGACAATAGAGTTAAAAGTCTAAATTTACAGAGATAGGGAAGAGAATTTTTATGATGATATTCCAGCGACTTTCTCCAGTTCTCAATTCTTATCTCCATTCAATATTCGGTCTAGAATCACCCACAATGTCATCTAAAAGTTCAGCACAGGTATCAACTGCAAAACATCCCTTTGTTTCGACTCTTTAACAGAGGAATCCATCAAGATCATACAATGATCTTATTAGCGGTATCAAAAATACTTAACCGTTCACCTTTAAAACACTTCATTCATAAGAAATTCAATATTTCTCTTGGACGTTTGATGCTAGACAATTTGAAATTCGTTCAAGATATATACTGTATATATATATAAACGAAAGTTACAATAGATTTTTAACCTTCACTATCATTGTTTTTATAAAAAATTCCCCCTCTTTTGCTGTTTTGAAATTGTACTGTAAAACAAAAACAAAAAAAAAAGAGAGAGAGAGAAATCTATTAATCATAGCATGATCAAGCATGTAGCTTAATGGAACAAAAAAACGTTACATACGGGATGATTATAGCTATTTTTCAAACTGTTATAATTCGTGGGTAAACGTCTAGAAATATTGGAAAAGTACTTTTACTAGAATAGAAATATCTGTTCAATGTATAAAATACTATAATAATAAAAATATCCCTTGTTGTCATTGTTATCCATTATTATACATATTTGATATTGCTTATCCGGAAAGCATATTAGAAATGGTTAATTAATATTCCAGTTGAAAAATTAATCGATATTTAATTATTAAAAAGCTTATTCTTTTTTAGTTAAAACATATGTTAATAAATAATTTTTTTTTAATAATACTGCAATTGGTATGGAGACTACGAATAATAAGAACTACAGTTATAGACTGATTTTGCCAAATTGCATTTTTAATCAAGCTAAGGTAGGCCTTTGGTAGAAATATATATATATATATAAGATATATAGAGTATATACGCTATATATGTATTATTCATATACTACGATTGTAAAATAAGTATTAACTATTGCAGTACATGCACTTTTCTATTATTGTTATATACTGTATATCGTACAAATATCAATTTATATTCTTTTGCAAAATACTTACTTTTTCTTGAAAATAGGTTACTTTATTTATTTAATAAAAAACTAAATGGTTCATTTTTTAGGCTATTTGTAAAACATAAATTATATTAAAGATAATAATTGAAGTATCATGGGATTGATTTCTTATAAAAATCTATTTTAAATATTATCTCTTATCTATAGTTTAATTGCTGGTTGTTCAACATTTCCCTTTCATCGTTAGTTTTTGTTTTAAGGAATAAGTCTTGGCCCTATTTTTACTAAGTACGAATAAAATTCAAATAAGACAAAAGATTATGGTAAATTTTAAACATTTAACAGCTTCAGAAAGCTGTATTGTATAGAATGGCGACCGAAGGCTAAAAAGAATCAATTCCTTAGTTACGGCTTGTTTATACCTGGAAAGCGTGTCGTTAATATCGCACTTTTTCAATATAATGATTACTGTAAGTATAGATTAGTTCATGTCATGGGTGGTAACGAGCTGCTGCGGCCGCTAGACAATTTCTCTTTATCAGGTCTTATTAAAAAAAATAACAAGGTAAATGCTTTCTTTTGCAAAATGTATTTGTTTATCATAAAGTAGTGTATACTAGTAAGTACAGCGGTACCATTAAATTATAATAGAAGATAAGTTTGCATTCGACAACCATTGCGCAATAGTATACTTTACAAGGTATATTTTTTCCGAGAACATGGAATATTTATAGAGGTTGCAGTGTTTCATTTGTAACGTTTACAATAGCTAAACTAAAGAAATATATTGAATAGTGATTATTTAATTTTTAACATTTATCAAATTATTCATATGCTCCGTTTACGAAACAAAGTAAATAGTACATGTATATTTACAGAGAAATGTAATTACCAACTTCTTGCATTTTGAAGATACCAGTTTATCTTTTTAATAGTTAAACAAATATATTATAACTATTCAGATGGCATCATTTGTCTTTGAATTCTTTTTAAGATGATATTGGTAAGAATAACGGTTGAGAATAAGATATAATTTGTTATTGGAACGACTAAATAGGTATGGAAATATTTATGAAGGCAAACAACGTACAGTGTAACTGCTACATATTATTTCAACACTCATAAAACCAATAGCGAAATAAGGTTTCTTATTTTAATCGATAACCTTTCGGCGAGTGTTGTTTGTCTGTTTAAGGCGCACCCAACTTTTTTAAAGAGGTGCATTCGACACTTTTACACTTGTTTGTCTATCAGTTAAGATACACGTACGTACTAGCTTTAAATGAGTTTTTCAATAAAGAAGGTAACAGTTAATTCATATTTTTTCTATAAGCCCTATAAACAATCTAACATTAATAAATGATTAAAATAATACCTAAACTATGCGAATAGCTCAATTTAATATATTTATACTTGTGCAATAAACGAAAACTTATTTAGATGAGATAATTATGGCGCTAGCCTCTGTATCTATCTATAACTCTATATAAAATAATATATGTAACTAAATAAAATAGCTTTTCCTGTTTTTTTTATCTATTTGCATTTGTAACCTAAATCAGCTTGATAATATTGATCTACCCTTAAAGAAAGACAGATTAAGATCCTTTGTATTCCAAGAAGTACTTGTTCAGCACCTTTTTCCGTCGAATAGGCTATACAACCGTGTTTTTATTTCCATCTAAAAATACGAATAAATTTATATACTTTATTCAAACATTAACAATTAAAATGTACTAATGTAATTAGTAAAATTTATGTTTTTTCTATAACAAGCCTTTAAGGTATATATTTCTTACAAATACAGGTTCAAACAAGTCCAATAGCGCCAAATCGTTATTATGAAAACGATTCGGTTTTTTCATTAAATCAAATAGATGAATATAATGATTATGATTTACACTTGGTAAGTTTTATAACTCATTTTTCAATGATTATAATTGATAATTGATAATTTTGCTTTTTAATTTAGATTTGTCGAAATGGTAGTGTTGAAAAATTAAAAGAAGCCTTAAAGAGGAAGTATGTTTGGAAGAGAGTTAATCGTAAAGATTCTAAAGGTTTAGCTCCTTTGCATTACGCTGCTAAACAACTTCATTTTAATATAGTTGAATTATTATTAGAAGTTGAAGGGATTGGTTAGTTGATTAGATAGTTAATAAAGTCGCTTTTGATTCAATTATTGTTATTGTTGTTTTATGTTTTACAGATATTTTTGTGAAGGATAGTGAAGGTGCAACTCCACTACACTACGCCGTTAAACGAAAAGATGTTGTTGCTAATAATTACAACTATGTTTGCGTTTTGCATTTCTTTTTTATAAATGAGTCATTGAACGCTTAAACCTCTTCCTTTCAGGCGCTCAATCAAACTCTGAATGCTTTGATAACTGAACTAAAGAAAACTACTCGTGTTGGTACAGTTGAGGACAATTATATGTCAACGCCACTTCACCTGGCCGCCATAAGAAATAATGTTGATGCTATAAACATCCTTTGCGAATATAAGGATATATTGGATATTAATGTAACATTTAATCAAATTTGATAACACAATACTTGTATAATTTATTTATAGGCAAAAGATAAATGCGGAGCTACCGCTTTACACGAGGCAAGCACATATAATAATATTGAAGCGTGTAAAGCCCTAATTAACAATGGAGCTGACATACTGATACCCGATGAAGAGGGCTCCACTCCCCTGCATTTAGCATGCATGGAAGGTGATGTAGAGTTAGTTGAAGTACTATTGGCTGAAGCAAAAAACAAGAATGAATTAGCTCAGGTTTTCTTTTTGTTTACTTAAGAATTTATCAATTAAATAACCTTATTGTTTTTAGTACCTAAATAAGCAAGATAAGGAAGATCATAATACAGCGCTTCATCTATCCATTGAAAATCGACATCCAGCGGTAACTCGCCTTTTAATAGATAATGGTATAAATATATAAAACTATTAATAAATGTTACAAAATAATCATCTTATTCAACATATAGAAGCCGATATTACAATTAGACGTATATCTGGAAATACGGCACTTCATATTGCAGCTAGCAGCAACGATGTAGAATCTGCAAAATTACTGTTGGAAAAGAAATTAAATATAAATGAACTAAATAACTATCAAAGTAGTCCAGCTCATTTAGCAGCTGAACATAATTCCGTAGATGTTATGAAACTCTTTATTGAAAAGTATACAAACTTTCATTTATTCTATCATCTCTTCTCAGCTCAATTTAATATCTTTCCTTCTTTTTCCCCCCATCCCCTCTCCCTATTCTCCAGTGGAGCTAATCTTGCCTTGAATGATATTGAACACAAGACTCCGTTTCTTCGCGCCGTTTCGTATAAAAGTTATGAATGCGTTGAAATTTTATTACAACATTCAGAAGATTGCGTTCTGGATAGAGACGACTCTGACTATACATGTATAATGTTAGCCTCGGAAGAGAATGATGCAAAGACGTTGGAAGTAAATCTTTCTTAATGAAAATCTTGTTAATATTCTAATCTTCATTTTTGTTTATTCTTTCAGTTGCTTCTAGGAAAACTTTCTAAAAAAGAGAAAATAGAAAGTCAAATAGTAAACTCTGTTAATAGAGAAGGTTTTTCGGCATTACATATAGGAGCTGCGTACGGACTAACATCTATTGTTGAAGTAATAATACATTAGCATATATATTGTATAACCTATAACTTTATTTTTATTGCTTATAGCTTTTAGCAGCCAATTCTAAAATCTCCATCGAAAATAAGGATGATGACGAAAATACAGCATTTCATTTAGCCGCTGCAAACGGACATATTGAGTATATATATATATATATATATGAATCTGTCGAGATTGTCAATACTAATATTTATGTTATAATTATTTTATAGAGTTTGCCGAACCCTTTATACGAAAGATAGGAAATCGGTACATTACGAGAATGAAGAGAGTGAAACTCCTTTGCACTTAGCTGCCAAATCAGGGCAAAGCATTGTTGTTGAAAATCTTGTTGAATGGGGTGCAGATAAGAATGCAAGGTAAATAAGTAAAATTTCTCTTTCTTCATTCATCAATTAACATTTGAATTGTTTAGAACCGCAAAATTATGGACGCCTCTCGACTTTGCAGCGTCAAATGGACACTTACAAACTGTAAGAGAGTTAATCGACAACGAAGTGATTTTAAATCCTGAAGGAAAGGAGAAAGTAAACAGACTTTGCTGTCTCTTAGTAGATATTCATTTTCTGAAAATGTTTTGTAGGAAACGCCGTTACATCACGCTTGTAAGAATGGACATGCTGACGTAGTTAAAGTTCTTATAGAAGAAGGAGCTAATGTAACAGCATTGGATGAGGAGGGTAGTAATTGTTTGGACTTGGCCATAGATAATAATCACAAGTAAGTAAAACTACTTATCATCAAAACATTCGATTTACATGAACATATTCATAGGGATGTTGCATTGGTTCTTGTTGAATCTAAAAAATGGCGGGAAGTTCTGTTCAACTACATAAATTTACGCAACATCTATAGCAAAGAAATTAAACAACAGAAAGAGAACGAGGAAAAAGACAAAGTATCTCTAGAAAGTTCAACTTCAAAGATTAAGGCTTGTGCTCCGAAAAAACCTAAAAGATATAAGCCAAAGGGTACAACTCCAATGAGAAAATTAATAAGGCATATGCCAGATATTGCAAAAATCATTTTGGATAAATGCCTAACAACCGAACAACCAAATGAAACTTCAGAATATACCTATGAGATTGCGTTTGATTTTGAATGTATAGATGACACTTACTTTTGGTATCAAAATGATTCAAGTGTGTATTTTTCCCCATCCATCTTATCTTATCTTATTCACTTTGTTTTTTTTTTTAGAGGAGAGAATTCCTTATACTAACCAATCAACGCTTATTAAGGAAAATCATCCTCTAAGGCATATGGTTGAAACAGCTCAAGAGTCACTTTTAAAGCATGCTTTGACTATAGCTCTTATTAGAAAAAAGTGGCAAATCGCTCTTATCTTCTATGTCTTCTTTCTGATTTTCTACTCTCTTTTCCTTGGAACTTTCACGGCATATATGCTTATCGCAACGCCATCATATAAAGTGTATGCATTCTAAAATTAGATAATTAATAGAAAAATGAATAATAAATTCTCCATTATCCATCAACAGTAATAGCACGAACTGTAAGAAATCCGATATTGGTTTCTTTTCAAATCAGCAAACTCCTTACGAAAAGTTCGCAACCTATTTAACGTATATATTGGGTGGAATTGGAATGATAATAGAATTAATACAGGCAGTATCGATAAAGACAAAATATCTCCAATGGGGTAATCTATTAGATTGGTTCACCTATATTGGAGCTATGATAGTCGTTATAAATTTTAGAGAGTGCGGAGCAAGAGAGGTAAATACTTTGTTTCTTTTTTGACAAAAAGTAGGTTATTTGATTAAATAAAACGATTCGCTATTCATTTCAGAAATGGCAATGGGAATTGGGAGCAATGGTTCTTTATTTCGCATGGATTGATTTTATTTTATATCTAAGACGATTTCCAAGGATTGGCATTTATATTGTTATGGTAACTGATATTTTGAATACGTTTTGGAAGTTCTCCTTCGTTCTTCTCCTATTTCTAATTGCTTCAGGATTCAGTTTATACGTTATCCTCCAAAATCAGGTAACAATATTATGAAAATGTTACATAGTATAAATAATATTGTTAATCTTGTGTCTCTGTTTTCAGTATCCGTTTGTTACTCCTTCCGTATCCTTAGTTAAAGCCGCTGTGATGATGATTGGTGAATTTGACTACGGAAATATATTTGATGCATGGAGAGAGGATCCATCGGCAGCTAATCAACTACATTATACATTTTCTTCTTATTTTCTGTTTATCCTTTTTATGATTGTTATGTCAATTATAGTCATGAATCTTTTGACGGCTCTTGCCATAGACGATGTAAATGAAATGAAACGGGAAGCGGAAAGTAAAAAACTTGGTCTTCAAATTGATTTGGCCTTGGATGTGGAAGTTGCTATACCTTCAATGATTTCACCATTAATTAGAAGAATGTCACAGCGAACTGATATAATGCGAATAAAACCTGAGAATCCAGTATCGGCTTTAATAAAAAATATATGGAGAGAGATAACTGGAACTACAAATTTCTCGCAAATAATCGAATCATACATTACTAACACAGACTCATCCGGTGAAGAGTCATTAACCACCATGGAGGAGAATCTTGGTAAGAAGATTGAAACTAATCAACAAGAGATTAGATCCGTAAATGAAAAATTAGATAGAATGGAAAGTCTCCTACTATCTCTTCTTCATCATAAGAAAATACCTATACCGGAAATGTTTAAGAAGTCATCCAGGTTGAAATCTCAATACTCAGTGTTACAGGAATAAGAACTTTTGTGAAATTTTTATATCTATTTTCTTAAAGAGACTATTGATACTTCTTATACAATATATATGTAACTTTCTTTATATAATCATGTATTTTCAAAGTTTATTGATACTTCTTAATAATGTTATTAAGAAGATGATTAAAACGAAGAAGAAGAAGAAGAGGAATGTGATAATTATTATGACATTTTCAATTATCAGATTCATCTTCAATCTTCCCCTTAAAAAGCATATAGAATCAGATTGTTCTTGTTGTTATTAATATTAATATTACTACTAATCTTCTCTAAAGTATCTAACTTCCATATAAAAGTAAAAATCATTTATCAGTCGTAATCCCCTTTTCTCCTTTACTATAATCTTCCTACTACCAATAAGTTTCTCCCCATTTTAGGAAGAGTTCATGTTAGTGAAAAGAAACAGTAGAAAGAATTAAAAAAAAGGAAGAATTGTTTAATTAACATTTTATTATGAAATCATAAAGAAAATAGAAAAGTATATAAAATATGCAGCACCAATTCTATGGAAATGTGGGCTTGTTGATAACGTGCCATAAAAATTTGAACAGAAATCTGTATTGTTCCTATAAGGAGAAGAAGATAAACTGGTTAAAATAATTATTTTAATTACAAGATTCTTTAAACACTTACATAATTGTTAATGATGTGAGGGCGACGTTTTTTAAGGCTTCGAACGGTATGGAAGACGTCGACGTTCATATCTTCTACAATCTGTTCATAGAGTATAACCAATGTTGCAAAAAATCCTGACTGTGTCGCTCCATCTACGCAATGTATTAGAATAGGTCTGTCCTTATTTGACCAATAATCTTCGACTAATTGTATTAACATTAGGCAACTTTCATAAGTTCCTGGTGTTTTTTCGTACATTTCCCAATCCTTTAATGGACAGTTATTTATGAATGAAGTGGAAATTTTACTATACGCTTACCGTAAATTCTATCCTATCAACAGTTCTTTCAATACCTCCTTTTTGAATTAAAAAGTTCTTTGTTTTTAGTAAATGAGTATCCATGACAGTTCCCTTGTTAGTAACACTAAGAGAATCACCGAATTTCCTCCTTTCACCCTCCGTTTCAGGAAAATAGAGAGCGCACGATTCCTCTTTATAATCAGTACTGTTCATGGCAATAATAACTTCTATTGATTCGTCAAAGATTAATGTCCAGAAATCAGCTACCGTTGAACTTAATGGTGTTTGAGTGACAATCATCATCCTCTTTCGAACATGCGAATCAATATAAATAGCGTTAATGTAGTCATTTGGTGAGCTTCTCAATCTAGGTCTATGATGGTCTCTAGGTACAATACTTTCAAAACGATTTTTACTCTTATTAATAGTATTATTTGCAGTTAAATGGTCTCCGTCAATTCTATCACAGAGACTTTCTATCACTTCGTACTGTTTTCGAAGAATACATCCGTTATTCAAATCGTCTTCCTTTGCAGTTAACAGCCTATAAATATGTTTCATTTTAGCCTTATCCGCCTCTAGTTCGTAATACTCGGTTAATCCAGCCTCGAAGAGAATATCGTATAGAAATTTGTATTGGTTAAAAGTCCTAACCATCATCAATCTCTGATCTCGAAAGTTCTTGACAGTCTCATAAACATTAACAGCACCTTCCGAAGCTAATTGCCTCCATAATGATTCGGCAGCAATAAACACAGCGGATCTACTAACGCCTGTGGCACAATGAACAAGAATCGAATTCTCATATTCACTCGCCCTACGAACAGTTCTTAAAAAATTAAAGAAAGGAATAGCATCTTCCAATACGCCGTGATCGGACCATGCTGTAAATTGTAATTGGCGAACTTGACGTTGACCTTCAGAGCTAAATATCACAAAGGTTCTTGTTGTATAGTAGGCGAATACCAGCTCCTCAGTTGTTTGAACCTCAATATCATTGTATTCGATGTGCTCCCCTAATCTAGGCCAATAGCGTTCACATTTTGTCGCTTTAAAATCTTGTCGACTCTCTACCATAACAATAGTAGAAACACTTTCAGATTGAATCATAGACCAAAATGATTCGATGGTTTGAGGAGAATGGGGAGATTGAGCCAGTATGTATTCCCCAACCTCAGTTGGCTGTTGACCATACATATGTATGTAATTTGCATTTATATAAGTCGATTTATTTCTAAAGACTCCCTTGATACCCCCAAGTCTCTTATTTGGCAAAACGACAAGATTATAATCGTAGGGAAGGTAAAGGTCAAATCTATAATGCAATTAGGCTTATTTCAACTAAATAGAAATGTAATTTAAAGTTAATACCTATTTCTTCCTCTATTGTCCTGACGCATAGCCTCTTTAATTTGGGAAGTTGGTTGCTTTGGTAGTCTATTCCATTCTTCTGCAAAAGTTAGTGCCCCGTCTGATGGAACCTTTGCTGTAAGTAAGATTCTTCTACTTTGATTTGGATCAAAAGTATCTGTCCAATGTATGGGAAACTTGATGTTGACCTTTTTAGTAGATTTTTGTAAGTGCTGTTTTTCGTAGTATTCAAGCCAAGTAGGACTTTCCTCTTTGGCTAATGTTTGTTTATCTTCTTTTATCTCAGATTTTCGACGACGGAAGCAGCAAAAATATATTATTAATATAATTAATAGAAGAAGTAAAAGAAAACCCAATACTGAGCAGATTATAATCCAAATGAGATTGTTATTCGAATCGTCATTTCCTACAACAGGGCCTAAAGTTGGTTCTTCTGGAGTTTTTGCAGTGGAAAATTCACTTTTCCTACTCTCAGATGTTTTAGTTACTCCATCCAAGAACGATTCCAGAATCAAGCTAACGTTGTATTTAGAATTTGCTCTTAAAGCTAAATTAGGAATTTCACCGTGTAAATATCAATATTAAACTGATAATAAAAAGTAAAATACCTTGATTCCTATAAATTCCATACAATTTATTATCTCCGATAACGAATGAAGTAGGAACTTGTAATAGGTTCGATTTCAAAGATGCGTATCTTTCCCCTTGAACAGTTATATAGTAATTGGATATTGGACCAGTTGTAATAACAGCAGGCAATAATTGAACACGAATCGTAGAATTTGTTGCATCCTGAAAAATTGGAGTGGCCGGTGGAGGTGGTTCTGCAATTTCTGTCCAAAATTCAGATGAAATTTTTTGACCATAACCAGCTTCCGTTGAAGCGGATATGGCTATTGTATACTGTGTTGCGTGAAACAGTTCGCATATTTCCGAACGGAGATTTCTGGTTGTATGAACTCTTATCTGTCTCTCTTGAGTACTATAGCTATAAAGAATTTCAGTTTCAATGCGATAGTTATTGAAAACGCCCGGAATGTAACTTGGCGCTCCCCAAGACAATTTAAAACATGTTTCGTTTGCAAAGTCCACCCTCGGAGTTTCAGGGGTGGAAGGTAGTCCTTGCAGTGTTTTAAACTTAAAATCCGGGCTTACACTACCGAATCCTGGATCTGTTCTAGCTTGAATTGATATCAAATATTCTGTGAAAGGTTTCAATTCAGTTATGTTGGCTACAAACGTTGAACCACTGACAGTTTGACTTAAGCTTGCTCCATTAATCTTTCGCCAAGTAAGTCTAAACTGTTGAAGTACTCCGTTTATCTGTACTGGACTAGACCAAGATATAACGGCGGATATGTTAGATATAGATTCTATTCTTAAAGCAGTAGGCTCTGATGGAAAATCCTGTTTTGTTTGAACAGATATTTTCGGAGTGTAGGGTCCTATCCCTGCAGAGTTAACGTAAGCTACTTGATATTCATAATTGGTATAGGGTTGAACGAAATTGCTATCAAGACTAAACTCTTCTGATTTTGTTGATTCCCTAATAGTCGATAAAGGAGATTTTATTATTAGATCGTATCTAACAAGAACTCCATTCGTTAAGTTGCAATTTGGCTTCTTCCAAGTCAATGCCAATTTCCCTAAAATAAACGAAATTCTATAATCTTTTTATCATATTTTTGTACATTAGAATAACTACTTGCTCCTACTTCAACCTTCAGATCATTCACCTGTCCAATAGGTAGAGATTCGGGTGTTAAAATGTCAATTGAATTTCCTTTACCTCGGCCAAATTCATTCTCCGCCTCAACAGTTACTGTATAACGAGACCAACCCGATAAATTCGAGAGTACAATACTAGTTGTTTGTCCATTGAAATAAATGATTTTAGGACTTTCATTTGAAATGATTTCACAACTTCCGAAACCAATCTTCTTATACGACACTCGATATTTTGTTATTGGTCGATTCCTGACAGTAGGAGAATTCCAACTGATAGAGATCCTTCCATCATTTCCAACGAAACGATTTAAATTTCTAATAGCACCTGGTTCAGCGTCCAAAGTTAGGAATTGCACAAAATCCGACGATGGACCCTTTATCCAGCTATTAACAAATCTTATAGAAGTTTTATAGGAAGTGTGAAATTTCAAATCTGTTATGTTAACTGTTCTACTATTGGCTTCTATTGTCTTTTGAAAAACTACTCGATCACTCTCGTCTAAAGTAGTTATTTCATATCCTACAGCGTTACCATTGTAATCGGAACAATCAATCAGCGTCCACTCAACTAAGGCATAAAAGGTGTCAACTTTGAGTATTTGAATATTTTCTGGGAATTTTTCAGGAACTTTTGGAGCAGTTGAAAATTCCGTTTCAGTTTCATTACCCAAACCAATCCGATTTTTAGCTGCTAATCTAAGCTGATACTTTGTAAAACTATTCAAAAGATTTGGGACTATTCGATAAGAAGTAGAAGGCGGAATATCTATTTTAATAGGCCTTTTGTTGAAAGTGTAGTCGGCCGGGCATGCTAGTAAGGCAATCGGTTCGTATATGATCTGGTAACCCTTAAGCGGCAGGTCAGATATACTTGGCTGCCAGAATACAACCGCAGATCCGCTTTGATCAATTACAACAGTTAAATTACTAATTGCAGAGGGTGGAGATGGCGGAATTGTTGTGGTTGGAACTGTTGTCTCCATTTCAGTCGTTGTAGGTTCTTGTGTAGTTAATGGAACTGTTGTGGGAATGATAGGCTTAGTTGTTGTAAATTTGCTTGTTACTTTGGTTGTGGAGGTAGTTTTAGTTTTCGTTGTACTCCACGACGACGAGGAGGATTTAATAGGTTGAGTAGTTAAAACAGTGGTAGTTGGTGTTGCGGTAGTTAAAATTTCGCATGATGGTAAAGAAAAAGCAACATTCGATGGTCCTGATAATCCGATCTGTTCTTTTCCGTTATCGTCAAGGTTTGTAAGAATACGGTATCTATATTCTGTGTAGAATAATAGTCCACTGTTTAATAGTTGATGATATTCGGTTACATTCGGATTATGGATCCTCTTTAATAAATTCAACCACGCCGATCCGTTTAAACTTTGCTGCAGCACATATGATGAAATAAATGGTGAACCAATATCAGTTATCTGATTCCAAGCCTTCCAAACTACTTTGAATGATTTACAACTGAGGTTTCTAATCTCTGGTGGAGTTGTTAACTTGGGTAATCCTAAAAAAATATTGTCATATCACTTTACCGATAGATTTCATTAGGTATGACTAACTTATCTGACATCCTGCTCCGTACCATTGAGGATCGCACGAATTATCCATACAATGTCCATTATTTGGCAGGCAAACAACTCCTATTTTACAATGGCAATCATACTCGCAATTAGCCCCAAATTTTCCAATTGAGCATGGAGTCTCGCAACAAGGTGGATCTTTAAAACCAGGCGCGCAAGTTGTACAGAATCTCTGATCAGAACTGCAATCTCTGGGTAATTCCCCGGCACAATTGCAGGCTGATGTACAATTCGGGCAGATACCCAAGACGCAAGATCCAATACCTTTTTTATTAATTTGTTTATCAAAATACAGTATATTGATATAAATATCATGTTTACATTGACTTAAAGAAATAGATTATTATTAATTAAATATATATAATACCTTGTTGACAATTACAATTTGGGATGATGATAAGAAGAAGCTGTATATCAATTAAAAATAGTAAAAACCGACTAAATTGCATAGCTAAAAGCCGCGCGTTACGACTAGTTTGGTTATCGATTAGCGTTTCCATAGGCGGCAACATAAATTCGATACGAGCCTTTAATCCGTAAGAAAAACTTTTTAATGAGCGGATTTTTAACGTAAATACACTCTTTAGAAATTATATAATTCAAAAAAATCGAATGGAATGCGTATGGTATTCTATTAAATTGAATAATAATGAAAATTTTCTTTAGGGTGTACTTATTTAATGTATACTTTGACTTTTAGCCGTAAAGGTAAGCGTTACTTAAGAAAATTACCTTGTTTAATGAAAGCGCCACCTACCTAATGTTGAAAACTTTAGAAATGTAGATGGCACTATTTCTATGAAAACGTTTCATTTAGCTTAATATATCAGTAAAAAAAACAGCTACAGAGAATGTTTTCCACTGTTTTTTTTTAAAAAAATATATTAGATTCGTTTATTTTTAGTAAAAATTCTCAAGTTGACATAATTTAAAACATTTTTTATCTTGATTAATTACAATTTATAAAGCAAGGACGATATATATATATATATATATAATTCATATATAAATTTATATAGAAACGGCAACACAATACTGATATATTAACCCTTAATAATTTTTAAAAAGGTATAATCAATAAAAAATGTGTTTGACGTCATAATCAAGAATTTATATAGAATCAAAGCAGCTGACGACGACTTTAAAATGTCTATCATACACACCGCCTTTCATTAAGGCAACTATATTTAAAAACAAATTAATTAGTACTCAAAAGTAGATAATCCTATTGTGACAAACAACAAAATTTTTTCCGATAAATAATCACATGTCTTAATTATCGATAAATGAAACTAATGACACATATTTTGGATAACTAATTAAAGTATGTTCATCATTAATTGATATATATATGATTTGTTAAGAATGCAGTAAACTTGGTTTAAAACCCATTGTCCTTGTTAAATTGGATAGCATAAAAAAAAAAGGAAAAAAAGACAACACAAGGTTTTAGATCAAAAAAAGAGCTTAAAAAAATATAAGTTTATTGAATCATTTGCTAGAAAACCATTAATACTTTTTGTCTAAAATCAAAAAAAAAAAAAAGAAATTGCGCAAGATTTCAACCGCAATTTTCAAATTCTCTCGCAAAGACATCTGCGTATCTTTTTCTGAGTATATATTCAAAAATGAAAATCTACATAATATACATGAACAGATGCTTTTTTTTGTTGTTTTGTTTTCAAAAAAAATAGAGCAAGGGAGAGATAGGAGAGAGAGAGAGAGAAAGAAAGTGAGAGAGTGTATGTGAAACAAGGGCTCTTAGCACTATTCCTAACTTTATAAAATCATGGAAAAACCAATTTTAAGCATACATCAAAAAGTAATCAATATGATAAAACCGGAAAAACGCTTGGAAATTCAATTTTATAACTTGTTGTTGTTTTTGTTCTTGTTGTTGTTGTAATAAGATTATTCCAATAAATTTCCTTCATGTTGTCAATCCGTTTTCAATCCGACTGACTTTCAGTGTTGCAAAATATATAGCTCGAATTAAACATAATATCCCAAATACGTAGGCACCTGCGAATTTTTTGTTTTTTTTTGTTTAAAGAAAAATAAAATTCTTCCGTTAGGACACATGACGATGTTAATAAAATAAATTCAGCCTACCTATCCATATGACATATATTCCAGGCGATCTTCTTGCTATTCTGTACGTTCCGACCTATTGATTATGAGTAGAAATTATAATTATAATAGAAATTATTGAATTAATAGCATATTATGTAATTTTATATTTTATAAAATACTAACCGTTACTCCAATACCAAGAATTATGAGAAACAAACCAATGATTGCAAACAAAATAGCTCGACTTCTAGCGTAGCTAGGTCCAACAGACGAGACTCTTCTACAATGCGGACATCTTGCCAAAGCTCTATTAGTTATATTAAACTGAATAGAATAAAAAAATCTTATTAATCCTTATCATAGATATTTTACATCTAATCTATTATATTACATTAAAAAAACAACTTTATAATTATTTCGTCATACAATTGCTAAAATAATATTAATTACCAAAAAGGAATCTTGACAATGAACGCAAGTTACACGATTGGTACCCGGAGTCCTTTGCCTGGTATTAGGAGCAGCTGGATTTCCCAAATTAATAATTCTTTTGCTAATAAGAAAATAAAACATTAATATCATTTACTTTTAATTTATACTATTTTAAAGATATTACCAGTTATTTCTCGGACAGGCTATTCTTTGTGACGATCCTTTACAAATTAGCAAGCAATTACAAGGGCATCGAACGTATTTCTTTCCAGGTGGAGCGGCTTTTATGGGCTGTTTAATCACAAAATAATACATATATATATATATTTATATATAGATATCTAAACAAATGGCCATCTATAAGTTCATCATTTTAATCATAAGATAAAAAAGCAAACAAAGGTGACGTTCAATGGAATTGAAATCGAGTATATATATTGTTAGATAATCATCTCTTCTCTCTTTTTTCCACTATAGAGTAAGGATTATTATAAAATTTGACGTATTATAACATATCTATCAAAACAATAAATTTGACTATTAAATAGGTAATAAAGCCTTACGGCTTTAAAAAAAAATGTATTCATTTATCAACATGTTAGATATCTAGGACACTCTCTTGAATTCTACTTAATTTTAATAGAATACTATCTACAAATAACTTTAGTTGGAATACCTTTCTTAGAACCTTCTTTGAATAATAATGAATAATTTTCAATGCGTAAACAAGTATTTTATACATTAAATTCACTCCTGCTTTGCTTGTTACGTGTTAAATTTAACTTTTAATTTAACTCATGCAACTATTAATATGACTTGTTAGTATATTTCAAGTGGATAATCAAGGTTAAACTTACTGTTGCCTCATTGCAGACACTACATTTGACGACATGTTGATGAGCTTTACCGTCTATATTTATCATCGATTGACAAACCTGAACAAAGTCAAAATTAACTTTTAAATTAATTGCTTTATTAGAATTTTCATTACTTTGCAGTTGATCATTGGTACGGCACCCGCCGTTGATGGAGAATACGGAGGAGGGAGATCATCATGCTCCAGAGGGGCTACAGTTACTGTAGGGCCTATGAAAAAACATAATTCTTCATTAAGCATTCATTATCATGTTCAATCATTATTTACCGGAAGGAATTTGAGAATATTCTGGAGGAGAAGTTTGTAAAAGAGGACTTCTCTCGTCGTTGTTTGCGTCGGCCATTTTTAGTCCGTCATGTGATCAAAGTCACGTGCAACAGATGGCGCTGTTAACAATTTTCTTAAATCTAGGCCTACTGCTGTTATTATATATATTCTAATTCCATCACATGATTATTTGTATTCATATTAAAAGTGTAATAAACTATATTTTCTCTTATTTTTAATCAAGAGCAATAGAATATACATACAATATATATATATATATATATATATATTGTTATTTTCGTATATTAAAGAAATGTTAGTACAGTGTATATAGTTAAAAAAATGTCTCTTCAAGAATACAAAGATATAGTCTAGATCTCGTTGGGTTTAGTTCTTGAACGTTTATTTTATGAAACATTAATAAACTGTAATTTATAATCCATTTAAGAACATTTCTCTTATTTTTTATATTTTGCAGTTTCTCAAGAATTTTATACCTAAACTTTTGAAATCAATCTGTAATAATTTTATTAAAATGTTTCTTTCATTCTCTGTTTCCTTGTTCAGCTTTCTTCGCAAATTTTACATCTAACCAGACCATTTTCATCACAGACAACGCATTTTAAATCGCAAAGTTCGTCTGTAAAATGATTCCGTTTTAAGGATTTCTTACTACCGGAACATATTTGGCAAGGAACTAGACGATAACCTCCGCATACGCTACACTTTGAAGGCTTTTCAATTTTCTATAAATAGAATTATATATATATATATAATAGTATATAATAAATACAACAATTAAAATAGTTTGTTACCTTAAAATGTTTAAAAATCTGTCTTAGCTTTCCCGTTTCGTTAATGCTTTCCAATTCGTCACTAGACTAAGTAAATATTACAGTCAATAGGAAGTAACATGATATAAGCCTACTGTTTGGCGTTTAATTGCAATTGCTTTGTTTGAGACTGTATGATTTAGTGCATGTTTTTCATTTTTGCGTCTACATTAGTTTATAGCTGATACAATTGCATAAAAAATAAAAGCACTAGAAAGAAGGGACAAACCAAGTCCTGTTTGTTTGATTGTTTTTCTTTAAAGATGTTTAAGATTACGTTTATCGCGTAAAATTCAATCGCCAAACTAACTCTAAGACGGTTTAAGATTAAAAATAACTGAAAACTAACTCCTAAGTGTTGTCCATCAGCGTATATTTGTGGTAGAACAACCTGATCGGTGCCTAATCGCTCCAGTAACTCCTTCTGGTATTCTTTCGACATGAACAGGTCTTTCTCTTCAAATTCAACCATATGATTTTGTAGGATCATTCTTGCCTGATTAAATTCAAAGGTTATATAGACTACAAGCAATTTGTTCCAAACAAATGATTTTTATATGAATAATAACCTTTTTACATTTTTCATGCGTTCTTCTAACGATGGTGACGCTCGTTGTAAACATAACAATTCGACCTTTTTCTAACAGCCTATAATTCTGCAAAAGTAATCAATACTTATTCTTTTTACAACATATGTGACAACAACATTACAGTAAATGCAGCATGAATGAATCCTTGTTATGTAGGAGAGAATTAAAAATTATATATTATTCTTACCTTACTCTTATCAATACCATCTGAGATAAAGGTGGCTATTCCTGCTCTGACTCGGTCTTTCACACCTCTTATCGTTCCTTTTCGACTAACAATTTTTATATCATGAAGACTTTCTGGTTTCATGACATCTCCTCTACTGCCGGCAAAAGTTCGGTCTTTTTTTGTTGGATCCACTCCGTGCTGTTCATTAACGAAGAATTCGGGAATCCGTATCCGATTTGCCGGCTTCGGTGCAACCGGCGGTGGAACGGATTCCGTCATGATGTCTTGATTGTTAGCCTTCAATACTGAACCGTCCGTAGAATTTCTTAAAGTAAATTTTCCTGCAGATTTAGGACGATAGCAGCGTCTCCCGCTTAGACGGTGGGACTGAGAGGCGTTTAAACCAGAGGGCGTGGTCGTTTCCATATAATTTAATCCACCCGTAGAGAAAAAAGAAAATAATGTTTAAACTATATATACACACTTTATCGTTTAAACTCCAAAAGAATTTATACGGTCTAATAAAGCACGTTTTCTCCACACAATCTTAAAGCCTATATTCCGATAAGGAACGGGTTATAAAACGTTTTTTCTTTTATTTCTATCCTATCTTGTTTGCATGCTGTCATTTCACTATTAAGTGTATTTTAACGTCCCTTTCTCATGTCGGAGCCGCAATGTTAAACGCCTACGCGAGAGCTGTTCAAAAAATATGAAATTTCGAATATGGCTTCCTTTTAAACGCATAATTTCTTTTCGCGTAATCGATAGATTAAGGCCTATTTTGAGACGGCGCCTATTATTAAACCCAAATCAATGACGTAGAACATTATACATTCTATATATTCTTTCACACTCTTATAGAGCACTCTTAATGTTGAAGATGATTCATGAAACAAATCAATATATCTATGGTAAATATTATCAATTGAACCCACAAGCCAGATTTTTAAATATCTAGTCCTTACCCCCTACTGGGTCAATCTTTCGGCAAACATTAAAGATTTAAACCAACCTTTAATCATAATTGATTTTATTCCTGGAATGTATGATAGAATCCTTCTCAATTAATTTTTAATTACATCGAATTTCAAAACTTGTAAGTTTGATGTTCAAGCAGCAATCTGCCTTTAGCGTCTGGATTAGAAGTAAGATTATATATATAGGAGTATAAATATAGGAGTATATATATATATATATATATATATGTATATAGATTGTATTAGTATCAAACTGTTTAGCCAATCTTTAAATCGAATTACTTACTCTAGTTAAAATTGATCGCCGATATTGTTTGTTATGACAAACTCTTACTTCTAGAAAGGAGAAGGCCGTAACGAAGGATAAAAATTGAACGAAAAAAACTCCATAGTGTCATACAAAATGCTAAAATGATATAAAGGCCAGACTTTAACCACGCTTAACAAAAAAAAAGGGAAAAACTACAACAATAGAAAATGTATAGAGAGAGTATTGTTCAATTTTTTTTTTCAATACACATTTAATCAATTTCAAGACTTCCCTACTTCTTTTATTCCTTTTGCCCTTTATACTAGTTTTACTTTCTATATATTTGAATATTGTATCAAATCATTTCTTATCGAGTACGTAAAAATTTTTCCCAATTTTTCCGATAGGAGCATTGACCTATAATATTTTTTTTTCAAGATAACATTCCTTATTTATTTTACTATTCTCATTACCAGATACAATATGCCAGTAGAGATATATATTCTCTTTATCCCTTGTTAAAATCTTTATTGTTACAATAAGATTTTACATGCCTTTTTCTTGTAATTCTAACTAAATAGTTTTATTTAAAGTTGGGAAAGCAATTAATATATACAGTATACAGTTTTTCGATAAAGTTCGTGGTCGTATTCTTAAAGTTTATAGGCTTAAAGTCTCCTAAAATAGTTACAATTTTGTCACAATTTATACGCCATCTAAAGCAAGATATTAATCGGACGTTACTCCGTAAAGTCAATTAATTCATACGATCGATCTATTTCTTTTAGAAATTTAAGAACATCTGACGTTTTTACGGAAGTTGAGGCAGCATTGGTCATTGGGTGAAAAAGTACAAAGTCTTCTTTCAATAGAGATGAATCAATTAGTACTTTAACTTCTTTTCTTGTATCGTTTAATAAGGCAAAAATTGTCACACAGCCCTGTTTAACACCAAGCTTTTCTTCAAGAATCGCTTCGCTTGCCAATCTTAACCCTCCCGCAGCTTTAATCTTTTTTGCTAAACTATTCAAATTTATGATAGTATCATGCTTAGCGGCTACCAACCAGAGATTGCGTTTTTTCTTATCATTAATAAAGAGATTTTTTGCAACTGTTCCAACTTTTCCATCTAAAAATCTTAACATATCCTCTACCGTAAAGGCCTATTGGTATAAAAATATATTGAAATATTTCAATTGGGTGGATAATTACGTATATTGTAAATTTTCATTACTTCTTCATGATCGTATGTTTGCGTTTCAATATTCATCTCATCTAGTAACTTCATAAGATTTTCTCTTGTTAAACACTTTCCTTCCATTTAGCGTAATTTTTCTAATTGATTACGTACTTTAAATGTATATTAGCTGGAAAATACATTAAAAATAATTAAAGATAGTTTTATATAATAAAACATATATTTAACTATTTGAATTTACTTAAATAGCTATTTTAAACCCGAAATGGTAGCCTCTTCCCTCCCCGCCCTCTCATAATGTATAAAAATAGAAACAACTATGCCATACATTCTATTAAATAGGATTCTAGCTATGAATAAAATATATTTATAGTGCAATGCTTTTGTCATTGTTCTATGACAATCTTTTATAAGATTTAAAATGATATCAAATGATTTGATTTTGAACGAATTATCGCTCATCTTGTTTAATCGTTCAAGTATAAGCGGTAAAAAGCATGTAATTTCAGTCTTGAATAAAAATCTTAGTTTGATATTACTTGTTCTTGTTATTTGATAGTTTATTTAAGATAAGGTTTATAAATAAGCCGCCTAAAAGCTATTCGGCAATCTGATTTGTCTTGAATGAACTGCCGGATATCCGGGGAATGGAAGCTGAGGCAGCGCCATCTTCATGTGATTAGCGCTTTGTGTATTTGTTTTTTAAATATGAAAATACTTTAGATACAGATCCTCCAGGTAATTACAAACTTTAATAGCATGTATATCTATACTTGAATCGACTATTTGTAATTGAAATTTGAAAAAGAATTGATTGTTGAGCATATTTTGACATTTCTACTTGTACAGACACGCATGCCCTGTATCGAACGTCACTGAAACAACGTTTAAAAACATAACGTTATGTCGGATTGTGATTCCTGGGACGGCCAAAATAAAGTTCAAGAGTTAGCCTCGACTTTACATGATGCCAATAGAAATTTAAGAGCCGTTGATCGGATGCTTGGAGAATATAGAGAAGTTACTGATAGGCCTACGGTAAGAGATGCTGTTCTACATGCAGATGACCTGAATACATCTCAGGTGGGTCGAAAATACCCTACTTGGCCCTAAACCCTTTCAAAGCCTAATTCAATTCACGTATCGCCAGCTTCACTTTTTTTTGTTATCGTTCTATTATCTCTTTATAGTCAATATTACTCTTCTTTCGGTTTATGTTGACAGTAAGTAAAGTAAATTTTCAATCAAATGAAGCTCTTACCAGTCAAATTCTCTAAAAGTCACGACTTATAGTTTATTCCATAATTACTATTTGCATTTTGTTAAACACTAATCGTTATAGGCCTAATGGATATTTTTTGTTGAAAATTTGACAGCGAAGGCGACCCCATTCAGCAGGCGTACGATTCGACGATTCTATTCCTGCAAGCCCTATCAGACGACTTCAACAATCCGTAAGAGATTTAGCAACCGGTCAAGCAAGATTAGAGCAAGATTTCCATGATGAGGTTACTAAGAGACGACCTCAAAGCGCGACAACTGGAGACAGCGAGGTAAATGTATGTAAATGAAAAAACAGATCAATAATATTTAATTGAAACTAAAAATATGATTATTTACTCTACAACTATTTTGTTTTTTATATATAGCTGGGTTCGCTTAGACGCCAAATACAAAATCTGGAGGATGAGCTAAGAAACAGTCGTCAGAATACTCATTATAATGATGTAATGTCTAATATTTCCCCTCAGCTTCGTGAGGTAGTTTCTTTCATATGATTCCTTTTGACAAACTCTCTTTTAACTGTTGCGTTGACTATAAAGTTTCAAGATAACAGGCATGTAGAAGCAACACAATCTTTAAATTCTTTATAACTAACTATTTCATACTGTTTTCTTTTTCCCACTTCTATTAGTTTGGTTCATTATCCTTTAGATTTGTTTTTAATATATTAGATAGTTTGACGTTTATCGAACGCTCTTAAAAAGATATAAATAACACTTAGCCTTTATTAAATTAGGGTTTTGGAACTCCAGTGCTGTAGATATTTTATATTAATCTTTTAATAATGTCTATTTTTAGATAGATTAATTATTTTTTTATTTCTCAACTCTATAGGCTCTCAATCGCCGACCAAATCAAATGGATGAAATTGATAACATTAAACGCCGTTTAGAACAATCAGAAGCTTCCAGACGAAATTTACAAAGTGAATTGGAACAAATAAAAACTCGTCCAGAGCCTACTCGACGATTGGAAGAGGAAGTTCGCGAATTGAAAAATCAATTAAGTCGTTCAACAACGTCTGTAAATGAATTTGGTTCGTTACAAAAGGAGTTGGATTCCTCAGAGAAACAGAGACGTCAACTTAGCTCTCATTTAGAAAATATGGGTAGGGAAGTGGAAGAAAAAGAAAAATTTCAAGCCAAAATTATCCGCCAATTGCATACAGCTAATGAAAAATCTGAGGAGGCTGATAGAAGGTGCCAACACACACTCCTACAGCTGGAGGATGCTGTCCGACAAATACGAGACTATTCATCAAGAGTTGACAGTGCTGAGAAAGAGACAAACAGCGTTAGACAACAATTGGCCGAAGCTGAAAAAAGTAAAGCCGAAGCTGCAGCTTTTGCTTCTCATACTATTAAACAATGGAAGAATAAAGTAAGGAAAATGGAGAAAGAGGTAGATGGTTATGCTCACACGTCTCACGAAGCTACGAAACGTTGTGAACAACTTGTTAGAGAGCTAGAAAGTATGAGAGGGGACTTGGGTACTTACAAGCAACAAGCGGATAGAGCTAAGGCTGAGTTGGCTCATGTTTTGGCTGCTAGAGCTGCTCTTGACGAGGCTGTGAGAGCCAAAGATATAGACCTAAATGAGAATAAAGCTGCTCGTATAGATGCTGAGAAAGATGCTAAAGATTCGCGCTCAATAGCTGACCGCCTTGAAAGGGAATTGCATGCTGCCGGAGAAAAGATATCTCATCTAAGAGAGGAAAGATGCAAACTAGAGGACCACATTAATGGCTTAAATACAGGACAACAAATGGCTCATTCTCAATTACAATCTCTTCATAAAGAAGTTAAAGAGTTGGCGGCTTGTCGAATGGAGCTAACGTCCCAATTAGCTGATGCGGCTAAGCAAAGATCACATCTACTGCGTCAGGTCGAAGAATGTCACTATAGATTTAAGAAAGAGCAAGATGAGCACAAAGAGCAAATAATTTCAATAAAAAATGAGATAGATGAAAAGAATGCTTACGAGAAACGAATTATGAAGCAAGAGCTAGCCGAGGCTAACGCAAGAATCCAAACACTTCGAATAGAATTAGAAGAGGAACGATCCAATTCGGCGGCAGTGCGTTCCACCATCGATGGTATGAAAGCAGAGATTGATAGGTTACATACAGATTTGGAGCATTCCGATAGAATGGCAGAAGAATCTAGGAAAAAGTACTACGAAGCTAGACAAAACTTTTTAAATAGCGTAACAAATGAGGAACATTCAGAAAATCGAGAGATGGAACGTATGCTAATGCATGCGGAAGATAAACTACACTCTGAAAGGGAGTATATACAAGAATTGGTTAGCTCTCTAGCCGCCGAGCTAGACGATCTTCTCTTAAATCTTTCGAAACGTTTCTCGTCTTTAAAACCACCGCCTTCTACTTTAGGCTCTTCTAGTGATATTTCTAAATGGATACAGGAGGCGAAAAGTTCCTTATGCTGGATTAAGTCAGAAATTGCCGCTAATTTCGTACAACGTCCTAAACATGAGGAATATACAGTATCTAAACCGGCCCCACCTTTAGAGCCAGTTGCTCTTCAACCTGCTGAAAAAGAAGACTCTATTGTAGACGAATTTGACATTAATTATAAACGCCAACTTATCCATGATAGATACGAAAAGTAAGTATCTTTTTCTTCTTTTCATATTTCCATTATGTTTCTCAATTTACATTTAGATTACAAGAATTAGTGACGTCTTTGAAGTCGGAAGTTGAAGAAAATAAAAACTTTGGCTTAGAATCAATTAAATATTAAACAAGAAGAAGAAGAAGAAGAAGAATTTAAAAATTAAAGTGTGCAATGGCTGTTTTCTAATCTTCTATTTTTATATAATTTTTATTTGAAGTGCCAGTACTCAGTATTTTCATAAAAACCGTCCGAACCATGAAAAAGTATTGGTTCATATAGAAGCAGATAAAAGATAATATTCAATATTTTTTTTATAGGATACATAAGCTTTTCATTAATATTTAGCTTACATGTCTCCCCGCCCACTCAACATTTTATCCGCAAGTCCCCCCTCCCTTTACCGCCCACTTAATACTGCTTAATAAATAACTTTCTATGCAATACTTAATAAAATTAAGTAGTTTTTACAAATAATTCATATTTTTTATTTATAATAATAATAATATATGATTATTAATATTTTGTTTGTTTATTTATTTACATAATTATACAGTTTTTCCTGAATTTGTGCTAGATTCACTTTACCGTCCAAGAATCTTCCCTCTGTGTTTTTTTGTTCCTTTTTTTAATAATATAAAAAATAAGGTTTTTAGATGAATAATAGAGATTTTATTACAATACATTTAATTAATATTTATAAACTCTTTGCTGCGTTTGTTTGTCAAAGTACACAAAATTTATTTTTTACGTTTGGCCTACATTTTCACATTTTTTGTTTTTTTACACACTCTATCATTATGGTTTTAGGTAACAGGAAATTTGTCGATGGATTAGTTTTGTTTGTAATGATAAACTGGATTAATTGATAACTGCTAATCCAGATCCGAATGTACCTAATTTCGATGTACTTGTCCAATTTGATGTTTCCATTGATGAATTTAATGTTTTAATTATTGTTCTTTCAGAGTTATAAGTATTGTCAGCAGACGAGGTATTGAAGCTACTACCAACGGCTGAGAATGACTCTCCGCTACTGCATGAACGACGAAAATCTATTGGTGAAGTTGAAGTCGATATGAGCCTTTTCGACGTTGTTAAACTACTTATTTTTCTCTTTAATTTCGACGATGCATTGTTATTACTCGCCATTTTAGAAGGATATAAAATTTCTGTGACAGCTTCGTCAGCCTCCTCTTTAATTTTCTTTGACTTTAAACGAGTTTTTAAATATTCAATCAACCCTTTCGAAGCCATTAAGGTTACAATACCGAAACCAAGAAGAAGAACGCCTAAACCTATAAGAGACACTGCTCTACTAGGTTGGAAAAATAAATCTTGATTTTCGTACTCTTTAGACGACCTTATTTCTTTGACAAGAGTATTAGTAGTTAATTTTAAACATTTCGAGGATAGTATAGCTCTATTTAAGGAAAATAAGAAAGGATTAAATTTACTTGATTATAAAATAAGTATAATCCGTCAGAATTACTTTGTATACTTGAATCTTTTGTCCATTTTACAAAGAAAACAAGAGTTGTAACTATTTAAAGGTACAATGCAAGTAGAAGACGATTCATTTTTTAATCTTCTCACGAGTTTTAATTTGTTTTTGTTTGAACAATGAAATATTTCTAAATTATCTCTCCTCTCAACAATCTCTGGTTCAACCGAATGACAACCTCGAGATTTACATGTTACGTTATAAAAGAATACTCCACCTATAACAGTATGTGTAATAATTGGTAAATCAACTTCTTCCGTTGAATTTAAACATTCAAATGTTTTTGATGAAATGCTAAGATATTCGTTTATCTTCCATTCTCCTTTCGGAACTCTTAGGAAATAGTCATCTATATTTAAATTAATCTCTACAAGACATTTTCCATTAGGCTTTTTCCATAGGTCATTCAAGTCGTAGATGGCATTACCCTTTAAACTTATAGTCACTTTTTCATTTTTGTTGCATGTTGTTTGAATAGTCCTTAGAATGTTTCTAATAACCTTCCATTTACTGTCATAACTCTGTCTCAACACGAATTCTTCACCCAGTTTATTTTGAATAGACATTATTCCATTAAAAGAGAGATAATGTAAAGAGGTAAGGCTCTTGAATGGAAACTCTGATAAAGATACAAAAGAATTATAACCAAGATCGAGAACTTTAAGAGATCTTGGTAAATGTTTAGCTGGTAGTATTATTAATCCACAATGGTTAAGGACTAGCTTCTCTAGTCTTGAGAATTGGTCCTTTCTGTCGGTTAACAAAATATTTGGGACAGTTTCAAACTTATTATTAGATAAGTCTAAACCAATAATCCTATTACATGATGAATAATTTGTAAAACATTTTAAAAATATTGAATTAAATATTTTTCTATTAAAGGACGATGAAAATTTAAAGGCAGACGAAAAATTTAAAAATATGTCCCTAGTTTCGTTAGATTCTTTGTAAAAGAAATTTAAAGCATGACATCTTTCTAATTCTCTTACTGTAAGAGATGGAATCTTGTCAAATTTGCAATAGATTGTACCTCTAATATTTTTGCAATAATGATCGTCACTACAAAATAAATAAACTTTGTTTAATAAAAATGATAGAGTGATAAAAATTAATAAAATTTCTTTCATATTCTTTTTTTTATTATTTTTATTCTTGTTATTGTTTTATTTTCAATTTGAAATAATAAACATAATATGTTTGATTTTAGCTAGTTAATTAATACTTCTTTTAAATATTTACGCTTTGCCGCCAAATCTGCAGCCTAACGATAATATGTGTAATAAAAACAGTTGGTTGTCTGCTAAAGTGAAATTGGAAAGAATTCGAGGATTTCTTGAGTATTTTTAAGCACAATTGGTAAAGGAATAAGATATCATAAATTTAAATCGAGATTAAATAGATAAATCTTCGCACTGTTATGAAATATTTTACAACACTCAATATTAAAGGTAAATTTCATAGTCATGTCTGAATTTGAAGAAGTATTCGAGTTTTTAAAGAATAAATCTCACTATTTAAGTCAGGTTAGTTGACTACAATGCTAAACTTTCTATTCTTTTATGAACTAATAATCATATTATTTAAAAAAATAAAACAGTGGCCAGAACTACAAAGAGCAACTGCAGATAATGATACACCAACTCCGGGTTATTTACTGCCAATCATAGCAAGTAAGTATATTCCTTTTATTGAAAGAACAGCCAGCTAAATGAACAATTTTCTCAATAGAATTGTCATTTCATTCGGGAGTTCAATGTAAAAGTTTAAGTTTATATTTTGAAGATCGCCTAAAAGTTCCATCTTGTAGTGTGAAAGTAAAAACTTTAAAACTAATAATCTTTCTGTTGGAAAAAGGTCATAAGGATTTTAAAAAATATATGCAAAAATCGTTAGAAATTGATAAAGCTACAAAGTTTAGTGGTCCCCCTGATCCTCTTCATGGGAATGCTCCATACGAACTAACAAGAAAACTAGCAAAAGTATTGTTACTATACTGTACATATTTCAATTTATTAATAATATAATATTTTTAGGAAGCACAAGAGCTCATATTCAGTGATAATTTTGTAGAAGACGAAAAAGATAGATCAGTGGATATGTTCAAAACTTCGTATCCAGGTCTGGGATCTACCAATGTTAGTAATTCATCATACAGCGGATTTGGAAATACAGTATTAGATAAGAGTAATTTAACAACATTTTATTTCTGCATGCTATCTTCAATCATCAATAATATGTTTTTCTATAAATAGAATCAATAAGTCAAAGCATAAGCGAAGGTGTATTGGATTTAGCAGAAAAACTGAAAGGAAAATTGGAGGGTCCCGAAGAAAGGCATAAATTTGAACCTACCGAAACCGTGTACTTTAAGCCTTTACCCCTGCCAGCTCATACATATTGTACGGAATCAACTATAGAATCATCCGCGTTTGACCAATTATCCAGTAGAGAATTTATTCCTGGAAAGGCTTTAGGGGGCTGGGGAGATGATGAAACAGAAGAAGATACAACAGAAGAAGTGGTATTCTCTCAGAATGAATTAGAAGAAAGGTTTTTAATTTTCATTAGTTATTTCAAAGCGAGAAGTAAGCTATGAACTATATTTTAGCACTAGCAGCAAACAAGACAGAGAGGAAACTATTCTTGTTCAGAACTTCATTAACAGGGATATGCTACCAACTCTTCAGGAAATTCGTTCTTTTAACCAAAAGTAAGCCTAATTTGCAAATGTTCTTTTGAAATTGTTCACGGTGAAAAAATCGTTTTTTACAGCCTTATTGATAAAGATATTGGTATAGTTTTGCAAGAGGTCAACAGTCAGTTACAAAATAGCAATTGTTCATCTGTTTCACTAATGGTACATATATATATTAAAACTTGTTTAAACAGTTAATCTACTCTTTTTTAATTCTCTTACTTTACAGTCTGCACTCTTGATAGTTGAATTCATCATACGAGAAGAGAATTTGCCAATAGATAAAGTCATAATGGTTCTCAAGGAAGGATTAAATTATATTATAGCAAAAACAAATGAAAGTAACGTTTATCATAAAACAAGAAAGGTTATTAGTTGTTTTTCTCGAATTAATAATAACAGTAACAAAACTTATTTTCTACCTATTTGTTTTTTAGATTATTTTAATCCTTCAAAACTTAAGCAACGAACAGTTTTCAACAAGTGAAAGTTTGTCCAGAAAACTCTGATCTTTCAAAACTTACTTTAAAGAGTTCTTTAAATTATAATAAACAATAAACAAATAGGAAAGCTCTTGTTCATACATATACGTTCACTTTTAGAATACATTATTCAAAGGTTAGGCTGTTTTAAACGTAATATCGGCAGAAATGACTGGTACCGTCTTCCCTGACCATTTCAATCAATTCTAACAAATAGTGAATAAGTATCGTACAATATCGTCTGCTAAAATTTGCACTATTACAATTACTAGATCAGGATGGCTGTTCGATCGCACGTGTATTCTAATATTCTTAGACCCTTGTATCGGAGCGCATTAAATTTGAATACTATCTACTCAGCAAATGGGTAAGTGACGAATATTGATAAATTACTTGAAATTTTTGAAATCGTGACCAATACTTTAGAAAGTTATTGAACTATTCAATGTCATTAGCTTTGCATCATTCTTAACTTTTTCTAACAAGAATATATATTTGACTAAGTTGGCCTGAATTTAATATTTTTAAAATTTATAGTAAAAGTCGTCTATTTTCAACAACGACGGAGGCTCCCTTGGAATCACAACAATCGAATAATGGCGAAAACACAGAAAAAACCCAAGTAGATGATGTTGAGAAAAAATTCGAAGAGGAAAAGACTAAATTGATGGCACAAGTGAAAGATGTTGAAGTTTGTTTTAATCTTTCTTTTATAAACTAGTATTGTATCAAGCCTTTGCAGGATAAATATAAACGTTCTTTAGCGGAGATGGAAAATGTAAGGAATAGATTAACAAAACAAATAGCTGATGCTAAAGTATTCGGCATTCAAGTATGAATTTACTTTATATAGTGATTTTATTATACAAATCTTATTTTTCCTACAGTCATTTTGCAAAGATTTACTAGAAGTTGCTGATATTTTAAATTCGGCAACTGCCGCAGTTCCCAAAGAAGCCCTTGAAAGCGACAACCAACATTTAAAGAGTTTGTTTGATGGTTTAACGATGACCGACAAGCAGCTACGTAAAGTTTTCACTAGGCATGGTTTAGAGCCAATAGATCCTGCGAAGGTGAATAAATGAAAAATTCTAAATAATTTACTTAATATAATACTTAACGTTTTTTAATTCAAAGGGAGAGAAGTTTGATCCTAATCTCCATGAAGCACTCTTTCAGGCTCCAATAACTGAAAGTGAAACTCCTGGCAGTGTTGCAGTAGTAACTAAAACAGGATATAGGCTACATGAGAGAACTATTAGACCTGCTTTAGTTGGTGTCTATAATAAATAAAAATATGTTAACTTATATCTATGAAAAATATGAAATTTACGAAACTTTTTTGTTAATGCCACAATATTTTGGTTTCATTATTTTGTCAATTTTTTTTCTCGATTACATAATATCAATACATAACTTGTTTATAACTTCTTATATAATATGTAATATATGTAAAATATTATTCATTAAAAAACTATAAATCATCAGCATTTTGTCTGAGTTGTGTAATCGTGTCACTGGAAAGATCTTTGAGCAGTTACACTCGCACAGTGAATAGTATACACTAAGCAGTTAACATCTAACACTTTACTGAGTCTGGTGACATTCATTAAGCTCTATTGACTAGCGTGGTGTAAAGTTATCTGATAGCAAAATGCCTCGCTTAAGCGATGATGAAAGAAGGCAAGTTCTTCGAATGATATACGAAGACAAGAACAGCGTCAGAAAGGTCGCCGCCTTCATGAAATGTAGTCCAACTACGGTACAAAATCTCAAAAAGAAGTATAAGAAGTATTCTTTAATTCGCGACAGACCACGATCAGGCAGACCAAAGAAATTTAATGAAAAAGATGGCAGTTGCATTTCAAGTGACAAAGCGAACAATTCAAATCTAGCTGTTCAAGAAACAATAACAACGCCAATTAAAGAAGAAAAATCGTAAAATATTTATAACTGTGTACTATTAAAGTTTTGTTTATGATCGAATACAAACATTATCTATTATTAAATAGAAACTTTTTATCCGTAATTTCATAGCTTTTTAAACATTTCGTTTTAACCTTGAAAGAAAGAAGGTCAAATAGTGAGATTACTTTATATATATATATATACATTTATATATATATTAGTATATACATAGAAGAACAAATTGAGCACTTTACACTTCAATTAATAATTGTTAATAAGTGTCATTAAATAAATTTAAATATTATTCATTATATAGTTATTATACAATTAACTTATGAAAAATCAACAATTGTACACAAAACCAACATGTCTACCGCAATTAACATTAACAAACTTTCATAAGATCACCATTTTAATTACTTGCGCATTGTTATCCATACTTTTATTAATTGTCTGTTGTTTTTGTATATTTTGTAATTGTTGCGATAAAAGAAAACATCAAGTTATTGGGGGAAGAAGATATCTTTTAAGAAAAATGAAAAATGTCTCTAATATTCGGAGAAAGAATAAAAAAATGGATATTCTAACGGAAAAGAATCACAATTATCATATTCTTAAAGTTAATTTTACAGATGAAGAAGTAAGATTATCTCTCTTCTTAATTGTTTATAATAAAGGCGCTATTATAATACTTTAGGCGGAAGACAGGAGAAAGAAAGTAGAGCAGATTAGAAATGAAGTTTTTAAGGAAATACCTTTAGAAGAACACGGAACTAAAGTATTTACAGAATTGTTATGTGTTGTTCTTATTACTACAAATTATTTCTTTCATTTATCAGACTCTTCTACAATTGGCAAGAATATGGCGAAGTGAGAAAAGAGCTGAAAAGCAATTTTTAAAAGAAAAGATTAAATTAAAATCAAATCATCAAAATATTGACGTTCAATAATCAAATCTTATGAAAATTTTAAGATCGTGTTAGCTGTTTATTTAGTCGATTTATTGTATTAACAACGTTAAATTCCGCCCGCTTTCCCCCCTATAAGCTATGGACACTGTATAGTAGTAGTGTATTTCTTCTCACGTGTTTCGAAAGAAATAAAGTAATTGACAAATACTTTAAAGGACTTTTTTATTTTAGAACCATCAGCTTCCGAGTATAAGACAGATATTTGGAATATTCTGCTAACACTTTATGCTCTTTTCAACTTGTGATTTGGCGCAGATTTTTTATAAACTTGAGCGATAATTCGGTATATTACGCCGTAAACATGCAAGCATGTTTCTGTAGAAGTAGTTGTAACTCATTACAAGAAATTTTGTTGCCTCCAACGTTACTGGAACGTTTAGGGATCGAAATAGGCTCTCCAGGAAAGATAATTTTTAATAGCGTTGAATTTTTAGGAACTTTATGGTCCAGAGAAGATTCTGCTAGTGTCATATGCATTCATGATTTGGTTAGAAAATCAACAAACGTTCATAAACTATTGACTACACCGGATGAAACTCCCATACAAGAGAGTAATCTTACAGTTTTAAAGTCAGTGAAGATCACTAAAATATCTGTACGAGTTGTTTTCAAAACGATCGAAGATGTTCTACCTTACATCTCGGTGGTAGGGAAACAAACGTTAGCTACTAGAGTACGAGGCATTTTATCAGATATTTATATCAGTGCTGGCTATACCATTAAAGCTGCGGAATTGAAAATAAGCAGTTTACTAAGTATTCAATTTATAGATATTTTGACGTGTAATGCAAAGTCTGAGGAATCTGGGATTATAACCCAAAAAACCAATATACTTATTGACAGTATTATATCAGAAGATCAATACTTGCAATTGAGTAAAACCAAAACTAAGATAGGAGGCTTAAAGACCGAACGTTATTTATTAGAAGATCTTGTAAGGCTTTGCAAGGAACGAGATAACTTTTTGCCTAAAACTGTTCTTCTAAAAGGTCCAAACGGCTGTGGAAAAACAATGTTAGTAGAAGAGGTTGCTAAAAGTTCCAAGAGTCAATTGATTAATACTTTAGCATCTTACTTGATTGGATCGCATCCTGGGGAAACAGAGGAGAATATTTGTGAAATTTTTCAAAGATCTTTAAAATATAGTGAATACACTGTTTGCATTTTATTAATTGAAGACATAGATTGTTTATTAATTGCTAGAGACAGTCAGAGTAGAAGATTTGTTTCATTGATTGATAGTCTAATGGAAAAAATTAGGCTAACATCTAATATACTATGTATTTGCACTACGTCGAAGGCAAATGAATTGGTCTATCTACCAAAGTTCGATAAAGAGGTTCCATTTTAGATACAAATTTTAATATAGTAATGTTAATTTTTTATTGAACTTCAGATTTTGATTGGAATTCCTAGATTGGAGGAGAGAATATCAATTATACAATCAATATCGGAAAGTAAAGGAATACATATGAATTCAGATTTACAATACTGGCTAGCCGAAAGAACTAATGGATATTCTGGTGCAGATATTCAGAGTATATTAAACAGCTCTATAACCAAAGGAAGTTTGCAAGAGGCTCTCAATCGTTCAACACCAACAAGTCAAAAAGGTTCTGATGTTCTAACAGATTCAAGACCAATAAGTTGGAGTCAAATTGGAGGTTTACAAGAAATAAAGGAATCACTACAACAAATTATTGAATGGCCTATTAAATTTAGAGACCGTTTTAGAAATTTTGGTGTAAAACCACCAGGGGGAATCCTTTTATATGGTCCTCCTGGCTGTGCAAAGACGCTCTTAGTTCGTGCAGCAGCAACCTCAGCAAATGTTACATTTTTATCTCTTTCAGCCGCCCAGTTATATTCACCATTTGTTGGAGATTCTGAGAAAAAATTAAGCGAGGTGAGCTATAATTGGATACTTTTAAACTTCAAAAATTGCAAAAAGATTTTTCACTATGGTCTTCAAGGTATTTCACCAAGCTCGAGCAGGAGCACCCACCATTTTGTTTATAGATGAAATAGACGCCATAGTTGGAAGTCGAGATGCTGGTTCCAAGCAGAGCGCTCACGAAAGAGTTCTTTCAACATTATTAAACGAATTAGACGGTATTGGTATGAAGAGAGAGCAAATTCAACGTTCGGAGGAATCAAATGTAAAATATTTTAATGAATAATATTCAAATATATTGATATAAACAATCAAATTAAAATTTCTTTTGTTTCTAGTCATTAGAAAGAAGCGTTATTTTGGTGGCTGCTACTAACAGACCGAATAAAGTTGATAAAGCACTGTTAAGACCTGGTAGATTTGATCGACTATTATACGTACCACCTCCAGACTATGAAGTAAACGTTCTTTAATAAGAAAATTTCTTAGAAATTAATAGATTAATTGAAAAATTTTAACTATAGGCTAGAAAGTCTATTTTGGAAATTCATACGAAGAAAATGAATTGTGAAAATGTAAATATAGAATTCTTGGCAGGTATGACGGAACTTTGTACTGGGGCCGATCTAGAAAATCTATGTCTAGAGGTATCAAAACTTTCATTAGTTAATTGGAGACAAATTATAGTAAATTATCTCTTATTGGTTTTATTTTATTGAAAACAGGCAGCTCTAATGTGTTTAACTAAAGAAGGATCCGACGCCGATAAAGTTACTTTGGAATATTTTGAGAAAGCCCTGGAAAATGCTAGACGGTCGCTGACACCAAAAGACATCGAGTTCTATAAGAACCTCGGACAGGCAGACAAGTGGGCCTCTTTTTAAGTGAAATAAAGAATGCTTGTGATATACATAAATCCAACTTTGTTGAAATTTATAATAATTTAATTAAAATTTTTGTTTCTTTTTCAATATTTATAATAAACATTAACAAACGTTTAATAAAATTATTTTTTTTTATGTTAATTGGGTTTTCATAAAAAAAAAGCACTAAAATATATCAGGTTGAACTTTATCTACATCTTATTCCACTTAATCCTTATATATATAGGCTGAATTAGTTAAAAATATAACATGTTGAGTTATGTCTAGTTCTGTCGGGATGTAATAGTGACGTTATATGAACTTGTGCTTCAACGAAAAGAGTGACTCATTCTTTTGACAACTTAATTAGATCATATCAACAGGTTACGTGCTCCGTAGCTTTGTACAGCGCGCCAAAACAGTTGTTATTCCTTAATTGGCAAATAACCATATTAGAACCGTGTAAGTGACAAATTCATTTAAGTAACTTAACAATCAGATTGAATATGCAACCGAAAACTTTACTGGAAATCTCTTCTCATTATTTTTTGGAAAATGTAGATCATGTTCCGTTCTGGTTGGCTCTTACACCGAAAAAAGGTCTTCTTTACATATTTTCAAGCGATAAGTTCTCCGACCCAAAACCTTGCCATCTCCTAATTTCAAAAATTGTCATTTCTGACGATTCTACTAGTGAAATTGCTTCTCAGAATGTGATTCCCTCTTCATCCGACCAAATTTCAATCTGGAGTTTGGAATGTTTAAGGTGTTTTAGGAGAGAAATTTGTTGGCCGTTAGCAGAGCGAATCATCGAGAAAAATTGGATATATTTGGTGTACAGTTTCAAGCAGAATGTAATCAAGAAGAATTTATTAATTCCTACTTTGGCTTACACTCTGGCGCTTCGAAAGCCGCGGTCATTTTACTACTTATATAGTAAAATTGTTGATAGGCTACAACGAAACACGTTTTCGAAAATATTCTCCCAAGTACTACTTTCCAATATGGACGATAAACTTGATTTGTTAGAGAAATTGATTAAGGTTGGAGATAAATTAAAGGAAAATTATAAAGATATGGAAATGGATTTAGTTAAGGCCTGTACCGTTAAAGGTGTAAAATTTGAGGACTTCCAAAGTGTTATGCTTATGAATCCTATTACAAGAAATTTATCGCTTTGTTCCAATAGAATTATCCTTCATAGCTTCATGCAGGGTAACAATGAAATATTCTTATTTATGGCATCAAAATATCCAGAGACTTTGGACTTGTTTGAAAGACCGGGTCATCACGTTCCATTCCTGCTCGGTACTTCTCCGGAAATTGCTGAATTCCTATGCTTAAATTCGATGAAAATGATTAATATGTTACATAGTTGGCTGTCTAGTCTCGAACATTCTGATTTCATTTCGGTTCAGAATATACTAAAGATGGATATTACAAATTTTTATCGAGTAAAGCCTATGATTGACTATTTTTCAAAGACCAAAGTCTTACAGCTATTTTACAATGTTTGGCATCGTAATCTAGAGAATCAATTACAGAAGAGAGGAAGAAATTTCTATCTCCCTTGCCTATTTGCAATTGTGAGATGTTTGGACGAGTATAATATGTCTGTACAAGATATCGGTAATAAATTCTGTGATCTATTTTTGCAACAAGAATCAGCAATGGGTGATATGGATTTCTGGTATCAAGATCTATGTCATTTTGCAGAGAAAGTAATATTCATACTTGTTAAGTATGGTTTTACGTTTTGCGGGAAGTTTCCCCCAATTAATGACCTATTTACACGTAATAATGTTTTTATTCATGAAATCGCTCAGTTCCTTAAACTTTTCTTTCTTTTCAGCGAGTAATTTACTAACTACTCTTCAAATTTTATATTTTACATCAAGCAACGAGCTGACAATTTCTACTCACTTCTTGCATAAGACTATTATGTCTGACGAACCGAGATCGCTCGTTAATCTCTCTGCAGTTGTTATTCGAAAGCATAAGACGAGAAGTATGAAAGAGCTACTCAAGAGGTTGGCTCTGCCTAAAGAGATAAATCGACAAATTACAATGAAAGAACAATTGAAAAAGTTCAATACGGAGAATGAGAGAAAAGCGATAAGAGATGTAATGACAGGAATATTTATGGGTAGAACACACCAAAATTGTTCCGATTTGAAAAGAGAGAACAACTACCTTTTACAAAACTTATTACAATCGCCAAGATGGGAAGGTTCCGAGGAAAATTCACCGGATATTTTACAAGAATACGAGGTGGACGATCACTTTGATTATTGATACGTATAATATAGAAGTTTAACATTCATAAGTAATTATTAATAATTATTGTAGGATTATCATTTATTAAAAAAAAAAACAAAAAAAAAAGATTACTAGTAGTTTATTAATTTTTGTTTATGACTTTATTTTGTTTAGTGCTAATTTTGTATTGAAATATTTATGTTAAGTAAATTTTTCAAACGATGGCCATATTTTTTAAATAACGTTTTTTTTTTTCATTTTTCATGTCAAATTAGTATAGGAATTTTTCACTTTAAATAAAATAAAGAATATTAAAGATATAAACAATGATTTGTTTTTTTTTTTTTTAAAAAAAGTAAAAAATTAAGAGAAATATTCATTTTTGAAAAATTAATGTAAAAAGTTTCTTTAATTTTCTATCGAGTTTCTTTGTCCTTTTCTTTTTTTAAATTTCATTTTATATTTTTATGTTGATAGGTTAGGATGTTAGCTTAAGGCACAAGTCGTGCTCCACAAATTATAAATATAGTTCGACCTTTAGAATATTATTTGACCCAGATTGTAGGCCGATGCTCTACAAAACAATCAACAAAGCTGATTGGTTTGAATATAACTTCCGGTTGATGGAATTGAGCAATGGCCGATAGACTCTAATTTTTAAAGTTAAAGGGATAATGTAACATAATAAAATTCTATTTAAAGTAGTATTCATTAATTTAATAAATTTTTTATTGATAAATAAGTTAATTGAATGAAAAAAATATCTATGATCATTACTCATAAGTCGAATGGTAGCAGCCATTTTCCCTCTAGGTAGCACCACGTGGCTGTGTAAAAACTTGTCATTACTCGTCTTCAACTCTGTCAACCGTTGCCCAAGCTGGAACCAAGTTCCAATATTAGGGTAGTTTTTCTATTATCTTTTACTTTCAATGTATAAAATCTATTCAAGTAAGTATTTATAAAAGAATATTAACGTTTTAATAAATAGTACTCTGTTGAAAATTTTTGAAATATACAGGGGAAACTTGATAAAAAAAAAACGCCCTGCCAAAAGCAACCCGTTAACCATATACAGTATATTCACCGATGTGCCTTGGGTTTTATAGACCAAATAACTGAATATTAAAAAAAAAACGATATGCATTCTCCATTAAGTTTATTCGAATTATCGGCTAGTCGCTATTTGAAGTCTACCCAGTCTATTCCACTATCTATCGCTATTAGACCAAAAATAGGCCTTTTCCATTTATTCAGCGGAGACAAAGTGAAAGAGAGAAAATTTTTTGCCGAGCTTATTAAACGGTCCACAGCAAGTCAATTAGCATTGGATGGACCTTTCAAATGGCGTGGCAGGAACTTTTCGCAAGATCATATTGGTTTTTTCAGACACGGAAAATGTTTAAAATGTTTTAGAATAAAAGTATGTTGGCCCATTGTCAGACGTCTAATAGATAAGGATTGGATCCATTTATTAAGGGAGTTTCAGTATTTAATTACTGATCAAGACCTTATGGTCCCTTCATTGCTTTACGCCCTTGTTTGCAAAAAGTATAGTACATTTTTTTGCATTTATCGAGGGGTTGGAATATCGATTAGGTCGGAAAAGAATACATTGAATAAAGTTATTTCAAGTGTTATGAGATTGAAAAGACGCGATAAATTTACTCTGTTGACAAATTTATTTGAACTCTATAAAGAGATGGTTCAAAGGGGAGATGAATTTAGTTGTTCAAATGTACTAAAAGCTTGTTCAGTTCGCGAAGTTCCCTTAAGCGATATATTACAATTGCCATTTTTGAGACACTACCTCGAAAGATTCCCAGAGAAAATGGCTCTTATTGCAATTGAGAATGGAAATTTCGAGTTTTTTTTTCATATTATTAGCAATCGACCCGAAGTAGAAGTATTACTAACTCAATCAAGAATATTAAAGTACTTTATAGCATCATCAGAAGATATAATTGAGTATATATATGAAACTAATCCAAGCATATTATCAACATTAGAAAATTATATTAGAGACCGATTGGCAATACCTTCAAAATCCTATAGGTCTCTATTGGAGAAAGATTTACGAAATATATATAGATTAGAGATATTTGCTAATTATTTCTCTAGAACAGATACACTTTATAAACTTGCTAGCATGTGGTTCTTGAATATGAAAAGACAATTAAAAACATTAAGGACGTTTTTTCTATTTCCAACACTATTTACCATTTTGAAAAGTCTCGATAAATTTCGATTACCGGTTAAACCTATTGGAGATAAAATATGTTTATGGTTCTTCAAAAAGTTAGAATCGAACGAATCGACAAGGGAAATTGTTTATATTATTAATCAAGTTTTACCTATGTTAATTGAATTTGGCTATAGTTATAAAGGATTTTTACCGCAAAACTTTGAAAGTAATATTTTAATTAATAATTTAACAATACGCAAAAAAAAACTTGTTTATTTTTTTTCTTAGATTGCACCTTTCCCGATACAATGGCGGTTTTCTATTATTTATCTGATTGTACTGTAAGATTTTCACCATCTTTTTTAAATCATATCAACTTAAGTGGACAGCCGCGATCTCTGATAACATTGAGCGTTGCCGCTATTAGAGGTATAAATAGGGGACGCTGGAGGGACTATGTTAAAGGGTTGACCGAGTCTCAAGTGCTTAGAGATCAAATTTTGATGGAAGATTTACCAGGTATCATATCGCCAACAAGAAGAATTGACTTGAAAGAATTCGAGGAAATTCATATGGAAAATATAACAATTTGTCAAAATGTACTTGGTGAAGCTGTCCTTGGCGATGAGCATAAGCATTGTATTAACGAAGAGATGTGTGGCCGAGACTATGAATTTCTTGTTGAATACATAAACGAGGACAGAGACTATTATGAAGAATATCCCTTTTTCGATCAATCCAACAGCTCTGATTCGGAAAGCTCTGATTCAGAGCTCGATAATCGTATAAATAGTTTGTTAAATTTTTATTTAAGTCAGGACGAATTTTGCCGTACCGAGAATATTCTCACATAAAACAATTATGAATTTATTTTGCGTATTTACGTTTTATTTTGAAATTTACAAGAATGAATTAATCCTTAAATTAATTACGTCTATTTTTGAATAATTCGTAAATTAATTAGAAAAATATAAAAATCTTAATAACTTATTTGTTGGTAAAAGAATACTGATTATAAGCAAGATGATTACTATTAATCTATTAATACAATAAGTATTGTATGAGTTAGTTTGTATTTTAGGTGGGAACGATACAACTGTCGTGTAATCTTTAACATAATTAATTCACTCGTCTAGGTAGACAACTTGTAAAAATTATTACCAAGTTTTCTCTGAGGTCGTCAACTGTGATCGTTTCATACTGCATTCCTTAAAAAACTCTATCAGCTTAATCTGCAGTCGGTTAATTAATCTCAAGATCCTCCTAAGGCTACTCTAAGCTATTATTTTAGCAATTGCTTTTATTTTTAAACGTAAATTTACTAGTTCCTCTCGAACAACTGCGTTTACTAGCTGCCTCGCTGAATTTCTGTTACCATCCTAAATGATTTACCAGTTTTCTACGACTTGAATACGTAAGTATTTTCAAAAAAAAAAATGGGTTCGGAAGGAAGGTTTTTTTTATTATTAATGGTTATTGTCTTATTTCGCTTATTAATGGAAAAGTACTCTTAACTCTTCTTAATATTATTAATATGTTTATTTGTTAGAACCTCATCGATTTGCGAAGTAGAGCTAATATAAAGCTTAGAAAACTGCATTTATAATTATGCTACTAATATATCTTTAACCGTCAGTATTGCTTCTATTTTATTTCTTACAGGTAATAATTCGAAATGGCGTTCAACGAAGCAAATAAACCAATCATTTCAACACCGATGACTCTACTGGAGTTGGCAACAGAAAGTTTTCTTCAGTCGTGCAACACTATAGCCTTCCCTCTTCTTTTACGGCCGAAAAATGGTTTATTAACGATACTAACTGCTAAAAAGTTTAAAGAGCCAAGAAACTTTTGCAGAGCTTTGGCTAAAGCTCCGTCTCAGACTCATTTTAGAGAAGGACCAATAAGATGGAGCGGAAAAAGTTGTACTAGCTACGACGCTTCTTATCTTCGTAAACACTGCAAATGCCTAAAATGTTATAGAACGAAAATCTATTGGCCAATAATCAAACGATTAATTGACAGAGGATGGCCGGATATGATTTGTTTTTTCAACTCTAGAATTTCTGATCAAAAATTACTTTTACCTTCTTTAGTTTATTGTTTAATTTCAAAAAATTGGTATTGTTTTTATCAACTATTTAAGACTTATTGTTATGCTAGGAAAACACGAAGTAACAGTCTTACTGAATTATTCAGTCTTATTTTGAGAATGAAGAAAGATTATAAATTTGAGATGATTGACGACCTTTTGGAATTAGTTGATGAGCTGCAACACAATTACGATGGTATAAGATTTAGCATTATTAGAGCTTTGACAGAACGTGATATTGCGTTAGATGATTTTATACGTGTTCCATCGATGTTTAGCAGTTTTCTCAACATCATTCCCAGCCTCAAAACTACGGCTATAAGTAGTTTTAAGAGAGGTAATTCGCAAATATTCTTCTACGCTTTAAAATCTCGTCCAAAATTGATTAAACTATTTTATAAAACAAAAAATCTCAAGTATTTTATTGAAACATCTCCGGAAATTATAGAATTCTTTATCAATATTCATCCTGATCTTCTTACAAGACTTGACGATTGGTTATGCGGATTTAATCGTATTAAATATAAAACTTCAATTCTGGAGAAAGACTTACGAAATCTGTATAAAGTTCAAATTTTTAAAGAGTTCTTTTCAAGAAGAGATACGACTTATAAACTATTTGATATTTGGTTTAAAAATATGCAATCTATGCATTCAAAGAGAATGACTTCCGACTATTATTATCCTACTTTATACACTATTATTAAATGTATGGACCAATATGGTTTATCGGTAGAAGAGCCTGGTAATAGATTTTGTATTTGGTTCTTTGAACAAATAACGGAAACTAAAAGTACAATATTTTCATGGAGTAACGCTTATAATGTAGCTGATAAGGTTTTACACATTTTTATTGAACATGGTTATGTTTTTACCGGTAATCTACCTACGAAAATTCACAGTACGCATAGTAAGTTGGTTGTACTAATTTATCTATATTGTAAGCGTTAACCGATTAATATTATGAACCAATCCTCAATCTTTTAACAGGTTATGGCTTTCCAGAAGTACGAAAGATTTTCTACTATTTGGCTAGCAATTCTGTGCCTTTTCCGCCTAGTTTTCTAAGTCAAATTCAAATGGTTGGTAAGCCAAGATCACTTACTAATTTGTGCGTAGCAGTGATAAGACAATCGATTTCTGGTCCAATACGGAAAAAGGTAAATACACTTCCAGTTCCGGATGTTGTAAAGCGTCAAATGTTATTGGAGGACCATGATGATTGGATTTCCTTATTTAAAAGACTCGATCCTTTGGAATACCACGACAAACATCTTAGCGATAAAGAATTGTGCGACAGTTTCTTAGATAGCCAAGAAGTTGACGACGATCATAAGAATTGCATCGACGTAACACTGAAAGATTACGAGGACAATTTCATCTTTCAGTATATGTACGAAGAAGGACCAAAATTTATTCCATTTATCTTCTTTCAATTTGGAGGACAGGTAAACGGAGAGCAAATTAGAGGAGCTCAAATAAGCGAAAGCGAAGATGAAATAAATGATAGATTTCAACAAACATATAATTCAGCAGGTGATGACGATGATGACGATGATGATGTTGATGATGACAATATCGATAATCAAGCTGGAAAATTTCAGGAAATAGAAGACAAAATGGAAGAAGATAACAACGAAAACGGTACAAGATTTTAACGTAGATTTAAATATTTTAAAAGAGGAGAAAATTAAAATCTTATTATTCTTATTGACAAACATGTTATTAAATATTTAATCAACTACAGAAATAGAACTTTAACAAACGTACTGAGATTATAGAGACAAGGTTAATTATTATTGCCAGCATAGTAAGAATGTGATATAAATTGAATGATGATATGTATATAGTCCTATTCTCTTGTAATGATATACATGCAATTTACCTTTAATTATACTTTTTTCAGTTTTTATACATTTTTAACAGAATACAAAAGTCACTGCAAACATTCAAACATTCCATTGTTGTTATTTTTCTATAAATAGTTATAAGAGAAGAATGAGAAGAAGAAGAAGAAGAAGAGTAGATAAATAATAAAAAAGAGGTTAATTTATCAGTGTATTTTTAGAACAAATGATTTAAATTGTTTTGATTGATGTAAGTGTATTAGTGTGACTGTTTGACCAATAATAATAGTGAGGATTTTCTCTTTCTCCCATCACTCTGACACACACACTCTCTCTCTATCTATCTATCTCTTTCTCTTTAAAAAGAATAAAAATTAATCTAAGTATAATTTTTAATATATTTATATAAATTTATATTATTTAAATATTCATAATTTCAATAATTTAAGATTCTAATTAAAATAGAGCGATAATGCGGTACTTGTAAAAAAAAAAACTAACTTTTTTTTTGTTAGCCATCGCTCATTATCACTCAAATATTACATTTGTCTACTTTTTATTGTTCTTGTTGGTTAGTATAGATAAGTTAGAGTTGTTGTTTTTTTTTTCCTACTAAATGATCAAATTGATTGTTTTAATATAATATAGACTTTATTATAGATTAGTGATAATATTTAAATAATACTTAGACATTATAAAAAAAGGTTTATTATTTATTAAAAAAAGAATGAATATTTCTTATAGATTTAATTGGTTGAGCGGAAATTATATTGAATTTGTTTAATCGGTTAATCTTTTTGAAAATTGGATATTGAAAGGTAAAATGCCACAACCAATTAGTTTGTTAGAACAATCGGCTCAATGCTATTTGGATAATGCTAAAAGTATTCCATTTTGGTTGGCTCTCAAACCTAAAACTGGTTTACTATATATTTTTATGGATAAGAAATTCAAGGATTTAATTTATTGTTACGAAGCTATTTGGAAGTTGACACCACCGGAGGATAGTTGGGAGGAAATATCAACGCAGATGATTGGCGAGAATGATCATCCGTGGGATTATTTAGGCTGTTCTAGATGTTTTAGGTTAAAGATTTGTTGGCCAATAACGAAGCGATTAATTGACAGAAATTGGATATTTCTCATAAATACGTTTACAGAACGAGTGACCAGGCAAAATCTTTTAATTCCTTCGTTCGTTTACGCCCTAATGGAAAGGAAACATTGGTCTTTCTATTATATTTTCAAAAGGATAACTAATGAACAATCGGAGAATACTTTAACCCAAGTTTTCACTCAAATACTAAACTCAAACCTAAAAGATAAATTCGAATTATTACACGAACTATTAAACGTTGAAGATAAACTACAAATTCATAATAAAGGCTTAGAATTGGATATAATGAAAGCTTGTACAGAGCGCGATGTACGATTAGAAGATTTCAAAAGTGTCTTATCTCTAGGAGATTGTATAAGCGACTCAACTTCTCATATTATTAGAATAGCTTTGAGTAGTTTCAGGCAAAGAAACGCTGAAATTTTTATATATATTTTGAATAAGCATCCAGAGATAATTCAAATATTCTTTGAAATTGAACAAGTTGAATTCCTTTTAAGTACAGCTTCAGAAATTATTGAATATCTACTGGATAAAAATCCAAATATAATTGCAGTTTTGGATTATTGGCTATCAAATGAAATAAAGAAATATGAATATGGTAATTACAATAATACAAACATATTAAAGAGAGATTTAAGGAATTTGTATAAAGTTCAAGTTTTAATCAGTTATTTTTCAAATAAGACTACTATATACGAATTATATGATATTTGGTTTGATAATGTTAGGAGGCAATTCGCAAAAACAAAGAGTAAAGGATATTTCCTACCCTGTTTAGTTACTATAGTTAAATGTTTAGATAAATACGGTCTATCAATGGAAGAGCCTGGAAATAGATTCTGTTATTGGATTTTCAAGCAAAAATCTTCAATTGATAATATCGATTTTTGGCATTTAGATATCTGTTGTATAACTGAAAGAGTTTTATATACATTCCTTAAATATGGATATACATTTACTGGAGATTTATCTATCTATTTCGAAGAGTTTTCATGTAATTTATCATTGTTTTTTTTTTTTTTTTGTTAAGAATATCTCTTATTGTTTTCTCTTCTTCCCTTTAGCCGGAGTTTTATTAAAAACTCTCTCAATATTCTATTACGCTTCGAGTAATACTATTCCTTTACCTGTGGATTTTTTGAAGGAAACTCTATCGATTGTACAACCAAGATCGTTGATAAATTTAAGTGCTGTTGCGGTAAGGAGATTGAAATGTCAATCAATGAAAAAGTTTGTTAATTCTTTAAATCTTCCATCAAAAATAAATAATCAAATTCTACTTAAAGAACATTTAACGTTGTTCGACATAACTAGAAGGATAAATTTTGGAATATTTAATGAGAATTTTTCAAATGACCTAGAAACTATTAATAATCTCTTAAATGAAAGAGTTTTTGACGATAAGCACAATCATCACGATTCGTTCAACGGTAATGTATCTTCCGAATGCGATCTTTATTATTCAAGCGACGAAGAGCAAACAAGACAATTCGAAAGTGAGGATGAAAATTGAATAGAATTTTTGTCAAATTGTACCAATTATTTAATAATTTTTTTCAAATAGTTTAAATCTTATAAATAAACTTCATTTTTAATATAAAATGTAGTTTTTTCAATAATTATGTTAACAAAAAGAATAGCGAACTAATCAAGTCAGAAACTGTGTCAAATTTATACTTGTATTGAAAAAAATTTATTATATTATAACTCAATGTCAAAACATCATATTTCCAATTGAACTATAAGAGGATATAAGCAATTGTTGTCATGTTGAGTTGATGTTAAACTTACCTTCAAGAAGTATCGTTGTCATTCGATTACTGCCTTCGAAATGTTTCTAAATGGAATGTCAGAGCATCATAGACTGCTCTTCCTGGAGCAAGAAGTTAAAAAGATGAGACAACTTTCAGAGCGTTACAGATGTGAAGAGATGATTTCAAAGAAAAGGCTGGAAAAACATTTAAGAAGCATACGTAAATATTTTATTGGTTTCGAGCTAAAGATAAGGAAAGAATTGAACCTTACGTATCTTATGCAGACGAAAAGGATAGCCGAATACACAACGTACATTCAAAGGCTATTAAAAACTCATCGTAGTCTCTATCCTGAAGAGAGATTCGAGATTGAACAGAGAATGATGCATATGAGACAGTCAATTAACGCAACAACTATATCGGTAAATTTGGTGGATCGTCACTTTGAAGCTCCCGCTTATCTTAATATTACAGAAAGGTATCAACCTTATTACAAGATTAAGCAGACAATGTTTCTTGGGGCTAATGATTTGAACAGTATTTCCGGTGTTCTTAGAATGGATGATAAATTACTATTGACAAAGGTATATGATAAAGAAACTATTTTAGACGCTTACTCCCTGGATGGTGGCTACTTGAAAGAATTTTGGAAGGGACCCGTTCAAATAACTTCTATTATAACCGATTATAGGCAGTTTTACGTTTACGCTGCTTTCTATTGTAAAAACTTAATCTGTAGAGCCATTGTTCATGGTAATAGCTACCATTTTTATCCTTGGGTAATGATTACTAAACCACAAGAGGTGCTTAATTGCGGAGTTGACGATCTACTCTGTTGGTATAACAAAAATGTAATATGTAGATTAAACGTAAATGGAGAGAAACTATGGAGTTTGAAAGTTGATGGTCTTAAAGGTATCTGCTCGTTCAACCTGCCAAGAATTCATTTGTTTTATACGTATCATCATAAGAGTATCGTTTTAAGAGATGCTAATAAGAAGGGTAGAAGGATATTTCGCCGTAGATTTCAAGGTTCAAAAACTTTTACCGGAATGACTGCAAGTACATTTGGTTTAATGATTTCTGAACCAAAGAAGGCGGAGATTCAGATAATGGATCCGGAGACGTTACAATTGGTAGCGAAATTACCAACAACAGATAGACCTTGTAAATTACATTCATATTGCGATGGTTTCCAATTTGTTATCTACGCAATACTATACGACCATGAAAGAAACCTTAAAAAGCTATCGATATTACATTACGAATAGTCTATTATCAACAATCAAAAGACTAAACTATTATCTAGATTAATAAGATATAACGTCACTTTCGACCTATATAACATTCTATTATTATTGTTATTATTATTAAAACGCTTATAGTTCAATTGAAGGGTAATCTTGTTCGTTTTCAATATGGTTGTGGGTTGTTATCTAATTGTTTTTATTCGCAGCGGTGTTGGCATAATATAGACAAATCGTGCTTGCAAATAAATGAATTCGTGTTAAATGTAATCACTATAGGATAGAAATTAATAATTGACTATATTGGTTTGCTGCGTTTGCGTGTGTGCGCGCGTGTACGTGTTTTTTTTTATAGGGATTAGTATCGATTATCCTTATCAGGGCCCGTTAGCTCAGTTGGTTAGAGCGCCGTGCTGATAACGCGGAGGTCGTGGGTTCGACCCCCATGCGGGCCAGGTTTGTACTTTTTGTACAAACATACAAACATACGCGTATATCTAATATAAGCGAAATCTTGAAATCACAGCAATCATGTGACTCCGTTAATAGACTTAAGCGATGACGTATTCTGATTTCGTTTATTCGCTAATATTTTTTTTTCTTTTGATACAAAATATTATTAAGACAAACAACACGCAATATAGTTGACCTACTTTCAAGTAATTTGAGATAGCAAAATCGTTTGAATATAATATTAAAGGATTTTTAAAAAAATGCTACAGATACTATATATATCTTGAAAAGGTTTCAATTTGCGGTTGTGTAAAGTGGTCTTTGCAGAACAAACTAGAAAGAAAAAGGGATGGTTTAGCTATATTAACAAGGATTGTATAAATACAATATTGTATTACATATTCTATAGAAATCATACATCGAACGTCACAACAGTTTTCAGAGTATTCCCTTTACAAATAAAACACAAAGAAAAGAGGCTTACACGCATTGTATATTATTCAAAAAGATTGGATGTACGGCAAACCATAAACAATAATATGACAAACATTTGCTGTTTTTGAAACGAGCTGCTGATAAAATATGATACACTATGGGGATTGTGCACGGTTTCCTACTTAGATGGGAATTTCAATAGACTTCTGAGAAGTTGAATGTACAAACTCCTGTAAGTTCTATTCGTCCATGCATAAATTAGAATATTCACGGCAGAGTTTGTCCTTAGCATGCTATTGCTCATTCTAAAGGAAAATAATGAAAAAATGTCGACAAGACTACCAAGATAATTTAATTTAATTAATAACAAACCTATCGAATATAACAGGCATAGTTTTCACTTGAGTTTTGACCAAAAATTCCACAACAACCGGACTTACTAAAATAACGTAGACTATCCAAATAATGAAAAATTGTTTTGCAGTTTTAAACTCAAATCTTTTATGTTTTACCGATTGAGTTGGCAATCCATTATCAGTCATTTCGGCTGAAGAGACGGTTGTAACTGCTTGTTGGGTAATATTTATACGAGCTACTCTCTTCCTTGATTTTTGAATTCCTCGAAATATTAGAATATAGAATAATGCAATTATTAGTATGTTTATCATTAGACAAATTAGACCAATAATTAGAGAATAAGGTTTACCAGATTGATTGGATTTCATTTCACAAGTAAGATATACAGTACGAAAATGGTATTCGGTAAATAAAAGTGGCCAGGACGAGAATAATCCACTGAAAACCCATAGACAAACACAGAATATTATTGAATTTTCATCCGAAAATAGCTTAATATATAATTCTCGTTTTCTCAAAACATATATATATCTGTTCACTGCTATTAAAGCTAAACTAAATTGAGATGCTATTACCGGAATTAAATAGAATGGCATATAATATTTACAAATAACATCATTTTTCGATGGGATAAAAAATGCTATCCAATTAAGAATATTTAAAAAGCAAACTAAACCATCTGATATTGCCAAACTGAATACGAAAATGTTTGTAGATTGGGAATACTTTTTACTTTTTATCAGAATACCAATTGTTATTAAATTTCCAAAAGTTCCAAAGATAAATATAACCAATATTTCGTAAACTGCACCTAAGATATCTGTATAATATGGAGGTTGGTCCATTTTTTATACCTTGAATATGATTTCTCTCCTCTCTCTTCTTTCTCTTAATGAAAAAAGATTGCTTCACTTTCTGCCACTCTAAGTAAACTGCTTTTCAAATATGACAAACATTTTTTACAAACTAATTATAACCAACTACCAGATGGCGTTTTACTTGCTTTGCTAATAAGATATAACTGTCCCCGTGTTTTTGCACTATTTCTTGATTAAATTAAAGAGATGATAATGATACAATAATCAATAAATAGAAAGGGAAACTAAATATGATAAGTCTTTTAGAGAAATGATTAAATTACTAGAAAGATCCACATCGGTTTCCATATTTCATCTGCTTCAAGGTGATGTTCTATTAGTGCTACTTTTCAAGTGTAAACAAATTAATAAAGCATAAATATCCAATTGTTCTAAACCTCAGTAAAGAAAATTACAAACGCAGTTTCTAGTGAAGTGAATATTAAGTATTCATTGGTTTCCCTTTTGTATCTTCTATCAAAACTTTTTGTTGATTAGTGTAAAATGAGAATGCTAGAGGAGAATGAAAGATTGAAATGTTGGATAGCTACTGTATAAAGATTATTACTAATTATATATCCCGGAAGTTAACTGGAAAAGACAGACATTTTTGAAAGAGTAAGATGATATCTTGAGAAATGAGTATCCTCAAAGATATTTCAAGTTGATTGTATATCTCAACCATAAAGCTAATAACTAATTGGATTATATTTCCATATTACAAATGTTTTTGTGTTTTTGTAATACTTTAATTAATGTTAAACATTTAGCCAGAGTAAATACATAGTAGTTTGTATTGTATCATCTATTTTCAAGTACCAGCATCTTTTGGCAAAATAACATCCTAGTTTTTGAAAGATGACCCTTTCAATCCATTTTTCTTCTTGTGAACATAGCTCTTCAATCCATGTCTTCTTAATATTCGTTTGCACGTGGACACTGATATTTTACAAGCAAATCCGGATAACTCCAATTTTTGTCTAGCTGTTAAAAATGGATTTTTCTTTGAAATTTTCACTAATTTTCTCTCTTCCATTAATGATAATATCTTCGGAGTGCACAGTTTCGAGAGATTACCAATTACCCCATAATTTATGTATTTTTTCCATATTTTTTGAACGGAACCGCGAGATATTTTTAGATCTTTAGCAATCTGGTTTAATGACTGTTTATCCAGTCTCTTTTCAATGACCAACCGTCTAATAGGAATTGCAATTGTTGGCATATTGCTACAGAACGATAATATTCGCACGCGTACACAAAAGAGAATGTGGGAAAAATCCAAAGAGAGTCATTTATTTAATACGCTTTTTCTTATAGGCTGATTAATGGTGTGGTGTGTAGTCATTTTTTGTTAACCCTATGAAAAATCAAGTAATTCTCTTATTTACGTTGTTAGTCAATCAATTTTATCCGAAAAGGATTAGGAATGAATGTCGGAACGGATGGACACATACCTACCTACCTGTTCGAGAAGATATGTATCTTCCTATTGGATTATCTGAAAGACAATCAATCTATTAGGCCATTGTTACAATGACATTCTCTTTCATAATTAAATGATTTAAGAATTGATACTAGTAGAAAATGTTACTTTGGCTCCAATGGACCAACTTCTTTTATACTTCTATTGGATTTTAATTCTTTACCATCTAATCCCTTACATCTCACTAATAAATATTATTATCGCTCGTCATTGTATTGTTTGCTACATAACTAATTGTCATTTAATGGGAAATTATATTCTCTTTTCTTTATGTATATATATATATTTTTTTTTAAAAAAAAAAACATAATAACATTTTTTTTAAAAGAAAAAATCTCTGCTAGACACAACAACTCGTTAAATTTTTTATATTGCTAGATGTTATCTAGGTTAGTTTAAATACTAAACAAATTGAAAAAATAAGACTATTACTCAAGTTTTTTGACAGTTGTATCCTAAACAAAAAAAAGGTATTTCCAGCAAAATAGTTATTCTGCTTTGAAATATTCCAAGGTACAAGGTAAAAATAAGCTTAAAGTTAAACAGAGAGAGAGAGAGAGAGAAAAGAAAGGAAAAGGAAGAAAAGGAAAAAATGTCACTTAAAGAATATATCGTTCGTATGAGAGAGGACTTAATAGTTTGTAAATTATGTAATAATCTATGGATTGATAGAGATCCGAGAATCTTGAATTGTTCTCATATATTTTGCTACGATTGTTTAAAAGATTTATTAGAAGAGAGGAATACAGAGGAGAATTTCAATTGTTATTCTTGCGGGAAAAGTATCGATATGCCAAAAGAAGGGGGAATTGACGAATTAAATTGTTTCGAAATAATAAAAAGTATCGATTCAACAGATAATTCACAATTATCTGATGATATGAACGTTCAAGAGGCGGGTGAAAAGAAATTTGCTGTTATGAACGAAATAAAGCTTATGGAGAATGTTATAGAAAGTACCAATAAGGATGAGAATACTAATTTAAACAATTTAAGAAATCACGTTAGAGGAGTTGAAAAGATGTTTGAAAAGCAGGTTGAAGATTTAAGCTTTGAATTAAAATTTCAATATCGAAGGCATAGGCGTCTAATAAGATTGTATATAAGAACTTATAATTGGTTTATTAACGTTCCTGATAAGAATTTATTATATAATAAATCGATAATAAAAAGAATTAAAGAATTAAGACAGAATGCTTTATCTATGAAAATCGATTTGAAATTGAACGATAATTATCTGGAATCGATTGGTCGTATTGAAGTATCAAATACTGGTTCATTTACTAATTTTTTAATAAAGAAACGTCATAGAATTATTGGAGCCCCTTACGAAATTGCCGATATTGCTATTGGAATGAATGAATTATATATAATTTGCCTATATTCTAATACGGAAACAGATGTTTGGAAGATACTATGTTATAGTTTAGATGGAGATTATTTAAATTCTTGTATAGAGATTGAAGAATTTACAGAGAAATCGGATAGAAAATCTAAAAGAAATTGGATTGTTTCGAGATGTAAATCAGCTATTAGCTATGATTGCTCTTCATTATATCTATCGGCCTTCTATCCCAATGAGATTCATAAACTTCAACTTTTCGGCAGAAGAGAAAAGATGAAAAGATTCTGTAAAATAAACGCTCAATACATTTGCAGCGTTTTAGAAGGTCTGCTAATTGTTGAATCTGCCTCCTCTAGAATTTTACTATATAGCGATAGAGGTGAGAAACTTAAGACGTTTCCAAATCGTCATGATATACTGAGTATCTGTAGTCTACGCTTACCAACCCTTGTCACTTTCGTTAATACATCAAATGAACTAATTATTATGAATACCAATAATAGAAATAAGAAATCAAAGGTCAATTGTCAGTGTCAAATAACCAACTCTATGGTTTTAAAGTCACTTAGTTCATCAATAGCTGTAATGAATAAAGATAGGAAATCAATATTTGAGCTCTATTACAACGGAACAGCATTCAGAGATATTATCGTCTTTCAAGAAACACCAATCTGCATGACTTCAAGTTTTAGAGAAAATAAGGATTTTCTATATGTAATAACAAAGAATACTTCTGGTTTATTATGCTTAAACATTTATAAATCTGTTGTAAAAGTTTAATATTCATTAATTTCTCCATTCATCAATAATCTAGCTTTTCAGTCTTTTTAAGTAATTTATTAACGTTGTTTGTCAACATTTAACTATAATATCATGTGACTTAGTAACGAATAATACATTATCTTGTGATACAAAGATGATAATAGGGATGATTAATATTAAAAATAATATCTATCTTCAATGATAAATTGAAGATAGAAAAGGGGAAGATAGAGACGTAAATTCACTTGTAAGCTTACTGTTTGTGTATCAATGAAAACATCCACAACATTTTGACGAATTTTTTACTTTTGGAAGAGTATATCTTCTAGCGTTTGCTCTGCATTTCTAGAATATTTGCCATAAAGTATTTCTTGTTTCGTTTTTATTAATTAATAACTTTTTGTTACCTTTTCAATGATCTCTTTAGTGAGATGATTCAGAGCTTCATTGACATTTTCTCCCGTTTCGCAGCTAATGCTAAAGAATGGAATATTCCATTCGTTGGCCAACTTAAAAATAATTGGATTTAGATTGATGATTGAATTAAAAATTTGTTTACTAAGTTTTAAATACTTGTCTGGCATCTTCTTGTTCTTTTATTACGATTTCGTCCGATCTTGGGAAATTACCTATTAACATTAATTGGCAATTTGTCCTTGTAGTCATCTGAAATGAGTATTACTTTTATGTTTAACAATCAATCTTTTCGTAAAAACCTCTTTTATGACTGGCCATTGCTGTAACTTTATCTTGAAAGTACTAAACTCATTCATTTCAAACACCATTAGAACTCCATCAGCAGTTTTACATTCCATAATAAGACTTAAACGATCTGATGGATCTATAACCGAAATGGATAATACCATCTGCTTTTCTTTTATTGAAACAGTTTTCCTATAACGATCCACGCCACTGCAATCTTTGGTTCCTAAAAGAATAGTAGGAAAACTGCTGGTAATAGTAGGAGAATGGGAAAGAAGAACTTTTTACCTTCAACCTCTTTATCGAAAGCTTTAGGTATAGACCTTATAAGCCTTGACATCGTATTCAATCTTCCACTCATTCTAATCTCAACAAGAACAATTTGAATTTGATTTTTGAAAAAATCCATCCGCTTTTCCTTCTCTGTTTTTACTTAAGGGATTCTAACTGTCCAGCTATTTTTGACCTTTAGCTTTCGTTTTCCAAAAGTTTGGTTGTTTTCTTTACATATAAATCAGTTCTCTTCAAAAAAGAGATTTATATTCTTCTCATATATATAAAGTCTACACGTAAATTTATAATCAGAAAAAATTACTGGTGTCGCCACCAGTAAGGTTAAAGGTTATCTTGTAAATTGTCCAAAAGATAATAATACAAACTTTACTTAGTGTTGCTAATGTCTCAATTCTTCGACTCTCGAAATAAAGATTATAAGAAGTTTTGTCTTTTTTGTTTTTATAAAAACAAAAAGAAGAAGAAAAAATGACATGTGTGAAAAAAAAGATTGTTTGGAAAAAACAGCTACGACTCCCCCTAGATAATCCAGCTGGTAATCCGCTTAAGATTAATTAATCTAAAAAATAATCTTCAACAGGACAAAAACAAAAGTAATAAGAAATGATTTTTTTATGCGTTTCTTAAGCATCAACTAGGTCAATAACGTATTTACTGTATGGAACTAGACCATAAAATATGCCTATTTTCGTTTTAATAAGTTCGTTCTCCCATTGTCTTAAAAACGACTGGTAACCTAAATTACTTGTTAACATTGTTGATTCATCTTCTTTAATGGTTTTGATCGTTTGGTTTCTCCCTATATACAGTATATAGGGAGATAAGAAATATAACATTTGTATATACAGATATCTTATATTTTAATGTGTTTATCCCAATCGCTATTGTCTTTACTCAAAATGTAATTTTGAGGAAACAAGATATAATTAAATCTATTTTTGACAATGAAAAATTTATCTTAAAAAACGATGGGTGTTGTCTTTATATAACATATATATATATATGTATATTAGTCTTACAACTAACAATCGCTGCTTGAACGTAGTAAATGTGACATTAATCTTTCGATACTATTTAACTAATTAATTGTCGTTTGTTTGGTGTTTGTTTGAATAATTAATATATTAAATTTAAAATGGAACTTTCAAGGGAAATTCAAAAATTAAGAAAGATAATTGATGATTCAAAGGAAAAGAATATTAAGTTACTTAATAAACACTTTGAACATTTGGAAGAAAGACTTGAAACTGAAAAGAGAAGATTAAGACAAGAAGTTTTCGATAATTTGGAAGAAACTAATAATCAATTGACTAAATTTAATGTAGCTTTTACAGAATATTCTAATTTTAGAAGTAGCACCTTTCAAGAGCCTAAACAGCGTATGAAAGAAATATTGATGGAACTGGAAACGAGCATTACATGTAGGGAACTTGAATTACGTATTCAAGAAAATTTAGATAACAAAATAGCAGAAGTTCAAGTAAAAGAGGGATTTATTTATAATTTTACTGTAATGCCTTTTGACATTGTTAATGGAAGAATTTCTGATCATTCGTCCATTATTAGCAATGAAACGGACATATTTCTAATGAACACGTCACCTGAGAATACAACAATAACTGATATAAATACAAGTGAAGTATCAGATATAGTATTAAATCGATGGGAGAGTAGAGGAGCGTATGAAAGTTTTTCGATTAGTCCAGACGAATTATTTATCCTACTTTGCGACAGAGTTAATGGACTAATTTTAAAGAGTAAAATTGCGGAGGCTACTTTAAATTTTAGAGAATATCTAAAAGTAGACGATGTACGTAAAGCCTACGCCACTTCAAATGGTCAAACTTTGGTGTGGCACGAAAATAAACTGACATTGTTCAATGCAGATAATTCATCACAATGGTCCCATACGTTAGACAATATAGAAGCGGTTGCCTTCTCTGGCCTGGATAAAGCAGACATTTTCATGACAAAAGAAGAAAATGAAATAAGAATTCGATCCTTATTTAGTGGACTTGAAGAAAAAGCCTTCAATATAAATATAGAAGTCGCCGAAATGTACTCTCTACCTTTTGGAATATTACTCCTTCCACAAAATGAAAAGCGTCTTATTCTCTTATCGAAAAAAAACGGCTCAATAATTGCTGAATTCCCATTAAATTTTACTCCAAAAACAATGGCAATTTCATTAAATATTCTAAACCTTACTTTTTATGTAATATCTGATAAAAATGAATTATTTGTTATGAAATAAAAGTTATAAAAGAATACGTAACTTCCGATGATAATCAGCATATAATTAATGAGTCTTTTCCAAGTAAAGAACGCTCTTTACTTTCTTCAGCGTGTTAACACGAGGTAGATACATAGGTATAGGTAGTACCTTAAAAAAAAGAGGGTTGGGGAAGGATAATGCCAAATCAGCATTTGCCATTGACAAACTTAACTAAACAAAAGAAAGTTGCAATTTGTTCGGAATTATAAATGCAAAACATCGCTGAAGGTCAGTTTCTATAACTGATAAGTGTCTATGTTTTTATTGAATGGGGCCAGTTAATTTTCAAACTTTATCATTCAATTCTGAGAGGGAAGACTAGACTATGAAATTAGAAGAGGGAGAGGAGGAAGGCTATATGTTTCGCTATAGGGTGCTCTCATTTCAAATTGTAGGTTATATATCTTAAAATATAACTATCAAATGCTCAAAAACCTGATATTCATAGTTATTGACAATTTATGAGTAAAATAGAATATAAAGTATATATTATAAAATAAGATAAACAGTATTGTTCTACTAATATATTAATTATTAAATATTGTCTGATGAAGATGTTTTTTGTACCATTGTCCAAATTGAAATTAACAATAATAGTTTAGTTTTATAAACTGATCAAATTATTCTTAGTTTCGGTTTCGAACGATTAGATTAATTGTTATTTACAATCGAAACTATTTGAAGAGCGTTATTGTAAATTTGATGTAGATTAGCTATTAGGGAAGTATGCTATTGTTTTCTCAAAATGGCCTCAATCTCTAGGTCTAGGGGCGGACAAATGTAATAAAAAGCTAGATATATTTTACATAGACATTGTGTAGCGTAAGAGTGAGATACATTGAACATAACTATGGCTAATGATACTCATAATATCATCCGTTGCACTTCTTGTAACAACACCTGGCAAATTGTGAAAGAGACGAGGCGTTCACCTGATTTTTCTCCACCTGAGGATGTTCCTCAAAGTGAGTTTCGTCAATATTTTGATACTGGAGATGAGGCGACCATAAGGGCATTAAAGAGAATGTTGGAAGAGAAACGTAGAACCGTTGCAGAACAACTTGAAAATCACATTGAACGCTTGAAAAAAAAATTGATTGATGAGAAGGAAAGAATACTTGCAAACATCACTAAAGAATATGAATTAACAAAAACAAATTTAGAAAAACTCTCGGACGGTAAAACTGAATTTACAAATTTCAGAAACCCTATTTTTCAAGATGCTAAACAACTAATGAAAGAAACTTTACTAGAACTAGAAGCGATAATTATTTCTAAGGATACTAAATTAGATATTCTAGAACAATTAGACGGCCCAATAGCAGAAGTTCATACTGAAGAAGGTTTTATGTATGACCTCACTCTGCAGTCTTGCGAAAACATTAACCAGCATATGAGTGATTCTTCAAAAATTCTTATCAATGGAACAAATTTGTTTCTGATGAATAGGTCAAATGGTACAGAGATATTTGTTATAAATGTTGGCGTAACACCTTGGGTAATAAGGAATAGATGGAGGGAGCAACATAAATTTAGCAGCTTTTCCGTTAGTCCAGAGGGAAATTATATCCTATTCTGCGATAGAATCAACGGAATAATCAAGAAAAGCGAAGTTGAAGTAGAGTCCTTAACATTTACTGATTTTATTAGAGTTGACGATGTGAGCGAAGCGTATTGCATTCCTGAGAACAAAACTTTAGTTCACCATGACAGAAGAGTGACATTGTTCAACAGAGAGGGTGCTAAAATATGGTCATCTTTATTCGATAACCTAGAGCATATCGATTTCCAAGTAGGTAAATATTTCTGCACGAAACAAGATGATATAGAAATTAGGTCTTTGCAAACTGGAAATGAAATTCGTAGTTTTCAAACAAGTGAAAATTTCTCCGAAATGCATTCACTACTCTTTGGAATCGTAATCCTTCAACCAGAGCAAAATCGTCTTGCTCTATTATCCAATGTAGATGGTTCGGTAATTAAAGAATTTCCGCTAGAGTTTACTCCAAAAACCATGGCAGTTTCGCTAAATATTTTAAACCCAGCTTTCTGTATAATATCTGATGACAACAAATTATATGTTATGAAACAAGCTAATTGAAAGTATATAACCTTTTCCTTAACACATAAGAAGACAAGAAAATATGTTGATTGTAACAATTATTTGGCTATTAAAACTATAGTGTTCGAAAAATCAGTTATTCGATATGATTTGAAGTATTATATGTTAACCCAAATAATTATTTTAGTATCGTTGCTAATAGCTTATGTTTTTTGATGAATAAACATGAATGATTTGTGTCATTATTTTAAATTTAGTTGATATTATACCTCTTTCGAAAATCTCAACCTCCAATATAGCATGAGAACCAAGTGATGTAATTTCAATCTGAGATGCCTGAGTTTCGGGGATTATCTCACAAACAGTTTGCTCGTATCTATAATTTCCACTTAATAAATAAGCTTTTTGTACATTAGATATATCTTTTATTGTAATTCTTATTCCATTGTTTACTGTTCCAGCATGATTTGCTGTTAAAGATAAATTAATTAGTCCTATAGAAATATTACTAATTAGATAAAACTTTACCTGTAATGCAAAAAACTTTTATATCAATAGGTGGTGAAAGTGTTGCTCTGACGTAATTATTGTTTACTTGATTTAGCTCGAAAGATGAACCTCTTGAAATATATATTCCATCTAGTAAAAAGCTCTTCCTGTCGATACTACTTTCATGCATAGCAACAATGTCTTTTGTATTCCCTACAAAATGAAAATTATAATAACGAAATATTGAATATGTCTAAATTTTTAAGGAAATAGCTAACGATTCGAATTCGGATTTCCTATTTTTCTTCCATAAACAAATAGTTCGGAAAATTCAAAGAAATGTTTTGATTTAACATCATTCTCATCAATCATATGAATTAATATATATTGCCCTCTTATTGGTTGTGAACATTTAAAAATGTAACTTTTCCCATCCTTATAGCTAGTTTGTGCGGGATTAAAATTTTCAACACAATATTTATTCAATGTAGATTTCATTGTTTGTGGATAGTCGCTAATTGATATATACATGAAGGAAAATTCTTTTGAGTTTGCTATAGAAAAATATCAAAATTTTAGCCATGTACAGTATTTTTACTCTTATAAATTTGTTAATTAACCTGACGTAGCGCCAACTACAATCAAACCATATATTTCGTAGTAATATTCCAAGTCCAATCTAAAAAATGGTAACTTATTTATGTTTTCTTCATTCCTTGAGCGAAAAAATGTAGTGAGATTATTATCCATTAAATGTGAAAGTTGTAGATTAGGATTAAATGGAGTTCCCGCGTAAAATTTGTTGTTCGTATAGTCAATTATGTCATAATCTAAATATAATTTTGTTTACATTTCAGTCAACATAATAGGAAGAGAATGTATAATTTATCAATTACCTCGCTCTTTTATAAAATCTCCAAACACTTGCAAGTCGCACAATGATAGGTATTTAGTTCCAGCCAGATGATCAACTGTAAGAAAAGATCCAATTGCATTTACAGCGCAATCGTATGTTTCGTAGTAAGATAATGCTGTTGATAGAGCTCTCTTCACTATATTTTCTTTATAATAGCAGAAATTCCTTTTTGTACTCTTTGGAAAATCTTCAGCATAGATTGTAAAATTTTTGAGATCCTTATCTAAAAAGCGTAAGAAATTTTAATGACACAACTACTGTCTACGTAACAAAGATTACTACTAACAACGATTAGTATCTCTGCTAAGTACCATAACCTTTGTAATTAAGTATATTTTCCCAAGATCAATAGAAATCCATGAACCAGTTTCATATGCTGAAGTGGCACTGCATTGAAAGATAACAGTTTGTGGCAGATGATGTATATTAATGTTATCGTCATTAGCTCTGTAGGCATATGAAGTATCATCGGGAGAATAAACTCTAGTTGTTGATTGAAATGCTTGACGATTTCTGGCTATATTTACTTGTGAATTCTTGACAAATAGAAATTTTCCTGCTTTTAAAAAGTTATCATGATTTCAAACTTATATAAAATAGAGAAGAAGACCGTAATAGTAAAGAGTATTAAACCTGTTAGAATAAAAATTATCACACATTTAACCAACATTTTGTTAAGCAGCTTTCGTATTGTATGATGAACTTTTCCTACTGCTGAATGAGAGAATAATGACAAAGAATTGTAGATTGTTTAATATTTCACATGGCTTATAAATAAGGGATTTGTTTAAATATAGAACGTTTAAAATTTATCAAAAGCTACAACGACTGGAGCAATCTGATCCTCTCTATAAGAATGGGACGTCTTACTCCTAAAAGAGAAATCAAAAGAACCAAACAGGACAGTTGGTATGTTTTTTGTGAATAGCTAACATTTAACTATGATTTTTATTATAATTATTCAGAGCTATACTAGATGTTTTATTCATTATTCTCCAGTTATTATTGTGTGAGTTCGTATTTTAAATTTTGAACTGGTTCCGAATTAATAATGAAAAATATCGTTAATACTTTAAATGATTGATATTTTCCATAAATATACTTTATCTAAATATATGTAATTAGAGAAGGAATTAGTTATTCTTAAATGTATACATACTGTACAAATTTTATATGTGTTGTAACTACCGTAAAATAATTCAATTGTAATAGTTTAATACCATTTTTATAATTTTCAAGGACAAAGTATTTTAAAATGAATATAAATTTTATATATTCTCTAATATAAAGCCAAAAAAAGTATATCTGTTAAAGAAAGTGGAGTAGAAGTATGTAAAATTTACTTTAAAGACTGGTTCGTATTCTAAATTTTTTACCCGCCCATTTTATTCTGTTCTGAAACGTGAATATTACTACTAATTAACACTCATTAAGTATTTTCCTATATTCCATAAAGCAGATATACGATTTATTATCAAAAAAGTTCAGTTTTTAATATTTTATATACAATAATTGTGAAATTCATTCGTAAATTAGTATTTTGAAAATCCATCAAAGTGCTATTAACCATTACCGCCATTCTCGTAAATCTTTTTAGTTTTAGATTCTGTTTTTACAATAATCTTTAGTCAGTGTGAATCTTAATTGTCTTTAATAGATGTCAAGTCCAACTGAAAGTTCCAAAATGGGTGATAAGGAAATAGAATGCTCAATTTGCTCCAGCAGATGGTTTAGCATGGACGTTGTGGCCTTACCATGTTCTCATGTTTGCTGCTCGGAATGCTTCAAAGAACTTGAAGAAAATTATAAAGACAACTTGAGAATAGACTGCCCATCTTGTCAAGTAATGATGACCTTTCCAAAAGACGATTCGTCCTTTCCTTATTATTTCAATGAAACCGATTCAAACATATCATATGATATAGTTGTTGAAGTTCCTAATGTATCTGAAATTATAATTTCAGACTTGAATGAAAAATTACCAGACAATAAAGATCGTCAAAGAAGGAAATTTAATAATAACGGAGCTTCTGAGAACTTGAACACTATGGCTGTAGAAGGAAATAAACATGGTCTATTGAAGCTCGAAAAAACAATCTTTCTTCCCCTGAACGTAACATATGTAGTTGATATGGCCATAGGAAATAATCGACTTTATCTTCTCAGCTTTATTGGATCCATATTCGAACAATCAGAGGTCATAAGTTCTTATTCTCTAGATGGAAAGTTTAATGGTGATATTTTCAATGTATCACGTTTTCTCAAAGGATCAGTTGCGGACAGTCTTAGTATTTATAAAACGAAACCTATTGTATGTTTATGCTGTTCGCGATTGAACACTATATATACTGGCGATTTAAATAATTTAGGATCGACCTTGAGCCCATGGCTAGATATTGAATCTCCTACTAAACTGTGCATCACAGTTAAAGGCTTGATCATTACATTCAAAGAAACAACGTCTATAGGCTTATATGACGAATCGGCAAACTGCTTCTGGAAGTTAAATTTAGGTATCAAACTATTATCCGCCTGTGCACCGTATGACGGCGATTATATCTTTGTCATCGATGAAAGACAAAAATTAATCTTGAGAAATATTATAGACGGTCAAGTCAAGGTTATTTTTGGTAGTCAATTGAAAAATTGTTCGTATAATGTAGCACCGCTTCGAAACGGAATTGCCGTTGCCGAACAACAATCTCACTGCCTAAAATTCTACAACAGCAAAGGAATGTTTGACAAAACTTTAATTGATCTTGGTTACAGGCCAGAAAAAGTTACTTCCTCTGAAGAGAACAGCAAAAACATTATTTACCTATCTACAACTGTAAGCCGTGTGACTCGACTATCTATTTATAGAGAAACATAATAAAAGGCAACACTTTCCAAGTATATTTTGACCAGTAAGAATACTAATTGTGATAAGACAATGGAAAAATATTTATTCTTTTGTGCTAATTTTTCTTTGGTTTATTAATAAATGATACGTTGTTTTTTCCAAAACTCAACACGCTTGAAAGAAATATTTATCTAAGACTAAATACTGTCTCTATTAAAGTATTGTAAATTGCAAAATTTATAGACTGGTTCTGAATAAATACCTAAATAATACGACCTATTCTCGTAGTCTCCGTGGCGCAATGGATAGCGCGTCGGACTTCTAGTGGGCTTAGGCAATTCGGAGGCTGTGGGTTCGAGTCCCACCGGAGATGTAATTTTTTTTTTCTAACCAATTTTTTTTTTTATCTGAAAATACTAATTAAAATGAGCGCTAATGATCCGCTTATTACGTAGAAATTACAAGTAAAATCCTCAGTATTATAATAAGTAGATAGATATCTGTTTCTGAACTGACACATCATATTTTTTTATAAGAAAATAATATACAATGTAAAGAGACTTTTTGTTTAAAAGAAAAAGTTCATTAAAAACGTCTAACTTTAAAAAATAAAAAGAGAAAAACAAATAGTCTTTAAAGGATTAATTTCCCAAAAAGATTAACAAGTGATTCTTTTCGCCATTTGTTGCGAAGACGTAAAGATAATCTGTAAATAATTTAGAAGATAATGCAATCGATGTTGGAGTATATTCCAATTTTAAGTAATTTTCATCTATTTTTCCATCTTGATTTACGGCGATAATTGATTTATTTTTTGAATTTGTTAAGGCTAAACCCGTATGATATTGAATCATTTTTTCGCATTTATCATCAATTGCTAATAATTGGGAGGTGAGTCTGTTGCCGTATTTTAAATTTCTTTTAGTCAGTTGATTAGCTTCCGTAACGATATAAAAATGATCTTCAGTTTCTGCTCTAGATATTAAATTTATAGAGGATTCCTCTTTTATTGTCCAAAGTCTTAGTTTATTAGTTTGATACATTGATATCGAATAATTGTCTCTTCCTTCGGCGACTAATAATCCTTTCAAAACGGAACATATCGCTCGAACGTTAATAACGTTTAAGAATTTCGTTAACGTAACATCTTTCCTATAAAGTGGATAGCTATATATCGACTCCCTTGATTGGCAAACAAAGAATACAATTGATTCTGAAAGATCAATTGTTAATGATATAGCTGATAGATTATTTATTTGATTATTAACTACTAATAATTCTTTGATAAATTTTCCATCCAAATTGAACCATGTTAAGATGCAATTGTCGTTCTTGGAACAAAGACAATAGAGCTCCTCCTTATGAACGCAACAATCAATAACTTTAGTAATATTTTCATCTAATTCAATAAATTTCGTCATTGTAAATTTGGACAAAGATGGTTGAGTTAAAACGTGAACAGTTGTCATATCCTCGCTTTGTTCTTTTAATTTCAAAATGACTTCTGTATCTAAAGCTTTTCTCCTCAATCTTTGACAACTTTTTAAAATATTATCGCTTTCTTCTTTAAAGGAGCTGACTGAGGTAAAAATATCAAAAGCTTTCATAGAATTCCTAATTAAGCGTCTTTTATCTTTAAAAGCAGACATAAGATTATACTTTGTAATTTCCGATTGTCTTTCCACCTCTTTACGGACATTTTCAAAAAAATCATTCAGATTTTTTAATAATTCTGATTCTTCTCTCTTGCTTTCTTTCAGAAGATTCATAATTCGATATTTTTCATCTTTTATTAAACTTTTTCTATCCTCCATTCCAAAATATTCTTCCTCTTCATCATCTTCGTCGACTTCGTTCATTTGATCAACTTCCGTAGACTTAAATATATCTTCATAATTGTCAGAAATCTCTTGGAACATTGTAAATTTTGGTAAAGATAAAATTCCATTGCCGGGTAGACTAAATACCGAAGAACACTTTGGACAATTTAACTGTTTACAACCTTGAAATTTCTCCAAGCATTTCGAACAAAAAACATGAGAACAAGGTAAAAATCTAGGATCATTTTTCAACCAACTTTTATCGCAAATCGAACATTTAAAGGCTGGTTTATTCAATTTTACTCCCAAATTATCAGCCGACATTCTAATATTTTCTTCTATTTGATTAAATTTAAGAAATTTAGGAAAAATTCACACAAGACAATACTCTCCTTTGAGTAATTACATGAGTAGAGAGTTAGAAGTAAAAAGTTCACTTTCTCCTTCTAATATAGGCCACTGTTTCGAATGTTTTTGATTAATTAACTTCTAGTTAAAATTAACAAAAACTTTAAATTGAGAACATAATTCACAGAAACAAAGTCTGTATTATGAATCTTTTTCATTTTTTTACCTAATTTGTTCTAAAATAAGATAACTTACCAATTTCTCTAGCAGCTAATGATTTATTCATTATGACCTATGCCTTATAGTTTCAAATAAGGGGTGCAAGAAATTATTAATAACGACAACCGTAGGAATTTATTATGGTTACTCAATCAGATCAATGTTCGAGAACAATCTTAATCATTCATTAAGTCTTCATGATTATTTTTTGAATAAAAAAAACTATACTTTAAATCGTACGAATCGTTTTTATATTATATTTTGTATTACATTAACAAAGTAGTCTTTAATTGAACTCGTTCTCCACATGTTTAAAACGAGTGTCACGTGACATAGACACTACTCCAAGCAGGCAGATTAAAGATATCTGCAGAATATTTTTACTTGTGATAAAATAAATTTTTATATTATTTGTAAAAGTTTTTGAGAAGAAAAACCAACTATGGAAAAGTTACAAAAGGTTTCCGCTTCCGTTTATTATCACGTGTTAAAGTAATGAGAAAGAACTCATGGATCTATAGTGGCTGATCAACGTACCTTTGAACAATACAAAAACGCTTCTTCCAACTAAATTAGGCAATTAAATAAAAAAAACTTGGTGTAAAATGGCTCTTTCAAAAGTTTCCCCGTCAAATATGGAAATAGAAAGACTAATACCAAAAGTTGACGAACTGTTGAGAGATATGGATGTACTAATAAAAGAATCTCAAACTGAAGAAGAAAAGTTAATGCAAGCGCTAAAGAGTCGTTTAATTATGGTTCAAGCAATGGTTCATAAAAGATCTAAAGAAATATTGGCCGATTTAGAAAAGCAATTTAAAGATAAGCGGGAATCTTTAAAGTCCTTTTCAGATGAAGTTATGAAATTGAAAACTTATCACAGCAGCATGATAAAAAATCCAAGTATTATGAGCGACTTGGTCGAAAGGAAACTTGACACAATGAGACGTTGTATAAGTCTCAATTACAACGAAAATGACCTCGCAAAAATTGCAGATGTTACAGTAAGTGATTGTTTTAAGAATAATTTAAAGAAGAAGAAGATTATTCTCCTGGAAGACAATGTCGATATAAAACGTATAATCGTCAGAGAAGATTCCATATACATGTTGAAATTATTGAATGGAGAGGTTATACTTACTGCGTATTCTAACAAAGCAATCTTTATTAAGGATCTATGGAGAGAAATCGGATTTGCATCAGATTTTGATATTGATTTCGAAAGACGTACTGTCTATGTATCAGATGTTGGATCCGATATTAGAAGATCTAAATTCTCCATGGATGGATTATCATTTTCAAGATGGTCTGACACGCATAGAGTTACCAATATATTTTGCATGAAAAATGGTCTTATCATTTACGAATGCGGCGGTTGGTACAACGATTATTGTGAAAATATTATCATGCTAGATTTTGAAGGAACTGAGGTATGGAGGTTAAGACTGGCCGAGCATGTGTCAATTAACGTTTGCTATAGCAAGAGTCTAATTGCTACGTTGTGTGGTAAAACTCCTATCATTTATGATGGAAATGGTAACCCGATAAGTACAATTGCTCCCCAACGTTTCGACACGGATGGAGCTAATTTGCTATCATTTAATGTTTTTGGTCTAATCTGCGCTTTTCGCAACTATAATAAAGCTTTCAGATTCTGTGAAAGAGATTGGAAATGGATACCAGTTGATATTGGCTTTAAACCTAAAAGATTAGCTGTGTACAATGATCTTTTTGAAACGAGAATCTATGCTGTTGAAGAGAATAATAAAGAAAGGAGGCTCTACGTATTCCTCGACTAGTATATTTAAAATTTGTTATCAAGTTATTTTTTAAATTAGTGAAGAGTGATTTGTTTTCTTATGAAAAGCCATTTGTTATTTATATTTGTAAAATAAAGTTTAGTAAAGTGCTATTTTAAGCTCCTATCCAGGGTTTAATAATACAATCGAAACGCGCCACTTTTTTCTTGCGGAAACGGAATTGTCTCTTACCGGTTTTCATTAACTTCTTTCAGTGACTACTAAAAATTCTATTCGAAATCCTACATAAGTTATAATACAATATTTCATTATAAAATAATGGCAGCCGGATCCGACCAATGGTGTTTGATAGAAAGTGACCCTGGAGTTTTTACAGAATTAATTAAAGGCTTCGGTAATATTAAAAGTTTAAGTAAATAATCTATTATCGTTACCGGAACTGTTATCTTTCCAGGCGTTGAAGGGGTACAAGTTGAAGAGATTTATAATCTGGACGTTAGTGCCTTTGAAAGTATCAAGTCAGTTACTTAATTTTTAAAATTTAGTTTTAAATTAATTTTTTGTATATTTTTGTCAAGACCTGTTCATGGCTTAATATTCCTGTTTAAATGGCGCCAAGAAAAAGAATTTGATGGAACTCCAGTTCAAGACAGCCGTTTAGATAACATATTTTTTGCTAAACAAGTTTGTTTTCTATAGTTAACATCACCTTCGTTTATTGAAAATCGAATAATTTTTAGGTTATAAACAATGCTTGTGCTACGCAAGCTTTGATCAGTATTCTATTGAATGCTTCCCATCCTGATGTAAATATTGGATCAACTTTATCAGAATTTAAGGAATTTGCCTCCGCTTTCGACCCAGCTGTATGTAAATTTACAATTTGTTCTTTAATGTAATAAAATATATTTAACCATTTTTCATTGTAACAGACAAAAGGTCTCACACTTAATAATTCGGATGTGATTCGGAGAGTTCATAACAGCTTCTCACGTCAGCAAATGTTCGAGTTTGATGAAAAAATGTCTAAAAAGGAAGAGGACTCTTTTCATTTCGTCAGTTACGTTCCAATTGACGGTCGCTTGTATGAATTAGATGGTTTAAAAGATGCCCCTCTTGATCATGGACCTGTTGGTGATGATTGGTTAGCGGCAGCCAAACCTGTTATAGAAAAGAGAATTTTGCGCTACACAGATGGCGAAATTCATTTCAGTCTTTTAGCTTTGGTCTCAGACAGACAAATGTTAGCTGAGAAGAGAATTGAAGAGATTAGACGAGAAATGGAGGTGGGAATGGAAACAGATGCTCTACAAGATGAGTTGGTTATACTCCAACAAAGAATTGAAGAAGAAAAATCTAAAAGAGAGAGATATCAGACGGAAAATGTGAGAAGAAAGCATAACTATCTCCCATTCATTATGGAATTGCTGAAAATTTTGGCGAAAGAAGGCAAACTTGTTGACTTAGTAACCCAGGTAAAAACATTCTATTTATTAATTTTTTTATATAATTTGAACAAACAGTAAGACATGTTTATTTCCAGGCGAAAGATAAACAAGCTGCCAAGAAGAAAACAGAAACAGTCAAGTAGCTAATTCTTAAATTTATCGTTGTTAGATTGTTCTGTAATACACAACCAACGAGTAGCTAATTTGTAAGATGGTTTATCTGATCCATCGTCATAGGGAATATGCCAAATACCATTGTTATATTGAACCCTAGTGTCAAAGGAATCTGGATACTGAAATAATTTTTAATTATTAGTAAAAAAACCAATAAAAACTTTCGACTAACCTTAAATTTGAAAAAGGTTTTTCCATATTGATTTTTTTTCAAACCTAAAAATGGTACTTGATTAGTTCTCTGCCATATCTTAAACTGTATGAGAAATAATTGGAAAGAATTATAAATAATAATATGCTAAGCATTAACAAGCAATTATTTGCCTTTAATCCCAATTCACCACCCAATAAATATTTATGATCTCTTAGCTCATCTAGTGTAACAATTTGAGTTTGTCGACCGCTTGATAATGCAGCATAGAGTGTCATTTTATCATCTTCTGATCTGATGTGTCGAGATACCAAATTAATTAACTTGAAATTTTTGTAATAAATAAATAAATATACTTGTTATCAACGAAGAAGCACTTTGCTTTGTCTTGAATTTCGTCCATGAATTTTCCAGGCCAACTTAACATATGCTTTCTACCCAAGACTAATACTCTCTTACGCCTCACGTCCACTAAGTAATTTATAACGCTTCTCAGCTGGAATGGATTAGAGAATTTCTTAATTTATATTTCGTTATAAATAGTTTAGCCTCTTACTAATTCCGCCCTTTGTTTAAGTGTAATATGTTTTGGTGCAGCATAGGCAACGTTTAATCCATCTACGATCATGTCAAATCTTCCACTTTCATTCATAAACGTAATGAACCTCTGAAGTTCTTCGATAGTAGTTGAAAGGAATATATCATCTCGCTCAACTGCTAATTTTAGGAAAGACCTCCTAAGACGTTCAAAGTCAGTCAATCCTAATTTAGGTAAAGGCAGTAACTTTTGCGAACAGCATGGGCAGGTAGACTTCCTAGGCTCTATATTATTAATGCAGTACCCTTCCCTGTAAATAATTATAGAAAACGCCATGTTATACTACTGTGGTGTGATGATAATACCTTACAAATGCTTCTTTTATGAGTTCCATTTGCCTAGCCCCAGGTATCCATCTATATTCATAATAATAAAAAAGTAGATCCAAGAGCCATTTTTTTCCTTTCTGAATGAAATAATTAACTATCTTTTCACTAACGTAAACATCATGTTCGTGGAGTGCCTTAGCTAATTTATCTACTTCTTTCTTATCATCAAATCTGAGAGCCGCCCTAAATAAAGGAGAGTAAAATTCAGGCCCTAAAGTATGAGAAGTTAATTTAGCCATGTCCAAGTATCTATAACCGTCCCTCCATCTATCTGTTGCCGATAAACCAATGATTATAGACTGGCATGTATCAACATCAAAGAAGTCGGCAATTTGATGAATTTCCGTTAGCAACTGATCTATTCTATCAGTTTCAGAGCTTCCTCTTTCTCCGCATAGTCTCAACGCAGCACTTAGAATTGTTAGTCTATTACGATCATCTACTTTTTTTGATTTCATGTAATCATAAAGAGATATGCCAAGTTCGAAATCATCTTTCTTCAAATCAGATTGATGAGCGTAGTGACGAAGAAGTGCATTAGTCCAAACTTGCTTAAATCGTTCATTTATATTTAAACTATTTATTTTCCTGTCACATTCCACCCAAAAGTCAATATCTTTATATTGGTTATCTTTTATAAAAGACAAGACGGTTTGAAAGTGTTCGTCATTTCTCGCATCTGATTTTATTGTTCTGATGGAACCTTTAAAATTATTGAAAAGTAAAATAGGCCTTAAACCTCTACCAGTTAGCAATTTAAACATTCAAAGAAAAATTTGATTCTCAGTGATTTGACCTAAGTTTGTCTTATTTACGGCCGTACAACACGTGCGAAATAAATAAAAACTGGTATAAAGGTTAAACGATTCAGGGTCTAGTATTCGATTCGATAAGATATTAAACTATAAGTCAGATAAGAACGATTCGATAATCGAGTTCTTTTTGATTTTTATATATAATATTTCACGTCAAAATGGCTGCTCGGCGAGCGACGTCTAAACTTACGAAAGCTTTAAAAAAGACAGCTGAGAAAGTGGTTGTCGATCCTTTCCTAAAATCATATATACCAGCTGGAAAAGCTGTTCCAGCCCCTCCATTAGGGCCAATGTTAGGTGCACGTAACATACAAATCGGTCAATTTTGTAAGGACTTTAATGAAAGAACAAAAAACATCAAAAAAGGAATACCACTACCGACAAGAATATGGGCTAATCCAGATAAAACTTATAAAATGATTATACATAAGCCACCTCTCACTTATTTTATTAAACAAGCGGCTGGTATCAATCGTGGAGCGATGAAACCTGGCAAGGAGACTGCAGGTTTGAATATTCTTAATCTTTATTTTTGGTTCATTCGATCAATTTTCATTCCAATTTATTACAGGAAAAATATCTTTAAAGCACGTTTATGAAATAGCTAAAATAAAAAGTGAAGATCCTTGCTGGGAAAACGAGGATATGGAAACAATTTGCAGATCGGTTATAGGGGCAGCTCATAGTTTAGGTGTTGAAGTAGTAAAATCATTAAGTGCTGAAGAATATAAGGAGTTCCTCGATGAAAGAAGACAAATTGTTGATGAACAATTAACAGAACTGGAAGAATCTAGAGCTGCTAAAATGTTGCGAGTTGTACAGTAGAGCTCAGATAGTTAGATAATTAACATCAATTTTCCGAGAAATGTAAAGTACACTATAAATAGAATAAATAAATTGCTCATTACTAAAGATCCGCAGTGAAATTTGCAATGGACGGTATATTTTCAGAAATAATAATTTTATTTTTTCAAAAAAAAAAGGAAACAAAACCAAAAAACATAAAAAAAGAAACAAACAACTCACTCATCAAAGGATTTCCTGAAGAACATTTTATAAGACTTGTTCGAAAACTAATTATAATATGTTTGTAATTTATCGCATTATTTAGATTTTTTTCCATTCAATCAGATAAAACAAGAAAAACCATTTCTTTTCCTAAAGACATTTTCCACAACAATTACTCCCTTATCTTTTTTCCCTTAGATTTCTTAGATTTTCTTTTCCTCTTATCCCTGTCAACTGCTATAAGGCCTTGGTGGTGAAGTTGACGATGCATTTTATTGGCCTTTGTTAGTGTATTTAGAAATATCTTATCACCCTTAGTATTTGGAAGTGGCGGAGCGACATCTTTTTCTGATGCTTTTAAACGAAGTGTTCTCCTACCAATTGAGCTATCAGAGCTTTGACTTTCTGTATCAACTGTCGACTTTTTTGGAGCGACTGGAATTAAATTGAACGCCAGCTCTTTGTGAATATCTCTCCTGACAGCCCCCGTACCGCTATAAGCCGATCTATCTATTCTTGTCTGGGCGTTTCTTTGTGCTGTTTTTGTCCTTTCAAACTCGAAAACAGCGGCTTCTCTTGCAGCTGTAGCACTCCTCGTTGTTCGCCTTACAGGAGTTTGTCTCCTGCGGCTTTTACTTTCTCTTAATTCGTACGGTTCTGTTGATAGGCTTAAACTTTCTAGTAATTCTTGAGTTTGATTTTCTAAATTTTTCGATTCCTTTCGACGTTTGTTTGAGATATTTTCATTCGATGAATACGTATCCTCTTCATATAATACAGCAGCAGACTCAGCTAAAGGAGGAACTTGTTTAACGGAATTCTTGCTGGGTGGAGGATTAGATTCTGGAGGAGATTGCCCTAATGAGCTTAATATCTCGTGCACATCGGCTTGTTCCACTACATTAAATCCTAAATCTTGACTATTTTCCACCTCTTCGATTCCACCTTCCTCTTTCTCTTCCTTCGTATGGGTGGCTATATGAGCTTGTAAATCTTCAGTAGTCCAAAATCTTCTTGAACACATGGTACATTTATTTTGTATATGTTTATTATGAATTAGTAAGTGCTCGTGGAGATGATGGGATCTGGCAAATTTCTTATCGCATTGTGGGCATTTAAGGGCGTCGTCCGAGTGAATTTTTAAATGATTCTTTAAATCGTAACGGTGTCGATATTTTTTGCCGCAAACAGCACATTGATAATTTGCTCCTGATTTATGTGTGTCTGTATGCCTCTTAAGAGCGGAAGGTCTTAAGAATTCTTTGTTACATTCCGTACAGGTATATAATTTTTTCTGACGATTTTCCTTCTTCTTATTTGATTCATCTGCCGCTCCCTCTTGATGACGAATTAGATGCTTATCCAACGATCTTGTTGTTTTAAAAGGTTTCTTGCAAACAGGGCATGTAGGCCTCGGTGCGTTGCTATGATCATCTTGAACATGTCTTCGTAATGCCCGCTCGTGTTTGTATCGATTCTTACATAATTTACATGCATAACGCCTTACATCAGAGTGCGTGTCTTCATGCTCTCGCAGTTTGTTCATTGAGACAAATTTTTTATGGCAAACTGAACAGGTGGGAACTTCTTCGCCACGATGTAATTTAGAATGAAAAGCTAAGGCTCTCTTTCTTCTGAATCTCTCACCGCATTCTCCACATTCGTAGATAGCAGCAGTGTTATGCACATCCATATGATAGGCTAAAAGTGATGGACTAGCAAATCTCTTGTGGCAGACGCTACACGCGTAAACAGTTTTTCCACCATGCTCCACGTGTTCGTGAGCCCTTAAGGAGCGTTCGTGCTTATATTTTTTACCGCACATTACGCAAGCGAAGGCGGCTCTCGACGAATGTACGTGCATATGGACGGCTAACCGTGAGGCTATTAGAAAAATCTTGCCGCACTTCGGACAACGATGACATCGTTCGCCCGTATGAATTCTTTCGTGCATTCTCATATACATTTTACTCTTAAAGCACTTTCGACAGTGTTTACATTCGAATTCTGGTATACTGGAATGGCTAGCTAGATGAGTACGAAGGTAATTAGTCGTTGTGAATACTCCTCTACACACGGGACAGGTATGCAGTCCTATGCCCGTATGCAGTTTCATATGCTGGGTATGCGATGTTTTTTGCCTGAACGATTTACCACATTCACGGCATTTATAACGAGGCGTCGAAGCGTGCGTGTCCATATGGCGTGTTAACAGGGAGGGAGTCGTACATTTTCTGCCGCAAATCTTACAAACGTGTAATCCCAAATTCTTGTGCATTTTCATATGTCCAACAAGATTGCTCTGCCATCTATAAACCCTTTTACATATTTTACATTTATATTGAGCTTCCCCATGTTTGCACTGATGCCTTTCTAAACTGCTTGCAGATTTAAAGCTCGTATCGCATATGTCACAGGTGAATGATTTGTTTCCAAGTCTGGATTTTCCGTCTTCTTCGCTCATCACGAATTTTTGCCTAAAGTTGCAAAATTGTTGGCTAAATAGATGAAAATTATAAATAAAATAACTACTTCTATAAACACATTCTCATCTTTCTTCTCAAATGAATAAGGGTGATAGAGTTACTGTAGATGTATTGTATTTATTATTACAGCTGCAAATCTAAACTAATTCGATACGTAAACGTCCATTAATATCATACTCATCATAGATATAAGCTGCCTTACTGTCAATTATTACAACGCGTAGCGCAGAAGGAGTATTGACATGTACAGCATCTCTATGCTACTGTATTTCTCCAGCTTTTAAAATATTTTCTTGTCTAGTATTTCAACAGTTTATGTTTTGTAAATAAACAATAATTATTTCTTACTATAAATCTTTATAATAAGTCATTAAAAAATAATATAAAATGCATTAAATAAAAAGGAAAATCGTTAATTTGTATCATATTATTTCCCTAGTTCTTTTAGTCAGGTGTTGAAAATAGTTTTCGGTTGAGACATTTACAACATCTGATTATTTTAATTTCCATTTCACTTTTTATTTTTAATATACTTATTACTACATTTACAAGTTAAGATAGTTCCAGTAATGTATTTGGTTACAAATTGCAGGTCCGACAAACCCGACTGCGCGTACAATCAAATAATATCACCCTATTATCGCTCAGTAAGTATAGGATAGTTTTCTAAACGAACTCTAGTTCCAACAAACGACATGAGTAGAAGTAATATATATATAAATTATGAACTAACCTGAGACTAGTCTTTGTTAATTAATTGTTGAAATTGTTGATTTCACATTAAATAAACAAGAGAAGCTCATTTTCCTACATTGTATACACTAGTGAAAAATAATTCGATGTTTCTTCGATATCCACAACTAATTAGCATAATTTTGTTTCGTGTTTTGAAAGACTCTTATTAATTATCATTATATTTTTCTAAAAACACTAGAGGCTACCTTTCACGATAAATTTTTATTAAACTGTAACCATAGAAACGTTACCGCCATGACCAAATAAACATGGCGAAGGCCAATTGATTTGTTGTAAACAACATTAAGCTATAACTCAAATCATTGGGTAATAATGGGAAACATTTACTTAAAATGATAATATAATTATATTATTAGCTAATCATGGATAAGACGGTTAGTGCAGAAAAAAGAGGATCTTTACATGATCTATTAGCAACTGTTGTTGAAGTTCATAAGAAAGATATTAATGATTATACGTGGGGTCATCTAAATGAAGCTAATTTACCTAAAATAGGGTGGAAGTCAAGTCATGTTGAATGGCATGGCTCAAAAACACCAAGAAGCCGACCTCTCAAAAGTCGACAAACTATTACTCCAATTCAACCGAGAAAGCCAAAAACAACGGATGAAATGAAAGATTCCGTTATGGCTTTTAGTGTTGGTACAAACGGAGCTCTAAGTCTTAAAAAAGACAAAGAAACTCTAGCTTCAAATTCGGCAACTAAAGGAAAGGTTCTAGTCGAGGAATTGCCCTCTAGACTAATACATCATTGTATTCCATCAGTGGATGGTATAGCTTTCACAAAAAAGGAACAATACGATCAACTACGTAGTTTCGAAGAAAATGTCCTTAAAAAGAGCCAACTGCTAGAAAAGAAAATTCTTAGCGGCGTAGCTACAGTCGAACCTCATGAACATAACCTTCAGTTAGAATTGAAAGAATTGAACGAAATTGGTGCTGGCGCTGGAACAAATCTAATTAAACTGCAAACATATGCTAATACTTTTCACGATCTTGCTGAAGATGCTAATATATTTGGTCATCTATTTAGGACAATAAAGGAAGAATACGATAGTTATTTGCAATGGTTGTTAGAGACTCATACTACTCGAATTCCAATTCTACAACAACAAGTTTGTAGAATAATTACCTAATTGACGTATTAAGTTTAATTAACGTGTGTTGATAATTTAGATGAGAAATTTAGAAGAAAGGGAAACTTCAAGACCAAGTCGTTTAAAAGAAGAAGAAGATCGAGTGAAAAATCTTGAAGACAAAGCCGAAAAAATACTGGAAGAAAACGAAAATCTCAGAGCAGAACTTCGAAAAGAAGAATTACTGTTATGCCAATTGGAAAACAGTAATTACATTATTCATTATATTTATTTATACCTTCATCTAACTTGGAAGTATTCTTTCTTTTAAGCTGAACCTGTCAAGGCAACAACGAAATTCATCCCTAAGACCTCATCGGAACAAGTTGAATCGCTTAGGGTCTCTATATGGGAAAAAATAGATGATATAGAAAATATTCGCAAAGATCTCAATTCGAATTACGTTCCAATATCAGTTTGTACCTATTTGGAACAGTGTTTGAAAGATACGGAAGTCTGTATAATAGTTAATTTCATAATCGCTTAAATAATCCCTCTTAATCTTTAGGTAAACATTCAAAAATTGTCTGGTGAACGAGATTACTTTGTGAGAAATGTCACTGAATTAGAGATGGAGCTTCAAAACGCAATAAGCATGGCGGATACAACTGAAAAGGACGCAAAGTTTGTAGCATTGACTTTAAGATTATATTAAATTAACTTTTAATCATATACGTTTCGCTTAAAAAGGAGAGTCTGGAGGAAAATAAGGGCTGTTAAGGCTTTAATGAGTGCAAGCGGTACAATGATTGTTGAAGATATGACGGAAGAGGAGGAAGACGAATGCAAATGGAACTGGTACATTTCCTAATTAACTAATTTACATAATTGTTTTTATAAATAAATATACAAACATATATTGATACTACGTTAGCGTATATATATATATATATATATATACTTCTCATCACTATAAAAGATTAATATCATTATCTAAGAAGATATCACTCTTTAAAGAAACTACATGAAAGGAGAACTTAGCATTAACATTCTTGATTGGCGTTAACAATATCTTTATCAAAGCTGAAGACTGAAATATCTATCTTTATAGTTGAAAGGTTTTTCTCATTCTATTTACTTACTTTCTGTAAATACTATATGTATTAATATACTCTATGCAGACAGATTTATACCTATATATACAATATATACTGTATATATACACACACACACACATGTATGCTATCCTTCCTATCAATCATTGATAATTTATTGCTTTAGAATTTTATATATAAAAATAGGCGTAAAACTCTCTATTATTTTCCCACGTTAATTACTTTGACTATTTCTTTCACTTTCTACTTTTAATCTTGTCTTTTGTTCTTTTATTTTTTTTAAAAAAAAAACTTTATCTTAAAAAAATTTAAGGCTTTTTTCCACCTTCCTTAGTTTTATGTAAATTAAATTATTTACTCTTTCAAATTGTATATAACTTGCTTTTTCTTTTCTACTTTTAAACAAACTATTTAAAAGTATTTATATTTCTAAGTAATACATCAGCTCATTAATCATTTTTATAATAAAATTCCTATATTCTATATTGCACAATACGAACGAATGTCTTCTTATGTCAGTTTTGATTGTATGAAATGAACAGAAGCCGTGGCGTAGGGCTTGTGATTGAGTCAAAAGCAAACACATCCACAGTCAACCTTACGTCAAACTCGATACTTCTGTTTTTGATTTTTTTTTCTTTTTTTCTATAATATTCATTTATCATTCAATTTTCTTACAGATTTAAACTAAAATGAATGAAATATCTTTCTTCTTCGGAGAGAGAGATACATAGATAGAGAGACAATATTAATGATTTCCCTATATTGCGCAATCATTACAAAACACGAATATATTGTAGTTTTATAAGAAAATCTATCAAGTGAGCCATGGCTCGGAGTTTTAGAGTTTGAGCCCGAAGCAAATTCACTATAACTCTGAGTGCTAAATTGATACTCTCTTCTCTTTTTCTTTTTTTTAATATCTTTCAATGAATTAATAAACTTATCCATTAAAATTTTAACAAACAGATAAAACAGCACAAAATGCGATTATTGTTAGAGTTTTTAATCAAATTAAAGAACAGTTAAACACCTTTTGTTTACAATTCCTATTTTTTATTTACATCTATTTCAATATTTACATAATTCATTCAACTTTAATATTTTTAAATTTCAAATGTCACGTCTGTAAATTCAAGCTACACTAGTTCCATCTGGTTGACTGCTTTCATAGTACAATTCATATGATAATCTGTATTGCACAATATAAGAAAGTTTCTACTTATGTTGATTTTGATAGTAAAAACTCGACGGAAGCCGTGGCGTAGGGTTTGTGATTGAGTCGGAAGCAAACACAACAAAAATCTGTCGACTTTACGTCAAACTCGATACTTCTGTTTTTGATCTTTTTTTTCTTCTATGATTTCCTTCTTTAATTCATCATTTTTCTCTTCAACTTTTCAACTGTTTTGAATTCTTTAGTGTTTATTTTACATGTATAAATGATATTTCGTTAAAAAATACATAATTTAAATGTAATCTATATGATATTTGAAACAATTTTGTATAGCGACACTAGCCCCATCTGGTATGTTTTAGAGTTACTACAATGATTCTATTCTTGCACAATTATTGCCTGTTCAGCTTATATAGCAGTTTCTATGCGTAGAATTACGGGTGAGCCGTGGCTTGGAGAATTTGAGCTTGAGCCTGAAGCAACCTCCCTCCCTCTCCGAGTTCTAATTCGACACTCACCTTTTTGTTTTTTCAACACTTCCATTTAATTATTAGTGTTAATTTTACAAATACAAATGATATTTCGTAAAAAAAAATACATACTTTAAGCATAAACTATAGGATATTCTAAATAATTTTTGTTGAGCAACGCTAGCACCACCTGGTATATTTTAGAATTATTATAATAATTCTTTTCTTGCACAATCGTTACTTGATCGGCTTATATAGCATTTTCTTTGTGTAGAATTACAGGTGAGCCATGGCTCGGAGAATCTGAGCTTGAGCCTGAAGCAAACTCTCTATCTCTTCGAGTGCTAATTCGACACTCGCCTAATTTTTTTATATTTGTATTTTTTTCTTTTTCTTTAGCTATTCTTCTCTTTCTTAGTTTCGTTAATAGAAAAGTATAGAGTTTTCTTAATCTTTATTTAAAAAATACTAGCCCCATCTAGTATTTTTACTGATTTTGCTTTACTCTTTAACTAGATTGCATAATCATTACGTAATCTTTGACCATTCTGCTTATTTAGAACTTTTTAAGCGTAGAATTACGGGTGAGCCATGGCTCGGAGAATTTGAGCTTGAGCCTGAAGCAATCTCTCTCCCTCTCCGAGTTCTAATTCGACACTCACTTTTTTGTTTTTTCAACACTTTCATTTTAATTATTAGTTGCTTTATATAGATATGTAACAATTAAAAGCAGAGCCACAATCGCTATATTGAGCTATACGAATACTTGTTAAGAAGTTTTTATTTGAATTTTAAAAATACTGTAAAACGACCTTTTGCACTGTTTTCAACTATTTAAGTTTGAGCTTTAATCTGAAAATTTAGCTCTAAGATTTGCTTTAGAGTGTATAGCACTAGCTTTTATGTTTAATAGTGTCAAAAAAAAATGGAAAAAATAGAGGCAGTGTACTTTTTAATAGTTTTCTCTTTTAAAAAAATATGAATATTATTAATTTAGAAAAATACAACAAAAAGGCGAGTGTCGAATTAGAACTCGGAGAGGGAGAGAGGTTGCTTCAGGCTCAAGCTCAGATTCTCCAAGCCACGGCTCACCCGTAATTCTACGCATAGAAACTGCTATATAAGCTGAACAGGCAATAATTGTGCAAGAATAGAATCATTGTAGTAACTCTAAAACATACCAGATGGGGCTAGTGTCGCTATACAAAATTGTTTCAAATATCATATAGATTACATTTAAATTATGTATTTTTTAACGAAATATCATTTATACATGTAAAATAAACACTAAAGAATTCAAAACAGTTGAAAAGTTGAAGAGAAAAATGATGAATTAAAGAAGGAAATCATAGAAGAAAAAAAAGATCAAAAACAGAAGTATCGAGTTTGACGTAAGGTCGACAGATTTTTGTTGTGTTTGCTTCCGACTCAATCACAAACCCTACGCCACGGCTTCCGTCGAGTTTTTACTATCAAAATCAACATAAGTAGAAACTTTCTTATATTGTGCAATACAGATTATCATATGAATTGTACTATGAAAGCAGTCAACCAGATGGAACTAGTGTAGCTTGCATTTACAGACGTGACATTTGAAATTTAAAAATATTAAAGTTGAATGAATTATGTAAATATTGAAATAGATGTAAATAAAAAATAGGAATTGTAAACAAAAGGTGTTTAACTGTTCTTTAATTTGATTAAAAACTCTAACAATAATCACATTTTGTGCTGTTTTATCTGTTTGTTAAAGTTTTGTTAAAAGGGAATTTAATAAGAGAGTTTTTGATAAGATAATTCGACTTTATTAGATGTTTCTTTATCATTTCCTCTATTATACTATTTTTTAAATATTCTTAGATTTTGAGCATTTTTCTATTGAAAGATACTATTTGGAAAGATTGTTGTTAATCTATTATTGATATGATGAAACGATCGTTTCGAAAAGGTAGACTAGTAGAGGAGATAAGAACTTTTTTTAATCCATAGCAAGATGTTTATTGTTTTATTTGTACTGAAGATCAAGCGAAGTTGCCTTCGTATAATAATTCTACGATACCATTCGCATCAGCAACTTGTGGACCAATTCATTTAGATGGTTTCCATAATCTACACGACAGGATGAAGAATATCATTTATCCTAGTATTTATGTCAGTCCAGCAGGTCTGTTAACTGTTTTATTCAAGTTTAACGTATCTGTTGAGATGACTAAGGATAAAACTATTCGAGTTGTAAATCATAGGTCTTTAAAAATGGAAATATATTAGTAATAAATATTATAGCGCTATTTGATATTTAAGATTTAGAACGGCTATCTCAGTTAACGCTGATGGAGAATCGAGCAGCGTTTACCACCCGTCGGCAAGGATGTATCAGGATTGTTCGGTTACGGATTGTCTACTTTATTGGGATAGAAAGGTTAAATTGGGATCTGATTACGCTATTTTCGGTCAAGGGAATACTACTTATGAAATACGAGAAAAGAATTTCTTAATTTGTCAGCCTAATTTCAGAGATTTGTATAATGATCTGACTGTTAGCCTATTATATTCATCCTCGGGCTATGGTCCTGATATGCTACCACAGTATTCGCATCTTGTTAAGAATGCCCAATATAAATATCATAATAATGGAGCAGTTTCAGTTATTATAAATGATGTTTGTAAACTTTTATACAATGTCATCGTAACTCTTTCTTTTATTAAATTTTATATTATCAATTAAGGTTAAAATCTATCAGACTCCGAGAGGAGATTTAACAGTAACGATTTGGCCTAAAGTCATACGAGTATCACCAGTTAATGGGTGCATATTGCTTAAAAGTAGCCATATTCGGTTAACTGTTGACGAAAACTGGAAAATAAATATGCAATCTGGCAATTATCAGGTGAAAGCAAGTACAATTGGATTTTGTATTGTTAATGGTATTTCAGAATATGGATTTACGGCATCAAGGCAATTTTACTCGATTCCTATCAATGAATTTTATACTTTTCAAAATAAAGGAGAGAAAATGAAAGTAGTTCAAGATAATGATAATGATAGAGATGATATGAAAAACATTTTAGAAACGAAAGCATGCGATTTAAACGTTTCAACTATTAGAAAAAAAGATGATAATTTATTTAACAGTCATTCAATAAACAGAATAGAGAATTCCCCATCCAAAGATTCTAATAGCTGTTTCGAATCTTCAGAAGAAAAGTATAAAAAAGAAAGAAATAATAGGAATAATTCGCCTAAAGACCCTATCTTTAATTTATCATTAAATATAGATGGGAAGAATAATATTTAAGTGGGGAAAAGAAGAAAATAAAGAAAAAACACTGAATAATACATTCGATAAATGAGTTATAAAATAAAAACAGAAAGAAATAAACAAAGAATTTAGGATAATGAAAGCAAATGAAGATTTAACTTAATTAGGGAGAGGCAGTCTACTTTTTTTTATAATAAAAGCGATAGGGATTTGTTATAATTGACAATGAGATGAGTCTTATTCAGATTTTTATAAAAGCTTCAACTGTGTTGTGTTTAATTCTTTTTCTCCTGTTTAGTATTGTAAAATAGTATTATTAATTGGTTTACTGTATATTCATTTTTAAGCCTATAAGCAACCTATCAATATATCAATCCGTCATGCTAATCCTAAATCCTATTAGGTAATTTGGTATTTATGATAATGTTTTTTTTTTCAACACCAACTGTAGTTTAGCTTTTCTACTAATAAAATGTATGGGAAGAACGAATAGTTCTGAAGAGAATAAACGGAAGTGTGATAGGCAGGAAGGAAAAATTAAGATTAAATTACAACTGCATATAGAATAAAGATAAAAGAGATTAGTGCTTTCAATATGTTTTCCTCAATTTAGGCGAAAAAAAATCAATTATTTCTTAACCTAAAATCCAATTGAATTGCTCGTAAAATAAATGATAATCCGTTTTCTCTTACTACAATGAAAACACTTCAATTCAGTCAGAATTGGATGAATTATTTAGGTAGAAATCGTCTGGCAATTGATTAGTTTATCTAAAAGTACAAGCTTCTATATGGGCAAGATTTTCTATATTTTAAACAATAAATTATTACATCAGTAAATAAATCACGCTCTGTTTTGCAGACGACTCCATTGTTCTGATATTGATATTCCTATCAACAGTAGAAAGAAAAAAGATCGATCGTTAAAAAATGTTCTGTTAATTCAACAGTTTTATTAAGATAAAGAACATTTTCAACAGTAAACGAAAAATAGAAAATTTAATTTCGCAATTGTGGAAGTTTTATAATTGATTTAAACGATTATTTAAAAAAGAGTCAAGAAAAAAAATTCAATATTTTAAATAAATGACAAACAGTTTCCAAATAGAGACAATTTTATCTAACATATCGTTTGTATGGCAAAAAATAGAGACAGATATAAATATGTTGTTCGGAGCAAGATCAAATAGCCTAAATAGCCATATAGCATCAATTAATCAATAGATTATCTTCATTGTGTTTGTTAACAGAATTCTTAGTTTCTGGATCTATTATATCCAACATTTTAGTCAATTTTGGTATATCAATAACCATATCATTGACGTGATTTGCAGGATAGGCTTGAACCCTCCAATATTTTTGTCCAGTCAGATCAGATATTGCCCAGAATATTGCATGCGGTAATGCGGGAATATCGTAGCCTGTCTTCGTTACGGGAACGTATTCTATCACAGCAACATCCAAAGATGCATAATTCATGTTATAAAGAGCTCCTCCATGTGTTCCTATTATAATAGAAGTTTTAGAAAAAACCTTAATAGCTTCCTCTAAATTATATTTTGCATCGAAAACTATTAATCTCTCTTTATATCGTGACGCCAAATAATCGATGACATTTCTTTTATTATGAATTCTTCTTCCAGGATTGACCGCACCGGCTCTTGTTAGTAACATGATAGTGGCTTCATTTTTAGGAACTGTTATGCGATCCGGCACTCCAAGAAATCTTCGCCCTTGTTTCCAAAGAACTGGATGAAGAGGAGGAGCTATACAAGCGAATATAAGATAATCCGCACTATAGACAGTAACATAGTCGCTCCTTCTATGCCAAACTATTCTTTCGTTCGTTATATTAAACTTTGTCAGAAGAAGAAAAATATTTTTGTGAAAAGGTCTCTCTAGTAGAACAGTAACCTCGGGTCTCCTTAGAATTTCCCACGCTTGTACTAACTTTGGTAATGTACCGTCGTAGAAATGTTGAAATAAATAACCCATTGGGATAATCATTGGGGCTAAAATTCTATAATGTCTATTTGCTCTTCTCGTCTCACTGAAATATTCGACGTTTGATCTAAACCCGCAATCGTAAAACATTTTAAATGTTGCGTTCTTAACAACTTGAATAACACCTTTTAATTGTTCTTTAGTATTCGGTACGAAATTTCCCTTATTCCTTTCACTTTTGAAAAATAGAGTTCTATCCTCATCCGACGGGAATAACGGTTCTTTCCGTTTAAAATTCTCATAGTATAAAGTCATTAGAGGCATTTCTTCCGTTTTATACTTTCTTATACCCATATAGAAATCATATAAATTATAATAAACATTGTCATGAGATTTTTGCTTTTCAAAGTCTGTTCTATCATTAATTAAAGGTGATAAAATATTCCAATTCGGATCAAGGTGTTGTGCCTTTGTAGTTCTGATATCCATCGTTTTACTTACAGTAAATACCTCTTGTTTCGCATTTGATTGCAGGTCAAAACTAATTTTATTAGAACTATCACCAAAAATCTTCTTATCAGTTGAATTTAAGAAAAAACAAATACCCAAAAATAAATTAATAGAGCATAACAGTATCACACCTATCGCACATTTTCGAAAAATAGCCATATCTGCATTTATAAAGGAAATATTATTATTGTACTCTAATATGGAATACATTGAAAATACCGCTTTTAAACATATTAATATGCTGTTTCATTCATTAAATTTTATATAATAATATTGATCTACTTGCACTAGTTCCGCAGGACAGTCGATATGCCCTTTGCAATTTCCATTAAATCATTTATAGAATAAAGATGACGATGATAGCGCAAAAGTGACAGTAAACTGAGTAGTTACTAATATACTGACAACTGTTAAAAGACAATTTTTAGATTATACCTATTCAATAATGGGAGCATTTTAGTTGTTTTTTTTAAGGAATAGCTTCTGAAAGCACCATCTAATATATCAAAGAGTTAATCAATATTATTTCAGCCATATACGTTTGTTTAAAAACTATTATTTCAAATGTTTATCAATAAGGATACAGAAATAATTATATAATAATAAAGAAGTATGATTTTTAATTAATCTGATGAAAAAATCTTTATAATTCTCGTCAAGAAATAGGTAAGCCCTTGTCACCAACCTTGAATATCGCTCAAAAAAAAGGTAAAGAAAAATTAAGTCGTTAAATAAACAAAGAGAAATACCGGTTATTTATCCTTCCACATTTTCCAATATATAAGCTCAATATATATCAAAATATCGTGTAATCATTCCTAGTATTTTGGATGAATCTCGCATGCTTATAGAATGCTATCTGAATAACCCACCATTGTTACAGAAACGAATCTATTTACGACAAAATATAAATTGGTAAACAAAAGTGGCCGCTCAAGTTAAAGTCAAAAGTTTCGTTCATCTAATAAAACTTTTATATATGTCATCGAGTTATTCATTTTATCTAAACTTATTAAAAAGCCAAACTATTTCATTTAACTTAGCTTTTTGAAAAATTTTAGCGCTTTCTAGACATTAGTTACAATTTCTTAAGAATCTCTGCAGAGAAAATTTGAAACAGCTTAGAAATTGTTTATATGTTAAGCTAAAAAATTATTCACCTGTATTCGTTTAGAATTAAAACAAATATTCACGATAGCTAGCATTAGATAAAAATTTTCAAAACACTAAAAACAGACAATAGATGGCGTTGGTTATTTATTTACAAGAGAATTAGTAACAAAGTGCCAAAGAAATTTTTATTAAAACTAAAATAAGTTGGAATTGAGCGAAAATTAGAAATATAAAGAGGATGGAATTGAAAAAAGAAAAGATTTTCTGCACGAAACAATACATTATTAATTGTTAAGAATGACAGGTTTGAATAGCAAAAGAGAATTACTGCCGATGGTGACCGCGGTTACTACGTTCCATCAATTTAAAATTTTCATAGCGTCTCGTTCTCTGGCAACAGCATAATTTAACGGTTATAAAAGACAATGGTTAGCTGTAAACTTCTCAAAAGGTTTTCATTCCTTAATAACTGAAAGTGAAAACGATAAAATGTCTTCAAATGTCCGAAAGACGCCTCAAAGGAAAGGTCCAATTTTGGCAGAATATACCGGTAAATATTTAGTTATAAGTTTATTTCTCGAAAATGACCTACTTTTTCTTTAAAAAAAGGTCCAGGACCTGCTTATAAGCCTGATGTCGATTTATTGAAAAAGAAAGGACCATCGTATTCATTTGGATGTAGACTGTTAGGTAAATTCTCATTACTAAGTAAAAGATAGTATGGATCTTTATCAGCTATGATAGGCTTTCAAAACTATCACTGCATGTACTGCATTTAAAACTCGTTGAAAGCTATTTAAACATTTTCTTCAGATCGACCAAATACAAACCCGGCTCCAAGTGAATATTCAATAGATAAGGGGATCACTTACAATGGAAAAATGTCTTGTCCGTCTTATTCGTTGCAAGGGAGATCTGAACATCAGAATTTAAAACTTACGATGGGCTTTAGCTTAGATAAAACCCCTGCTCCTGGATCATATGCACCAGAAGGAGTTAAACAAGGATCGATTAGTAGTCAAACAACTCCTCCAAGTTTCACACTACGTCCAAGGACTAAGGATGTGTTCAAAAACCCTGTCCCTGCTCCTTCAAGTTACAATCTAGCTAGAGATATTTCGAAACCTTCCGCAACCGGAAGAAATCCACCAACTACTACTATAAAATTCAGAAAGTTAGTAGGATCCCCACAGTATTCGTTAATAAAAGCAGCCGTTCCCGGACCTGGTAGCTACGGAGCCGTTGATCCAAACAAAACGAAAAAGAGCGACGGTGTCTTTTCAATTCAAGGTAGAACTAAACTTAAGAATTACTCAACGGTTTTGGATAATCCAGGTCCTGGTCAATACAGCCCAGAAGCTAAAAGAGGTGGAACGAAATTTACTCTTGGAACAAAACCATCTCCTTTCGTTCTTATGCTTATTGATAAAGCCGATGTTGAGAGCTAGTTCAATTTTAATCTATTTGATGTTTATTCTTCAGAATACAAATAGAGAATATCTATTTCACAAGTAATATACTATATATCACTGAAAATAAAACACGTTTCTGATATATTTCATACGTAATCCAACAAAACCATTACGTAATATATTTTACAGATATTATTTTATGTCAGTTTGATGATTCAGCCTATATGTCATTTATAAAAATATGATTATAGTATTATAATCTGCTTATTTTCATATTTTTATTATTACAAAAGTATGTCATTTGCAATGTCGAAGTTAAATTGTATCGGAATTAGCAGTGGTATTTATCTGCTATACAGAATGTGAAATGAGCTAAGAACTGTACCAGTTTTTATTTTTACATAATAAAAAATTTCTGAAATTAAATCATAGACGCTCTATTTTGTTAGGAATTTTTTCCTGTTTGACGAATATCAGTATTTTTACCCACCGGAAATTGACATCACATAATGACCAGGTCAGCTCATTTACTACTATCTTTATAACGTACAGCGCCCCCTATGTTTGCGACTGCAGACGACACAATATAAACCTCAGTAAGGTGTAAGTATTTCTTTGAAAAGGTTAAACACAGTCCCATCAAGTAATCCTAACAAGTCAAGTGCAGGTTAGTTATACAATAATAAGAGTCGGTGATAGTAGATGATTGATTTAATAGAGTTTCATTTGTAATATCGTTCAATCGTGTGCAGCAACGAGAAAGACTAAAATTTAAGTACTCTTCGTATAAAATCTCCACTCAGCTGAAACATTACGAATTGGCTCGATTAAATGGCAAATATGGTTAAAGTGGAACCGGATGTGGAAATAACTAACAATCGAAATGTATCTGTTGATTGGGTTATCGACAAGTAAGACTAAAACGACAACTGACTATTAAGTTGTATATTATAAAAATTTCCATTATATTTCATAGCGAAATGAAAGCGCCTCAAATAACGATTATAAAACGTAAGTAACCATTTAACTTGGCTAAACCATTAAACTCCATAGGTAATTATAATAGCTGAAGAACCAATAAAAATCCCAAAATGCGTGAAAACAACTACAAAAAAGAAGAGAATCCGCAAGAAAATACCAAAAGGAACTAAGGAGTACGAAGAAGAGCGAAAAAAAAATAATCAAGCCGCTAGAAAATGTCGCGCAAGGAAAAGATTACAAATGAGCGATCTTCAAATGCAAGTAGAAGAATTAAGAGCCGAAAATGACCGACTGAAAAAAGAAGTCACTTTCCTCAGACAAAAACTAAAGGAGAGTACAGTTATTGTTAAAATTGAACCATCTTAGAAAACGTAAAAAAAACAGTTATATATATAAATGTATATATATATATTCCATTCTACATTAAATGCCTTACATTGTTATACCGGAGAGGGTATTCCACTTAAATTAATTATATGGGTGTTTGTGTTTTAAATATTCCATACTAAAAAAGAGTTATTTCAAGTTGTTTTATTATATATTATTATATGTCTTTATATATAACAAAATCTAGTAATAATGATAAGAAACTGTTGAGTAAAAATAACGAACCGGACTGTCTGTTTTTTTGTATATTGTATTCAATTTTTTATTATAAGAACTTTAAAAGAATGTAAAAGATATGTTATATATTGAAACAAAACGTTTTAAAATATATAACTAAAATATTGTTCATTTATAGTTCTTACGCTTTTGTAAATTGTTCTTCTAAAATATTCTGAATATTATTGAAACAAATTTGGATTATTAGAATTTATTAAAGATATATCTATATAAACAATACATTTTATTCTTTAATTTACTTATACACGTTGGCTTAGTTTGGCTACGGAATATTATATTTTGTTTGTAATCTAAGAAAACAAACATGAAGTGTTATTATGTATAATTAGCATTGGCTATTAATCACTTTTAACAAGTATGCTCAGGCCTTAACTAGAATGGGCCCATTAATTGGTAAATTCAGTTGTCTTACAGGAGCTACAGATCTGTATTTGGTAGGTAAATTCAGTTGTCTTGCTTTAACGGCTCGACAATCGGATTCCGTTAAGGATACTCTTCTAGATCTTTAAGCCAAAGTGAACTACATATAAACTTTTCGAAGTGAATTATTCCCTCATATATGAAGGTTGATTAATGGTTTATCAGTTGGCTAACGCCTATTTGCAAACAAGCAAAATGAAGCTTTTTGTACTGATGTTAGTTTTTAATGTCTATGAGAGTATAGACCAAAATCTGGATTTAAAGCTTTATGTTTCTGAAATGAAAACACGTATAGGATGTTTTAGTGATCCATATGCCGATAGACTTGATGACACCGTTTTAGAGTGCCCACCACTTCGATATGTCTTTGTTAGCAGAGTATTTTATGGAGTAAAAGAGGAGTTCAATAAATGTACATCCAAATTGAAAAACTCGAAGGAAATTAATTGTGGCACAGAAGGTCTTGAGTTTACGTTAAATCACTACTGCGGTGGAAAGCAAGTCTGTCGTTTGGAACCTAAACATTCGGGATTAAGTAGTTTAATAGGTATTCCGAAAAACCCCTTATGGAAAGGATTACCAGCTTATAAACGTTTGGCGGATTCCTTTTGTAAAATTTACAATCACGCCGAAATACATTACCATTGCGTTGGAGGTAAGTTACATAGATTAGCAATTTCCATTGTTTCATCATGTTAAACCTTTGTTTCAGCAATAAATCTGGCAAATTTCGGTCAAAATCTCGATTTACGGTTCATAAATGACGTATCCAATAGTTTGATGGTTTTAATACCCAAACATAATAATAAACAGATAGATCTTATATTTAGATCTACTCAACCATTGGTGTTTGATTTCAGTCAAACTTTCGGTGGTTTATTACGTAATCCATTGAAAAATCACAATGGATGCTACGATAAGGATATGCATATGATTAAGTTAAAAGATATGCATACGGGAAATCAAACAATTGTAAATATTTGTGATCCAAGAAATTCTATAATAAAGATGGGATTAATCGTTAGATTAATAATTGTAAAACGCTTCCCGGAAGTTGTTGATTGGCATCATAATATTCCAAAAGGTTTCACTTGTAATAAAACATGTAGGTCATCTCATTTCGTTTATATTACAAAACAAGAGGATAAAACAAATTTCGAAAGGTAACTCTTTCGATTTAATATATTTACGTGTCAACATTTTGAACTGTTAATATTTGCCTTAGAATTGAAAATACCAAGAACACACAGGTTGCTTCGTCTTCGATTATTATTTATATTGTGGCTTCAGCTTCAGTGGTCAGTCTACTGCTGATAATACTTATCCTTTTAATTGGATGTAAAATTAGAAGTCGTCGAAAAATGTTAGACCGGAAGTACTCATCGTATATAAGGAAAAATGGAAGTCAATCTATGGTGACTAGAAGAATGCCCCTTCCACAGCAACCGCCACGTCCTTTGACAAGTTATGATATAGCTGATGAATATGTTAGTAGTCAATATAAGCACCAAGATGCTTATGACATAGATGAAAATCCGTATGCGAAACCTTCGGAGTGTTACGATAATCGCAAGAATACTCACTCTTCTTATAGCGCATAATATACTTCGTTATTTATTTTAATTATTTCATTATTAGATCAATAAAATGTGTTAATATCCAAAGGAATCAGTTATTTTAAATATCCATTAGAAAAAATAGATCATTAAATCAATATATTAATCTGTTTAACCTTCTTCCTTCTAAGAAATCACAATATGTTGACTGAAACTACTCAACAGTAGTAGTATATTCTATGTGTGAAAACTGGTTATAATTTGCTCATGGAATTTGCAATCTGTCCCCAATACTTCATGGGAATGTTTTCTTTTGCAACTCTTTCTAGAAGTTTACTTGGCCTCCAGCATGGTTGGTCAGCTTGAAACCCAAATAGGTTTTTAAAAAAATGCCTTTTTATGTAATACAATAAAACTTACGATAAAGTTTATTGTAACGGCAAACTGCTTCGTAAATTCGTTCTGTTCCTGTAGTTTCGGCAAATTTCATAATTCCTCCAACTTGTCTTGGAAAGCCATAGCCCATAAGTCTATTTTAATATTTTCAAACGATTTCTAATTGTTGGTATTACGAAAAATATTGCTTAACTTACGACATGACATCTATATCTTGGGGTTTATGAGCAATTTTCTCTTCTAATATTTTGAAACCTTCGTTTACACTACTATATAAGCATCTTTCAAAGATTTCCTAAATAGTAATCAACAAGTTAAGTTTATAAATTAAAGAATGATAGTAAATTACCTGATAAGTGAAAGTCCTCGTTTGAATTCCCATTCTTTTTCGATAATTCTTTAATATTTCAACAATTTCTTCATCGTATATTGGCTGTCTGTTTTCAGTTGTATATCTATAGTATCCATATCCATTTCTTTCACCTTTCTTTCCAAGAACGCTTAATTCGTATGTAAAGAGCGGATATCTTCTTGAACCATACTTAAAAAATGCATAATAAGTATAACTATGTAAAAAGTTATTTAATGATTTTCTCACCATATTACGATTCTCATCTAAATCGTATCCTTGTTCGTTAAGTGTTTTTCTTAAGACATCTACATTGGCATCCATTCCTAAAATAACAGCTGGCATTATTTCTAAGCGATTTAACGTTTCTTCAAATTACCTATAATGTCAATTGTTTTAAATTTTCCCATAGCCATTCCAAAATCTTCCATACAATTGTCAATAAGTCTTTGATCATTTATACCATCTTCAAGCATAAATACAGCCTAGATTTTATTATGAAAAATGAAATTATAGTAATATTTTTAAAACTTTCTATAGCATTAGATTTTACTTGATCAGTTCCAACTCCCATTAATCTATTTGCAACAACTCCTGTACGGTTTGACACTAATACACTGACCTGTTCAATCAAATGCTTAAGTAACAAAATGTTTAATATATCAAATAGACTCAAACTTTTCTTATTTTTTTCCCCATATTCATGATTGCTGCTACAGTTCTTGGAGCTGTTTCCGGACCATATTCAACCTCCAATAGGCGCATTACATTAGCAGGAGCAAAAAAATGGGTACCAATTACCATTTTTGGTCTCTTTGTAGCTGATGCAATCTGTAAGAAAAGCAATAAAAGAATATTTTGGAATTTTTTATCGGAAAATCATGAATCTTTTACCTTTTCTATTTCCATTGTACAGAAGATTGTAGATGGTTTACAAATTCTATCCAGCTTTTGGAATATATCTCTTTTTATGTTGACATCTTGAGGAAGATCATCAATAACCTTTTGATTTTAAAATAAATGTTTAAAAGAGTTACATAACAGAATCAGTTGAAGTTTACTTACAGCGTCTACTTTTGCAATAATCTTAGGGCTTTTAGCATATGTAAAATAACTTAAGTATATATAATATTCTTCCGCAGTTATCCTCCTCTTCTTTCGGTCGTTTGCAAGGATATTCATAGAATTTATAAATACTTGACGGTTAGCCTAAAGAAAGGAAAGTCTATTTTTGAATTTTTAATACTAAATTTTTAAATTACCATTTCAGTGGTATTGAAAACGAATGTTCTTATTTTGGCTCTTAGAAAACAAGTTACAATTCCGGCAGTCATCTTTCCCGAACCAACAATGGCTACGGAATTTATTGGTCTTCCATTTGTATTCTTCCAATTGAAACCTCCAGGTAACTCCCACTGATCAGTAGCAGAGAAAAATTAGCGTCAAAATGGACACATAGTTGTATTTTTAATAATTGAGTATACTTTTGAAGTAGATCTCTCCGCGAAAAAAGCGTACTGTAATGCATTAGCTTGACCGGAAGTAAAGAGTTGAAATGCGAGGTCTCGTTCAATTAGCAATCCTTGATCATATGGTTTAGCGGCAGCTGCTACAGCTTTAATGCAATACTACAGAGAACAGATTATATATAAGAAATGCAAACATAAGATAAAAGTAAATTAATACCTTTGGTGCTAGTTCCTTAAATCGTTTTGAATTTGTGACATAAGCTTTTGAAACGAGGTCACCGAGTAAATCTGTATCTGGAGGGCTTCTTTTACTTGTCCTTCGGCTATTAAAATCTTTATCGATAACTGTACTTGCAAAGTTTAAAGCTGCTTCGTAGACTTTATCATCTACAATCTGTTCAATTATTAGAGTAGAGTACTTATTTAAGTTAGAATCCTAATGAAAAACTACGTATTACCTTATCAACTGCACTATTATCGAAAGCTTCTTCAGCACTAAAGACTCTACCACTGGGGATGATGTCCAATGCAAAGCGTAGGCTAGTAAGCCGGGGAAACCTTTGTGTTCCTGTAGCACCTGGTAATATTCCCAAATTAACTTCAGGAAAGGCGAATCTCGTTTTATGATGGGCAATTCTATAGTGGCAAGATATGGCAACTTCTAGACCGCCTCCCATGCAAAAATTTTCAATTGCAGCAATAACTGGCTTTGAGCTGTTTTCCAGCTGATCTGTGACTTCTACTAGTGAAACACCTTTGATAAAAAAAAACAAGTAAAATTACTCTGAACTTTGTCCTCAAATAAAATTTAAGATTTTTACTGATATTTCCATCGCTGTTGGAAAATTCTTTGATATCTGCACCGGCAATAAAGGTTCTGTTACGCCCAGCAATAACGATAGCCTTTACAGTTGGATCGTCATTTGCTCGAGCTATACCATCATAAATTCCTTGGCGAACGTTGGAACTGGGATAAACACATTTTTAACGATCCTCCAAATCTTAAATAGATGGTATACATACCTTAGGGAATTGACTGGTGGATTATTTACCCACAAAGTGGCAATATTATTCTCTTGAACGTAATCAACCATTTTAACTTGAATCCAAGAAAGCAAATGTGATTATCCTGAAATCGTTAATATGATATTGATATCAATATTGCCGTAAATAAACTTTTAAGGTCAAAAACAGGGATAACTTTAAAGCAATAGATGTCGCTATATGTATATTGTATACAACTGACTGTAACAAAGTATAGGCTTTTATTGGTATACTATAACAAATTTAGGCATAAATCAGAATAAGATACATATAAGAATTTTATATTTTGATTACTCGTTCAAATCATTTAAATTACCATAATCAATAAGTTTTTAGTCTTATAGTTTACTAATAGAGTTTGCAGTCGCCGACCAAAGATTCATTGGAATATTCTCCAAAGCGATTCTCTTTAATAGTCTACTTGGCTTTAAAGATGGTTGATTATCTTTATAAATCAATGGAGAAATTCGCATTTTATAATATTAAATTACTTATTCTATTCTTTCTTTTTTCAAAACTTACTAAATGATGCGTGATATTTGCAGATTTCGTCATAAATCTTACGTGGTCCCTTCTCATCAGCATACTTCATTAAACCACCAATTTGTCTTGGAAAGTTAAAACCAAACAATCTAAGTAATATATACATTTGTGTTAGCTTTTGTTTTTTAAAGAAAAAAATCATCATTTAAGAAAGAAGAAAATAGAACATACAAAATTAAATCTATGTCTTCAGGTTTCTCAATTAGTCCGTTCTCTAGTGCCAGGAATGACTCATTTATGGAATTATATAGGTACCACTTTGCCAATTCCTACGAAGAGTGTTACATTTTTCACATAAATGGTTAATGTATGAAAGATAATATATACCTTATGGAAAGGAACTTCTTTCATTAACCTTGTTTTTTGACATTTGTCTGTGTCGTTTGCTATGTCTAATAGTTTTTCGAGCTCTAGGTAATAACTTGACGTATTATCGGAAAATGGAGAATATTTGCAAATCATAACTTTCCTACTATCTTTATACAAATCTCTAGTTAAATCATCATTCTTTTCATATTTTCCGTTGGCATAATCGGGATATAATAAATGTTTCACTGAATTCATCTAAGTTATATGAATATATACGTTTGTACATATAGAATTTTAGAAAATACAAGGTTTAACCCTACAAACCAGGCTATGATTGGTTGTTTGAATCGGACTTTTCAGCAATAAAGGAACCTAAGTAAGACAGGCATTGATTTTTCGTTATTAACAAATCAACTAAGTAAACCTTATTCAAAATTTTTCCTGCTTCCAATACAGTTGATATAGCTTTTGGACACGTTTCACTGCAATATACAATTTGTAGAAGACGAGATAAATGAAAGAATTCGAATATCTGAAATCCAATAATAAATCTTTGTCTCTTTGTTAACGATGCTACCTGTAGGATAATTTTGTTATTCGATAATAAAGATATTGATTCTTCCTCATTCACAACCTCATCTATATTTATTGCAGATAATATTGCAAATATTGCTGTCGGTTTACAAGTAGAGTCTATCTTATACAAAATGTCTTGAATATCCCCTTTATCATTGATAAAAACCTTTTGACGTGTAAGGATAATTCGTTAAAAGAGAATCGTTTTAAAAGTAAAAACACAAACAATATCGCAATTTTTCAGACTATTCGTATTTTTAGTTATACTAAAGAGAGAATCAGCTGTTTGTTTGTTGATTTTTCCGTGCTTAAGCTTATCATTCAGAAAGTCTGTGATAGTTTGAACAGAGCTTTTAATTATCTGTTAATAAATGTGCAAGATGAGAAATATCGACTATTAATGCTAAAAATATCTTCTCGCCTCGTTCCTTTCGTCATATACCATTACAGAAATACTTGATTTCACAAAACCTAGAGCAATTTCAATAGCTCTTTTATTATAGCCTATAATAGCTATAGAGTTTATTTTGTCTTCCTTTGTATTCATCCAATCAGCACCTCCAGGTATTTGCCACTGTAAAAACAAGAAATTAAATTACAAGACTCTCCTTGGAATTAGAAATCACCTTTGACGCGGATCTTTCGATGAAATCAGAATATCTTAATCCTTTCGATTGTGATGATGAAAATAAGCGGAAAGAGATAATTCTCTCGATCATCTGTCCTTGGTCAAACGGTTTCACAGACCCGGCAACGGCTTGGATACCGTACTAGAATATTGAAAATATTCGCTTGAACATTTTAACAAAAAAAAAATACTTTCGAAGCTTTTTCATAGGGATAATCTAAGACTTTTTCGTTAGCCGACAATATTAATTCGTCTAACTTATTTCTATCGATAACTTGTCTTTTACTCGTTCTCCTCTCTTTGAGACTTTTACCCTCGACTTGTTTTGCAAATTTCTTTGCTTCCATCCACATGTCAGAATCTATTATCTTTTATAAATGAATTATTGGTTTCGTAAAAAACGATTAGAAACGAGAGTTTCACCTTATCAACAATGTTATTTTTTAAAGCTTCTTCCGCGTTAAAGAATCTTCCACTTGGGATGACATCTAGAGCGAATCTGAGACTTGAAAGACGAGGAAATCTTTGAGTGCCTGTGGCCTGTGGTATTATTCCTAAGTTGACTTCAGGAAAGGAAAACCAAGAATTGTAATGAGAAATTCTATAATGGCAAGAAATTGCTATTTCCAGACCACTCCCAATACAAAAATTTTCGATAGCAGCTACAATTGGTTTAGAAGAATTCTCAATTTCACTTAAGACTTCAATGAGACAAATTTGATGATCTATTAATTATGAATTGACATTTGTTATCAATTATCTTCTTTGCAATCAATTTATAGCTAATTTACCTTCATCATATAGTTTCAGTGGCAAGTACTTATTAGTGAAAGATTTTTGACCAATTATTACAATGGACTTAACTCTAGGATCATTCTGTGCTTTTTTTATATTTCGCAATAGATTTTTGTAAATTTTACTAAAAACAAATACAATATCAAAAATTCAAAAACATTGAACAAGGAAGAAGGACCAATTTATTACCTCAATTCGTACTCTTCATTTTTTATCAATATCGTTGCCAGTGAATCTTCTACAAGATATTCTGTCATTTTAATAGGATGTTTTTGATGAGCTCTACTTTTTGTTCTTTAGGACATAAATACTAACACAAATTGGTCTAAAGGTCAAAAAATATTTTAGCCATTACACTAAACTGTTAGAGACGGCGCCACTGTTACTCGCTTGTGTAAGTTTAAGTTGAAGATAGATAGAGATTAATAATATTCGAATGTCTTCTAAACCCAACTATACTTTATTGTGTATTTATAAACAACTTTTACTTTGACACATTAACAAAATAAATAAACTGACTTAAAATTCATACAGCCTCTTGTTTAGTTTCCTCCTGTGGTTGGGGGCTACTTTCAACACAGATATCTTCTGGAGCAGGACCTTTTCCATCTCCTAATTCTTCTCCAAAAATTCTTAGGTAATGACCTCGCTCAAGTTTTGGTACGTAGGTTCTGCAAGAAGTTTTCCCTCTCCAACCACATAAGACTAATGGGCAGCCATCTTCGCCAGGCTGAGGTTCATAGATCAATACCACAGGACCCATAGCTAGATTTTCAAAGCATATATTATTAGAACAAAGAAATGGATGGATATTTGTTTTTCTTACAGGTTTCTTTTAGTTTCTCATGAGCTACGTCGGAGAATTTTGATATATAAGGATTTTCCTGGCTTAAAATTGTAATCATATCTAAGCGCGAGAAACTAATTCGTCTGTTCTTAATAAAAGGAAATATTGTCGCCATTCCCTGTATGGAAAGAGAAATTGTATAAGCTTTTATCATTGAAAATTCCAAAATCGTACCTCTTGATAAAGCCTATAATCACAACCAAATCCTTGCTGCTGACTATTACTACTAATTCGACCAAATATTTTAATTCCTAGGTTAATGAACTAGAAAAAAAGTGAAATCCAATGTAATAATGATTTTTAAACGAGTTAGTCACAAGACGTACCTTAATTCTATCTTCATTATTTACGACAAAGCGTTTGAGTGAACCTGAAGCCAGATAAATGTTGCGCTTTTTCTCTGCGTCACTTCTACACAATAACGTTGTGTAATCAAAATCATCTGGCATCCCAAAAAAACTCCTGTTACAGAAAAATATAAATTAATATTTAAAAGTGTATAGTAAGGACAAACTTTATCTGTGGCCATGCTTCATCATCCTTTTCGAAAAACAAGAAAGGATCTTCTTTATATCCTTGAAACTTGTGAGTTACTACTTTGTTCTTGTGTACTCTATATAGATTATATTATGTCAAAACTTTAGAATATACTATGATGTAGCATAATTCACCCTTTCTTTGATTCATCTTTTTCATCTGTTTTAGAATCGTCATTAATAGCTTCAATATTTTTATCATCTTCGTCCGTTTTATCAATAATTTCCGATTGTTTGCTATCATCTTCAGATTCTTTTAACTTTTTTTCTACTCTACAAATATTTACTTGTATTTTAATATAGTAATGATTAGTATTCTTATCACGTACACTTCATGGTTACTGGATTCCGGAGCCTTACGTTTTTTCTGCCAGGGCACATCTGCTGTTTTTTCTAAAAGAGCCACGAAAAATCCTCCAGTATTCTGATGATGAGGCAGAATTCTGATACTAAAAAATTACATTAATAAATATTAAAATTTAGTTTGTAGATTGTTTTTTTTTTATCTATATTCAAAAATATTTGCCATTTTTCAAGTTCAAGTTCAGCAGGATTTTCGGGCGGAAACATTGTTTTCTGGAAAACACTTTTCCACTTTTCTGGTACGTCATCGTATGAGCTGTAAAATTCTGATTCTTTGCTCATTACCTAAAGAAATATTATTATATTTAGAAAAACATTTTTTTATAACTGTATCTTACAAACCTTCCATTTATGGAGGCCAGGAACAGTTTTTAGTCCAGGAAGAGTTGGAGCAGTGTCTAGTAAACGGACAGTTCCTACAAAAAACGAAAGCTCTCAATTAGGAACCAACTCCTACTAGCTAACTTACCTTGAGCTGTTTTTATCATTTCAGCAATAACAGCTTCATTTTCAACAGGATTTAATGAACACGTAGAATAGACTAAGCGGCCACCAACTGTTACTAATTCTAAACCCCTCTTTAGTATTCTAAACTGGGTGCTAAGCAAAATGATATAACGATTAGCTAATAAATGTAATTTTTTATGTTCACGGTTGTAAGACACCTGTGCAAATTGAAAGCTGAAGCTACATTCCATTTTTTCCATATATCTAAATTTTTTCTCAAAGTTCCATCTCCGCTGCATGGTACATCGCATAATATTCTATCGAATTTCATCTCAGTTCGATGCTTTACATCCTACAAAGTCATGTTGAATATTAAAGTATTTAGACATAAGAACAAACAAACTGGTGGATCCAAATAGAAAGGAGGTAGAGCAATTGCGTTATGATTTACAACTGCAACAGAAGCGGATTGTAGACGTTTAACTTGATGCATCATAAGGTAGCATCTTTTGTTATTTAAGTCATTAGCAATAATGAAGCCCTCTGAAATAATTGAAGTGTCTCACAGCTTTTCTTTAGTGAAGTTGCATTTCATTAGTTTACCTGGAATTTTCTCTCCATCCTTATGTAAGGCCTCAAGTACTTGAGCGGTTTTTGAACCTGGAGCTGCACACATATCAAGGACTTTGTGATGGGGTTGTATTTCTAGAAGCAGAGGTGGAATCATTGATACAGCTTCTTGCCTACTCATAGATCCCTGTGAAGTAATTGGAGAATAACTAACATTTTCATTTTTCCTGTGTGTTAAATAACTTACTCCTTCAGTTTCAGATATTAGTAAATTGTGCAATTTTTTCAATTCATCACTTTTACGTATTGTACTTCGATTGGCGTTTATTTGCCATGCCATACCTCCAGGATACCAAGGTAACTGAAAAGGAGCTTCCAACTTTTGTCCATCAACTTCAACATTTGTTAATTTCGACAACGAATTTCGCATGAACTTATGTAGCTGTTCAGCATGGCTACTACCACTAGTTACTCGAAATACAACGGGAAGGGGACTTCTCATGCTTTCTAAAAATTTGTCCCATTCTCCCTCGGGAACAACATTTTGCTCCTAAAACATAGTGCATCAATAAAATATAATATTAAACAACAATTACATATCAATTATTGAATTGAAGTAAACTTAAATTGGCTAATGTGATATTAGCAACAGAGACGAGTTGAAATAATTAAGGGATTCAGAATTGTTTAGTGAGTACATATCCATACCTTATAAAATACTTCATATTGTTCACAATTCTTATCTTCAATCCATTCAGGCTTTTTACCCCAGCTTTTTGAGTTATTCTGATTTTGCACGTGCTAAAATTATGAAAATACCTTATTATCGCTCAGAATAGAGTAATCTTACTTCTTTTCACTTACTCGATTTCTTCTACGCCCCATTGTATTAGTTGAATAACGAATAAAATTTCGAACTAGTTTAAACGTTGTAAAAATTTATTACTCTTCTCTCGAGATTACCTCGAAATTAACTTTAAAATAAGTAAATATACTTTATTGGGGTATACCAGTTAAAATTGAAAGAGATTCTCTGCTAACTTTGTAAATTTAAATTTTTTCTTATCTTTGTCATTATATTAATGATTCTCCAAATAAAAAAAATTCCTTTGATTTATTTCAGTATTTTTTAATTTTTCAAGTAAAGTGAAAATGAAGGCTCCCTTCAAGTATGTAACTACAGACGCGGTTAAATTTGTTTTTAGAGTTTGAAGTAATAATCGAAAGAAAATCGGGATTGAGAGAATTGATTGGCCTTAAATGTCTTCTAAAGATTTAAAAACTATTATACCCGAATAACTAATAAATTATCTCAACGAAATTTTCTAAAAATTGGAAATATGCCGGGATTGGACGAGTGTTCTTTATTTTCGTTAGAGATTGTTATCGACAAACTTAAACTAAGTAATTTAAAATGTCTTTTTCCAACGGTTGCCTTTCGTCTTTTGGACTTCCCAACACTTTTGATTAAACATGTGGAGGATTCACTTGATAAACAAATTAAGGCAAAAATCAAACGTGATACTACCTATAAGGTGAAGGATTGTTAGGTGCAAGTTAGAAAAATTAAACTTATTAATAGTTTTATTTCGAATAGATACCAAACCAATTCAGCGAATTGAAGAACAAGGATGGCTACTTTGTTTTTTCTAAAGGAAAATCAACCTTGTTTAAAGTATCTTTAAATGAGTTATTGCATCATTTAAACAACACACCATTGTATATAATGATCATGGATTCTTTTGCTGATAAACCTCGACTCGTAGCTAATTGTCTTATACCACTTGATGTTACCATGAATAATCTATATCTTGAAATTAAGAAAAATGGATTATCTGTGCCTTGTGTGAAAAGTCTCAAGGGAACATTTAAGATTTATAATCTTATGGGCAGTGAAATTGGAGAAATTCACTTAGCCTATCGAATTTCAAGTCTTGGATTCACTTTAATGGCTCATCTACCGGAGAAAACTATTCACAAAGTTGAAATGCCCATTGTTAAAGAAAATTTAGAGAAAGTCAATATATCAATTCCCACTAAGGGAGCACAAGAAGAGGTTTGCATAATCAAATCTTTTTCCGTTTTGTACTCTTTAAATATATAAGAAAATAAATTCGTAAATTAAGAAAATTTACTCAACAGCTATTACAAAGGATTAGAGAGGATAAAGAAAGGTTTACTCAGACAGACACTGAAATTCCCGAGATCAAAGAGCAATCTACCCAAATAGAAGATTTTGTTCCTAGGATGGATGCATTCGTTCAGACAGAAATGAGAAAGAAAAGATATGGATCTAAGCGAACTGAGAACATAATTGAAAATGAAGCTGATCATGAAAGCCATCTGATAGTGCCAAATATTCTTTGTCCGCCTCCTCTATTCTATAATAGTGAACTAGAAAAAACACCAAAATTTGATCATAGCCTACCTTCTGGATGCATACCGGCGTGGTGTGAATCAGAAACGGAATCAATTCGAGAAGAAGATAGATATAGTGACGTTGATTCTAAAGAATTTGATGAAATGCTAATAAGACATAAAGCAAAAGTAAGGAAAGATGAAGATAAAAGAGTAACCGTAGTTAAGTCTTATCCAGGTGAGAAGGTTGTCGTTATGGATAAGAGTGAAAATGAGTCTTTAAAGAAATTCTTTAATCGATTCCCAATGCTAAATGAATTGGTTAGAGAACTTACATCATTAAGCAAGTGAGTTTTTATCTATTTTTTATGAGTACAAAATCAATTTGTATTATCCACATCTACAGATTACAAGGATCAAAAGAAGGGAAAACTGAATCTCCGTTCACAGCTCAACCAGAAAAACGGGATAGCAGACAATCGTTCATAGATCGTCTATCAACTCCTAAGAAAAGCGTTAGCATTCATGACGTAGTTCAGGCTAAGTCGTTTCGTCGTCCTTGTAAAGAAATAGTCGAAGAAAAAAAAAAAGTAAGGGTTAAACCATCCGAAAAAGAAAGCGTGCAAAAGAAAAAACGTACTGGTAAGCCCGAATATGGCATGACACATACGCAGCGTCTTCGTCTGGCTGAAAGAAACCCCAAACTCTTAGAGGCTCTAGAATGCGAGGAAAGAAAACGACTACTTCAATTTCAATCAACTTATAAAAAAACTATACCGATAGAACCAAAATTGGGGAAAGAGAGGTTTAAATTACCTGCCGAAAGAAACGATATACCTACGCCTCGACCAAGAAAATCATCAACAATGTCAGACATCAGCTTTCGCAAGCCTATTCCAACTCCACGCCAGAGTATTATTCACAAAATAGATACGAGCGAACTTGCCGAGGAATATCGCATAAAATTAGAGAGGGAGTCATCAAGTTCATATATGACAGCTACAAGCGATCCTTATTCCCGTAAGTCATCGTCGATTTTGCATTATAATGTCTATAGAGACCAATTTCAGATACAGAAACCTTTTTGCCAACTCAAGAAGACAGCAAAGAAAGAGAGTTTGCAAATGGACAAAATGAAGAAGAATATTATTATACAGATGAAGGTGACTTTTCTGGTGAAGAAGAAGAAGAATATCACTATAAAGGTGATAAAGCTGACTTTGGAGCAACAAGAATTATAAAACCAGCAATATCTTTTGAGCCGAATTTGGACGATACTGAATCAGTCAGAGAATACTCTCCAAGGAGAAATGTGATAAGAAATTCAGATGACGATGACCGTACGAGACTGACAGACAAAACTCAAAAGAGTTTGGAACCATTAAAGAGTTCAATATCTCCAGAAGTTCAAGACGATAAAACAGAGAGGACTTTGCCACCAACAAGAGCAGTTGTTGGTAACACGCCCACTCCATCAGAGTCGAGGACACCTTCGCCTAGATTAGCAAAATATCAAGGGGGATCAGTCGAGAGTTCCGTTGAAGAGTCAAGTGAATACCGTCCCAAATCTCCCCGAAGACCTAGAATTTCAAGACTCGAAAGTGTACATACAGAATCTGTAAGCTCATATTGCCCCAGTGACGACGAAATGAGTGATTTAGACGACGAAAGTCTAGCACTAAACATAAAGCCTATTAGTGAACTTAGGCCTAGTGATCAAGCGAAGAAAAAGCTAGGATATACCTGGGGAGTCTGATTTTATTAAAATATACATAGACTTGCAGATATTTATAAAATAGCTTATTAAAACTGATCGTTTTATTTTGGTACTAATACATAAGACCAAATTGTTTATTTATTTATTTGTTTATCTAAAAATATAACGATTTTAAATTATTATTTGCAAGCGTTTATTAGTTTACAAACAACATTTAGCTGTTTAAGAGAATAACAATTTGCCTATAAGACAAAATATTTAGATATAACCAAAAAATAAGCAGTTTTATTTATATGGTGATAGGCGAAAAGGGGAGTGTAAACTTCTAGATAAGAAAATACTACATGTCTCTTTTTTAAAGATATTTTTGGTACTTTACAGCCAAACCATTTCAGCATAAAGTCTCAATGGATTAATAGATATTTTTCATCAGAAAACTTTACACGATCTATCATCAAGAGACCTACAAATGGCAGAAGAAACCAAAAATCGGTGAGTTCCTTTAATTAGAGTAGTTTAAAAATCTCTTTATGTGCACTTGTTACTGACAGAATTAATAATTCGCAAATTTTAAAAATCTTAAAAAATGTTGGTCCTCATCAATGGCCTATTGTTTTCTCACCGGAGTACAATATTAGCTTTTTTGGTATGGAAAAGGTTCATCCATTCGACGCGGGAAAATGGGGGAGAATATTCGATTTTTTGAAAGGTTTTTTTTAATCATTAATCTTCGCTATTCAATAAAATGCATTTAAATTGTTTTGAATTCAACCTCAGAGGCTTCAATGTTGTCAAATGATGATATTGTACAACCATGTGAAGCTAGTGAAAGTGATTTACTGGTTGTTCATACAAAAAGTTATTTGAACTCGCTGAAGGCAAGTACTTATATATATATATATATGTGCTATGTGCTATATATAAAAAATAAAACAACCCAACTAGCAATTTTAATCCCACATGAAATATACACTTTCCAAACCTACTTAATATCTCGGAAAGAGGTTGTAAATACTAATAAAAGCTTTAGGTACCTACCTGCATCCCCATCCTTCTTTACGCTTTAACTGCTTCGTAGTACGTAAAAGATCTTGATTGCCAATACCTATAATTAAATTGACTGCAAAAATATTAATAGATTTGATTAACGAAAATCTTTCACACACTTAACCAGGTTTACAGACAATTAGCAAATGTTCTGTTCAATGAGGTTGATAGAGAAAACATTGTTCGACTAGAACATAAATATTTGTTTGATAAAGTTGTAGGTAAATAAAAGTTGTTTTTCCTTTTTCAGTGGTCCTTCAAAGTTGCATCTGTGACAGAAATTCCCCCTGTTGCTTTAGTTCCTAATTTTATCGTTCAACGAAAGGTTATGAAACCACTAAGATATCAGACTGCGGGAACTATTCTGGTAATTATTTCCTATAAGAGCAGAAAAAAATTGTTAGTAGGCTTCCAATTGATTTTTTACCGTCTTAAACGTATCTTCCAGGCTGCTCAATTAGCAATCAAGCGTGGTTGGGCGATAAATATCGGCGGGGGATTTCATCATTGTTCACACGATAAAGGCGGTGGATTCTGTGCTTATGCCGATATCACATTAGCAATCAGATTCTTACAATCTACTTTTCCTGATCATTGCAAACGAATCTTAATTGTCGACCTAGACGCCCATCAAGGAAACGGTCACGAAAGAGATTTTTTAAGTGAAGGCGAATGTGTAAAAATTTTAGATGTATATAATCGAAATATTTATCCTTTCGACGGCTATGCTAAAAGTATGCTAAAAGGCGTCTAATTGATTACCTATAATGCTTTATTTATTTTATACTCAGGAGGAATATCTTGGAAAGTTGAACTTCCTTCTTATACAAAGGATGATACTTACTTAAACATAATTGACAAGTAATTAGTCTTCTAAAAAAAAAACAACAGCCTTTAATTTAAATTACGTTTTTTTTAATGTTAACTGACGTTTCTTAATGGTTTCTTCGAAAAAAGGTACGTGAAAATTGCCTTGAACAAATTTCAACCCAATTTTATACTATATAACGCCGGGACTGACGTTCTAACTGGAGATCCTCTTGGATGTCTAGATATTACAGCAGATGTAAGATTCAGCATATAATCTTTAGAATATCCATGATTATTGTATTTTATATCATAAAACATTCAGGGTATTATCTCTAGAGATCAGATTGTTTTCACGGAAGCTAGAAAGGAAAATATTCCTATATTAATGGTCACTAGCGGAGGATATCAAAGATCAACAGCTACTATAATTGCGGAGAGTATATTAAATTTACGAAAACTAAACTTAATTGGCCTATCAGGTAAGAATATACACGAGAACATTATTCCATTAATACTATACTACTATTATATTGCGTTTGTTTTCCCTTCTCAGGTGAAGAGACGCCTCGGCACGATGAGAATATTCAAGCTCAATTAGGCAATGAAAATGCACCATTAACCGTTTAGACTTGTCTAATTTAATATTTCAATTTCATTTGTAGAGTTTACTTTCTGTAAACTTTAACAAAATCATGCTAGAAATAATTTTGTGCTTTATTTTAACTGCATTTTCTGAAAAGAGCGCTAAACAGTGAATTTGATATTTGTAGAGTACTTGAAATATTTAAAAGATACAATAATAAAAATAATAAAGACTTTACAATTATGCAATGAAAGTTACACGTATTTATTTTACTACTCGTACAAATAGAAAGAATAAAACGAATAGTTCATTTTTTAGCAATGATTATGCTATGAAATATTTATACAATTGAATGAGTACAAGATTCATTAACTTCGGCTATAGTACCGTCATTTTTCATTTTAGTTAATGTTTGATATTCAGGACAATCGTAATTGTTGCTTCCTCTTCCCGGTCTGGGAGGAGGAGGACCGACTGTTCGAACCTTTTTGGCTGGACTAAAGAAAACGTCACCGTTAGCTTTGACTGTCGTATCGACCGTGGAGCGCTTTTGGTATTGAGATGTTGAAGTAGATACGAAGCAGTAACTTGGTGGTTGCTCGTACCCGGTACCAGCTTTAATTGGACTTCTATCCGGTTTTTTATTTAATTTCCCATTTCTTAAATTGGATTTCATCTTCCTATTTTGTCTAGCCCTGAAGGTGGCGATAGATATTGTAAAGACTATAAAAATAACAGCTCCCCCTGCAAGTAGGCAATATAGTAATGTATTGCACCCATCTTCATCACTATTATCATCTAAGCCACAATGAATCACTCCATTGCAGCGAAGTGACTTGTCAATACAGTAGTAACTTTTAGGGTAAGTACAGAGTATATCTCCAGGTGTGCATAGTTCTACCCCCTTGCACAGAAATCCATCACATTTATTCTCATTGTAATCAGTAATTTGTGACTTGACTCCTGTCCAAACTATTTTGAAACCTTTTATGGGTTCATTGTGCTGTACTTTTGACCCATTAATGAAAAGCCTGTAGAGGAGAAAAATAGTTTTAATAATACTCTGGCAAAGTTTGCACTTTCATTTTCTTATCTTATCTAATATACAAGACGTAATGTATAATTCAAAGTACATATAATAAGATTAATAGTGTAAGTAATGTGAAAGTAGGCTAATTACATTAATATTTTGATACTTATATTTGTATACAAAACCCCTGAATACCAAAAATTATTACATAAAAAAGGGAATGAGAGATTATTAAGAAGCAATTCAAAAAAAGCAAAGCAGTCATCAGTCTAAAAGGCCATATGATAATGCACAATTTGAGCTTGCGTCATAAACAGCCCACGGGATGTTACCACGTCCTCTTTTTAAAGGGCTGCCGCCTCATCAGAACTATTGATCATTTTCCCTTCCTGCTCATATTCTTCCCTCATTCTGCTCTCTGCCTCCTATCCATATTCAACTTAAAAAACTATTTCAGTTCATACTCTCTTAATTTTTTCATGAAAGACTATTCCTTTAGAAGTCTACAAAGAATCACTGTAAGATATCACTCATTCCTTACTGTTATAAAGTCCTTTTTCCCTCTAGGCCTATTCTCGACAAAATAAACAAACCTAACATAAGCCCGTCCGGTTCTCGTTCGAATCTCCTTTATGTCTTTTTTCTTATCGCAGAGACGCTTTCGACTATCTTTTAACATCAGTCCTTCGTCATAGATATCAATATAGGCTTCCAAACAACGATAATTTCCAAAATCGATATCCACCACGTTCAATAGTATTTGATGATTTTTCTCTGCTATTATCTTCCACATACATTCTAATGTTTTAAAGCTACTTTGCTCCGGATAAAATGGTGATGTTATTACACCTCCTCCACCAACTTTGACAGCTTTACTGCATATTTCGTCGTGTTTATATTTAGAAGAAACTGTTTGCGGATTAAAAAAATATAATTGCTTTATATCTAAAAATTAATTATCTTGTAATGCAAAAAAATTAAGTTAAAGGGTGTGTTATGTTGATAAAAAATCATCACGTGACCATATCGTGACAATTAAATTAGTTTGGTATTTTATTTAGGGTATTAACTCGGAGTAAAAAAGGGTTTATAACGATAAATGAGCGACATATTTTACCAGGGAAGAAAGTATGGAATAGGAAGCAGAATGATTTCCTAATGTGACATTAATTGAGACCTACCAGGCTATTTTAGTTTTTGATAATAAAAAAAAGTAGAGAGCTATGTAATTGTGCTCTTCGCTCTTAAGAGTCATGCTATAAGACAAAGAAATTCACCTCATTCGAATAACCCCTTTTAACCTAATGGCATTATTATTAATACGATTTTTGGATATGATTAAAAAATACCTAGAGATATAGGAAGAGAAAGTAGAAGATAAGAGGGAAAACATATACATTTTCATACTTTTTATCACGTTAAAGAAAGATAAATAACATTTAAACTAAAATTCTCCAATCTTCCCAAGACGTTACTAATACAACTTATTAGAGACATTTATTATCGTTTAATGGCGCTCTTTTAGAGCCTTTATATACAGTCATTAACGAGGAGAAAATTTTCAGTCTACATGCTCCGTCTCTCACTCTCTCTCTAATGTTCTCCTTTTTATTTCGCCTAAGTAAACAACTTTACTAAAGAATATTTATAAAAAGAAAGTTGTACTCGACTTACCTTCATGCTCATTAACGAATTTGAATGTACCGTTGAAGCCTGAGTATGTCTTTAAAATAGTTGTTTTAAATCGAATCCTTAAAATTCTTGTGGAAGAATGTAAATATTCTTTTTGACCTTGTTTACCGCAGAAACGTTGAATATGATTTGAGTAATTTCTCGTATCGACGTTAAATAAATCAACAGCGTCATTAAAGCATCTGTAAGAAGGCAAAACAGAATAAACTCAAATACTTTCTTTATCTATTCTAGTGTTGTAATATAAAGACTATTCGATTTTATTCCCCCTTTTCTTCGACTTCTTTTACCTTCTATATATAAATAAAGGAATGAATGATAAGTTCAATAGAATTTTCTCAAGAACTTTATGCTTAGTCGATTACATTACTCTCGAATATTTACACTTATTCGCTGAATAGATACGATTATACTGTATTTTTTTCAGAAAATCTCTAAAACTCTATTTAGTACGTTATAGCATTGAAGATTATACTAATAAGGCAGTTATTTATCTTTATACTAGATGAATGCTTTTGAAAAAAAGGCGGCTATTCATCTATATGTTCTATGTATGCTTTTAAAAAATGCACGAAAAAGTTATTCCGCCCTAAATCTGGGACACAATTTAAAAAGCATTCTTCATCATTAGCCTCACTACTCTAAACTATCTTCCAGTATATTCCAGAGTGAAATTATGCATGAGGTAGTAAAAAAAAAGGAAAATTACTTTATATCCTACTCTTTCTACCAATCAAAAGAAATAGCGAGAAAAAGACATTTAAATAGAACAAAAAAAGAACTAACAACTATAAATACTTTCATTCAATATTTTGAAAAATATTAGGAAAAGGGGAATTAGGAAGTAGACTAAACTCAATTACTTTAATCCACTTTAATTGAATAATGAGGAATGATCCTATTAATGATTTAGTTGTCTTGGGGAATACGAATACTCTTCCTTTTCCATTTATAAAACTTACTGTTTTGCATTGGGTTCTTCGATCTCGAAATGATCGAAGGTAATAAGCACTTTTTGATCTGGTTTCCCAATAAATAGAAAATTACAGCAATAATTGTTGGGATAATTTTCCTTTGGAAAGGTCGGATGTGATTTAAAGGTTCCACTCAGTTGCTGTCTGCTATCGAATTTGTTTCGAAATTTCGGCGGACAGTCACAGCTACTAAGGACAGTATGTAAAGCTGAAATGAAAGAGAAATAATAAATTAAATAATAGAATAGAAAGGAAACCATAGTAGAGGTAAATTAATTAAGATACAAACGTATATTATAACTGACTTTTTACATAAAGCAAAACATCTACCATTAGTTAAGACGTTTACTTAAAGATTAATTGATATTTTATATAGATTTAGTAAATTTTGTAATTTAAAACTAGTAGTCTATTAGTCAAACTCTTACTACAAACACATCAATATTATTCTCTTACAAACTATATAGTATATGTTTGTTTGTAGAATTTTAAACAATACATACCTCCAAAAAATTTAATAACTAAGATGACAAACATTTTTTCCCTTATATTGTTTATTCTCGCAAAACAGCAACTGCAATACCACAAAGTTGTAGGATAATATCCGGCGGGAATGAGTAGTTAAATTATGACGCCTCTATACATGCTAGATGGCTATTAAGGCTTTTCAAACTGTAAAATTTTCGGAATAGCAGGTTGCGGTAGTAAACTTAGAACTTGTGTTTTATTTTTTATCAAGCAGATTTTCCGAAAGTTTTATACATAATTGTTCAATTAATTTTTCATGAGAATTTTTCGAGGCGGTCAGTCCTGCGGGGAAAGTGCTGCAAAGTTGTTTGTTCTATATTTTCCGCAACGATTTTTTATTAGTTAATACGGAACAACTGCATTGGGAAAATGGCTGATGTATTTGTTATCCTAAGAGCTTTAGAAATAGCATGTGAATGCTTTAAATCCTTGTCGAAAAACAATTTTGCATTCATTAAAAATTTATCTGTTAACATCAAGAATTACTTGTAATAAAGTATTGTCCTCTTAATAATATTCTATGCCTCACAGGCTACTAATATCACTGCTCGAATAGCTTATGAATATATTACTGCCTCTCCTCAGTCAATTAATATTTAATTATATCCAATGGAGATATAAATCTTATTCCATTAAAACTTACATAGGAAATCAAAAATTAAAACTGTACTCTTTATAAATATTGTTATTTACTTTCGATTTCGTTATATTAATGCAAAATTGCTTTCAAGCATATTACTCTAAATATACATATTTTTTATAAAGACAATGAGCACTCAAGGAAGAGAGGAGAGATAAATAGGTAAAAAGACGCACTAGAGGAAGATAGACTGATAGACAAAGATATTAAGAAACAGAGGGAGAGAAAAAGATAGATAGAGAGGGAGAAAACAGAAACAGGAAGAATAATCGGAACACAAAAAAGGAAGAACACAATTTAATCTATATTTTCAAGACACTAGAGGTTTAGAAAATGTCCAAAGATGTTAAATTACTTTAAAAATACAAAGGTTCAGAATCCCAATGAAGAAATTAACATTAACGAATATCATTAATTATGGTATTTAAAAATATGAATCTTAATTAGTAACTAACTTACCAAAGAGAATTTAAGAGAGTAGCTTTATTGATAATATAGATCAATTCTTTTGCTAAGATCTATTACTGAGCTATTGTATAGCAATGCAGAAATAGTCGTCTACAGCAGAGAAATCGGGTCTGTACAGCAAATTATTGTACAGTTGTCCAAATATGCTCTTGACAAAAAATGAAATTATGCAACATTAAAAAATTAATCAAATATTATAAAAATACAAAAATAAGCTATAAAAAGCCATTTATAATTCTTATAAGTGCTTTATATGAGAATATATATATATATATAAATGTATAGATTGTATTTATATACATAAAAACATATTTATATTTATATTGGGAAAGGATTATATAATCAATATTATCTCTATCCAGAGCTATTTGTAATCTTGTTGTTCTATTAATAAGGGCAACTGCTTTTACTTAAGGCAACTGAAAAAGTTAACTATCATATAACTTGCATGGCACACGAAAGTTTGGAGAAAAAATTGTCATTTATCTAATAAACTACCTTATTATAACTATTCATTGACTTCTTGTTGTTTTTTCTACAAGCGGATATACTTCATATAAGTCTAATATAAACTTACTCGAATTTCTTTTAGACGAAAGATGCTCCTCGTTAAATTACAGTTTCCGTCCAACAGTGAGAAAGGTAAGGCATCAATTTGATGTCTAATGCAGCTAGTGCATGAATTACAGAGACGATAACCGCGCCATCTGGTTGAGTATTATAAACACTGTAATAATTAACGGAAAACGTACATGTGGTAAAGAATGAATAAACTTCTTTATTTACATTTTCTGTTAAGCCTCTTTCCCCCAAACAATCAATTTAATGAAATTCAATGGATTTTATTTAGTTCAGGTGCTAAAAGTAAGCTTAAGTAAACGTTATTCATTCTTCTTAAGGAGAAGAAAAGAAGCAATTCGAGAATAAAATCAGTATAAAGAAAAAGAAAAGGACGGGTAGAGAAATACCCAATGAAATTTCTCTGAGTGGTCACCAACCGTGATGGGACTGAAAAATTTGAAAGGACGCAATAAACTGTGAGAAAATAATGCTACTCGTGGTAAAAGGTCAAATTTCATCCTACAGATTGTATATCGTTAGTACGAAAGACCTAGAACAGGGAATAACTCTCAAATTATTATTTATAGAAGAATATTATTTCCGTTTTAAGGAGTAATTTGTGAATAAAATCCAGATTTTGTTCTAGTAGATGTATTTCTATTTTAACTTTTTTACTTTATATTATCGTTAATTGACTAATAGTATTTTTTCAATAATATTACTTTTGAAATGTAGAAAGGCTCACAGCCATTCATTTCGATCTGTCTACTCTCTTTTTTTCTCTCTCTCACACTCTCTTCCTTTCTTCTTTTCATATGTATCCTAAATTGAAAAAAAAATGGAGAAAGGGAAGAGAAAAAAATCAATCTTCCCTTTAAAAAAAAGAGACGCCCCGACCAATTACGTACATGCGGTACATAATGAAGACGCAGAATACGCCGGCGGCCTATCTAAACTTAGAGAGTATCTTGAAATAAAATCCACTTCCATTTACTAAAGCTCTCTTTCCGTTTTAAATTCTATAAAGAGATCGTTTCACGTCTTTTTCATCATTTTTAATAAGTTTATCATAGGTATTAGGGTTAGCGAGAACTGGAATCTCTTACAGATAATTATGAAAAATGGATATACATTGTCTTGATTGATAAGCAGAGTGAGAGAGAGGGGAGTGGGAAGGGAGAAAAAAGAGAGTAAAAACTCTTAATTCAGGTTAAAAAGCAAAAAATTTGCGTGACAATGTGACAATAAGTTTGTTCTTTAGAAGAACATAAAATTGCGGAAATGGGAAAAGCCAGGCGATTTTTCTCACCGGATTCCACCGCTAATTTCCCTAAAATAAGAAAATAAGGACAGTTTGATTATTTCACATCATACGTTTCTTTGAACAAAATTTGGCTAGAGGATAAGAAAAAAATAAACACGAAGCCGAAGCCAACTAGACAAAAAATTGACAGGATTACTTTAGTTGACTTTTCCTTTCTCTCTTCCTTTCCATTATTTTGTCGTCAAAAAAAAGAAAATTTTCTTTTTTTTTTATAGATTATCATATAATCATAATAAATAGGCCTAAAGGATAAGACAAGGAAGAGCGTAGCGTTTCTATTTATCATTTTAATTTTCTGTTGTATTTTTCATATTCAATATATTTTTGTTTGCTAATTAATTGTATACTGTAATGCTTATACTGTATTCATGTTTGTAGTATACACATATACTGTATATATACAGTATATATACATATATATATACATATATATATATATATATATATATATATATATTTATTTATTTATTTGTATACTGTTCACATCCACATAGGGTTTGACAATCATTTCTTCATTTCCTTGGAGATAAATACAAGACATGAAAATCTAAATTCCTTACAGTAATTATATTTGTAGACGTTATATATTTTAAAACAAGAGCGTTTCTCTGTCTTCTCTTTTTATGCATCATCCATTCTCTCTTCTGCCTTCTCTTTTTTCTCTTTTTCTTTTTTTTTTTTCTTAGTCTTTTATCATCTCTACTATCAATAGACTATCAATTGGATTGAAAATAATCATCGATTAAGCACCAACACCAAAAGGAAATATTAAAATATGAAAAAAATAATAATAATTCGTATTTCTTTTTTCAGATTTAAGATTTTCTGCACAACATCTGCAAATCAATATCCACCAGACATTTAATCTTCAATAATCATGTCTTCAGAGACTTTGTATGTATACATATATAAATATACATACAAGTATACTATCTGTGTTTATACTATATAATCATATACATTTATATTTGTTTCTTATATGTACAATACATAAATCACTATTTATGTATTGTTCAGGTTAGTAAATAAATATATATTATATACTTATTGTTATGTTATATATACTTAATGTATATAAAATCAAGTACGCCTACACGTATCACAAGTTGCACACTGCTGCCACCTATGAGCGCAATAGAAACACTTGTGTAATATATCATCCAATAAGAGATAGGATTGAAGTGTTGCAGGTAGACCCAAATTATTCATCTTTACTCTTATTCCAAATCCTAAGCACTGTCTAATTGTCTTTCTGCAAAGTTGCTTCAACGTTCTCACAGGTGGAATGATTAAGTACAAATTCTGAAGAACTTCATATTCATCTTCTCGTATCCCTTCTGTAGTAATTACATAACCAATTTGCGAAAGTAGGTGAAGTACTTGGACATTCTTTCTTTCTAATGCCAATCTAACAATGCTTTTATGCTGCCCATCGCCATCTTGTCTTGCAGGTGTATTAAAATCGTAATTAAACTTTAGCAGATCTGTTTAAATGAATAAGAGAAGAATTTTATTTTTAATTATTGAAAAGAATTATTTTTAAAGTTAAAATTAAGAAAATTAATTAGAAAATAGCTAATTTATAATTTATAACATTCCTTTTAACGTTTCGATTTTGTTGTTAACAACTGCATCATAAATTGGACTTTCCCCAGATGAATTGTACTTATCGACCAGCACTTGACCACTTGTAATTAGCTCGGTAACTAAATTCGAATAATTCTTACGAATGGCAACGTGTAAAGCAGTATCACCCGTCTTATTGTCACTCGCGTTAACGTTACAACTTGGTACAACCAAGAGGCGAACAGCAGCCGCTTTGTTGTTATAATTAACAGCTTCAAATAGAGGAGTGTGACCCCAATGATTCTTCAAATTAACATCGGCGCCGGCCTCGATTAAGGCGCTCACCAAGGCCTCCGATCCTTGTCTAGCGGCAAAATGAAGAGCCGTATCCATATTCCTATCGCATATATTTAATAGAGCTTTCGCCTTTATAAGTCTCTTTACGGCATTCAATTTACCATTTCTTGTCGCTTTCATAAGTGGAGTTTTAGATGTTATATCTTGCGCATTTACATTAACTTTTTGATTAAGTAATACATCTAAAATATCAACTGCTCCGTCCTCAGCAGCATAATGATTCGGTGTATTTCCAAATGTGTCTCTAGGATCTGGATCAGCCCCAAACGATAATAATTTATGGAAACACGCCATTTTATGACGAAGAACCGCAAAGTGGAGGGCTGTTCTCCTTAAGGTTGTAGTGCATTGATGGATGTCACAATTCATATCCTTCAATCAGACAGAACCAGATTTATAGTTAATGCTTAATAAGCATAATTTATAGATTATTTTAATTTGTATAGTAATTTAACCAAGACCTTTTTAGTAAACTACTTCTTCTATACATTTCTATATACTCCATCTTTAGAAAAAGTTAGCAACTTCAATTTAACACTAATCGATTACACGCAATTATTTTCATTCAAAACAGAAAATAATCTCCTTTTTCCAAGTTTTCTTAGAGTTGGTTTATTTTTTTTTTAAAAAAAAGAAGCTTTTTTTTATTAGCCTCTTTCGTAATTATAGAGATACGAGTATTTCTGACATTTACTCGACGAAGAAAATAAGCCTATCCTTTATATTTTTGCTGTCTAATACAAATAATCACAATTTAGATATCAATTTATAACTAATTAATCAGTTAGAAAAGATAGAAGAGAAATGTGTTACTTTTTTTTTTACTGAGATTAAATTTAAAAACTATTTATATATTGTAAAGACACTATCGTCATAGAGTATATATATATATATATATATATACAGTATCTATACATAAGGTACATACATGAGAAACATATTGTATATGGTATATATTCATTGTACTCTAGAAAGCATCCTTTTTCTTTTTAGCTTAAAAGGATTTATATAAATATAAAAATAATTTATATGCTTCCTTTTATAAAATAATAAAAAAAAAAGTAATATTATTTTAGAAATAGACAGTATTTATAAATTATGATGTTATATTAATCATATACTTGTATATATATATAAGAATAAAGACTATAAAATATATAAATCTTGTCCTGCCTTTAAATACTGCAACATTCCAGTGTAACCTTTGTAGGCTACCAAATGAATTGGGCTCAAATCCAAATGGTTTTTCTTCCTGACATGAGCAAATTTAGCATCCAAATCTATCTTGTTCTGCTCCACCAATGTTTCCAATCGAGCTAAATCATTATTAACAACGCAATCGTAAAATTCTAAACCCCACCCAGGAGTTCTATTCGACATTTTGTTGTTGTGTGAAAGTGTTCGCTGACGGTCACGTGGGTTGTTTGCCAAGCAACCATATTGATTCGTATACGTAATTACTCGATCTTTATTCACTAAACATCTGACCAGTTTCTAATTTGTAAAATCAGACTTATACGGAAGGAAGTTGCTTTGTCACAGGAAAAAAAAATACAAAATCCCTCAAATCTTTGCTTAAAATCACGAGGAGCAAACAAAAGAAAAAGAAAACAACTAGTGGAACAATTACAAATGACAAACAAATTTTAGTTACTCTTCTTCGGTTTAGGAGATAATTTCTCATCATTTTTCTAAAATAGTTCCACCTACTCAGTTATAAATCTGTCCTAATAAAATATAAATTAAATATCTCCTGAATATTTATAGAAATTCTAAAGTAAATGAAATAGAAGAATAAATTTCATCTCCATTCTTTTTTAACTAGTTTCTTTAATGAGAAAGAAATGATTTATACTTAATTTATTTTAACAAAGATGGAAGCTTACAATATACTGCTGTATTAATTACTTTATATTTCACATTTACAAGACTTTATCTTTGTAGAAATTTATTTCTCAATCCATTTTGAAATTAATAATGATGCAATTAATTTTTATATATATATACAGAAAAATCTATGCAACTTATCAACTTTTCCTCTCTGATGAATATGTATAATTACTACCAGCGTTTTTTTTTATCTAAAAAACAAAAAAAGAAAGAAAAAAAGAACACATAGATTCTTTTATCTTTTCCTTTTTATCATATGGTATGTAGCGTACATTTTCTTTTTTTGGATAGACTCAACTATCATAAAAACTTATCTTTTTGTTCTATTTTTTTTTATCTGTCTCTCGTCTCTCTCCCATTCTACCCCCTTCCTTTTATATACAAGTATATTGAAATAGGAAAGTTATAACAAATTAACTAGCACTAAAATTTTCAGATCTTCTTATATCGTCCTTTATATTATTTGTAAAATGGATAAGGTATATATAAAGCAAAATAATATAATAACGTTACCTCTATTCGATTTCTTAGAATTTCTTGTTTAAAAGATTTATTTATATATAATAATCTATCTAATACAGCAATAGTTCTTACTGGAACAAATAATTAAAGACTGTAATCTATTACAGGATTCTACTGTATAGGGTTATTTAAATAAATACCAATAAAATTCTCATGTAATGTTTATTAATAAATTCAAATCAAAGGTAAAAGTATTGGTTATATTTTTTATCAGTCCGATTACTAAGTGTTGTGGCAAAATGTTTCTACTTGATAAGAAAAAAAAGACGATGATAGATGGGCGTGCATTTAATCTATTTAATTTAATAATCCATCAAAAGCATCTCTTTGTGCTTATAATCTATAACCTGCAAGCTATTTTGTAATATAATAACCTAAAAAGTTTAAAATTATATAAACTTTAATAGGAAAAGAAGAATAAAATAATTTCAAATATAAAAATTCCATGTTCTCTTGAAACATCAACTGTTTTATAAAAAGAGAAGAGGAGTTCGTGTTAAAAAAAAGACCATATAATTAATCGATTTATTTCCTGCCGAAAATCAATTTACCACAAAACCAACTGACAGGAAACGTTTCTAAGAAGACAAGCGAACAGACTAAAAGATCTAACTGAAGTATTTGCTTACGAATATCAGGGGAAAGATAAAAATAAAAGAAGATAGTAGACTAGATGAAGAATGCATTGGGAGAAACAATTAATTCGTTTAATTATTTCAATTTGTCCGTTTGGTGTGTAATACTAAAAATAGTAATTGAATAATAATTCAACTGCCATGTACGAAGACAGTCTTCTAAAACGAAAAAAGTAGGCGTTAAGTAGGTTGGATGAGTGTAGGCGTTAAAGAAGATTAGTTTTGAGTAAAGATGTTCTACTCATTTCTCTCTCTTTTTTTTTTTATTTCCATCTTGACTATAAATGTATAGATTTTTAATTATTAATAAAACATCAAAAATTTCCAAAATAAAGCATAAATCACGGTGTACTTCCTTGAAGAATGGAAAAGTAATAGAAGCATATTAATTAGAGTAGTACCAATTACCTATCAATTACCATTTACAAAAAAATCTACATTATATTTTGGCCTATAAAGAATTGAATAGTAATTAAAAAATAACATAAAACATTAAGACGTACATATCATTTTCATACTAATATCTAATTTTTCGTAAACTTAACAGATGGCAGACGTTGTCTAAGGAGAACGGTAGCATCCATCTACAATTTACAAACCGAATTTTATTGTATAAATGAATCAAAGAGGCTGAGAAAATTGGAGGAGGAGGAGGAGAGAAGGATTGTAAACACGTGAAAGAGAAAGAAAGAGAGAAAGAGAGAGGGAAAGGGATCGCAAAAAAAAATCTTTAATTTATGAAAATTAAATGAAATTTATTTATAAAGTGTTAAAACGGAATTTTTAGCTTTGCTTTATAAACACTTTTGAAAGTGTTAACTATATCATTAATTTTAAGAGAAAGGTGTTTCAAACAGTTTAAAATACTCATTATACCTTATAAAAAAACGTTTGAATTCGTTTAATGACGGATAAACTTTCAAAGTTGTCAAAGATATCCTTTGATAAATGGTCATTTAATGTTAAATATATTACCATCACCATCATACGTTCTACTTAAAATTACAAATTAGAACCATTAATATCCTATTAGTTATATAAAGTTATAAAATCTTTTCAACTAGTTATATAACAGTGTCAGGAGGAAAATGAGTTCAATTGAGAGGCTAAAAAAGGAAAGATTTTAATTCTGGCAAAGAGATATGTTTATCTAAGGATTTAAATGTTTATCCTACTTTCCCTTTTTATAATTGTCCTTTCTAATAGTTCAGATGTTGAATATAAAGAAAAATAGTAATCAATTTTATTTATTTAAACTGCGGAAGTAAGAATTATTCGTTAATATAGGCATTCAGTTAGAAATAATCAGATTTTCTATGAAATATTAATTCTTGGATTATTATGTTTATCATTGAATATTTGGACAAAAAATATAAAGTAAAATTTTTTGTGTTATTATTTTGCTGCATTATTTACAGCTTTTCCTATTATCAATTAAATTTCGAAATAAATGAACAATACGACCTAATTTATTGAGTAGTTTTTAAAATTTTGATAAAAAGTAATTTAATATATAAAAATTATTTTTATTCTCTTGAAAATTAAAAATATATTTAAATAAATTTAAGCTTTCTTTAAAAGGTAACTTATAAATATTCCGGAAGTTGGTTGCATATGAGGTAGTGCGCCTGCGCATACGAAAATAAGATTCATTTTCAGATAGAAAACGAGACGTAAACAAGTTTTTTTTAAAAAAAGATCGCAAGAGCGAAACATAGCCTCGATAAACACTATTTCCTGTCTATCTATGCTCACAAAATGCCACATCGGTTAAGAAGAGTCGTTATTTTGGGTTTTAGGAGCGTTGGTAAGTTATATTGTCATGTTTTAGTGATAAAGCATGTTTGTTTACTAGTTTATTGAACTTTAGCAACGTTCAACTAGACAAAATGATTAGCTACGAGAATATTCTGTTTTATTTTTTACTAGACATAATTAAGTTTTATTGACTGAAAATATTTAATAAATTTGTGCATATTTTAGTAAAAATTCAATTCTTTTATCCATCCCTTAGGAAAGTCTTCCTTAACCATACAATTTGTCGAAAATCATTTTGTGGACAACTACAATCCGACCATTGAGAACACTTTTGATAAAGTGATTTCTCACAAAAATGTCGAATATAGATTAGATATTGTTGATACTGCTGGTCAAGATGAATACTCCATTTGCCCGCAGGCTTATACAATGAACATAGACGGATATGTTCTCGTGTTTTCGCTAACATCCAGAAAAAGTTTCGAAGTCGTCAAAGTCATTTATGAGAAACTACTAGATCAGACAGGAAAGAAAACATTACCGCTTATCTTGGTTGCCAACAAAAGCGATTTGGCAAGTGAAAGACAAGTTCAACCCAACGAAGGAAGAGCTTTGGCAAACGAATGGAAGGTGAACTTTATCGAGGCTTCTGCGAAAGACAATAAAGTGAGTTCATATATTTAATAGTAAACGGAAGTAGCCTAGACAGGATGGGACTCTGAAAAGAGGCATCTGTCTTTAACATTCTATTCCACTAAGAATGCATGCACAATTTAAACAGAAACCCATTCCATATAATTCAAAATAGAATAGGTTTTTATATTTGTTAACGAAAACTCTCGTGTTTCTTTTATAGAAATCGAATAGATGCTTAAATTTACATTGTAAACAATAGACTTCCCTATTAAAAATGTATCTTTTATAAGAAACAATTTACATTATAACTGCTATAATAAGAGAGTAGTATAACCTTTTAAGACTATTCTACCATTGTAATACACATTTACATACTTCTAACGATAGAGAATACTAACAAATTTTTTTATTAATACTATAACTAATTCTATTTACTCATTCTTCTGCTAAGATAAATAAAGTCATTGGGGAAACTATAGTATTAATCATTATTTTTTCTTTTTTTTTTATTCTTCAGAATGTCAAAAATATATTTCAATCAATTTTGGACGATATGGACAAATCTGAGGGAAATTCTTCTGACAAACCCAGTTGCAATGTTATGTAAAAAATAAACTGTTACCACTTGTTAAAGGACTTTATATATGTTTAATAGTTAATAACGTTACATTGAATATTCAGGTACCTATGCTATTCTATAATTTTTCTTGAAGCATGCTAGTTTAAATTTTTTTTTTCTTTTTCATTATATCCAGTCATTATTCATTTATAATAAACAATCATTAATTTATCAATTTTGGTTGCATTATAGAATTACGATCAGTTAGGAAAAATTATGAAATTGTAAATAGACTGTGGCGACATCTATTCCAAACTCGAGAAAAATATTCGTTTATAACGCATATCAAAGTGAAGGTCATCGAAGCTCGTGGAGATTTTCGTGAAAACCTCGGCAGATTCACTTACTCTATTAATCAATATTGAAAATATTCATCATGTGGACGAGGCTAATACAAACTTTTAATACTGTTAGACCTTTTTTTGTTCAATCTCGCTACTTCAGCCTGTTAGAACAACACTGGCTCCGTAAACCGAATAAGATTTTATTGCAACCTTCTAATTATATGTTACAATTACAAAACGAGTATAAAGTCAAAGTTGCTCTAAGAAAACGATGTAAACAATGCTACATGGTTATGAGGAAAAATAGATGGTACGTAGAATGTAAAGCGAAGCCTAGACATAAACAGATGCAAAAGCTCGATAAAAAAGATGTTTGGAAGGAAGATTAAAGGAACATTTAATTATTATGCAAAAAATTTTTCGATTGTACCATCTTTGGTAATAAAATTCTATTTAACATCTTTCTGTTTAAAGGATTGACTCCATTCGGATGCGGATACGGAATGTTTTTGAAAACTTCTATTACTATCGTTGTAATAGTCATTTTCATTATCATCGTCATCATAATTTGTTGTATCGTTTCGATATTCTCCAACTATACTACTAGATTCCCTAATGCTCATTGTCTTAACTTGTTCCATTCTATCATCCACCATAGAGTTATAATAATATGGATCCTCATCTTCGAAATCTTTTTCACTTATAGTTTCCGTACCAATACGACCTGGTTGTATTTTTTCAGCTCTGGCCACTCCTGATGAATCATGTTGAATAATTCGTATTTTAGGTTCGTCATTCAATTCCTCGTCTGCTGTTATTAAGGATTCGTCTGTTTGAAATATACACTCGTTATTTTCTGATATGTCGTCTTCCTCTTCTTCTCTGTCACTCCTTTCCTTCTCTTCTTCGCTGGAAAAACAGCTCCAGTCGTCCGAAGCAAAATCCGATATTGATTTCTCGTTATCTTCCTCTAAATCAGTTTCACTTACCGGAGGAATGTAAATACCCTGAGAGGCTAACTCACTTCTCAACTTTTCCTCTTTCCTTAGTAGTTTTCTTCGTTTCTTTTCATAGCTTTTCTGGTCAGCTATAAAACGCTGTTCGTCCTTTTTTATCTTTTTCTTTACTAACGTTTTAAGCTTTTCCTCCTTTCTCAGCAACTCCTTTCTTTTCCTCTCCTCCTTCTTCCGTGCTTTCAAAGTGACCTCCTCGTCTTTCAGGTTGTTCAGAACTCCTAGCCAATCTTGGACATTTTTTTCCGGTTGGGTGTCTTGTGGCAACAAAATATTTGATTGTACAGATAAGGTCATTGGAACAGAGGCGGGATCATTGCCAATAATAATAGATGGTGGAGCTGAAACTGGAATTGGATCCGGAATCGAAGCTGGAGGTGGAGGGGGAGCTGGAACTGCAAGTGGAGCTAAAGTGTTTTCTTCTATAGTAGGTAATGCATTTTCCGGAATCGTTCTAGCTAAACTGCCACATACAGAACGTTTTGCTGGCAGTGTGAACATAGATTGTTCTATTGCAGGCTTTTCTTCTACAGTGTTTTGCTTGAGTTTTTGATGAAACTGGACAACGTTTCTGAGGGAAAAAAGTTTCATCTTCTATCAAGAATATAAATGTATATGATTTAAAATGCTGAATGAGTAGTTCCAAAGAGCGAATAACGGATATTAGATAGATCGCTTATTCCCAAAAAAAAGACATTTTTCTCGCTTTATTGTCTTAATAAATAACTAATAAACAAACCTGAATTTCGCATTTAATAGTAATACAATTCCGATACTGATTAGAAGAATTACAATTAGGACGATACATATTCCATAAACCCAAAATGGTACTTCACTCTGTTTAGAAAATTCGTATGTTGTCCTATTAAAAGGCTCTAAGTTGGTTATTGTTGATGTTTCGTTCATACTTTTATATCAATAATAGAGAGAGAGAGAGCAGAAAATTTATTGTATGTTTGTATTTATGTAAGCCTAATCATTTTTTATTAATGCATAAAAATTTAATTGGCATCAAATAGCACATTAATTAATTCGTTTAAGTATAAAATGTCATTCAGAACTTCAATAATTTCCGTCAGTCCTCCGATTTCTTATTCTTGCTTAATTGACGTCTGAAACGAACTTCCGTCGTACTCTCACATACTAAAAATAAAATTGAATAAAATTTTATTATCTTTGAATTGTATTTTATCATTTTTATCTTTTATATGCAGATTTTAGTAATTTGAAATACATTTTTACCTCTATCGATTGAAATTGATCTATTCAAGTCTGCCTTCTTCTTAGAGGAATCTTTTTTGCTTGTAAAATTTTTTCCATATAGGAAATAACACAGTAAAACTATGATTATGACAATTATTATGAAGATGATTGAAGATTGATCCATGTTTAAAAGGAAGCTCCAAGAACTAGTTAGTAAACTTTCTGCTCTCTATTTGAATAGACAGGCCATAGTGTCTGTACAAAAACACTGAACCGTATAAAAAAATTTATGCCTAGCTCCCTGAAAATAGCGAATCAAAAGTAAACTATAATAGTAATAAAAGAGGCTGGATTTTCTTTGTTTCATTTATCACAACATCCTATTTATTGTGTAACTAAACAATAGAAATTTCATACGTTTTGGAGCGTTTTAGAGTCTAAGCAAGATTTATGACAATAAAATCTTTTTTTTTGACTAAACTGTAAAACCCTCTGAACCACTATAGTTTTTGGTCATTACTTCCTTGGGTTTCCTATATTAAATCAATATATATGTATTTAATTATGCAGTATCTATATTTATACTAATGTTATTTATTTGAAAATATGTTATATATGTCCTAAATATTATGACCAAAAACTAATTTAATTTTATACTAAATCGCCGTTGACATTTAATTGGAATTGACAAATATTTTGAAATTGACTACGTAATCCATCAATTAATTCCACATTTTTACATAGGTGGTTTATAATTGATATGCAATTGCGGTTTTATATCACAAACAAGAGTTAATAACTTTGCAAACGCCTTCTCCTTGTTCAAATTATAATCCCTTTCTAGCTCGCTTAATCTTATCTGCGTTTCTTTATCTATCCTTTGTTCAGAATCTCCTTTCGAGCCTAGAATCTGTTTTTGAAAAAAAGAAGTAATATTATTCATTAGAACTAATTATAGCAATGATACTAATGTTTTTCATAATATTTTGCTTATTTATATAAGTTGAATTGTTAATGCTGATCACAATGGTTTCTGTTTCGTGTCTATTTGACTTTTTTTAGCATTAGATTTAATTTAATTTAAGTCTTCGCCAGAAACTGACAGGCCAAGTAAAAGTAAATTTGTCCAGTTATGAAAATACTTTACATTTGCTTCGTGCTGACGGTATTGCTGCTCTCTTTCCTGTTTGTAGCTATCAATCTCTGCTTGTGCCTCTTCCTTTGCCTGCTTTAGTCTTCGAGCCTTTCCTGAAATGAAAAGATCGCAATAATTTCATTTAAAAACATCAGTCACATGATTAGTATTCATAGATGAAGACAATTAAATTAACAAATTCTCTTAAATAGCACATTGAATTACAATTTTAAATTTCACAATATAATGTTAATATTTCATTTGTTTAACTCACTTTTTCTAGCTTCAGACACCTTTTCAGCAGCTCTTTTTTCAGCGGCTAATAATTGTTGAATTCCAGTTGACTGGCTCGCCATCTTGATTCTTTTTTGTCATGTGATTCGAATTAAACTGGTATCCAATTCAACGTCAAAAGGTTATATTTTACAGATTCTGCAAAAAACTGGTAAAGCAAAAGGGCGGGAAATTCTTAAATGTATTTGATATCGTGCCTTTCATGACGTGGATTATGTATTACAAAAGCATATCAATCATTATATTACATTCATATGAAAGTTGTAAAAAATAATAACAATCTTCATGTTCTTGGTTAGCATTATCCCAAGATCTTTTAATTTTTACAGAGCAATATTATCCTCATTTAGGAGATCACTGTCCAATTATATAATATAACGAAATAATGGATAGTGAAATGTGTTTATTACTTCAAAAATGTAATAAAATTTAAATCTTTTTCATTTTTTCTATGTTATTTTATGATTAATTATCCTACTTATAACCATTGAATTTTGTTGCTTTTGCCTCACAAATTAATCTTTATTTACTCACTCATCAGAGATTTTGTAGAGTATCTCCGACATACTTCTCCCATTTTACAGCTAGAGCTACAAATTCAATAAGTTCATTTATATTGTAGCTAATTATTTGTGCATTGATGAAGCCCTATAATACTGGGCTATCTTCTATGCTATTACATCAATTTTGAAATAAATTTAAGACTTTACAAATATGTAGATTAATGCTTTTGCCTTGTTTATTAGAAAATATTATCCCAAATTTCTGCTCTCATCGTTGTTAGTATCTTTTAGGAGGAACATAACAGAATATTCAGCTCTTTATCCCTCTTTTAAATGAAATAAACATTTTTCTCTGTGGATCTTATTAGGAAGAAGCAAATGTATTTAACTGTATTAAACAAGATATTCTAACAGGAAAATAGTATATGTTTGTCACTAAGTAGAAACTGTTCGACAAAGAAAGGGTAGATACGAAAATGCTTCCTCTGATAGTAATATGATCCTCGCTTGAAAATGAAAATTTTTTATCCGTTACAAAAATATGATATTTTTCAGAGTTAATTAAAATAATTAAAATAATTAAAGTGTATTATTAGCCACTAAGTATAAATAGGACATTGCTGTTGTTTTTTCGTTATTTACTTATCTTTCAGGTAATCATCCATTTTCTGGGTCAGATAGAATACTTCTCTTTCTTTTTTGTGTTTGAAAGTAAAATAAAGAAAGAAAAACTAGTAAGTTTGCTTGCAAATGAAACAATATACTTTTTCCCTTCTTTATTTTTTTAAGTTTCTTTTTTTTGCTTACTTCTTAAGCTTTACATAGAAAGAAATGATGGTGTTTTGTTCTTTGGAGGAAAAAAAAAAAAGATAATAAAAACATTGAAAGAAGCTGTTTTGTAGCATTATTATAAATTTCGTTTGTTTGTAAGATAGATTTTCGCTCATAATATCATATAATACATCCGTTAGTAAGTGATTTCATTATTTACGCTTTTTATTATGAAAAGTAGGTGAAATTGTCATAAGGAAGTTTAATTTTACTAGACTTAATTGTCCTTTTACTCAGCCAATATTCTATTTTTGAATGCAACATTTTCTCTCTTTAAATCCTCGAAAAGGACATAGAATCTAAAAAGAAAACAAGCCTTACTTTTTTCTAATTAAATAGAAATAAAACCACAAAAATGTACCTGTCATCAGCTATTCCTAGACTGTTTGTTATAAACTGGGTGATATTTCTAGCATGCTGTTTATTTTCTTCCAAGCTGATTTTACCCGCACTTGCAACTTTAACTATGGCGCATGGTTCGTTAGTAGCTCCAAAAGTCATTTGCTTCCCGGTATTAACTTCAACACAAACGTACTGCAAAACAGAGCGAAAACTGAAAACGTTGTTGTTTAATCAATAAATATTTAATATGGGGAGTTTAGTCAATTAAATTCCAAAGTTCAAGGATTAAAAGCATAAATGTTGTATTATCAAAAAGGAATGAAAAAGGTTTAAGTTTAGTTTTTAGGTTATGCTGAAATTAATTAAGGAAATTAACTACTAACAGTTATAGGTTTTCCGAGAGTTTCGGCAATAACTTTGCTGCAATTTTGCAGAAAATCGTCAGGTACATTCTTAACATTAGTATTTATTTCACAGAGTGGCATTTTAATATCTCAAGCTTAATTAACGCTTCTCTCACAGTCTTGGAAAAATTATACTCTTTGCACAATAGGCAGTCGGTAATCTTTCGTTTGTGACGTCACATCCTATAAATTTCCCATCTATTCCTTATCTTACAAATTGTTATAGGAGAAAAGCTTAGAAAATATCATTAGAATCGTTTGACAGCCATAACACCTCTAGCATATTTTTAGAATAAAATATGTAAACTATATTTTCAGTTGAACTTGGGATACAATACTGCGTTAGTTAGTTTTTTTTAATTCGGCATCGTATTCGTTTGAAGGATACAAAATAGAATATTACATAACAATTAACAACATTAAATTTTAAAATTTCTCTCGTTTAAAATTAAACATCAATAATCTTTATAAAATGAATTAAAATTCATGCAGTGTTAATTCTCATCTTCTTTCATTAGAGTATAGATAGCATCACGTAGAACTTCGTAGTCTTCCAATGTATTGTAAATCTGCGCTGAAATTCTAACCCAGCATTCGCCATATATAATAAATGTAGGGACGCAAATCTTAAATCGATCTCTTAAAACCGTTATTAAATCATCATGATCCATATAAACAACATTCTCTGATTCCTTAGGGGGTGGATATTTCTTCAATTTTGGTAATTGAATCAATGACATAAAAGGAGCTCTCATACAATCTGGAATTTCTAATAATTTTGTATTCCAGGCTTTTGCCAGCATTGAGGAGGCAGTAAAATTTAAATTTGTGTTATATTCCATTATTTTTGACTTGAGAGTAAAATGGACAAATATATATATATAAATCAGTTTAATTTATTTAAATATTTACCAATCCACCGCATTTCTCTACGAAATTTCTTGATTGCGTCCAACAGAATAGCGAGGAGAAATCTCTTGTTCCGATATAGTGAAATCTTTTTTGGAATGGTCTAGCTTTGTATTTGAAAGAGGTCATAATATTATGCATGGACTCTTGTCGTCCATCAGCAACATAGAGCATACCGCAACTTCTCGGAACAAAATTCCATTTATGTAAACTTGCTGTAATAATTAAAGGAAATATATACCTTATTTATTCATTTACAATTGCGAAACATATTGTTAGAAAACTCTTACCAACGTAATAGTCAGGTTGTAATTCATCTAGACAAACAGAAACTTGCCCTGGAGCGTGTGCACCATCTATCAGAATTATAACGTCGTACGCTCTAAAGAGGTTCATTAGCTTCTCAACAGGCCATAGTATAGGAACAGCGCTTGAAATATGATCTAAATTATTTAAACGATTAATTTTCTCTTAATAGGAAAACTTTATGAAAGAAAAACCTAATATAATCATTCTGATATCAGGGTACTTTTCCAACTCGTTGGCGTATAACTGAACAATATCGTCATCTGATTTGATAGGTAACCTTATATCCAATGTTCTGACTATAAAACCTTTTTGTTCGGCTATTCTTTCAGCAACGCATGCAGTTGCCTTATAAGTAAATGACTGGACCTGGAAAAGGATATGAAATAGTAAAATAATAACTATAAAAGGATGAAATATTATCCACCAAGATAGAATCGCCTTCCGAAAGAGGAGCTGACATTATGGAGCTATTTACGCCAAATGTTGTATTATCCGTTAGAGCTTGTTGAAGAGAAGATAGAAAAAGATTTTTTTTTTTAAATTAATTGATTAACTTAATAAGAGTTATTAACAGATTGATCTTACCAACGCTATTCGGCTCTGTTCCAACAAATTTAGCTATCGCTTCGCTATTCCTTTCTTGCTCTTCATATAATGTCTTTCTAAAGAAATATTCTGGTAATGCCTCGTGATCTCTAAGTAACCTGTCAATTAAGATTGCCTAATTTAATCCCTAATTGTATATTCCTTATATATACTTCATCTTATAATCAAACACTTCCTTAGGAACTGCACCCCATGATCCATGATTTATCATTGAATAATCATTGTTGAGAAGAAAGTTTTCGAGCATGCTCTTCCCGAACTCCATAGTTAGACAGTGAAATGGTTCTAGCTGTAAAGATTTATATTACTTATATGACAGCGGGCAAGATAACCGCTAGGTGGTGAATGTTGGAATAGGAAATACGAGGTTAGGAGAAATCAGGTATTGCGAGAATACAGGAGTGAATAGTTCATGATAATCACCTTTGATATTTGATAAAAAGAATTTATTGTCAGTACTGATGCACAAAGTTTTTGTGTTATCAATAATTCAGTGCACAATATTGAAAATCGCCTTTCACGAAGATGTATCACTTTTTACGCCATCTGCATTTTATAATTTGAACCGCATCAACGCCCCCTTTAGAGAGATACTAAACATAACTGCTTTATTAAATAATGAACTTGTGTGCATTTTTATTTTCGGTTTTGTATAATTATTATTATTGATATTAATTCTATAAAATTGCTTATTCATGAGCTATTATCAGCCTCTTTTATTTGAAATATAAATTCTATGAACCCAAAGGAATCATTTAGTAAGATTCAGACTATGTATGCCCCAACAATTAGGAAACACATTTTAATTTTAATCTACTGCAGCTGTTTCAATACAGCCTCGCCGAACTTTGCAGCTGAACTTTTATCAAGAAAGAGTGTTGGCTCTAGAAGTTCCAATTCCATAACGACCGCTTTTCCTTCGTAAACTACCAGATCTATTCTAGCATATGGTAAATCTCCTCTTACCCAATTTACTATGCGATCTCCCAATAGTCTAAATTCATCAGGTGGAGTAATTCTCTCAATTTTAATATTGGTCATATCGAACAATCGAAAATCTTCTAGAGGAGTCTTTCTAACTGAATGGGAGTATACCTTATCAAAATAGATCAAAGACGTCTCTCCTTGGTCTTGTAAATTTTCAACGAAGGGTTGTATCATCATCGAACAAGACTGCAGGATCTTTTCACATATCTTTAGGCCTATAGATTATAAAAATATATATAAGAACTATTGAATATAGAGCTTTTTTATTTGAAAGTTATGCTTAAAAAAACCTCTTTCAACGCCTTCCTCAAGGTCGAATTTTTCAACGTTGTGTGAAGAACCGCCAAGGATGGGTTTAAATATCATCTTCTTCCAACCAGTTTTTAACAAAGCCTCCTCCGTAGCATCTTTGAGATTACGAAAAAAAATTGTCGGCACTATAGGAATACCATTTCTAATTAGATCATCCAAATAGGTCTTCTCCATATTCCATAACAAAATTTGATAGGGATTAAACAATTTGATATTCAACGAATTTAGCTTTGTCAACCATTCTTTAAATTCTTTAGGTTGTACAAAATAGTCCCAAGTTGTTCTAACTATAACAGCGCAATATTCTTCCCAACAAGTGTTCGAATTCCAAACCTTTCCGTCAACTTCATAACCCTTTGATCGTAGATATTCGGCTAATAGATCGTCCTTTTGAATATCTAAGTCACAAATTTCAGGAACTTCATAATGAGTTGCTATAGCAATCTTCATAACTTACTGTTGAATCCTTCAGAAATAAGGGCGATCAATTGACTTTTGGACTTTGATTTCGAAGGTGTCATATACCGAATTTGATATAAAGATAACATTCCTTATATCGCTCTTCTTTAATTATAATCGTATTTAATTTTGCAACGTCATATTTACCAACAGAATTTTTGTTACATTTTTAACTGACATTCTTTTTAGACTTGCGCAATTCATAATAGAAATCATATGCTTTTAGATAGAGATATGGAAAATAAATGAAAGCATAAAAAGTTTGGAATACTTGAAAAACTAATGAATATTACATATCTTTTATAGATGATAATGCAAATTGTTTATTTAGAATAGATTTGTATTGAATCTCATCAAAACTATCAACTTCATAAAGGATTTGTAATAAAAAATAATCATATTTAATGAAATTCTCTATTTATCAAGATTCAATAACCAATCTGTTTGTGTTCTCAAATTTTTAAGATACCAACTTCATCAGTTAGAATAGAAATAGGACATTGTTTTTTCGTTAACTAATCATCCACGTTTTAGGTCAGACGAAAGCTTTTTTGTGTTAAAAAAAAAAAGAAGTAAAAAAGTAAATGGCACTGAGTCTGATCAAAAAAGAATTTTCATTTTTCCTTTTATTTACTATCTAACTTATGCATTCGAATAGTCTGATACAACATTATAATAATTCTCATACATTTTATAGGGAACATTTTCAATGACAAAAGAAGACACAATAGAATATTGAAATTGATTTTTTTGGCCTAGGCTATTTTTGAATGCTGTATTGAATGGTAAAGACTCAACTCGCATGTATATTATAAAACTCAAGTCTGCTAGAACAGTTTAAAAAGCACAGTTAACCAAACAACTACGTCAGTTTCGTTAGAACAAAGCATGAAGTCGCTTCTCTTACTACTTCTATTCTCTTTTGTTGTCCAGTCGGCAGCTTTTTTCGGTTCAGACTTTTTGAAGAAGTTATTCCCGAATCTCGCTGGAAATAAAGACGTAAATTATATTTGCTTCTCCAGACAATTGATTCGAGTGTTTGATAATCATATCGTTTTCATTTGTTATAGGAAATTAATAATGTCAAAGAAACGTTAGATGATACAAGATTAAGATTTATCCCTGTGAAATCGCCTGAAATTAAAAAGGTAAGATATTGAGAATCTTTTAAATTTGTCATGTGACCGAGCCGTTTGTTTATTGTCCTAGCAATTGGACGAGACTCTGTCACACTTACCAACTGCAATTGACCAGAAAAAGGCTGGGGAGGGTGATCAATTCTCTGCCGGTAGTTACGATGGTCGAACTGAAGAAACTAAAAACAAATTTGTTGCTGGCAGCTACGATGGCCGTTCTGATGAAAAGAAGAACGAATTCATTGCTGGAACTTATGATGGAAGATCTGAAGAAAAGAAGAACCAGTTCATTGCTGGAAGCTACGATGGAAGATCTGATGAGAAGAAGAACCAATTCATTGCTGGAAGTTATGATGGAAGATCTGATGAGAAGAAGAACCAATTCATTGCTGGAAGTTATGATGGAAGATCTGATGAGAAGAAGAACCAATTCATTGCTGGAAGTTATGATGGAAGATCTGATGAGAAGAAGAACCAATTCATTGCTGGAAGTTATGATGGAAGATCTGATGAGAAGAAGAACCAATTCATTGCTGGAAGTTATGATGGAAGATCTGATGAGAAGAAGAACCAATTCATTGCTGGAAGTTATGATGGAAGATCTGATGAGAAGAAGAACCAATTCATTGCTGGAAGCTATGATGGAAGATCTGACGAGAAGAAGAACCAATTCATTGCAGGCAGTTACGATGGCAGATCTGACGAGAAGAAGAACGAATTCATCGCTGGAACTTATGATGGACGTTCTGATGAAAAGAAGAACGAATTCATCGCTGGAACTTATGATGGTAGATCTGATGAGAAAAAGAACGAATTCATTGCTGGAACTTATGATGGAAGATCTGATGAAAAGAAGAACGAATTCATCGCTGGAACTTATGATGGACGTTCTGATGAAAAGAAGAACGAATTCATCGCTGGAACTTATGATGGACGTTCTGATGAAAAGAAGAACGAATTCATCGCTGGAACTTATGATGGACGTTCTGATGAAAAGAAGAACCAATTCATCGCTGGAAGTTATGATGGAAGATCTGATGAAAAGAAGAACGAATTCATCGCTGGAACTTATGATGGACGTTCTGATGAAAAGAAGAACCAATTCATCGCTGGAACTTATGATGGAAGATCTGATGAGAAGAAGAACCAATTCATTGCAGGCAGTTACGATGGCAGATCTGACGAGAAGAAGAACGAATTCATCGCTGGAACTTATGATGGACGTTCTGACGAGAAGAAGAACGAATTCATCGCTGGAACTTATGATGGTAGATCTGATGAAAAGAAGAACGAATTCATCGCTGGAACTTATGATGGTAGATCTGATGAGAAGAAGAACGAATTCATTGCTGGAACTTATGACGGTAGATCTGACGAGAAGAAGAACAACCAATTCATTGCAGGCAGTTATGATGGTAGATCTGATGAAAAGAAGAACGAATTCATTGCTGGAAGCTATGATGGAAGATCTGATGAGAAGAAGAACCAATTCATTGCTGGAAGTTTCGATGGACGTTCTGATGAGAAGAACCAATTCGTTGCTGGAAGTTTCGATGGACGTTCTGATGAGAAGAAGAACCAATTCGTTGCTGGAAGTTTCGATGGACGTTCTGATGAGAAGAAGAACGAATTCATTGCCGGAAGTTATGATGGACGTTCTGATGAGAAGAAGAACCAATTCGTTGCTGGAAGTTATGATGACCAGAAAAACACTTTGAGTGCTGGTAGCTTTGATGGGCGACACGGCGAACATATTAGACAAAGATTAAACTTTTTCGGAACTTCTGATGAAACACCCGAATCAAACAAGAATTTCGCTGGTTCCTTTGATGGTAGAAAGGAAACAAGGCATCATCATCATGAAGGAAAAATTAACCGTAAAAATTTTGTTGCTGGAACTTTCGATGAGTTAGATAATAGAGCTAGACAATTTTCGCATGACTTCTTACCCTTTGAGGAGGACAAGGCTGACAATGCACTCGATAAAAACTTGAAAAATACTGCCCAAGGTAAGTTAATAGTTGTTGAATAGAAATAAAGGTTTGATTATACGTTTCATTAATTTAGAAATTGCTGAAGATAGTAAAATGAACAATGTTCAATTTGAATCAGGAAATATTTCTGATGGTAAAGAAATTATTGGCAAATATGTCAAAATTTCTGGAAATATGGATGAAGACTTTAGTCATCCATTCATGGAGCTCTTGAAGCAAATCTCAAAAAGAGCTGATATGAAATAAGAAAACAATTTTCTTTTAATTTTATGCCATTTATGTTTTCTGCATCAGCATGTAAACAATTTAATAATAATAATTTCTAATAAAACAATTAACAGTGTTTTTATCTTTGAGTTGTTTTTTCTCTAGAGGGCGTAACTACTTTTTCTGAAAAGGAAAATTAACAAAAAGGGCTATTATGACCTAAAATTCATTGAACTCTGAATAACTGATATTTCTATGCTGTATTGTTTGATTAGAATTTCGGATACAATAGAACAATATAATGGATGTATTAGCCATGAGAAAAATGTTCTTTATTGAGTTTTTTAGTCAACAACTGGCAATTCCTCCTCCTCTTCTTTTATTAAGCCTAGCTCCCTTAAGAAGACATGTTCAGCCTCTAAAAAGGATTGATATTCTTGCTTTTGACGATATTGAACTTCTTCGTCAGTTAGTTGGTGTTGAGGAGCTATTCCAGCTTTTAGTTTAGCTTCTGCTTCCATCTGCCTCTTTTCATTTTCTCTAAAGTCCCAACGTTCAACGACAAAAGCTCGTCTATTGACTTCGCGCTCAACGTAATTAGCGAAAGCTTTACCCTCTTTATCGGCTGGATTGCGAAGACTAGCTGGAACCTATAAATGCACAGATGATGGTTTTCTTTAGAAAACATTACTCAGTTATATAAACCCAATACCTCAAGGATGTGAAGTGTTCCAGAAGCATCAGAGACTGCGATTAACTGCTGTCGAGGTGTTACTCTATGAGGATAAATTGCTGTTATTGGAGAAGTACTGATGCTCTGCGTTAAACTCGGTTCGTGTGTTCTATCTAATAGATCCCAAACATCAATTGATCCGTCATCCCTTCCTACATAAAATACGGATGGTCTAGAAGGAGACCAGTGTGCAATCTTTAGGCGGCGTTTACTAGCCGATGATTGTACAATTGGACCTGAAGAAACACCCTCTTTCCATATGGTAAAATTCCAGCCACCTACGCACAGAATAACATCCTTGAAGAACGGATTTCGACTAAGCGATACAATCGGACCAGCATGCAGAGAATGATAATAATCAGCCTTAGGCGTTTGAATCTTTCCTGTATCTTGATCTTTTTGAGGCATCCAATCAACATAAACCAGTTCACCGTCTTCAGTTCCGACATAAAAGTGCGTATTCAACATTGTCAAAGCTCTTTTATGCCCCGAACCTGGTTTAATCGTATTGGCAAGACCAGAGAGACCAGCTGCTTTTTCTTTTTCTCTTTCCAACTGATCTAACTCCTCAACTGAAATATTTCATTAAAAATATACAGGAGAATACAATATAAGGCATAAAAAATATTGATTTCATACGTATTTTCTTGTCACCATGCTTCTCGGCTATTGAGAATTTCGTAGGACTGTGATCCCCTCCAGGTTCTGATTTAGGTAATGTAACTCGCAAGAGCGGCTTCCAAGCTAGATCCAAGTGTCTGAAAGTAGTTGGTATATTCATAGGATTTGGTTCCTTTGTCAATTTGTCCATTAGCTGCTGATGCTGTACAGTCTTTGGAGGTCTGGTATCCCAGAAGAGAACCACACTGTTGTAAATTAACAATAGACAGTAAGAAACTAATATTCATATATCAAAGTATGCTTTAAAGTGATTTATAAAATAAAGGACTGTTTCTTCTAAACGAACAGAGAATATTTGAGGAAAATAAATAACGATAGAAAAAACACACAAAGATTATGATTGATTTTTTAATTCATGCGAAAAGTGCTCATTATTATGAACTTTAAGGGATTCTTTGAATTTTTGTAAAGTACATTTATTGTGACCATATCGGCATGCTGTAATATCCTCGTCCTACCCTCCATCGCCTACATATTCCTCCCAATCATCCTCGATATTGTCAGCTTTCTTTTTCTTTTTTTTTTTTGATTTTTCTATCTCTTGCTCCTTATGAGGTTCTTCCGTGCTAGGAAACTCAGTGTGTAGGGGTATGGAAGTACTAGTTGTTATCGAAGAGATAGAATTGTTTATTTAAATGCTAGTAATCGTTGAAATTTTGTTAATAAGATTATATTTTGGCTAAATTTGTTTGTTAGAGGGAAAGAAAAAGAGAGAACATCATTTTAATGTTTAAATTAATACATACTGATCAACGGAGCAAGTCATTAATTGAACGCAGGAGTTTTCCTTATTCTCTAAGGGAACGCCTAAGCGATTAATCTGTAAAAATTCATTAATTTCTTATATTTGATTAATTAAACATAGAATATTCAACAGAAAAGAATCATAAAAAAAATAATAAACCTCCATATGACCAGGAACCCATTTCAAATCAGTTACAGGTCCTTTGTGAGAATGTTCTATATTTGATACAGCACAGTAGCGAACTTTTATGTGATCTGGACTTTCCTCCTCGAACTGTTCATCATATTTATTACTTAATTCTAGATAAACAAAACTTATAATCTATATTTAACCTAAAGCCTAAAAAAAATAACATCCGCTTAAAATTACTTCGATTTAAACCTCAAAATGTTTTGGAATCCATTTTAAATCGGCTATTTGATCACTGTGACCAATACTTGGCGTGCTACGGACAACCCATTTAATTCTGGGTATTTGAGATTCACTCAAAAACTATTTAGATATTCAATATTTACGAAAACTTCTTCAATATTTTTTTAATAGTAAACTTACAGCTGTATTGAAGTTTTTCTTTTTCTGCGTTCTTTGGGTTTTCAACCTTTGTGAGTAGTTAGTTATATCCCATAAAACTAGTTGACCATTTACACAGCCTCCTGCAATTATGTTTGGATCGGATGGATTAAATTTAAAGACAACAATGTCATCTGGTGCCTCGAGTACTAGCTGAGGTCGGATAGGATCGTGAAACGACCAAATAAGTATCAGGGATGGAGTCATAAGAATTTTTGCGGATTGATCAACTCTTTCGTCAAATGATACTCTTTCAGTAATAGAGACAGCAATAATACCCCTAATTGTAGGATGCCATTCAATGCAGCTAATACTCTTTTCTTTAGAAAATTGAAGATCTGTAAAACTCTGATACTCTTTCAAATGATTATCAGCCTTGGAACCTAAAGCTGAATCATCTCCAGCTAATTCTGCCCAGTCATCGTAGAAGACATCTATAATTTCATTCTGCTGTAAAGCAACGTGAAAACGAGGTAAGCATTTTTCTATAACATCGAACATCTCCTTGCTATTGAATATTTCTTCTCGCTCCTTTTCCTCCATTTCACGTGGTACATATTGGACAGCAGCATTTTTCGGATAAGGCCAGGCAGTTTGAGCATAATTTTCTTGTATTTCGGGAACAGCTTGAGTTCCTTTATCAATTTCTTGACGCTTCAAATCAAAAGACTTTTCTTCGAAAGGAGCGCATTCTACATAGTCGAAAGCCGGTCTTTTTTCTTTATCGACACGATCACCCAACTCAATAGGAGCTCCAAACTCTTTATGAGCTTTTTCTAAAGTCATTCGAAGCTAGTAGGAATCAGAAGTTTAAAATTGACATCTTCTTTCTAATAAAGATTATCTTACCAAAGTTCTATTGAGTACTGTATGACTATTAATAATTTCTTTTTCAGAACCCTGACTTGTCCAAAGTTTTGAAACAGGTGGTACATATTTTGGAATTTCCTCTTCGACTTCTTCACCTTCAGTCTCAGTAGGAGGCTGTTAAAAGGAGTTATTTAATGAATACAAACAATACAAACAAGCAATAAACTCTGTCATCTTATTTACCGTTAGAATAAAATTTTTAGCTTCTTCTGTGAAGGCGATGAAAAAATTCTGACCAAAAGACCAATCTCGATCATAGCAGAGAAGCATTTCCTCTCCTTCATAGTCGGTTATCTTTTGATTGAATATTTGAAAATCAGACACTGCTGCTCTATTGTATATATCTTGTAGCAAGTCGTCTTTTTTAAGAAGAATATATGGATTTTCTAGAGTAACGTCTTTATCGACGGTACAATTGAAAAGTTCCTGCGTTGACGCAGAAAGGAAGATTGGTTCACAATTCTCGGGTAGTTCAACCACTACTCTATGCTCTATTTTTTTTGGGGAGGAAAAGAAATTATTAAAGATTTGTTTGAAGGAAGAAATGAAAGATAAAATTTACTGATAGTTGTTTCAGCTGCTGGAGATGAAGTTTCTTTTTCTTCTAATTCACTTTTGGCTAGAATCGCAGAAATGGGCTTTAATTTTGTGAAATAAACATATTAAGAATTTAGTTTCCTTTTTCTAATAAAACCTCGTTTGACACGGTTTTTCATGAAACTAGACGATTTTAATCTTTGAACAGGATTCAAAAATTCTCTAGGTAGTTTACTTAATTTTTTAAGTGAATGATTATCTTGTATTTCAAGTTTTGTATTCTTACTATCTTCCTTATTCTTACTAATTTCGCGAGTTTTTGTTTTTATTTTTTTCCGTTTAGAGATTGGATATAAGGAACTATCATCTGCCTCTAAAGCTGCGACTTGGATGATTTCTGATTTAGCCTCATTTAATGATATTTCATGTGTATTTATTCTATCATTCCCTGTATGCTCTTGTCGTGACTCTCTACTACTGATAGTAAGGATACTTTTTCCTTTCCCGATTTGAAAATTGTTTTCATATCTTAAAATCATTGACAAGATCAACTAACCTGATGCTCTTTCCTTCTTTTTAGCTGATTTTTCCTTTGCTGGACTTTTTGACCGTTTTCCAGATACCTCGCTTTTTGCACTCATAGGATTTGATTTTTTTCCACTTTTTGCGGTGCTTGGCTTTGAAGCTTCACCTTTACCTGATGCTCGTGACGGAGACGAAGCTTTAACAGAGCCTTTTCTACTGGTGGCCTGCAAGTTGTCGATCTAATTAAAAACTGCATGATCGGTGTACAACTTAACCTTTTCTTTTTCTTCTACAGGAGTCGCATCTTGTTGGTGTTCGGGACTTGCTGCCTCAGATTTATCTTCGGCAACAGCCACCTCTCCTTCTACAGGAGTTTTTGCTCCCGCAACAGGAGTATCTCGCTTATCAGGAGATTCAGACATTATTTATCAAACTTATAGACACTACTGTTTAAAAGTAAATTTCACGTTCAAAACAGCGCCATATTGAAACTATAGAATTGTCATAGTAACAGCGGAAACTGGTGAAGCGCTATTGGCGCATATTTAAAAAAGGCGGGAGTTATGTATTTTCTTAAAACCCTTTGACAAGGTCGGCAGGGAAAGTTCAAAAAAAAAATTTATAACAGTATAAATAATTTACATAAACTAGCTTTTTTTGATGTTTAATTCACAAATGCACTATGAAACTTCCATTTCTTCACGAGAGTTTCCATTAATTGGCAATATTCCATTATTCTGAGTTTGAGAACCTGCACAATTATCTTCTAATTGGGAGCTATTTTCCTTTGCAGGAGCATCCATAGTTGACTCGTTAATATTGGAATTGTTTAGTTGAACGCCTGATTCATCAGCATTTTCTTTCTCCTCTTCCTTATCCCAGGTTATTTGAAAGCGAGTAACTCTCGGTTTGGTGGCCAAAATACTTCTTTCAATCTATTAAGAAATTAATTTTATTGTTGATTTCGTTGAGCGCATGCGTGAATATCAATAAATTCACACTACTATTAACGTCGTAATTAATTACGTCATCTAAAGTACTCACTAATTCATACTGGGGAGTTTGGGGTGGATTTTCCCTTAATTCAGGTTCAGAGTAATCATTATTTACATAATAACCAACGCGAATGAATTCTTGTTTTCTATAAGAACAAGTTAATAATACCACAGTTACTCCAATTACGTCTTCAATTGGAATTAGGTTGACTTTTGGGGACTCAGCCTTTTATGAAAGAACATTGTTAATGGTTGTAACATTGGATGAAAACATTAATGCTCACCTCAAAAACAAACATATGCCTTCCTGGAGTTAGAGGACCCACTAAAACTGAATCAAGAACCTGATCATATTCGGCACTCTCTGCAGAACCTACATAGATGATTTTCCATTCGAGGTCTGCAAATTTGCATACATGTATTTCTGGTTAGCGATTATTTAGACAGATTTTACCTTCTTGTAAATCCTCCATGCACTCAAAAGTTATTTCAAATTTAAAATTACTTAGAAACGGCGACGGGTTTTCTAAAACATTAACGTTGATGATATTTACGGTAGACATTCCAGGATTCTGAATTAATCAAATTTCGCAAAAGTTTTTGATCTGAAATGGCTTCCTTAGATTGCACAGTAAACGTAGATTACTGATATCAAGAAATAATTTTAGTAGAAATCCTGATAAAATTAAGAATTGCAAATTAAACTGATTTGGGTGATTTTTCCGCGCAATACTTCGCCGGCCGTAATGCGCATGCTCCTCACAAAACGGGTGATATGGGTTCAATTCCATTGTATTCCAAATTTGGTCTTTCTGTAACGAAACATGTAACCAATCTAATACTAAAAACATTTCTTAAAAAGGAAATCTTAAGGATATCCCCTCTATTCTAAAAGTCAACCACCGGACAACCATCTGGTCGATAGTTGCCGAATAGTCGCGTGACATCATAAATATTTACAAAGGCGGAAAGTCGAAGAATTATGATTACATAGCAAAATATCTACTGATCGAATCATTAAGACTATGGAAGATAAAAAGAAAATGGCCGTCCGGCCGTTTGTGAATAAACTCAAATTGAACTGGCCACAAAAAGTGCAAATAGCAGTCATGTCGCTGTTTGTCGCTCCAATACGTGTTTGTCTGGTAATTTTCTTCGTAACAACGGCGTGGTGTTTCGCCAAAATAGGTCTCTATGGCCATGATCCAAGACGTCCAATGTCATTCTGGAGAAATTTTATCTTCAGACCTCTAGTGGTTAATTGTTGCCGGTTAATGTTTGCGGGAGGTGGCTTTTATTGGGCAAAGTTCACTGGCGAAAGAGTGTCTGCCGCAAGAGCACCAATTCTTGTTATTGCTCCTCATTCGACCTTCTTTGACGCACTCATTATTGTTAAATTAGGTCTAACAACAGTCGTAGCCAAATCTGGTGCCGCAAATGTGCCATTATTTGGAACACTTCTTCAGTTTTGTCAAGCCATTTTTGTAGATAGGGAGGATCAAAATTCAAGGCAAAATACTATACAAACGATGAAGGATAGATCAGCAACAGGCGGGAAATGGCCACAAATAGCAATTTTTCCAGAAGGAACATGTACAAATCGAACGTGTGTACTGAAATACAAATCAGGTGCATTTTTACCAGGGGTTCCAGTTCAACCCGTAGTAGTCCGTTATCCAAATGAATTAGACACTTACAGTTGGACATGGCGTGGTATTGGAGTTTGGAAGATATTCTGGTTTACGCTATGCCAGCCATTTAGCCGCTTCGAAATGCATTTCCTTCCAGTTCATGATCCGTCTGAAGAAGAGCGTCAGAATCCTACTCTATTTGGTGAAAATGTTCGAAACGAAATGGCAAGAGCTCTTGGCGTTCCTACATCTGAATATTCTGTCGACGACTGTCTCCTGATGGATTATTCTGATCATTTATTACTACGTGGCATACAATTGGCAGAAAATATGGTTCAATTTCGATTTCACTTTCGACAAATTAAGGAGTTAACAAAAGAAAATATCTCCAATTCGATCTTATCTACCTTACAATCAACATATGCTGATAATTCTAGTATTACGAGAGATGAATTGGTCAATATATTAGATATAAAAACGGAAGCTAGTGAAGAACGTTTAACACTTGCCTTGTCAACAATAAATGAAACGTGCGAAAAAGTCAATTGGAGAAAATTTTTTGCAATTATATCATTTTACAGCTATCCATATAATATGAGGAAGTCACTTATGTCTTTATTGATATCTTACAAGAAAGGTCAGCAACCACTGTTAGGGAAGGATATTCTACAGCTTTTTACTCAAGTGCTTAATTCTTCAACGGAACTTTTTCAAATTCTGCAAAACCTTTTCGAAGAGGAGAAGCTATACGCAGAAGGTAAGATATATTACTTCTATAAAAACAAATTCATCACTATTTGTAATATTGAATTTTTCAGATGAAATTGAAGAGCTTTTAAAAATGGATGAGAAAACATCATTTTTAATTTTTGATAACAAAAGGTCAAGACATAAAGATTTCGAAAAGTTGAAATCCAGTTAGCTTTTATTTTTGGATACATAGGGGATATTTGATAAATCTATTTAAAATCTTTGTCTATTTAATAATCTTCGCCCACATTTATACTCTTGCTGTAATCTCTCTTTTCTCTTCATTGTCTAGGGGAGGGAATTTTGCTTGAATCTTATAGTTTATTTTTTTAAGCTTTTCTTTTGCTGCTTTAAGATCTAATTAAATACACTTTTCTTCCATACTTGTAACGCTTTTTTGATTACTTAAAACTCAAGAATCTTTCTATTTATCTGGATATTATATTTAACTGTTCATATTTCTTATTTATATTGCTTAATTTGAATGATACTAATCTAGTGATTAAAAAATGAAAATTGTTAAAAAAGTTAGTTTTAAACTCTTGCTTGCTATATTAGTATGCTTTCTGTTTAGGAAATTAATTAAACAATCGAGAAATCTCAAATCGAAGTGTTTAAAGTTAAATACATTTGTTCGTTTTGTTGAAATTTTTTTAACTATCCGGAGTTTAATTGCTTGTGACCTTAAATTTATTGACCTCAAAGTATTATCTTATGAACTAGGAAATGCATAACTGTTAAAAAAGCACGTGACATAGTGAACGAATCGTCGTCAATGTTTCAATATACAATATTTCGGTTTTACGCGTTTCACTTCCGTTTCTCTTGGCCAATCAGCTAAGAGATTCCATTCTAGACTTGCCGGGCCGACGTGGACGCTTGTATATTAAATTCTAAACTAAAAAAGGTTTGTAACAAATTTACAGATTATCATAAGTTTAGGAAAGATTAGAATATTGTTTTTTAGAGTAGCCTGCAAGGCCTTGAGAGCTAACAACTTTTGATTTAGCTTTTATTCATAGTTTTTGTTTTACAGGAGTTGGCATTATGACAGCCGTGGTTGCAGGCTATAAATTGCCCAAGTGGCTCCCAAGAATGAGCTATGCTAAGCAAGACACTTTGTTAAAACTCCTTATTTTGGGAGTTGCCTCTATTTTGGGTAAGTTGGCAATTCTGTTTTGTACTAGTATTGAGATCGCTAATATGTACAAATATTCTTGCAGCTTTTTCAACTCGGCTCTTTTCTGTATTGAGATTTGAGAGCGTTATCCATGAGTTTGATCCTTATTTCAATTATCGAACCACGCGTTTCTTGACCGAAGAGGGTTTCTATAACTTTCATAATTGGTTTGATGATAGAGCGTGGTACCCGTTGGGCAGAATCATTGGAGGAACTATCTACCCAGGTAAAAAAAAACAAAAAATTAATATCCTAGTACATAACTACAACGATTATTAAATATTTCAGGATTAATGGTTACATCTGCAAGCTTGTACCACTTCTTGCACTTTCTTAACATTTCCATCGATATTAGAAATGTTTGCGTCTTTTTGGCTCCACTGTTTTCCTCTTTTACAGTCTTTGTAACATATCTCTTAACATCAGAGTTAAGGGATGCTGGAGCTGGATTGATCGCAGCTGCTATGATTGCCGTTGTACCTGGCTATATCTCCCGTTCTGTGGCTGGATCCTATGATAACGAAGGAATTGCTATTTTCTGCATGTTGTTTACTTATGCATTGTGGATAAAGAGTGTAAAGACAGGATCTTTGTTTTGGTCAGTTTTATGTTCTCTTGCTTACTTTTACATGGTATCGTCATGGGGAGGTTACGTTTTTCTCATCAATTTAATACCAATGCACGTTCTCGCTTTAATGCTTACTGGCCGATTCAGTCATAGAATTTATGTTGCATATAGCGCTGTGTATTGCATAGGAACTATCTTATCCATGCAAATCTCTTTCGTCGGATTCCAACCAGTTCAAAGTTCTGAACATATGGCTGCTTTGGGAGTATTTGGACTATGTCAAATCCACGCCTTCGTTGACTATATCAGATCAAGATTAAACAAGGAGCAATTTGGTGTTCTTTTTAGAACTCTTGTTCTATTCGCCGGAAGTGTTGCTGCTGTTGCTTTTGCTATTGGAACTGCAACTGGAAAAATTTCACCTTGGACTGGAAGATTCTACTCTCTGTTGGATCCATCTTATGCAAAGAATAATATCCCAATTATTGCATCTGTATCAGAACATCAACCTACTACTTGGTCCTCTTTCTATTTTGATTTGCAAATGCTTGTTTTCTTCTTTCCTGTTGGTTTATACTTTTGTTTCAAGAAACTTACAGATGCAAACATCTTCATTATTTTGTATGGTGTTACCTCGATTTACTTTGCTGGTGTTATGGTCCGTTTAATGTTAGTTTTGGCTCCTGTTATGTGCATCTTGTCCGGCATCGCTATATCTCAAACTTTGAAAACGTACATGAAAAATTTGGATGATTTGGTTCCGGGACCAGCCCCGCAGACAAATACAAAAAAATCTAATAAAAAGATAGATTCTAACTACCCTGTTAAAAACGAAGTTGCCTCTGGTGTTGTTTTCATGATGTGTGTCTTTTTGATTATGTACAGCTTCCATTGTACTTGGGTTACTTCTGAGGCATACAGTTCACCATCTATTGTACTAAGTGCACGAGGAGGAGACGGAGGCAGAATTATATTTGATGATTTCCGTGAAGCTTATTATTGGCTCAGACACAATACTGCTGAAGATGCTAAAGTTATGTCCTGGTGGGATTATGGATATCAAATTACGGCTATGGCAAATCGGACAATTTTGGTAGATAACAATACTTGGAATAATACGCATATTTCTAGAGTTGGTCAAGCTATGGCTTCTCCTGAGCACCACGCTTACGAGATTATGAGAGAGCTAGACGTTAATTACGTTTTGGTAATTTTCGGAGGTTTGACTGGATACTCTAGTGACGATATTAACAAATTTTTATGGATGGTTAGAATCGGCGGTAGCACCGACAAGGGCTCACATATAAAGGAAGCTGATTATTACACTCCTCAGGGAGAGTTTAGAATTGACAAAGAAGGTTCATCAACTCTCCTAAATTGTCTAATGTACAAGATGTGCTATTATCGTTTTGGCTCTATGTACACTGAGCAAAGTAAGTAGTGAATTTTAAGTGTTAATAATAGTTCTAAGGAATTTATCATTGCAGGTAAGCCTCCCGGTTATGATAGAGTACGAAATGCCGAAATCGGCAAGAAAGATTTCGAGTTGGACGTGTTAGAGGAAGCTTACACAACAGAACATTGGTTGGTTAGAATTTACAAAGTAAAGGATCTTGAAAATCGTGGCAATTAGGTTATAATAATTGCTATAAAAAGTATAGCATTTTTATAAATGGTTAATTATTTTGCTCAATCGAGAGATACTTTATCGTTATATTATTATTAAATGCGATGTCTTTAGAAACAAGTGTCCATCAATAAAATATTACACCATTCAGTCATTTTGTTTTTTTTTTCTGATAAATAAGACTGATCAGTTAGTCTTGTTCGGAATCTTCAAGTAGCGGTCCTTGGTCAATATTTTCATCTTTATTTTTCTTAGCTATGCTCCAAGGTTGTTCAACGCCAGAACCAAATATTGCATAGGTTAAAGAGCCGAAAGCATATATTCCCGCTGATATAAAAAAGACTTTTTGCCATTGTTGTACAGAGTTCTGAAACACAAAATATTTCTTAAAAGTTCAAAGAGTTTACCAAAAAATTAGTATTACATTATGTTCAGTAAATGCAGTAACGACGGCTGGTCCAGCAAATCCGGGTATTGTTGCTATTGAGTTTGTGATTCCCAACAATGTTCCTAAAAGTAAAATTGTGTTAAAGAAGAGTATGAAAACTATTAAAACTGACCAGCAAAGGCTGGAGCAAGATCGAGATGATTAACTTGAAAGCCTGCCGAGGCAATACCTCCTAAACCAACTGATAATGTTAAACAGATTACTGCAGCAGATCTGCTACAACCTATAAAACTAATAACAACAAGAAATATTCCTGGTCCCATTAAACCTGTAAATTTAGAACGAGTGCAATTATTCAATTCACAAGAAATTTATTCAGAATTTAACAAACCGATGCCATTTGCGAGTTTTCTAACAATGGTCGTAGATAAAATCTGTCGTCTTCTCAGCAGATCGGCCACAACACCAGATAGGAACATGAGTATTAATTGTGTAAGATAAGGCAAAGCTGACAAAAATCCGTTCTGTTAAACAATTAATCAATTTACTTTATGTTTCAATTTGTAGATATTTTAAAAAAGATAGCAAATTGTATTTTTAGTAACATACTTCTGATATATTGAACCTTAAAACGATTTTCATATATCTGGGCATGTTTGTTAATAGAGTATAAAATCCCCAGTTGTTACAAAAGTGAGCAGTTATTAAAGCCCAGAAAGGAACTGATAGGAAGATTGAAAACCATGGGACGGCAGGTCTCTGAAAAGGCGATTTAAAATACTTTTTAATAATCTTTCATTTTATTCTTACTTGTTTCGTTGATGCATCTCCTATAGTTTGCTCTAGGAAAAGGCATTCTTCTATTGAAATTCTTGGATGTTTACCTGGTGAGTCGTAGACAAATACAATCCAAGCAATAAACCAAATAAGTCCTACTGTCCCGAAGATGTAAAACACGGAGGGCCAACCACCAAGGAATGTCGATTGACATAAAATGCCGGATATTGGAAGCGATATTACTGTTCCAAGCTGTGCTCCTGAATAAATAAAAGACCCTAACTGACTTCTTTCCATAGGAGGAGCCCATTTACTAAGTAAAGCATGCATGGCAGGAAAAGTAACCCCCTCTCCTATTCCTTCCAAAATTCTCACAGCCACAAAGAGGCCGACACTAGTTCTAGCTGCTAGAGGCGTAATTAAAGTCAATATAGATGTACATAACACCCCTAAGCCGTATACAAGTTTAGCTCCAAATTTTTCAGCCATCCAACCCCCGGGAATTTGAGTAACAATATATCCATAAAAGAAAGCAGCTAAAATTAGATTTTGAGTATTTGAATCCCAATTAAATTCTCCTGTCTGTTAATTTACTCTATTTAAATATTAATTAAATGAAAAAGTTATCTTACATTCAATTGTTTAGTTGTATTAGCATTGGGGTTGGGACATTCGTTTGAGGTGTCATTGTCTTTTGAATAGCTAGCATTTACCATAGCCACTAAGGCTACGCTTAGATTAACTCTCATAGCATAAACGTTGACAAAACCAAGAAATGAAAATAGAGCCATAATGTGACGACACGAAATCCATCCTGAAAATATGTTCGAATAATGGTAACATAAGGTATACACAAAGATGGAATCATTTAGCTATTATAAACCTGAGAAAAATTCGTATTATTATTTAAATGTAAATACCTTTATAGCTTGCTATTATTTTTTGGCTAACGTTTTCAGTTTTGTCAGAAGATACTAAAGCTTCTTGATCCGACATCCTCCTGCCTAAGTCAGGTCACATGACACTAACATATCACGTGATGAAGACAAAGCTGGACAGGTCTGATTAGTGTGGCTCGTTTTTACTTTATATTTGACGCATCGCCTCCAAATAAAAGGATTAAAATCCACTTTTATATTATATTTGCAATACAAAAACAACATGTTTATATAATTTAGAAGAAGGTTCTTATCCTTAGTCTTAAATACGAAATAATGCTGATTACATAGTTTCACGATATTAGGAAAAAAATTATGTCATCGGTAATTTCAGAAGAGGAGGCTAAAGTAAGTGTTTAATAACTTAGCCCTTTGTTGAAAATCTATAATTAGAAATTTGAATAATATATAATAATAGTGTTTTTATATATTCTATTATAGGAGAGTAGTCAGAAGATGGATAACGAGTCAGATTGTTTTATAATAACTCCTCAAACTTCACCTCCAACGACTGAGGAAATAACGAAGGATCAGTCTACACCTACATCAAAGCCAAAACCAAAATTATTAACTAGTACACCAAGAATATCAATTGAATCTACCGATCAAAACACTCCTGGTCTCGCATTAACACCAATATCTGAAACTTTATCTCAAAGAGAAACGAACTTGTTACGGAAATCTTTGTCACTGGAACGAACACCAGTAAGTAGAGAAAATTCCCAAAAAAGGTTGAAAAGAAAAAAACGTCTTACATCTAACGCTTCTTGTATTGAAGAATTAACTCCAGAGAATACCTATAACTTCAGATTAGACAGCCTTAGAGTAGACAATGAAAAAACTATTGAAAATATGACTGTTATGAGCTTAGAGCTGTTTACTGAGACACGGCAAAATCTCTTACCAAATCCAGAATATGATCAAATCATTGCTATATTTTATTCAATTTATGAAGACAGTATGGCATCTAAAGAAGAATTTCTCGTTGGTTGTATGATCGTTGAAGGTAGCGAAGATCATATCCAATGTCACAAAGAGAATGTGCTCCATATTGTTCAAGACGAAGCTACGCTCTTTGAAGAATTGGTTCGGGTTGTTCGAAGTCATGATCCAGATATATTTATAGGCTTTGAAATAGATACTCTCTCTTGGGGATATTTGCTGGATAGAGCGAAAATCTATGACATTAAGTTAAGATCTCAATTGTCACGTGTTCCTTTACAACCGGAAAATATAAGGGACGTGGTTCTAAAATAATTTAATAATCATTAGTATATTAAATATGTAAAATAAAAAGAGTTATTAATTTTTTTGGAATCACATTCCAGAACTTCTTTTCAAGATAAACATTCAATGCCTGGTCGGATAGTGCTTAATCTATGGAAAGTTCTAAGACACGAATTAACTTTAAACATCTATACTTTTGAAAATGTTCATTTTCATGTTCTTCATAGGAGAGTGCCTAAATACGATTGGCCTACTCTACAGTCTTTGTGGAAATGGAATCGTTGGAGACTCATGGATTACTTTTATACAAGAGTCGTTGGAAATAATTGGATTATTCTACAACTAAATTTAATAGGTCAGACTAGTGAATTAGCAAGGGTATTTGGTATAGAATTTAGGGATGTTCTCTCAAGAGGATCTCAGTATAGAGTAGAGTCTATGATGCTACGGTAAGTTTTATCATAAGGGAAAAGAGTTAATTTTTTTTCTGTCTTTATTCTAAGAGTAAGTCGATCAAGAAATTACGTTCCTGCTAGTCCCAGCGTAGAGCAGAGATCAAGGCAAAAAGCTCCGGAATGTGTACCATTAAATATGGAACCTCATTCCAAAGTTTACAAAGATCCCGTTATAGTCCTTGATTTTCAATCTCTATATCCGTCGATAATGATTGCTTACAATATTTGTTTCACAACCTGCTTAGGAAAATTATATAATCTTAAGAACTGCGATAAATCTGATATAGAATTGGGATGTTGTCAGTATTCCATTGATCCTCAAGAAGTTGTTCGGTTAGCCGATAAAAATCTCCTCTACGTATCGCCTAATAAAGTTGTATTCGTTAAGGTTGTTTGATTTATTATTGATGATAAGACAAATCAGTTCAATTTTTCTATTGTTCTATTCAGCAAGAGGTTCGGACGGGAGTTATATCAGATTTAGTGGACGATCTAATAGAAACTAGACAATTAGTGAAAGCTCGATTAAAAGAATGCGACGATAAAAGTAAATCTAGACTATTACAAGCCAGGCAACTAGGTTTGAAATTAGCTGCAAACACTACGTACGGTTATACTGCTGCGTCGTTTAGCGGTAGAATGCCCTGTGTGGAAGTTGCTGACGCTATAGTCCAGACGGCTAGAAAAACTCTTGAAAATGCCATCGAACTAGTCAAGAAAGAGTTTCCTATGTGTAAAATTTTGTATGGTGACACTGATTCTATGTTCGTTTTGACGCCTGGTAAAACAGTTGCCGAAGCTTTTGAATTAGGTATGAGTAAGCTATTTATTACATATACAATATATATATATACAGTATATATATGTTATAAGTATACCAATGTTTTAATTATTGAAATTCCTATCAGGAAAACAAATGGTTAAGGTAGTTACTGATGCTAATCCACCACCCGTTAAGTTAAAATTGGAAAAAGTTTACTCATCTTCCGTTTTGCAAGCAAAGAAAAGATATGCTGGATGGGCTTACGAAAGTCCTGATGGAGAACCTTTCCTCGATTGTAAGGGAATAGAAACAGTAAGAAGAGACTCTTGTCCTGTAGTGTCAAAAATACTCGCGAAAACTTTAAATCTATTACTGAGGGCACCGAATATTCAGGAGGGTGTTCGCCTTGTTAAGGAGTATGTCCTTAAGCAATGTTCTAAAGTATTAGCGGGAAGGGTCAACGTGCAAGATTTCATCTTGGCTAAAGAATACAGGGGCAGCTATAAACAAGATCACATACCTGCTGCTTTGATAGCAAGAAAGAGATTAGCGGCTGATCCGAGATCGGAACCCAAAATTTCGGAGAGAGTACCTTATGTTATTATAAGTGGCCCTCCAGGAGTACGTCTTAAAGATAATGTTCGAGAGCCTATAGAACTTCTAGTTGATTCATCATTAAGAATTAACGCTGACTACTATTTGAGTAAACAAATCCTTCCTCCTTTACATAGAGTATTATCTTTAATTGGAATTGACGTGTTTAGTTGGTACCAAGAGATTCCTAGAACGCTACAATTAGGCGGTAGCGTAAATGCAAACAAGAAAACTATTTCACAATTCTTTATGGGCGCGGAATGCGCAATATGCTCGAGTAGGGTTCAACCGAAATCTATTGTCTGCTCAACATGTCGCGAATCGGAAGGAAAGTGTTGCCTTATTCTTGAGAAGATGGCTTTCGACATAGAAAAAGCATATATAAACGCTTCGAAAATATGCAAAACTTGCAAAAACTACAACAGTGATGATAAAGAATGTAAAAGCTTTGATTGTCCTGTTCTTTTTAGAATAGAAAAATTTCGTAGGAAATTAGACCATGCATCACTTTTAAGAGATGCCGCTAAAAATCTAAATTCGCAATAAAAAATCTAACATAGAGAGCTCTTTACAAGATTATGAAAGATTTTTTTCCCCTCTATAGGCCTATTGTCGTTGTTTTGTGCTTATACTATCATTTTTCCCCCTATTTATTTAAAAGAACATAGAAAATTTTTTATACAATTATTGAAGTTTGTATACAATAAACTCTTTTATGATAAAGTCTGTTTCTATATGATTATACTATATATATTAGTATATGTATATACTGTATATACTTTATACTTGATATATACTAGGTTAATGGATATTTTTAAGAACTTCCTTATATCTTAGAGTAATATGAATGAATTTCCCAAAGAGAAAAAGATTTATACACTTCCTATAAAAATGGATTTCAAATCATTATTTCATTAAGGCAAAGTTATTAATTTTCCGACGCTTTTTAGGTGTTAAAAAAGGAGTTGAAACGTTATTTGATATCTTAAATTTTAATATTCTCTAATTTCCTTTGAAAAATCTATTTCAGAGATTTTATTTAATAGAAACAAAAAAAAGGGAAAAACAGAGAGAAGATACATAAATTATTAGCGATCAGCGCTTGTTCCAGTCACCGGATTTCATACAAGTCAGACGTTTGAGAGGAGTGAAACAGGAAACAGCTCTTCTCTCGTGATGATGAAATTTATTCTAGTAGTTTCTGTTCTGCTGCTAAACGGAGTTGTTTCACTAGAATATCGTAAGATTTTAGTTAATTTTCTTTCTTAGGGAATAAAAGATTTTAAAGCAGAAATTAATCTTTTAGAATATTCATCATTTTTGGAATTTCCAAATAGAATTTTACAACCGAATTTGTCAACTTCTAAAATAGATAAAGATTGCGTCGAAAATTGTTTAAAGAAGGAACTCTTAACAGAATGTGTACGACTGAGATGTCCAAAAGAGTACAATTATCTCTGGGCGTCCTTAAAACCCAATCATTCTCTCAATATACGGAATTGCATCGAACAAAATTGTCTAAACTCATTAAAGGAAGGTTTGTACAAAGGTTTTCGTCTATGTGTCATGGTTTGTAAATTAAAAGTATAACTTTATATCAGAAAAGCATGTATAAACACTCCTAATAAGATAATATTAATTACAGCATTATAGTTAATACACTAAAAACTATTTATCTCGTAAACAATTACAATTTTCTAAAAATAGCTTGAACAATATATTGAATAATTTAATTATTTAAATAGCCATAATCTTAATGGATAATTGGATCATTTGTCACAGTATAAGTTTCATTTTCTTTCTGCAAAGGTACTGATTTACAATCATATTAATCATGTTTAATAATTTTTTCCAACTGTAAAAGATGTAAGATAATAATTGAAACAAGCATTGTAAGTAGACAATTTTTTCTTACACCTTCCAACATTCATATCTTTTTTGAAGTCATCAGAGACTTGCTCAATTTGTCTTCACTGTCTCGCATTTCAAATGAAAGATACTTACTCCTCATAAAATAATAAGGAATCAGTACTTTCGTAAAAGAATATAATACATTCCTAAACGTGCTCTCTTTCTCTCTCTCTCTCTCCTCGGCTCCTCTCTTTGTTAAATGATAAAATATGAGCAATTAAAAGTTCTATAATTAGTCTTGCCCTACCCTTCTTTGTCTCTAACTATATGTTAATTGTATTTTGAAAAATTGCTATATTTCTCTTTCATGCTCTCATAGGAATATGAAAAAGTCTTAACTATCCTAATAAGTAAAAATTAAGAGAATAACTAATGATATCATTCTTCTCTATTACATTTTGTCTTCTCTTGATACTTCTCTTAAATGGTAAACATTTGAGATAATTCTAACTAAAATTTCTATTAATAATCCAGATTAGAGTCTGAAAATAATCTAATTCACTATTTAATCTTGTTGATACCGAACTATATATATATATATATATATATATATATTATAACTATATTAACTATATGCATATTAAAATAATTAAAATCTAGATCAAATTTTCGTTATATATTTTATTTGTGAATTAAAACCTTGAAAAAAAAAATTGATTTTTATGAAAATTGTACATAATGATATAATTCTATTATGAGGGAATTTTATTTAAGAAGATATACAACAAAAGAAAAGAAAAAAAAACAGGCTTGAAATCAAAAATGTACAGTCAATCTATCTATTTCCGTTAAATCGCTAAAAATCTGTTGAAAGGAAAAGAAAACTAATTATACTATTAATAGAAATTAGCGAAGGGTAGCTAACCTGACTGTCAGTAGTACCAATTCTTCTAGCTAGCTCTTGTTGTTCAAGTTTGTTCAGATGAATGTAGCGCCATAATAGTTCTCCATCGAGTACGTTCTTATTTATATTCGTAAGGAGCTTTTGTTTTTGGCGATACAATCTGAAAGAAAATTTTAAATAGTATACAACTATTACTTCAACGAGTAACAATTATTATTTACCTATAACCCTTCGGATTGAGACCACCGTAATGGGCAAGAAATGAGGTAAGCATATTATGTAACATTAGTAATCTTCGATAAATTTTTTCAGAGACAGGCTGTATATAGCCAACACATCCATCTAGACTAGCTGTAGTTTCATTTTTATCAATAAAATACTTTTTTAAAAACGAAAATAACAAAATATTTACCATAGTATGTTGTGTGTCTCATGCTGGTGTTTTTATCTACAACGAAGTTCTCTATTGATGGATCAGTCCATCTGCATCGAACCCTTACGAAACTGGTAATACTTGTGCCTACGTTAAAATCTCCTTTTCTCAATAATTTTTGACCACCTTCACTCTCTTTCACTGTAATTGTTTACATATATATTTAAATTAGTTTTAAAACAAATCATTCAAGACAAGATTAACATACCTTCGGGAAGAAAAGAATACAGCAATAAATTTTTTTGAGCATCGGAAGATAAGAAACATAAATTAGCATTATCGACCATAAATTCGCAACCCATGGTCTCCACATATCCAACATCCTTGAGACATAATTTTAAAGTTATTAATTTTCGTTATAACAACCATAACTTAATATATAGGTGAATTAATTAAGAAATCTTATTCTTACCTTACTAACAACACTTAAAACTTTAAATTCTGGTTGATATCTCATTAGGAAAATGCTTTTGCAAACGTCAGCCGCCAAAATGAGATTTTTAATAACACATAATTGATGAATATAAATTGTTGTGTCTATAAAAGCTAAGCCTCGCAATTCTCCTTCGTGTAATTGCCATATATAAATCTATAATTTATTAATATACAATTAATTATATTAATACCCAAGAAAATATTACTTTTTGGCCAGTTGCTGAAACCAAATTGCCATCTACAGATGCCAGGCACGATACTGGTCCTTTTTGTTCGTCGTCATGCATTGTCTTTAGATTTTAAAGAGCGTAAAAATATATACTTAAAATATTATGAATTACTTTTGTTTTAAATCGGGTTAATGGTTTATCGGGTTCTGGAACAACTTCAATAATATCCAAAATAACAATCTAAAAATAGAAACTTGATGTTGAAACATACATTGTCTTTAAATTTATATAATTTTAGAAGTTTTAGAGAAATATAAGCTAGAGACTCACTCTTCCTCTGGCAGTTACTTCTTCACCGAGAACAGTTGTCGTACAAAAGGCTACATAAGCTTTTAATCCAGTAACAGTACCTTCGCATTTTAGGGTTACTATTTTACAATCAGTTATGTGCTCAAATTCTTCCAGAGGAAATCTTTCAGAATTAACAAAATTACAATTCAATAATATTAATTCTTCAGACAATGATGTTACTTACGAAACTTGAGGTACTTGTTCCCACGACGATGATGTGTAAAAATTTAGCGAAAACTTCTCCGTAGTTGGATAGACGTATTTGTCATCTTTAAAGGAATAAATCATCATCAGACGCTGCTTTAAAGACTTAAATATGTAAATGGTAAAATTACCCCGGGCGGGAGTCTCAAATTCTTTTTCTCCATCATTTTGAATTTTACAAATCTTAACAGCCTTTTCAGAGACGCTTGTAACAACAGCATACAGCTAAAAAATAATTACATATATAAATATTATTTTTTAAGAAGGTGATTTTTAACCTTCATATCCACATGAAACGCTATGTGTTGGGGAGTTGCCCTTAAAGCTACTTTTCTTACGGGCCAATGCGCATCATATGATAAATGCGTTGGCAGGACTGATATCCGTAATTCATCTCTCTTATTGAAGTAGAGAAAACCCTTAGGGCAATTTACATTGTGGAATTGAGCAAACGATACTATTCTGTTATCAATAGGCATCGGATGTAGACGTAGTTGACCTCTACCTGTCATTATAACCCAATGCGGACAAGGTCCACAAATAAATAAACCACTATAGCCAGCAACATCAGTGAAAGGTCGAAGCCATTTCATTTTATCACTTAAGATTTCTTCCTCTTCTTCATCTTCCTCACTTATATTTGAACGAGGACGCAAGATTAGATTATGTTGAAAAAGACGCCATCTAATCTTTAATCGATCATTTGGACCATCTGGATACTGAAATGCTTCATAGATGAGCAAATCGTTATCCACTCGAGCCTGAAAGATAGAATATACAAAGTTTTTATAACTATCAAAGGGATATGGACTTACGAATATGTAAGGTCTACTTTTCGTTGGTCCAAGAGCAACAATAAGAAGCTCGTGCAGTTGTAAACTTTGTGTTGCCTCGTTACTTAGAGCGTAAAAATTAAATAAATAAATTAAATTCGTTTCTTTTCAACAATTTGTTCTAGATCTTACTTTATTGTTTTATTCTTCGTATCATCCATTAAAACTGCATCTCCAATTGGTAGATTTTCGATCAAGTAAACCATTTTATAGTCAGGCAAAGAATAAACTTCAACACTGCCATCTGATCGAGATACAAACAACCAATATGTGGGTATAAAGTGCCCTTCATCATAATTTGCTTTTTCTTCGGCTTCTGACAATTTATCATTAGATTTAGATGACTCGATGACATTGTCACCATCTCCATAAAGTAATTCATCTTCATCATCTATACTCTTGCTATATACGATCAAATAAGACTGAAAATTGATATGCTTTTGTGCAATTTTTCACATACTTTTTTACTTCTACTTTTGGAACTTCAACCTTCTTATCCGGTTCAGTGTCTTTTGGTACAACAATTTCCGTAACAAATAAACCGCTAACATCCTTATAAACAGATAGGATATCTATTTTAGGCGACTGAAAGAAACAGTACCATCAAAGCACTTATTAGTTTATCTAACCAAAAACCCAATTATCTTACTAGAGCTATCATCGGTTGTGCAGGCATCAATTGTGCCGACCCGCTTTCCGATTCATTTTCTTTAAGAGTAAACTGTAAGACTTGACCATTTTGATCCACTAGAAATACGTAAGGATAATCAACAGAACAGTGATGAATTGGTGATCCCATGTCCACGGGTAATTTTTGGATATTTTTTTCGCCAAATAATAATTGAACACTACTAGTTGTTACCTATAAAAAGTTAGATAAAAATGAAAATGAATACAATTTACTTATTAACTTTCTCACCTGTATAGTATATTGACCGATATTACCCGCAAAAATAGTACTCTCATCTGTTGTAAAACCTGTATTGTCTAACTCAAGAATTTCTTGTCCAGTTTGAAGGACCATAGTACAATCCTCTCTACTTAAAATTAGAAAGGAATGCTCATCAGAATTATTATGAAATACTGTCCACATATCAAGCGTTCCTGATAGTTCAAAAGTAGTAACAATTTGTGGTCGAATTGTTCTTTGCAGAACACACACAGCTCCATTCTTTCCGTATCCCGAAGATGTTATTAGTTCAACATCGGGATCATTTCTTCTACTAAATTCATCCGAAAGAAAAGGTGGTTCTCCAAGAACAGCTCTACCACAAGGCCCGATATTTAAAAGACTATCACATACTTCAAATGTATATTGCATTATTGAACTGCTTTCCTTTACAGCTGCAGCATCGTTTTCACCATACACAACTAAATCGAAATTGTCAAAATTATCAAAATCTTCTTTGACTTCATCTAACTTTGGTTTCTTTGTTGTAGGTTCATCCCCAATCGAGAGAGAGTCTTTCGGTTTATATTTCAATAACAGAGAATTACCTAATCTTGACCCAAGAAATAGATAATTTGGACCACAGATGCTTACCTGAATATATAAAAAAAATATTCAATTGAAATTAACTAGAACTTGTGCTATATATACATACGCAAGTTGTTATAACACTGGCAGCCGCTTTTTCAAAGTGCATATCTCTCACTCCCCTCATTGTGTCCGTAATTAAAGTTAGAACGTATCTGATATAAATAAGTATAGTTTCTTATGATCAACTACATTGTAGAAGGTCTACTTACAATTCACCTCCTTTCAGTGATAAAACCAATCTGTCATAGTCTATAAAGTCTGCATTCGAACAGTCCAATGATAGAGAAATATCATCTAATGATTCTGTTAAAATATATAATTAATAAATTCGAGCGACAACCTTTTAGTTAATCACTTACTGAATTTAACCTCTGTTGAAAACTGAGCAATATTGTTAACTGCAATGCACAAAGATGGAACACTCTGATTGGCATATGTAAGAGTATTTGCGGCGAACAAGAGAACTCCTCCAATGGGTTTGGGTATAGGTAACACCATGTGAGAATCGTAAGGCAAATTCGACTGACACCAAATGATAGGAGGATGAATTTTCTGTTGAGCATTTATTGATAGTGCTGCGAAACTGCAAGTATCACGTCGCATAGCTATCCGACTACAAGTAAATGATATATCTTTAGTTTCCTACTTTTTAACTATAATGCATCACTTACCCTGACCAAGTTGGAAGTGGATCATATAAAATGAACAAGGTTGGTTCATAATAGCCATGTAAGAATTTCATGTCCAAAACGTTACATATTTTCTCATCTAAATTCTTAAGTTTAATTACGTATGAAGGAAAAACTGATTGCTCTCTGCAAAAAATTCAACTATAATCATCAAAATACAAACTCTTATTATTCTTCATTACAAATCCTCTTTCTCAGTATCAAATTCTTCATCTGGTCCTGATTGTCTTTGAAATGGAATAATTGCTAATCTACTCTCATAGACAAGCATAGCTGCACATCTATTTTCGGGATCACATCGAACTATGGGAATATATGACGTGGTATCAACACATCCTTCCTATGGACAAACTTTCCTGTTATTACCATTATTCTTCATTAAAATGAAATAAAACCTTAAATTCCTCATCTTGAAATGAGTGCATGGATACCGTTCGTAGATCATGAATTGCTGGGTCGAATTCGACAATAGAACACTGATAAGAAAATAAATTTCTTTCAAATTTTGTACATCTAGTTAAAATTTATAATTATCCAAAGAGCATTAACTTTATGATGAATATAAAACGAGGTTATGACAAATTTAATCCAGAATTTTGCCTATTTTAAAAATGATGTAAACAACAATACCTTTGCTTCATGAAATGCTAATATTAATGAATCCCTTGTGTTGTGCTTCAATCGCACTTTATCCATTGACATAATATTCCCGAATAGTTTGAATGTGCATATGCATTCCAGACAATGTGTCTTTTTTGAGGATATATCTTTAGGGGATAATTCAGCATTCTGATTAATCTTATAAACTTGAAGTTCGTTAACACTGGCTACAATCAACTGCTTTTCGTAGGGTGATGTAAAATTACAATAAATGCTATGTTCAGCTCCAGTAGGAGGATGAAGTTGACGACAAATCGAATACATTTTGAAGATAGTTTAGCCGGTGAGCGATAATTGATAATTACAACAATATACAAATGCGCATGCGCGCTGGTAATTCGATTTTTAAGAAGTTACAAGGTTTATAATATAAAATTTTTAAACGCTTTTTCAATAAAATGTCGCTAGAAATTTTTAGCAAGTCATTAAAAATTAAATCCTATCTAGAAATTCGAGTATAACACAGAAAGCTCTTTATTCCTTCATGGTAATTTAGCTTTTTCTGCGAATAGATACCATGGTTACATATTAAACTTCCGGTAGGAAAAGTGTATTTATCGCTCAACAATATGACTCGGAAAGAAAATAATCACAATATGCTTCCGTATTTGTCGAATGAAGACGATTACGAGGACTTCGAATCTAGTAGAAGTGATGTAGATTATATTGAAACAGAAAGAACCTCTCAAATATTTCGTATAGCTGAACCTTTAGCCACGGAAAGACCCACAGAAGATGATTTTGAATCTGATGATGAATCTTTTGGATCGAGAGAAATGAGTTCCTTAAGTATTGCATCTAAATTCATTATTTAAGTATATGTATTTATATACTATTCTATCACTTAAAGTGGCTGATACTGAAATAGAAGTTAACAGTGATGATGAAAAGGAAATTATGAAACAAATAAAGGAAGAGATTACTATGAAATTAAAGAAAGATATGAAAACAGAGCTTGATCTTATCGAAGAAAAAAAGAAAAACTTACATGAAGAGAAACTCGCTTCAGACGAAGAAGACGAAGAAGAAATAGATCCAAAGCTAAAGGAAGCTATTATTCAAATGAAAAAGCTTGACAGAATACTTAAGAAGAAAGTAAAAAGAGAAAAAGAAGTGAAGCGTGATCGAATACTTCTTGAGAGGAGGTAAAACATAATACACTTAAGTTGTTACTATAATAAAAGGATATTAAAAAATTTAGACTAAAAGAAGAATTGCAACAGCTTGCAAATGACAAGGGCGAAAGTCGAGAAGTTAAACAAAATATGTCTAAATTTTTGGCGCTGACGTTACCTGTAAGTCATAATCAAGGGGTAGATGTGGAAAAAGATGATTTTTCTATGTCTCCTCCCCTCTCTCCCGTCTTTGCAACACAACCCCCTGAGCAACCTGGATCTCAAAGATCACAAAACACTCAGAACAGCGCTTCTGAAAAATCGAGTGAAAGGGGCAAATCAAGAAGTAATCCTAGCCAAGCTTCGTCAACTTCAATGAAAAATAGAAGGAAAAATTTCATAAAAAGAAATAAAGAGGTAAAATTGAATTTGCTAAAGACAAACTAAAAAGTTTTCTTTTATTCTCAGCTTGCAGCGGATGCTGCAAATTCAATAGCAATGACTGATGACGAAAAAAAGAGGCTTGCCGACCTTTTGAGCGATATTGACAATATACCAGACAGTATTGAAGAAAGTAGCGTTGTAAATATCCAAATTTGTATTATTATCACATATTATTTCTTACACTTGTTCTTATAGTATTCAGGGCATACACTAACAACAGTATCAGTTCCGAGTGAAAGGGGATTTCAACCTGAAATTGAAGAACAAGAACGCCTTGAAGCAATAGATTCGAAGCTGAAGTTTCTTTTACCACCAGAAGAATTTGACGCAATGACTTATGTATCAAAAGATGTAAGAATTATTTTTATTTCTGTTCAATATCCTGTTAATAGGTTGTAAATTTCTTAGAGTGAAAGTTCCAAAAGTCGAATTTTTTCTAGATCTAAGAAGCCTATAATTGAGGTGGATGAACCAGGAGAAGAAGTACTCCTCTGGCAACAAAGAAATAGAGAGGAATCTGATAAGCTATTATATATTGAAAATCAATTAAAATCTTTGTCAGAAGCTGTAGAGGAAGAGGTAGTCAATTACACAGTCCTTGTCTAAATATAATCAGTTAAAAAATATGTTTATATAAAGATAGAATCCCCAAAATTGACCGATGAACAACTGCTGGAACTATTAGAACAATGTAACAGAACTATATCTAACGGAGAGAGCATCACAGGATCAAGGTAATTATGTAGTAAAACTAGCGCATAATTATAACTAAATGTCAATTTTAAAAAATTCAGTCGGTCAGGAGATACCTTAACAAATATAACAACCCCATCGACTAACCGGCAACCTTCTCTGCCCGCTATAGATCCAAAGGGAACTCTTATAACACAAAATATTAATAACAGGTCTTCTGCTTCTTCAATAAGATCTAGTTGTTCTAACTCCAGTCGGTATTAAACGGTGTTTTTTTCTACTTATATACTTATATACTTTCTATATGTTTGAAACAAAGTTAATAAACTATATTTTTGTTTTCATCGTTGATTTTTTTATAAAAATAAATTTAATAAATAATAATAGGCCTATTAATGAGTAAACTGTATCTATTAATGAAAAGTTAAAAAAATATTTAACGGAGCAAATTGATGCTGAATGCCAAGTTTTAAGTTTGTATACACTAAATATAGGCCAAAATTGAACGGATATCCGTTTATCAGCGCCATCTAGGGGAAATATTTGTTTTTACCCGCTCATTTTTTTATATTTGACATAATTTTCTGTATAGCCTTAATAGTCTATTCCAACATGAAGCTAGTATGTTCGATTGACATGAGGAAGAGATCAATGGGTTGCTCTGTTGGACAGGTACGTTTGAAAATTTAAAAATATATCCGTATTCTTTAAGAGCATAATCACTACTTCGATCAGACTAAAAAGGGTAAATCGGTTGTCTCGATCGGTTATATGTCGGCAACAAGTAAAGAACCTCAATTATCTATATGTACAAAACAGGACAAAAGAGGATCGGCATTTAGGGTAAATATTATAATAACTTAAACATTCATCAAGACAATTTTCCATTTTAGATTCGTAACAATCTTTTAAAAGTTCATACAAAATTTGTTAGCGAAGGTAAAGCAACAATTTCATTAAATGAACCAGAAATGGATATATGTATAAGTCACGTAAATGATCTTAAATATAAATTAAATAATGCCATTGTTAAAACTAACTGTCTTATTTAAGGCTGATAAAGAAAATTTACAAAAGTTTCTTAATGCTCTTAAAGCAGTTTTAACTAATAAAGAATTCGGAATTAATGATTTTAAAATCATTAAGCCTGTCACTGCCAAAAATGTTGGTATATTTAATAATCTTTCTGATACTTTATTCATGATTAAATATTCCTTAGGTCAAAAATTTACAATCTTCCTTATCAATTACCGATAAAAAAAATTATCCCATTATTAAAAATTTTCCGTCTCAGCTGGAAAAACTGGAAGTCTCGTGTGATTTAAAAAAAATTGATAATAGAATCTTCCAGGTGAGAAAGTAATATAGCTATTGGGTATATATGTTTCATACTTTTTTTAATTTACAGTTAAAACGCCTCTCAACTTTAAATTTAAGTCTAAATGTTATTTCCACTCTACCAGAGTTTAATAAAGAAACACTGCAGAATCTCTCTACTCTAATGCTAAATTCAAATCAGTTGTGTAATTTACCGGAAAGTATTGCGGTGCTTAAAACTCTAGCAACTGTATCTTTGAAATCGAATAATTTTACAAAATTTCCAACTGTTTTGTTTGATTTGCCAAGGCTGAGAGAATTACATTTAGATGATAACAATATTCAAAAAGTTCCAAATGGAATTGCTCGATTGAAGCGATGTCTAAAAGAGCTTACTTTATCCAATTGTTCGTTGGAGGAAGTTGCTGCAGATATCAGATTCCTTAAATTGAATCATTTAGACTTGTCAAATAATCCCAAGATAGCAACAACTTACGACTTTGGTTCTATTATTGGTTCGAGTGAAGTCGAAGGAATGTTTCCTTCTTTGTTTGAGTTAACTGCATCTTTAATTGCTGTTAGTGAAATCAATACTAGGATTTTACCAAAGACGTTACAGAAATCTTTAGCTGATTATGATTACTGCATAAAATGCTTGAGAAGCGGATGTGTTGTTATGTACGAGACAGCAAGATATGTTTGGCCACTTCGTAAAATATCTGCTGTCTACCTAGCTGTTAATGATGTCGGGTGTAATACAATAATAACACAGAGTAGAATATGTTTACGCTGTGCCTCAAAATCAATCAATGAAGTAGCAATTATATGCTAATGATGAAAATATAATTGTAAAGAATAGCTTTAAACTTTTTTCTATTTTTTTAGGAAAGTACCTTTATGCCTGAAAAGAAACTACTCTCTTTTAAATTATTCATAAATGTTTGAAGATTATTTTTTTAAAGACTTTTTTTAAAGACTTTTTTTAATAAAGCACATTTTGTGAATTTAGATATTTCGAAATTATACCAAGGTTTTCCTTAAGTTTTGTTGTCAGAAATCATACAATATTGCTTTAGCCTGGTTCCCTGGAAAAATATTGGATAATTTGGAAATACCCTCGGGAATGACGAAAATCACGTCACATTGGCGCATGCGTACGAAGAATATCTTCCAGGAACTCATTTTCTGTTTATTGATAAAATGTGATAAAAGCTTTTAAATATTACCCTTTTCCTCTTCCAAAAATATGAACCGTTCAAGTATTCAAGAAGCAAATAGTCATATTGAAATGTTATATGAAAGAATTCGTGAACTGGAGGCAACTCTCGCTAATCAATCTGAAGCTATGAGAGATATGCAAACGGAACACGAGCATCAGCTTCAGCAATTATCTTCCTATAAAGATACACAAATTTCAGCATTACAGCAACATCTTGACTCATCAGAGCATACTGTTAGAAAGCTAATGAAAAAATCAAAATCTAGAGAACTAGAAGCTCAAAGAAGAGAGCACGCTCTTACTTCCGAATTCGAAAGAATACTATATTATAAACCAACTCTAGAAAAATTAGTTAGCACAATGAATTCATTAGGAGAGAGAATGAATGATAAAGAAACAGAGTGCGTCCAACGTGGGGTTTCACCGACTGAATCTCATGATGATAGTGGTTACCCAAGTGATGTTGTTGGCAGTGCAAAATCTGATAAAGAACTTTACTTTTAGTAATTTCAACACAATAGGGTTAAAATCAAAACGAAAATCTTCTAACGAACTTCCTTCACCGTAGATGCATCAATAATTTCACTATTTAGAGATGATCAATACAGAAAAACAATCGCATTAGAAATCTAAAAAATGAAAGTTGAATGTTTACGTTCGTGACACACATGTTACAGTTTAAGCTATCTAAATTTCATTGTGATTTCCAATGTTTCACTAGTAATATTATTGTAGTAATACTTATACATTAACAATTTTAGAAAATATTTATTTATTGAGCTAATACCGTCCCAAACTCAATGTTTTTACATAAAATCGAATTTCTTTCAATAAAACGACTAATCAGGTTGATGTTTTGTCTCTGATATAAACACATTCGAATACAATAATACTGTACTAGACCTCATATTTTGAAATTTTACTCTATTTAGAATAATAAACGCTCAGAATACAAACAAATCTATTTTCATCTCTTCAACGTGAGGTTTAACTGAGGTTAAATTGGAACAATTCGGTCGTTTGCAAGTAAACTCACAATCATTATCACTAAATACAAATTAGTTCTTATCTATTGGCGTGAGATAAAGATATTGAGTTAAAGTGAGTAATGTTACTGTATATAAAGCATACTACAAGTTATTTAGCCAAAAGAAGTATGTCCGCGGTTATAGATTCAAACGAAATTAAGCTTTTAAATAAAAAAAGGAGGGATAAAGAGCCATTATGGTTAGTGAAGAAAATGATAGAAAATCCCAAGTTAGCCTTCGGTAAGACTTTTTTTTAATTAGAGCTTAGTTCTCTATGTAAATTTATCATACAGGAATAACGTTGGGCGCTCATGTATTCATGATATTGTTAACAATTTTACTTGTTATTGCCAAAGTTAAAGTCTTTCCAATCAATTTTCGAACCTTTCCTGTTGGTATCAAGAATTCTGTTCAGTCTAAAAGAGAGTCTGCATGGGAAGGAAAATTCTCGGACGATCCACAGCGCATAAGAAGAGTGGTTATCAATGACACTACTCCATATTGGCCAAGGGGACATACAACTGACGATATAGAAATTTTCTTAAAATCGAAAAAGTCTGGTAATACTATCTTTACGAAAGGAAACTTAAAACAAATGAAAGATATTGAAGAAAAACTCTTTAAAGTTGAAAAATATAAGGATTTTTGTCAAGTGAACAAAGAAAACAAATGTCTTCCTCCCGTTTCTTTAATAAGATTTTTCGACGGAACCTACTCTAATGTCGATCCAATTTTCAACGATCCAGATTTTACAAATATAAATCTTGTATTATATACGGCATATAAGAATCCTCAAACGGCTGGCATATTTCGATATTTTTTAGCAAAGGAACATAAAATAGATGAGAATGCTAAAAAAATTACAGCAGATCTAACAAGACTTAAATTACCTCTAGGTTGGCCTCTAGAAAATGCTTCAACAACATCAGAAGACAGGGACAAAATAGGAGAGTTCAACGAGGACCATATTGAACCAATATTAAAAGAATTTGGAAAATCGGTGGTAGATATGAAATCCTACTATTACATGAATACTATTTTCGGAAATCAAGCTATTCTTCAGGCAGTTAAGGATATGGCTTTAGCTTTTGGTAGTATGACATTTATATTTCTTTTTATATGGTTTCAAACCAAATCTTTATGGATTACTGGCTGGTCGCTTCTTGGTATTATCTTTTGTTTCTTTGAGACGAATCTTATTTACCGATTTATATTGGACATGAGATATTTTGGTTACTTTCATATCATCGCTATATTTATAATTCTGGGGATTGGAGCTGACGATATATTCGTCTTTTTTGACACTTGGAAAGCAACAGGTCTCGAAAGCTATAATTCATTGGCCCATAGGTAGTATACCAGCTATCCTTGATTTGATATCGTGTTTATTTCTCATTTATTTATATTTTTTCAGGTTGTCAGATTGTTATAGGAGGGCTTCTGGCACTATGTTATTTACTTCTATTACAACGGCTGCAGCATTTTTCGCATCAGGTGCTTCCCCTATACTTCCTATTGGTACTTTTGGAATATTTACGGGGATATTAGTTATTGTAAATTATTTGTCTGTAATTATCTTCTTCCCTACTGTTGTTTTAACAAGTCATTTATACTGGTCGGATTGGAAATGCCCATGTTGTAGAGTCTGCTCTAACAGAACACACTCTGAAGAAGATTTATCTCAAGAGCAAAACAGCGAAGAAAATTTTATAGTTGGATTCTTTAGAGATAAATATTTTTATTTCATAACGAACAAGTATGTAAAGTGGGCTATAATTGCTGGATTCACAGGACTTTCAGTATTTTTCGCATGGAGCGCCAGCAGAGTCAAAATTGGAACTGGAGAGGTTAATCAATTAGAAAACACTATTGAAATCTATTTTTATGCCTTTTTTTATTATTTCTTAGGTCGAAATATTCAAAAAGTTTCACAACTTAGGCCAATCGTTAGATTATAAAAACAACGCCTTTCTACCATCAAAAGATACTTATGTCAGTGTAATTATTACATGGGGCATGAAGGAAAGAGACTTTAGTGACTGTCACAAAACTGATCATGAATGTAAGGGGAAACAAGTTTGGGATAATGACTTCGACATGAATAAACCAGCAAATCAACTTGCGATAAAGGTAACATAACATGTTAAGAGAAATTGAATCTTTCAAATTGACTATTTTGTAAAAGTTAAAGTCTGAATGAGAAAGAACTTCGCCAGAATCTAAAGCTTAATTGTTCATTCTCTAGATTCTTACAAAAAAAAATACTATTGACTACTTTATCGATCATAAAAGATGAAATATCTGATCTTTATCTACGATAAAAATAACAGCTTTTGTAAACAAGAAGTTGTAACAAGTTTCTAATTGCGGGACTGAGGGAGGGAGGGGGAAGGGGAGAGGAAATCTTACATTTTATTAATTCCAAATATTAAAGATTAAGACAATATTTATTATGCTTTTAAACAGAATTTCTGTGATTACATGGAAAATGGATTGATGAAAAAAAAGAAAGATGAGTTAAAGATCGATACTGTTGAATGTTTTATTAAAGCTATGGATAACTTTATTCAGGTGGTAAAAATCATTTCTATAAAAACAAATGAATATATTTATCAAGTGGGATATGAAAATTTTACAGAATGATACAGGAATAAACAACATAAATCCTATAAAGTTGCCTCTAAATGGAATAAAGGTGCTACCTCTTATGAGAAATCGAACGGATATATATTCAGTAGACAAACTATCTGATAATTTTTATCGATACTTCGAAGTAAGCTTTAATTAATTGTAACTTGTTTATATTAACAAAAAACACATTTTTTTTATAAATCAGATTGGAACGTCATACTTTTTAAATAACGCTTATAAAATGGAAGAAACTCAAGATATTAAAACTTATAGTAAGCTTATAGGAGAGTCTTTTGATGGTGAAAATACTCAAGTAGCAAACTTTCGCTTAGAACGTAATAAAAAATTTTGTATATTTATGGTACAATATATATTCAAGTTTTATTAATTTCGTTAGAAAACGCATCTGATATATTCTATGGAACTAAATTAAGGTTCGCTGGTATTAGAGTGAATTTAACATCTTCTTATATGGAATTAGGACAAAGTGAAGGTCTCCCTTTGCAGGACAATTGGGAAGAGTTTGTTAAAGAAGAGGTAGGAAATTGGAAAAACTTTAAAATTCTAATAGAATTATTCTAATAGTTGATTTTTTTCCAAGGTTGCTAAAATGCCTAGAGAATTACAAAATGGATTTCAGCTGACTGAGAATAATGTATGGCATATTTTAGTAATACAAAAGGAATTGACAAGAAATGCTCTACTTGGGATTATAATCGGATTGTGTATAGCTTTCCCAGTTTTAGTTATAGCCACAGAAAACATCATTGTGGGATCACTTGCGACATTAACAATTGGTTTCGTGACTGTGGGAGTTATTGGTCTCATACCAATATTCTCTTGGAAACTGGACGTACTTGTTTCTTTAAACTTATGTCTGGTAGTTGGATTATCTGTTGATTATGTGGTTCATTTAGCTGAAGCCTATCATTTATCCGTGCGCAAAACAAGACCAGAACGAGTACAAGATGCTCTAGAGCATATTGGTCTCTCAGTATTATCAGGTGCATTAACCACTTTGGGCGCCAGCTTCTTTATGATTTTTAGTGGCCTAGTTTTCTTCTTCCAATTCGGTCTCTTCATGTTTACAACAATCGCTTTGTCACTTTTATACTCCATGGTCTTTTTTATGACCGTCCTATCTATAATTGGACCACAAGGCCAAATTGGCTGCCTTCGCAGTCTATTTAGAATTATAAAGGGTAAAATACTTGGGAAAATACATGAAAATGAGCAAAAATGTACAGACTGTAAGGGAAAAGGCTATGTACCCATTCAGACGGAGTTAGAAGAGGCTGTTATTGAAAGAATAGAACTTAAAGGACAAAAAGAGGGTGTTTACCTCGACGAAGTTTTACGCACTGCTCAGCTATAATTAGCATTTGTTAAAATAAGTATTTTTAACGTAGGAAAACACTTTTTTATGAAATGTACCTGATTTATTTTTACACTAGTGCATTATTTTTTGAGCTTTCATGTGGTGTTATTGTTTGCCTTTTTTTTTTTTTTTGACTTTATGTGGAAACTAAACTGCAGAAATTTTTTATCAAAAATTGTTGAAATCTGTTAAATATTTTCTTTTTATAGCTGAAAATTCCATAATACAATCGAATGTTCACGTGCTATACCTTAACAAAAAAATACAGAATTCCTTATGTAATAAAAAGGCGTAACCACTGAACAAAAATACTTTATTTATACCATAGTACGTCGTTTCATAGGCAGTTAAAAAAATGTATAAGAAATTTTATAAAAATGAATAAAAAAAATTAATTTTGTTGCTTTGGCAACGTCGTGCATCACTACATACGATATAAAACTTATAAGTTTTTTATATATTACAAAGAGTTATTTCTTTTTACCCTATGTCTAACATCGATATCCACGAAATAAAAGTATGCAGCGGAAATCAAAGTCAGACAGTACGTTTTTTTGTTTTTTACAGGTATAACACACAATGTCATCCCTACTTTTTTGATAATTAATGGTCAAAAATTTCATACTATATATTATAAGAAATTGTATTGTTGAGATTTCGGGGGTTATATTTTCGATTGAACGGCGAATATTAAAGCAGGTCACGAAATCAGACAGTTTGTCTCGGAATCCAGGGCAATGCGCATGCGTCCAGACTTGTTTACGAGAAGAATGCACCACGTGACCTCAATAGTGTCATGGCGGACACGGTCAAGATGCGACGATGTCGGCAAAATGAGTGATTTTTTCAATAAAATAATAAAATTTGCAATGAACGTCGGTTGTATTCAATACTATATTTATAGATGAGTATGTTATCTTTTTTTAAATCTTATAAAATGTAGATCTTATATGCAATAGCGTCTAACTAATCAACTCGTGAACGTGGGTGTTTAAAGAGTGAAACTAATTGTTTGCAGTATAATGTTAAAACCGTCACGACTCGATAGTTTAGATACTTTACTCAATATTGTTTTAATCACAAAAAAAGAACTATATCTAAACGATGCTGCTAGCGCAGGTGTTTTAAAGAGAACATTGTTTTCAAGGCCTGTCAAAACAACTTTATATGTACTGACATTGATTAATGAATATCCCACTCAGACATCATCGAAACATAAATTGTTTACCTCATCACGAAGAACAAATCTAGTCAATTTCCTGTTAAAGAACATTTTCCTACATAGAAAATAATTATGGCGCAAGCTGGCGGGAAGCAGGCAGCAAAAGTCGGATTTCTGAAAAAGCTCAGGAATAAAAAGGTAATTTAAAGACAATGAAATTAAAACTCTTAATTAGATTCACTTTCAGGTGACACTTGACCTCTTGCCGCATAATCTTGTTAGTTTGGTCCTTAGGGAATATTTCAATATTATAATAAAATATTTTATATTTCAACAGTTATCAAAAAAATATTTTATATTGCGATCGGATACACTAAGTTTGGAATACCATGACAACAGCAAACGAGCATTCGAAAGTGCTCCTAAGAAAAGTATTAAGTTACGGGATTGCGTAGGGTAAGTGATGTTGTAAAGTTACTTATGTAGCTTCGTTTAATTCGTCTTTACTTTACTAAACTGCAACAACTTTATTGATACTTGTAGATTTTGTATGAAGGATGAACATCAAAAAGTGAAAAATGTACTGGAAATTTACTGGTCGAGAGATGTGCTCAAAATTGCTTTTGATTCTCTTGAAGAAAGGCAACAATGGCATGATGAGATAAAAAGCCTCCTTGCAGATGAAATCTTCCTTCCGACAGAATGGACTCCAAAATTTGGTAAACTGAATTTTGAAAAAAATTTGTAGAATTGTATTCTAACAATAGCTTCCAATTCATAGCTAAAATATACCAAGGTCACTTGAAACCACAAGCTGAGGGCGACCACGGTAGCCCTTCTGGCCGGCTAACTTGTGGAATTTATCGAGTTATAGTCCTTCCTGAACACTGCATCGTTAAAAAGGCTTCCGACGAAGAGAATATTGAATTTGAAGTGCCAGTAAGTATTAGTTTATTTTGAATAAATTGCAATGGTAATCGAAATATTTTTTACAACCAGTATAAAAATTGTGTTCGACGAGTCGGACATAAAGACAACTATTTCATGATTGAATTAGGGAGACAAGCAGAACCTGGGCCAGGAAAGTTTTGGTTATGTTTGGAAGATAAGAATGATGCAAAATCTTTACATTCTTCATTTAATTTGTAAGAATTTATCAATAGTTAATCATTTCTCTTGCTTATCATATATTATTTTATAGACATTTAACTTCCTCATCGAAATCAGAAACCCCAAGTCATAAAAATTCCAGTATGAATTCATTAACGGGGTCAACTGAGGACCCTATTAGAGATCGAGCTCCATCGAATACCTCAACATCGTCCAAACCTATATTTGTACCTCAGAGACGTCCACATAACGTAGAGGATTCCCACGTACCAACCAAAAAAATCAACGTCTCAACTTCTCAATCTAACAGATCTAATAGACCACCCTCTGCTTCACCATCACAGTAATTAATTTTTTATTAAAACAAATCTTCTACTATGGATTAAATTTTGCATTATTATCAGGACTTTTTCACCCACCGACTCGTTCTCATATATGAAACGGGCCCGTACGAATAGCTTTGAATCGGCCACTAGCCATACAAGTGATAGTCCCATGGATAACAATTCTAGGTAAAAACTAAAATGAAGCATAGCTATAGTATTTTTAAAGCAACATCATTTTGTTAATAGTACGTCAGTTGATGATTATTTACCAATGACGCCTTCGGAGAGCAGTGGTAAGTCATTATTTTACTCTTAAAATCGAAAATTTAATTAATTTATTATGCGAAATTATCTGGTTTACTATATTTTGCATAAAAAAAATAGAATTATGAGCAAAAAGTATATTCCAAAAATTTTGATCCATTATAACAACCCAGATAATACTACCACCTTAAACGGCGGCATTATACCACGTAAGTTTGGTGTCGGTTTAAAGGGGGCTATGAATAATCACAAGAAATTTATGCATATTATATATACGTACATATATATATATATATATGTATATATGTATATGTATACTCTAATTTCCTTTGTTTTATTTTCTTGTAGAAAATATTAAAAAAAAACTAAGAACACGCCTTTGCTTTTTTTATTTTTTAATCTTTCGCCAATTTTAATCTAAGACAAAAGAGGTTATACTATTTACTAATTTTATTTTATAATAATTTTTCAAGGTATCACCTTTTCGCCTTCAAATAGTCGTCAGGATCCACCTCAATGTACTGGATATATGGAAATGAAACCAGGTGATGATGGAGACCACGGTTAGTTTACATCTGATTTTTACGTTTTCTTACAAGTGAAGCTTATTTATTTACAAGACAATTATATTACATATATTCACTCTTTTATTAGGGAGTAACGATTATATTGAAATGACACCACCACCTGGTAAAAAAGGGAGTTTATCAAATACGCCAGCTCCCTACTTGGATATGACGCCAATATCTAATGCCTTACCACCTGTTGATGAGAAAACATGTAAGTTATTGTAATTACTCAAGAAAATGAAACAATTAAATTATTTAATACCTTCAAAAGTTTTTGAGGGTTATGTAGAAATGAAGAGTAGCAAAGATCCGTCTGCTATGAAGTCTAGGACTAATGTCCAGATGGACCGTGTCGTATCTTATCTGAAAGAAGATACGTCTTTACCGAAAAGAGCAAATAGTGTAGGATCAAGACCGAAGAATAGTCAATCAGGGGATGAAGACGATAAGTGTAATTCAGCACCTCACCTCTGGAACGAACAAGGAAATAGACAAAGGTCCGGGACGGTTTCTATTGTTAATCATCGACAAAGGACTTCTACAATAAGTGAAGATATGAGAATGAGAACAGGAAGTTTTGGCAGCTTTGCTGTTGAGCGACCCAGATCACATTCTCACGGTGGTGGCTCAACCGTTCGTGATCTGAGAATCCAGTCCAAAGAGTTGGCGCTGAAAACAGTAAGAGCAAAGACTCTTAACTCCCAATCGAAAACGAAGCCTCCAAGTGGGGGTAGCATTGGTCGTTCACAAAGAATTAACACATCACAAAATGATGTACATGAAATTAGTCGTTCCCCCGATTTACGACGCCTAGAAAATGAACCAAATTCCATTCATAATAGGTCAAACTATCTGTCTATGTCGCCTGGGTCCAACACAAGTAAGGACGACGGATATGCTGATATGGACTATACACCTTCGAAAGGGAACACTTCATCAAGTGCTGGAACCGATGAATATTTTGAAATGGCAATTGAGCCTGCAGCCATTGTTCAAGCTACTACCGTCGATTCACATCAACATGAATATACTGAAATTAATTACTGCAAGAAACAGTAATTTCGTTGTAATACCGTAATTAATCGTTTGTTTATGCTCAATCGGTCGATATAAAAAAATCTGCTTATTTATCAATTAATATAAGGAAGATTTCGAATAAATCTTTGATTAAATCTATTATATTAAACTTGCATTATTTGTCATTGATAACTACACTTTTCTAATTTAATAGTCAAGAATAGGAACCAGTCAAAAATACACCCCAGTGCCATCTGTAGTTAGAATAATTTTACTTCCACATCACCCGATTAAGATATTTTCCCTATTTACTAGCAATTTTAAAAATCTCTTGTCTATTCGATTTGTCATTCAGTTTTTAATAATGGAATCCAAAGGTCTGTTGATATTATTAACAAATTTTGTAGTCGTTCACTTCATGATTTCTACTATTTAGTGAGAAGGTCCGATGTTCGGCCTGATGGTGACGGAATGGAAGAAGAACTGCTCAAATCAACCCCGGAAATAAAATATGCTAAGCCGACTAAACACCGTCAACTCACTCGATTGAATGATTCCCAAATGATTCGTGTAAAACCGCAAAAAACTGTAATATCGAAAGAACCTGTAAAAGCAGCAGTAAAAGAAGTTGTGCAACAAAAACCAACAAAGACTCAAAAGAATCAAAATACAGAAACTCCACAGGTTCAGAATGTTGATACTTCAGGATCTATTCAGTCTATGACCGCGGAAACGATAGATAAAGTAAGAGAAGAGTGTGAAGGAGAAGAAAATTCAGATTTAGATATACTTAACGAAGAGTTAGAGGCTACGAGACGGGAGTTAGAAGCACAAATTCGCATAAATAAGGACCTCAAGAAACTACTTATCGCATCTATGGGTGATGATTTGCATCATAGGGTGGATTGTTTGGTTAAAGATCGTGTAGCATTAGCTGAGAATATTGAAGCATATTCTAAACGACTCGAGGAAGGAGGGTTGATAAGAGAAGAATTAGAGATACGAGCAGATATGTACAGATCGAAATTTGCGGCTAGCAAATTGCTAGTTGAAGAAGCTATTGATATGCGGGCCTCTCTACAGCTTCAATTGAATTATGCTCATCAGGCCATGAAAGAATTGTTAAGCGAAAGGGCACAAGTAAGAAAAAATTTACAAGAAGCTTACGGAGTTTCACAAGCTACAAATGAAGCCCTAGGCATTGAAAGGCAGAGTAAGAAAGAACTCCCAATGAACAGTACTATTTTGGAAATATCTGAGAAAGTAAATAACCTATCTCTCTCTTTGAAAAATGCTCTGCTTCCTGTTATGAACAATTCAAAATATCAAACAATTCCATTTGGATTTTCACCTACTGCAGCAGAAGTTATGGCCATGCAATGCTTGGCCAATAGAGCCAAAGAACTTGATGGTTCTGATATTAGGCAAATTTATAAGCACAACCGATTTCATTTAGCAGCAAATTTTGATAATCTTACACTCAATTGTTGTTCAAATTGTACTGGCAAAATTCATGCCGTTTAAACAAGTTACGTTTTATTGTCTAAAATATTTTTGACAGCATGTATAAGAAAATGACAATGTAGCTATTTTGTGTTTCTATAACTAGCTTCTTAAGGCTTGCAGGCGAGCCTGCATTTCTGACATATCTTCTGCATCCTCTTCTTGCGGCTCTTCCACAACAGGTAGGGAGTCATTAACAGCAGTAGGAGCCCTTTTAAGAGGTTCTATATAAAATAAAAAATATTAAATTTATGATGAGAAAATTAATAGAATTTTCAACCTCCTATTATTTCATTAACAACGGCCTCAACTTCTTTTTCGACTTCATCTTCCATATCTTCTTGATCAATGTCTTCGAAAGTATCCTCAATCATTTCTTCAATGATACCCGCGCGTGTCATTTCTTTTGATAGTTCTCGCATAGTGTTCTGAATTTCAGGCACTTTTACCAATCTTTGCATGCTGGACATTACTTCAGTGCTTCTTTGTATACAACCAGCCGTTCTTATGGTTGCTGATGACAAATAGATTTCTTGCATTTAATAGAATATAAAAACAGATTATTCCTATACCTAGTTGAGCGTTCATTCCATTTTCAATAGTTGTCAGATGAGCTTTTGCTGCATATATTTTACTTATAGCTTTCTTACTCTGAACGATTTCTCTAGCTAGAATCTTAATAGAGTCAATGTCCTTTTTTTTCGCGGCACTCTTAATGGCCAGTTCTACTTTTTGTTTTTCTCTCTCAATACCTGAATATTTATATTAGTAAGGAAATAACATTGAGACTATAACTCAACCTCTAATCTGCCGTTCGAGTTGACGACCCTCCTGACGAACTTTTGCGGTCCATTCTCGAACCTAAATAAAAATAAAAGTTCCTTATCTTAGTTATTTGAAAATTAGTCATTCAGCAATTTCAAACATCTTCACTTCAGTAATTATGATTAAAGAATCAAAGAAAAAATGTTTTAAAATTTATGAAAGATTATATTCTTGATCAGAAAAATTTGTCACTTTTTCCTTCGTTGGTTGACTTGGCTTGTCCTTTCCAAAGAGACCCATTAGGTTTTAATAAAATAGAGGTTCGTGTTTACTTCGGACGGGGCATGCGCAAGAAATCAATGACTGTATTTATCGCTGGTTCCAAATTCCGAGTCTTTATAGTGACTAGTATCTATGACGCGCACTACTTGTAGTACTACAATAACGGAAACAGGAAACGGAAACTGAATACCGAGAATGGAAGATTTGAGTTGTCCTGTTACATTTTCCTCCAATCCTACCTCAACCGTTATCTTAAGTGAATCCCCATTGTCATTAAACAGTTTCTGTGTTGATAACGACAAGTCTGACATATTTACGGATAAGCTCGACTGTGTGACAAGCTCAAATTTTATATCTGATTCCAATGTTGTTGTCGATAGCCGAAGGTAAATTAAATGATTTTTTTGGTACGCTTTAAGTTTATTACTATTTTTTCAGTCTTTTATATTGTTCTGATTTATCTTCAAATGTTACCTTTTCAAATCTTCCCGAATTATCTAACTCTGCAATGCTGGAGGAATGTCATCAACAAGAAGGTGACCCGATTCACTTTCCTTCAATTAATGGTACATAGATAAGAACCCTGACAACAAATAATAGCTGATCACTGTAATTAATTTTCCAGGTAACCTAGTAGGTGGAGAAAATGATGAAACTCAGCTTTTTCATATAGAAACAGAGGAAGTAGGAGATGGAGTAAATTTAGATAATATAAGTGATCAGTACACATTTGTGACAACTGAGCCATTGGTAAATGATCGTGCTGACATAACAATCAATGAATATGAATCTGAGGAGTTAGCAGAGCCCCCAAAGGAAAAAAAGAAGGGTGGTTGGCCAAAAGGAAAAAAGAGGAAAATGGAGTTGATAGATAAAGCCCCTCGAGCCCCCATGTCAGGGTAAGAGTTGTGGTCTAAGGATAATTAACTTAGAATATATAAATGTTAAAAATGTTTTAGATATGTTATATTCTCATCTCGAAAACGTTCGAAATTAAAAGAAGAAAATCCAAACAAGACTTTTACTGAAATCACTAAAATGCTAGGTAATGAATGGAGTGCTATGTCAGAAGAAGACAAACAAGGATATTTAGAGGAAGCTGAAAAAGATAAAGAAAGGTATCTTAGAGAAATGAAAGAATATAGAAACAGCGAAAATTACCGTAAATTCCGGAAAAGCCAAAATGGTATGAACTTTTTAATATATAAATAAATTATTTTAAAATATATATATCAGAAATAAAAAACTTATTTTTATTAATAAATAGCAAATGGCGTTGAACCAAATACAGATGAAGAGGATGATGATGTAAAATAACATAATATTATAAAAACTTTTAATAATCATATTATTCCAACAGAATAACTTATATTGTTCAGTCTGCGACGTTTGTTTTGTAAGTGCTCATAATAAGAGGGAACATTTATTGGGAAAAATTCACTTTGACAAAGTTACTCGTTTGTAAAAATATTTACTTAAAGCGTATATTTATTAAAAATAAACATTCTTCAATTTCAGAGAATTACAATAAAGATTTATTAAGGCAAAAAAATGAAAAAGAGAAGCAGGAGAAAGAATTAAGAGATAGTTTTTTAACTCGAAAAGATATCGATCATTTAGATTTAAATTGGTTTTCTGAAGTTCTAATGAAGAAAAATACCGGTTGGCATACATTTTTAGATACTTTTATTGCTAGAAGTAGGTGATTGAGTAAATATTGTATCTATAAGAAATTTTTATCTTTAAGAAATATGTTTACTAGGTGGCGTTACCGATTGTAATGCACTCTAATTTTTCGCAATCTTGATCTTAACAAAACCAAAAGTATTTTACTCTGTTCAATTAAAATTTTTATCACTCTCTAATACGTTATTAACCTGGTATCAATTTTTATCTTAACAGAAAGAGAATGTGAAATTGAAACTTTGACAAACTCACTACAAGCTAGTCAACAAAAATTCCATGCAATACAACAACAAATTAACCAGTTGAAGGCTTTTAAACAAAATTATCTAGAGACACTTAGTCACGAGCGAAAATTAAAAAAACAACTAGTGAACGATATAAACACTTTAAGAATCGTACCAACTTTATTTGGTGTTAATAGCTTTCAAAGTATGAGATAATGTTTGTGAAAAGCGTACAAGAAAGAAAATTGTGTTTCCTATAAAAGAAAAAGTTATATACTTTCTAAAAGAAAAGCAAAATAAGCGAAAGTATTTTTACTGTAGAATGTACTTAAAGGCAATCTTTGAGTATTAATTTTAACAAAAAACATAAGGAAAGAACATGCGTATCTTGTGAAAATTTAGAGATGTACCATCTGTCGTTTGACCTTGATTTATTCTTGATTCTGCGTATAAAAAGCATCAGACTGATCATAAAAGCTCTTGCTTCCGTTTGAGTTACGTTGAAGTAACTTCTCGCTAAAGAAGATATTAAGGAGAGGGCTAAAGACTATTCGGTTTTCTTTTTTAAATAGAAAGTCTCGACGTATGAAATATTTAGCAAACCACGTACAAAATAATTCAAGATGTGGATTGTCACTGGTACTATTGCTGTCTGTCATAGAGCTAACGGGAGGGGAGGAGAAGGAATGAAAGGTGAACGGCTTGGTAAAATGACGAATTTCGGTTGGAGAAGAATCGTTGGAGAGAAAGGTAAACATTTCTAAATTTAAGAAGAGGAAAACACTAAAAACTAAATATAAAAGAAAATGTATATATGTTATCTCTCTATTAGTCTGATATTTCATCTGGGCATTTCTTTCTAGCCGCTTTACTACCGATCACCGTAGTCTGGAGCAGAGCAATTGGCTTCAAGATGGAATAGCGCGGACCATAAGATAGTGGAGGATGTATTTTGTGTATGAATAACGAACACTTCCTAAGACTGATAAAAAGAAATGGATAATCGCATTTAGTTAAATCCTTCTTCCCCCTCCCTAAAACATTTCTTATATTTTTTTGTCTTTATTCCGTAAACGAATAAAAAACGGATTATTAACACGAAGATATATTGTATAATTGTCATTGTGATTAATGGACAACTAGTATAAGCATTCATTTTTAAGTACTTTTTTCGCTAGACAAACAAACGGCCCAGTTCATAATTCTATTGTTTCCAATTACATCTGGTAGGCCTGTTGGAGATAATATAGATCCTGCCGATAGGCCATAATTAGTTCTACAGGGCACTAGTTTGCTAAAATATGTCGATTAGATCGGAGAACTTTATCGGTTTCTGTTTATTAAGCTTCTGCTTATTACTTTGTGGACAAACGTTTTCCGTGACCGACCCGTTTTATGGCTCTGAAGAGATCTCTTCGACAGCAACGACGTTCAAGTCGACAGGCAAGGGATTTGATGGTTTTTTAGGAATTGATATAAAGATGATAACCTACATATGCATTGCTCTAGGATCTGGTATATTTTTAAGCATGGTTCTTATAACTATTTGTATGGCGTGCTTGAGTGCAAATGCTAGCTTAGATAAGGAAGAAATAGCCTTAAAGAGTGTAAAGAAAGCTGAAGCACCGGCATATTTTGAATACGATGTCATCCAAGGAGATATGCCAGAGCCGGAAGTTCATAAACCAAAGCCAAGACCAAGAGATTCTGAAGTTCCTGGAACTTTTAATATATTGAAGCACAAACGTATTGAAGATTGTCAGGTTAAAAGTTCCGAGTATGGTTTAAACGGGTGGTCAAAATCGTTAGTTCAAGAAGTTATAGATCAGAATTTGCTCTATTTAGCGGTATACAATTTGGATATGCGTAACAGAATTCATGCTGTCGCCACACTATTTGAGGAGGAGGTCCCAAATTTACATATTGCCGATATTGCTTCTTTTGTTCTAAGCTCACAGAAGGATAAGGCAATTCAGTTCGGTTCGACCATTTTCCACATGAAATTCATCCATACAGACTGCTATGCTGCTACCGGAATCGCTCAAACAAACAAAGGTAGATTTTCAAATAGGCCCTTAATAAGAAATTTATAATCAGTTTGTTTGTTCAGGTCAAAACCTCACAATGTTTGCCGCTGCCGCTCCGAAATCTGATAATGCAGCCTTTATAGTAATAGGTATAACCGACACCTCATTGGACGAAGGTCAATGCGAGAGTAGCGTCGCAAGACTAACTGACTGCTTTCCATTAGAACCCAGTCGACCGCGTAGTTTTGTTGTAGAAGATGAATCAAATGCCTCATATACTCCAATTATTAGGACGGACTCAAAAACAAAATGAACGAAAAAAGCAAAACAATCTGTCTGTTTTCTTTTGCTTATGTAACAATGAATGTATCTTAAGTTATTTCTGCTTTTTGTTTGTTTTGCTTATTGGAAACATGCACATTTTCTAATTATAAATGTTATGTTTTTGTAATTTTTTTTTTTTAAAAAAAGAAAAAAAAAGATGCTCAAAGTTTATATTCTACTGTTTTTACAATGTAATAAAAACTGGAACGAGTTGTCCTATTAACTTATAAGTTAATTAGCCAAAATGACTTTTGATCTTTAAAAAGAGACTATTTTTGACAGAAATAAATTGCAAAGTGTATACGTCATTTAACTGTTTTGGTTTTTATATATATTAAATACAACAGACAGCTACCTGTCACATCTGAGTGTCTTTTAGCATAATTTATCTTCTCTTTAGAAAGTACTCGACCGTGTTATACGTGTTTGTTCTTTGGAACAAACTATCACAAAGTTGTACAGAGTTCAAATGAAGTGAGATAGAAAGATAACGAATTACATTATAATTTAATTTTGTCTTTCAATTAGATTAGATATACAGAAGGGAAAAACAATTTGCAATATAGTTCACTATGAGTAACAGTATCAGCACGAACTAGACTAAAGAATATATAAATATGGATATATAAAATACATTCATAGCGTACTCTAATATATTGTATTCTCCAATATATTATATATGATAATAATTATCTTAGTTAATTCAATTATATTAATAACAACTAAATAACTTGTACTAAATTGTTTAGCTTTTCTTGTTTTTTTTTTACAGAACTGTTTACTTAAAATGAAGCAGTTCCTTTCTCTTTTGAAAGTGAAAATATCCATATTACTAATAAATTTATCTTACATTAAAATAAACCTAAACTTGCAACTTTATTAAAGCGAAGGTAAAGTTTATATTTGGAAATTTTCCCATACTTGTTATCTTATAGATACCAACCTCTATCATATTTTTTTGAAATTGAACAAACTTTCTATCTTATCTCTTTTTCACTTTTTCCTTCTATCTATTATATTTAGAATTTAAAACTAGATGGCGTTTTGTTAGAAAAGCTAATGCTTTTACAAAAATCGAATTAGTTAAATCTTCAATATATTGATATAATTGATTTGAATGATCTTATACAAGTAAGACAAGATTTAGATAAATCTTCTTAAAAACCTATTACGAAAAATTAGAATTTATTAAATTCTCTTTTGTAGATAATAAACTAATCCTTATCGCAAAGTTTTCACAAAGCCAGTTTTGTTAAATACTATTCTATGATAACAAATGCATTTTTAGCTTTAATTACAACTACAACTATCGATAGGTTATTGGAATGTTGACTAAGTTGATTCAATTGAATTACTTAGAGATGTTAGATAATGAAATCCTATTCCAAACTTACAATGTTTAAAGATTGCATAACAAAAATGTTAATGTAATTGTATTGGGGGCCATTTTCTGTTTTATCCTTTATTCAACTCTTTTTGACTTTATGTAAACTGCAATAATTTTTAGCATTTATGAATTACTTATCCACAATAGATGGCGCGTCAGTATATAATGTTTATTAATGACGTGTGATAAATGAATGAATTATACCATAAAATACCAATTAAGGGCCCGTCGTAAATACTGACGTATCAAAACATGTTCAATTAGTAAAGTAGAAATAAGTTTTTATTGATAAAAAGAAATTTATTTCTTGATTTCCGCTGATGTCAAAGTAATTTGTGTTTTGTTCAGTTTTGTCTATTTTTTTGGCTAAGAAGTTTTCTTTTCTGAAAGTTGATAACATACACATCCTGGCGGCGGAGGGCAATGAGGATCTTTTAAGCATGGTAGAGTTGGCCTGGGTAACGGTGCTTTTGCCCTACACGACTCTATAACTGTACAACATTGTTTGAGGTTAACGTTGCACGGATTAAAGTTATATTCGCAAACTTTTGGTCGATTGGGCAGATACAAAGGTGGACAAATCTTTTTATTCTTCTCACAATTCTTTGCGCAAGCTTTTGGCACTGGTGGTACATGTGTACATCTACTCGAAGCCAGAACCATATTATTTTTTTTTCTTAGGCAATAGTTTTCTTAGTCATAAATTGTATTTTTTTGGTTTTTCTCAGTTTTTCAATTTAAAAAAATAACGTATTTTTATGACATAATAAAAAAATCATAATTTGTATCTCTAAAAAGCGGCTACAGTCGTATTTTTGTACAAGTTCAAAAAAACAATTAATGAGCTCACCATTAAACCCAATCAAGACGTATAAAAGATTATAGAAAAAAATATGAAAAAAGCAGAAGAACATTTTTTGAGTCTTTTTTTTATGTTTCTTCTATTCATCAGCTTTTCGAATTTTCCGCATCGGAGAGATGATCTACTTTATCGTCGGAAATAGAAACATTTGTTGTATCTGTCTTTTTTGGTTGATAATCGATAAACATAACCGTTACGCCATTTACAGTTATCTTCGTTCTGACAGCAGTTGATCTTATTACATTCTTATGCTTAGGCGGTCTCCTATGAAAAGAAGAAAGGAATTGTTAGAGAATGTCTTTTTAAGAGGCTTGGGATAGTTTATTTGGGCTATAGAAACAAACTTCAACCTTAAATGTGTTTCTCATTTATCACATGGAAATGGGGGCAATTTAAGTTCTATTGCAATAGGCAAGAGCAATACAAAAATATGAAAGGGAATGCACCTAGGGGTATATATCGTTTAAATGCTAACATAAAAAGAGTAATGTACCGTCAAATTTGTTCTGAGCACTGACAAACTGTCATAAAAGTGGGCAATAAAAAAAATACTATAAATTTTACTCGTGGAAGAATATTTTATATATTCTGTCCAAACTTTTGTGCCTTTTTTGCTTCTATTTTTTAATATTCTATCTACAAATAATATCAAACAGTTACTCACTTGCTTTTTGTTCTGGGATTTTTCTGAAAAGAAAAATTTCGTTTGAAGAGACAAGATTGTGTGGTAGGTTCAGGAGGTTCCTGTTCCTGTTCCGGTTCCGGTTCTGGTGCGTTTTCCTCGACTTCATATGAACGATCCGTGTTTGGTACTTCCGCACTCGGTGAGGGACTAATACTATTATATCCTGCTGGACTAGTAGTAATTTGAGGTTTTTCCACTGATTTAGGTCTTCTTCTCTTGGCTTTGGTGGACGCTACCGAGAATTCCTGAGATATGCCGACACTTGCGGGTTTTCTGAAAGTTTTTTTATATACATTTACTTATTACTCATGTTTGTTTAGTAATTTACCACGATATAACCTTTTAAAGAAGATTGTAACACTTGTATAAAAAGTAAGAAAAGGAATTTTTGTCACCTATAGTTATAATATTGTCTCTATTGCTATAACTTTTAAAAAACTTACCTTGTGCTGGTGCCCTTTTTCGTTTCACACATTTGGCAGGCGAAGGATTCACTAGGATTTTCAAATGTACACATTGTACATTCCCAAGTTTCCTCAGCTGTCTGTTTAGCTCGTTTTCGACTAGAAAACAATTATATACATAGTTAAACAATCACAAATCACAATATACTGCTGTCAACATTGTTATTGTTAGTTATTTTAACAATTACCAACCCTTTTTTCGTTTCCATAACGATCTTAGGGCGAAAAACAGCAAGAATATATAAAAACTATGAGAAGACAATGAAAGAAACCTCTGGTCACGTGATAACTGATATCCAATAGACTTCCAGAAGTTCAGCTTAGAATATTCTATTTCCGCTTCCGCAGTGCGGTCTAACTCGAATGAAACGAGATTTTAATTCGGTAACTAATTAAATTCTTGTTGATTCTTAATGTTTTTATTTGAACTAATAATTTTTTTGTAATTATTAAAAGAAAAATCATTGAGGAATTTCATTACGAGGGTCGTAAGTAAAACCTGAAAAAGCGTTCTGATCAGTCTGACCCCCTGCTCCATCAGTCATTCCCGGATTTCCACCTGTTTTTACGGAAGAGGTGATAGGCTCAGACGTAAACTCCCCTGAAATATGTCTAAGGTCTAAGTCTCCTCCCTGAAAATATAACTTAATAAATATTTATCAATTAATGAGTTTTTAATTTGTCGTTTTTAAGAACGTTTGTTTATTGTTCTTTGATGGAATAGAAAAAACATATACGCTTGTTTATACTCACAACATTGGGATTATAGGGCGGTGTTATAGCTCTTTGATCCAACTTTTCCCAATTTATTGGGGCAAAGAATGCATGCTTTCTTATATCCAAAAAATCATTTTCGTGACCTAAACGCTTTGACTTATCCTTTTGAAGCATCTTGATAAAGAAAATATGTAAACATTAGTGTAACACCGATTTGTCGTGTTGCGTAACGATAACAAAATAAAACAGCTTATGTTATTATGTAACAAAGGTTAAAGGAACACTAGAGCATTTTGAAGGAGAGGATAGCGAAAATAAAAAAAGATAGATGGCGATACCGTCCAAAGGACGTTTTTACTTACCCCTGTTAAAATATTTATTGAATCTTTGCTAGCACTATTAGGGAATCGAAGAGGCTTTTGTAATATATTACGATACATTTCATCAACATTTGTACTATAAAAGGGTGGCTGTAAAAGTAAAATTCGAGTGAGATATATTAAAAAAAACAAAAGAAGCATTTGGTCTTACCAAGCCAAATAGCATTTCGTATAGAACTCCACCGAGACACCACCAATCAACCATTCTATCATATGGTTTTTTCTTAAGAACCTCCGGTGCCAAATACTAAGTGACGAAGAAAAAGTAAAAAGGGAATGAAATACATCACATGCATAGACGGTAAATTTACTTCTGGTGTTCCGCAAAATGTTGACGTAGTACCAGCTTTTTCAATATCTTCTTTGCATAATCCGAAATCCGTAAGGACAACGTGACCCTAGAGATAAGGTAATTTTAGTCTGTTAATGTTTTGTGTCCTCATTCATTTGAAATAATTTCTTAGAAAATGCAATACTACCTCTGAATCCAATAGTAGATTTTCAGGTTTCAAGTCACTAAAGATTACGAATGTAGTTATTTATGAAATATTGAGAAAATTGATAATATTTACCGATAAATTATGTTCAATGAATGCAGATAGCCCAACGCGCTGGCTATTTCGGCCGCGTAGAATTTAGCTCTTGATTCAGGGAATCTTCTCTCTCGCTGAAGATGATAGAAGAGCTGAAATTGACAAAAAATTATAGGAGGAGCTATGAAAATGATAGACTGCGATACAATAAAGACTAAATAGCGTTACGAACCTCTCCACCGTTAACATAATCGAGTACAAAATAAAGTTTATCTATACTTTGGAAAGAGTAGTGTAAACCAACAAGAAACGGATGTCTAACGTTCTTAACGAGAACATTTCGTTCAGACATAATATGCTTGACTTCATTCCTTTTGATAATGTGTTGCTTTTGTAATACTTTAACAGCATAAATTCTATCTTCTTGCTTATGTTTTGCCATCATAACTTTTCCAAAACTTCCTTTACCAATTACTCTTAAAAATTCAAAGTCACTGGGCTTGACCCTATAAAACGAAGACTTTTTGAATAAAAAATTAAAAAAAAACAAGAAAAAAACGACATCTATCGGTTAATTTTAAGAAGAAAAAACAAGTTATTTGGTAATATTTTAGCTTAAAAGTCCTAATTTTTTTTTATATAAAGAGCATAAAAGTAATTTATTGGTAGCTGTTGAATATATATATATATATATTTCTATTTTCAAACAAAATAAACAAAATTGAGCATGCGCATTGATATTCTCTTCAACCCGCTCTAATTCTTTTACTTTAATCTACATTTGATAAACAGAAATTACCTTTTTATTATCAGAGAAATAAGAAAATATGATATTGAGCATATTTTTGTTACAGAATAAAAAATGATATATTTTTTAATCTATATCTATATACAATGTTAAGAAATTCTCTAAAAATAAGAATATGTCTAAAGATTTTACTCACGATCTCTTTTCAGAAGGTCCAAGATCGACCGAACCGTTACTCTTCTCCTATTGTATAGTAAAAAAAAAGAATTTAAAGATAAAATCTAATTTAATTAATTAAAGTTTTAACATAATCGTATTTTTCAACCACCAACCAACCTCAAAACTACTTTCATCCGATTCGTTCTCAGTGATGTTTAGGAAATCCTTTACTTCTTGGCTATAAAAATGAAAACACTTTCAGTGGCACATTTTTATTTGCGACATAACTACATTGATGATAAGCTAAAAACTATATATACTAGCTTTTTCTCATTATGTATATTTGTATATATATATATATATATACTGTGTAGGCCTTATCTTCTCCTTGCTTAAGGCAATGATCTCTTTTCTAAAGCTTTTACTTAAATATAAGAATTAGCTAAATTGTAATACTGTCACTTTTTGAAAATAAAACGCCTTATACATATATAATTTTCAATTCTATAGGATACTTGTTTTAAGGTCAGGGATTATCCATGAAGGTTGCAGACTTAAAAAAAAGAATACTTGAAGGACGTTTGTTCTATTTTTCATTCAATTTATATATTTATATGTTTAAAATGCTTAGTTGGAGTCATTTTTAGAATTTTATGATTTTATACTAACCGTTGCGAAAGTAATGGATGACTCATTATCTTCTGTAAGAGTTCATTTAGACCTTCTCGTCTGGCCTTGAGAACTTTTTCGTCATGATTCCCGATGAACTTTCTACCGGGTAGTTTAAGACTAACGTCCGTTTTCAATTTCTTTAGCTAAATTAAAATTTTAACAAAGTTAATTTATTTTTTCATATTACAAATCTAAAAATAAACTAGACTAACAATTATTGAATAAATAATGCCAAAATCAGATAGTCTAGTTTAACTTTGTAATGAATATTCATAGGCCCCGATTATATACAGTTTTACTAACCTTTTCATAGATTGTTTGGAATTCATTATATCGTCTGTAGATTGCCCATCGTTTGTTTCCAAAATTAACAGTAATTGTATAGACCGTATACTTCTTATTGCTGTTGTCGTGTTTTTCTGTACTACCAGAAATGGTTGCGGTGGCTCGAGATGTAGCCATATGAATATAAATAAAGTTATATATACTTTGAAAGTTTAATGATCTTGAAAGTAATATTTCTGTCTTCTGTCTTCTTTGGGAATGAGATATTTTTTATTCCTTAAAAGACAACAAACTTAAAAATAGGCTGATCTCGATGAAGAATGTAATGGTAGGATAAACAATTTGCAGCTGAAGAACAAATGGATAGAGTGTAGAGAAGCCTTCTCCCCAACAATTTCAAATCCTTTTATCTTTTTAGAATGTAGCGTAGTTGAAGAAGTCGAAGAGAAAATGAGAGAGCCAGTAAGAGTGAGGGAGAGAGAGAACAAGAGAGTGAGGGAGAGCGGAAGAGAGAGAGAGAGAGAAAATGAGAGAGCCAGGGGTGGGGGATAGAGAAAAGTCGATTAACGCAGGTTTCAGCGCCGCTGACGATAAGGACACTGCTACTCGTTTTTCAACTGGTCGCTTATCGGTTTTGACCGATTGTGATACAAAGTTTATACGAAGACGATCAAAAAAATAGGATTACATCAAATAGGTCTCAATCTCATGACATCTTATGTCCTCTTTCCAGCATTTACAAGAAAGTTAATGGATCATAATAGTTTTTTTTTATATAAATCACGTAGATATCGTGGAAATCTATTGATATTCCATTTAATTAAACTTCATTAATTATAATTTATGAAGAGTTCGATACTATAAAAGTCTCTCTATATATACCTATGCATGTACACAGACACACACAATATATATATATATATATATATATATATATAGTATATTAGTATATCAAGATAATTATATATGTTATACTATAAAAAGTGGAAGGTGGAATATTATTTGTATGTTATCTATGATAGTTCTTCAATAATTTGTATAATTTATAGGAAGAAACCTTTTTTTTTCTTATCTAGGCGGAGTAATCCGATCAATATATGCAATTCTGTTTATTGTTTCTATCAGTTTTAAAATGTGAGCGAATATAACACAATTGGCCTATTAAAATTGTTAATAAACTTAAAAACAAAAAGTTTTTGTTTTTTTTTTAAAAAACAACTTGAAACAAGCAGTCAAAGATAATTAATTTTTTTATTACTTCTGATAATCTGTTGAAAAAAAATCTTAGGCCTACGAGATAAATACATAAAATAGATAATACAAAAAAAAATTATCTTTATTATGTGAAAAAAGGAATATATTCGGTTGAAATTCGTCTGATATCACGAAGTGGGTGTTGTTTTAAGTTTAAATTCTGTTTGTAAATCTTGAATTGTGAGTTCAGCAGCGTGTAAAATGAATTGTTAAAAGAACGGAAAATGCACACTGAGCTAAAATAAGACTAGACGATCTTTCAGGCAGAGAAACAGCCCAGTCATTTCCTTACTTAGGTTTAATAATGAGTCAATGGTGAATGGGAATTTTTCTTATGCCATTATATTAAAAACTTAAGGAAGCAAAAATGAATTGACATTGGACGTAGTCTAGAAGAACGTCTAATGCTCTATGAATGAGAGGTGGTTAAACGAAAGCGTCTAACATGTAGAGTTAATTGATGATTTTTAGCAAACACCATAGCGTTGCTTTTTAGTTTATAAAAAACGAATTAAGCCCGACCTTTTTAGTGAAACCTTCTCGGTATAATGATTCACAAGTTAAAATAGTTTCATTAACCATTCTAGGTCAACTAGAAAGTATTGAAACATAAGTCAAACCTAAACTTTTATTATTTTTTATATAATAGTAATTTGTTTGTGAAATGTCCAAGTGGTATTCTGAAGATATGAAAATGGCTATCATAAGACGCGATTTGATATCAAAAGCAGTACTACTGTCTTTTATATAGTATTTAAGTCTAATGGATTCTGGTTTCTTTTCCTTCCTTTCCTGTTCTTTTCTTCTAACTTTGTAGAGCTCTTTCAAAAGATGGCCAAATCAGACATCTTTAGAAAAAATATGATCTTTTCTATCGTTATTATTTTTTATTATAATTCTAAGACTTTATTCATTTTTTAATTTCTTAATACTCTACATCATGTTCTTGACCTAATTAGTTTAGTTAATTTTACAAAATTTGCCTTCTTTTCTTGAAGGACGCTTGAGAAACTCTTCGAGTGGAAGATTCTTATTGTCTTTATATAAAGAAAGTTTAAGTTTGAAAATACTATCTGCTAACAATTTATTTATTAAAAAGTAGCACACTTTCTAATAGTAAAATTTAAGGTTATTGCAAAACATAGAATGAATATAAGACATTTAAATTGTATAAAGACACATTTTAACTTTATTTTATATTTTACCAGATAAAATAAATATTTTTTTAAGAGAATGATTGATTGATTTAGCCGGAAAATGTTAACCTATTGAACTACGACCTCATCTAATCGGGCCTCCATGAGAATGTCTTTGAAAATACGATCGTTAACTCTCAGATATCTTTACCCGGTAGGTGGAGTTTCGCAATCTATATAAGAACTAATGCAATGTTATTGTAAAGTTTTTATATCTATCTACTTAAAAATGAAAACCCTATCATTTATTCGAATTAACAGAAGAGGGAATATTTATTTTTATAACTTCTTTTAAATATTCTAATTTCAATAGATTAAAGCATTAAAAATTTAAAATTAAATAATTGAAACCAGTTTTCGCTTGACAACTTTTCCGTTTTGGTTAAATGTAAAATGGCGGTTGGAGGAAAATCATATAATTGAAATTAAATTTACTATCAATTTAATCAATGCTTCTAAGAATGGCAAGCGTTAGCCCAAAAATATTAAGAAAAGTTCCCACTTCCAGGAACGTGTCTAAATCTTCTAAGGTGATAAAATTAGTAAAAAAAACAAGTTTAGTACGTTTATTGTTTACTACAGGTTAGAGCCACTAGAAAGAGTAAAAGAACAAGTTCAGAACACGAAGTGTATGAAAAAGCTATTAAGCAGAAAAAAAATGTATATAGAAAAGAGTAAATTCAATCTTGTATTTCAATAGAAAGAATTAAGAATCTTTTTTGTAGGATAAATCTTGTCCAGAAGATTTTATCAAAGTTTTAAAAGGAGTTTTTAAACAAAATGGAGAAGCCAAAAAAAAAGATTTTATGCAAAAGTATATGAAAGAAAAATTTCCCGTATACGGATTATACGCACCAGAAAGACGTCAATTGCAAAAAGAAGTATACTTTTATAAGCATGAATTAATAAGATGCAATTTTAAATTGGTACTTGTATTTGCATTCAGTTCATGATCGAGCCCGATGACAGAAATGAAATGTACGAAGTTCTTAAACTCTGTTGGAATGACGACTACAGAGAAATACAATATTTCGGTATCGATTATGCAGTTAAATTTCTAAAAATATTTAGTGGAGTAAATGCCTCAGAGGGTGAGGAATCTCTGAAGTTGTGCTATTTTTTAATTTCAACCAAATCCTGGTGGGATACTGTTGATTTACTTTCATCCAAAGGTAGATAGGGTAGTAGCTATATATTGCCAAAATATATGTCATCTTTTGTTTCATTATATAGTTGTCGGCCATTTAGTTAAGACTTATCCCAATCTTCAACCAACGATGGATGAATGGTGTGAAGACGAAAATATGTGGATAAGAAGAGCGTCTATATTGTATCAACTTAATTATAATAAAAATACTGACTCGGAAATTCTATTCAGGTATATAACACAATTCTATGACAAAAGAACGAAAGGATATTCCAATATATTATAGGTACTGCAAAACGCTTGCTAATGAGAAAGATTTCTTTATAAGAAAAGCCTTAGGCTGGGCATTAAGGAACTATGGACGATTTCAAGGGAAAATTGTTAAGAACTTTGTAACAGAAAATCAAGATATTCTATCTAATTTAACGATAAAAGAAGCCCTTAAGAATATCAAATGAAATATTTTATTGGCACTTATTAAATCATTCAGTTTTTAATACTTTATCAATTTTACGTAAAAATAAACAAGTTACTTAACAACGCAGTAGATTAACTTTTTATGTATACAGTATTAGTGTGTATTGCAGTTATATAAAAGCAACGATAAATAAACAAGGAATAAAAACTTAATGGAAGATGAGTTAAATATATTAAGGCAGAGTTAATTGTGACTGTACCGGCCCATAGTTTGCAATTAACAATTAATTCCGGCTTTTAACTGACTAATGTAACTTAAAAGGTGAAACTAATAGAAAAACCTGTTTAAAAACTCTGTTCTAACCTTTCAATAAGCACTTTGTATAATATAGCTTATTAACTGACTTTTTTTGAGATATTGATAGCTTGTTTAGAGTCTAATAGGAGGGTCGATTCATACAGAATTATTGACGCTTTAAAAAAAATAGACTGGGAAAGAAAGCTCTTATGAGAAATTGATAGGCCTTAGCAGACCTATTCTTTAACTGACACTAATCAGTATTATTAATCTAGATTAACCAACGGTACAAAAGACTTTATCACTCGCAAGTAATTCGAAATGAAAAATTTATCAAATATACACAGTTTATGTTGTGTTTATACATAAAACATGCATATTTTATATATTGAATATAATAATATATAATAAATTAATTTTATATAGTATAGTAAAATTTCATTAACAATCACAAAGAATAACATAGGCATTGTTTATTTTCTGCATGAGTATGTATAAAAGTAAAACGAAAAACATGGACGGAAATATAAACATAGCATCATGGAAAAAAAGTAAAATAAATACAAAATATATATAAATATATATGATAAAAAGTGGACAACAAATTAAAGTAGAAAGATTTTGGAATTATCACGGTAAGTTTATGAGTCTTTTTTTTTTAAATTGTCTCTTTTATCTATTACATTACAAAAATAACATAAAAACAAGATATTTTAGGGCGAGATTTACGGAAGGAATGAGGAGAGTAGGAAGAAGTATAATTAAAGGTAGAGTGTTAGAAGATTTAGAGAAAAAACTATTATTACAGTCATTGTTGGCTTTTTTTTGTTTTTTGTAGAGTTCAGTAAGTGTTGAGAATTTTACTAGAAATATATTTAAAGTTGAATTTAATTCTAATAAATTAACGATTCTCCAATGTCGGCATATTTCGTAAGTTTTCCAGTTTTTTCTCTCTTTCTCATTATTTCCACTTTCTACCCTATTGATCTTCGAACCCCTGCTTGTAAACATTTCCTCACATTTTTACTTCTCATAATTTGAGAGCCGAATTTAAAAAAAATAGTCTTAGGGGGGCTTAAGGAAAGATAGTAATTTTTCCAGCACCGTCTATTTACCCGATGGTATGGATTTTTTGCGGCCACTTGTTGTCGCACCAATATTTCCATGCATACTTCCGGTACTAACTCGCCTGTCTCGATCTTTAACGTTGCTGATGCCAGTTTCTAGACTTGATCCTGTACCGGAACCTCTTCTTGAACTAGTTGACGAATTAGTACTTTGAAATGATACTCTTGAACCAGTAGCTGCTGGACGAATTCCGCCAGTAACTCTTGATCCTCCTTTTCCTGCACTACGTTTGTCCTGTTTATTTGTATTTTGCTTATTCTTGGCATTAGCCGATTCTTTGCGAGATGCTTTTTCTTCCTGCTGCCTTTCCAATGCTTCCGCCTCTGCCTGAGAAATACGAATAATGCTTATTTAAAAGACACTAATTTAAAGCCTATTATATATGTGCGAACATACATTTATTTTCCTTTATATCTAACGTGTGACGATTGCATTTTATTGAAGAATAAAAAGTGAGAATAACGAAGAAAATTGAAAAATTTATTAATATTTGTGAAAGATTCTCCCGCTTTATAATGGGCGAATCATAGAAAAATCTTATCATTTTAGTGTTAGTTCACTTGTAGGAGGGCTATTTGCTGAAGGTTTTTTGCTTAGTAGAATTACGAAGTAAATAGGATAATAGAGATTTAATTTTAAATATCGTATAAACCCATAGAAAAGATATAAAATAGTTTTCACTTACCACTTCCAATATTTTCCTCTCCTCCTCTTCTTTCTTAGAATCAGCAGCTTCTAGAGATCCTTTAGGTGTTCTTTTTGTTAAACTTTCCATTACTGGTTTAGTTCTATCTAATATAATCACAATATTATTTATGGAAGCCACGACATCTTCATCAGAGTCCGACTGTAATTTTCGAACAACGCTTTCCAGTTGAGATAAAAGAGGCCTATCAGCTGGCAGACTTAATTGTGATTTAACAGCTGGCAATAATTGACAAACTTTCATACGTATATTAGGTACCGAATCGCTACATTTAAGTAAAATTTCATCTATCAAGGAATGTTGACGGAAGAACAATCTGCTATACAATTGAAGAACATGATGGCAAACGTCGAGGAATAGAGCTCTTTTACGATAATTGTCACTTTTGGCCAAGTCGGTTTTTATTTTTCTATAATATTCTTCTTTCATTTCCAATTTTCGACTATACCTAAATGATAGAATAGAGATATAAATATCCTGTTTATAGTGATTATAATATTATTAATGTAAACAACAATCCAAATTCTCCGTAGCTTAATAATAAATATAATTCTGGTGAAATTTACCTGTTGTTTATAGGGAATAGACCTATATAAATAGGATTACAGGCCTACGCTTTTATATTAAACTTAATAAATGTTCTGTTTAGTAGTAGTTCGATAAAAAGTACTTTCGATAGCTCAGCAACATGCTTGAACAAATAAATAGCACTATATTACTATCGATTATATCCTACAATATGTTTGTTTGTATCTTTCGTTTTTTTCCAGGATTTAAGAAAAGGCATATTACAAACTAACAGCGTAGATTAAAGAAATATTTTTACCTTAAGAATATTAATAATGTTCGTGCAGTTTCAACCATAACTGGTAGAGCTCTATGAGAGAGAAGTTCCTTATATACAGCAGGGATTAACTTCGCACCGATTTGATCAGATGAGAATATTTTATGACTGACTTCGCCCAATATTTTCATGTAATTCTGTTGACTCCTCCAATCGTGGCCGTTCATTAACGTTGTTAACGAATGAAAGGAAGCTGTCAGGACTTCCTGAGAATGGTCCCATTTTCCTCCTTCGCATCCCAGAGTGAGATAAATTTTAGGGCAATCTTTCATCAAACATTGTAAAACAGTTATATCGCTGTCCTGTTTATAAAAGTAAAGAAAAACTGCTATGCTTAATATTTTAAAAAGTGAAACTTTCGAATTACCTTCAGTAAATTTATAAAATCCAAGGTTAAAAGACTCTGATAATTTGAAGGAAGTGCAGCCAGTATAGATCCTATACATTTTGCTGCTGCTTGTTTAACATATGGACTTGGATCATTGCATAAACTTCTATAGCAACTCATCAATTCAGATTTATAAATTTGTCCTCCTAGTGCTTTTACCATCAGCGGCAAACTTTCCACACAGAAACGTCTACAGCATTCGCTAGGCGTTTCTAAACATAGGCCCTCCAATCCGCCAAAGAGCTGTGGCTTCGGTGAATGCTTTGCATTGCATGGTAATTTTGAAAGACGTTTAAAAGCATCAATAAATAAGCGTTTTTCATCATCACATAGTTGAGAAGATAAGTAAAAAAGAAAGACTCCCAAATTTTTAGCCAAACCACCCACAATATTTACATCATCAGATTCTAACATTTTAGAACTGATTTGAAAAATTAAAGGATAAGCAGATATCTTTAAAGTTTCACTGTCTAGAAAAGGGAGTAATTTTCCAAAAGAATCTAGGGCAGCATTTCTGACATGACTCCTTTCATCCTTAGCCAACTCTAATAGCTCGGGGAAGATCATAATCTTTTTTAAAGATAATTATTTATTAATTTCATTTGATAAAATGTGCTTTGGTATTGTTTTATCAGTTGTTATGATATGATTATATAATATTAAAAAGGCTTTTTCAGCTATGTTATTTTACGTGGGTGTTCATCTAACATTCAATTTTACTTATATTTTATTTACCTTTATATTTTCGGGACTTAGACGCTCGCCTATAACCGGAAGTTCCAAACACATTGTTTGCCTAACATCATGCTCGATATCTTGACACAAAGATTGAATTAAGCGCCCCAATTGGGTTTTAATAGTATTTTGATCCAATTTCTTCGAAATTTTTCCAATAACTTTACAACAAGTGATCCGACTCGATACAGGTTTTGAGATGTCAGACTTCTTCTTAATAGGAGGTAAAACATCTTTTAAAAGAACGTCTATATTCAATACATCGATTGCAATTAGCAGAGTTTCGAGCCATATTTCAGTAATCTAAAAAAGTGTAATTTATTGTCTATTAAAAATCAAATAAATTTTCAAATTATATGCAAAAGCACGAAAAAATCATTTAATCTATTTTTATAAAAACATTCTTAATGGAGAATTATATTCTATATTGGTTGACATACTGTTCGAAAAAAATGAGAAAGAAAACTAGAAGCGCTAAAAGTAAAATAAAAAAATATTTGATAAAACTTAAGTTTATATAAGAGAGAAAATAAGGGACAATGTGTATTTAGCATTGAAAAAAGTTTGATCCTTTAAAATACTTTTTTTTTTTGTAGTTGTAGTAGAAAGCAAGGGCAGAATATAGTTTTAACATATACACCTTTCAACTTGTCTAGTTCATTAGCCATAAATGTATTAATATTTTTTTAAGGTATAAATATTACAAGTAGATTGCATAAGGAGAAAAAAAATGCTTAGAAAAGCTATTAATGGTTTATATTCTAGATTTCTTTTAATATATTCCAACTAGCCTATTTATTTTACTATTTAATAAATAATCTATATTTCCCAAGAAAAAGTCTTTGCCTTAAGGGTGTAATGTTCACAATAATCTGTCACTTGATCAAAATTTGATCACATCGATAGAAATTTGTATAGACTGAACTATGCAGTCTACTCTTTCGCTATTGAATGAAAAACAATTTATTTTGGCTGTAAAAAAAGGAATTTTGGACAATAATTCATTAATTACTCTCATCCTTCCCAAGATAATTAACTAATACGTAAATTTAAAATAAGGAAAAGTCAAAGAGTAATAACGAAAGAGAAACAAAGGGTATCTATACGGTAATAATAGACAAGAGGGAAGGGCAAAGCTAGGCGGGGACAAGAATAACTTTTAAAAGCCTTTAGTTTACATTTACACGGGTATATGTGATAGAACAGAAAAGAAAAAGAACTTCCATATATAACTTTTTTTCTTTTTTTAAAGTAAAAAAATGTTAACAAAAGGTCATTCTGAAGGTTGGACATTTTTAGTCGAATTATAAATATCTAAAATATTTTGTTTAAAATAACATTTTATAAAGAAATTAACATTAAAAAAAAGAATAGCTTTGCTTATTCAGCTAAAAGATAAGAATTAAAAAAATATAAAATTTGATGATAACAATGTTTAAGTCTCATAAAATTGTCATAAAGATATCGTTTTAAAAAAAGGGAAAATTACTATTAACAACGAAAATGGCAAAATTATTTTTTGTTTGACAAAAACGTATACTTACTTCTATTGTCTTGTTATCAAGTCCAATAAATACACAAGGTAAAATAGATTGAACCCATTGGCCATGACTTAAAATTTGTTTGGTAAGTAAAGTTTTAAAACAATTGGATGCAGTCATTTGTAATTCTTCATCACCGACATGTAGCAACTCCTTAACTTTTGGAAAGACTCTTCTTTTACACTCTTCCGGTCGTTCTTGGAAAAGTGTTGGGAGAGATGATACAACACTAACCCTTTGTAAATCATGGCCACTGCTCAGTAGATGAACTGCCCTTTCGATAGGAGATAAATTTTCATCAACTCCATATAATTTGTCTAATTCTTCCACAGACTGTTTCAAGAAAAAAAAAAGAGAGTTTCAAGATAAGATTTATACAATGGACTCTATAAAATCGATAAATTCGTTTGAAATAAATGGATAATATTTCTAAAATAGATATGTATGAAGTAATTTTCATTGTATGTTTATCTTATTACCGAATAATAAGCACTTAAGCTATTCCAGTAGTGATATATTAGTATTGAAATATCAATAATAATCATAAAAGCAAAAAATTAACGATTAAAGCAGAACCTTTAATGGATTAATAAACTAATTTTTGTAAATCACATTAAAACAAATAGTTTTTATATCTGAAAAGTTTCTTAAATTTAAAAGTCATAATCTAGTTCTAAATGTTAATCACTCATAGATTTTACAATGTTCGATAAAGTGGCACCTAAAATAGTTTAAGTTGAATAGAAGGTAGATGCCTGACTGCTTTTCATTCAACTTATAGAGGCAATCATTATAATTATAAAAATTAATAAATTAAATAAACAGTCTTGTCTTACAAATTAGAAGGTCTGTACTTTGAAATAGTATAATCCACTTTAAATTATAAAATAATAGATTCTATTTAATTACACCGAGAATTTTTCTCCAACCCTTCTCTAATTTTAATACTAAAAAATGTATTTTTTTGTGAAAAAGATGTCAATTTATAAATCTTATGCTAACATAGATTTTTCTGGTATTTCTTTAATTCTATCAGGCACTAAGGGAAAACGTGCTCAGTATTTAAGTTGATCTGTACAAACTTGAAATTTCTTGCTCTACATAAAATCAACTGTTGCAAGTTTTATAACTCGACATTTAAAATGTAACACATATATATCAATCTTCTTTGCATATATATATACAAAGATCTAAAGTTTTCCTAGTTCACCACTACCTTTTATGAAAAATAATTTACTTACTCGAACGGTGACTGCTGGTGTCTTTTCGTAAGCTAAATCACGGATATCAGGCAATTCATCTAACTCTCTAAACGACATGTCGCATTGTTTTTCATAAAAATTTACATTAAATCATTAATTTATATCGATCTTTCAAGTTCAACTCGATTAGCAAGTCATAAAACGGATTAGTAAACAAATAAAAACAGGCGGCTAACACTAAGCCGCCATATTTTTTTATGCGAGATCTCGTGAGAATTTCAAGTTCTGACATGACCTCAATTAGTAAACATGAGTTATTTCGGTGAAAATGGACTAGTTATTCGCTTTAAGGACGATATAAGAGATTATCAAAACAAATTCGTCAGACGCATAACATTTATATTAGGTCATAATCAATTAATGGTATTACGCAACAAATTCCATTGATATTTCTTAGAAATTTCAACTATGAAAACCCCCGTATAAGATGTATAATGAAAGTAAAGATATTTTAGTTTAAGATCTTGAAAAACTAAATTGAGCATTATGTTGACGTTGTCTTGGGTGAAAGAGAGCAAAGCTTTTATTATCTCTCCCGTTATGATTGGTTTCCTGTTTTAGTCTTAAAAAAACACAAGTTTCTAAAGTATATTTATTATTAATTTAAATTTTTTTGTTAAGGAAATTCCGACTAATTATTTGTTTGTTTTTAAATTAAAAGAATACTTTTTTTCGTTTACAAAGAACGCAAAAGACTGAACTGAAAAAAGAAATGAAATTTTTTATTTATACATAAACGACTGACATTAAATTTATTCGCTCCCACCTAAATGAAAAATAATTAAACATCTGTTAAAACATTTATTAAATGACAAAATTTATTCTATCAGTTTTTTAGATTTGAAGAATCTCCTCAAGTATAAAACTTGCCAGGTTGCTAATCCAAGAAGGCAAAACATGGAGAAAATAGAGAAGTACAAAACTCTTGAATGTGTGGACTCGTTTGTTCCACGCATTTCTTCTTCTCTTGCCCTCATATAAGCAAAGTCGTTGACAATGGACTCAGCAAGATCTTCTAAGCGTTTTAATTCTACTTCTAGAGGTTTTAACTTTTCTGCCCGAGCAATCTGTTGAAGAAGATTATCAAAATTAAATTCTTTAGTAGGCAGATATTTTACGGAGGTAAGAAAAATAAATTCACATGCTCTTAAAGCTATTCTATAAGTATTATTCCATTTATATTTGTTGGTTTATTTCATTGATTTCTTAAATGGAAATTCACACGTTCACCCTAAGACTTTTAGTAAACGATATAATAGACTTACATCTCCATAATTCTTAGCTTCTACTCCGTGTTTCATACTCAGGTATACCTCTCTGTCTTGACCATGGCCACCTTGTTAAAAAATTTAAATTCAGATCTATAAGAGAAAATTAAAAGAGGCCATATGTCATACCTCCGATCATTTTAGTTTCAAAACAAACTTCAAATAGATCATAATCATCAGTTGTAAAAGCAAACTTTCCTTTTTCTGCTTCTTCTTTAGAGTACAATGTATGTCCCTTGGAATCTGTTACCTATTAAAAAGAAAGATATTATAATTTTTTAATAAATCATTGATCACTTTCAAAAGCATGTATTTAGCAAATTATTTACAATTTTTTATACATCTATGACTTACATGAAGATTTGTTTTTTGTCCAGGTGCATGAGAAAGTTCGTATTCACCAATTACTGTAACATTTTTATGAATTTCTTCTCTTAGGCATTTTTTCACATTCGGCGAAAGATGGAATTGAATAGCAGTTATTTGCGTAAGTACTAGTGATAATAGCACAAATAACTTTCGTAATAAATCCATTTTATATCTACAAAATTAGTTTCCCTAAATCAATCAACAAAAACGAGTAACTAAGACGAAAATATGACTTTTTTCTTATGATTTCTTGGGTTAACGTGGCATCAACGACTTTCGACTGGTTGTCACTTCCGACGGAAGTTGAAGAATTGCAGGATCGCATATATTTAAAATTATTTAAACTAGAAATTCGATTGTTTCTTTGATGAAGATACTTTAGAGATTAATCTGATTTACGTTTTACCTCTTTCTAAATCTTAAAAATTGCATTCTTTGTGAATCCACTTTTAACGTTGAACGGAAATACGTCAAAAGTTGATTATCCGTTCAAGAACTATTACTTTTTCATATAGCTGATATTAATTCTCCGACATGATCTCGTACTAATAAAATTGTCATAAAAAACATAAAACTCGACAATTCGCAATTGTTTAACAAATTATAATCTAGATTTCTTATCACACCATTCACCTATTTATATACTACCAGTAGCATAAATGTCGTCAATAGTAAAAGCAAGATAATTATGACATAAGAGAAACCCATTAAGAAGGAAATAAACTTTGAATACAAATTTTTAGGTTATTTCCTACTTTATAAAGGCATGAAAGATTTGTGATTAATTACAACAACTCAACAACTTTTCTTCAAATCTAGAAAGCACTTCTGAAACATTCAGCTCTATGAAATTTAAATAGTCTTGTATTAAAATAGAAGATAGGCTGAAAGTATATAATTTGAAAAGTATTAAGAAGTCCCCTTAAGGATATTAATTTGAAGTCTATAAGTTTTAAGACTTATATATATACAGTATATTCTTATAGCAATATCATTTTGAAATCATACATACATAGATTATCTCTGCTTATTGCGACCCATAAATAAGACTGTCTTTCTTCCCGTAAAAATTATTAAATATGTTTTAACAGTTTTTATTTCTATTATAAAAGTAAACTAGAATATAAGAGGAAATTGCCTTATTTCTTGGTATGTATAAAAGGCATAGAAACAGCCCTTTTCCTTAAGAAGAGTTATTTACATTGTTATCTGATATATGATGAATGTTTTATATAAAAGTTCGGCAGTTCAAAGAGCTCTAATCAATATTTATTTCTCTTTACCTTTTAGCAACTAATCTATTAATATGATATATGCCGTATTACAAAAATAATTTACTTATTGTCGATCTTTGAAAAAACTCTTTAAACTTATCAATACACAAATATGACTGATCAATGCCTTTTATTTTTCTTAGCGTATTTGATATTTGATATCTAAATTGGCCTTGAATGCTAATATTTTAAGATAATATCAACGGGAAAATACTAAAATCTCCTACAGTTTCAGAGTTTTGGAGATTCACGTCACCTCAGATAGGATTAAGGATTATAATTCTATACGTAAAAATATAAGATATCTTAACTACTAGTGTAAATATATGTTAGAAAGTTACATATAACAAATAAAAGAAATAATAATACAAAAAAAAACATATTATATACATATTTATATTTATGATTTACAAGTGTATTTCTCTTTTATTCCAACAAGTTATATTCTAATTGTTTTGCATACACACTCGTTTAAAGTCAAATATAGATTTTTTATACAAAACTTTCTAACATTCTTGTTTAATAGTGACGTAGATTATTGGATTAGTTGTTGAGCTAGGTTTTAGACAATGAGGATTTATTTTAAAGTATATACAGTATATATGGTACATTGTATATTTTTATTAAACTTGTTAGTAAAATAGATCTTATAATATCTAATTTGTCCAAATATCACATAAAATTTTTCGTAAGCTTTAATATACTACTACTTCTAATAATAGATAAGATATAGATAAGATAAGCAACCCAAATAGTAAAAAATGGCTTTACATGATTATTTGCAAATTTTTCCTTTGATTACGTGATTTTTATAAGAATCAATTTATCATTAATGTTATTTATGAGTATTATTCTATTGAGAATACATAATATATAGACAAGTATTTACAGCAATTGAGTCGTAATAACGTCGTGAGTCAAAAACAATTTGCATATTATTTTCTAACTTATCTTTTTGATTCCACGCCTGAGAAAATTATTATTATTATTTAAAATATTTAACTAACCTTGATAAAATAAAACTTTTATGAACTATTGCGTAATCTCTCAAAATTTACAAATACTTTGACCTTCGTTAAAGTCTAATTAAAGATTCTTAGTATCTGGTATATAAGAACGCCCACAATTTATCCTCATATAGCTAGGCAAGAGTTTTTAATAAAAAAGATAATAAATAAATTAATTAAAATATTGTCATAGGTAATAAAACAGCATATTTAATTTCACCAATCAATTAGAAGAGAAACATCACTCCTTAAATTTCTAATTGTTGTTTTTTAATAATATGTTAAAAGATATTAAAGCAAATTTTATGGAAAAAAGAGGAATGCATGATTTCATAATAACAAACTCTTCTTTTCTTTTTATCATACATAAAACAAACTTTGTAGACTTTATTAAATAAAGAAAATCTATTGTTTCATCACAATTGAGCATTTTACTCTTGATGTTTATTTGGATATTGGTGTACTGTGTGTATTATTCCAGTATATTTCTGGTAAACTACTATGTTAGATAACGATATAAATGTATTATTCATGCGTACAATTGGAAACCAATTCAAGGTCAACGGGAAAGAACATGCTTCAATTTATCTGGCTAATCATTTTTTCAATAAATAAAAAAGATATCCAAATAAACAAAGGAAAACACCTGGTAAATATAAATATCTAAGCCTCTTCTTTTACCTTCTTAGCGAAGCTCAATTCCCATCTCTTGGGAATATTTCAAGAAATTTTAGATAATGTTGAAATCTTTATTAGGCAACTGTTGATAAATATCCAAGAATTCTGGCATAGATTCCTGCCATAAATTCATAAAAATCATACAAGGAGCAAATTACTTAATCTCATTTTATTTAATTTCTGAAGTTAAGGATATATTATAAAGACTAATTCTCTCCTTGCAATGTTCTTATTTAGCTATAATATCAAATAAACCAATACATTAAACAATAAAATACTAATGTGTATATACGATAACTTTGCTACTTGTATTGTCAATTTCTGAAGCATCCATTAAGCGTGAAAAAAATACATCTTGTAAAAAGAAATTTCGATCAAATTCAACCTAAATTAGTTCCTAATTATTCTTGAAGTTGTTTTTTTGTCCTTCAAACTTTTATAAACTAGTTTACTTGATCTTGGATAGGACAGATCAAGTAGGTTATTAATGATTTAAAATTGACGTCTAATAATATAGGACAAAGGGTTATAATAGTATGAAAACTCATATGGCTATTGCACTAAAAAAACTGATAAATATAAAATATATACTTAAAAGAAATATTTAGAAATCAATAGTCCTTTCCGGAAAATGTTCAGATCTAGGAACGATTGGTGTTTTATCATTTTTACTGCAATTTTACCTTCAAAATTCAATTAGAAAAAATGAGTGCTTTTTAATTGAAAATATGTTTCAATTTTGCTATTTATTGATTTGTTTACCGAATATTCACAAACGCTTAGATGCTTAAAGCAGCTTTTTAAAGGCCCTGGAGTGAATACTTTGCGAAAATTATACCTCACGAAAAAAGGTGTTCTTCCTTATAGTAAAAATAGCGCCTTCTATTTGATTAACTAGCCATATATTAATACCGTCATGAATAAAATCACTTAGAGAGCTTCATAGATATATATTTCTTGAAAGATTCAGAGATTTCTTAGCTATATTTATTGCAAAATGAAAGACCTACTATTCATAAGTTAAGGACTAAGTTTAAGGAATGGTTTACTTCGATAAGAAAAACTTAATGGAAAGCTTGCGCATCTAATATTCCTTGGTTTTTATTTTTTCCATGAAGATACCATTTATCCTGTTGTTGCTCTAACATATTACTATATATAAAAGAAATGATAATAATTAGGTACGTTCTTAGAATCTCTGTCTGTGAAAACTGAGAGTTTATTATGTGAAAATGAGGAAATTTTACAAAGGCAAGTATTCATCTAATTATCGAGAAGAAAATCATACTTCATTTAATCAGCTTATTAATAATGGTGGTAATAACCTTTGTAAATGCGTTCTTGTGTTAAAGTTATTGTTATACCTGATATAACTTTTATATTTCACGAGTTTAATTACAAATGCAGTTAGAAAATAATAAGATCAAGTATAAGTCATTTCTTTAAACTTCAATTCTCTATTTAGAAATATTAATTAAACTTCTTTAGCATACTAAACTGACATAATGGCATATGGTGTATAAATAGAGTAACCATAGAAAATTCCATGCACTTACATAGAAACTGCAAGTAATGATGAATTCAACTATGACGGAAACTTTTCCGTCATATACAGAGATATTAGCAACTTTTTATGGTATTGTAGTTTTATTCGTTTTAGGAAGTTTTGGAAATTTTTTGACAATAACAATACTTATTCAAAGTGGAAAATTTGTAAAATCAACAAATATCTTTGTTTTCAACTTAGCAGTTGCAGATCTTGTCGTTTGTTTTACAACTGTTTTTGATACTGTTTCTTACTATGCTCATGATATAAGTCATTCCGTATGCAAATACGTTATGCCCTTTTATTTTGTCGCTGCTCTTACTTCTCAACTGAATTTGGCTGTAATTGCTCTAAATAGATATGTGTTTATACTGAAGGCAAGAGACACTTATGAAAAATATTTCTCAGATAAATTATCAATCATTATATGCTTTTGCTTGTGGATTTTCAATATTCTCTATACTTCTTGGGCCTTCGTATTCACTGAATTTTATTTCGTCAGAGAAAGTTATGCATGTCAACTTAAACATCATGAAAATACTAAACATTTTATGGCTATAACTGGGTCGTTATATTTGCTGTTAGATGTTGTTGTAATTGCTGTTATATACTTTTTAATATTTAGAGGAATAGTAAAATCTAAAAAGAGGACACAAGTAGATCCTTCAACTGCATCATCTAATATAAACTCAACGAATGGTATGTTTCAGGTTTAGATTTTGTAAATTACTTTTATTAATGTAAATTTCTAAGCTGTTCACAGTACATCAAGTCCTGCGAAAATTAAAAGTAAGCCAAAAAGAAAATCTGGTAATCTTAAGCAGATGTTTGCGATATGGTTCGTTTATGTTATTCTTAGCACCCCCATAGCGATTGAATTCGGAATAAGATCTCAACTTAACGTTCCCTTGCTATATGACAGGTAAACTGTTTGGAAAATAAGTAAAAATGCGTGTAATTGTTTGAAAATCAACAGGTTCAGCAATAGCATGCTAAGAACGAATTCAGCTGTTAATGTACTAATCTATGCTTGGACAAACACGTTATATAGAAACTTATATAAAGATTTACTTAAGAAGGCTTTCAGCAATCCTTGTGCCTAAGACAATGATAGTTCAATATTAAATTTATTGTAGAATACAAGTACCCTGGTTCAATTACCTTTCCTTTATATTGTTTGTACATAAATATAATATACTTAAGTATTTCTAATTCGATAGAGAAGTTGAAGAAACAAGAATAGTGATGATGTTTATTTTTCTAATAATTTAACATAAACAGCATTTTTTAATTTTGAACACAATTCTTTAGCACTATCCCATAACATTTACACTTTTCAATCTACTAATTCGATTAGCACTTTAACAAATACTGAAATAGATAAGATTTTGTGAACATAACCAAAAAATAGCTCAAACAATAAATTTTTCAATCTTTAAATATCAAACTTCTGAAGTTGCGTCTTAATTTCATAATTTTCAGTGAACAAGGCTACTTTCTTATTCAAAAAGAGGCCTAACTTCAATTTGTTGAATTATTTTTAAGGTCGCTGAAAAGTCCTCCGCTACTTTCGTACATATCAAATCTATTAATGGATAGAAATATTCGCATAAATAGAAAAATAATAAAATAACACATACAAGTTGAGTAAACCATCCACCAATTCGTCACTATTTTGGCAATTAAATTTTTCAAGCGTTCTTAACCATCTGGAACTACTCGATCCGTATATTTTTAAATTTTCGGTAGTTGATATTGATTCATTCTATGAAGAAAGTTATATTTTATAAATAAGAACATGTAATTAAATCGAATCGTTACTTTCTGTGTTTGAGCATCTATTGATCGAACATTTTGGGGTGGATCAATTAACTGCAAAATTTATTATGCAAATAAACAATTTATGGTATTACAAATATAAATAATCTATACCGTTCTCATTATTCTTTGAAAGTGAGATGTTAGTATTTCAACGCTTGGCAAGCGAAACAAACTGCATAAAGCCTTATATCCAGACGGACTTTTAAAATAGAAATCTAATAATATCTATTAAAAGATACAGTTATTGTATTACTGTAATAATATTATATATTTTTAAATATATACTTTTATTGTATCTTCATCCCAATATATATTTTTGCCTTCTTTGGCATTATAGTTTGCTTCATATTGAGACTGGAAAAATTTCTTCTGAGCAGAGGTAAGATTATGAGATGAATATATTTTATCAAAGCTTTCGCTCTTTTTATTATCGATTTCTTCTTTTAGTGCATCTATGACAAATTAATAATTTAATCAGTTAACTTTCGTATTATCTTCCATATGAAATACTTACAATACTTTTGTTTAAAGTTTAATGAGCTAATTTTATGTTTAGATATCATATTGGAGAATGTACAAGATTGTTTCCTATGGTTTTCAATAAGAGTTTTACACATTTCCCTTAATTCTTGCTGTTGCCGAAAGGAATTACTCTTAAAAGTTTCTTTTCGAATAAATGAAATAAACTTACAGCCGATAAATCATCTATCTGTTTTACTTTATCCATGTCACTTGAGTTTGCACTGGCACTGTTTAAAGATGAGGTTGTCGTTGTGGAATTCAATTGATCTGTGTTACGAACTGATCCACTGATACTACCACTAGATATTATTCTCCTTAACATTTTTTCCTGCTCCGGTGTTGCCTTGACATTTACAGTTACAGGTGTTCCAGTCTTATCCGCTGATGTTTTCATAATATTTAACAAGGATTTGATATCATCCTCTTTACTTAAATCAAGTACTTTAGAGTTATCATTTTTGGAGGATGGCTTAATTTGCTGCATCTGAATCGGATTAACAACAGCTCCATTAGATGGAGCAATCGTGGCATTCTGTTGTGGGCGGTTTTCTAAGACTATTGCTGAAGTAACTCGAGCCATATTACCTCGACTAACGACTATTTTAGGTTTATTGATAATATTTTCATTTAGATGGCTCTGAGATATTTTGGAACTTTTTATAGCAATTGGTCTCTGGCCCACAGAGATATTTTGCACGTCGCCATCACTCACAGGAATAAGTATTTGTTCTACTTTTCCACTATCATCCCTTCCCACAAAGAAGGTATGACCCGGTTGAACGCTTTCTGGTACTGGTAACTTAAGGATTGTGTTACTTCCAGGCAAAATACACTCCACTATTTTTTGTTTCTCTTTCTCTCTGATACTGGAAGTTTGAGCTATATTGGGAGCAATAGAGGTATTTGATAATGCCTTTAGATTCGAAGATTCGTTAGGAGTTTCGTTTGAGACATCAAGTTTTATTCTTTTTGTAGGCAAGTAACTGTTCTCATCCTTATCAAAAACAAATTATTAATAGTTTATACGAATTTAAAATCAAATTTTACACCAACTTCATTATTTTCTTCTATAATACTTTCACTTTGGATTTGTAAAACATTTGATGTTTTTGGTACAGCCGTTTTTTTTAAGGCACTTGTCTGAAAATGACTAGGATTTTGAAAATCGTCGCGTCCAAAGTGATCGCTGCATACTTGTAATTTTCTCAAAGAAACCGTTAATTTGGAGTATCCCAATGCTTGTGCCCACTGCTCAAACCTATTGCAAATATAAAGATAAACTCAAGGAAAACAGTCGTTTTCACAAACCTTTTTTGTTCAAATGGAAAACTAAACCAGCGCAAAACATTTCCAAAGTTATCTGATACGTTTTGAGTACGTCGGTTCTTACAACTCTTTACTGCACATTTTGCCCCTGTTCTTTTTGTTTTCTCTTGAGTAGGAACAACTGCTTCTCGACTATTCAAAACAGTTTCCACTGTGATTTCTGCCTCTGGTGTACAATCCCCAGTTTCTTGATGAATATGGTTTTCGTTCACATTTTTAAACTTAACAACAACCTGATTTTTAAAGAGAATATAACATTAATGCTACAATATGTTTCATTTACTAACTTTATCATCTTTTTCAATATTTCCTTCAACTGAAATTGGCTCTTTTCTCTTTAAAAAAAAAATTGTTAACAAAATATAGTCTATTTTTTATCTTATAATAACGTACTATATTAACTTTCAAGTCAGGAATTGCACCATCTTTGAGAGTTTGATTTTCGGTATCTTCGTAACAAGTATTTCCAAAGTGTCTACTACACAAATAGCTTTCTTGATTAGGCTTAAAGCCTATAGGGCATATCTTAAGCCACTCTGTCAATTGCTCTATTGTATTGGCATCTTGACCTTGAGGAAAACTAGATAAAGATTGTTAATGCATAAAATTTACAAAAATTTTACTCCAGCTCACCAGAAAAATTGAATTCTCTCGTCACCTCCCTCGTTTTCTATGGCTTGGCATGCTACACACTCTTTAACAATCTATTCACGAAAAAATATTAATAGTAAGCTTAATAAAGCTATGTAAACGAAAATTATGAGTACTTGAGAAATATCCTTATTTTGCCCGACATCCATTCGTTCTTCATTAACAAAATTTCTTCAATTATAACTTAACCATTTCAACTTTACGATGATGCCACATGCTTGATATATTAAGTAAACAGAAATATACTGCAAAATGAAATGAAAAAAGTAGTATAGTTAAAATTATTTAACAATTTTATTTCGAAAAATTGTTTCGTCTGAGCGATAATGAATGAAAATTAACTGCAAGTCGATGCAATATTTATTTTGAGCTGGTTTTATTTAGTTTTATTCTTATAAATGAATGATAACTTAATTCTTTTACTTTACAATTGAGGTTAAATTTACTTATGGTACCTCTAAAGTCGATCTTTTAAAAATATTTTTCCTGCTAAATACTCAAAATCACAACTAAATCAAAAATGGCTGCCAGATTTTGGTGGCCCATAATCAACTTAAAATTGTTGAATGAATTGTTATAAGATTTCCTACAACATTTGAAACTTTATTAACTTTTGTAGTTTAGTGCTTATTATATCCGTAATTTGTATATTGAATGCGAGAACAGTTAATTTCGAATTAAAGTATTCCAAAAAGTCAATGTTTAACAATGGCTTTAATAGAGATAGATAGTCGTTATTGTAAAATGAAAAATAAATGTGTATACAAAAGTTTCCAATTATTTTTCACAGGCACTTAAGATAAGCGAAATAGAGAAAATAACCTGCACTTCACTTCGAAAATATAACTACAATAGGCCTACAAAAAAATGTTTTTTCTTAAGTTTTCTCAAAAATCTCCTTAAATCAAGATAGAAAAAGATCCTCAGAGGAGAAAAGATTAAACTATACATCTGGTTGACCACCATCGGTTAGTTAGATGTGAGGGTTACAAACTCTTTTTGATAGCTTCACTCATAAGAATTTTTATTCTCTTACGACAACAAAGAACACGTGGTAATGCAGCCTGTAAAAAGATTTTTTTCTTTACTTTACAACAACTAATTTACTAGTACACAACTGCCAAGATGAAACAGTTTTAGGACTAATTTTCGGGAAAAATTCTTTCATTTACAATCTTTCACCCACAAGAAAAAAGAATGTTTTAGCAGTCTTCAAATTAATCAAGTTGTTAATAATAAGTAGAATTCCAGTAAATTTTTCCAAATCTATAGTCTTATGAGTGGTAGAATTTATAGAAAAGTGTAGCATGTATTAAATTACAGGCGTTTAGACATAATAAACTTGTAATAAACGATTCTTTCGAATCTTATATTCCATAACCAGAGATTAATTAAGGGTAAAAAGGGTATTAGGCCATGTAAATTGTTCGCACAACGCTAACATTTAACAGCTGGCCGTAAAAAAATCGTAATTGCGAAGGCCAATCTAGAAAAGTATAATATATAGCTAAAATATTTTTGCACTTGGTACTCTTGGTACTGTTGCTAGGTTCTAGGCCTAAGAATTCTGGGGGTTCATCTCGCATGTGGGTGGTAATATATATAATAAGGATCAAGATATTGTAAAAAAAGAGGTTGAAGTATATAGAAATATGATTCATTATCAAGAATACAGTAATTTTTTTATAGATATTCCAAGTAAAAACATGCTACTAAACGATTTAATAAAAAAAATCTGTGGGAAATTTCCCTAGGTTATAGATAGCTGGCTCCGCCGGTTTGTACGTATCTAACAGTCTAGACGGCAGTTCTTTTGCAGTTTACCCATCTTCAAGAGGTAATGTTAGACGTTCGATTCGTCGACGGCCTCTTCAACCTCTTTTTAGCCTGCCCAATAATTATCCTTTTCACATGGTCATTAATCTCCTTCCTCGACAGCCTACCAACATTCCTATTCCCCTTCCTTACAACCTTCTCCCTAACAATTGAATTCGCCATCCTCTACTACCAAGAACTCCTAGTTGACCTAGCTGATCATATAGGGTTGGAGTACAATTATTTTGCTCTTTGCGTTTACAATTATATTATACTTTCTTCTAACGTCATTCGTTATAATGGATTGGAAAATTTAATCGGTTGGCTGGGATTATCAAATGGCAAGTGCTTAGTTACCTGCGTAGTTATCCTCTGCGGAATAAGAGGGATGAAGAACATAGTTGGATCACCGTTTCGACTAGAATGCGACATAGATATGAATTTAAAGGATTATATTCGCTGTGAGGATACTTTATTCCAAATCCAGGTAAAAACAAAAGAAAGAACTTTCATGAATACAGTTTTTTTTAGCTATTATCGTCTCTGTTTCTATGATATATTTTCTCTATCTCAAGTCCTATGTATTAATTTATGTCTTCCCTTTCCTCTTTTTCGTTTGTGATCTTTAAAACATCATAAATTTATTTTAGCATTCTTATCTATGCTACATATACAAATAGCCTAAAGAAAAAAGTTCGGAGAACGCCATAGACATCATAGCCACTATACTCTTCGTCTACATCCCTGTCGATCTCTGCTGGATATCGATATGGAACTTGATGGATAACTTCTGCTTGAATCTAACAGCTTACCTCCACCCGACAATCGTTTGGTTCGTTTGCTATGTAATCTCATCTAGCATTTGCCTATCAATGCTAACCTTTCAAGACTTGGTATTGGAGTTTTTAAGAAACATCAACTTCCGGCATGCTTTCATCAAGATAATCGTTCAAGATATTTACTTGCTGGTTGTTTGCTCCATAACAGTTTTATATTGGAGAAGTGTTTTTAGCGTTTACACCTTCCTAGCTAAACATTTCCCTATTTTACATAAGGGAAAATTTGACACAAGCGTTGTGCATAGCCATATTACATCTTACTTAATGCTGTGCTTATTATATATTACAAGTTCAATGATTACTCGAGGATGTTCTATTACACGGATAGATGATGAGGCCTATGACAGTCAATTCCAATCCATTTTCTTCCGTTTTAAATACTTTGAGACTCTATTCGATGGTAATGGCAGAGACAAGATGATCTTTCAAGAAAGTGTTGAAAAAGAATGCTCAATCCCCAAAGGAACGAACGGCCTGAGTTTGATTATGAATGATAAAACACAAGATTCATAACAATTGTTTTTTTGTTCTCAATTTCCTTATCTATACTTATTATAAAAGATTGCTATTATATTTAAAGGAAGAAGAAACTAGTTTCTTATTTATTAAGATCACATCTAAACAATGTTATCAGTCCCATAATTGTAGCGAAAAATTTTCGTCGTAATTACAATTTCGTAGTTCATCTGCAGACGCAAAAAGACAGTTTTTACAGTTAGATTTAGTTAACGAATTGTCTCACCGGAAATCTGTGAAAAATTTAACGAATCAGTTAAAACTATAAACTGCTCTTTATCATAATCCTTTCTTTTTACAACCCACAAATCTGAATGTGAGTGTTGAACTATTAACTCGCTATAATCACTTTCATTGCTGAAAAAGTAGCATATTAGATATTAGACAAAATAATACATTCTTTAAGAAAAACTACTAACAATTTCCATGTATAATGCATATCTGCTATCAAGGAGCATGCTGGTTCAACGATTGATTTATTGCTACGTTTTGATGAGAAGTCAGCTCCGTTAATATATATGTAGGTAGGAGAAGAGGAGTTTCTGTATATAAGGTAATGAAGTTTTCTGTAAATATCAAAAGCAATCTCTACTTACTCTTGCTTTCTTGAAATCCATTCTTCATATATATCCGTGGCTAGAGCACTTTGTTGTACGTCTAAGTAGTCGTGAATGTTTCGAAACCATTGTTCATTGGGAGGCGTCTTCCCATTAACCAGCATACATAATGTACTGGACAAAGCTGCATAAACAACTAAGTGGTAGGATTTAACAACTTCATTACCATTACAAATATGGACTAGGGGAAGTGTAGGTTTATTATCCTTGCTTAAATCGGACGGTCCATGTAAAAATTTACCATACTGGTTAATCTTTGGTGTCCCAGCTTCATTTGTAGTTTCCCTGCTTCTGGGTAATAGGCACTTAGTGACGTAGTAATACAAAATACGCATATCTGAGTGGTGCAGTCCACTCCAAACTATTTCGTCATTAAAGAATAAGGCTGTACATGCTATATCAGAAAAAGAGGATGACAATCTATTCATGGAGCAATAGACTCTCATAAAATTATTCTTCTCAAGACAGAAGAACTTCATATAGCCCTCTGCATTCAGCAGATTAAAAGAGCTAGCAGATAAGGTTGACAAGTATGAATCAAAAAAACATTCTAAATACTTGGACAAGCAACTGTAGTCAGAATTATTATTTTTCAAAATATAGCTGCAGTTTCCATGAAAAAAGCAAAATGTCCTATATGCTATATTCAATATCGTTTGATAAAGACCGACACAGCATTTACTCTTCTTATTGTCGTTGATAACTGTCATAACAAAGCAAATGTTATCCTCCACCACTTGGAAAACTTGACAAGTTGTGGTTGTGTATAGGTATTGACATGGTTCGTCTGTAAAGTCTTCTGTAAAGTTGATTACTGCTTCGGACAATCCTACTATTCTGCTTTTGATCATAACATCTTCAGACTTCGGGTGGAAGTATAGAATTTTGTCATCGGTCTAAATGGTAAAATTTTAAATATTTCATTACTATATTTATAGGGTTAAAATCAAACCTTATCCTCGTCCAGAATTAGTTTTCCTCTAAAAATAAAAAAGTTTCCGAGCTTCGGCTCCATTTGTCTTTTTTGTTCAGAGTGATATAGTGGCGAACTTGCCAATTGCAAGCTTCTCCTTTCAATCGAACATAAAGATCCTCCCAAAAATAAAAATCCATCAGATGTCGCTAAAGTATTTGATGACACATTTGATGAGAAACCAACTGAAAATCAACAAATTGTTGTCTATAGTAATTTAAATTTGATTGGTAGAAAATCTAATCCAATATTATCCAGCACATAAGTCTTTTTTACTCTTCGTTTACGAATTTTTACGACACATATAAAATAATAGGAAAAGACTTCTTTATAGGATTCGAAATTTCAAACTTTATTTCAGTTTAGAATTGATAAACGTTGCGCTTAGACTTAAAATTAATGATCTTCCTTTACTTTTAGTATGACGTATTATCATATGTAGGTTTCAACAAAATTTATTTTTTGCTAAAATAAGTTATGAAATACGCTTTATATTTAATTTATAACTTCATAAATAACAAACAATGCATGTTTGTAGCCATTTTGAAAACAATTTTTATAGGTCTATTCCCTTATACATCTAATCACAAAAACATTGAGCAATGTCAAAAGTACCTACATGCGCATGCTCATTAAACGTGCAACTTTAAGAGCAGCCATTGCGTTACAAAAGTTTCACAAACACCTTTCAATTGCTTTATCAAAATTGGTAAAGATTTGTATCTATTTCAACTATTTCCGATAATTGCGAGAGGCGATAATTTCAAAAAAAAAAACAGAAATAGATTATTTTCAGGAAGTATCTACTTTTAAGTGAAATTACTTTTCAAACTATCTGGCACAAACAATGAATTCTCTCACTGTCAGCCAGCCAAAAGTAAACATTAGAGGATTGTTGTGTAACCAAATATTTAATCCCACAAAATTCGTCGCAGTCGTCGAATCAGATCAGGAGATAAAGGTAGTCGACGACAATTGTGTATTAATAAAGGGGCAACGCTTAATGATACACTATCGGCACACGAAAGAAAACGGAGTCTTCATGGAAGAAGAGCCAAACGGAACTGTACATGTATATGAGAATGAAAGAAATAGATATTCTGCTATTAATCGATCAAAACTTCAATTTGTAAATGAATTTGGAAACTGTGTCTTAAGGGTTAGTCGAAAATCAAGAAGATACATTTGTTTGGATCTTCGAAAGAGAATAAATTCCGTTTGGCCTTCTTCTATAGCTGAGTATTTCAAGACTTTTCGTGCCGTTAGTGTTCAGTATCAAGACGTGGAGGGAGTTCTCCATGTAACTCCAGAAGTCACCCCTGAGTGGACCAAAGTTCTAAATGAAATTGAAGTGGAAGACAATTTCTACAAGAGAACTAAAAGTTTACGAACGATTAGCCCATCATATACTTCATCTCCTGATTCTGACTGGTCAGATGTCATTCTTCAGTTGAATTCTACTGAAATCTTACCGACTGTCGACGAATTGAAACGTTCAGTGGAATCGTATCGAAACCAGAGCAAAACTTGTGGTACAAAGAAATCTCTGGACAGTGATACAACTCATGATTACGATCAGACGATTAAAATGACTGTTATTGAAAGAACACGAAAAACCTTTAAAGCTGTTATGGAAACATGTATACAGGAAAGTGATAAAGCTATTTTGCAGAAACAAGTTATTCAAGATCTAAATGAAAATCCTGATGTAATTATGACTGAATTAGAGAGATTAAAAAGAGAAAATGTAGTAAAATTTGAGATTTGCACTTTACTAAACTTTTATATCAATGCCAGCGTCACTGTTTCTGATTCTTGTCATCCTGTAATTACTGAATTGTGCGAATGGGTTATTTTCAGGGTTGTTAAAAAGAGTTTAGGTTGCTTTGAAGCTATAGACTGCTTATCAGAATTAATTGCAAATGAAGGTGCATCTGTATTAAAAAAATATTGTCCAAAGGCTGTGAAAAAATTATTAGCTTTCCTTGAGCAACAAAAGTCAACTTCCTTTAATAGTAAAGCTTGGAATCAAATAATCGACTGTTTTGATTACAATTGCAGCGAGGAATTACCTTTTGCTTCAAACTTGGACGGCAAAAGCGAAACTTTCGGCAGGTAAGCAACTAGCCTAGCAGATATAAGGATTAAAAACTCTCGATTTTCAGTCAAAGAAAGCGAAGGTCCAAAGAACACAAGGTTCTAAAGATTTTAGATCTATTTTTATTTTTAAATTTCATAGTTTCATAGCAAGTAGTGATAAATTATTGTTTTAAAGAGCTCTGAGAAGCAGCTAGGAGAAAAGAATGAAATAGAAATAGTTAAGGCAGAACCGATGAACAGTAAGTCAGACTCTTTGATGAATCAAGTTTAATGTTTATTTGATTGGATTATAGAATGTATAACAGTAATCCAAGCTGATTTTCTTCAGATAATAAGAAAAATGAGATATATTTTGAAAATCAAATTCCCAAACGAATTACTCATTCCGGTAGAATGAGCGTAGCATCTAGAATTGAAAAATCTGCAGAGGTACTTAACATCCAGCGTGGAAGTAATTCTAAACATGAATCAGACGATGAAACGAAAGATTACTGGAAACCAAACCATAGAAAACGTGCTTGTGGTATATGTTACTCAAGAGAACATAAAACCATTGATTGCGAAGATAGGAAGGCTTTTCTTGCTTCATAATTAGTATATTAGTTCTAGTGATCCACAAGATTTTGTTATTATTTAATTTAGATATGTGTAAGTATTAGTATAAGTATGGCATTATTCCAATTTCACCATAAGCTTAAGTGATCTCATAATCTCTTGCTTCCTTTGACTTTTAAAAAATAATAAGGATGTCTTTTCACCTTATTTGCCGTGTTCAAATTTTGATACTTTTATATTGCTAATAACCTGCAGAATATATAATGCTCTATTACTATTAAGTAATCGAATTGTAAGTTACTTTTTTTGAATCTTTTACAAATGTTACTCACATGACCTCTCTTGTGTCAATAAGTAATTGACTGGATGAATTATAATCTAATGATGTGTAATTTCCGAGCCAGAAATTATATTTTGAAAGTTTAGACCTGTTTGATATATGTATTTTACATATATTAAGATTGTATTCATCTTCATTTAGAGTTTATTTGAGATCTGATTTTTTGTTGGCAATATTATTGCGTAACGAATCGTAATTTATTGATGACATATATCATACTGTGTGTCCGAACTGAAATTTAATTTAAAAGACACCTAATGAATTTCCTTCAAAAATTTATTAAAGTATTATTTTTCTTGATACAAGTTTTTGTTATCATGTATTACATAAATATTTCGATTTTAAATAATGTAGAAAGAATTTCTCAAAGTTCAGAATTGATAGTTGTCGACAGTAAACGATTATTTATAAATTTAGCATATTTGTTTATGTTTTTATATGCTATTGGCATCTTTTTGTTAAAACGTTTATTTTTGGTAATAATAAAACATTTTATAGCAACAACGCTTTTTTAACCAAGTCTTTTCTTTCCGTATTCAAAGTTTTAGGAAATTCAATATCGAATTCTAAAATAAGATCTCCTTTCTGCTCTGGATTAGAACTAATAGGCATACCTTCCCTTGGTACAGTTTTGATGTATCCAGGCTTAATGATATCATTTATTGGAATATATAAGGTTCTTTCGTCTAGCGTTAAAATCTCAACAACATGACCTGTCAATGCTCGTCCAAGTGGTACATTTGCTTTATGGATCAGGTTTGAACCCTCCCTTCTAAATCTGTTCAGAATCAAAAATATTAACCATAGCTCTCTAATAAAGCTAAGATTAATTTTTTTTTACCTTGGGTGCGACTTATCTTTCAAAATGAATACAATATCGGCGGGAATCTTGTTTGGTCCCTGGTCGCCTTCTTGAGGAAAAGTTACTCGAGTATTTGGTAACCATCCCTTTTTAACAGTTATCGTCAAAATCTTATCTCTTATTGATGATGTATGTCCATCATCGTTCATGACTTTCCTAGAAATTTTCATTTTCTTTGTGCAGCCATGGAAGACTTCTTCTAGGGACAGTGCTAGATCTCTCTCGATTGGATTATCCTGTTTCTTAGCTCCACGTCCATGAAGCCCTCCAAAACTCCAGTGAAGATCTCCATCTAATCTATCATAGTACTCTAAGAAAACAACAAGCCATTATTTTTGAGAAAATTTGGAATACTAATAGGAACTTAAATCATTGGCAGGAGGTTTTGATAAGGGACACTTTTTTAATTCAAACTATATAATGAATACATATAGCTAATAGAAATTACTATATTAGCAAAGGAATACAAATTTGGAGAAGGGGCGACGGAAAATATTATTTTATTTTTCTTGTAGGACAAACACTCACTATATTCTGCGTTTTAGTGTTTTGCATAAAGTTAAATAATTATAAGACTTGATTGAAAAAGATTTTCAGTGGCTCATGTTTCATTTGAAATTTTTGGTAAACTATTTGAAGTACTACCTTGAAATGGATTATCTCCTCCAAAAAATTCTCGAAATACTTTGTGACCATCACCATGGAAAGAATAGCCACATGTCCAAGCACCTCCTTCACCTTGGTTATCTGGAACCCCGCTTTTCAAACCTTCTTCACCAAACTGATCGTATACTGCCTTTTTTCTTGCTTTATTTGTTAATTAATTCTTTTAAATGTTTCTTATTTTTATTAAATAAAATTCTTAACTCACGATCACTTAAAACATCATATGCTTCTGCTATCAATCGAAATTTTTCTACCGCTTCTTGACTGTCAGCGTTCTTTAGTGGATGATATCTCTGGGCTTCTTTCTTATAAGCTTTTTTAATATCGGCGTCTGATGCACTTCTTGTCAGCTTAAGAATGCTATAATAATCCTGACCCATCTTGATTAACAAAGTGTTTTGCCTAGCTGTTATGGTTTGATGTAACCTTGACGACAATCACTAGAACAACGCAGCTGATTGGTTGAAAAATACTGCCACACATTTAGTCTTTCAAATTTACTCGTTCGATGACTTTACCTAAAAAGTTTCATAATAAAATTAATTTTAGTCTAGGATTTATTTGTTTAAACTATTAGCTAAAATCAAATATAGGCTTATGGAATGACAAACTGAAACTAGTGCCATCTGAATATGAAATTCAAAAAAGCTCAACAACTAAGATGGCGATTAGAGAGGGGCCGCTGAGTAAATGGACTAATGTAATGAAAGGATGGCAATACAGGTGGTTTGTATTGGAAAATGAAACTGGATTGCTTAGCTATTACACTGTGAGTTGAAGTGGGGTTTTCCTAATTTTTTTTCTTCTCGGTAACGTAGATTTCTCTCATTAAATGCTCGCTGACGTGTTAGTCATCAGTATTCTTCGGTTGATTCTTTATTTTCGTAATTAAATTTACTAGTAAAATTACTCAAACAAATGACTGAAATTCATGCATAATTGAAAATAATTAATGTACCACATCACTGTAACCAAGGAATTATGTGTCAACTTTCTACAGACAAAGGAAAAACGAATAAAAGGGACCAAGCGTGGAAGTATTCGCCTCAAGGTAAAACTATATTACTTGTATAGCTGTAAACAATTTACACAGACTTTGATTAGTGCGTAATTAAATTTCAAAATAAATTATTATTTTTCTAGTCTGCGCTAATAGGCGTTGATGATGAAGATGATTGCACTTTTACGATAACAGTTGAAAGCAAAACATATCACTTTCAGAGTAGGTTTAAATTATTGATTAAGATAATAATTAAGTTTAAAGTAAAATCTTAACAGCAAGGGATTCGAAAGAGAAAGATAATTGGATAGCAGATCTCCAAATTTGTATCGATAGTCAAACATTACTAACAATGAAAGTAAGTTGAAAATATCTGATTGAGAGTTTACTTGTGCAGAATATTTATTTCTATCATTCTTTCCGTATTTTTTCATGTTTTTCATTTGTCCTATATTTATAGTTAAGTAAAAACATGAATGAAATTTCATAATATTTGTTCTTTATGGCATTTATTGATGTTTTATTTTTGATATATAAAGTAATTTGAGGTAAATTGAAAAGATATTTTGTTATATTATTCTTATTTTTATTTTATTTTCTACAAAAAAAAAGAACAGCTTGCGAATGTTTTTTCTTTTTTTATTTTTATTTTTTCATCGTACCTCCATAATTGTAATTCGATATTCTGTATTATTTAAAGTGGAATTGTTGGCCAGTTCGTAGAGAATTTTTCAAAAGAAATGCACTGTTGTTTATTCAGTAATAATAGTAATAATATTAGTAATATATTTTTTCCTTTAGAATAGGGAAAACTATTCAAAATCATTGGAAAATTTCGACAAAAAACTATTAGAAAGTGATGGATATTTACAATTATTGATCTCGGGTGTTCAGGTGTGTCTACTTTACGTTTCATTAAGTAGGCAGGTCTAACTAACGCTTTATCAAAAAAAAAAAAATCAGGGATTAGAAGAACGCATAGAACTGTGCGCTGATGACGAGAGCGCAAATAAATTGAGAGAAATTCGAGATGCAAGCCAAAACTTGATTGAAACAGTAAAACATAGTATTGTTTTATTACAAATGGCAAAGGTATGTACAATATATCAACAATATACTATTTTTAATAAACATGTTGAAGGTTATTAAATCCATATATAATATTTTTATTTTAATGTCTTCATAAAAAAATAGCAAAACATTATTGGTCTGCAAGAAGCAGGAGTATTAGAGTTCAGCCAACAGTGTCAAGTAACTGCTAATGTTAATGGTAATAACGGTAAGTTAATTAAAATTATCATATAAAGACATAGCTCAAAATATGTAATAATTGCAATTGGACGATATTAAAATTAAAACGAAATAATATACTCTTATCCTATTTAATGGTGATTTATCGGGGGAAATCGAATGAATTAGTTCATAAAAATGCTGAAAAGAAATCTAAGTCAAAGAAGAAAGGTATTTTATGAAGTCAGAAATCACTTATTGTAATTAATATCTATTTTATCCTATAATCTAGGGTACTTATTGAAAAGTTTTTTACCTTTTTGTAAGCTTTTAGTAATGCTTTTTAGAATCTTTTTAGAAAATTTTTAAATCCATTATCATCGTGGACTGCCCTAATTATAGTATATTTTATGTTTTTTCATAAAATACAGGTAGTAAAAATAGTCCAACTATGCCTAAACGTGTAGCGAATAAAACTCCTGAATTTAGTTCGGAAAGTGAGGATGACTTTTTTGATGCTGATGATGGAATTGCAAATGCTAATGTAAAAGAAGATAAAAAAACTGCGAAAACAGAAGCTGAAATCAATGGGTTAGTGTATTTCTTGCTAAAAAACTGTTTAATAAAATTGCCTAATTATTATATAATTTATCTCTTATAGTGTGGATCACACTGTCACTGATCTGACGAGATTTGATGGTAAATATTTTGAAAATAAAAATATCTATTAAATATAATTTCATGTTGATTATATGTTTGTATAATTTTCAGATTACTATGATATTAATAATGAAGAAGACTGTGAGTTGTATAATACAATTGTATTTTATATATTTGTATACTATGGAAAATAAATATAATTAATTGCAGTGGGGAGTGTTGAGCAGCAGCATGGAAGTCTAATCCGGCATCTTCTTTCTCAAGTACGGATAGGGATGGATCTGACAAAAATAACTCTTCCAACGTTTATTTTAGAAAGACGGTCACTCTTAGAAATGTTTGCTGATTTTCTGGCTCATCCTGATTTATGGTGTGCTATCGCTGATGGGGAGACTCCCGAGGACAGAATGGTTGCATGTCTTCGATGGTACTTGTCAGCATTTCATGCTGGAAGAAATGCATCAATTGCTAAAAAGCCATACAATCCAATACTAGGTGAAATTTTTCAATGCCACTATGATATGGAAAGGTTTTTTCCAAATAGCGGTGAAAAGGAAGTTAAAGATGGTCCGGTAGCCTGGGCTAAAGAGAGAGATGTTTCCATCGTAGCTGAACAAGTCTCTCATCACCCGCCCATCTCAGCCTTCTATGCAGAGAATGTATCCAAGAGACTTTCATTAAATGCCCATATCTGGACGAAATCCAAATTTTTAGGTTTATCTATAGGAGTATCTATGGTTGGAAAAGCCGTTTTATCAGTTTTAGATCATAACGAGGAATATACTATTTCTTTTCCTTCTTGCTACGGACGAGCAATCTTAACTACGCCTTGGATGGAATTAGGTGGAAAAACTCAAATAACTTGTAATACAGGTTATACTGCAAACATAGATTTTCACTCTAAACCGTTCTATGGAGGCAAGAAGCATACTATTACGGCTGATATCATGCCACCTGGAGGTCAACCGAAAAGTAAGCCGCTTCTAAGTGTTCAAGGGGAATGGAATGGTGTTATGCAAGCAACTTGGTTGGCCACTAATAAAACTGAATTATTTCTTGATACACAAAAAATGAATGTTCATCCTAAAAGTATTAGACCAATTGCAGATCAAGATGTTCACGAATCAAGACAAATGTGGAAATACGTAACATATTATCTGGCAAAAAAGGATGTTTTACATGCTACCGAGCATAAATCGAAATTGGAGCAAAAACAAAGAGAAGAAGCTAAAGCTAGAAAAGAAACAGGTGCAGAATGGAAGCAGAGAGTCTTTGACTGTATTGGCGATGATTATTTTTATAAAACTCCTTTGAAGGATAGAATTGAAATTCATCATTCCAATAATTAGAAAATATTGACAATAACACTTGCTATTATAATGCTAAAATAATATAAAGAACTATAATACGTCGTTATAGTTATGTTAATGATAATTAAAGCAATGTTTATACAATTTCTGTTTTTGCATTTATACATATATTAAAGAAAATGGAAGCAAGAAAACGGGAAAAGGTGCTTGAAAGTAAATATCAAAAAAAATTAACTTTTTTCGAAATAGTTGAAAATGTCTAAAATATAAATTTTTTCAAAAGTCGCTTCTCAATCACAATCCTTATCGTTATCTTAAAATATATTCAATTGGGTATTTTTTAAACGGTTTCCTCCCTCATGTTTTAAAAACAAAAGTAAATTTTTTTCATAACAAAATCAAGATAAATCAAATTTATGAAGTATAAAATCATGAGACTCGTGTCATATTTTTAGTAAAAAGCAGTATAAAATCGAAATAAAAATTTATAAAAATTAAGTAATTGTAAACCAATTGTTTCCTTAAGTATTGGTGGTCTTTTTTAACTTTAGCTATAAAAATTTTGTGTCCTGAGAAGAGTTCCTTAAACTTTGATATTGAAAGATATTAGAAAATGTCTTAAAACATTTAGAAGGCTAGTTTCTTCTAGTACTAAAAAAACTACTTCTTGTTTTTCCTTTTCAATCGTCTCTTAGTCCCCATTCAGAAACCTTACGATGAGCTGCTACCATGACAACCATTGAGGAACCGTTTGATATGAATGATCGCATGACCCCTGGAAGCAAACCTCTATAAAGTCCAAAAAATCCTCCTCTTGAAGAAAATGTTTCTTTTAACCGTTTCCAGCTCGATTGACGCTTGCCATAATCTCCTTGGACTTGAGCTTTCATGTATTCTATTGGCCATACCAAAAGCCATGCCATACTAGCTGCTATGCCAGAGGTCAAAAACGGCCCTAGCATTGGTCGGCTGAAGTGCTCTGGAAAGTGTCGTCGACCCGAATCGACGAGAATAAAGTAAGTTGTCATAAGACCGAGAGTTCGGGTCCACGTGACCGAAAAACCCTACATAAAAAATTGTTTTTTAGAAAATTATATGATTTCATTTATAAATTATATAATTTCTCTTGAAAACTACTTACGGTATAAATATTTCGCAATTTCCAACCTTGCTGTGTTTGTCCCCTTATCTAAATAATAGATTCATTTTAATGATAATAAAATAATGAAGCCCATGGTTCTCACCTTTACGTACTCCAAAGGCGTTTCAATTATTGCACGCGCTGTAGATCCCAGTAAACCAGCCAAGACTACTCTTCTGTCAAAATATTACATCCTTAGGTTAATAATAGCTTGAATTAAATTATGATTTTCTTACGTTTGCAATCCAAAAGAACCTGGAATTTCTTTTCTAAACACTGGGTTATCCATATAAGTATACCTGTAGTGACCCAATATTTTTTAATTTTAGACTAAATTTTACATTTATACTAACGCAGCTTCAAAAACGGCAAACTGGGAAGATCTGTATAAGCCTGATCCCCAAAGCGGAGGTATACATCCTCTAAAATAAGATAGAATTGTTTAAAGGGATTTATAATTATTATGACTACCTGTATAAACCTCGAATGCCTTGATTTTTTAGGGTTTTGAGTAAAGTTTCGAACATTCCTCGTTTTTCGAACCCTTTTTGAGCTTGCATTTTGGTTTTTATTGTATCTAATGGATGACCAACGGCAACGCTAGTTGTTCCGTATAATATTCCGACTGATGGAAAAGGAAAATTCTTGATAGTTATAAAATCAAATTAAAGTTTGTTCATATTTTTACCTCCTAATCCGATTGCCCCTTCTTTGAGCCAATGTCCTCTCTTTTCATTATGAGTCATTTTAATGCAGTTTTAAAGAAAATAGCAAATATATAAGTTAATTTGTTTGCGAAGTGTCAAAAATTTCGAAAGTGTATATTATCGCTCCGATTAAAGTGGAAAAGGAATATATTTTTAAATATGTACAAAACAAACTGGGTTTTGTAATAGTTTAAAGATTCTTTTTAGTTTTATAGTTTTATTTCTTTTCGTTGAAAAAAATATCTCTGCTTCAGTTTTATGGTGATCACTGAATCTGATAAGCTCCAAGATCTTAATAGAATAACAACTCTAATGCCATCTGGCGGATAAGTTAGTCAACAAAATGGCCGCCATCATAAACAATAATAGACAGTAAAACTTGGATTAACGTCATGATTACTGCTTCTATAGAAGTAGTAGAACAATGATCACAATATCATAGTTTTAACGTATCGAGAAAACATATTTTTATTGGCGGAAAAAGGCCACATTCGAACATAGTCGAAATCTTAATATCAGTCTGTCTTCTGTTCTGTTCGATGAGAAGCCTTATAAATTAGAATACTTTTTAACCCTTCCAGGTAAAGCATTTATTTTTAAGCCAATTTTTAAGATAACACTTTAAAAATAATATGCACTTCTTCAAAGGATTGTAGTTATGAAAAATGAGCGAAAAAACTCCTGGACATAGTAAAGCAACTCCGATTAAACCTTCGGACTTAAAAAGGCACGTCATTTTCCTCGACGTGCAAGGATATTCGAATTCTTCCAATTTAGAAAAGTATCTAACGCAACTTGGTGCCAAAATCGACAAATTTTTGTCAAAAGATGTCACATGCGTCGTTACAAATCGCAAGGAAACGAAATCTGATACTAGCCTCGCCGGCGAAGATGGAATTTACATGTCAAGATCGCAAATTATGCTCAACAAATCGAAAGAAGTGAATAAAAACGCTAAATCAATGAATCCTGTCGAACGAGCTAAAAAACTAGGAATTCGAATATGTAAATTATCAGAAATTTTGAAGTTGATAAATTCTACTGGTTTAAACAAACGTTCGTCGTCTTCGGAATCTGTTCGCTTTCAACACCTAACCGATTGCTTCATAAAAATCGATGATAGCAACAGCGGATTAAAGCCTGTGTACCAAAAATTGTCTAGTATGCCGACGGTAGAGTTAACACGTTCCGGATCTCCATTCTTAACAACGGAAGATGAAAAGGAGGAGAAAGGAAGTGATAAAAAATCGGAAGTATCGAAAGAAACTAAGACGTTATCAAAAGATAGTATTTCGGCCGCTTCTACTAAATCTAAACCAACAAAAAAAGAGAGAAAAGCCTCTAAGAAGAAGGAGAACACTTATTGCGAATGTTGTAACACTGTATTTACTAATTTAGAGGAGCATTTAAAATCCAATGTTCACAAGGCCTACTTAAATTCGAAATCAAATTTCACTAATTTGGAAGAGACGCTCCGGGAGATACCGACTGTGGATAGACTTGTTGAAGAATCTCAGAATAAGCGCGTCAAAACAAAAGGTGCTATGAAATTTATGCAAAATCCTCAAATTCTAGCCGAGCTAAACGACGTCAGTGAGAAACCGGAGGAGAAACAGTCGAAAAGAAATAGTATTGTCGTGACGGAAAAGAATGGAGAATTATTTAGCTCTGAGATACGTGCTACCGTTATAAAATGCTCACCCGCTAAAGAGGGGAAATCTCCGACTCGTGCATTTAAGGAGCATGATAAGCGTTCATCGTCTTGTGAATCCAGAAAGCAGAAGGAAAGGAAACATCAAAAATCTGATTTGAACTCATCTAGGCAAAAAGAGAAAAGAGAAGATAATAAGGTTAAAGAACGAAAGAAATCCGAGAGATCACAAGGTGGAAAGGAAAAATCTAGTCAGGAAAGTGAAACTGATAGAAAAAGTAATCAAAAGGCTCAAAACGTTCTTCGTCGGGTAATAGATGACGACTCACTAATTTCTGCCATTTTAAACGAGAAGGCTTCTGAAAATTGTTCTATATGGCGTAGACCAACTACCAAGGTCAATTACAAATCGCCTGATAATTTTGATTGGCCGGATAAGGCAGAGAAGAAGCCTAAGAAAAGTCCTGCGAATGATTCCAAATCTAAGAAGAGGAGTAAGAGCTCAAAGGATACTGATAAGAAAGACAAAATTCAGCGTTCAACTCCACCTTTCGACAAAACTGCAGATAATTCAAAGTCTTCATCAAAGTCTGGCGGATCTAAGAAAGGCAAAATAGGCACCGATAATGATGATGAAGTAATTAGTTTTAAAAAGAAATCGAAATCAAAATTGGATACGTCGTCAGAGGTCGAAAAAAGTCCGAAAAAGAAGCCCAAGCCAAAAAGAATTCGAATAACTTCTAGTAGCAGTAGTTCCGAGGCAGAAAATAATGAAGAAGAAAAAGTTCCGGAGAAAACTGCTGAAATAAAAATCCCTTTCTGTTGGGATGATTTCAACTCCAGTGAAAGCGATGATTCAGACTCAGATTGGTCAGAAGCTGAGAAAAAGAAATCTAAAGCTAAGAAAAAATCAAAACGTCATCCCCCAGCATCAAAGAAAGATAAAACTGCTCTTATTTCATCACCGCGGAGTAAAAGAGATAATAGTGAGGCTGATGCTTTCCTTCGCCGTAAGGAACTAATGGCTAATCAACCAAAAAAGAAGTCCAAGGGGAAAAATTTAGCTAATTATGAAAAGTATGTTAAGAAAGTAGAAGAAGAGGAAAAGAATTCAAAGAAGAAAAAAGAACCTGCAAAAACGGAAGTTTCTCTTCCAACTCCCATGAAAAATTGTAGCTTACAGTTTGACTCTTCTGACGATGAAACACCAAAAATCGACATGAATACTCTATTAAACTTCGATAAAGATTCATCTCCATCAAATTCACCTGACTTTTTAGATCAATCTCCCCTTATACCTGATGATGCCTATTTAAATGATGTCTTGAATCATCTGGGTTCAATTGAAGATAATAATGAAACACCTTCAGAGACACCTATAAGCAGTGTTCCTCCAGCAACGCCATCGTCACAAAGGGTTCCCCAGCAGACTCCAAATTACGTACCGTCTACTCCAGCCGAGTGCGATCAGCCTATGTCTGTCGAGACCTTTTGTGCTCCATCTGTCTACGCATCCCAGACTCCTGATTATGCGGCAACACCTTATTCCGTGCCACCTGGCTCAGTCGCCCAGCCTCCATCGATCCCAATGCAAGATCCAATGACTCCTTGCCCTATTGTCACCAAAAGTCATGTGACAAATGCCGACTTTGAGGAGACACTAGAAATGATTGATGACTTTCAGAGAAAGGAAAATGTCACTGCTTTAACAGTTGAACAGCAAGAGATTTTGAATTCATCTTTGAATTTTTTGAATGAGCCTTTAGATGGGGCAGGTCAAATAGCTAACAATGAACAAGAGTTTCATGATCTGGAATTGGTTCTTGAGGGCCTATCTCATAGTAACGCTCCCCCAACAACTTCTTTAAGGGAAGAGTCTATCGAAAAAATACTATGTTTAAATGAACAGAAAAAAGAAGTTGTTGAAGAACCAAAACAAACATCTGAAACTTTACATTCTGAATCAACTGATATTTCTGACGACGAGCACGAGTTCAATTTGGCTAGCGAACATAATCGTCGCTCGTCGCAACTTGCTAGTCCATCTTCATCTTCCATTGACGAACTGAAACAAGATGTAGAGGTAACAGAGAAAACAGAAGTAAATGAATTAAAAGAAGTATCTGAATTAAAGGAAGTAAATGAGTTAAAGGAATTAAATGAAATTAGGAAAGATAGGGAATTCAAGGACGTTAGTGATATAAAAGAGACAGAGAAAGCGGAAGAAACACCTGTGAAATTTGAACAAAGTGAAAAAGAACAATCAAATGCACCCGTTATTGATTTGGCAAAAGTTGCTGAGGAAGTCGGAATCAGTGAATCAATTGATGAAGGACATGCTGAAGCTCAAAGGCCCATTGAAACGCCATCATCTGCCTTTCCCATGCAAGAAGTTTTGAACATGGCTCCAATTCATCAACAATCTGCTTTTGAACCTCCACCACCTCATCCTCCAGTTCAGTTTTTTCCAATGCAACCTGGATCTAACTTACATCCATTACCTCAGAACTTTTTGGCAAATCAATCACTTATACAGCCGAATTTTAATTACAAGCTGAATTTAATATCAAAACCAACTGATTTGGTTAATCAGATTCAGCGACCTCCGCCGACAGTTACTACTGCTTCAATTCCTACTTCTGCTGTAACGCCCCTTAGTGAACAATTACCTGTTGCCCATTCATTATCTCATCATAGTCATCCCCTACCGCACTACGATCTTCGACCCACTTTGCCTTTAAAGCAAGCACCCTTCGACTCAATGAAGATGGATTTAAACGCTCATATGATGCAGCAATCTACAGTCGTCCAGAATCTTATGAGACAACAAAGTGTTACGCCACAGCCACCAAAAAAGGCCGCTGCAGCTGTAGAGAAGAAGCGATTAGCGGCCGAGAAACTGAAAAACGCAGAAGATAACTCTGGGGACAGCAGCAAGTATTCAACTATAGACGAAGGAATTTGTCAGCAGTTAGACTTAGGTGTTTTTGGCAACGAAAGTATAAACATCCAAAAAGAACCAGAGAGACCCATAAGTCCTATGAAATTACCTATGGAATCTCCAAAATCAAGAACTCCCCTTGCAGGTCCCATCTACTCGCCAGTCACTCCTGCCGAACCTTCCCCGAAACCTCTCCCTAAATCCTCCACTGATTCTCCTGCAAACAAATCAGACGAAAAGTTAGAAACACAAATCGAAACACAGAAGAATATTATACAAGAAACAACCAAAGAAAGGGAAATATCCTCTCCACCTCCCCGTCCACCCTCCCCTCCCCCTCCCGAGCCCTCTATCCCCAAGACCCTCTCAGTCCCCATTGCAGTTCCTAAAACCATACCCTCAGTAGATCCATCACCTTCACAGAATGTTCCTTCAGTAGCTACCTCGACAGTTGTTGCTGAAATTGAGCATAAATTAGACGTAACAAACCCTTCGAAGAAAGGTGGTTTAGATAGCATTATATCTAAAATTGAAGCCACAAATGTGAAACGTAAAGAAACACCATCAACTCCAAAAGCTGAGTCAAAAATTATCGCCGATAATAACCTACCGTCTAGTCACAAGCGAAAGGCATCCACACCTCAACGCCGAAAGAGCTGTCACGAAACGCTCTCAGGAAGCCAATTTACATTTCCTAAATACTTTATTCCTCCTTCGCCAGAGCCACCGCCCAAGCCATCCGCTTCAAGCGAAATATGTAAGCCCTTAAAGAAACGGCATTTACAATTGGCTGAATATTTTGAACAAACGGAAACGAAGGAAGATACAGTTGAAAAAGAAAAACCACAAGTGAAAATTGAAAGGCGTCAAACGCGATCATCTACGAGATTGCAAACGGAAGCCGTTAAAGAAAAAGAGAAGTCGAAGCCGAAAGTTTCTGAAAAGCCTACATGTAGTAAAAAGAAGGAAAAAGAAGAGAGGCCAAAGCCTCAGTCTGTTAAAAAAATTCCTCCCAACCTCACTGAATCGTCAAACGATGATGTTCTAGTCAAGGTTACGGTAGCGTCAGCAAATAAACTTAAGATAAAGCGGTTTGTGAAGAAACCGAAAAACTCTCTTTCAACCAATGAATCCTCCTCACCGACCAAGCCTAATAAGGCGGAACAAAAGGAGGATATTTACGATTTTGATAAGCAATCCGACGTTATCGAAACAATTGCTGTAAAAGGTCAGCAGACTCCGCAGCCGAATCCGCTACCAATTCCACAATTGAATCCCCAGACGCTTGTCATGCCTAAACTTAAAATAAAACGTATTAACTCTGATACGCCTGAAGGTAGTACGGATGATTATGAAATTGAGAAAAATGATGGTGAAGTTTCAGAAAAAGTAGAAAAGATGGCTGGTAAAAGAAAACGCCATAAAGAACATAAAAAGAAGAAAAAACGTCGAAAGTCAGCGGAATCACAGTCTATTTTAGAAACAACTGAGGGTATTAAATTGACTATTAAAACTGTAAAGCCGCCAAATGACTTAAAAGAACCTACGGTGGAAAATAACGCCGGAAGTGGTATAAAATTAAAAATTAAGCTGCCAAAAAACGGGGAACATTCGGGGAGTGAGGGGGTAGAACGAAGATCGAAAAAACATCGTAAACGAAGGCCCTTCGAAGATGACGACGACCAAACGTCCATCGAGAAGAAGCATAAATTAGATTATATCCGCTCTATACTTTGACAAGAAAAATAGGAAAAAAGACGCCGACAGAGTACTAACACAGTATTTTTTTAGAAGATGGGAAAAGAAGAATAGTTTTGTATTCGAGATCCTGGTGAGGAATAAGGGGAAAATAGTCGCTCCTTTTTCCTTTTATTTTATTTTTCTTCTGTGTGTACGTCTGACCGTTTACAGTCGCTTTAGCTGCTATTTTCGTTCATTAGTTATTGTTATTCTAAAAAGAGGAATAAATTCTTCGTATAGAGATGTAAATAAACGTAAAAAGTTCCATATGCTGAAAACAAACAAATACATCAATATTTAATAAATACAAATTTTATGAAAGAAACTTTCTCATTCTGACTATTAGTCGAAAATTATCGATCTGTCTAAAGCCTCTGAAATTGTTAATTTACAGATAAATATCGGGTTACAGGGAAAAAGGAAAAGAATTTACCTTGTTTCCCAGTCTAGTGTTTCATTTCTACAAAGCTAAGTATGTTTAAGAACATTTAAAGAATTAATACTAGTGTATAAACACCATGCGCATGTTAGCTTTCTCCCTTTGGTTTAGTCATATTAAAGAAGCCCGAAGAAAATTTCTCTGATCTTGCAGTACAAAGAATATTGCGATTGAAGAAGAAAGAGAGAAAGAATACAATTACTTAAAAAATGACCGCAATAGAGAGAGCATCGAATAAGACAACTAATAGTTTGCCTGTTAAGCCTATAAATATAAATTGAGTTTTATTCTTTACAAACTTAGGCATATATTCGTTAATGAAATAAAAAAAATAACTCAATTCATGTTATACCTTCGTTAAAGGAAAGCTCAAGATCATGAATAAAATAGATCATTGTTTGTTTTATAATTATCTTAAAGAGTTATTCGATCATGTAAAAACAGCATCTAATTCTCTCGCTATAGCTTCTTTGGGTTGACTTTGATTACTACAGCAAAATCCGAATGATCCGCTTCAATTTCAATACAAAAAAAAATTTTTTTTCTCTCTTTCGAAGAGAGAATGATAAAGGAATAAAATGGGTTAAATTTAGTATTACGCTTTTAAATAAATCCATTTTGATGATTTGGTTATGTCAACAACAACACATATTTAATTTCCATGTTCAGTTTCCATTCATCTAATATATATATATATATATATACTGTATATAAAGTGTATATATACAGTATATGTTTTTATAAATTTATTAGTAAAGATAAAAGAAATGGAGAGAAAGACTGTAAATAATTTCTTAAAGATTTCTTATATTGCTTATAATGGTTTTAAGAAATTAAATTCTTCAGTTTCCTTTTACTAAAATGGATATTAAATCTCTCTGGAACTAGTTGGACAGATATTTAATTCGGTATATTTGAAATTGTTTTCGTGGGAGAGACGTTGCTTAATTTTTCTTGTGTCCCTAGAAAGATTCAAGGTGGATTAAGGGTCATTTTGTGTTGCCAGTCGCTATGCTGTTCGAATTTTTTGCCAGCTAATTATAGGCTGTCTTGCGATGTTATTTTTTTTATAAGCGCAAAATCTAGGAGGCGCTTTATAATTAAAAAAAATGAATCAATAGCATATTCTATTTTTACATGTTTTTAACCAACTTATTTATCTTATGTGAAACATAAAAAAAATTAAAGTATATCATAAAATGTATATGTTATTTAAAAATAGTTAGTTAGTTGTACAGAACAAGAAAGGCTAAAAGAGATAGATAGATGGATAGATAGATAGATAGATAGATAGATAGATAGAGAGGGAGAGAACATCAGTAAAGCGAGGATTTGGAATATAATGAGGCTCATTATAGCTATTTTAATCGTCATTGCTTTCTCAAAAAGTTTGTCTCATTTATCTCATTTGTCATGTAATTAAGTCCTTAAATATTACAAATAATAGTCCTGATGATCATAACAGTGAGAATAATTGTGTATTTTTTGAAAACCTTCGGGATCCCACAGTGATTCGTTAGCGATTTCTATTTATATACGTATTTATCGTGTAGTATACTAGTAGATTAAAAACTGTATTCATCACAAACGCAGCATGCACGCTAACTTCAAAATTTTATTAAATTTTCTAGATAATGACATGACTAGTCTGCTCGTCCTATAAAAAAAACACTGAAGGTCAAAGCTCTAAAAACCTCTAATTTCCTAACATAACAAATATTATTAGAGTATGCCTATAGTATAGATCTATTATTTTTTATATATTAAAAAAGATTCATATAATTTGTCGGTTCCAGCGATGTAGCCTCGTATTGAGACGAACTTAATTAATAATTCATTGTGATCTTAAAAGTTGGAAAAAAGGGCAACGGATAATAATATATCAGTAGTGCCATCTATTTTTTAATAGAATAATTATAAATGCGCATTAATCCTTATAATAAGTCATACGTTTGTTTACCAACTATACTACTGTTCGAGAAGATTTAAAATGAATAAAATATAAATGATTGAACAATATCTATAAAAGATGTACGCAAATTTGAAAAAGTATTAAAGGGAAAATTGATTTGTCTATATCTTTTTCGAATTTAAAAACAATAGCCCAAAAAAAGGATTAAAAAAAATAGAGAGAGAGAAAACGAGAGCGATTTTAAGTGGATAACGATATTTCTATTTATATTTGGCTTATAGTTCTAAAATACAGTTAAAAGATTATATATTATGGAAAATCAACAAGTGTTAGTTTTAAAGGAAGGGCATTTAGAAAATGTAGATAATTATTTTATGAGATTATGTATAATTAGAAATAAAATAGCATTTGAGATGCTAAACGCAAGAAAGAACTTTAAATTAGCAACCTCTTCAAAATTATCTATTGAAATTTATGAAATGGATAGCTATATTAGTCATTTAAGGTGGCTACTGCTAATAGATTATATACAACCTAGTCTTGATTTCTATGTTCTTAATGGTTCGAATAGAGAGTTTGTAAAGATATTACAATCTTATAAAGTAAAGTTAGAAGATAGAAAGAATTTATGGGGTACATTTAATTCTCCATTTACTGAGGTTTCGCTAAAATTTTTCAACACTTTAGGCTATGTGTTTCTTTTTTTCTATTATAATAAATCTTTTCTTCACCTTACATAGACATTTGAAGCTGAGCGTACTCTTATTGATTATGGCCTATTAAATAATCATATAAATCATTGTAAGAAAAACAATTATTTATCTAAAGTCGATAAACCATCAAATGATTCTATTAAAATGGACATTAATAAAATACTATTAGATCAAGTTTATAATTCAGAGGAAAACGGGCGATTTGATCAATTTATCAATCTTCAAGATGTTATAACTGGTAATCCAATGCTTGTTGATATATTTGATGAAAATATCTTACAAAATATTTATATATGGAAATGGGTTATTACTATTTTATGAAATTAATTAATAAGATTTTTCTAATTAATATTCATAACATTTTTATAGAAAATTTTCTTTCCTAAAAATGCTAAGATAATGGATAGAAATGACCCAGCTAATCTTATTGATGCTTCTGATTATATACCTTTAGAATTTTCACAAAATATTAACTCTAAAGGATTGTTTAGCCATTTTAGAGGAAAAGTAATGTTTATAAATATATTATTTATTAGATAAGGAAATATTACTTTCGAAATATTTCGCTTCTTATTGAAAAAAAGCCTTTTATAATTTTATCAGTATAATTCTTTTCTTATCAAACCAGACCTTAGAAAGGAAAATGAATTTATCTTTATTTTCTTTGTGATCAAAACATTTCTTTTTTTTTTCTTTTTCGATTTTTACAGTATAAATATCCGAGGCGATTCGAGAAGAATCAATACGAATTTGGAGAATGATTCATGATCGATGGATTCTACTAGTTTTCTTCCTGATTACAAAGGGAACTATTAATTGTAAACCAGTTTTTTATTATACACTTTTTTCTACTATATTATACAAGAAAACTTTATGATTGCTTTATTAACTACTTCCCCGTCTTCTCATTGTCATCATTATCATTATCATTTTATGCTTACTCCTTTTTTTAATCTCTATTGGAGACTAGAGCAATTTTTTGTTTATTTATAAAATATAAGCTTAAAAGTAGAATTAAAGACAATGGAAAACTAATTAAGAGCCAATGTTCAATACTGTTGTAATTGTCATTCACTTGGTTTGATAATCAAATTTTACTGAATTCAACTAATTTTTAGGTTTTATTGTCAATGAATAAATGATCGTAAATTTTCTCCCTAGAGAAATATGTTAGCTGATTGACTGTATTCATACTATTTATTCATACTTTCGTAAGAGAGGCTGTCACTTCGACTTCGAGCTATTTTTTGTCTAATTACTCTTTTAACAGTAGTAAGAGTAGCTATAGATGGTAATCGCCTTTCTTGAGTCACGTTCATTAATGGCTTCCTTATCATTCGAACTATTATCTCTGTTGCTTCTTTGACTGACGAATAACTCTCCGATACAGAAAGCTCTCTAAAGAGGCAATTTATACTTTCCGAAAGTTTTTTGCCGTCCAACATTGAAACTTTTCTCAAATGATTCAAATCTAGTTTGTTTCCAATTAGTAGGATATTATCAGTGGGCTTTGTCCCCTTTATTCTCGTAATTATCTCTTGTGCCTCTTTTATACTACCGTCATCAGTTATACAATAGATGATTATAAATCCATCTATTTCTTCCAGATTGATATTATCCCATTGAATCTGAAAAATAAATCATGGGACTAAAGTAAATGCAATCATGTATTTATAAATATTTATTGTAGGAAGTGTGTACTTACATCGCTACAAGTATCAATCAATTCAAGGTTAACTTCATCTTTATCAATATTCATTTTACAATTATGAACTTTGTCTTTTGGGATAAATTGAAAAAGTCATTAATCTTATCGTGTACGGTATTGTTCTAAGAATCCTCACTGACCTGGATTTGATACTATGTATTCTCCTATAAATCGTTTTGTTAAAAATCTTACTGTAAACGCTAAAATAAGTGCATTTTCAATTAATAATATTCATATTAGCTGAAAATATACTTGCCAGATTTTCCCACTTTTTTATCTCCAAATATTCCAATCTTTATCTTGGAAAGTTTATTCTTTTGAATTAGAGACATTAAGCAAACGAATTTTTAGGAAATACAGAAGAGATTCTGCTCTCTCAGTCGTTTAAATACTTGTAGTTATATCTTTCAGATAAAATTTATAGTACTCTACCAAGTAATAAGACTTTTTTTATCGTAAAAAAAACAGAGAAGACTTAGGATTCTCTTTTTTATTTTTATAAAGTAAAATGAAGGAAATCTTTAAATATCTCTTTTTTCTTTTATTATTCAAGCTTTCAATAATAGAAAAGTAGAAAAATAATAAAAACTATGGCTTTGATAAAAAAAGTAAAACAGATTTTGGACGTTTTGTTACATAATGTTTCCGGGCAATAACAAACTTCGGTGTTATTAGTCTGAGTGCAATGTCCTTTGAGCAATGTATAATTGGTTGGTAGGCAGTCTCTCTTAATAAATATTCCTGAAAAATTAAAGAAAGTGATAATAAATTACTGGAAAGAAAAGGGAATTCAAATTGCTGTAAGAGTATTGTTATCTTTAAGAATTATCGTAATGTAAACCTCTGTGAGTTTGACCCACTTAAAGAAATAACTTGTAAACCGATCGCTAAAATGAATAATGACCTTTCGGTGTCTTTGTTTTTTCCTTTGAACATAGTCCAAATGATTCATGTTGGCAAATATGTTTATCTTTTGAAAAAGTTTCTGAATTATCTTTGAAAGGTTCCGTGCACCATTCGTCTATTGTAGAATCGCACTTCCAACATCTTCCAGCAGCTGAAAAAGAATTTTGCATCTCAACGAACTTTTTAGTTTATAACGTAAATTAAGACTTTTTATTTCAGGTTTCCCAAGTCGTAAAAACCGCAATCCATCACAGTATGGTGTTGAGCAACGACACAACGTGTAATTATGTCTGAACAGGCAGTTGTCATTCGGAACTACGTCTCCCTCCCGTCTACACCTTCTAGCCAGATAGTAAGTTCCTGTAAATAAAATTGCAATTAAATTGACAATATGAAATAATTTCCTTACCACTTTCTTTCAATTCCTCAACAATACATGAAGAATCTGTTTCGCCTTTGCAAATACTCACACCAGCGGATAGTGAATATTGACTACTATATTTTGAGTGTCTATTAAGGTATTTACACCAGTTTCCTTCACTCGTCGTTTTACACGACAAACACTTTAAATCTGATGAGATAAGAGAGATAATAAAAAGAGACTGAATTAAAATTTTATACTTTAAATTTGACTGTTTTCTTACTTTTACTCTTAAGTTTTGCATCGGATGCCAACTCAAGACACTTCTCATATAAGCACGAACATTGAATTCCTAAATTACTTATTTCGCAATGATAATTTAGGTAAATACGAGATCTTAAGCAATTCCATCGAGTGTAAAAGCGTTCTTTATAAAGAAAAAAATAATGAAATAGGAAAAATAGAATGATTTTCTTATAAAACCAATACGCTGAATAATACTTATGCATACTATGTACAGAATTCCACATTTGAATTATGCTGCAGGATCCAAACCTTCCCACATCACATATTTGTTGCCTCAGCCTTAGATTTCTTACACCGCATTCTGAATTATTTCTTTCAGAGCACTTTGGACATGCTACAATTAAAGAAAGCTTACAATAAAGGACCTATTCAATTAATTATTTACTTTCTGCTTTGTTGGTCCTTAATCGATTCTTCATATCTGGTAGTAAATTACAATAGTTATAGTCACAAAAGCAGGTGATGACTCCTATTCGACGTACACAATTATTGTTTAAATGATAAAAGTTACGACCGCATCCTCTCTCAATCACAATGGCATCTTATTTAGAAACAAAAAATATTTCAAAATTATATTAAAATGTATGCTAATTAAATAAAATTAATTAATTACCTCCTTCCATTTTTTCAATAGTGTAACAGCCTTCTTCATATGCTGCTTCACAGGTGAAATTACTTCGCGCTTCAGCCTTTACGTGTTTATTAATGTTTCTACAAATTTCAGGAAATCCATTACAAAGCCAGCATTTTAGTCCTGAAATTTATTAACATAATGCAACTTTAAACAGTTTTGAAAAACTTTTCTCTCTTTTTTTTTACCTAAATTAAAAATAAAAAGGGAAAAGTAAACAGTCATAAATAAGTATTCCTCTCTTCTAGCCATTGTTTTCTTGTTAACTTTTAAAGTCCGAGCAGTACCGAATGTGAAAACATGAAAAACATGGAGAAGCCTATTGCTATAGGCCAAAATATTACAGTTTTATATCAAATTACACAATCGGAAATTATATATACAATAGGGAAACCAAAAGAAGAGAAAGAAGACAAAATTCAAGAGAAACGTTCTTTACGAAAGAGTTTTTAATTCTGGAAATATTTTTAAATGATAAGGTACAAACAGATGCAATTGTTAAGTGAAATGTATGAATGCTGCTTCCAGAGATGATTAAATTTAAAAAAAATGTAGAAATTATAGACAAATAGTTTCTTTTCAACAAAGTAAATTATCACAGCGCTAAAAAAGATAATTAAAAAACTAGGATATAAATCATAATAATTGAATTCAAGGAAATAAGATATAAAGATATCTATATTTCTAAAAGTAAGAAACATAGAAAAGTAAATAGAAAACCAAACAATTAACAAGAAAATAACCATACACTATCGGTTTTTTTATATTAAAACAATATTTAAAAAAAAATTTTCCTTTTTAATTATAAGAAAAAACTAGCTTTAAACTATTTTTACACATTGTATTAAATAGAAATACAATTGTAATTATATCTTGTTTGAGAATTGAAAATTTCATAAATAATAGAATACTTCATACTGACAAGCACTCTTGTAAATTTAAAATAATTGATCATTGATACATAAAACTATAGATTTTATTTATTTAGCTGTACATACGAATTTTATACTTTCTTTAGTAATACATACCATTTATGTACACAGTATATAGATTGTATATTTTTGTTATTCAATTCTCCTTAAGAGAAAATAGACACTTTTAATAATTTTATATAAGATGATTATTTAATAGAATGGTTTTGTTTCCCTCCTTTTCATATCATTACGGTAATTTGATCCTAAACTCCAGATTCCTTTCGCTTTTTATATACATTGAAATATATTATCACGCTAATTTTAATAAAGTATGACGCAGATTGAAAATTTAGTAATGAACAAAGCTTTTTCTATAAAGTATATAATCATTTCATTTCGTCATATGAAACAATCCGATTGTAAGTATAAATATTTTTCTCCAGCTTTAATGAACTTTATACATACCTATGTATACTTTGAACAGAGATAAAATAATAATGGAGAAAGTTTCCAATAGTAGTGAAACTATCTTTCCCCTATATAGTAACATTATAGCTGATGTTTATGGTATAGCCGTCATTTTTTGCTTGGGTTCTTTGGGAAATTTCCTTACAATTATAATTCTCCTTCACAAAAGAATATTTCATTTGTCAACAAATATTTTCATCTTTAATTTGGCTCTAGCTGATGGTTTTATATGCTTAATTAATGTTTTTCATACTATAGCTTACTATTATTCTGCCATTCATATTCAAATTTGCACCGTTTATACTGTTGTATTTATATCTTGTGCAAATATTTCACAGTATAGTTTAGCTTTAATTGCAATAAATAGATATTTTTTTGTATTAAAAACCCAAGAAAAGTATGAAAGTTTATTTTCCTGTAAGCTTTGCTGGGTGTGGTGTATTTCTTTATGGTTTCTGTCTTGGTGCATTGGTCTTTCAACTCTATTTCTCGCATATTTTAATTTTGATCGTAAGTCTCATTCTTGTAAAGTGAAAAATTATTCCGAAATGAAAACATTTCTTCTTATTAATTCTGTCTGTTGTTTCGTAGTAAATGTTCTATTAATAGGTATTTTCTATTTAAAAATATATAATGGGATAAGAAAATCTAGAACCAGAGTTATGTCTCTTGCAAATACACTACAAATCGTATCCTCATTAACTTCTCAGAAAGGTAAATTAGTAAATAGATTTTTATAAATGATCTATATTTAATAAGGAAGTATACTGCAGCTATAAATCAGATGAAAAGTAATGACAGTATAACTATGAAGAAGAGAAGATCAGCGATAAAAGAGATTAATCAATTTTTTTTAATATGGTTTTTATATGTATTGTTTATATTACCAATTATAATTGATGTTATACTGAGACGGACTAGTACTGTACCCTACATTTACGATCGGTTTGATCTTTTTCATTAAACTATTGACTGCTGTTCAAGTTATTATTTTGCAGTGTAAGCTATAACTTACTTCGAACGAACTCTACCGTGAATATAATGATATATGTCTGGAATAATAAACAGCTTAGAAAAATCATGAAAGAGCTTTTTTTTAATAAGGTATGCAAAGCTATTTAAAATCTATACTGTTTGTTTATTCAAATATATAATTTGTTTTCATATAAATAAATCAAATAAGAAATTTATTTAATAATAAATAGATTAAGCTTGAATTCAAAATCCAAAATAGATCTAACTTTCCCTGACACTTTGCTCCGGCACCGTTGCCAGGTATTGAATCGTGATCCAGTCTATATTCCTCTTTTATTCTTGTATAATTTGCCACCCTTTCAAGAAATCCCTCTTTTCCATTACAAAAATTACCAAGACAATAACAATGGTGAGAAGAGCCATCATTGAAACAGTTCTCCGTAACAAAAGTGGTGTCAGTATAACAAAGTCTATTAATTACCGCTGTTCCTAAGGAATATTTATAAATAAGCAAATTTTTCATCCATTATGTACTTAAAAAATTAATTACCATTTCTAGTATTATTCTGATTAACAGTAGTAAGACAGGATCCTGAGGATATATCCACTTGGCACGTGTAATTGGCCATCAAAACATCACTCGGTTCAATTTGCAAGTCTTTACACCAGCTTTGATCCTTAGAATTGCATTTTAAGCATTGTATTGCTGAAATTATGCCTTCTGTAAAAAAATAATGTTAAATATATTTCATATATATACTGTTTAATTGTCTTTTTCGATGTCTAGCCAGCGGAAGTAGATCACAATAATTGGAAGAGCAAATACATGATTTGAAAGAATTTTGAATTACACAATTGTCTTTTAAATCTAAGATTTGTAAAGATTCGCAAGTTCTTCTAACATGATAGTAACCTGGTAGAACGATAAAATATATCATAAAGTTTAATGAGAAATCTTTCTAGGTAATATACTTACTGTAAGTCGCAATTTCATACGAAACGCATTGTTCATAAGTATCAGCTTCACAAGTACTCTCTGCCAGTTCCGTTTCATTTAATTTTCTATCTAAATTACTACACCAACTGTTCCTGGAGTGAGATTGACAACTCCAACATTTTAGAGCTGAATTAGCACAAAAGATTTCATATTTTAAGATGATTATATATCAAACTAATAATATTTGCATTCGAAAGGGTAAGGAAACAAAGTACCTAAATATTAATGAGGTTGTCTGTTATATAAATAATAACAAATATATATATATATAATATACTGCATACATATTACAGTATATACATGTAAAAAAATCCTACATTAAACGATAATTATATCCTACCTGATGTAACACTACAAGTAATTGAGAAAATGTATAACGTGAGAATCTTCATGATTAACAAACTAGATTTAAACTAAAGTTTAGTAATTCATCTCTGGTGGAAGAAAAATGATCTGGAAGAATGCAACCAACCTGCGAACTTTTTATGGATAGGCTAAAATCAAAGGAAGAGCTTGATATACCAAAAAAAATCTACATTTTTCAGTATTCACATATGCGGTATAACAAGCTAAAGAAAACAAAATTGTTATGCAAAAAAAAATATTAGAAAGCTAGCTCCCTCTCTTTCTCTTTATTCCTTCCTAACAGAGAGATAAAAATCGGTTTTCGTCTTTGTTTCCTTAATATTTAGAAAACAAATAGAACACCACTTTATAAAATATTGGCCTAAGTTTTTACCATATGATCAACCATTCTCTTCCAGATTTAACATCGTCTCTCAATAGAATCATACAGAAAAATGAACTTTGGAAAGAAAAATTGAATGTCTTCATTCTGTGTGTTAATAGAGACAATAACACGGCTATTATGCTTTATTACGTGTTTTAATTATTTCAGTATTATAGGCAAAAATTAATAGGCTCATAAGAATAAATATAGCTATCAATACTTTTCAGATACCTGAAGAAGTAATCATAAAAAAGGAATTTGCGCTTTTTATTTATCGATTCTAGAAAGAAATGACTAAAAAATTGAGGTAAAGAAAGGTAGAGAAATTATTTTGCAGGTGAAATTCAATCTTAATAATAAAGGTGTTTAATTGATACTGATAAGTTTGTTTATTGTGTCTCTTTCTATGGTTTTTCCCTACTTTACTATAAGATAAAAATACATTTCTTTCGTTTTCCTCATCTAATCTATTACAAGTGTTAGATGAACAGTAACAAGTAGCAGTATTCTTTTCAGTTTCATAGAATTTTTTGGCAGTAGGTGAAGGATCCTTGATTGAGGTCATATGAACAATTACTTACCATTTCCCGAGCACATGTAGACGAATAAAGATAAGGGCAATAAAATTGCTTACATCTTTATATTTTAAAGCAACAAAGGAAAATAAGTACTTTATATAGAGCAATTACAATATATTTTAAGCAATATTTCATCGTAAAACAAAAGGGTATACTTCTTTCTAGATCGACACAAATAAGTTGATACAAACTTTCTTATATATTATTTATTGAAGTTTGAAAACAACGAAACAACCAATTAGAATGTGTTTTAACTCAATTAAAAAATACTTTATTAAAAAATTTATTCTACTTTTAAAAGAATTCATAAAGCAATTAGGAAAATATTTCCAAGCCCTGCAAAGTGAATGGTTTTTTTTTTAAAAAAAAATAAAGTTGAAGATATATAGTATATTATAAATATGTTACTCTTAAGTTCATATCTTAGATGTCTATTCAGCATTACATTTATAAACATTATATTTTTATTTTTCTAAAAATGAGTTTCCATGTAAAAAATACATTACTGATTAATAGAAGAATATTATTATACATATAGCTTACAATATCTTTATAAAAAGTTTTGAACTTGTTTTTCAGACTAATTAGCACGTAAGGCGTTTCCATTTCATGCTTATAACATTTCTTTCTATTACAATAAAACTTTGCCGCACTTCAATAAATATATGCTAGCTATATCTTTTCTTAATCTTAGATTTGTAGACTGAACCAGTTTCTATCCGTATAATTTGCGTTAAGCGTATCAAGATATTGATTAATGACAATAGAAAGTACTTTCCTATTGTTTTTCTCTTACCTTCGACATATATTGCTAATTTTTAAATGAACAATCATAATCTCATTGAAGATATCAAACTATCCTTGGAATATTTACTAATTATATAACGCCATCTATTGCAATATATACTAATAGATATATTAGTATATAAATTTATACAATATACTGTAAATTAGTATATTTAATCAGAGTATGCTTTAATTTGGAACAAATTCAGTATATTTTTTAATGTTTTGACAAAACTAAAGACAAAGCATTTAAACTTTATTACTGATAGTGAAAGCTTGTTAAAACTAACATACACTTGATGAAAAGAGAAGAATTTCATAGTACAGTAAATACACTAAGTGAATCCTAACTCTTCAAGAAGACTTTGGGGTTCTTCGCCTTCCTGTTATCAATAAAAAACAAAGCAATAGTAAAAGGAAATTAACAATATATATATATATATATAATACATTAAGTTTGTTTATTTGTACAGAGTAATATACATTATACATTCAATGTATATTAGTATCATTTGCTGTTATACTATAATTTCTGTGCGTATGAATCTTGAGGACAAACATGCTTTATATTACAAAACGATTGTAAATCTTTTCTTATCGTGGTAGCAGTTAGTTACATAGTAATGAATATGTTAAAAGGGAATTAGTTTACATAACCAAAGATTAAAGAGATTAGTTTTCTTTCCCTTTTTTTTTAAACCTGAATTATAAATCCCAAAATATCCGGTTGATACTTCTCTCTGTTGACATAGTTTTAATAAAATACTGTAAATATTTAGATACTCTTTTTCCCTAGATTTTGCAATGCCGAGTGATTTCCTATATATTTCCTACTCAATAAATAAAGATCAACAAACTTCTTGCAAAGCATCTCCGGACGCAACGGCTCTAAGAACGTTCCGTTTAGAACTCTCCTGCACTTCACCTCCTAAGAGGAATTCATCCAAAATATAATAGGCTTTCTCGAAATTAAAGATAATATCTAGTTCACAAACCTGAAATAAGATACAATAAATAGCTTAATCCTGATTAATATAAATATATACAGTATACATATATTAGTATATAATGCATATACTGTATATCATAAGTAAAAGTAAAAGGTACAGTGATTATGAATAAAGTACAACTAAGTATATAGTAGATCACACAAAGATATTACTTACGTTCCCGAAATACTTATCTAAAAGTTCAACGTATCGATGAATTAATTCAAGTATCATTAACTCATTATCATTCTTTTCGACACAACAGCAGAAATACAAGCTGGCGTACCTGTAAAATTTATTCATTAATTTCTTCATGGTTCACTCAACAAATAAATGGCAAACCTTTTATAAATAACTTTCATGTCCTTCCATTCGATGAAATTACACATTTTTGGCTTTCTTGCAACGACGCTTGTTATTAATTCTCTTATAAATTTCTTCTTAGTCTTCTCCGGATGAGCAACAAACCATTTTTGTAATCTCAGTTTACCTTGACGGCTGAATAATAGCATGAAATGAATCTGTTGGGACAAATTATAACCTATTGACTTGGACGAAACTTTCTTTCTACAAACATTAGCTAAATGACAATAGAAAATTATATAACAAACCATTTTTGTTGTTCAGATTTTCTTATTCTTCGAGTTATGATCTGCTGTTTAAATTTAGTCCAATTTCTAATACGAAGTCAACCAGTTCAGATAAAAAAGCAGTGAAAACTGGGAGAAGTTTATATTATCTAGTTACGTTTTAATAGTTAAGGTAGATAAAGCAAAACGTCGAATAGTCACATGATTGTTTATTATTCTCCTATTGGCTAGGTAGGTCGTAATATATGTTTATAGCTTGAATAGCGATAAAGCGGATAAGATTTATTAGAATCTTATTAAATATATTATGAGCTATTTAGAAATCAATAAGAATCAAGAGAAGACTTATAGGTGGTTTTATATTAAGTATTACTAACTTAATGACCACATTGTAACAAAATATAGGTTCTAAGCTAATTGAATAATAACTTTTTATTAAATAACACTCCTTCTATCAAAAAGCTTTTATATATTTCTATAAAGTAAATACACTTTTCTACATTCTACTATTTTCTCATGAAAAAAATGTTGTCTGACAGTTTCACTCCATCAATAGTCAAACTGAAGCTATTCAATGTCAAAACTATATCTAAATTATTATTTAGTATATTTCTATATATTTTAATGTAATTAATAATTTATAAACAAATAATACAGCTGACATTGATTACTGTTAAAGATTAATTGTTATAATAACTTAACTATTTATACTACTCTCATTCAATATTAACCATATCCTTTAAAAGAAAAATACAATATAGAATAATAGAATGTTTAGCTAAGCGTCATATATTATCTCTTCATTTTTAATATCCCCATTATGAGATTATATTAAATTTTCCCTCATCATCCTCTTCGCGGACTCATATTATATTGAAATAGCGATTAAATGGAAAAGTTAATTTATACATATTTAATTTTATATTTCTATTACAATTATTTTTAATTATTTTATATAATCTAATTTACCTTTACTTCATTTATTACTATATTTAGAAAACATAAAAATGTATTAGACTCCTCCAGATTGCTCTATTTGAAATAAATTAAGTCTAGAATGTTTGTAAAAAGTACAATCATTGTAAATTGCCATTTTAGATTATGTTTAAAAATATGAATTACTCTTTTAGAAGCTTTACTTGATGTCTTTTCAAGGAAAATAGGTCATGTAAACAGATATGTAAATAGAGTTAGTGCATCCAGTCTCTTAACCGACTTCTTGAAGTTAATAATATTCATTAGGTTCGTGTCGTTTCCCACATTTTACGCATCAGAACATGGTATTACATGTCACGGAGAGCATTTAATTAACCTCATTTATCTCCATCTTATGCGTCACCTGGTGCTCAGTTCTCATATTTTCTTAAAACGCAATGGGAGGCTGTTCATCTATTTCCTGTATAGATAGTCTTCTATTTCAGAATAACAATTCACTGACACCTATGTCGCCAAATAGACTGGCTAGAGCAAGAAGAAGAGCATCTCAAGCTCCTCCTTCGTTTTCATCTCTGCCTCTCAATGAGAGAGAGGTTATAAAGATGGCTCGGACGTGGAGAACAATTCAGAGGCAAATGACTAGAGCAGGAAAGCTCATGTTCATACGAATGTTTGAATCGAGTGATGCTGTTCGTTCAACTTTCGAGCAGTTTCGATCTGTGGATCAAGTTTCTGATTTGTGGACTAGCAAATCATTAGAGAATCATGCCATGATTGTTATGAATGCCTTAGATGAGGCATTTAGTAATTTGGAGGACGAAGAATATGTTGTCGATTTATTACTTATTAATGGTCTATCTCATAGAAGATTCGTTAGTATGACGGCAGCTGTATTTTGGGTAAGTAAAAAGATAATCCCATTCAACGTTCTTTCAAGTCTCTCTAATTAGAATTACTCTTTTCTCGTAAAAAAAAAGTCAGTTGAAGAACCTTTTCTATTAGCGATAAAAGAGATTCTCGAAGATAAGTATACCGCATCTACCGAAGCCTTATTTCGCAAGACAATAAAGTGGGTGCTTGAGATATTAATATTTGGTTTTGAAAGTTCAAATGCTGAAAGATTTGTCAATAAAAAGGATGAAATTAACTTCATGTAAGTTTTTACTACTCTGTATCACAAGTAAGTGAAAAATAATAATTAAATAGGGTTGTTGAAGGAGACGAAACTTGAGAGGAAGTCTGTCGATCCTGTACAAAGTTTTACTAGAACTAGAATTCTAAAATTCAGGCTGAAGATGCAGAAATTTTTTAAACTTGAGTTTATACTTAAAAAACAGAACTGCTTATTTTACAAAATTTTGCTTCATAAATAATGTTACATCCGTACAGTTTGTAAACTAAATGTGTATAAAAAGACTACGTATCTTAAATATAAAATATGTTCTTTATAATTTCCTTAATCTTGCGGATTGTCGTCGTTTTCCTTTACTTTCGGCACCTTTTGGTTCAAGTTCTTTTTTATGTTGCTGCTCTTCTGAATCCTTTTCTTCATCATCTTCTTCATCAGGATCTTTCATATCCTCATCGTTACTAATTAAGTCGTTGTCTTCGCTCTTTACATCGTCTTCTTCCTCTTCTTCTTCCTCTTCCGATGATGAGCTACCTCGCAATCCATGTAAAAATTCTTTCATATCTTCATTTACTTCTATCGGGAAAGAGTCATTGTTTACTTCGGAAATTATAACTTCAGATTGTGGAACGTTTACAATATTGACTTTTTCTACTGTTTCTTCCTCCATCTCTTCAACAAAGTCTTGGTCATTCGAGGGTTCTTCAAGCCCTTTAGTTACTGATGGATGGGTATCCGAGCCGAAGTCATTTCGTTTAATCATTACATTATCTTTAAAATACTTATCGACGTTTTTGTCCATAAGTAATTCTTCCCATAGAATACTTGTTTTCGATTTCGTTACTTTCATGAGGTTCTTATATTTTTCGATTAATTTTATCAGCAGATTAAAAGATAAACCCTCTCTATATCTTCCCAGCTGAGAGAGACTATGAACAACAGGTGCTGGGGAGTAAGCTTCAAGGAAATCCTCGTTAAAGATAAGATCTTGGAACTTATTAATTTCTGCTTTAGATGGATTTGGTTTCTTTAAGTCTAGTCCATGTCCTTTCATAAAATTATTCATAATATCTAGTTGTTCTTTCATTTCATTATTTTGCTCCAGTCTCTTAGCATGAAATTTAGTAAACCATTTCGGTTTTCTTTTCAGCAATTCCAATTCATATGACTCAATATCTTTTCCCGGCTCTTTGAATGGTAACTTTTCTAATTTTCTTAGCTGCTGCAAAGCTGCTAAGCTATAATATGGTTTTCCTGTCAAAGGATCAGTATATTTCGCCGGTTGACCCGTTATTACACATATTTTTGGTCTTGGTGGTGGACGAGAACGTAACCGCTTAACATCATTAGGATTATGATAAGTGACAAAATGGTCAATTTTGTTACTAAAAAAAGATACAAATTACAATACAAATTGTGGAGAATAGTGCATACTCACTTTCTATTGACAACAAGTGTAGATACAATAGGCTGATTTTGCTTTTTAAGCATTCTCTTTGCTCTGTGTATTTCAGCTTCATTTATTCGGTAAGCATCTAAACGAAGAAAGAATTCTAGACATAGTTAGCAAAAGACAACTGAGAGGCCTACTTAAACTTTTCCTATTTAAATATTCGTTGAGCTTGGCCTCTTCCATTTTAGTATGTTGGAGTGCAATAAATTTTTCTGGATCTATGTCTTGCATTTCTTGCTTTTTCTTTTCGCGTTCTAACCTTTGAGCTTCTATCAATTTCATAGCAATACCTGGCATAATATAAATTTAGAAAACACATTGGTTTTTATAAAGAAATGTTTAAATCTATTTATACTTGATGCTCCAGATAAGATTGTTCTTCCTCCACTTGCAACAGCTTCTTCAATTTGCTCCAAATCAAGCTGTTCATTTTCTGGAATTTTTGAGATCATTTTTATATTTTCTAGCTTTTTTATTTCTATAGGTATGGTATGGTATCTCTTAATTTCTTCCTGAGTCCATTCACTCATTGGTTTATTTAGAGAATTTTTGTATTCAAGTTGAGCTTTTTCTATCAAAACTTTAGTATCCTGTTGTAAAAATTGCATGTTAAGTTTGTATTAAAAATAAAATTACCGTACCTTTATAATATCACGCTTTTTCTTCTTTTTATCACCCTTCTCAGGTTTATCGGCTTCCTCCTCCTCGCTTCTAATCTCATCAGTCTCATCTATATCAAAATCGGAATCCACAGAATCATCAGAATCTTGATCAGCATCAGAGTCTGATGAATAGTTGATATCTTCTGTTTCCTGTTAGAATTAGACTATTGTTATTACAACAATATAACTATTTGAAATTGAACAAGTACTTCAGCGAAACCGCCATAAGCGGTCTGATAAAATTCATCTTTATGTTTTTCTGGATCTTCATTTTCTAGTAATTTATTCAAACGATTACCGGCTGTAGATCGCTTAGCCCTATTTCTGGCTAAAGACATATTTAGTTTATTATCGCTCACTAAGTAAGGATGCCTAAAATTTTTCAAGCTCAGTCTGTTCTGAAAGCCGACAATTTTTTGCCATTCACCGGTTAGTTGTGGTAGTTAACCAATGATTACGCTCTAAGCGTCTGGTTACAACCGGTTTGTTCAGCAGCGCCATCTGTGGTGTTCTTAAAGCTCTGCGTTATATACTATCAAAAACATTTTTGCGCTTATTTTCTTCAAGCGAAAAATGATCACAGCTTCACAATTTTATTATATAGATAGTCTCCCAAGGTCTTAAAACATGAAAAGAATAAGACTTCAAAATTTTTTATTGTATTGAAATTAGTAAATTTCCTATTTAAAGAATTAACAAAAACATTTTCCAAATAAGGATATATGTTTATATATATATATATATATATAAGCGTTGTAACTTAGCAAGTAAACAATTACTATACAAACAAATGAATTTGAGTTCATCTTAACTACCAACTAGAGGCCTTGGTGAATCTTTTCTCCAAATATTCAGGACTATGCATATCCGATAATATTTGAGACTCAATTTTATCTAGTGCACCCAAAGTAAGAACAAGCGTTTCATGTTTCAATATACTATGAACATTGAGTCCGTAAACGGGCATTACGCTATATTGTTTATATTCACTAATAGCATCAGCGAAATATTGGTCCTCCAAAACGTCTTTTCTGAAAGTAAAATTTTATAAGTAATATAAAGCAAACAAGTTACAACTTACTCATTTACAAAAAGAACAGATAATCCCCAGCCACGACTTTCTATTAGCTCTTCCAAATAACCTGGTTCATCAGTCGGCAGGCAGAGGTCGTTGACTATGTGCAAATTATCCTAAAGGCAAACAAGCATTTATATCATTGATGTTATGAGAAAAAATTATACAAACTTGAGCGAATTTACAAGATAAAGCTGTTCGTAATCCCAATACTCTCATTTTTTTGCCTAACATAAAAAAGTATCCTCTGGGACCCCTAGGTCCAAATGTTTTACCGCCTTTAAATAACAGTAATTAGCATGAGACATAATCTTGTCATTTAGTCAAAACTTACCTCCAATCCACAAAGGAGATCGAATACTGCCATGTCTGGCTCTACCAGTTCCTTTTTGAGGCCAAGGTTTACGGCCTCCTCCAGGTAATTCAGCACGATTACGTACAAATTCATAATTCTAGTGCACATTTATTCAATAATGTAATTAAAACATTCAAACAATACTATTTTTATACTTACCACTTTCTTATATCTAGATTGCCAATGGGTATTCCACCAAAGGACATCGATTCTGTTGATAACTCTTCGTTATGAAAAAATTATGAAAACTAAAGCGTGTAATAATACCGAGGAAAGGTGGCAAATATGTCGGGATGCAGGTCAACTATTCCCAACTTCTTATCATTAATGATTGATAAAGTTTCCAACCAAGCCTGTTTTGCTTGCTGATGTTTTGGGACTCTATATAACTCTCTTGAAGTCATTAAGGGTAAAGGTCTCGATAGAACCGATTCAGAATCTATGAAAGGCACTTAAAGTTTATTTGAATTTATATTTCAATAAAAACTAAATATACCTAGAGATGATGCTGCTTTCACATCACTGCACATATTAGCAAAAAGGTTTGGTCGTATCTGAAGAGTGAAAATATTGCTCAAGGATGAAAGTTTACAAGGATTTGATTAAATATAAATTAAAAAATTAACAGTTTGTTATTAGGTTATGAAAAAAAAAGTACCTTCATACTTCCAGTGAGAAATAAACGCCCGTTCAGAATAAGTCTACAATTCATGATTTTTCTCCGGCACACTCCGTCAATGTGATAACTTAGATCACAACCTTGACATTCAGGCACATGTCCCTACCGGTTTTTCAAACCGGTTTTGACTTATTCTCTTCAGTGTTATATTCAATATATATCATTCACAATGGTCTAATAAAGTTCATTACTTAACTTTAAACTCAAATAAAACATCACACTATGACTTCTACTTATATTTATATTTCAGAAAAGTTGAAAAATGTCAAATAAGATTGCACAAATAAGAACTTTGCTTTAATTTAATTTACTAGGAGAAATCAAATAGAGTAATATCGTGTCATACTTAAAAACCTTGAATAGGCAGTTAATGCTACGATAACTGTTTATGGTCAAAACACGTGAAGTTTTAAAACTTGTTTAAAAAATAAAACTCTATAAACGAATGGTATTCTATGTTGTGAGGTGTCCAATATTCTCCATTTTTGTCAGATGTGGTAGGAAATTTGCAGATTGTTTCTGATTTATGACATCTCTTCTTGATAAAAAGGCATAATGTTTAAAAAATTAAAGCAAAAAGTGCAGGAAGGAGTGAATACTGGTAGTCAGATTCTCCAACAAAGTAAAAATAACATTTTAAACAGGGTAAGAGCTTTATCGTCTGCTAATTCAACTTGTTTCGCTCAGTTCTAAAAGTATCAATAATTTTCTCTAGGATATTTCTGCCAGTCAGGAAAAGGTTTGTATTAAGTTTAAAATATTTTCTCATACATAATGGAAGATTATAGATCTCTGAAAGACAATATGATCAAGTTTCAAAAGAACAAAGTAGCACCCATGGCCCTTTAATCAACATAGGGGTATGTTGCTGAATACTTTTAAAGTAATAATTGACAAATCTATAATTTTAGGATACATCTCAGCATTCTGTAGATTCTAACCCAGCAATACCCCAGCAAAATCATCCTGATGGGGATCTTGTTGAATTGAATGTAAGAGCTAAGTGCTTTCCTTGGAATAAACTAATTATATATCCTACAGGAACCACCAGCAACTTTGGATTTGAGTGGACAGAATTATTTTGCAGATAGTGATGTGAGTTTTCTAACGACTGACGAAAAAAAGGCGCAAATACCTCGTTCAAGAACCGATTCAATTTCGTCGCAAGCTTCTGACCAATTTTTCGGTATTCCTATTTCTCCGTTCACCCATACACACATGCCTTTAGCCAGTGATGTTGAAAGCACCGCAAGTGAGGTTAGTGCTATTTTTAGCTTCAGATCAATTTAATTAATATTTGAACGTTTTTATTTGCCATATGTGAAATATTAAAATTATCTTTGTTGTTTAATTTAATATTATTTTTTTGTCTAAAATTTCAGATTGATGATTCTTCTGTGAAGAGTTTCGGAACGTTAAGTAAAGAACAAATATTGAATAATTATGCGAAAATTGTAAAGAGATGCGAAAAATATAAAATAAGATTTAAACGAGTAAATTTCTGTTTTTGACTATTTAAAATTGAGGTGATTAATTGTAATTTTTTGCTATAGCTAGCTGAAGCTTATCGAGAAACAGAAAAGGAACGGGAAAAATTACAAAATGTACTCACTGCTTCACAAGATAAGGCAATCAGAAAAATATCAGAATTTAAAGAACAAGCAAAACTAGACGCTCTAGCCAAACGAGATATACAACAAAATTATGAACTACTGTTAGAAGAAAAAGATGAATATATCTTTGTTTTAAAAACTCAGATTGGACTATTAAAGGAAGGACAATCAATTCCTGATGATTTGCAAGCTAAAACTGAGTCAGTTGAGAAGTCGACGGCAGTGAAAGAAGAAAAAGCTAAATCTCTTATGAGTGGGTCAGAACAAGCAGCTGATGTATCCTTGAAAGAATATTCTGATAGAGTGAAAAAATTGGAGAATTTATTGGGAAAATGTAAAGAAACCATACAGCAAAAACGAGTGGAATGCGCTCGGTTAAATCAAGATAAAGAAGATATTGAAAATAAACTACGAACTCTTCAAGAAGAAAATGAACAATTAAGAGTTTGTGAAGTTGACACGAAGAAAAAAGTTCAAAAGCAGTTATTAGATGCTCGTCAGATAATGGAAGAATTGGAAAGTAGTAAGGCAATGGCAGTTGCTGAAGTAAAAGCCGAATTACACTCTCAACTACAGATCACTGATGAAGAATTATCGAAAACAAGGGAAACTTTTAAAATTGCACAAAAAGAAATTGAGAATTTACAGGAAGCGAACTCCAAATTAAAGCAGTCATTCACAGAACAGTTGGAAAAAGCAAAATCTATAATATCTCGACTAAAGAATGAAAAAGCTCAGTTGAAGGAGGATTTGCAGACAAGACTTGAGACATCTGAACACTCTTTAGACGAAGAAAAAGAAACTGTAGTACATGAACTGAAAAGAGCGAAAACACAAGCTTTGGAAGTGATGCAAAGTGAACATGATGAACAAATAAAAATAATGAAAGATTGCCATAATAAGGAACTGAATGAATTAAGAGAAAAATTGACTGAAGAATTTAATGAAAGAGATATATTAAATCAAAAGCAGTTGGAGGAAGCAAAGCTTCAAATTGAAAAAGCCATTCAAAACAAACAGGATGAACTTAGTAAATTGTTAATTGAGAAGGACGAAGAATGTAGAAGAATGTTACTTGAAAAAAATGATGAAATGAGGCTAGCACTTGAAGAGAGGGAATTGCGAAAAATGGCTGTTGTATCCAAACAAGATGAAGAAAACGATGTTCTGAGTGCAAAAATAGCTCATTTAGAAACGACTAACTTACAGCTAGAACAAGATATGAATGATTTGAAAGAAAAGCATAAACTCGAAATTGAAAAATTTGTTTTCAAAATTGAAGAAAATGCTACACGAAAAGCGGAAGATTTATTAGAAGTAAACAGAAAGCATGAAGAGGAACTAGAAAATTCTAAGAGGTCGATCGAAGAGAGTTTTGAACTGAAATTTATGGAAATGGGACAGAGTAGAAAAGATGAAATAGACACTTTAGTGGCAAAATACGAAGAATTACTCAGAAATAATTCATCTGAATTGGATAATGACTATGGAAAGCAGATGGAGATACTGAAAACTCAAAATAATCAAGCACTTGGCGAACTGCAATCATCTCTCAATCAATCTTCACGAAGAGTGAATGAATTAATCAGTGAAAACGAAGAACTAAAGGAGAAAATAAAAACAAATGAGCATGACTTAGAAGAGACAGTGGAAAAACATTCAAGTGTCTTATCCAGTTTGAACGAAAAACTTCGAAGTAGCTCGGAAGATTATGAAAAGTTAATGAAAGAATATAATAATTTACAATCTCAGCACAAAGAAAAATTAGATGAATTAAATTCCAATATACAAGAGCATGTTACGACTAATGAAAAGTTAAGAAACACTGTTTCAGAGTTGGAAAATAATTGCAAAGATTTGCTAACATCTTTAGAAGATAAATCTAAACAATTCGAAGCAAAATTAAATAATGCTAATGAACAATGGGAAAAGAAGTTGGAAAATGAACTACAAATTCTGCAGAATGAGTGCAGAAGAAAAGTAGATGCTTTAGAAATACAACAGCGCGAAAGCGAAGAAAACGTAAATAATGAATTAAGTAATAAGCTTTCTGAAGCTAATGCAACTATTAGTGGCCTAGAAAAAGATGTTTTATCGGAGAAGGAGAATAGTGAGGTCTTAAGATGTGAGATCGAAAATTTCAAACAAGCTGAAAATTCCCACAAAGAAATCATCAATGATTTAAAGCTTCGACTTCAAGATTATGATGACAACTTAGAAAGTGAAAGAAAAAAACTGGCTGAAATGTTAGAAGAATTAGCAGCTATGTCCGATAATGAAAATTTACTGAAACAAAAACTAGAGTCTAATGAAGAGGAATATAAGCAAAAATTAAATGAAATTGAAATGCAAAGGTCTAAAGAAGTAGAAAATCTGAATAATTGTATATCTGAAAACCAGAAAGCCCTACATGATGTACTTGAAGAACTGAATGATAGTAAAAGTCGCCTAGAAAGCTTTGAAATTAAAATTAATGAATTAGCAACCGAAAATGAGAAATTAGTCGATCATGCCCAGGTTAAAGACAAAGAAATTGAAAAAAATAGTGCAGAAATCTCTGAAAAGGTTCGACTACTGGAATCAACTTTGGAAACTAGAGAGGAAGAAGTTTTAAGATATCAGAAAGAAAAGGAGGATCAAACTAAGACTCTTGAATCTGCCAATGATCGCTTAAAAACTCTTGAAGAAAGTTTGACTAGTTGGAAGACGGCTGCTGAACAAAAGGAAGGAGAACAAGGTTCTCTCTTAGAAAGGCTATCAGAGCTCGAGCAATATCAAGCAGATTCTAAAGAAGATTTTGAAATAAAACTGGCAGAGATCCAGTCCGAAAAAGAAGCAAAGGAAGTTCTCCTTAAAGACTTGTATGTGCAATTAAACGACTCAAATAAAGAAATGTTGGAAAAGAACACTAAGATTGACCAACTTGAAAGTAAAGTTAGAGATTTTGGTTCACATTTGGAACTGCAAGCATCTCAGCAAAAAGAGAGAATAGTTGAAGTAGAAAAGGTTATAACAGAGCGCAATGAAACAGTGAAATGTTTAGAAAATGAGTTAAAAAAAAAGCAAGAGGAAATCACCAATTTGCTATCAATGATTCAGACTTATGAAGAAAATATCAAAGAAGTTGAAAGCCTTAAAAATGATACAGAAAAAGAAAGAGAAGATATTATTAAAGAATATCAAAATCATATTGAAAATTTACAAGTAAAATTACAACAAGAGGAACATAATATGATTCAGTTTAAGGATAGTGTTAAAAAACAGTTTGAACAAAATCAAACACGTGTAAAAGAAACCATTGCAAAGATGAAGAAAAAGTCTGACGAAGAAATAGCTGATAGGGACGAAATTCATCAAAGGAAAATTGAGCGTTTCAACAAAGAAAAACAAAAAGAGATTGACGAAGCAGTTCGAACAGTAAAGAAATCCGTTGAAGATGAATTAAATTTTCTAAAAGCAGATTTAGAATCATCTAGAATTAAGAGTAGTGAATTGTCTGCCCAATGGCAATCTGAGAAACAGGCCCTTTTAAGTTGCTCAGATAGTGTTCGAGGCGAAATTGCTATACTGACGGAAGAGAAGAAGCAATTAGAAAAGGAAATCGATGATTTAAATAAAACGATAAAGGATTTTGACTCATCAGAGTCAAATTACAAAACGACAATTGATGATCTTAACAACCAAATCGAAGTGCTTAAAAATGATTTTACGGACAAACTGGATAAAGTTAAAGAGAAGCAATCGAAAGACTTGGAGGAATTGACAAAGTCCCATTCTTTAGAACTGGAGGAAATACGAAAAGAACAAGATAAAGCCGTAGAGTCATCATCCAATGCTGAAGTAAAATTTCAAAAGCAATTCCAAGAGTTGAAGGAAAAAGCCAAATCGAAGTTATTAGATATGAAAAGAAGCCAAGAGGCTAAAGAAGCTGACTACAATATAAAATTATCGGAACTTGAATCGAAATTACAAGAACAAAAAACGAACTCAGCTGATCTTGAAAATAAACTAGAAAAAACGAGCCATGAGTTTAAGGAAGTTACTGTTAAGTATGAAGAAACTGAAACACGGTTGAGAGAAATGACAGAAAATGATTCTACTTTGCAAAATCGATTGTCGGAATTGAAAGATAAGCTGCAAATTGTAACAGAGAAATTAGAAATTGTTACTGAAAATGAAAAGCAATTCAAAATGAGAGAAAACGAATTAGAATTGGCCTTGCAAGATAAAAAGAGAGAAATTGAACTTATTTCTGAAACTTTAAACACTAGGCAATCTGAAGAAAACGAATATGAAAAATTAAGAGGCGAAATTGAACAAAAAAATGTTAGTTTACAAGATCTACAAATTGAGATAGAAAATCTAAAAAAATCATTGTTAGAAGCAAATACTCACAACAATGAACTGGTTAATGCCGAAAAAGCCAAATTATCATCTATCAAAGATTCGACTCAGGAAAAAATTAAGAAACTTCAAAAGAATTTGTCAGAAAAGGACGATCGTTTAGAAGAATTTAAGGAAACCTTATCGCAAATGAGGCTTCAATTTGACAGAGAAAGAGAATTGAATGAAAAATTAAAAGCAAATTATGAAAATGAAAAACAAGAGTATCTCAATAAACTAGAAATTTTTAACAATGAAGCTGAAAAAGTATTGTCAGAAAAAGAACAAATGTGCGTGGAGCTAAAACAAGTAACTGATCGTGCGGAAGCTCTAGATGAAAAAGTCAAAGAATACGAAGAACATATAAAGGAGACCAATGAAAAATTATTGTCAATGGAGTCCGAATTATCAGAGCATAAAACAGCAGGATCAGAAGCAGCAGAAGCGTCTCAACATACTGTCGTAAAACTAAAGTCATTAGTTAAACAGTTAAAATCTGAGAATGAAAGAACAGAGAAACAAGTAGAAATTTTGAAGAAAGAACATGAATCAGCCATCCAAAAACTCATGCGAGAAAATGAAGAACAAGTAGAAGATATGAAGAACGAGTGTAGCAGCCAATTAAAAATGATTTTGAAAGAATACAATTCACAATTGGATCAAAAGGAGAACGAATTCCAAGAAAATTATGGAAAAACTATAGAAAACTCACAGTTAGAGCAAGAAAAATTGCAGAGAGAGCATTTACAAGAAGTCGATGATTTACACAAGGAGCTTAATGAAAAAGATAAAAGAATGGAAGAAATGTTTAATGAACATGAGCTGCAATTACAAATGAGAGATGATGAATTTGAAGAAAAGATGCAAGGAACCGAAAAACGTATTTCAGATTTAGAAAATGCTATCGGAGTTAAAGAACAGGAAATAAATTTGTTAAAACTATCTAATATGAAGGTACCAAACTAAATGATATATTTGTAATCATAAATTTAGATGTTTACCTTCTAGGCTCTATCAGAGAAAGATCAAGAAGTTACAGACATAAGAAATCAACTAGAAATTATTAAAATGCGCCTAGAAGGATCGGAAACAGAAAGTTCTCTATTAGAAAATCCAGAGGGAACCCCAGAACACAACTTAGAAGTCGAAAATATGAATTTACACGCAAAAGTTAGACATTATCAAGGTGAACTTGCTCAATTAAAACTAAAAGAAAAAGGCATAATTCAACAAGTAAGAGAACAAACATGTAAAAATTTCCCCACTAATATTCCTTTTAATAGGGTAGCGATTTGCCCTCTGCTCTAAATCATCAAGCTTATTTTTCGAATGAGCCAGTCCTTACTGAACAAACAAAGATGGAATATATGCGCAATGTTTTGTATGAATATATGATGGGATCTCACACCAAAGTAATAGGAATTTATGAAAACTATAAATGTTAATTTCTTATTCAAATATGTATTTTCACAGACCCTATCAAAAGTTCTTTGTGAGTTATTGCATTTCTCCAAAGAGCAAACAAGAAAAGTTGTAGAGAAAGAAGAGTCTCGATCAATAGTAAGTCATTAAGTTTTTACATATTCCGCAAGGTTAAGCTAATTGTCAAACAAACAAAACAAAAATATTTTAAAAAATCTGTAATTATTTTACTAGACCTAAAATGTTTTGACTGGATCGATTTAGGACATTGGTGAGTTAATTGGGTCGGGATTACACGAATAAATGATTGATTAAAGATTGCATAGAACACATTTTATAATTTATTTGGTAGTGGGTTCTAATGGCAATTTATTAGGATATTAGTTGCGATTTTTTCTATAAAAATACTTTGAAAGCGTAAAAAAAACCGCTACTGTTGTGTTGTTCCACTCGTACTACTCCTTCAGAGCATCTTCGCGCCTTTCGGCTTTGGATCAACACCAGTGTTGTCACCTCAGCCGTCATCATTGTCGTCATCCTCGCACACCGCTAGTCCTCCATCTTCGCCGATACGGCGAAAGGAAAGAAAAAACGTCAACCCTGTTTTCGTGTAGTCTTTCCTGGTGAGGTTGCTGGTTTGATATACCATTATATTATCCATTTTCCCAACATACTATCTGTTGAGTAAATATTATTTCTATTGTTAAGAAAAAAACACTAGAACTATTACAAAAATGTCTAATATAATACATACAAAAACCATCTTTGATAGTGTTAGGAATCCTCAATATATTTTTGATCGAAAAAGGAAATTACCCACCTCAAATAATTCAATCATAAACAAATATGGAAATTCAATTAAATTCAAATTTTTAATCCATCAGGGATTATTGTTTACATATTATTTCAAGATGATTTAAGATCGTAAATAAAAAGAAACATAGCAGCATGCATCTTCTGTTTGGTTAAGCAATAATTTAGAAAGGTGCAAATCGTTTTGTTGCTGTATATTGAAAACAGACACTAACACATAAAATATCTATCATTTGAATCTGGTTTATTCTAGCCAGATGAAATAGAATAAGTTTTAATTGTGTATTATATTAGCACATAACTATCTAAATCATATTTATACATAGATTTTATGTATGTATAAATAAGAACTTGAGACTTTTCCGTTTTTCTACTCTTCTTATACTTTTTCACCTGCTTGATATCGTTTATATCTTTTATTTTCACATTGCTGTATTATTCAATACCTGCACTCACCTACCCCCACCCCCCTTTCCGCTCCATCTCGAATTAAACAAACTAGGTAACCGTGTTTTTTTCATTATGCTTGTTTTTTTACAACCTTCAAACATATTTCGGATAATCTATATAAACTTGAATAACATAACTTAGATAAATTTTCTCTTTGAACAGGTTTGGGGAATGACTAGTAGCCCTTTGAAATTTTCAACACAATCCTCTAATAGATGATGGTTGGCTTAGATGTTGGCGAACGATGGATATCTTGTTTACTTTTCTTTTTTGCGGTGCTTGTTCAACATTCCGTTTATTTAAAATAATTTAACATTTGCATTATTTATAAAATTAAATTTAGCAATTTACAATTATTCACATCCAATGAAACTACAACTGATTGAGTAACATACTGCCTAATAATAAATACAAAATCTAATATATATATACAGTATATATATATATATTTGTATATAGTAAAATTGAATAAACATACTAAATATATATATTTGAATTGATATATAGATATATACAGTATATAGGATTTTCTAACTATTATAACTGAAAACATATATACTTTGATTATGAAATATTTTCTCGTGCTTTGTTTTATTATTTGATAAGACTAATACAAAATATTAATTTGTAATGTTTATTAAAAGGGATTAAAAGAGAAAGGCCTAAGGCGTCGAGTTAGTTACGTATAAAACAGGTCAATAAAGTGTTTTATATATCCATACATGAAGGTAAACTTCGACTGTATCGATTCCCAACTATGTCAAATTAGTATTATTTCTTTATCCACTTCGGTCTTTCTTCGGTTTTAGAAGAACAATGTCGAATTGGAATCTTGTTTGGCTTCAACAAAAACAAACACCGTCATACTCTAGACACGACGTCTTTCCGCCTGATTTCGTCCTTAATTCTTCAAACTGGAGCAGGATTAACGATAACAGTAAGATTTTTAGAGCTTTCAAGCAAGCATATTCTCATCTTTTAAAAGTTACTTCTAAAAAGATGATAATCTAAAACTTTCTAAATAAAGTTTTATTATTAATTAGAAACGTCAAAACTCCCGGTCACTAATGATCGTGTAGCGAATATAGCGAAGCATACTGTATCGAGTTCAGCTAAGCGGGAGACGATCGACCTAAAACGGCACCACGTTCCGAATTACATGGAGATGAATAAATATTGCTGGAACAGAATGGATTTTATGAGAGATTCTACAAAGCGATTATGGACTGCTGGAGGGGCCGTTAATAGAGGAGGAACATCCCATTCCAAATAGTAAATCTAACCTTTGACTACACTCTACTTGCCGCCTACTTTTCCCATAATTTTGACTAATAAGAAAATTATACGGTTGAGATTCTGTCCAATCAACTTGATTTTGCAAGCGTCTTGCATACGAATTTGCTTTAATAAATTATTGATAGAGAAGGGTAGAAGGGATTAGAGTTAGGTCGCCTATAAACCTTACATATTTCTACCCTAAAGCATACAGAGTATGTTAAATGTAAAATAAAAATACACGGTACTATAAAATCCACCGTATATATTAGTATGTTATATGCAATATATAAATATAGGGAATAAAGCATTAGCCCACCATACAAACTAACAGGTATTTTCAATTACAGGCCTAGTGTAGACGGGTCAGGCAAAAAAACATACTGATTCAGTCTAATCTTTTGCCTTCTGTCATTCAAAAACGTTTTGATAAGCCGCGGGATGACCGAAAACATATACATGATGCTGCTCAAAGCTAACCTTGGCCATTTCCCTCGAATTTTCGTCTACATATCCTCCCTCAGGCTTTTTTTTTTCTTCTTACCTTCACAAATTTCATCTTTTTTTCCATCCCTCGATCTCTATCATGGTCTCCTTTTTAATCATTTCGGCCTAATTCTGATCTTCTTAAGTGCTTTTCGTCACTCTTCAGAATTGTCGCCAGGACTCGCCTAAACGTTCTTCTTCGTTTCTTCTTTCGACAAAAGACGAATGATCGCTGGTGTTTTATCAGACATTTCGTTTATATACGGCCTGATAGGCGTCAGAAGGGTTAAAAGTTATCAAAAACAGGGTTTTTGCGAAGGAAGGAGAGGCTTGGTCATAAACGCTGTTATAACCTCGTTGTAACAAAATAGAATGAGGAAAAATTGCACTATTTGCTATTGAAGAAAAAACGTTAACTAGCAATAGATATGAGTGTTATAGTTGTTGTGTAAATACAACAATTATTACCCATTAAAAAGGAGAAGCGGTCATATGTTAAAGAAAAAGAGAATAATTTAGCTATAAAGGGGGAAAATAAAGAAAGAAATTGTATCTATGGTGCGCTTCGATAATTATTATACGACCGTCTTGCGCAGTAGTCGACTGGCCGCTGCGCTATTGCAGCTTTGCAGTCGTGAGCCGAAGATGTTGTCGAAAAGTATCTATTTCAGAAACTTGTTTTGGATAACTATACATATATTATTCTTAGGTAAGATTAATCAAAAGAAGACATTCCTACGATATTTACCTTTATTCTATCTTTCGTGCTTCTTTTCTTTAGCTGTTGTCACTTTTTAATTCAGGTACTAAAGCTATTAGAGAGGAGCTACAACTACTGAAGGACTTATTGAAGGATTATGATACGGCTGCCAGACCAGTTTTAAATCAATCACAGGTCGTTCAAGTAAAAATGGGCGTAGCCCTCTTTCAAATTAGAGATCTAGATGAAAAAAACCAATTCCTTCAAGTAAATGCATGGTTTCAATTCGTGAGTTCATCTCTTATCTTCATCTACTGCAACGTGCCTATTCCCCCTGAATTCCTTTTTTATGTCTCGTTTTATAGCATTGGTATGATCCTCATCTAACATGGAACGAATCGGACTACGGGAATTTAACGAATCTGCGTATCCCATCGACACGCGTTTGGATTCCAGATGTTGTTTTATACAACAGGTATATGATTTCAATCGTTTAGAACGTCTTTTACAGAGATTCTGCTCCTTTTCTTTCTCGTTCGTACCCTAAGTTTTACTTATGTTTGATTTTTCTGCCTTTCATAAAAAAAAAAGTGTGGATGAAACAAAACCCGCAACGGAAGTGTTCGCTCATACAAATGCCATTGTGAAATCGGACGGAAAGATTTTATGGGTGGTACCGGCAATGATTAAGTCTTCATGTAAAATAGACGTTCGATATTTTCCCTTCGATGAGCAGAATTGTAGTTTAAAATTTGGTAGTTGGACATACGATGGTTTCCAATTGGATTTAACTAATTTAAGAGATACGGGAGATTTAAATAAGTATATAGAGAGTGGTGAATGGCATTTAGCTGGAATGCCAGCAAAAAGTAAGTTACATGAATTGTACTTTTACGGTATAAACTCAAAATCTTGATCAAAAACTTTTATGTAATACCCAATTCCTCTAAAATTTTAAGCCTAATCCACATTTCCTTCTTTTAGGAAATGTCGAATATTATTCATGCTGTGTCGAGCCTTTTGTCGACGTTACTTATAGTATCATTTTGAGGAGAAAACCAATGTTCTACACCTATAATTTAGTGTTTCCGTGTGTACTTCTTATGGCTATAGGTGTTCTAGTATTTTGTCTTCCCCCCGAATCAGGAGAAAAAGTTTCTCTAGGAATAACCGTCCTTCTAGCCATGACTGTATATCAGCTACTTATTGCTGAAGCTATACCTCCAACGTCTGAGGTTGTCCCCTTAATTGGGCAATTTTTTGGGGCAACCATTTTTCTATTGTCACTATCATCTGCAATGACAGTAGTAATTATGAAGCTCCATTTTAATGGTGAACATGGTAATAGGCTACCAAATTGGATGCGTAAATTAGTACTTCACTGGATAGCACGAATGCTCCGCATGAGACAGGCTACAGTCGAAATACGTAAAGTAGGTGACGCCTATTTATCTAAGCACCAGAATTCTTTTTTCATTATTTCCTCTATATATTTCAACAATAATCCATTCCATCCATTCAGCCTTTGAGGGATTACGACAGAGAATTGCGAGCGGACTGCGATATATCTCTCGGCCTATTAGGCAATCATCGTGTGTCCGTCAAACAACCACCGGTTGCTTACTGCAGGAAGCATCTTCATCATCATCAGCAACAAAATCAACATCAACATCAACAGCAGCAAAACAGAAGAAATATAGAGGAGAAGAGAAACGACCCTTTCTCATCTTCTGCTTTCGATAACTATGTGCCTTCCACAACTGGAGAAGCTCTACCAGAAATACTAAACCACGTTAGGCAAGTAAATGAGGAATTACATCAAAGGTACCTAACGAAGGAAATGGATGAACACTATAAGGGTGAATGGCGTATGGTAGCATTGGTGCTCGATAGATTATTACTCATTACCTTCTTCGTTATGACAGTTTTAACTGGAGTAGTTATCTTTACTGACGTTCCGTATTATGACTAATGCTTTTCACCACGATCAATTGTTTATTAAAATTCAATTCTCCAATTGTGTTATTACTCATAATGCTAACTTTTAATACCGTTTTTTTGGTAGACATTCTTATTGAGTAACGTTAAATTGAAGCTATTTAAAAAAAGAAGATAATAATTGATTTTAATTGACTTTAAAAATTTATTTATTATCAATATTGAACTTTCTTCGCAAATATTAGGAATTATAAGTGATACATAAAGCAACTCAAAAGTTCAATAACATAATGATGAACGCGTTCGGTGATTGGATATATAAAACATATTGGCCAATCAACGATACTCTTACACTTAGAGCAGATGACTAAGTTCCCGTATGTAAACACACATTTGGCAATTTTCAAGAACAATTTGCTTAATTTTGTCTCATTTTCACATCTCGTATGACGATCAGATATGAACAATATGGTTGATCCATTTTTTCATTACCAGTTCAGATTAATTTTAATTGGTGACAGCTCTGTTGGAAAGAGCAGCTTGTTAAAATACTTTACGGACGGACAATTCCAGGATGTTTGTGATCCAACCGTAGGAGTTGATTTTTTTGCGAGACTTATTGAAGTAGCACCAGGTGTGTAGAACCGTCTCACCGGACGAATTATATGCTTTATACATGAAATTTATGTAAAAATTTTTAGGAGTCAGAGTCAAACTGCAACTGTGGGATACAGCGGGACAAGAACGCTTCCGGTATGATATCGATATATTTTTTACTTTATTGAACATCAATAATAATAATGTCTTTTTCTTGAAACGATAAACAGCTCTATAACCAGATCGTACTACCGTAACTCGGTAGGAGTAATGATATTATTTGACGTAACGAAGCGATTAACGTTTGAAAATTTGGAGAATTGGTTAGAAGAATCTAAATTGCATTTAGAACAAGACAAAGTGTGCTATTTATTAATAGGCCATAAATGTGATTTGGACTCTGAAAGAGTAGTTTCAGCCAGAGAGGCCAAGCAATACGCAGAATTTCATGATTTAAATTATATTGAAACTTCTGCAAAAACTGGCAAAAATGTGGAGGAAGCCTTCTCAACACTGGCAAAAGATATATACGATATGTTGCTAAGTGGTAAAGTTAAAGTACATCCTGAATGGGATGGTATTAAAGAAGGTTATAATAGAACACAAAGACCTCGAGAGGAATCTCCTCAAAGAACAGTCCAAAGTGGCGGGTGCTGTTAAAAAAAAAAAAAAGAAAAGAAAAAAAAAACGGAAAATATTAATACTTTATAGAGTTTACTGATTTATAAAGAATTTTCCTGTTAATCTCTTTTTTTTCTAGTTTAGAACTGTACATGTTTCGTTAAAGTTTATTTTTGCTCAAAAATCTACAGTGCAGTATAAGTGGCCTATTCATTTTCACGTGGCGAAAAGAAAAGCAAAATGAAAGAGAGAGAAAAAAAAAGCATAAATATCATACATAATCCTCTTGATTATTAATCTATTTATCTTTCAAATTTCTTTTACCCCTCTAATTAAATACGGGTTTGTTTTATTACGTATTAGTACAAAAATTTCGTCAATCGCGAATGGCTACCTATTTTCTTGACAAACATATTACTTGCAAATAAAAAAGGGCTATTTTCAATGAATAATGAATCATTATAGGAATTGTGGAAATATTAGGAATATATTTATATTGTTATTTTTTTTAATTTTCTTTAATAATATGTACAAAAAAATTGGAATATAATTGTATTTTTTGCCTACATTTTCAGTTTGAAACGCAATCCTAAAGCAGCTTTATATTGAAAGTTCCCTTCCCAAATTTGATTTTCAGTATCTGTGAACTCTCCTTCACCAAGTAGTTTGTTGTTTTGAAATTGGCCTTCGTAAAAACAGCCGTTTGGCCATGTGTATTTACCAAATCCATGAAATTCGTTATCAACAAAATCCCCTTCGTATGTAGCTTTGTGGGGAAATGAAAGTTTTCCTAGACCATTCATTTTATCCCTTGCCCACTGACCTTCGTAAAGTGTACCATCTTTACTTAGGTGTTTTCCTATTTTAGAGTTTTGGGAGTTGTGAGTTAAGTTTTGAATATTACATACATTCATTCTCACCTCTTCCTTTACGTTCTTTATGACCACCATCTGTCTGAATATATTCACCTTCGTATTTATCTCCGTTTGGAAACATAAAAACGCCATCATAGATTGTTGGCTCACTGTTATCGTCTTTTTTCGCCTTATCTTTCTTACCTAATTCATTCCAATTTTGCATAATATAAATGGTTAATGTTAAAATTATTAAAATAATGATGTAAAATGTAATATACGCATTTACCCATTTCTATAGAGTTTTATCCAAAGGATGAAATTAAAATTGTCGCTGGCTCATAAAATCGATTGTTTACATTAGCAACCGTAAAATACAAAATGAAAACTGGTAGATATTTTGTCAGCGCTCTTTTAAGAGTTATTTATTGTCAAAGTTTTAATATAAGATTAAACAATAATTTAATTTATTTAATTAAAAAAAAACTCCAAAATAACAACATTAAATAGAACTGAAAACGACATAAAAATTATTTTAATTTTAAATACTTTTTATTTTTTTAACTCTTCACGACTCTTCTTCCTGCCTAACTTTCGTCGCATTCTCATTCTCTCTCGTCTTAGTCTTCTCATATTTCTATCTCTCCTGCCCATTGGCATTCTGCCTCTCATTCTTCTATTCATCATTCTCTTTCGGTCTCCTCTAGGTCTTCTTATCTGACGTCGTCTTCTACCATGCCGTCTCCTTTCTTCCTCTTCTTCCTCTGGTGGAAGATTTTCTGCATCATTTTCTGGTTCCTCTGACTCATCAGCAACTTCTGACTCTTTATCAGCTTCCTCATTTTCCATCTCGTCCGAAATTTTTCCTTTTTTGGATAACTTTCTCTTCTTTTCCTTCTTCTGTCCAATACCCTTTCCATCAGATTCTTCATCCTCGGCATTTTCATTATCTTCATCAGCAACAATCTCTTCTACTTCTTCATCTTCCTCCTCTTTTGAAGGTAACTTTCTCTTCCATTTATCTTTTTCATCTTCATCAGTGTGCGATTCTTCCTCATCATCATAATTAGCATCACCTTGTTCGTAATCGTCGTCATAGTCATCGTAATTTTCGTCATATTCTGAATCTTCTGGTGGCTCTTCTGGTTCTTCCTCTTGTTCTTCTTCAGCTTTACTGGCTTCTTCAGCCTCTTTCTTTTGCTACAGTTTTATACAATAATTAAAAATACAGTAAACGCTTCGCTCGCAAATTGTAGGTCTGGTTATCTACTAACCTTCATTTCATCTTCGCCTTCAGACATTGGTTTCCAGTTAGCTTCCCCATGCTCTTCGGCATATTGTTCGTCATTTGTTAATAATATGTTATCGAAAACGGATCCTCCCTTTACTTGCCACAGTTCAAATCCAATTCCTCCAATTTCTTCAAAATTCAGTAATTGAGGATCTGGGGCGTAAAGCGGATTTGGTACAGTGGGTCTCTTCCACTTTCCTTTAAAGTTAGGGTTTTTCATATCTCTTGGTTTCCAGATGCCTTTATAATTTGGATTTTCTTGCATAGGTGGCTCCCACTCTCCATCCATTTCTGTATCCCAATCTTTTGGTTTTTCAGCCTCTGGATCAGGAATTAACTGATTCTCATCCCAATCCGAGGGTTTCGTGTCATTGGGATCTGTTATGTATTCTCTTTCATCCCAGTAGGAAGGCTTAGTAGCATTTTCATCCTATATAAATAAGAGTAAATATCTTACTCTTTAGGAGAATCATACTCTTCTAAAACAAAAAAGTTTACCGGTAAAGTTCTAGGAAGCAAAAATGCATAATGATCTTCTAAGATTCCTTCGTGCTTCACTTGATTGTCAATTTTCACTTTATAGGTCTTATTCGCATACATAACCATTGTATATAAGTGTGTTTTTCCATCATTCTGACAAAGCATAGAATCGTGAAGATATTAAATTTAATAAATATACGATGACGCTATACCTCACAGCTAATATTGTACTTATTTGCGTGATATTTTTCCTTATAATGGAAAATAAGTTGAACTTTTTTTGTTTCCTGACCACATATATCTGGACCAAACATGATAAAATAAGGAGAGGAGCCGTTAAGGGCTCTGTGATCTAAGGTAGCTGGAAATAGCTACAGAAAATAATAAGAAATATAATATATATTCTAACATAATAGTTTTATTAAACACCTTAATGTATCCCCCACCACACTCGATATCTTCGACAAACTTTACTTGATACTGAATAACTAACGTTTCATTTAAATTGGAAAAGGGCGTAAAATGTGTTGATATTGCATGAAATTTGTTATCATCTATCATTTTTAAGCCTCGATCTCTGTCTTGATCTCCATAATACTCTGGAGTTCCAAGCTCAAAACCTCCGGCTGCTTCTCCAAGAGCGTCTGATTTAATCCATGTTCTTTCCCAAGAATCATCTAAAAATATAATTTTTTAAATAGAAATTGCAATTTCAAAATACAGTTATTTTTTACTTTTGAACTCCTCTAAGAACCATATTTTTCTTTCTGAACAAACTGTCGTGAAAAGGATGCTAAATAATAGTAGCATATTCATCGTTTAAAGTTTGAACGTCTACTAGAAAGCAACGTATCTCTTTAGAAACATTTTACCCATGACACTTGCAAACAGCTTATTGGTTTGAAATTTCAAGTTGTCTTAAAACTATTGGTTGGGAATAATCGTGACAGTTATCTCATTTATATATAATAATTTTCATGCACAGTTTATTCAATTCCCTTTTTGCAGAACGCCATCTGTAAGTCAAATAAACTGCTATATTGATCTGCAAAATGGCGTAATGCAGGTATATATTTTTTACGTATTTTTATATAACGTTTACAAAAAACGTTATATAATCTATTATAAAGTATATTTTCAGCAAGTTGTTAGTAATAAGAGCTTTTAAAGTAGAAACGTTGTATGTTATTAACATATCTATCATTGATAGTATGAATGGACAATCATAGATTAGAATTATCCTTTCGTAAGCACAAACACCTAATTAGCTGTTTATTGTCGCTGAGTTGTTATTGTTAGGAATTAGCATATACTTAAGAAATAGTTGATTTTTGACTTTATAATACGAATTTATCGAACAATTGATATATTTCGGAAATTGTTGGCTTTACAGACAAAATAACTTTATTACAGCTTTGATTAAGATTTATAATATTAATATAATAAAATGTAAAAAAATGGAATAACTACTACAATTTCTCTTTTCTACTTTTCTTTACTTGTTGTTACAACAATCGTTTATTTGACAATTTTCAATGATACAATTTTCTATTTTTACTGTAATGTTTACGTTCTATATTAAGCTTTCACGCTGAAAAGAGCAACGAAAAGCCTAATTAACAATAAAAAATTCATTAAGTACTCTTTCTTATTAATAGTAACAAAAGAATAGGATAGGCCTGAACCTTTATATTTATATAAATATATCGCGAATACTATGTGATAATAATAGACTCAATGCATTGTTAAGCAAGAAAAGCTTTACCAATACTCTTCTCGTATTGAAATGTTCTCCAGTCTATTCTTTTCAAACCTGCAGCAACCGCCCTTAAGAGAATAGCTGAAAATGCCTGTTTTCGAAAATTTGATGAAGAAAATTCGCTCGAAAAAGAAAAAGGAAGAGGCTCCAAGAGAACTTCAGTGTTATTCAAAAGTAGTTAGATCTATTACAAACGAAGCTGTTTATGTTTCGCCAAGCCGATATTCAATAGAGGAAGCTTTAAGAAGTTCTACACCGTCCAGTCACGTTTATGAAGAAATACCAGAAGATAAATTAGATCCAACAATTACCGAAATTTGGAGTAAAAGTTCAACAAGAACAAATGTCAGTAGTCCTGTAGAAGTTGTTAAAGAGAAGTTAAATAAAGAAAATGCGGAATACTTAGATTTATCTTCAAGACAGCAAGTATCAGAAAGGTATATTATTAATTATTAAATTTATAAATTGTTGTAAATTATACTTTTACCACTGACCTAAATCTCATTCAGTTTTTATTTAAATATTCAATTATTATCAATTGAAAAATTTAGGATAAAAAAATTGTATTGTATGTTTTATACATATACCTTTACTTTCTTAGTAACAATTATCTAACACAACAGTATACACTATAAAGTATACACTTTTCAAAGTCATTTATATTATACTAACATATATACAGTATATACAGTATATACAGTATACTGTATATATTTATAAGGTCGATATATTAGTAATTTATCCTATACAAAAATTTGATATACATTCTTTTCTTATATAAAAAGTTATTATAAAATATTTTTTCCTCTAACTATATTTTTGCACCTATTTATAAGAAATTTAAAATGTTTCTTACGTACTTAACTGACCTAGTTTCTTTATTAAAAATAAAGTTATTCAAGCTTTTTTACAAGTTTTTAAAAGAGATTATTTAAGTAAATAAGGTCGGAAAATAAAGTAAAATTAAGTATTTTATTAATAAAAACAATAACCTTAGGGGGATTTTTTGTATTATTATCATTGGTATTACTATATATAGTTCAAATCTCTATAAGAAAAAAGTAAATGAAATCGTAAATCTTCTATTTTAAGAGTTATTTACGAACTCTGCTCCTAAGGTCTATAGAGTTCAGCTTTTCTCTCAAGATCCTTAGTCAAAACATCTAAAAGAGTGTTACGTAATAATTCAATATAGCCTAAAGGTGTAGAATGCTCTGAATTTTTTAGGTGTAAATCTATCAAAGATCAACTATACGAGTGTGATTGATGAGTAAAGAGAGAGAAACTTACTTTAAGTTTGTTTATTTATAAAAGGTAACGTGGCAGGTATTTTGTCGGGTTTTCTCTTCTTTTTGATTCGACTATTGTAAAAAGCGAAACTATAAATAAAAATAGAATGTAAAGAAAATAAGTGAAAAGAGATTCGCTAAAGGCAATAAGATATTTGAAAAATTTCCGTCCTTTGTCCATGTTCCGACCAAGCTGTTAGAAAGGGTATTGAGATAAGTGTTCTCATTATTAGACGTTCATTCTATATTTGAGTGAGGAAAAAACATCTAGCACTTTTAGGGCTTTATTATGATATTACTACGAAGAATGGAAAATTGACTAACTACTAATAAATAGTTCAACTCTTTGAAAGAGAAAACATAAAAAGTAAATTTTGCAAGTATTAATGTATTGTCAGCGCAAGATAAAGCATTTAAAAATCTTAAGAATGTTTATACATTCCTCTATCTGTCAATAATTTATCAGTATGAACTAATGTACTCTATTTTTAGTAACTTTTTCATTATTGTATCAATATTTTGTTAAGATATTTTAAATGACAAAATATAATTTATCATCTGCGAATTGTTATGAAGATAGGAAAGGAATGAGGGTCTCTTCATTTAAGGGGGAAATTTTTTATAAACTTCAGTTAAACTTATGCCTAAGTTGAGCTAAAATTAATATTGACATGACCGATTTGTATACGTAGGTATTTAAAGTAGACCAAGCTAAAAAATATCATTTGAATTTGAATTTTTTATTTAATATTATTTGTTAAAGTATTTTATCTTGATGAGTCTATCCAGGGGAGGCGGGGGAGGGAAAAGAAAAGAAAGAGTAGTTTATAAGATTTTAGGCTGAATTGATAGATTTCTCGCAGTGCTTACAACCCGTTTAATTAGATACTTATAATATTTCTTATCATTTTTCAGTTGCAATAAATTCTACGAAACATCTACCGATGATACATATTCGGAATATGACTTACCCAAAAAGGATTTAGAATACGAATACATGAGAGAAAGAGTTAGGGAAAATAGATTAAGAACTGAAAATGTTTATAAAAAAATGTTAAGTGAGAGCGGGAGCGACAGTGGATGCGAACAAGTAAAGTTTACTAAAAAATTACATAAGAAGAATAGAATTTTAAAACCTGCCGAATATGTGTTACCTGATTGGAATCAGATATACGAACCCTATTTAAACAAGAATAGTAGTGAAAATCGGAAAAAAACAGTTGAATACGATCCGAGATTATCTTGCAGAGTGACTGATTATTCCTTACCAAAATCTGCTGAGAATCAACGACAACGATCATCCACAGCTTCTAATGTATTCCTCGATGATTTAGTTTGGGCTAATCATAATCGTGTATTAATGTTAGATTTATGATTGTACATTATTTATTTTTGAGTTGTTAAGATATAGTTAAAATGTTTCAATTTGTTTTTGTTTTACCTTAAATACTAACTCTTTGACGAATATTTGCAAAGAAATATCTTTTCTTATTTTACAACCTTTCTCTATTCCATCTTGTAGCATCTTTTCAAAAATCAATCAAGTGGGTACGGATATTGTCTTTAACAGATTATCACTGTTACATACCCCCTTCCTATATTAACATTTATACATAATTAGGTCCAGATATCAGTATTGAAGACCTAAACTTCAACAATTTTTTTAGTCAGCGCCATCTATAGGTATATCTGTAACCACAATACATATTTCACGTATCAGATTGATTATTGCAATATCATTTTATGTTTTATGTATTGTTTTATTAAGCTTTTTGCTCATATCCCTACAGTAGGCGTGCAAAATAAGGTATAAGAGCATTATTAAGGATTTCGAAATGCATACATTTATACCATCAAAAATAGAATTTTATGCAGAACATATGTGTTAATAGCCAGAAATTTTTAATCTATATAGTCTAATCTATACTTTCAGTTTGAATTTTATGTGTAAAGAAAATGTTAAAACAATTTAAAAATTGGAATTTTCAACTTAGTTAGTGGTCTTGTTTCTTCAATAGCCTGTTAAATTTTTATGAATGTCTGGAAGGTCGGCGATGACAAAGCCTAGAGCTGTAGTTTTTATTTATTGTTCGTGCATTAAATTGTTATTAGACCTATACAACTTGGGTATTGTTCACGATCCCGGAATGTGAACAATTTCAAGGTTAATTATATACTGTGTTGTTAAAACGAAACTCATTCGAACAAGTGTCGGCTTTGCTTGAAAAAAAACTAGACATTAATTATCCCTTTCAGTTATTATAATTGCCACTTAGAGAAAAACTGTTAAAAGTTCAAAAGTATTTTTATTGAAATAAAGATATAATTTTGACAAGAGCCAAAAAAAAGCAAAGATTTGGTTTGTAAAATCTATTAACTTAGCAGTAGGCGTAAGCCCGGTTAGCTCAGTCGGTAGAGCATGAGACTCTTAATCTCAGGGTCGTGGGTTCGAGCCCCACATTGGGCGAATGATTTTTTTTTAGTTATCGATTGTTGCTTACATTTGAACGTGTTCGTAAAATATTCAATAATTAACTCACTATAGATCAATTTCTTTTTTTGGATTCACAGAGTGAAAAACAAAATCTTGTACTTTTCTATTAAGAAAAAAAGAGACATACTATTACTTGCAAATGTTTGGTTATAAGGTGAATATTAATTGGTGATACCTTGACCTGATTACAGGACCTAAGCTTAAAAGCAACGGTATTATTTTCAAACCAGTTGCGCATAGATCGGAGCCCCTGCTGTTGCACCGCATTTGTTTTTTATCTAACGTTGTAGACCTATAATAAAAAGTACTAACTAAATTTCTATGTTGTTTTTAGACTAAGAATTAGTTGGCCTACGACACAATCCAGTCTGAATCTGTTACATTAACTTTCAGCAGGCTAAAATTAAGCATTCAAATACATACAATTTATATTTTAAGGAAAAAACAAAGCAGCTAAACAAATAGCAAAATCGCTCAATTGAATAATAATAATCATAATACTAGTGAGGGAGTAAGAAGGATTTATTGACAAACTATTAATGTAAGGTGTATATATATATAGAAATTTATGCATATATTTAGAAACATAAATGTATATTTATAGCTATATATTTGTTTTCCTATACAGTATATACTTTAGAAGCATATAATACCAGCGTCAATTATGCTTTGATCATAGTTTGTCAGGGAGAAGAAAAAATTGTATATAATTATAAGCAAATTTATCACTGAAGAGAGCAGCATTTCCCTTTTGGGGGTAAACGTTCCGCAGATTGCGGTCCGTCGTTGCTCTCAATTTTTAAGAGTTTTACTTCAACTTGCTGGGGGGATGCTTTTGGAGCCGATTGTTGAACAAGGTGTTGAGCGGCTTGTAAAGCAGGTTCTTCAACTGAAGTTGCAGGAATCTCACTCACCCTACTCTCATCCGGATCTGCTATGTTAACGCTTGTTCGACATATCGTCGAATGTTCCATAATATAATCAGCTATTTTCGATAATTCTCCGTCGCTCTTGAATGGGTTTTCGATGCTTTCTTCTACTCTGAAAAAGATATGCATGTTAGTTGTGTACCGGAGTAGAGTGTTTCATATTAACTGATTAATAGTTTCCTTTTGTTCATTTTGTATTGTACTACTATTTTCAGCACTGTCTTTCGATTTAGATGAATTCGGCAAAGTTCTGTCCCACGATTCATGAAAGCTAAGGCTTTGAGCCGGCTTTCTACTACAATTATGACGTTCACAATTCTCCATTGTTCTGTCAATAATCGTTACTTGTTTAAAGTGCTTCTCACCCCTCCAACTGCCATTTTTTTCACCTCCTTCAGCATATTGAATACCGGAAGAAGATCTTTTTAAAGAAAAAAAATACACGTTGAAAATTCACATTTAAGTAAACAAACGATTTTTAACATCAACAGCCTATAATTTATAGAAGAGACTCTTTAGATTCCAACGACTCGTACAGAATTAGGTATACAATTGAAAACCTTGCAACAAAATTTACTAAATAATGTAAGCCTACAAACGGAATGTATATATTTTTGGTGTTCAAAAGCGAGGATCGAATATGTTATAAGCTTTTTAAAACGTGTCGACGAAACAAGCCGAGCTCGTTTTTTTTACTCTGATGAATTAGGCCTACATTCTGACGCAAAATTTTTTTTTGTAAGGAGAATTAAACGTAAGAATTTTTTTCTCCCCTCCCCTTTTCTTAAAAATTCATTATTTTCTTTAACTACTCCCTATTTTAAAGTTTATCTATAGTATTGAAAGGGATAACGACGGTAATAATAAACCGTTTTTCTAATGACGACAAATAAACAGCCATAACAACAATATGTCTATATAATTCACAGTCTGCCCTTTTCTCTCCTTGTCTGTCCTCCTATTTTTTTATGTCTAGGTTTTATAGTTACAAATTTTCCTTAACTGTATTAAAACGATTAATATCCTTCATATATTCACCGTTCCGAAACGGAACGATCGATTTTTTTCCTTCTAAAGTACATTTTAACGTAACGACTAGACGCCTGTCCGGCGTTACTTTATCGCTCGATACGCTTTCAACATTATTCAATTTAATCAAAAAAGATACTTACTTCACCATTGTAAAATTTTTGTTATATCGAAGACGACCTATCAAATTGGCCGCCCTCTCACAATATTACATATTATTACGCAATTGTGGTTACAGATATTCCATTCCATGAAAATTTTCCACTGCAAAATGCCGGGGAATTGATCTTTCGTATACGGTAGCGCCATCACTTGGCCGATTATTTATCGCCCTAGGCCTACGCGCCAACTATAAAAAGAATAAAAAAAGAGAAAATAAACGCCCTTCATTATTATCTTTTTCTCAAAAGACTATTGAACTTGAAAGAACAGTCCTAACTTTAATTATTCCATTTTGATTATTTATGCAATGGAAAAAAGTTTCTCTTTGCCAAAGGCCAGAAATTTATTGTTTATCTCAAAACTTGTCGCCTTTTTATATAGGAAAAATCACCGAGTCCAGCCTCGGGAATGTAAATATCAGACACTCGTCTGACTTTGTTTACACAACTGCGTTCCGTCTTTAAAGCGAATTGTCGTTTAGGAAATAATTCCAATTACTCTTAGACCTTTTGACATTTATTAAGGCCCTTAACTTAAACAATGATCCTTCTTAAAATAAATATACAAACAAATTTATAGACTTTATATATATATATATATATATATATATATATATATAAATTTATATATATATTGGAATATATTGTATACTGTATAACAATAGTTGAATACAATTGTCAGCCAATTGTATATATTGTTATAAACTCCTGAAAAAGGTAGGATATATATTTTAACTAATTAAATCAATAGAAAAAACTCTTTCAGAATGAAAACATTAGTTTAGTATTAATTTCTTCCTAACCGCATTTATTGGTACCATTTTAGGAAATGCCAATATTTGTTCAAGAAGAAAGTATACTTTGAACTGCCTCTGATTTATAGGCGTTTTTTTTATAAATTATATTGTATTTGTATATTGTTTACTATGTATTTATAATAAAAGATTGACTTGAAATAAATGAAAAATATTCATATTAGCTGAACTATCATCTAAGAATATCTTGATAATATAAAATGCTAAGAGGATTATAAAAATCATTTAATTAAATTGGAATACAAATGTTTTTTCTTCACTTGAGAAACTAATCCCTTAAAAAGACAAAATAACGTCCAAGTAAAACAACTACGACAAATAATTTCCGTATAAGGAGATACGAGTGCTATCACTCATAATTAATATCAAATATCGTAAATTTATACATATTTGAATAGATACGAAAATAACAGTATTTACAAGATTTGTAAAACGAACGTTTTTTGAAATTATATTCTCATTTTTTGTCAATATCCTCGGTTGAACTACGAATTCGAAAAAAAACAATTCTAGGCCTAAGGCATGGTGAAATTCAACAGTATATCGACAATTGAGGCTATATATCACTGACAAATCGCGGTTAAAGCTTGTTAAGAGATATAAACGTTATACGTAATAAATTATTTAATGGTAACAATAAGACACAGTTATTTACTCATAGAATAGTAATTTCAACTGCCCTAGTTGGTATAAATTAAAAATAAAATTAGAATTCGCTTCAACTTAACAATACATGTTGAATTCTTTAAAGTAATACGTTATTATGTCTTTTTATCTGAAGGGTTTAATCCTGATTATAAATTCTAACTCCCTTTAATTGTATTATTCAATTAATAACAGTTAAAATAAAGTTATTGCTCGTTAATAAATTTTTTATTTATTTATTGACACGGTGCTGACATCTTAGGGGTTGAAATTTAACAAAATTGTGAATAAAAAGTTCTTGGAAGTTACGTGCCGAGAAAATTAAATACCATATCATTAACAATTATACCTTTAACATTAGAATCTCTTTTTTTATCTTCTTCCTTTCAATAAACATCCGTAATCATGATCTATTGCATAATTATTCAAAAAGGAGAAAAGCTTAATTACAGTATAAAACTAGGATTTCCTTTTAACCCATGATCTTGATAACACCAATATAAAATATACAAATGTATACATAGTAGATATCTACGAATTTTGACATAGTTCTTTGCCAAAGATGTTGATAACAGGATAATCTGTAACAAATAAACGGTTTTGTTTGAGGAATGGGCGTATCATTATCAATTCACGTCTATAGTTATATTTGCTTTTTGAGTAGTATTGCCGTAGCCAATCTACGTTGAATTGGGAGGATAATGTGAGAAAATAACAGACTTGATCAATCATCCTTCAGTTGACTTTGCTATTTTTTGTTTTCCTCAACTTTTCCAAATCTACAATGAGAGCAGTTTTGAGATTTCCTTCTATTATGCTATGCTTTTAAAGGCTAGCTAAGCCTGATGAGGTTTCGTTATGACTGCTTTATCGAGCCTAAATATCAACCAGCACTTAACAATATTTACCTACATAGCTCTCAGAAAACAGAAATTGCCCGAAGTTAGACGGCAAGTTAGAAGTCTAAGTCAATGAAATTTTTTACTAAATTACACAATTACAATAGAAAACAGTTGTTTTTGTTTGAAAATTCAATAGTTAGATTTTTCTGCACGATTGTAATTACCCTTTTTAACCTTAAATAAAAGTATTTAAGGAAAGTCAATTAAGCATTTTTGCCTTCTATGAAATTTTTCTTTACATAACTCATTCTAATACAAATTCTTCTTCGTTTATTCTAATTATTACATTGAGAATATAAGAGTCAAAATATATATAGCGAGAATTTCATCCTATTTACAGAAGACTTGTAAAAATCCAATCGACAATAATTAGATAGGATATTACAAGTCATCATTTAACATTCTTATAGTCAGAGAACCGAAAACTATTTGTTATAATTGAATATTGGAACGATATTTTGGGGCCATAGAATAATTTATAGTACCCAGTATCCTGAATAGTTTGGGATATAAAAGAATAGTATAAGAATGAATTGCTAATTTTATTAGCGCGATTTAACTACAAACTGAAAGTAAGAGTAGAATTCTTTTATTCCGCAGTAATACAATCTAATCTAGTATCTAAAAAAACCTTAGGGGTAGCTAAGTGGAATACTTTCACTCCACTTGCCTTGATAATCCCAAAAGTACCATACATGGGAAATGCTTTACAAAGTTATTGTCTTTTTTTTACCGACAAAGCTTTTATACAAGACTTTTGTAAGTCTCTTACTTATATATATTACTAATCGAATTGATACAATTGTACAGTTTTTTCTCATCTACATTAATTCCTTCTATTCTTATAGTTATATACTTCTTCGATAATGCTTCAAAGTGGTTTATATTTAGAGTAGAATGTGTAATTAGATAGATCTACATATCCTGTCTATACTTGTTTATTAAAATAGCAGTTATTCAAATTCTTTCCATGGACCTTATTTAGGTTTTTCACTTGTATAATTCAGACAACCGTTTGTTTACTTCATGCTAAATCACTTTCGAGAGTTAAAACGTGACCTAGTGGGAGAATATGAAATCTTCCAAATTCCTTAGGTGTATAAAACAACAGTTGAGAGAATCTCAGAGGCATAAGGGCAACGAAACCAAAATTCGGTTGAGTCAGAGAACCATATTTTGTATTTTAGTTGAAAAGTTGAGTCATTGGTAGTAATAGCCTTTTGCTAAAGAAAAGTTTATAATTACACTGTTAGTATAGCCTATCTGCCAAAAATAACATCCAAACTCAATGAAAAGCTGTGACTTCATTATAGAATCTTTAGATAGAATTATTATGGTAATTACGAAAGCTCTTGTGTACATGTCTGTGATTTAATTGTGATATTTGTATCATTCGTTTCATCTAAATGTTGTTTAAAGAAAGAGCTGCGAAAAAGATCCTTATCAGTTCAGAGCATAAGAAAGACGTTTATCATTTATTCATCGAAACGAGGCAATCGATTCCTAATGTCCCAGAAAACGACTTTTCCCAGATTACGGTTACGCTTCATTAGTTTCATCCTGAAATCTTTAGGTCAAAAATTCCCCCTCTTCACACTATATGAATAGCATCACTCAGTTAAATAAATTTTAATCAACTATCTAGTTTCTTCAGCTGTTTATCTAAAATAAATTTTCTCTCTGTACAAGACATTGAATCAGATAAGGCGGTAGTTCTTAATCACTACACTCCGAAATGATATCACACTCACTGGGTATCTTAGATCACAAGATATTGAACTAGTTTCTTTCAAAGGTGGGCAAATGAAAGTAATTATCTGTATTACCTGGCAACCTAAAATAACCCATTTGATCTATAAAATGTGATTATCAAAGGCCTAAAACGAAAGGAAAATGTTTACGGAAATAGGTCGAAAGTTCCTATTAGGCTTTATGGTTAAAAATAATTAACAATAAATATAAAATGAAATAATTGTAATTGAGCTTATTTTTTACAAAACGAATTACTTAAAACAATTCAGTAATTTTATTACAGGAAAAATTAACATCCATATTACATATCAACATTCATCAGTTTTAAACTGCAAGTCTGCTAGAGCGTGTAAATCAAACTAGGAGCGAATTCGCAACACGAAGTAGATATTTATATAATAAGTATGCGCTGAATTCAGTTCTGTAGGTGAGTAGCTACAAATTCGTAAGATTAAGGTCTTGTCATTGTCTTACAGATTGGGTATGAAAAGTCTCTCAAAAAAAGGATTTAAATGTTATAAAAACAATTGATTACGTGATACATATCCATTAAAGTAAACATTATATAATGGATAGAGTTAAAAAAAATCACAACCGTCGACTGATTAGCGTTGTATAACCCTGAAAGCTAGAACAACCATACTGAAAATCGCCCCGATGTTTGGAAGAAAGCAAAAACCTCCACATTGTTGAATGTCCCGCTGAAATAAATAAAATATTTTCGAATGGTATATAAATCTAGATAGATTGAAAGTTATAAACTTACGCTCATACTGTTGTCAAAACAAAATTCAGGCCGTCTCCGAAATCTTTTTTCCACGTCACATTTTTCATCTATAAAATTCGGATCATCAGGTAAGATTGAGTTAAGGAAAAAATGGCTTTTAAAATAAGAATTTGATATCACTACAACTTTGAAACTATTTAAAAAAAGGATATTTTCTACTGGTTTATGATGGAGAAATTCATCATAACACGATGGCTCGCATTTCGTAGCTGCATCTTTAAATACGACTAAATACAAATTTGTTTCCTTTATTTCATAACCCTGAACACTTCTGAAAAAGTTACTTTTCATATTAGCAAAATGTTTATAATAAGAATGTAACACTACGTTACCCTCTCGTACATCCGTTACATCCGGAGAGTGTTCGTGTAAAATGAGGATCAGATGATCTTTGCAATAAATATAGAGATTCTTTTTTAATACAACTTCTGTTTTGAGTGATAGGAGAACCAATGGCATCTACCGTGTTTGACACTGTAAATTTGATTGTTAGTAGAATACGTGTGTTATGATTTAAAGAATATTTACCAGATGAAGATGTAAGTAGTGCCCAAAATCTATAAAAGAAAATGGCATAAAAAATTAGATTTATAAAGATTCATCTATGAAGCTTACAAATTAAAATATCCAATTATAGTTGATATTTTCAAATTCCACCATTTAAAAGTCAAAAGTTCATAGAAAAAAGGCTACAATGTAAATTTAAATTAAAACAATTGTTTAAAGCAATTGAATAATAATATACCAAATTTGCGGTTTTTCCAACGCCACTGACTGTGCGTTGAACAATACTGCAAGACGCTTGATAGTCGTAAACTTTTGTTCTGGATGATAAAATTTATTGACAAGATAATATAAAAGACTGATGATGGAAATTTACTCATTAAATCTATTTTCCTTTATCAGTAATGCCATAATCTGCACAAACAATTGTTGATCAGTGATACTTCCCAAGAAAGAACCAATCTGTGTAAATAAGTTGCTTATATTAATTTAAATATGATAAACTTAATCTTGCGAACTTACATATTTATCGTCGTTTTCATTTGATGAAACTACCAAAAAGCCTCCATCATCTAACAATAGACAGAAGTTTTTATCCGTACATCTATTTATATTACTTCTTAAAATATCTCTTAATGACTTTGGAGGTATTTTAACACCAATGACTGAAAAATATAGGTATGCTTTGAACTATTTTCTTTTTTAATGAACGTTATCTTCATACCTGCGTCTTTCACAGTGCCGGAAAATGTTCCCACTGATTTTCCTGCAATTATTGATGCTGTGCAATTTTCATCCATACATTCTATGAGAAAGCAGTGTAAATTAAGTATGTGGAATATTTTGTTTTTGAAATATTTGATACCGCTTGCGTCAGATGTAGAAAAAAACCATTTATCCAAGTCCAATGCTCTTTTGAAAAAAGTTGACTCCCAAACGTCAGCACTACTAAGATAAGTATCTCGAGATCTAAAATAGCCATAGCCTATTAGACATATTCTAAAATATTTAATTAGCTTAAAAAACTAACGATTCTGGGTAAAATCTTGTCATTCCACTACCCGATGCAAAAAAGAACGACAGAATCGGTTGCCTTGGATTAGCTTCCTGCCAAATATTCGGCAAAGAACTAGTAGAAATTATATCAAATAACAAATGATCCAATAACTTATGGTCACCTTTGTATTAGAAAGTAATATTTATACGTAATTAGGTCGAAAATTAAGTTTTTATTACTTACAAGTTAAACTAGGAAGATCAATGTTTAATAAGTCTGGAATTGAAGTAATATTTTCGCACCATTCCCTGTAGAAATCAACAAGCCATTATTTTGACTTTACATCAAATTAAGCCTAATCTTACCAAGGAGAAATGACCATCATTTCATCTTTCAACATGTGTTTTGCTTCTCTATAAAATCGATCTTTGTCTTTATTAACCTTGTCAAACATGTGCTTGCGATACGGTGGTAATACAATAGCGATACTATATATGAAAGTCATTTAGAGAAATACCAAAGAAAATAGTAATTTTAAACAAGATACCTAAAAGTTGTATTTTCAATTCCAATATAGTGATACGTTCTTGTATTATGTAATATATGACCGTCACTAGTAACTCTAGTTAAACCTTTTACAGTCATAGTTGACTCAGTTTTATTAATCATCTCTTCTCGAACCTAGAGCGAATTAAAAATAGTTATTTACAGAAAATAGAATACCAGTCACAAACCAATTTTAGATCATCGCTTTCTATTTGAATTTCTAATAAATCTACTGTAGGAGGATCCGATAACCATCCGTGTTGAGCTTTGAGATCAGGATGAAAAAGAATATAACCATTATTATTTATTGCAAACGCGTAACCGTTTGGCCCAAGCTGTGTTAAATTAAGAAGTTAAAAAGTAGTAATTTTATTATATATGGTGAAAAAATTACTTTCTTCCAAGGTATATGTCTCTTCAGTTCATCAATTGTCACATCAGTTCCCATTACTCCCAACAATGTGTCATTTTTCTGAAATATTTTAAACCTTAGAGATAAATATATGTAACAATTCTACTCTATTTACATCTAAGTCTCGCGTTCTGTTGTAAACAGGCAATGTTACAGTTGTCATAATACCCAATCTCTGTAATAAATATAAAAAAATATTCATTAAATTCGATTCTCCACACAGAATAAAATTATATCAATATTGTCTAAAGCGTGCTAATGCGTAAATAATTATAGCATTCAACAAAGCTATAATAATAAAAGTAATAATAAAAAATATCAGATAAAATAGAAAAATCACAAACTTGGTGAAATCTGTTAGTCCAAACAAGTTGTCTCGCCTCATATGCAAGTTTTCCAAGGTAAATCTATTAGTAGGGTGAGGGCAAATGTGTTTTTGTATTAGTATTAAAACATATCAACAAGTTAATAAGTAATTAGAGGTAAAATAGAATGATTAAAAGAAGTTAGCATGAGAATTGTTATTTTTTGCAATTTTGTAGTAGTCTAGTTTGCAATGTCACTCTCAAAATAATTTTTACCATATAATCCAAATAAGTTTTGGACCATGTACGGTGAATGGACCAAGTTTTAGGGTATTCTTTACTGATACCGTGTAAGTAGCTCTATCAGAATGTATTTTGCTTATTATATCAAATACTTTTATTTCTTATTTTACAAGTCATTATTTCTAGTCAATTATTAGTGAAAATTACCTGTACTGTAGATCGAATGTCACCCATTGCTGGTACGCGAGAATAATAGCCTATACAAAGAACAAAACAAGCATATTCAATTAAGATCATTCATCAAAATATCAACTAACCTCTATTAGCGCAAGCAATCCATCTAACTGCGGCGTAAGGATTTGGTTGAGGACCAACCATATAAGTAAATATTCTAACTTTCTTTTCTGGCCAATTATAGTTTTCGAAAACCTCTTCTGCAGTATCCGTTCCTCCGTCAGTAAGAAACATAATTACTTTGTTGCAATTAGCTCCTTCTAAATCCCCCTCATCCATTGACTTGTTGAACTAAAGTATAATAATACTAGGAAGACTATCTTTAAATAATTGTTAACACAAACTTCCTTTATCCTTTCAAATGCAAATTTAAAAGCATTGTTGTATTTTGCCATTCCCTTAGCTTGTAAATCGTCTATAGCTTTCAAAAGAACCTGTAATCAAATATTTTTTTCAAATTTTACGAGAGAATAATTAACTTGTAAATTTAGATTGATTAAACTTACTTGTTTATTCCTTGGGTTTGCTTGAACAAATTTTCGGAAACATCCTACATAATCCGCTTGATCTGAAAACTAGTATAAAAATTCTTCTTAAAAAAGAAATTTCGTACATTGACTTTCTCATGCGTACGTCAAGGTGTTTTCTACTAAGTGAGCATGCATCCTTCAACAGAAGGAAAAAATTGTATTTTTTTAAAGGGTCAGGCGAGGATACAAACTTTAATTAATCAAAAATTTTATTTACATACTTAATTATGTACAGATAATGATAAACAAGGCACATACTCAATCTATTAATTCTGTATAAGACATTAATTTAAGGAATATACTATTTAAACTTATTTCTTATTACATATACTGTATATAAGAAAATATTTTTCAACATAAATAAATTTACAACTTGAACTTAAATATAATTATGATTCATTAAGGTCATTACTATATAATAAGTGATGGATAATTTGACTTTTGTGACGTTTACTATAGAAAATTATGTATAATATAACATGCGCCAGTTACATATTTTATAAAAATTTATCTAAAAACTGAAAAAATTAAATAACGTAAAAATAATCTACTTTTGTGCGCCATATAAAAATGCACTGCTAGACGGATATTTATGGAAAGGGATTCAACTTTTCGTTGTCCAGGAAAATATCCAATAAACTACATAGTTTTAAGATATAAAAATATTTTTTTTTAAATAAGAACGCTTCCATTGGACACACAAAAAATGAATCATAAGTATTTAGAGAAGGTTATGGAGGTGTTTTCTTTTTCCATATTTTCTACATCTTCATAACATATTTATACTTTTACAGCCTTACGTTTGCTACAGCGACATAATCATTTTGTCCAAGCGTGCTAATTAGAGATTTAGCAGTCTCTTTTATTAAAGATAAGGCTTGTCCATATGTACTTCCACTCCTTTGAAAGCCGCATAGGTAAATATAATTATAATATTTAATTTCATCAATTTGGTATAAGTCTCACATGCAAAAACACTTGGTGAAAATTTGCACTCAATAGAAAAATCTTACGCTCAAGACAGAAACAAAATCATCTTCACTGAGTAAATCTAAAAATGACTTTGCAGTTTCCTTTATAAGTAATAAATTTTGACCCTGAGTGCTTCCACTCCTGATGAAAGATAAATGGTAATAATAAAATTTCTAAGTTTCTTTTTATAGAAATTTAAAAACATGGCATATTATACATTTCATTTAAAAAAGATGTATTGTAAATGTTCTCTCAAGAGATCTCTGATTTAATATGTACTCTATTATTAATCTCTTTGTAACGAGCAATAATGATGATAAATCCATTATTGTTTGAAATAGACGCTTCGACGTCACAGATTAAGTTCAAATTCCTTAGGCAAAATATTTCTACTTACGTATCTATAAGTATTAGCATGTCTTTTGGAGAACTGGCTCCCTGTGTGTACCAAGGACGTCTACGGACATCATATAAATCTGGTTCAATGTTAGACCATTTTATTCCTGAGGGGAGAAATTTTATTTTATAAGTTTTTTTTTAAATTCAATTATTTACCGGGAAAAACCCGCAGAACTCCAGTTTGACTTCCAAAATACTGCAATAGCATATTGTCATAGTTTTTAGAATTATTATACCATACTTCATCCAACTTGTTCGTCCATTTTAAGTCATTCAATATGTGTAAATCTAAAATTATTTAACCTTTTAGAAAAAGCTCTAAGACATTTTTAATTGTTTAATACAAACCACCCTCATAAATTTCTACTGGAATATGAACGCTTGAAGAATTATATGAAACATTTCGCATAAGACGTTCCTCGTAAACGAAGCCTTCTTCATTCTCCCTAATATTCCGAGCATTCTTATACGAAACATCTTCAAGCTGAAAACATTCATATATTTAATGTGTAATAAAAATATAATTTATTAGCTCCTTGTGTAAGTTTGAATTTACCTTTAGGTTAGGATCGTAACCATGCTGACCAGCGTATTTTTCGGCCTCGTTAACGGCATTCTGTTCGAAGAATAAATGCACTTTACGTAAGAAGAGAGATAAAAAAAAACATGCCTCTAAAGACTCGATTTTTTCTTGCAGTATTTTATGTAATTTGTTAGCCAGTTTTCGAACTAAATGACTGCCGTCTATATCCAAAGTAGTCGCATCAAATTCGTTGACTTTTTCGTTGTAATTTTTTACAATTTTTTCTATTAGTGTGTTACTTTTCAAAAAATCCAATAGTGTCTTTTGGAATTTTGCAAAAAGAGTTGCAAGTCTGTAATATGAAAGATGCATATACATAAAAATTGTAAGATTATTATTTGTAATGGTTGAAAAATCTAAAAATAGCGGCACACGTTCTTTGATCATCATCGAGTTTATCATAAATAAATATATGTAGAGTAGTTTTGAATAGTAATTATTATACTTTCAAGATTACACTAGCAAAGGAAATGTAATATATTATGAGTAAAAATGCACTTACGGATCGACACCCTGCACTCTCTCTTGGATAAGACTTACACAAAAAAACATAATTAAAATCTTCGGTGTTAGATGCATTTTGAAAATTAAATCTGCTAATGTCCTAGTACAGATGTTGTCGCCATTTAGAGATAGAAATGAATAGCATCTAATGGAACAAAATGTGAGTAAGTAACGGTAGCACTAGAAAAAGTGTGGCGAAGGCTACAACACGGTGCAGCATCTCGTTTTTCTACAAGTTTATAATTTATTAATATTTTTTATATCAACTTGTTCATTTATAAGTAATAAAAAAAATTCTTATCCGTTATTATTAAGAATAGTAATTGTGGTTACATTCTATTATTCTGTAGCAACTTTGCAAATACAAAAACAATAAATTCTCGTAACCATTCTTAGTACTACCATTTTCTTATACTATATAACGTCATTTCCGGAAAAATTGCTAGTTCTTAATGGAATATATGTATTTAAATAACTTAACAGAAACTATGATTTAACTTCAAAAACATTTAGGCTCAATCTGTTTATAATGTCGGAAAAGCGGTCATTTTTATTAATTTGCTTTAAAAATGCTACTTTATGGCACATATTCAGCAATTATTAGATGCCTGTCGTTTGGGCGAAGTGAACGCTGTTCTGGCCCTACTGAATCATGTTGACGTTAATGCTTCAGATCATCAGGGGGTTACAGCTTTACAAATGGCTTCAGCATGTGGTCGTATAGTAATTGTTAGGGAACTTTTAGCAAGGGGAGCGGCACTGGAGCAGGCAAACAACCTTGGATGGACGCCACTATTACACGCATGTAGAAGAGGTAGACTAGACGTAGCCGACATTCTCATTGCTAACAAGAGCAACGTCAATGCTAGAACAAAACACGGAACATCAGCATTAGTTTTGGCTGCACGGGGCGGCCATTCACTGGTAGTTAAATCCCTTTTAGACGCTGGAGTCGAAACATGGCCTCAAACTGCGGTGGACGTAACAGTGTGTGAAATTTCTGCACTAATGGCTGCCTCCCAAAAGGGACATCACTCAGTAGTTCGTCTTTTGTTAGACAAAGGTGCCGATGTAAATGCTCGAGCTCCGTCAACAGGCGTGTCCGCTTTAAGTTTTGCAGCTCTTTCCTCGAATGTTAGTTGTTGCGAAATTTTAGTTCAGAGAGGAGCTGATCCTGACCAATATGACGTAAATGGAAGAACACCATATTACTTAGCTAGACACAAATCGGTCAAAGATTACCTTAGGCAAAGAACTGATGGAGCATCAATTGTTGATGACCAGATTAAAAGATCAGAACAAACCCTTTTTCTGCAAGCTCTTTTAGAAGGTGATACTCTAAAAGTAAAATCATTTTTAGAACGAAACCCCTCCCTAGTAGACATTACTTTGACACAGCATGATGGAGCAACTCCTTTAATGCTAGCTGCTGTTAGGAATCAAACTGGAGTGGCTAAACTATTAATTGAGTATGGTTGCAATATAGATTCTCAGGACTCAAAAAATGGCTGGACAGCTTTGATGCAAGCTACCTATCACAAGTATGTATATAGCTCTTTTTCTAAATAAATAATGCAAAAAGATTTGTTACAGTAACGAAGATATGGTTAGATTGCTTTTAGAATCTAACGCCAACCCTAGAATTGTGAATCATGTGGACTTTACTGCTTTCGAACTTGCTACAATGAACATGGGAAATACTGAAATTTATCGATCGTTAGCCAAGGCTACTGACCCTAATTCTGGAGTTAGAGATGAGGCCAAGAAGAGATCTTGGAAGAAATTTCTTAGTAGAGTATCCTCTCGCTTTGGATCGACTCTACGTCCTTCATCTAGTCGCTTGTCATTAAATTCTACTCAAACTATTGTTGAAGCAGATCGAACAATGTCTAAAAAAGAGTTTGATCGCGTTATGAAGGATAGTGAGAGACAAAGAAGAATGGCTGAGAAAATGGAGAGAAGAAAAATCGTTTCTGCTAAGTCAATGCTCGATTTAAGTGCAACACCTTCACCAGCAAGTCTTGCAATGAAAACCTGGGTAAGATTTATTTTCATATTGTGCAATTAGTCATGTTTTAAGGAAATTCGATATTCTTCTAGGCACCTGCTAAAAACCTAGGCTATAAAAGAAATTCTCAATCAACTTGTAATTTAACTTCTATTGGAATGCGCAATCCAAACTGTAGTCCAGGATCATCTGCAACAGCTGTTGCTTTGTCTGGAACATCTAGTGGATCAAGCACGTTAACCAATGATCGGAATAAGCGAAAGCCATTGATTCATAGTCCACCATCGACAAGATCTCAGAGCTCTTTACCACTAAGTGAAGCTGTAGAGCATCTTGAAGATGAGGAAGATGTTGCTGGTGTTTTACGCCAATTATCTCTGCAGTCATATACTCCTGTTTTCGAAGAAAATGAAGTTGATATGGAGGCCTTTCTTACATTAAATGACAAAGATTTATGCGAGCTTGGTATAAATGAATCATTAGCGAGAAACGATATACTAAGCGCCATAACCAGAATCTCAACTAGGAATCGAATATCTTCGCCTTGTTAATGCTTTTCTTAATCTACTTCTCTATTATTCATGTGATGTTAAAGAATCTGTGATACAATCAGGTTTATTTTTAAGCATTTATCTATATTTTTCAGATTAATTTTTGAATCAAAATACAGTGCAATCTATCGTTGAAAATATTTTAGCCTGATGAGATATTATTAGGAAAATTGTAAACTTTCCTCATTTAGATAATAACTTATTAGTCTAGTTTTTCTTCTAAAAGTTGAAGTGTTCGATTTGCGGTAAAGAGTATCAGTTGGCCTCTGTAAAGATTTCTTTGTTAATTCACTGTTTGAAGTCGGTAAATTCCATAGACACAAAATGGAGGCCACTAAAACTAAAGTTGTGCAAAAGCCTAAAAATAAACAATATATATTCAAACTAATCAGCCGAAGAAGCAACTTACCAATTAATGATGCTGTTTTAACGGATAATTTTTCATCCGAAGTAGTTTTACCGTTATGCAATTTTTGAATGCTTAAACAATCTTCAAAAATATCTTTATGTTCAAGAATACACGATTGCCTTTCATCTCCTATTCCATGAGCCTTACAATAAAATATTCTTGTTTTATTCACATTTTGACATTCTATACTATAACTTAAACGAAATTTTCGGATTTCTGCTAAAAAGAAACCAAAAAAGAATATTTTTAATTGATAAAGCCAACAAACCAAGATTCGATAAAACTTTTGTCCTTTTCTTATGGTACAGATTATATAATTTAGTTTCTTCTTTAAGTAGAAAATTGACTTCAACAGATGAATTAGAAATAAAAATATCCACTTCACACTGAATTTTAGCATTAAATATTGGATGATAATTTTCATTATATCCTCCCTCTGTAATATTTGTAGTTAACCTAAGTTTACCCAGTGTAAAATTTGAACAAAGACAGGAAATGTTATCGAAGTTTATTAACAATATGAAAAATTGTTTTTGCAATATTTTAAAGCGAAAATAACTTTTCATAATCAATAATTCTATAATCTTTTTACTCTTATAGCCGATAATATTTTTATTCAATCAGTTGATTCAACTGGTACGATTTTAAAAAATTTTTTCGCTATATTAAATTATTATTAATTAGATTATTCATTATTAAATATTTGAAGCAAAAATAGTAGAGTAAACTCCATGTATCAGGTTATTGTACTTCGCAACGGAAGCTGTAAAGGTATTTTAAAAAAATTTTAAATATAAAAATTTTTAATTTTCTTTTAATATCGCTCAGATGAACACAATGGATATATAGTTTATTGTACTATAACTCTTATTAAAGGAGAGTTTAATGTTTTGGTAGATCCTGGTGGATACTGGGATCAAGAAGTTCTAGTTAAAGGTAATATCATTCTGGGTCAAAATTCAAATGACTTCTAAACAGAACAGAAATCATTAGGGTTAAAAGAAAATGACTTGGATCCAGCAGATATTGACTATGTTATTTGCTCTCATGGCCACTCCGATCACATAGGAAACTTGCATTTATTCCCAAAAGCCATTAAAATTATTTCCAATGACGTATCAAGAGGAAATGTTTACTTTAAAGATAATCCCCTTAAAAAGGTACATTTTAAAGAATTAAATGAAATCCTTTAGTTTGACATAATGACAGGGTGAAGATTATGTTGTAGATGAAAATTTACGTATTATATCAACTCCTGGGCACACTTGCAACGATATTAGTGTTCTAGTAGAAACTAAAGAGTATGGAAAAGTTATTGTGGCTGGTGAATATAACTTTTTAAGTTTTATTGAATATTGTTTGTCATTAATCAGTTATTAATCAAAAGGCGACATTTTCGAATGTGAAGAAGATATCGAAAATCCTTCATTATGGATGGAAAATTGTGAGATGCCCTCTACTGATAAGCAGGAAGAATCTAGGCGAGCTATTACAAAGATGGCAAATTACATTGTTCCAGGTCATGGAGCTATGTTTCAAGTTAAAAAATAAACTAATATATACTACAATGAAATTTAATATTTATTGAAAATCTTTAAGACAAAGCATTTAAATTTGCAAGTTTTAAAGATTTGAGAAGCAGAGCATTTCTTTGAGATGATTGCGCCTCTCTATAATGGAAATTTTGGAATTAATAAATATCAAACAGTCTATTTTTTCTCAAAATTTAGCTAGTCAGTATAAGATAATAGATAAATATTTCCTCGCTTGTCTCCTGCAATAATTTTTCTTTCATTTGAATTGTCGAAAGATGCCAATTTGGTAACTGGTGCTGAACATAAAAACTCTCCTTTTAGTTCACTTTTGTTTGTTTGAAATCCCCAAGCTCTTATTAAACCATCACTAGAGGAAGTAAAGTATGTTTCTCCGATTTGTACAATAGAAGTAATTGAATCATCATGAAGCTTTAAAAAAATAAATTCAATAGTTAAAATTTTAAATCATTTTCTTTTCTGTATTTTGTTTATTTCTTACTTTATACTTCTCCTCGGATGATTTTCTTGAAATAAATAGATTTCCGGTAGAGTCGGTTGCCATTAGGGAATCAGAAGCGTCATTTTCTATGCATAGTCTCAAAGGATTTAACCATAAATTGGGGGTTTCGAAGCTTTTAATTTTTTTATACAATTCAAAATCCTGCTTATCCTGAAAAAACAAAGCACATAACTTTTAGTAATGATCTATAATAACAATTAATTTTGTCTTACATTGTCTCCTAAAACTTTATAAATTCGAACTACTCCCTTAGTGTTCGATATGCCAACTAATAATGAACCATCGGATTTATAGTTGGAAATCTGAGCTCCGATTACGTCCGAAGTTTTACTAGTTAAAAAAGTTTTTGTTGAAAAGATATGAAAAGCATTAATGCTAAATTTCTTACCATTGGCCCATTATTATGTTATGTAAAAATTCACCATTAGGTCTAAAACTTAATTTGCATAATTGTCCTTTGGCTGTCATCAGAATGGTGTTGTGCTTTTCAGGATTGTAAGTCACTTGAATTATGCGAGATTTTTTCCCAAGGCTTGAAATTTCATAATAACTACTTTGTCTATAACGTTAATCATTATGAATAAGATGTATTGAACAATACAATTTGTAACTTACTGTACGCAGATGTTATCTGCTTGAATGGTTAATATGTATGTTCTAAACTCAGCTGTTTCATAATTGACTATTAGTATCCATCTATCTGAGCTTATTCTCCAAGAATGCAAATCTATGATGGGACCTTCAAAAGACGTCTTGAAAAAGAAAAAAGTATATAGTTTACCCGATTACAATAATTAGTCAATAAAACATACTTCAAGACCTTTACTTAATTCACTAAGAAGTGACAAATCATTATTCTCCAGTCTCCAAATTTTGCAGGCACCGTCTAAACTACCTGTTATAACTAACTTTTTACGCTCGTCGACAAATATTGCTGATATTTCAGAGCTATGTTGTAGTTTTAAAGACTGAACTTTATCTGGAACAGTCCAAATTCTTACTGACCCATCTCTTGAAGATGTTGCCACGCGATTTCCTAAATTTTCAAGAGCATTTACTGGATAGGAATGTCCTTCAAGATCATCAATGTGTTCGCTCTAAAAAGTTTAAATATGCCAATTAATATTAAGAGAGACTTAACCTTATGTATCATACTATAATTGGCTTGAAAATAGATATTTTTCCATCATCCGAGGCAGTTACAACCATAACGTCTTTAACTTTTTCTGTATTTCTACTTAATTTGTTCTGGTCATGCTTTTCTTTCCATTCTTCCTTCGCAACTATTTTACTCCAGTCTTTTGATAGTATATCATCTACAACACTTTCTTCGGGTTTTCTTTCGTTCGTAACTAATATATCTATATCATTTAGTCTACTAGTGTCAGCTTGAATAGTTGTAAGTTCCGCTCCTCTTTTACTCCAAATTTTTAATTGTCCATCGCTTGAGACACTTCCAATACATTTTTTCTGGAAGTATAAATTTTGTTTTTGGTTTTCCTTTCGATTAATTAACTAACCTTATGCAAAACACGATTTACTGCAGCTTCATGGCCTTTAAAGCTTGTTTCTATATCGCTGTCACCATTGATATTCAACATTTTCATAGTGAAATCATTACTACTAGTTAATAAATATCTAGATTCTCCGTCAATTAAGCATATAGAATTAATCCAATCAGGATGAACATTGGTATATGTTTTATTAATATTCAAAACACCTTTTTCTGATACTGTCCAATTCTTAATTGACATATCTCTACTGCATGTCCAGATTGTGTTATCGACAAATTCGATACCTTTAAACATATAAAAATTATATTGTAATGTAATTGTAAAGCATATAATTTAGTGCAAACCTGTAACAGCTGATGTATGACAATTTTTGTTACTTAATATATAGAGCTTTTTCATGACTTTGTTGTATTTTACACAAATTATTTCGTTGTCAAAAGTTCCAACAAAAATTAAATCTCTACCATCAAGGCACAAGCTTGAAATTGAGGAACTGGTAACAGAAATCCGTGCGTCAATCACAATTGTATCTTTACATGATCTTAAAATGAATAGTTCTCCCGAGGTGGTCGTGCATGCTATAGTAATATCATCAGTATTTTGAAATACTTGTAAGCAAGTGATAGATTGTTGAGATATTCTGTTGAAAAATTAAAATTAACTTCAAGACTATTTATGTTTTCTTATTTTCATACTTTTTTGTTAAAATGCAAGTTTTTGTAAATATATCGTATATTCTAACATATCCATCGTGAAAAGCAGCTATAATTTCATTTTTTACTGGACTAAATATAACTCTGGTTACGCTACTATCTTCGACAAATTCGCCAAATTTGATTCCAAGTTTTCCTGACCATACTTTGCCTAGACAATCATCTGCCACAGTGATTAGTTTTGATCCATTTTCATTGAAAACTAGGTCGTTTACAGGGGATATATGACCTTCGAAGCGCCCCAGCTTGGATCCTATTTCTCCAGACCACAGTGCTACTTCTCCATCTAATGCTGCAGATGCTATATAAACACCAGATGGCGAATAAGAAACAGCACGTACAGCCGAATTGTGACCCCTTAGAATCTATAAAAAAAAGTATTTGATTTAAGTAGGAAAAGATAAGTGCATCTAAATGACTTACAGCTATCCTTTTTCTACCAAATGCGCTATATATTCTTAAGATACTGCTCCAGTCTCCTATAACGACTTTTTCTCCTCTTGGATGATAGCAGACACAATTTATTGGTTTCCTATAGAAAAGGCGATATTTATTTCAAAATTTTATTCTAATTACTTTCTTACGAACTTTAAAGTTGTCGTCCATGTTAAATCTCCATCGCTACTCCAAAATTTCATTTGCGAATCCCATCCGACACTAACAAATTGTTTTCCATCAGGTTGAACTGCAATTGCTGAAACATGGCGCCTATGACCAGTACAGACTTTTAATCTCTGAGTTGAATTAGCATCCCAAATGCAAATTGTATTATCATCTGCTGCCGTGCAAAGTCTGTTAGATGATAGGAATTTTACGGCAGTTACTGAATCCTTATGGCCAATGAAAGTTTTTATTTCTTTACCAGAGGCCACATCAAAAAGGCGACAAATTCCGTCTGAAGAACCACAAATAATAGTCAATTTATCTCTTGAGGTTGATAGACAAGTAACGTTCTTCGAAATATTCGCTATCGTCATTTGGCAGTTTTTCGCTTCCTCCCTTTTATTAAACCACTCAAAAATATGCTCTTTAGCTTTATTTTCATTCTTCATAATAATTCTTGCATGCTTACAAGGAATTGATGTTTCGACACTATTCAAAGCTTGTTGATAAACAAGCTTAGGTTGTCTATGAAAAAGGAGAATTAACTCTATATTGAGCAAAATATATTTCGGTTTACCTGTGTAATAGTGTAGCATTACTTCTAACAAAAAAGCTATAATCTTTAATTTCCTGTGTCTTGAGAAATTTCTTGGCAACCATACCCGATTCCTTCTTGCCGAATTCATAGCTAGTTAACAATTTCACAGCAAGATTGTTTTCAAACATTTTTTCAATATAACTTAGATCAGTTAATAGCATAGATAAATATTCATATTGTTCGGAATGTATCTAAAAAAGTTATCATTCAATTAATTAGCAAACCAAATCCTCTTCGATTACTATGTCAAAATACGTACCAAGTGGGCGGCAACCTTGGAAAGATGATAATTACTACACTCAGTTTTCCCCTTGATTAAACCGGATTTAACTATGCAGTAACCAGACAAAACAGTATGGAATATTTTTTCTGTTTGTCTATCTGTGTATCTTGAGGAAATCGCTTTCAATATTTCTTGTTGGCCCAGTGATATATTGCCACTATTAAAGAAAGAAATATTGGTGTACATTTCCTTTCTATTATATTAAAATTCAATTATTTTTCTTACGTATTGCTCTCTGAAGCCCTGATGAAACCTTTAATATTTCTTAGTAGAGGAGCTAATTTACCGTATGGTAACTTTTTGTATGATCCGCTGAAGTAATCTATAACGCGACTTAGATTTTTCAAATCAACCTTTTTGTCTTCGAAAATAGGCAGAATATTTTGAATATCAGTCTCTTTCATACCTAAGAATTAACAATTAGTAAGAGCGATCATAATAATTGAGAGAGACAATTATTTACCGCCTAAAGAAAATGCTAAAAGAGACATGGAGCACTTTACTTCATTTTCGCCGAACTCATTTTCTAATCTCTCCAGAATTTGTGTGAGCAATGAAGGTAGAGTTGATGCCAAAGATTTTAGTTTCGTAGTTAACTGCAAAGATGTATAAATTTATATATATATATATATATTTAAAAACATAGATAGACAAATTTTCTTGGAGGACTTTAACAATTATTAGAAGATCAATACGAACTTGTTCAAATACGCCAAATATTTTCAGTTCCTCACAGGCTATTTTTAGATAAAGAGGATTATTAGAATCCTTTTTATTTGTTATTTGAGATATTTGATTATTGAATCCCTTTTCATTGAGAGATTTGCCGTATTTTTCCAAATTTTTTCTTACGACGACTGACTTGTCAAAGACATCTAAATTTCCGACTTGAAAGGTTACAGGCCTTAAACGCTGTAGACATTTGGCTGAAGGACTGAAATCAAGAACCGTAAAGATGATAAGCACATTTTGAGGAATGCTTGAGGGTAGCCAATTAAGAGATTTTTCGTGTCCTTTATTGTCAGTTTTGTCGAAATCGTCAAATACTATTGCTACTGGACTGCAATTGATATTTGATATTTCGTTTAGAATTGCTCCAAAAGTTTCTACCAAACTTCTGTAATATCAAAGTCTTATAAGTACTTTAGCACTCTAAAACTACATAAACTTACTCATAATTTTCAGGAATAATCAAATCTATTCTAAAAAAGCGTACTAATTCTGTGCATATTCTGTACAAGCATGATGGAATACTCTCTGACCCTTCGAAAAGGCCGAAGCTGTGAACTAGGACAGTCGAAAATTTTTTCCTTAGATTGAGCAGTACATTTGCCGCTAAACTGCTCTTTCCAGTTGCAACTTTACCACATATAGTAACGATCGCACCATTCCTAGATAAATCACCAAATTTGGAACTTAAGTTATTCACCAATTTCTTCCTGCCGGCAAATTCCTCTCCTAAATTTTTGAAATAGAAGTTAAATCTCTCTGTCTCATGAGATATAGCATCCAAATGGATCAAATTGTCACTCTTCTTTAATTTATCCATATGGCGAGTAAGTTGATTTAAAACATTAAACCCTAAATCTTGTAAATTTGTTACTATTGGCTTTCCATCATAAATTCCACCCCAGTCACAGTCATACCTTAAATTATATAAGTTTTAGTTAGATATTTTGGCATCTGTTAACATTTTATACATACTCAATACAGTTGGATCCAGATGTCTTTACCAGCTGTTTTAAATTATTCATTTTTTCTTTGCTATCCTCGCTTTCAGCTTGAAATTTATTGCGAAGGTCGGTGGGAACTTGCCTGTTTTATAAGATTCTCAATAAAAAGCAAAATTCATATATTAGATTCTTACGATAAGAAGTTTTTCTTTCGTAAATAAAAAAAGCATGTTTTTTTATTTTCTAACGCTAAACGCATCTCGATTTCAGTGATACTCTTTTTCTTATATTCATCAGACAAATTTATATCCTTGAAATCTGCTTCTTGTGGTAAAAACCCATACCTTTCACCTAAAAGACCGATAACTACATCAGCCTTAGTAACTTCATTTAGACAAAGAGAGACTAATTTTTCTGTTTCGCTTTCCGTTATACCCCAGCGTAAATCAACGTCGATAATGTCATAGAAGAGATTAGCAGCTTTTGAACGAATTTCAGGGATAATAAATCGAGTTAGTAGATCTCGTTCTCCATGCATATCAGTAAACGTTGATGAGATAAACACTCTTATTTCTTTCCATCTAAAATTTATCGAAGTGAGGGTAAATTAAAACCAAATATATGGAAAATACCTTGGTACGCTTATCTGAATTGGTAATGGCCGCTCAATTTTTGAAAAATCTTTCTTTTGTTTAAGTTCAGGCAAATTGTATTTTTTGTCGAGCTTGTTGATATAATTTAGCAGTCCTTTATTACCTCTTTCAGTCACAAATCTGTAATATTACAACAAGTTAAAAAGTATTTATAGCTCATTAACTTTATCGGTACCGTAATAATTGATCACTGTAACCGGATAGGAAAATGTCATTTTCGTGGACCTTTTCGCTTTCTCTATTCACACCGACGGAAGTCCCTGACAAGTTAACATGTACATACATCAGATCCGGATTTACCAAATGACGAAATGCGTTTAGGAAGCAGTTTAGAATTTTAAGCTCATCTTTGTCAGGAGCGTTTGATGATAGCATAACAATATTATCAATCTAAATAGAATATAGAAAATTTTTATAAACCTAATAATAATATTGTATAATTTATATACAGACCTTCTTTCTATTGACTAAGAACTCATCTAAATAATGCAGGAAAGTCTTGTTCATGTCAGATACATTTATATCCTGAAAAATTATGTATACAGTACTAACGATGATATTTAAACATAAAACATACGAAATTCTTAGCCTGTTGTTGAATACTAGACATATTTTCTAGAATAGTTCCTTTTTCTAATTCAATCTCTTCATAGTTGCTGTTGCTGTAAAGTAGATACTGGCACTCTTCACAGACGTATTTAAACATGAGACCTAAAAGGGCCCCAACGTCTAACTTTGTTTTCTAAAAGACATTAGGTTTAGCAAGTGACGAGTAAATCAATTTAAAATCTTACAGCTTGAGTGAGGCCGCTCGACGTCTGACATGGTCTAAGCATCAATTGGCTGACCTCCAATAGGATAATGGTATGACCCTTAATAGGCGCAACATTATGAATGGTAGCTAACGATACAGCCTGATCCAAAGCGTTTTTATATTTGCTAATGATAGTTGGATCGTATTTCATCTTGATTCTAAAATACAAATAGTTGCATTCTTATTGAATTTAGTTTTTATTCCTACTAATACACACTTTTTTACATATGTTGCCGGATTATTACGATTCCCGCCCCTTACATTTCTTCTACCATATCCACGAGCAGGGACTGATACCGGTTTTTTTGGATTCAGTTTTTCTTCCAACCATTCATTATATTGTTTCTCCAGTGTTGTAAGCACATCATATGCTGAAAAGAATCTAAACGGAAACTGTTTCGAATTAACTATGCTCTTTTCATCAGTCAATCTTCCTAAAATCATATTATGATGACTCTCCGATATACCAGCTTTAATTAGGTTTCTTAGATTACGCAACATTGCCATGAAGGGTAATTTCTTATGATCAATTAAACCTTCCCATACGAAAGATTTGTTTCCCTTCATAGAAATTTGAGTTTCCCATGTCTCTGGTGTAGGTAGTTTCATTCTCTTTCCACATTTAGATTGATCGAATGTTCCATCCAATCCTAATTTATAAAATTCTTCAAGATTTTCAGGATATCTATAAACATCGTGCTCTGTTACAGTTTCGTAACAATAAGGTTTATAAAAATATTTTTCTAACAAACCTTTTTCCTAAGAGGCAAAGAACGTTGTTTACTGGCGTACGTATATGCAGTTTGCGAATTAACTGCTTTAAAGTGAATGATTTGCTAGAGCGCTCTTGTAATTTTGTCAATGCTTCTTCCTATACATACAGAAATCTTAAGAATTAGTTAAAAAGACACTAATTTAAATAATTACGAATGATTCCTTCGGCGGAGCCGATCGTGTCCCTCTTCTAAAATTTCCCCTACCTCTTGTAGAACCTCTCGAAGCAAAATTATTTGTTCTCAAGGCTTTTCGCTTTAGCCTCTTTTTTTTTGATTTAACCTTATCTTTATCATATTTAGCCAATTGAAAAGCATTAAAACTGGCAAACTTTTTTGTCATTACTCTTCTTAAAGAAGCTGGTAGGGATGAGAAATTATTCTTCTTTCCCTCTTTCAAAGTTAAGGAAATTTCAGCAACACTTATCCAATCTGACGGCAATACAATAGTGTTGTCGAAATATTTCTTGAGAAATGGACGGCATTGGGGACTGTTTAAAGTTTTAAATGTATTTATTTATAATAAAAAACTATAAATAAAATTAAACCTACTTATTAGAGGAATAAGCCAATAAAAAGTTACTTGTCGAACGAATGTTTAATTCTAATCTGGTATAAAGAGCTACCTGAGAAAGCAATTGAATTTGAAATTAGCTAGAATGTAAAGTATATTTACTAATATAAATTCACCTTTAGAACAAATTCTGGATCATCCATTGAAATTTTATTACAAACAGATATCAAATCTCCTCTTACTGGATCATCTTCAGCTTGAAAATTGGGTGACCTAATCAAACTTCCACTTACCAGATGGATGAATCGTCTCTGTTAAGAAAGGCAACACTTTAAATATTTGCATTTACGAAGAATCTTTCTAATCTAGTAACCTTTAGATCTTCAATAGTCTCTTCTTTCTCACTACCCCCTATTTCATTTGCAACTACTTTTCTATGGACATCTATCTTCTCAATATCCTCTGCTATCAATTCATAGCTGGGAGCTTTACAGTCATCTTCATATTTGATAAGATCTTCTTTTATGAGTTCAGTCGTTTTTTTAATTTGACTTTTCTTATTCTTCAGAGCATTCTTTGTATTAAGTATTTGTGTGGGAAGTGTTTGATTGCTTGTCAAACTTAACAATCCATCTTTCATAAAAGAAGGTACTTTTGAGAAAGTGCATTGCTGGTTGAAAATACTGCTCCTCTCGCTTATTGAATGTATAGCCGACCCGCTTGATAGACTAAATAGTTTTTCATTGAGCTGGGCTTTCGGCTGAACTAATGAAGATTTTTTGTTACTAAATGAAATTGAAGGATTTAAAAAGCCTGATCCAGTTAAAAGAGTAGAAGGGCCATTAAGAGATGAACATTTAAAACCGGAAGAACAGCCTGCAAAATGAAGGTTTGTTAGGCCTGATAATAAAATGGTGATTGAGCAAGAACAACATAATCTTGCCACCTAATTACGTATGCTTTTAACAAAGATAAATCTAAATATCTAAACAGTCATATCTCTAGAATAATCGTCGAGATAAAGACGTAGGCAGCGTATTCTTCTAAATATCGAAATAGTTCCGGTATTTGATGGGACAACATTTAATTATTTTTTACCATTAAAAACATTAAAAACGTATAAACGCTTTTAAACACCTCTATGTAATAGAATAGGTAGAATGACAACTTTGAACAAACCTGTCAAATCCTTAGATGGTCTTAAGCAGCTACTTAAATTAACACTCATTGCTTAAACTTAAATTACTATATTGAATATAAATAGACACTGTTGACTCGTAACTCAACAAAATTATGTTTGATTTCCGGCGTCAACGTGCCAAATGAAAAAGAACTAGAGAGGATAATGAAATTTTTGCAAAATTTTCACAATCTTGTATTGCACAACAATCGATAAAAAAGTGCAAATTCTTGAAGTTTTCGCTTATAAATCACTTGATAACGAAATGGGTTCGATAGCGACAAACGGTGTCCAATAGTGTTAAAAGAGTTATAATATTTTGCAATATTTACAAAGACTTAATATTTTAGCAACTTATAGTTCTTTGCACCAAATGAATCTATCTTTTAAAACATTGAGAGAAAATAAATTAAGAAACCTTCTTATGAAAGAAATAAAAGTTATCGACCATTTAATTAAACAAAAATTCATTGTGTAATTGTATATAATCGTTACATATGCAAATGTCATTAGCAATGCTATCTGCATTTTCAATCAACATAACTTAATACGATTTCTGATTTGTAGCCATTCATCCTATCCAAAATCACAACATTGAATTTTTTTGTGATATTTATCATCGGATAAACTATTGCCAAAAGTTTATATCTTTTATATAAAATAATAGTACAATTAATGACCTTAGAAAGAATATTACTCATAAGCTTGAGATGCTTAAAAAAGGATATATCTAATAATAAAAAAATGATCTATTTGCAATCGTCTTTCCTTGCAGCAGTATATTTATGTTTTTGTTGTATATAATACATAAAATTTGATAAAGTGGATAAGATTGAGGTGTTTTCTCTAACATATAACAATGAAAAAAAAGCATAAAATTGACTAAATATCATAAATTTTTTAAATTACACGACATATTCAAACATTTATAATTTCTCGTGACAAAAGACTACTAAATCTTCTCTTCATATAATATTCATGCTCATTTGCCGTTTCACTATTCTGTCTATATGATTTATTAACAATTCAAACCTTTTGATACTGTATTGTATTTTATAGGAGCAAACGAATCTATTGCAATTAAAACTAAAAGATGTTGTCTTCAAAGTCAAGTCTTTCTGTGATGTATTGGCTGCAAGCATCCGGAAATGAAAACTCGCTTCTACTAGGTTGAAAAAAAGATGAAAACCGAATAGAGGGAATTTAATCTCTTTTTAAATCAAATATCATACAACAATCCCTGTTACGGCCTCACAATAAGATATTTATTATAATTAATACTTCAGTAACAGCATGTGCCGGATGATAATGTCTACTTTCAATTCAACTTAGTCGGACACGCCTGTCAACTAAATGCTGTCACTTTTTAAAACAAAGAACATAGTATATTTTAAAATAAACAATGTAAATTGCACCATACATTCTGCATTCATTCCTTAAAATGAAACCTCAAGCACTGTCCTTAAATATAGATGAAACAGTCATTCAATAAAATTGGACTAAAGAGAGTACTCAAAATAAACTTTTTCTTAAATGAATGGGAAAGATATAAACGATCTACTTTGTAAATTACACTTTTCTTTGAATTTGTACTTGATGGTGAATTTGAAAGCAAAACAAATAAAGTACTAAGTTATAGTTTATTGAATTGTCTAATAAGAAGGTATTGATTATTATTATTATTATCATTCTTTTGATCATGTCTTTGTACTTATATAGTAATATATTTTTTTGTCTAGCATATTGGACAAATAGAGTTAGATGTTTCTGAGCAATAGTAGCAAGCCGAGTGTTTGCACGGTAATAATCGTATATCGAAAGGCAAATCATTACAGTACACACATTTGCCTTCTAAATCTTTTGAAGAAGAAATAAAACGGAAAAGACGCGATCGTACGGAAGAAGCATTAATTAGTGGTAATATAAAAAATAGTAGCTCTGAAAAAGCGTGCCATAGCATTTCTCTATCCATAAATTCAAAACTGACCATATCCTTCAGTCTTTGAGGAGAGGAAAATCTGCTGTTTATACCTAAAACTCTTTCCGTTATTGTCAAAAATTTTCCTTGAATTAAAAATACTATAAAGTTGATTAACTTTGCAAGCTCCCATACGTCAGAGAATTTTGTAACAGAAAACTTTTGTCCAATGTATGGAATTACATACGATAAAATAAAATAGTTTCTTCGTTGAGCATTGGATGAAGGATAGCTAATATCAAGCAGTTTTTGTCCAACTGTTGATCCACATTTCCTTACAGTACTCCTCCAGATTATGAACTGTAGTCCTAATTCGATTTCAGAATCAAATCGTGATAAAATTGACGTCTTTATATATTTTACGCTTTCAAGCAAGTATTCCTTTATAATATTAGTAACTTCACTATCTAATGCAGATGCATCCAGTTGGCTGACCCTCAAAGCAGGTTGTGCCATAATAAACAATATCGGGCGATAATGTAGTTAATTATACCGAAACCCAGAGAAAACTGGTAGTTTTTCGCAACCATTATCCGAAATTGGTCGCTTCCGTAGAGTAGTATGCTTGTTGTTGATATAGCCTGACATGAATTACAAGGCAGTGTATATATACGATTTGTTATAAAGCACTGATCAACATTGCAAATAGTAATAAATATGTTGAATCCAGCCACATTATAATTAACTGGTAAGTACAAGGCCTCAAGGGATGATGATGGCCGCAGAAGGGCAGTAACCACTTGACGTCACAGAGCCGACCGGTCGACGGCCTTTGTCGTTATGGAAAGAGTCTTTCTTATCCCTATTTCCTTCGCTCACACCTTAAACTGAGCGCTCTGTTTTGCTTTTTAGTAATGGATCAAAGCTTTCTTTTCGAATGGGACACGTCAACGGCGCCCGATCGAGGTTCATTCGATGATAGTGATCGATTTGAAGAGGAAGATTCGATTTGCTCTTGGATATCCGAACCAGATAGCTTGGTAAATAATTGGCGTGGTTGGAAAAAACAGCTTACCGCTGGATGTCAGAACTCCAACAAGACTTACTCGGGTTTGTATAATTTTCAAATCAATATCTCTATGATATAGCAGCAGGTAGCAAGCTCGCTTATTGTATTTATGGGCTTATTAATTATTTCTATTCATTAAGCGCTTACACGCCAGTTATCGAATGTACGACTTTTTATTCGCATTCGGAGTCTGTTAAAAGAAAAAAAGTACATAGCTAACACATGTAAAGAGGATAAACGATTCTTTGTTTTAACTCATAGAGCAGGCTTACAAATATGTTTCTGTTAAACGCCTGCACGTCGAGGCACGATTGATAAAATTTTTAGATAAGTAATATGTATTCATTTTCATATTTGATTAAATTTAATCGTGAATAACACATCACTTAAAAGAAATGCTCTATCATGCATTTTTTTTATATCGATTTTGGCATTATCCCTTATTATTAGATATCATAAAAGTATGATGTATAAATGTAATTATTGAAAAATTTTTGCAAATCTAAATCTTTTACCGAAAGTTGAAAAAGTTTTATTCGCAATTTTAACCAATCTCAGAAACGGTTAATATTTTGACGTCCTATATTACGAGCTGTTTCGTAATGATTTTCGACATTTAATAAAACCCTCATGCATTATGATAAAGATTCAAAAGCAAATTTTATTAGAAACAATATTTTATTTCAAAAAACTTTTTAACAATCCATTGTTATTGTATACTTAAAAGAATAAAAAAACATACACATATATACATAAAAACCACGTGCTATCGTAGTCAAAAACGAAATACCTACCTAATAATTTTCGTGAATGACCTGAACCTCAGCAAGGGAAAAGTATTTTACACTTTCATTAATAAAAACAAAATTATAAATGATTCGATCAAGGCGTTTTCTAATTTCAGTACAGCATTGGTCGAGAATTCGTAGTTATATGTATTGCAGTGCGTGTACAAATATATATCGATATATTTTTGCAATCAGCGTAATACCAACAAGATACTTTTGTTTCGAGGACTGCTACCCAAAAAATCTATAAGTAGCAACTCGATAGGTTGTTGTCATTGCTTGTAAATAATCGTTTAATTCTCCGAGCGGGTAAAGAGGGTAACATAGTATTGTGTTCTAGTTGTTTTTAAGCCTATATGACGAAGATTAGGCACTCTAATATATTGAGCATCTCCTTGACTTCCTTAGTTAATTGATATTTTTCATATTGGACATCAATTTGGGTTAAACCCACTTAAAAGCAACGCGCCATTGAGAATCTGTATATATATACTAGTACATATAGTCCTGGCTAATCCGTATGAAGGCGTAAAGCCAAAAACCTTACCAGAATAAGATAACCGCGAATGCCTGCAGAATAAACTATCTTTTTTAGATTGTCATTCCTGACGACAATAAATATATCTTATAGATATTGGAAAAAGATGATATATTCTCTTGATCTTGCCCTTTTTAAGTAGTGTTTTTGATACAGTATAAAAAGAAATTGAGAATCTAGAATTTTATACAACGAAGTAGCACACACAGTTTGGAAATGAAACATGCAAAATATACAAAAGATGTACGAAATAAAATTGTAAAAAAACAAAATATTTCAGTCATATCGAATAGATATAGATTTTTCTATCGAGTTTTGCTCAACATGTCAATCATGAAAATACATTTTTATTCCTATTTATTTGCAACCTTTTCCTGGTAAGATAAAAAAAAGTGTTTATTCTTTTGCCGTAAACAAATCCTTTACATTACAAACTCATGCATAAAAAACATAATACTATTTTCATCATCGCGAGAGAATAACTAACCCAAAAATTTTATAGCGAATAAAGAGTCTAATAAAAAAAATTGATATTTTTTAAAACTATAAAAAGGAATGGTGAATAGTAGTTCACTATATTTTGGGAACAAAGAATAGTTTCTACATCTATTTTCTCACAGTATATCTGCATATAACCCTGGTAGTGTATAATTTGCCTATTTTTTTCCCCTGTCTTAGGGAATCGGTTTGCAACATCTATTTATATCATTATGTAAATTTTTTACGAGTAAAACTATTGTATTTTTCTCTGTTTACAATTAAACCTTTATTGATTAAACATTATTGGAGGTGTGCCTGGCTATGACGCGCTATGACGTCATATAGGCTCCTATCGATTTAATCGCTAGTTATTAACGAGAATTAACATGTACGTTATCAGATTTTGATATTTAAACTGATGCTAAACTATTTTTATTATTTATCAAAGCTTTTGTAAATAAATTACTTGTTCATTTCAGGTAAAAATACGCATAGAAATGGAATTACTAGTTTAGTGGAACTGTCAGCTCAAGCGGTCGCCTTCTATATTCCTTTCGAAGTCGTTGAGCAATTTTACCCTACCATACCCGAACAGCTACAGCTTCGCATAGCTTTCTGGAGTTTCCCCGAAAATGAAGAAGATATTCGCTTATACTCTTGTCTAGCAAACGGAAGTGCTGATGAGTTTAATAAAGGTGAAACGCTTTTCAAAGCACGAAGCGTTAAAGATTCGATACAGATTGGCTTCCATCTCTCAGCAAGTGTTCTGATTGGGCAACCAAAAAGTGCGTATAGCAGTGTTGCTATTGTCTTTGATAGGAAAAGGATAACGCAATGTACTTGTACATGTAATTCATCGGCTAGTTGGTGTGCTCACATAGTAGCATTGTGTCTACATCGAATACACTTGGCAGATAAGGTGCGGTTGAGGGCACCAGTTTCTGAATCATTGTCAAGATTGCATAGAGATCAGCTACAAAAGTTTGCTCAGTATTTAATTAGCGAATTACCTCAACAAATTCTTCCTACTGCTCAACGATTGTTAGACGAATTACTCTCCTGTCAAAATACAGCTATTAATACTGTTAGAGGGGCCCCGGATCCAACAGCTGGACCTTCTGCAGCGGAACATACGACCTGGTGCCTGGATGAGAACACCTTGTATGATAATATTAGAAAGACTTTAGGAAAATTTTGTGTAGCCTCTCCAGTGGTATTTAGTGATGTTAACTACTTGTCCAGTTCCGCTCCCCCAGCAGCAACAGAATGGCAAAGTTTACTTCGTCCACTTCGAGGACGAGAACCGGAAGGCATGTGGAACTTGCTGTCCATTATTAGGGAAATGTACAAAAGGAATGATAATAATGCTGTTCCTTTGTTGGAGATTGTTACAGAAGCGGTTCTTAAAACCGACCAACTTCTCATATGGTGGTTTACTACCAAAGTTTCGTCCAGCTATTGTGCTCAAGGGGTAACCAACACTAGCAATGGCCGAAATGGAGGCTCTAGCCCTAATAGCCCATATGCAGGATCGTCATTATGTGATGAAGTTGTGCAGTTATGGCGAATAGCTGCTCTTAAGCCAGGACTGGATGCGAACCACCGTCGTGAATTAGCAACCCAACTTCGCTCGTGGCATATGTCTTGCATAGAAATAGTTAAAAAGGGAAAGACATCACCTTCTGGCAGCATTAGAAAAGCTGATATAGAATTATTTCCAGGTTTCAAACCAGCTATAGAAGCAACTCAGCTAGATTGGAAAAACTTTGTGTTACCAGGATCAAATCAGGTTGCTTCTTGCACCAGACCATGGCGGCTAAGGAAGAGAGAATCCCACAGTCCTATGCAGAAGGTGAGACATAAATCTTTGGCTGATTCCGCTAGCTCTAGCTCCGAAGGATTTTGCGACAATGCCTTGCCCAATTTGGATTCTGATGATGATGATTTAGACAGGATTTACGTTTATGATCCTCACTTGCTGCGTCATAAAATGGCTGCTGCAGAAAATGAAAGTCGCAAAGATGACACGAATTATTTTGCTGGAATTAGGAAAATTGATAGTGAACAAGATATTCTCTATGCCAGAGCTGAGGCTCTGTATGCTCATGGCTTCTCTTCGGAGGCTTGTACCGTTGCAAGGCAATTGGCCGAGAGTATGTTAGCTGATACACCGAATACCCAGGATATTCAAGAAGAAGCAAAGAAAAAACGATTAGTCAACCAGGCTGCAACGTTTAACATGTGCTCATTTTCGACAACAACTCTAGCAAAAGCATGGTTCTTATGCAGTGTTCTGGCAGAGGATGTACATAGCTATCATCTATGTTTTGATTTAGGTCTATTTGCCTTGGAGATGCCCCGTTCTCCGGGATGTAACAAGGCTTTGGAAGTAAAGTTGGCTCACCAGGAAGCCGAATTAGCTAGTTTGTTAAAAAAGATTCCCTTACAAGCATCTGAACATCAGAAGATTCGACAAAGAGCTGAACAGCTAAGGTCAGGAAAACTAAAGTCAAGAGGGGAGTCAATGCTCCCATTATCATTAGCTGCTTTTGTCTTTGATTCTCTTTGCCTTTCAAAAACGGCATCTGCTTGCTCTCGATCTAAAGAGGACGAAGAATTAGGGTTTGATGCGGCAGTTGCTGCTCTTGGATTAAAAGCTAACGTCAGCGAAGCGGAACACCCACTCCTTTGTGAAGGTACAAGAAGACAGAGAGGAGATTTAGCAGTAACCATGCTATTACACTACAAGGATGATCAATCAAAGTTAGACCGAATTTTGGAAAGGCTGCTAGACAGAGAAGTACATCCGGCCTTTAAAGTACCTTCTTTTTCTGCTTACACATCTATGGGAACGAAAACTTTCAATCCTTCAGCATTTTCTGTTTCTGTGCAACAACAGCAACAATATAAATCCTTGGCTGCTACTAGAGAAGAAAAAGTTGAAGATTATTTAGAAAGAAGACTAAGTGAGCTTTCTACAACTGAGGATGAAGAGCAAGACAGTAAGGAGAGATGGGTGGCATTACGATGTACATCTTTTAAAACGGGAACAAGAGCCCGTTCGGTTGGTATGGCTGCTATCGACAGCAGTGCACCGGAGACAACATCAAGCGATAACAGTCCTACTATCGTAAGGCGGCAACCATGGCCAAAGAGTGGAGGACCTCCTTCTGATAGTGGATCTAGTGGAAGCGATGGGTCTTCTAAGCCAATAACCGGAAGAGAGAGTCCCACTCAGCAAAGAGTTTTGGGAAATAGACATAATATACCTATAGCTATCTCTCCTGGATCTAAGTTGGGAGTGACCTCCCGCTTCGGCAAGTTGAAGAGAATTACACCGACTATTCCTAATCAACCGTCGGAAGCAGGAGCTCATTTTATGTTTGAATTGGCAAAGAATGTATTGAACAAGGCGGGCGGAAGTAGTTCTACTTCTTTGTTTACTCCTCAGCCAGCATCTCAAAATGCACACGCAGCTTCCGGCCCTCATAGAAATTTGCACATCTGCTCTTTTTTAATTGGCCTGTATGCCCTAGGGATTCATAATTGTGTAACCCCAAATTGGTTATCACGAACTTATTCGTCCCACGTATCGTGGATTACAGGACAGGCAATTGAAATAGGAGCCGTGGCTATAAATATTCTGATAGGAACCTGGGAAAAGCATCTTACACCTCCTGAAGTAGCAACTCTGGCTGATAGAGCAAGTAGAGGAAGGGATCCAGCTACTGTTAGAGTGGCTGCCGAGCTCGCTCTCTCTTGTTTGCCACACGCACATGCCTTAAATCCAAGTGAAATACAAAGGGCCCTGGTCCAATGTAAAGAGCAATCTGTTAGTATGATCGAAGCGGCTTGTCAAGCAGTTGAAAGCGCAGCTAAGGAAGGAGGAGTCTACCCGGAAGTGTTATTTGATGTTGCTAAACGATGGTACGAACTCTATGAGGACACTACCTGTCAGGGCACCCCTCCTCTGGTTTCGGCACCACCCCCAGCTCAGCCACCACCACCTCCTCCGCAACCTGCTCCTGCTCATCAGGCACCTGCGGAATTGGAAGACCCTAATTTGGTTCCTATACACTTACCCTTTTCTACTAACGTTGTAGTTGGTCAAGTAGCGCCTCCTCCACTTGCGTATGCGAATCCAAACAATCAACAAACAGCTTATGTCTCTTATGGTTATGGGCCACCAGCTCCTCAAGGTCCTACAGCTTACGTCCCAGCTGCCTATCATCACCATCAATACACGGCTCCCACGTTTTATCTTCCTCCGCCCGCTTTCATACCTTCTCAAAGACCTGCCGTAATTCTTCCACCGATCGAACACATTCAACAAGCCATTACTCCAGAATCGGCAGCCCCGCCGGCTCTTCCAGCAATATCACCAACCAACTCACCATCGGGAATTGGATACTATATGTCGGCATATCGTGTGGGAATGTTAGCTTTGGAAACTCTATCGCGTCGCGTGCATGACGATCGCCCTCAGGTAAAATACGCAAGAAATCCAAGCTATGGCGAAGATGTTAAGTGGTTACTACAAATTTCTCTAAGAATGGGGACGTCCTATGTCCAACAATACTGTGGATCCGTTGTTAACGCCGTGCTCTCACCATTTGTTTTATACGACGTCGCAACAGAAGCAGCTCGTTATTTAGCCAGAGGTAGTCCAGCTCATTTTCAGCAACAGTTACGTTCACCCATGCTGAATGCCGTTCTAAATAAATGTCAACAAATGTTTATTCAGTCTACTCATCATAAGTTGCATTACCTTCAACCAGCAGATCACGAGGAGTTGATTGGCATTGTCTGCGCTGCTCAGCACGCTTTTTTGCTCAGTCCCGGCGGTTTAGTCCAATTCCAGGAGATGTTACAGTCTATGCGTAGGGTGAAATCATGTAAGAAGGAGCTTTGGCAAAGAATTGTGACATCTTTGAACGGTTCTTCAGCTATATAGAATACCGATCTCGCGTTTTGTTTTGTTTTGTTTCCGTTTTTTTTAATGATCTCTTCTGTCTAGGACTGTTTAGTGCGGTTATTTTTTCGTTGTCTCTATTATGCCGAAGTGTTGTAGCAGTAAGGCAAGCAAAAATTCGGTAAAAAAAATACCGCGACAGTGTTTTCGTGCGTAGTCGAAATAGTTGAACATTTTAAAAAATAATGTTTTCAAAAATCATTGTTTATAGGATGTATCTATTAATGATATCATTTATAGATATATAAGTATTTGTAAATGTAAAATTATATTTGAAAAATATAAAAAAATAAAAATAGACAACATGTACTTGCATACAGTGTGTACATATATATGTATGTATGTATGCACTATATGTATTATGTATGTATATACATATATACAAATTTATATATGTGTATATATGTATATACATATTTCGTGTATATGTATATATTTACATAGATATAGTATAGATGCGCTGTAAAAAGTTACGGTGCATACTTTATTTTATATATATATATATATGTATATATATATATATATATATAGTTATAGGCATATATAGTATGTGGATGCATTCATTTGCTCCATATAAATATACTGTATATATATATATATATATATATATATATATTACAGTATACACAACCTAGTATGAAGTGAATGTTTTATTTCAATATAACATTTATTTTTATTGCAATACAATTTCTCTGTGTTTACATTGATATAATTGAATGATTGAGAAAGAAAGACAAAAGAAAAAAATTACTTTTATTGGAAATTATAATAATTTCATCATAGTTTTTCTTTTCCCTTCATATTTTTAACTATTGAGAAAAATCTACGGGTGGCCATTATCTCCTAACCAAATATAGATTATACACAAATTCTGCTTGTCACTTCCCAAATTTGTTTTATACTGACTTTGTTTTCCTTTTTGAAAGATTTTCTAGCTTTCAAGTTATATACGTTTTTATTAACATATTTTAAGCATATTTCTAAGTTGTAAGCATAATATTTTAAGGAACAAACTAATGTATACCATCTTTTTGTCTTTGTGTTGATTTTTGGCTTCAGAGTCTTTTGAGTAAGTAAAGCATGTAAAAAGTATCCTATGAGAGTCAAACGAAAAGGAGTGGGACAATTGCATGAAAAGGAAAATGAATGAGGAAAAGCTACTTTAATTACAATTCTTTTGTAAATCCTTTGCTAACTTGTCACGAAAGCTAATTCTTTCCTTTCTCCCTTTTTTTGTTAGGCTTTACACTTAATCGCTTTCGATTTAATTGCTTAGAGTTTTTTGTTTACATAAACGTTTTTTTGAGAAAGATTTACTAAATCTAAAGAAGATTATCGTTAAACGAAAGTCACTTGATGTCAAGAGAAAATGTTTCTGCTCCTACTCCTTCAGAAAATTATTTGAAAGGAATTATTTGTTGAGATATTTTGGAGTTTCACAGGCAGAAGCTTATCGATTTTTTTTAATACAATACTGAAGTATTCAGTTTTCTTTGTAAGGAAACGACAAAAGTGAGTGTAGAACAGCTTCCCATGGCTATGAAAAAAAATATCCCCTCTATTAAGCAAGGACTAAAGGATGAAGCTCGAGATAAAATTCGAGTAGGGGGTTGAGGGAATTCGAACGCTAGCAAAAGACCTGGCAAAGATTTTGATTACGAATGTCATTGGCAAAAATATATAATCGAGAAGGGAATGGTACTATGACAGAAAGACCTTCAAATTGCATTATAGTATACCCTACTATACCTTTCATCGGAAAATGGCATACAAAGGGCGAATAATATTACTGTCAAAGGTTTTTTTTTCAAATTATTAGCTGCCAAAACTTGATTTATTATCACCTTCAGTAACTTAGGTAGAGAGACAACAGAACTGTAATTAATTTGCAAATGAATTACAGACTTTTTAAAGCGTCTTTTTGGGTCAATAAAAATCGGATTTTTTCTTTTGAAAACATGAATATGACCCTAAAAGAGAAAATAGACGAAGATTTTAAGATGTTAAATATTTTTGCATTTGTGTAATCGATTTTATTGCTTTCAAAATACTTATTATTTACTTTTACTAAAGCAGAAAATTTCATTATATGACGCTTTTCTCCTTTAATTTCTTTAGAATTGCCCTAAGTCATATAGTTAATGACTTTTCTGATAGATGGCGCTCTCTATAGGGAACAACACCTAAGATTTTAATTAATCTAATAGGCCTTTGCTTTTTACAGCGTTTCGCTTTTTAAAAAATCGATATTCATCAAAAACTTATTCATTCGTAACAAAGAAATTATAAAATAATGTCGGGCAATAAGTACGATTTGAATGCTCCTTTTAGGACTGATTCGGAAGATCAACGCTTCAAGAACTTACCTAAAAATATAGAAAGCAGAAATAGATTCAATTCATTGCCAAGACAAACTTACACGCAGGGAGCTAATCTAACGCAGAATAGTGTTAACAATACTTTGTCTTCGGAAGAGACAAGTTCTAACCAATTGGGAATAAACAAATGTGAAGAGAAAGTAAGCCGAGAGTCCTGCTGTGCAGTGCTCGTAGTAAATAGTTTTCTCTGGGCGTTTATGTTTGTCTTCTCAGCAATTCTAATGATTCGGTCTGAAAAAGATAGCGATGAGTATGGAATACTGAAACAATTGTTCATATGGCTCTGCATTCTGGAGATATTTCTTTTAGGTGGTGTGCTATTTTTATGGGCGTCTCGCACATCTGCAGGGAAACGGGATATTTTTTATCATCAACGACTAGAAAATTGGATACAAAATCTTTTAAATAAAAGAGAATATAATATTTCAAATTTCAATTGATAATATTTTCAAAGATAATCGTTTATTTAAAAACTATACGTGCAATTTAAAAAAAAATGCTTTTTACAATAATACACTATTAACTCGGCTATTGTTATATACTTTTTAGCACATTTTATACGATTGTTTGCTGCTAGCAATTGAAATTTTATCCAAGCAGATAAAATGTACTTTATGCAACAATTTAATTACATATTCAAAATGTCATCTATTAAATTGAAGAATGTTTACAATGAATTTTTTAAATAAATAAGCTATATTTATAATAATTAGTCAAGTTTTATTGTTTTGGGGAAGTGTATTCATAAAAATTAAACAGTAGAAAATATTCGTCAATAAACTACGCCTAATATTTCTTAAAATATAATTAATTAGTAAATTGAGATGAACAGGCTCTTCACAACATTCTTTAATATTCAATATAAAAACTTTTACATTACAGCACCCAAGTAAAAGCATTCTAACGGGGAAAGATTTTGTCACAAGTAATAAATAATATTTTTTTTCTTTTCCTTTCATTCTTCCTCTCTCGCTGTTTTCCAATACACAATTTGCTTGCTAAATAAATAAATACGCTCATAGTTCGTAAATGTATCTAAACCGCGTAAAATACCGCCTAAATTCGATTAATGAACGATAGGGTAAGTCGCTACATAAGTCGATAATACGAAAATCAGAAGTTGTTTCTCTTTTTTGTAATTACAATATGGCGCATGAATACAAAAACGAAAAATTAATTGAAAAGAAATAAAGTACAAAATGAAGAAATAGCCAATTTAGCGAAAGAGAAATCATGGAGCCACTTTTGTTTTAGTTTTAGATTAAATTCGTTACTGATATTGTAATTGAATATCAAAAGCCTAGTACAAATTAGTATCAAAGACATTTGCCTTAACAAATGTCTACCAACTGGTTCTGTTTAATGTCATAAAGTAAATTTGACAGGAGGAAGAGCTTCGAATAGAAGAAAAGAATACCTGTTGATAAAAATTGAATTGAAGAGTTTAGCAATTTGTTCAAATCAAAGTGAATTCTTACTTTATCGTTTCTTTCACAGAGAAATCTTAGACGCTGTGTTCTTTTATGCATAAAAACCCCATCAAGATGTCCTGTCTCTGCAGATCTAATCTCGATAGCTTTATGACCCCAGCCCATAATCTGGCCTGTACTTATGTAGGCTGTAAAAGAAAACCAGTTAGTCAATCCAACAAAACTATGTTAATGCAATATCTAACCAACTGATGTCGGTAGTTCTCCCCATGTAAGCAATGTATTCTTGCTAATTTTTCCATTTGTATCAAAATAAGCCCCTTCATCTGATAAAGAAATTATCATAAATTTTCAATAAAAAACGATTTCAGATAACTCACTATTATAACATAACAGTAGCTGCATGCCATCTGATTTAGGAAGTATAACAATTGCGTGAGGTTGAATATCGGATTGCTGAAATATATTAGGAAGTATTAGTTGAATGCTTCGGAAAAGATTTTGTTTGCAAGATCTCCTAAATATATCCCAAACAGAAACAACAAGCAATATAATATGAATGGCTTGTTAAGAATCGATATAAGGCTGGCATCAACTCGCTAAATTTCATACTTAAACTGCTTTGGCAACTTTTGCTCACCAAGAACATTTACAATGCTTCAACTTACCCTTGACGGTATATGCAGGTCAAAAACGTCTGCAGTATCAAGGTCAATAGCATGGAAGCCCTTATTTGAGGCGAATACAACTTTTAGCCTTTGTCCTTCTTCAATAGTTAAATCGACTAGAAGGGGTCTGTAGGAGAGATCCTTAAAATTCTGAAAGACATAGAAAGAGTTATTGTTATCGTGTAATTGTTACTCCAAAAAAGGAACCTTGAATGCCATAAATTTATGATACGGTTTTGGGGCCCAGGCATATATTTCGACATTATTTTTAGATGCTATAACCAAAAATTTTATTCTCTCATATTTAACAATTTTAAAATGAACGCATCCTTCCAACTCTCCGACATTCGTATAACCTTGTTTTTTCTCGTTCTGCAAGTATCATAACCTTATAATCTATTCATATCACAGACTTATTTTCAACAATAAGAAACATACTTCAGTATCTTTTATTATTTTTGCTTTCAGCCATGATAAATAATAGCAGCGAAGGCGCTGTTTTCGCCCAGAAATTGTTACGAGAATATTCTGTCCTTCCAAAACTTCAATTTGAGAGAACTTCCTTCTTGATATGAGCTGATATACTGGTAATAAATATTTCTTATAGATATGCAAATTGCTTGTTCAAGTTTTCTAAGCATCTTACCTTTTCCGTCTCCGCTTCTATCTAAGAGCATTAAACCATTATCCGTTCCAATTAGAAGATTCACCCCTGGAGAACTTTTATTTTAGCAATGGTTTCAAAAACTACTCTATACGCACCCCACAAAGAAGCACATAAAACATCCGAATTAAATCTCTTTTTATATTTTCTAATTTCTGGAGTATCTTCTGGATTACTCGCAGTTGAAGGTGATACATTCACATTTACCAAAGATCCTTTCCGTCCAGGGTCAACATCAGTAGTTGAACCAGATTGTCCTTGTTCTGCATTCGAACTAAAGCCAAATGCAAGAAAGGAGCGTTGTGATGGGTTTTTCCTTAAATTATTTTGTACAGCCTGTCGATACTAAAAGTTTTTTGTATTAAAAAACTATTGAAATATAGAGGATATACCTCTGGTGAAGAACTGCCTCCTAATACACTTGATGGTAGTACATCAGGCAGATTATGATCGTGCATACCTTGTTTAGGGAAAAAAGGAAATTTTATTACATGCACAATTTCGGACAAAATTTGTTAAATTAGCCAAAGGATTGAAAATAAATTAGATGAGAAAGCGTTGAAAAATTCACCAGATGAAAGTTCTGGTGGTGCAGATACCAATCGTTGTATACCATTAGCATTTCCCGTTGAAGATGGCATATTAGATTGACTAGGTTTTTCCGATTGATGTCTCAGCCTATCAGACCCTGGGCTGACCTCAGTAATCCTTCGAGGAATGGGCTATATGTAAAAGAAAATTAGAAAATAATGTCATATTTTTTGTAAATAATATACTTTTCTCGCAACAAGAGTATCATCATCTTGTTTCTGGTAAGTCCTTGCTGGTATAGGTGGGGGTGGAGTATCGTCGAGCATTACTGAGTCAAGAGCTCTTACTGCATCTTTTTCGTAGTGCAAAGGCCTAATATGAAAAAAAATGGAATATAATGTGATGATTTATCCTATTAATTACTTACAAAGGTCTAGCAGGCCCAGATACTTGTAGAGTTCCATCATGAGATGGCTGACCGTCTTCCTCCCCACTGTCGTCATCTTCCACTCCAGGAGGATTGGGAGCTGAAGAGCCCATCTGCGATAACTGCCGAGCCCACTTATCTAAATCATTGTGGTTAGCTCTACTATGCTGATTAATTTGCGTTGGTGGGGTTCTTGATACAGGATGGGGCTTTTCATGCGCGTGTGGCAATTTTGGCCCCATTTGTTTTGGATTGATCTGTGCAGCTCTTGGAGGTCCCGCCATCATGTTCGGTTGTTGCTGAGCTACGGATGGTGGTGGCGAGGAGACATGATGCTGAGGCTGGGGTGGTCTATGCTGACCAACGGGAGGGGCTGGAGGATGATAAAAGTTTCCAGGAGCTTTAGAACCTTCTCTGGCTTGCAATTTCTGAAAGTTGTGTTTTAGGGTTGACGTCTCTTTATTACGGTTTTGAACAAGACTGTTCGCATTTGCATTATTAAATTCATCTTCTTGATCGCTGCCTTCATATTCAAATTCATTATGCTGTTGCTCAAATGTTTTTCCGCGACGATGTCTGTCTATATGGTCCTGTATCTGGTTCCTGACCTTTAAATTTAAAAATAATAAAAGTAATAAAATCTTTAGGCGTTGTCAATTTTATTACCTGTTTGTCCGTTGGTTGACTTTTTATAAACGTATGTTTTAGCAACTGCTCAGTATTCAATCTGTCTTGATATTTCTTTGTTAAACTTTTGCAAATGAAATCTTGAAAAGTCTTAGACCTATTAGAAAAAGTTATAAGTTTTTGTCATACTAAACGGGTATGCTTATCTACCATTTTTTAGACTTTAATCTTGGGGCTGGATTTCTTGGAATCAGAAAGAGTGCCCGCATAGGATGAATTTCGCATAAAGCTAGCAGTATACAAAATAAATTTTATGAGAGTATTGATAAAGACTAATTACGTGGTTTCCCTTCAGCCATTTCTATCGCGGTAATACCCAAAGACCACATATCACTCTGTTGAGAAATTCAAAAAAGAAATTATCACTCTGTATTATATATTTAAACTTTTTGTCTTACTCGATAATCATAAGTTGCCTCGGAATCTGTATCACATGCTATAACCTCTGGTGCCATCCTATTATTGGAATTATAGGGATGATAACGCGATTTGTCAATACACAATAATTGCTTACCAATAAGGAGTTCCAATAAACGTATTACGACGCCCTATTGTCTTATCCAATTGAGCGCTAACACCGAAATCAACTAAAAATAATATAGTGACATTTAATACTTCTCGTACCATACTAATATAAAATTAATCAACAATAGTATAAAAAATGATACGAACCTAATTTAACATCAGCATTGTCAGTAAGTAATACATTTTGGCCTTTAATATCCCTATGAATGACTTTATTATTATGTAGGTGATCTAAGCCCTATGTTTGAATCAGTTTAGTGTTAAGTTTTTTTTTAAAAGGTAAATGTACCCTTAGCATTTCCCTGAGAATATATTGAATCCATTCTTCTTTGAAACTGTTTCCTTTGGTTGCTGAAATTTCAGTTAAATAACAAGTTGGAAATCTATCTTGTAGACTATAAATACCTTTAACCAAATCGGAAACTGATCCTGCCCCGCAATATTCCATAACCAACTGTTAAATGAAAAATATCGATTCCATCAGCAAATTTAAAATACTGTACTACTTACCCAAAGTTGATCATCTTTGCCACTACCCAACTTTTTGATAAAAGCTCCGTAATAAGTGGCAATGTTTCGATGGTGAGAAAACTGGAGTAAAGATAAGTAAATAAAAAGGTTTTTTATGAATTAATGAATAAATCTTACCTTTTTCAAGACATTTATTTCCAGCTTTATCTCTTCTTCTTCGTCCTGACAACATAACGCAAATAAATTTATTAGAGCTTAGGCGCACTCATCTTTGAAAGTTTACGAACCTCTGTAACATTCATTACTTTAATTGCAGCCAATTGGCCAGTTTTTGTATGTCGTCCCTAGGAAAATAGATTAATTGTTTTATTTTGATGAAGTTACTAATTTGTGTTGGTAGTAAATAAATATCTTAAACCTATGGCTGGTTCCTAATTTTAGACTATGTCATATAAACAAGTAAAAAATTCAAATTTTATCGATAAGTATGCAATAGTAACATGTTCAGTTTATATTTTTCTGTGAAATAAGCACAAACAGATGTTTTTTTGGTTGGCCTATTAACAGGGTTTACTTTTATAATAATGAATGTTTATCAAAACATTATTAAATAATCCTACCGGATTGAAAACATTCAGACATAAGTTAATATTGGTATCAAGTGTATCTAAATCTTATGATCTTCATTTCGAAAGATGTATATGACGATGAAATTATTACCTTAAAAACTTTGCCATAAGTGCCATTGCCGACGACTTCGAGTAAATCAAATATACCAGCGGGCTCCTGACAAACACAGAAATGTACTTGAGAACATCATTCAATTGAATCCCCTATGCGATGTAGCATAGATATTGCTTGTCATTTAGATAACGATTAGAACAAAGAAATCTCAGTTGTTACGTTTTTAAATAACAGTTTATTACATTTATTCGCTTTGTCTGTTAAAATTCTAGTTATATAGTAATTAAGTCAGGACTGACCCGTAATTGAGATAAATCTATATCATCCAAACCGACGTTAGTACTGGCAGCAGCCATTTTAAACTAAGACTTGTCTGAAAAATTTTAAGTTATAGGTAATATTCCCAGTACAGTAGTCAAATCTTCTGATAGACAGAAAGAACGGAGGTGTATTTACCTGTTTCTTTTTTAAAAGATCCACAAATACATTACTAAGCTAATACAATTTGCATATTTTCTTACTCATCAAACTTCCGCGGCTGCATAACAAATACAATAGGCGTAGGTGGCGCTGTGTATAGTGATGAAACAGGTTCGTATATAATTAAAAAAATTCTCAAAATCTACTGCTGTGATAAGAATTAATCTGTAAGTGCTTGGAATGATTTTTAAGGTATCAAAAAATGTCATTTCCGGTGAAGATTTGCCGCTTTATTACAAATTTCACCGGTATTCTCTTTCATGTTATACTCGCTAATACGTAGCAGCGTCTAATTTATTATTGACTATTAAAAGCTTTATTTTACTATAGGACCAAAAATTTAAAGATTAACTTTACTATTCAATGGGTTTTGATTATGTACAATTTTACAAATAGGCCTACTGATACACCAAAGAGTTGGGGCGTTGAGTTTTTTCCGCGATTAATGCCTAAAAAATATCATTATCAAGTTATTTACTCGTCTATTAGTTAGTGCCAAGATATAACGATTTTTTTATAAGATTTTTTAACAATTCGAATTGAAAAAATTCTCCGAGTTGTGTAATTATAGTAAAGACGTTGTTAACACCACTTAATAACATAAAAAACGAAAATCTTATTAAATATACTATTTTTGTTTATCTACAATAAAAAAAACTACGTATAATAGTCTGTGTATATAAATCTTAAATAGGAAAAAGACTTGTCTTATCGTTTGACTTTTAGATATCCTATTTTATTCCGGATAGTGAAAAGCTATGAGAAAATAAGTTATATTTGAAAATAATGAATAGTTATTTAAAAGCCTATATAAACTAGGCTAAATTTTGAACAAAAGAGTTCTGAAAGAAGAGTAAAATATGATGTATTACGCACATGCTAATAACTAAATATCTTAATTATGATGATTATATCCCATTATCTAATGGGACAGATAAATTACTACTCTATGCTATTTTTAGTTTTCTTTTTGTTTGTTTATTTGTTTTTTGCTCCAAAGTTTTAAAATGGTTAAAAAATAGAGTAACTGGACAATTTTTGTTATGTAATAAGCAATCCTAACAGGTGGTAGTTCAATCCTATCCGTATGAATAGGGTGCTAATACAAGCAATTTACCCTTTCAACTTGCACCAATACTCACTCATAAGCGAAGAGCTGAAGTGGAATAAATTACTCCATTCTTTTGAAACCTCTCTTAAAAGTAGGATAATTGAAAAGTGATTCATGACGTCTATTACATACTTTCTGGGGTCGTAAAAAACAAACTTTTAAAACTCGTTCAATCCAATTTTCAGTTCTACTTTTTGTAAATATTGAGCTGCTATTTTTAGTTTTACATTGAAATTTCCGTTTATACAATAGCAAACGTCGTCTTAGAATAGTTTATGGTCGTCTCGTGTGCAATTCAATCCATGAGATTTGAAATAAGATTTTTCCGTTGACACAATCGCTTATTTATTATTGTAAAGCTAATGGAAAAGTATACTTTTAAGATCTGATTTTTTAATGTATGTCCCTTAACTCTTAGGTTACACTCGAAATAGCTTCAGGGTAAGTCTTTAGAAACAGATGTTTTTTCTCAGCTACTCAATATATCTATATATGCATTGTTTTATCTTTGAGAATCGTTATTTATCAATTTTCTCTCATCTTGAAAGAACAATTGAAAAACAAAAACCAAGTTGATAATTAGCAAGAGCAACATAGAAAAACAATAAATTCAAAAATAAAGAATTAACTTAAAAACTATATTTACAACTTATATAATATCGATTTATTTATTCGTTTGTCCACTTCTTATTTCTACCCACATTCTCTGTCAAGATCGAGCATTCATTCAGATGATCTTTTGTAAAAGTTACATAGCTGTAATAACAATCAAATCCAACAGAGACAATATTTTCATACAAAACCCGAAATCTTAAGGGAATATAGTAAAAGTTTATGAATTGAGCAGGTATTCCTACAGTGCATTCTGCTTTATATAGTTTTAAACCTTTTTTTCTAAGATTTTCCATTATTTTGTTTGTATTAGTACCTCTCCAATACTCAATTAGTATAATATAGCCAGATATATATATTGGACAGCAAAGAGTGGTATCGATTAAGAGCTTCAAACAAGCTGCCTTCAAATTACTTCCTTTTATGAAATAATCTAATATTTTATAATAATTATGAAAAAATGGTCCAATTATTAGTCCTGAAGCTGCAATCCCTCCGGTTCTCATCCAATTCCAATGATCTTGACGTTTCTTTATCAACTCATAAGTTTGTTGCATTCCATCACCAGTAGTGCTAATAGCAATAGTTACTGCTGTATTTGATAGTAATAAGTGTTTATTAAAGCAATAATTTATGATATTTTGCACTTTTCTAAAAAGCATCCCAAGTTCGTAGTTTCACGTTTGAGCGAAAAATAGCACCGAACGAAAAAAGGAATATATAGATAAAAATTATGGTATAAACTTTTAATAAACGAAATATTATTCAAATAACTCAGTTCCAAATAACGTTGATAGGGGCCAATATATATCATAGACAAAAATTATACATATGTACTCCGAAAATGTATAAAAAATATAGAGAAACAAGCTTCTTCTTAACACGAAAAAACTCAGCCTTGACAATACACATGGTCAGAAGAGGGATTAATCACGGATTATAACTAAAGGATGTTATGTAGAGCTTGGTACCAAATTTGAGTGGAACAAAAAAAGATATTCTAAATAAGAAATACAAGAAATAAAAACATAATTAACTTTCTAATTTAAACTAAATAAATCTCTTTATGTACCATAGGTTAAAAATTATTATTTGATTTACATTAGTGGTTTGCCTGACATTAAATTTCATTTTAAATGCACAAGACGAAGATTTAAGTAAATATTCAGTAATTATTATGATTGCTTTTATCACAACAAAAAAAAACAACAAGATTTAACAGTCAACAATTCAATCAATTAACAAATTTATCTCAAAGCTCTCACCACCTACACTTAGCATTTCTAAGAATGATGGTGATGGACAGGATAGAGATGTTGATGATTTCAATTTAATAGTCTTCGCTTTATAATAATTGAATAGATGTACTTCAGCAGCGTCACAGACGCCTTTATAACTTTCATCCTTAGCTTCAGCAAAAGTCCTTAAAACCTCCAATTGAATCTTATCGATATGGTCTTTGGGAGAACGCTTATAAAATTCTGACAAATAATCTGGCAGATGCCATAAATTTACATCCCAGGTATTATTGAAAGCAACTGATATAATCTCATCCAAAGGCTGCAGGAGGTCATAGTCTTGATCAGCGAAACCTAATATGGCTGTGATATCCAATTTATTTCTAAATTTTTGAACAATTTCATCTGACGTTTGTTTTTGAGAGCTGCAACAGTATACAGCAGCGGCATCAATTGGGTGGGCTTCGGTGTTGAAAATATAACCTCCAGTGTCTAAAATGCATTCACCAGCGGTTGATTTAACTAGCACGCCATCAGAACCGTGTATCCAATGATCAGGTGAGAATAATAGATATAAGTATTTCGTAGTTTCTGCTAAAAAGAATGATTCCATTCGATTATCTAATAAATGATTTTCTACGTTCTTAACAGATGCATATCCACAAGGAGTTTTTGCAATACTTTCAATAGCTGTTAGTATTGATACTCCCATTTCCATCAATAGAGGATCTTTTGTACTTCTATAAACATACATTATACTCTCTATTAATTCTGAAAAGTTTTCATTAAAGGGGAAATTAATAAGAAATGAAAGATATTTTTAATTATTAACCTGGTCTTAAAGGATATCCTTCTCTACTTGATTGAGCTGTTGATTTTGGAACATTATAAAATTCAGGAGTTGAACCATACTGATTCCACACTTGCATATAATTATGTAAACTCTTCAGGGCTTTTTCAGTATCACCTGTTAATGCCTACAAGAAAAAATTAAACATATATAAAAGCGTTATGACTAAAAATAAAGGTATGTCTATAATACAGTGTATACATTTTATTATATCTTAAAATCTTACTAAAAGTCCTGGCCAAAAGGCTTCTAAAGATTGAAATATTGGCAATGATACTTGTCCTTTTTTCATGTTAACCCAAAAATACCAGTCATCTTGTTTTAAAAATTTTTCTATTGAACCTTCCAATTCTAAATGTAAAGGGTCAACTAAAATTATATAATGGGAAAAGAAAATAAATTAATGGCTTACGATGAAACATTTCCATAAGTTGGGGTTTGTCAAATAATACCGCCCCTTTGACTAGGTATTCAAAAAATGAATCTACACCAGCTCCAATTCCTGAGTCAAGCGCCGTCCACTTTCTAGTTTGTACATCTATATGATTGCCAACCAACCCTATTTCTGACCGGCATTCATATAAAGCATAGAGAGCTTTTAATGCTGCTGTTTCGAAGGCAGGGTCACCCGTTAATTTAGACAGAGTGCCAAATTCAACGATGTAAGTTCCCACACCAGCAGTACACGTTATGCTAGTTTCACCAGATGGAACGCCGTATCGTAAGTTAACAGTACCGTATGGCATGCCTAACACATGAAAGATGCAAACATTATAAAAAGAATGGAAAGAAATTTATCGTACCAGATGCAGTTTGAAATGCAGGTAACAGTCGTCTTGCAACATTTTCTGCAAGTCGCAAAAGTGGTCCTGAGCAAGGCCATCCTTCTTCTATTTCTAGAGCGGCTTTTTTGCTAAAAAGATGAGCCGAAAGTAGACCCCCAACAACTGAAAAGTATGTTATCTGGTTAAAATATATTTTATATAAAAAAAATAATAAACACACTTCGAATGTTAGTTTCAAAAACTGATACATTGATGTCTTGGTCAAAATCAACTGTTTTAAGTATTATTTTAGCTACTCTTCGAAACTCAGAATAGTTTCCAAGAACGACTAGTGTATCTAATGCATCTATTAAAGTTAAAGAGTAGCTGTAAAGAAAAAATTCAATTATACAACTGGTTTGTTAAAAAAACTACATCAAACCTGCCCCAGGTGTCTTGGCCATCGCATGTTAGTGGTCGTAATTCATCATAAGGATAAGCATGTTCCCAATAAGCATTATAAGAGTGATAAAACATTGAACTAACTCTGTCTCTGCAAAAAGAAAAACAGATTAATCGCCGATAACTAGGGACTGCGCGAAAAGTAGGTAAAATCTTCTTATTCAGTCCTTCGATACAATCAAAATAAAATATTACCTGTATTTTAGTAAATCATTTTCAGAAAATTTCCTCGGTAAAACTGAACATGAAATCAAAAAGGGTAAACCTAATAGCATTACATATGTTATAAACATAATTGTGGACCATACTCGTCCTATGTCAGTTGGAATAGAATTCGGAAAGTGGCGGAAGTCTGTGAATACTCGGGCGAAAAAGTCAATTCGATTCTACGCGGGAAAGCAAGCTTAGTTTTTCATTGATATAATAATCTTTTTAAATTTCGTAAAATATGTCGAGTTTTACAAGAGAAACTCTGGAAGAAGAACTTCACATATTTGGGTTTTCTTTAGAGAATGATGGATGCTTTGAAAAAGGTTGATCTACTTTTACAAAGATAAATTGAGTATAAAAAGTACTTTCTCTAGTTAGAGATCTTGCTATGCTGCACGGCTTGGATGAGGAAGGAATAACAAATGAATTCGTTGCCTTTACCCACACTAGTAAACTAAAACATAATTCTCAGCTAACCGAAGTCTTATTACTACAATTTGAGCGAGAGGTACATATCAAGTCTTTTGCTTTCCATAGTAATACGTCATTGTTAATTGTAGAGATTGTCCAAGAAGGCTCATAAACAAGCAAAAACTCCTCTATCCAAAAACAAGATAAAAAGGTTTTTCACTTAATTCATGTAACTATAAATACTTAATATTAGAATTGAACTTAAATCAGAGAAGCCTATGATGATTCTTGCTTAGATGACTCGTACAACGCGTTTGACGGAGAAACAAAGGTAAAATTATTGCATTAAAGTTTCAAAACGATTAATAAGTCTGAATTAGAAATCGGTAAATTCTCCTGCTAATTTTAAACAATCTGGATCAAGAAATTATTCTACCATCACTCAATCACCATCTTGGTATTTAAAAGAAACAATTTACTGAAAAAAATAATAATTAATCGTTTTGACAGCACTGACAATTACACTAAAAGAAATAATTCTGGAGATATAATATGCAAATTTGGGTCTTTAGCACCGAAGGAAGTTGTTAGGAAAGAATCAGATACTAAAATTTCATTTCTAATTCCGGAGGAAGAAATGAATCGCTTGGACAAATTTATGTTTCAAAAAAACAGTGATAAATCAATGGGTAAAATTTGTTCGCATATTAAAATTTTTGTGATAATCATCTTCCTCTTATAGTCGTAAATGATATCTTGGAAGAAACAAGCTCCCTTTACAAATTATTTAACAATATTGAGCATTTTGGTCATGTAAGCCTTCCTTTACAGGTTTGATAGTATTTAAATTCCTTTACCCGAGAGTTTACAATAATTATTTACCAGGAAAAAACAACTATTTGTGGCCGAATTGTTTCAGAGGGTGAATCAAAGCTGAACTCGAGCACTGTACTAATACAAGGATCTTTAGAAACATCCGGTGGACGGTGCTGTAAGCTTGACTTGTCAAATCTAAATAAATATTCACTCTTTCCCGGACAAGTACACTTCTTCAACAGTTATTAATATTTTTGACTAATAATTTGTTTGTCAGATAGTTGCTTTTGAAGGTGTGAATAATAATGGGAGAAGTTTTGTAGCTAGTAAAATTTTAGAGGTAAGGAAAGAATTTGAACAGACTTTAACTGAAAAAATTTCTACATAGAGTCTTTGGAAGAATCCAGAAGAAGTTCTTTTGAAAGGTAACTAAAAAACTAAATCCTAATAAAATTATATAGAATATTTTCTAAAGACGATATGAAAATTATAATTTCTGCTGGGCCATATGCAACGAATAGTTCAGATTTAGAACCTTTCCATGATCTAATACAAGTTATTAAGAGAGAGAATCCAGATATATGCATTATGGTAATTGACAAATTCTTTTTCCTCAATTTTATAGCACAAAAATATTCCAGATGGGTCCATTTGTTGACTGCAAAAATCAAAATTTAATGGTACTGAACTCAATGATAAACTTTTCATGTATCTAACTGTTTCGTTTCCTGATAGATGCAAAATAAATCTTATGAAGATATTTTTTCAGATATGATGAAATATCTGAGACAAGAAGTTGAAGGGTATTATAAATTTTTAAATACATGTAAAATCTGGATAAATCCTCATAACTATTAGATTACATACGAAGTTTTTCATTATTCCATCGGAGAGAGATGCTCACCACGATATGGTCTATCCCCAAAATTCATTTTCTTTAAAATCAGATGAGGTGGTAATTTCAGCATCTAAACAATTTTTAAAATCAAGATTACCTACAGAAAAATTTACGCTATTTGATGAATCCTGGTATACTTGATTGTGATGGTTTAATTTTGGGCTACACATCTACAGACATTATTATTCATATGGCCAGTGAGGAAATTGCAAGGTATGTTCTGTTTTCATAAGAGACATGTTCCTATAGTTAATACTTTTTGCAGCTCTAATCATCCCGAAGACAAAGTCACAAGAGTTTTAAAGCATATTTTGCAGCAGAAACAGTACGTTTTATTCTGTATTCGGATTTTATCCTACACATTTTATCTCATCAGATTTTACCCCTTGAACCCACCTCACCATGATATCAATATTGAGTATGAAATGCTCGAATACTATGGAAAAATATCGGTTACTCCTCATATTTTAATCACGCCCTCAGATTTAAAATATTTCATAAAGGTTATGAAATTTTTATCAGTAGAAATTTCAGCGATAACTTTGTTTATTTTACATAGGAAATAAATGGAACTCTTTGTATCAATCCTGGAAGGTTAGCCAGAGGAAATGCTGGTGGAACTTACGGCAAGGCTCTTTTAAAAGGTGATGCGAAGTCAAAATTGAACTTAGAAACAATGCGTTTTGAGATTATTAGAATTTAAAAAAAATCTTGTAAAACAACTGCTCTTATATTTTGCAATAAAATCAAAATTCTGTATCTTCTCTTTAGAGCTTAATCCCATTTAAAATTGTTATTTCATGGCAATAAAAGAAAAATTTGGATTTTCGTGTATTCGTTACACAGTACTACTGAATTTAATGTTTTATTCACAGTATTGTGAAAAGTTAATGAATAACAATCTTCATTATAAAGTAAAACTTCCAGTAGTAAAATCCTAATGTTTTGGATACGCATAATATATATAAGTTAACGTTTTCTTAATCCAGTCAGAAGCGAACCCTTGCCCATCGTGTCCATTTGCTTCCTACGATCCTCTTCCATCTGAAATTAAAATTAGCATAAAGTTCAATTATGATTAAAATTTCTTACCCTTAATCTCTGCTGATTCTCCCTAAACGCCTCAACAGGATCATCGAATTGATTATAATGATCTATAACAGTTCTAACATCTTCTACGTTGCTTATTGCAATTGTTTTGAGAAAAAGAGCAAGATCTATAAGTGTACGATCACTATCAGCTCCTGTCCATTTGGGCATTCCAATGGCATTACGTGGATGGAATTTAAAGGCATTAGGATCGCAATCGACTATAATTACTTTTGATAAATCCCTATTTAAATGATCCAAATCCTGTCAGAGAATTTTCGTAAAAATTTATGAAAACATATAAAAAACATTACTTTTATATGATGACCATCTTTATATCGTGTGGCATCTCTAAAAAGTCGATGAGCAACAACACCTTTAGAATCTATACCATCTATTATCGGCATAGCGGTCTGAAAATAAATTATTCATAAAAACTTTTCAACATTTCTTTGTCTTAAATACTTACAAAAACTGTTTCTTTCGTGAATATTACAACCTCGAACAAAGGATGTGATACATTCTCCAGAAAATAATCAACGGCTGGTCTTTTCTTAAACCTCCATCCTGTACCCAACTATATGCATAACATTAACAATTATTAAAAAAATAATGAATATAATTTTTACCGTCCAATCTGGATGAACTAAAACTCCTGTTAGTTCTAAAACAAGAGTATATGGTGGTTGGTAAAACGGTTCTTTAACGGGATCGGGCAAAAGCTTTCGGCTGGATGGATCTCTCATAGACTAAAAATATGCGACTTGAAGATGATTTAGCTCAAAGTTAACAAATCTAACCTGCATAAAGAGCTGAGCTTCATTAAATGCTCTTTTTATATATCCTTTCCACTTCGGTACTAAAATGAGGAATACTTAAAGGAATTTTTCATTGCATCAAACTCAAAACTTACAACTGGAATATTCATCGATAATCTGAGATAAAAAATTATAAATTCTTAGAAATTAAATATTTTTTACAGATGTACTTACTTCGTTTCCTTCGTCATCATGACTTGGCAGCCCTAGAATATTGTTTATTTTATTAGAGTATTTTTCTACTCTTTTGTAGTACTTACCCCACATTACTATAAGGTTACCGGTCATAATTAAACCCATTACACCAAAACCTATTAAGCCTAATTTCCATGAATGTTGGCTGCTAAACCATGAGTTTGATTTCTTATCGTCTTCTTTTGACTTTTTATCATCTTGTGGTTGTTCAGCAATACGTTTATTTAAGATTTCTTCTGTTATCCGGCCATCCGTTTTTAAAAGTCGAATGGAGCGAAAGTCAACTCCTGATTTATCCTTTGATTTAATATTAACTAATGAATATACTACTCGTTGTCGGGTAGTTTCTGAAACTAATGTACTATATGGCAATGCCCATAAGGTTTTTGTAACATGTTGAGCTCTAGTATCTCGCAAAAATTTTGTCAGTGACAAACTGTTTCGAAAAACCCACGAGGGCACCGCCATTTTGTAAGTCACTTTTTTCGTAATATTATAAATATTAAACAAAAAATTTTGTAAGAAAAATATGTCAACAATAAGAAATTAAAAACATGAATTTATTATATTTAATTTTATTTAGTGCGGACTCAATATATAACGAAAATTTTGTGCGAGTCAACTAGTGTTATGGGATGGAAAGTACTGAAAAACTTTATTACTCCTAGCTCCATTTTTAAATTCAAAACATGAGGTAGCGATTGTAGAGTAATATTTCGGATAGTTTATGGAATACGTAAAAGGCCGCGGAATACGCGGGAGGAAAGTATGCAAACCGGAAATTTGGAATCGTGTGGTTAGTGTCAACTTTTCGTTTTGGTTTCCTTCCAGCGCTTGACAGCGCGACTTTTCACTAATTTATTTTTAATTTTTAGACTGCGAATAAGCATAACGACAATCGTAAGCCTGAGACGGCTCCCGTAATAGTACAATCACCAATGGCGATATTGGCCAAACAGGACGAAAATACGGTTTGTTGATTCAGGTCATAAGTGAATATAGGAATTAACCCGATTTTTGTGTTTTTAAGCAACCCTCAAGTGTTGAGAATGTACCGAAAAGTGTAAATAATCCAATAAAGCGCAAGATACTGATAAAGCCTAGAGATAGTAAGTCAGACACGATAGCAGTTGCTAAGCAAGTTAGTGCTCGGTTACCAGTCTAATACTATAAAATGTAAGAACATGTATATCGTTTGTCGTTACTTTAGAACAATGCTGTCGACAAAAAGGCAGGTCATCAAGGGGATCAGGCGAGAAAATTGGAAATATCAGCCAATATGAAAATGCCCCGTAATATAAAAACCCCTTTTCAGATTATTGATGAGGGTGGACAATGGATAGGTGACGTTTGTGCAGACTATACTATAGATCAAAGTAACTATTGTGTTGTTGGGGTTATTGGTGGTCAAGGTGTCGGTAAGTCAACAATAGCTTCTCTGTTAGCGTCTAAAGACAATTCAGAAATTTTAAAGTGAGTGTTTAATATACTTGAATCTTTGAATTTTTAAAAAAAATTGATTTTGTTTAACGTAGAGATGGTCCATTCGTAATAAGTCCAAGGGAGATTCGCGAAGCAGCCTTGTATCAAACAGCTGGAATTGATTTATTCATTACCCCAGAAAGAATGATAATTTTAGATACTTATGTAAGATTTAGTCAAAAAGCTATAATAGTTATTTAATCCTGAATATTTCTAATAGCCGCTTCTCAGCATTGCTCACTTCACCGAAAGCTCTCCATTTAGAGATTCGAAATATGAAAGAGGTTTAATGGAAAATCAATCAGAACTACACGTAAGCAAAAAAAAATTAAAATTTTAAATTTTTGTAATAAGATATTTTATTTATTTATTTATATTAATTTATATTTTGCAGGCATTACAGCTCATTCTGTTTTTGATTAATATTTGTCATTCGATAATAGTTGTAAGCGATTGCGGCATAGACTTAAATTTATGCCGGTTACTTCTAACGGCTGAAATGCTGCGATCAGATTTAGCTGAAAATGTAAATCCAGAACTACCATATTTAGGTAATAATATACTTTTCTAAAGAATATTTCTATAAACAAATGTATTTCCAGTTTTCTTGAACAATCGAATTTCAGTGCAAGAACTGAACAGGCACGTCTTTAGAAGTAATGTGGAATTGCTAAATGAAATGTTTTCCACCTCACAATATAAAATTACAGGTTTCATTTAAAACTCACTTATTGTTAATGAGTGCTTATGTTTAAACGATTTTCAGGTGTTGATGCACATCGTGTAGAATTGCCTCATCTACGTGTAAAAAGACCAGCGAATTTGTTTCTTTTACCAGAAATTGATGCAGATAAACCTGCAGCTTTTTCCGCTGATAGAGGTTTTAATTACTCTAACTACTCAATGATAAAGTCATGATCCTATCTAAATTCTAAAATCTAGGTTTTGTTGACGGAAAGATACCCCCTATTAAATGTTTCGTAAGAAGCTTGACTCGTCAAATTTTGGGTTTACGTCGCTCTTATCCACAGAAAAGTGGGCAAAGTGAGAAGGCGTGGTAAGTTAACTGGATTCGTTACAGAAAATTTCTTCAGAGTTTTGTCTTCCAGGTTGCAGTCTGCTTCCAGAGCCTGGAATGCCTCTAAGAAGAGTAGTCTATTATCGGAATTCACTCAATTCGTACCTTGATGGATGTATTCGAAATCTCGTTGATAATTAGTAAAAGTGAAATCGATAACTTAATTCATGGAGTGGGTTAAACGAAGACGTTGTTTCGTTTCGTTGAAATCGAAGTCAAAAGGCTCTCTTTTAAATGTCAGCCACCCGGCTAAAACATCAAAGCACCGCCATGAACTTCTTGGCGGTTATTAAAAACAGTAATTAAAGCCAAATAACTTTCTAATACTGAATGATAAACGACCGCTGCTGTGTAAAATTGGTGAAAATCTGAAGGGCCCCACATGCATCTAATCGAAATCTTCGACATAAAGGTGGTTATTGGAATTAAAAAAGGCAAGAAATATAATATCAGTATCGCATAAATTTAATAATTCCACAATAACCAAATTGTTCCATTTTCAAACAAAACCAATTTGAGGACGGAGCAATTATAAACATATTATAAAGCTAAGTAATTAGACATCAAATTGTGAAATAATCTATATTGGAATATCCAGATTTTTTTCAATAGAAACTAGTATTTGGAAGTGTTTTCTGTATGTCGCCTTTTTAAAAATGTAAAAATTATGGTATTATCCCACCCCAATCTCTATTTTCAATTTTGCCTATTTGTCATAATACTGTTAATAGAGTTTATGTTTTCGCCCTCGTTTTTAATGATTTCGAGGTAACTTTGGCGACAACTCGTTGTTCTGGGGAGCTAATTGGTTGTTTACTTTTTTTTATAGAGAACAATATTTTCACAAAAGTAATGTCCAAGTATATCAATTTACTCTTAAAATCCATATTAATTTCTCTGTGTTGTCTTAATAGGTTGTGGATGTGTCTTTGCTTATAATACACTTTATTTTATTAATTGACCACTATGAAATTTTGATAAACTAATCAATCACCGCGTCTTACGCGTACTTGGTGCAATCGATTCTAAATGAAAAAAATACACTATCAACATTAAATATACTAATGAGTAACTTTAATTCACTATATTCGAAAGTGCCAAGAGTTTCTTTATCAACCCGCACTAGGTTTATATTTCCCTGTCAACGCATGCGCGAAAGATATTGATTGTCTTTAACTACTTGAATTCTGCAACATTAGGACTGAATTTCGTCTAGTCATGACATTAAGGTGTCTTGAAGAAGATCATTTCTCTCGGAAAACAACATGTGAGGGATATCCCACTGAAACATATGCTGAACAGGTAATACTTTAGTCTCTGCAATAATTTGAAGTTCCAAATTCTGACGGATTTTTATTTTCGTAGGCTGAAGTAGAAGACACAATTCATGAATTATTTAAAGCTTTCAAAAGAAAATTAGATTTGGAAGATGATATCCCAAAGTTAAATCGTGAAAAACACCTCTCCTTTCTAAATAAGGGTACAGAAAATCTGGGTCCTACTTATTCAGTTAGTAGATTGTTATGAATTTTAAAATGTTTAATCTTGTATTATTTTAGTGTCTAGATTCGAGTAGGCCTTGGCTTGTTTATTGGATTTTAAATTCTTTCCAATTGCTTTCTTATGAGATCCCGGAAGCTCTAGGCGACAAGTGAGATGTTTAAGCTATGATCTCCTTTAGATTAACATTACCAAGAGTTTCTTAACCTACAGGATATCTGATTTTTTAGGAAGATGCCAATCTGAAACTGGAGGCTTTGGTGGAGGGCCTGGACAACTACCTCATTTAGCCTCAACATATGCTGCCGTATGCGCTCTGTGTATAATAGGAACTGAACGCAGTCTTAGCATTATAAACAAAGATACATTGAGGAATTATTTGATGAAAAGTCATCAATTGGACGGCTCTTTCGTTATGCACGAAGGTGGTGAAATAGATATTAGAGGAGTTTATTGCGCCGCTGTTGTAGCAAAATTAACAAATATGCTAAGCCCTGAGATGTTTGACAACACTGGAGAATGGTTAGCTAGTTGTCAGACTTACGAAGGAGGATTTGGGGCAATGCCAGGTTTGGAAGCACATGGGGGATATTCCTTTTGTGGCCTTGCAGCCGCAATCCTCCTGAAAAGAGAGAAGTTAATAGACACACAGTCATTTTTAAGATGGCTGGTTCTTCGACAAATGACATTTGAAGGTGGATTTCAAGGAAGAACGAATAAAATGGTTGATGGGTGCTACTCTTTCTGGCAAGGCGGTGCTTTTCCACTTATTCATGTACTTTTAGATTTATCCACACCTGAATATAAAGAACTATTATTTGATCATAGAGCCCTGCAGGAATATGTGCTTATATGCTGTCAGCACCGAGATGGTGGTTTGGTTGATAAGCCAGGAAAAAATCGTGACTACTACCACACTTGTTATTGTCTATCGGGCTTATCAATAGCTCAAAATAGCTGTAATGCCCTAGGAAGTTCCGATCCAGATATTGTTGGCTGCTCTACTAACTTACTGGTAAGTAAATTACAACATTGATAAACAGATTTATCCATTTTATTTTCTATCCTTCAACAGTCTGCAGTTCATCCAATTTTCAATTTCTCCTACACATCAGTAAAAAGAGCTCTTGATTTTTTCAACCAAGTTTAATCATAAAAACGTTAAGACTTAAAGATGGGAGAAATTGTTTAAAAATATGTCAATAAATTGATAAAGGTGCCGATACTTGTGTTTGTCTTAGAAAAAGCATTTCGCTTATTAAACACTCTTAAATATCAAAGAAGATGTTAAAAAAGGACATTTTAATAAGTATATTAATTCTTCAAAAGAATTAGAACAAAAGTTTAATACACTTGAAATCAATCTTTTAAAAATATTCAAATTTCATTTTCCCTAGAAATTTTTGATAGCAAACTAAGAGAGTAATTTCATATGATTCTGACTAAGTGATCTTCGGGTAATGGAACAAGTTGACTGAGCTAATATGAAAAACAATTTTATGATCCAAAAATAATGTCTATTTATGTAATTGTTCAACCTACCAATCTCTCTAAATTGATTTTTCTAATACTATCAGGCATTTTATTAACGTGATTTAATAACATTGTAAAGGCATATACATTCTTAATTTGCGACTGCAAATGCCTGTTTAAAGAAGGAACTGTCGGTTTGGTAATGTACTCTATATCTTTTTTTTCTAGTTGAAACAAGTCATTCGCATGATAAATCATGAAAGTAGTTAGAGAAACAATAAAGTTATCTAAGAACTTTTTAACCATATCAGTAATTTCGCCCATTTTGCGATTACCTAAATTTTTTGGAGTTTCATAGTCCCCTCTTGGAAATGGGTTAAACAGGCCGTTACTAACAATGGAAGCTATTTTCGTAACTGTCAAATTATTTTTTTCTATAAAAATTAATAGAAAACGTGAAAGTAAAAGAATTTTTTGAAGAATCTTATAGTTAAAGGTTGGTAGACTATGAATGATAAATCGGAGTAATTCTATTTTGATCTTTTCATCATTAGCAGCTAATAAAAAAATTGTTTATTAAAATAATACACAAATATAAAAGATAGACATAACCGTTTATCAAATAGTATGCAATTATATTTTGTTGTGGCATAATTGGCTGGGGAGAATTTGATAAGAGCCTTTTAAACGGATCGGTTAGATATTCTGTACGCCAGTTATTATCCTCCAAAAATGATAGAATTTCATCAGGTAACACAGGATTTCTCATATCATTGAGCCTATCATAGATTAGTTTACTATATTTTTCTTTCTTGCATCGACGAAATAAACTATTTGAAATGACAACTAAAGAAAAATTAATGGATTTTCTATCGAAAAGAGAAAAAGAAAAATATTGGTATACTCTTTTCATTCTCTAAAACGTCAATTAAAATATTTAGAGCATGAAGAAACTGATCTTCTCTCAACCGAAACCTATTTAGCTTGTATTTTTGATCTTCATTATTAAGAGAAAATCAAACTCTCTTAAAGTTTATTACAGTTTTTAAATGTTATTTTTACTTACCAAAGCTTTCGCAAAGTCGTTTACCAACTTGACCTTTTATACTCGATGCAAATATATCATTTAAACTCAATTCATCATTCAAGTATTTCTATTTAGGTAGAAAAAGAAAGCTAAATATCATTTTTTTTTTAATTCAATTCTTTTCGCATACAGAAAATAGAAATAAAATGCTTTTTTTACTTTTTTAATACTATCTTCTAAATTAAGAAGATTAGAAATTTTAAGTTTAGAATATATTTTCAATTTTCTTGGATATTTCTTTCTTATCTCTTCTACTTGTTTGTCAGAGAGGAAATTTTTTCTAATTAAAACGATATAAAAAGTGAATTTATAGTTGAAATCAATCGAATAATTTTGTATACAAACTGATCTTCAGTCATAATTTATTAATTCTTAATAACTATATTTGTTTACATAATTTTTAAATGATATTTGAGTAGTATTAAAAAATTATTATTTTTAGAAGAATGTATTTTTAAAACACATTGCTATCAGATAACGTACATACAAAAAATCATTAATCTATGATAGATTATCTCACAATCTATGATTTTTGCAGTTTTGGTCATTATCTATATATATATATATATATATATATATCTTTTTAACAATAATGGCTTTTAAGTCATTTTTTCTATAAAAATCTCAAAAGATAAAAACATTAAAGGTGGAAAATAGAAAGTCTACTTTCTGCTAAAATTAGTGGGACAGCTGATTTAGGCGTCAAAGAATTGATCAAATGACAAACCTTTTTCCAAGTAGACGTAAGATAAAGCTTTTTATTTATTTATTGGGCGTTTCTGGGCAGTACATAATATCATTAACTATACTATCAAACTACGATCGCAAAATGACAGACTACATTTCTTTGCATGCTTCACACATCTAAAGTTTTTGCTTTGCGATAAAGACTCTTTGCATACACAAAGTTGGTTATCTGATTACTTGCTTAGTAACATCAACATACGTGGCTCCATCTGGTATTTTACAGTCATATTCCAGGAAATTGGCTAAGTCACCCCATTTACAATGCGTCTTTTCCTCTTCTTTATATAGTTTGCACTGTAGTGTTGTCTTCAATTCAACAATGACGCCCGAGACTTTCAGCTGTAGAATAATAATAAAAAAATTGTAATATGCCTTCAGACGACTAATTAGTACTCTAATCAATATAGAGAAAAGTTTTATAAGGAATTCACGGCCCACAGTGCAAATCAATATCTATTTTCCTTGGGAAATGTGTGTCTCATGAGAAATAAGTGTAAAGAAAATTTACAATAATATTTAATATACTAACCCTTATTATAATGATGATCTGCTGTCTATTTCCTTTTTTATTGGGTGAGAAACTGGTGCTTGTCCATTCACATGTATATAGGCTTTCTCCAGCCTTTCCGCTCTTCCCTTCGTTGAGAGAAATGCTACTTCCTTGTATAGCTAGATCTCTATTGTGAAGGACGAGAAGACATTAAACGACCAAGTGATTTTGTAATAGAAATGAATAGAAAAAAACAAACGCTTACAATACTTCAATTTCCTGTGTTAAACGTAATTCCAACAGATAAGGTGTATCGACGTTCAGTTTTAAGGTTTTTTCACTGTCAAATCGACCTCCATCTATTTTAAAACGAACTGGTTCATTGTCATCCTTCCTCTTCAACCCCAACTGCAATTTAAAGGTGGTCGCCATAAGTAACGACAGCCAGCAGCTAAGGCTAATTTTTCCAAATATCGATCCCCCCACTAGCTACTGTAGGAAACGATGAAACCGCCTACTGATTTCACCGCCATCTTGTGGAAGCTTGAATAGACCTAATCATTTAAATGTCACACTTTCATTGTCACAGTTTCTTATACCAGTTTTATTAGTCAGGTATGACAGCTTCAGCGTTGCAATTGTTGAAAACGAATGAAATATTCTCGAAGGAGATTGAACCATTAGTAAACTCTAGTAATTTTCTTATTTATATGTTTATTAATTCTACCTAATTGTAGAAAATATTACACGAGAAAACCGCAGTTTTATGCACCGATACAATCAAGAGACGATTATTTGACACAGAAGCATCGGTGAAAAATCTATTTCAATGTGCTGAGAGAGTTCTAGGAAGTAATTGGGAAGAGGAATTTCGAAGTAACAACTCGCTTAGATGATTATTGATCATTAAATAAAAAAAATGAAGCTATTTTTTTTTATAAAGAATGGCAGTCCGGAATAGAGACAGACGAGGAGAAAATAACAATTCTTGAAGCATTAAAGAGTATAATTCGGTATACGATAATTTTTTATGCTAATGGGGGCAATTTTTATCTATCCAATCATCATTCAATGTTTCCAATTTCTTTCAACGATAAAGTCAATAAACTAACTTCTCTTATCAATGCTGGTATTCCTTCTTATATCCCGTCCGTTTGGTTATCAATTGTTCAGCATGTTATGAGCTGTTTCGAAAAGATTCGCCTCCGTCCCCAAAATGATAAATGGCTAATTTCTGGCAATTCAGAGAAATTTCGTCGAAAAGTTCTTGGGTATGTGGTAGGTGGTGCTCCAATTCCATTCGTTCTACCCGCTTTCCCAATGAAGAGTAAGAATAGGATAAAGAAGACAATTGGTCCCCTCCCCGATATGGCAGAATGGATTTCTTTGAAGCATTTGGCAAATTTTTGTAGGGAAATCCGTAAAATTTATGCACCTGGAGTAAAGATACTTATTTTTGGAGATGGACGATTATATGGTAAAATATTAAAGTATGATGATAGCGAAATAACCGAATATGAAAGAGTTTTCAAGGATATGCTATCGAGATTACCTGAAGAAATTCACGATCAACTCCTTTATGCCGGTATCGATGACTACTTTGAACGAGACATGGGATATGATAAAATTCGATCATACGTATACTCTCTTTATGATGTTACAATGGAAGAAGTTGATAATGCAATTAGGGTACATACTGCATTTTAGTATGTATTATATTTGTCTATACTAATCAGCACTTCAACATACTTTTAGACTAATGAAAATATAAATAACGTCTACAAGGGATTTGCACGCTATCTCGACGAGGACCTTGAAGGTGATATACCAAAGGATATTTCTAGAACAAAGCGCAAACAAATAACAAAGGATTTTGCAAGAAAATTGTTGAGAGGTAATATGGTTTATAGTTTGGTGATAAAGGATATTTTTCCTCATCACCTTCGTCTTTCCATACATCCTCATAACAATGAGGATAAGGTTGGGGTTTCCCTGTTGGAGAATCAAAGATTTTCTGCTGGAACACCTGTAAGTTGATTACTTTTACGTTTCATTTCAATATAACAAAAAAACATTATGTTTTCTTCAGTGGCATCGGGTAGCCGCCAAGAAAAAAGATGGACATTGGTATTTCATGAGACGAATTGATGCTGAGGCAATGAATTATAAATTAAAAGGGCAGTTTAACGGCGAAGGAACAGCCAACAGAGAAAATTGGCCTCATTATGTTGAAGAGTAAAAAGTTTAAAGTACAAAATTTACAAATGAATCGAAATATATTTTGACTATTTAAAAATGGAAGAATAAATGATACTTTGAAAATATTTTGTCTTTGTTCTTATTGCATAATAATTTATTCAATTATTAAAATATTATATTTGTATTCAAAGTGGACGGAACGATTGAATGTGATAAACGAATTATTTTTGTCTTACTGCCTTAATGAACATTGACTTCGTCTGTTCTATGACTTGCTGATAGATTTTCAAATCTTCTTCTTTTGCTGATATAGATCTATCTAAAGCCATTTTCAGCATATCAATTTCATCACTTTTAAATAGAATATCATTTTCTAAATCATCAATTTTTGTTGCTAATAAATCTGTTTCTGTTTCCTCGAGTTTTCTTCCTTCGCTTTTTAGTCTACCAACCTGTTTCTCAAGGATAGCAGTCTTTTTTCTTTCTGACTTTAAGTGTTGTTCACTTTGTAGTCTCTTTTCTTCACTATCTTGAACCCTTTTTTGCATAACTCCTATAAGTTCGACTAATTTGTCACGTTCAACTTGAGCTGTTTGACTAGGGCGAAAAAACACAATCAAATAATTTAACTTCAAAAAAACTTATTAAATAATCTGTTACCTTAGTACTTTGTAGTGTTCTATGTCTGCCCTCGGCGTTTCGGCTAATCGCGAAGACGATCTTGAAGATAATCTTGAGCTATTTCTTCTGGCAGAACCCATTTCTTCAGAATCGATCGTTACGACCGCGATATTATGTTCAATTCTGCATTGTGACAATCTAGAGGTCTTTTGAGTAAAGTGAGTTTTGGATTGAGAAGTTTTTCTTTTCAAACTATCAAACTCGTTCTCAAGCTCTATTAAATGATCATCGCGTTCACGAATAGTATTTTCCAACTGTTTTATTCTATTAAGATATTGTTCCGATTGCACTTTCAAATCAGACATATTTTTATTAAATTTTTCGCTAGAGTCAGATTTATTCTTAGTGGCAGACACCAAACCTTTCTGTAACTGTTCTATTTGTTTCTAAAATATTAAGAAAGTATCAATTATAGAATACGAATGACTATGTATCATTCAAAGGTTTATTACCATCAATGCTTGTATTAGCTCATTATCGTGGTTATTCTTAGTTAGTAACGTTTGAGTTTGATTTTTCAGCGATTTAATTTCGTTGGAAAGAACTTTGTTTCTGAAGATATATTTAAATTAGTTCTTCAAAATCGAAATAAACATTTGTCTATTCTGTTACCTGGCCTTTGATGCGTCTAATTTTCCTTTAAGATCATCTCTTTCCTTCTCTAATTCTGAAATTGTTTCTCCCATCTTTTGTAAGTTTTCTTTTCTATCTTTTTCCAATTTCCTAATTTGATCTTTATGTTGGATATCCAAGGTGGCTGTCCGTCGACCAGACACAGCACTTCCAGTACCAAAATCCATTTCGGAGCCTTCTAACTGTGATTTTAATTCACTTACTTTTTGCTGTAAACTTAAAATTTGTTGAGATCTTCCTCTCCAAGTACTATCCGACTTTAACACAGCTTGAACGCTGGTGTTTTCACCGATTTCGTTAGAAAGTGCTTTTTGAGCCAGTTTTAGTTCCTGTTTTAAACTTGAATTTTGATTCCGATATTCAGCCATTTTCAGTTCGCTCTGTCTCAATTTTTCAGAGGTTGCTTTTAATTCTAGTTGTAATTTCTCTTCATCCAAGATTTCTCTAGGTTTTTCTGATCCTCCATTCTGTAGCTGTTAATATTTTATAAGATAGAGGTAAAAATAAGAGGATTGACGATATTACTTACTTGATTGCTCAACTCGTAGATTCTACGTGTGGACAGTCGATTCTTGTTCCTTTCACTTTCTAATTCGGCATTTAATTCTCGTACTTTTTTGGATAATTCTACGATCTTCGTTGACGCTGCATCAGAAGTTGATCCCGCTGAAAATCTGTTGCCGTAAAATAATATATTACATTTGAAAATTAATTTTAAAGAAGAACACACACGTTTCTAATAGAATCTTATCTTTCTCCCATTTTTTCCTGAGTAATTTAGCTTCTACTTCCTTCTCTTTAACAAGTTGGAGTAAACGACCATTTTCATCTTCCAGGGATCTTATCCTATTCGTATATTCCTCTTTAGCACTTTGAAATTCGTTTTTCAGTTGATCTTGCTGCATCGTATCCGCTCCCTAGTTTGAAAAATATATTTATTGTAAAATAAAATTCACAATCTCTGTTTTGAGCATATTTTAAAGCGACCTCTCAATGTTTGAAATAAATACCACTTTACCCAATATTAAATATTTACTTAATTATTAATAACATGAACCTTTGCGATATAAGTCAAAACGGTTGAAATGTAAATAGAAAATATAAAACTGGGATTGATCCACTGTCATATTAGATTGTTGATTAGATAATATAAGTGAGAAAATACTAGGAGAATAAGTCAAAGCTGAGTTTCATTTCAATTTCATAACCAGAAAGTTGAACTATACTCACCATTAATCCTAAATCATCACTTAGAGTAAGAGACTCTTCATTATCCCCATTCTGTTGTTTAGATTTCGCAGCTTGCTGTTGTTTAATTCGAACAAATTTCTTTTTTTGTTTTTCTTGGATCGCTTCAAATTGTAACCTTAGATCGTCTTGTGTCGAAGTCATCCTCACTATATATTTTTAAAAGTGAACGATAATCGAGGATATATCGGAGATTTATCTTTTTACCTTAAAAAATGAAACCATCTGTAAAAAAGAACCCAATGTATTTATATTAAAGTTAGTTTAAAACATCTTATTGAAGTAAATTATTAAGATCAAATTGATAAGCTTCTTAATATCTTTAAAAATCGATGTAAACAAAATCTTCACTAACAGGCGCGCAGAGATTTTTAAGGAATGAGAAAAGCTAAATTCGCGGTTTTTCGAATGGTAAGTTTGTTAAAGTGTCAAATAAAGTTGTCACACTTATTTTAAAATTAATTCTATTAGTCAATAAATCTTCAGATTCAATATGCATTTCTCAACTTTAGACTTCATTAATCTAAGCTTCCTATTACTAATTTATATCGGCCAAAACAACAAGTTGGACTAATTTAGGCTTCTTTTTTCCCAATATAGTGTATACTAATACATTTCTAAAGTAAGATTAACGTACACAAACCCTGGGTTTTTTATCCGAGTTCTGATTATATTTTGTATTTGAAATATTTCGTAATTATATACGAGACATTCGACATAGATCAAACAAAATAGAGGCATAAATTAGTCTGTACGAGGCCGGAAGAGTAGAGAAACGTAATGTTAACGGATCTTCAACATCTTCAAAGAAATTATATTTCAAGGATGAGCTAATTGGGAAAGGATTAATTATAGCATCTTCGGCGACAGGGATACTTTTTGCAATGGTCTTTCCATGTTTATGCTGCATTTGTAGGCATATATCAGCTAAAATTGTAAATAGGTCTTTTTAATACGTGTCTATTATGAAATAGCAAAGATTACTTTTTAGAATGAGGAAATGGAAGAATTTCGTGAAATGAATCCTGATTTGGAAGATAAGAAGACAAGAAGTTTCTTCAAGTTCCCAATAAAAGGTAAAGAAGACTCAATTATTAATTTATGTTGAGAAACTATTTTTAAGGCTTGAGAGAAAGAACTGGAGGAAGAAGAAGGGAAAATCGCCTGAAAGATACAGCGAAAATAACAGTGGAGCTTAAAAAAGAAATTCCGCCTGGATATGAGCTGGCTTGGGTAAGAACAAGTACGGGTATACGATATCTTGAACTTGTTCCTTCCGAAAAGATACCTATAAGAAAAAAAATAGGAGAAGCAAGAAGTCGTTCTCGTAACTACATTGACGATTCTGCAATTCGAAACAGAAAATTAACCGGAGACAACGAAGCTTCAGTATAAACTGTAAAGCGCCCATAGAATTTAGCATAATTTGTATTTAAAGTAACTTTGGATTCAATATAGAAGATAAGATTCAATATGATTATATATGATCTCTCTTCTCAGTCAATAGGCTCAAACAAGTGATAAATCTTACAATTTGTCATTCTTAAGTGAAATTAAAAAACAAAACTTGGTTCCGCCGAGGATCGAACTCGGGACCTCTCGCGTGTGAAGCGAGCGTGATAACCACTACACTACAGAACCCATGAGATTTGCTTTGTCAGTCTGACAGTTAGAGTCCACCGGATTAAGTTTCGTCAAAAAACGGTCAAGTAAAAAAAAAAATTATGATTCCGCCGAGGATCGAACTCGGGACCTCTCGCGTGTTAGGCGAGCGTGATAACCGCTACACTACGGAATCGCTGAATAATAAGCGATTAATTGAGGCATCTGAGTTACCAAAAAAAACTGAAGCAATGATATAAAAGAATTAGAAGTGCGCAACAAATACAATTTGAATTAATTATGTAGATATAGGCATATTCAACCACTATAAATAGTATATTTACAAATTACAATTACGACTTAAGTTATTTTGTAACTTTATTACTGTATCAAAAACTGTGTTTATTCAAAAATAGTACAGTATATTCTTGAAAGTCAGTTTAATATGAGAATCTCATCAGCCGTTCAAAATACTAAAATTTGTAGAAAATACATTTTGGAAATCTGCTGAAAATTTTCCAACTTCTTTCTCTTCTTTCCGCTTTGTTTGTCAGTTCTTACATTTCACCAACTATCTCTTGTTTTGTATGTTTCTGTAAAATTATTCAAAACTTAATTAATTGTATTTGACTGCAGCATTACGCTACCGTTTTTCGATATTAGTTTTTGCTATCAATATGTCACATTTTTCTGATTTAGCTTGTCATGTTTTCTTTCCTGCAGACGGTTACAAAGAATTAAATCAAACTGATTAGCAGATTTCAAATATTCAATAAAAATTTAGCGATATATAATTATATAGAATACAGAAGCCTAAGCTAATGAGGAGTTTGAGGGCATCTTTTTCTCTTCGAAATACTTCAAACTTTCAGACCACAAGCGGCGAATTCAAGCAGTTGCTGAGGAAAAGACTGTTTAAGAAGAGTAAACATTCTTAAAACAGTCTCAGATTTCGATCTATTCGACTAAAATTTATATAAAAATTCCAACGAATTAGAATAGCAAATTGAAAGTCAAACGACATTAACTTAATTTAAACATTACTTAAAATCGACGTGTTCAAGTTCCGTTTGTAAAAAAATTACACTCTGCTATGAGATAGACTGATCTTAAATTCCAAGTAAGCTGGTTGATGAAAAGCCATTTCAGAGCTCACTGCTTAGAAGCGATCACCAGACCATCAAGAAACCAAAGCTAAGATACTCTATGTAATTGGTATCTGTAGTGCCATCTCAAATGGGTTTTGATATGAGAATGCTAATTTAAAATTAACTACTAATTCAAGTAAGGTATTTTATCATACTACAAAATTAATAAATTCATATCAAGTTAATTTAATTGATGACACGACGAAATACAATAAATTTGCATATATTACCCCTGAAATAGGATTATGTTTAGAAATCACTCATCTGAGGCGAAAAAAAGATAACTTTACCAAAGACGAGAATGTGCCAACCACCTGTTGTCTTGGGAACTCCACAAACCATTAAAGAGAACTTTCCAGGAATAAAAAATATTACGCAAAAATTCAACGATCTCGAAAAAAAATTTGCTTTCGAGTAAAATGACCAAATTCAACAATTTCACTTACTTGCTCATTCAATATAACATAATCAGAAGATCAAAGAAGTGTCAAATTATTATCATTTCATCTTGGCTGTTCAAAATGTCTATTGACAATGACAATTTTCTTTAGCAAAACAATTGAAAAATAAAATCACTGTTAACACCGTGTATTTCCTCTCAAGTATCTCAACACAACACAATAGTTCTTGAGACTTTCTCCAATTTCAAAATACAATTACGGTATTGTAAAAACACAAAGTCAATAAACAAACATATAATCTAATTTTAATTGTGTCCAAAAATCCCTTTTTCAATTAATTAACGAGCGCAGATTTACTAACTATTATGAAAAAGAGACATACCGAGCATTTCTCTCTTCTCGTTCTCTCGCTACGGCATTCGATCATATCTAACTTCAATTCTTCGTCCATCGACATTGGCCCCATCGAATTTTTCTGTTATAAAAAAGAAAAAACAATTCGATTACATATAATAAGCTCCATATATAGTTCATGATTTCGGCACCTATTGCTCTTCTTGCGGATTCATAGGAATGAAATCGCACAATTCCACACCCCTTAGACTTTCCGTTATCAGTTTTAATTTCAGCAAACCGAACTTCACCACATGACCTGAACTTTTCTTTTAGATCTTGCCATGTGTACTTGAATGGTAAATTTCTAACAAACACTGAATTTGAGTCTCTTCTTTCTCTATCACGTTCTCGAGACGAGGATGACATATACATATTGTCTCGATAATCTTCTCGAAACGATCCAACTTCAAATAAAGAATTCGTCCCTTTAAAGCTTGAGCTTCTACTTAATCCAGAAAAGAAGTTTGAGGACGCACCACTACTTAAACTATTCAATAAAGTTGAGCTATTGCTATTTATAGAATCAAAATTCATTCCACTCCCTATATAAGGTACAAAGATTTTAATCCGGATTTAAAATTCATTTATAAACAATAACCTGAAAAACCCAAAGAGCCACTATTCAATCCAACGGATGAACTTAAACCACCTAAACTACTAAGTAATGAATTTGTGCCGCTATTGCCATTTCCACTTCCACTTCCACCTACGCTACTACTCCCGACTCCTGCTCCAACGTTATTCAAGCTTAATGGATTGCCAATACCTCTAAGACCAGCCGGTAATTTTCTTGGAAGGTCTCCAGGAACTGATCCCGAACTAGCTAATTTGTCCATCTTTACGTTCATTGCACGTTCGTACAACATTTGTCTATTAAACATGGATATAGCTTGACAAGCTTCTAATGCGGTTTCAAATTGAACAGTTGCCATCCCTCGACTTTTTCCTTCTTTATCTTCCAGCAATTCCACAGCCGTTATTCGACCTGCCAGTCTGAAAACCTCATGCAATTTTTTTTGAGTGACTTTATAATCAAGGTTTGCTATGAACACCTAAAATGATCACAAAATTTTAGTTAAAAACTATCTCATTTACCAGATTAGTAGCATCACATACCTGATTGGTAACTGATCCTTCTATTCCCAATTGTTGAAGAATTTGTGGAGTAACACCCTGAGTATTGACATTGTTGTTGATTGGTGCATTGTCAACCATTAAAGGAGGAGGTTGGTGTCTAATATTATCAGGTCTTTGACACATTTCTTTATTCCTCTGTAGTCTGCGTCGATCCTTTTCAGTTTCTTCTCTAACAATAATCTTTCTTCCCCGTAACTCGTACCTGTGTGAACATAAAAGCTGAAATACTTAATAAACATTGACAATTTAACTCTATTAGAATGAATTTATATCTGCCTTTCCATAAATGGTAAACGTACCCAAAGGGATTTAATTGAAAATTAATTTGTATTAAATGTTATGTGAAGTTACGTTTTATCGTAATTTAATTAATAATTCACATAATATATAGATAATAATTGATAGAAGTATTTACATTGAAAATAAATATTATACATATATGTTGTATAAAGTCTCACCTGTCCATCTTCTCTAGGGCTTTCTGGGCGAGTTTTTCGTCTTTGAACTCTATTAAACCTGATCCCAATGGCTTTCCATCTGGTGCATCTGGTAGCTCTACGTAAGTTACTTCGCCAATCTCTTTTCGAAACAAGTCTTTGACTGCTTGCCAACGCAGTTCATAGGGAATATTAGATATAAATAATCGCCTAGTTTTGCATATTCTATCAGAATTAGATTTTCTCCTCCTCTCCCTTGATCTTGAACGTGAATTTGAATCCTCCCTAAAATTATCAACAACAGTTTTTACACTTTAAAAAAATTCTCTTTCAAGAGCTGCATCAGATATGTCTATCACTGACAGCTTCTATGACAGACCCAAGCTAAATAAAAATATACCTTCGATTTAGCGGCGATCTTGAGCGGTCTCTCTTCTGATCAGAGTCACCTTCTCTGCATTGATAAACTTGTTAATAGCCTAAGAAAAGCCTTTTCTAATTTAAATTTCCTTACCTTAAGGGAGAGAAATTTGCATCATCAGCATTTGCAAACTCATCATCGTTTGGATCATATATATCATCAGAAGATTTTTGATCAGTTTCAGCGGCCATTTTAAAAATAGAAATGTTGTCACAAGCAGTAATGGTTTCCATAAGAACAATGTCTCACCCTTTTGCAATCGTTGACTTTTTTTGCAGTTCAAAGAATTATCTTACAGTTAAATTTAAATCCAAAAAAAATATTAATATTTCTCAAATTAAGGCTTAACTCTATAAAATATATTTTATGTAGAATTAATTGAAAAACCGCATAATAAAAAATTTAGAACTTAAATATAATTAAACTTTCAAAAGTGGTGTAGCAAATAAATAAAAATCATTTACCTATTTTTGAAAAAAGATTTTTAGAAATTTAAATACTTTCTCAACAGAATGTTGACCTTCTATATACAATACAATCTCTTCAACCTACCAGTTTTTATTATTTATGTGTGTTTTTCACACAACCACGTTTTCTTGTTTTCGCTCAATAGTACGGTAGAGTGCTTTAACGCATAATGTCTAGTTTCAAGACTGCCGAACTTTGCCCGAAACAAAAAACTGAAATTGTTTCCGAATATTGGGACAATTATAGGCAGTTAAATGTGCGAAAGGAAACTGGGGCCGCCAATTGGGTTGAATATCATCCAGAACAAGAAGATGTGCTTCTCTTCACATGCGGAAGCCGGGTGTCAATTGTTGATAGCAATATGGAACCTACAAAAACTTTTAGTAGATTCAAAGAAGATGTGTACAGTGCAAGATGGCGCTCTGATGGTTCTTTGATAACTTGTGGCGGTCAACAGGGAAAACTTCATGTTCTTCATCCCCAGCACGTTAGTTTCTTATATAAGTATGCTATGTAAAAGGATTTATTTCTAAATTCTTGGGCCTAAATTGAATTTTTAAAAATTATTCCAAGAGTATATTCTTTTACAGGGTGAACTGCGAAGAATAAAAGCTCACAAGCAAGCCATCAGAAGCTGCGGTTTTACAAAAGATAATCATCGAATAATTTCTGGAAGCGATGACAACGAAGTGAAGATTTGGGATATTGCTACAGGGGAATGTGTGCAAACTTTTAGATCTCATAGCGATCATGTGAGATCAGTGTCTCCAAGTTCGACAAATTCTCAACACTTTGTTTCTTCTAGTTACGACCATACCATAAAGTTGTGGGATTGCAGACATCCAGATACTGAGGTTTTAACAATGCAGCACAATACTCCTGTTGAATGCGTTTTATTCGCAAATGAACTTTGCATTAGTGCTGGAGGAAATTCTGTAAAGATTTGGGATTTATTAGCCGGTGGCAGATTGCTTAAAGAGTTACGCGACCATCATAAAACTCCAACATGCGTAAAGTTCTCGTCAGGAAGAAGCTATATGCTCACAACAGGTCTTGATAAAAGGATTCTTATCTATGATTGGAATGGTTTTGAATATGCTCATTCATTTAAAACTTCTGCCCCAGCTCTATCTGTTGCCGTTTCCAAAGGCGATAAAAGATTTTCTGTTGGATTGGAAGATGGTTTAATAACTACCTTTGAGAAGAAAGAAAAATTAGAGAAATGGCGCGAGCCTAAAGAAGAAATAGAAGAAGATTGGAAGCCAAAAAATATGTCTAAAGCCGACAAGCATCTAAGACATTTTGAGCATTCAAAAGCCTTAGATTTTGTTTTGAAGAAAAATCAAGGAGGAATGAAAGTAGATCAAGTCATCAGTGTTCTTCAAGAGTTAATAAGAAGAGATGTCTTACATGCAGCAATTGCAAGTCGAAGTGAGAAATCTTCACTCGAACACCTTTTAAAATTTGTATTATACAATATAGGTGTACAGCGATATACAGCTCCTTTAATAGAAGTAGCTAATGTCATCTTAGATATTGAGCTACAGACTGAAGAAGTTCCACAACCCGAAGTGGTAGATTTATTAAATAGACTCCGACGAGCAGTTAAAAGTGAAATTGAAATGTGCGATAAGATCGCTCAAATGAGGGGTGCTCTTGAAATTATAATGAACTGTAATTCTGCATAAATTTTCTTATTAATGATGTAAATATCTCATAATTTCATAAAGACTTTGTTAAGATGAATTGATTATTAGTGTTATCCTTACATTTGAATTTAAGTTTAGCATTTACGAGATACTTTTGCCTAATGTATCCTTCTTTTGTACTAGCGCTCTACAATGAGAGATAAGCAAACAAGCTTTCAATATTAAGACACTGTACTTATTCTTCTGTCAGACTAGTTATTCTTAATATCCCAGGAATTATAGTAGCTCATAGGTTTATATTTGTTTATTAGAAAGAAAACTAAAGATAAACGCTATTAAAAAACTCTCAAGCAAAAACTGCTGAATTCTTGAATGTGAGCGATACTAGACACATAGTGCGACTCTATATGCAATGAGACCTATCAAACACCAGTTTTCTGTAGAAACCGGTATAAGCTCATACTTCCAAAGACAACTGGATCAAAAATTATCACTTTCCTATAAACCATGGTAATTATTTTTATTTTCTATTAATAGAAAAATTTATTTATAATTTTTTCAGGACGTTAAGAAGGAAGAAGATGTTGAGGATCCGATTGTTGAAGAACGAAATGTTTATTTGAACAAACAGTTAATGATGTATTTGCTTCGCTTCCCTCTACGTCCTGCAAATTCAGATATGACTTCATTCTGTTCTGCAAAGATTAAACCGAAACAAAGAGAAGTTGAACTAGAATCCCGCTTAGAAGAAAATTCTCATTATTCAAAAACGAAGGCTGCTGAAATAGCATGCAATAGCAACATGGATGCAGACATAAGAAGAATTGCTCTTTCCAGCTCTATTACTAATGCGAACGAAGGGAGCTATGCCGTTGCTTTTATATCTTCAGATGGAAATTTTAATTTGTGCCCAGTAACAAGTATTTTAGAAATGAGGCCATCACTTAATTACTTAGATTCTGAAAGGCGTTCTAAAGATGAAGTAATAACAAATGACACAGAAGAGAAAGTATCTGTCCATTATGCTCGAAAAGAATCGGATGCAGCAAAAGCCAAGCGCCTAGCTTCATATGATTACCATATGAAAAACAAAGCCAAAGAGAGATGGATTAGTCTTGATTATAGAAAAGCAGATAGTCGTCAAGCAGTTGCTGAACGTTCGCTCCTTGTAAGAGAAATGGGAGATAATTTTCAGTCTCAGTCTTTAGAATGGTTAGATACAACACCTGATGAATATGCTAAAAAATTATTACCCGCTGTTGAGGAAGAAGTGGAGTCACACACGCCCTTACCTTATCATATGCTTTCACTCTCGCAGCTAAGAACTCGGCCATTATTAGATCAGGTCAAACAATTATTGCGTCAGGCCAAGGTTATGAAATTTTCTCAGTTACAGACATTAGTGGGAGGTTGTTCTGATTCTTCTACGCTTCTATGGCAAGTTCAGCAAGTTGGTTTGCTGATCCAAGGTTGTTGGGTGTTAAAATCAGAAATTTTATATGATGAAAGTCAAAAACACTTAGTAAGTCCCCGAGATTTCGTTCTTTGGAAATTTGTGCAATCTAGAGATATTCTTCGAAAAGATCTAGCTCAAGCATTAAAGATTTCTCCAGACCAATTAAAAAATGTTTTATTGACAGTGGCTAGATCAAAAGGTGTAACTAGGCATTGGGAATTCTTAATGGATACAGATAAAGACTTTATAGATAATCATCCTGAGACTGTCCATAAACAGCAGCGACAATGGATTGCTAAACAGCAGGAATTACAAAAGATTCTGAACATTGACCTCACAACAAATCAAAAACGAAGGCGTCAAAGTTCAACTAGAATAGATGATGATACAAAGTCTCCTAAAGTAAGGAGCCGTCACACCAGTGGAAAGTCACAGGAATCTCCAGCTATTGATGCGAAAAGCCTAAATGATAAATTAACTGAGGTTGATCGGGAAAAGAGCCTACAATCTTTCATTAAAATCCTTATGACGAATCATCACGTCCTATCACTAACCGAGATCCGCCGGCAGTTAAATATGAAATTAGCTCAACTGGATGCAGGACATCCTCTGACTTGTGTTTCTGAGGTTGAGTTAGAAGAAGCTGTAACCAAAGCAGGGTCAAAAAAATTTGGTCAAGTTTTTGTCATGATGGAATATGGTGACGGTTTAGACATTATTAGACAATGCGTCTTAGATAAAATGAATAAAGATTTCAAAGTTCGGATAGGTCTAGTAAAAGAGCGTGTTGAAGAAGTTACAGGCAAACCCGCAAATGAAGCTGAATGTAAAAGAATTCTGAAAGATATGTGCAGTAGCAGGGGTTCATTATGGGTTTTAAAAAATTCTGTTAGTTCTTGAAGAAAAAAATTAAATAAACTTAAATATGTCTTTCATGTTTTGATCACATATTTTGTTCCTTGGTGTTGATTGGAGTCATTCCGTCAGTTGGTAGAGGTGACTTAATGAAAGCACAGAGCCAAGCGTAGCGCCAGTTTTTTCCCAAGCGATGTATTATATTCTTTTCCCTACTTTGAGTATATTCAAAGATTCCATAGGAGGATTCCGTAGTAGTTTGCCCATTCATTAAATTACGAAGATGATAAATAAATATGGCTGTCACGTACAGGCAGCCACCTATGCAAAGTGTGCACATGGCGCAAGGTAAGAGAGTACCATGAGGCATGAGCCCTAAAATCCAGGCAAAGGATGGTACTATCATCGAAACTACTGCCTTCCAACTCCATCCGTGCAAAATATCATATATATAATCCATATTTAAGAAGACACAGTAAGTAGAACCTAGCACATAGTAAAAGAGAAGAAAGAAAAAATAGCGCATATTCCTGTGGCCAATACATTTGCCGCCAAATGCACAATGATGATCGCGCTCCAAAATGCAAGAGTTGCAAGAGATGCAGTGCTTTGCTCTGGGAGGATAGTTAGCTTCACAAACCGGACAGAACTTCCACCCAGGTTTTAGTAAATAAGGAAGCATAATGCCCTGACAGCTTGAATCGTTTGTGATCATCATATAATAATGAGTTATTACATTGAAGTACAAGAAAATTCCAATAAGAACATGGGCAAAATAGTGGCTTGTATATTCAGGATCAATTGTGGGTAGAATGATGAATAATTCAAAGAGAACAATTCCATGCGTTATAATGATAGTAAATGCTATAGCCATCCAATCTGACTTTTGGTATGGTAAATATCTTTTCCATTTGACTGAATCCATCAGAATTATACCAGTAAAAAAAGGGACATACAAAGAATTTAGTTTTCCTTTTATTAAGAAAACTGGTTAAGAATGGGCGAAACATACATTTAACCGGTATCATCATATTTTAAATCGTGTATAAACTAAGCTCCATTTCATCGAAATAGGTGTGCTACCCTCAGAAAAATGCAGATATAGGAAATATATTATCCAATCAGAGCATCTGCGATATTTTAAACCTGTCATAAAACTTCTATGTATTCTCTTGACATGCTCTTTTTTATCGGAGAAAAGCTATTTATTGTATAGCTATTTAATATTTTATATATTTCTATCAAATTTATTTCTTTAATATATAGAAATAAATGCTTATATGTCATATATAAAAGCTTTCAATGAATTACTTTATTGTAAATCACACATTTTATTTGCTTAAAATGTAGAACAATCTACGATCTGATAAATTTAAATCAAAACATTTAACTGTTCATTTATCCTTCTTTCCTCCTATCATTTTCTTCAAAACTACTGCACCGGTTATGGTTCCCAGTGTCAGGCAAACCCACTGTAAAATTATTCATTAACTTTTATCGAAAAATTGGTTCAAGAACTTACGTTAAACCTTCCCCTGAGTGTATACGAATTTAAATAAAACCTCCATCCCTGGAATCTGTATTGTGGGTCGTTTTCACTTGCGAAATCTCCAGCCATGTCGACTTAGGGCCTTCAAGGTCTGCACGAAATAAAAGAACAATTGTAAGTAAAGCATGTAAAGCAACATTCTTATTGAAGCTTTAATGGTATTACATCATACTTTAAGTATTTGTAATTGTTACAATTATTAAAGTAATGAATGTAAATTCCTTCAGAAATACAGCTGAGAAACCTTACCTTAATTTTTCAAAGAGAATTTTAGGATATTGTCAAGGTTGAAACGCAGTCACGTGACGTGTTCCGAATGATAACCAATGCCATCTAGAGTAGTTTTAACTATTGGAGATAAGTTAATGAAAAAGTAACTTTACCAAGTATTTCTGTTATCGAAGTATTATATTAATTATTATAAAGTAATCCTGATAGTTCTTCTCTGAATTATTTTAAGTGTAATTGTAAAAATATTATATCTCACGTCTTAGAAAAAGTCTTCATACTTGAGACTTTATAAAAACCTTCGTTGTCTTCTCTGAGGTATGCAAATCTTTCACAAGCTTATGATATTGCCTGTATGAGCTTAATTAATAGTATGTGCATTAGCTGCTGAGAATTATTGTTCGTATATGATCCTTAACACGTTTCCAGATTTTAATAAAGTCCTTTTTTATAAATCATTAAGCACAACATTAAAAATAACATCTCAGTAATGGAGCTAATTTTTGAATGTACATGTGTTTACTGTTCATGTGAAAGTAAAAACCAACGAAATAAAAAATTGATTGAAAAAATTCTTATGGAAACAATCTAAGACCGATCGTACTTTCAGTTGTTTTTCCTTGTTACATCTTGCTAACAATCAGGGGTAGCCTAGTATGTCACATTAATACCTTATTCTACTTGAAGTAATAAGCACTTTGTTTGTTTACTTTGTTTTTGACAAAATACTATCTTTTATCCGAATAATTTGTTAATACTTTATTATTTAATTAAATACGCGCGCTTTTCCCATTGCACAAAATATCCTTCACCTTGACGCATATAAATGAGATGGATGTCAGTCACGTGATATTTCTGCATAATGAGGACAGAAAAGGCTTAGTCTCGAAAATGCCACTCTTAGCTATCGTCTTTAAAAGGCAAGCTCTTTTTCTCGATTATTGTAATAGTTTATTCTCTTCTATATTTTCTGAAGAGATATGCTACCTACAGTAGATATTTAAATAAATGCAATCGCCTTAAAAATACGACTGTCAGAGCGGAAGTATCGCCATTTTTGTATTTACTGCGCATGCCCGAGTAGCGGTCTGTGCGCAAAAGGGGAATGTTTCATCAATCAAAAGTATGATTACACTTTTTAATCAAAATATATATGATTATCCTTAAATTTAAGTTTGAAAAACTATTTATTTTTATAAAAACTTTTTTAATAATTCTTTATGAGCTAAATTATTTTTTTTAAAAAAGCATTAAGTATAAAAATTTTTTTTACTGAAATTATGCCCAAAGAGTTGTTTTGTCGGCCATGATCGTCTGTTTCCGAATGCGCTGTGTTACATTGTGTGAAGTGGTAGTTTTTAATGAAATGCTCGAAATCTACGGACATTTGATCTGTTAGAATTATTCGTTTATGTGATTCTACATTCCTGCTCTTACTTCTAAAGCTGACAATATGGTAAGTTGTGTAGTTTATGCAAAAAATCGTAACGTTTATCACAGCGATGGACACTCGCACGGCAGTATAAATCTTAACGTTGCCAAGTCGTATTTTTTAGTATATAAATTTTTTCTAAGTGTGTATTGGGCAGATTTGCTTTTACAGATCGAATATCGAACGAGATTTTGATAAAAGATAGTAAAACTTCTCACGATGTTAAATTTTTGTGCCAAAATGTTCTGAACATCTTTGGAGCGATTCGGTACTCCGCCATTATGCTACTCGTACAATATTGGTCAACGTTTTAGCGAAATTCTTCAATTATCGTAGGGTTGCCTACTAAACTAACGATGACTATTATATTTTCAGATTTATAACCGATTTCTTTATTTCAGTATGATCCTGCCTATCTTTCAGTAGGAACTGAAGTAAGTGCAAAATATCGAGGCGCTTTTTGCGAGGCACGAGTAAAGAAAGTTGTGAAACATGTTAAATGCAAGGTATAATTTATATTGCGTCCAAGGTTTTTTGTTGAATCATCACATAAATTAAATATCTTCAGGTGACGTTGGTAGACCAAACGCAACAGTCATTTTTTCTAAGTGATGAAGATATACAAGGGCATATTAAGGTAGCTACTTCGGATTAATTTCATGTAAGACTATATTTGCATAATTTTTAAACAAATAGCTAAACAACAAAGTGAAGGTAAAAAGATCAGATAGCGACGAATGGTCACAAGCTATCATCAATAAAATTATTGATTCAAGTACCTACACCGTTGGTACGTATAGTTATTTCAATTTTGAAAACTAGCTCTATTTGAAAATTTCCTTCCTTCAGAGTTTAATGATGGAGACGAAAATACTCTAAAACGGACACAAATATGTCCCAAAGGCGACAAGCATTTCGACAAAAGCGAGGTAACATTTGAAATTATTCTTCTCTTTACAGTTAACCACGCCTCTCTATACAGACTCTAGATAATTTACCGTTATCTCATCCTGAGCATTTTGGTATTCCTGTCAAAGGCAAGGACAGCTCAAAGAGAAAGAAGAATATCAATGAGTACGCCAATTTTTATAAATGTTAAAAAAATATTTCTAAGTAGTGCTTTTAGATCTGATGAAAGTGATTCGGAGAATGATGAAGGACCTGAAAAGAAAAGAGTTTTCAAAGGAAAAGCATCTGATTCCATCGGTCTTCTCGTATTAGCAGATGTTGGTGAACGTAAAAAACAAACAGCCCCATGTTTAATAGTAAAGTTGACCGCAAGTGAGATTCCCGTTAGAGCAAAGGATCAAGTCCTTGTAAAAAGCTTTAGAGATAACAAATTGTAAGTACATCTTGAAAAAATTCAAGCTAACGACAATAAAGCAACTCATTGTAACTTTCTTTAGCTATGCTGTGTCTAAGAAGGATATGAAGGAGTTTGACAAAGAGGATGCCAAAAGATATGATGATAAAATGCTGAGAACAAGTATAGAGAAAGCATTAACATACTTGGACACCCGTGAGTTACCTTCCAATTGGCCAAAGAACTTATTAGCGGATGAAGACCCTACAAACGATACTGAAATAGACGATGAAGTGATGGTAGTAATCGTAGTCTCTGCCAATAGTATTACTAATTATCTTTTTTTAGGATTCTGAGGATGAGAAGTCCAGTTTAGAGAGAGATAATTTTATAGCTCATATATACAAGTTTAACGAAGAAAATGGAAGTCCAATCAGTAAAACACCGACTGTTGTCAATAAGGAACTGGACTTATTTAAGTTCTCTCAATTGGTTCGTCAGCAAGGTGGATTCAACAATGTTACAAAAACTAATAAATGGAAACATATATACTCACGGATGGGATTACCTCCTTTCAACGGGGGTGTAACGCAACTGAGAAAAGTTTATAAACGGTAAATTGCCAAATATCATTTAATCGATTTTAATATATTTGAAATTTTAGTTATCTTCTGAGTTATGAGGACTTTGGCAGAAAATATGAGGCAATTGAGTGTCGATCATCAGGTCGTACTCGCGCAACAACAGCCAGAATGGCTATATCACAAAAAGAGAAATCAAAAACAATTGAAGATAGTGACAATGACGATAAGTCATTTACAAAAGAGGGAGAATCAACAAGCAATAATGATAAACCTAAATCTGGAGTAGGAAATGACCCTAGAAGTGAAAAATCCATTATTCTTGAACCTGATGAAAGCAAGTTGAAAAGGAGACTTGGTTTAAAAGAGGAGGATAACATTCGTAAGCCACGCGTTTCTAACTCTAGGGATGATACCCCTGGGAGGATTATGGTTATGCGTGAAAAAGGAGGAAGAGATGATTCTAAAAAACCTTTTGGAAATAGAAAAGAAGATGATGATAAAAGAAAGCGTCCTCAAAGAACTAGAAACACTAAAGACGACGAGGAGGAATCAAAATTGGACAAAAGAAAAAAATCTAATGATTTGAAATCAGATGCGACGTCAAACTTTGATTCATCTGAACAAGATATCGACATATCGAGTTCTGAAAGTGCAACACCAAAAGGAAATAATTTACCTGATGTTATACCTATTAATTCTCGATTATTAGTGAGATACGGACGGGGACGAACCCTTAAAGCTTATGATGCAAAAGTAATTAGCACGGAGGAGCAAAATGATGAAACTTTCTATCTGGTCCATTATGCTGGATGGAACAACAGGTATGATGAGTGGGTTGGAAGAGAAAAAATTGTACAAATGCTAGAAGAGGGCGATGGAAAGTATCAAATGAAAAATACACGTCCCTTTGTATCACCAAGAAATAAAAATGCTGTTGTGGAAAAAGCACTTCCTGGAAGGAAAAAGCTGCTCTGTAACTCGGCTGAGGGTAAATTTAAGACAAAAGCTGGGGTAAAATCAAATACTCAGACTAAGGCTGGTCGATTAACTCGATCCTCCAGCATGGAAACGGCTCAGCTTCCCCCACCCCCTCGAAAAGGCAGAGCCCGCAAAACTTCAAGTGTTGCTGATAATGACAGTCAGACGTCAGATGTCAAAAGTACAGACGATTCGTTTCAAACTGAAGATCCACTAGCGAATGAAGTCACTGAAGATGAAACAATATCTATAAAAGACGAGAAAGTTGCAGAGGAACCTCCTATATTAGTCGAAGTTAAAACCGAACAAGCAATGAGCATAGTTGAAAAAGAATCTCCTGAGGTTGAAGTTAAACAGGAAGTGAACAAAGAAGTAGTTGAAGCAAAAGTAGCTGTCGAATTACCAGTAAAATCTCCAGGACGAGGTAGACCTCGTTCCTCAACCAAGTCTCCGAAAAATGCCTCTGTAAAATCCCGCAATCTAAAAGCTGAGCGTGAAGAACAAAAAGAAAAGGAAGAACCACCGAAAGAAAGTGTTAAGCCGAAAGAAAGTGTTAAGCCGAAAGAAAGTGTCAAACCGAAAGAACAGCCTGTTGTAGTTGAACCAGAACTCAAAGAGGAAACTGAAGAAAAAAAGAAGCTGGAAGAAAATGTACCTGAAGTTACATTAACAGCTAAAGTTGAGGAAATGAAAGAGATAGAACAAAAAGAAGAAACGACTGAATGTGTTAAGCCCGAGGAAACTGAAGAAGTTAAAGATGATAAGGAGCCAGCTATCGTTGGAGATGTAGACTTGACTTGTAATGAAATTGGGGCAATAGAGAAGATGGAAGCTCTGGCCTCTCAAGAAGAAGAACGAAAGGAGACAGAGTGTCGATTACTTGAATCTGTAGGTGATGCTGCCGCAGCTGAAACAGACACCAAAAATGCAAAGAAAATTAAAAAAGCAAAGAAAGTGGACAAAGTGAAAGTTTTTAACGATGACGAAAAGAAAAAGAAAAGTAAGAAAGATAAAGACGATGCCAGTGCATTTACTCCGCCATATACTCCCCCTGAAGATATGGCAAAAAATAAAAGTGCTTCTTCTTCACCATCAGCACAAGGTGATGAAGTAGGAGGAAATCCTTCACCGATTAGCAATGGAAATTTAACTGCAGACAATGTGTCTGTTGCATCGACCTCCCGTCCCACAGAGCAAGTTACTCAGGTACCTGTATCCGCTCCTGTCAAGAAAAGAAGACCCAGGTTACGGGGTCGCAGATCAGCACGCCACAATAGCGACAGCGATGATAACCTCAAAAGTCCAAATTTCCATTCCCCATCCAAATCTATTCCTACATTAATTCACGTTGATCCTCAGCAAATGGAACTAACTTTGAAAAAGTATAATTTGTCTTTCGGTAAGTGAATATTGATTTCAATTTCTTTAACTTTGCTAATATTTAAAATATCACACAGACGAAGGCGAGCAATTAGATGGAGACAATAAGATTGCTTTCTTACAAAGGAAAATGCAAGAAATTCGCACCATTTATATGCAGTTAAAAAGCGACTTATCTTGTTTAGACAGGAGGTATAAGAGATGTAGAAAAAGACATAAGCAAAGTAAGTCATATGAGTAAGAAGATATCAGGTTAGGTTATTTAAAATGGAATATTGACATTTAGAATCAGAAGATACATCTTTTTCAACGAATTCGGCAACCTCGAGCTCATCATTCAATCACAACGGCGGAACGAGGTAGCGTGCAAGACTGAAAGTCAATCATTCCAATCGCCGATCTCGAACTAGCATACCTGCCGTTGAAATGTGCTTGATAGTACGTTTTTGCCATATATATATATATGTATTATATATATATACGTACATATATTTTCTGTGTGTACTATTTATAGAGTAGTATCATCGTTATTTACTAAACGAAAGCAATTTTAGGTGAATTAAAGGCCTGCACTAGACAATTTTTTTTATAAGAAGTTGGTCTTTTTTATTGGGGTTGAAATCTTTTTGCTTGTCCATGTTGAACTTTGCTTTAATTAAATCGTTTCTGTATTGTTGATGAATGCATACGTAATACGTAGATGTTTCTTTAACTCTTGTCAATACATTCAATATTAACATGTCGCGTGGTTGTCTTCTGTGTAATCATTTGATTATTTGATTGGAAAAGAACTGCAATCTATAGATAGATAAAATAGATGAATTTAACTATACAACTGTTTTCATTTTTTGAGTAATATTGAAAAAAATGTCCTAAGCACTAACATATTGGAAAAATGTTTTGTAAGTTGAGATAATAAACTTATGCTTTTTATACGATTTACATGTTATTTGGCGCGAAAGCTGCCATTTTGAGAACGTCAACTGCCGAATGTTTCGCGACAAGAATAATTTGAATTCCTTAAAAAATTATGTCGCTTTCGTTAAGAATTCTTCTTAATCGTTATAATATTATATGCCAAAGGGAAAAGTTTTTAAATACTGAAGAATACTTCAATTTTGTTGAAGAAGTAAATATTTTTCTAGTCGTTCCTCTTTTATCGCTCCTCGTGTGAAACTCAATAGAAAATTTCATAGTAGAATACTTTTAACGTAAATGCAAAACTTATTTTTATCAATTACAATTTGTTTACTTTTCAGATAATGAACGATATTGGTTGTATAAATATTGGCTTGGAAGAGAAAGAAGCTTTATCTCAACTTTTACTCAAGCTACTACTTTTAACTTGTTCTAAGATGTCTAATTCATTATTTCATGACAAATGCAGAAATTCTCATAGACTTCTTGATCGACTTACTCAAAATATTTATCGTTTATATTTACATCCCGAAGTTTTCAGTGATAGGAATTATATTCGAAAAAATCTGAAAGCATATGAGGATAATGATGAATTTTTTTCGAAACTTGGATACTCATCTTTAAGTAAGACAATATAGTAAGTTTATAACTAATTAGTTACATACGTTAAAGTTATTTACGATTAATATTTTAGCTGTATTCTAAAAGAGCCTTGGAGTTTATACAAGAAACTTTTAAACCCCGAAATCAATACATTTCCATACAGAGTATACTTATTTAACAACTGCGAAAGTGAGGATTTAATTCGCTGTCGAATTCGCCTTTTGATTGAGGCGAGGCAACATAACCTTGTCTTATTCGTCTTAAATTCCTGGCTACAGTTTGAATCAGTTCGCTATAATTCAGAGTTAAGATGTTATGCAATAGTAAATGCCTATCTATATGGTGATATTGGGGCTCTAAATGAATATGTGGGTTAAAGTCATTTCAATTTTTATTTACGAAATCTAATTTAGCATTTATAGCTCAAGTATTTTACATTTAAAGACATAATTTTTTCTTTGACTTTTTTAAAAAAAAGTATAACTTATCATAAAGACAAAGAACCCGCAAGGAAAGGCAAGGAAACACTTAAACATTTCCGTTTATTTCATATAACTACAGTACTTTAATTTCAGGTCACGGTCCCACTTCATGGCATTTGAATTTATTTTCGTCGACACCATATTACTTATCTATCCAATCGGACACTCTGCAACATCTAATAAATACAGTATGCAATCATTCTCAGGTTTTTCAGCTTCTTGGATCTTCACACCTACAGCTAGGATATGAAGTAAAACTATAATTTCGATTTAACATTTAAATATTAACAAACGTTCTTGCCATTTAGGAAACACTTTACCAATGGATAGAAGAAGTAATTACTAACTCAAATCAAAAAAACTTTTTGTTTGAAAAATTAATCTCAAGTATTAAAGTTGATTTATTAAATAAAGTCTCATTAATTATTAATATCTTCAGCAAACTGGTAAAAATTTCTAGTATTTCTGATATGCTCTTGAATTAAATAATTTATTCAAGCTTTCATACTCTTTGAACTCTCAAATAGGGCAAAGCAAAAGAAAACTTTGGAATTATTTTGAAATGCGTTATGTTTTCACTTGCAAAAGTTTTTTATTTTGCTGAAGAAGACAAGGAAAGTGATTTACTTGAAACTGCAAATCTATTTGAAGCCTTATCTAATACAATGAAAGATGCTTATCCTTTGTTTCGCCGTGCTGCATCATTAGCGAGTTTCACGTTAAAACCGAGTAAATCGACGAAGGATGCGATCATTGACTCATATGAAAGACTCCAAGAACCTCTAACTTCAATTCTTATCATTCAGAAGCACGATATAAAAGGCCAATTTGATCATAATTTACGTGGAAATATTAAAACTTTTCGAGAATTTTTTTATTCGGACTCAAAACGAGTAATCGTTAAAGAAATAACCAAGGCTATGACAAATATAAGGAGCTATTGTGCTACAAATGTAGATTGGCCAGAGGAAATTATTCTTTTCGAGTATGTTCTGGATACGAATAACATAATATAATAATTTGAATATTTGATATATACTTTCCAGATATGCTTTACCAACTTTTGAGATCGACGACGAAAATATTTTAATTGCGGTCTTTCATATTCTTGCAGCTGTGACTCGGCGTCGACTGTTGGCGCTGACTCACGATAAGGAGATTTTAAAAAATGTTCTTGACGATATGCTTGAAGCTATAGATAGGAATATAAGTGTCGAAAGAGAGTCTGTTAGACTGCAAAGTGTGTGCGATGAAACAGCTGGGTCACTCACGTCAAATATTAATACATACCTACAAAATATAGATAGAATATTTCCACCTCTCGAAGATGGTTTGCTTAAAATGAATAGTATCTTTGACAAAAAGAAACTGGAATATGAAAAGAAATATAATAACTGTGAAATTGAACTTCGCAAGAAGAGAAAGATTGGCTTGGCATGTTATCACGCTGCTTCTCTAGACTATGATTCTGATATGAAATGCCGGTTATCAGGGAGAAAGTCTGACATGGAAACGTGCGATACTAAATACACTATACGTGTCAAATTTATCAAAGAAAAGATATCAGAAACAGTTGATAAATCTTTTTTGATACCGTTTTCTGATCTGAATTCTAGAGTATTGTCGGAAACTTATAGCAATGCTATTTTCAAAGAGTTTGAGCAATATCCAGCTTATTTCTACAAAACAAAAATGAATGCAGATAAATATGCAATAATGTTTTTTGACGAATCGAAACAGTATATCACCCAGACAACACTAGAAAATGTTCAAGATTGCGGTAAAAAAAAGAATACATTAGAAAGTAAAAATGACATAAGCTCGAACATTTCTAAAATAGACTCTAGTAGAAGTTATTTATATGTAAATGGTCACAGACAATAAGTTGCTGCAAAATGAGTTTGTGTAATTTTCAATTTATGTTTTCCGATCCTCGTCGAAAAAAAAGTAGCCGTTTATTTACAGGATTTCAATGATAGACATTTGGAAGTTTAAATAATGTACGCTAATTTTTCTAAGAATATTAAAAAAATTTATAGGTGTAAATAAATATTCTTTCTGCTGTATTTTGAAAAACAAAAGCAATAATTGTCACTTTTAACTACATTTAAAAATATGAATTATAAATGCTATTGTATTTTTATTTTCAAGTATTTTTGTGTATTTTTGTTCAAACTAAAAAATTACAAACGCTCAGAAAGACAAAAATTTTTCATTTAAAACAATTTTACAGAAGATACCTAGAGAAAGACGCGTATTATCCAGACGAAGAATATGCTTTTTCTGAAATTTACTCAAGAACTTTGTGGCGAAGTAAATCAGACTTCGTTTCAATCGAAAAGTTAAAGACTTTTAATGATTTTTGTGAATGCGCTGTTTCTTCAACTGAAATAACTGTAGCTTGCGATAAAAGTCCAGATAAAAAGAGAAAATCTAACCGGTTATGTAATCGTAAAGGGTTTCTTGGTAGGGAGTCACTTGTTATAAAATGCAATATGCTTAATAGACAAGGATTAAATAAAAGGCCGCAAGTACGAGTTTTAGCTGAGGCAATTTCATCTTATAAAACAAAAATTGAAATAATTAACTGTCCTGCTGACTTCTTTAAATTCCTTCCCGATTGCCAACTTAAACCGGAAGTTGGTTACTTTTATGAAGGTATGGATTTTTAAAAATTTTTCAGTTATTTGTCTAATATTTTCATTCTTAAATAGAAAACAGAGCTAATAAATTAGAAGCTGAATTGGTGTTAGTCAATACCCCAAGCGTTCCTTGCGAACTAATCGGGGATAATGTAAATTTAACATTAATTCTAGAGCCACCTGCTACTGAGATAGCTCGCTATTTTTTCAAGCCCGATGATCGGCAGGATTGGCTGAGCTGGATCATACAAATGAATATGACTGATCATGATATACATTATTTTCTAATTTCTAATATAATAAGACCAAAACACTGTAAATTTTCAGGCCCTAAGATTCTACTATCCAACATTAATATACTATTTCAGCCCTTTGCCTTCAAAGTAAATATCGTTTTAATTGATAATATTCTAAGTTTATTCAAAATGGAAGAATTAAAGATGTTGGATACCATTGTATTTTCAATGAATACTATTGTGGAAGTTACTATACGCGAACCTGAGGATGAGGAAGAGAAGGCTTTAATGATAAATAAAATAAGACAATTAATTGTTAAAAAGATATTAGCTGAGGGATGTGAAAGTTCTCATGGAGCAGCCCTCTTAATTCAATATTTACCATATGCCCTTAACATAAAATACGGAAAGATAGATTATTGGCCGGAGGGAGATATATATGTTTTTATTGAACACGCTGATGGAGAAGTTGGAGTTTTATTTTACGATTACTGTTGTTACAAGGAAAAATCAGTAGCATATAGTATGCCTAACGAGGTTATTCGAGATGAAAATGGGATTAATCGCATTGTGATAAAAAAGGAAGATCAACTTTGGGAATTTCCTTTAGATAATTGCCCTAAACGCCCGAAATATAGATCGTATCCGAATGAGACGTCGCTAATTAAGCAATATGCTGAAAACCTGCTAAATGAAATTTATGGAGTAGGAGTGGCAGATTAGAAGAAACATTTAAGTCTAAAAGTAATTATTTGTTTATTTAAAGAAAAAGAGACCTTGATAAACATAGGTTATTCTATCGACTCTTCCCTGTTCATAGTCGTTAATGCTCTTTTGAATACCTCTGAGACTTCTCTAGGCATTTGTTTTCCATATAATCGAATGTATCTACATAAGGTTAAACCTTGGACAGAGTTAGGATCTACGCCTTCGGGCCATTTTTCGGAATTAAATACTTTCATCATTGTTGACAAAGTCAGTCCAACGTTTGATGCTCTTCTGAAATTCTTTTCTTCCTCTACTGGAGGAGGTGTTGCTTTCCTAACATATGGTTTGGCTGTTTCTGTGATTGTAGAAGAGTTATAAAGTTTACAATTGGCACATACAAAAATAATATACCATATTTAGATATATTTTCGTATAAAGTCTCTTTCTTCAAGTCTAAGTTGTCTATAATGCCAGTTTCTTTCTCAAGTAATTTTTTTCTTTTATATTCCTCTCTGCGTTTTGAAGGCGGTTCTTCCCATTGTTTTCTTTGAAACACACCCTCGCTAATCAAACGACCAGTCGAATCTTTCCTATACAATGGAAGAAGTTCATTATCTAGTTGCTCTTTTCGCCTTATTTCTAAAAGTCTTCTTCTTCTCATATTCTCTTGCGCTATTGAATCATTTTTAATAGGTGAATTCTTGTTACTTCCATTAAAGGGATGAGCCTTCAACCAATTTTCAACTTTTTCCTTCTGTTCAATTCCCTCTAAGCTGTCGAAACGAAGTATAATATATTTTTATTTAGCGAACTTTAGAGAGTTTATAATTGCGATAAACTGATTTAAGTGAATCATAAAATTCTGCCTTTTTTTAATAATAAAATATTAATATATCTCTACCGTATTCTTCTTTCTATCTTTTTTCGCTCTCCAGCTAATCTGACCATTGCAACGTAAACATTTTGCTGTAGACGTTCAATTCTTGTTAAAGCCGCATTCTGTTGATTAAACCAACAGTCAACAGACTGTGACAGCTTTGATTTTACCGCTTTATTCCTTCCAACGGTTGTTGGATGAGATTCACTAATAAGTGGTCTAACTAGTCCATGAAGGTTGTCTCCACTCATTTGGGAGCGTTTGTACCTCATCGCTGCCATATTTTGAAATACTCTTTGGGGGCAAAAAGTTTGAGAAGAGGGAGTAAGCACGACCTACCAAACAAAGATTTAGTTAGTCAATTAAAATCCAACAATAAGAAAGGCCAATATTCGATATATATAAATGAGATTTTTATTGCAAATCTGGTAATCCGTTCAATCGTACTAAAAAATACACTGTAAACACATTTTCGTGCTTAAAATAAATACAATTCTTTCAGACTAGTGCATTTGAAAGAATTTAAAAAAGTACTGCAGCGCTCTTGAGAGAGAATTAACTGTATGATATGTAATTAAATGGTATATACTACAGACATAAAACAACGTTTTAAGCAAATATTTTCCATAAATTCATAATATCCCATTATCCTAAGCTATTTTTAATTGATTCAATAAATAAACTTAGTTTTATGAACGCTTGTGATAAAAATTGAGATTTTCCATATAGCAGAATAATGTAAACTTAAATAATTCAAAAGATCATTCGGCTGTACATTAAGAATTGAGTTTTTCTCCTATTTATAAATATTAAACTTATCCTTTATTACATTTTTAATAGGCTTAGTGATCCTTTAAAATAAATTACACAATTACAAAATATAGCGTCATTATACCATCACTTTTAAATTTTAAATTTCAGCTATTAAAACATCGTTTAACACCATATCAATATCTTTCGCAAAAAAATTATCACTAACAATATACTATGACAGACTGTCCCTGCAAAGAAGACTTATCCAAGAGAACAAAGAACAAATGGAAAATTTTCTCGAAAAGAAAACCCTTCACGAATGAAAAAAAAGATAAATGCAGCGTTTGCACAAATATGTTCAATGCTTGTTCGATATGCCAAACACCAGTGGTACAGTTTCCTATTGTTTTCCAGCCGACAGAAATACGAGGAGGTAGTTCAGTTAATAGCTTCAAAGCTATTCTAGTACCAAATGTCGAAACTTCTTCAAAGACACTTTTCCAAATCAATTTAGGACAGTTTATTTTTGATTATCATACTGTAGAGATGGTTGAATTGAATTACGAAAATGAAAATGCTAGAGTTATCCTATATTGTACAATAGGGTTACAATCCGGTAAGACAAATTTTAATGGTTATGCTGTTGAAAAAGATCAAAAGTTAACCCTAATCTGTACCTGGCGATCAAAGGAAGATGCTGGAAAATCTTTTAAAAGACAACTAAACATTAAGCCTTTTGTAGAGGCTAAAACAGATCAATATGTTGAAGATGATGATGCCTCATTTCATATACAACTTAGACCAACTGGTTTCATAGAAGACGATGAAAATATATATCAAGTTGATGATAAAGAGAGGAGACCTATATCCGTCTCAATTGAAATGGACTCAGATGCTAAAATATTTGACGAGGAACTATCAATAGTTCATCACAACATGAGTCGGCATGAACCAGGCGTTTGGAGCTGGAAAAGGTTTCATAGAAAGACGTCTAATTCCTTAGATGATAAACCAATCGTTTGTTCCCAATTTCAATATCAAGGTTTAGAAACGTTTCGTCGACCAGAAACATTCATTCGCATTGTTAGCGATACTATCGATGAAAAACTAATAAGGGCGGCCGTTACCGATAATCCCATTCTTTTAGCCGTTATAAAGGCGTTCGAAGTAAGGTTATCAGAAGCAACTGTAATAAATATTGATGAAATTATTAAAAGACAATTTGAAGCCGTGCTTTTTAAACCAAATTCATTTAAAGAAATTGTTTATAATATAGACATTGAAACACCTTCAAGGGAGCGTCAAAAGTATGTTACCATTGTTTCGGAGCAAACGAGTGGAATTATTAACACGGAAACCGTTCCACTAACTTATATTGTTAAAGAAGATTCCTCCTCCTTTGAAGATGGTCTTCAAGTTGTCAACAAATCAGAGGATTCTCTAGACGATAATGAAATATATATTATGGTTTCAGAAATTGGTTTTACTGAAAACAAAGTTCTTTTGAAGATACTGAATCCTTTTAAATACTTCAAGTAGGTTGCATTTTGTAAATACTCTATTAATTTTTTATTAATTAAAGATTATAATTTTTTATTCAATTAAGAAAAAACTTAAAGGAGTGTTTACCTACTCATGCTTCCAATTTTATAAGCGTCCTCTCCTGGGTACTACAGAATTACTGGATATCAGGCGAAAGAGAGGATGGTTTATGCAATGATAATCGAACAGCATCATTTTGCTGGAGACGTACATCAACTCCAATGAATAAGCATATGTGGAACGAAAGAAATGCCAGATCAGATGGAATAGACTTGGGAGCTATATGGAGGTCTGATTTGAAAAATGATATTGCTATGGACACGGAAAATCAGTCCAGAGGAGAAAATGAATTTTGGACAGAAGACTTTGGTATTGTCGAGTTAAGGAATAGTGCATTTACTTCGGAAGAAGTTAAAACTTTACCTACTTCTATTAAGGAAGAGACTTTTCCAGTTGTTGTTGACCATGAATCTCTACGTGCCGAATCAGTGTCACTTGAGGATGCTGTCTCGACTAATTTGAATAATGACCATGTTGTTTATGACGAACGGGAACAAGAAATTGACGAGAGGTTTGATGTAAAGGTCTCTCCGGAGTCTAATTTCGAAGAAGATTTGATTCTTGTCAATGATTTGGAGCCATCACTCATAGAATCTTTAGATGATAAAAACGATTCAAAGATTCCAACGATCAAAATTAAAGAGGAACTTGGAGGGACATACTCTATCTTGTCCGAAACTGACCAGGAGAATAAATTGGTAATTGAAAATGAAAAGAATACATCTATCATTGAAGGGAGTAATTCTCTTAAACAATCGTTTAATATTGATGAAAGTGCAAATAGCATTCAACAATCGAAGGAGAAAGAGGCAATTAACATTCGTGAGGAAAATTTGATAATTAATGAAAACCCAGCAGAAAATAACGATAAAGACGATAATGCTATGATCCAAGACAATATAGATGATAAGACATCTCCGAAAAGTCCCTTAGCCCTTGAAATAAAAAAAGAGAAAAAAAACAAGCGTAAATTTTGGAAACGAAATCATAAGCCTTCAAACATAGAGGATAAATCTTCCAGAGAAGACTCAAAAAGACGATCTAAAAAACGAAATTTACTTATCAAATGTTTAATTGGAGGGGGAACAAATTCTTCAATTGATCTCAGTCGACAAGAAGTCAAAGTTAATGAAGAAAAAAAACAATCAGTTATTGAACTTATTGATAAGATAAGATCAGAGGAAAATATCTTGAAACCCCAGTCCAAAAAGAGTAATATATCTATGAACTCGTCAAAAACTTCTATTAAATCAAAGAGATCACAAGCTCTACTGTCTAACAGACAGAGATCTATGGGAAGTATAAACTTGCTTTCACAGAAGGAAAGAGAAGAGAAGGAGCAGGAGGATAAAAAAAAAGATGAAGAAGAAGAGAAGAAAAAAGTCTCAAAATCTAATAAGAAAAAATTTTTTAATTTCAAACCAAGAAAAATTATTACAAAGCATCCTAAGAAGTCAGATTTAAAAAAACGTGCTAGTGTTCGCCTATCGGAAGGATCTCGAACAGTAAGGAAAGCAAGAGAATGTAATGAAACTGAGGAAGCGCTCTTCACTATGATCTCACAGGGAAGTCAAACTGCTCAGAAAAATCCTCATAGTGAAATTTGTGAAAAAATAAGTCCATTTTCCGTTAATGAACCTCAATCCCTCAGGGAAGATATTGTTAACGAAATAGAACGTCGTATTATTCAAGAAGCTACTTTACATAAATACCTTGCCCTATGGTAAAAACTTAATATTTTCTTATTATTTTACCGTATAATGATTTACTACCCAAAAAAACATAGGAGAAACGAAGAGGAAACTAACAAAAGGATGGATCTTTTAAGTGAAATGCTTAAAAGAATGGAAGAAATAGAATCGGAAATGATGAGAACTAGTTTACCTCCCGCTCAGGCTAAAAAGACAGATCTTACAATGACTGTATTCGAAAATTCTCCACTACAAGGTTTGCTAAATATTTTTCGATACTTTTTGTTATTAATTTAAACATTTCTCATTATATATAGATTTATACAAAGAATTTATAAATGATAGATCAAAGCTTAAAGCGAAATATGACATGATAACTAACAATGTGCAAAAACAAGCCGTACTTGAAAGCGTGGATGAGATTATTAAAAGTTATACTTTATTTAAGAAGGCATTGGAAGCAAAGATTGTATAATGTGCAAAAGAATAATATCTAATAAACTGTCAATCCTCACTCTTTCTCCCTCTCTCTCTCTCTCTCTCTCTTTTGAAGTATTATCTCAATGAAAATAATAAAGTTTTTGTAAATTGTCTTTAATAAAAATTTGAAATGATTATTATAAAGTTTAGGAAAGCGATATTAAAAAAGTTGGTTATAAATTAATATGCATTTATTAATAGTAAATGAATAGAAAAATACTTGAAAATCAAATATTTAATCTTAATTAGCAATAACAATTCAATTTGAATTCGTACTCTTTCACCGAGCTTATTGATCTGTGCCAAAGTACAAAGAATATTTGAATATTATCAATAAAAGGAGAGCTAAAGTATTTATAAAAACTTATACTTATTGTTAAGCCAAACATATTTTTTTCTTTTGGTTACAATTGTTTATATAAGTTCAAAGGACTCGTAATAAAAATTGTAGTTATATACGATTATAAACCATTTAATCTACTATACACGTTATCTTCTTTTCTCTTTTTCTATATTTATCTTTCCAGCAAGTCGTTAAATGTAGCTAAAATCACGAACTGGAATATCTATTTAACGAAGTAAATAAATCATTATAAGTTTATAATGAATTTAAATTTTAAACTAGTAATTAATTAAAAACAATAACACAACTACATACATAAATATAGATAATATACGTTTAGAAGATAATAGAAATTGATATAGCATGTGTTGGCATACAGAGTTTCAAGGAAGTTCTGGTAAGTATACTTGAATTAAACTATTATTTCCATATTATACATCCATTGGGACGTTTCATCTTACTTTATTAGAAGACTTTCAAGAGCGAATTGACAGCATTCGTAAGCCATTTCACGGGCCAATGCTATTATTTGTGGGAATTATAGGCTCTATTGTCTGTATCTTTATATATAGGTTTACTGTATCCCTTCTAAACATATGTTGTGAAAAAGTTGATAACATTCCTAAAGACGAAGAACAAGAAGTTTTCTTTCGAGCTTGGTCAAAGAACTTAAAATCTCCACTTAATCGAGATATAAAAAAAGTAGATACAATAAAATAAAAAAATATATATGCGAATTGAATATTATATCTATTGTCCATTTTATTACAATTTATTTCATTATGCTTCTATTTATGGTAATCGTCATCCTTGCGCAATATTCATAATATTGTCATCATCATTCCTCTTCAAATGTAAAATTAGAAATCTTGCTGTAAATTTGATAATTTTAAAAAAAAAAACAGAAACAAATTTCGTAACGCCATCTGTATTATTTTTATTGCTGGAGAGGCCGCGCATGCGCACATGTTTTGTATATGTGACCAGACTGCCATAAGAGAAATATAAACAGTGATCTATAGAACATTCTAGAAATCGAAATTACATACAGGAAGATAGCTCTACTTGCAAAATAATCCGCAATGTTTGGACACAACCTTTTTGGATCTTTCGAAGGCGATCCGTTTTTCATGTTAGTAATACTTATCAGCCATCTTTTGTAGTAATTATGCAAGTGTTCGTATAACCGATTTTCGTCTCGTTTCCAGGGATCATCGAGATCATGTGCGAATGATGAATGATATGATGTCTCGACACTTTCAACCTTTCGGACAACAACTTTCTCTTGAGAATTCACGCCCTAACAATCAAAGGCAAATGGCTATGAGAACTCACGATCCCTTTTCCATGTTCAATCATATGAACAGCTTCATGGGGAATTTTCACTCAATGTTTGATGAAGTGAACCGTCAAATGGTTAGTAGCTAATTTTCACCCATTTCTATAGTATTAAAAGAAGTATTTGCAGCGGGACCCAAGTAGAGGTGGAGGTGGAGCAGTCTACCAACAGTCTACTGTAATGACTTATTCGAATGATGGATCGGGAGCAGCTCCAAAAGTTTTTCAAGCAACTTCAAGCACAAGAACTGGTCCGGGAGGCGTGAAAGAAACGAGAAAATCTGTAAGAGATTCAAGTAGAGGAGTTGAAAAGATGGCTATTGGACATCATATCGGGGACAGAGCACATATCATTGAAAGAAAAAAGAATACCAAAACGGGAGATATGGAAGAAAACAAGGATCTTATTAATTTGGATGAGGGTACATAAATTTTTCTCAAAATCCATATTCCTTTAGTAATACACTAATTTTTGTTTAGACGAAGCCCCCGATTTCGAGAGAGAATTTAGAGAAAAGGCCCATGGAAGTTCCTCCCGTCATCACCATTCTGTTCGCACTGGCAGGTACGGTCATCCTGCTTTGGAGTACACACCATATAAACGAAATTAAATTAATATAATTTACATTTTGTTTGAAACATAAATTAAGGTGATATAAAAAAAATATGTTGTATTAGGGCTCCTTTTAGTGAGATTGTATGCTAATATACAGTCGCCTTGCCTGGGATTAAGTAACAACATTCTTTTGTTTCAGGGGAGACAAAGTTATGAAATCCCTTCCAGATTCAAGGCGACGTAATAATAAACGCTTTGAACATTGAGAACGAGAGGTATGAGAAAACAAGCATAAAAAACAACTAAAAGGTAAAATGAAGAAGATATTTATTTTATTCAACAGTATTGACTTGACCTTACTTGGTATAACTTAAGCAATATCAAATTATTGAAGTTTGTTTTTGCAAACCTTTCTTTTCTCTCTGTTTTTATCATCTGAATCTTTTATGGGCAAAAATTTATATGTATTTTATTAAATAAAGATTTAAGCTAAGTGATTATTACATGACTGACTCATTGTTTTACTTATTATTTGAAAAGTTAGCAGATTTCAATCAAATTGCACTTTTAGTTAACATTTCCAAATGAAGACTAGTTCATATAGCATTTATCGTACAATTTTAGTCAGGAATTTGAATGAATAAAGTAGTTTTATCGGCGAGATCAACATCATGTAAAGAAAGTTCCATATCTCTCAGAATCGAACGATTATGTGGATTAAACAGTTCATAATTACAAAAGTCTTCATTGGAATAATTGGAAGCAAATTTTAATAATTCCAATAGTTTGTCATTTCGGTTGAATCTTCGCTGTATCCGTTCCCCATTAAGAAGCTTCAGCGCAATGTGTAGGCTATTTGCATCTGGCTCAGATGAAAGATTATAGGGAGTAAACGGTCTTTCACCATTAATATCAGGTAAAACAGAGTAGCGAGATAGAGCGGAACTGGTTGGTCTTGACTGCACTCGATTGATATCTGAATCGACTTTAAATCATAAATTGTATTTTTACATAACTTGGCAAAAGAGTGTTACCTGAGTCAAGTGATTGTCGTGACGATTTTCGTCTTCTGAAGTTCCTCCTAGACATATTTTTAATCGGTGGAGGTTCGTTTGGTGGAGTAGGGTTCAATGGGTTATGATGTGGATGAGACACAGACATTGTTGGAAGTATAATAGTAGAAAATCAGTTATCACAATATTTGGACGGAATATTATAAAGCAGTATCATAATATTAAAAGTTCATTGTCATCTTTTTTACACTTCAAAAGAGAGTGTAAAAACCAGTTAAGTCGCCATGAATGTTTACGTGCGATACGGGCTAAATATAGTTCTACTTTTATTGTGGTGTCCTTACAGCATTAATTTGTAAAACAAAACCTTTTTCATTTTCGATTATCTACCTTAAGACTATATTATTTAGGAAAATATTCAAATAATAATAAATTTAAATAAGCTGGAAAGACACACACATCTTAGATAAATTTAGATTAAGTATATCTTTAAAAATTTTAATTCCTTTTAAGAAAAAGAGTTAGTTTAGATATGTCAATCTTTGTATTTCAAATAGATTATAATTTCTGATTTATGATTTAATATGATATAATAACATTAATACTGTAACGATTATACGCCTTTTAGATTACATTTAGTTTTTGATAAAATATTATTACAATTTATATTAATTTAAAATATCTAGATATAGATTGCATAACAATCAATCGAAAAAATCATGAAAAATAAATGCAAATATTTCAAAACATTATGTAGTATAAAAATACACTTTAAGTTGATTTCTTTTATGGAATCAGTTTGGATTTGGAAATTTCTGTGATTGTTAGATTTCCCTCATGGGTGCTATATTGCAATGGTGATTATTGGTCATGGAATTTTGTTTGTCCAAGAACATCAGTTTTTTCTTTTTCTTTTTATTTTTACCCTTGTGTTCATTCTGGAGTTTTTAAATTGCAATATTATAAGAAAAAGCTATTTTATGAGTTATTCGGGAACTTACCTTGTTCATTTTCTCGATATTAGAGCTCTTTTTTTCCGGGAAACCAAAATTATTTTTGTAGTGAAGAACATCTAGATCATCTTTCGTTCGTTTTTCAGGTAGAGAAAATTCCTTTTTTCTTGGTGTAGAATCTATTGAATTCCTTCTACGATTTGTATTAGACTCGATAGAACATGTTGATGAAGTTGATCTTATCCTTGCAGATGAATGAGTTGATTGAGCTTTCCCTTTAAATAAAAACCATACAATGAAACATATCATAACTTCGAAAAAATGAAAGTGCCATTGACGATCTATTCTTAGATGAGCTTTTTCGAGAAGCATTGTAGCATTTCTAACAACAAATTTCAAAGCAACAATTTCTCGATGCGATCGCTCAATTTGTTCTCTTTGCTTTTGTTCTCTTGCAGTAAATGCCTTGGTCATATTAATTATTTTAGAATTTAACATTTGGTGAGTCTCTTCCATTTTCTTCCGATATCTTTGGCTAAGCTCCTCCAAATATCTAGAGGTTAAATGGAGATCCAGCTCCAACTCTTTTATTTTACTCCTAAGACGATTTACCGCGGCAAGCTTCTTGTCATAAGGCAATTTAACTGTTCCTTCCTCGGTCTCAGTTTCATCTACTGTCTTTTCCGGCTTATCTTTGCTTTCATCTGCATATATATGTTGTTCTGTAGCATTTTTCTCTAATTCCTCAACAGACATCGTAGTGTTCTCTTCTAAAACTACAGAATTTTCAAGTGTTGATTCTATTGGCTTATCTAACTCGCTACTGGATAATGTACTTGATATGTCGTCGTCAACGCTCTTTTCAATTGGAGGATTTGAAACGACAGAGGTTGGCCTAATTTGGGCAGTGTCTGGACCGAGGGTAGAAGTGTAGACCTCTTCGTTTGATGAGAAAGTTGATTGAGTGGCTTCAATTTCTAAATTCTCAGACGATTGTGTCGAAAGCACTTGTTCTTGTTTTGATGAAAACAATTCCTTAGTTTCTGTTGACATATCTACAGATGAAGATTTTTCCTCCTCTAAAGAAGATGAAATAGTTGATGACTCTATTTCAGAAGATGTAACAGTTAATTCAAGTGAGCTTGTTGTTTGGCTTAAGGAGGGCTCAACCACTATTGAAGCAGTAGGTGAATTTTCTATAGCTGATAATGTAGAAGAATCTGTTTTGAGAAGTATTTCTGTGCTAGATAAGTCTGGTACACTGGACACACAGCAAACAGATAGTCCAATAAAAATTTCAAAGTATCGGCATAAGAAAACTGAAGGAAAGTATGAACATTGAAAAGATGAGTCAAGATGAACAGGATTTTCACAATTCCAGCATATGTTTTTTAAATTATCCAGAAAAAAGCCGTGTGTTGCAGATTTGGATATTGCGATAGGAATTTCAGGGCAATTTGTGGTTTTATTTATCACTTTGTTGTCCTCATTTGTCCCATTTGAACTAAAACATTTAAAAAATTGTGAATGAGAATGTTTGACATCATATACTTACGTTGCATTAGGGGCACAGGGACCAGAAAAAGTACCATTTGAATTTAGGGAAGTGGAATTGTTTTCCATAGTTTCATTACTATTAGCAGAATTTTTTGTATTGAATCCATCTTTGCCTCCTTCCTCTTCTTTCGAGAGCATTTTATGCATTAGGCCTATTACAGTATCCTTCGCTGTTTTAAAAAGAGTAGGAGATTTCTCATTTGGTGGAACAACATTAGCATTGTCATCTTCCTGATTGTTTTCTACTTGGTCAGGTTCAATTGTATCAGAATCATCATAATCATCTGTTATACCATAAACTCTCAAAACACTTACAGGACAGTAATGCTCCTTTCCAAAGTGTTCCATCATGTCAATTCTTATATATTTTGTAAAAGTTTCAATACTACTAGGCGGAAGAACAATGTTGAAAAGTTGTACATCCCTTAACTCCCTTGCATGAAAAATACCTAAACTTTTCCACTCTTTTGTTGGCCATCTTTCACTAACTTTCACACTGAAAGTCTTTGGCAAGGAACTGAACAATTCATAACTTCCTAATTTAATTGCTCTCACAGCAATGCTTTCACAAAGTTCAACAGTAAAGAATTTTTTGGCAGAACAAGGAGAGTTCATGTAGGAGTCCTTATTTTCAGTTAATATAGCATGAACATTTGATGAATCAGTGTTGGAATTCAAAATTTTTGCTCCACAACGTGAAGATGCATAATTAACACCATTAGTTTTCCTTTTGCCACTATTTGCACCATTATTGTTTAAAATACCATTTTGGTTATTTGTGTTAGCCACATTTGACTCTGAGGGAGGTAAATTAGTATTACTAGGGGTGCTATGTATAATAGGACCTTTATTTTTCTCTGCCTCCAACTCTTTCTGTCGCCACTCTTCAAATGATGGCAATTCTTCTTGAGATGATTTAGCTGTTTCTTCAGCATTAGCTATTGATATTTCATCAGTCTCCTTATTAGGAGATTTTGAAGTACTTTCTTTATCAATAGAACTCCCAGTTTCTTTGTCTACTGATTTATCTGTTTGAGAGTCAGTCTCCGGTCCCTTAGCACTTTCTATCTCCTCCTTTCCAGTATCAGTATCTACTGTTACAACTTGTTCAGAGATTATTTCCGTTTGAATGTCCTCTGTTAGAATTGCTTGATCTACTGGGGAAGATTGAATATTTGGATTGGGAATCTGTGGATCTGATGGAACTGCATTGATGCTGGTTTGTAAAGTTTCTTCAATTTCTGTTGAAACACTCTCCTTTTTTTCTATATTCAGCGATGGATCGTCTTCTGGAGAGCAAGGTTCGATAATTCTAAGAAAGAATAAAAAACATAGCAAACAAGATTAGCATGAACTGTTATTTGAACAAATAGTTACTATTGATTTAATTTATCAAAATAGTGACCAATATTCTAAAGTATTTTAGACGACTAACAATTGTACGAAAGGGATTAAGGCTACTTACTCTACATTTTTTACTGTAGTCTTTTTCTCTTCAGGGTCAATTGATACAGCTTTCCCTCCTAAACCTTCTGATACAGTGCTTTCAGAATTGGGTGTGGCATCAAACCTTCTTTGAGTGGCATCTGCTCTTTTTACATCTATATCTTCAGCCAATGTATATAACCTTAAACTAAAATAACAAAATTAAATGAAAGTTGACATAAAAGTTTTACACTTACGTTACGCATAAAATGCCTGACATAATGTTTAAAATCCATATGTACTTGATCAAAGACGTCATATCGAATTATCTTGTATCTATATCCTTGATACTGTTAACGATATGTCTTTTCGATGGCATTATGCACAGATTTTCATCATTTCGACTGACGTGTTCTTCCAGGAGGCGCTGAAAGATAAATTCTTTCTACGAAACTGGTCCGAAAAACAGTATTAGAGTGGATCACGATTTATTCAAGATATTATAAACGAGAAAACATGTGGGAAATGGAACCAAATAAAATTAAACTGGTTACCCACTCCTCATCCAAAATATTCATGTTCATATGCGTTTGGCCTCGGATTATTTTATTCTCACTTTAAGCAAAATAGTAAATTGTAGTTTTGCTCCTCGTGGTTTCCTTCAATTAAAAATTAACTTTTAAGATTTAGGATATACGAAATAATTTACTGTTGAATTGCTAAGACTTATTGATTAGAGTTCACCAAGAAATACAATAGAACTTTTGATTTCTCAAAGCAGAAAATTTGTCTATTTTAAAGAGTTCGGGAAGACATAATTCGATATTAGGGCGATAATTACGGAAGCATGTCTAACGATATAATTCAATTAAATGATCAAGTCGTTGTACGACGAAACGAACATCTTAAAATTTTTCGTGTTCGAAAAAATAGGTATGGTCTAAGACTGTTCTCTCAATAGCTTGTCTATTTTATATTTTTTAGGACTATAATCATGGGCAAAATTAAGTTTCATTTAGACAACTCTATCGGAAAACCTTACGGATCGTCTTTTGAAGTCAAGAATTCACATTTAGTAGATCACAAGTCTTCAAGCGACTCAAACTGTAAGAAAAAGGATTCTATAAATTCTCTCCAATCAAAAATTTTACTTTCCAGCTGTAAACATACCAGTTAAAGACAATAGAAATCTACGAGATTCTAAGCTGAATCAAAAACTATCTAGAGAAGATATTCACAGTCTAAAAGATGAAGGTTGTACAGGAGAAGTAGGATATCGTTATAAGATTTATATTTTTCGATGAAAACGTTTTACTTCTTCAGGAAATTATTGAAAAGTTAATCGAACATAGTTCGACATTCAATGAAAAAACCGAATATTCTCAAGAGAAGTATGTCAGCAAGAAGAAAAAAAAGTGAGATAAGAGTAATTTTGTGAGAACGTTTCTGAATTTTTCTGTTTCTTCAGGCATAATCCAATATTCACTATTCTCAAACCCTGTACAAGATTAATAGCGGAAATGTATTGGAACACAGGTCCACAGAGATTATGGTAAGGCATAAAAGCTTCCTAAAAATTCCGACATTAAAAAAATATTTCAGCAACCTTCGTTTCGACACACTTTCTCAAATTCTGGCCTATGGAAATGTTTGTGCAAATAGAAAATTGCTGGTAGTTGATTCAGGAGTAGGATTAGTGTCGGCTGCAATTTTAGAAAGGATGCAAGGAAAGGGGAGTGTTATACAACTCCACGATTCTTCATGCCCTGTTAAAGCAGCAACAGAATGTTATAACTTCTCAAAAGAGATATGGGATAGTCTACATTGCATTTCCTTATCTGAGGTTCGTTACATTATGAAACATTGTGTTCAGCTAATTGTTTGGGTTACAGCTTCCAGAAGTTCTCAAATTCAAGCCTCAAGATGATCCCGAAGACGAAGAAAAAATTGATAATGAAGATGATACAGCTTTATCATTAGCTCAACCTAATAAACGTAAATTTTCGGAAAGGGTAATTGATCAACACTTTATATCTTTGTAAATCACTATCTGTATGAATAAAAACATTTTAAAGGTAAAAAAGAAGGAAAAAAAATTTGGTATCGTTAAAGACATACTGGCAGATTCAAATGCTGACGGGTTAGTGATCAAAGATATTTTTCAAACATTGTAGTCCTCTAATCTTTCAGACTTATTGTGGCATCTAAGTTTCATCCCACTCCAATTGTTTTGAATCTCATTCAGTTTATCGCTCAAAATAGACCTATTGTAATTTTTTGTCAACATATTGAAGTGAGTTGTTTTTTGTACTCTAATTTTTCACTCAAAATGCATTTTATCAGCCACTTTTGGATTGTTATAACCAACTGAAAAGCAAAGGTAATGTTCTTATGCTTAAAATCTTTGACATCTTCTTAAGAGAACATCAGGTTTGTTTACAATTGATGAAAGAATGCGGAAAGAGCTTTCGTAACTTTTTCAGGTTCTTCAAAATCGAACTCATCCCCATATAAACATGAGCAATACTGGTGGCTATTTATTGACTGGAATAACCGTATCGTCGTAATTTTTCTTTAACCCATAAAAACAAAAATAAAATTTATCTACATTCGTTCATGTTCTTGTCATTCATTTTTCGCTAGTCCATAATACTAAAGTTGATCGAAGATAAGTGTCTAAACCTTTGAATCCCCCAATTACCAATTTGATAATTCTCTCTTCACGAAAGTAACAATTTAAAAGTTGTTTATTAGAAAATTTCTGAAATAACGGGTAAACTATACCAGTTTTCAATATCCTTATTATCGTTATTACTATAGTTTAAACCGGGGGATTCTACAAAACGATTTCGACTTTTAGATGAAATATACTGATCTTAAATTATTTACCATATGGTTTCTTTTAGAATCATAATATAGTAACAGCCAAGAAACAATAAGGGTAGTTCAAAATGAATAATTTTGAGTTAAGGCTTTAGTTTACTGATAAATGATGATGAATAATGACATCCAGAATTGTTTAGACCTTATCAGCATTTTGGTCTCCCCTTCCACTCAAGCAACATCTGGTTTGGAGAATCACTTTATTGCTAATAAAACTTTAATAGAAGATAAGTTAAAAGAAGATCAATATTCTTCACTTCGAAACATCTTGAAACGGAAGAAACTAGAATATTCAATACCGTTGACGTCCTTGGATCTAGAAATTGCAAATTGCCTGATTAATCTTCTGTATACTTACAATGAGTTAAAATCCATCGAAAAAGGAAAAAATTCTTCTTTTGAGGAAATTTTATCACCCGAACAGAATCTGAACTTTTCGAGAGCATTCAAAATAATCTTCTCTTTTGGTTTAAACCCAGCGCTCGAAAAAGAAATTGTTCTTTGGGATGCTGATCGTTTAAGATTAGGACTCTTACCATGGAATTTGAGACATTTAAGCAAACATCAACGATTCGAACAACTTCTATTCTTTACTCATCACTTATTGTCACTAGCCCAATGGTACAAACCATACATGATTTCCAGATCTTCTCTACCTGTGGATATAATTTCTTCCTTTTTAACACTTGCTTTTTCATCAAACTGTCAACCCAATGATTTGAAAGAAAGTCGAATGGTGTACTTTGATCAATTGCAAAGTTTGTGCAATGTTGGAGACTTTGGCGGCGAAGCCACTTTTACTGCCATATTCTTAATGAAAGATATTCATATAAGTAGACCAGATAATTGGTTTAAACGAAAGATTAATCATTTTCTATTAAACTCTCTCCTTCGCAAGGGTGGTCTTGCTTCTTTCCTTTTACTAAATGATACAACTAACTATGATGATGATAAGTCGGAATGGCGAAAAGCTGAAATTTCTGCTAAAATAGTCGTGGAGTGTTCGAAAATGGCATCAACTCAAGAGAGATTTCTAAAGTTCATTTGTCCTCAAATTATTGATATATTCCTCAATCCACAATATGCAAAAAGTCCAAGAATAATCTTTTACTGCTTGAGTACAATAATTCATTCTCTTGTGGCTCACAACAAGCATTTTACAGCCATACTAGATAATTTGTTCTATCCTCTATTTTATTATCTAAATCCACCTACGGTTCAAGATGAAACTCGTAAACCAAAAGGAACAGATTTGGTCAAGTGTATTGAACTTATGCACAAAATCTTTATCGGCTTTTGTGATCAACCAAATGAGCAGATGTTGAGATATCTAATTCCTTATATGCCTCTTTTATTCTCAATTTTGAAGGACTGTAAAACAACATACACAGCTACTAGATGTAGAGACATAATAGTCGCTTACTTAATGCATCATGAAAAAAGTGAAGAAACTTTTTATAAGATATCTAGTGATCAAATGAAAAATGATATATTGTTACTTCGATTTAGTAATAAAGCAGATGGAACAGTGTTTGTATTGGAAAATTGCGAAAAGCTAAGCGACAAACATAGTGTAGTTGTTGAAGCGTTTACGTCTATTTTATCATCTACTCCAAAGCAATCGAAAATACTTTCACGCATTTTCTTACTTTTGATAAATAAGCTGGACGAAATTATTAAAGATGAAACTGTTATTGCAAATAACATACCAGTCGAAAAAGGAAATGTTGAGGAACCTCTAATGGAAATAGAGAAGAAGCTGTTGTATATAGAAGAAAGAAATGATAAAAAAATATTTGTGATGAAAAGCTTAGAACGACTTTGTCAGATGTCTCCTATTGTTCTTTTAGAAAATGTTTCAAACCTTATTCGATTCATAGCCCTAACTTTGAAAAGAGCAGCCATTTTACTAGAAGATATCACTGATAGTGAGGTTATAGAATTTCAAATAATCAATGTAAACATGATTGCGGATATGCTACTATTCCTGTTAGAAACAAATTCAGATGAAGTATTTCAATTGAAAGCCGAAAATGTAGACGAACTCTCAAGTTTACTCCCTGCTTTATCAAAGTTAGAAATGATATACGGAGATTCTGAAGCTGCTGAAAAACTATTGAATTTGCGAATTGCTATTGCAACAAGGGGCAAAGTCATGAATGATAAATCTTCCGATGAATACGAAATTGTCCCTCCAACAAGTTCTAATGTTATAGATGAGGAATTAAAAGCTATTACGGCACCTTTCTTAAGTAGATTAGAGAGCTTGTCAGCTAATACAGTTCATAATGGAATAATAAGCATACCTGAAGAAATTGAACAGGAGGAAATCAATGAATCTTTTCATAAAGTCATTAAAGACATAAGTGATCCGCTTATTCCTGTGAAGGGACATGCTTTAATTGTTTTAAAAAAATTGATTTACAGTCGCGATGAAGAAACAATGAGAGAACAAGATCTTGTTGTACAAACTGTTAGAAAATTGCTTGAAAATGAAGACTCTTATGTTTATAGTGCAGCTATCCATTGTTTACAAGCTCTTGCATATCAGAATGGAAATATTATGATACCTATTCTGTTAGATGAATATTCAAACGCCAAGCATCTTGCTATTAAAGTTCGATTAAAACTAGGCGAAAGTCTTCAAAAGATAATCTGTGACCTTTTTGAAATGTTACCTAAATATAAAGACAGTATACTGTCGGTATTAATAGATGTTTTGTCAGAAGAGTCCGACATATTGAAAGTTAGTGGCTTATCGATGTTGGGTGATTGCTGTCGAATCCTAAAATACAACATTGGTATATATTTGTCTAGAATACTAACTATTGTAGAAAATCTACTTAACCTGGATAAAAGTATATTAGTCAAGAGGGCATCCGCTATGTTTATAGAATTTTACTTAAGGGGGTTTTCTACAGACATGATGGCAGTGAGTATCTGATAATATTAAATTAATATATTGACCATGTTTTCTTAATCTAGGAATATGCATCTGAATTGAAATCGTTGTACAAGGTTATCAAACTCGGATTAAGCAACGAGATTGATGATTTGGTTATACATCATTTGTCTGCTGCCAAAGAAAACTTAGACGAATTAATGAAGTTATTTTTCCAGCCTGCTCAAAACTTAGAGAAAACGATATTTGTAGCTGACTCTGCACCAGATCCTTTCAAAGACGCCTTTCTTTAAATTTTACATTGTTGTAAACAGATTTCCTCACGTACTTGTTCAATGGACATTCATATTAACGAATAAAAACATTGATAGAGCTGAAAACCCCTTACAATAAATGATCTTTTGTATCAATAGCCTTTTGCTCTTATTGATTCTTATTTGTAATAAATTATGTAAAATAACTAATTTAAGTTTAGAATTTAATTCATGAATAGTATTTTCTTTATATTGAGCAACCAAGTACTTGTCACTTTAATAGGCAAATTGTCCCACAAAAAAAAATGAATCAGTGATAAATAAAGCTGTAATAGTAATAAAATAATAATCTGCAACAAATATTGAATTGATTTGAAATCTGGCAGAGTTCAAGGCAATGAAGCGCCTTGCCTTAAAAAATTTAATGTCTATTTTTCTTCACCACTACTTGAGGATGGTGGTGTGCCATTACTGTCTACAGCCACTCGAGGAGGATGCTTTAGGATGCGCTTTGCACGAACATCATAAACCCTATAACACAGGAAGACAGTATCAGGACTGGCATTAGCATCCGGCATTTTAACGCAAGTTTCGCCGGGTGGAACAACTGGCATCGAAAGAGGTAGATGAGCTCTCAAACGCTCTTGCTCCTTCTTAAACCTGCAGAATTGCGCTTTGGTAAGAACATGACATATGTCGTCAATAGTCTGCACATTTGCAATATCAGCATGTCGGGAAGCAAATACTTCAGATTTATGATGGGAAGGAATATGACTAGCCTCTGTTTGTTCTGGTCTGTAATACCACAGAATGCTCATCATCATCTCTCTAGAGTTTTCATCTTCCCATAGGGCTGCCACTTTGGCAATGAAGGGTGCAGAAGCTTTACGCCTATTAGCTTTGACAAGAACGCAATCCCGAATTCGCACAATGTCACCGTCTTTATGTTGGATTGCAACATAACATTTTCTCTTAACTAACTGCATGGGAGAATTATGCGGCGAATTTGGGCTTGCTCCACAGGACGACGTTCCGTTACTCTGTTACGAAATACAAACACATTATCATACAAAATCTACAATCAAACATATACGTACTGATTTCGTTGGCAAGGGGGCATGGTGAGAAGGTATCATTTTCATACTAGGTTCACCAATCCATTGCCACTTGCATTGCTTTTTCGATCCATTGTCCTCAGGCGGACGTCTTTTTGGCGTGGAACCATCATTACTTCCCGACTGGCGTTTTCGTTTTGTAGATTTGCCACTACCAGATGAACTTTTAGACGATGGCTTGCTGGCTGAAGTTGGAGCGTTCGGTGTTTGTTTAACAGGCGAGGGAGGTTTTGGAGAAATCCTTGGCTGAAGCTGAATTGGAGTTGCCACGCTATGAGGCGTTGGTAAAATATTACCTACAACCAAGTGCGAATGAGGTTGAACTGCACTACCTAAACGTTGTACCATGTGGCGCTGAGGCGCTATAGGCCTAAAAGCACATGCTAGATTCGTATTTGTTTTAATATCATGCCTTATAAAGGGCAATGGCTGCGGCCAACATTGTTGTTGCTGCTGGACGTATAGTCTCTGTCTCAATTGAGGGCAAGGCGAAATTTGATCATAAACAGGAGCTCCATGAACAGGCACATTGAATAACGAAAAAGTCGGTCTGTTGTCCGAAGCTTGAGCGGCGACTGAAGGTGCAGTGAAACATTGAGAATTTGAAGCGAAGGAAAAAGCGTGTACAGGAGGACGTTGCAGTCTGCTAGAAGGTCCCAGAGGAGTTGGAACGAACGGCACAATAGGTTGGGGAGGAGCTTGCTGTCTGGGTTGAACGGACGCGGACGGACGAGTAGATACAACCATTACAGCTGTACAGGAAGTTGTCAAACTTGCTCTGGCCTGATCAGGTGAAGATGACGATTTTGACGATTTTTCACTTTGGGAAACTTTTCCTTTTTTCTTCCCTTTTGACGAATCTGTAGGAGTCTCTTCGCTATAAGCTGCCTGAAGTATAGCCTAAAAAAACCGACAATACATATTTGAAATATTATTTTTGCGTTATAGATATAAAACTACCGTTGCATTCAGTGACGCCATTCGCTTTGCAGTCGGGCCATCTATTACAACATTTTCTGCTGCCTGCTTCCTCTTTCTGACTTTCTTTTCCTTTTTCGTGACTTCCGTAACTTCTTTTTGACCTTCATCCTCATCTTTCTGTTTCCTAGCCGGACTTTTTTTCTTGGATTTCTCAATAGTTTTATCTTTAGAATCTTTTCTAGACTTTAAACTCATCTTCTTTTCTGAGTCATTTCCATCTTTTACCGAGGATTCTGTTTTCTGAACACTATTCATAAATTGAAGTTCTTCGTCCGTATCCTTTTTTTTAGATTTTTTCTTATTAGTTTTTGTCGTATCATCTTTAGGCCTTCCTCTTTTTGCCTTCTGCACCTCTGGTTCTTTTTTTCCTGTCAGACTAGAGTCAACTGATGAAGCATTTGACTTAGGTCTAATTGGTTCGTATATAGCTGATAATATGGCTCCGGCGTTTAAGCATGCTGTCCTCCTAACATGAGGAGATCTAAGGTTCACCTTTGGTTTGCTTTTAGGAGATACTGATTTCTTTTTTTTCGAAGGAGGTTTTTTAGACGACGAATTTACAGGCGGTGTTTTTGCCGGTGATGTTTTTGCTGGAGATGCTTTTTTCGATATTTTTACTGGCGATGTTTTTGCTGGTGATGTTTTCTTCGGTGATGTTTTTGCTGATGATGTTTTTGCTGGTGATGTTTTTAATGGAGGTGTCTTTTCGTTATCTTTCTTTGATTTTGTTTTAGAGTTAGTTTTATTTTTTTGTTTTAAATCAGGAGAGTTGGTTACTCTTCTTCTAGTTTTCGGTAATGTTGCAGAGGGCTTTAATTTTTCTTTCTTTTTCGGACTGGCTCTTTTTTCTTTCCGTTGAGGTTCGTCATCCCCTTTCTTTTTTCTTTTTCGTTCTGGCGAATTAGACTTCGACCTGTTCTGAGCCCTTTTCACAGGGGTTGCTCGAGTAATTTTTCGTCGCCCTCCTTTATTCCAATCAACTTTGACGCCTTTATGAACGCCAGGGATAATTAAAGATACTTCGTTTTCATTATATGTAGGCTGTTTCTCATATCTTCTGCGCCTGCTTGTGGTATGCTTCTTAGGACTAGGTGTTGTAGGAGTAGATTTTTGTCTCTGTACACAAATACACGAGAATATAAAATAAATGTGGCTAATGACATTATTCTGAAGTAATTAAGGCCACACTTTTGTCTCCAGACGCACGACGTTTCGTCGAATGAAAAAATGTATCATATGAGTATTTTTACTGTGGTGTACGGGTAAAATTTTTATATTTCTGACTATGAACTAGAAAGCGAACTACAAAAAAAGCTTTCGCACAATATGTGTTTTTGTTTGTTGCTTCGCAATAAATCGTCGTGGCGCAAATTTGCGCCTTTCACTTACAACTCGCGACACCTATCGGACAGCTTTTTTTTTACCTAAATGAAAATAGACATTAAAAACAAACAACTCAACACGTAATTCTGCTCTTTTCCGTAAATAATTCGAGGACAGATTCAAAGTAATGATAGTACAATTTTATGCATTTTATAGTCTTAGATTTACTTGCAACAGTTTTATCAGAACTATGCAGTCTGAGGAAATAAAAATGTCAACGTATCGAAGCAAATCAATGGAGTATTCAAACCAATGCCTTTTTGAATCTCGTTGAAGAATATTAGTGGCTGTAAGCTATAGACCAAAACTAAATATGAATATTAAGATTATGCTATCAAAATGCCTATTGTTTTATTATGAATCTCACTGATAGTTGGATAACGGACAATTCCAATTTAGATGAACAACAGTTTTAGCTTGCCTATCTAGACTCTCCTTTAGAAGCATGGTTAAACACCTGCTAAGCGACCTTAGCGTTACCCAGTACGATTACGATGAGAATCGGAATGTTTTTTTCCGAAAATGATGCAATCGAAGATCATTAGTCTCTCCTAGACACCTATATCGTTGAGTAGATCAGCACTAATTGTAATCCTAAGACAATTAGAGCCAAACGAGTGGTCATCTTAATAAGTTTTAGATAAAAACAGCTTTTGGCGGGACGGCGCACTAGAGACAATTACATCAATTAAATTATTCCCTTTTATTTCCCAGGCAGTTGGTCATGAAAAATAGATTATAATTGTCCATATTTTGATTTATAGAAAGCTACGGAAACTTTAAAAACCACAATTATTATAGTTTCACAACATTAGCGCGCGGAAACTAGAGCGTTAAGGAAGCATTATCGGCGCGCACAACGATAAACACACATCAAATTTCTGAAATCGGTAACGATTCTAAACTATTTACTTAATTAAATCGATACTTGAATGTCTTAAGAATGAAATCCTTTGCAAAATTTACCGTTAATTTGTTCTTCGTTTGGTTATTTTTCGACTTTACAGTCGACGATGCGCTGCCCGCCGCCATGTTGTTGGGATGACGGTCGTTCGCCAAATGCGTTCCGTTCTTTTCGCCGATTGGCGCGCGTTTTTTAACCAACCTCTGGATTTAAATTTACTTTTAACTTGTACGAGTATTACTTAACATTTTGCAGTGTCTTATACTCAATAATTACTTTTTATTAAGTTATTTGTATAAACGGATTTGGAGAACTGCCAGAATCAAAATTCAATTCATTTAGATAAAAACACCATTCATATTGTAAGCATAATAGATAAAAAAAAATGTTTATACGAGCTTAAATTATTAATAATTTCTACCAATTTACACATTTGTCGCATTTTCCTCTTTTTCGATTTCGGCCATGACCTTGTTAAAATCTTGAGAACCGTCTGGCAAACTACCCCGCTGTTTTGATGCTTTTGAGATTGGAACTGTAGGTTGTTCCTCATCAATTAAGAAAGAAACACTTTTTCGTCTAGGAGAAACCGGTGCAGGCAAGACGCAAGAAGTACCTTTTTGGATTGCCTTCGGTTCTGGGGGTCGAGGCAGAGCGCTTCTTTTAATAAATCTCACGGCTGTCTCCTCAGAATTCCAAGACTTTTCCGGTATAGTTATTTTCGTTCCATAATATAATTGGCTAGATTGTCTTTTTACATTATTTTTGGGTGAATCCATGCTCGAATTTTTATCCATTATATAGGAGCTGCTAACTCTTCGTTCAATTCTTCTGATATTTGCATAGCTATTACTTACCAAAAAATTTGGAAGAGCAAAAGTTCCCCTTCTAGGTTTTGTCTCCATTATTAGAAACAGACAGGTCAATTTTCGATATAAAAAATTTGATTAGACAGAATTGAAATTGGGCAATTCCACTGTAGGATATGACATTATACACACTCAAAAATTAGATTTTTCCAATACAGATACATTAAAATATAACACTACGTATTAAATGATCTATTTTAATCAATTATCGCATAAAATATAAGAACTCTGGGAGTATATTCGCTTTAAATCCCTTCAACTAACACAGTAAATATGAAAGGCAATTACGGAGAAACTGTCTTGAGCGCCACATTGCGTAGCTATTTATAGCAATTAAATAAACTTGTCCTTTTTTTTCATCCAGTGCACTTATAATAAATTCTTTTAATAAAATTGTAAGAATATACCCGAGATATAAAAAGAACGAGGGGTCAAACATTCTTCACTGCTATTATTATCAGTACCCTAAATAGGAACGCTCTTAAAGTTTATTCGATCATTGTTGTTTCTACCCAGTTGCCATCAACAAGTTGACGCTACCGTCACTTAGATACTACCTACCTACCAACAATCACTGTCATCTTTTCGAAAGTATAACAACTAGCTGAATATATAATTTACTATTTAAACAAGCCATGGTGTCATAAAGTATAAGAATTTCTCATCCTGTAGTTTTCGATATTTCTTCTCTAATACATCTTCTCTATTTACATTTGTGGCAAAAAGCACATCATATCTTCCGTCTTTAAAATTCTATTGTAATGTAATAGAAATACAATCAATATAATCCTAACATCAATATAGCCACTAGAACTTTAGTGGTAGCGTTCAGGGAAAATAACTTGATTGATTTCAATCAGTTTTCATTTGAAAGAAATATAATGGTTCATAGATTAGCTTTAATAATAGCAATAGTTGAGGGTATTAATCGCTTGAATAAATTTTTAGAGTGAATATATAAGTGTTATATTTTGAATAGCAGTTGTAACGCCTTTTATTCCACGGCGTGTGTCTGCCAAACAAGAAGGTAAGCGCTATTTGGCTATAACAATCGAATCAACTATGTGATTGTTTCGTTAAAAATAAGCATTAATGAATAGCATCGAGGGCCGTGATATTTTGTTCATTGTGCAGAACCCAACTCTATTTTTGTTCTTTGTATTTCTTTAATACCAATATTAATGATTATACAAGATATGCTATAAAAAATAAATAAATCTTAAATGCAGATGAAAGTATGAAAACACACGATATAAGAGACACGTAGTATATATACTGTATATACTGTATATAAAATTTATACTGTATATATACTGTATATATGCATATTATATGCAGTTGCTTAAATATTCTAAATCCGTCGAATAATAGTCACTGTCGATCATTTTATTTGAACCTAAGTAAGCCGTGACCAGCAACGGCCTTCATTAATTTTTTAATACTTATCAGAATCAATATTGCAAGAATTTCACTCCTCTCTATCTGGACTCTATGCAGTCAGCAGTTTTTGTAAGCTTAATTGTATCAATGGCAATATCTCCGGAATAGCCTTTGGCTCTCCATGCTCCAAAGGTAATCTGGGTATAGGAATCAAACTTATACATATTTCTTAAAAAAATCTATTTCTTACTTTGTCATTGTAATCTAAACTTATAGAAACTGTGGCTTTCCTCCAAATTGTACTTGTTGTTTGTTGTTTACTTAAGGCCCAAACCTCTTCAAGTTTGTTGGCTGATTCTTTAAAAATTGATAGTTTACCAATATGAAATCCATACATGTTGTACATAAATTCTAGGCAGTGTTGTCCTCCAGAACTTAATGCCGGAGTGGAAATTCTAAGAATATTTAGAGTTTAGAGATTATAAAAAGGTTCCATTTCCTATAATAATACTTACAGTGCATAATCACGATTATTTTTATTGGTGGCTTCAATGTAAAGGTAAAAAGGTAAGGAATCTGCTTCTCTCGGACCTGTTTTAGAAGATTTTGTCTCGCCAGAATGAATTGTCCAATCAAACTTATCTTCATCAGATTGAATCATATTGCAAAGAGTTTTCTGACCACTCTCCGTTTCGAAACTGCAGGAAAAAACTATTAGGTCACCTTTAGTTGTTTGCAAAGTTGAAGTTTGAGATTCTGTTGTGCTTTCGAAAAAAACTGAATCGCTTTGTGTTGATAATGACGGAATCGTTGTTATCTGGTAAGTTGTCTGTTTCGAGGTATTTTCGGTTGTTTCTGATTTTGAATCAAAAGCTGTAGAGATTTTAGAAGTATCAGTTGTAGATGGAGCTAATGTTGATTTTAAGTCTTTGAAAGTAGAAGGATTACTTTGTGTTTCTTCTACAGACAATTCATTTGTTGTGATGTCATTTTTACCGACTGAGACTGAGAACTTTGTTGAAGATGTTTCGTGTTGAATTTCTGTTGTTTCTCTATACGTATTTGTTTGAGACGCCGATGACGACGACGATGATGATTCTGTTGACATACTTGGGGTTTCAGTTGAAGGTGAAGACATATTAAATAATGATGTGGTCAAAGTAGTTGGGAATTTCGTTGAAATTGTAGTGTCTACTGTTGATTCATCTTTGTAAAGTGAAGTTGTTTGGGAAGAATCTGTCTTGGAATGGGAATTTTGCGTAAAATACGTGGTAAAACTTTTTTCTGTTGATTTTTTTGTCGTAATTTTATTTTTTTTATTAGTTGTCGCCAACGGAAGAAGAGTCCAATATGTAGTGTCAATTCTTTCTGTAACGGCTGCAGGAGTTTTTGAAGTAGTTTCTTTAATTAGTGTGGACAGGTTCATTGTCATTGTGGATTGTTCTGGATCCTCCTTTGTACTTGTCATCAAAGGAGTAGAAAATTCTGTGACAATATTGCTTGTAACTGAATCTGCCGTAGATTGTTTTAGACTCGTTTCTCTATTTGTTATTTTAGACGTAAACGATTCGGTTGGAGGGTCTGTCTTAACTGAAGCTGTTGTAGATATCCCTAGCGTTGTTTCTTTAGTTGTTGAAATTAATACATCAGGATTTCTATGGCATATTTTAGATTGTATCCAACTAATAACAGACTTCTCATTCAGCGTCTTGAAATTTCTTAACCATATAGTATTATCGCCATAGGGCTCCGAAATTAATGGTCCTAATTCTTTCCATCTAACATATCGTGATATACTAACTATGACTACTTTAACACCAAGCTCCTTGAGTTTGTTAGCTTCTAAAATAGTCTGATCATTCTCCACAGATGACGGTCCATCTATAAACATTAAAGCAATTTTATGCCGCAACATTCCTAACTGATTATCTTCGTATAATTTTCTTGCTTTCCTGAAGGCGTCAGCAACATTACATCCTAAACTTTTCTTTGGTTTAACTTTAGATTTAATAGCCTTAGCAAAATAAATGTAACTTGAGTAGTCTCCAAAATCTATATTAGTTGTTGCTTCATCTCCAAACGATATTACACCAAGTCTAATTGCATCTTCCTGCAAATTCAGTGGTCTATTAACAGTAATTAAGGTCCTTTGTAGCTGTCCAACGTTAGACGATTTTGTAGAATCGAGTAGGTACAATATATCAGCTGCTTGACATTTCTCAAAGTTAATTTCTTCGATTTCAAGCGGTGGTGGTATAGGTAAATATTCTACTTTCTTTGTAGTCAATGGAACACTAGTTGTTGCTTCGGTAGTTTCGGAAATGGTTGTTGCTGCAGTTGTAACTGTATAATACAAGTTATATAGTTTTTGATTTAAGATTAGATAGGGTTCTTATTAATATAATAAATTAAAATATCTTTTTCAGAAACTAGTCTGCTTGGCGTGGTTTTGAATGAAATATTTTAGAATACTTAATTATTCATTGATCAGGCCTATTTTATTTGCAGGAGAACTGTCAGTTACAGTTGAACTCAAATAAAATTTGTTTGTATAAGTTAAAATATGTGGATCCACTTACAAACATAATCTTTCGGTACAGCCTTTAATACCAGTTTAAATCCTTTATATTTCTGTGGAAGTTTTACTTTAGAACGAAACGTAACAATTATATCCGTTTTTTTACTTCTTATAACCGATTTTGGTCGATTGAAACCACAAAATCTATAATTCATTAACTATATCGAAATAATATTAAGTTTTTGTTACGATATTTACCTTGGTCCCGTCAAGGATTTATCAGGTAAATACTTGATTTCAACCCAATGATAACAAATCGTATTTAGATAAATAAATATTTGAAAGTCATTGACAAATTCGGCTACAATATCTGCATTTTTTGGCCCTGATATTCTCCAGTTGCATTCTAAAAAGCTACTATACATAGAATCACCATAATTAGGGCTAATCAGCTCTTTTGTTTGCCACATATCTAAGAGAATATCTTCAGAGCAATTACCTAAAGTCGGAACATAATTATTTTTGTATATAACTAGTTTAAACTGAAAACAAATGTCTACTTACCACCTATTGATTTAGCCACATCTTCACATTGTTGTCCTCCAAGTCCATCAGGACAGCGACACTTGGAACAGTCGTTAGGATCCGGATATCCCCCATATTTGCAATCAAGTTTCTTATTTCCACACGAGTCTATTAAATTGTTCGAATTTTTTACTAAATGACTCATATGACTTTATCATACAAACTTTTACAATAAACTTCATTTATTAATTTTGAATCAAGAAAAGACAATCCAACTAGCTGACCTATTGTTTTATCAAATATAGGGTTGTGAGGAGCGATTGTTTTTTTATGTTTTCCACCAACCTGTAAGATATTTTGTATAATTTTTAGATAAATAAGATTCATAGGAAAACGCCCTATTTATTCATTCTTTGATTTCTATTTTTTTCGTTTTGAATTTCATAAATTATATTTATATTTTGGTGTAACTATTTATAGAAATATAGAAAATATTTAAATTCTTACATAGGCTCCATAATGCATCAAAGAGGCGTAGTCATAAGGAACTAGATCGTCCGTATCTTTTTTAAGAATAATTTGATAGAAAAGGGATTCATCTGGATAAAAATTTTTCTGTCGAATTTCTACATAATCATCTCTATCATTTCTTTGATGTTCATGCCAGAAACCAACCGCATGTCCTATTTCATGAGCTAATCTTGGCCAATCATTTAAACAAGGTTCGGAAAGGCTCAAGTATTGACCCTCCTGAGAATTACCATATATATTGCCAACATAAGAGGAGCATCTGTTATATGAAAACTCCTATGAAAATAATATAAAAGGCTAAGGGTATCAAATAAAATACTAAAAGGTTAAGGGATCTCGACTATAAAAAAAATTAGATATTTCTTACCCATTAGAAAATTCTAAATTTAAGAATTCGTCATGTTTTTCATATTCTTTGACTTCTTTAAATCTCAAACAGGTTTCGTTTTCCCAATGCTTGAACGCGGTTTTTAAGTTCACTGTATGTTTTTCGTTTCCCGCTATATAAAAAGAATTGCGCGTTTTTATCAGCAAGTTATTGTAAACACTGACAAAAACTTACTAATTTTTTTTGATACATAATATTTAATTGGAAGTTTCCATAGTTTAGCTTCATGACCCAGTTTTAATGCCTTTCTTTTATGCCTTGTTTTTTTTAATTCATTTAGTACAAACTTTGCTTGTTCTCGGGTCAACTTAATGTCGCCGTCGATCGTATCATCACCCTCATAATAGTATCTTTTTAACTGAGAATAATAGAGAAAAGCAAATATTTTTGAATATGAAGGAAAAATGAGCAACGATCAGGCTTCAAGGACAATGAGAAGCAGGATAGTCATAAGAAAAGAATTTACTTACAATTTCCAGTGGAACACCGAAAAATTGACTCTCAATTTTACGTATTTCTTCAACATCATTTTTCATCAGAGGATCAGGAACTCTTCCTATCGGAAGATTCTGTTGTTGAAGAGTTAAACATATTTAGGGCTCTACAAAAGTAGGAGACAAATTATTTCTACTCACGTTTGAAAAATCTATTACATTACATAAAAATACTAGTTTCAATGCGTATCCAAAGAATATACACATGTTTTCAGGAATTCGAAGTTTCTAATCTCTGTTGGCTGAAAAACGACATAATATAATGCACACAAGTTTTGGCCTACTTCATTGAAGAGTTGCTACCTGCTTTGCTGGGTGCGGTAAACGATCTTTGTCAATGGCCTCCTCCTCATTCACATTCTTTTGTAGGCCTCCAATGTGTTTCCTATATTTCCAATTAAACCTTATTTACTCAACCATATACCTTGGAAGATTTATTTATTTCACGAATACCCTTTATATCATTCAACGCTATAACAAGTAAACATTTAACTCGTAAACATTGCTCCGGAAACTGTTCAAATTCTCATAAAACCTTCATTATTCGCATTTGCAAAACTTTTTATTGAAAGAATTTATACAATTTGATTCACAAAAAAACAAAGTATTAACATAGATTAACAAATAATTCAGTTTGTCAACTTCAATTTTTAGATAACTCTAACATACTCTTCCACAGTTGATCAAAAGTAAAAGGTACAGTTGAAGGTTTACTCTGGAAGGCAAAATCTGGCTTCTTTTATCAATACACCAGAACAACAAGCTGGGCATGGCCTATTGAATAGAAAAACTCAATAGATACAATATAAATAAATATATACTGTAAACATGTAAAGATTTAATATCTATTCCATCATGTATTTTATAATAATTTTTCTTAGATTATATATTATTTTAATATTTTGACTTACGATCGAATAACTTTTCCAAAAAAGGAGAATTCAATGAAATCAGATTCCGAACAACTATTTAGGCAGCTGCCTGTCTCGGATAATAGAATCCCAGGAGGTGGATAGGGTAATGAAGAACATCTAGAAAAATTTTCATTAAATATGTAAAATAAAAAGAATATAGATGAGAATTTTTCTTATCTTCTCATTTAACCTGTCTCTTGTAATTGGATAGAATCTACTCACAATTTTCCATCACAAATACGATAACGTGTTCTGACAGCACACCCGCCGCAATAACATCCTTTCTTCTTTCCACACTCATTGTCCCATTCTCCCCAAGTTATAAAGAAAGGCGTATAAACTATAACATATAGAAATAATAATGAATAATAGAATATTCGTATTCAAATTCAGATCTAACATGGATTATTCAAATGATCCAACGAAGGTCGCTTACTGCTAGTCTCATCTATCTGCGTTGGTTTAGATGAAATTGAATTTCTACTTGTGCTCACTTGCTTTTTCGTTGAGTTTTCAGGTTCAGCTGTTGACTTATTTTCAACTGTAACCAAAGCTTTTAATGTTGAAATTTTTGATGAGATTTTCTTTGAAGGGAAAGAACTTGTTAAATAAAGTTGCGAAACGGTTGAAGTTTCTTCCGTACTAGTTGATAAGTCCATTGTTGATGGTTTAATTCTCTTCGTAGGAAATGGAATTTTTGAACTGAAAATTGGCCTTACCGAGGAAAAACGAGATGTTGTTAACTCCTCTTTAGTAGTTTTTTCGGTAGAAGTTGATAAACTTGTTGTAGATTCTCTCCTAACATAAGTCTTTGGTACACTTGAAACTTTCACTCGAAATCCTTTCCAAATCTCGTCAGCCTTTGGTTGCACAGGATGTTTAGAAGCAAAAGATATTAACATTTTATTTGTCTCGGAGAGCATATGCTCCTTAGGTCTAGTACCACAGCAGAATCTGTAGCCGTTCAAACGAAAGTCACGTTTATGTTGAACTTCTACCCAGTGATAGCACGTCGGGGATTCGCAATATATGCCAAACTCCCCTTCAAATACAAGTAAAATTTTACGATTTTTTGGGGCAGTAATAAGCCAACTACAATCTTCATCTAATGAATAATTTTTTCCAGTTTTGTAATTTGGCGACTGAATTATCCTTTGTCCATAGTTGGAAAGATGAATAGTTCCTCCACATCTCTCTTTATAGGAATCTCATATCAATAAAATATGGCATAATTAATTTACCATTAAGTTACCTGTTCCTAAACCCATTGTGCATTCTTTACCAGTTAACCCATGAGGACACTTACATCTATAACAGCTATTAGGATCCTGATAACCTCCATTAGCGCAAACAGGTGAGGGTATGTTTTGGCAAATATTATTGCAATATGCTTTATTTATTGCCAAAGCATCAAGGAAGGATAAATGAACTCTTTGTCCAATATTTCCTTGATAATTCTTGTCATGTGTTTTAATCGTATACTTGTTGTTTATCGAAGACCCCTGAGGAAAGAGTTTTTATTTTATTTATTTACCGGCATTCCAAAAATCTATTTACCCTTGAGCTATAGTGCATAACACTGTTAAAGTCATATGGGATACCATATGTATTCATATAATTTGGGGATCTTTTTCTAAAGTTGATTAAATTTCCTGGATCTACATGATCAGTTTTAATCGTAACATATTTATCTCGATCATAGCGTTGATGTTCATGCCATAGTCCTAGAGCATGTCCTATTTCATGTATCGGCACCCCAAGCTAGGTATATAAAACAGAGTATTTCTAAGATCTCTTTTTTACAAGTACATGATAAAATCTACGTAGACTTACGAGAGAGAGACATTTATTAGCTATTGGCAAATAGATGATATCTGCGTCTTCTCCTCGTCTACCTACACTTGCCCTACACCTAAATATTATAAAAAGGGCCAGGTTTAGTATAAATTTCAATCAGTAATATTGCATATCAACAAAAAATTAATGTATCAATCAATTTTCTAAACCCAGCCCTCAGTAAGTTTACAAAAAAACTAACCTTACGAAGGCAAACAAAATTCAGTCTTATAGCTTGGCCGCCATTTGGCCGTGCCTTTCCAACAAACGATTGGCACCTATTATTCGATTAGTAGTGAGTTCAATTAGTGAAGAGAGCGAGAGTTAGAATTTATATTAGTCTTAGGTTTATCAAGTAAAACAAGGATAGATTTAACTGCTTAAGATAGACATAGATAATAACTTACCCGAAGCCGAAGTTTGCAAATATTAAATGAGGAACTTTTCGGTTGCTGTCTTTCTTCATTTGTTGAAATCGAACGCAAGTTTCGTTTTCCCATTGTTGAATAGCCATTTCAATGACATCCTTCTCATATGAAACTGAATTTAAAAAATATTATAAAAGACATAAAAAAGAGAATAGAGAAATGTTGACATGATCTTTTCTCTGTTGAACAATAAGAAAAAACAGCATAGTTCAATAAATTTGTTTTAATGCGTAACTTACCATATCCTTCATATCTGTACTGAATTGGTAATTTCCATTTTTTATCTGCTGATTTTTCAAAATTTTCTACCTTTCTCCTCTTTCTTCTGTTGTCTGAAAGAGGTCTTTCGATTTCATCAATGAACTGCTTAGCTTGCTCATTCGTCAAAAGGATGTCACCATACTCTTCATTATAATCCGTCACCAAATCGTCATGCACGAAAGATTGCGATTTATCTCTTTTCTAAAGAGTATTCAAGTCTTTGTCATAAACCCCGCAAAATAAGTTTATATTACTTACCGTTTTTAAAACCGATTTCAAATTTTTCCATAAATCACAAGATAGTCCATTACACTGCAACTGGTTTTTAATATAATCTTTGTCCAAATCACTTATAACATCACGACTTGGAAAAGTGCAGATAAGCGGCTGTTTAAGTTATAGAAGAAGAGATCTCTGTGAATCGAATATAGAAATATAAAGAAAAAATATACCAAGCAAAATAAAAACAGAAGATAAATTGCCATGAAGAGAGGAAGTTGAACTGAATATTAAAATCCTACGCGATGAGACAGCCCAGTGACAGTCGTTTCTACATAATCCTATTTATTTAGGTTAGCAGGCCTAAAACATCCTACAATATAGAAAGTCATACAAATGAAAATTTTAATTGAACGAACTGAACTTGTGAAGAGTGAGCAACTGAATGTCAAGTAAGAAAATGTTTTATAAATTTTATTTCTAATTGAGGCCTACAAACCAGAAATGCAGGTCACGACGTGTCTTTGTCCGAATAATGATTACAGGGTTTTGAAAACGGGTGCAACCAAACAAAGAACCTACGTGAAATGATTTGAAAGAATGAAGAATAAAAGTTACAGAAAATTTCAAAAGTAAAGCTCAAGAGAAATAGGTGAATTTTGATATTCCAAAGGCATTCCTATAAATTTGGTATTCTAATCAGTTCACCAAACTTCCACTTGAATCAAAATAAATAAAACAATTGACGTCAGATGGCGTAGCAAGATATTTATTGTTATAGTTCGTCTTTTCTCGTAATATGTTTTGCTTTAAACGGCCATAAAGTATGTTCCTTCTGCTTTGCATCGAAGAAGATTATATCTCCATTTTCCTCCTCTATTACATCGCTTTGCCAACTTGTTGGTTTAAAAAAAGCAAAAATCCCTTCGACGTCTTCACTTATAATCATTCTTAATGATTCGTATATAAGTAACGAATTCTTTCCTAATACTAAACTCTCGGTGGAATCAGAACTTCTTATTTTAATGATTTTTTCATGGTTCTCTTTATAAAGCAGTGCCGTGAAAACTTTATCTGTTGCTTTAATATTTGTTTCGGTAAATCCAATAAGCTCTACATCACATTGACAAAAGCTCATTATAAGAGGTGTTAAAAATTTGTTTATTTCTGTCGAACTATCGTCAGAGTTTAAATTTTCCATCTGAACTAAATCTGTGAGAGGAGTTGGTGTTTTTGTTTGCACAAAGCCAATCGAATGAAATTCAGTTACTATTTCAGGTAATTTCATTTCAATAATTTTTTGGATAAATATCTTCTTTAAATATTCTCGAGAAAAAGCATAATTTTCGTTTAAGGTTTCAAAAAGCGACGATTGATATGAAACACTTCTCCGATGGGTTCTAACAGTATTATTTCCCATGAAAATTTTCTTATGGTCAGTAATGTATTCACCGGTAATGAAGATATTCTGTTTTCCTCCGATCGCGAAATAAAATACTGATCCAAACTTGCAATTTAATTTTAGACTCCTTCCGGGATCAACTAAATACAAGTTATTAGTTTTGACGTCAGATTGACCCTCGCTCTTTGGAATTTCGATTTGAGCCATTTCGTCTTTTCCTTTACCTTTACCTTTACCTTTACCTTTGCCTTTGCCTTTTCCTCTCCTTCCCTTGGATAAAACCAATTGAACTTTCAACTGCTCATTGTAACTGTTAAATATTTCAATCTTGAAGTCCAAGTTGCTCCAGAACCAATCGTAGAAAAATTGCTTATCATCATTTCTCCATCGAGAGGATATCATGCCGGGCATTGAGCCCTTGGAGAAAAACAGTCCCTCAGTACAGGATTCCACGCGATAAATCGAAAATAAATTTTTTTCTACTGTCCCCCTCTGGATGGAGAAAATTTCTTTATGAATCAATATGTGAAGATACGGATCTTCGAGGTAATGCTCTGTAACACTTGCTATTTCTTTCAAGTCATAGTCACACTTTTCTCTAACGAAAATAACAAGTGTATGTCTTTCTAGTTCTTGATTTCCATCCCACAAAATTTTTTGCAAATGTTCATTAGAAAAGATGTATCTTGCCACATCACTTAACTTTTCCGGTCGCTTCTGTCTGTCTTGATCAGATAGTGCTAATAAATATAGCAGAAAAACGGACCGAAAGAGCATTCCTAATACTTTCCCTATAGTTCTTTTCTCGATCAATAGTACAAATCATGTATTTACTATACGAGTTACGGTAACCCGTAGGAAACTAAATAGCTTTTGTGGGCAAGAAAAAGGTTGCACAACAGAAATTCAAGTTTCTTAATGAAGAGTTTAATTTCACAGTAATTAATAAGTAAACAAATATCCAAAAATACAATCAAGAAAAATTATGTTCTATATAGTTTGTTCGAATTGCTAAAAATGCAAATAATTAAGAAAATCATGATAAAAAATATTCTACATTTATTGCCTAGTCAGCTCATTCAATATAAAAATAGCCAATCCTTTTTTAATTGTCAGTATGACATAGTAGGTAAAATGAAAACCATTTCACCAGTTAAAGTTTTATTAACTTGCACTTTTTCGACATTTATAGATAACAGCAGACAAGAAATAGAAAAGATATAATACAGTTGCACGCATTTAATTCTACCCACAAGAAAAGCCTTTTCCAATGGCACAATAATTTGATTTGTTAGAGACGGAAATCCATTTTCATTATCAGCATTTTTCCTCATGGGGTGTTATGTTAGTAATATTTGAGTTTAAATTACGCTTTAGACCCTCAAAATCGTTTAGAGAATCTTTTTTAATATCCAGTTCGAGTAATTTAGTCATTGCTTTATGGGACGGAAGAAACATGTCAGCCCTACCGTGATAAATACTTTCTTTAGTTTTAGTGTTAAAAAAATATTCCTTCCTGTGCGTCTTACTGAATTGCATTGTCCAATGTTCGTTCATTATTGGAACAAATAATATACCGGACAATGCTGAAAAATAATCGGAATTGTCTTGGGGTATACATGGACGATATTCCTTAACAGTTTTCATAAGTATCCATGTAACATCTTTAAGTATTTCACCTGCTCTCTCACATTTTTGTAACTTAGGGGGCCGTATAGTTATCAAGTCCGGTCTAGTTTTCATTTCTATACACGAGCAAAACTTAACAATTTTTTGAACTCGGTCATTGTAGTGATATGAGTGAATATCCTGGCCATTTAGAACTATAGCATCGATAACATGAAACGCCTCCTGTTTCCTCTGACCTTTAGATTGACCTTTCACTTCTTGGCAGAAACTTCCTATCAAAATTGTTTTCTTGGGTATATTCAACTTATCTCTTCGTTGTTTTTCTGAATAATATTCGTAAACATTGCTTTTACCACCACTTACGAGATATACAATTCTCTCGCCACAAAATGGCACGCAACGCCAATTATAGGAATTTTTCAAAAGAGACTGAAGGTCGCTAACGTTAACTTTTTTTTGAAATTCTAAACTCAGCTCTGTTATTGGTAGGTTTGATAAACATAACTTTTGAATATCCGCAAATAAAGTATTTCGAGAAAGATTAGGTCTTGGTTCATTAGGAACTTTCCACGCTTTTAAGCATTCTAAACGAACATCCACTTGACGAGAATCGATTAACGTACTATTGGTATTATTAATTTTAAAGTGAATAGTTGATATTAAAATTTCTGAATTACATACACGTTCTGAGAAAATACTCGAATTTTTTCTAGTGCCTTAATTTGTCTCTTTCCTAATCTGAAAATACAAACACAATCAAAAGGAGTCTCTATTTGAAATTATCATTTTACTTACTCATTATTACTGTCTTTAATATAGCTGTAAAATTCTTGATCTCCTGTTATAATTTCAAAAGGAACTATTTCTTCAACTGATGTGTCAGCTTCAAGTTCTTCTAGAATTTTATTTATAACACACATGTAGTCATAAATTTTTTTCACATTTTCACCTGATTTTAACCCATTGCAAACAATATACCGTTCGGAATTAGCGGGTCTACTTGTTACGGGCTTGAAAATTAATATTCTCTGGAACGACTGTCTCATCAAATATATCAAACCAACACTAAAACTTGTAAAAATGTCAAATATTTTGCAAACGAAATTTCCTCCTGCAATGTAATAAGTTAAAACGTTTATTATCAAATCTTAATACTATCTTACCAGGTCTCAGTATACTCAAGGCAACAGCAAATTGACACAAGTACAATCGTTTTGAGAGAATCTCTTGAATATTCTCCTGTCCTTCAACGGAGAATCCCTTTTGTAAAAAAGTTTTTAATAAATGAAAAAAAGAGCCATTTTTATGATGCTCACTCCATCAGCCATAACAAAATGAACTCCCCTATTCTTTGTACTATTCATCACAAATTTTTTAAACGCCTCTTGATTATCACTTTTATAAATATCCCCATCTCCATCTGTTTCATTGACTCCATAATGTGCTTCAAACATTTCTTGTGAACCCGACCTAAAATCGTACAGCTTAAAATCATTTGCTCCCTCTTTCAAGGTAAATCCAAATCCTACGAAAGACACATAAAATATAAACAACGATTATTATTTCTAATAAGGAGTCAAACCCTTAGCGAAATGCTTAGTAGATCTCCAGAGTACGTATTCACTAAAACCTCCCGGACCGGCACATATATCAGAGAAATAGAGGGGTTCGTCTTGCTTTATCAGACTCTGGGTCATAATTTGCATTAGTCTTAAGAAATAAGTGTACTCAAAATTCTAACTTCGCCTTTATCATCCTGAGGATCAGTAAACATGTAATTTAACACTGCATCCATGTTTGCCATTTTCATTGCTGCACGGTTCAAAAATATTCCCCCTTTAATTGATTCATATGGATTGGAACGAGTTCTGGCTTGCCGCATTTCCTCTCCTTCGAGGTTGTCAAAGACTGACTATAATATATTTTAGTACAAATCATGTTATGTCCCAGAGAAATCCTTACCTTGCATTTCAAAACCTGATCTAATACTTCCCTATCAACGAACTTGTCTTCGTCAAATAGAGACAGTTTCTTAGGATTGGTTTTTAACCACTCTTGTTTCATTTCTTCTAAGTCAATGGATGCTTCTGATGCGTTTTGTAACCAATCTATCGCCTCCTGAACTTGTGCCTAAAATGACAAAGTAATTTTATTACATAGGTAGCTAAAATGTTGCAGATGAAAGACCTCTTGTTCAGTGAAATCCCAAGTAGCATCAGGAGCACTTTCTAATCCTTGCGGCATTGATAAACCCAAACCTCTTCTGCCTCTCTGCTTAGAGCTCTCGACAATTTCTTTTCTCCCCTGACCACGAGACCCTAATCCTTTATCAGGCTCAAAACCCATTTTAGTCATCATCTTAAGCGTTTTTTCATCATAATTTTTGGAAAATTTTTTCAATAAATCATCAGGACGATCGTCTTCCAGCCTACGCTTAAGATTGGGTCTTGCCATTGCATTCGAGGTCAACTTATTTTCAGGCTCTTCATCAGAATCTTAAAAAAAGTATAATTATTAATCACAAAATATCGCCCATCCATAGAACCAACCACTTGACAATTTATGTACTTCATTTGAAGTCATTATGTTTTTTGGCTTATATGCTTTCCAGTAAATACGTCGTCTGCAGCTACTAAAGTTTAGTTTCGAGTGAGTATAAAGTATCGATTATTAATGTTTTGTTCATGGATTCTCCAAAACGAAGAATAGCGCACTCTACCAGTTTCCCAGAAACTTTCCTTCGATAACGAGATTTTTAATTTAAAATAATTTACAGAATTAAGGGGAAATGCGATGTATTATTTAGAACAAATGCAATTAAAAATAAAACAAACAACTGAAGAATGCAGAGACATAAAATTCAAACATTGGCAAAACGGAAGCAACAGCTTGATTTCCGTTAGTTTTATATAAAAACAAAAGTAGCTTGTTTTTAATTATTATATGGGTGGTTATAAAGCTGAAGCTTTCTTTTCAAACCCTTTGTAATCAGATATAAGTTACTTTTAAGAATAACTTTTCATCTATTACAAGCTCGATTTGCCCTTTACCTATACCCGTTATTATTTCGTATTCCGAAGTATTACAACAAAAAAGGAACTGATTGTAAATAATCATATTTAAAAGATAAATAGTAATAAAAATATTGATAAATAGCATCTAGTAATCCTACCTTTTTAATAAGTAGTTCGTATAATCATCAGGCATTAAGAGACAACTTATCTTTCATTGGACGATAATATAGGATTAAGACTCACGTGCAATCTGGCTCAATGTCATCCGTTAAATTATTATGTGAGAAAGTTCTCCCTCGATTTTCACAACGGCATATTAATTTAGCATTTGCGTATGGGTCTGGTGTTTTCCAACAAAACAATCAAGCACCACTCAGTCAACAAATGCTAGATATCATATTAATAGTTAGCGATGCCAAGGCCTTTCACAAAGAAAATTTGGATAGAAATAGGAAAGATTATTCTTTTTTGAAATATTTTGGAGCAGATAAAATAAGTCATATTCAGCAAAATTATGGTGCAAAAGTTTTTTTTAATACCCTTGTCCCCATTGGAAATAAACGAATGATTAAGTACGGTATTATTCAAACTGATGACCTTCTACGAGATCTTTTTGATTGGGAGACTTTATATATAGCAGGAAGACTACATAAACCAGTTCTCATGTTAAACGATCCTGAAGATTATATAGAAGAAGCTTTAAAAAGTAATTTAAAATCAGCTCTTAATTCTGCAACCCTGCTGCTACCTAGAATATTCGATGAAATCACTTTATACAAAACTATTGCAAGCCTTAGCTATACGGGAGATTTCCGCATGGTTGTCGGAGAAGATCGAGATAAAATTGAAAACATTGTACGCCCAAATTTTGTTCACTTTCAAAAATTGTATCAAAATCTTATAGAGAAAGATGACAATTTAAACTTATCAAATGGCATGATTGAACAGAACTTGGAATCATCAGTTGTTTGTAATAGGTACAGTTTTACAGTTTCTATAATTTCAAATAATTAGCATCACTAATAACAAATTAAACTCAATTTTTTTTCCTTTGATTAGGCTCATAAGCTTACCTAGGAAATTAGCCAGAACTCTTGTTTTGAAAGATGGCAAAAGACAAGTAAATAAAGATATAGAGGATATTATGTGTGACTTAATGTATGGTTATGAGATCGAGAGTGAGGTTAGATCAGCCGTTAAAAAAATAGTTTCAAGGACGAGCTCCTCACAAAGTGTCAAAGGAATATTCAGCGCAGGAATGTTAAAGAGTTTGAAATACAGTGGAAAAAAACTTAACAAATGGCTTAAATCAATCTATCGTTCTTCATAAATAAATTAATTTATTATAAACCAAAAGCCATTTGCGTTGTATGAATATACTTTTATTCGGTAATAGAAGAATATGTTTGAATTTAGTACTTCGTACAAAAATTACAACGGCGGCCTCTACAAACCGGAAACGGAAACTCCTAAAATCGTGTGGAGCCCATACCGCAAAGATTCTCAAACGACTTTGACTACACATCGTCCAAATATAAGCTAACATGCTTCGTCAAGTTTTCAACTTACCTCTTCATTTTACTAAAAATAAAGGATTAAGAATAATGAAGCATTTTCCAGCACAAATTCATACGACTTCTTGCATGTCACTGATGGAAAAGGTTGTTAAAGGGAAAAAGAAATTCATCAAACAAGTGATGTCAGAAAAAGAATCCCAAGATATCGAAGATAATGATACTGAAGAAGAACTTAGTGCAGTAAATGATTTTTCTTTCCCTGGTCATGAAGAATATGGATTTTCAATTCCAACCATGCAAACTCACGAAACGTTGGTCAACGACATTAAATATCGCGATTTGCCGATCGTTCACATTCAATCAACGAAAAATAACACTATAATGACATGCCTCGATGGGGATCACCAACCAGGAGTCCATGGTTTAATAAATTCCTGCGGCAGAGAGGGTTTTCGAAGTGCGAAAAAAAGTACTACTGTTGCAGCACAAGCAACTGGTATGAGTTTGGGTGCCAAAATGATTAGAAAAGGCTATAAAGATATTCGGGTTAGAGTTCGAGGAACTGGTGCAGGAAGATTTCCATCAATCAAGGGACTAGAGATGTCTGGCTTGAATATTATGTCGATAACAGATGCAACTTACTATGGGACTATGGGTTACAAAAAGCCTCGAAAGCAAAGACGTGTCTAAATGTGTCTAAATATATATTAATAAATTATATTGCTTTATATTTATTATTTAAAATTGTTAATTGCAAGTACACAATTATTTGTCGCTAGGTGGCGATCTACCGAGTAAACGGTTAACAACTCTGACAATTTTGCAAACATTCCAACATTCGAATTTTTCGAGGGATAAAATTATTTTGATTCTCATTGATGGACCCCCTATTCCTCGCAATAAGTCTTTATCGAAGACGCAAACTGGAAGAATGTGTAGAATTATGCACTCAGTTATTAGACAAAAATCCCTATGATCAGGTAATCTTGGGTGAACAATAAATCATCAATCACTGTCATATGTCTATCAATATCCGTGTGCTGACGTTTTAATTTACACCCTTTGTGTAGGCAACGTGGTCTCTGAAAACGAAAGCCCTTACAGAGCAAGTCTATGTTGATGAAATTGAAGTTGACGAAGAAGGTATTTCAGAGCTTATGATGGACGATAATGCTATTGCAACAGTAGCTCGACCAGGAACCTCATTTCAAAGACCGGCAACAAACAGCGGTGGTCCTAGTCCGAATGTCAGGTTAGCCTTCTAATAACTCAATAACGAAAGCTTTTGATGGAATATAAAAACAGACCAACTACTCAATCTGGAAGACCAGTTACAGGTTTTACAAGACCTGGAACTCAATCTGGTAGACCAGGAACAATGGAGCAAGCGCTAAAAACTCCAAGAACTGCTCATACAGCCAGGCCTGTAACAAGTGCCTCAGGGAGATATGTACGACTAGGAACGGTAATCATATTTCTTTGATAAATTAAATTAGACTTTAGACAAAAAAAACTTTAGGCTTCTATGCTATCAACTGCTGATGGACCTTTTATTAACGTTTCACGGTTAAATCTTAACAAATACGCAAGTCGACCAAACCTGGCGAAGACCCTATTCGAATATATCTTTCATCATGAAAACGACGTTCGCACGGTAGGACTCGTAGATCAAAATAGGCGTAGCCGAGGGCGTTAATCAATTCTTTTAAAAATAAACATTGTTAAGGCTTTGGATTTGGCGGCAGCTGCCACTGAAGCAGCTCAGTATAAGGACTGGTGGTGGAAAGTTCAAATCGGAAAGTGCTATTACAGATTGGGCTTATTCAGAGATGCGGAGAAGCAATTCAAATCAGCATTGAAGCAGCAAGAGACGTTAGATATTTATTTATATTTGTGCAAGGTCTATGTGAAACTCGATCAACCACTTGCCGCCATCGAAGTGTACAAGGAGGGTTTGGAGAAGTTTGCCGAGGAGAGTTCTTTATTGACCGGAATAGCTAGAATATACGAGGTTAGCGTTTGAGGACGTAATTCAATAATGCTTTCGGTCTATACATTGTGTCGCTTCTCTTTGTAGGGTTTGAACGACATGGAAAATTCGATAAAGTTTTATAAAAACGTTCTAAAATCGGATAATATGAGTGTAGAAGCAATTGCTTCTATAGCGACCCATTACTTCTATACTGATCAGCCGGAAGTAGCCTTGAAGTTTTACAGGCGTCTCTTGCAAATGGGAGTTTCGAACGCCGAAATGTATAACAATCTTGGGCTCTGCTGTTTCTTTGCTCAACAGTATGACATGGTTTTGACATGTTTTGAGAGAGCTCTGTCTCTAGCAAATGATGAAAATGTAGCGGACGTTTGGTACAATATCGGTCACGTAGCTCTGGTTTGTGTTTTCTGCTATTCTGATATTAACTGTTTTACGTTTACTATACACGATACAATTACACTATATATATTCAGAAATTTACCCACATCATAATTCCAATTATTGCCTTAGGGTATTGGGGACATGAGTTTGGCGTATCAGTGCTTTCGATTAACCCTTGCGAATAATAACGATCATGCAGAAGCCTATAACAATCTTGGTGTATTAGAAATGAAAAAGGGTAGAATAGAACAGGTAAATTTTGTCCTTAATTTTTGAAATTTTATTTTCTTAGAAAACTGCTGTCAAGAATGACAGAATAGGTATTTCTGAGACATGGCCAATAAGATAATAATTTTAGAAATGCACAGAATTAATATTCTTGATATTTTCAACATTGTTAGGACATAACAGATAAGCATTCTTTCCTTTTCAGGCCAGGGCCTTCTTTCAAGCCTCATTCAACCTCACCCCTCATATGTTCGAACCGCATTTTAACTTTGCCATCTTATCTGATAAGGTAAGAAATTGATTGCTACCATATGTCGTCGTATTTTCGATTCTCCTTCGATGTCCGAAACAAAGGAGCAAATAATAATAATTATTGTCTGAACTCCCAACGACCGTTGACGCTTCCGTAATGGCAGCCTTTGAAGTTAACCGACCGTATTGTCATTACTCGTCACCGGAGAAAACTTGAAAACAATGAACAATTAAGCATCTGCAGTTTTCTCATATACCTGCCGCTGCGAAAGCGACATGTGATTTCATTTTGCTACCGTTATAATAAATCTTTTTATTTACCTTCCAGATCGGGGATCTACAGCACAGCTACAATTCTGTTAGACGCTCACTCGAAGCATTTCCGGAGCATACGGATTCAAAAGAGTTGTTTAAAGTACTTAGGGAACAATTCGCAACATTATAAAATCATTTGCCTTATAACTAAAAAAACTTAATCTCAAGCCGTCCTTTATTTCTTATTGAGAATAAAAATAAAAGCTCAAAATGTGATATTTTGTTTTGCAAAAAGTGTTCGCACCGTCATGTTGCTATAGTTCAAATACCATTCCAAGTAAAAAAGTACGCGCCATTATTGCGGATCGGACGATTATTGGATAAATTTTGTCACGTGATCCAAAACATAAAAGGCAACGTAGCAGAGCGGCGCAGAGGCGAACTAGCGAGCGTTGCTATCGGTTAAGGTCGGATCGAAACTGCTTTTCCCCCTTCTTTCTCTGTTTCTTGATTCGTGTCTGGATTAAACTCTACTTCAAGAAGATTTTAAAAGGATGCTTATTTGAAGAAGAAGCTAATTTGTGTGTTTTATTTATATCTAGCCATTTTCTTCATAAATCTATCGATAATCGGAAATAGGCCTGTTCAATTGTTCAATATTGATGGCGAATTCAGCTGGAATTATGGCGGATGGTGTAAGGGCGGATGGTTCCTGGGAACTTCATGTTCAAGTTGATGATGTTCCTCTCAGGGAGCTTGGATCTACTGACCCTTCTACAAGTGTCGACAAAAAGATACGTGTTAGAGGAGACCAACAGATCGGCAGCGTTATGAGCAAGATAACAGAATCTGTATCGGGTGAGTTGTATAGCGAATATACTACCCGGCATGTGTTCACCATCTGCCTTTCGGCCGCTTTTTTCTAAACATTCCCTTGAGGTTTTATACGACGAAGTGTAGAAGGTGGAAATGTCACCAACAGTGCGAAAACTGTTGTCCAACATTACATAACTTAGGCAATTTTCCCTTCGCTTTTCTTTCTTTTTCGTCTGTGTACTAAATAGAGAAGGAAAGACGAACTTTTGTGTGTGGTCACTTATAATGAATGCAAAGTCTGTTTACAGCGTGTACAAAACCTTCTTTGTCATTTTAACTATTTCACACGAGGATAGTACAAGCTTCCCGCTGATTTATTCTCATTTACATATCCTTACCCATTTCCGATTGAGATATATTCATATTGTGCGCCTATTATTTAGACAAATGCCATGCGTTTTTATAGATATGTGCCATATTAAAAACTGTATGCCAGTATATTCCTTACTTATTTCAATATATTCATAAGCTAAATCGTAAGGACTTTTTGAATGTAGATGAGGTATAATATGTATAAATTGTATATAGTGGAGGCGCCAGCAAGCCCTATTGGCTGGTTTCAATTGTAAACGCAAATGTTTGCTTTGCTGTTTAATTGTGTGCAGAAACTAAGCGAGATACCTCAAATTTCTATATTTATTTATTAAGAAATAATCGAAAATCAATAAGTCAAAGGACATTTATAAATTGCTTTTATTGACATTAATATCTGTATATCTTTTGCCGATTGTTTTTATTATTCTATTATGCATTCCAAAAGCGTTGGGCGTATAACGAGTTTATGACCTTTTTAACCTATGTGTTTAAAATGTCGGATGACCCGGAACAGTTTCACTGTCCAGGTGTTTCAGTATTATCATTATCGCTCAAAATATTAGTCATACAAACAATCTTATCTTTAAGTTACGTTCATTTTATGGCAGACTTGTTTTATAACATGTATCATTCAATACTAGTTTTTCCAGATATTTTTAGGGTCTGTACAAAATACGCCGAGTACTATATTTACGAACAAACTAAACAAACAGCAAACGTGATGCTGCACTCCCCCGACCTGAATTCTTGCCTACTTGGGATCACTAGGCCTATTTCACAAAGCGGAAATGAAGTTTGGTCTCTTAATGATTGGCATCGTCTAATTTGACATGGCTTAACCGCTTTCTGTCATCTTTTGAAATTGCTGTACCATATTTCCACGGTTCGCTGTTACCAGCCAAATATGTATGAAATAAAAATTCAGAAGTTTCCTGAATTATGCGATTACCGCACAATCGTAATAGTTTGTACATATAATTACGCACCACAGATGTTAAATTGCCATTCCTCTATTGTCCGTCGGCTATCCCAGAGAATCAATATTCAAATCACGAACTACGAGAACGCAGTTGGAAAAACACTACGATTTTTTCATATTTGAAGTAATTGTTTATAAAAGCTGAGGCCAGTGTCGTGGGGCCGATAAACCTTTTAGGGCATTTCCGGTAACGAATCGACGTTGACCCGCCAGCAGCGTTCCGTTGAGTTGATGCTTAATGACATCAAGCTCATTCGTTGGAAATATTTAGCCTATAATATACACAGTGTAATGCAGGCCGCTTTATCAAATTAGCTGAGCTATCAACAATCCTTCAGCAAACCGGATCGATGACGTAAATAAATTATTATAGAATACACTTAAAAGCAATATATCATTCGTCCGCTCCCTTGCGGACATGGAACAAGAGACGCCACCATGTTAAAAAGACACAAAAGGAACAAAAGTCTTTCTTTATCTATTTTAGATTATCAGATATGGAAATAAAAAAAACGTGTCCCCTCCCCTCCTTCAGCCACTTAACTGCCAAAAAAATTGGACATAAATACAACAACAAGCAAAGGCACGGTACTCGTCTTGACAGTTTTGACAAACTTCCGCCCCAATGACTCGCTACGTTTTCCAATAAATGGAAAATTGTATCGTTTTGTAGGGAGTTTTGTTTGCAAAAAAGCGCTCAATATATGCGGAGAGTATTTTTCTGTCGGTTTTAGCAAATACAATAGGCTAACATTCCGTTGTTCAAAAAAGAGAAATCCACCCATCATCCCTATTTCTCAGAGCCCAACGGGGTAGTATAAATATAATTTAGTTGATCGGATTCCAACTCTGATGCTAAGTTATGAATGAAAGATTAATGGTGGCGCCCAAATCGCCTTTGTGTCCTCTATGATTATGTAATCGATTTCTCATTGCGTGACGCGAGGAATATTAACAGATTAGTTGATTAGGTCACAGACTCCCTTTGTTTGTTCACGTAGAATTAGCTGTCGCTCACCTTTGACACTCGTTCAGAATTATTAAGCGCATTTAGACGCTCTGGCGTCCTCTCTTTGTCATCTTCGGTTAATGAGTACGGGCGTCAGTCAGACCACATTAACAACAGAGATTGTTAAAGGCGTCACGGAAATGCTCGTGCGAAATTTCAACGCCCAATTCCTGAATTTGCGCTAATTCATCGTAGCGGTCGATAAATAATAGCATCTCAGTTACATCATAATTTCGTACCCAGATGATTGAACGTCTATAACGCCTTGCCAGGCCAACAGCTAGTCAGTATTAATCTAATTCCTCACTCAGTGCTTAATGAGCCGTAGGAGACGCCTCAAGGGAGGGCGTCGAGAGATACTTGCGACGCTACTTTCTAATCAGCCTCCCCACAAAACGTTGCTTGATCAAATATTACGTAAAGGCGAAGGTCAGGTGATCTCTAATGGGCAAAGTAAAAATATCAACTTTTGTGTAAGCAAAGACTGGAGGATGAAAAATGAAACCATGTGAATTACATAACTACCATTCAGTCTTTTTCTGCCATAAATATTGAGGAAAAACGTCTACATTCTTCTTTTGTACATTGCAGTCCTTAGGGAAAATCTTCTATTGATCAAGTTATAATACAATGCCACTTTCTGCCGTTCTTGCTTGATTTAGGACGATCTAGGCGCTGCGTTTAGACGCCTAGGGACGTTAAGCTTTCAGCGGGTCAAGGCCATTTTCTGCGAATATTTTATTCATGCTGTTTATCACCTATTTATTATAGATACTAACTCGTTTTACCTGTTATTCATCAATCGACAAAATAAAATTTTCCAACTAGTCACGATATCATACAATGTTCAGCTGCTTAAGTCATTATCCCAATCGACCACCACTTTTTAGTTCTTTACAATAATAGCATGAATATTATTTCTCTCTCTTTGAAATAGGCGCGGAAGAAAACAGAGTATGTTTGTATGAATAAATATGGATTATACATAGCCATGTCGAAAATATTTGCCCATTTATTAGTTGGTGTGTATTTACAATGGAAATGACTTTTTCGACGCCCTGTTTGTTCAACACGGACGGGTAATATTTCTTAGTCTTTGTTTTGTGTACCAGAAGACGAATCGATTCATAAATATCGTATTGCCTCTTTTGTTATCTTTGGCAAACTTTCGATCATGTTTTTGTTGATTTTGGCGTGGCTAACTTATCAATTAATTCACAGATTACGTAATTTCACAGTGTTTCTCCAACATTGGGCCTGAGATCAGGAGGGTGTTGCTCAGCTGTTAGGGAAGGTATTTTTTTAAGCCAATGCAGCAGCATTCCAAACAGTCTAGTGCTGTATAGAGAGAGTTGAGTATTTGACCTAATTCTAATAATCTTCGAGGCATCGTATTGATGTGTACGCAAAAAGAGAATAAATAAAAAAAATAGAAAAAAAAACAAGAAATTTCCGATCGATTCCTGTTTGACGCATGTGTTGTATACTTGTATTTAAGTTTATATAGTGTGGATTTATTTGGACTGTAAGGATAATACTGAAATGAAAGGCGTTGGAGCGGAACGCCCCGAAAATTTTCGATTGATGTGAATGCAGTTAGTTAGTCGTGGGAATATTTGTCGTATTCGCAATGCGGCCATTTGGAAGAGCTATAAAAGGAAAAGACAGCAGAAAAAACGCAAAATGAAGGTTTGATGAACGACGCAGATGTCCTGCAGTCGTGCGGAACTCGCGTCTAGCGATAAGTTGATTGAGTATGTGATTTTCTAAGTGCTGTCCGCTGTCCAGCTCCGTCGATTGATAAGCATTTAATGAGATTTTGCAGAGTATATACTTTGCAGTCGCACGGCGTCGACGCTAACGACTAGGCGATGCGCTATAGTGACGCTTAGAAGGATCAATTGATTTGTTTACGGGCTTTACTCCTTTAGTGCCTTCAATCGTATCAATGCTATATAACCGCAAAGACTTTTACAATTGTTGTTCGGAAAAATGGTATCGTTTGTCGCTGCGACCTTTGAACTAGGCGGAAAAAAATTCCACAGTGTATTTTTTGTCTTCTCGGCACGTTCTGTTTGCTGATCTAGTGTATACGATTGGAATTTCGTGCTATGATACCTCACTATAGGCCGACTAAATATATATTCTTGTAATAAATAATGTATACAGTATATAAGAAAACTATCCATAGATATAAATCGTTGGAATATTTGCATATAAACTGGATTTTTACTAGCTGATTCGCAATATTTTACCAATTTTTCTTATACGACGTCTAATCGCCAATTATCATGTAAATTATTGCCGTCGATTGCACTCAAAACTGCGGGTTGTTTACCAATTAACCACTAAACATGTCCTTACCCGTACTTTAACTTTATCGTATTCTGAATCTTTTATTTTGTTATACAGATATAGTTCAAAAAGATTGGTCTTGCTACCGGCTATGGTGGCCAGAAAAAAAGTTATGGCTGAAAAAAACGAGATCTACTTTGGATCAATGTGGTGTTTTATCCACATCGAAATTGGAATTTACTCCAGCGTACAAGTCAATCTACGTTCAATTGCCAGATTTGCAACAACGTGAACTGACCGTTGATTTTAGTATGGACGTTTTCGAAGTCATAATTGACTTGTGCAAGCGCTTCAGTAAGTTTTAAATTGAAATTAAGTAACAGTTTTAATTTAGTACTGCTGTTCTATTATAAAATTAGAATTCTGTTTACAAGAAAACAGGCTGTTTAGCATCATTTTTTTGACAGTTTTAGGCAACACCCAACATTTAACTACTTTCAGTAGGCCCACAGTTAGCTTGTTCAAGGTATACTACTCATAAAAAGTTAAAATCTATACCGTTTAAAAACAGTTTATTTGTTCTGAAGAGAGAATTATAGCTATATTGCATCAATCGGACGGCAATTGTCAATATTTAACTGCTCTTTTTGCCATTTATATTTATGACTTTTCTATTAAAGAAAAAGTAACAAGAAAAAGGTTGTCCTTCCTTTAGGAACGGATAAAACTTACAAGTGCAACATTCGAAAGATTTTGAGTGCTTCTCAGCTGTAAGCAACCGCGACCTTTTGCCCTTTATTTCCTTTAGATGACAGTTTTATATATGACTTTGGATTACATTAGTCTTCTTATCAGTAAAGAGTAGAAATTTTTGCTCTAGTTTTCATTTAAAGGATATAAGAGCCCTCAAAATACACATAGTAAATATATATAGAAATAGGTTTCGTAGATATTATGTATGCATAGGGCGAATTCTAAATTTAAGATGAATATTTGTCTTGTGCCCAAAGCATTTTGCACGTGGTAAACATTTACTTAGTCTTAGAAAAAAATTTACGCCTACATATAGCGGCGGAGTATTGGATTTCAGCTTTCCCCAATTAATCCTATGAGTAATTATTGAAATTGTTCTCTATTAACTTAATTAACTGTATAGTTGAACCATTACGTAGGCAATTCAATCCATCAGCCATACTGGAAAGCGATTATCCTCATTGCTTTTTCAGAAATTCGACACCCGGAAGAACTTTCGTTATCAAGGAAATTAGACAAAGAAGAGCTTCGCCGCAATCAAGGTATTTCAGCTACAAGAAGACAAGCACTTGGAAATCATTCCCTAAATGGTCACTACATGAGCCACTCTAGTTTGGATAACTTAGCCAGCCCAAAATTTAATGGAGTAGGATCACCTAATACGCCACAAGTAATACAAGTAGTGCCATCTGCAAGCTGTCAGTTTTTTAAAAAGAGATATTTGTCCTACAGGGCACATTACGACCGCCTCCTTCACCATACCCATTTTCTACAATTGCTTCTCATAACAATTCTTCCCTACTTAACGGTTCTTTACACAGCTTGTCATTCGAATTGGACGAAAAATCCTTCACGAATAGTCCACAAGAATTAGATGTCCAAGCAACGCTGCGAGGCTTAAACAGGCCTAGAAACCTGTCTGAAAAGGCTCGAATAAATGCTGGTTGGTTGGATTCTTGTCGATCCTTAATGGAACAGGATATCGACAGAGGTACTTTACTTCTGCTTCGATTTAAATATGCTTCATACTACGATCTGAATCCTAAGGTTCGTATTTATTATTTTTTTTTAATGTCTTTTTTTTTAAAACAAACATGTTATATTTGATTTTTTTGAATACAGTATGATTCAGTACGAGTCAATCAATTATTTGAACAAGCTAGATGGTCACTTCTAACAGAAACAATTGATTGTACTGAAGAAGATATGGTATTATTTGCAGCTTTAAATGTAAGTTAGAAATAGCCTAATCTGGTGAAATGATAAGTTTTATATTTTAATTTTTTCAATATAGCATCATATATATTCGAAAGCAAGGAGGGGAGAGACTGATTTTGTTGACGGAGAAAACAATGTTGATAATGTTGACTCGATGTTGGACGAATTAGAGGTTTATCTAAATCTTTGAGCGTTTCAAGCGACGTGTAATTTAAAAAATTCTTTTATAGAGTGCTCTTGCGGGAACACACGGACTCAATACTTCGATTGTTATCGAACACGTTCCGGAATTATGCAGTCAACTGCAATATGTCACAAATAAGTAAGCCTTGTTAAATATTATGAACTACAGATGGCACCACGCGAATAACAAATAATTTTTTAAATAATCGATAGACCAAAAAAATCCTTGTTACCGGACTTGTCAAAAAAGAGGAAACAAACTAGCTTTTTCCACTTGAAAGAAAAGACTTTAAGTGCATACAAACGGCGAGAAGATAAAGACGTCACAAATCCGTCGTGGTCGGTTGATTTGGACGAATGTGAAGTTAGGGAAGAAGTGAATCTCAGCACGAGACTCTTCGTTATTCGGTTATTCACTTCATTAGGTTCTGATGGATTTTCTGAATTATGTCTACACTGCGATAGCGTGAGTAATGCTTCTAGGTAAAACCTTAAAATATTAAAGCGTCATACCTTTGTAGCAAGAACAATTCAAAGATTGGGTGACAGCCTGTAAATTAGCCTCTCGAGGAAAAACGATGGCTGATTGTTCCTACCAGTTGGAAAAAGACGCTCTACAAAAAAAGCTCGACATGCTAACTTTCGAAACGTCTTCTCCTACTGAGCGCCTGTCAAGCGCCGAAATGTACGTCTCTCCAAAGTATATGAAGAAACACAAGTCGGGAATTATTTCGAAAATATCGGCTGTGTGTAGTAATAGTAAATTAAATAAAATGAGCATAAATGAAGCTAAGATGCAATATCTAAAACTATGGCAAGACCTACCTGAACAGCCTTTGACCTATTTTATAGTTCGTTTCGATGGATCGAAAAAGGAGGAGCTGTTAGCGATCGCTGCCGATAAAATAGTGAGAATGGATCTAATAAATGGGTCTGTCATTCAAAAATGGCCTTTCAAAAATATGAATCGTTGGCACGTAAATTGGCAAACAAAACAAGTTTGTATTGAATTTAGAGAAAAAACGAGAGAAAATACCGTCAAATTTTACTGTTTAACTGCTGACTGTAAAACTGTTCATGAATTTATCGGTGGATATATTTTCGTGGGGATGAGGTCGGCAGATAAAAGCCAAACTCTGGATAAAAGTAAATTTTATAAATTAACTGCTGGAAGAGAGTGAAAACTGGTGTAGTGAATATTATAGTGAAAGATGCAAAAAATGCTTTGGAAATTGATGATGCGGTGCTGTTGCTTAAAAGATTATTTAAATTTGTTAAATTAATTTTATCTATTATGGTTTTAAAAAACTGCAGGTGTATATATCATATGTATACAGTATACATGGTAAATTTATACTTCCAATTTGTGGATAATAATAGTGATATTATCAATATAAGTAGTTGCAAGCACTAGTTGAAAACGGAATCAAGTCTGATACGATTTTAATCATTCATTTCTTATTACTGGAATCATGTTAAGATTAAATAAAAAAGATTAGCACAAAGACAAATTAACGCTAAAATCATATACAATTAAATTGTGGAAGTGCTTAAATTTTTCCTATCAATACTGAGTGCAACTCGTATGAAATATATACGAAATGTTACATATTAATGTCACAAAATATCTGTATACATGTATGCTAATATACGATTCATATGCTATTTTCATAAAAGTTATTAACTCTTATTATTCTAACTTAATATTTCTCTCTATTGCTGTGACACTTGTTGATATTATTCATGTTGTAACGTAAAAAATGCTTGTTTGTGTAATAGACTTTATAAAAAGAATAAAAATCTAAGCAAGCCGATAGATGTCGCCACCAATTTGATTTAGATGAAGAAAACGAAGGGAGCGTCAATAACGTATATGTTCTCGGATAAATAATAAGAGGAGAGTATGGAAGTAGGCGGTTTGTAGTGTGCGTGACTAGAAGAAAGCGTACAAGTCTGGCTGTCAGCGAGGCTTGTCATAATGTCGACGTGCGTATGACGCTTTTGCGGTAGAGACGCTCGAGGCAGGTACGCGATGCTAAGACGGTTGCTTGCGACCTCTGAACAAAGAGATAGGCCGCTCATCTTCTGTGTGATTAGTCCATCAGCGCAAGACTATATGCGTTCTCTGATCACAGGCGTCATCCTTCCCGCAGGCAAACGACGTCTCTTTTTTGTTCCACTCAGCGTGATCTTGCCCTTTGGTCTGTTCGTTTTTAATAGCGTGTATATGCACTATACACATTTCTCTATAGCACGGCCAATAAGAATATAATACGATCAATTGACCCGCGAGCACCGCTCAACGGCGATAAGACGCTCAGACCACAAAAGACACGCGAAATTGACGCCCAAACACGCACCGAGACACGTGCACATACGGACGGCGTCACTCTAAACGCGCTCTTCGGACAAATGAACATTGTCACGTGACCCTTCCGACTTTATATGACTCTAATTGCGTGTGCGTGCGCCCTGACCTTGCAGTCGGATCATCGTTGGATTTGCTATAAAATAAAGATTTCACTAGATGGTAAAACTCCTTTTAGTTGTCTCTTTTAATAAATAATGAGGGATAATAGTTGAATTGATATAAATATAGTTGTATGCATACGGTACACGTTGTGTGAGCGAGAAATAAGAGGCGAAAGTCGATGGGGGGGGCTTGATTGAATTATTTCAAAGTTATTCCTTGTACACATATGAATATGCAAATACATGTCTCTATTTGCGTATTGACCCAACATTCACCCGAGCAGAGCAGATGCAGATAACGGAATCGGAAGAAAAGACGCGCCTTCTGCTTCTATTACGTCATACGTACCGAGTGACGCGCTGATGATTTATATGTGCTGCGAGGAGTAAGCTCTTTTCTTACACGCACACACGTCTTCTACCATGTGTATTGTAACAAAGCTTTTACTGATATAAATTATAATAAAAGAGAAAGATAACGCTTCTTCGCGGCCTATTTATCTCTTGACCGGTACAAAATAGATCACCCACATTCCAAGTATATTACGTCACAGCAAGAAGCCATACAGCACCAAAGTGCATCTGTCCCTGCCCCTTGCAATTATCTATACATATGAACCTTAATGTATGCAATATGTATATTTGGGTGTGTATTTGAATGCATAAAGATTTTAAGCATACATATACTTATATTTATTTTTGGTATTAACTTATTTATTTGTATTTGTTCAATTTTATAGGAATATCGTTAAAAGTATTAGCTCGATAAACAATTTTCGTATGTCTAATTCAGAAGATTTGATATTTAATAACCATACTTACATAATACAGACAAAAATTGGTATAAATTACTACATTTTCTACATTTCCGTTATGTTCTGTACAAATAGTTATCCAATCCATTATAAAAATCGGTTTATCTATATGTACAAGATATAGATATATTTATATAAGATCATAGTCTAGTGCCCAAGTTAGATTCGTGACTCTTAACTGAATATTGGCGTTTTATTGGCATGTATTTTATCAAAATCAGTACTTACGATACATGCATGCATGCATTTTTATTTGCGTGCTTGCGTGTCTTTTTTAAATATAGATTCCTTAACCGTTAAGAACTTTTTAAAAGAAAAAGTGAGTTCAAAAGCTATTCAACTCAACAATCCAGAGATCCAACGAAACCGAAGGAGTATACATAACGAGTAAAAACCCGATATGACTTGTTAACTGTGTTACGTGAAATCGCGCAAGAAAATATTGCGCAAGTAGCGGATATATTATGCAGTAGGGCATTTGCCGCACGCTTGCAGATTAATCGTCAGAGCTGGTGGTTCTGTCTCAAGCAAATAAATAGTTGATGAGAGTCTAGGAGAAAATGTAGATACAAAAAAAATTGTGTATTTTTTCGCGTACGTAAGTGTAAATAAAAACTATATAAATGTGTAATTAACAAAATTATCATTAATCGTTTGCTAACAACAATCAATCGGATTAATTTTTATGTGTAATTTATTGTTATTGCACTATTTATATACTTTAATATGTAGACCTTTATTGTTCACTTATGGCCTCCTCTTCACGACCTTAAACATACATGAATATATGGTGTATATTTATATATTTGCATATATGGTATATCTATTTAATGTACAGAGAAAATGAATAATTTTCCAACAGGCCCGTAATAAAAGTATAATTTCCGCCTTGCGCCTATAAGCAAATTAATTACAACGAACGCGTATACAATTTAACGAAACTATATAGAAATATATTCGAGAGTGAGGAAAAAAATGCAATTTGAAACGTATATGGAAAACGGTCAAACTATGAATGACCCCGAACGTGAACGTACGCAAAGTGATGTAACGACACATAAGCGGAAAACAACGAAATCATGGCGCCCATACGCATAACGATTACTCAATTTTGCATATTCGTCGGCTGCTTAATTAGAATGCTGATTGTTGAACGAAAAACTCGCTCAGCTCTTAGCTCAGCTGACCGTTGCGTAATTTATCGGTGACCCACTTTTCAGCGGTTGTCGACCGATGCACGTCCGCATAGCGTCTCTTCCATCCACGGTTTTAAGTTCTAGGAGAGCAACGAAATATAGGATTTTTCGAGGAACAAATTAAATAAATGTGTACTATAATGTTTGCGTAATAGCCTAAAGCAGCTTAGACGAGAATATAGCACGTGTTGCGCGGTTCGACGAGATTACGTCATACTCGCTGTGTTCTGTTCTCGTTACAACCCAAGTTTTGACCTCTTCCTCAGCTATATGGCGTTGTTTGCTTACAACGTTTTCGTTTAGCCTGTATATATATAAGATTTGCGTGCGTTGATTTTCCGATCATCCTAATATCGAAACGGATCGTTGAAATGCGTGCGCCGGCGCCTTGAACTTTGCCGTCACCTTTCCCGCCTCCTATATATGCACGATGGCGTCTATTCTAAGAAAAAGTAGATCGATTGTATCGTGCCGTTTTCGGCGCTAATGACCAAAATTAATTTTAATTTTGCTTTCAATTTAAGCCATTTTTACGACCTTGTAAACGCCTTTGAACGTTTATATAGACTGATGCATGCATGTGAACGGAACTGATTGATAACGCCAACTTTTCGCACACGTATAAAAATTTTAATTGAAAAATTGACATTTTTACTTTTTAAAATAGGTGAGTTATAAAAAAGGGCGCCAAGGAGCTGGCGTCGTTATTTTATTAAGCTTATATATATTTTTAGCAAGTGCAAGCACGTTGCACAAAGTATGATATAACAACAGGCCTGAGCTGATTTCAGGACTCAGCCTGGTCAGGCAGCGGTCAGAATGTTCCATCGATTTATTGCGCCATTTCTGCGCGCTGTTACGCACCTCTGACGCGTCTTGTGACCTACTTACGCAGTAACGCCGCAACGTCTACTATATATGTTCGCATATAGAAACGCTATACAGCGCCTACCTTATATATTTCCTGCTTTGAATGGTTTAGTAGAAAATTTCTCTTTTCATCTATACTACTTTCTATTCGATAAAATGAAACTGACACCGATGACGTAAGAGAACCTAATGCGTTATTTACGACCGTCCCATACATCACATACGGCGTCCTTTCAAACCCCTTATGGACAACGATCGCGTAACAGAACGTAATGGGGATGCGTAACGCTGCAAGTGACGCTATAAATATAACCGCGATCGAACGATGACCGAAAAGTGAATTTTTTCAATTTTCTTATTTTTTTACTTCCCTGTCTTTGAAACGAAAAAAAAGAAGCCAACATCTACTTTTCATAGAAAAGTTAGACACTTTTTTGAATATAAACCAGAGTAAAAGAAGCCACGCCGTTGGAAATTAAGTAAAAAGAGAGAAGGGCCTCGCGATGACCCCAAGAGAGCGTTACGCAACCCTTATACGCAGTGCATTGGAAGAAGGGCATGTATATGAAAATCGGTCGCTGATTGGTTGATTTCGCTGCGCGCATGCGCCTCTTCTCTAAAATGTTAGTTTCATGCTTGGCGCGCTTTTGTCCACATTATTGTGCAAGGGGTCAGAGTTGGTGCAGCAGTCGGCATTCTCACGCCCAGATCGAAGGTGGACAGGCCGCTGAAATTCGATACAATAAAGGTAGGTTGCAGTTTATTTTCTGCATTTGCAGTAGGCAAATGGCACGACGTGATGACGTGATGTTACAGTCAAAATGGCGGCCGCAGTAAGTGACGGCGCGCTGGATCTATCGAAATCTACATCTGCAATCAGCCCAAGCCCCGAACCTGCAAACAGCCTCTCCTCCGACTTAGAAACCGATGACATGAATGCGGCAAGCGTTAAGGAGGAGCTCGACACAGAAACACCGAATGCCAATCCACCATCTCCATCACCTTCAAGACCATTCAAATCCTATCCGTTTGAGTCACTGGCCAGTTTGTATGGTCCTCTTGGTCTTGGAGCAGCCTCTCCCGCCCCTCACCCTGCCCTCTATAACCCGTATGCTCCGGGTTCGACGCTCGGTGGTTTATCGGCCCTTCCCGGTTTCGATACGGCCGCTGTTTCATTGTCGTCGCCTATAGCTCAATATCTTCAACAACGGAGACGACGAACGGAATCGAGAAGTTCCGTTTCTCAATCGGCGTCTACTTCTTCTCAATCATCAACCAACCAACTTAACGACGCTCAGCAACCTGCCTCTTCCTCATCGCCCAACAAGGTAACAAATTCTGGTTCAGAGAAGAAGGATGACTCTTATTGGGAGCGCCGACGGAAGAATAATGAAGCTGCGAAAAGATCGCGAGATGCTCGAAGGGCAAAAGAAGAGGAGATTGCCATGAGAGCAGCATTTCTCGAACAGGAAAATCTAAAACTTAGAGCGCAAGTCGCTATTTTAAAGAACGAGACAGCGAAACTGCATTATATGCTCTACAATCGTATGTAGAATGTATCTGTTAGGTATAATTGTGTGCAAGACCGGTGCTTATCTGTATTTGACCTAGAAAAAAATTAAAAGTTCGGAAACAACGGGTGACGCTTTGTACATATACATTTCTTCACGTTTCGTTTTTGTATCCATGTTTCCTTTTCAATCCATGTATAAATGAAAAGCGCCGATCTAATGGGTTTCGCGGTCGCGGCTTTTCGTTAAACAAACATTCCCATTTGTATAGAAATAAGTTTTTAAACAGCTGCGAACAAATCGAACAGTCGCGCACGGAAACCCGTATATTTGCATCTGTACATGATCCATTTTATCATTAATGACGTAACACCACCGAAACTAACCATTATATATGTTTGTGCTTATATACTATACAAATATAAATATAAATTTAAACATACGATGTAGTTGTTCGGAAAGGAAGTATTCATACTTAATAGTTGCTTAAAAAGAAATGAGATGACTTAAGAAAAAGCATTAAGTGATAAATGTATAAATTTTTCACATATCTAATAGATAGTTTATGTAATTTAAACTATAAACAACTATATCTTTCACGATATATGTATAAATAGATACATATTTAATATATATTCGCTTGTGGATAGGGCATGCATTTTATACATGCATAAATCAATTCACATGCAAGTAGGCATGTAAAGAAAATCGTGCGTCAATCGACACGCCCGCTATAGAGAAAATCGTACGAATATTTATTAAATTATATACATTGTTCTTTGAAGAACGATGTTAATTATGCACTCGTCAAGAAAAACCGAAAAATATCTTATTCCCATCACCGTATTTGTCGACTTTTAAGAAAAAGAGGAAGAGAAATCAACGCTTAATGTTAATGCAGAGAATGCTAAGTGTCAGGGCAACCGGATACTCCCAAAGTGCGGTTAAAGAATCTCCATCTATCTCGCATCCCTTGTCTTTCCCGAGAGATTCTGTCAAGCTCTCCCACGTTCACGAAATTTGGAATTTGGAGCGGTCTGATTGTCTTTTAATAAGAAAAGTGGAAAGTAAAAGTTGATGAGTCGTTTTCGTCATTCTATTTGCGGACGTGGCGGATATGACGTAACGTTGGCCGTGCATTACTGTCGCGCACGATTTGCATACATCCCGCCCCCTTTCCGCTTTTAGAACCCTTATTCGTCGTTGTGCAATCAATCGTAATGCGGCGATACGCCACCGCAATTTTGCGTCATAAGGGAAATTAGAAGAGTGACGTCACGATAAGGGTAAGGTCTATACAGTGTAGAAGGAACAAGCCACACCCGACAATCGTATCTACGAGCCATTAGGCAAGTTGCGGCTCTTTTGAAGTGTCAGTGACGAGCGGTAATCAGCGCATGCAGAGTTCGCCAAATTTAGCGTGCGTTCAGGAAGAAAGAGGCCATTTGTAGAGGAAATATACAACGTTAGATCTTTCACTTTCCATTTTTTTTTATTTTCACCGTCTTTTTTCTTTAAAGTTCGTTTATATGTACTCTCCGTATACATATACATACACACGCATCAACGAACGAACACCTGCTCTCTCTAGACGCTCGGAGACGTCTATACCGTTATTTCATTTAATAGAACATTTTGAGCTGCGTGAAGTCCTTCTGACACCTGTAATAATAAACATCATTATTTGTCCGTTCTCAAAATCGTCCCCGATAAGAACGTCTACTATTTCACAACCCTAAACTTTCTTATTATGAGTCGTTCATAACCTGTGCATACGCCTCAAAAATGCATTACAGCTTTATATATACTTTCCCTTTCCTACTTTACATATATAGCCCAAGTTGCGTAATAAACTATTAGAGCGATAGATGGCGCCACAAACCTCTTTAAAGAAAGTAGACATGTAGCGTATAGGAAATAGAGCTGTACCGTTGGTTTCGTAACCGTCTCTGCCGACACCGGGACTTCCAACGGTGCTGAATATTTGCATTGAAAACAAGGAAACTGTGCCGAATAAATGGCACAATAAAGCCCCGACAGAACTCTCAGGCAGAATGTACTTGCTGCACAAATTCCACATTCCTCTATACAAGAGTAGTAAAGCTATTAAGGCGAATACATAGACACAATCTTCGTAGATTAGTCGCCATCGTTGCCGACCGTCCATCGACGCCGACACCCTGGCTAATTTTGTTTGGAAGACGAAGAGCGACGTGCTTATAAAATAACCAGCTACCACGCAAAATAAATCGGATATTCGTGGTTGGTTCGGGAAAATAAATACATCCATTAGATCCCAAGCGTTTTTCCAGACAGATACTGCTAGGCCAAAAACAATCACGTGACTAAGAAAAGCGTCGAGGAGGTAGGGGAAGAGGTCGTTTTTTCGAGGCTGAAAATAAACAGAATGACGTAATCGAATTGACGAATTCACGCGGAGAATGTGGAAAAGAATTCACTGAAAGGCACGACACATCAATTAAACGTGCGATATTGGCGGGAAGCTACTTGAAATTAAAGAGGACGTCCCTTACCATACGATTCATCAAGGTTGTAGGCCTAAGGAGGTCTGGTCGAAAGTCCAAATTAACGGTAAACGGGGGCCACATGCTCGTTCTTGACGTCCTCATTAAAACGAGTAGGAAATAAGACACGGAAAGCACGATTGCTGATCGTTTCCAATTATCTCCTTCCGCTTCACTCAGAACACCCCAGCCTCCCCTCCATACACTCATGTTCATCCAACTGTAAGCATACATGTAAAAGCGGCATAACATACCCCTCAGTGTTCCGTTAATATTACGCAATTGGCGTTCCAGTAGAGGTTGAGAGAAATAAGCTGCTATTCCAAATAAACCAAATATGTACATGCTTCCGAAACGAATAATCTTAGAGTAACGAGGTAAGACATAAATATCTAATAGATCCCAACTACCTCGCCAATAAATAACAGTCATGGGAAAGAAAACTATCGAAGATAAGAAACAATCTACAATTTTGATTCTTACTCGGTCCATTCTTTCTAGATAAATCTGCGCTTTATCAGTTGTTTGTCAAACATGTCAATAATGATGAATATCCAGAATTATCTATACTCTTTTAGTTGTGCTATTTCTTTTCTAGAAATTAGATACTTTAAATTTAATTTTATTCATTTTAAAATTTTTTTGTCACAAATCGGAAAAAGGTAAAGTTTGGAGTTACAAGAATTTATAATACCACAGACCTCTAATAAAAGCGTAACTCTCTTTCATTGACGTAAAGCGACCATTTAATTTCTTTTACTATTTTTATCGAGAGTATTGGCACATCTTTATGCTTTCCGTTTTACATTTCAATTATCAGAAAGCTCTAAAATTCCTTGTTACATAATTTTTATTTATAGAATACTTTATTTTTTCTTCTTTTAAAAAATTGTTACAATTAAATGGATCCAAGTTATATATATATATTACCAGTGCTTACAATTTAGAATATGCAAATTGTACTTTCCTTTCTTATTACCTTTTTTGACAAGTAGTTCCTAATAGATATAGGGTTATTCAGACTTTTCATTCTGTTTTTCCTCAAATATTTTACTTATACAATAATAAATCGTTTCTAATTGATTATTAAAGCCAGTTCATTTTTAAAGTTTTGCAATTTATTAGTTAGGATTCATTCAATATAAAAAAAACAACATATAATGTTCAAATCCTGACTTCTAGGAAAGGTATTGTCAATTATGATTATTTAATATATATATATATATATTCTAGTGATGTATTTTGATTTCGTTGTATTCTTTGACAGGACTAAAAATATTCATCACTTCTATCTAAAATGACATCCAAGGCAAATTGTTTTTTTTTCTAAATAGTAATCTAGAAACATCAATGATAAATTGGAAGCACCTTCCCTTGAATTTTTACACGCGTTAATTTCTTGTTAGATTGTGCTATTTTGGATTTTTAAAATTGTTTAAAACATTTTAAAATGAACTTTAAGATTAAAAGCTTTCAATATATATACTAAATCGTTTTTGCTATGAGGGTTTCAACTCTGTTCCATTTCGCCTAGTTTCAAAATGATTGAATAAGCTGAAAGGAACTTATATCTTTTATGTTGAAAAATTATAAACGGAAGATGGAGCTTCATTCTGGGTGATGAACCAATGCCCCCTATAGTGCAACTCTGACATATTTATTACTTTCCAAGGAATATTGTAACTTTCCCTGCGTTTAAATATTTGTCTATTTTGGGAGACGTCATACATAACACTTTTGCCATAAATTAAGCAAGATATTTTTTATACCATACTTTCTTTGAAAATGATTTAGCAATCGTGTTTGACGGTAAAACAAGTTGCTTTTATCTGAGATAAGATTTCAACTTAAGAATTCAGCTGTAGTATGAAGAGTTCTTTCTGTTAGCATATTTAAACAATCAGCTTCCTGTTAGAATTAACACATTGCATTTTACAAATCATTTTAGCTGATCTTGATAGAATGTATATAATAAATATTTCGAAGATTTTTTTCTTGAGTACTTTTACAAGCATATACAAAGCATATATTCAAATATTTCTCTTCAGCTTCTCAAAAGTCAACTACAACACAAAATTGGCTTATTAGTTGTGATAGTAATAAAAAGTACATGTACTTATTATGTTAAAACTCAGGTATACAAATAAAAATGAACATAACTATTAGACTTTCTCAGTCTAATCACGAATGTCAAACATTAAATTCTAGGCGACAAGAAAAAATTTACTCTCGCTGTGAGAATCCAGATGGCACTACCCTTTAATTATAACAAAGAGTTTACATTATGAGAATTTCGAAAGATAAAGTGTTGGCGACTTCATCTGATATTACTCCGAATACTAGCTAATATATACTTATATGTTTTAATACATAATTAATTTCCTCAAATTTCAACAATTGCTTTAAAAAAATTCACGCTCCAGACATAACTTGATTAAGGATTTATTTAGGTTGAGTAACTGACAAACATTAATATTGAAGTTTATATGAAGAAAAATTTTAAACAGCTAATAGAATTACTATTTTTTCACGATAGGATACAAATCTTTGTCACCCGCAATCCTTAAAATATTCAACCTATTGAGGATAACAATAACGTTTCCTGAGTGACCCATTAATCAAATCAAGTGGCGGATAAACAGCCCTTCGTAATAAAATACAGTAGTCTTTTAAAAAACGAAGGGTGTCAGCAGGTGTGCGCAAACAGTTTAGTCAGATTAATACGCTAATGAAAAGCTGCTGCGTCAATAATGACATTTGGTGAGACGTCCAGAGAGAATTTCACGTTTTCATGATCAAAGTAAAGAGGTTTTGAACGATTGTCTCCCTTTTGCTGCTGTAATTAACTGGGGTTCATATAGAACTTGCTGTTCAATCTAATATGAAGAGTATTGGTTTCAAATGTCACGCTGTTGGAAATAAGTAAGCATTATAACATTGTGCCATTTTATCTGGAAAAGAATATTATTGTCATACAAACAACAACAGTTGGTCAGAGTTCGTACTTTGCTGACCTCGACCCTATTAAGTGACACTCATCTGGCGAAGAACTTTATTTAAAGCATTCCACTCATCACCTTATACCCAACGCAGATGTTGAAGGTGTCTAATTGAACAATCGGCGTCATATTGTTGTATTGTTAACGTCAGCGTCTTTTTATTAAGAGTAAATGGTAGAAAGATTATACTGTATATCTGATCGATTATTTTTATATAAATGATTTCTATGATGATTAATTCCGTAAAAAACCGATATTGTTTACTTTTATCTAGGAGTATTTAGAGGGACATCCTTGCATAAGAAGTAATTAGACGAAAACGATCAACATGTCCTTGGCTATGTGGTATTCCATTCACATACTACTGTAAATAAAGGGTAAATTGATAATTTAACGTTTCATTTCATACTTAGGCAGTAAAACAAATTTTCTTTCAAGCACTGAATATGGAATCTTATACATTCATTAGTGGATATGACGATCTTAACTTTTTAATACATGAATATTATTCAAGTTTTATTTTATTTTTTTCAAACAGCAAACAAAAAGATAAAAAAGCTGAAATAACAAAATGAACGTTCTAAAAGTTCCTCGCTACAGTTAGTTTTTAGAGTAGCAGATGGAGCTATAAGATATGCTTTTTTCGTTGCTTAAAAATGCTAAAGGAGGAAATTCTTTACCTACTTGTATTTCACTCCTGCTAAGTAGGTTGATGGTCAAAGCTAGATTTATTATTCCTTACTACGCAATGAATTTTTCAAAGGAATGTTAATCCACTGCATAAATTGGAGCATAAAACACGTTTTGTTCATTTTACTTCATTTTTATCACAATTTTTAATCAGATTTATTTTTTTAATAGCCTTCAAATAATTCATAACTAATACTCAATGTTCTATTACATATCTATTACTTGTTATACTGTATTATAAAATCAATTTTTTTATGCTAAATTAAAGGATTAATGATGAATTTTAATATTTCAGAGTATCTCTATTTTAAAGCGTGTTAAATTTCATCAGTTGTAAATAAAAGTATGAATAGGAAAAAATGCTAAATAGATAAGTGTCGAAAAAATAATATTTCTAAATTTTATATATAATATAACCCTAAAAGAGATATTACGCTCTGTAAAAACGATGTTAAACAGTACATTCTCTACTTCACTTCGCAGATGCTCCAGGCGTCTAATTGACCAAAGCAAACTCCCAGCCGCCATATTGTGATGCCTCGTAACGTGTTTCACTAAACTGATTGGCGACGCCTTGCCAGATGCGTCCTATTGTACACGAGGCGTCTCTTTCTAGATATGATGCGAATACAAAATTTTTGGCCACCAAAAGCGTCTCTTTGTGCGATCGGCGCCGTCTAATGCGTTCGAAATCTAGTTAGAATTGATTGAAAGAAAAAGAGCATGTGCGACGGAACGTGAAGGCGAAGAGGCGCCGTATGGGCGTTTCTTTTTGACGTAATTCGACTGCGATTTCGTCTGGTAATTGAATAACTGAATTTCTGTCGTTGAATTCGAGAATTTCGTCTTTCCTTGAGAATCAGTAATAGCTGATGACTGATAGAAGCTATCCTTTCTTTCCTCGCTCAGAATAATTTAATTTAAAATCAAACTGAGTTGCCGTTAACTTTTAAAAGAAATTTAAGATTTACAAATTGCTGGACAATAATACATATATTTATGCTATACTCCAGACTGTTTTAATGTCGTTAATTCACATTGCTATTAATCAACGTCTAGAAAACTTGGTAGAATTCTCAAAGGCATTGGGTAGCTAAATTGGACAACTTAAAGAAAATCAATCTTGGAGGAGACTTTTTCTATTGTTAAATAATTTTGGATGATGTATCAAACTAACATTAAGGCCTCAATCACCAATTGAATACGTTTGATAATTAAATTTTCTTTTGATTAATTGTAACAAAGTTGTTAATTCTACTTTTATTAAAAGCATATAAACTTTTGGGTCACATGACATCTTATGGAAATTAGTCCATTTTTGCATGAATAAACAATTCGTGAGCATCTGCTAAGGGATAACAAATCTGTTGCGGCATTTTAAAGTTATACTATCTTCATATCATTCATATTAGACTTTCAAATATTTTATAAGCACCTCATAAAATTAAATTTTAAATTTGTAAACAACAGATATTGTGATAAAGTAGTAGTGAAAGTAGTAAATAGGCCTATTAGCTTTACGTATTATTATGTTTTGCACTTTCAGGAACAGGTAACAAAAACGAATGTTTTACTTTACATTTACATCTGAAAAACTTAAAAACAGCGAAGGTAATATTTTTTACATTCGTTCTGTTGTCACTTAACCTAAAAATCTCAGCCCTTGAAAACATCAGTGCCCTCTGGCGATTGCCTCTTCGCAGTCTCATTTCACTTTCAGCTTTTCAACAGTAGAAGTGATTCATACTCAGAGAAATGTCTAACTTTCATTCTTCTTCTACTGATGAGTGCGATTTCGATGATATTATTGATCCATCATCTCCAGGTGGTTCGAAGAAACCTCGACTAACGATAAATGCTAGAGAGAGACGTCGCATGCATGATTTGAACGATGCTCTTGATGACTTGAGAAGTGTTATTCCTTATGCCCACTCTCCGAATGTCAGAAAATTATCTAAAATTGCTACACTTCTTCTGGCAAAGAATTATATTTTGATGCAGGCAAACGCCCTGGAAGAATTAAGGCGGATGATTGGAGTGATGAATGGAAATGTTGCTCTTGGTCTAGGAAATCAAACAAATTTAACGTCTTTTGGAGCGAATTTTGGTTTTCAAAGTTTAGAAACATCAGGAGATTTTAACAGATGTGGAAAGAGAAGAAAAATTGACACCTAATGTGTGTTCAAGGCTCAACTGATTATCTGCTTGATGTATCTTCATTCTAGCAAAAAAAAACAGAATATTCGTTTCCCTAAATGTATTAAAGGACTGTAAATTACATTTTATTGTTATCTTGAAAAAAAAACGTGTTGCAGGCAATAAAGTGTTGCATTTTGTATTATTCGGATAATAAATATATCAGACATACACCCAATATTATATTTTAACGCAAAAATATCATAGTAATTGAATGCTTGGTATTTCTGAGCTATCTGTATAATATTTTTACATGTATAATGGCTGTAATCTCCTATTCTCTTTCATACATACATTATTTACTTTTAAGATGTCTTTGTTGACTTTCAGAAAGATTCAATTTTAGGAAAACAATTTAAATTATGTTACTTTCATTTTCTGTGTTGTATTGAATTCTCCTTTGTATAAATAATGATATAGATGGCGTTATTCATCTACTACAGATCTGGGGTAGAAAAGCATAAACATACTTAAAATTGAAACGATAGTGAGACGTCAAAATGTTTTAGTAATATTTTAAAAACGTTTGAGGCGTTATAAAAACTCTATAAAAAATTTAAGTAAGTCAAATTCAAGCAGATGAAACTGAAATTTGATGACAAGATCTGGGAATATTCTTTTGTATACTTATAAAGCAATGGTCGTGTAAGAGAAAACTTCGAATAGCAGGTTTGACAATTTTAAACTAAATCAGTTCTTATAAAGTTTTAGATAACTCAAACTGCAATAGCAATATCAAATCTATGACATGAGTTAACACAAAATTAAACTGTTTTATTAAATCTGTAGCTTTATTGCCAATAGACACAGGCGCAGAATCTTAGAACAAAAGTTATAATAAATTTTAATAAATTAATATTATAAATATAATTGGAAACTTATGAAGATTTAGCAAGTTAGTAGTTAAATTTTTCATGCTTACATCCCAAAATAAGTTTAATCGATAGAAAGCTGGAAAGTAGGACTACTAAAGGAATGTTTATTTTAATATTAATACGATTTACTACATATAAACACAACGAAAATGAAATATTAAGTCTAAGTTTAGAAAGTTAAAAAATATTGTGAGAACCTATGTCTAGTAAGATCTTGGGTCACGGCGTCTGTTTGGTGACAAAGATCTTGATCGTCGAACAGGTCGTATAGCTCTAGACACACTTCTGTTCGAAGTCATTATTGGTCTGGTTGAACTCCGAACAGCTGAAAGAGGTCTCGAAGGAATCAGCACTTTAGACGCGTCTTCGTAGCCTGCTCTGAAGCCATCTGACATGTCTTCAAGCGTTGCATCCATTGCTGCGGCCGTCATAGAATGAGACTGTTGAGCTAAAATTAACTTCTCAAGTCGAGAGATAATCTCATAATCTGGTACAGCTAAACTCTGCACATCTAAGCCCAACATTCGAGCGATAACCTGTCGTAAATCTAAAAGCTGGAAGAGCAATTTTTTTGTTGAATATAAAAATGAACAGCAGATATTTCAATTAACTTACAGTTCTTTCTCTTTTGTTAACTTCATCTAAAGCAGCTTTTATAGTTCTTAGCTCACTTGTCAAGGTTTGAATGCTATGATTAGCAGAAGAATTTTTCTTGTTCAATTCTTGATCTTTATAATCAATTTCTTCTTGAAGGCCAGAAATCTTTTTTGATTGTTGTTGACAGAGCATTTCTAATTCTTGTAATCTACTTGTTCTTTCTTCGATAGTTTGACTTTGATGCAAAACTCGATTCTAGACATTAAAGTTGAGAAATATTTAATATTTATAATCATTTAAAATGAAACCAAAATGTACCTCATAGTCTTTTGTTTCGAGGAGGGAAGCTTTTAATTCTCGAATTTGGCAATGTGCTTCATTTAATTCAGACTTATAACGTTCTACAAGTTTGCACAGCTTCCTATTTTTCATCATTTCGGAGTCTTTTTCTCGTTCAATTTCTGATCGACCATTCAATCTTTCTTCGCTGGTGGCAACTTTCTTTCTCAGTAATTCCATATGTACCTCCTTGCTGTCCAGCTGCTCTTTCAATTGTTTTAACTTTCTCTGTAAGTTGTAAATATGAGTTTTTCTATCTATCAGAGCGTCTGATTCCAGTTTTACTAATTGTTCTGCCCTAGCTAGGATAGCATCAGTCGACATATCATATCCAATATCCATGCTTATTGGGTCCATTTTCAGAGCTCGGGAAATCCTCTCCAAAAATTGCAAGTATCTTTCCTTATCTGATCTCAGCCCATCTCTGAGAACATCTGCAGTAGCTAGCTCTCCTTCAGCTTGCATCACTCTCTTTTGCATGGCAGAAATTTCAGTTTCGGCTTTTGCGGCCCGTCTATCAGTTTCCCTTTGGATATGGAATGAGTTTTCTAGCTGATTTGTTAAACTTGCAACTTTCTTTTCAAGATTTTCGATACAAGAATCTCTATCTCTGTTAAAAGTCATCAGAACTCGAACTCTTTCACGAATAGCCTCCTCAAAAGGTTCTACAGCACAAGACGTATCACTTAACCAATTAGCTAATTGCTGTTTAAAACTGCGGAAATTTGTTTCGCTATTTCGAAGAGATATTTCCATTTCTTTTTGATGGCGTTCAAAGTTTGATACTCTTGTCTCACGCGACTCATGTTCATGCTTTGTCGCAGCAATAATTCTCTGAGACGATTCCAAGCGATCTCTAAGTATTTCAACTTCTCTTTCTAATTCTTTTGCACGAGTTTGAAACGTTTCTCGTTCCATGCGTAGTGTTTCAAATTCGTAAGTTTGCCTACTACACGATTCTTGCTTGCGCTCAACATCAGAAACAAGGCGTTGGATTGTTTCTCTATTGGCTTTTGATTCCATATCAGCGCTTCTAATATATTCCTGCATCGTGACTATTTTTCCTTTTAGCAGATTTAATTCTTCTTGCATTTCTGTTGCTTTTGAAACGACCGAATCGATAGCCTCCATGCTTGATGAAGAATAGGATGATTCAACAATGTCTATGCTCAAGCCCAAAGCATTTGTAACTTCTCTGAATTTCCTGGATATAGTTATGCTTCTCTGTTCTAATTCCTCCTTTTCTGCTATCAACGTTCTATTTCTTCTCTCTAGCTCCAGTATTCTTTGGGAGGATTCCTTTGTTTCCAGCTGTAGGGCGTTTAGTGCTATCTCTCCTCGCTGCTTCGCTCCTTCCAAGCTACCATGTATAGCTTCATACTCAGTTAATTGATGCCTGAGTTGTGAGACATAAGCAACCTGTTTCGCTTCATTCTCTCTTGCTGTTTCAATTTCTAGTTTAAGATGTTGAATACGACTTTCACGATCTTCAACTTGGTGCTGTAAGTCTCGAACTTGTGAGCTTAATCTATCTACTCTAATTTTGAGACTATCTGCTTCAGAGCGAGCAGCAGCAGCAGCTTGAATTCTCTCAGTAGAGAATTTTTCCTCTAACTGAAATAAGATATATATTATTTGATTATGAAACATGCTAGGTTACTCACTCTTGCAGAATCAAAGGTACATTTTGGTCTTGTGGAGTCGACACTGTTTGTCAGTCAGAAAATTTTTAATGGGTAATAAGTAAGATTATACTTAATACCTAGTTAGTTGAGTTATGAGCTTGTCCCTACGATTCAAATCGTCTTTTAGAATACGAATCTGTTCTTGTAACTGTAAAAGTTGTACAAATATATAAGATGTAAAATAATCAATAATTATAATTATTAATAATGTATATCTACGTCAACAAAATCTTTCTGCTCCACCGGTGATAGCGGCCTAGTCACAAAAGTAGTTGATGTAGTCGATGTTGGGGCAAACGTTACCTGAAAGTATAACTGGATTAAAACATATTGCTATGTTGAAGACGGTTACGCTTACATGTCTTTCCTCCAATCTATGAAGACCATTTAGAGAATGTCTTATCGAACTTTCTACTAGACTTGGTCTCTCAGAAATATGAGGTAATCCATTTGAATCTTTCTCCCTGTAAAGAGCCATAAGAATATAAAATCTACTTCAATGCGAACACCGGAGGAATTCGAATAGGTTTGAAGTATCTGCTTGCTTGGCAACAGTGGGAGCGTATGTCAACAACCGCAGTGGTTGCTAGGTGAAGCGATAATAGCGTCACCGTTGCAGCCATTTGCAACTAACTTTAGTGCTAACGGTGCCATCTATTTGTTATCTATCAAACATTGCCTGGTTTTTGTGGAAAAATCATGTTTTTCAAATTTAATAATTTCACCGGACGAATCACACAATCTACTAATAGAGTAACTTATAATCCTGAGGTTAGTTGGGGCAAAAATTAAGACTAATAAAGGAGATATATCTATTTGTCATTGTGTTAAAGTCACTCATCATATTATCGCTCAACAGGGACTAAATACGACCGTAGCCCAATCGGAGCAGCTTATTTTTCAAACTAAAACTGTAAAATTTCCGGTAGAACATATTCCCAAGGTTCATCAAGTTAATGGTCCAGCTACTGGAAAGCTTGGAGTTGTGCCGGATCACCCAGGCTATAAAAAAGTGATGGAACTTCAGCAAAGGATGAGTGTAAGTATAATAATAAAAGAAGTGATGTAGCTTTCATACTCCTTTATTTACAGAAAAGTGATGGTTTACTTGTGTGGCAAAAATTAGGAAGCAAAGATAAATTATCATACTTAGCAATAATCGGTGGATGCGCTCTTGGAGTAGCCTACTCTGTGAGAAATCTGTATTTAATGACCTTTCCCAAGAGCGCTTCGGATTAATAGAAAGTTTGAGGAAATAAATGAGTGTGTGCAATTTATTTTTTAAGCTTTTAAGTCAAAATATCCTATAAGCAATAGACATTTACTAGCATCAGAATCATTTGCAAACAAGTTTTCCAGGAGGAATTAAATGGCCAGGAAGCTTAGTAGGTAATTCGTATCCTTTTTTTGCCACGTCCACAAGGTGTACTGCTAGACAAAACTCATCCCCGTCCAGCATTCCGTCTTTGTCAACATCAGAAAGCTTCCAAATCTTAGAGAGGACGTGGCCAGTAAGCTGCGATTTAGTCAACTCATCTCTAGCGACCGACGCATTTAGCTATAAATACATTTATTAGTATTTAAACTAAAAATATGCTGAAAAATTCACTCAACCTTTCCATTTACTGGATTCAAACTTTGAAATAATTTCATATATTCTGGCTTTTTATTTTCAACAATCCAAGATCCTGTTCCACGTCCCTTGTCCACGCCTTCACCATATCCAATATTAAAGGGGGAACCCTTTACATTTTCAAAAGCTCCACCTTTTACAGAGGCTTCGCTTTTTTTGTATTTTTTTTCTTCATGAGGTATCAATTTCATTAACTTTGAAATATCATTTGATAACATATATTCAGTATCATCAATTAATTTTTCCTGAAATGAGTACACTTAAGACGATATCAGCTTAAAAACAGTTAACAAACTTTCAAAAGTTTGAATTTCGTAAAATCTTGAAATTGAAGATTTCTACGAAAGCGGTCTATATCGGGTAGGTCTCCATGAGGAATAGTTTTTTGATGTTGAATTTTATTGAAAATATCTCCTAATTTTTTAATCAATTCCCTCTTTTTCTTTTCCTTACCTAAAAATCTTGGCATTTCTCTTTTCAGATAAGCAATAATGTAGGCGTGAACCTAAAATTTATAAATTAGATAACGTGGGCGGGAAAGAATTAATCTTATTGTACGATTATGCAATTCCTATAAAAAAGTGATTATAGTTATTTAAAGCATAAAAACCTTGGCTAATCGAGCTCTTTTAATTAGATCATTTACTTTTCTGACAGCAGCGTGGCTCGGTAAACATTGCAAATCATTAAACAAATCATTTGCTTCTTTCTCAAAAATATGTCGATTTTCATCAAATTTTAAAGGTTGGGCCCAAAATGATCCTATATATACCCTAGCAACTTCTGGAGTACTCAAAACCTTACCTAATGACCACATAAGAGCTCCATACACTCTCATCAGTTGTTGACTATCTACCATGTCTGCTTTATTAAGAACAATCCTAACTTTTTCCTCATATCTTTTAATTGATTCAATTACGATGCGCAATTCGTCAGATATGTCTAGCTTATGTGCATCGAACAATAAAATAATTCTATCAACTCGCTCAGCGAACCACTCTATTACAGCACCAAAATCATATCCTCTATCCAAAGTCTGCTTCTCACCCGATAAGATTCCAGGAGTGTCTACGATCGTTAAGCTATCAAGAACTTTATTCTCAAGAATAGAACACTGTAACCTTGTCAGGAAATGATTTCCAAATTTTGATAGTTGTCTAAATTGTTTGCTTGTATCAACAACTAACGCGTTCCCTGGAATAATACTCTTCTGGGATCCACCGGTTAATATTATAAACTTATCAGTTGTTGGTTCGGGGCCTATTCTCATCCCGGGAAAATCCTCCTCAAGAAGATGTCTAATAAAACTAGTTTTGCCAGTAGAGTATTGCCCAACCAACAATATCATTGGCTTCGCCTCAAAATCAGCTTCCTCCAAAGAAGGTTGATGAAAGTCATAATACTTATAGGCTTCCTCAAGTGGCTTTAGTTTCTTGAAATAGCAATGCTTAAGTCCAGGAGTAACTGACTCAAAAATGTCTAAATGTTGTTTTCGATTGTCATTATGGTTCAACCAACTAAACATTCCTACTTTTAGATCGAAATAAACTCAGATCCGTCTAGTAACAAAAAGTTGATCGCTAATGTACGCGCGCTCTATCACGGAAGTACGAAGTTCGCTGCGCATGCGCACTTCTCCAAGGTTGAAAGAAACCAATTGTATTGGATATTTGTCCTCAGATACTAACAAATAAATTTGAGATAATTAATGTATAATTGCTACTAATTTTACAGCTAATCAATGACGTCATCAGTCTTGTTTTGATTTACTGCCGCCTGTGTATCTCCTTCCAGGGACTGACGCAATTGATTAGAAATAATCTATCGATGGGTCGGATATTTCTCAATAATCTAGGTGGAAAACAAATTTTCTCCTGTGCCAGCTGTGACGCACCTTTAACAAACAAAGATGAATTAGTATCCACAAGATTTACGGGAGCAACAGGACGAGCGTTCCTTTTTAATAGAGTGGTAAATCTAATCTTCAGTGAAGTTCAAGACAGAGTTATGTTAACTGGCCGTCACATGGTTCGTGATGTTTCTTGTAAAAACTGTGATACAAAACTGGGTTGGGTATATGAATTTGCTACTGATGAGAGTCAGCGTTACAAAGAAGGCAGAGTTATTCTCGAACGCGCTCTTGTGTCAGAATCTGATGGTTTTGAAGAGACTCCACCCCCTCCTAAAAGGTCTCTCAATCCGTTCCCTTATGTTCAATGACTAACTCGATAATTCCGTAAAAGTCAAAATTTTGTTTAAAATATAAATTTGTAGTATATATTTAGAATTCATTCCACAATTAGCAGAAGTTTGAATTTAAAAAAATCTATCGTATATTACTACTCGAAGATGTTAATAAGGTGTCAACATAATCATCAAAAGCTGTAGAAATCATTTCTATACACTCGAATAGTTCTGTGGTTGAACTAATTTCTTTCCTATCTGACATACTTGTAACTGTTACCGAAGTATAAATAAATTTACAGTGAACATGGAAAATTGTGAGTTGCTTACGTGAATAATTTGTTGAATAGTCCGATAAGAAAGCATTCTGAAATTCATCCAACAATTCTTCAAATTCCGACTTGGGGTCTAGTTCATTGACATTTAATGTATTTTCGATATCAGGTAGTGTTATATTCGTCTAGAAGAATTACAGATAAAAAAAATGAAATTGAATTTAAAAACATACATTATGAAGTGCAATATCTTCATCAAGAATTGAAGCTAAATTACGGCAAATTTCTTTAGATTTCTTTTGATACTTGTCAACATATTTTGGCGGTGGTGATTTCACTAAATTATCATAAATGGAATAATCAACAATGTCAAAATCTTCATTCTGAAATAATATTAAACGTTAATGTTGGATTATTACATATATCATGTATACTTTATGTAAAATTTTTTTTAATCTATTTAATTGTCCTTCGAGGTGTTGCAATCGCTCGCCATCAAATGTAGGATTGATAACTTGAGCATTTTTTAAACTTTGTCGTAATTGTTTGTTTTCCATTTCCAAGCATCGAACAATATCTTCGAGTTCGCGCCTATCACTTTTATCTATATGTAAGCTCTTTCCATCATTTGGCTGTAAAAATTTAAATCACTTTCCTATTTAAATTTAAATTTGAGTAACAGACTATCTTTTCATCTACAAAATCGCTATCTGTTGAGCAGTTTGAGCTACCAACCAATTGCGGAGGATTTTCATGTGTTATAGTGCTAAGTTGAAAGAAAGTAGTTTAAAACCTATTATATATAGTATTACCCATATATTATTATAAAGAAACCATACAAGTTATCTTCTATCTCCTCTCGACGAACAGGACTAACTGGAAGATAACGTAAACGTATTTTTCTTCGACGCTTTTTGCTTAAATTATTTTTTATAATATTGAATAAAGCTCTTGTACTTTCGAAAGCCGAAGACTGAAAAAAAATGTTTATATATAACTCTTAACAAATATCACTTTATACAAACCGCAAAACAGTATTCTTCAGTTGGATGATAAAGTTTGTGATTTCTGCTCACTTTGCAAGTTAAGAAACAGGTCTGACATAAGTTATAGTTAAAACATTGTAGACATTTGTATCTATTGGTTTCATAAGAATATTATTATAGTGTATTTTTGTATATATAAAAGGTCATAAAACCTGAATCCAACAATTGGTAGACCTTTACAAACGTCACACTTAATTCCATGATTAACTTAAGTAATTACACGATCAATGAAAAAATATTCAGTACATTAGTAATATACTCACTGTGTTCTGCTGCAATCATTCGATGAAAAGTGGCTAGCCAGACAAGAGTTTGCGGCTCCTTAGCCAGCCACTGCATATATTCATCTTCCGATATTACATCTGCATCAGTCTAAATCAAACAAGAATGACTTATTGTAAACTTATATTGATCCTAACTTACAAATTTAAAGCAGCTATGAACAGCGGAAGAAATATTAGTTCCACCAAACGCTTCACTCTCTCCTAATAAATCTGGTATGTATATAACTGCTCTTAGTAGAGCTCCTAATTGTTGTCGAGATAGCTTTCCGTCATCATTTTCAAACAATGAATACAAATCTGTAATGTTGAATTCGATTACTCAATAGGAGAAAATCAAATTTACTTGCAGTGATATTTGTCAAGTAGCTTCGCCGACGAAAGTATACACAGGGCCACTTTAATTTTGGTAACGTAAACTGTTCCTGTCCTTTTGCTACAGAAGTAGAAGCTTTTTTATAAATATATAAATATTTATCTACTTACACATCATATAAGTTTAACATTAAATTTACCAGTTGCTGTATAATAGAATCGAACTCCTTATTTGTCACTATATACTTTAAGAGAGGATGAGCGATCTATTTCAATAAAATGATTATTATATTCTTTGCTCAAGAATGATAACAAACCTTTGTTAATATGTTTTGTAATTGCCGACAATCAACGTATGACTGCATATTATTAGCTAACCCTTGCTGATCAAAAGCCAATGATATTTGACTAAGTGTCATCTGCTGTACTGTTCATATCGATTAATTAAAAATAAATCAAGCATAATAAAAGAGATTAGTACATTTCAGATATTTTTGCAGACGACGAAGTTTAGCTGACGTTCTATAAGCAGCAAATTTTATGTTGTCTAACTCTTCTGTCGAATAAATGCGGTTCATAAAAATAATAAGTTTACAAATTACATACCAAATGACTGTAGGAGTTTTACAAATTGTGGATGGTCCCATTGAGTTTTTTGTAAAACATGACTGAAATATACATATAACTATCCCTATTAACTTTAAATTCTATTGGACATTACTTAACATAATAAGGAAGGCCAGTTTCTGTTTCACAGCGTTCCCAATCTTCAGTTAAATCTGTAAATAAACAATAGAAAGTAAATGAGGGAAATTTACGTTAATTACACCATAAGCCATATGAAATAGCATACAAGTTTGAATATTGTTCCAAAGATTCATGTTTTGTCTGTTTCATATAATCTTATAAGATAAATAATCAACAAATAATTTTAAAAGAAATTATGAGTGCCTGTCCGCTAGATTTAAACTAAGTTGTTTTCGTATTTCACAAAAGCATAATGACTAGTGACATCTATCGACAGTAAATTTCATCCCTTCATATTGACTATATTGAAACAGCAATTAATTGTTCATCACGAACGGTACGTAGCTTATATCCTAAAAAACATATGAATCTTTTATTTTTTGAATCCCCACCAAGGAAAAATCAAAATTTTATACTTTACATTATCTCCATAATTACTGATATGTAGACCTTCTCTATGATACCTAAGATCTATTTTAAAACATACATAAGAAAATAGTGAAAAAGGTGTACAATATACTTTCTGGAATTCCAAGCAATAGTAATTTTTCAAAGCTTAAGCTATTTAACAAATTTCAGTAATGTATAATTTATTTTATTCATCCTCAGGGTAAATTTAATTTGCAATAATTCCATAGTCTGAATGGAGATCACTTTTTTTTTAAATTTCTCTCAGATCGTTTGTTATTTTTTAAAATGAAATTTTGAAATCAATAGGCCATATGGCATGTAGGGTTAACTCATAGTTATGCCTTAAATATAGCCATATCATTGTAGTAATTAAGAGAGGGAAAAGGTTCAAATAACGGGCCTATCTTACAAGTTTTGTAAAGTTAAAATTACTACGTCATGATTGAATTTTAATATTTAGTTTGCATGAGATGTAGGTGTCGCTTATGGGCATTCGAGTAATTTTCTGTCACAATTTTGCTCTAACTATTACTTTTGAAAAACTTGTTGATTATATTGTGATAAAATAACATAGAATGAGCAAATAAATATCTTTTACGTAAAAATTTGCTAGTATGGTACTCAAATTTATTAGCCTGGTTCGTTACCTCTGTGCCACAGGTTTGGACAAAATGCGCGTTTGTCAGGTCTGTCGTGTACACCATTCGCTAACGTGCTTGAAATGTTCTATAAATAGCTCCTAAATATAATTTATGATGTAAGTTTAATCTTTTTTCAACTGTTTTATTCCCTAAGGGCGATAATCAACTGTCAGTAATATCGTCATGTCCTTTATTGCATCAAGGTCAAATCAGAGAGAAGAGACGCTCCAATCTTGTTATCCCTGCTCATGCTCTTCGGAAAATGCCATGCACTTTTCCATTATTAGACAATCCAGAGAGAGTTTGGACATGATGAACAAGCTAAGACAAGATGATTGTTTATGTGATGTTGTTTTAAATGCAGAAGGAACTCGAATATCTGCCCACCGATTAGTTCTCGCTGCTGCCTCTTCCTATTTTCGCGCTATGTTTTGTAAGGGAATGAAAGAGGGTAGTCAAACAGAGGTTGACTTAAAAGGTATAAAACCGTCCACACTGGAAACACTCGTTGAATATGCGTACACTTCTGAAATAGCAGTATCTGATTCAAATATTTGTGACCTTCTGTCAGCATCCAGCATGTATGAAATGAGTCATGTTGTTGATTCGTGTTGCACTTATTTGGAGCATCGCCTTGATCCATCAAACTGCATTGGAATAGCTGATTTCGCCCAAACGCATGGATGCACCGATCTATATGCCAAAGCCACAGCGTATCTCTTCAGAAATTTTAGTCAAGTAAGAGTTCATGAAGAATTCAAGCAATTAAGTTTTCCTCGATTGATGCACTTGATCAAACATGATGAATTGAGTGTTCGATGCGAAAGTGAAGTATTTGAAGCAGTAATTAACTGGATAAAATATGATGAGTCTGTTCGTTTGAATAAACTTGAAGAATTAATTACTGCTGTTCGTTGTCGATTTCTCACGCCTTCATTTTTAAATAAGCAGATTAAGTACTGCTCGGTGCTAGACAATTCTTGTAAATCTTACTTAAACAACATCCTTAAAGATTTGACTCTACATAAGCCTTGCACGGATAGACGCAGAAAACCAACATCACCTCTTGTATTATACGTCATTGGCGGTTATTTGAGACATTCGTTAGCTACAGTTGAATGTTATAATCCATCTACAAGAACCTGGCAAAAATTATCGGATTTGCAAAGTCCTCGATCGGGCATTGCAGCTGTCGTTGCGCAGGATATATTATATGTATTAGGGGGACGCAATAACTCCCCGGACGGAAGTTTAGACTCGGCAGAAGTTCATTGTTACGAACCATGTAGTAATGCATGGCGAGTATGTCGTTATATGTCAGTTCCAAGAAACCGTGCGGGAGCGTGCGTCGTCGATGATCAAATCTACGTCGTAGGTGGTTCACATGCCACAGCATATCATGAATCTGCGGAGCGTTATGATTCTGCTTCAGATACATGGACAAATATATCACCAATGAAAACTGCACGAATGGGCGCAGGTGTCGCTCAGGTTAACAGATTAATTTATGCCATAGGTGGTTTCGACGGACACGATCGTTTAAATTCAGTTGAACGATATTGTCCTGATAAAGATAGATGGCATCAGGTATCTGCTATGAGAACTAAAAGAAGTGGTTCTGGTATTGCTGTTCACGAACAATATATTTATGTGGTAGGAGGTTACGATTCTCATGAACAACTTAATGTTGTAGAGAGGTATGATACAGAAAGAGATGAATGGACTACACTTGCTTCTATGAGCGCTGCCAGATCAGCTCTCAGTTGTTGCGTTCTTAATGGGAAACTTTATGCTTTGGGGGGATTCGATAGCAACGATATTCTAGATATTGTTGAGGCTTTTAACCTTGAAGAAGGAACATGGAGTGAAGAAACAAAAATGTCATGTGGAAGAAGTGGTCATGGCTGTGCTGTCGGTTTAGAGCCTTGTTTCGAATGATTTTTGTTGATTTAATATTTATTTCTTTAATAAAATTACTGCCTCGAAAAGGTAGAGGTAAGGTAAACAAAACAAGCAAACAAATGATCAGTGGTGTAGCACCATTTCAACTAAATTAATCTCGAAGCGTCTAGAAATCGCAATAAAGTTCGATAAACGAAAATATACTGTTCTGCAGTCTGAACGGCGTGCATTCTCTGTTCTCTGATTAATCGAAGAACTTTTGGTAAATCCACATCCTGATAAACGTGATAAGTTTTATTAAGTTATAATTAAAAGTATTAACTTACGGCATTTGATTGTAAACAGGCAGTCATGACATCAGCAAGTACGTATGAACCCGATTTACCTGCTCCATTTTCACATAGCACTAATAGACTAGATTCATGATTAGATGCTTGCAGAGTTCTACATTCTTGAATAAGAGACATAAAAGCATTAGAATCAGGCCAAGAAGTTAATTCTAATTGCCAGATATCTCTCTCTACGGCAGTATTTTTATTCATCACACGAAGTCGCCAGGTGGCGTATCCAGGGGACGATCTATCAACGCATTTTGTGTATACCTCCATATCTCCAAAAATTTTTGAATGATTGATTTCCCGATTCCAGTACATCGTCTCATTATCTAATAAAACTATGGTAGAGACTTTTTTTTCCCAGATCATTTGCCATAAATCCCATTCAGTTTCTTTGTTCGATGGTAGCTGCCCAACAATAAAACGCCACTCCATGGTCGGTGGGTGCCTTCTTGAAGAACCAGGCAGACGAAGTTTTATAGATGAGGCATTAATATAGCCACTAGCATTTGATGAAGTTGAAGAAAGTTTAATTCTGTTATGATCGTAAGGCAGAATTCCTGTGTCTCGATTTCGATACTCTGTGATCGATTGTTTTCCAATGAAGAAGTCAGCATTCGCTTTAAGAGGCGCAATACTCTCAAATTCAGTTTCGGCCTGAGCCAACCTCGTTTCTAACTGTCTTCTTCTCTCATCAATTGGCTGTCTATCCGCCTGTTGAATGTCATGATATAACTTTTTTTTAATATTATGCATTCTTTGTTATGAATATAACAGTGACAGGTAGGCAATTTTTTTTATTAAAACGTATTGTATGTAAATGCCAAGTGATTTGATAAAATATAACGCCCCTGTTCTGATAAAAGTGTTTTGCAGCGACAATTTGACTACAATGTTTATATGCTATATCTACCGACTTATATATCAGTTAAAATCACTATATAAAATGTTGAGTACTGAGCCTGCACTACCCACAAATAAAAATTTCGTATCATTGGCCTACACTCTAACGTTGGTACACCGTAATCGATTTTCAGAAGCAACGAAAACAAAACATTCACTGTGAGACTGAGAATATTACGAATTTCTCACAAATAGTCCTATGAAGATATTGATAAACCTTCAAGATTGAACACAAGAAACAATAATATTCATCACACCTTTTTTTTTCGACGCATGCTAGCAAACAACGAAGATCGCCTTCTGCCAACAAAACTTTTGCCAATATCCAAGTAGCTGTCACTCTTACAGAAAGTAACTTCCTCTTTAGATTCTTTTCTACGATGAAAACAACAGAGGGACATAACTAAAACCGGTTTACTCCTAACATTTTCCATCGTCGAGCCATTCGCCAACAAGTTTCCTGGTCACGCACAGGCTTGCTAAAAACCTGTTTAAACCACTAGACTAACGTCTAAATTTCGGTTAGACTAAGGACAGATTTCGAATCGACAGCTATTGAACACCAACTCTCGTGTGACAAGCAATATGATCGAACGATTAAAGCGCCCTCGTGTGAATAAACGAAAACAATTATCCTCTTACTATGATTCACTATCTCTATGGTTACAACAACAACAATTGATTAATCGTATTGAACACTACCTGACTTCATTAGGCTTACTTTGTTAACATTATCAAATAATTAGAAAATAGACTCACATTTATTAACACAGGAGATGCAATCTCATAAAAGATTGACTTTTGACTTGACTCTGAGACATTTGAACTCTGCTGACAATGAAAAGGCGCAGGAAGTTTGAAAGCGGCCGTTTCTTCACAAGCCTCAGCTATATTTTCCATACTTTTATCGAGAGCACGAATCACATCAGGTGGAGGCTTATACAGGTCAGGTGTGGAGAAAGCCGAAGTGTTTTGATATAATGGTAAAGATGCTAGATCAGGTGAGGAAGAGTGCATTTTATTTAATTGATTACGTCTGTTCACTGCTTCATCATAACTTGGAGCTGGGCGATATGCTGGGAGTCCATTTGAATAAACGGGTTCTGGAGAGGCAGTATCGTAATTGCTTTCATTTCGCTTTAAATTCATATACATATCTGCCATATGGGGTGTTTCTGAGGCCACCATATTTATATATGCTCTTGTATTAGCTGGATCATCAATATGATCCGCAATCGACGACAATTGAATGTCACTGTCAAATAAATGTATTCAATTAATGGGATGAAGAATATATATCTGAATACAAACGGCATCTGAGTGAATTTTGGAACTTCCGAAAGGTCGATAGGTTTAGTTATATCGTGATCGGTCACAATAGAAAATGGTTTGCTTTTATAGAACCAGTGAAACTTACTAACAATTCGCCAAATATATTTGCATTGATCATTATCTTGCTAATGTGAATAATAAAATTGTAGATTATTAAAACATGTTATCATTCCGTACTAAAATTTTATCTAATATTTTACCAAGTGGTAGTATAATGTCTGCTGTCCACTGACTATGCCTAAAGACTTTTTATTCCTGACAAATTTACATATTTTATCCCACTCAAAGTAAATTGTTCTTTCTTCGCTATTTGATGGTTTAACTAACATACCAACAAAAGAAGTACCTAAAAATACTTCTTTTCCATCTGTATCCTGTAAAACTTATACATAATAAAAATTTTTTCATGAATAATATATGAACTTACATGAGCTTTGTAATACTCAACTCCATAGCCATGAAGTCTTTGCACTGTGAGGATGTAATTTATTTGTGCTTCGCCTGGCGACATACCTAAAAATTCTAGAGTATTTTTTTCAAACTTATCATCTCCAAATTCAGCTGAAATTGAATCTCAATATCACTACTGTTAACTATGGAAATTAGAACATCTACCGTGTAAACTAAGTGTAGCCAAGCTTGCGGCTTGATCAGAATCACAATTTATTCTTCCCTCTATTACATCTGATTTAAGCTGCAAGTAGTATTGATACCTTGAGTGCAAAAACAAAAAAAATATCGTTATTTTGAGATTACATTCTTTTTAATGTTTCACCTAATAGCTTCATCTTTAATTTGGTGTGCATTAGCTAAATAATACATTACTCCAAAGTAAAATAGACGCTCTGAGTTGACTTCTGCTTGCTTTTCCAATTGTTTCCTTAGAGGTTTATCTAGGTCAATCCAACGAAATTGCATATTTTTGTTGATGTATCGAAGGCCAAACAGTTCCATCGCTAAGTCATTCTGAAAAGTGAGATGATAAATTTCTACCTTTGTAACTAATTCAACTTATACGTACATGGCTAAGGTTCATTCGTCGAATAATATTTTCTAGACAGTCTCTTCCTAAACTGTCCGAGTTTAGAGTGCATTCTAGCCGAATAGAGTTATCCAGAAGCTGAACAACAACTATAATAGTACCTTTTGTTGTAATATTATATTTTCTTTTTTTTTTTATAAATCCCAAAGGCATCCCTGGAACGAGCTTCTTACTTCAATGAGATTAATGCAGAAAAAGCTTCTGTAGAAAAGATTTAAAAATTGTTAGGCAGAGTTAAGTAACTCTAATAAACTGAGCAACTGTGGGTGAGTTGAATTAGTGTGTGACATCACAAATAAGCGATCATTGTCCTCGAAAATAACTAGTTCTAGCCTAATAATGAGTCATGAAGGAATTTCCGTTTTGTAAGAATTTCGACTTCCGGTTCTGACGAGTAAAAATTACTACAATAATCAATCACTATTTTATATTTAACTACTAGACTGTAGCTAAATAACTTTAATATCTGTTGCGTATTTCAACAAACAGTTTACTAATTGTTGTCTTAAAAATGGCGATTAGATGTCACTCAAATATCTCCATTTTACGAAACGTAAACGTTAGACGCATTTTAGATTGTTTAATTTTATGTAAGACGATAAACTTTTAATCCAAGGAATTAAAGAATGAAAAACGTTCATTAAATTTTTCCTCGGTAAACTACGATTAATTTACAGTGTAGACAAGGTTAATCAAATATGCTACGTAACGTTTGGATTTACTTTTACAAATTTAGTAAGTTTTAAGAAAGTGAAACTATGTGACATTCAATATTAATATATAAGAACAGTTAATATATTGTTTTCCAGAGCTCATTAGCCGAGAAGGCAAACATCAATAGAATAGGCATTTCTTTTATGTCCAATTAGGATATTGCTCCCAATTTCAGACTTATGAATAAAAAACATATAGACAGAGAAAAATAATTGATTAAATCCTATGAATTGAGGTTAAGACTTTCAAATCGGAAAAAAAAATCAACAGCTAGTGCATGTTAAAAACAGTGTTTTATCTGTTATCCTCTTTGGTATATTTGTAATGTATTTAGCTTCAATTTATTTGATCAATTCTTAGTTTTAATCAATTATTGTCAACTCTATTAAATAAGATAATTGTATAAAGTATAATCATACAAATAATAAAATTATAATTTCCCAAAAAAGATTTCATTTATTTTTTTTATGATTTCTAAATCATTTATTCTAGTTTATATCTGGGAAATGTGATAAAATATTTAGTACGTTAGCCTTAGCAAATATGCTTAAATCAAAATTCATGCGTTACATATCACCAATCAAATTTACACTATTTTAGAAGGCAAGAAAGTTGAAATTCAATACTGTCTTGAAACGTTGTCATTACAGTGCTTAGCCAATGAAATATAAATCTAAAGATAGCCTCAAAGGAAGGTTAAATTTACCTGAAATATTTCAGTACGATAGAAGTGCATAATACGCTAATATTTTCTTGAAAAAAGCATAACTATTTTATAATACTATTTCATTTCAAGATTATTTTTAACACTTTATATCATAACAGGAAAAGGAAGTGCCTGATATGTTTTGCCATCTGAGCGAAAAAAGAGAAGTCGCACACGCTTTATCTCATAAAGTTATGAATTTTTTTTACGTTGATTGCTTGAATTCTGTGTAATCTCGCTTAAATTAACGATGCTTGGGAGTGAAAAATTAAAGTTTCAATTGAAAAATTTGGAATATGAAAAAGTTAGTATAAGAGATATTTCTGATGAATATCAGTTCAGATATATTTTTCCAAATAGATCAGCAGTAAAGAGCAACTTGTGGTATTGAAGGAGGTCAGTAATTGTTAACTCTTCTTCAGATTAGTTTGTTTCTTTTTATAATTCCTTTACAATGATTAAATCTTCAGATCTTATTCAGTATTCTTTCAAATAAAGCTGCCTCTCAGGAGGCCCTTTCAAATATATCAACTCTTCTTTTTAAGGGCTGTTTAACACCAGATACCTCCAAATTTTTTGTCAAGTAACTGAATCTTTTTTGGTTATTCTTAAAACATTAGTTTGTTTTTCAACATAGGTTTTGCTCGGAGAATATAGACAAGCTTTCAAAATTCCAAATATGTAGCATCGTTTTAGAACATTTGAGAAATCTGCCTACAATAGAGAATTTGAATAAATCTTACAATGCTCTAAATTTTTATCTTGTTGATGCGAACAATGTCATAGGTACAAAGAGGATATCCCATACATTACCTTTTTTCTGATATTGCTTAGCTTCTATTTTACTTCAGGCAATGAGCTTACTCGTAAATATTTCAAAGATATTTTGGAATACTTCCGCAACTTATTGGACATTTTTTTCAATCAGATAAAGTAGAATCTTCTCAGATTATAATATCATTTTAAGATTGAAGATTATTTCCTTAGAATATGTCAAGGAAATCAAGCACGTGGAGCTGTTTTGCATGACGCTTACATTGTCTCTCAGAATACTTTAAGATTTATTCACAAATTCGAAAAATTATGTCCCAACTATGACTTCAGTTACGAAAATGCTAATTCAACCACGCACAAATTGTTGCTGATAGCCGAAATTGCCTTGTTAAATGGTTCATTGATAATCTTGGATATAGTACGTAAATAATGTTTCATTCTGCAGATCATTTCTCGTTCGAGTGCAAAAGTAGTTTTGGAATGCTCTTACCCGGTGTTCTTCAACACTCTTTTGGAAATGAGAAGGAATTCTTGATAAAAGTATTTCAGTGTTCAAACATATCTTTATTATATTTGTAAAATCTGACTACTTTGTGACAGATATCTGAGGAGTACTTGGGTGAAAAAGCAGTCGAACTCGAAAAATATTCTATTTTGTCTAAATTTAGCCTATTAAGAGGGATAGTTACATGTATAAAGAAAAAATTCCTATTAATGATTATTCATCAAGGGAATAGTCTACTTACTCAAGTAGTATCTGTCATGTTTCAGCTACTTTCTAGGTAATTATTCAATAAACATATATCTAAATATCAAGTCTTTCATACAATGGTTAATACACTAGAGTGGAAGATACACCATCAAGACTGATGGCCTCTAGAGCTTTGCTTTCGTGGATAACAATAGCAAAGTAAGTATTGAAATATTGCCGAACATAAATTCTATATATGTTTCTTATAGGGATCTACTGCAAGAAAATTTGGAGTGTTTTACAAAGACATATTTCTCTTATAACTCTTTCGTAGCAATCAACTACATTGCATTTTGCCAACAACATTGGGATGATCCAGTTGATGTAACAACTAAATTTTCATAATTTGCTATTCAATCTTATCTCCTTCAGACGATACGTCATGACGTGAAATCCTCTTTTGAAAAGCTGCTGTTCTGTATGCTGAATAATTCTAACAGAGGTGGATGAATATTCTTTTCTTTATATAATTAATTTTTATGATTTCAGAATGGATAACTGATATGATGAAATCCCAAATAGCGGAAGAGTTACAACGGCGTAACATCCTCTCTTTATCTTGTTTCCAAAAGGTTCTTGGTTCATCAGAAATTTTGTCCATTATTCCAGACATACTAGCAAGACTCTTGGAAACAATTGAAAATAGAGCTTTAGCTTCTTATGTATGTAAAACCATACAGAAAATTTAACATTCTTTAGTTCTCTTTTCTTATACGTAGGCTTCCGAACTGTATGTAAATTTGTCAGAGTACTCCTTTTCATCTGAAGATTTAAGGAATAAATGGCTAATTTCATTTACGACTCATATCAAAAAATATCAACAAAGCAAATGCTTAACAGAAGTAAGTAATTGGATTATTTTTTTGTAATTTAATTTTGATAAACTTAATTAAACTTAGCACATGTTACCAAAACTCTTTGAAAAAATACCGCTATGTGTCAATTATTTATGCTCAAATCTGTCCCTGTATCCCCATGAGAATATCTATACTTTGATAATGTGCACCAAACAAGCTAAACTTCATGGTTACCTAGATCATATAAAAAATTCAGAAGAAGCTTGGCGCCAAGTACTTCCCTGGACAATACTAAAGCATTCTCTGCTTTCGACAGAAACTGAGGTTGGTGTAATAACCCACAAGTTACCAAAATAATTTTTATATCATAATATAATATAATATGTAATATAATATATATATAAATAAATATTTCAATCTACCAGACTAGGTTCGAGGCCTTCTCTCTCATTTGTGAAGGTCACAAAACTTCCGAGCTCTTTGATTCTCTAGAACTTGAACTTATTCTTGACTTTCTTTCAAGTAATATTTGCAATCAGAATGCATCCAAGAGACAAAAAATATTGTCTACAGTAAAAAAGGTAGTTTGAGGATTATCTTTCTTTGACGTGATAGTAATTGATTGATTTGCCGTATAAGTTAATGATTCGGATAAGAGATGGACTGATGGCTATGAAGAGAACTTTAAACTCAGCTTACGAAGGTTTTCACAGAACATTATTTGATCATTATAGGGTATTACTTGGATTCTTACAAAAAAATTCTATCTAATTCAATGAATTTTTAGACTTTTATAGAAAATTTTGTCGATTACTGTTTTATTCAACTGGGATTTACAAGCTGTTTCGCCGCAAGAACTACTTCTTTAAGACTACTTGCTGAAGTGCTACATTTCGTTAAATTTGATTTGTTAGGTTAATTGACGCCAATTATACAAATTTCAAAAATCATTTTAAGCTTGATTTTAGATTACACTTCTTCTTTCAACAAAGGCAGGATAAATTTACTTCTCTGGTGGCTTACAGACACTTTTGAGCAGAACAAATATATTGCTTGTTCAATTCTTTTTGCTTTGCCGCCCATAATAGTAGTATCTTATACATTCTACTTATTTCTTGAATTGTTCAATTTTCAAATTTCGTAGGAGAAAGAACAGCTATGCGAATTATTGGAAGCTAGTATCGGATTAGTATCAACTCCTCGTCCTCAGGATGGTCCAACAGCAGCTGCTATTGTTCATTATGTAATCAAAAATAATAATGACATTATCAATGCTGATGCACCAATTGCTTTAAGAAATTGCTCTACTTCTCCTCCCAAAACCAATTCTCTAATAGTTTTAGATTTGTTTTCAACAATTTTACAAAATCAAGTACAGGAGGCTGAGAAAAATTTAGCGAAAAGTGCATCTTCTAAGCCGATATATCCCGTTTTGTACGTGATACGACGACTTTTAGAAGATTGGGTTTATAAAGATGAAGACTTTGAACATCTTCAACATGCTTGCTTGTTTATCATTCGACTTTGCGAGATGATAGCCGATGTTGTTTCTCCAATAGTTTCTCACGCTGCTCCAGAGGGCCACATACCTGATGGCATATATGCTTCAGGTTGCTAATTTTTTATCAGTATCTAATATTGTTTAACTTTCAAAATTCTAGGACCAGGATTAGATTTATCGTGCAGTGACATTGATCGATTTGATACAGAGGAGTTATTACCTGAATTTTTGACTGTATGCTGTTGGAGATGCATCAAGGAAATATCCTTATTACTTGGATTTATGTCTAAGTGTTCCTGGTGTCTTCTCATTCTACCGACTGACATTGTATAAATTATTAAATAAAGTATGAAACTCTCAGTGAAATTACCTTTCTTGTGTACAGATTATTCAAATTGGTGGATTTTTTACAAAGCAGCTTCTTGAGTCAAGGCATAGAGGTGCTTTCGAGCTGGCCTACGCTGGGTTTACCCTTATGTCTGAAAAATTATGGAAAAGCTCTGAAAAAACTTTAAATTCTTTGCCTGAATCCTGGCTTCGTGATGTTTTAAACGAAATAGCATTAGGTGCTCGAAGCGAAAAGCTTTGCTATACGAGAAGGAGTGCCGGAGTGCCTTTTTTTGTTCAGGTGAGAGCCTATGGGTGAGATATTTCTATACTTTTTCCTTTGTATTCAACAGGCTCTTTTGAAGACTGAGGGCTCAAAAGGAAGCAAGTTTCATTTGAAATGGTTCATTGAAGAGCTTATTTCGCTCAGCAGTAAAATATCAGTTAACCCTGAAACTCTGGTTTGTTATAGTGAATGAAAAAATAGTTTAATTGTATAAAACTATTTCAGGCTCATTGTTTAAATATATTAAGAGCATTAATAAGAGATTCGAAATTGGGTGACGATGTATCACCTTACATTGCTAGCTGTCTAAAAATTTCTATTAAATGCTACTATTCCGGATTATGGGAGGTAATACTAAATCTATTGAGAATTTTTTGTTTATACTGTATATAATAAGGAATTTATTGCATCTCTATTCTCCACGATCTCAATCATAACTTGCATCATTACATATACAGATTAGAAATTCTGCTACTTTATTATTTAGCGCTCTCATAACTAGAGTGTTTGGAGTTTCTAAAAGTAAAGACGATATTTCTCTGAAAAATTGGTAAACAATTTAAATAGTCATAGCACTTTTCTATCTTATGGCTTGAAATTTTTAGTATGCCAGGAAAAGTATTTTTTAACCGATATCCCTCACTTTATTCATTTTTATTAAACGAGTTAAGAGAAAGTGAAATAGAAAGCATAGATGGAAGCGTCAAACTGTATCCAACGTTAACAATAATAAATCGACTCTTCCCTTCAGCCGTAGATCAAGTTGAAAGCTTATATACTTTGGCGAATTTCATACCACATATTATTAGGTTCGTTATAATAAAAGAAAAAGACAAATAGTGACTTTATATTTTTTTAGGTGTGCAAAATCTCCTATCCTAAATGTGCGAAATGCTGCTGCTAATGCTTTATTATCCATCATTCGAGATGACAGTGTTTTTTCTGTCATAAATCAGATTTCAATGAATCTAGAACAGAGTTTGAAAAAGCACAATTTTTGTCACGGCTTACTATTACAGGTATAATAAATTAAATGGAAGTTTTTTGTTGTTAACCAATGGTGTTAAATCGATTCAGGCTAGAAATTTAGTTAAAAAGTTGGACATAATAAACGACAACGTTTTAAAAGCTATTGAAAAATTAATCAATAGTTGCTTTTCAATCTTCAGCTCTGGGTAATTACTATAAATTTCTTAATTTTTTTAAATAACTTATTTATAACAGACACTGTTATGTCATTCACACTGTGACGCTGGCTCTAATTGAGGAAATTTTAAATTTGAAAGTCTCAAAACCTCTACGAAAACGTTGTTTAAATTTAATAATGGGTGCTTTTCAAACGCACTTTAAGGAGGATTCCAAAGCTATGAAAGAACAGCCGTATTATACACTATTCCTTTCAGACCTTGTTAGACTATATTTTTCATTTGTTAATTTGGAACTATCTGACATAGTTAAAGTTTTCGATTATGGCAATTATGAAATCAAGTTAGTTTTAATGACAAGTTTAAATGAGAGATTAGGAGATATCGACAACTTAGTCGATTTCTTTCTTACCGCGGCTCTGAATGAGACGAATATGGAGTGCTTAGCCGAGGTCGGTAGATATTGATTTTCCTCTTGTCCGTAGTGAATTATTGCAAATGAGCGAGTTGGGAATGTATTAATTTCAGGAAATGAAAATCTTACATAAAATATTGGAAAGACGCGAAAACTACGAAGAGGAAATGAAGTGCATAATAAGAAAAAAAGAACTGGTGAATGTTTATTAATCACGTTAATTGGTTTTACCTTGTTCTTGCCTTTTCAGATTGCGACTGCATGCAAAAAATTTTTAAGAAATGGTCCTAATAGCGTGCGATGCTCAGTTCATGTATTCTACAGTTATTTTATCCGATGCTTTATAGAGGTTCGTAGATCTTTCAAAAAATATACAATACTATTGTTTTAATAAATCAAAGGATTCAACTATTACATCTGAATGGACAAAAATAATTCGGAAAGATTGTGGAAGTGAAAACAGTACAGAGTTACGTGTAGCGTGTGCTCGCTCCCTGCTTGTTATATGCAAGGAAGATCTCATTTGTTTATCTGAAAGAGACAGTTAGTAAATATACCTTTATAAATCAGTTTACGGAGTGTGATTTTTTAGGCTGTTTACTTCTTGAGAGTTTGTTGATTTTATTGACGGATGAAGAATTTTCGACTCGATCAATAGCAAGTGAGGTTATCATAAAATGGTCTTGCCTACCTTCATCTATATTAGGTAAATTTCTTAATGTAAAATTTGGTTATAAATCAATTAATACATTTAATTTAGGAAAAAAACAACCTGAAAGATACATATCGGATTGTTTAAGTTTCATATCTCTTAACTGTGGATCACACGGCAAGGATTTCCTACACCGATTATGTATATCTGACTTAGAGCTTGACTGGCTTCAAGGGGATTCCACTAAGGCTCTGCGTCTATTCGACAGAGCTGAAGCGAACAACTACAGGGATGATTTATTAATTTCAAAAACTGTTAGGACCTATATTACATCTGAAGTGATAAAGGACGATTCCATGTATCTTGAAGAAGTAAGCTACAAAGACATGTTCAATGATCAGCGCTCGTTTGTGTCTAATGTTATATATAAAATCCGAGATGGTCTTTCTAAATACAACTTATAGTTTAAAATTTGATTTGCCGCCAAAATGTTTTGATTCGCTATCGATCAACCAATGAACTCAAGGCTGTAGTTGGGCGATAAAATAGTACCTTTCCGACCGTCGCCTGTTCGACGAGTCTCGGCAAGGATGAGCGTTCTACAGAAGAAAAATTTTCTAATTGGATACTGGATGTCGGAAGCGAAGATAAAGAAATTGAGGTTCAGAGAAGAGCTTGACGAAATGCTCAGGTAAGCTCTGAATGTTAAACATCAGAACTTGGTGTATACATTTAGTTTAAGAACCTTATTCCCGCGCAATTCTAGAATAGCTAACACTTAAAAGTTTTGACAAGGAAATTTGCTGATTTTATAATTTTTTTCGTTATTCATTATATTATTAAGGCGACAATCTCATCCATTTGCTTTCGTATGAAAGAGAGATGATAGTATTTACGCCTACATTTTATTGGTTTAATCGATGATAAGGGTAGGATCAGGCACTTTTGTAAATATAATAAAATAAAGTTCTATTACTAACAGTTTGCTCTATCAATTTCAGTTCACTCAACAAAAAATACAGCATAAAGATCCAAGCAGTACTGGTTAGTTATAATAATAAAGAACCTTACAATCCACAGTCTAAACACTTCCGAATGCACTTCTATTAAATAAAGCCTTTCACCCTACTCGTTTTATAATATCGACATAAAATTGAACGATCTATTTTTTAGTTTTAGGCCATATTATGAACATGCAGCCTATTTTAATTCCGATAGATGTTGCAGCCTTCATATATTCGTATATTTTTACAATTAAATGCCTATTTGTCACTAAATGAACCATAATGGCATTTAATTTTATCTAAAGTTCCTCTTCACATAGTATTACTGTGATCTAGGAATATTTTTATAAGTTATTTTATCTTAAATTTTCGGTTGCTAACACTAAGGCAGCAATAGTGAAGATATACGTAATGTAACTCTTCAAATTGTCTTTTCACTAAAAGAAATCCAATAAGTAAAAATTACGTGGTATAGAATCAATTTTATAACAGATCGATCTGGAAAAATCATTGGAGGAACAAGGCCCATTCGACATCATCATACATAAACTAACAAGTCATATTTCACAAGCTAAGTGTGGTATTTCGACAAGCAAACTCATCATTGAACGCTTTAAGGTTTGAAATCAAAATCCTATTGTTTCTGTTAAGGCATTTTCTAAGGAACTAACGGGATGAATCATAACTAATATAGATTTATACAGAGAATTTGAAACATTTGTGATCTCTTTAATTTAACTCTTTCCATCAGCAATATTGCGAGTTGCACGAAACAACAATCGTAATTGATCCAATCAATTATATAAATCGGACACTCAATAGACGGGATCAGTACGACTTAATACGAAAAAGCATAGAAGGTACGGAATTAATTAATGCAACGCTGATTTTCAATAGGAAATTTATTGATTATATTCTAGGCACAACAGATTTCTTTATTCCATCTTTCGTCGACCTGAAAAGTCGGAATGTTGACGATAATAAGAGTCAAATTATGTCCCATAATGTTACTTATCCCATAGGTTAGTAATTCTTACTTTATAATCCTCATATATGATATACTTTTGACAGTTTGTAAACCCTTATTTGCTCATGGCTCAACAAGCCATGCCATGAAGATTATATTCAACGAAGATGCACTATTAGATATTGAACCTCCGTGTGTTGCAATGTCTTTTGTTAATCACAGAGCTGTACTCTACAAACTGTTTGTGGTGGGTGAAAAATATCGTTTAGTTGTCAGGCCATCGGTAAGAGACTTGGAGCCAGGTCAAATAGAAACTATTAAATTTGATAGTCATGATGTCTCTAAGCCAAATTCATCGTCTCATTTAACAAAATCATCAAATAACAAAGACGAAAATTATTATAAACCTGAAATAGATGAAACTAAATTAAGAAACCTAGTTGAAATTATTCGCAATCAGTTTCGCATGTGCCTCTGTGGAATCGATATCTTATTGGAGGAGAAGACTGGTAGATATGCTGTCATAGATATAAACGCTTTTCCAGGCAAGAATACTTTTTGAAAAATATAAATACTTTAGCAGACACTTACAAATTTTCTGCAACAGGTTATGAAGGGGTTGATGATTTATACCCTCTTATGGGGGAGCTGATAGGAAACACCCTGATCAATGGACCTCTATACGAAAGGTATCACTTCAATGATATTAACATTGGAAATAAGGAAGAAAATCAAATCTCGAACCAGAACAATATTTGCCACAGTAATAGTAAACCTAACAATCACAATAGGTAAAATATATGAAAGAATCTGCTCTCTGTCAATTATAAAAAAGTTTTATTTATCTTTAATTAAGTAGGAAATCGCTACTTGAAATGCAACCAGATGTGTCATTGTTTCTTTGATTTATATTTCTTATTATAAACTTTTTCTAATATCTGTTTATTTCTTTTCTTTTCCTGCAGTACTTATTTGTTATTCTAAATTCCAATCGCAGTTAAAATGAATTATTAGCAAAGACACTTTATTGAAAGTAAATATTTTGATATATTGTAATATAGTCTCTAATCAACTGGAAAATCTTTTACTACTAGTCATGGTTAATAATTTTAGACTTAGCAAATCGTTTCATACATTTCTGAATAAAATTCTACGAATTATAATTGAAAATACATAATTCGACAAACGTTTTATTGCATTAAAATCTTAGTACTAATATATTCCAAAAAATACGATCCAATTTTCTAAACTGTTTGGGAAGGTACATTAACCAACAAGTTGATGTCATTGCTCCAGTTAATTAATATTTACTAGAAGTCTCAGATAAAAAGGCTAAAGAATACAAAAGCCTATTTCATAAATCCGAAGTATTTCAAGTAGGCTTTATATTTCACAAAACAATTGCTTGATTTTGTTTGACTATCTATTAACTAGCTAAAGATTACTCTGTTAGGCATTCCGTTGCAACTATACAGTTAGTTGGAGCATTGTAATTTTTGGATTCTTTTGAAAGACATACTTTTTACAAAAATCCATCCCGCTAGGATGTCAGAGAATTTCTTTTTATAATTGCACTAATTCCAGAACTTCCGTTTAAATTATTTATTTAACGAAGCTATTCTATATCATATGGGTAATATGCAACACTACATGTGTATAGTCTTAAATATGCTCAATATTAAGTTTCAGTTGGATTCTTTGGATACACGGGAAAGTGCTGAAAAGAAATACTAATCGATAAAAAATAACCTTTGAAAATAGCAATCTCGAAATGGATTATGAAATTCATATACAGTATTTTTACACGCTGCTTTGTTTAAAATTTTCTCTCGTGGTATCGAAGATTATAAACTGATACAATTATATTTTTGGCCAAGAAAGCAAAGAATTTCTTAAGTTTCGTATTCAATGATCTGAACAGCACTTTCGCTCACAAAGACTTTCGATCTTTTCGAAAATATTTGCATAACTTCGACCGTCGCTCGCATGGAAACGACCAATCTTTCTGCCAATTGACGACTGTATTTATCGTTGTTAACAACTTTTTATCTCTTCGAAGCGATATGGCACCTCTGTTAAGGTTAGTAATTGTTTGCATTTGCCTTTTCAGCAGTGACTGATTACCTGTAAGTTTATATTCTCCATTTTAGAATAAAGCTATTCTTGCTACGTGTAATAATATCTTGTAAAATTTTACTTTTGAAGAGTTAATTATATGATATGGCTGGTAAATCTTCTAGCTTAATTAACTCTGATACTCTTGGACGTATTTTATACTAGCCTACATTAATAAACTAGGCATAATTATTGACTAAAAAAGCCTACATCTATGACATCAATGCCATAGATTTATTCTTTAGAGGGAGAATCGGATGCTTTATGAGTCCGAAAAAGTGCTATAAATAATTATCATTTACATATCAAAATCATATATAGTCTCAGCATGGGCGATGATGAAAACAAGAGCGAAAGTCATCGTACTGTTTTAATATTGTCTGACACTTGGTCATCTACTAAAGAAGGAATCGCTGCTGTAACTTATGGACTCGCTTCTAAATTAGCAACATACAAAGGAATAAAGGTAAAACGACTGCACAGAGGGAAGTTAATGTATTTGCCTACATTTCACAGATTTACGTCAACACTGTTGATCAATCAATATCAACATCTGACAGGAAAGAGGCGGAAAGGCTGGGAGTGGAATTAAGTATCTTTGAGAATCCGACATGGAGTGCCAATATAAGGTGTTTAATCAAGACATGAGTCAGTCACTAAGGATTTTTATATCTATTACTTTTATATTTATTCAGAAACGTAACACAAATAATTGGTCATGCTCCATTTAATCATCAACTTGCCTTAAAATTAAAAGATGAAAAGGTTGACAGTGAAAAAAATTTATGTAAATTTAAAACAAAAAATTTCTCTTTCAGTTTATTGATTCCGAAGTGCTCAGTTTCTTCCACACAACTATTGATGACGTAAGCTGGACCGCAGATAATCTTCCATATTCTTTCCCAACTATGAATGAACTCGTGAACTGTGCCGAAAGGAGTTCAGCTGTGTATTCTGTAACTGAAAAAGTTCACTTTTATTGGTCCGCAAAATTTCGTAATAGAGCTAAGAAACCTATTGATCATCGTCTTTATGAACCACTGTCTCACCCTTTACTTTTTCAAGTTCCACCGGTTCGAAAATGTGATGAAATTCGATTGTTAGTTTTGACGGATAATAATCAGGAGGGGAATTTCTGTGGGGAAGATATTGGCGCTTGCGCTGTCAGTAAATTGGCTGAACTCTATGAAAAAGAATATGATTCATTGGCCCAGAAACTAAAATTGATCATTGGTACGCATGAAAAAGCAGGTGAACTTAGTAGGACAAGAGATCGATGTCAAAAACAAATTCTACAAAATAATCTACCGATGGAAGTAATTCAATGGAGAGACGTCAATGAGATGTTAGAGGCTATCCATAATTCAGATGTAGTGTTGGCTGCCAGTCGATGTGAGCCAATGGGATTTTTTGGCCTTGCTCCACTGTGCGCTGGTGTACCCTGTCTAATATCAGAAAATTCTACTTTGGCACCCCTTGTACAGCGTCTTACTACAGAACCTCATCTAATTCTTACACCAACAACTCCTTTACCAGCAGTTGTAAGACAGGATGCAACGACTTGGGCAGTTAAGCTAAAAGAAGTATTGTCAAATATGAATAAGGCAAGAAGAGCGGCGTTGCAATTCCAGAAAAGTTTAAGAAATGATGGTAAAACGAAGAAAACTCATGACGATATGGTTGCCTTTTGCATAAATGGTCTCCGAATCAAGCATCAGGTCACCAAGGTCAACTTAATGGCATCAGTGAATGAGGAGCATGAATTATCTACGCAAAGATCACTGAATAAATTCATTTGCTATACTTTAAAGCAATGTTGGCGCCTGAAGCACCACCCATTGACATTGGAGGAAGATCTACAGCCTGCCATTCCATCAATTCAACCCGATCTAAATTCTTTAGTGAAAAATGTAATTGATAAAATTGAGGCTAGAGGGAGGCGAATTTTGGCAGTAGAAGGGGATACTAATTCATTCATAGTTCATTGTCCCACAGCCGAAGCAGCATCTGATCTTTGGGCATCATGCGATATAATTAATGATTCTCTTTTTCTCACTTTACTGGCCAGCACGGACGAGTCTCACAACCCAGTCTTAAATAAATTTAGGATTCGTAGCATAGAGGTGAGTAATTGACAACTTTTAGATAATATACAAAAACTTTTGTTGTAGATGAGAACTCATATAGATGGACCAGAATTTCTCAAATACAAAAAAGCTTTACTTCTTGCAGCTGACAGAGCCGATGAAGCACCAAACGTTGCCATTAATATATAAACTGATAATCATAAACATCAACTTACGTGATTTTTAATAATTAGTTCTTTTGAGAGTGATTTTTCTTTTTCTGAATTTAGTAAATTAAGGGAAACTCACTGAAATTAATACATTTGAATTCATATCGAAGCCATTTCAGAATCTATCAAAAACATGTATTTATTGGAATTTACTCCTGTTACATTTCAAAACGAAAAAGATATCATTTCATTTTGTAGAAAGTAAGAAGAAAGAAGAAATTTGTTTCATTTATATAATCAGTATTTTTGTGCAATAAAAAAGTTCAAGATTTCAATACACGATATACAGCCATAGTTACTAAACTAGCTGCAGATAAAAGCATGCCACCTTTTAAAAGGGCTTTTCTCTCAACTTCTGGATCCTCAAAAAATTCTACGAATTGTTTCTAAAAAATAAATAGATTAACAGATTTTTTTTTACGAAAGAGCATATTACCCATCCACCATTTTCGTCAAGCCAATCGCAGAATTCTTCCTCGGCGAAAGCACATAATGTCTTTTTAATTAGTGGAACATATGACTCCTTTCCATTTTCTTTACATCTCTTAGCAAAAACTCCAGCAAATGCGTAGTAAGTTGCTATAAGACTGAAGTGTAGCTTTTTATCTTGTATCATTGTCTGGCCAACTGTTCGAAGTGATTTAACAATATCCTTTTCACTATTAACACATACTCTATCAGACATGTTTGTAAATGTCTCATTGTAAACTGATAATAATTCATCCACAGCCCTGAGTATACTAGCCTCTATCCTTGTGGCTTTCCATGGTCGAGATGTATAGGCAACAGCGTCAACAACAACTTCTGCTAGATGTCTGGCAATATTGCGCGTCTCCTCTACCGATTCTGGAGCATTAAAGGGTACAACTGTTTTAAGTGCTGAGAGAACATGCTTCAAGTGAAACGCTGAGTTATCTTCGTTATTCATACGGTTTTAAACAGAGAAACGAAGTTTGAGTTAGAATACTGTTTTATATATCAAAGAAAGTACCGACGACGCATGCGTATTTACGTGTTATGAAGTAGACAACGAACCTTTATTACAATTTTAGCGCCGTCTATCGTTGTTATCGTTTTCGATAGATGGCGATCTGATCAAATTGCAGCGTCAGCCATGTTGCATTACATTTTCAGGAAAGAGCTCTGAAAAAATGGATTAAAAAATTGAGCACTCGCTTTCTTTTAAAGTATCTGTGAAAAAATGGCAGACTTGCTCAGCATTCAAGTCCACGTTCCTGTCACGAAGTGTGAGAGTGGAAAGTTTTTAGAAAAAGAAGATAATATACAACAAAGCGTTTCGAAAATTCGTAAAATCGAGAATTCTTTTAAAAACCCGATTAACTCTCTGGACAAAGGAACAAAATACTCTTATTTACCCAGAAGGAAGGCAGTTGACATAGAATTTAAGAATTTGGTGTATGCAGTTCCAGAAAATAAGCGAAAAGGTATTTTTATCCGTTTTACAGCTGTGAATGACCATAGAATTGCGTAATGTCCAATGTTAACAATTTAAGAAAGTCTTAGTCTAATAGATAAGGATATTAGAGCGTATCAGAAAATGATAGTCTAAGAATTTGTATTAAGGTCTTTAGAAATACATGTCGACTCCTTAAATTTCTTTTTCAAGTGATATCACTTGATAAGTTGATATTGGGGATCGACAAGATTAGATATATGATCAATTATAGAATTTTGTGACCTTTTTGGGTGTATTAAGAATCTTTTTTGTAATTATTCTTTGTTTGCAAATAATGTAAGTGCGTTATTCGAGGAAAGGTTTAAAGTCCAAAGTTCCGGGATACAAAAACTAAGTTAGTATGTGCAATAATCATTTGATTGTTTGTTTAGATAATTACTCTCATTTCATTGTTTGACAGTTGAATGTATGTAATAAGCATGAATTATCCAGTAATATTTTCTATCCTATATCTATGATTATTTTTAGGTTTGAGATACATATGGGACTCACAAAATTGTTTCAAAAACATCCTGAAAGGTAGATATCTGAAGCAAAATTTCACAAAGTGGTTCTAATTAGTATATATTTTAGGAATCAGTGGAAAAATGTGTTCAGGCCAATTAACCGCTATCATGGGACCCAGCGGTGCTGGTAAATCTTCTCTGATGAATATTCTAGCTGGATATCAGTGTAAAAGTAGTGCCATTACCGGCACAATACATCTCAACAACAAGCCAAGGAACCTGAGAAAATTCCGGAAAATGGCTTGTTATATCATGCAAGTTTGTAAAAATCTTTAGGTATATTTTTGCGTTGATTTTGACTTTGTCATTATTTAACAGGACAGTCACTTGTTGGAGCATCTCAGCGTTCAGGAATCCATGATGTGCTCAGCAAACTTAAAACTATCAGAAAAAATGAATGTTGAAGAAAAGAAACAACTTGTTGGAGAAATTTTAGATACTTTAAGTTTGACTGAATGCAAAGATACACTTACAGAAAATTTAAGTGGAGGGCAAAAAAAACGACTATCTATTGCTTTAGAATTGGTTAATAATCCACCCGTGATGTTTTTTGACGAACCAACAAGTGGTTTGGATAGTTCGTCAACTTATCAATGTGTTGATTTATTGAGGTCTCTTGCTCAGGGCGGACGAACGGTGATTTGCACCATTCATCAGCCGAGTGCCAAATTATTGGATATGTTTGATCACGTAAGTGCACTTGAGTCTATTTCTCTATGATGCAGTTTATTCGGTACTTTTTTTTTAGCTCTACATGTTGGCTGATGGGCAATGCATGTATCAAGGAGACATTCCCGGTTTGATACCTTTCGTAGCAGCTGTAGCTGTAAAGTGTCCAGAATATCATAACCCTGCTGATTTCGGTAAACTTTTGAATAAAAAGTTATAAATTTGTAACACTCCTGATTGATATTTTTCTTAGTTATGGAGCTGGCCTGCGGTCAATATGGAGAAACACATTTGATTAAGATGGTAGATGCTGTCAAGAAAGGAAAATGCCTGCAATATCAACGACCTAAGAAACGAACAAATTGCGAAAAGGAAGAAAAGGTAAGATAATTTACGATACACTACTGTTGTATCTTATTTCTCTGTCTCATTACAATTATGTATTTATGGATTAAAAATTTCGCAGTTGTTCAAGCAGATGTCTGTAAGTTTATTTTAGCAATAACTTGAAATTTCATGGCTTTGATTTACTTTTTTCGATTTTTTTCAAACTGCTAAGTCCTATACTTAAAAATTGATCTTATTCCTTTCAATTCTGGTTTGAACAATTCTCCAAACTTTTGGTTTTCAGGTTAATGAATTTCTGGCCTCAAAAGACTCTAAGGAAACGTCAATTGTTGACGACAAAATGGATGACGCACTAATTTCTGAAAGCGTACCGCTAAACAATGATCTATCTTCTAAAGTGAGTAACAATTCACAATCTTCTGAAAATGTATATATTTTAGACTATTATGTTTAAGGAGACGAGTCAAGGAGAAGCAACAAGCAAGGGTGATGTAAGTACACTTTCATTTGCTTTATGACAAAGTTTATTCGTATAGAACTAATAGAATAATATTTAAGAATTCGAGATCAATTAAGTATTCCTTTCAATAACTTTGTCATTCCTACAGTTCTGTAAAACTGGTTGTTTTTGTTTAAAACAATCAATTGAAAATAACTGTACTTGTTGTGATGAGGAGGTATTTTGTGGAGAAAATTTTATTTTTTGATTCCGTGAGATTCTCCCACGTGATCTAAGCTTAGCAGAGATAACGCTATTTTAGGACCATACATAATCATTTTACGACACCTATCTGATAGTTTTTAACACACTTTACATAAATAATTGTTAGTTTATTCTCTTTGTTAATTTTCTCCTTGTAGAGTTCATCACATAATTCAACTGAGTCTTATCAGGATTCGAGTGATGAGGTGATTTTCACTAACTTTGGAACGTTGTGTTTAAAAATAGACAACTGGCTATGAGGATTTATTGTTGTAATTTAGATGCATTTCCTACTAATCTCTGTACCTTTCTTATCCAGTATTTGTTGTTATTCTTTAATGAGTTTATTTTATTCTATCAACAATTCTTAGCTTTTTATAACAATGGCTGAAAGAAATTAGTTTTTTTTGCAGCCAGTCGAAGTCTTAGCACTTTTAAGACGATTTACTTATACATTGTTCCACCTTAAATTAGATTATTAATTGAATCACCGTTTGGGGAATGTTTACACGCATGCTTTTAATTAATTAAAAACTCTGGGATACTCAAGATCTGTTTTTTAGACACTCATCATTTATCTTAAAATATCAGACGATTATTTTATCTCTGACGCATGTTCTAACAGCCTTGTTGCTAACTTTTAACAATTTATCTAATTCTGAGATTATAATATTTCTGCTTTTTAAGTTAATCATGCAATATATCGAAGCATAAAATTGCTTGGGAGAAATATTTGCTAATTATAATATTTCAATATTTCAATCAAAGACGTCCATGAACAATCATTCTTTCCTTTTATATGATCATAGTATAAAGTCATTTAATTTGCCAATTTTGTATCTTTTCAGGAGGAAGAAAGGACTACTTTCGCGGTATCTTGCTTTACTCAGTTTAGGGTCTTATTTATCCGAACCTTTATGTCTATTATCCGTGATACTGTAAGTTATCTCTCTAAAAATAATCAAATTAACGATAGTTGTTTTTAAAGACACTTACAAGATTGAGATTGGTCTCTCACATAATAACCGGTTTCATGATTGGTTTATTGTATTATAATATTGGTAATAGTTCTTTTGTTAAGATTTAAAGACAGATCCTTTAATTAAATACTTTTACCAGGTAATGAATCTGATAAAGCTTTCAACAATGCTGCTTTCCTCTTTTTTTCCCTGTTGTTTGTTATGTTTACCGCTTTGATGCCAACTGTAATGACATGTAAGGCTTTAAATCAATATTTATAATAAAAGATTAAAATTCGACTATATTAATTTCAGTTCCAATGGAAATGGCAGTATTTCTACGTGAGCATTTAAATTACTGGTATAGTTTGAAGGCTTACTATATGGCTAAGACTATGGCTGATATGCCATTTCAGGTGACCAAATTGCTAACGCCCAACTTACTATAAGTCTAACAGATTTTCAATAAACAGATTGTCTTTCCCTTAATATACGGTTCTATAGTGTATTGGTTCACGAATCAGCCAGCATCTGCTCTTCGGTTTTTGATGTTTCTAACACTATCTACTCAAACAGCACTTGTTGCTCAGTCTCTCGGCCTACTAATCAGCGCTGGCACTCCCTTACAAGTGGCTGTCTTCCTTGGTCCTGTTACTTCCATACCAATTTTGCTTTTCTCTGGCTTTTTCGTTAATCTTGACACTATTCCCTCTTACATGCAGTGGATAACGTATCTATCTTATGTCAGATATGCCTTCGAAGGCGCCATTCAAGCAATCTACGGCTTCAATAGAGAGAAATTGCAGTGTGATCAGGTTAGGGCAGCAGAAGAAGCGAAGAAAGCATCTGATAGTATGCAAAGTGTATCAAACATGAATAAAATAATGAAAAGTCATATTGAAAAAGCAGCAGTTGAACAGGTTTGAAGCTCTTCTAATTGTTGATTTACTAAAGAATTATATTTTTCAGTTCTGTCGTCTTCAAAATCCAGAGAAAGTGTTGGAATCTTTTGATATGGAGAATGCAAAAGTATGGATAGACTTTTTAGTTTTGTGCGTGTTTTTCGTAATTTTGAGAATACTATGCTACTTTGTGCTGCGGTGGCGAGTAAGGCAGAGATAAACTTTTTATATGTATATGCACTGATTTATTTACGTGTACTCTTTTCTGCGTGCGATTGCCATAATGTGTTTTGCTCATAATATTCTGTCTTATCGCATGTTTCGAAATTCAACGCACGTATCAATGCAATTATTTTATATTCAATTACGAAGCTTCTTGCTAATAGAAGGAGCCAAAAGTAAAAAATTCTGATTATTGTATGTTCATATTGTCTATGCTATCTTTGTGGTGAAATTTCATTAATTATTGTTAATCTTAAAATTGCAATTATTTTGGTAGAATGCAAATCTACAATCTTTTGTTGTACAGAACTTATATACACAATGAAATAGTTTTTAAATTATTTCTTGAATAAAATTCAATATTATAAAAATCTTCTATCGTCGAAGTGATACATCATGTATTGTACAGCAACTCGTGAATATTTCTATAAAGTCATTGATAAGTATGACTTCGTATAAAAAATTTGGATTCAATTGATTTAGTTTTTTCGGCGACAAATAAAACCATGTAATGTCTTTTCTTTACAAGATGTCGAAAAACATAACTGTAATGCTGTTCTTATAACAGACGCATAACAAAGATATCACATGACCATTGGTCATGTGACAAAATGAAACTTTTTAGCCAATATATCGCTCTAATACTTCTCTTGTATTTTTGTATGTATTTTCTTACATTATCATACTTTAATCGAACGAGTTATATTAATTTACCAAAGATAAAAATGAAACCAAAGATCCTTTTCGCGAAATTGATGATTATAAAGCGACTGCTCAAAAAATAATTGATTTTACTGTAAAAGGAAAAGGCAAAGGACAAGTATGGAATAGATTAGCAGAATTTACTGATAAGTTTGGTCCAAGGTTGGCTGGATCAAAAGCTCTTGAAAATTCTATTGATTATGTTCTTGAAAAGATGGCTAGTGAAGGCTTAGAGAACGTTCATGGCGAGAAAGCTATAATTCCACATTGGGTCAGAGGAAATGAATCTTGTGAGCTTATTAAACCAAGACGTCATAAAATTTCTATTTTAGGATTGGGCTACAGCGTTGGAACTACCAGAGACGGTATTATAGCTGAGGCCATAGTTGTTAAATCGTTTGATGAATTAAAGAAGAGGAGAAACGAAATTAAGGGGAAGATTGTCATTTATAATCAACCTTTTGTTAGCTATAGTGAAACAGTCATTTACAGAACAAATGGAGCATCTATGGCATCTAAATATGGTGCTGTTGCGTCTCTTATTAGAAGTGTCACTCCTTTCTCTATTAATAGTCCTCATACTGGAATGCAAACTTACTTAAAAGGGGTAAATCCTATACCAACAGCTTGTATAACAGTAGAAGATGCTGAAATGCTTAACAGAATGAGTGACAGAAAGGAAAAAATTGTTATAAAATTAAAAATGGATGCTCGAAAATATAAAGATGCTGAATCAAGAAACACAATAGCTGAAATTAAAGGAACAAAATATCCAAACCAAATTGTACTAATTTCAGGACATTTAGATAGCTGGGATGTTGGTCAGGGGGCAATGGATGACGGAGGAGGTGCTTTCATTTCATGGCAAGCTCTATCAATAATTAAATCTTTAGGCTTGAAACCAAAACGAACCATTCGAGCTGTTTTGTGGACAGCAGAAGAATTCGGGATGATTGGATCAAGCCAATATTTTAATAATCACAAGGTACGTAATATTTTAAACTCTTTTCAATATCTGACCTCTGCAACTATTTTAGCATCAAGCAAATAACTTCAGTCTTGTCATGGAATCAGATATTGGAACATTCCGACCTTTGGGTTTAAAATTTACAGGATCAAAAAAATCCAAGAAAATAATGCGAAAAATTATTAGCCTATTGTCATCCATAAATGCTACCAAGTTACAGGTATAATACAAGTTTCTATATTATCTTACTATCTTAAGAAGTATTATTATAGGAAAATGCTGATGGAGGTGACGTAAATTTCTGGATAAAAGCAGGTGTCCCAGGTGGCAGCTTATTGAACGAAAATTCAAAGTATTTTTATTTTCATCACACAAACGGTAATATTAGCTAATTTGTATACTGTCCTTTACTTATTTCATAATTAACTGTATAGGCGATACCATGACAGTACAAAATTCGGACGAAATGGATAGATGTGCAGCAGTTTGGACAGTAGTTGCTTATGTTGTTGCCAGCCTGGATGAAATACTTCCGAGGGAATGATTAAAATTAGATTGTCTTATTTTTACGGTCACTATTAATAAATCTTATCGTATTCTAAATTAATGAACCTAATTCATGTAATCAAGTTCTTTTTAGTTATTATATTACTTAAATTAAATAGTGTATTATGATGAAATTGATGCCTTCAAGAGCTTTTTCCTTGGTAATGCATGAAAATAGGTGCTGTTTATAGTAATTACGGAAGTTTTAATTTTAGCATACTGAGGTACTAATAGGTAGATGAGCTTTCTCAAAAGACTTTATTTTTCATCCATTAATCAGAAAGGTCATAACACTTACAACTATACCATATTTGAATTATGGCTTAACATAAAATAATATTTAAGAAATGCCAATTAAATAAAACCAGTGGCTTAATGGCTAACATGCTATTGTTTAACTCGTGGGCTTGACATGCTAAGGAGATAGTCCACTGATGGGCACTCATCCCACCAAGCAGGATTAATATATCTTGGGGCTCCTTTAACTGCACAAATAGAATTTGCGCATATCAACAATTCATATTTCTGAAAATATTAATGAAACCAAAAAGACTAAACAATGGATCAAATATAAAATACAAACCTCATAGCATTTTTCACAAAAAAACAAACATTTATGAAAAGGATCGATGTCTTCCAGTCGGAAAGCCATCGCATAACAACCAATCCCACAGAAAAGAAGAAGAAGGGAGAGAAGAAATCGTTGCTTCATATTAATGGTACGCTGAACAACGAGCGAATGCCACTAAACGAGCTTCCAACCAGCCTTTGAAGGAGTTGGTGTATTTAGATAAGTAGTTGGCTGCGTGATTTAATTAAGGTTTGTTTAGAATATTTCAATTTTCGAGGCTGGTTCATCAATTTTCCATGATGATATAAAGATAACCTTTCTACTGGAGGGAACTCCTCCTGACTTTAAAATATCAGTTCATATTTTCGCGCTTTCTTTTAATGTCAAGGTTACTCCTAAATCGGGTAAACTGTTATAGCTTTCTGATGATCAGATCGTTTATAAATATTCTTGACCGCGTTGCTATGTCGGCTGGAAACGACTACAAGAAAGATAAGCTGCAAATATCTGAGAATGAACAAAACATAAAACAAAATGATCTTCCTAAAGGTTGGATAATAAAACGCTGCAAACGAAGAAATAAATGGAAAAAAGCATATTTTGCATTTAGTCAGGATGAACTCATATACGGACAGTCAGAAGAGGTTCGTTTGTTTTAAACAAAAGGCCTATTTCTCTTATGATTTCTTTCGCAGGCTCTGGTCAAGAATGTTCCCTTAAAAAATGCTCAAATAAAAGAATGTACAAAAGACGATAAAGAAAATGTTCTAAGCATTGAAACAAATTCAAGAACTTTTTATTTAAGTTTTGACAGCGAGGAAATTAGGGACGAATGGTTACAAGCTTTATTTACCATTAAAGTCATTGCATGTAAACGTTTGGATAATTCCCAAGCTTGTATTATTCAATAATTTAGATATAAAAGAATCATATCTCAAAGTTAAAGACAGCGATTTTTCCACTTTGCCTACCACCTTGATTGCTAGTAGGCATGCCAACGATCAGTTGTTTTTGTCCTCGTCCGACTACTGTTATAGCTTTTGAGAATCGAGACTTGTCCTCTCCTCCGCTGAGTATAAAGTCAGCCTGTAAATATGAATAGATTCATTGACAATTATGTTGAGGATTTACAGAAATACGTTTTCTTTTAAACAAGGACTATCAATATAGTCGTCGCAATCCTGAGTAAAATTACCAATCGGAAAAGATGAGCCTCCGAGGAAGATATATATTCTTCCTTCATCGACTGTAAAATAGTACTTTTATAATCCCATAAAAGATATGTAAAAGTGACTTCACACCTCCTTCTATAAAATCATAGTCATCGCTACGCAAATGAGACGAAATAATCAAGTCGGATTTTTCATCATTATTAATATCTTCCATCTTTAACAATTAATAAATAATAAATACTTGTAGGTGAAATATACCATACCAGAAGTGTGTGACCATGCCTGCTAATTTCTCTATCTCCAGAGATAGTTGTGTGAACTTCCATGTCACTCGCATTGTATATGTCAATTTTGCCCGCTTGAATAAAAGTCTCCGGCAAATCGTCAATTTTACCTTCAATAGCTTTATTAAAAATAAATAAATACAATCTGAATGGCGAAAAATTATTCATTTTATGAATAGCAATCTATACTGTATAAACGTTTATAAAATAAAGTATTAGGATTAATACGTACTTGACAACGGTGATGCAACTGCCAAAAATGAGTTTGATTGGTTAATATATGGATTTCCCAAAGCAATATCTCGGCCCAGCATGTTAAATTTTTGTGTTCCATTTATTATTTGTCTTGGCCCCGCTGAAGATAAGGGACATTCAAATATTGTCAATCTACCAACTGATTCAATATCTTCAGGGTCAAATTCGCAGTTTTCCCTATGAAACAAAAAATATTTAAATGTCAAAAAAAATTAAGTTATCTAACTGTGAGCAAATTCTCCATGTTGGAGACGGTATTAGTAGTAGAGTTGATTCACCATGCTTCTCTACTTTCACACCTTCGCCAAACCACTCATAATCCTAATTGAACTAATATGTAAAAATGTTTTTATTGAAGATTATTTAACCTGATTTCCTCGTACACTCCATAAAGAATTTCTTATATCAAAAGAATCTGTTTGATAATTCGTGTGGTTTTTTCAATTTCTTTGCAAAGTCGAAAATGTATCAAATAAGTTACCTAATTTTTCCTTCGCCAATGCTTTGTTTGACAAAACTGCAGATACAAACCCCCTTTGCTCCCCTCCAGCTGGAGCTCTTGGCGAACCAATAATTAAATCATCAAAATCATCGCCGTCTACATCACCTGCCGCAAGATATTCTCCCATATTGCAATATTTTTCCTACTTATATGTTTTGAATATAATATAATTGAAGCGGAAAAAGTGAGACACATACGTTACATTTAAGAGTTATATCAGGTATTTCAGATATCGCACTGTCAGTACCCAAGAATATATAAACTTCACCCTAAGATTCACAAATAGTTTAAAATATACTTGATAATTTAGATTTCACTATCCAACCTGATATTGTATAGCTCCCAATCCAACAGATGGCGCACTAACTGCAAGATCATTTTTACCGTCCGCATTTAAGTCAACAATAGCAACTCCCTTTCCAAATCTACCATTTTCCTTAAGTGAATAAAAATATTCTAAAAATTAAATAGTTTCATCGTCAAAAATGTGTTTATCTAATTTACTTGAGATCCCGTTAAAGTAACATTAGCGATATTGTCTATGTCAATAGTTTTATGAACAATTCCGCTTCTACTGCCGTACAAAATGTAAACCCGCCCGACTTGATAGTTTCCTTTGAGACTAAATTCAGGAGCTGTAATCACTAAATCTTGAAACCCATCGTTGTTTAAATCTCCTTTCACGATATTGCTATAATTTTATATTATAAGTATATTTTTTCAAACAAAATTGTTCGCTAACCTTCCTAATTTTGAGTACAAATTATTCGTGGTAAGAAAAAAGTTGGGCTTAATCACGCTAGCATCTTTCTGCTTTGATGACCTAGTTTTTACCTGAGCTTTTTCCTTGTTAGCTTTTTTTACGAGTTTCTATATGAAAAAAGTTAAATAAATTTAACATTAAGAAATATTTTAAATAAAATAACCTGAAGGTTTGGTGACAAGTGAAAATAAGTTCCTCGCTCACTCTCCTCTCTATGAATATCATTTCGATATTTTTGAACAAAGTGCTTAATAAATTTTGATTCAAGAATAGGAACATCTCTGAATTTTTGTGTATCTTTTACAGTGCTCATTTCAGACAATTTTCCGTCAATATCCGGACAACGCATGTGTATGGGATTGTCTTTTTCGGGCGTTATTTCGCATTTACTGTGGGTATAAACTTCTATATATTTTTGGTACAAGGCTAGGACTTTCAATTTACTCTGTCCCTTGTTCCATCATATGTTGGGCCCGTTTCCATGTTTGAGTCACCCAAGCAGCCATGTCGTCTAATCCTCCCAGGAAAAAACTGCTCATTTCATCGACTAAAAACGGACTGGCCTCCGCATATTCTGGATAAAGCTGTGAAAAATGAAAATGTACTAAGCAAAACTCTCATTTTTAAAGAAAAAGCAACCATGAGAATAAATCTTGCTTATATCGATGAATGTCTTACCACTTCAATTGCTCCAATATGCTCACCTAATCTTCCCAAGAAAAGTAATTCAGCACAATCAGAAATTACGGTTGAGTTTACTTTTTTGTAGCCATAAAACTCTTCGTAAACTCTTTCCATGTCTTTGTCTGGAACGTACCTGTTTGATTTTATAGTGAAAAATTCAGTAGAAAAAATAGCTGATTAGAAAATTAGGTCACCATTGATCAGTTGGATCAATATAGGATGTGTCTAAATTATAAACGTTGACGACATCTCCGCCAAAATCAGCATCTGAGTGAGCTGGCCCATATTGATTGTGATAGTTAACCTATAAGTAATTTATTAATTAATTTAATTATTCCAGAAAACAAACTTGACCTACTTTACTCATTGTTCTTATAAACCCTTGTGTAATTCCCAAGCTGTGCCAATTAACGTCAGCTATTTGATGTTGAAATATTCCTAGTATGAAAGAAAGAAATTTTTCTGTGTCCTTTTGGAAAAATACTTTTAAAACCTTAATTATTTAGTGATTTTCTGACATTTACGTACGTTTGTCCATGGTTGGGGTAAATTCCTCAAGAAATTTATCGTTGCATTCATTATTGGAGTCCAATGAGTATCCTCTGCAATAGAGTGAAACATACCATCATAGCAGAGTCCTGGATACATAGCATCCGGGAAAGGGCACCCTGCTTGAAAGGCGTCGTCATGCTTTTCTATTATCTGATATAAAATCGTCATTTGGTTTTGCTCTCTATGATATATAAATTAATTCCTACCTCTTTAAAGTCTAACCCATTTATAGACAAATCAATGTATTCCTTTGCTCGATAACCTATGACATATGTTGAAAAATTGCCTCATTTATTTATTTTACTTACCAGTCTCTATATGAGTGGTTATGCCACACATTTGGGATACTCCTAAGAAGGTGGAAAAAAGTAAGATTATGTTGTGAATATTCATTCTGATTCGCATTAGCAGTCAAATAATTAAAAGATTCATGAGTATATTTATAGTACAGTTATTTATGACGTAATATAAAATATGCCGTTTCACAACATGAGATAAGAGACGGAGAGTAAAAATAGAATCTTAAGCAAGAAAAAAGAAGAATACGCATATTTTTTGTTTAAGTACTTACATACGTATATAAAGTTTTCAAAGAGCCAATTACGAGAGTTTGTTGATTTTACTCGATTCGTTGTTTGCCTTTGATCGAAACTTTCTTGAGCGAAATCAGAAAAAATTCTGGCGAAGATTTATGCGGCATTTGGCAGCAATACGTAAACACGTTTCTGTAGGGTACATACGATGACAAACTAGCCAACTTGTCAGACCACTGTTTGGCACAATATGGGTAGAATGACAAATGAGGGAAAGGAATGTAACAGGTGCCATTCTATCCATTTTATACATGTGTCATTACAGTTGTTGCTGTCCATCACTTAGCAAGATTCCACGTGCAAGCAGACGGAAAACTACAATCTATATTTAGAGAATATATGGAAACGTTTAATTGAAAGAAGATAGAGTTTGTATGCGTTTAGCGAATGTCTGGAATTGAGCGATGAGCGTGTCTGTGTGTTTGGCCGGCGCATTGTGTCAACAAACTCGAGTAGCGATCACACGTACACAGCTGTTTCAAATACTGGCCATTCAAAACAATTTTCAAAGGTTGAAGTGAAAATACTGCTGTCAAAACAAAACAGTTAATGTTTATTAAATGTATCACAAGAGATTAATCAGAAAATATAATTAAGTATAAACGAGGAAGTTTCCCCTTCAACGATCTTCGTGCTCTATCTTTCTACCCTCAGGCCGAGAGGTAACTGATATCTGTTGGGTTATCGTCGACCGCAAACAGTCATAGTAACTTACTCAAAGTTAAGGTTAATTGCCTCTGATATACTTCAATATGCGATAACAGGAGAGATAGTACTTTTGGTCCATATATCATGGTCTATATATCATTCTATGAGTAATCTGATGGATATTCTTCTTCTACAGATTTTCGTACCAATGAAATAAGTTAATGAACAATTAAAAATAGCGAAAAAAGGCAATTTGTAGAGCAATAAAAACTTTCAAAGATATAATTTAAATATTCACCAAATGAGCAATGTTCTGTTTGATATTAGCCTATTTTTACTTGTTATTCTGACAAGTCATCTTCCAATATCTTCCTGATATTTATATACAAGCTATAGTTAGTAATATGACTGAGAGAATGTGGCAGTCAAGCGCAAATGACTGATAGCTCAAGGTGGTGCTCATGGTTCGCATATCTGATAAACCTGTCTGACAATGTGAAATTGGTGGTGTACACTAGTTAAAACCTAAAATTATCGTTTTCTTACCAGTTATTAAATATTGAGGTACAAAATGTTCTAATTTCGTTTTTAAGACTCAAAGATAATTACCCAAAAGGGTGTTGCTTGCAAAACTCTAACCGGGGCCAAAACTAAGTCACGTGATATATTCTACCCAATCACTTATTAGAGAATAGCATGATTGACGGGCTTTCCGAAAGACGCAAACTTTTAGCTGGTTTGGTAGAATTGAAGAAAATAAGAGAGTGGTTTATACAACAAACTTTTCTGCGGCAAAAGAATCGGATATTAATTGGATTGTAGACTTTAATTCTACCGATTATGATGTTTTCGACTGCTGACATCCTATCGGCAATGGGTGGGTAAAGTTATAAAGAAAAATATCAAAATAATTAAAATATTAAAATATTTAATTTAATGATAAATTGTCAAAGATACTAGAACATAATACAACTAAAATTTTTGTAATTTACATTAAGCAGAGGTTTCATTATTCTTTAGAAATGTTAATTCTCTGATGTGCCGAAACTGTATAAGATCTACTCCTTAACAATATTTGCTGTCTTACATATTGAGTTAAACAAGAATAATTCAATATAACATATTAAATAATTTGTGGAAATATGCAAATGATACAACTTCAGAAAAAACTCTTGTCTAATATTAGTTATATGTTTATTGTAAATGAAACACAACATAATATTTCTTCATATCCATAACTCATCAGATATGAAAGAGTTTAATAAGTAACGTTTAAGTTCTGTTGGTGAAGAAAAAAATCAACACATGAAGTTTGAAAAAGTTAGAAAGGCACTTGCGATTAACTGTAAACTTGCACGTGCTCTACGCCAAACAAAAGCAAACAAGCGGTCACACAAAGACTCCACTGTTTACTCATAAATTTACTCGTTTGCAGATCATATGGGCGTATCGAACAATACAAGCTACGGCGAAGTTAATCAATTGGGAGGAGTTTTCGTCAACGGTAGACCTCTTCCGAATGCAGTGCGAATGAGAATAATCGAACTTGCTCAATTAGGAGTTCGACCATGCGATATATCAAGGCAACTCAAGGTGTCTCATGGATGTGTCAGTAAGATACTTCAAAGATACAAAGAGACAGGCTCTGTATTACCGGGAACGATAGGTGGGTCAAAACCTCGCGTTACAACACCAAAAGTTGTTCAAAGAATTAAAACTTATAAACAAAGAGATCCTGGTATATTTGCTTGGGAAATTCGAGATAAACTCCTCTCGGATGGTGTTTGTGATAAACACAATGTTCCGAGTGTGTCTTCAATATCTCGCATACTCAGAAACAAAATGAGTGAAGATCATCGACAACCTATGTCTCAAGCTGTTCCTCAACATGGCGTTTCTACTATTTATAATAATACCGTACCCTGTTGGTCAACACCATTTTCAACTCACGCTAACATTCAAACTCCACCATATTATTATCATCATCAAACAACCCAGCCTCATTTTAGCAGTGTATATGGTAATATTTTAAATAACTCAAATTGATAAGCTCATTAATCAACTTTATATAATCAATTTATTAATAGGAGTCTTGTTTTTACTCAAAAGTATGTTCTATTTGTATGATCTATGTTTACACATAGACTACACAAGTCAACTAACTGTTAATAATCAATAAAATATTTTCTTATATCATATTTCATATATCAAAGAAGTTCACAATTTAATAAGAAGGTTGACAAAGTAATTAATTTATTTTTCGTTTGTGTTTGAAAGAATAACTTAAAGGTGTCGAATTGAAAACTATTTAATATTTAAAATATGCGAAAGAGTATGTTAAAAAATATAACATCATGCTATTTTCCATCTTTTCTTTTGTGGGCCTTTGTCAGATTCGGTACATGATCGCTTCCCAAGAGAGGATTCAAGCTGCTTAGAATTCAATTTTTCAAGGAGAGTATTAATTTGATCTTGTTGTTGTCGAACAGTAGATTCTAGTCGTCGAATTTGCTCTCTTTGTAATTTTACCTGTACCTTATTTTGTTGACATATGGAAGTAAAAGAGTTAACTTTAGCTCTAAGGGCTGCCACTGTAGTAGACCACCTTACGAGATGTTCATGATGATCGAAATAGTTCTCGCTGAAAGATTTCACCTCAGTGAGTGATGAGATGTCAATATTTCGTTTGAGTTCTAAAATTAATGAATTCAATTAGAAAAATATATTAAAGAACATTCCGCTTACTTGAAGATTCTGTGAGCAACTTTTTTTTGAGAAGAGGAACTATATGCTCATCAAAATGTTCCATTGCCATCGATGAAATATCTCTAAGCTCAGTAAGTATTTCATGTGATCGAGCTATTGGACGTGAACTATTAATACTGCATTCAATTTGGTCAAATACTGTATTAAATTCATCCAAAACCTATTATCATATCAAAGTTATTTTTGTTTTGTATTCTTTAATACTAATAGCTTACTTTCCCAGCTATAAAGCAGCACTGATTTGCAGTAACATGCTTCATAATAGTCATATTTAATAAAGATATTCTAGTCTCAACAGCCGTTAATATTTCATTATGCCTGGACAATGCGTGATTTCTTCGCTCACTTTCCCGTCGTGGTAATATACTCTTTATGCGATGAACCAAAGCAGAATGGCGTTTTGTAACCTGCTTGAAGCCAGCATTGAGGTGTTGCTGACCTATTACATTAAATTCTTTTGATACCTGGGAAATGAAAACTATTAATATAATTGAATCGTGTTGCAAAATGTTCAACCAACCTGTCGGAGTCGAGCAGTTTCATCATACGTCATATAGCGAAGAATTAATCGCTTGACATCCAAAGGTAATTCGTCGAATTTCATTTCTGAGAAGTTGAACATTACAAGCAATTGAATGCATTATTAAATATCTAATTTTCATTCAGAAAATAATCCTAATACGGAAACAACTTAAAACAAAAATCCTCCTTTATCGGCGAGGCTAAAATGTATAGTAAAATTAAAGATTAGAAGACCTTTCTGTGGTCTCGAAAAACTCATGAAAAACGTTTAAAAAAATGATCCAATATCAAAGTTTAATTTTGACGTTGAACAAATTTTGTCAATCATAATAAAGCGAATAATTTGGAATTTCTTATAATCTTTTCTTCACGTTTGTAGGTTAGAAAAGAATACTTTTTGGTATATTGACTATAATAGTTATTTAAGATGATGTCTGTGATGTTTAATAATATTTATTTCTAATTGTTTCGATTTAACTGACCTTTTCAGTTCCGCCAAAAAGTGTTCGAACCAAAAGGTTATCCATACACAATTTATCGCTCTTGAGAATGTTATGATTTCACTACGCCATCTATGTTACATCGAAATGGTTCATTCTTTGGATATTCAACATTGAGTCTACCAAAATTTCACTTTTGTGTCATATTTAAAATTCATTTGAAGGTTATTAGAGCAATCAGATCAATTACTTTTCATAAGTGCTAATATTTTTATGATTTTTTTTATGATGACATTTTACTAAAATATAAATAAACTAATTAGAAAAAAGTCAATACTAACAGTCTGTTTACATCGGAAAAAGAGTAAGATTAAAGGGTTGTCTTTATCTATCTTGTTTAATATCTAAAGCGCGTTATTTCCTGTTAATGGGGATAAAATGAGGTACCGCTACCTCTTTGCTAATTATCTTAGTCGAACGTGAAAGCTAAGCTAATTGCAGATCATAGTGTGATTAGACTGAAGCAGTCCTTGGTCATTCTTCTGATAGAACTTATGCATGAAAAATATACATTTTCCAATGTTCACTCTATGATATCAATAGATTATGATAATAGGTAGTTATCGGTTCCTGGTAATTCTTGTAACTTGTATAACTTCGAAGAATTTATATCTATTTGAACTAACAGTTATTATATTGAAACTTGTCCCCTCTTAAATTATATTCCTTTTAAAATTGCTATTTAATTGTAAGTGCATAAGATATACTGTATATATATATATATATATGTATAATAAGCAACGGAATGACGTCAGATACCACCACCGCCACCGTCGCTCTGTGGTGCAAAAGCTAGTCATATAGACGTTGGATATTGAAGAAAAAATGGGTTGCTCAGCGACATCATTAATCGTGGTTCCTAAACGGACGACAGAATCAGCCAATGTAGAAGTATTTACCGAAAGACAGAAAATTCTTGTAAGAAAAACATGGAAGTATCTCTCAAATGATCTGACTGGCTATGGAACAATGGTATTTCTGCGCATCTTTGAGCAGCATCCTCACGTAAAGAAACTTTTTCCTTCAATATGTAATGACGAGGGAGAAACCCTGCTTAAAAATCCGCTTTTCAAGGGTCATGCTTCCCGTTTCATGCAGGCTGTTGGTGCCGTCGTAGACAATCTAGATAATTTGGAAGAAGCTTTAGCACCACTCCTAATAGGTCTAGGTAGAAATCACATCAATTTTATGGGTTTTAGAAGCGAGTATTTTGAAGCCTTTACCCACGCAATGGTACATGTTTGGAAAGGTCAGCTAAAACAAAGGTTGGTGAGAGTCAGTTTTGTACACTTGATTAGCTCTTTCATCTTAATGTAATCAACAGATTTACTGATGAGGTAAAAGAAGCATGGATGTGCGTTTTCAATTTTATAATGCAAAAACTGCAAGAAGGCTATAAAATGGCGCTAGAAGAAAACGGAATGTCAGAAGAAATACAAGAAATGTCCAGAGAATCTTAAGAACTGCCTGTTAACACAGAGAAAATCCGATTGTAATTTTGCGCTGATTGATAATATCGTTATCTATTTATAAGACTATCTCGTTAATATAATATTACATAGTATTTATTTGCATACAGATAATTTCATAAATACATTTAAAGTGTCATACAATATACTTTCATGCGTATACGAATGTTTCATGGTTAAAAGTTATTAACTTTAGATATAAAAGAGACTCGTATTTTGCATGCTTATAGAAGTAGTGAGCTACAGTGAATGGACGGAGAAGAAGCGGAGAAAGAAAGATATTTTGTTAATTACACAAGTGCATTTCAGAATAAATGACTATTAAGTATTAGACTGCTGATTTCCAGAGGCAGGTCTGGTTTGTTGATGCATCAATACGGCGACTTTATTCACATACTCAATATCAGGTCTGCACTCTGGCTTAGGATTGATGCATTGGACCACCAATTGACGAAGATCATCTGAAAAGTAGTCAGACGGGAGCGGTGGATAATCACAATTTTCAATTTTCTGGCATAGAGCATACAAATTCATTTGATCACCATAGAATGGCGATTGTAGGGCAGCCATTTCATACAGTAAACATCCAAGTGACCAAATATCCGACTTGAAATTGTACCCATTCTCATGAATACGTTCTGGAGACATATAATAAGGGGTTCCAACTAAAGACCTGGCCTCAAAAGTGCTTGAACCGAAAAATCGCCCCAAACCTAAATCTCCTAATTTAACAATACCACCTTCCGTTATGAACACGTTAGCTGGTTTAATATCTCGATGCATTATACGTCTTAAATGCATGTGCTCTAGACCGGCACAGATTTGAACAAAATATCGCCATATGGTTTTCTCAGGTATTAGACGATTTTGTTTTCGAAAATGTTTGATCATACGGGAAAGATCACCAGCAGCTGCTAATTCTAAAACAATATTCAACTCGTTATTTTCGATAAAGGAAGCAATGTATTTGATAACATTCGGATGATCCAGATTCTAAAAAGGAAAAAATAGATTTATAAAAAATGATGAATTATTCAAGTCACAAACCTTAAGAAGATCAATTTCGTTAATACAATCCTGTCTGGCTTTCGCATCTACCATTTCAAATATCTGTGATAGATACATAAGCTTTAAGAAAATAATTCCAAGAATAAGTTTTTGTGCTTCACACAGAAAGGTAAATCAATTAATAGTGACTGCAGGCAGGATGGGCAGCAAGCAATTAAAATAATATTTTAGTCTTTACTAATAAAAGGAGCTGGTTTGCTGTACATGCTTTACATGCATTAAAAACAAAGAAAACCAAAACGAAATCATGAAAATATCCGATTTGACAATTGATGTGTTGTTTATAAACGCACCTTAACTTTTTTCAAAGCCACAACACTACTTTCACGTAGGCTCTTTGCTTTGAAAACCTCGGAAAATTGTCCTCTACCGATTTTCCTCTCAATCTCGATGTTGGCTAAACAACCAACAGGATTATCTGGATTAGGTGCGGCAAGTAAATCGCTCTGAATTTCCGCCATCGTCAACCTGCAGTCACGTTTGTTATGAAAATAGACAGAAATAAAGCGTTATGCATTATAAGCTTATCAAAGACACGAAAGCGACAAAAAGTTGATATGGCTATAGACTTATAATTTCGAACCTGCACTTTCTTAAGTGCGACTTTTCGATTATCCACGTTGCAGACAGCTTTATGAACCACGCTAAATTGTCCTCGTCCTATCTTCTTTTCAATTGTAAAATTTGCAAGGGTGCAATAAGTTTTTTCCACATTAGGAGGTGAAAGTACTGGAATCGCTGGTGGAGGCATCAATTTTGAATCAGCAGTTTCCATTCCGGACGATGTCGGTGCGGTCAAAGTGTTGGAACCATCGCATTCCATCGTACTCGACATCATTTTACCTTTTTTATCTCTTTTAACAAACACGCAATGAGTTAAGTTAGGACAACCTACTCGATGTTTGCGATGTGTCTTAGAATAAGGAATGATATATCAATGTCTTGCTGATAGAGATGTTGCCAGGGGAGACGATTGTTAATAATGTGCAAAATTGCGAAATTACGCTATGACATTCGATTAATGTGTGATAAACTAAATCACAGGTATGTAAACTTCTTTTCCTACCTATATATAATCTTTAAATATATCATATTTTCAACAAATTACTTAATATACATACCGACTAGACGAAGCCAATGTTTGCTTCTTTAATCATAATTTTCATTACTAAATTACGTTGATTGGTTCACCTGCTGTATTTGATTGGGAAATTTCCTCCCCCTTTTATGCCATGGCGCTCCTTTAGAAACTGGTATTTTTTTTCGAAAAACACTCTTCATAATATTTCTTCAGGAACATAAACGTGTTCCATTTGGTTTCTCCTTGCTGTTTATATAATTGTATTACAAATGAAGAGCGTAAGTGTTGATCCCAAAGTAAAAATAATTATTGACGAAATAATACATCACAAACGTAACCGTTTTGGATTAATTGTTGGATATGTAAGTTGAAAGTTAATACAATTTAAGTTTACATATGTTATAACAAAGATGAACTCTGACTGTAGAATTTGAATAATAAATTTTTTATTGTTCACGTACTCGAATGTCCGGATATTTTGGACGAAGCAGATGATAGCGAAAAATTAACTGAATTAGAGAAGCTACGATCTCTACTAGATGATGTAATACGACTCCTTCCTGGTGGTTTGAATATTCTTGGTGCATTCTCGACAAGTACAGAAAACCAATTACAGGTTAAATTTGTTCAGTAACTGACTTTTATAGAACCAACTATATATATAGGTCTAACCCACAGTTTCTAAACCTAATCAACAAGCAATTAACGGCTATTGACTCTTCATTCAACTACGATTTACTTTTTCTTCATGTATCATTAAAAAGTAGCAAGTTGGTTTTACTATAAATTTTCTCTGAATTGTTCCCAAATAAAGTTTCATAAATAGGTACAATGCAAAATTATTTTCAAATGGCAATCTTTCGCTAGTTGACTGGAGGGAAGAGAACAAAGCCTTTGAATACCTTGAGTTTACCAGCACCCTAAATCTGCAATTAAACCTTAATAAGAAAGAGAAAACTTACAAGCAAGTAAAAACTTGGCTGAAAAATTTCAACCCGAAGTTTCTTGTCGACGGTCAAAACGAAAGAGGTCTAATAACCAAAAGTACGAATATCGTAAAAGAACTTGATATTTTAACGAAAATGTCTGAAGAATGTATTAGTAATCATTCCAGCTTAAGAGGATATGTAAAACTAAGAGCAATTCTGCCAATGCTAAAAAATCTAACTTACGAGCATGTTTTCGAAGCTCTCTGCCAAGATGCGAATAGGACAGTAATGGCTAGGATTAACATTCTGATTGAGAATGAACAAATTGATAATAAATTTGAAAGTTGTGAAGGACATTGTGTACCACTTCCTCGAAGAGCAATGTTTTCCATAAACTCGTCATCTGTTAGATTTTCTACTTATTTGTGTGTAGGGGAAAATGAATCAGATATACCATCGGCAGTCAATGGAGTTATTGCTGGTGAGAATATTGTTGAAGCAGAAATAAATCTTGAAAAATTAGAAATCTTGAACGACTCACAATTTGAAGAAGCTAAAATAAAGACTGTCAAAGGGAGTGAAAAAACGTTAATCATTGGTCTTTTAGTTTGCTTACTAGCTATTCTTTTATCCATTCTAATTAATCTTGTTCAAAGGTAAATGTTAATTATATTCTGAATCAGTTATTTCAAATATAAGTTGCCACAAATGACATTCATGCAAAAAACCTGTGTTTTGATTCTAAAAATGAATTTTTCACGTTTGAATTTTCCGCCAGGCGAAACCGGAAAACTCTACGTGAGCGATAATCAGAAATCAATTTCCGCCTCGGCGTTTTACCATCGTTTGTTGCATATAAAGATAATTTTAAGTAACAAAGGTAAAATGAATCTGGAAAGAGAAGTATCTGTTAGTATTAAATTAAGCTAGAACAAGTTATTTGAAATTTTAAACGTTTCTATAATAGGACTGTGGGTTTTCCTTCGTTTTAAAATTACGCGTGTCTCCCGCTTCGGAAGAAACCAGTGAGCAAACTAAAAAACGATTAAACCTCGTTGCTACTTCAAAATATGGTTTGATATTCGTAGCATGTGAAAAAGGTTATATGTAATATTACCAATGTATATTCTGAATATTAATTTATTTGTTTATCAGGGCTTAAAACGCTGGAAACCAAAGATGTTGTTTCAAGGTCTCAGGAATTGAATAAAGCAGCTTTCTCTACTCTCGTAGAAGATATTCAGTTTAAGCACGTTTTAGAGTTTTCTAGCACACCGGTTCATGTGTCTTTGAATGCAAACCAAACAATTTTATCAGTTGTTGTTGCAAAGAACAATTTCTACTTTGCATTATTATTTGATGTTCATTCTTTTGCGAAAGATGCCGTAAGTACTCTGTAATTGTCTCTCCGGCATGGTAAGAAAAGTAACATTTCAGAAAAATTTACCACAACCATTTGTTGAGGCGAAGTTAAGCGATGAACCTAATGAGGAATTAATGGATTTAGCATGGAATCCTGGACTTGAAATGTTTAACCAGTTCGCATATTGCCTCAGCAGTGGACGGTGCAGAATTATGGAAATTTTAAAAGGAGACGATATAAAGATAATAAGCTCGTTGACAGATAAGGAAAATTGTACTTGCTGTAAGTATATTTCTATAAATATCCCATTGGATGTTCTTAAATATTTTCTATTGCTTAGTGTGTTGGAGCCCTAAAGGGAAGCAGCTTGTCGTTGGCAAAATGAATGGAACTTTAACTCAATATGATTGTCAGTTTACACTAAAAAGACATTTGGATAAATCTCCTATGTTTTCTGATCCTGTTAAAAGTAGTATATATATTTAATATATATATATATATAATTTACATTTGATTAAACGACAGTAACTGATGTGTTGTGGGTAAGCACGTATTGTTTTTTTGCTGCATATGAGTCTTTATCGGAACAGAACAATGAAATATCTATTGTATTGATAAACGCCCCTGTAAGAATAAGTAGTCTTTATAAAATTTCTAATAATTATTCTTTATTTTATTCCTTTGTAGAAAAATCAAAATTTACAATATATTGATTATAAAGACGTCTGTTTTAACCTTAGTGATACGAGAATGGGAAAATATTACTTCAGACAAATTGCTTCTTGGTACGTTACTTTCTAATATAATATATTTCATATTTCTGTACAATTCAATTTCAGGAATGGATTAATTTTAGCCATGTCGGCTGGTGGGTCTGACGTTGCTCTTCTTGGTAAAAGTACAGATCAAGTAAGTAAATAGACTTATATTACTTCAACAATTAATACTTATATTGCAGAAAAACTGGGAGAAATATCGCTTCGAAGACAATTTTAGAGCTGAAACTCCTTTATCTTCAGCAAATAGCGATGATACTTTTCCAATTGGAATGGATTTGGACTTTACTAGCACAGAAAAATTCCTTCTAGGTTCGTTTACTAGTGTTAATTAAATATCTACAGTGTCATACTTTTCAAGATAAGGGAGTTGAACATCCAGCCGTTCCAATTGTCACAATACTAACGACAGATTGGGTCTTAACGACCTTTCGTATTTTCTATGAAAATCAGCCTTCTATTGTGCAGCAAGAAGAGCTGTTGGAATCTTCAAAGGCTAGAAAAATTAAATCACTTGATCTTGGTTAGAGCACATCCGTATAAGAATTGAAAATTAAAAAATAATCGTAACTTTCAGCTTCATCCTCGAGTATTAACCCCGTATTATCCAATTACTCTTCAGCTTCATTACCAGTCTTTAATGAAACTAAGAAAATTGATTCAGTAAAAAGTGCAACCCATACAACGGCACAGGAATCGCAAAAGCAAGCTATTCAGCCTTTAGGTGAAGCAACATATGCCCCGAATCGATCTCCTGCAGGTAATTCTTACTTTTTCACATATGTACATCAAAATTTTTAATCATTTAGTGGCTCGAACTCTAAAATTTGGGGATTCTCGAAATGAAGTCATACATCCGCAAACAACTTCACTACCAACAAAAAGTAAAGTAATATAAAATAATCTTAGCAGTTTTACAGGTTTATGACTTTTCAGCTACTCGAAAGTCAACTGAGACAAATAATGCTCTTCAAACAAAATTTAAAATATTTCAGTGCGAAGTAATGTAATAAGTTATTAAAACTATTGATCGTTCAGTAATTTGTCATGCAGCTTTCGGAGTGCAATAAGAAAATTCACAAAATTTACGATGACGTTATGAACTCTCCTATTAATGTAGTCACTACTGATAGAATGAATAATTTGCTGACAAAAATCGATGATACAAACGATTTTATAACAGATTTTAAAAAAAAGATAAAGGTAAAAATCATGTATTTAAAGATACGGAGATAAATACTCTTTGTGTAACGATTTATAGAAGCAGAAACAAATAATGGAAGACTTTGATATGGAATATCAGCAGAATATCACCAGCTACAAGTATATAACTTGGAAAGTGGAAAATTACCAAAGTCCAAAAATTCTTGAGCAGATGTCTTTAAGAGTAAGAAATATACCTTATATATCTCCTTTTATTTGATTAATTAATTTCCAGCCCCTTGAACCTGTACTGAAACAGAAATGGGTAGAAGTTCAGTCAAAAGAATGGGATATAAGACAAAAAATCGAAACACTTCATAGTATAGTTTCAACAAAAGAGTCATTAGACAAAAAGTAAAGATATCTAATTACATATTTATCCAGATTGTCTGACTTTTTTTAACAGTAAAACTAAAACAATTCATTCGGACTTGATAATATCCACTTTGGCGAGCCATAGAAAGACGATTGACACTTTTAAGCTTCAACTCGACAATCTGGCGAAAGATTTTGAGCGTTTTATAGTTAGGTATGAAATACGTCAAAGTATAACTGCAACTAAGAGAGTATATAAATGTCGTTATTTTAAATTAGACATGCAGTTAGAAACAACTTGGAAAACAAAGAGTTAAAGAGGGAGAAACATAAGCTAATGAAGAATAGTCTGATCTCACGAAAGATTAACAAAGTAGAGTGTTTGTCTCAATCAACTTTTACTCTAGCGGAAACGTCTATAAAATTGAATAAATTGCAAGAATCGGAAATAATAAAAACGGCAAACAATTCAGCTTTAGAGAGCTCAAGGGATGCTCAATTTGGAGCACCGGTGGCACATTCTACTCCCTTCGTAAAAACTGACGATGGGAAAAAAGGAAAGATCTTCGGGTCATCCGCTACTTTTATTAAACCTCAACCAACATTGGGTCAGAATTTGCCAAAACCAAATTTAAGCACTTTCAGAGTAACAATTAAAGAAGACTCCAAACCTCTAAATGCTGACCAAATGAAAACATTTTCCAACGTAATTCCCATAAAAGTTAAGGAAGCGGAATTAAAAGAAGCAAGTGACGGATCATCTATACCTAATCCTAATCAGATAACCACTGATCAAAAATCAGTTTCGAATATTCAAAAGGAGAAACCTCAACAATCTTCTCAAATTGCTTCAGTCTTCAAAACTGACAAACTTGAAACAGTTAATATTACAGACTCATGCTTTAAACTGCCAACGGCTGTTTCGACACAGTCAAAAGTAATGTTGGAGCCGAACACTCTAAGCGCTGAATCAAAAAACGAAGATCTAGCACTGAAAACAGCTGATTCAGATTTTAAATTTTCTGTCCCCAGAAAGCCCGATTCAAATCCTCCTTTGAACTCAGCTGAAAATAGTAACATCAAGTCAGGAGCACCCGTGACAGGATCTCTATTTTCGTCAAAAATAAACCCGTCTGTTATTCAAAAAACTTTGGCAGATAATTCATCAGCTTTTACATTTACGACAAGTAAAGCAGCCTCAGTAGATACCAATTTTACAATCTCAAGTATAATTTCATCTACTTCAGCCAGCAGCACAAGCATGAGTAGCTTGGTGTCTGCTACAAATGCTCCGATAAGCAAACCGACGCAAAATATTGAAACATCCAAATCAGAAACAAAAGTTCCTTCTTTTAGTTTTCCACACTCTACACAATTATTATTTAAGACAAAAGCAGATGCAATGATAGCAACATCAAGTACAGATGTTAACACATCGACTTTTGACCAAAAAACGGCTTTTAGTTTGCCTAAATCTACAGAGGCCCTATTCAATCCCTCAAATAATATTGGATCAATAAGTTAGTACATAGTTTTGTATAAAAAAAATTATATGACTTTTTGTTCATTAAGGTACAGTTGTTGGTGAAACAACGAAAACATCTATGGGTATTGCGTCAACAGACCAGAAACCACTATTTTCGACAGCTATTACAAGTAGTTCAAGTGTATTTGGAAGTCAGATTTCAGCTGCTCCCTTCAGGTACAACAAGATTAACAACAAATACTTAAAATTATTTAAAATTTTTTTGTAGCTCTCATCAAACAAGAAATAATACTTTTGGCTCTGGGTAACATACAATATTTACTTTTAAAAATAAATCCAATAATGTTTTTCAGAGGATTTATGAGTGGTTTAGGGAAACCAAATCAATTGAATGAAAACAATACAAATGTTTTTGGAACAACAAACTTCCCTAATACTGGTTCTCAAAGTTAGACTTTAGTGTTTTAAATATTGTTTGTAATATCTTTTTTCTTAGGCAATATATTTGACTCTAAACCAACGGTATCAACTTCGACTTTCGGAGGAGGGCAGTTTACTAGCGGATCTACAAATGTTGCAAAAAGTGGATTTGGTGATTTTGCAATGACGTCTAATAGTGGAGCTTTCGGATCAACCTCAACTTTTGGTTCCTCCCCCGCCTTTGGTGGCGGACCCACTTTTGGGGGATCATCAGGATTAGCTGGGCTAAGTTCGAATACAAATACAACCATTTTCGGAAGTTCAACAGCTTCTACTGGATTTGGTGCTATTGCATCAAGTAGTACGCCAACTTTTGGAAATCTTGCTCAGCAAGGATCTCTGTTTGACTCTTCCAAGCCAACGTTAGTATCGCTAATTTCCCAAAATATCATTTATTTTACCAGAGGTTTTTTTCAGGGGCGTGTCTTTCACAGCATATAGGAGTTAATTTTTCTTATTGTCATAGTCTTTAACCAGGCATAGTAGTCAGTAAACCTAGTATTTGCAGTTTATTATGCAAAAAAATAAAATAAATCCTAATTGAGAAAAGAAATTTCGACAATAAGTACATAGCCATTATAAGTAAATGCACAAATTACGTTTGATACGATTTCATGCTAAACAAAAAATACTGCAATGGTAAGGAAAACATATAAATTTACTGTATATACAGCGTATACATGGGACAATTATATACAGTATACAGTCTATTCATATCGAATCCCTAGGGAGTGCTAGTAAAAGCAACGTTTTCAAGATGAGTCGTTGCAGCAGCAGTTGAGCGAGTATTTTGCCAAGGAGAACCTGACGCAAAAAAAAATCGAAATCACAATCACAATAAATTTTTTTGGAATAAAAGCGTATTCTACATAATGGCGCGACGCCCAAAACTTGTCTTAGTAACTTATAGACGTTCCTTATAATTTTGCAACGGACGCCTAAGACGTCTGTAATCAGAACGCAACATCGATCGCGGCCAATTTGAGGCGTCAGCGCAATCAAGCGACTGCAGTAGGGCGTCATTAGCCTGTCGTCACGCTCCAATCACGCATTTTTGCAGTAGAGTGCCTCGCGGTGGATGGTCAATGACTGCAATTAGCTCGATTGTTGAGACAAATGTTATGCTTACCGCCTGACTGCGCGGACATGATTGAGGGAGTAGGCGACGGAACCGAACCGTTTACCACTGCGGCTTGATGCTTCTTTTGCCTGGCTCGGGAATTTTGAAACCAAACTTGAGTCACTCTTTTACTTAATCCCGTCGCAAGGGCAATTCGTTCGAGGTCCTGTCCATCTGGATTAGAATCCAATTGGAAATTTGCTTGTAAAACTTGTAATTGTTCTTCACTAAAGGTCGTTCGTACTCTTTTGGATTTCGTTTTGTGCGGGGAAGCGTCTCCGTCTGTAAGAAAATCAGTCACGACATTCAACGGAAATGCGTGAGAAGACGATGAATCGCGGACGACTCCCGCTAGACTCTTATTAGATTAGCAACTGGCCAGCGGTCAGTAGTCGGCCAATCAAATCTTTGGTATCTTATATTTGCTTGTATAAACACACTTACCGCTCTGTCCTCCACCTTCCAACAATTCTATGTAGTGAGTTTTACACAAGACTTTGTTTTCGTGCAAAGCAAATTCTTCCCCAGTAGATAGCTGACGCTTACAAGCATCACAAGCAAAACAGGCCAAATGGTAGACATTTTCACGAGCTCGTCGTACCCAATCTTTTGGTTGGATATTTCGATCGCATTTGGAACATTTAGTTCCAAAATGTCTGAAAAATTTTTTAGAAATTCTCTTTATTTATCTTTTGATCAGCAACAAAATTTAGCAAGAAAGTGAATTTTTTGTGATCGATGTACAGATATAAACAGCAGTATGCCACTGCAAATCAGTGATGCATAAAACGACAATGACGCCCCTGATTCATTCTGTTTAATTGAGCGGTAACAATGAGCTGGGTTCGTAAATGTCACGCCCATCATGCAAAGATATATTCTTAGACAATCACCTTAAGTAATCCAGCTTGCAGTAGATATGGTCTTCTTTAATGTAACACGAGGTATGTCTGTCCAAGGTCGTTTGACATATACAGCACCGTAGACAAGTTGAATGCCAAGTTTCTCCACTTACTTTAAGCAAATACCGACACGTTATCAATTCTCCGCATCCAGCACAGAACGCGTCTATTGTAGTTTCACTCTGCAGCAATTGTAACTTGATTAACAAGTTAGAAACGTTTAATATAGATAACTGAAAATTTCTGTTGATCATAGTTCAGATAACATGTCCAGAACTTGATAAATGAGCACAGGCGGACGAGATACTTTTATGGATAAGATGGACAATAGGCGAGTACCACCGCCCCTTTGGTCGCGATATGAATTCTAAATGAGCGAGAAAATACACAGAAATGCGCAGATGGGCAGGCGTGAGCAAAAATGTCGTGCTTCGTTTGTATTCTCAAAACGCGCTATGATTTCATTTGCAACACTAACGCAAACACAAAGCGTCTTGACGCCGCTGTCTGCCAAAAGTCGAGGCGTCTAACTAGATTTTCCGTATACTAACACGCTCACATCAGTCATATGTGGTACGTATAAAGAAAATGTGCGTCAAGCGTTCCGATTAACAGGCGTCAGAATTCGGTTACGTCATTACTTTATAGTATTAAGGCCGAAAAACGACAACACCTGGTATTCGTATAATACTTGAAGAACATAATGATCCTATGCGGAACGATGAGTACCTTTGACTATGCCTCTTCTCAACATAATTATTATCGCAATTTTCTCCTCAATCATTTCTTTCGAGTATATATTTATCATTGCGCATGTCTCATCGAAAACAAAGGAAGAAAAAAAACGTTTTCGGATTATCTTTTATTTAAGACTATTCTACTGCTTAATAAGCTTTCGAGATTACGAGGATTCTAAAGTCAGAACCTGAATTTGTTTAGAGGAGTATTGAATTGTGCTCAGTTTAATGTCAAACCTTTATGTGTGTTTAACGTCAGAGTAAAATAAAGGTAATAGCTTAATCTTCTTAAATTCTCATCATCACATTGAAAATTGTAAACCTTTGAATCTTAAAAATATGAATTTACCATGTTAAAGAATTTTTTTCTATCGTTTATGATGTTAAATTCAAGAGTTTTGATTTTTAAAGCATAAAAATATTAATAAACAATACTTTAAGTGTGATAAAGAATATAATTCATACCTTTAAATTTCCGGAGTAAAGTGTTATTCTGCTATCAACACTGGAACAAGACGAAGATTCTCCAAATGATTCGAGAAGCATATTTGCGGAATTAGTTATGACGTGATCTGTCGATGATGAAGACATTTCACTCTCTGCGATTATACGCTAAAGTGTCGAGAGCGTAAACAAACGTTCAGTCAAGCGAAACTAAAGGCTAACCGCTGAGAAATCTGAAGTAATGTATGCAAGAAACTCAGCCAATCAGTGAAGAGTAGGTTGCAAAAGCCCCTACTCATTGGCGGATTGCTATTACGTAAACTATAGGCTTATATTCCATACCAGTCGATAAATTTTGTTGATAAACATCAAAAACGATTCAGTATCATATATACAAATTAGATTAATGAAGTTTGTATGAATTGAACATGAAGATATACGAACTTGAGAGATTATGATCTATGAATAGCTATCTCGAATGGTAAAGAACGTGTCAATATTCCCTGCCGTCAGTCTTACACCTTCCCTATGGCTTTAGTCTTATAATCACTCACAAACGGACCAAACTGTGTCTCACTTACTCTCTCATTCTATTTGAGGTCAGAAGATTGACAAAGTAGAATGATATATTATATAATGCAACAGAAAGTACTAACTACGTAGGGCAGGAGCTAAAACGCACAAATTATATATTACTAGGTACTTATTGAGTCTATTCATTAAGTAAGAATTTGTTCGTCATATCTATTTCACTAAAAACAGTTCTCTTGATAATTAGCATATCGCATTTGGACATTATTTACACCATCATGCTGACACATTATATCATTCAGTTCTAGTTACAGTCTCTTTTATTAATTAGATAATGTATTTTTTGTGACTATATAGGAGAAATTATATAAATATAATATGGAAATAAAATATTCATACTTTGTATTGTTTTGAATTTTCCACTATAGAAAAATAAACTTTTTAAAAAAAATTATTTAAAGGAAAAGCGATAATATATATATTTTTATAAAAATTGAAAGGAACGCATAGATGTTATAGTTGAGAGAGCAGCTCGGCTAGAAGAAATACAATTGTACAAAAGAGATGTGCAGATGGCGTTCCGTAAAATTGAGCGTTAAATATAATAAAAACTTAGTTTGTTACAAATCCTGCGAATCTAGGCAACGTAGGATAAGGAACCTTAGGCGAAATGAGTATAACTCGACTTCATTTGGTTTAAATTTTTCATAAAATAATAGATTCTTATAAGAAAATTATTCGTATAAGTTACCAGACTGATTATGTAATAGAATTTGCATTTTTTTTGCTTTTAATGTAAAAGCTAAGTCATATCTAAGAAGCTGAAGATATGTTCGGCTAGGAGATGCTGTTATAAAAGTCACCCTGGTGGCTTGTATGCCGCCATCTATCTGATACACGCTGCCTCATTCAAATGTAATAAATATCCTTTTATATTGGTGTAGTGAATGAATATAAAGTTTTATTTTGTCAAGTTTAGTTAAAATATTACCGAATATTTCGAAAGTGTGTGAAGTTCGCTTTTGTGTGTTAATTAAAATTAGGGTTATCAGAAAAAACTTTAAATAATTAACTTCACATAAAAATTTCAGATTTCATCTGAAAAGTTTGTGAATCACTTTATCGTTAAATATTAATAAGACAGTATATATAAGAGTTACAGCTAGTGAAAAGACTGCTACTTTCTTTCTTTTCTGACAAAACTCTCCATAAATCGATGCAAACTTGAGGGTAATTATACGGCTGTTTATGAAATATTTTATCCAGAAGATGGCACTACGAATTCAATAGTTTTCATTATTAGCCAATAGATGGAAAACACTATTATCTCGATTTTAGAGTGAATCGCAGAAGAAAAATTCTCCAATATCCTTGTTATATTTAATGATACCTAATGCCGTTGTGTAAACCTGATTAGTAATTCAAAACACAGATTCTTAAGTTTTCTATGTGATTTATCCGACACGATCAACATTTGTAATACTCCCTAGTTTTTTATAAGAGAAATTTAACGTTTTAAGTTGATATTAAAATTGCTAAATTTATTAATTAAGGGAAAAATTATTTTGTAACGCTTTCAAATTAGAAAGAAGTTTCTATCGCGTACTCAATTGATTATTGAACACAGAGAATTGCGAACAGTTACAATGGAGTATCGGAATTAAATAGGCAATGGAAGAATTAAAAGAGTAATTAAATTAGACCCTTCGCACTCTTGCAAACTTTTCTCTAACCTTTGCCTCTTTAATGAGGTCGACGTAGTCATACGAGAGCCTTTGCATTGCGTGAGACGTCATTGCAAATCTTACATGAGAAATATTCAGTTTTCTACTCTGCGACGATTGTTTTCAGCACAAACATTTTTACATTCGTCGGGCGTAGAGCAATTATGGGGCGTTAATTGGTAACTGGAGATAGAATTTAGTCTAATTGAAGCAGAGTGCGGGGGAACAATATCTGTATTGCTGTTTCGATTCCGTAATTTAAACGGTCCGTCTAATGAAAATACGCGAGTTGAATAACGAGAATAAATTGCTTGGCGGAACGATGGAGAATTTCAATAATTATCGCCTGCAAATTGCTCGGGTATTGTGCTTACTCCGAAACCTACCGATTGTCTAATTGAGTAGTCATTTCCGCATCCGTTGGCCATTTCGATCGTTTTGTTAGTCGCACGTGCCGTCGTTGATAAGTGTTTATTATTTATTTGGATAAGAGATTAATAGAAAATAATTCAATTTCGAAATATTTTTAATTAACTTTAGATATTTCAATAACTAGCATAAGTTTGTTGAATAATTAAACCAATTAGAAGAGCGCTAACAACAATAGCGTAGTGCAACAATTGAAAAATGAACAATTAGCGTTTCTTTAATGAGGGTGGGGCCACACAGTTTGTCGTTCGGTTTCCTTTCATCCTTTTTTCTCTTTTTTTTGTTTCACTCCCTTCCTTCGAAAGCTTAATACTCACATGTAAAAGTATAGTTTCGATGAATACTTGTATAAACTTGTAAGTTTTTTTTTATAATATGTGTAAATCGTACTCTTTATCTATTATACCTATTATATGTAGATTTCACAGCATTTGTATTTTTATATTTTTATGCTTAGAAAATGTATCAAAAAGCATAGCATAGAAGGTATTCTACAATTCTTTCTATAGTTAACGCCTTCGACGACGCGCCGATAATCGGAAAGTGTTTAAAGCTTTCGACGCCCGTAGGCAGTAGTTTTATTAAGATCGTTTGCGCAAGTGGTGGAGAGAAACGCATTTTGGAGAGACGCTCTAGGCGTTTTTTGCAGACTGCGCTAGTATTTTATGACGGCTTCGTTATAATTACTCGTCGTATACAAAACGTCATGGTCTTTATCGAATTACTGCTGAGATTGTCGCTAGAGAATTTGCTTTTTCCACTTCAATTATAAATTTAGGAGGACGACGGGTAAAAATTTGGTCTAATTGACGGTTTACTCTCACCCCAACACCTGCCTACCAACACCCACAGCGATTACCGCCCACCGCCCACTCGCTTGAGCAAGCAGCAAATATGCACCACTCATTATCTCATGATCTCTCCTCAAGCAGACGTAACTGTTATGTTACGGTTTGCTTCGCTAATGGACTCTTGCTGCGCAAGTATGAAGGACCTACCGTGTCAACTTTCCACTTCTATTTCTATTATACGCAACTGAAGGAAGCTAAGGAAGCCGTGTAACATAGACTGTATACAGAAAGCGTTTACAATTAATTCGTTATTTAAACGAGTAATTATTTGATGAAGGCTGTTAAGTGTTAAATTAGTACGAAACTCGACGCTTCCACGCCCTTTTTCATTACGCTTTTTTGCATACAAACGCTAGTATTTTATTTCTCTTTGAACGACGTCCTTAGTGAGTGTTCTCGGCAAAGAACTAACTCTTAAAAATTACAAACGTCCCAACATCTCCGCTTAGACATGTTCAAACGTGTTCAACGAGCTAGTTCAAAGTGTGAATCCTAAACGCTTTTGAATAGGTGTACAATGGAGACTAATGGCGTCAAGGCATCCCTGAGGCTTTTCAAATTTTATTCGCGCATAAAATCTTCCGATAGCTCGGTAGATGGCTCTGGCACCAGTTGACGATAACCAATAAGCTTTCGAGAACTGTAGAATAATTATGTGAGATGATGAAAGTAGTTGGACGCTGATTGGCAGGCAATGTTGGAAATATTTTGATCACTTTATTGCAGCACTGACTACATCCCGTTTGCACGCAGTCGCCGATTTTAAAAGAGACGTTGAAGAGGAGAATACTATAATTATATAATTAATTTATTTATTTTGTGCTTAAAGTTGATATTAAGACCTTTATATCAAGAAGTATCAAAACGTATTCAGTATTTAATGCAGTATATATGAATTTCTTCATTTGAATTTAAATTATAATGCATCAAGCTCATTCAATGGCCGCAACTGCCGCAATGGCTTATCAAACTACATCCAGTTTACAACGATCGCCCTTCGCTATTCACGAGCTACTGGGACTTAGTGAAAGACCTCCACCTCCTCCTCCACCGATCCCTCCATCCGCTCAACTTGACTGGCGACATGTTCATCTCCAACAACTTGCAGCGTCTGCAATGCCGCCTCATCATCATCATCCTCATCTCCACGCAACACCGACTGATATGCACTCTCATCATGGTAAGTCTCCTATTTACAAATCTTCTTCCTGCTACTTGGCAAAAAAAGCAAATCAGCTTTTCCAACTAGATAAATGGTTATGCTTTACCAAAGTAACAAAAAACTTGCAAAGTTTGTTTTCAAACTAAATTAATAAGCTTAAGACACTCCCAATACTATATATATATATTGTTTTGCAGTTGCTATGTAACGTTTGTTAAGAGTTTATTTCCGTTAGGACTCTGTAAACGCTTCTAAATTATAATATTTGGCCAACCCATTCGTAATATTAAATTTTCGGATAGATATGGATTAACTCCTAATTACTGTCATAAATTAGTTATTAACCGGCAAGACTTTAAGAGGTAACATATTCGACTAGACAAGAAACTGAACATGAAATATTTAAGATTGTACAAAGTGGCAATATGCTATCAAAATAACAATGCAACTATTGTCATTCATTCAATTAGAGTTAGGAACGAATTCATCAATTAATCATATTTGCTCGCGCCTGGTGAGCAACCACAACAAAATTTTCATCACGCTCATCTGACCATGCAACTTCCTTTCTGAATATTTCACAAATCTAATCGACTAAATATAACGAGCGTTTTTTCTTTTAAAGCTTATGTGAATTAGCGCACGTACTGTAATCGGCAAAACAACGAGACGAATACTGTTATGCCTATTTTTACAAATACTTATTACTCAAGTGATACATGTGAATGGTTTATCTCGTGCATGTGTAGCAGCAATCAGAGTAAAGGATAGAAATCAAATTCTGTATAAGGATAATCTAGTTTGCCGAGCACAATTACATTTTTGCACGCCTAAATACGCCCATGTTGCATCAATGTTCGCGAATAGATTGCGTTATAGACATTTGTCGGAGCGGATTGCTCTCCAGATTTTTATGGCAGTTAATTTTTAACATTGAGAAGTTTTAAATCATTCACATGATTAGAAATAGAATTGCGAGAAAAATTGTGCACTTGTGTCACAGCATGATATATATGAGGAACTAAGGAAACGTTCCGATTCAACCGGAACGCGAAATTGGCGAACGTCATTTCAAATAAGGTTAGGGCGGAAGAATGCGGCGTCTAAAATCGTCGCAAAATCTAATTGCCCTCATGCCGTGACGTCGACTGAGCTAATGAACGATTGGCGAACACGCACACAAATCAGCTTTACAGTCATGCTACTCATTCAAATTTTATTGATCGTCTGCAAATTGATTGCTCAAAATCTTTTTCACCGATAATTAATTATTTTGACGAATCATAGTCGGAATGTCTAATTTTAACATTTCTTTTTCTTTCTGTTAACTTCAGATAAGTGTGGAGAGATAAATCATAGCAAAAGCTATAAAATAATTCAAAATAAATAGCCTATAAAATACAAAGAAGTAAGCGTAAAATCATAATATAACATAATTATGCTAAGTGTTGGATGAAATTGTGTTCGCTTAAATTCACTTAAATATACTCCAGCTGCAAATTACCTTCATTTGATATGCCCTCTGGTGGTAGGTTTTTAAACCAAAATGCTTGTTATCTGCAAAAACAATCACCAGTTATCTTAATCAGCAACAAAAACAAGCAAAGCTTTAGACCACATGTCGATAGCGTTATCTTGCCATCTTTCTTTATAGGCCTGGAATGTAATTAATTTTATTACAACGTTGTTAATAAAAGCTATGATATATTCTGAATATTAACAAAAATCTCTTGAAATCTTTCGCACTGAAAAATATCAAAGTTGAATTTGTGTCCTCATAGAAATTAGCGTTGGAGTAGCCTAGAATTGAAGGGATATCCCCAGAGAAAACTATACGATGTCCTAAAAAGTTCATATCTTCAACAAATGAAATGAGATAAATACTTAATGTGGTTATTATATTCAAAAACTTTTCCCCAGCAGAGAATACAAATGACCTAGATGCACTTGGTCGACCATTAACTTCTTCTCCAACAAACGGAAACAAGAAAAAAAAGAAAAAGCGGAGACATAGGTAAGATTTAAAATTTCTGGATGGCACAAGTCTCAATCCCATATCCCATTATTATGAATTTAACGAGTAATTTTTGCATGCCTTTGCATATTTACTTTTTATTGAAACGGAAAACCGTACTAAAGCGTATAAAGTCTACTCAATTTGTCGTCGGTTTATAAAAAAGTATAATCGCTTCAAAGAGCGAATTTCCTTTAATTAGTGATAGACGTAAAATTAATTGCTGCTCATGTAAATGTAATGTTATGTCTAGAGTATCAATTACGTATGGATCTGTAACGTCGTATTATTCGCTCGATTAGCTTCCAATCATGCGCTTATAAATGTGAAATACGAAATCGAGAATTTTTGCTCGTACAATCTAACACATTAAAGACATAAAAATTTAACAAATGTATACGACTTCAAACAAGCACACAATGGTTAATACTCATTCTTAAACTGAGCGATAATAACAATTTCAGGGAATTATATATGCTTTTATCTCTAAATTGACTGTTTCAACGATAAAATACTAATTACTTAACGTAGATTACCAAAAATACCGTTGAGAATTCATAGCGTGTCAGGAAACGAATCGAAAGGTTCAATGCGCGGACTTGCAGCGCCTTTGGCTGGCGAAGATAATCGGCTCATTCATCTCTCTATTTTCCTACAGAACAATTTTTACATCTTATCAGTTAGAAGAATTGGAAAAAGCGTTCAAGGACGCACACTACCCAGACGTCTATGCTCGAGAAGTTCTTTCTCTAAAAACTGATTTGCCTGAAGATAGAATACAGGTATGTTAATGTTTGTGACAAACAGTTGTAAATTTTATTATTATTATTATTATTATTATATAGAACTTTCGAAATTAAAGACCCTAAGTAATAGATAACAAAATTCACAATGAAATCTATTTCTGATTTAAGAAGAGTTTTTAGTCTGATAATCTTTACTCATCCATAAATTGCGCGAAATAAGCAATTACGATAATTGAATTATTGTGTATTCCCAAGCTGAATGTTTTGTGATAGGACATTTATTATCCATCAAAAAATATTTGCGCTGTCTTAGCTCGTGCATACGAAACGAATCATCACCGAATCATCCTAGCGTGTCATTGTTTTTTCTTCTGCGTCCTTGTTTCAGATAATTGCATTCCTCCTATCCAAACGTAATAAATTGGTTAATTTTCATTCCACAATTGGCAATATCTCTACAAAAAGATATATCGCCGATATGTACATATATATATATATATATTCTGAACTATACCATACATTTATATCCTTCCCCGTAAAAGACAATAGAACTTTCCTATTTCGTTGTTTTTGTTGGTACTAGACACAATGCTTTGTCTTCATCGTTATAATTAATACTTATGTGGATACAGAGGGAACTCATTCAGTTGCTGACATTTTTCTTTTTTCCTGAGCTCTGTCACGTTTGCATCGGGTGGTGCTAAAAACTCCCTAGGGGGTACATGATCGATTGTAGAGGATAATGTGTCCTTCTGACGATTCAATGCTATTTTATATATAAATTTTATATATAAATTTTACATATAAAGTATATATACAGTATATATATATATATATATTTTAAATATTTAACTACTTTCAGTTTAAAGGCTAATTATGACTTATGATTTTAGTCTGTGATAGCAAGTATGAAAGTCATGAAATGAACAAAAATTTATCCCATTTTACTTTAGTAGCTACTTTCTTATTCAATATAAAAATTATGGATTATTAAAGAGTACAAAAGGTGAAGAAACATAGTACTTTAAGTATCTGTCTTACGACTATTACATCAGTGCGAAAGATATATTACACGAATATTAATGATATAGTGAATTTTGTATTATGATTAGTTAAATTCTATCAGCAAATACCAACAAATAAATAGTTGTAGAAATGAACAATTAATGAAGAGAGTTTATATTAGGATTTATGTCGTGGAATTCATCATTAAGTCCAACTGCATTTATAAATTGTCAAGGAAAAAGTAACGCTAAAGCATATAGATGTAGAAAAAGCACAAGCGTCGGTGCACACAAAGGATATAGGAATATAATTGGCAATCGCTTCGACACAATCTGAAAACGTGCTTACTGAATGATAAAATGGCGCCAACAGCTTAATTAAAGCAACCCTAATTGGGCACGAATCACTAATTGGTGACGGCGTCCACGTGACGCCAGCGTCAGTTTGCTCGTTTCCGCCGCCTAATTGGCGTTTCCCGGCGTCTTCTTTTTGTGATTATATATATGTGCAATTTTTCTACACTTCATTCGAATTTACTTTCTCAATATATTTCTTTTTCGTTTCTTTAATTTGTGCACACAGCACGCATGCAGCAGCTTGAAATCGGATTTAATTAATGCGAACGTTTAATTGTTTACAACTGTATTTCGTAATTGATGTAGGCGCTAAATCTTCCTTATATTTTATCCATATTATAATACTATTTCAATTTGATTGGACTTAAAGTAACAAGTTATTTTTCGTATTTTAGGTTTGGTTCCAGAATCGCCGAGCTAAATGGAGAAAATCCGAGAAAACATGGGGTAAAGGGTCAATAATGGCTGAATATGGCTTGTATGGTGCAATGGTTAGACATTCTCTTCCACTTCCAGACTCTATAGTGAAACCAACAAATGAGGGGAAAGAAGTGGTTGAATCTAGCGCTCCCTGGTTGCTGAGCATGCATAAAAAATCGATCGAAGCGGCACAAAAATTGAAGGAGGAAGAAATGGAAAATTTTCCAAATAGTAATGACCAATTAAAAGAGGAGAGTATTGCAAATTTAAGAGCAAAAGCTAAAGATTTTTCCAGTTCTCGTGATCCTTCAAATGCTGCTTTTAAGCCCTTACCATTCGATTCTTCAACGACATCTTCAGCCACCTCAACTCCGTCGTCCCTTGACCCGGGAACTTAATTAGAGCCGATAACGTGCCTCGTTCGCCCTCCAAATCATTCTGCTTCACCAAACTTAATTCATTTGCGATTCGCCAACGAAATGTTCACAATATATACGGTGCTTTTTATGTCTTATACATCGTTGTAACATGTATCCCTCTAGTTACTTTCTTGTTCGTTCCTATATATTTTATCAAATGTTATTGAAAAAAATAAAACATATATGTATCAGCGTATTGTAGAATCTATTCTATTCGTGCTGCATTTGTGTTTATCTGCTATTCATGTGCAAATTATAGATATAACTAATCTTTAATTAAATTAATACATTTATACACAGAAATTTTTTAAGTAAAAGTTGTTTTAATTTATTTACTGAGAAAATTTTTTACTGAGGAATCGGAAGATATCTAACAAATGCAAAACATAACAGTATGAAATACGAGACGTACGGAATTTAATTAGATTCTCCTTTTGTTTTAACTGACAATTTGTTGACTTATTTCATGGTTCTATTCAAGCATTCCTCGACTTGTTCAATTTGGTACTCTTCGAAGTTAAATTTATAGTTAACAACCATTATTTGAGGAATCTGTTTATTTCACATAGTTTTCTATTAACTTGATAATTTGCGATTTTCCTAATCCAAAAATATATATCGAAAATTAAATCTTTTACAACTAGCATTATATTATTTAATATATTTGATCATCTATTAAAATTTTATGTATGTATACTGTATAATATTCTTGAGTGAATAAAACTGCAGAGAAACATATTCATGTTTCAGACGAGAGATGTCGCTAGTATTTTGCATAAGCGAAGGACATACAGAAAATTATACATTAAAAACATCATTATTTTGCGTATGATTAGCTGGCGGCTACCTCGAAACAAAGGATACGCATCTTTTAGAGAATTAATTAGCTAGCCTTCAGCCATATACATTTGACACAGATGCAGTAAAGCTCATAGCCACCCGATGGTATATTTTTTTCGACTATTAATACACTTTCTAAGATTTTTGGGAAACTATCAAAGTTCGTCAGTTTAAAAACCTAGAAAAAACTTTTATTTATATTGAACACTTTACACCTTTCTATAGAAAATTGTTGTAAAAGCCAGAACGTTTGCTATTTCTTTATTTACAGTGATTTAATTGTTTTTTTGGTGTGAACTTTAATCCCTTTTAAAATCCTAATGAACACATAAAAGTAAGAATGAATCTCTTCCATTTGACTTATTTGCTAATGGTATATCCAATCAAATTTCGACACATTCTAACAGCCAATTCTAAAATAGAAAATTATTGTATCTATAATATCAAAGTTGTCTTGTTGACAAAAAGGTTTTTTGCTAAAATAGTTATTTATTGGAAAAAAATAATAAAACTATAAAGTGAAGGACAAAAGTAATTCCTACCGATAGTAAAAAACATGGCGCAGTGGGCTGGACCAAGTTGTGATTGACGTGCTCTGTGGGCGGTCTCTATCTTTAATCACAACTAAACAATAGCTAATTGGCCTCCAGGTCGCTGAGAACGCTCTCTACCTGTGACATTTTTCATTGTACATCTGCTTAACCAGGATGTCTTCATATTGGCCGTCCTCTAGCCGAACATATTCTTCCGTTCAACCTTCAACACCAACTCAAAGACCTTTCGCCATCCACGACCTGTTGGCTCTTCAGCCTCAACAGCATTTTGCAGATTATCAGCATTATCAAAATGCTGGCGGAATGCCGACGCCCGAAGATATGGCGGCTTCGCCTTATGCTGCTTGGAGAGCGGCAAACTTAGTATCGGCTTTTCCTCCGACTTCCGATCATTTTGTTCCGAAGCCGTCTAGTAATTGCTATATGACTGCAAATGATCATGTAGCCCGACAAAATACTCCTCACTCTGGACTCAGTACGCTACATAGTAAGTTTCCCTTTTTTCAGTAACATTTCTTGGTATATTTTGTGCACTTCAAGTTCTTTCATTTGTTGTACTTGAAATCAACCTCACCCGTTTACATATCGTTTGACGCCACACCCAAAAAATTAAGTATATCTTTTCCTACATAAACTAGTGAAAGACATATGTTACCACGAAGTTCACTTGAAAATTCATGTGTCGATACATTTGCGACAAAGTTATATTTAGCTTCATTTCATTTACCTACAAGTTTTCTAATGCCCTCAAACCAGACAGCCGAATACATTATAGCAGTTTATTAGTATGTTATGATCATGAAGCTTATCGTATAATTCGCTACTATTCTTTGATAAGCCTGATGAATATCAAATTTACAATTATACGCCATTCACTTGGTATAATAGTTAATTTTCCACTTAGAGACTTAACGAATTGTATTTTGCAGGCCATTATGTCGATTGACCTACATTAAACATTTTCTTGCTATCTTCCCCAGTTTCTTAAGCCATTTGAAAAGCAAAACCTAAGAAACACATTTTGAGTAGACTGTTAAAAATATGACTAGCTACAGTTAGGAATACAATGTTTTAACATCAACATCTTTTTTCCATAGAATATATCAACTTACTGTAAATCACAGTCGAAATTTAAGATTCATTTTAACTCACTATTAGATATTATTTGAAACAATTTCACAGTTTCATTCAAGAATCCTAAATATATAGGTCAGTCAGTATGCAAGAGCTTCATAGTCAGCTATTTTAGTTCCTCAAAGGAAGTCACAAATGCAGTTCCAGAGTTCTCTTTTTGAAAAATTAATAATACTATTAGGAGATCTAGAACTTTAGACGACAGTTTTTTTTCATTAAAGTATAAAAGGTATGAACCATGGTAAGATATGGTGTGACTGGTCGAAACGACGGGGGACCAATTAGAGTCTGACAGCGTTCACAACAGCAGCTAATTGAGTGTTAATTTCTGAGCAGAATGCTTTCATAATGGCGACCTTAGCCTTTCAGTATTCGTTCATAAGAACCCAAGACCTGTCATAATGCTATTCCGCCTTTGTATTGCCTCTATATAATTATCTAGGCTCAAACGGCTTTTCAGGACAATATTAAAATTTCGATGATCGTGAATCTGTAATAAATCATAAACATTGTAGTTTTTACATTATTTTTTGGACTGACTAATTGGGGGGTTGTAATGTAGTCTGTAGCTGTGTTGAAACGCATGTTCAAGATTAGATTTAAGCTTAAAATTGCTCCGCTATAATTGGCGCCTTGTACCAAAGCACCGTTCATGTATAAAGGACAGATGTAGTGATAAAATTTGCGTGACAACGCATCTTCACCAGTTTCCATAAATAAACTTAAAATTTTTAGCGAATTACTCGTCTTGCGTAAACTTAAAGGAACTAGATGAATTGAAGTAACAGTTTTAAAATATACGAGCTATTAAATTTCAATCACCTTCAGTTTTAATCACTGCATAAGATAAGATGAGTATTGCTGATAACGATATCACTTATCAATAGTTTGCTTGTCTTGCTCACGACAAGTGTCAATTTGCTCAATAAAAAGATAAACACTTTCATTGCCTATGCTTGTTTAACGACTAATCTCGAGTGGGTTAGTGACTGTTGTTTTTCAGCAAAGTGTATTGCAATAAAGATTTGACATAATTATTCGTTTTATTACAAATTCCTTTTCGAAGTATTTTCACATTCCCATACTCTCGTTAGCTTTGCGAACGCATGAAAAAAGGCCTTCAAAGCCTTTTTGAGAGTAGGAAAATTAAATGCTTTTATCGATGACAGGTTGCAGTGAAAGCCTAAGAAACGATTCTGAGACCAGTATGAATGGCACGAAGAGCAAGAAAAAGAAAAGACGACATAGGTAAAAACGTTATATTTTAAATTTAATGGCATTAGAAAAGTGTGATCAATAAAATCATGTATAAGTTTAATAAGTGCTTCGGGTGTTACAAATATGATGTCAACGAATGTCGAGAGAATTTTAGAGAATCTCTTACGCAATCCAGTAAAGGAAGAGTAAAAATTGCTTCCACGACTGTATGATAAACAACAATCAAATTCCTACTAAGTGTTCAAAGAATTCTATTTTAAGTTAAACAATATTGAAAGTCATTCAAAAGAATGGAAATTTATTATAATATTCTTGTTTCTTTTTATAAAGGACAATTTTTACGTCGTATCAACTTGAAGAATTGGAAAAGGCATTTCAGGATGCACACTACCCAGACGTTAACGCAAGAGAGGTTTTGTCTCTAAGAACAAATTTGCCAGAGGATAGAATTCAGGTTGAACCATTTTCACTTTTACCGTATATATATGTGGCTGCAAATTTTTGTCACTCACCAACTAATTAAGATTATTTCTCATACAACACGCATCAGTAAAATCAAACCGCGAAATACATTTCGGACAGTTCAAAGGCATTTAAGCTACTTACACAAAATAATTAGCGAGACTTTGTAATTGCCAATTAACATGCACGACCCATTGCAAACAGGCTACATTTTAAGAATAGTATCATGGTAATAGTCTCGAAGGCTCTATACAATAATTTAATTCAGCAGATTCCGTAGCAAAAGATCATGATTTTCTTCATTTGATAGATTATACTGTTCTTGAATACACATCGGGGAAATTATAAGCATAAAATTATCAAACTACATGTATACTAATATATATATATATATATGCCTAGACATCTTCATTGTCTATTTTCAACTGGATCAACGTCATACAAGTAGAAACTTTGTTAACTCTAATTTAAGTAATAGTATCTAAAGAGAGAATAGCTAAAGATGTATTGTAAGATTTATTGTTAATTAGCTGAGAAATAAAAGGGGGGTATGAGAGCGTGTAAAGGCAGCATAAAAACAACCCGCATTGTTCAAAGAATATACGGCGTCTAATCGAACGTGCTCCGCGCTCACTGCAGTCTGTAACTAACAAGCTTCAAGTTTCGCAGCGCCATGCCCTCTAGACTAATCAAGCCATTCACGCCTAATTAAGCTTCTACAATGTGAGTTTATTGGAACTATTTTCTTCCCAATTAGAACCTTCCTTGTTTTAATGTCTTATAGAGCCAATTTCATCTTCGCTCCTCCTATATTCTTGCTCCGCCCCACGCTCTTTGTTATACAAAATCGAACAATTTTCTACTAGATTATACATTTTAAACTTTCTAAAAAGAGAACATCTATGTGACGAAGAAATAACTTTAAAAAGGATAAAAAGAAACAATTATTTTGCAGGTATGGTTTCAAAACAGAAGAGCAAAGTGGAGAAAAACTGAAAAAAAATGGGGTAAAAGTTCTATAATGGCTGAATATGGATTGTACGGTGCCATGGTTCGACACTCTCTCCCCCTTCCGGAGTCTATTCTAAAACATAACCAAGGAGACGAATCTTCTGCTCCATGGCTTTTAGGTAACCAAATTAAAATTGCCTAAAAATCAACCATCACACTATCAATGTTTGATACAGGAATGCATAAAAAATCTCAAGAAGCAGCAGAGAAACTAAAGGATGATAATTCACCCAGCTCAGCTCTTGAAAAGAGTGCTGATAAGCGTGATAGGCACGATCAAACATCTGAGGGTTCACCACCGAAAGTACGATCGAAAGCTGGTTTTCCATCACCGAATAATCAATCCTTACAAGCCATGTTTTTACAGCATAGGCCACCACATCAATCTCTCATGTTTGCTCAATAGTTTTTTTGTTTTTTTCAACGTGCCTGTCAAAATGTTGTGCTTTGGAAAGAATGTATGCATTTAAGATAAATATTTATGTCTGTATTACTGTTAAAAAGTGGTTTTTGTCACTCTTTCTCTGTGTCTCTATCTCCTTATCTTCTTAAAATATTATATACTTTTCCTTTCTTGTAAATTGACTTGTAGTATTTTTCAACCAAATAATTGTTCAAAAATTTCAAGATTTACTATTATCATTAAATAAATATCAATTATTTATTTTCTGTATTATTAATTTAATTAAGTGATAGTAAGAATTCGAAATTTGGATAGCAACGTGTACAATTAAAAATTGTAAACATCATGAATATTCATATAGATAATTTTTTCACCATAGTTAACATTTTTGATTAAATCAAAAGCAAATTTTTAAATTTCTAATCTTAAAATTAGAGGGAAGAATGTTCTTCGTTTGAAAAACTGCTCTCTGATCGAAGCATTAGTAACACAGCTAGGATAGAAAGTCGCTTAAAGTATATTTCGGAGAGAAATAAGAAATTGCATAAATTAATTGTATCAGTAGAACACCAGGTAGTTTATATAGTTAAAAACATTTTAACATCTCTCAAATTGTTTTTTCTATACGTGCAACCCAACTCCAAATCCAGGTTAAATAAGTAGGAAATATTTATTCAATAGATGGCGCTGTCAGAAATGAGCAAGGCCATCTATGGAGTCCTTTCTTAACAGTTACATAAATCCTCATGCTAGTAAAGAATATCTTAAAATAATACTTTTCTATTGCTTTATTTTATTCTTCCATGCTTCCCCATTATAAATTTTAATATTTCTTCTACATTATATATCTGACATGAATACTTAGAATTCAGATAATTTTCGTCGATTTAAGCTGAAAACGAAAGACAGTTATATTCATGCCATTGGCAGTTTCTTCATTTGTTTACTATATAAAATTTTCATTTCCCTGGGTAATGGAGTATTTCCACCCATAAAAAGGTCACTAACTCAAAAAATAATCATCTAACATTATTTAATCAATTAGAAAGACATAAATTGCTACATAAGACGAGCTTACATTTCTTTGTCATTAGTATAGCCGTAGGCAAAAATAAATGAAGAGGTAATTATACGCATTTCATGGCTTGAACGGAAATTAACAACAGAATAATCATGACACAAATAAACCAAACAATTAAAAGTAACTTTAATCACTCGACATCCTTATAACGTGTTTCTACATACTATAAATTGTATACTTGACAAAAGCAATTGTTTTACTAACTTAAATTACGAAGTTGTACTTTTTTAACTTTACTTCTAACCGCCAAAAATTGCATAATAAAAATCTGAAGAAAAAGTAAAATGTAAAAGATAAATTTTGAAATTAGAAAGTTTATGGGAAGTGACACTAATCGAAACATCAACTTCAACCATTGATGTAATAATTATCCTCAATAGATTCTTCCTTCTATAAAAAGGCGCTCTTTAAATTCTTGTGTCTATAAAATAACTTCATTTCTACACTACCTCAAAGCGATAAATTAAAAGAAAAATAAATTATTAACCCATTAATGTGCATTTAACATCCTCGACTCCAGACAAAGTACTAGAATAAACAATTTTCTACAATACTCCGAAACGTTATTATATCATTATTAACCCCAACAAAAAAATCTTTAAAAAGTATTCTCAAAAAGACTTAATGGAGTGATCTAGCATGTATCTTTAAGACTTTGAAATCTCTAATGTAAATCCAAACTGTACAATTATTAAAAATAACAGAGATTACACACACTAGATGCCGCCAGTTTTCCTAAACTTGAAACAGGTGCCATCTGCTTTGCATTTACGAAATGTGCTGATTCCTCACTCTGATAAAACATCAGATAAATTATAATTTAGTACTTAGGCCCTCTTCTAGTAGAAAATATTTTTAGATTCAAGGTGGTTTTATACAAACAGTATATATCACATATTTATAAATATAATTCATGTATATATGTACACAGTATAAATTGAAGTCTTTCTATTACATAATTTTTACCAAAAAAATTAACATATATGATTTCAGCGAAAGCTTTCACTTCGCAAGAGCAACCGTTATTTAATGTTGGTGAGTATACACAGCGTCTCCCATTATCGGCCGTCTTTTAGTGACGTTTTCAATTTACTCGCGTTCCTTTCAAGTGCACAGGCCCCGCTCGGCGCACTAAGCTAAGCTTCTTAACTCTCTCGCATGCATGCAGAGGCTGCCGTTTTCCTCTGCTGCTGCCGTATGCCGGCTATAGACGGCGGCCTCTTTGTGCGTTTTGCGGCTTATTTCATCAGACAAAAAGCACACTGCCAAACCACTCTGCATCATTCGAGCACATCTTAAACTTACCGCAAAATTAAGTTATGATTTTCAAATTCAATAACTGATATGTATCTTTAAGTACAAGAAATATAATGGACTTTCGCGAACGTATACTTAATCTCTTTGTGCTCTTGATAAAAAAGTACATATATGAATTCATTTACAGATACAAAGATTGTCAAATAATACATCTATACATCTATGTATATATGTTCGAGTACGGTATCCGGCGCTAATTAAGTGAAACACTACAAACGATACGTTTCCGTATCGCATCACAACTACGGAAAATGCTAATTGTTTGAGAAGAGCGTCGACCGGAAATCGGTCGTCATCGACGCTGTGAGAGCTTTATTTTCACGATTTTCTGGCAGTTGAACGAGAAATTAAAAGGTATATATGACTGTGGGTCGGTGTGAATAGAAGGAATATTTACTTAGCAGCCCGCCAAAAGGCCTGTTCATACACAAACTATACCGGTACCAACGAATAGCAGTTTATTCTCAAAAAATTCCATTTATTCCTATGTCTTTGGAGACATTTATTCCTCTTTCCCCTAAATTAAAAGAGTATAAATTTAAAACCCCTTTCTTGGAGATTTTAATTTCTTTAAAATTTAAGAGTAAAAAGTGATATGTGAAATAGGGAATATTTACTTAAATTTTAGATAGTGTAGTAACGTAGACGAAGGTGGCTGGGTGACGCCGTATGTTTGCAGTTGAGTACACTTTGCGCGGCGTTCAACAGAGTTCGTGTTGACACAAAGTGGCTAAACCAACACGGCGTTAAACACAGTAGCTTTCTAAAATAGCTCTCACACTAACCTATATATTTTCCTACCCCGAAGCTAACCGCCTAATGTCTGCTTATATGTACACACGTCCACGCAATGGGGAAATGTACAGTTTTTCATGTCCATATTATGAAAACTCATCAAAATGGCACCTGCCGTAATCATGACTGGCGTCTGGCACACTTCAATAGCGCACCACCCACAACCCGCGTTCGCAACTCTCCAATCCCGTCACCCGGGAAACGCCTGCAGCACGTAGAAAGGTGTTGTGTACATACACAAACACGAAAACTTTCCAAATGAAATTTGTATATATACAATTTACAGTGCACAACACTTCACTTTTTATTTTCGAGATAAAATGAGCAGGGAGATTTAAGGAGAAAAAAACGGAGAAAATATGATAAGGAGAAAATGTATAGTCAAAGTTTAAGGAAATATATACATAGTAGACGCTGTATACGCGTACATTACATAGTATTACATAGTAATTTGCTGTAAATATAGACAACACCGCTCTTTTCCAATTTTTCAAACCCAATACTGACTACGGCAAGAGAAAGACGACATTGACACGTTTACACGTATACACATGCATGCACATTGATATAAATTAACATAACGATTGGATATAGAGACTTTTTAGAGCATTTGAAATTTTGGCGTAGCGTTTGACGACCATGTGACCAACGAGGGAGATGGAGACGAAGTGGAAGTATGATGTTCCACTATCATTCCACTATCCGGAGTACGAGGAGCAAAATAAGCATTTGGCATGGCCGGTGCAGGGGCGGGAGAATGGTACATATTAGGCGAACACTGTTGTCCTGCGCCATTCATGTAATCCATTCCAGTTTGCGGAGCATAATAGGAGTTGCACGGCGCATAAGGAGAGGCGGTTCCATGAGTCGAATAGGCGGCGGAAGGCGGAGGCATGTAAGTCGTTCTCTGCATGCAAGAGCTGGCCAATGGATCTGAAACAGGTGACCAAAGAGGAGTAGCGGCGCTCTTGCTGTAGTCTTTATAGTCTTTGTATGGTGGACTACTTCCGGTTGAGGCAGTCGATGATCCATGATCCTCCTGCTTTTTCTTTATGACTGGCTTATTAGTTGGAGTGGAAGTCGGCGGAGTTGAAGATGAAGTTCCGTTGCTTGTGTTGCTACTCGGCTGAGTAACAACCGAGGATGATCCACTACCACCACTGCCAGTCGATCCTTTAGTTGTTTCTTGTTGCTTTTGTTGTTGACGGCATTTGGCTCTACGATTCTTAAACCACACCTGCGTATCAGATTGTCGTTAAAAGAAACGCATAACAGAAAAAGAATAAATGTCCGCACATACCTGAACTCTAGATTCTGGCAAATTAATTTTTAAAGCGACTTCTTCTCTCATGAATATGTCGGGATAGCGAGTTTTCTGAAATAGCGCCTCCAGCACGTCCAGTTGGGCTCTTGTGAACGTCGTTCTTTCTCTCCTTTGTTTACGCGGGTTGGCGGCTGTAGGCATGATTTTTTTCAGCTCATAGAATGAGTGGAACGAAGCATACAGAAGAGCCGAGCCGGCAGTAATGGCACGCTATTGTGCACTTTGTTGTCATTTCGCTGGCCTCAATTGAGAGCGGTAAAGAAGCGGCGCCCTTATTATTGCAGGAAGCGGACGCCGCCGCGCACGTTTATATAGATTACCTCCAGTCCTCCTCTCTGGCTTATCTCCGCTCGACCCTAATCGCTGCATCGGCTGTCAATTGTCTACTTGTCGTTTTTTCCGTTTATGGCGTCTATTTGCTAATTTGCCGTTCGCACTGCGGGTGCCGAACACGCCTTATACAATACGACGGAGCCGACTGAATGGCGTTTATTGTCGTGTAAAATGAGGCAAGTCGAAACTCGCTCGCCGTTTAACTGCCGCCGCATTTACGATTAATGATTATTATGTGTGAAAGAGCGAAAAGGCGTTGTTTGATAAATTAAAATCAAGGTAAGGCGGATATACAGCCCTCAACAGCGCGTGTGACAGATGATATTCAATAGTCATAGCGGAGCCGTCCATAAAATCTCATCCGCAGCTGCTGCGGACCGATATCGACTGTAGATATAAAAACTCCAACGCTAGTGCGGTATGTTTATAGCATAGTGCTGACCGTTCTCAAATATTCATCGAGTCGTCTTTCAGACTACAATGACACAATATCTATACAGCCAGCTGTTCTTTTATTGGCGTTCCGCTACTGTTTGTCCTTTATTACATATACAAATATCTATATAGATATGCTAGCGTTTATACAAGACTTGTTAGCTATATAACCGTAACCTATAAAATACAACAGGGAATAGAAAATTAGTTCGAAAAACTTACCGGCATATCCCATGGCTGGATGATGCATCATATCATGATGACTGTGAGTTGTGGCCAGAGAAAGTCCGTTAACCGCGTAGGGCAATGGAGGAGGTCCGCAAGGAGGAGGTTTCGAACAGGGAACGGACGAGTAAGCCATTCCAGCCATATCCGTCCCAGGTTTTAATCACTCTTTTGGTCTAAGTAAATTGGACTGAAATGTAGAAATGATTTTTAAGCTACTTCCAGTTGTCGTTCGCGAAAAGTTTGCGCTCAAGGAATTTATTTAGGAATTAGCGCCAACTAAAGCCGTTTCAATAGTCGGGCCGTGATCCTTTAGCGGATTTGTGAATTAAACATTAATACAGACACTTACCTGACTAAGATGCTTCTTGCCGCGATACGCACACACGTTTGCTAGCACGCTCGATTTGGGTCGAGCGGGCATTAGAGTTAGGCGGAGCCAACGTTGTCCAATCAGCGAGGATCAGTGCCGAATGGGAGCTTGATTGACGTTCATCGGCTTGCGTTTGGTGTGTAATTAGAATGTTGTGTAGCGGCGTAGAGCACTAGCTACTCTCGCTATTTTCTCCGTTAACCAGCTCGTTAGCGGCCGACTAGCAACTCCCAAGAGTTTAGCCGCCGTTCGCTGACGCCATTTTCGTATCGTTTTGCGCATGCATGTTTGATGAACGTTCGCTGCGCAGGTGCCGCGACACCGTAAGACACTAACGAATTGTTTATGTTTGCACCGCGTACTGCCGCAAGGTGCAGTAAGAACAATCACACGCTAATGACGTTATTACGTCAGTGTAGTGTGCCAATCATACTTTACCTTTGTTTCTATCGTCTTCAAACTTCCTTTGATCGACCGCTTTGGTTTCTCATCGCCCGCCTGCGTCCGAGATATTCATTGTAAAAAACCATTCTATCATCGCTTCGCTGTGTGTTTTTACTAGACTTTTCTTTTAGCTTTCTGATGGATGCGTGCACATCGATAGCTTATAGGTATGTCGCAATGCACTTTTTATTAGGAATGCCATTTGAATTGAAAAAAGTATATAAATTTGAAGACTTATAAAATATCGTATTTTTTGAAATTCTGCTTTCAAGAGTAAAATAATTACGAATACTTGCTATAACCTTTTGTGAAATTGATTTTAGGAGTTTTCCCTGAATCTTAAATGACTTTTCTGAATGATATTTAAGTTTCTGAAATTTTTCTGAAAGGCAAACTGCCAGAGGATGGTTTCTCTCTTACACTATTCTTCCTATTAGAAAAGTGATCGCCCGCATTCAAGCTAATCGCTTGCTCGTTTAGTTGAACACTTTGTAAAAGAACCATCTATAAGCACATATTACAAGGATCAGAGGCGATTAGTTGTATTTTTACCAACAATCCTATTATACTTTATATCCGATTTATATCATGTTTATATAGACTTTGATTTGAGTAAGTGTGAATTGAGAGTAGTGACAACAACAACACTCCTACATCCGTATGTATAACCCTAAAATCTTAAATCGAATAGAGATCTACTGCAAAAATTGATGCTTTGAAATTCATTTGCATAAAATTTACATATTGATCGGCAATCGATCGCCATGACGTGTTAGCATGATAAAGAGGTTCGTCGAGATCAATGCTTTCAACACTCGATACATTCGGACTCAGCACTTGGTTGATATTTGCATAAATAAGAAGGCGTTGAGAATTTATAGAAGTTTGACAGTTGTATGAATATTTTTGGCACAGTTAGGAGCTTAAAGTTAATGCATAACTTTTTGGAAATGGTTTAAATTCAAAAGCGTTTTATAGTATTATCAACAACGCCTTGTCATTGGTTTTATTTTAGAATGTCATCTTCATTATAAACGTCTTTGAAAAATATACATATTATATATATATATATTATTATATATATTATATATATATATATTATATATATATATTAAAGCACGTTCAATCTTGTCGTTTATATATAAAAGTCGTGCGAATGGAATAAAGAAGGCGCGGGTCAGTAATGTTAAACAGGCCTCAAATGTCAAACAACTTGCGCTTTCAATATTGTCTTTCAACGAGCGGTGTATTTGATTGGGAACGGGCAAAATAGGCGTGACTATGCATGAAAAAGGAAAAATGAATTAACGTTGAACCGGTTTTAAAACATGCAGCATCAAATAGATGCGAAAAAGATAGCGAAAGTTTGCCAACACATTTAGCAATCAACTAAATGGAACAATTAGAGCATGGCGCCAGATTGACTTGCGCAGTAATTTTGCGATTTGGCTTTGAAATCACGCAAAGGGGAGGCGTGTGACGTACGTCAGTGTACATCGGTCATGACGTCATCATCATTATACGCTTCATGCCCGCGTTAATTCTCTCAGACGCTTGCCTTGTTGGCTGTTGCAGGTGCACTAACTGCAAATTAGTGAACGGTACACACAACAAAGACTTCACTAACTAAATTAAGTCCTTTTATTTAGCGGGGTGTCATTTTATGTGGCCGGCGGGCGTCGATCGATAGACGCCAGGTAACGGTTGGATTAGGACGGCACGCTGCAGCCAATCTGCCAATAGAAGTGCAGTCGCCTAATTAATGAGACGTCGCTGCACTAATTGATTAGATATTGTATTGTTGTATCGAGATTTTTCAACGTGTTTCTTAATTAAAAACGAAGCTGGGTAGCCATGAGGTAGCTGCATGCATGCAGACGACGATGCTCTCGCCTTCAATAAGGCATAATCCTGGCTTGACCTAGATGACGAAGGCGCGCGTTGCTGCTGTTGATCAAAGGCGCGCACCTGGCACGCAGCGTCTCTTTTGCACTTGAAAGTATCCTGTTTATACATTTGAATACTATACATTTATATATATATATATATATATATATAGTTAATACATGAATGCAAATTTAACAAAAGATCTAATTTTTTCAATTAGTAAATGTCCTGAATAGTCATTTACTTAATGAAAAATCATTGTTTTATTAGAAATATTTTGATATATATTTGCATATTAACAAGAAAGTTTTGTTGGGTTCTTAGTAGTTTTCTAATGTTTTCCGGCGGTCGGGTGGTCTTCTGATCAGCGACTTGGGCGGAGTAATGTCGGCGCCAGTCAGCCTACTCAACATCACTTAGTCTGTTATTATCGCCAAAGAGAGCAGGCAGGCAGTCGGTCAGAAAATTGGCCTGACTCAAGGTGATTGTGAGCAAATGATTGGAGGGGCATTGTAGCGAAGAAAGAGGAGATTGGCGGCAACAAGGTGAGAGTTGAAATGTGAGTGCGGCATGCACAGGTGTGGTGCACTATACCTCTTTGATGGTCGCCACCCACCTTGACGACAGGTCGTCAATGACATCTCTGTTATATAGGCCTCATCGCTATTACTTTAATATCCGTCATGGTATATTTACGGTCACCCTATGGGCTAAGAAAAAGTCGGCAATTTGTCATGTCCGGTGCTAGATGTATGGCAAGAGGGAATAGTTTCGCAACCAGGCGGAAAGGGAGCGTTAAACGAGACGGCTGTGAGACGTCGATAAGACGCCTGGCCGGGAGAAGGATAAGCGCTGAACGCACGCATATCATAAATACATCATGGATGTATGCATAAAGACAGAATTAATTTTCTTTCTTTCTCCTTATTCTCCCCGATATTTTCAATTCCTTTTTCTCATTTTAACTAAATCCTCCCCTCCTTACACTATTCACGTGCCGCGTACTCGACCTCAATCCGTCTCACTCTAAGCCCCGTCTCAAATACGCAGTAAACACATAATTTTAAAGCTGCTGTCGAGACTAAAACCTCTGTAAGCTGATCAAGGCGGGGTATATAGTCAGCTTGCACACTGCCATTCGGACAGACAGAGTCGGTCGGTGGCTGCAGCCGGAGGAAGTTTTTAAAAGAGATCTACAATTCGTCAATTACTGCTCGGCCGTTACTATAAAAATAGTTGGTTTGACATGTAAGTGTTTCCTTAGGCAAGGCACCATCGCATTGTTGTCGCCTTTTCAGTACCTTGTATTCATGAGTATATAGATTGCTTTTCAATTATGCCGTACACCCCTACTGTCTTTTGCTTCATCCCATTCTCACCTGCTTTATCAACTCAACGAAACTTTCGAAAAGAAACACCGCTTCTGTGTATTCGAAATTCTTGCTAGCATCAAAGTGAAAACGGATACCTGGGTAGTGACGTCATCTAGCCGTAACTAAATCATTGAAGCGGATAAGCAGGAAAATGAACAACATATACGTGAATAAAGAATATGATTAGACCGTGTTCTCTCAAGCATATAATATGAAATCTGTTGCTTATTGTAATGCTTGAGAACTATCTTGCATTTCATCGGCTTTCGGTTGTCCATTCAGAACAGCCAAACTTCTCTAATTCAAAAATAAAAGCGAAATGCTAAAAGAACGACAGATTGGTGCGCGTCATCATCAAGATGTTATCGCTTCGTCACTATTTAGGCGGCTCGTGTGAAGTGGGCGGCTGACGAGGCAAATGGGCGGCAAAGTAGGCGGGCATCTTGCGACGTCCATTAGTGAGCATTACACATATCCAGGTCACGCCCAGGGTCACGTGATAGATTCAACCGAAATATGGTGTTGTGGGCACTCCACATCTGGTACGCCTCAGGGCCCCAGAGGAGAGCCGAGAAGCAACTGAACTTGAACGTATTTCGAATATTTTTTATCGATTTAATTCACATTAAACAAGAGAAAGTACATTTTCCTAGCTATTCAGCACTAAGTTTTTTTGTAATTAATTGGACAAATTCGAACAAACAATTAAACATATCAATTATTCTTAAAGAATGCCCGCCCGTTCGGAGATGATCGATGAACAATAAATCATTCAAGAAATTTGCTCAGTTCTACACACGATCTTGTTTGTACAGGACAGCTTAACGGGACGAGCAAATAATATTTGATTTCGGCTCAACGTTTTGTTGTGCGATGCACCTTCGGGCACATGTGTACACTCTCTCACCATCCTATCCTCATCCTCTTATAGTTCCATACGCCAGATTTCCCTACGCTGTTAAATTCTTTTGTCGTTGATTCACAGTCCTTAATATGTATATAATTAGAAGCAAGTCTGTGATTCTAATTTGTCTTTACTTAATTTCAGTGATTGAATACTTGCAATTATTACTTTGTTTTCTCTCCATACATTTTCAGATCAAAAGTTAGTTCTATACACCTGCCTTAGCGGAAGGTCTTTGAACAAAATAACAATACATGTTAATTGGTGATATAAATGACAGAAGCGGCTTTTAAAGACAGACGTCCTACTACGGCTGCAGACTGTATTAGATCGGATCATTTTACCTAAAAACTTTCACTACTGGTATAAGAAATATTTTTTGAAAGTTTGTGAACACTTTTATATCTTCGTCCGGCTTCCAAGGTTCTTTTCTGAGTCGTTGAAAAAGAAACAAAGTGCATCTAAAGATTATGTTTTTAATAATTCACGTGTGTGAATTTGCAGCCCAAGTTATGAGAAAACCAAATAAATTTAACTGAAAATTTTAAGGTTTAGGAGTTATTTCAAAACTTTTTTTAAAATTTTTAAAGCCCACATAATATCCTCCGAAATTGTTTATAAACCTTACGGCAGTCAGCCAATCTCTCGATCCCGATAATTTTTTATGCATACAATTATATATTTTCTACAAACATCTACAGATTTGTATCAAACTTTAAATAATTACATCCGTTGTTATTTTCGACGTTTTCACCTTGTTGTAAATCTTATCTATCTCACACTTCTAATCAAGTGATAAAATGATAAATATATGACGTCATCGTAATTATAGGCCAAACTAATATGCTATAGAAGCGAACAAATTAGTTTGAAGCTAAAGTAATGTGATGTTTCATATTTAGAAGAGTGGAGTAATCATAACGAAGAAAGAGCGGACAGATTTATTTTAGGTTGGCGATCGCACAAAATCATACATTGTTTATTTGAACGTCCTATAACCGCACAATATTTTAAATAATCCTACTAAGTGCATGCAGCACATACCGCTTGTATTTTTTGACTGTCCTTATACAGTTCGTAGAATGTTAAGTGGAATGTTTATACGAAAGTACAAATACAAATATAGGCCTATGACCCAATTTAAATCACTTTGGAAAGTTTAGCTTAATATATTTGAAGTGTATTTCAACTTCGCTTATTGCATACTATTTAATTTCTAGGTATATAAAAACCTTTTGTTTTGATGCGTTAATCGTAAAATAATCACTTACTCTGTTATTCTTCTGAGAAGACATTTTGAGCATATGATTACTCAGGACAGTATCTGCTAATAAATTATTGATTTGTGCAATAATCCTGATTATAGAGCCTACTAATTTTCCTTATACTACTAGTATACAATTTAAATTTACGCTTAAATATTTACAGTAAGCGGATTAGAAAATGATAGTTTATAAAATTTTTTTTATTTACATACTTACCTCAATTACAAAGAATATGACTGCCATCTTTATTTTCATTTATATCTACTTTATGAAGTATCAAGAAAATAATTCAAAGAGTTAATGAAAAATCACAGAATGAGAGCAATGAAGACATTTAAATCGACATAGGAATATTTATTTCAATGGTGATGAAAATAGAACAAAAGTGCTAAAATCAGTAAAGTGATTGGATATTATGAGTGATTTTCTTTAAAAATATTTTCTAAATAATAATGACTTTCAAATTGATGAACATCTTACAGTGCCATCTATTGTATATTGAGAAAACTACATTTCTGTTACAAATTCTTCAATATACAATAAAATATTGTATAAAACAATATACTTTAATAAATAGCTAATGTATAAAAATTATCAAAATAATATTAATCTTAGCTTAGTGTTTCAAAACGCAGTTCAATAATTTGCTGCTCGTGTAATTAATAGTACTTAATAATTTTTAATAATTTAAGCATAGATGATATATACAATGCACACTAATGCCTCATATAGTCGCTGCTTTTAGAGATGTACAGAGCCTTTAAACAAGAAACGCATATGCAGCTCAAAGCTGTAATTATTGTAGGATCAGTTCGGCAAAATAGACTGGCAGATCGAGTTCTGAAAATGATTTTGGCAACTATACAGAATAGTTATGAATGTGATGTAATTGGTTAATAGAAATAATCAATTAAATATTTCTTATGTATTTTAAGTAAATGATTTTTTAGATCCACTGGTAATGCCATTTGGCTTTGTAAAAACACCAATATTCCATTATGATGAAGAGCGCAATGGGGCTCCTCAATGGTTGATAAAGGCGGAAAAATTAATAAAAGAATCGGATGCAATAGTCGTGATAACACCAGAATACAATCACTCACTTTCGCCAATAGCTGCAAGTATAATCGATCACTTTGGAGTTGATACTTATAAGTGTAAAGCCAGTGCAGTTGTCAGTTATTCAATTGGTGATTATTTTTTCTTTAAATTTACACTAAACAAATTTAAATATATTACAGGAAAACTCGGTGGTATTAGAGCAGCAGATCAAGGCAAAATTCTTTTGAATAAACTTGGAGCTATATGTGTTCCTCATGTACTTTCCATTTCTGAGGCAGACAAAAAAATTTCTCAGCATGGAGTAATTTTAAACAAATCTCTTTTGATTTCTCTAAAGAAATTAATGAAGGACCTAAAATGGTATACGATGGCGTTCAAAACTCAGAGAGAACGTTTCGGAGAACTAAATTAAATGCTATAGTAGATATGAGAGCAAACTGGAATATATAATAAGTCAGGCAAACAACATACACAGAACTGTCTACTCTACTTAAATATAATCTTCATGTTAGTTACTGATTGTCGTTCTTATGAAACCTTAAAAATGAATAAAAGAAAAATTATTCATTAAATATTGGAGATTTATTAATTTTTTTGAAAAAGATTACTAATTATATTATAAACAGGCAGACATATTTTTGTTTCCGGTCAAAACAGCGCCCCCTGTATTAAATCAAAATGGCCGAAACTGATAGCTTTTTCTTAAAAATAGATAGATTAATTATCCGTTGGTGACAAATGTAAACTCTACAATTCCTACAACTTCACTTTTTATACTACTTCTAATGAGAAGTTATGAGAACATGACAAATTGGATGTTACTTTTGGTTCTACTTTCGTTTATAGCACAGAGCGCAGAGGATCCTTGCAATAATATTTTACAAGGAATTCCGCTAAGTTTCCAAGGTCTCCTGGCTCCCAACAATTTCAACCTAACAACCTATGGTATGCAAGAAGTAACATGCAAGCCGGAACAGTCTTATACAGAAATGTATTTTTGTGTTATATCTAATACTAAACCAGTAAAGTCTATCTTTGTAATTATTACTTCATTGATATAGCTTAAAGTGAATAATTTTATTAAATTTCAGATTGAGCAAGTAAGTAATGAGACAATCATTTTGAAAAATCAAGCAGTTGATGGTATATTGTTTTGCCTCATAAAAAACAAAAGCAACCACTTCTTTCAGAAGCATGTAGCTTTTTTTGTAGGAGGTTAATATTCACCATTTATGCATGAACCATTCTAAAAATATAATTGTTTCTTCAGCTGCCCCTGTTATATCTGAAAATCTTAGGTGCTCTTTAGAGTATCTTTCCATAATAATATGTAAAAGAATGACAGGAGTACAAATTGTAAATATTACAAACATAAAATGTGAGAGATTATCTACTCAAAAATGGAAATTAAATGTTGAAAACAGCTATTTAACCAAAAAAGCAAATATTACCCTGAAAAAGTCCAATTACTTTGGAGATACGTTTAAGACTATAATAATTCCATTGAAAGAAATTGGTAAGTTTAATCAAACATAAAAATCAAAAAAAAAAGTAATTAACTAGAACTCTTTAAAAAAATAACAGTAAGCTTATCAAACTTCTCCTTGACCATTGATGAAGTAAAAACAAATACAATTGTTGTTCAAACCCACTATCCCCAAATCTTCAAGAGCCACAATGTATCAATAAAGATTACTGTACACTTGAATTGCAAATGGAAGATAAAAAAGTGCCAGATGGTAATATATATTTATAGATATATTGTTATTACTCTTCTAATTATATTTTCGTACTAGACTTTTCAACGATCTCTTTCCAAAAATGGGACTTTTGAGGTGAATAGCCTCATACCACATACTGAATATGAATTAGGCCTTTCAGTTCAGGCTGAATATTCCAAAATAATCACAAACAAATCTTTGAGGTTCAAGACAAAACCTGCTGTTCCCGGCTGTTTACCGGAAGTGTGTCAAGGATGCTATAAATGGCTAAATAAAAGTTCACTGATAATTTTTTTTCAGGTAGGCTTATAACTATTTTAATTTTTATATTAGAATATTCTTATTTCAGCCAATTCCACCGTATTGTGCTTTTGGTACAAATTTATCATATATGGCAATAATCATGGACAACCGAACTACTCATATGTTTAAAGTTAGAGGTAAAGAAAGAAAGTTTGTGTTCCAAGATTTAAAAAGTAATCTTGGACACCATATAAACATCTTTCCTATCAACTCTCTGGGTTTTAATTACAAAATTCCAAAAGAAACCATAAATATTGAAAGGGAAAATGGTAAAACTAATTAAAAAAAACAACAATGTATAATTTTAGAAATATATTTTACAGCCATTTGCACCAATTCTGATATCGTTTTATCAAAAGTTGGACAAAAAAAAATTGGGATTTACAGTATGAAACAAAATACTATTCTCGTCTACTATGAAAAACGCTTCCGTCATTTCACATATGGAGTACAGTGGAAAAAATTTTCTCGTTCAAAAAATGATATTCTAAATGGAACAGTGAATCTGGATAAAAATGTCGAAGAGTACGAGTTCGGAATTGCAACAAAATGTGGAGTTCTTTGGAAGAAATGCGTTTTTTCGCAACTCACAGATAGAAAAGTGACCCCCGAGTATCAAATTCTTAAGAATGAAGTAATTGTTACACTTGATAGATCTTGTTCTAAAATAAAATTTTACTACAAATTTTCTATTCTGGTTGAAACTTCTATTATGTCCTGCAAACAAGGTAAGATTATATATAGGTACAATTTTTTAAATAGAGAATTCAATATTTAGAAATTCTCAATTTTAAACTGAATTGGAGTGAGAATATAAAATGTAAAGGAATAGTATCAAATATTAGACTCACTGCACATTCCGTTAGTGGAGAGAGCTTTTCCAGAAATGAGACAGTTCGCACTAGACCCATCCCAAACAATGGTTACTATATTCCTATATGTTTGTATATTTTTTCTAAAGAATGCATTCCATATTTAAAATTTTTTTAATTATTTTAAGGCTTAATACCTGTAACGATTTTTGGTTTTGTGGTAATTTATTGCTTTGTACGCTATAGAAGGGTAAGAAAAAAGCTACTGCATTCATTAGAGATTAAGTGCGGCATATACATTTTGCAGAGATTCACTTTTAAAACAGTGTCGGATAAATTTATTCGTGAATTGAATAATAAACAAACTGGTGAAGGGTCATTAGAACAGACTCATTTTATTCCAAGTTCAGAATCTAATCTTCAACCTGATGAGAATTCTACTCAACACTATACAAGTGTACATGATTGTGATAAGAACACGAAAAACACCAACATCAAAGAATTGGTAAAAGCAAAAAATGAAATTCCTGAAACATCTCAGAAATGCCAGAACGAACTGATAATAGCAGAGAGTGATGAAAACCCGTACAAGTTTAAGATTGAAAATTGTTCTCAAATGCATAAGGTAAATGGTGGAAATAGAATTAAAAACCTGTCTAAATTTAAAACTTACCCTTCATTTCAACAGCAAAATGATTGCAGAACAAAATCATTTACTGATGGGATTCCATACAAGTTGAAATTCGTAAATTGTCCACAAGTAGATCAGGGAAATGAAAGCGAGCAGACGCAGACAGGCAGTGATGGAATTACATACTCATTGATGTTTACAGCTGAGCAGAAAGAGATTGACAACAATCAATAGGCAATGATGATAATTATTGAAATGTTGCCTTCATTCAGGAATAAATTTTGATTTTTTTAAATATAGAAAAAAATATATTTATATAAAAAATAACGTAATCGCTGAAAGTCTGTTCGTTTATTGAATAGAATTGACCATTTTTGTGGATTACATTAGGCAACAGTTTTAGAAATTTTCATTAATACTTTCTTCATTTGTTGCAATTTTTCAGTCATTATTTTTATATCACGACTTCTTGATTTAAAAAGATTAGGATAAATGTTTTTTACACAAACCAGCGAAATCATGACTTTTCATAAGTAATCAGCGATTATTGTGTGGACAAGTGAGAGCTATCGGAACTGACAAAAAAATTTTTAGACCTTGATTATCCATGATAAAAGGTGCGACATTAAAAATTCAAAGTGTTATTAATAGTTAAATCAGATAAAGATTACTTTTCAAATATACGTAGTGTTTTTCATGTTTTAAAAAAAAGGAACATATAAACATAAAGACTTAGTAAAATTACAAGTTAACATTTTTCGAGATTTTTCATTTTAGAAATAGATATAAAGAAAATTGATATTAGACATATTTTTTAGTTTGATATAAGCATTTGTAGAAAAAAAAATTATATTGATTAGTGCTATGATTATAGTGTTAAATAAGTTGTGTTGAATAAGTTACGATAAGTAACGTTTGTAATAGCCGGCAGAGGGCCGATGTATCTTTTAAACATAACGTTGTAAGAATCCCGCCAGGTGGCCCTTGGTGTACGTTCAGTAGCTGAATTGTCTTTACCGTAGTAATATACGGTTGCTCCCTGCGAATACGATTTTAGTAACTGAATTGTCTTCACCGTCGAATCATATCGCTAAGTTCACGGTGACTATTAAATTAAAGTCTTTTTCCTACTTTTTTCAAAATATAGTATACTATTTATTAAACTAGTGTTTTCTGAGGTTGGCTTGAATTAAACTCTTTAAATATTTTATAAATATTTCGATTTTTTTTGCTTTTCGAGATATAAAATTTTATTATTGAGAAAACTGACATTATTTATATTATAAAATGTAGGTGCCTATATTATTAACGTTGAGAAGATTCAAACTGTAACAAAGCGTAAAGTCTAATAATCTTTTATGCGATTGAAAAAAATATTTGTGTTTTAAAAATATTTTGCTTTTTTGACTTTTTTGTAAAAAAGTAGTTGGGGCAGAACCCCAAGAAAAGAGCCCTCATCGTAATTCTTGGATAATGTCATTTAAGAGTAATGTATTTGAAAGGAAAATTCTTCTAGTTCCAAAAACCAACTAAAACTCAGTTAAAAACAAGGAAAATAGTTTAAGATCTTCTGCGCCTTGTCTGTTCATTATTTTCAATTTTTCTGCCATAAATCTTCTTTAGTTAATACTTTACTGTTATTTCATGTCATGGAGTATGAAAATCCCTACTAAAAGCCGATTGTATAGAACAGTTTGTGTAATTATGCATTTTCAAGTAAGAAAAACTAATTTGCAAAAAATGTTTAAAATTAAACAAAATTCGATTCCAATGTTCCAGAACTAGCTGCCAAATTTGGAGAAGATCAATCAGCGGCAAAGAGAATTTTAAGAATCGGACAAACTAGAGATGATTACCTAAGGTGTGAATTGGAATTATTTAAATTGCGTGAGAAAACCTTCATATCGAGAAATGATTTCAGCTTTAATGCGTGTTTTCGATCCTCTTGGTTACATAGAACCAATTAGAGCTGCGTTCAAAACTATTTGGTAATAAGTCTTTAGTCATGGAAATACGTAAATGGAATTCAAATGTCCCTGATTCACTTGTAAATGAATGGAAAACGTTAACGAAAAAGTTGCCAGAAAAAATACAGTTTTCTCGGTATATTAGAAAACCATCAGCTTACCGAGTATGTAAATGCGTCTAATGATCGCCATGAAGCAGCAATTTAGGGCCTAATAGGCAAAACTTGGCACATTATCGGTGGGAAATCTTTTTTACAAAGAAGCTATTCCAGATAAAAAAACATCAACTCCAAGGAGAGAATTGACGGCGGCTTTATTAGGTGTTTAATTAGCCTTAGAATATTTTTCTTTTCTAAAAATTGGAAAGAAAACAACCACTTTATTGTTGGACAACAAAACTGTCAGAACAGGATATATCAAAAATATGTCAATCCCTCTAGTTCGCTTTGAGAGAAAAAGAGTAAAGAAAATTCTTAATCATACAAATGATTATCAATTGAATATGTACCCACGGAAAATAATCCTCCCGACAAATTAACAAAATTAAAAGATTTCTCATTAAAGGAAAATTGGTTGGAGGTGAAAAATACCACGAAAGGAAAAAATATTCAAAAGATTCTCTTGGGGAAGGTAACCTTGCCTTGGGAGCAAGAGAAGGATTTTAAGAAGGAAGTGGCAGGTGATCCATATAAATTTACCCCCGTATTAATTGGAAAAATCACAGAAGAACAGAAAATTATACCACTCGCAGCAATGGAAAAAATAAAACTGTCCAGAAATGAACTGGGACAATGGGAGGTCGTGTTGAGAAACAAGCAAACAAGAGTGTTGATTTACAAAAAAATGAGTGCAGCAAAATTATTAATGAGTACGTGCATTGGAAAACGGGTCATTCTGGACCTAACGCCATGCATCATAGATTGAGGCGTCTGTTTTGGACAATTGGGTAAGCAGCATTAGCAAACGAAATTCATGATCAGTGTCAGGAGTGTGAAGAGTGGAAAAAAACAAAAAATTACAGTACGAAATCAGCCTTGTAGGGATCAAGTCTTAGACGAACCTATCCCGTTTGAATCAATAAGAATAGATATTTTCGGTCCCTTCACGAATAAAAATGGAGAAAAAAGGAATGTTCTCAAAGGAATCTGCCTAAAAACACAAGCTGTGGCACTGGAGCTGAGTGAATCTTTAAATAAGAACAGTATTCAGTTACCGCTATTAGGGATTAGATATTTAAAAGGTCCTATAATAAACATTAGACCAAACAATGCAACGACCTTTGCCCAAGCTTAAAGAACCTTCAACAGAAAATGAAATTTCATAAACCCAGAGCAACATACAAGGGAGGCCTTTGGGAGCGTTCAATTAGAACAGTCAAATGGATCCTAGCTCGTTAATTAAAGAATCATTTTAGAGTTTGGAGTTGGAGTTGTCTGCTAGCCGTCGCAGAGGAAGCCATTTTCACATAACTTCTCACCGCACTTATGAAAGATCCAGATCAAGAAGTTCTAAGCCAAAAAACACTTGTTAAATATCATAGAAACTTGGTGGTGAATTGGCAAAATTCTAAGAAAGCCAAGGATAATTGGATTTCTTTTAGATGGAATCAAGAAATGTTGGAAGTACTGAGAGAAGTAAGAGAAGATAAAAAAGGCGACAAGCCCTACGTCGGGCAAATAGTATTAATCAAAAGTGATAGAAATCGAGCTGAATATAAAAAAGTGAACATTTTTCAGTTGATTAAGTCGGATGACAAAAAGATTAGGAATCTCCTAGTCAAGAATTCAGATGGAAAGGAAATTCGTAGAAGTATACAAGAACTAATTCCAATTAAATAATAATCCTTTTCACTGCATTTCTGTTTTATGTATGTTTATGTGTGTGTATGTTTGGTGATGATTTCAGTTACCTTTCATCTTTCTTGGCGGAGAATTTTGAAAAAGTTACTCTAAGTAACATCTTCAAAGCCAATAGAGGGCTAGGGACTTTTAAAACGTTCAAAATAACACTCGTCAGGTGGCTCTTATACGATTCAGTAGCTGAATTGTCTTCACCAAGTTAACATTGCGTTAAATGGTGACTATTAAATAAAGCCTATCCTGCTTTATTTATATCATGTTTAAGCTAATAATTAAGACAGAAAAAATAAAATGTAATATCTTAGTTATGAAAAAAATTTCTAATGTTCGACCTATCAAAATTTATGTTCAATTTTAAGACAGAATACTTTATTAAACTTCATTAAAATGGGGAAACCGTGAATTTTGATAGGACAACGCATCTGTTAAATAACCGTTAAAACTGTTTTTCGCGGCAAAGAATTTCTTTTATAAATTTATATAATAAAAAGAGACGCAGGATAAAAAGGGCTATACAGAAAAAAGAGAAAAAAAAGGAGAGAATGACTTCAAGAAAAACTTTTAAAGAGCTTGATGTAGATGTTATCCTGTTAACCATTCAGAGGGAGCTAAAAAAAACAAAATTTTAGGTATTAGAGATCTCTTAAGCAACAATGGGAAGAAAAGAAAAAATTTCTGCCTTGAATTACAGTCGTCTAAAGTATTATTCACCGATGAGGCTAGATTCTCACTGAGTGTTCCAGATAAATTTTGTATTTTGACCAAAGATGGCGAAAAAGACTTCAGGGTAACAAAAAATATGGGCAAATGGTCTGGGGACTAAAAGCATCTGATGGAATCTTCAAGCTGTAAAGGATAACGAAAAAACTTAATGGTGAAAACTGTAGCCATTTTATTGTGGAAGATGTTCTGCTTGTTTGAGAAAAAAATGAAGACGAAGTACATCTTCCTGGAAGATAGTGCTGGATGTCATACTGCTAGGACTACTATTCAGGTGAATAGTATCCTTCCTCTTGCTTGGCGAACAAGCAGCACATATTTTAGCCCGATTGAGAACATATGGCACCCCAGTAAAAACCTGGTAAATGATGGTCCACAATTCGAATCTGATGAATTATAGAAAACAAATTAGAAAATACTCTTTTTATACCCTTACAAAAGAGCAGCCAGGGATATTTATTACCAAGTATGTTTGACGGAATAGTGCGAAGGATCAAAGAATGTATCGAAAAAGATAGTCATATCGTATTTTGAAGCTAGTTAGTTCATAAGACTAATGTAAACTTTTTTTCTTCTGTTCCAAATATTATGAAGCAAGGCAAAAAAAATAAATTATGTAATAATAATTGAAAGAAAATCTTATATAAATTAAAGTTTAAGAGACAAAAATATTTTTCTTAGTGAAAAGATTTTTAACATGTTGGCCAATTCAAAATTCGTGTTATTTTTACGAAGATTACTTTAAACCGAATAGACTGAGAAAACAAAACACTTTCAGCTTTCAAACACATTTTGGGTATATTTTACCTGGAGTGAGTTGTTGGAATATGATAAGGAAAATTTTTTATCTCCCAGAAACACTTATTCTAAAACTTCCTCCTCCCATGTATCAGACTGGTTATATAAATCTCATTTTCAGCAAAAACCTCATTTTGCTCACATTTTTCTGTATCTACCTTCATTTTACAAAAGGCTCATAACAATTTTAATTTTTTTGATTGCCTTATGGGAAATAGTCCAATCTACTCTGAAACGCATATCGATTGCTTTTCTGTTCTGATTTGCAAAAAAGAAAGAATTTTCGTTATTCAATTGTTATTATTATTGTCTAAAATTTCTCTACTATTTTCTTTAATGTCAGATATTTAGCTTTTCATTGAAAAATCAAAGTTTTATTTCAAACATAGTTTGCTTCTCATGCATTAAAAAGACTAAGAAAAATGTTTTTTAGTTTGTGAGAACTTGAGGCAAAGACTTCTCGTTTCTTATATAATACAATGAAATCATACTCAATCTTAAATACTGCATATAGTCAATGATATTAGTTTACCTGCTTTAAAAAACTGTACACTGTCCAACATATTTCGATCATATTTAACTTAAGAAAAATACTGAATTAAAAATATATAAATTCGCTCGGTTAAAATATTTTCAAAAGAAAAACAAATGTACTTTATTCATATGTGTATTTCGAAATGTTTTTACCATATAAAGACATTACCTCTTTAATGATATCTTTTTCACCTTCTTTTAAATTTAGAAGGCCATTATATTTACCATACATTATTGAGTTTTCACTAAAACTATGTTTTAACCCTAAAACATGACCAATTTCGTGTACTGCCACTAGAAAAAATAAGATACCTTTTTTTTCTTTATTTTGCCATTGTTGATTCTCGTTAAAATGTATACGACCATCAGGTGGAAGGAAGGCATGACCGAGAACATAGCCATCAAATCGCTCCCCTCCAAATTTTATTTTTATATCGCAAAACCGATCCATTTGGTTTAAAAACCGAAAAGGTGAGAGAGTAGACCAGTATTTAAATGCCTTTTTTATATCAGATTTATAATTTTTCAAACGAAACTTTTCGGGCTCCTTTAAAATACAGTAATTTAGTGTTGTTTTATTCCATGAAGATAAATTTTCATTTCCGCAAACAAAACCGCATGTAAGGTTTTGATTTAAACTCAATACAAAAAGAAAAACTTGTAAGAGAAAGTGACATATTAGAAAAAGAAGCCCTAACATTATTTTAAATGCAATGAACACATAAAAGGCTGTTTATAACAGTATATTCCATAGGCTTTTATTTTTCTATATTTATATCTTTTTATGTAAAATATCAAACGACATATATTCTCACCATTTTGCAATTTTCATTCTTTATTAAAAAGAAATTGGTGTGAAAAAGAAGAAAAGTAGTTTTCACTTTTTTTAAATTTTGATTTCTAACTTTATTACTTTTCTTTAAAACTTTCCATTTAAGAAATTGTATTTACTACTCCAATTGTTTAATTACAACGTTAAAGGAATTAATCGTAAAAAAAGAATTTTTGAGTTAAGTAGTTAACTAAAAAAGTTGGTTTGTCCTTTTATACGTTTTAAAAAACTAATATAAAATCTGTGTTTACGGCACTGTTGATAGTAATTGTTAAACACTTTTAACCTACTACAGGTAAAACCCAGCAACATAATTGAAACATTATATGATTGTCTGTACCTCCCTCTAGCTGTGACATCAGTTATATTTCTACTATCGGAAGAAAACAATGCACGTAAACATATTTCTTTTAGCAATTTTACCTTCAATTGCAGTAGGTAAGTTTTAATGCTGAAATATTTTATGTAGTATATAATTGTTTTGCTTAATAGGACTGTATTGTTGGGACTGCGTGGGTATAGCTGAAAATGGAAAGACCGCAAGTGATTGTTTTACTAATCTGACTTATGAAAGTACCAAAAACTGTTCAACATCAGCGTGTCATACATACTGGGCGCGGAGTACAATAAACACATATCATATAATAAGAGGATGTGATAAACTTACATTAATGAGAGAAGCAAATGATAGATGTACAAAACTAACAGAAATGCGAATGGTAAGATGTTTTGATCAATGCGAGTCTAATAAATGTAATGATCAACCTTTTTCATTTGGGAATGGAGTTCTAATTAAATGTTTCAACGAAAAATTTCTTTGGTTTCTCGCGATCGTAGGATATATTTGCTCTTGACTCCTTTTATCACAGATAATGGCTTCTTTCATTTAATTTAATATTTTTTTAATACGGAAAAGAATTTATTTCTAATTAATTACTCATTCCTTTTAAACAATTTTAATGCAATTATTCCCGGAAAGAAGAAAACGATGAAGTATAGTAGAAAAAGCATTTTTGTTATTTCTGTTTTTTTTGTTGGTGCATTAAGATTTTCTTATACTTCTTGATACAGCAGCGACATTTGTTATCGACGTCAAAAAAGGATGAAAAGGTTAAATTTGATGAGAAAGTAAGAAATTCAAGACAAATATCATGTATTTTAAGTATCATTTTCTGCATTAATATTTGAAAACCGTATTTGTTTCTAATACAATATACATGTATATGTATTTATATATATTAAGGTGTTATCATAAAGATTTAATTGAATAGAGAATTAACTGAAGCACCCTGAAAAGTAATAAATGTTTAGTACGAAATAAAGAATTGTATATTTTACAAACCGGTAGGGAATAGACAAAAAGAAGAATGAAAATTAATAGTAATATTATAACAATAGCAGTAATGAAATACCACTTGTAACTTTTCCATATTATATGCTTTAAAGATTTCCAAGGTGAAGTAAACCATAAAAATGATGTAGCTGGTCGATTGGGCTTTTCAAGCTTAGGCCTTTGATTCGGTTCGTCCTGACCACGACCAGCAGGACAATCTTGAAATTCCTTTTCTGATAAGAGTTCTATCTGCATTTCGATTTTTCCAGACAGTGACTTTTTACCATCTTTTTCATTATATACTGGCCAAAAGCCGGATAAACGCTTTTGCTCGAAAAGTGAAATTCTTTTTTGTTGTTTTTCTACACTGTATATGCAAGAAAGAATAGTAAAAAAGGTTATTTCTTACGGTAAAATTTACTCATTTTGCGTTTTCAATTGCCCAATATTACATTTACGTTGTGATTTTGCTGGCTTTATCATGTCATTCAAATTTAGCTCTAGTGTTCCTAAAAAGTCATCGCTACTAAAATTATCATTATCCCAGACCTGAAGAATAAGAGTTGGGGGAACCATAATTTCTGATTCGTTTAAACTCCAAAAGTGATCTTTCTTTTTAACACACACAAGCTCTTCAGCCGGCATGTAATCGAAAGGAAAAACCATTCTCCAGTTGAAGTTTCCTTCTCCGTCCAATGATCGGTAATGAACATCGGTCGATTGCTTATCATCAATATCTTTTATCCATCCTTTGACATAAATGTCGCTCATTTTTTCACCAGTTATAGATGTTTCGTCTAATACAACCTCTTTCGTGTTCCAAATTACAACTCTTATTTCAAATCTGTAAAAATACGAATAATAAAAATGCCTTCTAAAAACAACTTTCTACTTTTTTGGTTTGCGTGATGTAATGTCTAATGCTGGAGGTACTCCATTATCAAGGGGAAACATATCAACAAAAAGTTGTAATTTGCCTTGTTCAATACCGGGCTGAAAAAAATTTCGTTAATATCAGTAAATTTTTATACAAATTGTACTTGAAGTGGACAATATAAGGATCTGGTTTCAACATGTTCGGGGACGAAAAAAAACTTCTTTTTCTCAGCCAAAAAATGTAGCAAGTGAAGAGCTAATCGTTCTTTAGGTGGTCCTAAATGCTTATGAAGGATCATAGAATTCTCTGAAATGTTTATAATTTTAACAAAAGCATTAGCTTAAAAAAGTATACCAAAATTTCCTAATTGGAAAGTGCTATGTCCGATTTCAACTGTTGGATTATCAATCGAATTTGAAAACAAAGGATCATTTAAGCCTGCTGAAATGCAATAGCTTTTAAGTATATCAGTAGGTTTCAGAGAATCTCTCCATTGGTTTGGACCAGACCTATAAATATACAATCATTAATGGCATAGAGTATTTTTTAATGAAAAGTATTCACGTGCAGTAGGTCTTAGCGAGACCTACAGTTGTCTTGTATTTGCTCAAAAGTCGATTCTCTAAATCAATTGTTGTTTCTCCAATAACGTCGTCATTTGAAACTAAATCAAAATCTTTCACTTTGATAATAACATCTTTTTCAACTGGTATATTTGCTTTTAATTCAAAAAGACAGCCAAAAGTAGGATTAACAGAATTTGGAATAAAGGAATCTCTGTTATTGACTTTCTTTTTTCCAATTTTTATGGATATATATGGGTCAGCCTAAAATTAAGAATAATAAAAAAAGGAATTAGAGAATTCAGACCAAACCATTCCATTTGAGTCTTTAGGTTGAAGATCAAATGCCTTAATTACATAAATTCGTATTAAGTATTCTTTCGGGCTAAAATCGGGAACATTGCTTAGAACTTTCTCTGGTATCTCTTCATTTGGATTACTTGGTAATGGATACACAAAAATATTTCCTTTAAATTGCCCAGCTGTACTGCTTTCTTCGTCTAGATTTTTGCCATGTTGCAAATTAAAAGTGTCACAATAGTCAGTAAACTTTTCAAACATAGGAACTTTCTCCAATTCGGTAGTATATATTTCAATGGTACTGTAACCTAAATCCAAGTAATGTTTTGCTTTTTTCAAGTCACCAAGAGAAGCATAGTACTTCGACCACCAGTCTATATTTTCTTCCCATAAATCGAAATACTGCAAGATAACTATATTTTTGGAAAGTTTATCAAAAAATAGAGAATGCAGTTGAACCTCGTTTTTGTTCAAAGATTGATCATCATCGGAAGTTTGTTTTTCTTTATGTACATTTAATGATGCTATATTTTCTTCAAAGGATGCTGACAGTAATGGTTGCTTTGTAAAGAATATGTTAGATGGTTAAAAAGAAATTTATAATTATATACAAGAAACAGAAAACAGAAAGTGTCAAAGCATTTTACCTTAGTTCTTTTCTATACAACACAAGACAAAAAATAAAGTATATATATAAAAAATTCTGATTAAATATTTACTTTTTTTGAATATAGTTTTGGTTGATCAATTGTATCCATAGCAGTGTTAAGTATACCTAGAAAGAAAAAGCTTTTCAGTTTCAATCACAATTTCATAAGGGATTAAATGAAAAAGAAAATCTGATTAATGAGAGTAAAGTTTTGAAGAAGACTTCTTTTTTTTTGACTAACCGGTCATACCAACGATAATCGTTTCAGAATCGTCGGAAACAGCACTTTCTAGAAAATTATTCAATTTCGTTATGTTTTTAAACTAAATATGCTCACCCTCATCATTTATATCAGAAAGGTTTTGATCATTCTGATACTTTCTTTGATATTTCTCAAAAGAAGAAACCGTATGCATTCCTACTCTTGGCTTTCTTCCAAATTGCCTATTATCTCGAACAATTATATTCAAAGGCGGTAGATATAACTCTTCTTTTGGAAGCATCTGAAAAAAGTCTTTTAAGAGCAATTTCTTCAATATATCTCAACATACTATATCGAAAAATATCGTGCACTCTTGAAAATTCGGGTTTTTTTTAATATTTTTTATCACTGGTGACTTTTGAACATGTCCACCAATTTCAAATTCAATAGATGGAGAGGTTACGTTTGAAAACTGATATTTTTTCATATTTCTCAAACCCAAACATAATATTTCAATACCAGTACGTTGAAGCTCTGGACGAACTTCAGGGGGAACAGTGTAAATGTCGCCCATTTTTGGTGGAGTACTGGGTAGTATATTTCCATCCATCTGCGAAAGACCCTTTAACTCTATCTATTTTGTATGATATTTGTACCTGTAGTAACTCAAAGGCAGCCAATAATTCACCCCCATCTTGATTGCCTTTTCTTATGTCGAACCATTGTAAAGACACTGGTTCATAGCTCTCGTCAACTTTTAATTTAACTTGAGGTGTCGCCATTGATCTACCGAGAAATTCAGGAGACCCCTAAAATATTTCATCAGATGAATACTCTCAGATATAAAAAGTGCATTAAGCTTACTATCAGATCATTATCGAAGAATTCTATTGCTATTAAAGGTGGTTTATTATTTATTTGACTTGGATGACCATGAATTATTATGTTGTCAAATATAATTGTTTGATCCCAAGTTGGGCAAAGAGTTTTCTCCAGTTTTTTAGTTTCATCGGAATAATTCATGAAAGAAACACGAGCAAATGGATCTAAAATTATCGTATGAGAAACGTTCAGAAAAATTTTTAGTTACCAGAAAGTCCGTTCGAATCACCGGCTGAAAGATTTCTTGCTTGATAAATATAAGCCCGTAGTTGGTATTTTTTAAATTCTGAAAAGCTTTATGTGATTGTGTTTTACAATAATTTATTGAATACCTTTGCAATTTAAAAACATTCTTGGTGCTGCCAGTTTTTCTTTTGATTTCTTTTCCTTTAACAATATAAATTTATGATATAAACGTTCGAAAGATTTTTGATAATTCTCACCTCATCGCTTTTAAATGAAAATATGCAGGGTTTATCGTTTTTGGAATTTTTGAGTTGTCTGTGCCACCGTCGTCTTCTAACCATGTCTAGCTTCCTTTCTACATGATGAAATTTCATAGTAAACGTAGGTGCATATTCCCATCCTTCAGAATCTACTTTCGCTTTTTCAGTTTTAGACTGAGTATGTGTTTTACTGAATGCACGAGTTCTCATCCATCTTCGTCTTCTGCATAGATGATACATTTTTTCCACTGGTCCCCAGCCACCTATAGATATCTCAATGCTGTATTCCCAACCATCATCATCCACTGCTTTGTTTTTGTCTATGCTCCATTGATTTTTCCATTCCCAACCGTCAGATAGGACGACATCTTCTTTTCCTTCAGCTTTATCTCCTTTCTAAATTAATGGAAGTAATAAAACATAATTTTAACATAAAAAACTAACCACATCGATCCAAGGACTGTTTTGGTCAGGGCTCCATTTACCCCCAATAGTTCTCGATTGTAATTCATAAACTTCTTCAATATAACTTTTGTGGCCAGAGTCTTTATCATAAAGCATACTTAGCTCTGGACTTATGTACCAGTCACCAACCCATGACCAACCATCAGACACTATAAAATCATCCTTTTTTAGCTTTACTTTCCCGTTGTTATCAGAAAATGATGGGCGAGTTGAAAATTTTCCAGACCATGTATTCATTATTTTTACTTGATTTTCATAAGTTTCTGCAAAAAGTGATATTTCACCGTCTTGATTGTCAGTCCAGGAACTTTCATATCTAGCCAAACCAAACCACAACTTTAACCTAAGTTGAGCTGGTATTTCAAATCGCTTTTCATTCTCCATTTTCTCACCAGGAAATTTTAAATGAATTGTTTCTAAATTATTACAATATTTTCCTCTATAATCTGGGTTAGGAGAGAAAAATATGTCGTTGGGCGGAATTCGGCAAAAGGCTTTTCGCTCATTATCTGATATCATCCATATAATAATATCAGGAATACTACTTTGAGGTTCTAAGGCTATATTTTTAAGTTGTTCAAAATAGTCCTCAAGTTCGCTGATTGCTTGTTCTGGATTATCTGCCGTCTTTCTTAGGGTAATAGCCTGTTCTCTAACATCTGTCAATACTCTCTGTCTGTGAATTCGTATTTCACGATCCAAGTTGTTTTCTACTGTCTGTCCTTTTATTATGTCTGGTAAGGGCTTTTGACAATCAAGAATAACTCTATCAAGGGTTATTATTATCAACTGTGCAAGCTCTTTAAAAAAATAAATTAATACATATTTATAAATGTAATTATAGTATTGTTACCTCTTTCACTTAGTTTAGCTTTAAAAGCTCTTCTAATCTGTTCGAGGTTTGACTCTAGGTTATGCAATGTCTTAAGAATGGAATTAAGGCTTTCCAATCGGAAAGAAATATCTTCCCAATGACAGTCTACGGAAACACATGGTTTTGTACTACTCCAAGGAAGAAAGTGGTAATAAGATCCATCAAAAACAGGATTTGTTATTTGTGTTGTTGATGCACTTGGTGGTACAGTTTCATCTAATTTGTTTCCGTAATTTCCTATTGAAACTTCGAATTCCACTGGAGCATCATCGATATATATCAGGGAAGCATTATAAAATATGGCATTGAGCTTAAACTTCCGACGAGCCATAAATTTTTCAACATTGTACAAGCTCTCTTGGGAAATTTCTTGCGATGGAACGTCTGGACTCTCTTCAATTGCCATTTTTAACTCAAGAAGAGCTCTCCCTCTAAAGCAGACTCCTTCGCCCTTTAAAAAAAGTCAGAGATAAAATGTACGGCTAATAATATTTACAATTTAATATTATGTAGTACTTTTCCATCGTTCATGTAATCATATTTATTTCCAAGACAACTGAATTCTCTAGGTGATCCATAAAAATTAACAAATGAAGGCCCAAACGTTGGCAGAAAACCTATATAACATTTTTTCTTTATTATTTGAGAATTTTATTTAAATTGAAGCAACAGCATTATTTTTAGAAAATTAAATGTCAAAATATATACACCCAATCTGTTAATTATCTACAACTACTTCTTGTTATATGCGTGCTGAAAATAATATATATGGTCACTCTTCTAGTTTAAGTGAATATATAAAACAAGCGGGCTTGCAAGTTAGAAGATAAAAATGAAAATCTCTCTTGACAGGTTTGTATATTTTTTCTGTTTTCAAATACATTTTAGTAGCTTTTACCTTCTATTCCTGGCAATATATTAATATATTATAAAACCAGACATTCAGTTCAAAATTTTTTAATCGAAATTAAATGTCAATCTACAACAAATATTCACCGATATCACCAGGAGAAGAAATATGTGAAAGTTGAATGAAAGCAGTTCCAACATAATCATCTTCTGTAAGCGCATCCCTGTTAGTAGGTTAGTAAAAAACATGAAATGAATAAGTAGGTGTAAATTATCTAATTTCAGATTTTGAAAATGTTAATTGACTAAGACAGGCTCGTCTGGTGCAATAATATTGAGAATTAATTAAAACCAAAAAAAATTTCCCCTATTCAGCATAGCGTTCAGATAATTATGCTAAATTCACAAACCATAAAGATCTCCCAGCTTTGAAATATCTGATAATCTTAGGAATGTTGTACAAATTGTGTCTTCGTCAGATAGACGATCCCTAAAATAGAGAAATCGCAGAAAACACTTTGTAAAAGTTTACTTACCAGTCTCTAATTTGCAGTCGTATCCTTTCACACATCGACGGAAACTATAGAAAAAACTCACTAAAAATTAATTATGAAGGTATATAATGTCACCCTTAATCCTAAGTTAAGCTCCTCATTAAATTCAGGGTTGTCATTTTTTTGAATAATTTGTGACCTAACTTCTGATCCGGCAAAAGAAAAAACAAAATATGGATCGACTCTACCTCCTTTTTTTTGTTTTGAGCCAAAAAATTTCTTTACGTCTCCAACCAAATCACAATCCACTGAAAAAAGACACTTATGTTTTACTTGAAAAGAATAATGTTTGGTTTATTACTTATTGGTAAATCTTCGCATCGGTATAAATTTAAGGTAAACTTTGCCGGTCGCAAATGCACTCCAGACGGTTTTAATAAATTTGACTCAATATCTTCTTCATCATTATTTAGATCAAAATTTGGTGCAGTATCACCTGGTCCAAGAACAGTTGCACAAATTTTAATATAACCGCTGGCCCCTGAATTTAGATCTTCAGGGTTGCTAAGAAGTAACCATTTATTTATAAGAGAGTGATCTTGGGCTTCATAAATCATTCCTATGTCACACTGAAATTGATAACAGTAATGCTAGCTGAGAAATAAGCTGTATGTACTTCTCAAATACTTACCTTAAAGTTTCCGATAAGAGAGTCTGATCGTAACTTTTTAGAATGAAAAACTTGGAAGTCTAATATTTCATCGAACAACTCTCCGGGCGAACAAAAGAAATTGAAAAAAAATACTTCATTCCAAAATGGTGAGTTTGTAGACTTCTTTATTCTTGTTTGTTTCGTTTGTTGAAAACAGGTAATTCTGGTTACTGGGTCAATGTTTCCTCCTTGTAGTTGACGTCCTTCAATAATTTTAATCCGAATCTTAAATGCAATTTAGATAAAATTAGTTATAAAAATAATAATATTCTAAGAACATTGACATTTTGCCAAGAGCCAAGAAATAAAGCTTTTAGCACTAACAATTCTTTAAAATATATTATGATCAACCATAAACGAAAAGATTTTTTATTATCTATAAACGTGTCTCTTCTATTTCCTTCAAGACATCAATCACCATAGAAAAAGATGAAACAAGCTATTAAAAATTTTTGGTATTAGATTTTGATCACACAAGCAAAGTATTGTTCAAAATCAATTATTATATTTAGCTGGGCATACTAGAAATATACAATTGATCATATAATTTCAAATAAAGAAATTCTCAACCTGAAAGTCTTGAGATTTATTTGACAAGCGGCCTCGAATTTTTCTACTTTTTGGTTTTTTTCTTTTGGTGATACTATTATTCATATCAGCTCGTGAGTCGTATTCGATTGTGTCATTTTCATCTGCCAGTTCATTATCTTCCTCTGAAGAAACATTTATTGTAAATATTACATATACTCAGACAATAAAGGTACATATTAGTAAAGTAGTTATAACTCAGAAAGCGCTTAGAGTGCTTTGATAGCTAATTACCTTGTCTAGAGTCAACAACGTCGCCTGTTTCATTATTTTCAATATTCTTCTCAGCTGATATTGGCGCTTCATAAAGTATTTGAATTGATACCGAGCACTAAAAATAACCTTATTATTTAAACTGTAAATTCAAACAACAATAGCTACATCTGTTTTTCTGTTTTTTTTATCCATCATTAACAAATTTCTTTCAAGTTTCGGATTCTGCATCAAAGCATTCACTGCCAACTTTGTTTGGCAAACTAATCTACAATATGAAAATGTTTGAGCTTAATTATCAATTGTGAAAGTCTTTGCTAGCATGTACAATTAAATTCGTCTTTATAATACTTGTAATATATAGAGAAGGGATAAGAAATGTAGTTAGTCTCAAATATAACATAATAAATTATTATGCATATATGTAAATAAATATTTTTCTAGACCTCAAAAATATACAAAATTTGTGGCAGGTTAACCTAAATTGATCAAAATAGCCTATTTGGGAACACCCTAATAAGTACACTTTGCAAATAGTATTTGTACAAGCACCAGTCCGTCTGTAACAAGGCCTATAGAATTTCGACTCACGCGAGCAAAAATTTCATAGGATTAAATAAACTACTGAAATTTTATCCTGAAGTTAAATAAGTAATAATTCGAAAGACTAGACCTATTTCTGCCAATCTTTTCATGATCCATTAATTTTATCGTAATGTTTTCATTGCTTTTCAGCGGACCTGGTACAACTTCAAGGCGAACATTCTGTAATCAAAGTTAAATTCTAAACTACGTTCATTTCGTGCGCTCTTCCTCAAAAAAGAAGTGCCCTTATAATTACCTCATTCCAAACAGGGTTTAAATCATTTTCTTTCACTGATGTTTTATCTTTACAGCCTGAAATATATCACAATATCATTTTGAAATATGTTTGTGGTCGAAAATATGATAACCTCTAAATTCGCAGACAACAAATGGATCTGTTTTCCCCAATGTCTCTATATCGGGAACGTTTGTCGCACTGATGATTTTAATCAAGAGAGCCATTCTTGAAACTTGACTAAATGATAAAAATTTAGATTTTCAGATAAAAAGTACTCTCCAGGAAAGCTAGTTGACCTGTGAGGCCGATACACACTATAGTCAAGTATTTTTTTCTCTAGATGGCGCAAAATAGTGTTAGATTACGAGATGCAGTGCTATATTTTTCTCATCAACATTCAATAGGCCTTAAATATATGTCTGCGCAAACTCTGAAAACAGCTTTAATACATATTGGAAAGAAATCTGGTTCAAACTTCTAAAACCGTACTATGAAATATTATAACTGTTGAATATTAATGTGGATAGCACATCATACATCACACTTTGATATTTGACTGAAACAAAATATCATCAAGTGGTATATCATTCTTATGCCTGCTTTTTAAACGTCAAACACACAACATATCAACAACTTTCCTGACATTTTGAATTTCTATCAAATAATAAAATTCACAATGAGCTGGTTACAAGATATTTTCAAATAAACAACTCAGTATATATACTTTTATTAATTATATAGCTTATCTAACTAATATCTTATAAATATTAAAAAACACTTTTTAATGAAAACTATAAGCGGAAATGATAAGATTGCTACCAATAATGGAGACTTTCTTTAGTCCTAACTTATTCAAGAGTATGAAAATATTTAATATTTACTCTACACATGTATTTAGAAAATCTTGAATAGTGTGAGCTTAATTCTACTAATTATTTGCATTTTTATAATGACCTGTTCTTAGCTAACCTTTGTTCGTTACTATTGAAGAAGTTAATTTTCATATTATCATGAAAAATTTCAATACAGTTTGACAAAAATTAAGAAAAGAACAATACTGTCTGCTTTTTGTTCATACAAAAAATTCCCCGCGAAACGGAAGTGACGCGAGCATAAACTATGGCTAAAATTTAAAGAAAAACGTAATAAGATAATTAAGTTTAATCCAAGCAAAATATATGAAACTTCAATAATAAATTTATTTTTAGAAAGAATGGTTAGACATTAAATATATTTTATTAAATATCTGACAGTAGAAGTAGAATTAAGAGTCTACTTGGAAATATGATAAATTTAAATTACTATTGATATAATAATAACTTTTATTTATGATCTTATTAAATAGAGAAGAAATAAAAAATGATTTGACACAAGTTTAAAATATGTATGTTTCAGCAATATTTTTCGGTGTGGGATTTAGAAAATCCTTTTTACGAGAATTATTTCTATTAATTTTTTTAACTGATTGTTTTATTTTAGCATTTTATGTATAGCTGCTAAATCAAAAAAATAGCTTTTTTTGACATTATGTTGACCTTGACAATGACGTCAATGGTGGAATTACCTCAAAAGCTCAATTTCCATAAAAGGTATTGAATCACTAGATCTAATTTCGTAATGTCAAAAAAAAGTGTTTGCAAAATTTGCAATGACCAACACGTCACCATTGAAAATTTTACGACAGCTAACTAAAACTATAAGAGCTGATGGTAGAAAATATAGAGATTTCAGAAGGAGAATTTCTCAAGGTGACCCTAACAGTCCAGTAGGTGGCGTTAGCCAACTCTCTAACTCCGCCAATTTTATGGAGGAAAATGATGAAAACCCGGGCTCCGTCGAAGAAGATTGCAATAAAATTGAAGCAAATAAACTCTCACAAAACTTATGCAAATTTGGTGAGAGCTATGGTCTTCCTGCAGAGCGTCGGTCAACAGCGTCCTTTGTAGAGGACGACGAGTTCCATTACCTGAAAGGAGAAAAAGTTCAGAGGTCACGATCTTTAAAGACATATAAAACTCCTCCAGGAACACCGCATCAGAAAAAGGTGGTTAGATTTGCTGATGCTTTGGGTTTAGATTTAGAGGATGTAAGAACTATTATGAACAAAGATTCCCCTCCATCTATACCAGCATCGGCAATAGAGCCATTAAAGAAAGGATTAGAGGAAGAACAAAATGGTAATAAACACATCGTTGTCTGCTTTGAACAACCGGGAACGTCTGTCAATTTTCTGAATCGAGTTCATTACCAGAAGATCTGTTTGGAAAGTGTTCAAGTGGAGGATCAAACTGTTTCAGGAATAATTCGAGTGGGAAACATTGCCTTTCACAAAACAGTAATAATCAGATACACTACGAATGAATGGCTCGATTATGTAGATGTTTTTGCTTCATATGTTTTAAAGTCTTGTGATGGCAAGACTGATAAATTTTCTTTCACACTTTCTATTCCTGATTCCTTTAGAATTGGACATAGATTACAGTTTGCCCTATGCTATAAAATAGAAGGGGCAGAATTTTGGGATAATAACGGAGGTAATAATTATGTGCTAGAGTGTTTCGCACATTCTTTCCCTACTTTGGATTCCGATAGAACCTGGATTCATTTCTTATGAAAGCTCCTTATTAAAATTGGTTGCAATCATGCTTTTGTTTGAACAGAGTAGACTTCTTAGGCAACATAATTTGTCCTACGTTGTTTTCTGAAATACTGATCAACCTATATTTCACTTTTTTTCTTGCCAGACGTTGGAAAGTTTCTTGATTAAATGTTAGCTTCATGTAACCTAATAACTGATATTTGTAGTCGTCCTGGCCGTCCTTTTATTTTAACACGTTATACTCTCATCAGCAATGTCTCATTTCCAACTAGGCCAAGTTGAAATGTTTTCAAATTAACGAGAAATTTGTAAAAAAAATCTTTATAATACAGCGTTTTAGTATTTATTCGTTTTTCAAGTTATATCTAATAAATATAATATTCTACGCTTTTCCGGAACTCTAGCAAATACTTAAAGTCACAGTAAAAAGCAAGTATTTCCAAACGTCTCTAAAGGCTGTTACTCATAAGTTGTATTTTTTCGAGATGTAACCTATTTAAATATTTGAATTAATATGAATATTACAACTTGTTTCACAACAAGAAGTGTTTCTTAGTTTCAAAATCTTTACAATTGCGAATACAACATTCGAACAGCATTTGAGAATCCGACGTCATTGTAATTCAGATAGCATAAACTTCCGAATGCACATATCGATAAAAACAAAACCAAAGGCTGCGCAATTTTTCCAGGAAAGCCATGGATATAATCCTCGGCCACTCCAGAGAGACGCCAGTGGGAGTGGAGAACCATAGCTGTCACCAAAGCAAAATCGCAAATTGCGTTTGGGTAAATGAGAGCTGCCGGTATAGTTGGGAGCAAAGCAAGCATTACATATCTCTCTTTCTTCCAATGATGTAGTTCCTTAACTTTTTCGGTTTCCTCTTCAGGTCCCCTGATTCTCTTAGGAAGAGCGCTTGAAATTGAAATTGTTTTTCTCATATATATGGCTGGCGTTTTCGTATTTAGCGAAGCCCGCAGAAGGTTTGAAGATGCTAGTCTGAGAGTAGAAAAAGCCATGATAGCCGAATTCTGACTGAAAATCCGATGTCTACTGAAGGTTCTTCAAGGTTATACTATCAGAATAACTATCAGGATATTCCAAATGCTCTTTCGTATGTCAAGTGGTTCGTATTCCACACTCAAAACACGATGTTATGTAGGTGGTGTCTATAGTCTACCCTACATTTGAGTTTACGATTTCCGCTTCCTGAGTAAACATGGACGAATATGTCTATTAAAATATCAAATCTTAATTTTGTATCTTTTTTTAATGACGATGGTCCTTCTTAATATGACAGAATTAACGACTGATACTTCAGAAGCTACTAAATGCCAATATAACTGTAATTATTACGAAGAAAAGAAAATAAAAGCAATCTTGTCAGCACAAGCAGACCTAATTTTTGCTCAGCAAAAAGAATTACAGTCAAAAAACGAGCAAATTCAATGCTTAGCTAACGAAAATCAGCAGGTTTCAAAGTCTATTGTAATGTTTGCGAAATATTTTACCAGGCGCTATCAGAATAAAAATAATACTATTAGAACCACTTCAGGCGCCATGTTGATAATTTTTTAACAATGTATCTGTTTGCAAAAAATTTTATTTCAATTTTTTCTAATTCAGTTGAAGAATAAATTGCTTAATTTTGAAAACAAAATTTGTGGGAAACACCAAGAAATGTAGGTTTTGAAAAGACAAATGTAATCGTTACTTTATTGATATTTTTTGCAGAAGTAAGGAAAAGAGCGATTTTGATGAAAACCTAATAAATTTTAAATTCCCATTCGAAACTACTGAGAGCGCTTCATCAGAATCGTCTAACAATTTCTACAACGATGTTATGGGTTACTTAAAAAGGTGTGAAAGCAACTATCCATCAGCAGAAACTTTTACGGATGCTGACATTTTGCGAACGGAAGCCAGAATTGAAAGCGTAACAAATTTAACAGCTGGAAAATTGTTTAATGAAGTTAAGCTCAGTGGAGAAATTAAAGTTCCTAGATGGAGAATAAATGGTTTATCTAATTGTTATACAATGGAAGGAATCGAGGTCAGAATACGTACTTTTAAATAAATCATTCAAACACATTCATATTCTGAGTGTTGGATCATATAGAATTTTCTTTTAACAGGATATAACCGATGACTCCTTTATTAAACGTCATTTGAATCTTGAGATTGAGGAAAAGAGAAGAAAGAGGTAGGATAAATACAATTACGTGTACATAAATTCAATTGTGGATTATTAGGTGGGACTCTCAAAGAGTAAGGGAAAGAAGACAGGTAGAGCACTTGAAGCAAGTAATGAGTTCTAGCAATCTCAATCAAAAAAAAAAGACAAAGTTAAAATCTTTTTTGACTGAAGGTTCAAACGGTAAAGAAATAATTTGAGGAAAATTTCTTATTAATTTCTCAATAATTTTACAGTAAAGTATGTTGAAATCTGTGAGACAGTACCAGTTACTGCTTTTGGGGAATCCATCCCTAAATTTGAAACAAAGTAAGATGATTTTATAATAGATAATTCGTTTATAGTTGTATTAATTTCAGAGATTTTAATCTACCAAAAGACTTTTGAAATTTATCCCGTCTCATTAATGATCTTACCTTTGTTTAATTGTTAATACATGTTTTTAAGAATGATCAATTTTTGAAAATAAGTCTTTTTTATCTAAACCAGCTGGGCAAGTCTGACATATCCCAACTGACTCGCTTGTCTTTAAAGTAAGAATCTTTAATTTTAGAGGCCTCTTTCAAGTCCTTGTCTTCAGGTGTTTCCGACTTGAATAAATTGGGGAAAGTATATTCGTATCCATCAGCCTGAAAGTTATAAATAATTGTTTTATATATCTTTATTAATAAATAACAAGAATAAAGAGAAAAAGCTTTACTAGTTGTACAAAGGCCATTCTGATTTGATCATCTCTATCGGAAATGTTTCGTCTTATAAGTTTATTTTTATGATCCAAAACTCTTGCAAACCCTTCCTTTTCTTCGGCTAAGAAAGAACTGAACTATGAAACTATTGTAAAATGAGTGAACATAAGCATATAACTCACGGCGAAGCAATGTTGTTCTTACTCTTCTTACGGGTATTCGATAAACCTTTTCTAAATATTGCTTCACATCATGGTTTGTCATTCTGATAAGAAACATATTATTTAAAATTTAGTTTACTAGTAATTCACATACTGAGGATGTACTTCAAAGGCAACATAATCTTTTGGTTTGTTATATTTTTCGGCCCGAATCATTTTCATCCAAAACAACGGGAGATATATTCGAAGCTGAGGATTATTTTTGTACCATAAAGGGTATTTCGGAATCTTTTGTTTCCACAATGGTCTATTTAATATGTCAATTTAAGTATGGTTCAAATCTAGCATTTAAAAAGAAACTCACATGTACACAGATAGCTTTTGAAGAAATTGTGAAGACATGCCTGTTCTTTAATAAGTGTCAAGGTCACTGAGACTGAGAACAGCTTAATAACTTACCGCGTTTTCGTAAACCAATGAACTCACACCACATATATCTTCTGTTATATTGCAGACGACACAAACGTGTTGTTATAATTTAGTATCAGATATGCTTAATAGTTTATCGCTTGTTCCTCTTTTTCTTCTCAGTCTGGACATTCACCTCAGTGGTTTGTCTTTTACTATTTATTAATTTTTTTCATTTATAACTTTTACTTAATCACTCTGACAAGAGTTATTTCATTTTTGCTTAAGTTAATGATAGGTTTCTTATAAGAAATTATTATAAATGACTTTTAGGAGGGACTGTCGCTCATACTGGCGTGAAAGGTTACTCCAGTTTGACTGCTTTATTTCTCGCAACTTGGTCAACATTAAGTGAAGGCAAGTAGTATTATACAAGTGTTTGCTTATGATTTCATGTTTATAGTTTCATATTGTCTACATCTCTTTATATATTTCTTTACATCTGACGGTATTTATGAACAATACACCGTTGAGTTAAGTTGTAGAAGTTGTCTTGATCGAATTCTACAGCTATACCTTGTCTAATAACAATCATCATTTTCTTAGGAGTTACAGCATCTACTGAAGATGTTGATAAACACTTAGAAATGGGTAAGAAAATGTTGGCAGGCGGTCAATTGAAAGACGCTCTTCTTCATTACAGTGCGGCTGTGGGTGAGAACTTGACCAAAATTATAGCTGCTGTGATTGCTTAACTTTTTCATTGAATGTAGATGGAGATCCAAGCAATTATCAAACATATTATAAAAGAGCAACAGTTCTACTGGCCTTAGGAAAGTCCAAATCAGCACTACCTGATTTAGATAAAGTTATAGAAATGAAACCGGATTTTAATGCAGTAAGTTGTTAAGAGATAATTAATTGTAATCTCTGTAAAACTTCCGATTTATCCTAGGCAAGACTGCAAAGAGGTAATGTAAAATTGAAGCAAGGAAAACTAGATGAAGCGTCCACAGATTTTCAAGAAGTAGTACGTATATATTATTATTAAATTGTAGAAGTAATTAAGACAATTTATTATTTTTTTCTAAATCTATTAGATTAATAGGGATCCGACAAATAAAGATGCAGAAAACCAACAAAAGTTAATTAAACCTCTAAAAATAGATATTAAAGAAGCAATGGAATTGATTGAAGATGAAAATTATAACGATGCCATAGCTTTATTAACAAGATGTATTGAAATTTGTCCATGGGATCCAGAGCTACATGAAAAAAGGGCAGAGTGTCACATTGCTCAGGGTATATTTCATTAATATATAACTCAGACGAATATAATACCTTATGTGTTCAGGAGACTACCTCAAAGCAATTAATGATATCAGACCAACAACGAAGTTGAGGAATGATAATACCGAAGGATATTTGAAATTAAGCGGCCTTTATTATAATATGGGAGACGCTGAGGAATCGTTAATGTACGTTAGTTGATTGTCATAATGTTTAAAAAACGTGTTTAAAGACGTCATAATTAAGTTGTTTTAAATCGCCGTTTTAAATGTTATACTTAATTAAAAAGTTAATTATTTTATTAGTCAAATACGAGAATGTCTTAAATTGGATCCAGATCATAAACGGTGTCATGACCATTACAAAAAGGTAACGAATCTTCATGTCAGTTAGATTAAAAATATATTCGCTTTAATTCTCATATAGGTAAAAAAACTTTCCAAGCAAATGTCCAGTGCTCAAAAGTATATTAACGAAAACAAATGGAAAGAATGTATTGAAAAATCACGCGTTATGCTTAAAACAGAGAATAAAGTCAATGCCTACATACTGAAGGCTCATTCTCATTTGTGTCATTGTAACATGAAGGTTGCTTTGTAATTTATACTATATATTCTGTAAATTATTGTATATTTTGGATTTATTTGTAGGACGGTAATATTAAAGAAGCATTCAGTGAATGTAACAAAGTTCTAAATATGGATGAAAATAACATTTACGCTCTCTGTGATCGAGGAGATACTTATATCATAAATGAGCAATACGAAGAAGGTATTCAAAATATACGGAATTTTAACATAATGAAACTTCTTCTTTGTCAGCTGTTAATGACTACCAAAAGGCAAATCAAATAGACAAAGAGAACTCCAGAGTTCACGAAGGTCTAAACAGAGCAGAAAAATTATTAAAGCAATCAAAGAAAAGAGATTACTACAAAATTTTAGGAGTGAAGAGGTATCTAATAATAATAAACTATAATATCCTAACTTTCATAGAAACAAAATGAGACTTAATTGCTTTCTCTTAACTATTAAAAAACGAATTATCCCACATTTAGTTTGAAAACTATATATTATTTAAAATATTTGTTATTTTTTAGAAATGCTAACAAGAAAGAGATCTTAAAATCCTATAGACAATTAGCAGCAAAATGGCATCCAGACAAATATGAAGGAGCAGATAAAAAGTCTGCAGAAAAAGCTTTTATTGATATTGCTGCTGCTAAGGAAGTTTTAACGGATCCTGGTATGTTTTATCTATATTCATTATGTTTTATCCATTTCCAAATCAGTTTAATTAATTTTTCGTGAATAAAGAAAAACGTTCAAAGTTCGACAACGGTGAAGATCCCCTAGATGCCGAAGAACAAGCCCAACAAAATCATGGTTTTCATGGATTTAACCCATTCGAGTCAAGTGGCTTTCAATTCAAGTTTAACTTTAATTGAATTACATGATTTTGGACTGCAATTACTGTTTTATTAGGATATTAAGAAGAATAATTGTTATGATCTTTGAAACAATAAAATAAATTTTGTTCTCTAAAATCCGTCTCAAAAGTAAAGAAGCATTTAACTTGTGTATGAGGTGTAAAAAATTAAGTAGATAAATAAACTAGATTGTAAAAAACTTAGGTTTTTTCTGATTGTTTCACTTGACAAAGTTCAGTTAAATATTGTGAGTTAAAAAACAGATGGCGTAAGAATACTTACTTCTTGCATACTTAAATATCGCCCAGATTTGAAATGCAGCAATATATTTCAAATATATGGAGATATCGATTTAATATAGTATTTAAACGCCTGATAGGGTTATCCAACTATAGTTTGGGAAGAAATAAGTTCATCTACCCAAAGCTGGATGAAACTCAATTGGAAGAAACTCTGACAAGTGGACATGGTCCTGGGGGACAGTCTGTAAACAAAACAACAAATTGTGTCGTCTTACGTCATAAGCCGACAGGATTGTTTGTAAAAGTAGGTTTCAATATATATTTATATTGTTTAGTCCTAATTTTGTGTAGTTTTAGTGTCACGAATCACGGGATCTTAATGTTAATAAAAAATTGGCTAGAATAAGACTTCAAGAAAAGCTGGATTTACATCAAAACAAATCGCGTAGTTTACAATCAATGGCTAAAAAAGATGCAGCCAGGAAGCGAGCTCAAAAGGTGAAAAAAACAAACGAACGTCTTCAAAAATTAGCTGCATTCAAAGAACGTGAGGGGTTGTCTTGACACGTTCGTGTTGTTTTCAATAAATTACTAACATATTGTGGTAAAATATCATTTAAATTTTAAAATATAGAGCTTTGAGCAGTTGGTTTCTTATAGGCAAAGTGTGAGAGAAAAGAATTATTATAAAAAATATATTCCACTAAAGAAAAACTACTGAAGTTCTGTGCTGAATTTCTTCGTAATTACCGTTCGAATTTAGAATAGTGTCCATTATTGCGCATGCGCAATCTTAACTTGAGCACGAGCGGAACTTGTCGAAGTCTCGTTCATTGTCGTTATATCGATAATAAAGTACTATCGTCGATATAGCAATATCGCGATCTGTTAATCAATCTTCAAAATGTCCTACAACTACATTGTGACTGCCAAGAAACCGACCACAGTGTCTGCAACAGTAACCGGTATGTATCTCCAGAGAAAATTTCTGAAATGAAGCTCAATTCTATTTCATAATAGGTCACTTCACATCAACGGATGTTATTAACCTTATATTAGCAAGAAATAGATTGATAGAAATATATGAGCTAACTCCGGAAGGATTAAAGTCAGTAAAAGAGTTCGAAATTTTTGGAAAAATTGCAACGCTGAACGCCATTTTACCAGATGTAATATTTTTTAACCCTGCTTGTTTTGAATATTCTTACATTTGTCTTATCATTTCAAATACCAAAATATTTTGCTGTTATATTAAAAATAGTATATACCTGGAATTACGACTGAACTTTTAAAACAAACGATTTCTTCTCACTCGAATCAAATTAATTGTTTTAAACAGAAGCTTCTTTACAGGGATACGACAAAAATTTGCTGTTTATTGTTACTGAGAAAGGTTCAGCAACAATGCTTGAATTTGTTCAAAAGTCATCTGATCTTGAAATAATTACAAGAAGCTATGGAAATGTTTTTGTAAGTTATATTTCATAGCTACGATTTTAACATTCATGAAATATAATGATAAATATAGGAAAGAACTGGAAGGCAAGCTGAAAGTGGAATAATTACTTTTGTAGATCAAGAAAATAGATATATATTTATTAGAATATACGACGGTTTATTAAAAGTTCTTCCAATAAAAAATTTGTCGGGAATTTTTGAAGAGGGAGCAAAAGAAATAAATTCTTACAATATTCGTATAAAAGAATTGGATATCATAGATGTCTGTTCGTTATATATTAAAGGGGCACCTACTTTTGCAGTTTTATATGAAGTAAATACAGCCGTTTAGTTCAATTATTTTAAATACTGATATTGAAATCTAAACTTTTTGAAAGGATAATTCTTCGAGGCATATTACAACTTACAAGCTTGATGAAGAAGAAACTGAACTCGAAGATGGACCTTGGGAGCAACGTGACGTTGAACAGGAAGCAATATATATTGTTCCAGTTCCTGAACCTATTGGTGGACTTTTAGTATTTGGTCAAGTATCTATTGCACACCTAAACAAAGGGACGTGTGAATGCCGCACCCCTGCAGTTATGCAGGTAAACTCGAAAAAAAAAAATTTTCACTCAGAAATTTAGTAATTTGACCTTTACAGAATCATTCAATAACTGCTGTTGAAAAAGTTGATAAAGATGGCAAGAGATTTTTACTTGGAGATTCCTTCGGAAGATTATATATTCTCATATTAATTGTTCATGAGGATTCTAATACTGGAGTTAGTGACCTTCAACTAGAAATTATTGGGGAAGTTAGTAAATATTTTTAAAGTAATAATAAATGTTATTAATCGTTTTATTTCAGACCAACGTAGCAGACAGAATAACTTACTTGGACAATGGATATATATTTATTGGATCTTACTCTGGTGATGCTCAATTAATTAGAGTGAGCCTTGTGTTGTTGAGAAAATTTGTAACTTAGTAATGTTTTTTATTCCCTAGTTGCATAAAACTAAAAACCAAGATGGATCTTATGTCGAAATAATGGAAAATTTTTCAAATATAGGTCCTATTTTAGACTTTGCAGTCGTAGACCTAGAGAGTCAGGGCCAAGATCAAGTATATTTCTGTTTTTTCCAAACATTAACTAAACATAGATAATTTTAGATGATTTGTTGTTCCGGTAATCTCCATAATGGATCTTTAAGAGTCATCAGGAATGGAATTGGTATAACTGAAACAGGAATAATTGAACTTAGTGGAATTAAGGGAGTATGGCCGTTATCGATTTATGAAGAGAAAGATGAGGATGTTATACTTTTGTCATTCCCAGACGAAACAAAGTAAATCATTGTTTTATCTCTATAAAATTTTGATTGTCTCTCCTGTAACAGACTGATCGCTTTATGGGAAGAGATGGAAGAGATAACTATCACGGGTTTCGAGCAAGAAACGAGGACCCTGTTTGCATCGAATGTAAAGTTTGGTCAAATTCTTCAAGCTACAAGAAAAAAATTGATCTTGTGGAATAAATCTAAAAGAGAGCAAACTTTTTCTTGGAGCCTGGACGAAGACAAGAATATATCTTTATGTAATAGCAACAATGAACAAGTAGTGGTCGCTTCAGCAGCTAAGTTAATCTACTTTGAAGTGAGGGATGGACATCTAGAAAAAATGGCAACAGTAGAGTTGCAGTATGAAATAGCTTGCATGGATGTGACCCCTAGAGATGGTAGTGACCGAACAGATGTCGTATGTCTAGGTGTATGGACAGATATCTCTATTTATATTTTAAGTTTGCCTAATTTGTCAGAAATTCATTATCAAAAACTACCAGGAGGTGGGTGGATTTTAAAACAATATTTCTTTTTTAGCTTACAGTTTTAATACTTCCTAGAAATCATACCAAGATCGATACTGACAACGGTATTTCAAGAACGACACTATCTTATGATAGCTATGGGAGACGGAACTTTATATTACTTTTTAATCAGTCCATTTGATGGTGAGCTTATACACTGTTTCTTACACCTTGACATTCCTAATAAGAATAACTCCTAGGCAATATTCACAATCGTAAAAAAGTGACTCTTGGAACGCAGCCTCTTCATATTCGTCATTTCACATGGAGGGGAATTACAAATGTCTTCGTTTGTTCTGATCGGCCGACTGTTATATTTTCTTCAAATCAAAAGCTGGTTTTTTCAAATGTTAACTTAAGGACAGTCAGCTATATGTGTTCTATAAATTCAAAAAACTACAAGGACACGTATGTACTATCAATTTGACATTGGAAATACAAAAATATTGTTTTTTGCAGATTATTGTTAGTCAGTAATGATGGTATATTATTTGGTGAAATTGATGAAATGCAAAGACTTCACACTAGAACCTTTGAACTGAACGAAAGTCCGCGAAGAATAGCATATCAACCGGAGACTAAGACATTTGCTTTGTTAACCAGCAGACGAGACACGAGGGGAAAGGGCAGTAGACAGACAAACCATTTGCGAGAATCTGCTAGCACTGGTTGCTCAAGCGTTACAACAAGTGAAATATCACCTATTATTCTGAAAAATTTAAGAATACCTAATTTTAAGGAGGGTGATATTATGGAAATGTTTAATGTGCTTTTTTTAGATCAGTATACTTTTGAAGTCATTCATTGTCACAAGTTTCAACCATACGAATATGCTTTGTCAGTTTGTACTGCAAGTCTGGGGAAAAGTAAGGAGACATATTTTGTTGTTGGGACAGCATTCGTTTTACCAGAAGAAACTGAACCTAAATATGGCCGTCTATTTGTTTTTAAGAATGAGCAGGGATCTATTAGACAAATATCAGATGTTGATGTACAAGGAGCTCCTTATTCGATGACTTCCTTTATGGATGATAAAATTGTTTGTACTATAAATGGAACAGTACGAGTTTATGAAATGGGAGCTGATAATTACTTAAATTTAGTTTGCTCCTATTTTAACAATATTGTGGGACTCTATTTAATAGTAGATAAAGAACGAATTTACATCGGAGATTTATTCAGAAGTGTCACTGCCATAGAGTATAAACCCGAGACTGATGAGTTAAAAGGTTGTTTATAAATTTTAATTACAAATGTTAAAATTAATATATTTCATAGAAATTGCCCGCAATTATTCTCACCAATGGCTAACAACTTTCGCTGTTCCTGAAGCTGACACAGCGATTTGTGCAGATCATTGTTGTAATGTTTTTGCATGCACAAGAGAAGAACAAATGAATCAAGATGGAGAACTAGATACAGAAATGAAAGATTGTGGGCTTTTTCACTTAGGGGATTCCATCAATGTTATCAAAAAAGGATCTCTTGTTAAACAAGACTTAATGGATAGATCTATTGAACTTGGAGTAATGATGCTTTTCGGCACAATAAGTGGTGGAGTCGGTGTTGTTGTTCAAATACCAAAAAACTACTTCGGCCTCTTAAAAGAACTACAAGACAGAATAGTGAAAATTGTTGGTAGTGTCGGCAAAATAACTTACGATGGGTATTTTTTTACAACTTAATTAAATCTGCCTTTCACATTCAATATTATTGCTCAAAACAAAGCCTGCTTTATATCAATTTTTTTCAAAATTTTAGGTGGAGAAACTATAAAGATGATAGAGGAGAAAAGCCATCATATGGATTTATTGATGGGGACATAATCGAATGCTTTCTAGATCTGCCTATTATCAATCAAGAAGAAATAGTGAAAAATTTAGAGGTAAGTTCTTCAAAAATATACTAAAAATCGTCTTCACCTTTATAATTACAGTTGGAAGATAATGGAAGTAGACGTCCAATTGAACATCACGAAATGGTTGGATTAGTCGAAGAATTAAGTAGAATACATTAAACTCTTATAGTCGAAAACCTTGTTCCATTTTGTCTTAAACTAAACTTGTATTTTTGTACCATAAGCTGATGCTTACTAAAATAATAAAAAATGCTACTGGCAGTAAACAGATGGCGACTCAGTACAAATTATTTTTCGTAAATTAAATATGGCGGCGCATATAGAGGATAAAGTTATCGATAAATCATTTTCTAAAGTATACAATCCTTTAAGCAAAGAGCTTAAAAAGGCGATTAACGTTCGCTTAGAGAAGGTGTCAGCTAAATTGGTTTGTCTCAGTGAATAAAGATTGAGTAACTACAATATATATGTAATTTTCTATATTATCGCTAACAGCATCCAGAGGCACGTGGTTTTGTGTACATGAAAAGAGTTCCCAACTCTTTAAAAACACAACAGCTGAAGGAGTATTTCTTGAAATTTGGAGACGTTAAAAACATTAGGCTTTCAGGAAACAAAAAGGTGTAAAATGGTGGCATTTTGTCATGTGCTTAATCATTTATTCTCATTGCAGAAGAAAAATTTTTTGTCGGGAGTGGTGGAGTTTGAGAATCCAGCACTGGCTGTAGTTATTGGAAATCACTTAAACCATTGTGAATCTTTTCTTTCTTATTTACAATGTAAGATTTTATTATAACATTTATGCAATTATGAAAAGTTTAGAGTATAATAGGTAACTATTTGGATGAAAGTATACTATATGATCAAGTTTACAAAGGAAACAACAAACATCTCAGACCACTTGAAACAGGAGGAAAGCCAAGAAAGAGCTGCTCAAGAAAAATTATTTATTTAGACTCAAAATTAAAACAAAAGTTGAGAATGATGGAAACTCTTGGTCTCTTTTTGAAATTTAATGCTCCAGTTAGTCTATCATTCTTTTTTTTAATATTCTAATTAGAATTCTTTACAGATTCACAATGGTCTCAAATCAAAACGGAAAAGAAAAATCAATGAATCAGATGACCTATTAGACAATTGTTCAAAAATTGCTAAGAAGTAAAACATCACAGTTAAATAAATTATTTTATTGGATATATTAAACTACTTCAAAAAATTGTTCGACTATTCTTTATATTGTGTTTAACGGAAAACTTCATCCAGTAAAATCAGTTCAATTTTAAAAGACTGGTAAATTCGCTACTATTACAACTACACCCATTAGAAGCGTAAATAGGATAGGGAATGTAAAAATGTGCCAGATTGGCCATAAACCAATAATCATACTGAAATTTAAATATATATATATATTACTAGGTAAACCGTTATTTAAGAGATTTATGGACAAACCACAATGACCCAATTGTAGCACAAGCCGTTGCTGTCGGTATAGCGTATGGATGAAGCTTTTCCCATTGATCGGATGTTCTCTTTTGAATATATGTGACCCAGACTATCAGGAAAATTGCAATAGATATCATAACGCCAAATAAAAAGATTGCAATATTAAAATAAAATCTGTAAAACATTATATGAAATTTTTTATTCTTTGTATATATAAGACCTACCGGTCAACTTCAGGATTGTACAAGCAAGTTGAAGCAAAATCGGTTAAATAGAATACCAAAATTGAACAAACCAGCCATATTATATTTGAAAAACTTAAAGATTTTTCCTTAGTCTTTTCCAAACCCTTATGGTCATCTTGCTCTGGAGCCACAATTCATTCAACTAATGAACATGGACATATGGATACTAAATATTTTAGAAATACTACCATTGATTTTTGGCAGCAAGGGGGCAGTTAAAGTTTCAGCAATTTTAGTTTGAGCTCTGTTACGCAAGTCCTGGTCTTTAACTAGACAGTCAGCCATTTTGATAAAAATCTAAAACGAAAGAATGTAAAACTAAAGTAATTCCATAGCTTTCACGGTGTCCACATTATGTTATACCCTTCTTAAGCTTCTGAATATGTTTTCTATCTGAAGATTAGTTACAATAGCTTTTAAAGTATTTGAATAAGCTATAATATAGTTGTAAATTCAGTAATTTTGTCTTTAATCATGATGTCACAAATCTTCTGGCTTAATAAATTTGATTAATAATTAATTTATTTAGATAATTATTTTATTTTATAACTAAAACTAAATGCGCGATAGTATTTAATGTAGGCTTACCAAGGGTCAATTCAAGGTCACAGAGTGCTAATTGTCATTCAAAATGGCTGACAACGATTTAGAAGGAGAGTCTGTGAAAATTGTCGAAAATTCGACTAAAATCGCTATTATCGGAGCCGGAATTGCTGGAATTTCGTGTGCTAAAGTGCTGCAAAGAGAGGGTTTTGAAAATTATGTGATTTTAGAGGCTTCCGAAAGGATTGGAGGAAGAATTTTATCAGTGCCGTTAGGTAAGTAGCTACCCCCTGTTTACACTTTGTTTATGTTTTTGTTTCTACGCGAATATTTTGTTAAAAGAATACAATTGTCAGCTTTTTTTAAATGGAAAGTGGTTATTTAAAAGCGAGAGCATATTTATAATTAATTATGGAATTTTAAATGAAAAGATCAAAATTTGATATCAATTAAATTTGTAATAATCTATTTTTATCAAGAATGGAAGAAATTGTCCTGCGCGATTGTAGTTTTACTATACCTTATTTATCAAAAAGCACAATTTGAACTTTTACCTTGACCGTTCTCATAAACAAATAACTTTCAACAACTGCTTTTAGGCACAAGTTACGTAATATTTTTGGCAGTTAAAACAGTGCGTTCTCTCAAACAATGGATTATTATATTTTCGAATTATTCAATCAATTTTTTTTGAATCAAGTTTTTAAATTGAATTTAAGTATGATGACAACGCTACAACTGCTTGTGATTGTCCAAAATCTAGTTTAAATTTTTTTTATATAATATTGTAAAATTGATGAACTGAATGATTTTCTTGATCATTTCAGAGACTGAATCAATTTTTAAAGTTTACATGTAGTACTTGTATCACTTTTTACTTGCTCTCTTATTAAAATTCATTAATATTTATCATACAGATGACTATAGACTATAACATATTGACAGCTGTAGTATACTCTATTATTTATATTTTTTAGTTTCCCTTAAAAAATTATCTTATTATTCTTTTGTTTGAGTAAAAATACACCGTATATGTGAGTTAGGTTAATCTTCAGTTACATGCACATTTATCTTTTCATCGAAGAAACTAGTTTATTTTTGTTCTGTGTCATTAGCTACAAACAGCAAAAAAAGCTACTTGATATTACCCACTAGCTTACATTAAATTTTTGAGTCAAAGGCCAAATTGCTCCCTTTTCACGTATGAATTGTTCAAAAAAAAATATTTCGAGAAATAATAGCTATTTTGTAATGATGTTAGCGCAAACAAAAGTCAATCTATAGGATTATAATTTTATTTCTTTAGCTTCCGCACCTGGACATTGTGCTGAGCTGGGAGCGAATTGGGTTCATGGGGTAGAACAAAACCCTATTTTTAAAATAGCTTGCGATAATGACTTAATAGGAAAATATTCCGGGAGAAGTTTAGGAAGAAAAGTAATGTTTGCAAGAGAAAACGGAAGTCCAGTCTCAGCGAAAGTTGTTGAAGACGTGGATTGGATTTATGGTCAATTGATTGAACAGTGCGATGAATTTTTCAGACTATCTCTGAGTGTTCCCTATGAAGAAGACAGCGTTGCTACATATGTAAAAAATGCTTTCGAAACTAAACTGAGAAGATTGCCGAACGAGGATGCTCGTATAAGAAGAATGGTGCTTAATCAACGTTTGTTAGGAGAGGCATTAATTGCGGGAGCGTCAACTATGCATGACGTATCATTATCTCAGGTAATTTAAATACTTACAGTAAGAAAGTTCAAAGGCTTATATTTTATTATTCGTTTGATTTTTGGTAATATATAGGTTGGGAGTTTTGAGGAACTTCCAGGCGTTCATCATATCATTCCAGGAGGATTTGAAAAAGTCGTCGATATACTTCGCAAAGATATTCCTGAAGAGAAATTCCTCATGAATCATGTTGTTTCCGGAATAGCCTATGACAGAGAGGGCGTTCAAGTTACCTGTAGAAATGGATATACATGTCAAGTTGACCATGCTGTTTGTACTATACCTCTCGGTTGTTTGAAGGATTTACACCAGCGACTATTTCAACCCAGTCTGCCAATTGAAAAAATAGAAGCTCTAAATCGTATAGGATATGGTGTTGTAAATAAAGTTGTCCTGGAATTTGACGAGAGAATTCTACCAACTGGAGTAACAAGGCTTGAATTGATATGGGATCATGAAAGACCAATGACCCATCTTGTACCACAATTATGGGCTAGGAAAATACCATATTTTGAAGCAATTACAGATACAGTTTTAATAGGTATTATATTATAAAAATTATTTCTTTCACAAAATATTAGTTGTTCAGATTAGGATTGAAAGTATCAAACATAAATTCTTAGAAAATAAATTGGTTCAATAGTAAAATCTTATTTTTAAGGCTGGCTCTGCGGAGAGGAAGCAGAAATGTTAGAAGAACTGGATGAAAACGAGATAGGAAATACATGTGAAACTGTGTTAAAAGCGTTTTTGAACAGGTCTTGTTTACCAAAACGACTACGAGTATTCTGGTCTGTTGTAGAGAATCATTGTTATTTATAGAAACTAATAAATTGTTTTCCGCAGCTCAAAATGGAAGAAAAATAGTTTTAGTAAAGGAGCTTATTGTTACTTACCTCCTGGATCTTCGGTTGATGATATAAACTGTCTTTCAGAACCTCTTGGTCCACCCGACAAGGTATTTTTCTTTGTTTTAGTTCGCTTGACCATTTACTTGTTATTTTTTATCAATAGCCTAGAGTATTATTTGCCGGAGAGGCAACTCACAAAGTTTACTATTCTTCATCCCATGGTGCACTTCTTAGTGGTGAGAGGGAAGCGGAACGTTTAATCGGCCTTTACGAACCGATTGCTCAATGACTTAAATAACTGACAATTTGTTTATATCCTCTGAACAAGCTGTGTCGAAAAATAATATCTAATAATAACTGTTAGTAGTAATTCTGTTTTCGAATACTCTTTTAAAAATAGGATTTAATTTATTTCCCCAGAGAGAAAGCCTGTGTGTTTCTGTTAACTTTCCCATTGTTTTCAAAATTAAAGTAGAATTTTAAATCTAGATAGTCAACTACTAACTATGTTAATGATGAAATTATACATACAAAATGTGTTCTGCGTGAGACGAAAAAATGCTGAAATTTCCCTTTAACATAATTTCTATATAACTTATTGCCTCATTTTATTGTATGTACTCATCACAATATATTTTACGTTTTTAACTCAACTCCATAATAAAAGTATATATACAGTATATATTAATATTCAGTATTTGTATCTAGTCAACTATTAGCAATAGTTGAGGCTATTTTGCCGAATTTATTTTTTCAAGAAGCTTTATAGATTTCATATTTCTTTCAGCTTGTGCATATCAATTTAAAACACAACGTATACAGTATAAAGCAAAACTATTATAAAAGGTTAATTTTAAGTTCACCCAGAAACTTTCATTTGGTGTTTAAACCTTATTCATAACATCTCTTTGTCTTTCAGTAATTCCATACAATAGCAAAGGCGACTTGAATGTTTTGCCTTCAATGCTTTCTTTGAGGTCCTGTAAAGAAATAGATAATATTTTTATTATTTTAATATCAATTTACTATGTGATTTACTTACCTCCCCAGAGTAGGACCTCAGAGGAGATATCTCACAGACAAAATCCTCTTCTTTTCTAAAAGGATATTAGCTGTCAATTAAAACAGATGTAACAAGTTAGCCTACTCTGTATTAGAAAAGCTTCCGCCAGCTTTCACAACATAACGTCTACAGAGATCAAGAAACATATTTTTGCAAGTAGTCGGAGTTGAATCTTTTGCTCCATCAGCATTTTTAAGTGGTGAAAATTCATCATCTCGAGATACTTCCCATACAACAAAGCGCCTAAATAATAAAGATGAATTAAAATGAACTCAAATCTTAATGGGGATTTTTTCCGGCTAACATGCCGGAATTTTTAAAAAAATTACTTTGCAAATTGAAAAACATCGAAGACATATTTCTCCATTTTTATACCATTAGGCATAGTTGGTTTTTCCGTCTCTCCTTTTTTATTTAAAAACGGAATCTTCTTTTTTGCGACATGATGCAAAAGTTCTTGATTACCACTATAGTATTTAGAGATATTTTATTTTTATCTATCTTATTCTAAAAAATACGCACCTACAAACTTTCATTAAAAAATCAAAATGAAAATAATGATTAGTGATATTACCAACTGAATACAACAAACTGCCATCACAACATCGCTTTTCTGCAGTTTCCGAAGTTATTTCAGTATATTCAACAACCTCAAAATGATCCTTAACTTTGCAGATAACTCCAACAGCTTCTGCCGGATCTGTTTTTTCAACAAATTTTGCCCCACAGCAGGCACTTTGAGATAAGCAAAATCCGATGAACGCGGGATCGGCTAATTTTACCAATATGTTGTCCACCCCGTAAACATGAACATGTTGAATACCGCGCGTCTTCATGTCTTCAAGAATCTAAAAAAAAGGTTGAATATACTGTATAGTATATGATATCAAATAAAAAAATTTATTACATAGTTTGTCTTTAAAGCCTTGTACAATCCTCCATTGCCGTCAGGAGCTTTAGATATCTTAAAGGGAGACTCTAAAATAATTTTACCCTCAAAACTAAAACAGGGTAGCATATGCTGCTCAAAGATGATTACATTTTCACTTTTTAAACCAAAATAGTTATTCATTTTCAGAAATTCCTCTGTGGACTCTTTTGTGTGTTCTGATGTCATAATATACCAAGTGACAGTAGCAGATGGAGAATTTGTATGTTGTTTTGCATTTTCCTGAACTTTCAGAATTTTTTCAGCTTGAAGTTGATACAGAGTTTTGTGTGAGGGCAAACCAACATCATACATTCCCTTTGGATAGGGTACGCCGAGACGAGTTCCTTGACCACCAGCCAACAGGATAAGAGCAACTTTATTTTTTGAAATTTCTTCGTAACCTTATTTGAAATAACAACTAAGTATTATACATATTTTGTTGTGAATTTGCGCTTGATTTAAAAAGTTTTATTCTTAGTTGAATCTATTGATTGATTTTTTAAAATACGCAGTAAACATTCCTCCTACTCTTTAAAATTATTCAAGCTGGATCATTCGGGGGATAGTAAAACAAGTTTACAAAATACCTTTTAGAGTGAAGTTTGAAAGTTCATCAGGTGAACTCTTTATGGAAGATCCAATAATTTCCTTTGGAAGAGGTTCAATGATCTTATCAAGCTTCGTTGTATTTTTCATTCCTTCAATACACTTTTTGAAAATAGAGTTTACTTCAAAAAAATCAAACAATGAAAGATCTTTAAACAATAGTGCTTGCTCTTCCTCGTTTAGCTCATCTAATTTCTCAATCAAATGCGACTGATCTGTGCAGTGCACAACTTGTTTTATTTTTTCCATTTTAGTGATTCAATCAAAGAATGAAAATGCACAACAAAATTTTTATTTCAGTACGTAATAAATCAATTTATTACAGTTGACGTTTGAACAACCCAAATGTCTAGATTATAAATGTAATTGAAAATTGATTTTTAAGAATTTACTGAGAGATCAATGCTTCCAGAAATACGCAATAGAATTAGATGGAATATCTGTCGCTTAATGTGGGCGTAGACAATTATCTATTGTGTCTATAAATAGCTACTTGTTGAACCTATAACTGAAATGTTTTAATCTACAAGATAATTTGATAAATGTGAGAAAAATGAAATAGTAAATCTGAAAGACGCTAATGGAAATTTATTTGCTAAGTGTAATAAAATTATAGTTTCTAGTTTTAATCAATATTTGAAATTATAATAAATGTGTTTAGAAAAAATTAAGCTAATTCCATTTGAAAAATAAATGATATTTAAATCGCCCCCTCTGTTGGCTGAAACGAGAAACAATATCTAGGTAAAAAAAGATACTTTCATACTCTTTACCTATTCATATTGATATGCTTTCAAACGAATGATACTATATACTGTGGGTGAAAATAATTTAAAAATTTAAAATGGCATAAATCAATGCTCGGTTCGTTTATTAATTCATCTTAAACTTGAACATTTTAGAATAATGTTGAAAGCGGAAACTTAGATTAGTCGTAGAGGTTATCCGTCTTGGAGTCACTATGATCGATATCATTTATATACTTTGATTTTTGTCTGAACCATTGAAAAAGTTTTTCGTCGAAATATTTATTGTTGAGAAAGTCTTCCCAGACGGAATATTTAGAAGGATGTTGTCTTTCTGCAGGACTTTCAAGATTTGCAGAAAATTTCTGACTATTCATTGAAGACTGTGTTGTCTCGTGATCCACCTAGAAAAGTATAAAAATAAAGGTAAAGTACAATAAAGTCTGGACACATATGACATGCTGAAGATATGCTGTATATAAAGAATAACTTTTTAGTATTTTAGACATAATGTTGATTAATAGAAGAAAGTGAGAGTAGTTGATATCACCAAAATAGCCTCACGAAAACTGCCGAAATTAATGAAACTGACATACCTGGTGATACGACATTTTTATAACTTTCTCTATCTTTTTTTAAAGACTGGTTAAAAATAAAAAAGATGATAAAAAATATTGACATTTTAAAATAAGTTGTTTGATCTTTATCATGAGATGCTAGCACTAGCAGTATTCGAGCAACATGTTTATATTTTAATAAGTTTACTCACTTTTTCTAAGTTGAGATAATGATCAGTGTAGTATTTGGGGTAGTGCACTGTACCATAAAATTTAAAGCTAACGTCCGTTAATCGTCCATAATTATTCTTTCTTTCTCCAGAATCCCTTACAATAAGAGTCCATTCACCGTTGGGATTTTCACCCCACGAATGCACACTCATGAAAGGCCAATATTTTAATCCATCACTTGAATTATCAGCTGGTCGTTTTGGTAGCAGGGTTGTATCTGTTTGAGTCGGAGATTTTAATATAATATGAAGATCTCCCCTTCGTGTATAAGACATGTTGACCATAATAACTACATGTTCAAGGAAGCGAATCTTACATGTTTCTACCTTGAATTTAATTTTTAATTCATCACCGCTTGTCAATATCTGTGGAAGTTGATGCCTGTTAGACAATTTTTCACAAATTTCCTGAGGAGAAACGTTCTCCCAAGTGCTTTTGTCTGCAGCATTGACTAATCCAACCGCATTTAATAAACCAAAGCCGAAACGACTATTAACCCAAAATCCGGCTCCATTTTTCTTCCAGCCTTCATTTTCTTGTAAAGGTTCTTTTCTAGATGTGAAAGCGACTAAGTGCTGAAGATCTCTCCAAGTTATTGTTGGGTTGGCTTGCAGAACTAGTGCGAATATTCCAGCTGCCATTGGAGCTGCGGCCGATGTTCCGGTATGTCTATTTGTACATTTATTATGAAGATCAGTGCTAATAACCATTGCTTGATCCGGTCCACTCCCTGAGCAAAAGAATTATCTGACGTTTAGAATTATATAGTTCAAATAGCCAAGCTATTTAAACAGAGTCTTGACATGGACGACCAAATTTGTATTAAATATAAGGTTATTATCTTAAACATTCTCACCTGATGAGTAGGCAGTTGTCATGGTACTTGGACATTTTTCAGAATACCATGGAGTCGTTCTACTTTGTGTTGCGGAAGATACAGACAGTGTATATATAGAACTAGTATATCCATCGCAACTGCAACTGTCACCATACGCTCCTCCATTACCCGAAGCCCAAACATATATAACACCAAGACCTCTTCTGCCATATTTGGCACCCTCTTCTAAAGCTTTACTCGTTAACCTGCTCGGACCTTCCATGGTTTTTCCATTATCTTTCGGTCCCCAGCTAGAAGAAAAGATATCAACATATTGGTTTTTAAAACTTAATGCTGCGGCCTCCAGTCCATCAGTTACTGTTCCATCTAGCATACGAATTCCTCCTATTTTAGCATCGTATGCAACGCCAGTTCCACAAATTTTATTATCAGCCTCCATTGCAACTTCACCAGCGCATCTCGTTCCATGACGATTCTCATCTGTTGGATCATATCTTGGGAAGGGATCAGGATCATTACCGTTTAAGTCAGTACTTGCTAATGGATCCTACAGATGTTAAAGGACTTATAATGATTTTCAGTAAAAAAATACCTTACATAGTTTTTTATCAAATCCGTATGATTATGTTCTAAGCCGTCATCCAATATGGCTACTCGAACATTTTTTCCAGTGAAGCCTTTGGCCCAACATGGAATAACTCCAAGATCTTCTTTTACAGTTTTTCCTGACTCAGCAAGAATATTATCATTACTGACGCCTAGGTCTCTTTTCTAAAATAAAAATAAGATGCTAATGAAGAGGCAGTAAAAAGAAAGAGAATCTTTTCAAGTTCGATTGATAGGGTAAGATTGAAGTTTATTCAGGACTAAAGAAATTTTGACTGGGGTCAATTAATACGTACGAGATACCATTCATCACCAAAAAGTTTATCATTATAGTAGACATTCCGATAGGCTTTATCTGAATCTCTTTTGCTGATAATAGAGCGCTTGACTCTACTAATGGCAACTTGTTGCTCCGCCCATTTTACCTGAAACGGAAGAGAGAACTCTAACAGCTGTTTTATTAAATAATATAAAAATTATAGAAAAAAATCAATAGCTTTGTGGTTTTGTATGTAATTGTATAATTAAATGTTTATGGCACAATATGTTGCAAATGCAAAAAGAAAACTTTTTTGATTGGAAATTCATAGCGATTATAAATCAGATGAAATATTTTATAGTTTTACATTTTTTCTTTTAAACTGATGGCCACGGTACACTTATCATGGTTTACACTAAAAGAAATAGTCGTCATTTTATATTCATTAAATAATATTTTATTACTTTAAGTCCAATAGAGCTCAAGTTTGACGTTAAATTCACTCTATCGTAAGGTAAGAAACTGTTGATTGCATTTTCGCCGCGGGAAGGGAGTTATATTGCAAACAACGCTTAAGCACGAATAGCAACGATAAGGACGGCGTTTTCATGCACTTATATAACTCACCCTAGGGTCATCGGCCAGCCTTTTAGTATGTTCATGTTCAGCAGCCCTTCTGGAACGATGCTCTCCTTGTTTGGAAAAAAGGTAATGATCTTCTAATCCACCTATCTGAAGTTGAATTTTTTTTTAAATAAGGTTTCAATAATGTTCGATTCAGAAAATTTCAATTGAACTTCTCTGAAAAATAATTTAAAGTGTATGAGCCTATTAGACACTATTATGTGTCTCTACTAACGGAAGTCATTAATTATATTTTTCATTAGAAAACTAATAAGAGCTCAACAAATACTCCCTGAGAGTTTCATGAAATGTTACCTACGTCCAGAGAGACGGCTTTTGACATTTTTCCTGTTCTCTGAATTACAGATGCTAAAAATTATGAGTCAAGTATTACACATGATCACGATTCTGCTTGTTTCATTTTTAAATAATAATTTACAGAAAGAAGATAGCATAAATGCTAATTCTTCAATTCAGATTTTACTTAAGTGAATTTATAATCTGTGACTATATGCTTCATTGTGATATATAAGGTTAAAACTTACTTGTCCGATGAATTCAAAATCAAAGAGCTCGGCAACTTCTCTGGCAACTTTTTCTCCCCCTTTAATTTCGGCAGCCCACTCATTAACGTAGTTGTCTAGTGATTCTACATTATACAAAACTAAATATAACCATAATATCCTAACAATCATATTCAGTTGCCAATTGCTGATGCGGCCTCATGCACAGCAATAACTTAATTTATTAGGCCTGACTTTACGCCACCTGGTGTTAACGTTTATTAATAATGACCGCATAATAGCAGTTTATCGCCGGAAAGGCTAAAAATATTAATCTATTAATGGAGTAATAACAATGATTAGAATAAAAGTTTTTAGTTATATTTGAACCTAATCTCAACCTTTATAAACGCCTATAGACGATTATTTGTGTGAAAATTTTCATGCATACTTTATGAAACACTGATTAAAATGATTAATGTTACTTTAATATTTTGAACTTTTAAGTGATTTTGACCGAAAAAACTCAAATGAAAAGAAATTCCTTTTAAGTGTATCCAGCATCATCTTTACAATCATCAGCAATTAAGTCAACGAATGATAAATATGAATATCTTAACTAATATTTTAGATGTAGCAAATGTTACTGCTTTATCTCTATGAATAGCAGCCATTGTAATGAATACAAAATATAAAGGTATTTTGGAATTGATGATTTTTAGAGTGGATATTCTCAATATTTACCTGTTTCAATTCCACAAGATATTAATTAATGTGTCTTAAATATAATATGAGCATTTCAAATATTACTTTTGTGATAAACTCACGAAAAAAAATAAAACCCTTAATGCCATCTGCAGGAGAGAACATCAGCTGTTTATGGAATTATATAATCTTAAACATAATTCACAAGTATATTACTTAAATAAACCACTATTAAATTATATAATTTATCATCGAAAATTGTATTTAAAAAACTATATTGGTATAAGAAAGTTTTGATTATCTTAATAACATATTACTAGGGCTTGAATAGGTACCATCTTGTTCAGAAAAAGTGAGAAATATAAAAAAATAATCAGATCTATTAGAGTTCGTCTTTTTCACTTCGTCCTTCATATTCTCCTAAACTAATTACACCGTCTCTGTTTATGTCTTGTTTATGGAAGATATGAGAAACCATTGTATTTGGACCATCTTCTCCTCCTAACGATTTATCTTCAAAAAATTTAGCCATCTGTAAATTTAAGTTGTGTAATGCGAAAAATTTTATAAATGCGATATAAAAATATGATAAGTATAGACTTTCTCTTAGATACTACTAGATAGATTATTTCGGAAAATTAACAGGTTATTATATATTTTGTAAAGAATAAGTAAAATCTAGAATTCCAGTGCCTAAGATATTTTCTTAAGCAAAGGTCTTGAAATAACCTCTAATAATATTATACTGTCACATAATTAAACGTTTGCTTAGCTTTTCAATTTTATAGGTATCTTTTTCAAAAGAAATATTTATTTGTTTGATTAATTTGTCTGTTTATCTTGTCTCTCTTTCCAATTGTTATATATCTCATCTTTTATTTTAGCATTTTCCCTCATTTTTGAAAAATTTTCGCCAGCTCTTCTGTATAGAAATGACATAAATTCGTCGTCTTTTATGTCATCTAAAAATTCTTCCAAAGTAATAGCATTGTTGTTGTCTCTGTCTTCCAATTCGAAGAGGTTTTTAATAAACAACATCTGTTCGTCATTAGATCTTTCCTGGACACCATGTTTTAGATCAACCCAATCGTGAAATGATTTCATCTGTTGGGAAATTTTGCTGATGTTTGACAAAAATTTCAAATTCCATGAACAAATATTTATAGCCATAAATTACCTGTTTTTCACTTTTCTATTTGTTGTGCTAATTTATACTTAACAGACGTAATCAAAAAAGCCAAGCAAACACTAAGAAACAAAGTGATCAAACCTCCTCTGGAGATATTTCATTATCTCCGTTTACATCAATTTCCCTAAATATGTCTCTTTCCTCCTGCTTCTCCAAAATTTCCAAAAGTGTAACCTCGACTAATATGACGGAGTTTCCTGGTATGAGTTCTAAATTCGATATTTATCCGTTAATTATTGATACTTTAAAAAACTTGCTCTAAAACCCACCAGATTCTTCTTTTCCGTAAGCGAGATGTGGAGGAATTTTTAGTTTTTTTTTTTCGCCGACACACATTCCTTCCATTCCTAGATTTTATTTGAAACAGAAAATAGTAGAGTAAATTAACCTTAACACAAATATTTCCCATAAGCAGTGATTTTTTTTAGAAAAGCGAGAAAAATAAAATGTTCTTTATATAAATTTATACCTCGTGTCCATCCCTCTAAAATATTTGATACGCCTAATCGAAGACGTAATGGGGTTTTCCTATCGTAACTGAAAAATAAAAAGAAAGAAATGTATTTTGTTTATTTCAAGTAAAAGCTGTACGCTCTTATTTTTTCTTACCTCGAGTCAACGATGATTCCATCTTGCAATTTTACTTCATAGTCTATTAAAATCTCGTCTCCCAGGTCGCTTTTACTTTCGCAGTTTTCATTGCCTGAAGTACTAATTTCTTCCAGCTCCGGTAGATTTTCATCTGTATCATCGTATATAGGTCTTTCGATAGGTCCTAATGGTACTTTTCCAGGTTTAGGGGGGGGTATCTCTTGTAGAATAACATAATTTATTAAGAAGAGGGACAAAAAGTATGTCAAATAGTTCATCTTGTCCGAAGAAAATGAATAAGGTGAAGATTTGTCCGTTCAATGAAATAACTACACGTGTCAAGCATCTAAGGGAAGGAACATATGGGAAACGGAATGAAAGAACTTAACGAATGCACTTTCAGACATGCGCACTAGCAATCAAAATCAAATCAAATTTGAAACAAAATGTATTGATACTTTTTAGTTACAAATTTAAATATGAAATTTCTCTCAAAAATAAGTTTTCATGGACTTTGGGAAAATGTATAAAATTTTTCCAATAATTCTAAATATATAATGCTTACCTAGTTAGCTCATGTTAAAAAAGTTAATTTAAAAAATTATGCTTGTTGAAAATTACTCTAATTTTCTTAACAAAAAGAGCCAAGTTAATATGTTGTAATTGTCTCTATAGTTTATTGAACAGCAGCATTATATGCTTAAGCAAATATTTTTTAAAAAGGAGCTATAGAATATAATTCATTTACTATTTCTTTGAAGTTCTTGAAGGGGAAAGTAGGCTAAATTCCGACGCTCATCACGATATTGAACTATACATTGTAAGCATGACATAGCAAAAAGTTGTCATTGAATTCGCCACTGAGATACAATAGCAGGTGTCGCCACTTTTGGTGTTAAATTTAGTTCATTAGCTCCTGTTCAGGAAACATGAGCTACAAAATTCGTGTTTGCCTACTTGTGTTTACGATTTTATATGGAAGATTAACTTTAGCTCACGTCCGCTTAACTTTTCCGCCGGCTCGGAAATACGATTGGGACTTTTTAGACAATGTTAGGACTAGCCATCCTTGTGGAGTTCCCCAAGGTATACGCCTTAACAGTTATAGTCAATTTTAACAATATGTAACGTGTTTTATATTCAAAATAATAATTCTAAATTTAGCAAAAGACTCTTTGAGTCTTTTTATTATTAAAAATATTTATTTTTTTTTTATTAAAACTTTTTTTGTTTTGTCTGAAAAAGGGGGCGAAATGTTATAGGGCGTATTTCATTGAGTGCCTAATATAAATATATAAAAATTTCAATATAGGTTTTGGCCCGTTCACCGAATTGGTAGAAGAATCTAGATTGAATGTAACATGGCATCTAGCATACGCTCACAGGGTGAGTCTTTAAAATAATGTGTATATAGTATTTTACTAAATTTTGTCTTAGTGAAGTTTCATTTATACTATTTTCTCCTGTTTTAAAATACATAGGGAGGTTATCGATTACAAATCCTAGAGGGTTCATCTACAAGGTATACTCTAACCAATCCAGACAAGTTTGAAGGTCTAACTGATGGAACGTAAGCAGGAGCAAAAAAATTAATAATTAAAATTTAATTCAATCTTAAATATTTTTCAGTCGCCAATTTCATACCATTCAGCTTCCTAAAGGCTATACTTGTGAAAGATGTACTATTCGTTTACTTCGACAGGCCACCGAATGGTCTGGTGGATACTTGTTTTGGAGTTGTGCCGATGTCAAAATATTGCCCAAATTATCAACAGCACCAAAATGCCCTAAGCGTTTATTGAATACAAACAACATAGAAAATTCATGCGCAGCAAAATGCGCATCTGGAGTATGCCAAGAAAACAATCCACCCGAAATTTGCCTTGTTGGCAAGGTCTCAGACTGCGGTGGGGAAACTAGAGGTAAATGTGAAAGAGTAGCCTCTTTCACCAAACCATGGAATCGCTGTTTCTGTACTCCTGGATATATGGGAGAGAAATGTGAAAAAGGTATACTATTATTATTTTATTATTTTACAATTTTTAAATGATATCTCATTCTAGAATCCAGCATTAAAGATAAACAAGATATTATGCTTGGAAAAATGAATAAACAAGTCGTCGTCAAAGATAAATTTAATGTATATTATCGTTTAATACAGGTAGTCATGCTAATTTCTCGCAATAAGCTATAACATTCTTAGAATTCATTTTTAGGATATAAACGAACTGGAAGTTGTTCTAAAAGTAAAGAGTACATCATGGGTGGCAATCGGGTGGAGGCCTTCAAGTATATATTACATATTTTTAATACATATTTTTAATACTGATCTTGTCATCCTAACAATTCTTTGTAGAAACAAGAAATACATGCAGAGCTTTTCCTAAACTTGCAACCAGTCAAGGAAAGCCAGAAGGAACTGCTGAACCAGAGGGTGAAGGGAAACCTGAAGGAACTGCTGAACCAGAGGGTGAAGGGAAACCTGAAGGAACTGCTAAACCAGAGGGTGAAGGAAAACCAGAAGGTGAAGGGAAACCTGAAGGAACTGCTAAACCAGAGGGTGAAGGGAAACCTGAAGGAACTGCTGAACCAGAGGGTGAAGGAAAACCTGAAGGTGAAGGGAAACCTGAAGGAACTGCTAAACCAGAAGGTGAAGGGAAACCTGAAGGAACTGCTAAACCAGAGGGTGAAGGAAAACCAGAAGGTGAAGGGAAACCTGAAGGAACTGCTAAACCAGAGGGTGAAGGGAAACCTGAAGGAACTGCTGAACCAGAGGGTGAAGGAAAACCTGAAGGTGAAGGGAAACCTGAAGGAACTGCTAAACCAGAGGGTGAAGGAAAACCAGAAGGTGAAGGGAAACCTGAAGGAACTGCTAAACCAGAGGGTGAAGGGAAACCTGAAGGAACTGCTAAACCAGAGGGTGAAGGGAAACCTGAAGGAACTGCTGAACCAGAGGGTGAAGGGAAACCTGAAGGAACTGCTGAACCAGAGGGTGAAGGAAAACCTGAAGGTGAAGGGAAACCTGAAGGAACTGCTGAACCAGAGGGTGAAGGGAAACCTGAAGGAACTGCTAAACCAGAGGGTGAAGGGAAACCTGAAGGAACTGCTGAACCAGAGGGTGAAGGAAAACCTGAAGGTGAAGGGAAACCTGAAGGAACTGCTGAACCAGAGGGTGAAGGAAAACCAGAAGGTGAAGGGAAACCTGAAGGAACTGCTAAACCAGAGGGTGAAGGGAAACCTGAAGGAACTGCTAAACCAGAGGGTGAAGGAAAACCAGAAGGTGAAGGGAAACCTGAAGGAACTGCTAAACCAGAGGGTGAAGGGAAACCTGAAGGAACTGCTGAACCAGAGGGTGAAGGAAAACCTGAAGGTGAAGGGAAACCTGAAGGAACTGCTAAACCAGAGGGTGAAGGAAAACCAGAAGGTGAAGGGAAACCTGAAGGAACTGCTAAACCAGAGGGTGAAGGGAAACCTGAAGGAACTGCTGAACCAGAGGGTGAAGGAAAACCAGAAGGTGAAGGGAAACCTGAAGGAACTGCTGAACCAGAAGGTGAAGGAAAACCTGAAGGCGAGGGAAAACCAGAAGGAACTGCTGAACCTGAAGGAGAGCCAGAAGGTGGGGGAGAGTTTCACCCGATGGACTGCACTGATATTGTCATCGGTTCTGCTCGAGGTATATACTCAAACATTGGTGACTACTATACGAGAGATAGATCTACCCCTCAAAGAGATAGGTTTTATGGTGGGGAAGATTCTCTAACTGCAGCTTTTGGCTACGAAGAAAATGGAGAAACCCTAATTGCCTTTAGAAGGAAACTTGACACCAAAGATCCTGCTGACCATGCAATTACCGAAGGCTTCATGCATGCTATATTTGCGAGAGGACAAGAGCATGGAAAATATATACATCGTCCGGCTTCGAGCTTAGAAGCAAATAGAGCTCAGGATAAAATGTTTTATCGTAAAGATGAAGTCAAATATCACGGACACGGTGATCAGAGAGTAATTAGAAACATTAATTTCTTGGAAAAAAAAGATCTAAAAGAGGACGGATTTTGTTTTGGGGAGAGAAGGTTTCCAGTCAATTGTGATGAAAATTGTGACTACCATGCTAGCTGGATATACAATGAGAGCACTGATATAATCAGTTTCACAATTATAACAAGACAAGCTCCTAACACTTGGACTGCTGTTGGTTTTGCTGTAGGCGAAGTTATGGAAAACGTTGATGTTGTCATCGGAAATGCAGAAAGTGGTACAGTTTGGGATGCTTATATTGATGGTAGATATAGCGCTCCAGTTCGGGATGAAATACAAAACATTAGGAATACTTCTATATCTCGAATAGACGGTGTAACGACCATGCGTTTTGAAAGGCCTAGGATCTCTTCAAATGAAAAATTTACTTTTTCTGATACTCAATGTCTTAATTTTTTCTTTCCCGTCTCTCCAGGTTCTTTTGATACTAAAAGTCAGATAATGCAGAGACATATTGCAACACCAATTATACAAAACAATATTTGTGTGGGAAAATGTACACCTGGAACAACTGCTAAACCAGAAGATGAAGGAACTGCTGAACCTGAAGGAACTGCTGAACCTGAAGGAACTGATAAACCTGAAGGAACTACTAAACCAGATGGTGAAAGAGGACCAAATATCACAGCAACAATTAGAATAACATCACTGCCATGGTCACCAGATCTGAAGAATAAGGAAAGCCCTATCAGAAAGAAGACAGATAAACTTTTGAGCAAAGAACTTATGGCAGTTTTGAAAGAATCAGTGAAAAAAATAATAATAACAGACTATAATATTGGAAGTGTAATTGCTTCCACTGTTCTAGTTCTTAATAAAAAAGATTCTAATAACAAACAAACGGTAATTAACAAGCTTAAACATCAAATTGACAGAGGAATTTTGGGAAACTTCACAGTCGATAAAGATTATCCACTCATTGACAATCAAAGTGAAAAAACTTCAGGTGAGATTTTTAGGTTAGCAGAATTAAATAAAAATTTTCATTTATAGTTAACGACGACGGCTTATCGGAGGAAGATAAAATTATTATTTCTGTTGTCGTATCTGCTCTTCTTATGCTGTTGATATTTATTATACCGTTGACTATCTGTAAAATAAAGAATAAGAAAATCCCTATCGACAGTCAGGATAAGAAAAAAGTAAAACATTATATAAATAAGTTAAAATTCTAAATTTTAAACGTTTTAGATATTTGATGATTTTGCTGATAATCGTGTACAACCAAATGAGTCAAGTGATATTCAAACAAAAATTGATAAACATGAAAATTTAGGTACAGGTGAAAATGGATATTCAACCTTCGTTTCTTCTTCAGATGAAAAACCTAACAAAGTCCAGTCATCAACTATCCAATTATCAAGCCGGAATAATATCGACGAAGCTGGGAAGGACAAAGTCACTGATCCAATTTTGAAACCGTTTCAACCTGTATCGTATCAGCCTCCTTTTTATAATGGAAGCAACTCTCAAAGTTTAACGAAAACAATAAATACAACCCCACACAACTTTAATGACAGTAACACCTTGCCTAAAAAATCCTCTGATGACGGCACAATCTACGAAAGCACTGTTTCACATTCTGATCAACCAAAAATATCTAAAATTCGAGTTGGAAAATAAAATGGCGAACTTTCGAATTTGAAATTGTTTTATCTCCATAGAGGACAACTCGAAACAAAGCAATTTTTAATATTATTGTCTTCAATTTTAGTTATTATTTTATCATACTTATAAGACTTGTTTCTTTTAACGATTATTTTTTGACATTATGAAAGTACTCAAACGGATCTTTGCAATTGAATTTTTCTTGCCTCTGTACAAATGTTTGTAGTCTTAAATACTCAGTCTATTTGTTTTCAAGAACTTTTGACGAAAGACTTAAGAATGAAATCTGTATGATTACACATGATAAGTGGAATTTATATTGGCATATTATGATTACTTTCTAGAATTATGTTGTGCCAAAGTGTTCGTGAGAAAATAAAAGTTTTGCATTGCAACTTGAACTAATTAATAACCGTTTGCGTTTTTTATGAAAGGTCTCGTTGAAAAATTTCAAAACATTCTTGATTAAAAGTAATAAAATTCTATAAAATACATTGTACAGAGTTCATAACGAATAAAATAAAACCCCTATCAAGAAGCGGAGGGAATTACAAAGCTAAAGAAACTAACACTTAGAAGATTAATAAAGAGACGGTTAGTTTCAAAAAGAGTATTTTAACATCTCTTATTTCCAATTTATTCTAAAAATTTGACATTTTTTGACAAACCGGACATAAGCTAGGATAGTCAAATATGATATAGCGACATCTAGTGGCAATTAGCTTTTTAGTTACCGGTTTACTCTTCGCCTAGGATATCTCATAAAGATAATAAAATATAAATTCATTTTCTGAATTTGACAGCAAAAAAATATATAACAGACTTCAACGTAATTCTACTTGTTTGATTATTGACCGTAATGCTTTAAAATAAAATATAAATTTATTATCGCTCATTTCACAAATTTGATATTTGTAAGATTTACAGTGAAGATCTTAAAAAGTCCACGATGTCTGGAACTCTTGCATGCCTAGAACATTTAACTTTTCCTCACTCGATGCAAACCGCACTACAGCATATGGAAGAGTGGCTTTCTAACGGTCGTGTCCCAGGTATCAACATTTCATCTGAAGAATTTATGAAACAAATCTGTGATGATTACGTTTTTTCGACGAAGTCAAAGAAAAATCCGAAAGTAAACTACAGGTGTATGTGAATTTCAGATAGAGCTGATTTTGAATTTTTTTATACAGAGCCAGTTAACAGGGTTACAGGAGCTGTTTCTAGTTACTAAACTAGCCAAAGCATTTTCAAAAAGAGGATCTCATGAGAGTATACGTCAAGAACTCTTTTGGACTCTTTTCCCTCCCAGTCACATGACCCCTCAGAGGCAACAGGTTTTAACGAAAGTAATTGGAATTGGCATTGCAGAAAAAGTTGTTGAGGTTCTTGAATTCGGTGCTCGATTCATCAACGCTTCCGGCCCAACCTCGCCGTCATCACAATATATAATACAGCATACAATCGATGATTACGTAAATTTGTTCCCTAATAATCCCTCGTTGCAGAATATACATTACGAATCAGAGTTATTTACTTGTTCCTTTCTATGTACCTGCTCTCAAATTCTTAAACCACCAAGAAAAATAGAAAAAAATTTTGACATTGAAAAGAAAGAATTAACTTTGGATATTCTTAAAATTACATCTAATTGGTTGTACTCAAAGCCAACTATTGGAATAGCTAGCTTGCCAAAGCAAGAGGGAGCTTTACTGCCCCCTGATCCTAATTGCAAGTCTCCGACCCCTGTTGTTGGATTAATTATGTGGATATGCAAAGCTGCTTTAATTTGCTATCCACAACAACTTTCGAATGAATGGAAAAAGTATTATTCAAGATTACGTAAGGGTATATGTGGCTGCCTTTGGGAATTTAAAAAATTAAAAGGATCAGAACAAGCTCCTCTGATTGCAAATACAGATGTCATTCATATGGCTAAAGATCTTAGTAAAATGTGTAATGAGCTACAATTGCGGAACGAATGCATTGTAATTGAGACCGTGGATGTATTTTTGGATTTTCTAGATGTTGCAATAGGATCGTTAACAGTTCGAGCTTCGCCGAGTATAAATTCTAGTCTTTTGTATATAATACAAATTCTGTTAAATTATTTTATTTACAGATGAGATTCGAGAAGTGCTTCAAAGTTTGCCCTCGACAATATCAGTAAAAAAGTCAAGTATCAAACTATTACCGAAAGATATGTACTTTAAATCGGCTGGCCTTGGTGATGATAGCGAAGAAGAATTGGAAGAGCAAATGGATTATTATTGATATACAGTGAAATAAACTTTTATAATTTTATTCAATGACAATACTGATACTGTTCGTAAACTTTTTAAACATTTTAGAAAATGTCTTACACGATTGCTGTCCGTAGAAATTATTACAACCATAGAATATTTAGCATTATCCACGAAAAGAAATGATTAAAATATTCTAATTGAAGAAATAAAGTTCACTATTTATTAAAATTAAACAAGCTACCTCTAACTAATCTTTTATCATTTTATTAATAAATAAAGATTAGCTTCGAAAAAATCAAATCTTGTGTCTTACATCAATTCTTTCACAGTCATTAAATTAAGTGTAATAATTTTTGTTACGTAAAACGACTAAAAGAAATCTTAAAATACCTGCTCAACAATAAAGACGCCGAATTGCAATTTTTTAGTATAATGTTATCAGTACTCACAGATGGCGCACTTAACAGTAAACAAGGACGATATGTCTCATTTGTTATTAGTGTATTGTGTCCTTGTGCTAAGGTTAAAGAAAATATCAAAAGAATGGTTAAGGTATTGGTAGCCGTCGACGACAGCGAGACTTCCTTGAAAGCTTTTCATTGTAAGACAACATAATAATTATTTATTGTGAATTATTGAATACTTTTATTCCTAGTCTATTTTGAAACTGCACACAAGCCAGATAATGAAGTTTTGTTTGTCCATGGAATGGAGTATCCATATATCGGCGGTGGTTTTCGTTAGTATAATTTTAAAAAAATACCTCTCTATAAGCTGAACTTTTTAATTAGCTGTCAGGGAGGAAATCGTTGAAAACATTTTAAAAGAGACAAGGCTGAGCCATAAATCAGTAGAAGAGAGATATAAAAAGATTATCGAAGATAATGAGGCAAGTAATCTAATATTTTTAACGAATACTATCTTTATAAAGTGCGGCCTATTTAGATTAAAGGACGATTTGTCAGTGAATTTTGCCCAAGATCAGGAGAATTTATTGTGAGTATAGCAGAGAAAGAAGATGCGAGCTTAATAGTGATGGGTACACGAGGTATGGGTAAACTTCGTAGAACCATACTTGGATCAGTATCGGATTACGTCCTTCATCACGCCAAGTGTCCAGTCATAATCGCTCGCCGTTAGACTGGTCTATGATAATCAATTTTATAGTAAAGCAGATTAGCTTGGTTGTTCTTCAAGCAATCAGATACATTAGTTAGGGAATTATTACTATCCCAGTTTAGTTGCTGTTTTCTTTATATTAAACAACAAGGTATTTCAAATATACACTTTATATAAACCATATACGCAAAAATATTCCATAAAAAAGTGTACTGTTTTTAAAACGTCAATAAATCTTAAGCAGTTTTAATGATAGATATTCCATGTTTTCTTTCAAACAACATATCTTTCTTGTCCTAATTAATTTCGCACACTTAACCGTCAAAAAGTTGTCAACAAGATTGTTTAATTTCTAAGGATAAAGAAAAGCTTTTCAGGCGGACGGAAAATAGATTCTTTCAGTTAAAAAATTAGAACGAGCCTATGAAGAATCTCCCAAGCCAACACCACTGGATATACATGCTGAACGTAGAAGGTCTATTTGATGAGAATCAGAATTTTCGGGTGAATTGGGAATAGAGTCCATTTCGTTGATTTCAATATGAGTACTGGCAATAATTTTAACATCTTCGTTGGTTTCTTTTTTTTGCAGCTTAATATCATAGAAGCATTTTTCTTCAAGCAATTTATTTAAATCAGTTACTTGATGAACAATATTGGTCTTTGAATTCGTTCTTTTCAGATTATCATAAAATGCTTTGTTTTTTGTTCTTTCAAATTTGCTTATTTTTTCGTCGAATGTTTTTGCTATATCATGTTTTCGTATTCTGCTTTTGAAAGGACATAGATCAATGTTCATCAGTTCAAGAAATTGGCTATCTTCTTCGACCCATTTTCGTCTAATATCGTCATACTCCATAAAATTCTTAGCATATTCTCGGCCATCCAGATTGTATTTTTCTTTGAACCTTATCATTATATTCCCAAAAGTTTGTGATCGTAAAATATCCCCAAGCTCTTCCAATAGGTTAACTTGAAAGAATATATACTCTATCGGTTCCTTTTCCCCTTCAAAAAATTGCAAAACACTTCCATGCTTAAGATTGGTCACATCGTAAAACGAACTTTTTGGTTCCATCTAAAATAATACTCAATAAGAACAGAACACAGAAATATATTCAAAAAGGAATACAATACCGGTTTAGAATGGGTTTGCCTATTGTTTATACATTCTAATAATAAACTTCCAAGTAACTTAGTAGTTAGTCTTTTCGAATTTTCACTCGCCAAGTGGATAGAATTATTATCTATTTTCATTTTTTCTCTAGCTAGTACTTGAAATGAATAACTATCTTCCTGTAATTTTATTACATTTAAAAAAGTTTATGTAAAAGAGTACTAACATCGACTAATAATAATGTTCCGTGAGTATTTTCAACGTATTTTTCACCAGGACGTTTCACTCGTAATTTTCCATCATATTTACCTAAAAGTTATTGCAAGGGATAAATGTTATGTTGTAAAATGAAATTACTTATGAATAGATCGACTGTGGGGTCCATAATGTACAGCCAATCTGTCAAATCATTTGTATTTAACAGGATCGCATAAAGGCGCTTCATGCCAGTTTCTGAAATTCAGGTTAAGAAAGCATTATTCGAAATATAAAACAAGACAGCTGTATATGTAAAAATTTCCAAAGCTTACTGTAGGCGTGCAATTCAATATCATCGGCAATAGTACAAACAGGCTTATCTATACTCTTTGGGAAGTCTTGTTTAATTTGTAGTTTATTTCGTAAACTTTCTTTTGCTAGGCTTCTTATCGCTGCATTATCCAGCTTTTCAAGAGCATCATCTGAAAAATATATAATAGTAAACAAGTTTAATTTTATCAAATTGCAAATTATTATACCTAAATTTTGCACGTCATCTTGATTACAGAGCTTATTCAATTCTTCAGTTATAAGGGCATTACTGATTGCAGTAGCACTCCCTGAAATTGTCAATTTATAAGAAATCATCTATGATAAACTTCACATACCGAATTGTGAAATCGAAGGACTTTCAAATTTAGCAATTTCTCCTTTGGTAAATTTAGAAATGTTGCACCCCTGGATAAAGTATAGGCCTTGTTCTTCACAGTTGCTAATTTTTACATTGAAAAAGCTGTCCTCCAGATATTCTACAATTAGAATTCTAACCAGTTTTTGAATATCTGGATTATCATTAAAGCTTATAAAGTTCGTCAATTTCAACCCAAGAATATGCAGAAAGAGTAGATTATCCAAAACCTCTTTACCATATTCATTTTTCACGTACTCCATCAGGTTTGCAATATATTCTGAAGAAGCTTCTTCATTATTTTCGTCCTCTTCTGATATAATGAGTAAATAACTTGCAGGTTTTCTAGAACCTTTTATCTCTACACAGGACTCAGATGTAATTAATTCGCTATTTTCAAAAGTTGTATTATTTTCTTTCATATCCATATCTACAATTTCCAAACTATGATCATCGCCGTCCATATCATAATCTGCATCAATTGCCTGAACCTCTGTTTCAAGAGCAATAATACTGTCAGCGTCTGATAGACATTTTGCATTGAATGCATACATGATTTCACGGCTTTTTTCAAATGCAATTTCATTCTTAACTTCCTCTTCCCCCTTTCCTGTATTTTCAATTATCTCACTTAAAGATAGCATAACCTTGTCATATTCCTCGTCAGAATATTCTAATAATAATAGTTCTTCATTCATTGTTCCAAAAAATGGGAATCTTTCCTCTTGAGATTCTAGAAAGGAGTGAATATCTTCAGCAACAGAATTAATACAATGTTCTTCATATTCTTGGACTTTTTCATTCTCATTCTGCAAGGAACTGGTGTCTCTTACAACATTTTCACGGTCGTCACTTAAACATTTTAAGTTTTCATACAGCGTAAATTTTCTTTTAGCAAGTTTCCACGTGCTATTGAGTTGTTCTTTAAGATCCTCAATTGTGTAGGCATCTCCTACAAAAAATGTCTGATCTTCTGAGTTTGTTACAAGGCGTCTGAATTCATTTCGTTTATCACACTGTTGGAAAATTACCCATTCAACACTCTTCACATCTACGTCAGATAGTCCAAAAACTTTAATATATTCCCTTTCCTCTTCGGCGTTTCTGCTGTTTAGCGTGTTGGAAAAATATTCAAATAGACGTCTCTCTTCATCAGTAAACTCAACTTCCGATAAAATCCCTTCTTTATCAGACATCTCTAATGTTGACATTTTATTTATCTTTTCTAAATCAGTTAGATAGATATCTTCAAATATTGATCTCAATAGATTAGAAAATTCCCGAACAAACTCCTTTTCTTCTTCATAGTGAGAACTATATTTCTCTTTCTTTAATTTTTCTAATATATAATGCTCGAGTGTTGTGGCCACTAAAAGTTTTAAGTTTTTGGGATCAGTTTTGTACTTTTCTGTACTATTATGAAAATGAAAAGACGGATGGGGAATTTGATTCAAAGCCATAACCTTTAACTGAAGTTGTTTTAGTTTTATCATATTATCAGCCGCTTTAATCCAAGCACCTTTTCTTGCTTTGTCATGAATATTCAAAGAAAATAAGAGGCATTTAAAAGATTTTGTCAAGTTTGTAAATTCATTTTGAACGATGTGATAAGCTTGAAAGTCCAGGTTTTTTAACTCAGCGTCAATTGCCATCAATCTTTGTTTAAATTGAGAAACTACTTCAGCTAAGTCAAAAGAGTCTGTGTTCAGTAGATAGTCGTAAATTTCTTGGAAAAGGTTATTCCATTCAATTACGTTGTCTTCCATGACGTTAACATTAAGGATAACATTAGAGGTAACATTGTGTTCTATTTTATTACAATTTGTTTGAGTATTAAATCCTTTAGAAAGTTTAGTAAATTCATCTTTGGATCTTGTGTATGAAAATGCTATTAAAATTTCTGCCTCAGACTCAAATCTATCAATAAAACTTAAGTTAGCATGAGCAGAATTTTCTCTAGAAAATGAGCAAATATAGCGTGTTATATTCCAAATAAATTGATTTGTGAAGAAAGTCGTCATATGGTAGTCTAATAGTTCAGCTTCTTCAAAAAGTAGATCTACTTGATCAATTAGCTCTTTTAATCTTAATCCCAATTCTTCTTCATAATTTTTCAAATCATTAAATAGATGACGAAATTTTTGTCTTACAAACTTGAGTATTACTCTTTCGTTGAATACTATAGTATTATCTTTCTTTGAAACTTCAACACAATGTACTACGTTGTTGCAACTAATAGAATATCCAGAAGTGTGTGCTTCCTCCATGATAGCCTTGAAGCTCGCATCAGTCGTTTTTAAGGGGTATAAGCCTTTTTTATCCACCACTTTTTGTCTGCCATATCGAAACCGATAATAAATTTCTATGTTGTCCATTTGCTTAATAAAATTTTTAGGAATTGGGTTCAATGTCATATTTACTCTAAATTGTGTTTCAGTTGGAGAGTTTTGTTGCAGGCTATCACAGTTCAACGAACCGTTATTGTTCGTTAGCTCTTCATTGAAAGAAATATCCTCCATTAGCGATGATTTTGGTATAAAATGAATATCTCCATCTGTCGTTTCAAATTCTTCCAAATTGGGTAATGAGTCTAAATAGAGTTTTATTTCTTTTGGTGGTTGGTTCAAAGTTTGAGCAATTTTTTCCAAGCGCAAAATAATTTGAAAAATTTTCTTCCAGATCTCTCTTTTTTCAGGTTCAGATGGTTTAGGTTGGCAACAAAGTGACTCCTTTTTAATGAAAAATTTAATAATGTCGTAAAATTGATTGCCTGCTTCTTCTTTCAATTGTTGCTCCTCTCTTTTGCTGAGCAATTTAATATCTCTGACAATCTCAGTATCATTTCTTTCATAACCTATTCTTCTTGAATGATCGATAATCTAAAATGTACTTTTAAATGAATTTTAATCTTAAAAATTTCAAATTTCGTACCTGCCCACAGTTTCTTACAGCTAGGTCCGACCCAGTGAGAACTTCCTTTAATAAATTCTGACGAGTTCTGGAATCATCTAGACGCTCAATAACGCAGCGAAAATAGCTTTCACTTCCTGGTAAATCCGGATTACGAAAAGATTCTTTCTTATTTTCGAATTGAATAGTGATTGCACCTAGTTTTTTGTATTCTTTACAGAGCTTTTCACAAAATTGCTTTGTAATATCATTTAGATCACTTTTCTCGACGGTAATTGACCTTGCCTTCTCGTTAAGAAGAGAATTGGATTCCTATAGCACAATATTAAAAAATTTAATTTCTTTTCAGAATAATTTCACTTACCACAACATGTCTATGGCAGATAAAGCTTGTTGTTTTATAAGTTCTAGGAGGAATACAGCAATCCAAATGATAAGAGTTATCGCATTTAATGCATTTATTTGTATCTGGTGAAGAGCATACTCTGAAATTTAAAGATTTTGAATCGCTTTTTCATATTCATAAACCTCATATTTTAAGTAATTAATATAATGTTAATTAAGTTGAAATTACGATGCTCAATACTATACATATACTATATATTTCTTTTAATTGAGTCAAATGCTCACTTTCGACAAACTGGACAGACTACTAGTCCTCTGACATTTGAACTCATTTCTTTAATTCCTATGGAATGTTCGCTTGGTTTCTTATTTTTGCGGTCAAATTTCCGTTTTCGTTCTTTAGGATTTGAACTTTAGTAAATATTTAAAATAAAATATTATCTAAGTACTTTTTTTATCTTTTCCACTTTCATTCAGGAGATCATTCATTATATTTTCAAACGATGAAGGATTCCAATTAGCAAAGAACCTAGCTGATAATTCATCATTTCCAAATATTTGTTGCGTTGCTAGATGCTACAAAGGGTATCAAGTATTATTTTGGGGCCATCATTAAACTTATACTCAAAAAAGACCTAACTGCTACCTGTAATAGAATCAAATTATCATACATTTTCACATCATTATCCTGTTTAAAAAAAGGAAGAAAAAAAATAGAGTAAAATATTAAAACACTTATTATTCAGATAAATTAGGAAAACCGACTGTAATATTGTTGAATTCATTTTCCCTTAAAACTTCAAAATCAGATGCTGTATAAAAAATTATATATGAAATTAATTAATTCATTCATTGAGAAACCTACTCTTTTTATCATTGTTGTTTGATTTATCTTCAAATATATCAGCAAGGTAGTTGTTATCTAATTCAGCTTCTGCAGCAGAAGGAGAAAAATGTTGCCAAAGAAGGGAAAGTTCTTTCTTACGGCTGAGGTAGTAAGCGTCGTCAAATTTGATATTCTGAAACATTAATACTTTTGATGAACTTAACATTTCTTTCATTTTACATACCGAAATTGGTCCTTGACATTTGCTACATAACCAACTCAAAGGATCAGTTTGTGGTGGATTCCTAGGTGAATTTTTTTAACAGAATAAATTATAATTGGCTTAAGGAAAATATTAAAATTCTTACATGCAATATCCATGAATTGAGGCAGGACATTTTTCACAAAATGTAAGCCTATCTCCTTTACCACACGAGCAACATCCTTCTTCATGTTTAAAATCTAAATGTTTAACCTCTTTCTTCTTTCGTCTGCCTCCTGACGAGCCCTGGGCTTGTTCCTGATGGATCATTAGGTATACATTGAAATTGTTCTATCCATTTTTATTATAACAAACGCCCACCATTTTCTGAAAAGTTATGATTTGGAAGAAATACAGTAAATAATATCGGGTTATCTGCAAAGCAGCTCAGTACTCTATTACGGTTTTTCCGAAATATTGTATATTATCGCTCAAAGTTGGAATAAAATTCATTCCCTGCAAAGGCAAGAGACATTCTTGTATTATTACTCCAAGAGATATATGATAGAGCAATTTTAAATATATTGCTACCTGTCTAAATAAAATTTGAGCTACTAGAAAGTCGCACAAAAAGCTCAAATTTTAAGAAGTATAGTAAATATCGCACTACATTCCGAATGAAACCAAGATTTTGGTTGGGTTGACTATCAGGACAATAAACTGTTCACCAAAAGATTTTTTTTAAAATAAAAAGTGTATTTCATGGAAAAAAAATATAGTTATATTTTCCTACCGAAATAAATATAATTTAAATTAAAAAAAAATCAGATATATAATTTTATTGTGATTTCTTTTGTTTTTAGAATAATTTAGTTTCTCGCGTAAGTTCCTTATACCATATAAATAGGGATATTGAATGTACACCAAAAACTAACATTAAGCTATAACATTTAACAACTGTTAGGGTTGTAACTATGAAATAATTTAAAGTTTAATTGATAATTTTGGCGGTTTGTTCTAGAAGGACTTTCAGACCTCTAACGCTGAAAAATTGTAAATTTTAATGAACAAATTTAAGTGATGAAAGTATATGTTAAAATTGCATCAATACTTTTTATTTATTATCTTGCTTCATCATTTTTAAACTGAGTATAATAATCCCTGATACAGTGGCGTTACCAAGCGGGAGGTTCATTTCCTCTCAACTATCCGCTACTTGATATTATATTAACCGCAAGGTTCGCTGCTGTCGAAATGTTTTCATGATTTCAAAATCTTGACCTTAACTATCTTTGTATGGGTCAATAGCAGACGATTCTCAAAACTACCAGTTACTAGTCCATTTATTACAGCAGCATTTTGGCAAAATAGCGGTTTTACCATGTCCTTCTTACAAGGATTACGACGAATTCATTTTATAAATCATTGCAAATACACCTTTTTATCAGAAAGGTCTTTCAAGAGTAAATTCTTTAAATCAGTATCGTCGATCGGACTGTACAAGCATTTAATGAAATCTAAAGGTGACGTGCCGAAAGGCTTTGAAAAATACTTCCCTGAAACGCAGAAAAACCCTCTAAAAAAGTCTTCTAATAAGAAAAAAGATGGTAAAAAATCAACCTCATTTGGTCAGGATAATAATCCATTTTCATTCAAGTTCGGTGAGAAAGGGAGCTCAGGTGGTGGAGATCCCAATACAAATCTATACTTTTATCTCTTCGCCTCCGGAGTTGCCATTTTAGGTTTTGTTGGACTTCATCAAGGTCAATATAAAGAAATAACTTGGAGAGAATTCATAAATAATTATTTGAATAGAGGAAGCGTGGAAAAACTTGAGGTATTTCTATGTCTTTGCCCATAAGTATATGCTAAAAGTTTATTAATTCTAGTCACTGACATAAGATGTTATTATTTATAGGTTATCAACAAACGATGGGTTAGAGTAAAGTTTCAACCTGGTTACCAAACAGATGGCAATCATACAGTATGGTTTAATATTGGAAGTGTTGAATCTTTTGAGAGAAATTTGGAAAATGCACAATTAGATATGAATATCGAACCCTCTAGTTTTGTTAACGTTGTCTATAAAAGTGAAACTGAATTGGCATCTCTCCTCACGTCGTCTTTGAATATAATACTTCCATTAGCTTTCATTTTTTGGCTTATAAAAAGGTCATCCAATATGCTGGGGGGAGGGAAACCAGGATCATCTGGTAGAGGAGCTGGGGGACTTTTTGGATTTGGTCAAAGTACCGCTAAAGTCCTCCAGGAGGATGTAGGGGTTCGATTTGCTGATGTAGCTGGATGCGAAGAAGCAAAATTGGAAATAATGGAATTTGTTAATTTTTTAAAACGACCTCAACAATATACTGATTTAGGAGCAAAAATTCCCAAAGGAGCCCTCTTAACTGGTCTGTAATATGAAATAGTACTCTCAATGATTTAAATTACTAACTTTAAACTGAAAATAGGTCCACCGGGTACGGGGAAAACTCTTCTGGCAAAAGCAACAGCTGGAGAAGCAAATGTTCCATTTATAACAGTTTCAGGATCGGAATTCCTTGAAATGTTTGTCGGAGTTGGTCCTTCTCGAGTTCGTGATATGTTCACTACAGCAAGAAAGAATGCTCCTTGTATATTGTTTATTGATGAAATTGATGCAGTTGGTCGAAAGAGAGGAGGTAAAGGCTTTGGTGGTCATTCAGAGCAAGAGAATACTCTTAACCAACTATTAGTTGAAATGGATGGTTTCACGCCACAAACTAACGTAGTTGTGTTGGCTGCCACCAACCGAATTGATATATTAGATCCAGCTCTTTTGAGACCTGGACGGTTTGATCGACAAATCTATGTCGCCTCGCCTGATATAAAAGGTCGAGCTTCAATATTTAAAGTTCATCTTAAAGCACTGAAAACTGATGTAGACAAAAATGATCTTTCTCGGAAAATGGCTGCTTTAACACCCGGTTATTATTCCTATCTTTTTGAATGACTTTCCCATAATTTATGATTTTGTTAGGTTTTAGCGGAGCTGATATTGCAAACGTCTGTAATGAAGCCGCCTTGATTGCTGCACGTGACTCGAATGAGTCAATATTGATGAAACACTTTGAGCAAGCAATAGAACGCGTTATAGCTGGACTGGAGAAAAAAACCCAAGTTCTTCAACCAGAGGAGAAGCAAACTGTTGCTTATCACGAAGCAGGACACGCAGTGGCTGGATGGTATTTACAATATGCTGATCCCCTCCTGAAAGTCTCTATTATACCCAGAGGAAAAGGTATAGCAAAATTCAGTGTTTTAGTTTCTACTTAGATAAAAAATATTTAAGGTCTTGGCTATGCGCAATATCTCCCAAAGGAACAATATCTTTACACTAAAGAGCAGCTTTTTCATCAAATGTGCATGACTTTAGGAGGGAGGGTAGCGGAGGAGATATTTTTCAAACGTATTACATCAGGAGCACAAGATGATTTAAGAAAAGTTACTAAGAATGCCTATACTCAAATTGCTCAACTGGGTATGAATGATAGAGTTGGGCAAGTATCTTTTGATTTACCTACTCCAGGAGATATGACTTTAGACAAGCCTTATTCGGAAGAAACTGCACGAATTATAGACGAAGAAGTTAGGAAGTTAATTCAAAATGCACATAAGCAAACTACTGAATTATTAACAAAGTATAAAGATGATGTTGAGAAGGTAAACTGTATGCTCACAATTTGTAATTATACATTTTCTATAGAACATTATTTCGTGCCAGGTAGCCGTAAAGTTGTTAGAGCAAGAAAAATTAGATAAAGAAGATCTTGTTAAGTTATTGGGTGATAGACCTTTTGCTGAAAAAACTACTTATGAAGAATTTGTTTCCGGTACTGGATCTTTTGAGGAGGATACAACGCTGCCAGAGGGTCTGAAGAATTGGAATAAAGAAGAGGGTGAACAAGATGAAAAAGAAGAACAAGAACAAGATTCAAAGTCTTGAAGTTTTCAGAATTCACTTCTTAAAAACTGTATAAATAAAATTGTTGAAATTTTTTATATATAATAAGATTTTCATTGTTAATAATAACATATGTTGTTGATCAAGTTAAGATTCAAGGTACTCTTACATTCACTTATAAATTTATTTAACATGATTAGCACGAAACATCTACGCAATATTTAATTATATATATACTTTTTTACTTATAAATCTTCTTTATTGGGGAGGAAAGATTAGATTATGTCTAGTAGTTTAGAGATGTGAATTTGGTAGCCATTGACAACGACAATTTCCGGTTTCAGCCTACATTACAAGATGGCGTACAAACTGCGAGAAGCTCCTGATCTTTTACAGAACGGTAATAAAAAGAATATCACAGCTGAATTTAAAAATAAACTGAAACAAGAAAACGGAAAAGAATTTGTTGAATATGTGCTTAGTGTCCTTTTCGAATATCCACTTTGTATTCCAGAAGGAGAGGTGATTGATTGGTGTGATATACTGATTGCGGATGGAAATAGTTTTGAAGAATTTTCAAAAATAGGTTAGTGAATTTAAATTTATGAGTGATATGACAACTAGCAGTAATAGATTATCGTCCATGCCTAATACATCAATGACTGATCGTTATTTAGTAGTTTATATATTTAAATTTGAGTAATTTTAAAATTATCTTATTTTGAATCGGCACCAGTCCTACCAAAATTTCTATAATATTCTAATTATTATGTGTTTTAATGAAAGAAATCTCTTTTTGTGATATACGATCAATTATAATGTGACTGGATTATATTACCTGATTATTTTGCAACAAGAAAAATTAATATAACACCTCAAATTATTGAGTCTTTTTTATTTTTTTGACTTAACTTTATTCTTATTTCCTTGAATAGTGAAAAAATTCGATGATTCACCAACTTGTGGTCTTGTGTGGACGAGTAACTTTGTAGCATATCGCTGTCGAACATGTGGCATCAGTCCTTGTATGTCTCTTTGCGCTGATTGTTTTAATGCTGCTGATCACTCAGGACATGATTATAATATGTTTCGAAGTCAGGCAGGCGGAGCTTGTGATTGTGGAGATGGAACTGTAATGCACAAGAAGGGCTTTTGTCCAAGACATGGCCCTGGACGTCCATCTAGATGCCAACAAATTCCATCGGACTTGTTACTGTTACCACGAGTAGTTTTACCTAAGCTACTCCAGTCAATAATAATCCGCATCAGACAAATCTCCGCAACAGCAGGGGATGAATATGAGTCCCTGGACGAATTTTCCAATCGATTGATTGAAGTAAGAAACATTATTTATGATTTTGAATTGCTAAGTGAGATTCATGTTTTGCAGATAGTTCAAAAGCTTTTAGATACAGGGACAGTTCTAAGGTCCCTGATTAGTCAAATATTTATTGATCAAGAGTTATACAAGAATATTAATAGAGGAGATTTGACAAGTGAGAATCAACAACATGCAGCCAAAGCATACCAAAACTATCTTCAGGAAAAAAAATCTCTCAGCAGTCTAAAGATACCAATGGAATTTGCTAATGTTGCAAATTTAGAAGATAATTTAAATCATATCTGCATATTAGATGAACTAATGTTTTGGATGGTTAAATATGATTTCCCCCAGAACATTGTCACTCTTATATTATCTATTTTACCAGATAAAGAGTATAAAAATGCCTTTTTACGAGCTTTCATTATGCACTATTCACGAACTGCAGCCATTTTAGAACAACCCAGGCAAAAAAAGCATATCGCAAATAGAGTAGTTCATATATCTGTTCAAATTCTTAGTCCTGAAGAATTAGCAATGAAATTAGTGAGAGACTGGTCTTTGTTACATCGAATGACTGGAGCCCTCAATTCTATGCTTGTTAAAACATACGAACCGATATCTGAAGATATAACTGAACTTAAGGTTAGAATTTTAAAAATTTAGCATATCCTAAAAATTCACATGATAATAAGAATATAAGATTTTTAATATCTTAAAAGTAATCAAAACATGTTACAGGTAATAAATTGCGATAAACCTGTGATGAAGGAACATTGCTTTTGGCCCATTATATCTGATTTTATAAACGTATTATCCCACCGTCCTGCAGCTTTAACTTTTATGACTGACAATGTCTTGATATCCTTTTGGATGGCTTTTGTTTCAAAGATTCAGGCAGTGAATATCAATACAAGAGAAACTAAAACCCATGTTGAAATAGAGCAGGATACTTACTATTCAGCATACAACGCAGAGCTAGAGATTGCCGCCAGTCCTATGTGGTGTTTAGCAGTTCAATGCGATCAAAAATCACTCGGAGCAGCGAAAAATGTTCTACATCATTCTCTGGTCAATCTATTAAAATGGCTGGATGCATTAAAAATCAAGCCCAACACCAAGCTAAACCCCCTTAAAGTCACTTTTCATCTACCCTTGCATAGATATGTTGCCGTTTTCTTTCACACTTTGACAAAGATTCAAGCTGAAAAAACCAATTTAGTGCAATTTTTAGCTGAAAATGGTTTAAAAATTGATATTATTGAACTTTTAATTATCCATCCTTTAAATGTTCAGATCAGCTGCGCAGAAATCGCGACTGATATGTGGAATTTGAATGGATTACAAATTAAAGGTCAGGCTATGACATACAAACAAACGCATTTTTGTAACTCGATGGCAGATCCAGATCTTTATTTATTACAATTGGCTAGTTGCTGTTTACAACCTGATCATATCATTACAATGATACTAGAGCGATTTCATGTTCTAGAACTTTTAAGCATGGGAGAATCAACTTCAAATTTTCTCAAAAAGGAGCATTATCAGCCAATTATCGAGGCAGCTCTGACATTGTTGGCTACAATTTTGTCCAATCGAACAATGGTTGGTCTTAAAGAGGAGGAAATTATTAAAAATGAAGTCGTAGCACTTTTATCAATGAACAACCGAACCTTTTCCCAATTAGCAGAGCTAATACCTGAAAAATGTGGAGTGTCTACTATGGAAACCCCAAAAATTAAGAAACCACTATCTGAAGTTGCTACCTTCATACCACCAAATCTCTCTCCTTATGGCTTGGGTGGTCTACATCAAGGAAATTATGTTCCTAGTTCAGCTACTTGGCTCAATTTATTTGATCCCATTTTTACTTGTCATAGATCACTGGCCAGAAGAGATTATCAAAATTCATTAAATAGGTTTTTTCAATATTTATATCAAAATAATTTTCTTTATACTTCTGTTTTCAGATTCACTAAGTTTGTTAAAACAGAAAATTTATATTCATCAGTCTGTTCTCCATGGCCTCCCTATAGAATGCCATCTGTTTTGTGCTCTCTCTATTCAAACCTTACGAATCTTCTTCATTGTAGAACTATGCATGCTCTACTCTTTGTTTTATTAAAGCAAGGTCTTGAAGGCTGCTTATTGGACGGATGTTTGTCATTAGTAATTCATCTAATTTATATGGCTCTAAAAATTAAGCCCGTTCGTTTGGAATCGGTAGGACTTTTTCATTTACTATCTAAAGTTTTTAAAAATTTTAAATTTCAGGCTTCTCAGTCATCAGTGCCTCTAGATGGAGCTTCCCAGTATCCTCATGATAAAGTTCTATGTGAATTTATGCCAACAGATAATATCATTCAAAACGCTCTACATATTGTAACTCATGTACAAGTAGCTAAATACTTTCCAGATAATGAACAATTTGATGGCTCTTTGGAAAATGAGAACCCATCTGAAACTATAAACGCAGAGTCATCGTCAGTCAATAAACCTTTCGAAAAGGAAACAATTAGCTCAGCTTCAAATAATTTTAAACGAACAACAACCGTTTTGGATGTAAATGAATCCATTTTAAGTTTGTTGACAAAGCTTTTCAGGAAACTTGCACCTAATAAGACTTTTAATGTAAATGATTACAACGATAACACACCTCCAGTTGGTGATGGAGCCTTTTTTATTGGACGAGTATTGAAAGAGTTCGTTGAAAACTCAGAACTCTGCAGGAAATTTGTTCATGATTTTTTTTCAACAAATGAAAGACAAAGTTATTCGGTAAGATTGTAAATTTAAAAACTTAAATTTTGTAACTTGTATATTTAGATTGAAGAAAAGAGGAAAAAAGCTCAAGAACGTCAGAGAAAAATTATGGCTAAAATGCAAAAACAACAACAACAAGTGCAATCAAAATTTGTAATTAATGAACCTGTAGAGAACATGGACGAAGACTTTGACGGTGATAACAATGAGGATCAAAGAGAATTACACTGCACAATTTGCAACACCAAAGGAATACCAACTAATTTAGATCCAATTTGTCTTGTTGCTGTGGTTTCTTCTAGTTCTGTCTTGGGACATAGAGTTCCTGTACCCGGTAGTAGAAGAGTCTTACCACTTGACAATACAATTTCTACAAGACCACCTGAAACTTGTAAAGAATTTTGGAATAAAAGGGTAAAAATACAAAGCCAATTTTAAAAATGTACTAATTATAATTATCAATAATCTTAGATTGAGAAATTAAAATTACTTTGCGATGAAAAGTTACTTGGAGAAGCTGTTACATTAGGCTGGAGTAATGGAATCAGAGTCAAAACATGTGGGCATTATCTTCACAGCTCCTGTGCAGCTCGTTACCGACAGTCTTTAAGCAGGCGGGATCAACAAATTAAGATTTCTGATTTCGTATGCCCTCTTTGCCGCCGTACAGCCAATTGCATTCTTCCAGTATTGCAACCATCAAAGTCTTATTGTTCTGACGAAGATTCAGATTTTGAAAGATCTGCATCAATTAACGTAACTAAATTAGAATCCCAACCTAACCAAAATAGCTTACTCTTCAAAAATGATCCTCAAAATCCTCAAAATTATTCCTCTAGAAAATTTCCTCATAGTACATTCACCTCTTTCTCGTCATGTAACTCCTACCAATTAGCAGTTGAACCAATATCGTACTCGGCTGAAAAAGAGTATCAAAATGAAATGAAAAACACGGTTACTGATTGTCTTCAAAGTAAATCTGTAAAAAACTTGAAAATTCCTGATTCTCATCTCTCCAGAGCGTTCAAAATGATTTATGCTCAGCTTGTTAAATTTATGGATTCCTCCTACAAAAATGACTCTTTATTAATTATTACCTCAATACTTAGACACAATGTTGTTGCGGATTTAGAAGAAAGGAGTAATTCTCTCAAAAACTTTTCCAAAGAATCGAGGAACTCCTGCTTACTTCAACTTTTGGATGTATTAGGGACAGTCTTTAAGGAATGTGTACCTCACGGTTTGTTTTCATCATTATCAGAAATTTTCTTACAAATATTTTTTTAGGTTATACTGATCAATTATGGGCAATGCTGACAGGGGGCGAGCCTTTATCAAACTCCAGGGAGGTTCAAAGCTACCGCCAAATTGTACCTTTATTGATACGTGACCCTTTTTCTGTCTTTTTTACCATCCTTTTAAGTTTGCAAACACCCATTACTAGGAGTGTCTATCATGAATTGGTCAAGGCCGTTTTAACATTAAATCTCGTGCAGAGTATGACATCAATCTTGATTCAGATGACTCCAGATGAGCGGCAGACGTGGAATGATAAAACATTTGGTATTCTTTTTAAAACATTTCAGGAAAGTTGTGTTTTTAAGAGCACAGAAGAAAAATCCCAGATAGGCTTATCTAGTTGTATATGGACTCCTGGTTCAGTCTCTTCAGCTGTTGATAGTGGATGCGTTGAATTTTTGAGAACAGCTGCTTATTTGAAATTTATAATTTTCTCAGATCCTTTATCTATTGAAAACAAAGTCCAAGAGATGAAAATACTCTTGACATATCTGGACTTAAAAGGTGAAACTGTTCAAGAATCTATCAATAATTTAAATGACCAATTAGTTATATCCTGGTGTCATCAAATCAAAGGCATATCTAAAATGCCTCCAAAAGACATCATTTTCATGCTCAAAGCACCACCAATATTTTCAAGTCCAAAATTAATCGAATTACCTGAGAAATATGAACATTTTTTTTCTTATCATCATAAGGCCAAGTGTCCAAATTGCCAAATTCCACCAAAGGAACCTGCTGTGTGTCTTTCATGCGGACGGATAGTTTGTTTTAAGGCTTCTTGTTGTAGAGAGGATGGCGTTTACGAAGCGATAAAACATACAAAAGAATGTGGCGCAGGGACAAACCTCTTTCTCCTCGTTAACTCTTCTGCCATCTTGGTATTGAAAATTAATAAAGTCGCCTCTTGGGGTAGCGTTTATCTTGATGAACATGGAGAGGAGGATAAAAACCTAAAGCGTGGGAAACCATTATTTCTAAGTTCTGAAAGATACAACTTATTGGAAAAGCAGTGGGCAACGAATGCTTTAGAAAATGCTTGCTTGGAGTGGGTCTATCACAGTAACCAAATGTAAATTATCCTAAATATCATTTTGAAGCCATTAATCTCCAGTAAACTTCTTTTTGTATAATTCATATTTAAAGACATTTTTAGGCTAAAAGATCTAATAAAAAAATTGCATATCTGATTCTTTTATGCTCTTGATAAATAATGTGTGGAAACTTCATGAGTTTTGTGGATAATTTTTAAATATCAACATAATCTAAAATTCTTTAAGATAGATTTCATGATTAAGGCCTCTTTCGAGGGTATGAGCTATGCATTTATAAATATCTTTAAACACACTATAAAAAGTTAGGCCTAATCGATCGATCATAATATACGTAATATATAACCTTTCAGTTATCAATAGGAGTCGCTTTTGCATAATAACCGGAAATACCAGTCTGATCCAAAGCGTAAATAGATACTCATATCTCATTTATAGTATTATATGATGGAGGAAAGAAAGGCCGAAGAAGCAGCTGTCTATCAAATAGACGAACATTTTCAGCGTCTTGACTTTCCGAAAATTATACATTATATTTCTAACGATATTCTTCTATCAGATGAGAAGGTAAACAGAAATTGTGAATTTACTATTGCTTGTAATTTTTCTCTTAAGCATCATTTAGTGACTTTCCATGAACGTGAGGGGAAGTCCGCTCGTTTTATTTTTGAATTTCTGGAAACGTTAAAGAGAAGAGAGAATTGGTACTTGGCTTTTATTCGAGCTTTGAGAAAAGATAAGTTATCGGATATTGCCGATGAAGTAGAAGGTTTTAGTTTCTTAAAATGTTTTGATTATTATACTATATTTCATCATTAGAGAGAAAATTTAACCTTTTTCATAGAAATGTTAAAACTACAAATCAGTCAAACAACTTCAATCTTGAATATAAGAGCGCTACTCACAAGTACCCAAATAAATTCAAAGAATATTATGATCTTCATAACAATGATGATAATCTTAATATTGTGGAAGTCGATAGCGAAGCTGAACAGCGGGATGAATTGAAATTTTCTAGAAAGCCTATTGAGCAAGATATTGATATTGATATTGCTAGAAATGAGACTAATTCAGAGAAAATCTGTACCACTGATGGTACTATCGAAATTAGTGCAGAAAAACCTAATTATAGTCTTTCAACGCTTGATTCAAATGAAGTTGTTTTTGCTGAAAATTATCATGATCAAACTAAAGTTGCTCTTTCATTTAGGTCTTACGCTACGGAAATGCTTGAACCATTATTCCAGTTTATGTGGGAAATTGTTTCAGCAGTATATAAATAATACAAATTATAGCTTATAAAACCGGTCTATTGGTTAGAAACATATAGAAAGAAGGTGTATTATATGTTTTAGAAACATGTTCAACGAAAAGTGATACAGATAATCTTTTCTTATCCAATTCTATCCAACGAAGTGACAAGTATAGCACTGTTACCTCGAACAACCTGTATGATAAGAATAAGTGATTGTGATTTAAAACACAGATGATTACTTACACACATTCCAATTTGATTCTGTGTCGAATCATTACAATCTTCCACCGTATTGTCCAAAACCATATTCATGAAAGGATCAAATCCACGCAAAATACCCGTCACTTTTCGCTTGCCATTTAGTCGAACTGTTCAACATAATTTACTGTAATACTTCGAATTTAAAAATAGTGTATAAGCTTACCAACAACGCGTTTATCCATGTACCTGGAAAGAAAGATGAACCGTAATTTTCAGAGTTACAAGATTCCTACTATATGTGTAAACATTGTATATATCTATATTACTTGAATATAAACAGAACATTATAAAAATTAACGTTTAGCTTACTTTTTGAGCTCTGGTGGATGTGCTTTGCTCATAATAATTAACGCTTAGTCGAATAGTGTAACAGGACGATAAGAACGGAATAACGCTTTCAGACCGCTTCTTGACGTTAGGACCGGTCTTAATTTAAAAGATATTTTGCAAATTATAAAAATAACACATTATTTTTGTTCTATGATTTTCTTTTGTATAAGAAATATTTTGGCTCTTATTCGTATATTTATAATGTTCACTTCCGGTTGAAACTGACTGCGGGACTACAACAGTCGTTCGTCATATATTTTTTTCTCCTATAAAATTCAATCTACAGCAGTACTTGTAAGTGAAAAAAAGTAAAAGAATATGAAATGAAAAGTTTGTCTATCCATAAAAATATCTAATTTCGATTGAGTTTATAAACTCATCTTATTTCCCATCAAGAATGTAGAACAAGCGCGTACTGTCCGCCATTGTTAGAGAATGAGAATGAATTTTTGTCACTGTAATACAAGATTTAGCTCGCATATAAGAGTGAATCCCTCGTATAGATAGCTTCTTGCATAAGGAATGCACATCTCATAACAGAAGTTCGTTTTCATAGTTTAGCGTCTCTTCAAGAGCTTAAATCTAAACGAGCGTGTTCTGTAGTCGAATGAGAAAATTATTTCCTTTTGTGTATATCAATTATATAAAAATAATATCATTTTTTTTTCAAAAGTGGAATGCGTCTGTATATGTTCATATGGCTGATCAACTTGACAAAGAAGTAAAAGGAAGAAGTAGACGTCATTCAGCTTCAAAACGAACTGCGTAAGTGTGTTTACTTTGTAAGTATGAAGTGACGCATCATTTTTTTATATTTGGTGTTTAGGCCAAGTAAACGCACAAGAAGTTCGACCGGTCGATTGGAGAGTGATAGTCAACTGGAGGGGTAAGTTGAACTTAAAATAATTCTTATGATCTTCTATAAATAAAGGTATCAAAGATGTGGTATCAAACTGTATAAATTTATAGGAAAATTAAAATTTAAATCTTAAATTAAAATAAAAAAACTTATTGATTATTTATATTTATAGGCTTGGTTCGTACAATACACGCAGTCGAAGGTCAACCGATTTAAAGCGAGATCGTCCTTCAACATCCACCGAAGACACCGAAGTAAGAAAGAAAGTTACACCGGCTAAGAAAATTAAATCGGAATGTGAGTTGAGTTGAATTTTGCAACGCTGATAATTAAATCGAAACGTTGTTTATTAAAACTATATTAAAGCCCAAAAAATCTCTTGTATCTTTAATGAAATATTTAATTTCACTAGCCGACTCCCCGCCTGATTCTGAAGAACGAGCATTACGTTCAAACAAACGAGCTTCTCTTCTACCAGGATTACCACCAAAAAGAAGATCTAGAAGAAGTCTATCTATAGAACACGTAAAGAAAAAGAAAACATCTAAAAGACAAGCAAGAAGCAAAGGCAAAACGGGTACTTGTGCTAGCAGCAGGTTAGTAGGTTTTCTTCAGAATACTACATTGGTCAATCCTAATATACTTTTTAATATTGAATACCAAGAAATTTACTTCAAAGTAATTAGATAACCAATAGGATAGGCACTTTTTACTCTAATTTTTTTTATTTTATTCTTTCGTTTATTCGTTCTTTGTGAACGAAAAATATCAATTGCTCTATCTAAATTAAAACAAGACCTGACCGATGTTTGTCTATATAAATTAATGTTTAGTTTATGATTTCTGATGTTGTGGCCACTGCATGTTTTTAGTTCGGAAGAAAGAACAAGAAGCTCATCTGCACAAGTTAATTCGTCCAAACATTTTTCATCGTAAGTCCTTAGGTTATTTTTTTTGGCCTTAGAATTAACTCCTTAGTTTCTAATTTTAATTGTAACATGAATGTTTTAACTTTTAGTTTACACTGAGTATATATCATTTGTATAATGTGCATCTTAAATACTACACGTATTACTGACTCACGTTTAGCAGCTATCAAAACGTGAATTTGTAATTTACTCAGTGAGGACGAAGTAAATTCCTATCGCAATTAAATTTTAGGCAAAGATTATCTATTCTATTAAAATTGTCTACGCTAGTTTAGAGCAATAGCTCGTCTTGTATTTACTTAGCGCTTTCGAAGTGAAATGTACTTATTATACATATATATACATATATGATTTTTCTGTTTTCTTAGTGGTCGTCGAACTTCGGTTCTGACGTCGTCTGGGCGTTTTGGCACCGGAGTAACCCAAAATCGTTCAGCAGAAGAGGACACAAGAACCCAGGATACAATGGCTGATGAACAACCTACTACGGCAGGGGAATCCAAAAGTTTGGGTCCGGGCGATGATAGGACATCCAACGCAGCTTCCTCTGCTTCGCTAACTGTCGTTCCTGGAGGAGCCGCAGGCCCATCAACTTCTGGTTTGAATAGTGCTGCAGCTGCAGGACCGTCTTCCAGCTTCGCTTTCTCATTACCCTTGAGTGACGAAGATGAAGCAGATGTTGGACGATTACAGGGTTTGTAAATATTTTGACAGTTAAACAGCTATTTCACCCGGCGATAAAGTCAAATACAATTTCAAAAAATTATTGGGAAATCTTAATGAATTCCTTTGTTTTTAATTAAAAACTTTATATATCTCCAGCATTGTTGGAAGCTCGCGGCTTACCGTCTCATCTGTTTGGTTCTATAAATTCTAGAATGCATCATTTTCTGCAGAGAACTATGATGTCTGGAAATCATAATTGTAATTTATATAAATATTATTAACTGCAAATTTGTTGATTTTGATCATTTTTAACAGTGGCCAAAGCTCAACAGTTGGTTCAAGGCCTTGAAGCATCTGGAGATGAAGCTACTCAACTGTCGGCAGTCATGGAATTGTGTCAGGTTTGTAAAAATACTATATTCAAATTTATATTTTATCTCATTGAGATGAACATGTTTCGAAATAATTTGAAAATAAACTTACTTTGCAGATGCTGGTAATGGGAAACGAAGAAACTTTATCAGGGTTTCCAGTGAAACAGGCCGTACCAGCTCTTATTACTCTTCTTAAAATGGAACATAATTATGAAATGATGAATCATGCCTGCCGTGCTCTCTGTTATATGATGGATTCTCTGCCACGTTCTTCTGCCATAATAGTAGAGGCTGTCCCTGTTCTATTAGAAAAACTACAATCAATAAGTTGCATGGATGTTGCTGAGCAGGCTTTAAGTGCCTTGGAAACGCTTTCAACACGTCACAGTCGTTCTGTTATGCAAGCTGGTGGTGTCAACGCCGTCCTCACATACATCGATTTTTTCAGTTTAGCAGCTCAACGGAGTGCACTAGCTATTGCGGCTAATTGTTGTTTGAATGCCACCGCCGCTCAATGGTCAGCTGTGAGGGAAAGCTTAGCTGCCTTATCAGCTCGAATCAATCCTAGTCATGATCAAAAATGTATCGAAAGTGCTTGTTATTGTTTCACAAGGCTGGTGGACAATGTACAGAATGAAGAAAAATTCTTAAAGGTATTATGGCTTAGTTTTATTTTTTATGTTAAATGAAACTCTTTATATCTAATTCATTGTTTTTAGGAATTGGTAGCACATAGTCTACTCACTAATCTTCAACAACTACTCTCTATAAATCCTCCAATCTTATCAACAAATACGTTTGTGGCTGTAATTAGAATGTTGGTCGTTATGTGCTCCAATTGTCCAGATTTGGCAGTAGTAATATTAAAACAAAATATGAATGAAACGATTCAGTATTTGTTGGTTGGCAGTGGAGATATTCTTGTTCAAAGGACTCCTCAAGAACACTATGAGTTGGTAAGTTTAATAGCAGAACTGATGCCAACTTTACCGAAAGATGGAATTTTCGCTATCAATGAAACACTTAGTTCTAAAGTTGGAACAACAAACATTTGGCAATGGTGTGACGACGGAGGTGTTTGGAGACCGTATTCTTATGAACATTGCAGGTTGTTATACTTTTAATTAAAAATACTGGCATATCTAAGAAACTTCATTAAATAGATTAATTGATGCGAGTGAGGATGGAGGTGAAGAAGAAGCAAATTTAACCATAAATGGTGAATCTTACACGTTGGATCTTCTAAACATGACTCAAACAAATGATGATACTGGAACAACTCGATCAATACAGCGAGCTCCAAAAATTATACCTAAAACGCAGCAAAGTCCAAAAGTTGACTCTCGAGCTGAAGTCTTGGCTGAAAATGAAGAATTAGCATCATCTCTAATCAAGTCTCTTTTTGGGGTGTTATATCAAATCTATAGTTGCTCCGCAGGGCCTCAAGTTAGACATAAATGCGTGCAAGCGATCCTCAGAATGGTTCACTTTGCCTCTCCCGAAATTTTACGGGAGGTTTTAAGTCAACACACAGTGTCGAGTCATGTAGCTGCTATGTTGGCATGTAATGATTCAAAAGTTGTTGTCAATGCAATGCAGTTGGCTCATTGTCTAATGTCAAAATTACCTGATGTTTTTGGTGTATATTTTGTAAGGGAAGGTGTTATGCATCAAATGTTGTCGTTGCGTAAAACTTCGTCAACAGACTTGGCAGTTCGTAGAAAGAAACCTCAAAAAAGAAGTCCGAAGAGACATAGCGATCAGAAGGTTGTCTCTAATTCTGATGATAGTAAACCAACAACAAGATCTAGGGCTGCAGCATTACACGAGAAGGAAAAAGAGAAAGATAAAAAGAAAAGTGGTGGCAAAAGCTTCCTGCAAAACCTAAATCCTACTCGTTGGGGAAAGTCTCAACAAACTATAGGTTGGTAGAACTGATGCATAAAGTTATCTAATTTCACTCATTTATATAACCATATTTTAGGATCCAATAAAATATCTAAGGAAGCGCCTCCTCCCTCTCTTTCCAATCGAATAGATGTTGGAATTAAAGAAAAGGTTCGAGATTGGATTAGGTCAGAAGCAGATACTTTTTTGAAAAGCTACTTCAGTGAGGAAAGTGGAAAAAATCCTGCTTTACAAATATTCAACACTCTAGAATCTGCAACAAAACGAATATTTGAAGATGAAGAAGCTTTAATCGAAATAGCTTTGTTAATTCATGAGAGTGACGCGTCAGCATTTGAAATAGTTCATTCTGGCTTGATCGAAAAGCTGAATGAGTTTCTTACCGGTGGCGACGAAAGGCTACGAAAGTTTTTGGAGGCATTTGTGACCAAAGATGAAAATTCTAATAGAAATTTACCTGATTGTGGAAAACCTGATAAACTAAGATCTCTCGTCGTTAGACTCTTAGACTGTCTTCATCACTTGGAGCAATTGGAAGTAAAAGTCCATGATATGCCAAGACACGCCAGCAGTAGACACACAAATGCTTTCAGATTCTTAATGACTCAGCAAATGAAATGTCAGCTTAAAAGACATCCAATGTGCAGAAACCTTCACCAATGGCATTCTGGTCCAGTAAAGATAGAAGCTTTGGCTACAGCATCAGCAATAGAGAGATATCTAACTGGCCGAGGTTTACATTTAAAATAATTAAAATATACTAAGATATTTAAATCTGGACTTTATCATTTTAAACTGTTTCATTTGTATAGGTTATGCTACACTGAAAGAAAATGAAGAGGAAACGGACGGAGAGAATTCTGATGATAGCGATGATATTGGTCCTATACCTGTTAGAGGCGATGTCACACCCGAACTAGAAATTCTTATAAATGATACAGTTATTCAACCAAATATGACTATCTACCAAGCTATAAAGCAAATAAAGGGTGATACAGATACAGATACTGAGAATGAACAGACTGTGTTTTCTCAAACTCATGTTCTTTTTTATCGTCCCGCATCTGACCGTAATTCAACATCGAACACCGTCCCGCCAACAGCAAAAAAGAGTCGGAAGGGGTCTGCAAGCGCCAAAAAAGATCGCTTGTGGAACGAGGGTGTTTGTCCACAGAGAACCAGAATTTTAGATAGTATAATAAAAAAGAAACTTAATTTTTCTTCTTGGAATGATCCCTGTTTATCAGTGGCTCAATTGCTCCGAAATGTTCACTCTATGTGTCAACATTGGTACTCTTTGTACTCTAGAAGCTGCTCAGATGGATCCTTATTACAACATTCCGCTTTTCAGTCATCGAAACTAACTGCAAAGGCAAAGAGGCAATTGCTAGATCCTCTTGTGATAATGACTGGTCACCTGCCAAATTGGTTAACCCAATTAGTACCCCAATGTCCTTTTCTCTTACCATTTGACACTCGAAAGTTGGTCTTTTGCTTAACAACATTTGACCGAGAAAGGTCACTAAACAGACTTCAATCAACGTTTTCTGACCCTCTTACTGAAAACTCAGATAGAATAGGACCCCGATTGGACAGAAAGAAAAAAGTAGTATATAGAGAGAACCTTTTGGCGGATGCTGAACAAATTATTGAAGAAACAGCCCATATGAGAGCTATTTTAGAAATTCAATATTCTGACGAAGTAGGAACGGGTTTAGGTCCAACGATGGAATTTTTTAGTCTTATAAGCCGAGAATTACAAAAAACCGAGCTGAATTTATGGAGGAGTCCAGAAGTGGTTGAAGATCATATTTTTGCTCCCCAAGGACTTTTTCCTGCTCCACTTGCACGAAATGCAAAAACTTCGGTTGTTAATAAAGTGAAGAGTAAATTTCGATTTTTGGGTAGATTAATGGCCAAATGCCTGATGGACTCAAGATTGATGGATTTACATTTATCAACAGTTTTTTACAAATGGATGTTGGGTTTGGAAAGTAGCCTCGGCAGTGAAGATTTAAAATACATTGATGAAGATTTAGCTAGAAGTTTCCGGCACCTAGAAAATATGAATGAAAGTCTGGAAAAGGGAGAAAATTGTGAAGTAGAAGATTTGGACCTTAACTTTACTTTACCTGGTTATCCAGAAGTTGAACTTAAGAAAGGTGGCAAAGATACAACTGTCACAGCTTGCAATTTAAAAGAATATTTAGACTTACTCGCTTATTGGACGCTAGTGGAAGGTGTACAACGACAGATGGAAGCCTTCAGAGATGGTTTTGAAAGCGTTTTTCCCCTGTCAAATCTGAGGATATTTTACCCAGAGGAATTAGATTGTGTATTTTGTGGGGATCGTTATGCACCGTGGGATTATAATATGTTACTGGAGAGTTCTAAAACAGATCATGGTTACACACATGAATCACAGGCCGTCAAGTTTCTCTTTGAAATACTCTCATCCTACAGTAAGGATGAGCAAAGGAATTTCCTACAGTTTGTAACTGGTTCACCTAGACTACCCGTTGGTGGTTTTAAAGCCCTAACTCCACCACTTACTATAGTTCGAAAAACTGTTGTTACGCCGGAAAAAGCCGATGATTTCCTACCCTCTGTTATGACTTGCGTTAATTATTTGAAACTACCCGAATATTCATGTAGAGAAGTTATGATGGAAAAGTTGACGATAGCTGCAAATGAAGGACAGCTTTCTTTTCACCTGTCGTGAGGAGTATTGATGCTTTTAAAACTGCGTTAACTTTTTTGTGTTGTATGGAGTAATGGAAACTTTATGAAAGTAAAAAGACATTGTTTTCTTTATATTATTCAGTAAAATATATAATAAACTCAATCAGTACATATTTTTGAACTAAGATCCTACGCTTTATACATTGGATAAATAAATTTTACACTGAATGCGGATGACTCCAATAGTTATGATTTTATTTTACCAAATCGTCAACAGAATAATTCAAAAAAAATTCCTTAAATTCTCCCACAATTTACCATCTATATAGCAGGTTTACAATCTGGAAAATTATTTGATAAAGCTGAAAGCAATAACACACAACATTTTTACAAAAAATAGACTGAAAAGATAAAGCTTTATACTAAAAGTTAATAAATCGTGTCAATATTTCTAACATTGAACATCATTTTTGCATAAAAATGCAGTTCAAAACACACCGTAAAAGTTGTTTTCCAACCCAAATTTAGAATTATCACAAGACAGAGGTGAACGAAAAAAAGCACCAGGGAACGCTAGATTCTAACATTGATTCAGACCTTCGGATGAATCGGCTCGGCATATAGGACAGGTCCGATTAAGCTGGAAAAAAGTTAAAAATAAATCATGAAGTTGAATCGTATAATACATACTTTCAACCATTTATCCACACACTTCATGTGAAATCTATGCCGACATGGAAGAACACGAAGAATTTGGCCACGTTCGAAGTCAGACATGCACACCACACAACTACATTGATCCTTCTCATCAACACATTCTTCGAATTTGCAAGTTGTTATACGATCAATATCAGACTTTTGTAGGCCTCTCGGCTTTGCTTCACCAAGCCTCTCGGCTAATGACAAGAGGGCTTCATAGTTATCCAAATTCTCCCTGTCTTCCAAGTAATCATTGGAAGAGTAACCAGAATTTCCAGCGATTAGCGTGCCAATTAAATTTAATAGATAGGTATGATAAGCTGGTGCACCGGGAGTAAAAGTAGCCCTACGTCGTATTGGTACATGTTGGACAAAGTATTGAGGGTGGAAGAAAGTTTGGGGGTATTGTGGAGGCGGTGGTGGTGGTGGCGGAGGAGCTTGTTGTTGATTCTCCTCCTCTCTCCTATTCCTTATGGGAGCGAAATGAGGAATAGGAGGGGGTGGTTGCATCACGTGACGGTTTGGAATGGGTACCCTATGAAATTGCTGGAAATGGGGAGTGTCGATGGCAGTAGAGGAAGGCCATTGATGGTGGTGTTGTTGTACTTGATGAACATGAGCGTGTTGTGGTGGTGTACAGAAATGAGTAGGGCAGATGTTGAACGGGTTCGTTTGAGCAGGCGGAATGTGCACCTGAAATAGTGTAGGTTAAATATTATATTGTTATTAACAAGTTCAATGGATTACCTGATCTTGGTGCACGAACTGAGTGGGAACGATTTGTTGGTACGGTTGAACTGGCTGCATAATTGGAATGACTTCAAATTCTAGATCACGCCTCTGAAAGTGATGGGCTTGATTTCTTGGCGGATACCTGTATTTTGAAAACAAAAATTAATCTGAAAAGACGATCTTACCCGAAGAAGAGAAGGATGAAAAAACTTCTAATAAATACTCGCTACTTTATACATGTTGAATAAGTTAATTATTTTACGTAATTGTTTAAAGCAGAAAAACTAAAAACCGAATACTGTGAAAAAGGTATTATATAGAATAATTTCCATACCGTTTGTTATTTGTTTTTCTAAAAAAAAATCAATTCCCGGAACAATGAACCTCCGCCAATAAAGAAACAACAGCTTCTATTACGTCATAGCTAATATTAGTTGCGTAATCATATTGATTGTTTTTGTTGGTGCAGGAAGAACAAAAAGCGAAGGCTTCTCCAAAGGCCTACATGCAACTGGAAAAAGGATTAATAGGCCAAAAAATAGAAATAGCGCGAAAGGCCTATTATAAGATAGACACCAAGCGCCGGAATTTTTCTAAAGATAACCAGTTAGTGAACGAAATTAACAATTAGTAAAACAAATAATCAACAAAAAAACTATATTTCTATTTCATTAAGGTCAACTCTTGGGAAAATGTTTATAGAGTTTACTATACGACTATTAAATTCTTTTAAATAAAAAATAAGATAGAAGCAAATGGTAAGTTGGATTATCTTAATATTGTTTAGTAAAATAGAGAATTCTAAAACAAAGAAAATATAAATTTATGGGATGAAGGCTTTCAGAGATTAAAGATAAAAAGTTGTTTATCGCTTAATTTGAAATGAGACAAAAAAATGTGCAACAGATATAAAAGTTGACCTTAGAAATATAGAATTTCTGTAGTTAATCACAACAATTATTCCAGCATTAAGCTAGAGGAATCGATTTTAAGTATTTACAACCTCAAAATTTTGCCAAAATACCTTCCTTTTTCACAGTCTTAAATAAGTTGTCAAACAATGAAAAAAATTGTTCTATAATAAAACTACATTCGAAAAATTATGATTGGTGCCAAAAACCAACGCCATTTGTGCTATAATATGAATAACTATATAAATACATGGGAAAGGTTATGTATTTATATATATATATGTTTTTTTATAAATGTTTGTATCTTCATTATCAATATTTTTTTGTTTTGCACTCACACAGAAGAAGTGGAATATCGATATAGGGAAAAAAATAGGCATCACTCGTCAGGGTCAATTAGGTTAAACGAGTTTGTCTTGTTTTGAAATAAAATACAACATAGGACCAAACTCTGGACTGTTTCGGAAAATGTTAGCTACATCGAACGTGCAAAAAGATAGATAACAATATTGTTGAATAGAACATTTCGATATCATAATACATATTTATATACATATATTTGTAAATGTATAATCTATGTATATATACATTTTACTCAATCGGGTTTCATCAAGTATGTATATAAGCATAATCAATACATAATACAGATATATAATATATATTTAAACAAACTAAAACTTTATATATCTGTATATATAAAATTTTTATGATTCAAATATATATATATAGATATATATAATGTTTATCTGAAGTATCACAATGTACGCCCGTTAACCAAATTACGCTTGTTTGACGAGTGCTAATTAAATGCTTTCTAACTATCTGAAATATTCTTCATTCCAAAAATATAGGCTTTTAAAGTTCTAGGATATTGAATCTACCCGATTAACAGAAGTACATTGTAAACAAAATGAGCCTGATCATTCTAATAAAAAATCATGCGAAAGCCATACGCTAGGTGGTGTCTGTATCACACCCGTGATTGTATTAGCAAGACCGACAGATGGCGTGACTGAATTAGAAGCGATAGAATCAGTGGAATGGACCATTGTTTTTCTAAAAAAATATAGGCTACTAAAGTAATAGACCCTAGACCACACAACAACAAGCAAATGTTTCTTTGTTTTTTTTCAAAAAAATCTATTGTGGTCAGTAAACAGAAAAAAGTGGCATGAAAAAACAAAAAGACAGTAACAATGTATAAGATACAACTAACCATTCAAAAAAAAACACGTTAAAAAGTGTATTTGTGAGATATAGGCATTTGTTTTTTTGTTTTAATAGAAATAAGCACGAATTAATAAAATAATCTAAAAGTGCTAAAAAATATTTAGTCAGTAGAATAGTCATGAGCACCAGCAAACTCACGATTCACCTGTCTGAGAAAATATAGAATAAAGCCATCAATTCATGCTTTTTTATATTAAATATGAACAGCATTAATTATATTACAGAGGCATGCAAAACAATAGCAGATCATCATGTTTTATCAGAACACAGTTTTCAATTCGCTTTTCTGACAACGAAATTATTATCGCCTTTATAAATACTTTTACTGCACCGGCTTAATGACTTAGAATAAGATATTTCTCTTAAATTTTTCATGGTTCAACAGAACAAAGAGAAATTGCGAAAGAATTTACTAGTATTGTCTTGATTTCAGAGATTCTTTCTGATACTAATATATAATTTTTGTTTTATCTACGTAGAAAAAAAAGCTCCCTATTGCACTTAATTGAATTACGTATTATTCTATATTAATCTTCTAATTTATAAAATGATCTTATTTTTTATCAATTCCGAGTCAGTAAAATCTGGTCCTCCTTTGTTTTGACGTATTGAAAATAGCAATAGATAAAGTAATCTTTTACAAGACACACAGTAATGTCGAATAAAAACAAAAAAACATGTATCAATCTCTGCAAATAGTCATGAGCTAAAGAGTATTTAAAACTTAATAAATGAAATCCTAGAAAATTAGGTGTTATCCTTTTTTTTCCAAAAAATAATTTTATAAATATTATTGTGCTAAAATACTTGGTTTTAATCATGAGCGCAAAACGTGTATAATTTATGCTATAACAGATTCCAGTATGAGACTAATAATTGATCGACACTTGTGTTTAATTATGCATGATAAGATTCAAGCTGTTTCTTCTCAAGCCCTTTTCGATGAATACACTAAGCTTATTGTCTTTACTCTTTTAGTAATACATTGAAAAATCTTGTTTCACATGTTTGCTGAATCATGATGTCGTCTTTGTTCTGTTCGCAGACTACAAACAACGGCAAACTGCAAACTTATCGATGGGCAACAACAGTACTTTTGACATGTACGTACACGTTTTAGTATACAATGACTTCAAACAGCAAGGCTCTTTGTGGAGAATGTCGAGTGTGCACTTGTCAATATAAATTTTGGGCAATAACAGACAAGAATTTACCAAAAATTCATTACATTATTATTTAACGCGTTTGTTTTATGTTCAATATTTGCCTAAAAACTATTTAGAATATAATAAAATTAGCATTTAATAACTAATTACTATTCTGAAATACGGCTAACTTATTATACAAGCATGATCATATTCGTATAATCCTCCAAAACAACCGTTTGGTGCTTTATTTAATAAATATTTTAATGGAAGATATACCTAAATCTTTTATTCCGCAAAATAGTGCAAACTAACCTTTGGCATGAACTGAACCTTGTCTTAGGATTTAAAGTTGCTGTTCTCAAGAGTATCAAATACAGTCACAAATAATGTAAAAAAAGAATAAATAGAAAATACTAATACTTAAACGTTGAAAAGTAACATAATGAGGTATTAGAGCAGATTAAGCACTTACATAAAGAAAATTTCGTCTAAATTGTTAAAATTTACAATTCAAATTTAGCAAAAGTGATGAAATGTGCCGTTCATTAAAATGCATGATAATCTTCAATATTATTTTACTAAACATGCAGTCGTTGAAATTTAGCCGCACTCATGAATCATTTTGAGGATCTCTAAACGAAAAATTAAAGGAAAAAAATGCTAATCTCTAAAATATACCATTACTAACCCCAGTAAGAGTGAAACAACAAATACCTGAATTATTAGTAATAGAAAAAGGTAAAAATTCTAAAAAAAATAATTCTCTCCTAAACATTAACCCTCCCCCTCCCCTCCCAAAATCTGCACTGAAAAACAATCATGAAAACTGTGTAGTGACTAGGAAAAAAACATAGGCAGCAGGCCAGCATATAATAGAAATATAGGCAATTTTGGTCAGCACAACAGAACAGAATTTTTTACCCAGCAGAATTTAAATTCTGCCATTGATGATGATGAGCAGATCGAACTCGGTGACGGAACATGTTACGGCCTGTTTGCGCCGAACGACTTCTCCTTTCTGGTCGTGGCGTCTTGTAAACTTGAGTTGTTCAGATTTTCGAAACAAATGTATCGATGCCAGCTCGAAACGTCTTTCTCCTTATAGATTTAACGTCGATTTACGCCGGAAAACGGTTTAATATGACGTTTTTCTCAAAGTCCAACGCTGTATGATTGCTGAATGAGTTCACAGTGCTTAGGGGTGCTGATTTATGCATCGCGGACGATACCATAAATATCTTGTCAAAAAATTTAGTATTCTATCATCAAAGCGAAAATTTGACTTTTAAAAAATAAACTAATTAACAAAAGAGGTTAATACAAATATATTGACGGGGAAAATACGTTTTTTAATAGTCGAAACCTACGGACGAGTTTATTTGACTCCATTTTTTTTCTTGGCATATGCGGGTGCTTTATGCAGTAAAATTACCTTTGCCCCGTAATTGTTTGTTAATTTCCGGTACTAAGTCTACATAATTTTAAAATAAAGTTTCTAGCTTTATTAAATTTTCTAAGACAAAGGAAAATTTTCTACATATTTAGCGCCATCTATTATAAAAACTGTGAAAGTAATTAATTATAGGCCTATATATTTGATGAATTTTATCTTAAATTACTTTCCGGTCGGATTAATTTACTGTTAGAAGACTTTTACATATTATGTAAGAAAGCTTAATAAACCCCTGAGGAGGATATATTTTGTTCTTTATTAACCATATTTCATTAATTTAGCCTTTTAGAATAAACTTATACTATCTAATAATTCGAAAAAAACTTTCACCTTAACATCGTATTATTCATGATGTTACTAAAACCATTGAAAATATCTTATTAAAATATAGTAAATGATAAATGATGCATTATACAAAAAAATTAGAATGTATGAATGCGATTCATTGCACACTTTTTGTTCAAAAATCAATTTCTCTACCTTTAACGGTTGATACAGAATATCTCGATGTAGAAATGTTAAATTCTTTTTGTTTGGCATATAGCGCCATCTATCATTCACAATATTCTAAAAGTATATAAAACATTTGCACTTTACTTCCTTTATGTCTTTGTATCCGCTTATACTTGTGCGGAACTGAATCATTAACAGCATAAAATATATACTATATATATATATATTCATATTTATGGCGCTCTGCCTTATGATCTCATCAGTAGCAAATGTTTGTCTTCTATGGCTAAAAAGTCAAAAGGAAATTTTATATTAGATTGAATAAGATACTTTTTTTCTTGTATTTCCTAATTTGCTTATATCGAGTTTTCCAAACGACGAGTGATAGTGCGAAATATCAACTAAACATTTAGTAATACGACATACACGTATACTTTGTACAAAGAATAACACTGTATACGGTATACAAAATACATTGTTTTTTTACTGCGCACAATAAACCGTCACCGAAAAACGCACATAAAAAGAAACAAAAAAAACTGTGATCAATAAATAGGCCAGATTGATAATTTAAATGTTGCCCCAGTCTGGACTGGTCAGACTAATTTTTAGAATTATAGGTCAGTGAACCTCCTCAACGTCATAATGGTAATACATCTGGTGTTAACTGCTTCTTTGTCTAGCTTCATATAGAATGTTTGAGAATTGTAGAGTTCAAAATTAAAATTATTATCTTAAACATATCTAGAAGTCTATATAAGTTCTTTACGTAGAGGAGTTTTGAGTTTGCCATGGCAATTATAGATCTTAGAAAATTCTATATACATTAGTATGAGTACAAAAATAAGTGAATCAAACTTACTTACATTTGTACATACACTTACAAATCAATATACAGACAGATACATATATATATATATATATATATATATATACAGATGACAACTTTCTGCACTGAGTAGACTAGCTAGATATAAAAATTTGTACAATAAGTATGACTATATAACAAAAATAAGTTTTCGTGAAACGATGAATTTTTTTTGCAAAAAGCTTATGACGCAATGATTAATAAAATTCCAAAACAAAATAAACGTATAAAGAATTTAAATATATGACTTATCAGAGAGACCTATACAAAAATTAACAGCAATGCTTAAATTATCAATTCTGGCCACAGAAATACAACTTACAAGCTTGGAAAAACGAAGAGAAAAAGAAAACAGTATCTAAGCAGTTCTCTGCGAAGACCTAGCCCTTTTCGGCGGACTTCGTTTAGTCGGCGTGAACACATAACTTTCAACCGGATGCAATTGTTTTCGTTTCCGGTTTCTCGCCGATTGTCTCGGCGAAGACGGGGGAGATGATGACGGTGGCAATGGTGATGGTGAAGTTTTAGTTTCTAGCTCCTTACTTTTCTCTTCAAATATCTTCCATTTCACCAGTTCCCCTGAAGTAGGATGACCATTGGCCAAAACAATCTTTAAAGGAACAGAAATGTCCAAAAGTTCGTCTGCAGAATGTTGGTGGTGAACGTGTTTAGCGAATTTTCGTAATGTTAACGTTTCACCGCAAGTTTCGCACTGTACACAAGATGAATCTTTCTTCTCCATTTTATATACAAACAATCTACCCAATTGACCACGTGACCTTGTCGAGTTACGGGTAGTAACAACCCTTACAAAGTCGTCTTCGTTTTCATCTGTTTTTCGTCTTTTGCGAGATCCTGATCGAGAGTCTGTTCCAGTCGTAGAATTTTCGTCTGTAACAGATCGCTGTCGAGGCTCCACATAGAAAGCTATTAGCTTAACTGCATTTTGCTTGGATATAACGAGAGTTGACTTAGATCTTGCAGCATTGGCATAACGCTGTAAGAAATTCCTCTGCATATCCGAACAGTTTAAAAGAGGAAGTGAGAGAAGTTGTGCACGCTTTTTCAAAATACCGGTATCCTTACTAGGTAGCATTTGTTTGTGAATGTCCACTAGTCTAACATATTGTTCACCGGCTAGCATTAGTCCTGGAACGTCGTTGTAGTACATTGTTACTGTTGTTAACTGTGGAGCCTCCTCCTCTGGATTTGTTGTTTTTGAGGGAAGACCAACGCGTTCGAGCTCTTTCTCGAGTTCTTCATTATTTAGAGAGCACAGCATTGAAGTTAAATTTTCAGCCATTTTATCCAAGTCCTCAGATTGAATAGCTTGTTCTTCTTGCATGCTGGCGACCATATCAACGACTTCCTCTTCAGAAGGGGCACCTAGACGATAGTTAAAATTGATCATTACGCCTCTACAACTTGATTAATTAAAAAACAATTAACAATTTGTGAAAATGTTATTTTCAATATCTCTATTATAAAGTTATGTATTTGTTCATTAAAGAATAAAACCTAAATAATTATTCATTTAAATATCGTGACGGTATACTATATATACATATATATATATATATGAAGTGTAATTTTATATTATAAAAACTATTATGTTGTATGAAATACTCTCTTTGTGAATTATGGAATTAGTGTATGACTAAATGAGATTAACTAGACACAATTGTTACGAAAGGTTAGCATCACCACAAAAATATTCAAACTATGCCTTCAATCAATGAAGTATTGTTAATGTAAAACTAAGGGTTTATGATATATAGCCTAATAGTTTTCAGAATAGTACGATGCAATTGTTATTTATTACGATGGGGAAAATATTCCTGCAAAGCAATTGTTTATTATTGAAATCTTCCAAGCTGGACTGTCTTTAATCTAGACTAAGCTCTATCCAAGTGAAAATAATACAAAACATAGAAATAAATATAGCACTTGTTTTTTAGTGCTAATAAACAATAAGTGGAATTAGAACTAATCAAAAGAATATATCACTATCAAGTTCCTATTTGTACAAGTTTTGATAATGAAATAGAAAAAGCGTAGTTTACTTAGTGATTGAACTACGGTTTAGGTTAATTAATTCAGTTTATGATAGATTTGAAATTTTCAGATCTTTCACAAAAAAGTTTACCAAAGACAAGAAATGAAAATGGTATTTACCTCCAAACCTGGCAGTTTTATCAGTGTTAGCCAGGTCCCTATACCAATCTAAGACATTAGGTTGTTGATTTGTAGGTTGCGCTGCTTCGGTCCGAGACCTAGTCCTAGCTCTTGACCCACTAATTTTCGGAGCGAAGTAAACAAAGTCATCCTGATATGCACCCTGAATTTTGACAAAATTCTTATCATTGCTGCTTGTTCCCACGCTATTACCCCCATTGTCAGATTTTTTAGATTGTTTTTTCTTTTTATCAACAGCTTTCCAACCAAGTGCTGCGCTTGTTTCATTATCAACTTTAAGTCCGTACATTGTGTCAGTTTCAGTATCTTCGGAAGAAGCCTTAATAGTTTCAGTAGAAAAGTCTGTTTCTAGAGGTATGACTGGTTTAGCTTTCTTTTTTCTTGTCATTCTTATGTTTGGGACAGCTTCAATTCTTGAAATAATATCGCTTTGTACAACGGCTGAAAATTGAGAAAACGCAACATAATCATGATCTGTCGCTGGATGATAATTCTGAGAATTTTGCCATCGAGCAACCAGTTGCTGAGATGTGTGAGTTGTAGTTTCATTTACAACGTCAATTTCATCTGTATCGCCAATAGTTAATAGCCCGTTGCCCGTTCCTCCTCCAGTACCGTTGTCCCCAGAACATTGTTGAATGGCATAGGAATGTTCAGTAGTGGAGGTGGGTGGCATTTCGTCATCAATGTTCTTTAAAGGATGGTCATCGGCATTACAAGCGACGGCCGGAGAGAGCATACGGGACTGTTTGGCCGGCATCTGAAAGCGTTCTCCTATTAAAGGATATCGGCGTGTTGAATCTGTCTATATTTTTCAGTACATCAACATCGATTCTTTTGATTGTGATCTTTATTTGCTTGATACTATTCAATCTACAAAAAAATTGGAACACTTTTAAGACTGAATATGATTTAAAATGTTTTAAAAATACTAAAAGCTACTTATTTTCTTATATAAACCCACTCAGATGGGATGATTTAATAAAGTACCACTTCAAGAAAAAGACGATTTAACCGAGAGTATTTTATAATGACTGAAACCTATTATTTTTTCTAATATATAATTCTATAAAAATACCGAAAGCATTCGCGACTATTAATATTCTAAAGTATTTGATTTTAACCTAAAAAAAGATAAAATTGCGTTTTTGATAAATTCTTATTTCCATAAAATGTCATCAATTTTATCGTTTAAACTCCGCTTGTCGTTTCTTAAAAAACTTCACAAGAAATTACCGAAGTCGTTATTATTTAATACTTCTTTTAACAGTGAGAAGTAAATATATAGATCGAAAGACTGGAATCTTCCACGTTGCACAGTGACTAACAGAAAATCCCACTACCAACCTTAAATTTCGCAATAGGCCTAAAGTATTACAAAATACATCATATTGATTTTCTTTGGACATATTTTTCTTATCGATTTGCTACTTTTAGGCTAGAAACACTACACATATACATATATATTCTAAAATACTAAAGTATATATGTAAAACTAACTAGCTTTCACCCAGTTAGAAACTCTTTATTATCTAAAAGAGGTGTATAGAACATATAGGCTCACAACGTGACAGCTTTCAAGTTTTGGCACTACTGCCGACTGGCTCTATACCGAAAGTTGTCAACAGCTCAAATAAAATAGCGAAAGTACTAATTACGCAATAGGCTTACGCATCTCAATTCTTAAAAGAACAGAAAATAAACAAAAAATTGAAACTCGTTAGAAGTAATATTATAGTCGCTAACATAATACATTTTTAGTTATTTAGGCCTGAATTATTCATATAGAAAACAAAAAATCTAGCATTCGATAATAATTCAAAACTAATTAGAAAATTTTTTAGAAAATACCTAATAACAAGAACCCAGTGCTAAAAAGGCAGCAAAAATTTCGCTGGAAGCGCACTTAAATACTAGTTTCTTAGGTGCAGACCTATTTATTACAAACCAAAATCGGGTATTTTAAATTAATAAATTTTCCCTTCCCCCGTTGAAGACTCCAAAAACACAAGAAATAGATGGCCGCTTTATGCTTCACCAGCTCGTGTTGAACGACTAACCTCGTAGTCCTAGCATCGTGTGACATTTTGTATCTATATTGGCCATTACACAATACTACCTACACGCTATTTCATTGAAGTTTAAAAAAGATCGATGAAAGACTGCGAAACAGAACCCAGAACATCTTGCTGGTATTTGTTGTTACTCTGTACTCAGTAATAGCTTCTCTTAATAGACAACTGATTAGGTGGTTTGAAATATGTACATTTTCTCTCATCCCAAAACTAATACTATTTCGGCAGTTTCTTATGTAGTTTACAACTTATTTCGATAGACAGTCGCAATCTATTAGTAGGGCAAAATGATATGTGGATGAGTTCCGTTCTGGATGAATTTTCCTTGTCTAAACAGATTTAGGCTATCTTCAACGTGAAAATAGGTTGATCCATATATAGATAATCCAACGAACGGCATGATCTTTTCAGTTTACTATTTATTTGAAATTAAGTTACCATTACCTCTTTTTAAGTTGAATTTCTTCTAATAATCAGGTTATATAGATGAGAAATGAGTTTTTGCAATTGACCTATAGAGTATCCAGCAGAAGATTGTATATCCAAATCATCAGTCTCAGTGACCCAGTTCGAAATTTACCTAGAAACCCCAGTGGACGTACAGAACCCGCTATTACTAGACCTATGCGAGAAACTAGGTCAATCGATAAAATCGAAGATTCTTGTCTGTCTTCCACTATACATATAATCGTACACCAATTCTTAGCACAACTTCCCATACATTAAATAAATGCATGGAATGCATTTCATTTTACAATACTACTACGCGCTCTTTGTTACGAGAAAAAAAAAGCGCGCCATATAAACCGCGCCAGCTGCCTACATATTTTAGCGCGCTAAATTTCTCAGACAAAAAATTTTTGCGCACCTCATTAACTGATAATCCGCTTTAATCCGTTCTGTAATAATCTTGCAAAATTCTTGCAAATGGAAAGAAACGTTTAAAAATGGCGGCGTTCTATTTTCCGGAGAACGAAATGTATTTTACGCGCGCTGTACACCGGCGTTCGTTTTGGTATGCGAGAGAAGAGTAGAAGGCCAGCCTCGTTTTCGATTGCCGTAAACACCCACATTTAATACTGCCTGCCGCCATTTTGTTTTTTACTTCGGCTTTTATGAGTCATCGCCGCATGACATGACCGGTAACACTCGTATTTTTGTGCGCATAATCAATCCTGCCGCTTTTTTTTTCAGGTGCGCAGTTTTCTGTAGAAATTAATCGGAAAAAGTAGCTTTTTTCGGCCTAGTTTTGTATTAATGAAAAGCTGAAAACAATCTATTTTAGGATTATTCGATTTGACTAGGCCTCGTGCATTTAAATGCTTAAATTGACATTTTTGAAAAATGTTTATGAGCACCTGTTCAGAGTTTTGGCGTTATATCAGCCTATCAAAATCTAAGTACTGAGGTCGATGATAAGCCTACAGCAATTTCTCTGACTTGTACGAGGTTAGAATTGTGCTTATCCGATTAAAGTAACCTCGAAAAAGAAGTCTTGCATACATTTGTGTAGAAATATTTTATATTGCAAATATGACACTATACTCTAATCAGATAGAGTCCGATTTTAAAAAGTACCCCTACTTGAAACAAGTGACTACACAAAAGTTACCTGTAGAGAAGAGTTCAGCTTATTGATTTAAATGTATAACGTTTTTACCTGCCGACAATAATGCATTTAAGGTTGCTTGACATGTTCAGGAAAAGTCTAATAAATATTTAAAACAAATAGGTACTTTGAGTTATATGTAAGATATTCTTTTTGTATCGTAATCAGCGCTGGTAGACGGAGCCGACTAATTATTGATTTAGTTTACAACTTTGAGAAATATGGAATTTTCTAAAAAATGTTGTAAATAATTGGAGTAAATTGAAAAGATTAGAAAAAATAGTAATAAAGGGTCCTTGAATCTGTTTTTAACTGCCTTAACCTACTTTAGGTCTGACATCGTTACTTAATTACTTTCATTCTATTCTAATTTGAAACATCTTTTTAATTACATTACAACTTTTCTTTTTTCCACAATAAGCCATGCATAATTTAGAATGTCCATGTATACAACCGCTTATAAGAGACGCACCTGTCTTGCCCATTAGCGTGAAAGGGAAAATACTTCTAAATTTAGACGTCAGTAGCCAATCAATGGTATCTCGCTATAGATATTAATTTGTCGATCTAGGCTAACTCGGATCATTTGTTGTATTCAGTAATCTTCGATTTCCTCTTATTTCTTTAATTGCTTTAAATAATTTACATAATGAAAGATTGTGAGTTCCTATAGGCGGTAGTAAACAGCAGTATACTCAGTGTCTAGGCCTATAATTTTAGTGAATGCGTATCCGGCGTATTAATATGATTTGTAAACTATATAAATATACTCTAAATAATAATACTAGATTAATTAAGTGGTGCATTTAAAGGTGAACTAGAATTTTTGCTGATTAAAAGGTGTGCTTCACGATGCAATCTTTCGTGTTGTATTTACTTATTATCTTATTTATGTTATAATTTATAATATATAACCTGTTGGAAATTTCAACAAATAAAATAATTCGTATTAGAAGATTAACTATGGCTTATATATATGTATGTATATATAAATGCTTAGTTTACTGTCGATTGCTGAAGCAAACGGCAAGTACACGCTTATTCAGGCTATGCAAAAAATATACAGTATATACGTATATCTGTATGGTTCGGTAAATACAGTAAACATATATACATATATAAATTTATATATATACAGCGTGGCTATTGCTCATAAATATCCAGTCATGTGACATTGTCTGTATCTTAAAGAACAAAAAATATATTTCCTATTGTTACGATAATATTATCCGCATTGGCGTTACTGAAGAGCTTTATCTATAAAAGCATTTAATCACTATTATTATTAGAGTGAAACTGATAGAGACAGGGAAGAATTTGTCATGCTAAATCTGAAAAGCGTGATTATTACTGGTAAAGTCATGAATCCTAGTACACCTCAAAAATGACAAGATAGATTTTGTATTCTTATTACAAAATAAGATATAAAATGCGTTTATAACCCAAATAGGCAGTTTATGTTTTCTTTCTTTTCTAAATTTAAAAAAATCAATGAAATTCTTTTAAATAGAAATAGCTACAGTTTTTTTATATCATTATTAATTTCCATATTTTACATCTAAAACCTTTGTTCAATGCCTATAAAATATCTTTATTCTTTCTTTATTTAAAGTTATAATTCACGATTTTGTTATCATATCAATGCGATTCTATCATAATTATCAGAGATAGAGAACGCCCTAAAATGATGAATATTTCATTTTATGTAAAAAACTAAAAATAGGCTTTTGTGATATGCCCTATAATCCAATAATAGATTTCAGATTCGCTTTGCTATAGGCCTTATCGAAGTAGGATTGGTTTTCGTCAAGATTTTTCACAATCTAACCATGAATGAAATAGCCTAGAACTTATCGATATCCGGTTAAACAAAGTGAAAAAAAACCAGGTATGATAAAGAAAAATAGGTCAAATAAATCTTACCTTTTAATTTTATAAAATAAAAAAAATAATAGATAAGAATAAATTAATCATAAAATGAACTTACTTAAAAGCACATAAGTTATTCCGCTTCCGTTTAAAACCAAGCCAAAAGGCAGATAAGATAAACAGATATGAAAATCGACTGCCTTTGTTATTGATAAGTAAATTGCGCGATTTTCTTAAACACAATTTTAAATGAAGTTTGAAAAAAACGTTTCGACAAAAAATTCCAAATATATAGTTTTTCGATATTGTTATTTCTTATACAATTAAATATATTTGATAGAGAATTTTTTTTTCATGTTTTAACATATTTTAAAGCGATAAGGTCAGACATACGTAACGGTTTTTTTTCATTAGCCTATATATTTGTGCATAGGTTAGATTGTATTTTAATCGCTGTTTAATAATTGAATTGTGTATTTCAAACATTTTTATTTTTATTATGTTTACGATACATAATATAGGTTTAAAACTGATGAAAAAGAGGTCACTTGGCTTATGAAATTGGCCAATTTTACAGATTGAAGTAAAAAACTGTCTTTACTTGTTTACTGATGTATACTGCTTATTTTTATGTTGTAAATCAATTGTATTTTCATAGGTATTTGGTCAAAGTCTCTATTTTTGAGGCCACGCGTCAATCAGATGGTTTGACATGAAAGTAAATGAAAAACATCAATATGTTTTATCGAAGATAATTAAAATATTTTATTATTTTAGATACGTTTGACCCATTTTTGGACTTTTGCTCTTTGTGTAATATCTTTCTTCGTCTGCCTCGATAGCACAGAACGGAAAACGACTGGTTTTTTTTCTTTTAACTATTTACCAATTGTCGTACATGGATAGCCAGTCTTCGAACGAGATAAATACTAGTCTTTGTTATAACTGTTCCATAAGAATCTTGGAAGTTCCTATGAGAATGAAAAGAGCTTATAAATCAATAAAAGATCGATAGTGTACGGCAGGTTAATTGAGAATTATCAAAGAATTTTGTTCTAATTTTCGGCTTTGTTTATAACTATATGAATTCGATTACACAAATATTTCTCTTAAGAGCGCAAAGAGATAGAATTGTACCATTTAATAACACGATGTAATATCAACAATGTAATTTAAATAAAATTAGTGCTGCCATCTATCGAAAAAAACATGACACGGTATATTCGATAAAATTATCGAAGAAAGGGAAGGAAGTTTATTCGATTTTTAGGGTTATTTTTATATTACGTCTCAAGTCAGACTTGTTTAACAACGATAGGGTTTATTTTAAGGCTTTAGGAGAAATCTAAAAGAACACGCTAATATAGACGATTGATCTGCTAGTGCCTAGACAAAGGAGCTAGTATATTATTAGCATTGTTATTTCTCTCAGAAAGCACGTGAAAATTAATATGTGTTAGAATGAGCTTTTTCACTTTTCTACATTTCATAAATATATGGTGTACACCAACTAAGAGAGGTATATTTTGAAAAGTTAATGATTAATTTTGCGCATGCGCAAAACGATGCAAGTACTCATTTTAATAAATAATATATTATATGTCATTCTATTTATGTTCCCAATTAGATATCTACTGTATATCTTAAGATATGATTTCTTACCTGATAATTTGTAGGTATTAATTTGTTGGTCTGAGGCTAGGTTTTTTTCAATAAAGAGAGAATTATAAAAATTTCAATTACGTATCTACATATAAACGAGCCCTTGAAAATGGACTTTAAGGAAGTAGGCTTGATTTCTTTAGAGGAAGGAGAATTTTAATTAAATTTATCATTATTTAACCGGAACTGTTGCCTTCACTAGCGAAACAATATTAAGTTCAAATACAGAAAGGCTAAACATGTAAGAATAAAAAATGATAAATAATAACAAAGATTCCTTATTCTTTATTTAAAGCTATCGATTTTCTTAATGAATACTGTTTAGAATACATTATTCTTTACATGATGTTTGTTTAAATGTAAAATACATTGCAAACTAATTACATATAATTCTGGACAGAATGTAGAGCTAGGCTGAATATTGCATTCTTGTTAGAAGGAAGATAATAATGTTAAATTAGTTTGCTATTTACGTTACTTCATAATTTAATTCATAACAGCAAATAGTAAAACGCAGTGTCTACTCTCCATCGCGTATAATAGATTAGCACGAAAAGCATGGACTATTTTGAAAATTAATGATTAATGTGCCAAATTATTGTAGCTATTCGGTTTTAGAAATCAGGATTCCCTTCTATACTGATTAATCTCACAAGGGAATCAATTGACTAAAGTTTTTTTTTTCGAAATTAAAGGATTGCGCTGTTTCTACAAGAGTTATAGAATTACAATGGAAGAATTTGATTTGGGAGTGTAGTATTTCATAAGCTATGACATAATAATATACTAATATATAAGATAATGATTGTTTAAAAATAGTTGGAGAAAAATTAAATCATTTTCTAATAAGATTAACAAATACGAGATGAAATGTATACGATAGTCATGATTTATTTGCTATCATATTTACAAGTTTTCTCGTTTAAACATTAAAAAGAGAATCTATTTTAGCTCTATTGACTACTTCTCTTTGAAAGGTAATTCATTAAATTGTTCCCTATTTTTTGTATGTATTTCTTTCATTCACAAATAGATATTTTTGTAAATAATTCTTTAAAAATATTATTTTATCAGGGGAATTTCCATTAAAAACGGCCAACGCAATTCTTAGATAAGTGCAAGTAGAGAAGAGGAGGCAAGATTTTCTCGTAGTTCCATATTAAATCCAATAGAGGGCGCATTAAGAAATTTGATAGAAATTGAACTAGTAAATAGACAATCAGTTGATAAGGAACTCTTAACATAATTAATCAGCTTCCCTGTGTTTCGTGAAAGTAACAAAACACTTTACTAATCTAACATTAAGGAACCGCCGTTAAAATAGACAAGCAATTGGTACAGCAGCATTGTTAAGAGCATGTAGTATAAACCTTTCAAATAATATTAGATTCCTATTTAACATTGCTGCCTTTAAATCTCGATATCGAATACTTTTTATTCTTTTAACTAATAATACACAATTAATTTTTAAGAGTCTTAAACGGACTGAATCTGAAATTAATTATAAACACTGATGTTAAATTTACATTGTGGCTTAAGTCACAGTTATTTTCTCATTCAAGTTATAATATTCTTAAGTACACATAGGAGAATGGTTTAAAGGTATTTTGAAGCGTGAATATTTAATACAACTCAATCTAGACCGTTGTGAATTATGATTTTATAAGACAGTTGAGTAAACAAATGATGAACAAATATAAAATTATAGTACTGCTTGTGAAGACTGAAGAGAAAAAAAAACGCTGCTTATTTTCAGTACCTACGCAGAAAATCAATTTTTGCAAAAGATATTATAAGTTTCTTTCTATTCTGCAATTGCATGAGAAAATATTCAAGAGCTTTAAGTATTCCAACCTAAAAGATTAATATTTAATTCTTAAAGGAAGCTTTATTCGAATATTATAATAATCAACATCTAGTATTTTATCACCTGCACTTTTTATAAACAAATGTCTATATATATACTTAAGAAAAAATATCGATTGCGAAACGAGGAATGGGATTGAAGGGATATCTTGATAACGTGCGTAATTAAATATATCAAATACAGATTGCTGGCTTTAAGTGTAATGAATCGTGTTATTTGCGAATTATGAATTAATAAATAGAGTTGAGTTTAGCTTGTAAATAGGGTGTGGAAAGATATGGATTTTCATTAATAATGCTTATCCATTACTCCCTTCGATTTGTGAAATTTCTAAAAATTATAGCAGGACAATTATTGAAAAACATGCATAATTATATTAATTAGCAGATATTTTTTTAGTGCTTTAAACAAAACGAAAAAAAGATAAATGCACTGTTTTATTATAAATATCGCATATGTAATTCTAAAAGAATAAATGATTTTTTAGAGAGGATGAGTCATCTATGATATATTTAAAAATAATAACAAATACTGAGAGCAGACGTCTTAGAAAAAAGTAAATATTGCTAAAAATCTTCAAAAAGGTTTTGCTCTTCTTCAGTAGCCGGGGGAGTGTTTTGCCAATCCTCCTCCTCATAACGATCAAAATTTGAATTGTCTCCTTCCTTTTCGAATTTAGGAACGATTGGAGGCTGTTAAGTTCGATAAAAGAATATTAGAAACCAAGACAGCCTGTTTATGCTATTTTTATAAAGTGGTTGTTTTTTTTTTGTCTGTGATAGGTGAAACATATCAATTAGTAGAGAGTAATAATGATCTGTTAAATAGAATGATTGAAATCTTGTTCGTAAGAATGGATTTTTATGTTAAACTTGCTAATTATACTTTTCAAATTCAATCATTCAAGTTGTTTTTATTTAACGTAAAATTCGTGCTAAATTAATATTATTTTATTTCTCTTTTATTTGGATTTGTAGTACAGTATATAGTTTTAGTTATGTGATTAAGTAATATGGTTTTTTTAATAATATTCAATAATATAGATACAACATTTTTAAATAGTGCCTGTTTACACTCTTTAGTATTTTTATGTTAAAAATAATGGTTAGTTGTTAGTAACTGTCAAATGTTCCTCAGTAATCGTCATAAATATCTATGGCATAGATATATCTATTTTCATCTCAAGAGAGATTCTTTCCTTACAAAGGTGGTTTAATAGTTTTATACGATTAATTCTTATAATATTCTTTATGTAATAGCTATAAAATTAACATGCAATTCGGTAGGTTGCCACTCAACATGCGTCACAAACCGACGCTGGGCGCCATCTACTGCCATCCTTATACATAATATACATAGCTGGATCGCCTTCGCCTACTAATTCCACTTTTAATGGCGGCTGTTTTGTTTAACTAAGTAGAGAAAAACAAGACGAAAATAACCTGAAATCAATTGCCTCACCTTTAATTTCAAATCGATTACATCTTGCCAATCGATACCCCTAAAAAATCTATGCCGCTTTACGTCAGCCGTTCCGTCTTTCATATTCCCTAAGCGTTTAGTTCTATCAGGAGTCAGCAGCTTCTTTACCAAGTCTCTGTTTAAAAAAAAAACAAAAGCTCTTTAGCTTTTTACCGTCGTTATATATTATTGATAGTAAATAAAAGTGAGAACTTTTTGAGATGATGGTGTTTAACAGTTTAGTATTTTGTCAACTATTAACTATTAAAGGTTGACGAACTTTTAGTTTAAGCATTTCAATCTTCTCCACTCGTGTGGAAAAAATAAAAGACTACCAGGCCTATGGCCAGTTGAATATATCATAATCTCTCAAAAAGTCATAATAAAATACTAATTCTATAATCCTCTTTAACTAAGAATGTAAATTAAGCAACTTACTTTGTAACTAAATCAACATGCTTTGGCCAATCAATTTTTCCATTGAGAATCTTCTCATATATTTTCAGAGGCTGTTCATCGTAAAACGGCGGCCAGCCGCAATACATTTCATAAACAAGAATACCTAATGCCCACCAATCGACAGCTTTATTGTGGCCTTTGCTGTTTATCACTTCTGGTGCTAGATACTCAGGAGTTCCACATAAGGTCCAAGTCCTATCAGGAACCTTTTTGGCAAACCCGAAGTCCGTTAATTTTAAATGACCCTCACGACTAAGAAGTAAATTTTCTGGTTTTAAGTCCCTATAAACGATATTTCTTTGATGGAGGTATTCGAGGGCAGTAACTATTTCGGCTGAGTAAAATCTAACTGTGTTATGGGGAAATCGACCTTCATTCCTCAAATAAGTAAATAGTTCGCCACCCTCAACAAATTCAAGCAGCATTAATAAGTGAGAGGCATTTTTTGTTGACCAGTGCCTGTCAAAGAAAGTAAGAGTGAAAAAAATCATTTCAAGAGCTCTCTAAAGATATTTTTCTTTGCCTTTTAGCAGTTTTTTTTGAATGGTGACTATTAATTAATACATTATAGTAGTTCAAGTAGTATTTATATAATATTAGTTTACTATAATGGAAGCCCTTTCTAAGTTCTTTAGAATTTAACAAAATATTCTTCGAAATTCGTATTTAGCGAACACAATAATTAGATGCTAATTAATCTTTCGGTAAAGCGACTTGGGCCTGTTCAGTCAATAGGGATTACTAATGTAAATGGTGATAAATATTGACGCAACTGTAAGAAAGTTATATTCTTTCTTTTCGGTACAGAAAAGGAAGAAAGGGGTTTCCAAGAGTGTCTCTCAATTTCGAAGAAGCTTTAGAATCCCGTTGCAAGGCGTTAGCAACAGAGAGAAAAGGACGATTCTACAATGGTGTTGCATTCGAGAATGAAGCGTTTTGTTGAAATTTCTTTTACATCCAGTTAGATACTTTTACAAAGAACTTTTTGTGCGTCTAGTTATATTTTTAGTTGAATATAAAATATTATATATGAACTATAATTACTCTCTATATATTACGCTTACATCATTGTTATGTTTGTGTGTCGGCGCCATTTTTAAGCCAACACTTTTATCCTTTCTTCGGCTAACAATGAAAAAATTTTTGAAAGCAGAACCTAACAAATCCACAATAAATCTCGCTTTATTTTTTCAACTATATATCGAACACAAATAGCCTTTGACTCAAAATAATTCAGTTTTACATTGTATGCTAATTTATTCTAGATTATACCATTTATTTAAATGTCCTTGTCTTAATAATAAATTCATGAACGAAGTCTTTAATCTTTAAAGTTAATATTGAAAATTTGTGAACTTTCTTTTAACACGTAACCTCTTTTAAATTTCCACCTTATTTATTTATTATTACTTTTTATTGAGGAAAATAGCTGTCATTTGTTGGTCCATTAGCCAATGTCAGAAGACTTAATTAAAAATTCTTTTGATGCGTCTAATACATTTTGACGTTCCCATAAATCAAATACAATATCTTTGAATGAAGTACTTTGAAAACGCAACGGAAGTCTTTTAATAAATAGATTTATAAAATACAACTGTCCTATTTGTCAACTTGGATTAATTTGTTAATGAAAATTCAATGACCTAGAGCCGTTTTCTTATCTTTTTAGTATATTTCTCCGAATTATATTTAGTACTTACAAATGCACTAAAAAGGGATGTGATACGTCCTCCAGTATGGATTTCTCGTTCTTGACATGTTCAACTTGTTTTAATTTAATAACTTGTTTCATCGTCATTATTTTCAAAGCATAATGCTTTTTTGTTTTTGGATGAAAGACCAGTACAACACGACCGAAGGTTCCCGTCCCTAGATCATAAAAATATAGTATAGACTCGAGGGAAAAATGCAAGGAAAATTTTATCCGACATGATCTCCTAGATTCTTAGGCATTGTATATTGAGAAAACTCTCTCTGCAGTAATGATATTGTTACTTTTACCTATAGACTACCAAAGAGATTTTAATAGTTTTTTATGCACTTGACAGTACAGCGAAATCGCCAATATATAAAAAATGATAAGCGGATTAAATATTTTCATGATAAATAAAGATTAAACTTACCTAGAGTGACCTTCGATTCAAAATCTTCCATACGGAAGTCGGAATCGTTTGATTCCTTGCAAGTAGCACCATTCGTTGTCATTATGAGATTCAAGTTGATTTCTTATGACGCTTCGAACTGTAAGAAATAACTTTATTTTGCAATATGAGTCGTAGTCTTAATTTTCGTCATATTAACAGCAAGAACCAACCAAAAATGCTTTCGTATAATATTTAATAGAAGAATTTCCAAAAGGATAGGATAAATATTTCTACTTACCTAAACACTCAACATTCTCTAGAGGCTGAATCACAGAAGAGATATGTGCACAACTGCAAAACGAACAATTCCAAGCTCTCTTATTGAACGTTGTGAATTAAATAGAGAATTGAATAGTTCCTCTACCGGCCAGGCAGATAGATCAATACAGCATTAATAGTCTCAACATGTTCACCTATACTTAATTAGGTTATGAATAATATATTGATCATATTTACACCCTATAATATTTGATAATCTACCCGATTGCTGATCTTCTTACCTCATACTCCCTTGGTTCTGAATTAAACTTTAACGGATTTTCATCTGAATATCGAGTTGATATTGTGGTGAGATATTCAGAAGAGCGAGATTGATGCATAGAGCGTTTCTCTTATTTCCATGACCTACATACGCTACTGCATATTTCTGCTGCAGCGCTCCTGCAATTCTTCTTTATAGGCCTATCAGTGAAGAATTTAGAGCTGTATGTTTTATTGAGAACGCTTTTGTATTTATTATCGTTTGATATGTATTCTTTTTTAATTGACCTATAAAGTTAAGAGACATTTCTATCAACTTTGCTTTAATAACCATTTCAATGCAAACTAAATTGAGATGTTTGTATAATTTAAGTAGTGTTCGTTTATTTCCAAATTCAATTTTTATACATGTTGCAGGGTATGAGAAACAACCTAGGCAGAGATTAATTTAAATCTTGGTAAAAAAAACAATACATTATTAGTTACTGTACAATTTCTTCATAAGCATTCTTATTTTATTAGATACAAAGTGTTTCCTTAGTTGTTAAAAACATGCTTCTAAGCGCCTTTTTCTCTCATTCTACAAATGGTACTCCATATCCGACACATAATTCCTCCTCTATTGAAAAACAACTAATTTTATGTTTGATTTTAGCAAAATTAATTCTTACTTTATATTTAAGCGACTTAAGTCATCTCTGGTCATAAGTTTGAGCACATCCGTGTAAGTGTATTGCTCTTCAATGAACTAAAAACAAATGTTCTACAATATACCAGTTTTATGAAGAATACAAGATACTCACTATATCGATAGTAGCTTGATCTGCTTGTAATTCTTTTAACCAATTGACTAATTGCATATCAAGGCAATTTGCGGGAGTTGCTATGAATGAAAAAAAAAGAGTAAAATTTAATGAATAACTCAAAACTGAAAAGAAAGCCATGCATATTAATATAAGTTGGTGTTTGTCGAAAAAATTATTATGATTAATTGTTTTAGTAGCTATATGTCACGTTTTCCCTGCTGAATGCCTAGTGCCATCTGCTAGTAATATTATATAAAGTTTTTTTTATCAGGTTACACTTACTGGGTGCTGTTGAACTTGTTGTTATTAAACTGTTTCGACTGGAATTTATCGACCTGAGATGATTAATAAGAGAGTTTCGACTGTCCAAGCTATTTTTAAGTAGGGTATTAACTTCTTTCTCTGAGGATATTAAAGATTGCCAAAGTCTGAAACAGTATATGAATAGAAGATTGGAAGGTGTCAAATTTTATCTAACCTTTGATTTTGCTCTTGCAATTCTTTCAATTCAACCAATAAATGAGATGTATCTGTTTTAAGATTATCTGATATTTCCTTTTGACAGTGATTAGTAAATGATACATGACTCTCATCCATTCTGGCTCTCTCATCTGCAGGCTGAAAAACGTATTGCAATGTTAAGAGTGCGCTCTGATAAGCTTCATTCATGATCGCTTGATAACCAAAAACCCAATGAGGCTCAATCTGATGGTGTTTTTTGATGATGCTTAAAACTGCATTAGGAAACATTGCCAAAATATTAGCTAATTCGTGAAATAAGTCAACATCAAATGTTTCTTGATTGAAAACCGTCGGCTCAGGAAAAAACTTTTGTTTTCCTTCTTCCACGTCTGCAGAATTTGAAAATAAGTTACTAAATATTCTCTTCCAAACGGCTTCTCTCTTCTCAGGTATGTTTTCATCAATATAGCTAATAACTCCATCATAAATTTTTCCATAGTATTCACTACATTTCGTTGAGCCTTTTATATCCTTAACATATGATCTCCATTCCGCAATAATCAATTTCTATGGATTAATGCTTAATGTTAGATGCCAACGTTTACTTTTGCTATGCAAATTCAATTAAAGATCGTATTTACCCTTTGCTCTTCATCTTTCATTATATTCTTGAATGTTTGCCTTCTTTCAGTTTCTCTTTGGTGAAATTGTACAAAATCAGCTCCCTGCATTGTGTCGGCTTGTTCAATTTCCGGTGTTGCTGAGGGTGATACAATATCACTTGGTTGAGAATCCATACTGATTTGAAAAAGAGAAACATGTAAGAGCATTCAATTAAGTTTAAAAAATTTTAGGGATTGATTGTTTAAAGCTGATTCCTTGCAATCGCTAGCGCAATCTATTTTTGTGTTATTAGATAGTTTAAATAGAATATTTGTAGGAAAAAAGTCGAAAGCCTGTTTTGTTAGAGAGCCAGATTTAAATGATAGCATGCCGTATTTCCATGTAGTTGCCTTTTCCTCTTTTTCCCTTAGTTATGTGAAAGTTTTTTATATCAGAGGAGTCAGATCGAATATTTGTCAAAATCAAATCAGTTTTAAAATCATTCATATTCAAATCTCAAGAAAGTTAATGGTGTAGAGTTTTTGCTTCTAAAAAAAGTGATAGCTTCTTTGGAGAAAATATTGAATGATACACAGCAAAAAAAATTGCTGTTTCTTGATCACACATTGATGAAATTATTTAAAAATAGATTAAAACAAAATTCGATCTGCTTTAGTGGAAAATTTTTGCTTTTAAATCGTCTCTTATCAATATTAGTCTATCATAAAGAGCTCTTTTTTATATATTTGACTAATATTGCAAATCTCTGGTATTTAATATCCATCTGCAGGAAAACTTTAAAAATTTTACTAAGTGTATAGCTTATTGGCGTAAAACAAAAAACTTAATTTAGAAAAATAGTCGAAATAATTAAAATTCTATTCCAAAAATGAGATTCACCCTTAACAATGTTTTTAAAGCACTTTAAATGAAATTTATGTCCACTAGGAAACAGAGATTTTGAAGAAAAATTCCCACAAGCAACTACACCGGTCTAAAATCATTGAATATTTGCTAAATTTAACTTATCCAAGTATATGATATTTAACACTATTTTCTCATCTTCTACCTGAAAGACCTAGATCTTTGACCATCCCAGTTGACCGTCAAATATTGTCCATCATTATTTCTGCTGTACATAGAAAAAGCACACAAATACAGGTTTGTCTATTTCTAAAAATAAATCTAATAATCTAGAAAATGTAAGGATAATAAAGTTTTCACACAGGATAAGAGCGTCTACAATAAAACAGCCACTCACTTCGGTATTTCCTCTTCTATCGTTCCGCTCGAGCGCCTGCGTTATTAAATCAACGTAGCTAACAAGATTATTTGGATTACATAGGGTATTCTAATGTTTACGACAATGTTAAAATCTTTAAAATTTTGAGTTTTAGGACTCAAATTAAACAGGGAGTCAGAAAAGCAAATCTTTGTTAGTAAGAGTGACAGTAATATTGCAATATTGCACTGCAATAGGAATATAACTATTAGGAAATAGAAGAAGAAATATTGCTTAATTTTTTTTCTAATATTTTCCCTGTTAGACATTCAAACATAATTTAGATTCAATTAAGCAGAAGTGAACTTTTGACTGTAAAAATAGAATAGGAATAGCAATGAACATATGAGAAGAGTAAATATGTTCTTTTGATAGTTTAAAATCGAATTTTGGTTTATTACCATTATGATATAAATTATTTAATAAATAATAATTCTCTTTCATAAAAACTACTTGAATGATTTAGAAACACAAAAAGAGATTAAAACATGTTTAATTGCGCATGCGTTTGTAAATGTAGGTTGGTTGGATTAATTCTGGTGAATCTTTAAGCGAAATGAAAAGTAAAAAAAATACCGGTCTGGATTTAAAGTTATCCTCAGATTTGGAGATTTCATACGACCTATGTGAGATGATGGTAGTTCACCAGTTTGACTTGAAAATCTATGCAAGGAATTAGGAGACTCCGTTCGATGATGTTGAATTCCAGGCACTAGCATAAAGAGATATTAATTAATTGATTATTTACATCAAAGTCAATAACAAGTAGAAAAAAAATGAAATCATGAGATAAAATATATAGTTAGCGCACATTTTGCTAGGTAATTAATTATATATGCATCTAAAGCTTAGTAGTTTAATTAAATCATTTAAGGTCTTCAAAAGTTAAGACTTACTTGAAACGCTTCGAGCAAATTTATCAGCACTAGACGGCGCCACTTTCCGCCGCTTACTCGGGTTACTTTTACTGTTAGGAAACATTTGAGTGATAGAATTAAAAAATTTTTAAAAATTGTTTAGTTCTGTCAATTTTAGGTGTTTTAGATGGAAAAAGCTACTTACTCAGAAAGGAAAGGATGCTCAAGCAGTTGTGCGGCTGTAGGTCGTTTGGTTGGATCTTTTTCAAAGCACCTGAATAAATGATTGTGATAATATATTCACCTAGGTCTTATCTTCGATGCCTATTTGCATTAATCGGAAATCTAAATCTTTATGCGGTCCAAATACCAGAGCGAATTATAAATATTATTTTAAAGTATTGGTCAATATTTTGTTCGCTACGAAAAAATTCAATGAAATGTACGATACTCACTTTGATAAAAAGTCTTGAGCATATTCTGATAACTGATCTGGTACCTCTGGGTGCATCTTAAATTTTCCAACCTGGAAAAGGACATGAGATTGAGGTCCTAATTCCATAAAAGGAGGTTTTCCAGTTGCCATCTCAATAACTGTACACCCTAAACTCCAAATATCAGCTGCAGGCCCATAACCCTGAGGGCCTATAGCAATAACCTCAGGTGCCATGTACTGAACTGTACCGGCAAATGTTTCCGCTAGAGGGTTTATGCCATTCAGTCTTTTTGATGTTCCAAAATCAGATATTTTAACCGTGCCCGAGTATGTATTAACAAGTACATTACCACCTTTAATATCCCGATGAACAATTTTCATATCATGCTGAAATACATTGAAATATAACAGATGTAAATGTAAAACTACAATTTAAGAATCGAACCAAGTATTTCAATCCTTTTAAAATTTGTTTCGTATAGTATACAATTGTACCTTCCCTATCAATTAACTTTCCCCAAACAGAACTTAACAATCTAGATAAAGTGCCTCCTGGCACTCTTTCCATAAATATTTTAAAAAAACCTGTAAAATTGAAACGAAGGGTTATACTGTAATCAAGAGAATAAAAGTTAACTCTTTTATTACCTCCTTCACTAACAGATCCTAAATATTTTACAATATTTTTATGAGATAATTTTGATTGCAAGACAATTTCTTCGTGCAATGTTTGTACTTCACTGAGAAGAAGTTATTCTATATATATATTATTATCTAACTGTTATTTAGTAAGAAACCTACTCATTATGCACTTCAGGTATTTCTTTAACAGCTATGCTTACTTGAGTATTTACATCTCTTGCTGCATAAACTGTTCCGTAAGTTCCTTTTCCCAACATAATTCTATCTCCCTTTTGATCAAGTTCATATTCGTACTGTTTTGAATCATAATTGGAAAAATAGTTATAAAACTAATAATAAAATATACGTTTATGCTGGGGCCTTCCATTTTTGTTTCCATTTCAGTCAAATTTAGACAACTTTCTAAACCATCCAAAGTATCTCGAACTAGTGCGTAAAATCTTTTACTATGCAAATCCGATGGAAAGTATAATTTGAAAGTATCCGCATAATCATGGACATGTAAAACAGCAGCACGATTGTCTATTTTTAGCAAACTAACAAATCGTATAGAAGTTGGAGAAAATTTCCAACTCTGTTCTGAAAGACCTTCAGCATTTTCGGCAACATATTCGATTGTTATTAAAGTTTGATCATCATCATATTGATCAGAGACATTGATTTGAGTGTTACAAGGGATTAAATTTTTGTTTGTGACGCCGTCCTCGGCCAAGAGAACCTTTAAAAAAGTTAATATTATCGGATTAACTTAACTTTTAATGATATTTGATTAAACTAACTGGCCAAGTTGTAGAACTCTCATCGCTTGCACCTTCACTGAAGAAATAAAACCAAAATTCGAATAATTTTTCGTCCTCATCCTTGTCAAAAAAATCGAAATCAACGCTTTCACCTTTCTTTTTCTTTAATTCTCTTCTATAATTAGTAATAAGTTTTATATTACCCATCGTTGATTTTAAATACCATATAGGAGGTTCCAACTTGAACATAACTTCAGCAGCTTGGCTAGCTTTTGCATAATCTTCCGCAAGGACAGATATCTCAAAAAAAGTTGCTACGTCCCAATAATCGGTTAGATCTTGCAAGGTGCCTTTCTTTCCAATTAAATTATTCAGGTGGAGAAATATATCCCTTAACATGGCTGATTCTGAAAGACAATCGCCAGATATAACCATAAGAGTAGCTAAGTTAATGCCAGCATATTCATTAGGTTGTCTAACATAACCTCTTCTATACCTTTTAACAAGAGATAATATATTTATTAACTTATATGAAACACTTTTTAAAAATATATATCAACCATTCAACAGCATTCTTCAAAGCGTCTGTATCTGCACAATTGGATTCAACAAACTTGTCTTTGTAAATCCTACCACAAAGGCATGTAATGTCGGGTGGTACTTCTTCATCTTTTTTATTTTTCACTGCCTGTGAATATGAACAATTGTATTATTTTGTAAATAAGAGAATTAAGCTTGATTACAAACTTCTTGTATAACTGTTAGTGCCTTATCCCTATCGCCAGTTTTATTTCTTCGATTTAAAGCAAAAGCATACATATTTTGTATATGTAACTCTTCAGCGATTTTTGTATCAGGAATTCGTTTGACGTCTTCAACTAGAGAAACCATTTCGTCATAGTCTTGAACTTCTCTATACGAGAGTAGCATATTTAAGATGACTTCTGGAGTAAGATTATTTAAATCCATCAATCTGTTTCTAAAAGCTTTAAGCCTCTAAAAAAGTTTGAAATTATAGGAATTAAAGGAATTATAGTATCAGAACAAATATTTAGCACTTTCGTACCTTGCTTAATTCCTCCATATCGTTGGCATGCTTTTGTCTGGCTTTACGAATATCAGCAATAAATTTTTCGGTCGATCTCGTACTGTTAATACATTTAAATAAAGAAAAAATTGGCAATGATGAGAGATCCTACAGACAACATAATATTTAAAACCTAATGATTCAATTTTGAGTAAAAAAAAGAGATTCACTCAGATAAAATATTAGATTTAATATAATAATTCTTTTCCCCATTCGCTTGTGAAATATATTATTTCTAAACTTATAATTTAAAATAAAATAATAGTTTCATTAAAGTTTACGTTTAAATTTTAAGAAAAGCATAAGCTAGATGTAGACTTTTAAAAATCGTAAAATCTTATGTCAATATTTTTTAGTTTCTAATTTACACATTATTTGAAAAACGTAGTTTTTATTTGCTATTAGCTTTTAGCTGCTTGAGCGAATATCTCGTAGGATTTCATTTTCTTGTGAGGGAAAAAGAACTTAACTTAACTAAACTAACCTGATTTTAATGTTTTAGAAGTGACAAAGGAATCTCGATAAAACATTTTAAAAGTTGTATTTTTCTTTATGGCTGTTTATGGTACTTTTATCAGTTTTTGTTAGTAAAAAAGAAATTTCTTTATTTTAAATCTATAATCAATTTTTTAATCGCAATATTCTCTTTCTTTAAAGATATTTTCTATTTATAATTAATAATTAATTGACGATCATGATTGAAATTTACGTGTCATTGTTACTAAATCTTTCTCTTCATATTGCTGAAATCGTAATAAAAGTTTACATGGGGATTTCAAAGCTAGTGAAAAAATTAACTTTTGGGTAAATTATTATTATTCTATGAAGAAATACAAGCAATAACGCATTCATATTCATATAGTTAGTTTTTATAGTATTATTCTAAATTATTAAGGGCTAGTCTAAGTTTGATAAGATAATGTAGCTTATTTGGTGGGAGCTTTTATTATGATTTAGTTGAGTGTGCAAGGGGTGCATATATAACAACATATTATGCAAATATACCAACTAGGTTTTTTGTTGAACTTTCTTTAGTATATGTCTAAATTTCGCTTGCAAAGAATAAGGTTGGTCCGGTCGTAATTGGCAAGCAGACATGCTTTGGCTTAAATCCAGTTTTCCAAATAGTTCCATTACAATGCAACAATTAATGTCGTCTTTAAAAGTATATGGAATAAATTCTGTGGAAAACATGAAAATTTTTTAAAATTTATTAGATGACACAGATTGTATGTAAACTGGTTAAGAAATTTACTGCTGACTCTGTATTGTGTAATAATTGCGTATCGTATGATTCATTTCATTTTGATTAGGTTTGCAAAATAATTTTCAGTCTTTCTACGTTGTGCTTAGAGAAGGCTAGACTACTAAAAAAACCTAATATAGTTTGATATAAACCGCCTTGAGTCGACAACCCAAGTAATCGGCCCAATCATGGATACACTTAGTGCAGTTACCTAAAATCGCAAGATATTTGCTGAAAATTTAAAGGAGTATTTCTCTGAGAAGCAAAATTTTGCTCATAGGTAAGAATTTATATAAAAAAAACCTAAAGAACATATTCATTTTGTAGGCCTATTCAATTGTTTAACACCTGAACAAATTGAGTTATAAATAGAGAATAATTCTGGAGTAAAAGAATGCAAGAAATTTCCAACTGCTATTTCTATTTTTTAACCACTTGAACTTTCGTACGAGTCATTTATATCGATTTAGATTATGTACAATGTAGATTACTTTTAAAGATATATAACTTAGAACTAGCAAGTAGTTGTCATCTCTACCTATTTTAAGTTGGTAACATTCATGCTGAAATGTTCCATCTGTTGTTCGTACAAACTAAAATACAACATATCTTATTGTTTATTTATATTCTACATCAGTTCGGCTTCTTAGAAGTAAAATTTAGGCTGATTTTTTTAGTTAATAAAAAGATGAGTCTTATATAAATCATTGTGAACTAGGGTATGAACGAAAAATGCAAACCTGCATTACTACAACTATTCTTAACTGAACTAGCTGCTTGAAATTTCGGCTGATGCATAATCAAAATAGATTCTGACATTCCAGAACTTTCCCTAACTCCAACATGATACATCAGTGCACTTTGCTGTGTGTCAATGGACGTGTCTACGACAGCCACATCAGCGTTGTAAAATGTATCTAATGTTGCTCCTTCCCCAAAATCTAACTTTTCGAAAGGTATATGAATCAGTTCAAGTTTCAATTCATTGCATATCTTTTGCAAATCCTCAAAAGCCGACTTTCGAGCAGACACAGCATTAGCGACGTTATATTCCAATTTTCCTCCAGCCACACTCGTAAGCGTAATTACACAAGCTACAGAAAGTTTTGCTGTAGAAGGTGGGTCGTTTTTAGGACTTTTCGTTGTTGCCATAACTACGGTTGAAACTAAGGAAATAAAAATATTAATTTATGAATGAAAATAATATTTTGAGTATTGTTTACCGATCACTAGGAGATAGAATTATCTTCGACTTAACTTTTCAAGGATTTATCCTATAAAACCATCTCAAAGTCAAAATATCTGATGGAGAAATAAAAATTGTTACTGATAATACTTTTAAAACGCTGCTTCAACAAAAGACGAATTAATATTTTTTTTGGCGCTTCTTTCATAAAAGCTTTATGATTAAACAAAAGGTATAATAAAAATCAGGTAATTAATATATAGAGACATACTTAATCTATATTTCATTATCATGTGTGGTGCGTTTGCGATAGATAGCATGTGATCACAAAAAGTTTTTAAATCAAATAATTTAGTCATTCATCATGTTCTAAGTACATAAAATAATTTTACTCGATGTAGAGAGTTCATAGTATGTAATTATGTTTGGCTATTAAAAGACGATTGCTAAGAAAATAAAAAGTTAGTGAACCCTGTGAGCTCACTTTGTAATTTAAAAAAAAGATCGTTTAAGTTATCTTAACAGAATTTGAGATTAAAATATATATATATAATCTTGGTCATAGTTCAGTAGGTTAAATGTCAACAATTAAGTTGGGAGTTGAAAGATATGATTGGCGACAAAGAGTCTTCGACCCCTGGATTAACTATTATATAACATTTAATAAGAAAAGTACTAGATTGTCCAAACATGTACATATAAAATTAGCGCCTAAATATCAAAATAAGTTTTCTATTTATCTTTAAAAGCGAAACAATGCATTCGTCCACGAATAATATTAAATTCCTCACCTCTACCTAAAAATCAACAATCACTATTAGTCTGGTTCGATCGACTCAACCACCGGAGACAGAACCAAGCTAAAAGCAAAATATTGAAAACAAAGTTAATGCGTTTCCGTTGCTCCACTCCTTGCTCTTTATATTCGTAAAAGATGTTTTAAAAAATTAGTTAAAATAATGCAGTTTCCAACTGTTGAAATTTAATATAGCATGCAATTTCTGTTCACAGTACGAGCGAAAAACTACCAGAGGAAGCTCGATTTAACTGAAATATTTCCTGCTCCAATCGAACAACAGTTTAAAAAAGTAATCGCAGTCTGCAGTAGGGTTTAATAGCCAATACTTTATATCTCTGACCACAAATTTTCGTTAAAAATGAGAATTAAAAAATAGAAAATAATAAAAACGTCAAAGTAAATAGGTGGAGTGGAGGTGAAATACTAAAAGTGCGAAATTTATTCGAACTTTCACATAAAACACAGTGTCCTTTATTGTGCGCATGCGCAGATTGTCTCAACTGGAAATTCAAACATCTTGAGTGTCCGAAACACTGATCTAATTCAGATTTTAAATGAACAGTTCATCACACCTATATTTAAACATCGTCAGGAAATATGAATGGTTATAAATCTTTCTGAATTAGTTTTAAATGTTATACTAATTAGTTTCTTTCGACAGATTTTCACGATAAAAAAGCCATACTTTGTATGTTTACGGAAATGTGCATTTTTCTAAATAAAGGGGAATGTTTAAAAATTTTGATTAATTATCAGAATGCAGAATTATGTGATACATGTTTATTATCAGCATCTATTAGACGCCTACAAAATTCGATTAATCGTGAGAAATGGCTGGATTTATTTAACTTGGTTTTGGAGTTTAACTGGACGCAAATACTGGAACTAGATGGCAGCCTCTCGAAGAGTGATATCTGTCAAATTTTTCTCACCACATCTAAGTTAGCCTGCTGCTTTTCATTAAGGTAATTGCGAAATCTTCTGACGTAACAATGAGTACCATTATGTCAAGAATAAACAGACCTGTTGAATGGGACAGCTATTTCAAAATTTTTTTTTTTTAGGGAAGCTGAAGATATAAATGAAGACTTTTTAAAAGACATTTTAGGAAAGTTCATATACAAAGGGTGTGAAGTGCTAATGGAAGCTAATTTGGAAGGGCTGGAAGTGGCAAACCTTGGTGAAGAAGCAAAAAAATTTATCAGAAAATTGAAAAGCATTGTGAAAAATGAAAATAGGAACTATTTATTATATAGAATGCTCTTAGCAACTAAATTGGAACTTCCTGACAAATTTAATCCTTTAATATCAGTTTTATGTAAAAGTAGACCTACACCAGTATTATTCAATGATGACAGTTCCTCTACGTACGCTGCTCTAAAAGGTAAATATGGGAAAGACGTTGACTACGTTCTCGAAGAGATTTGTATTAATCGTGAAATTCCTGAGGATTCTAAACTATTAAAAGCTGTAGAAACTTTATGTAATTGAACAAGACTTTTAATTTGTTATTTTATTAAATTTTCATTTGTGGAAAAGTACAATGCAATATAATTATAAAAATTAATCGATACCAAACAAAGAAATCTACTATTGATTCGGTTTAGTTCGTTTAAAATTAACAAGTTCCTGACCCCTTTTAGCCAAAAGTTCAGCCTCTTCTTTTTTAGAAATTATAGTTTCTCTGTCCCTTGCAATCTCCGAAAAAATCTACATCAAAAAAATAAAAAATTGAAATACTTAAACGATATTTTAAATAAAAGCAAACCATTTCAATTTCCTTGGAAATTTCTGTAGAAAGATTATCATTATCGCTCCCTTTGAGGTCCATTAATTGTTTTAGAATATCTTCATTTTTTGCAACTTTCTGTTTCAGTTGTTTATAATTTCGTAGGAAACTCTTAATCTTGAACATTTCTTCTTCTAAGGAAAGCGAGTTTCTTTCTTCTTTGTTTTCGCTCATGAAAGCTGTTGGTGGAAGTAAACTAATCTTCTTGGGCTTAGGGTCTTTTTCCTCCGAAAATTCCCTAGGGGATTGCAATTTTACCTTTTCAAATGATTTGAGAGAGGGCTTATTAGTTTCTTTGGGAGAAGAAGTTACTTCATTAACGTGTCTTTTAAATTCTTGATCATCAGGTTTTTCCCCAGAAATGCTGGTAATGAGCCCGTCGCTATTTAAAGAATCAACAAGGAAATCAGGTTTTCTTGGTTTTTCCCTTGCTTTGACAATAGGTAAGCTATCACTACTTATAGGATCAGCGAACTGAACTTTTAGCTTGACTTTTGGCTGAGATTTTTCCACCGAAGACGATAATTGACATGAAGGTTTTTCTGATCTGCTCAAAGACTTTTTGGACGCCCAAAATTTCCAATGAGAAATAACCTTAAGGGCTAGAGAAAACTCTCTTTGTGATTCGGTCTCATTCCTTGATAAAGCCATCTTTCTTTTTAAATTCTGAAGTTGATCTGCTGTTTTTATCCAATCTGATACAGCCGATTTTAGTAGTCTGTTTCTATATTCATCGAGTGCAAGCTTGTACATTTCTTTCTTATATTTCCTTTTCTCAATGTACCTTTTCCAAATTTCCATACTCTTCCATTGTAGTTTCATACTCCAATGCCAGAGCGCAATTGCTGTTTGAGAATTTTGCTTTTCTTTGGCAATAAGGGAATTTTGCCAAGTTAGCCAAGAAGTCTTTTTTAGTTTTTGAGAATAATAGTTTTGAGCTTGCTGCTTCATTATGGACGTTTTTTGGTTGTTTTTTATATAGGCAACCCAGGATCTGAAAACTTTAACTTTTATAGAATATGCAAATCTTAAAGAAGCTCGTTCATTGTCAAGCCTATTCATCAAAACGATATCTCTCTTGCTTTTCCAAAGAGTGAAATAATACTGTAAACAAGAAGACCGCAATCTTTCTCGACAGTCATTTATAATGTCTGATTGATCCCTGGTCTTTTCTATTCTACGAACAGTATAGCTTCTCCACTCTTTGATAACATTTCCTGCCAATTTAGCATTAAAATAAATTTCAGCTATTTGCATATAATTTTTTTCTGATTTCCAAATTGTCACCATTTCCCTCCATGTAGTAAATGACGAACAAAGAAGCTTTGTTGAATATCGCTTAGAAAATTTTTCAGCTTTTTCATTAAATATCGAGCTGTTATGCACATTTATTTTCAAGCAGTGAAATACTTGCTTGAACAATTTTGTATGGAAAAACTTATCGGCTCTCTCAATCTTTGCTTTCTTTTGTTTTTGATAGTTTTTGTACGATCTTAAAGTATTGAAACTAATTTTTAACAGTTTTATGCAATAGAAATTTTGAGAAAAAATTTCCTTGATTCGTTTGTCATTTTTAGCATTGGTGTACATCATCCAGTAGCTTAAATATTTTTTCATTATGTTATGAAAATAATGCTCATCAGCGATCTCCTAAAACATTTATTTTATTTAAAATTAGTTATTGAAAAAAATAATTAACTGGACATTTACCATTTGCGTTTGTACCATTAAAGCTCTTTCAGCTTTCATTCTCCATAATTCAAACGTCTGTTTCAAAATTAACTTTTCTCTGTGTAGTAGAGCAATTCGTGTGTTCAATCGATGCTCTCTGTTTCTTTCCAACCGGTCTTTCCAATGATAGAAAACCATAGAATATAAGCTCTCTGTTCTAAATTGCAGCGAATCTTCTAATAATTCTCTTTTATATCTTCTAAACTCTGTATAAGTCTTGAGGTTATTGAACATTTTAGGTAAAATTTTTGAAGAAAATTGTAAATCAGCAGTAGCATTCAAACTCCTTTTATGTCTCCTGTGGTTAACATAGTTTACAAGTTTTAGTAAAGATTTTTTTAGCAATTGTTTTGAATAATGAGTTTGCGCTGTTTTTATTTGATTATATTGAATTATTTCATCTCTTTGATCGCATCTCTTTAACCACATTTGCCAAGCAAATTTTAGTAAAGATTTTTTTCTTAAGTTCTGAGATAATTCATTACGATATTCTTGATTTTTCTTGATTTTCATAAACAATTTCCAAGCACATAAGTAGGTTCTCTAAAATTAAAATTGTCCTATATTATTTAGTATATTAAGAAACCCTTTACATTACTTTCGTCTTCAGTTCATGATATTCACTAGCCTTCTTTTGCAAGTCTTTTTTCTTCTGACGTAAAACGATAACTGTAATATGTTAAGAAAAATATCTTCTATTTGATAAAAAAAAAATATGAAAGATTCGTGTCAAGAAAAAGGATACGAAATTTCCATTTTTCGAGAACAAGTCGCAGTTGAAATTTTCGTCCGAGCTCGTTTATACGGTGTTCATGTTCCCTTTGACAATAAATAATGTTACACTTTACCTTCCATATATTGAAGCATTTTGATACTAAGGAATTGTTGCTCAAATCCGAAATTTTGTCTGTCAAGAAATATTATATTTATATAATTATAAAGAATTGGAAACTTAGATAAATAATTCCCAAAATAACCCTACTATTAAAGTTTTTTCGAAGTCGTCGATGGTATGTATATGTTATCCAAGCCTTCCAAGTTTTTGAAAGCAAGCAACATTTGCTGTGGTTAACGGCTACATTTTCAGCATATTCTAATTTTTTCTTGCTGGTTAAGGTAGTTATCCATTGAGACCAGCATTTTTCAATTATCGAAAAATTATATAAGTCAGTCACTGTTTTTTCAACCTTTTTTTGGGTTTTTGAAAATTTTGCTTTTCGCTCCCATTCTTTGAAAAAGCGTCTACAAATAATAAAATTATATTTTGCCTTGTCTGTGGTATCACTTTGTTAAATTACTTTAAATATAACGCATTGTATAACGGTCTACACTTTTCTTTTTCAATATTTCGAAGTCTCCTTTTACCAATGTACTTAACCCAAATTTGTATCGCCTTCTTTTTCAAGACAAAGTTTCCTAATAGTTTAAATTTATTACTAAAAGAATTCACAGTGTAACTTTCTGTACTAACGATAATTATCAGCAATAAGATTCTTTTCATTTTCAACAGACTGAATTTTCATGAAAGTAGTCCAGCTCTTCCACGCAATATTGTAAAGTCTGTACCTATTAAGTAAGATAACTTTTATAATGTTACCTCCGTTCATGATAATAACTCACTTATTATGTAGGTCTGCTCGAAGATTTAAACGATATTCTTTTCGATTATGCCACCAGATATTTTTTATCTGGTTCATGCATTTCTTTTTAATCTTTTCTTCAAAGTGTAATCTACAAATATTTACATTTTGGTTACAAATGTTTTTTTTTTAGGTAAACTTTACAACCTTGCTTTGGATATTTTTATCGAACCAAAAGTTCCAATAAGCCACAAATGCAAATATTTCCTGGCTAGATACCTATTGAATCATCATTACTAATACAGTAACAATAAAGATATTTGCAATTTACCTTAGCCTCAGTTCTTTTATTCTTCCGCCCTTATTCCAAGTGTATGATGGATCAAAGACTTTAAATTTCTTTTTCGCTTTTCTTGTAACTTTAGGAATCTTGGACGGAGTGCTATGTTTTACCGGTCGGAAACTTTCTGATAGCTCAGAACTAAGTTTATTAAAAAAAAATAGTATATATAAACCTTTAAAAAGTGTAGAATACCTTTTTGCAATTTCATTCTCTCCATCTAGCTGAACTTTATCTAATAGCTTCATTTTCTCTGCTTTAACATGAAGCGAAGAGCTACCTTGGTTGAAAGCGTCTTGTCCAGACAGAGCTTTATTTTCATTTCTGCCTTTTTCTGCTAAAATTTTAGTTTTCTTTTCAGAATTGATTAGATGTGTAGCATTCTTAGACATGCCTTCAGTTAATTAAGTATTTAAATTATTCTAAGGAAGTTATCAGCTGTATCATCAAATTTGGGCGATAAATCGAATAAATATTGATGCACAAAATATAAAGCTGTGTTTACCGGTTTTTGCGCGGGAAATCTGTTTTATATTTGTCACGAAACTGTTATATAATTGAGTATGTTCGAAAAAAACAGTCATTTCGATAACTTTACTGTGAAGTTGAGTCGAGATTGCAATATAAGTCGAGATCAATGGGAGGGAGGTAGAGTCAGAGAATAATTTAGTGAGAAATTATCAAACGAAGGACAATTTTAAAAAATTATTGACACAACCAAGAGAAAGTTTTAACGAGTTATCAGCCAGATGCTACAGATGTAAACACTCATACCAAAAAAACCTCGCCCACACCCTGCATACATCTGTAGGAGTGTTTGCCCTATCAGATTACTGCATACAGTGTGGTTCGTGTTCTAGCGATAAACATTCAACCTGGACAAACCATCCTAGACACTGGCGAATCCTATGCCAGTCTGATTTGCAGCCAAAACTGAACCATCTCTTATCGACTGAGACCATGACTTTTAAGCTGGTCTTTCTGCTCCTTTTATTCAAGTTTGCTTTTTCAGAGAGGACCTCTTGTCGGCCCTGCTCTGAGGTGGAATGCCAGAAATTACCCAGAACTTGTTTGGCAGGTTTGTGTAGATTGTACGTTATGAAAACTGTAATAAAGAAGCGTCTTGAACTAAGTACAGTAAATCTAAGGTATTAAAGAGTTGTAAATTCCGGGACTGAATTATTTAGTCATGGTTAAAAAGTTTATTTACTAAAGTTAAATTTCTTGAAGTCTTGAGGTTTGAGGTCTTTGAGCCGCATTTTATATTTAGAGACGACAAAAAGTATAGGATAAAAATATTCTTCATTGAAGCAATATGCTTACTACTTTAAAATTTGACGAAGTTTTTTTTATTCTTATCGCCATCTGGTTGCGGGCGAGAGTTTATTGTTGGTTCGCCATTAATTCTATTGCTCAGCATCCAATATTCTCTTAGCTTTATAGATTAATAAGTTATTTAAATTTATTTATCATTGTAGGTCTAGTAAAAGATAAATGCGGATGCTGTGACGTTTGCGGTCAATTGGAATTTGAACCATGTTACCATCCTGAAGTGGATAAAGAGCACGACATTTGGAAAGGACGGTGTGGAAAAGGGCTGACTTGTCGAATCAGAAAAGATTTGCCTGAGGAAGATCCCTCAATAGCTGTATGCCGATGTGACATGGAAGAAGATTACTGCGGTGATGACGGTATCAGTTACACAAGTATTTGCAGTCTGCTGGAGAAAGGAAAGAGAACCAATAAAACTATCACCATAGCTAGGACTGGCCCATGTGATTCCGGTTAGCACTAATTAATATGCTTTTTTAATGTACTTTCGTCCTCTAAATTTTAGGCCTTTATAACGAGTATCGAATAAGTTGATTTCTATTAGAAAATGCTAGATATTACTTCTCGTTTCATTCGATAACAATATTGTCCCACAGATCCCAAGATAACTTTCAAGCCGGCGAGTAAAACTGGTAAAATTAATGACGATATCAATTTTTCTTGTGAATCTACCGGATACCCTTTGCCAAGTATCAAATGGATCTATAGAAGAGTAGATGGAGTAGAAACAGAATTACCTAGTTTGTAAATTATAATTAAAGCATATGGAGATTTAAGTTTGCGTAATGCATGACTTACATATTTGATAAAGTTTCTGCAATAGTAGTTTCAAGATAATTAGAGGTTGTGATAATTTCAGATGACGATCCCAAATTATCCGTTAACACAAGGGGAGGACCCGAAAAATGGCAAAAAACCGGATGGGTTCAAATCCAAAGGATTGAAGAAAAACATGAGGGAGATTATATTTGTATCGCAATTAACAACAAAGGAAAGATGACAAAGGCTGAAGCTCGCCTGAATGTAGCAATCAATTAAAATAGTATTCTCTTTATATTTAAATTACGCACTTAGACTTAGGATGTTTGTCTGGTTAGTATAAAGTTATGTAAAGTATAGGTTGCTCTATTTTAGTAGAAATTGTCTTTATATGTCTTATACATTTATATATTATTTTTACAAAACGTTTTTCTTATCTACACTTAAAGATTTTTTATTTTTACTTTTATACCATTGATATAACAATCACAATCATTGATTGCATATTTTATATCTTTGGATTCTCTTTAAAAAACCTGCAATTCATGTCTAGTATTCCTTGTAATGCAGACATAAAGGCGATGATTGGTGCTAATCGTGTACAGGAGTAGTTAGCATATTAGGTAGGAGCTTTTGTTCAGTCTTACATATGTTTTATGAAATAAATGAGTTAATTGATTACAAACGTTTAGGAATTTTTATTGAAAAACTTAAATAAGTGAATTTTTTCATATTTGAAGTATTACTCTATTATTCCTACTACATTTCAACAAACTTGAGAGCTTGTTTCTTAACACTTTGAACAGTTTTCTCACTTCCATGCTTTTCTTCGAATTCAATATACTTTTTGAATAAGAATTTCATTTTTTTCGGTTGAAATTTCAGAGTTGTAGCGGATTGAAATTTTTTCCTGTTTTTGTTGCATAACGTAGATAAAAATAAAGATGCTATCAAAAGTAACCTACCTGGCTTCTTCAAGCAGTCCTGCCTTAATTAACAAGTCCAGGAATACAGACCAAATATCAGTGCGCTTTGGATAAGTATTAAGCAAATTTTCAAAAAGGATTTTTCCCCTCTCTTCATTTCCAGAGTGAAATTCCATTTGAGCGAATTTCATTATCAATTCTAAATCTGTTTAAAAATAAATTAAACATCAATGACAAGAGGATATTTAGACTAACGTTTTGCATCAGGTAAACTCATTAATGCTCTTTGCATTAATTTCCTTCCGTCATCGAATTTTTTATTTGTATAATAAAATTGACCAAAATCAATCCACACATCAAGCTTATCACTCCCAAATTTCTTGACAATAATTTTTCTAGTTTCTTCTTCTAATTTTTCCTTGTTTGCACTTTTGTAGATATTAGCCAAGTGCTTATATGTTATAAAAGCATCGTTAAATTGTATGGCTTTCTACAAGTAAACAAAAATTAAAAAATGGACCTAAAAATTTGTTTACAGACTTTAAATAGCTCTTGAAACTTATCTTGATTTCCATATTCATATTCCAAATTTAAGTAGGAAGCCCATAAATTAAATCGTTCATCTTCTTCTCGATATCCAATAGATTTGACTCCTCTTTCTGCTATTTCCCTTGCTTTATCAATATCATTTTTCTTAACATAATAAGCTACATATTTCATCCAAGCTACAGCTTTATTTGGATTACTTAGAACGTCTCTTTCTAATTTAAGCATTTCATTGGGAAGATTCATATTATCTGTTTTTTGATTAATTTTATCCTCTTCCGATTCATCATCATCATCATCATCTTCGTTTTCTGCTTTGGTTTTAATTTCTTTCGCCGATTCGTCATCCCAAGCGAACGGTTTACCAATGGACAAACATGACTGCAAAGATAATAAATTTTATTATGATAATTTACAATTTTCTTAAAAAATTGTACTTTGTCGTCGTAACCCATATCCATCCCGTTATTGTTCAGTCCAGTTGCTTTCAGTCTTTTGGGCATAACCTCAACATCATCTTCATCTGAGCTGTCTATCCTCTTTCTCTTTTTGTCTTCTTTCGCTTCTTGGAAACATGTTTCCGGCAAATTCACTGCTTTACCTGTGTGCTCTTCGAGCATAGATAGCTCAAATCGACTATGCTGACGATCAGCTCTAAGAAAAAGTGATATAATGAAATATGTTTACAAAAACAAATTTATATTTACTTTATCACTTTTACATAAACAAGTTTTCCAACTGGAAATGCTATGTCTAAGCGATTTATTGGTTTTGTGTAGGCGTATTTTTTTGGAACTTTTCCAATAATATTGTGAGCCAAACTGCAAATGTTTAAGATATAGGTATTGGGATAAAATTTAAACTTAAAAGAAATGAACCGTATAAAAATTCCTATGTTACTGGCGCTTTTTACAAATCCTCTATGAACTGAATTTCTCATTATGTCTTTAGTTTCTAGTTCAGGATCTTTTACATCAGTAGCATTTGACAAGCGAGATGGTCTTGAGGAGAGTGTACACTGATGAGGTTTAGTCTCATCAATTTTTAGTATAAAGCATTCAATAGCTTGTCCTGGCTTAAAATTTTTTAAGTCTTTTATGTGATCATAGTTGTCCACCAAATCTGTCATGTTAATTCGACCCCTGCAAAAAAATTTCTGATTATTCCTTGAAAGTATAGAACTTCACTTACCTATATCCGTTGGGAAGATTGACAACAATTTCTTTAGATTTTATAACTTTGTGAATTAATCCTCTAACCTTATTACCTTCTACCAATTTTACATCATCTATAAACAGTTTAAAAGAGTAAATGATAATGGTATAATAGAATATAGCAGTAGCTTTACCACAAAAAGTGACTTCTAAGAGGTCTTCTGACACTGTTTTTATAACCTTAGCTTTATAACCACAATTTGGTCGGAAATGGTCCAATGGTTTTTGCAAAACCTGTATTACAATTGATTGTTAAGTCTAATTAGCTAGTGTTTATTCTCTAAATACTTACATCAGCATTTTTCGACAGACAGAGAAGATGAGACCTCGCTTTCAATATTGGATTAATTTCAAACCATAAAGTTTTTTGGTTTTCATCATACTAAAGAAGGATCTTATTAGAGATTTAGGAAATATTAAAATAATATAATTACACTTTGTACGTAGCAAATAACATCGTCATTTTCTTTGTACGTTGTTTGGGGTTGAATAGATTCAGTTATTTCTGTATGATCGGTTAACAGAGAGCATTCAGGCATAGTGTTTCTAACTTCCATCTTTCTTCCAGGCTTTAAGGTCCTATTTGTGGAGGTTAAGGATTAATAAAATGTTATCTGAGTATTAGAAGCTTACTTTAATGATTTTGTGCATCTATATCCAATAATGGAAACGGTTACCGGATCATTTATACTATATTTTTCAAACAAATTAACGCCTTCTTTAAATTTGTCCGAAACGTTACTGATATGAATTCTGCCAGGTACTTTCCCAATTTTAATATATAAGCTACAGTGGCTTATTCCAACAATTCTATCAAGATGTTAAGTTTTACTTCATATGGTAAACAAATGAGTCGATACTTACGTGGCATCTTCCTTCACTAAGCCTAATGAAAGATTGTGTCCTTTGACCATACTGTCAAGATTTTCCTTTTTCGCTTTTATTTCCGGATAAACAATTATCAAATCATTAACTGTGTTCTCAATTTCAATTTTCATTTGCTGACCAACAGCATAATTTTTACTCGATAAAATATCGTTAAAATTTCTTTTTGTGGGCATAATTGCCATTTTCCCAGCAAGAAAATCTTTAAGCATAACAACAGCAACATCATCTCTAACTAAAAGAATTTCAGCCAAAACTGATGTACCTTTTTTCGCCTAATAAATATTTAAAATGATCACTTGTTCACAAAATAATTGTTGTACCTTTGTGTACTTGGTATCCAAAACCTTCTTTTTCCTATGCTGAACGAGTTTGTCTTTTGCGCATAATTCTAAACAGTACGAATTTAAATCCACAAACAGAACTATTGCTTCAATAATGTCCTTGGTTTTTACAGGTTTCTCTAATGGAAAAAATGCAGGCTTGCGATTAAAATATCTAGTTTTTACTAATTAAATAATACCTGGTATAAAATCACCAACGACGACGCAATTAGTACCACCTTCAACTGTTTTACACAAAAATCCATCATCTGTTATCTTTTCAACTTCAACTTTGATGATATCTCCCAAATTAAAGTTCCCTATTGCTTTTAATTTAGGATCATTTGATTTTTTAGTTTTTTCTAAAGACATTTGATAGTCGCTTATCCAATCTTTCACTAATTCTGGATCTCGAGGAATTGTTTTTCCGAATGTTAAAGAGGGTGCAGTAGCAAGAATACATCTCGTTTTTTCTAAATCTACTTCCATTACTTTAGCTGTCAGGGTTTGGCCCAAAGTAAGGAAATTTTTTGGATTTTCAATTTTTCGATCAAAGAGGAGCTGTTAAATAAGTCGTTAATTTAAAATATAACATTTTTCAATAACTTACTCTATTTGGTACTAATCCAACAAGTCTATTGGGCATTTCCACAAAAATTCCATAATCCATGAATTTTAAAATAACTCCGGTGACAAGATTTTCTTGCTGTAAATTATTAATTTAAATATTCATAAAAAAGTTATTTGCAATATTATACCTTAACATCATCCCATGTAAGTACAAGTGTACCATTTTCTTTTGCCCTCAAAAAACTCTTCTTTCTTGTAACAATCTGTGAAGGCGGAGATATTGGTATTAATATGTAATACTTGATAATAAGAAACTAACAATAGCTGAAGCTTTTTGGAAAACCATAACTTCCAGTTCATCTTCAATCTCAAAACTCGAATGAATTTGAGCAGCATTCTGAATAGAATCAGATAGATGGCGTGTTGGTAAAAATGCTTTAACGTTTTCAGATGTCAAAACCACGTCCAAACCATCTTCATTTTTGGCAAGAATTTTGGATTTATAAATCTATCAATAGTAAATAAATGTAGGAAAGTTGCTTGATAAATTTAAGCACTAACCTTTCCAACTTCAATTTTTTCAATATCCGGAGAACTTTTTGAACCAAATGCAGGTTTATTTTCAAGCCTGAAGCTTAATAATAACTTTCCTTTATCAGATTTGACTGATAGGACTCGACATTTGACAATTTGACCCAAAAAGAAAACTTTGCTAGGATATTCAATGCGTTCAGAACTAAGTTCTCTTTTGGTTACAAATCCCTAAAAAATATAGTTTAGAGTATAGTTTAAATAAATAAATAATACACATTTATGGTATGATGGCATATTCAATGCTTATACAAACCTTTATATCATTAAGGAAAGCTACCAAAACACCTTTATCAGTTATTTGAACAATATAGCCACTTACAGTCTCTCCAACTTCACATTCATTAAGAGAGCTTATCATTTTACCTTTAAGGCCAAGAATGGAATTTCTGCAGCTCATTTTAATTTTTTTCTCGCTTGCGTTAACAGCAATAATCTAAAATATTGTTAAATATTACTAGGAAATATGTAATGTATCTTAATTTCTTGAGTCTTACTCTGCATTTAACTTTCGAGCCTTTTGCAGGAGTTTTTTCCAGTTTTTTAGAAGTAACATCTGATAAATGAAACTTTGGAATAAATCCATTAATTTTGTCCGATATAGCTGCTATAATTCCTGTCGTCCTAACATTTAAAACGGTAGCTTTAACAATTGATCCAACTTCCACATCATGATGAGATAGGTATTTCTGATTTAGAATATCTCTGAAAATAAACAAATTAAGGCTTGAATTAGAACACAAATCATGAGCAATATATATATATATATATAAAGTATAACGTTTTACTTTTTCAGAGTAACGAGAAGTTGATTATCGACATAGTCAATATCCAAAATGCGACACCTGAAATTTATACTCTCTTTTAAAAAATAATGAGAAAATGCTTAAAAAAGTTACAGTTGTTTATTTTCCAAGGAATCGATATTGCTCAAATGATCCTTATCCATTTGACTTTTCTGAAAAAGAATTGACCTTTATAACAGCATATATTACATTTGAATATATACAAACTGGAGCAAAGCATTTAATTTTTTCTTTTCCAACGACACCAAATATACCTCTTTGGTTAACAAATTTTGCTTTTCTCATCTCTGTAATTTCTCCTTTAACAAATGAACCAAACGGATTCTTTGTGCTCAAATGAGGATGAACAATATGAGCCAAATCGGACAGAGTGATAATCTTCATAATAGGATTAACAGTTAGGATCGAACAATTAAATACGTCTTCCTTGGTTACATCAGCCAGATTTTTAGACATATGAGAAGAATGTAAAGTTCCTTTTAGCTTTCCAAATTTGACGGCAACGCCTTCTTTATCAATCTGAATAGAGAAAAAGTTGTTTTTGTAACAATTGTAAAGATTTCAAAGACATATTTACTTTAAAAACTTTGCACGAGAATTTCATTCCAGGAACGAGACATTTAAATGGCACAGGTACACTCTCATCAATCTAAATTATGCGAAAAAATTAAAAGGTAAAATAAACTTCTCAAAAACAAACCAAAGTTTCGTAGACGGAGTCAGGTTCTGCTGTTATTTTAATTGATCTTGACTCTTCTGTTCCCTCACTGTCATTTTCCACAGTAATTAAAAACTGAATAACCTGTCCCTTATGTATCGGTTGGCCGTTGAATTCTTGAAATTTTTGACAATCTGAATTTTTCAGAAATCCTATAACACCTTTAATGCCAAAATCTACGACGAATCCATACTCCTCTTCCGATTTAATACTTCCAGGTAAAATCTTAAAAAAATAAAAAATACTTTTTGACTTATATTGTATTTTCTAATACTGACCATTCCAGTTTTCAGGTCTTTTCTCGTGATATTATAGTTTACAAGTTTTGGATTTATAGTTAGTTCAATCTGTAACGAAAAGTTTTAGATAAAAAACAAAATTTATCAATTCTTCATTACTAACTTTTATCAATTTTTGCTCTGCTTTCGATTGAACAACTTTGCAAATAACAGGTTGATTTATACGGAAAAACTCTTGCAGGGATCCACAAACATTCAGCTTTAAATAAAAAAATGGTGTTGAAATTATAAAGCACATTACAAAACTTTAAAACCTTCGGATTTTTCTGATGTTCTTTTAAAAGGAGAGTGTAATGTTCAGAAATACTAGTTATGGGAATGTATCCAGTTAAACCATTTGGTAAACACACAACTAATTTTAAATCTTGAATTTCTTTAACGACTCCGTATATAAGAGTTTCAGATTGAATCGCCTTAATAAAAAAAAATTTACATCCAATATCCTTCAATACTATGCACTTTTCAATTGCAAAATATAAACCTGAGGGCGAAGAAGTGTAGGTTTAAAAGTGTCAGCTGCTAAAATTGGACCGGTCACAATGTCTGATGAATTTTCATTTCTTTGGGAAGCATCTTTCAACTTTCCTTTCTTCAGCTTCTTCTTTTTGGCCTTAATTGTAGCGGTTGATTAAATTGAAACAGCAAATAAATCAAGACTTACCTCCGAGTGAACTTTCAAAGGATCTTCATCGTCAATCGACGTTTCTCGATTTCTTTTTTTTGAGTAACCTCCTCTTGGGAAGTCTTCCTCCGCTTTTTGCTTACTCAAAATTTTCTTTCGGTTTAGGAGCATGCTGAAAATTAGTTTTATTCACTTTCATGAAAAAAGCACATGGTCTATCTAAAGAACACTTTAGAAAGTAACTTATCTTGTAATATCAAAATGGCGATTTAAAATGGCTAGAACAGGGGCCATTTTGAATTATTCACTTGCTACATGTAATCGCTCTCATCAGTGAAAATGTAAACTGGTGGTATTTTGCTTACGTCCTTGACCTAGCGACCTATTATCGGCGACACTTGATGAATATTTGCTTTAAGAATTTCCTCTCTGTGGCGGATTTTGAATGAGACGAGAGCTTAAATCTCTAAAACAACAAAATCTTGATCATGCAAGAATATGATAGTTTTTATGAGACTTTATCAAGGAGCAAATTTTCCAAACTAGAATACAATTTTAAATCATTCGTAAGAAGTTTATTTTTCTCTTGAAAGTTTTGTTTATTCACTGTTTCAAACAGCAATTTGAAGATCTATTTTCAAAGGACAAAAGATCTCTTCCTGATTTAGCGTGCTCAGCTGAAAAGATCAAAAACGAAACTGATAATATTAAACATGGATATAAACAGTAAGTTATACCAGACATCTTGCTTAAATTTAGCTTCCACGATTCTGCCGATTTTTATAGAATTAAAATAACTATTATTTAAAACAAATGTTTAGGAATAAACTGGATAAATCCGAAGAAGAATATAACCCGGCTCTTTGTAAACGACAGCCAATTCTCGAAACTCCCTCGTTTGTTCAATCTTTAAACCCAAAACCAACTGACGGAGATGTTGTAATTATACCGTATTTAAACTTGTCGGGAAATAGTCAGAGGTATTTATAAATAAAATTCGAATTAAATATGAGTTTTTCTTTAGTCATTAGTTTTTTGTTTTAGATTATCTTCGCCAGAAACAAAAACCACAGCAATATGTGTTAGTACTATCTGTATTACTTTTTGACACAAATTAATAGATTTCGATACAGAAATTAATTGAAAGCTTTAATGATATTGTGAACGCATATGAAGATGAAAAAAAGCTTGTTTTAGAAGAAGAAGCTAGGCAACAAAAGTTGGCTGATGATCGAAAGAGACAAGAAGAGGAGCAATTGAGATTAAAAGCCCAAAAAGAAGAAGCTATCAAGAGGAAGCAAGAAGAAGAGTTGCTTAGGCGAAGAAATGAAGAATTGACTGCAAAAAAGAAGGAAGAAGAACGATTAAATAATCAAAACAAAATTGAAAATACCACAACAGCGAATATAGCCACAATGACTGGTCAGTTCACTATTCTTTTTATGTTTTGTGAGACAATGATTTTTTTCAGCTGGACGAGCAGATGTTTATAAAAAATACATGGATATGCTGGAGAAGATAAGAAATGAACTCCAGGATTTCATGAAAGAAGAACATGTATGTTTTTTCCCAATATTGTGTGCACCTGAATAAATAGACTCACGTACACTTGTATATGTATTTAACATGCAGATTGAATCCATGTATTTATTACAGAAAATGCTACGTACAAATGTTAGAAAAATCGCCAGATTGTCAATCAATACAATACCTAAAGATGACCTTCATAAATCAAGAGATACTCTCCTCAAGTTGGATTCTCTTTTCTCTGGCAAAGATACAACTGTAGGTGACATACCAATAACAAATACCAGCAGACATCCAAAGGGAAGATTGTATGCATATTTTGAGACTGCAAAAGCATTTATTGAGCAGGGTGGATCACAGATATCAAGTACTCCAAGTTACGGATTTATTATGGCTGCCATTGCAATTGGTATTTGTAGCCAACATCCAGACTTCAAAGAAATACTTTTGGGCATGATTTATCAAGCTTGTCCTTTTTTGTTACCATTTTGCCCAAGTCCAAGCTCTGCCAGGGACGAAACGGATTATCTAAAGTAAGTATTAATCTGATATCTTTTTTGAAATCACGAAATGTTTTGAATATTTTGAATTAGATCTCTCGGTTATAAAGTCACTGATGGAAAAGTTGAGGATCAAAAATACTATTTGAAAAGAATAACAGGCATCATCAGATTTTATGCTTGTTTAGCTGTATCACCTGTACCAAATCCCAGCCTCAATCATCCTTTCTCATTAGAAGTAAGCTTTAAGTTTAATTCACGCTTGGTGTAAATTAAACATTTTTCAGAATTTATGGATTCTATTGGCAACAATGTCTATGATGTCTCCTATTCGTGATATTTCCGCTGGCATCGTTCATGAAGTCTTAGTGGTATGTTAGTTTGTAAACATACATAGGTTTAAAAAAGGGGCGTTATACTAGTGTTGAAAAGATAGCATTATTTTTAAGAGAACAAAAACCAGAGCAGTCTATATTTGACTTCTAATGCTCTATTTAGAAGCTGATAAGTGTTTGAGAGGGCCTCTTCGAAAATAATACATAACATACTTGAACTTTTATTATTTTTTATTTTTTGCTGTATTATAATTTCAGGTTAGCGGCAAACGACTTGTTTTGTCTTATGGATCTCAATTCATAAAGCTACTAGAGTTTATAAAAAAATTCTATCTACCAAAAATTCAAAAGGCAAGTCGACCTAGCAAATTTTATTCTGAGAAATTACTAATCTTGTTTACGTTTTAGGATATTGGAGAAGAAGGTGCGTCATTCACAAGATTAAAGGTCTTTTTAGAGATTGCTTTGACCAAAATGGAATTCAATGACCCTGTTGGCATTTTATCTAGCTGGAACTGACTTATGTTTTTTAGTTTAAATTGTTACTTTTTAAATATGAAAAACGATTATGTAATTATTAAACTTCTTGTTATAGATTGAATTAAATTTTAAATATAGAACAGATATTTTCCGTATACATGTTCCATATAAGGAAATTTAAAAATAATTACATAAACAGATGTGAAATTTGAAACCATCAAAACAACCGTTCTGATCAAATCTATTTTTAAACTTTGGCGCGGAAATTAAAATTTGATTCTGTGTGTTTTGCATATACAAATCCTTGACCTTCAAAATTCAATCACAACGGCATTTCAAAGATTATACCGATAGAGTCATCTAGATTTCTTGTTGTCCTTGTTCACATTCTTTACTGACCTCGTGACGCGAACATATGTAAGTAAATTAATTAATTATTAGAGTGGATGAATAATCAGCGCGCCACATATTCAACCAATCAATATCGACTTGTCGACGCGTCAGTTTTTGGCTCCAAAGGTTTCGTAATGCATTTCAGTAGTATACGGAAAATTTAAAGAGAGTTATTCATTCACTCTTCTAAATAAAGTATATTTGTTCTGATCAGAATATACTAATTTTGATTAAAATCAGCAAAATGGAGACTGTTGAACAACATACTGGTAACGGTACAATTGAGTAAGTACCATTAACTTTTAAGTCTAGCTGATTAAATTTTATGAAATTTTTGTTTAAAAATCTAATAATTCCGTGAGATATATAAGATAAAGATTTTTTTTTGTATTCAGTACATAAGTACACTTGTCCTAAAAGTATGACGCGTTCTTTTAAAAAAAACAGATCCATTGAAAATCACCAAAACGCTTCTGTGATAGAGAAAGAAGAAATTATTCAAGCCCTAAATGGTCAGTATTGAAATTTTTCGAAAAGGATTCTTTATGTAGATTGATAGGGCTAAACATTGATATGAAACATGCCTTATATAGAGGAGAGAATTCTATTTATTGAATTATCGATCTCCTGTTGTTACCATGTGCTAGGATAAATTTCTTTCATTAGATATAAAGAAATTTCATATTTATGACTTCTAAGATAGAATTTCTTGAATATATATTATTTTCTAGTTTAAGTTGTTAAAATTACAACCAGCGGAGTTCGGTCTATTTCACAGGTGTAATAATAGTATAGTATATGAGATAAAAGATTGTAGACATGATACATTTGTAGGAAACATCTGTTCATTCTTCTATTATTGACACAAAAATAATTTATAAGGAAATAGGAAGACTTAGCTTACGATACTACTATCGAATATTGAGTAAATGGTTCTTTTTATTGAGGGTAATACAAATATATCAGGACTTACTGAACCTCGACCCCAGTAAATTTTTATCTAAATAGTTTCTAGGACTAAAATAAGTCTAGTTAACAATTAAAAATTCGGTCAAATGACACCTCTATTCTGTAATTTGCATATCTAGTATATTTGTTACGACAACACTAATTTGTTAATTATATGATTAACACGAGAAAACACGATAAGTTTTTAAAGATCATTTTTTCGGTATTAGCTAATTTTAGCATTTATTTTTAGGTCCGGATCAAATTTTAGCGGCTGACAAGACAGTTTCGGTTAAACGAGATGGGGCTGTTAAATTACGAATATCAGATAATGGCCCATCATCAAGGAAGCCTTATTCTCTCGTCACGTTGCTCAATTCAGCCGTTCAAAGAATGCCTAATCACAATGCTCTTGCTTATAAGCAAGATCAAAAATGGAATTATATTACTTATCGTCAATATTTGGACGAAGTGCGAACAGTTGCAAAAGCATTTATTAAACTTGGATTAGAGGAATTTAACGGTGTTGGAATTATAGGATTTAATAGTCCAGAGTGGTTTATTTCGGATTTAGCTGCAATATATGCAGGAGGCTTAGCAGTAGGAGTTTATACAACCAACTCTCCTGAAGCTTGCCAATACGTTTGCCATCATGCTCAATGTAATATTATAGTTGTTGAAAATGATCAACAGCTTCAGAAAATTCTGAAGGTCAGAAACGAGTTACCTTATTTGAAAGCCATTATTCAATACAGAGGTAAACCTACAGCTAGCGACGTCTACAGTGTAAGTGTTCGCGAAAGTTACATAACCTCTATTTGAGTGTCCAATTTTTTGCAGTGGGACCAATTGAAAGAAATTGGAAGAGTTGAAGATGAATTAGAGTTAAACGAACGTATAAAACGCATTGCTGTTAATCGTTGTTCAACACTGATATATACTTCAGGAACAACTGGTTCACCCAAAGGAGTTATGTTGAGCCATGACAATGTAAGTCCTACATTCTTTTATAGTACAGGTTAGACAGAAGTAAACTAAACAGACAAAGTCATCACTTTCTGTTTGAAATATTACTGATATAATGATAAAATTTTAACAAAAAAGATAAAGGAATACTATCAAAGATATATAACATAAGATAAAATTATTAAGAAGTCTAAAGTGTTAGCTTTTATCGATAAAGGTAAAATAATGGATGTAGATGGGGTTTTTATAATTTGAGGAGGATCATTAAATTAATTAATATTTATCTTTCTTAAAGTGTACATGGACAGCCGAAATGTTGAAAATGGAATCGCGACTATCATGCGGAACTGAACATTTGATTAGCTATTTACCCTTAAGTCACATCGCTGCTCAGGTGGTTGATATTTATATGCCTTTGATATTGAACGCAACTGTCTACTTTGCTCAACCAGATGCTCTAAAGGTTGGAAATTTATTTTGCAAAAAATATTTAATATTTAATAGATGTAATTTTGTTCAATTAGGGCTCTTTGGTCGTGACTCTAAGAGAAGTCAGGCCTACCGCATTTTTAGGAGTTCCTAGGGTTTGGGAAAAAATTCAAGAAAAAATGATTGAAGTTGGCAAAGGCATAACAGGACTAAAAAGAAAATTAGCTGACTGGGCAAAGGACGTTGGATATCGCGGAAGCATAGCGAAAATGAATGGGTAATAGTATTAAAAGCTTATAGTAATTTCTTCCGGCTTCTTTAATTATTTATCTCGTTCAGCGCCATTAAACCTGGCTCTAAAATGAAACGGTAGGTTTGCACTTAGAGACCGTTGTTACAAGTTTCTTTCTTTAGAGAATTAATTAAATAGTCTTAGTCTGGAAATGAAGAGAGCATGCATTTAGTTTTCTTAGTTTTTTTTTAAATAGAGCTCCCTTCATGTAAGTAGCAAGATATCAGAACCTTTTGAAGTTCGAATTACTCATGCGATGGCTCCAGCATGTCTTTTTCTTATCCTCCCGATTGTATTGAAATAATGTGTCTAATTTATTCGAAAATAACATTTTAAAATAGAGAAAGAGCTTAATAGGAAACTTTAGGGTTTAACTAAATTAGTTAGACAATATTGTCAGTTTTTACTCTTTATTTATGAATAAACGTTAATGTCATAAATAGTCAAGCAATGGCGTAGAGGTAAGTAGGCACTTTTCTGCCTTATGGAAAAATGTATTTGAAATTAGCGATTGTTTTTTTGTCTTTGTTCTATTATTTCCGTCGCTTAGTAGTAGGTTTATGTATTAAAATTGAAGATCCTGTAGATTAAGTTGCGCATACCGCAAGAAATGTGAAACATCTTTGAATAGGCATGAAAATGTATCCAGCCAACGGAAGTAGATTGTAATTCTTTTAAAATAGAATCTTTTACATTTTTCCTCTATTTAAAAAATTGATTCAAAGAAATCGATTAATTTTGCGAGGCTATTGTTTATTTCAATTTCCGGTAATTGATGTGTAGATATCAGCTGGTTATTGGTTATAATGCTCCTAAATAGAATCAGATAAAGATTTAAACTTGATTTGTGTCCAGAAAATTGAATTTCAATACTACTCTTATCAATTTTATTCCCTTTCTTATTTCTTATATTATTTTAAACAATTACGTTTGCATGAACAAGCGAAGGCAATGTTTAGTTCAGAAGCTTGAAATTTTGTTTTTATTATTTTAATTTATGATTATGAAACAAAATTTTTGCAATTAATATTGATAGCGAGTTAAAAATTTTAAATTAAACAGATCTTCTTATCCGTATGGTTGGAGTATTGCTAACTTTCTCGTCTTCAAAAACATTAAAAAGAATCTTGGCTTAGATCGTTGCCAGTTTTGCTTAACAGCTGCTGCTCCTATCACTATGGATACTCTTGATTTTTTCTATAAACTGGATCTTCCAATCTTTGAAGTTTATGGTATGAGTGAATGTACAGGACCTCATACAGTTTCAATGCCATGGCGGTTTAAAAAAGGTAGTGTAGGCTCTAACTTAGTTGGAGTGGATACGAATATTGAAAAGACTGAAGGAGGTCCTGATAGTGAATCAGGAGAGATCTGTATGAAAGGAAGACATGTTATGATGGGCTATCTTAACGCAGAAGAAAAAACTTCTGAAGCAATTGATAGTAACGATTGGTTGCATACTGGTAGGTTTTTTTCAAGTACAAATATTCTCATTAATGTTTGAAAATTTGTCATTAAATAGGTGATATTGGTAGATTCGACAAGAACAATTTTCTCTATATTACCGGTCGATCGAAGGAACTAATTATTACTGCTGGAGGAGAAAATGTTGCTCCTGTTCCAATCGAAGATTCCGTTAAGGAAGTGTTACCCGTCGTCTCAAATTGTATGTTAATTGGTGACAAGAGAAAATTTTTGTCCATGTTGATCACTTTAAAAACTGACGTTGATTCGGAGGGTACTCCTCAAGAAACTTTGTCATCTCCCAGTTTGGACTGGTGTAAATCAGTTGGATCAAGTGCAAAGACAGTGAGGGATGTAACTCAAAATCAGGACGAGCATGTTCTTAAGGGAATACAAATTGGAATTGACAAAGTAAATGCCAAAAGCGTATCAAGAGCCCAGAAGATTCAAAAATGGACAGTTTTGCCAAGGGACTTTTCAGTTCCCGGCGGAGAGCTTGGTTTGTATATTGTAACATAAATTAAAAATTAATCTCATATAAAACTTTCTTTTAATAGGACCAACACTAAAGCTAAGACGTCCTATTGTAAATAAAATGTATGCTAAAACCATTGATACATTTTATCAAGATTAATATTACATTGTCTACTAATTGAGATAAGGCACAAGGTTCTGTGATTCTCAACTCTACCGCCTTATTGAACACCCCTTATGTTAAATTGTTATGAATAAGTTTCTCTCCAACTAAAATCTCTCAGTAAAATAAAGCTAGTTATTGAGCACATCCTATCTGTTCTGTTCCTTTTGAATGTCAGAAATACAGTTTTATTGAAACTTAGCCATATTTTGAGTAAATAAAATTATATTCTCTTTTAATTGTTATTTGTAAAGAAATTGAACTGGTTACAATTTTGCCTTGTGATATATAAATGGTAAAATTACGTGGAGCTCGTAGCCACCACAAAAATATAGTATTCGATTTAATAATTTCTAACCCATTATAGGAATAGCTTTTCCAATTACGCCTTTTAAATTTATGAATTATTTCATTTTATTCTTTAATCTATGGCTAAAGATACTTGTAAAATTTAATCTAAAAAGGAATACAAATTTTAGATTAAGAAATAAATATTGCAAAGTATTTCAGCAAACTTTAAAAATAAATTCAAAATGTTTCCTCTAAACTTCACTAAAGAATACAGCGAATATTTTTTAAAACTGTCTCTGATAAAAAATTTATTTTTAACTTATCCTTAATCAGTAACGATTATCTAGAGAGAAAAATTACAGTTTACACGCAGACTGTGTGCAAAATGACGAATCGATTAATAGTGTTCAATGCAAAAAGCAATTGTCCAAATCATGTGATTGCAAGTAATCAATTAAATAACAACGAGAATCTGTGACAAAATGAGCGAAAGCTTCGAAGGGGTTCATCGAACTGTCTGCAATATAATATCATATGGCGTGGGTCATGTTCTTAATGATTTATGTGCTTCCATGTGGTTCACATACTTGCTGGCGTACTTACAAGGGGTTGTTGAATTTGATTCGTACTTAGCAGGATGTCTGCTACTCTTTGGTCAAATAGTTGACGCAATTTCAACACCTTTCGTTGGTATAGAAAGCGATGCCACCAGTGGATTTTTTAACTATGGGAAGAGAAAAAGCTGGCACTTACTTGGTAAAGTTTTTTTGGCTGTTTTATACAATGGCATACATAAATGCTATGAAGCTTTGGTGATTTAATCCAATATAATATTGTTTTTTAGGTTGCATTTGCGTTGCCCTGTCATATCCATTTATATTTTGTAACGTCTTCCAGTCTTACAACCCATCATCAACTGCAAAATTTATATTTTATGCACCTCTGGTGGCTATATTTCAATTTGGCTGGGCCAGTTGTCAAATTTCTCATCTTTCTATGATTCCACTTTTGACAAATAAGGATTCATTCAGAGATGAATTAAATGCTTGCAGATATATATTTACAGTATTATCTAATATAACTGTATATTGTCTTATTTGGATCCTGTTGGGTAATGATAAAGAATCTGCTTTAACACCATCGGATCAAAAAGTTTTCACAGTAAGCTTAAAGAATCTATGAAAATTTTTCTCAGGCTCTTTTATTTTTTCAGTACTTGGTGCTGATAATAGTAGGTATAGGTATCTGTTGTGTTATATTCTATCATGTTGGTTGTAAAGAGCCGTCTGTCAACCGACGTATGAGTAAATTAGTCTCAGAAAGTCAGATTCAAACCTCAACAGATGTGAAAAACCTTAAAGTCACCCCTTTGATGTGGCTGAAGCAAAGAAAATTTTATCAGATTTCAGTTATTTATATGTGTACAAGATTGATTATTAATATATCTCAAACATATTTAACCATGTATTTACCGAATTCAGTTGATTTACAAAAAGTAAGCCATAAAATAACTATGTAGAAATGTACTTTAATTGAATATTTTACTTTCAGAAATATATTGCCATAATTCCTCTCGTAGTTTTTGTCTCGAGTTTGGTAAATTCGTTTCTTGTCAAATACATAGATAAAGCTATAGGAAGGAAGCTCACTTTTCTTACTGGCTTACTTTTAATTGCTGGTTCCAGCACATGGTTCATGTTTATCTGCAAAGAGATTGGCTGTAATAAGCAGGTTTTCGGAGCAGCAGTTTTACTTGGTGCCGGTGGTTCAACTCTTTTAATAGAATCATTGTCACTTACTGCAGATCTAATAGGGTGCCATACCGTACGTATTATAGACATTGAAAAGAGTTCTTTTAAATTATCTGCATACTTTTGATTAGGAGAGTGGGGCGTTTGTTTATGGATCCATGAGTTTTACAGACAAATTGTCAAATGGTGTGGCCGTTATGATTATCCAGCTATACAATCCCTGCGGGTAATTGATGAAATGTTGTAGAGAAATATACTTAAAACTTTATTTACTTTTTCCAGTAAATTGCATAAATGTGATGCTGGAGCAGCTTACTTTAGAGACATTATGGTTTTTGTGCCGGCTGGTTCGGCAGCACTTGCTCTATTATTTCTATTGTCTTTGTGCGGAGATGACGTTGGAAATTTGACTGTAAAGAAAAGGAAAAAAGCAACTGAAGAAGGTGAGTATCTATTACAAGTATCTATGAATTATTCAACTTGACTTAAAAATTACAGATGCTTTACTTGGAAATGAAACAATTAGCTGAACAATTCATTTTATAAGAAATATTTATAAAAATGCTTCAGGTGCACAATTTTGATATACTTTTTCTAAGTCAATTACTTTATCTAATTTGTTAGATAAATATATTGAAATATAATTATCTAATCACTGTCGCGTGTGCAAATTTTTGTTTGAACAAGCTAAGGTTCATACTTAATTTTTAAAGCATAATTTTACAATTATCATATGTCTGTAATCCATTGTATGTATCAGTTGAACCACTTGAGCTACTTACAATTACTATTCCTCCAGTCTGATTGTATTCAAATAAACTGTGATTTAATTTCTGATTAGAAAAAATAACTTACATTAAGTTATTTGAGACTGTCTTTTGTATATACTAAAAGATAGCAATCTTATTTTTAAAAATAATTAGTTCATATTGTCAACTCAAGAATTGACTGAGCAAATTGTCTTAGATTATGTTTATCAAGATTAACAGAAGTGAAGATCTCTGTGTTCAAAATCTAATTTTTTTTGCAATAAATAAAAGACGTTCCACCAAGCGATATTCAATCTCTCAATAAAAAAATTGTTAAGCTTCTTTAGAAAAACTACTTGAAAATTTTTTGGTATGATTTTGTGCTTATAGCTGTTATTTATTACCTTCAAGTGTGTATCTGTTTAAGCGGAGTATCAGGGTTGAAACTTGATCATTTATTTAAAGTAATTTTCCCTTTTGCTTCGTCAAAAGTAGATAATGTGAATAGCGAATAATACTGCTTGAAACATGAGATAACTTATCTGAATTTCACTTTTGTTCTTTTCTATGGCAGTTCTGAGATAAAAAGTGATACACTTTGCTTTCTAAACGCAAAAAAGTTGATACAGTATACTTTTTTCATAAAGTAAAGGCTGTTTTGAATAGGATATCGAAAAATTAGCATTGACATTTTGGATAGATCTGGATAGGCCTAAGCGAAAAATGAATTATTGGATTACAAAACATGAATAATAATCCGATTAGGAGCCTTGAAGTAGTCGATTCTTTTGAGTAGTTGTAAATTCATTAGAGTTTTTTTTTATTTTTCATTTAGCATATTTTGTAAGAGCAACATAAAAGAGGAAAGTTTAAAAAATTGAACTCGCTAGTTTTAGATCATATCCTTTTTATTTAATAAAATCATAAGACTAATTTACAATGAACGATTTTAAATATGTATATAAATAATATTAACTTTATTTGCTTAGCAATAAAATTTCCTTACCAAATAAATATCTTCCAAGACTTCACCAATATTCGATTATAGCATTTTTTTTTATTGTAAATCAATTAGAGAAATGTAAAATCATTATGAAGATAGAAATATCTATTGATTGTAGATTATAGTTGACTTACTTTCCGCAAAGAACCTTCACAATCGTGAGTATCGATAAACATGCAAGACTTGTACTTCTTTTTCTTTAGAATGGATTTCTAGTAAAGTAAATTTTTCAGCTATATCAGAAATCTATGAAAGACTTTTTTGGAAATAGTTTATCTTATCGTATCTCTTCAACTTAAGGAAGGAGTACTATAAAACATATTTGAAGTTTTCAAGTAGGCAATCAATAAAAGTCTTCAAACTAGATTGTAGCATTCACGTTTGGATTTTGGAATTTTTATTAAATAAAAGTATTGGCCATGGTTTCCTTATTCATAATTATTATGTAAATAGATATACTGCTTTTTTTCTTATCTTGTTTTTATGTTTTCATTGTCATCCTCACTATCTGATGGTTCTTGTACTTCAGAGTTTCCTTCATCATCCTCTCCGTTTTCCATTAACTTCTGCATGAGCATTTCTTCGACTGTGATGACGAAATAAATGTCTATGCAAAGAGTATTTCAATTTTTGGTATAACTACAAACCTAAATTTCTCTCTTTCGGCTGAACAATGTATTGAGTAAGAATATGAGCTTTACAAGCATCACATTGCTTAGTAGATAAGTCTTGAAGTTCTTTAGGATTACTCCATTCACCAAGGAACGAGAGCTTATGGCACTTTGGACATTCTGTATACCTCTCGTATCGACATCCTGTAAGAATTTTAATATAATTCTATGAAAAACTTTCAATCATGCATTAATTGTTTATGCCTATGTTAGGCTTAAATGAGATTGTAATTACCAGCTAAGATACAAAAGACACTATATTTTTGAGTATAGAATATACCTTTATAGTTGGATAGCGCTCCCTCTGCATCGTATAATATAGGTAGAAGAACATTCCAAATATCCTCTGTTGTCTCGTCCAACTCCGAATTTATATCATGAACGACTTCAAAGCGCATACAGCTGCTTCCATCTTCGTGTTTCATATTCTTCATGTACAGTTTTACTGGTTTTTCTAAACTCTTACAATATAAACCTCCTCGCCATATATGAATTGGAACCAAGCTATGTTTTGTATCATTCGCGCTCACGACAAAGTTTTCGAAAATACCAGGTGGCGTATAGTTTGAAAAGCGGAATACTATAGCAACAGAAGGATTTCCTTTAGTGGATTCGTAATCCTTCTTAAATTCGGGTGGTGTTTGACTTTCTTCTATTAGCCAAGGTATACAAAATCTTGTTATTTTATGGAGGGTGTCAATTTTCTCCCAGTCATCTCCTTCGCCAATAGTTCTTTGAGATCTGGTTGATTTGGAAGAGGTTGCCGAAGTTGGACGTTGCCGCTTTGAAGCCGAACTTCGACCAGTTTTACCCCCTTCTGACGATTCTGTTTCTTTCTTCGTAGCTGAAAGAAGCTCTTGTCGATCTGTCGGCTTTTGAACCGGGAAACCAATATGAAAATACTCGAGGAGTATAAATAATACTCGAAACATTGGCCTATTTATTTCTGTAGGAACAGAATTTGCCCATAGGGCTCTCAGTAGGTCTCTTGTTATTGTCCCTTTTCTTAATCTGTCTTGCTTTATTTTTAAGAATCTTGTTTCGGCAATTCCCACCTAAAAATTTCAGTATACAGTATTAAAGAAAGACGAAGTTTTTGTTCAAAAATTTTCCCAACCTGTTTGAAAACTTCATCAGAATGAAAGTCAACCTTTTCAAAGTCATGTTTAAATAAGGCATTCAAGACTTCACATAACCAAGATGGTCTTAATATTATCCACTTACTAAGAAAAGGGTGCTCCGAGTACCAAATTACTTTTCCTATGTCGTGTAGATATCGAGTAATGTCAATAATTAAGTGTTGCATACCAAACTTGTTTATAATCTCTGCTTTATAATCATCGAATCTTACTAGAGGAAGTTGCATGTCATCGCCTTTTTCCTCAATATAATATTCGACGTCGACCCATAAAGTAGGTATTGTTTTTGTAACTAAAGGGTAACATTCTTTATTTGATGCTTTCTTAATTATTGCTCTTTGTAAGTCTTCCATTCCAAACAAATTTGCTGAACTGAAGGCTACAGCAGTATCGGTGGAATAAGGAAATTCTAACAGTTCAATGTATTTTTGTAGCTGGGCTCGAAGAGCTTGGGGAATATACCTTCTATCTTCTATTCTTCTAACGTCTCTCTCTATGCTCACTAAGTGATCCATTGCATATTTTCTAAGTCTTTCGCTTACTTTTTGACAAATTTCTTTTGATCTAGATCTGTCTATCTGATCACAATGAGTTCCAACCGCCAAAATATGGAGTTTATTTATGCGGCATATTACCCAATCCAGCCATGGAGTCATCTCTTTTTGGAAGTATTCTTCATTATACTTTTTTATATTGAACGTTAACATAATTAGGGAAGGTTCATGCAGGAAGTAATTGTGAGTATAAAGATAATGCGTATTTCCTGAAAAATCCCATAACGCAACCGGTAAGCATTTTGCCATTGGATCGGTATCTTTCGGATCATGAGGAATAGAGAAATTATGAGTTGTCACACCTACAGTGCTCTCTCCTTTTTCTGTTAGTCGTGATGTTTGATCGATCATAGATTGAATAAGACTAGTTTTTCCACTATTTTTGGGTCCAATAAGGAGAATTTTTAAACCTCGAAAGACTGTCATTTCACTCCGTCGCTCAGTAAAGAATTGAACTAAACCCTATAATTTAAATGTTCGTTAAACTTAAGGAAAATAAAGTTAGTTTGTACAAACTTTGACGCCATCGTCTGCAATTTCGGGAGGGGGATTTGACATAGGATTATTTTTGATATTTAATTGTTGTCCCGACTGCAAATCAAGTCTCTTTAAAGCTGTTTGAGGAACAACTCTAATTTGATTTGCACTTAGATCTATCACTCTAACAATCTGCAGTAAAAATTCGGGAAATTGTTTTAGCTCATTTGCTGATAAATCGACGTTTTCAATCAATCTTTTCGGCTTTCCTCTGACAGTTAACTGTGGCATTTTGGATATTTTATTGTGACTTAAATTGAGCAACTCCAGTTGCGGAAGAAGAAATAATTCAGAAGGAATATGCGCTAATTTATTATTAGATATATCAATAATCTTGGTATGTTTTAAATTTTTTACATCAGAGTCAATATTCCTGATACTATTCGTTGCCAAATGCAAATATTCTAGTCTTTTTAGACCGTAAATGTCTTTTGGAATACTATCAATCTTATTGAATATACAAAAGTGAACATAATTCATTAATTTATAAATAATAAATTTTTGTGACTTACTTGATTATGCTCTAATACTAATTGGACAAGTCTTCTAAGTTTCTCTATACCGTTAATAGTTTTTAATTGATTGTGGCCTACTTTCAATCTCGAAATCTTTTTCAATTTTAATAGCACCTTTGGCAGTTGGGTTAAACGATTATGGCTGACATCAAAATCTATAAGATCATCTAGCTCCCTTAATTTTTCAGGTATTCCTTCATCTTCCAAGAGATTATAGCTCATATCAAGTCTTTCCAAATAGTAGAGAGTACTTATCATCTCGTCAGGCACACTTCTTAATGCTAAACAACTTATATCCAATTTCCTTAGCGTAGATGACATGTTTCGGACTCCTGACACAGTCGACCGATTCAAATCAATCAACCTAGCTGTTGTGGGACGCTCTAAACGAATAGGAAATCGCTGAGGAACGAGATGCCGACAATTTTCGTATCCAATTTGAGCGATGGGAATGATATGTTCTGAAGTTGATTTACCATACCTTGAAAAACCTCTGGGTGTCCTTTTACGCCTAATTGTAGGTGGAGTTCCCGAGCTAGTTCCAGCCAGCTTCGGTGACGCCGTTCTGGACATTATTTCGGCTTTTGACGGTTGTGAAGCTGATTTTGTATTCCTAATAACAAATATCGAGAGATCACTAGGCGAATCGATTCTTTTCAATAATCTATTGATTGGTATATTATCTACTATTCATGTTTTTCTCATGAGTTTACGCGACACAATGAACTCCTGGCGTTATTGTTTATACAAATACTCCTAACATAAAGAGAGAGCGTAATTAAAAATTTCATAATTTAGATGATAGCAGGAGTGAAATTATTGCAAATATAAGAACGCTATATGAATGAATAGTACAAGTAGCAATCTACTTATAAAACAGCTTACACAAATAAAATTTATTATACATATAGATATTTTATATATCCCACTTCTCGAATATTGGAATCTATGCGATTAGTGTTAGTTTACTCGAAATCTACTTGAATAGATTTGAACGTGTTAAAAAACAAGTACCCTGACTGAAAATTTGCTTAAATTATATACAAATACAAGGCAATTAAAAAATATATGTTGAGGGGACGGATCGTAATATAAGTAATAGTCTGGTGAGATTTTTCATAGTAACTTTCAGAGATCCGATTAAGATTTCTGCCTAATTAAAACCCTATTTATTAAAATTCTTAAAAGCGAAAAAACTAACTCTAATGGACCGTTTTTCCTTTTTTACGCCCCTTTTGACTGGACTTTATTGAATATAGCACGTTTTGTGTAATGAGGAGTTATTGGTTTTTCCTTGAAAAGCAATTTTTATTGATGTATCGAAAGAGAAAGAATACTTATTTAGTTTTCCAAAACTTGAAGCACATTTTAAGCTATTAGTTTTGGCTTTAAACTGGGTCGAACGTGAGTTTTACAGTGTACTTTTCTCACCTTGTAGATATCTATTCCCTAAGCATCAAACAAATATTTTTTTTTAATAAATAGGCTCAATTAGCCTTATCAAAAATCTTTTATCAAATAGCAAAGAGAAGTAATTAAAAAAGTGGTTAACAGTCTTTAATGGTATTTTTAATTACAGTAGCAGTATTCCTTGAATGACAGTTTGTCATTTTTCGATAGATTTATTATTTATTAACATAGTCTTTTCTCTAATTAAGTTACATTTTATAGCTTTTTATTCCCTTCTAATTGAATGTAATTAATATACTTTATGTTAGAGATTAAAGTTTCACTTCCATTGTATTTTCCTTTCAATCTGTTTTTATGTTTATTTTCTTATTTACTACATATTTACAATTATATAAATTATTATATATTGATCTATTTGTATGACTGTCAAATTATCAAGATTTCAAAAGAAAGGAATAAGAAAACAATTTCATATATATTACTAAGAAAAGTCCAAGTTTACTGAGAAAGGCTGTATTTTTGATAGTCTTTCATTTGTCTTATATAATATCAATGATAAAAATAATACTAACATATTAGATATCCTTCAAACTTATCAGCAAAAGAATATAAGAATAAAATCGCTATACTTCTTCTCTCTATGTTATCTTGCTTTTTTTTAGGAAAGAAAAAGTAGAATCGAATCCATTAATCCCTTGGAGAAGAATTTTTAGATCGATTTTAGTTTAAATTGCTTTCGAAGGTATTCAATTTCTTACCTGAAGATCCAGTAATAAAGTTTGAACAAATAGCAGTCTGTAGATTTGTCTGTCGACTTATGGATATTTTCGGTAATAGGCCTGTTATCACTTAAACCTTCCTTTTATTGACTTATACGTAACGTCTATCGATCAATTCTTTTGTATTTGTTGATAATCGCAAAGTTGTTAAAAAGAAGTAATTATACGGAGAGAGCTGTGCTAAGTGTTTAACGAGAAAGTTTGTTGGCAAAAATCGAAAGAAATTCTACTTTAGTATAAAAATATAATAGAAACGCGACCGATTATGGTCTCGGTTTACGTCTCTTTTTTCACTTAATCGATATAACATCGATAAAAAATCTGTTCTGGGCTCTTTTTAAATGTGATCGATTTTATTAGCTTTCTGATTAAAGTTAGGCCTTATAAAATCTTAGTGTCGCCATCTAGAGTTTCTGATCAACATTCATTTGCAGATTATGTATTCAATATTGATAACGAATATTACGTAATGTGATAAAACAAACAATTAGAACAATGCAAACTATCTTTATTATAGGTTTCCTTGTACATTTGACAAGAGCCATCGTAGTTAAACATAAAAGCGATGCATTGTTGAAAAGATATACAGTAGCTTGCACAGTGTAATTTTGAAATGACTGCAAATTCCCTTAACAAAAATCCCCCTATTTGTTCACGACTTCTAATTGTCAGCTTGTACCTTTGATTGGAGGCTATAAGATAAAATATTTAATGAATGGTTTTACTTTTAATTCAGATACTTTATTATAAAACTAACCAACGGGTTTCGCTCTACTTAGGCCTTTAGAAACCTTCTTAAAATGTATTCATAAATATCAGTTGAAGTTATCTAGCTATTTAAATTAAATAATTTACCTTTTGGCACACTACTGGAAATGGAGTTTCACAGCTTGGTACAGTTATCCATTTACCATATGAGGAATCAGGCTTCATCGACAAACCGACGCAACTAGGTGTATATAATAGATTAGATATTGCAAAGTTAAGGAACCCTGTCTCAATTTCATCATCATCGTTAGTTAATAAAAGAGCTGTTTTTAAAGGAGGTTTGGTTTACTGCATACTTAATTAATTTTAGTTCATTCTTACGGTTTTTCTGTTTTAATCCAATCCACACAACTGAAATGTTAATATTCTGTTGTTTCATACGAGAGAGAATTAATGTAACTTCTTCATTTTGTATGGTAGATGTTAATCGTAACATTGTACCATCTATAGATTCACAATAGTGTCTGCAAAATAAGGATAGTTTTAAAATCGAATCTGTGATGTTTATTTTGTAATGAAAGGATACTTAGTGTCATCAAAAGTTTTCATAAATTTAATTTTGTTAGTATAATAGTATGTATCAGTAAATGTTCCTTTTATCCATTCTTGTCCAATGTCACAATTATAGAAAGCGAGATTGAACATAAAACTTAACTTGAGACTAATTATTATTTTCATTTTCCAACTATGTTACACGTTTCGTCAAACCATATACTAATTTAAAATGACTCTTTAGTTTATGTACTCTTACATATATAGAAAAAGAATGGGGTTAAATGTGTTTATAATTTCTTGAAGATATGTGTTTGTTTACTATAAACTTAAATCTCTGTCCACTGCTCTCAGATAAATGTAGGAAAATATTGAACTGTAAAACCTTTTTCTAAGGGTGTTTTGTGCACTCGTATAACGTACTTCCGATACCCAAAGTAAAAGTAAAATTAGAATGCATAACAGCTTTAACAGCTTTTCTTCAATGGATTCTTTCTAGCTGTCATTTATTTTTTTTCCAATATCAATCAATGAATTGATTCTCAGAATTCACTAAGCCTTTAAGACAACATAACAGATTGCTTGCTGTTACGGTTGGTTGTTAAAGTAGCCTTTGCAACAAAGGCAATGCAAAGCTTATAGGGAAAAGTGGAATTTTACTAGTAATTGTCACCGGTATTTACTTCAAGGCGTAATATTCGTGTTGATTGTAATTTTAGATTGCAATTGTCTTTGTTTCTACTTTTCTTAATTCTATAAACGCATATAAAAAATAACTTTTTATAGCGAAAGTTGAAATGAGTTGAAAGACGAGAGATTGGTAAATAGGAAAATTTTTTAAGAATCTACTTGTGATTGCTGTTGTTGCTGCAGATGTAAAATCAGGTGTTGTAATTTCAGTTGCTAATGAAAAGAAAATAGATATTGTTATTATTTTCATTTGCTTTATTGTAAAAGAATATTGGAAAAAAGGTATTTACTAACTCTCTTGTACTTTTGTGCTAGTAGCAGTCGTCATTTCAGTAGCTATTTGATCAAAGGAATAATGGATTATTGTAACAAGCATTTTATCAATGCGCCTATTTAGTTACTTGATTTGGTCGTTGTAGGTTCAGGAGAGGTTATTTCAGCAGTTGTAGCTATTTGTGAGAGAAATCATAAGATAGGTATACTTTATCTTAGTAATACAAAGTATCATAAGGCGCCTATATCTATGACCTCAGTCATAATGATTAATTGTTGCCTATTGTTGTTAAACAAAAACCCTTCTTTCTATTTATAAAACTAATCAACTTTTTATGGTATTGATATATTTTCAATAGCTAACTTTCAGTAGACTATATATAACTGAACTTGACCTACAAATTGCTCTTTTACGTCACCCCGATCGTTCAGATGTTGTATAAAATCCTCATTGGAAATTTGCTTTCAGTTCTAACGATTTTCATTCATAGACAATGTAAAACATTGCATATATACATCTTATATAGGAGACCGCTAAACGTTATCGATATTATTTCTTGTATATACAATATAAAGGTTACTTCCAACAGAATTCAAGAACATTTTTAAGAAAATGATGATTCTGTTTACCTATATTTAGCTGCATATTACCACAATTAAAATTCTTCGCCTTATTGTCGTCCATTAAATTCTGGGCTTGTTGACATACAACTCCATTTGATTCGTAACAGTCTGTTCTTTTGGACCACTTTGCATCTGAAGGACTGATCGAAGCACAATTATCGACATTTGGTATCCCATTTTTATAATTTTGAAACGTTAACATTGTTCTATCAAAGTAGCGATTCCTCAAGTAGGGCACGTCATTGGGTTCATCACCTGTTAATGTTAAAAGGCAGGTGAAAGCTGTCAAGCATCAAGAAAGTAAAGAAACTTACTAAACCATTTAATTCCTAACCAGAAACCAGAAACAAAATTGGAATCAGGAAGTTTTTCAATAACATCTCCTACAAACTTGTTCATGTCATCTTGCTCTACTTTTACCATTATAGCTCCAGCACCCTCACAGCAAGCTCTGATTTGAAAAAGTATGAAACTGAGTTTTACAGAATTATGCACCATCTTACTTTGCTTCAACCCAACTGAAACCATTAGTTGAAGAATCAGCTCCAATGCAATAAGCTTTATTATTTATTTCGTATAGCTCCCAACCATCAGGACATTGGCAGAATATCTTACAGACTAAAACATAAAATATGTAAATAAAAAAGTTATTTATTCTTCCCATGTTACTTGCTAGTAGCCACCTGAAAGAAATATGACGTATGCTTTATTCAACCTCCATTATAAGGCGTTAGAATAACAATATCGTCTTTGATTATTGAAAATCATTGCAAATATTGTTTATTTTTAATTGATCTTGGGTAAATCTTTCAAAGATTTAGAACAGTAACAATCTTATTGTTAAATGAAAAATATTCTGGTGATTTATTACGGAAAGTCGGCCATTCATAGAATAATAAATAAATAGAAAAATGCTGAATTTCTATTCATAATGTTTATAAGATGCTTTTTGGTTTAATTTCTATATTTATTACATTTTTCATTTCTTAAATGATCAAAGCATCCGTATGAATGAAATATTAAGCTTTTACAATAAGTAACTCACTAACTCTTTAAATACTAATATACGGTATATACAGTATATATGTATTTTAATTATCGATAATAATTCATAAAAGCATTTGGAAAAGAAATTTGTATTTAGAGTATGCTATTAAATATGGAGAAAATAAAAACAATAAATTTAGAATGTGTCTGATTTAGCATTCACGTTAACATAAATCATTTATGTCTTTCTATAGTTAATTTTGAAAAAGACCTTTATGTTAACACAATGCCATAATATATCGTAAAAGGTTTCAAATAATAATAATGAATAAATGAAAGTATTCATTAAAGACTTGTACATTTAGGACGGTCATTTCACTCTATTGGTTTGAAGATTCGAAATATGTATTATTTCTTTCGTGAAATATTCGTTATAGCAGGAATTTTTATTTTAACAACTATATCTGCTCAACCCAATGGCATGTCTCCACCTGATGAAAAAGGTCCTCCTCAACCTCCTAAAAATCGAGACAAAGGGATAAACTCAACAGAAGATGAATCAGAATCTTTCCCTGATCCTTATAACCGTCATTACAGTAAGAGTTTTTTAAATAACAAGCTTCAATTGAAGGATAAATTAAAATACATAATATGCCCTAATGAACAGGTATTGAAGAGTATGAAGCAGCTCAAGCTTGCTCTGATCAAACATATTTGACAGCTGGTTGGTATCAATCACAACCATTTATTTATTTGGATGAATGGAATAATGTAACAGGTCTTTGTGCTTAGATATATTTATATAGAGTTTTTAAGATGTTTTACTATTAGGACCATATGTTTCTATGCTACAAAATGTTGTAAAAATATGCTGTGGCAAGTATGGAATAGTTGAATTTAAAGAGAGATATTTACATCAGCCAAATATGGAAAGTTTTTATGAAAATGAAACATTCTTAGTACCAGTGGCGTATACTACACTATCAATGGTAACTGAACCAAACTTAGAAGATTCAAAATATATGCCAGTGGTTGAATCACCAGGTTTGAAATCACTGAACATAGCTAATGAAATTGAGAATATTCATTTTTCTTTTCGTAGGGGCGATAATAATTAGAAATAAGAAAAAATTTCAGGTAACGCCTGGATTAGACATAATTATTGCTGGTTGGCCTCTCCTCGTTCTTATTATTATATCGGCTCTTTACGCAGGCTTACTTATGTGGGTTTTGGTAAGTTACTTAACTCGTTCGTCTTTGAAATAACAATAATATAATAATTTCTGACAAGGATTGCCGATGTAATCCGGAGCAATTTCCCAGAGAATTTCATAGTGGGATGTGGGAAGGATTTTGGTGGGCCTTTGTAACTATGACCACTGTTGGATACGGAGATAAGGCTCCCATGTCAGTTTCTGCAAGAATTTTGGGAATAATCTGGATTCTTGTTGGTCTGGTTATTTTATCAATTTTTACAGCCGCAATGACATCTTCTCTAACTGATGCTGGAAAAGATGACAAAAATTTAAAAGATGTTGACGTAGCTGTTGTCAATGGATCTCATCAATACCAGTTGGCAATAGCTCATGGAGGTAATCCGAAAAGTATGTAGTTTGAATACGATTCAAAAGAATAAAAACATTTAACAATCCTTACTTCCACTAAAAGTTTACGAAAACATAGAAGATATTATTTATGACGTGACAGATGGATACATAAACTATGCTTTGATTGAACATTATTCAGCAATGTATTCTTTAAACACTCATATGAAAACGAATGGTAAAGTTAAAGATTCGATTGAGATAGTTGGAGAAATACAAGATCCTTCTAGTTATGGAATACGATTACTGAGAAATAAGAGAAAAAGTTGTTTCTTTGAAACCATAATGCGAGTTCGTCATAAAATTAGTGCACTGATAATGACAAATGCGACTGCATTAAGAGTGAAATTATAAAATTCAGTATAAACTTAATAGGATTATCATTTCAATTTATTTCAGGCTATTACTTCAAAAGGACTCTCATCATCTGAAGCAAAAGCAGTTTTTCAGAATATTGACTGGATAGCTTTACTAGTGATGGGTGGAATCTGGCTTCTCCTTTGCTTCATATTGTTAATATGGCAATTTGGTATTAGAAATCGGTTAAAAGTAACCGACGTGTTTTATAAACGAAATGAATCAAGTTTGTATTCAAAGAAATAGAATTTAACTTTTTGTTTGAAAAATATATTACCTCTTAGGAAAACCTCCTATACGCTCTATATCACAGCAACATGTTTTATCATCCCCTGGCTTTCCAAAGAAACGAACGTTAAGCGATAATCAAACAAATATTACAGAAGTTGATTGACATCGTATAAAGAATATAATGAAATTATATCACACACATCATCTAGTTTTAGGACATTTATAAATAATCAAATGGTTGTATTTCCTTAGGTTGATGTTTTATCTTTTGTCATATTACAAATCTAAAATACCTTTTAAATTGGAGTTTAAATAGTAAAGTGCCTGTTTTGGATATTTATGCCTGATTATTGTCCATAAAAAAAATAATTGCATATATTTTATTCTTGTGAAATAATTATATTTATATGAATCGATTAAAAATGAAGCTAAACAATAAATATGTTTTTGTCATAACGTTGCTAGATTTCCTATGGTAAACATGCTGTATTATAATATTATGTTAATGTAACATTTTAAAAATTTGTTGGATAATTTCAACCTTTCATAATTAGCAATACTTTAGAAAAAGTAATTGAGAAAATGTCTGTTTCTTCAACTATTTCAACTGTTTTTACTATATTAAATAAACTTTTATTGAATTACTCATAAATACTCCTGAGCTGAATATGAGACTCATGTAGCTCCCTCTGCTGTACTTTTCGTCTGGAAAAAGTCGATGAAAAGTGCGCAATAGTTTCATACAGTTAAAGTATTAGTCTTTATCAATTAATTAATATGAAGTAAACGTTTGGTAAAGATGTGTATCTAAGCGCGTGTTTTTTCCCACTTGAACACAAAACGTAGAGTTACAAATAATATTGAATATAGACTTGTTTAATTTGCTAAATTTGAATAAAATGGCAACTAATAGATTACTGAAGTGCAATTTTATGATAAAGTAAACTATTTTCTATTGAAAATGCCATTAGCATACTTTTTTTCAAGGTTATAAAGCATGCTAGTTCTCCTGTAAGCTGTATAACAAGAAAAATCCTTTTCTTTTATTTGTTAGAGTTAACACGCTGTCCAACAGACTGCACTTTATAATCGTATTGATCGGCAAATAGAAACAATATTTGTCCTTCATTCTTACATTAAAGATGTCTCGAAAACTGTATTTCTTGGAATAATTCTGTAAGTTAGCGTACAGTTAACTATTCAAATATATTAGAAACACAATTTAGCATACCTTATAATATGTTTTAAGAATACAATAAATTCAACGGCAAACTCGAAAAATATCATTGGAAGATATAATTTTCCATCTAACTTGTCTAAGACCTCAAGGTATATAATAAATTGATACAAAAATAAAGTTAATTAAGGTGCAATTAAAAAAGCGATTCGTGTTCTCTTTCGTTCCTGGTGTCAATGATATGTCGATAGAATTCATGATATTGATTGCATTACTTTAAAGACTTATTTATTGTATCCATTTTGATCCAGAGGGATTGATTTAGAGAATTTTAATATTACTAATAAATTTTTGCCTAATTTGTATAGATTCTATTTTATTTCAGTTTTTATTGAATTAAACGAAAACACATAAATATTTGCAAGTAACCACCGTGAAAATTAAACCATGATTAATTTGAGCTTCCTTTGTTCAATGCTTTTCAAATATAGTTTTTACTTTATTCAAAAGAGCTTGATATCATATTTAGTTTATATTTATTGATAACTAAACGCAAAATATTCCAGTTTCTTTGACAGAATCAATAAAGAATTTATTTCTTCAAGATCTTCTAGCTTTGGTACTAATTATCAAGAGAAAATATTTACCAAGAGACGCCCACAGTAATATCGAATTTCTGAAAGTTATAATGTTCAATTCTTATTTTAATATGCAATAATTTAAGCCTACTTGCAATAGTAAAATACTTCGTGGATCAGGAATATTATTGTCCTAATGGATAAACTAAAAGAATATAGATGATTTATAGATAATGATTGAATTTATTACTAACTAAAAAAATAACTAAATAATTTAAGCATTCCACGTTCAAAGGTAACTTTTATGAGGATCTATATTCTTCTAGACAGCAGATCAAAACAGTTAAAAATATTTTAGACAGGTAGCCAGTCCAGCCAGTGAACGTCAACTTTTGGTTTCCAATGGTGTCACGGAAAACATGCGATCAATATAGTAGTTTAGAATTCAAATCAGACTAGGACGGCTGAGCTTAACACTTGAATATGCCTGAAGACTCGTAAGTTTTTTTCTCGCTCAAATATTAAATTTATACACAATCCAGAATAAAATATATAGATTTTTAAAATCTATTTATTTATCAAATATGAGTATATTCCCTAAGCTAATAATTATTCTATGTTTTAAAAAAGTGTCAAAGTAGCCGTCCGGGTGCGGCCGTTCAATCAAAGGGAGAAGGATAGAAAAGCTGTCTTAATTATTCAAATGAACGGCCAACAGACAACGATAAAAAATCCTGATACTCCTAGTAAGCTTATATTTTTTTAAATCATATTTTACATCTTACGCCTTTGAATCCAAGAAAAGTTGATTTATTATTATTATTAATTTGTTAAAAAAGCCTACTATAAAATAATAATAGCATTTAATTTTTTCCCTTGCAGAAGATGAACCTAAGAAGGTAAATATAATTAAACATATTGTATAATTATTGTTCAATTCATATCTTTTTCATTCAATTTTCAAACGCTAAATAGTTTGCCTTCGACTATTCTTATTGGTAAGCTTGCTGTAGTATAATAAAGATATCAAGAAATAACTTTTCTTTTCTACTTTTTCTAAGGTCACATGACGGTTTTTCAGAAGATGCTAATGGTATTCTGCAAGAAACCAATTCTAAATACTCTAGCCAACGTAAAGTATTTAACGATCTTGGACAAGGTGTATTAGATAATGCCTTTCAAGGTATGAAAAAACATTATATAACTCCTCAATTTAATATTTAAATTAAAAGAGAGAATTTTACGAAGTTACAAAGAATAAATTATCGACTTAGCTGTATTGAACATACCATTGTTTTTCAGGTTACAATTGTTCATTGTTTGCCTATGGACAAACAGGATCTGGTAAATCCTATTCTATGGTCGGTTATGGTGCTAATAAGTAAGAAAACATTATTCATTTTGACAAAAGAATACTCTCTGGACATTAACCCATTTCTTTCTCTAGAGGAATTGTTCCAATGACATGTGACGAACTATTCAAAACTATGACAAAGGGAGCGGATTCAAATAAGGTGGGGTTTGGATACTCAAGCTGTTTGTTTATTGCTCTTTTCAGGCGGATTTAAATGCGGTCTACAATAAAGTATTAAAAAATATCCATAAAAATACACACAGAATTTGGTATCTAAATACTTTGATATAAATAGTCACGAACAAGACAAATTTATTTTTAGGCATTATTCTTTCATTCAAAGAGACAAAATATTTTCAAATATATTGTAATATCAAGAAATTAGGAAATGTATACTTACAGCTATATTTGTACTAATAAATCCTACAAGAAAAATCAGAATGAATAATTCATTTTTTACTTCCTTATTTTCTTAACAGAGGTATGAAGTTACATTTTCAATGCTGGAAATTTATAATGAACAAGTCCGGGATCTTTTATCAAAGGATAACCCTAAAGGAGGGTTACAAGTTAGACAAAATCCCAAATTAGGCTTATTTTATGTAGTCAATTTAAAAAAAGTTCCGGTAGGAAGCTATAAAGAAATTGAACAGCGTATGGATCAAGGTACAGCCAATAGGACAGTGGCATCCACGAATATGAATGCTACTTCGTCCAGAGCTCATACGGTTGTCACAATTACTTTTGATCAAATTATTAAAAAGCCTGATGGAGGTGAAACAAAGAAGAGTTCAGTAATGAATTTGGTGGATTTAGCTGGCTCCGAAAGGGCGGAGAGTACAGGAGCTACAGGGGATAGGTTAAAAGAAGGAGCAAATATTAATAAATCATTATCAGCTTTAGGAAATGTAATATCGGTAAGAATACTGTTGCAAATTATTTAAGATGTAATTCAATTTTATAAAATTCCTTCACAAAAGGCTCTCGCCGAAAAATCAACTAGCAAGAAAAAAATTCTCGTTCCTTATAGAGACTCTATTCTAACTAAGCTCCTTCAGAATGCTCTTGGCGGGAATTCAAAGACTGTAATGATAGCCGCCTTATCTCCTGCGGATATTAACTATGATGAAACATTATCAACCCTCAGATACGCTGATCGAGCAAAGAAGATTAAGAACGAAGCTGTTATTAATGAAAATCCTATAGACAAGCTAATAAGAGATCTAAAAGAAGAGAATGAAAGACTAAAGAAAGCGTTGGAACAAGGAGGAACTATAGATACGGATCGAAAGACAGGTATGTCTGATAATGAGCTCATAGAAATGAGACGACAAATGGAAGAAGAAATTCGTCAAAATTTAGCCCAAATGGGAGAAGGCCAAACATTTGAAGAAAGATTAAAGGAGGCTCAGGCTGAGGTAACAAATGAACCAGCCGATCGTTCTGCTTCTGTACCACATCTCTCAAACTTAAATGAAGATGCTATGCTCAGCGGAAAGTTACTTTTCTATCTGGAAAAGCCGTCAACTAAATTTGGTAGAAAAGATGCATCGACTCCGTGCGATGTTCAGTTATCTGGTTTAGGAGTATTAAAGGAACATGCCTCTATAGAAAATAATAAAGGAGAATTCGAGATAAAACAATTAGATCAAAATGCCAAAATTAAAGTCAATGGATCGCCTGTTAAAGGAACAATGAAATTAGAACACCGTGACAGATTGCTCTTTGGGTCAACACATTTGTACGTATTCCAAGATCCATCTCAGCGAAAGAAAAATGAACAACCAGTCACTTGGGAAGAAGCTCAAAATGAATTGGCCCAGGCTAAGGGCTTCTTTATGAGCGATAATTTATCCAGGGATCAGCAAATAGCTCAGGAACAAATAATAGAACTTTTACCCTGGGTGAGCGAAGCTAATGCTATTTCAGAGGAATTAAACAAACGAAAATCATTTGAAGTTGTTCTTATTGCTGCTGCTGCTCAAGAATGGGATGTAAATAAGGAACGTACCACTAAGGTTACAGTAAAAATGAAGGATTTGATAAATAACAATACGTGGCTTTGGGATAGAGCCAAGTTCACGAACAGGCGTTTTCTGATGGCAGATATGTATATGAAATGGTTAGAAGGGGATATTGATATTTCAAAAATACCAAAAGAAGAAGATCCCTTCTGGGAACCAACCGAGGATGTTTTAATTGGAATAGGTAATTTCTTTCCTCAAGCTTTGGGATACGCCTTAGATTTTGATGATGTTATTGAAATCACTGATTATAAAGGTCAATTTGAGGGGCAGCTCTCAATGCAAATAATACCATGCTCAAAGAATGGTAAGCCAAATTCAACAGATGAATATTTGGACGATCCTTCTGAACTATTAGGAAAAGAGTTTACTTTTAAAGTTGTCACAAGATCGTTACAAATTCAAAAAGCAAGATTCTCAAAAGGTCTTTTCGTAAAATATAAAGTTTTTAAAGACGAAGAATATGTTAAAACCGATATAATAAAAGGAACATTAGCACCGGAGTTTAAGCATACGAAAATTTATCATTTCCCAAAAATTACACAAGAGCACTTAGATTTTTTCGAAAATGGATGTGTCTCTTTTCTGGTCTACGGCATTCAAGAAGACACATCAGGAGATAAGAAATTGAGCAAAATGACAACAAAAGAGTTAAGACAAATTGACCACATGAAACAACCTGTCGAGAATAATGATCCTAAAGTTAGAAGCGCTAGTCTGCACGATGTAGCACACTTAAAATCAGAATATATGCTTCTACAAAGAAAATTCGAAAGATTAGAGATGAAAGAGAGGAGAATCAAGGTTACTATTTTTATATCACAAATATGCTTTATTAAATGTGAACATCTGCTACAGAGAATTGTAGATGAATGGGAAAAGAAGTCTGAAGAAGAAAAGGACTTTACAAAATTTTTTAATGTCGTTCAGGCAGCTGCACATGCAACGGGAACAAAACTTAAAACAAGAGTACAAGCAGTGAATAGGGTATGTCTGTTTTCATCATTTTATTTTTTTATCTGCATAAATTATTGTGCATGCATATGCATTAATTGATTTAGTTGCTTCCTGTAAACTTTCTTGTGAATTTATCACAACTTATTTATTAATAACTAAAGATATTAATATCATTATCTATGATTATTTGCTTGTAATTATCTTAAGCTACAACTAGGCTATTGTTCACAGCACGTTGTATAATATCCTACACAGCATTATGCCTATATCACTGATTTATCTCAGATTATGTTACTAAAGTATATAAATTTATATACAGTATATAGTACTTTTATATATATATATATATATAAGAACCTAGGATATTTATTCATACTTTATAAACTATATATATATATATATATATGTATACAGTAAATATATATAAATGTATATAGTATATACAGTATATTTTGTATATATGTACTTGTATAAAATTAATCCCATTAATAGAGAAGCCTGTTAGGTATAACTAATTACTAATTAGTGTCCTATTGCACCGAAATTCCTATAGGCTTTACGAGGTTTAAAACTGGTCCAACAACGCCCAGAATCTAACGATGATGTGAGATGCTCATTATCTTTTATTATATAAAAAATTTTCATTTTACGAGGAATTATTGTCGTTGTATTTTACCTTATTCAATATTCCAATATTTATCCTATCCCTCGTCCAAAACTGTCCGGTTTCTTATTTTTATTACTAGTGTTGTTTTTAAGCACCGCTTATTATCATTTTTTTAGAGCACAATTATTAACTTATTAATCGACAAAAACATTCTAAAAACAAACTTTTTTCTCAAAGTCACGATGCAGCGCTTTCTTTTTTTTGACTCTTAACAAATTTTTTAATGAGGTTGAACAAATTTAGAATTTTTATTTTTAAAAAAAAAAAAACAGAACACTTGAAAATAAGAGATCAATTCGCAAAAACAAGTCTCTTTCAAACGATTATTATTGTAAGATTAGCCGAATATGTTAGACTATTTTGATATTCAAAATAGAAAATTTTGTACTTGAATGAATAAGCAACGTATTAATAAACTCTTTGAGGGGAAAATTTATTGAATTATAATAATTCATGCTGTTTGTAAACAAAACTATATAATATTGGGAAATCCTTGACAACAGTGGCGTTTAATATACAATCTATATTGCATGGTAAATTTTATAATATGCATAGCAGTTACAGATCAATTAGAGCAAGAATAATTAATTAGAATCTCTCAGCAACCAATTAACACTTTTTTGTCTGATTACAAAGTTCATATCAATAATTAATTATCAAAAAGAAATATACATAGCTTGCTTATCATTTAAGTCCTAAATTACCATTCTCAGTAGAATAAATTGAGATATTCTTCTTGCTTATTTACAATTAGTTACATTTCAATTTATATAAACACTCGTCAATTGAATTACCATATTGTTAACAGATAGAGAGAGAGAGGAGATATAAAGGGAGACAATATGTAATATGAAATCAAGAGAAAATTTTGCGAAATGGTCAAAAAACTTGTTTTTTATTTTAAAAAAAAAATGATTTAAAGCGCTTGTTTGTGACATAAAGGCGACAAACAAACAGCAAAAAAACTATTTATAATTTCAGCGTGGCAGCGAGGCGATCAGTTTGCATTATTTCGGTGAAGATGAAGAAGAAATGGCTCGGATTGCACAGTCAAACAATGGTTTTGTTGATTACAATAAATTGAAGCAAAAACTGCCAGAAATTGACGTAAGAAGTCGAATACCAGCTTATTATAGTTTAACTAATCGTTAATATTAAAAAGAAAGAAAGATATATTTGTAGTGACTTTCGCACTTGAATTAGCGCACTTAGCTATTTTATTTAAAAGATAGAACGACATTTAATTTACCATATATGTAGTATTCTTACCTAATGTGGTTTATTCCTAAAATTTTTAACCCATCATAGCTATAGTAGTTGTTTAGATGTAGTCCCATATTCCTTACGACGGATAAAGAGTTATTCAAATGTAAACCTACCTTTTGCTTGTTTCAAATGAAACAGGAGTCATGTCTTGGCGATTTAAGGTTTTTTGCCACTTCTATCCTCCTGTTATGGAATGGCAAAGGGTGTAGTCTGAATACCTATTTATCTTCTATTTCAATGAATTCATATTTGCAATTATTTCAATTTTTTCGACGTTTTCAGGTACTAGCTGCTCATCGACGAGCAATTCAATCACAAATGGACGAGAGAAGAGAGAAAAATAATAACCAACAAAATGGAGATAAAACTGAAAGTAAGGCATGTGCAATTCAATGATATTCAACCAAAAACACTGGAGTTTTTCTTTTTTTTTTATTATTTTATTAACTGTGACTCTAATAATATAATGTTTTTGCTAATTGATTATGACACGCTATTTTGAAGAAATGAATAAATATTTGTTTCACTTTGTTAATAATCACTTTCGTCACTTATCTACTATATCTACTACTATATAGTACTATTAGGATAATATCAAACAAGCTATATAGTACACAATCCCGATCATACTATATAATTTCTTTCAGATATTTGGACATGATCACTAACAAAACATATCCATTAATCTATTATTAATTCTCTAATTTTACATGAAATGCTTTGACAATCAACTATATTTCTTTTTGGTTATTGTGCTTTTAATATATTTCACTTCTAATCAAAGTAATTCATAATTTTACAAAATACAATTTAGAATAAGGATTAGTAAATACAAAAATTATATGAACGATCAGGAAGGTATATACGCATTCAAGTTATATTCAAAAGCATACTAAAGACTTAGTGCTTATTTATTTCTATATTTGAAAAAGTTGCTTATATCCGATTGAGAAATTTCGCTAATCCTTTTAAACAGATGATTATCAACACGATCGACGGATTAACAATATTCCTATATTATATTGTCTGTTTTTGCTGTTAAACGATCATACTGCCATCTGGTATATAATATCGAAATTCCTGATATACCAGGAAAATGTGAACTAAAACAGTTCAGTACCTTTTAAACGATCGAAAAATAATGAGATCGATTATAATAGGATAAACTAGACTACTGTATTTTTTTCATTGTAGGCAACATTTAGCAGATATTAATCAGTGACGATACAATGACAGTAAGAAAAAAATCAAAGAGAGAAATCATCTATTAGGCCTTCACCGGAATGGGTGGGGTTGGGCTTTAGTAGGAGGCGGAAGCTATGAAAAATACTAAAGAGCCATATTTACCGTTAAAATTTTCTAGCCCCCACAATTGTTAAAATGTTATACATACTAATCAAATGGAATGTTTTAAAAAACAATTTATCAAAATTTTGTCACTTTTGCCGTGTTTGGAGAGGAAAATGTTTCGAATGATAGGCTTTAAACATAATTTTTCTATTAATTTTCAATTCCCTATTTCAAAATATCATATTTAAAAGATCAAGTTTTTTTTATTTAATTAAACACTACTGAAATAAATAAATAATTGAAATATAGTGAAAAACAATATAAAAAATAAGTCCTCGTTAGTTGAAGAAATCTTGCGCTAATTGAAATATTAATCTACATTCCAGAACAGAGGCCTACACGAACAATGGTATAAAAATAGATTGGTTGCCAATAGAGCAGGAAACTGTGTTTGAATTTTTTCTTCTTATATATAGAATTCTCTTTTACGTAACCCGTAGAGAAAATATTTGATTTAATTAACTAAATACTTCCGTTGGAGATAATCTTACGGGAAATTTTCACTTTCTGCATACTTTTAAAATAATTTAAAATTTTTATCCTAAAAAAATAATGCTTACTTGATCTTACAAAAGAAAGAAGACGATTGTAGTACCAAATTGAATAGTCTTATTTATACTCTGTACATTAATTATAATAGGTACTGCGAGGAATAATTAAGGTCGGTAAGAGCAGATTTTTATTTAGCTCAACAAATACTTTCAGTCAATTAATTGCAGTACATAAACCCATCCTCTGCAAATCTTTTTGTTAGATAACAACGAATGCAATTTATAGACTACCCTTTGAAAAAATATTTCTTCTCTCAAGAATGTGATTTACGAAAGGTAGAGTTGAATTCCTTAAAAAAAAACAGCTTATTTACAACCTAACGTATGTCACGTTTCACCCGCCCACAATGCGAAAAATATGTATTGCGAGGGAATCATGATCTCTTCTTTGTATTAAACAAATAAAGTTTAACCAGCATACGATTTCGTGATATTTAAGCCTATATTCAAATTATTTCTTCTAATCGAAGTTCCGGGTCAGATATTGACATTATAAAGTTTATTTTTATTTAATTATTCTATAATTTTCAATTCAAAACACGCTAGGAAATTTCTTGTTAATAACATTTGTTTATAAATAATTCGACTGTAAACCCACTGATGAAGCAATTTATTTTAAGAATTTAAAATTTATCGAATAGATGAAATATTGATTTTTAAAAAAGGTAATAGTTGTGTATATACACTTTTAATTTTACTATGAGCTATGAGTTATAAGTTTCTTTGAACATTTTTATCAATGAAAATATTTCCTGTGCTAGAGTAATATTTCCGGTGTTGTTACGCAACTAAATAGTATTTACTTAATAATATGATGAGTAAATTTATAAGAGAAGGTCTTTACTTACTCTTTAAAATAACTACTAAAAGCAAAGAAAACAAATGCCAAGGACTACTGAATACTAAACTGATAATGGAAAACTGTCAATATATTCTTGTATTTCTCTTTCTACATATTTTCAACCTTTTATTTATTCTGAGATTAAAAAACCATCATTAAAACAGAAATAATTCTTTTTAAAACATACGATTAATTATTCAGGAATGATGTGATTGCGTAATATTAAGTCAGTATTCACAAGCATGTGACCTGGCAAAACAATGACAATAAAAATATAGGTGTGATATGCAAACTAAAGACGCTTAATAAGGTAGGAATGTCGCTGCTACCAATGATGTTGGAAAGCGGTGAGTTAGTCATTGATTTACACCTATACGAAAAAACCACCACCCCCCCCCCTACACTTTTCTATAAATACAAGAAGCGGTAAAAATGGATGTCATTCGAAGATTGTCCTCCACAGCAGCAACGTTTTCTTGGAAAGCGAATGAGAATAGGATAATTATATAATTGGTGATTTAATTAATTCAACAAAACGCACTGAAATAGTTGGAATTGGAATTTTAGAATAGAAAATTAAAAAAAGGTATGTTATAAATTATTCTTCTTTCGGAAATTTTTTAAATATTTAATGGTGAAATTTTGAACGATGGACAGTCATGAAGTTACTATTAATTTCGTCTTCAATGGCTTAACACTTCTTTTTATATAGATTTGTTTAATCTATCTTTTTTATGTAAAAAAGATTTAGATTTAAAAGAACGGTATTAAAGATTTTTTAATAATTTTAATATAGAAATTGATTCTTTTAAAAGTATCTATTTTATTTTATATTTATTATAACGATTTTTGTATAATTCTTCAAGTTTAATATTCTGGGTTATCTAAGGCTTGAAAGTGAATTTAATAGTAAATTATGAAGGTATTTCAACTATTGACGTTAGAATGAATAATCGTTGCAAGAAGATTAAACACCTTTTAGAAAAACTAAATTTGTTCTCTTGGGTCACGAGAGCATTTCTGAATAGGTTTTGTGACTTTACCCCAGTTTTGGGCCAAATTTGTTAATAGACCCTTTTTCGTCCAATAATATAACAGAGGAATACAGCTCAATGAAGCGAATATTCCGTCTGGATATATTGACATAATACGCGGTGCGTTTCTATTGATTTGCTATCGATGTTCATTTCGTATGCATGTATGAAATTCTTGTTTCATTTGCTTAACGTTCATCTAACTTTCAGATATGTCTTTGGTAATATTTGCCGCCCTTTGTTACTTGGTATCTTCGGCACCAACGACGCCAACACCTAAAGAAGAACTAGTCGCCAACGAAGGTAAAAAATATTTTCGTTTCTTTTTCATAAATATTAAGTTTAAAACGGCAACATCTTTATAATGGTTAAATTATATTCACTAAAAGAGCAAGGAGCAAGCTCTTTAACTTTAAAAGAGCAACAAATAACAAATTGATCAGTAGAAAAAATGAATCAATTTCTGCCTATATTCTTTATTATTTACTCAAGAAAATTTCATCTTGAACGTAACCTTTGACTACAGACTTTGTAAATATAAAGTCGTCTGAGAACAGGTTCAGATATTTTCTCCTGTAATTGTATAACCTTTGGCTAGGTTACCAGGGACAAATATGTTCACTGTTCTTAACAGTCATTTACGTAATAAATTATTCATGAAAACTTAATGCTGAGTCATTAGTTAAATATTTAGACAAAAAATATAGGCTTTATTTCAAAGAATTGAATAATTGACACTTAGTATCATTGTTAAAATCATCTGTTCTCTTTTTTTTAGAGTGTACCCTCGCTGATGTTGTATTCGTACTCGACTCTTCTGGATCAATCACACTTCCAAATTGGCAAAAAATTCTTAGTTTTGTACAACAAACAATTGCTGATTTAAATGTTGGTCCTCATTCAACAAGAATTGGTCTCCTAACCTATGGTAATAGAGCTACTATTCAATTTCATCTGAACAAATATTCAGATAAGCAATCAATTATAAATGCTGTCGAAAACATAAAATGGAAAAACCAAAATACAAATACTTCTGGTGGGATTTATGTTATGGATAAAGTAATGTTCTCATCAGAAAATGGGGATAGACCTAGAGCTCCCAATGTTGGTATTATAATAACAGATGGCGTTAGCAGTGAAAATTATGGAGCTAATTTGACCATACCTTATGCTGAAGAAGCACGGAAAAGGGGAGCTACCTTGTTTGCAATAGGAATTGGAGACAAAATTAGTATGAAAGAACTTGATGGAATTGCTGGAAATAGTTCTAATGTTATGCTAGCAACAGACTTTGATACTCTATCAACAATAAAAGCAGCAATTGTCTCTAAAACTTGTGAAGTTATCGTTGAATGTAAAAGCTCTGCTGATATAGCTTTCATTCTTGATACTAGTGGAAGTGTTGGACCCCAAAAGTTCGACTCAATGAAAGGTTTCGTTAAGACGATGATTGATAAGCTAAATGTCGCCGAAGATTATTCTAATGTTGCTGTCGTAACATATTCAGATAATCCAAAGTTAGAGTTTGACTTAACTTCTCATCAGACCAGAGATGATTTGAAAAATGCCCTTGATAAAGTTAAATATAGAAGTGGTAGTAGCAACACAGCTAGTGCCCTAAGGTTGGTATCTAATAGAATTTTCTCAATGGCTGGAGGAGAAGACACTAGACTTAGAAATATTGCCGTCTTGATAACAGACGGAAATTCAAATGATTTGGCAGAAACTATAGAAGCAGCTAAAGAACTAAAACTTAGAGGAGTTGGAATTTTAGTTTTAACAGTAGGAAATGTGGATTGGATAAATTTCCATGAAATTTATGAAATTGCATCAGATCCTGATACTCTAAATGTTTTCCGAATAACAGATTTAAATAATATTAATGGTGTTGCAAGAAGACTAAAAACAGCTTTGTGCGATGAATCAATCGCATGCGAACCGAACCCTTGCCATAATGGAGGAGTCTGTATTCCCAGACTTGGTAATTACGTCTGCAACTGCAAAAATGGTTGGGCTGGAGATCATTGTACACTTCCATGCAAGCAATCAGCTGATATAGTCATTGCTTTAGACTCGAGTGGATCAATTGGAAATCAAAATTTTTATGGTCTGTTAAATACAATCAAAGATTGGATAGCAAATATTGATCAAGTAAGTTCGTTTATTTTATGGTTTTTATCATATTCAGTTATCATTTCAATCTGAACAGAACTCTCAAATCGGTTTACTGACTTTCTCTGACACAACGAAAGTTGAATTCAACCTAAATACCTACACTGGACGATACCAAATAAGAGATGGTGTCAGTTTTCCATATCGTCGCGGAGGAACCAACACAGCTGATGCATTAAGAGTTATGAGAACTAAAATGTTCCGTTCCGAGACTGGTGATCGGCCAAATGTACAAAATATTGGCATTCTTATAACCGATGGCAAGTCAGGCAATAAAGAAGAAACTTTCAACGAAGCTATTTTGAATAGGAATGCTGGAATTCATATGATTTCGATTGGGGTTGGGGTATCTGGCAATAAGTATGCCCAACAAGAGCTCAGAGGGATATCTTCCGATCCTGACAATGTAAATCTTATTAATGTTGATAAATTTTCCGACTTGCCCAATATTACAGAAAAAATCATACATTTAACTTGTAAAACTGAGAAATCCTGTGATCCCAATCCATGCAAAAACGGAGGAGTTTGTTTTGAGCGCACTGGTTCCTATGAATGTAGTTGTACTGTTGGTTGGACAGGAAAGAATTGCGATCGCTCTTGCTCAATTGGAGATAAAGTAGACTATGCTATAGCCATTGATTCATCTGGATCTATTAGAGAAAGCAGGTTTATTTTAGTCTTGGAAGAAGTTAAGAAAATAATAGATAAAATGCAAATTTCTAACGAAAAAGCAAAAATAAGCTTGGTAAAATTCTCTGATGACGCGGAAATCATTTTCCCTTTAAATAGGTATAACAAGAAGGAGGATATTCTTCAAGCGGTAGAAAATGTACGATATACTCACGGAAAAACTAACATTGCCGCTGTTCTAAGATTAGTTAGAGAAACTGTATTTAATTCCAACAATGGCGACAGAGCAGATGCTCCAAATATACTTCTCTTAATATCAGATGGCTCGCCGACTGTGGAAGAATCCGCAACTATACCAGAAGCCATAGAAACTCGACAAAATGGTATCACTATTCAAATGGTTACAATTGAGAAAAAAATTGATCTAATGACCAAAGCAATAGCTAGCAAGCCTTACAACTCAAATATCTTTTTTGTCAAAAGATATTCGCAATTAGCAACTTTAATTGACCCTATTGCTGATGGAGTATGCGACAAAGTCAATGAATGCTCTCCAAATCCTTGTCAAAATGGAGGACAGTGTATTGATGGACTGAATCAGTTTTATTGCAGATGCCCAGCTCTGTACACGGGAAAGAAATGCGAGTTACGATGTAATACTAGAAAAGATGTTGTTCTTATTCTTGATGGAAGTGGTAGCGTTTCAGAGCAATATGAAATGACTCAGAAAATAGCTTCTGAAATTGTTTGGTCGTTAAATTTTAATCAACAAAGAACAAGAGTAGGCGTTGTAACTTTCAACGATACAGCAACTGCTAGATTTCACTTAAATACTTATACTAATCAGCAACAAGTTTTGAATGCTATTGCATTTGGCCCACCGAGAGGAAGAACTCACACAGCTTCAGGATTAAACTTGGCTTCAACAGAAATGTTTAGCTTTTCAAATGGGGATAGAAATGGTGATGAAAATATTGCTATACTGATTTCGGATGGTCGTTCAAATGTTAATTCTGGTGCTAATATGGGCGAAGCCAGAACCTTAAAACAGACGGGAGTTAAAATTTTCGGAATAGGCGTTGGTAACAATGTAGATCGAAGAGAAATCGAAAGTATTGCCTCCTCACCCTCATCAAAGTACGCTCTTTTCATTAGAGAAGAAAAAGAGATTACTGCCAAGACTCGCTCTCTAGCTGAAAGTCTTTGTTTGTAGATCTTAAAGTATTTCTACTCTCTTGTCATGCTCTTTCTTTTCTTGCCAATTTGTATTATAAAAGCTTTTTTTATTTTGTCCCTATGCATTGAAATAGACGGATAAATTTAACGTTACACTTAAGATATAGACTAGTACAGTATATACTGTATACATATATATGTTATATCAAGTCATTACATATTGTACCCCACGGAAAAAAATTCAGTTTGTCCATATAGGTTTTGTAGAAAAAAGTCGAAAATGATTGATAGGATCTCTGACAGAAATTGTATGATATTTTAAAAAATTAAATTCAACATGTAGATAGTTTGTAAATTTTCCACTTTGCAAAGTTTTCCTAAGTTATAACTCTTTATATAATAAAATATTCATCGTTGAACATATCACATTATTTTAATTAGGTAAACTGTACACAGTATATATTATATATGATATTTTATATTTTTATATGTCATTTCATCAGTGTTTCTTTCGAATGAGCTATTTCATGTATATATTAATAAATTCTTAAATACAGTTAATTAACATAGCTTACAAAATATAATTTGCAAATTCGACACGGAACCTCGTTTCTTTTGTCCATTTCAAATTTTTAATAAACCAACAGATAATTAACTAATGATGATGATTAAGAGACAATATAACAGGAAGAAGAGCACCAATTACCATCAGTATCAACTGAGTTCTGGTAAAAGTTTTAGACTCTTGAATTATGATTGTTCCATCAGCCTTGACAGATCGTGTAGGAGATGATGATACGAGTTCTGGAAGGACATGCACTGTCGAAACATACAAAAAAGTTCCAGCACTGAATAGCATAGCTATTCCAGTTGCGTTTATGTCAGACAAGGCTTCTTTACTACCCTGTTGGTAAAATGTTTGTTATAGTTTGAAATATGTTTGATCAGTGTGAGTAGCATAAATAATGTAAGTCCCCGTTTTAAAATGCATTAAACAAATAAGTAAAAGCTGAATTAACCAATATTCATCTTTCATAAATTACCTGTGCAAGGCCAAAGAAAGTTAAGACAGCTGCTATTGGAGCAGCAGCGGAAAAAATAGCAAGATGCTTTTTTATTCTTGACCTATCGAATCCTTCATGAAGTAGAAATGAAGTTAGGCCAAAAGCTGCTGGAGCCTGTAGTGTCAGAATAATTTGATTTAAAAAATTTGTATATATATACGAATAATACTTTCTTGCCTTATGTAGCATAATAGCAGCAAATACGATTATTTCTACATGGGTTTCAGATGTCGTTGCAGCGGCTCCAAGGGCTATGCCATCAGCTTAAAAAAAGAGACTAGTTACAATTACATAACATTTAAATAAGATCTAAAAAGTCGATATAAATGAAAAGAACTATTTAAAATAAGAAACGGGGTAAATTTGACTGAAAATAGATCACACAATATACTAATATTTTCAAATTGTTAAACTTAAAAAACAAAGATACTCTTAGTATGTGAAAAGTATTTTGTTGACTAGATAATGCTGTCCACCTCTTCTGACAAATTTCAAGCTAGTTAAGGCTTTGTAAAAGAAATTACAGTAAAGTGCATATTAGTCTTACCAGCTGCGTGAACAACTAGACCTAGAGTAGCTGTAATTTTATTTCTGTTATGGTGACTTGTTTCAGTTGCATCTGTAAAGGAGAATTTTTAAAACCCATGATAAAAACGTTTGCTTACTAACCTATGCTCTGAACGTGAGTATGTTTTCCGCCTAGTTGGTCGATGATCAACATGAAAACAAATCCCAATACTAAAGCTATCCCTATGAAAGTATGCATTTCAGTTCCAGCATGAATATGTTCGGATTGATGATTTATAGCATTTATTTTCATTTCATTTTGAGATGGTCTTTCTATTTCAGCAACGGTCAATAGACTTCTTGATAATCTCCTATGTGTGTGAGGATCTGTAAAATATGCGTATATTTTATGAATAATATAATCAATACATAGAGAAGTCTGCTAATTTTTTTAGAAGTCATTGATTGAAGATCTTTATCACTGTTGTCGCCTTCAACAAAATGTTATCAATAATCTTTTACTGCTACTTCACTTAGTTTATTATAATTTATGAATTAAAATATTAAATATAAATTCAGTCTTTTCTCATTAAGAAGTTTTTTTTACGAGCACAAAACACAGACAGATTTAGTATATACTCCATATACACTACTAATCAAACAAACACATTTCTTTGGAATTTTAAGTTAGAACAATAAGTCCTAATATCTAAATACTTACGAGAAGCAGAGTACAGGCTGTGAACTCCTTCTGGGATTATAACAGCTAACGCAGTTCCAACTAACAAACCGGCTCCCATTGTCGAGACCAATTTTAACTTTTCCTGAAAATAGAATAATAGAGTGAATACATATGTTAAATTTCGAATCAGTAAACTTAAGCACGCAGACTTGAAATAAAATAGCAAACCTCAGACATTGTAATAGCTAAAGGGATGGAACCGGAAAAATAACAACCGACAAGCATTGCCGTACTAAAGAGTAGAAGGGTTGCTATATCATCCATCGTGATTATTGGTTTTATTAAGTCACTAATGAGTTTGTAATCAATAATCTGGTTAATATCCTCTGTATGTTATCATCGTGGCAAAATGGTATCTAAAAATTGCCGATAGGTAGCATTGTAATAGGGTTATTCCCATATTTCGACTGGTTCTTGGTACTTTTTTGTTTTATCGTATACACAAGTGCAGGGAACTGGGAACCAACTGGGAATCTTGTTAGATCGTGTGAATGACGTCAGCGACAAAATCGAAAAAAATTACGAAATCATTGTTCTGAAAAGAATACAATACCATAGAACTTTTTATTTTTCATTCATGGTGCAACTTAGGCTATATAAATAAAAAAACTCAACATGTCTCTGTCAGATTATGAGTTAGCTCTTCGACTTCAAATGCAAGAAGATGAAAAAACTGCTTCACCAAAGAACGATAATACACATAAAAAACCAGCAAAAAATATTTCGATTATTGATTCAGAATGGGAAACCATTGATCCAACGCCAGATATTCATGGAATGTTTGTAGAATTTAATAAGAGATATTTTTGGAATAAACTGGGTGCTTGTGAAGTATCTTGGAGCCAGAGAATGACTTTGTAAGTGTTAATCTTAAAACTTTCATTTTTATAATTGTTTATATTTTTTAGATGTGCTGGTCTCTGTCGCTACGAAGGAAGAGGTCGACTTTGTTCAATTAAATTATCAGTTCCCTTGTTAAAGTTAAGGCCACGAAAGGATCTAGTAGAAACCTTACTGGTAAAATACTGACTCCTTTATATTATGAAATAAATTAATATTCTTTACAGCATGAGATGATACACGCTTATTTGTTTGTTACTGAAAATAATCGAGACAGAGAAGGTCATGGACCCGAATTTCAAAGTCATATGAGAAGAATAAACCAGGAAACAGGGACTAACATCACTGTAAGTCCATAAGAATGATTATATTTGGCTTGTATTAACTTCACAACTTTGTTTTAGATTTATCATAGTTTCCACAATGAAGTTGAACTTTATCGTCAACACTGGTGGAGGTGTGATGGTCCATGCAAAGACAGAAAACCTTTTTTTGGTTATGTTAAAAGAGCAATGAACAGAGCTCCAGCTCCAAGAGATCCTTGGTGGAACGACCACAAAGCATCATGCAATGGTACATTTCATAAAGTAAAAGAACCTGAGAATTATTCAAAAAAGAAAGAATCTAAGAACGCCCTATTGGGAAAAGCTCAGCCAACTATTAGCTCTTTATTTAAGAAAAATGATAAGAAAAAAACTGTTCCATCTCCAAGCAAAAATTCTGTCCCAAGCAATGATGCAATTGGGGAAAATGCTCAAAAGAAGAGCCCCATTGCAGCTTTCAAAGGAAAGGGACGTAAGCTAACTGATGATTCCAGGCATATTGACGTCAAAAGACGACGAATACCTGGATTATTTGATCCAGAAGAAGACAAAGAATTAAACGAAATAAACTCTGTATTTGATTCAGACTCAGATGATGACAGTTTGGATAGGATTCTCGAAGAGAGAAGAAAACAAATAGACAATAAAATGAAGCTAAAAGAAAACAAAAAACAGTCAAAAGAAACTTTAAAAAGAAAATCTGATGACGAAATAAAAAATTCTAAACGACCCTGCATTTGGTTAGATGAGGAAGCTTCGACTTCCGAAAACTTATACTCTAGTTTTGGTTCTGTTTCTGTAACGGATAATTCTCCTTTCACATGCGACTGTCCAGCATGTGGTATGAAAATTATTGAAACATATATAAATCAACATTTGGATGAATGCCTCAAAATGACTTAGCATTGACTTAACAGGGATTTATTAAAAAATTAAACGTTTTCTTCTTCATTGATTAATAATTTGGTCTTTACATTCTTGCTTTTATCAATATCTACACTATCTTTTTTCTGTTGTTACATGTTGCAGAAATGGTTGAATAGACGTGACATCGAGAAACAATACGATCTTATTGCGTATTTTCACGTCCTTAACTGAGGCTTATATTTGGCCGTATATCTGTATGAAAAGATATTTATTTTCTGATATTGGTGAAATATTGTTCTACTTACTTGTCTAATACCTCCCAAAAATTTTGAAGGGTTGCACGATCTAAGTGACGTTTATGCTTGTCCAATTTTAATACAGTGACGTTCCATTTTGACACATTGCTGTCCAAAGGCATGTCTTTCCACATTAGATGAAATGCTTTAACTGAAAAATTCTTTCTTAGTATTTTATTTATGATAAATTTTGAAATGTATACTTTTATCAAAAATGTCGACTGGATTGCCACCTAAGGGCCACCCTTTAAATTGCCACGCTGGACCTTGCACAAAAACGGCAACAACTCTTTCCCAGTCTTGAGATATTAACTTCATTGGTTGATCAATTATTCGATAAGGAACGGTTACACCTTGAGCTTTTTGTCTTTGTATAAGAACTTCACTCTCCTTTCGGACATTTTTTGCCCGTTGTTCCTCTGTGGAGACATACCGTAGATCCCCTAAAATTTCTTTGGCATTATATGTATTAATTAGAGAGGTAATAGCGGCAGGAACAACGATAATTGGTGTTTTTGAAACTCGTTTACTTGGCTTATCAACTGCTGGAGAAGCTCGAGGATCAGAGACAGGACGACTATTTGCGTTATTTTGAGAGATATTGGAACTGTTATTTTGTGGTTCAGTTTTCCTAGCAGAAGCACCCTCAGTTACTGATTTTAGTGTCATACCATGATAAGAACCCATGGTGTTGATTTTGAACTCTTCTGTTTCTGTATTCCTTGTGAAACTTTCTTGTATATATCTTGAATAGGAGGATATCACTGGCGGTTTATTTGTGGATGGAACATGAGGTGCATTTGTTGAGAAATTATGTTTTGAGCCTTCTTCTCTTGCCTTTACGGATTGTAAAATTCCAAAAACATTTTTGGAAAAATCTCGACCAGAACTACATAAGGTAGATGTTCGAGTGCGATAAACACGTTCCTTACTCATAATGTCTCTAGTAACGTCAATATCGGCATGAACAAAAGCACTAGGTTGTTCCTCTGCAACTTTTACGACATCTTGGTCAACAATTGTATTTCTTTTTTTTTGAAATCTTTTCATTTTGAACACCGCAATTTGTTCGCTGGTAAATCTCTTTGTAAGTTCAGAATCAGCCATATTTTCTGGTTGTAAATTGTTCATCTTTGGTCTTTCTAATTTCTTAGCTAAACGCTCTTTATCTTTTTGAAGATCGGCTTCTTCAACATAGTCAAGCCTCATCTTTTTTCTACTTGTCTCTGTTAGATCTTCTACTGATTTTTCACTCTCCTGAACTTGTTGCCCCACATGAATTGGGGCTTCAATAGTAACCATTTTATCGATTGCATTACAAGTATCGCTTCGACCAGTCAAATAAGCAACTAATTCCTTACGATCTGGCCTATTAACGGCTGGAACTCCCACTGACTAATGTAAAGAACGCTTTCAGATATTATGCAAAAGTAAAAGATATAAAACAAACCGCAGCCTCTCTGACATACAACGGATGTTGTACTTCAAGCTTTTTAAGTAAAAACAATAAAGAGTCCAATCTGTAATATTGTTTGGACCCATCATCGTTTTTCGCTCTGGAGAATATTAATATTCGGTTTTTACATAAGAGATATGAAGAAAATGAAAACTTACCCCCATATGACATAATTAGTTTTAGCATCTTTATTCCATGCTAAATCACCAAATATTATTTTTCCATCTTTTTCTATAATATTACGTTTATTTATCCAAAATTGCCTTAAAACGCTCAACGGATCCGCCATTTTGTTTACTGAGAAAATGGAATTGGACTAAAACACGCTTAGAATTTTCGTAAATTTTCTGTCATGTATGAGAAATAATGTTATGATTCAGAAAACGTTTGCTGTTTCATTTTTTTTCATTCTCTAATAAATTAAAGTTATGAATAGATAATAGTTTTATTTAATTTGAAAAATTTAGTGAAATTTTCTTTTTTCTAAAACTAAAATTTGTATTACAGATAGCTTACAGAAACACAAATATAATGTTGACAGGGTGACACCTATTTAAAATATTGTTTAATCATAGATAACTATTAAAGTAGGTTTATACAACTTTAACTTTAAATATAAAACATTCGTCACGTCTACTTTACGATGTCCATAAAAGTTGCGCATGCGCTTTAACAAGACAAACGATAAATAGTCGTTTGAGTAATTCTTTTTCAATATTTCAGTATCTTGATTAGTGAACAGTTTAACAATGTACAACGGAATTGGTCTTCAAACTGCTAGAGGATCTGGAACCAATGGATATGTTCAGAGAAATACAGCCTTTATTAAAAAGGCGAAAGGTAAAGTTGACTATAAAACTGAAGCACAATTAGCTCCACCAGAGAGAAAGCCAAATCAAGAGCTTTTGGAACATGAGCTAAAGAGACAAATTGAAATCAAGTGTATGGAAATGGAAGACCTAATGTCGTCACAAGGGTAAGGATTGAATCTGTGCAGATTGGGAAATATTAAAATGTAACTTTTAATAGGTTTCCTGATGACGAAATTCAAAAGAAAGTAAGTAAATTTCGAGAAATGCTGCGCAAGGAACAACTTGCTGACGATGGAGCATACGTCAAAGATGTTAGGGGGAAAGTAATGTGAGTAATATGACAAAATAATTTTTTGAGACCTGTTTTAATTCTTGAATCATTTTAGGTCCCAGGCTACTCATTGCAAAATTGCAATGAATCAACAAAAGAATCAGGCTTTAAAAGATGCTCTTAGAATTAGTAGAGATTACGTTGATGGAAGTTCTCTTAGTGCAAATAAACTAGAAATGGAGCAAAACGCAAGAGAAAAGAGAAAATTAAAAGAAGAGTATGCTATATTTAATTCTGCTATTAATTAAATGGTATAATTAATATTCTGATGTTCTGAATAGAGAGTCAAAGAGAGAGAGAGAGAAAGAAAGAAATAGCGAAATGGAAAAGGAAAAAGCCTCGAAACAACAAGAAAGAGAGCCCTTGTATATAATCACGCTTAACATGTTAAAATTCAACTGATAAATTTATAATTGTATCCAGGCCAAAAGAAAAAAAAGCTAAGAAGAGAACGCATAAACGGTCGAAGTCTAGCTCTTCATCATCATCGTCATCATCATCGTCTTCCTCGTCTTCATCATCAGATTCTTCGGACTCCTCCAGTTCGTCGGACTCTGAAAGTCCTCTTTCAGATTCAGAACAGTAAGACTTAAATCAAACTCAATAAAATTCTTTTGTTACGCACTCGTAAATTCATTTTCAGTGAAAAACCAAAAAAGAAAAGAGGAAAACTTCATAGAAAGCACTCTGACTCATCAAAAGATTCTGAAGGGAGAGGCAGCAGACCAAGAAAGAATACATCATATGATAAACCAAGAAACAGACAAAGATTCATTTCAGAAGAAAGAGATGATAGATTTGAAAAGCAAATGGGAGATCGAGTAAGATCTAAGGTAGTTCGTCGAGGATCAAATAGTGATAAGCGTCATTAAATGAATTATATTTTTAATGTAAGTTTTATTCATAAATATTTATCTGTTACTGTTGTTTATTGAAAAAAAAATTGATATAGTAAAACAGAAGTTAAATAAAATATCAGTCATAAACAAGTTTCTTTGAGTTTGAAAATTTTTTCGATAGTCAAAGTCACCTGGAGTATATTTCAAGGCAATATATCCTATTGTAGAGCAATTTAGCTCTTTTTTCAGGAAAAAAGTAATATTTAAAATTCATTTAACCGATTAATCTTATATTTTCAAATACTTCTTGTATTTCATTTTAAATTTTGAAAACATGGAAATATTTCCAAAGCAAGTAATTATGATTGCTATTGTCTACCATAATGCAGGTCAGTATTCGACGGAATTCGTACTAATATCATGCTTGAAAAACTATCAAAATATTCATCGTTAAATATCTTCCGTTTTTAAATAACAAACTACCTGATCTACAGCTTTCCATACTATTGCAAGTCCAGTAAGAAATTAGCAATTTATCAGAACGTATAAATTAAATATTATTTACTGGATTTAAATAGAATTCAATAAATTTTGGAGAAGGAGAGATGTTAACTTGTGAGTGGAATGAGTGGGTTGTTGAAAATGAAGGAAAATTTCGCAAGTCCAACCAAACCTGCTCTGTTAGCTGTTCTGAAAATGGTTTGGGAGGTGTTTTGCGGTTACGACAGAGACGAACATTTAAGGGAAAAGCAAAAGCCCTTTGTCCCGGTGATGATTATACATGGATTCATGAATCGTGTAATTATGGTGTTAAATGCCCAATAAATGGTGGTTGGACAAGTTGGAAGCTTGTTAAAAAATGCGATTGTTCCAAAGGAGTCTTCTTTACGACAAGTGAAAGAAGTTGTCAAAATCCTAAACCTCAGAATAATGGAAAAAGCTGTAAGGGTAAAAGCATTACAACCAGAAGATGTTCTTGTATTGATTCTGTATCTCTGAAAGAAAAAGCAATAAATGAATCACATAATTGGTCACCTTGGTCGTCCTGTATGTGCAACGAGAGTAATACATACAAAGAGCGGACTATTAACGACTGTGATAGAATGATTTCTGGTGTCTGCTACGAGAGGTTTCATTATTAATCATCAAATTAAGTAACTTTATTTTGTTATTTTTAGAGAAGAAGGATGCTTGTTTAACGGAAATTGTTCAAGTAAATTTTAACACACCTCAGCTACTCTGTACAATCATAAATCGAAATCTTGCAGCTGACAAATTCAATCCTCTAAAGCATACAGGTTCATGGGGCGCTTGGAATCTATTTAAATCAGGACCTTGCTCAAGGTCATGCCAAGGATATAGAAACGTGACAGATTTTCGTAGGTGTATTGAAAATTCAATTAAAGTGTCAAATGGACGATGTAAAGGACATTTTCTTAGAGTGTATAGGCGAAACTGTCATATGCATTGTCTATCAGGTTATGAATCAAGAGTAATAGTTTTTAGCTTAATAATGGATAATTTTTAAGCAGCTCCAAAAAAGAGAAACACGATTACACCAAACTCGAACCTATCTGTTTTTGTTATATTACCTACAATTGTAGGCCTAACTGCTTTTCTTTCAATCAGTTTTCTTTTAAAAGAGTTGTTAAAAAGGTATATTGTTAAGCAGAAAGCTATTTTCAACTTAAATTCAAATGTATAAGTAATTTCAGCGAAAGTTTAGTTGATAAAGAAGCAACTTCGGAAGAGACAGAAACCCGTAAGACTGTGAACTCGTAAATTTTAGTATTTACATTGAAAATAAATTTCAGATCTCAACAGTTAATGCAAAATTCAATTGTAATCTCAAATCTTTTCTCTAATCAATGGTCTTAAATTTTTTCTATTGTCAGCTTTAAGAACAAACACCTACTGACCTATTTTCGTTGCGAAATAATTTATTAGTTCACAGTGTATAAATTATTCTTTCCCATATTCGTGTAAATGTGAAAATTGTCTAGAGATTTTTTACTATATAACTTAGTACAACAGCGTATTTAAGACTTTGAAAGAAATACAAATATGGAGACCGCTTAGACGGAAATTTTGAATCAATTGAACAAATACAGTATATTTTCCTGAGAGTAAATTTTGCAATGTTAAAACAATCTACTTCAAAATTTGCCAATTGAGCTCCTTGTATGATAAAAAATTATCATGTACTTGATAATTTCGTTATGCTTTTGAAATACTAATCAATTTTCAAAAAAGCGATAGTAAACAAATCGATGACTAGGAGTAGCAAATTAACTTATGGCTACTTTACCAAAACATTTTGGTTTTCAATTCTAATCACAGTTATTGTCATAACAATTCTTTTATCGATAGCGATAATAGTATTTATCTGCTGCCATAAGAAGTATACGAAAAAGACAAAAAGAAAATCGTCATCGAAATCAACGCCCAAGTGCATTCTAAAATCTGACAGTGAGTTTTCGTTCAAGTCTGAGAGACTATGCTGGAGAGAGTTCTTCAATAACAGTACACTAGATTTAAATAAAGAGAGTAAAGTTTCCGTTTCATCTACTTGTGCGAGCCTCTATTCTACTTTGTCAAATCATTCAAAGAATGTAAAACTCTGAACGAGAGGTGAACTCGATCATTTTATATAAAAAAAATATAAAGAAAAGATTAATCATTTCTTTTCTATAATAAAAAAAATTGTAATTACAATAAGAAAACTTGTAAATTGTTCCAATTAAACAAAAAGCTCTTCGAAAAGACTATACAAAAAGGATAATGATGGTGTATGTGTTAAAAGATTGGGAACGCCTTATAAAATTTAAATAATTAAATTATGCTCAAGAATAATATTCTTAACCTTTAAGTTTAATAAGATAAGTATATTTTCACAAAAGCTGCAATTAAGATAACATAAACTGCACATAAATACGATCAATTTCAGATTTGTGTATATATATATATATATATATATATATAAATCAATTTACCCTAACAACAATTATGTGCTGCAAAAGGTACTTGTTCAAACGTTTCCTCTATAAAAATTTAGATATTTGTTATACGTTGTTATTAATATTATTTTTGTGTTCATAAATGCAACACATTTTCCGACATGTTTAAGGAAATTATTGGTATGCTAATGACAATGTTCATTCACATCCACCACGATAGATCTTTTCCACGAGAAAAGAAAATACCCCGCACCTGCTCCAAGCCCAACAGCCAAGCATAGCCATATATTGTATGTCATGAAAATAAGCATCAAAAAGTAGCTAACAACAACTTGAAGGATATGTAGCAGTGATTGAATGAAATGTGGTAGACTAATCATCTTCATACTATTTGAAAAAGATATATTTTTAACATATTTAAAAAAACGTAAAAATAAATATAACTAAGTTTCTAAGTAAATTAGTGTAGTTTGGCCTATTTCTGTAAAGCATATTGATTAGTAGATGCATATCGCGAGTGTTTTTGACCAGAAGCCTCCTTCAGTATGTCGACGTATTTTATTCCTAGACTTTATCTTCGTAAGGGATATGTAGGCTTATTTAGTAATTTACTTAACAAGTTTAAGTAAATAATTTGTTAACTTATAATATAATGATACATTATAGTAATTTCGTACCATAAACAAATACAATCGAGACTTTTTAAGAGAGTAAGTATGTTAACAGTTATATACAGTATTTGATTAAAAAGGAAATAATGTGTTCTAGATTTGACTCATTAAATCTATCTTGATTAAAGCCTATTAGCACATTGAAACTTAAATATAACTATTTAATATAGAAATGAAGCTATAATGTTTGAATGAGGAAATGTTTAGTATGCAGAAGCTAGAAAAGATTAGACAAACCCAACAGTTTTATGAGTTTCGCTTAGCATAGTGCAAGTTTCGTTAGCGCCGTTGCCTTGAGAGGGAACAGGCATTGTATTATACCTAACAGATACGGATGACCGACGTAGCAGCATTTCTCTAAAAACTTTCAAGCCTTCATATAAGGCTGCAATAATAAATATAACAGCACAAGAACCCAGCATCCCTGCAAATAAACACGAAATAAGATTTAAGTGTTTTTTAATAAATGTAAAAGCAATAATTAGAACAGTGAAACTAGTCCATTTTTCCCTCAATGACTAATAATCACAAAAAATAAATACACTACTTTAGTAGCAAGCACATAATACTGCCTATTTATATATATATATATATATATACAGTATATATATTAGTATGTATATGTGTACGAATATATATATAAATATCCGAATTCAGCCACATAATTAATATTAGACCTAAGTTACGTAATTTTCCATTTGAGAAGTAACAATTGTTTAACATGGAAAAATATTTTCACGTGAAAGTAATGAAATAGTACTTCTTATATTCATCGTTGACAGTTAAATGCATAATGTTTTCCGTATGAGAAACAATAACTATTTAGAAAATCAGAATTAAGTTTACAATCCTTAAATTGATACTCGAGTGATTAGTTTAGATAAAAAACAAAATATTATAATCCCGGTGTGATAAGGAATTGAAGGAATAAAATTTACTAAAAGGACAATTACTAAATAACTAAATTTCCATAACTTTTAGTATCAGTTGTTGTGCTCAAAGGAGCTAAAGAATTCTATTGTTGTGTGAAAGAGTAGAGACTTTCACATTTTCACAATTCCAATATTTTAAAAGATATATTTTTATATTTGGCCTGTTGTTGGATAAAAAACATATCACAGAATATGAAAATCTTACCTTGCCATGAATCTATGTTCCATTTTTCGAATAAAATAACGGCTTTAGTAGACGCATGAAAGTACATCTGTTGTCCATATTTTCATTATATAAGGTGAAACAAAGAAATAGTGATCTACCTTCATTCCGTGTTCTACTACATGCTTTGAATGATCCATTGGTCTTGTTGTCTAAAAGAGAAGCTAACTTAATTTTACATATATAGGTTAATCGACGTATTAAATCTATAAATAATGTAAAATATGTTTGTTACGTAAGTATTATCATATTTATCTAGCTGTTAAACTTATTGAAAGGCAGCTAAGACTAAATAATTGGAATTTATCTGAAATAGAATGATAATAGAATAAAGATGGAAATATAAAACTTTGAACCGGAAATGTATACTATTCTTCAATTTTCCCTCCCACTTGCAACTCACAAACAATGTTCTGTTCTACTCAATTATTTACTAATTCTTAAGCATCGATTCTCGTACACGTATAGAAAATCCATCTATTTATGACATAACTTTCAGTAACTTTCTCAATGTCATACGCTTTTTTAGTAGTCATCCCACGCATAAGGGTAATTTATGAAGTCTATTTTTATATTTTAACGGATCATAGAAGCTTAGTTAAGTAAAATATATTTTAAAAGATGAAAGTTCTTACCATATCCATTGACATGTTTTCATGATGTTTGTGATCCATAATTTTAGTGTGCCCTTTTTGGTGTTCTGAAAGCATATGCTATATTAGAGTATGAAATAGGGAAAAAATTTAGAGTTAATTTCACAGTCATAACTTACAGGTTTAAGTCTTTAGTTCTGAAAATAAGAATTTTCTTTTCTTTTTAGCTTGGAGACCCTATGCAGTTCACAGACTGATCACTCACAAGCATTCGGCAATTACTAACCGGTAATACTCGTATAAACGTTTATTGACCACCTATATTTTAATTAAAAGTATTTTTAAATAGCATTTCAATTTATTTGTAAAATTTAAGAATTACGCCAATTAATTAAATATTTTTTTACTTTTCTAGAATTTGTACGAAAACAATAATAAATTTGCAGACGACAGGGTCTGACTTCGGATGTTGTAAGTTCAAAATACTCTGGAAAAGTTAAAGCTTTGTAAGAATAATGTTCAATAGTGAAGATAGTGGAGATAATGATTTTAATCTTCAAACTGGAGGGTATGTCTTTTATTTTTAGATTTTATTTAACTTATTATTTTGACGATTACATTTTTCAACATCCGCCTACTTTTTTTATTTTGCTAAGTATTTTATTTTAATTGTAGCTCAAAACTTTCCTCCTTATTTGATAATGAATCAATCGATATTGGCACTACTTTAAGCTATAAAGCTCCGAAAGAGCCGAAGAGCAATGGTAAATTTTTTTTCTTAATTTTAATTTCTTTTTATTGTGACACACTCAAATCTTAAGTTGCTGCGAATCAAACTACTAAAACCGTAGAGAGTGCTGTTTTGTGTGCATTTGTGGTAAATACATTTAAACTGTGAGTTAAATTCAAATTTGAAACAATATTGAGATAAAAGTATTACAATTTCTCTAGTGAAAATAAGGAATACACTAGTTTTGGAAAGCTTGGATGTGCTTTAATAAAGTATATAGATAACAAACCAGTAAGTTTCTTTAACTTTTTCTTGCATAGATTGAATAGAATGATATTTTGGTAGAGTCAACTTTTGCTATACAAAACTAAACAACAACCTGTCGCATCTGTTAACGTATCAAGCTCGTTTAATTTAACTGTTCAAAAAAGAAACTATGTGACATTCTACGACGATCGCAGACAAAATTGGTCGATCCTATTCGAAAAAGAGAAGGATATTGAGAAACTCTGCTTGCTGGTAAATGAGATCCGTAAAATTTATATAATTTTGAAATTTTTTTTTGACTAGGTGTCATTGGAGACTTTTGCAAGCGGTCATAGGAAAGAAGTAGTTTTTATGAACTTGTACGAAGGAGAGGGAGACTGTATCGAAGAAAAGGATGCACTAGAAAGCTCTATTGAAGGATGGGCACTAAAAAAAATGACTCTTGAAAATCCTTTGAAAAAAGAGATTCTAAAGTTTAGAATTGGATCTCACAAAATGAACAAAGTTATTACTATTCTATATATCTATATTGAAGCTTTTTATAATATCACTTCTTCGTTTAGATTTTAGAAGACAAATTAATTGGGGCCAAGAAAACTTGCAGAATAATTTTAATTATTCCCGCTGATCAAAATATTAAATCTTCCAAATGGCCCTTTCCTGAAAAGTGTGATTTGTTACTATTGATATCCATAGATAAGGTAGAAACATAAATTTTTTCTATTTTGCTACTAAAACTATCCCTATAAGGTTAAACGCAATAAAGCGACAAAAGAAGTGGCTTCTCCAGAATCTTCAGTTGCTTCGTCTCCTACCCATACACCTGTCCCCGAGCAAAATACTACTCAAACTAATACTAATAGCTCAGAAACTATTCAGGAAGTAAGATAGTTTTCTATAGCTTGAAATTGTTTCTTTTACCCAGCAGATGTCATGTTTGCTTATGATTTGAAAACCGTATAACATTGAAATTTGTATTGACTAATGTAATAAAATTTCAAGTCATCGATAGCTGTTCCTTCTTTCCAATAGCCAACTGCCAACTCAACAAACTCAAGGGCACAAATTCTTTCAAAAATGGCAAAATTAGGTCAACCTTTAATTCCTATGTTTGCTGGAGGCTCTAACCCTTCGGAACCAGAAGAAGAAGAAACAGCAGCTGTAAAATCACCAAAAGGCAGTCCAGAAAAAGTATAAATTATGCAATATTTACACAGCATTGTTATCGCATATCATATATATGATAAACTTAGGCTAAAAGAATACTATTCTCATTTCAGATTTTCCCTAGCAAACCAAAGCCTCAAATCGTCTCAAAACCTCAAATTCACATGAAACAAGAACCAGCTTCACCACAATCTGCTTACAGTAAGTTTTTCTGTACCATTAGTAATTTTTTGTTCATCGTATCTCATATTCTCTTATGGCTTCAGGCCAAAATTTTCCAGTTGCACAAAATTATCCAACAAAGGGATTACCTGGTCAAGTTGCAATCTATCAGACACCTTCTGCATTTCAAGTTGGTTATATTGCTTTATTGTTGTCAATAACTTTTTCTTTTTTTTGTTATAGCCTTTACCCCCACAAAATTTTTCCATCCCACGTATGTATATTACATTGAAAAACTAAGTCAATATTAATTAACTATTGTTTAAACAGAACAAAATGATAATATGACGCAGATTTTGCTTTCTGAGCAAAGAACTCAAAACACAGAGATACGATTGGCAATTGGAAAAGTTCAAGATAAAGTAGAAAATGTATTAGACAAGGTTTTACAGATATTCTAAGAAATTCAGGAAACTTATATTCTAATATTTTTACAAATTTTTATTTATAGTTAGAAAAGCAGCAACAGCTCGCATTAAATCAACAACAGAGTCAGTTATCGTACAAACAAAGCGAAAGTTTTGATGCTCTTGCATTTGCTGCCTCTTATCAAAAGTTACATCAAGTACTAGATATATATATATATATATATATAGCTCCATCTATTTAATATATGTTATCTATATAATGTTATATTTATCCAATTCTAGGAAAATAGTAAATTAATAGAAGAAGTTGATGCGAAAAGAGCATTGGTTCAAAAATTAAATGAAAAGGTGTCTGAATTACTTTTAAAAAATCAGCAGTAAGTTTTTAGATGATTCAATATTTTATCTTTTATTATTTTAATACATTTTTTAACAGATATGTTGAACAAAGTACAAATTTATTAGAGGAAAAACACGCAGCTGTTCACAAAGTTAACGTTCATACGCAGCAGCAACTTAGTAACTTAGAGACAGAAAACGTATTCGATTTTCTATTAAAACTGCTATATCTTATTAATTCGAAAACTTTATATCACGGCATAGAACATACTATCCATGGAACTAAACCAGGTTAAAGATACCCTGACAAAAAAAACAAACGAACTAAATTCATACAAGGAAATGCTATTTGAACAAAAAAGACTTGCAGAGAGCCTAAGCGAAACAGAAGTCAGATTAAATATTGAAATGGCATCTGCAATTACCAGTAATAAAGGTATGAAATTAGATGCAGTCAAAACGTTAGATTAATTATATTTAATGAAAAAAATTAGACCTTGAAAGTGTCAATACAAAATTAACGAAGGACCTGAAAGATGCTTTAAGGCGAGTTAGCTTATTAGAAGAAATTGTTGAAAAATTGGAAGCTTCAAATAAGGCACAAGCTGAAGTAAGCTCTTTTAATACAATTCTCAAAACAATATATACAAAAACGCTTATTTCTAGCAAATGGAAGTTGCGATTGAAAATTCGAAAAAAAATGAAGAAGAAATAAGATTGACACTAATAGAAAAGATGACGAATGATCATAAAGTAAAATTTTGATTTATCTTTGAGTTTGTTTATACACCAAGTAATGCAATTGTTCTTGCCTTATAAATAGGAGTCTCTAAAGGTAAAGGAAATTTCTATGAAAGAAGAAAGAAGACTAGAAGTAGACAAATTGAAGGAGACATACGAGGTAGAATTAGAGATTATAACGTTTAATTAGTCAAAGCCCATTTAAATTCTCCAGTCTAAAATAGCTGATCTTACACAACAATTCGAAGACTTACAGAAGGTAGCTATCAAGAAATTACAATGTAAAATATTTTGATTTAAAAAACTTGTTTTAAAGACAAAAGAGGATAATTACCAACTTGAATTACAAAAAAATGAAGACGAAAGAGAAAAACTAGCCGCAAAGGTTGGTTATTCGATATGTCTTTACAATCAAAATTTAATCGATTTTTCTTAATAGTACAAAAAATTTGTTGAAAGAACGAAACTTATGAAATTAGAATATGAAAATGAGATAACTCAATTAAAGGAATCATTGACGAGTTCTAAACATAACGTAGGCGGTACTGATGTTGGTGCTCACATAAAGAAAATAATGAATGGGTTTTATAAAGAAATTAAAAAGCATTTTACTCGCGAAAATACGTACGAAGGAGAAAAAATCAACACTACAATATTAGAAATAGTTAAGGTATACAAAGTTAGCGACCTATTTAAAAGTATATAGTTCAATTAAGTTTCAGTCAAACGCTTGTAAAATAAGTAAATCAAGAATGTCTATATAATTACTTATTTGAAAATGAAACTAGGTATACATTATATTAACACAAGTATATATACCTATACTATTTTCAAAATTTTATTAATCGAAATTTTTAAGGGATATTCGTAAAATATATTGTTTATTTTTTCAGGACGTGACTTTGTCGGCACTCCAACCTCAGTCGCATATTCAAGTAACTAATATCACAGACAAACACACAGAAAAGAATTCAGAAACGCAAATTGAAGAAGCACAAACCGAAAATAAGAAAGAAAAAATTGTAGCTACACAATCTGAAGTAGAGGAAGAAAAAGTTGAAGGACAAGCTGAGATTAAGGAAGAAATTCATAGGGAAGAACAAGGTGAAATTGAAGAAAAAATTCATAGGGAAGAACAAGCTGAGATTAAAGAAGAAATTCATGCGCAAGAACAATTAGAAAACGTTAAAGAAAAGGAATTAAATATTAATGTAGAAAAAGCAGAAGAAACGCAATTAACAACTAAGAAAGAAGAAGTAAAAGAACAGTTACTAGGTAATTAAGCAAGTAGAATTTAATCACTAAATGCAATTGCCAATACCATATCTACACGAGTCTTAAATTACGAGCCGTTAATATTGAAATTGTTGAAATGTTTCATCGTTGCTCAACATATCGTCATTCTTATGTTGTTGAGCAGCTAGCTTCTTCTTCCTCTTAGGTGGGCGTGGCGATTCCTCAAAATCGTTTTCTCTTATCAATTCTTCCAGTTCTCTGGCCACATCTTCCTCGTTTAAAGAGCTGAGGTCTGACCTTTCCGATGCTAAAGAACTTTTGTCACTTAAACATTGATCCTCCGTCTGATCTAAAACTCTTGGTTTTACAGTATCCGATTCTATCACTTCATCGTTATCCGTACTCGTTGGAATACTCTCATCGCTTTCTTCCTGATCAATTATTTTATTCTCTAAATCACTTTTTGTATTTTTCGGAACTTCGTTTACTTGTAGAGGGCTATCAATTTCGTCACGTGTGTCATTTTCGATTCTTAAGTTAAACTTTTTAGGCGTATTCTCCGTATTGGTGTCGTTTTTATACATTTTGCTGTCATTTTCATATCCATTATAAAAATGGTTTGATGATGTGTTGTTCTGGTGAGAAGATGTTTGATCTCTCTCGGTATTCGTTCCAACAACTTTCAAGGTTACAGGCAATTTCGTCACACTTGATTCCATTGACGTAGTCTTTAAATTGTTTATGTGTTTGTCTTTCGGTAACTTCGATTGTAAACGTTTTTTTTTAATTTCTGCCAGTCTTTGATCAATATTTTCGGTATTGTTAGGCGTTTTCGCAAGTATTGATTTTTTTGGTTTTTCAATGTCTTCTCTAACCAAATTGACTGGTGGCTGTTCAATTGGCTCATTTTCTTTAGTTTCAACTTTAGCAGTTACCGTTTCTTTATTAGAACGATTAGATGATTGCTTGTTCCCCATTGTATTTTAAGGTGATATTCCTCGTTCGCAGAGTGTCCTGAATTTATAAGGGAGCGACTTTTTCGTATATTACAGCGTGAGCGAACCTTTTGAGTAAACACGCTCGAAATTCTATTGTCAATATGGGTGATTTCATGCACGCTTGAGTATAGATGGTGCTGAAGTCGTTTTCACGATCTGTATATCTATTACTAATAAAGTCTTTTTACAACCAGAAGAAAAATTTTATAACGACAATGAGGAGAAAAATAGACCTATAGAAAATATAAGGTAATTCATAATTGTTACATATTGAGCAAATTTTATTTATAGTCGTTTTTCACTAGAAAAGAGTTTTCTGAAGGAAATCTCGAAGGGTTAGTACTAAATATTTCTCAACATTGAACGGGTGCAATAAACTTTAATTTTTTTTAGTGAAAATTCAATAGAGTCTATTGAAGAAGAAAGGTTAGTTTTTCAACTTTATTTAAGAACAAAACAAACAAATTGAAATTTAATTTAGTGGAAAAGCGAAAGATGAGACGGCGGTAATTTCAAATGAGCAACAGGAAAATCAAACGGAAAATGTTGAATATGCATGTGATCAGTAAGTATCTACCGAATGGTATTGTCGTTTTTTAACATTGTCGTGTTATTTTTAGAAATATAGAAGAGGTAGTAAGAAAAGAGCTCGAAAGTCCAGAGCAATTAAAAGAGAAGTTAGCTTTCAATTCTAATTATTTGTTTCGTATAAAGTATCTTCACTAGATAACTATCAGTCCTTCTCTCTCTCTTTATATATACTGTATATATATATATATAATATAAAAGGCTGTCGTTGTCATAATTATAGCATTTCATAGAGAAATTGTCAATTTTTGAGATAAATATTTCCTCATAGCAAAGTAGAGCCGCTAGAGATTGCTCAAACCGAAACACAAATTCCACCTGAAATCTCTACGGATATTGAAATTAAGTAAGATTGGTTTTTCTGAAAATAGTGCCTTTAAGTATTCTAAGAATTGCCTTTTGCAGAGAAGAAGTTAGCAACATCGAAACGACACAAAATACTGTAGACATTGATAAAAAGGTCTCGAATGAAGAAATAGACAAAAAGTAAATTGCTATATCCTTATATAAAGAGAGAACTTTTGTAGTAAATGTGTCCTTATTGATATTTATCAGAGCCCAGCTTTTAGCTGCAACAGCAACTGAAGAAAAGAAAAACAATAGTCAGAACGATGATAATCCATATACGGTATGTTTAAGAGAAAACGTGTAAATTTACGTTAGCGAAAGCCTTTGTTGTTTTTATTACATAAAAAGTACAAACTTTGTGTAATAGCTATTTAGATGATAAAATAGATGGTTTTTATTTCAATCTAAAAGAGAGTAGCGATTACATAATAGATAGTTTTCTAACTTGAGGCAAATACAGATGAAAGATTCCTGTAAAATAGTGGAAAGTATCTTATATGATCATTTACAAGCGATATTATCTTGCATAATAATAGCATGCTTTCTATCACTATGCAATAGTATGTTGAAGTCTCATTTTTTTGGATGCTTTTTCTCAATTAGTTTAAAATTCTGATCATAAAACTTTCTAAATTATATTTTACTAAAACAGGTTAGACCTCCGCCTCCTCCATTGTTTGATGATACGGACGAAGATTCGGATTGGGATATTTAAAAAATACTTAAAAATTTGTACATTAAAAATTAACTTAATCAACTTTCAATTTATTTCAATTTATTGTTATTCAATAAAACGTTCTTTTTAAGAGCATAATATTTTAATTTTATTATTTGTAATGTAAAGTTTTGCTCTTATACTCAGAATATTCTTTTAAAAATTCAAACTCTTGAGAATTCTTAAAGGCGTTAAGTAATTCTGTTTATCATTAGTATGATCAAATATGATCATTTTCACTTCCTTTTGTCAGAATCATGAAAAAATTTGCACAAAATTTTCCCAAATTTTTTTGATAAGAAATCATTCTACGAAAGTGAAACAATTAAATGTAAGGTATACAATCTCTGGTTTGACGTCGGAAGGCGCCATTGCTTTTTTTGGTATGGTTCCAATTTTGCAATCTTTCTCTCTGTCTAACAATCAATAGTTTCTAGCTCCATCAACCAATCAGAGAAGCTTTTAGGCACAGCTCAAGATATCAGCGCCCTCTACTTCAGAGGAGAGAATTTTTTGTTTATTTTTTATCTAAAATATTATACGGACAAACTAAATCTTTGAAGTCAGTAAGTACATTGTTTTAAAACGTATTGTAAGATTTATCAAATATCTGAATTAGAAGTCTCGATCGTGCTATATAGGTCACAAGTTAAAATTTTATAAATTCATATATCCCGAGAAGACTTGCCAGTGATAAACTAGCAACTAAGTAAACATTCTTCAATATTTTCAGTGGTAAATTAGGAATCGAGAGTTTGGCCCGGATTGCGGAATAAATGAACAACATGGAAGTAGATGTACCCTCGGAAGATCATGTGCCGAGTCGTCTGAAGAGATCAAATAGTGCGCCAATGCTAAACTTCATTCAGCCAACGACGACAGTGAAAAATAATATTTCTACCTCTAATCTATCAAACTTTGACGGCCAATCATTGTAAGAATGTCCTTCAAACCGAAATTTTACTCTAGTATCTAATTTTTGTTTTAGCACTATATATAGGGGTAATTTGTTCAATTCAAAAACTCTTCAAGATTCGCAAAGAATCAGACGCTACAGCACAAGTCATTTGTCAGTAAATTCTCCAACGGTAAGCTCACTTTTGGAAAGCCATGTGATTAGTTATCAAAAAAATGCATAACTTATCGCTGAAATATTTATAGCTCTTCGATAGATTTAAGAACAAAAAAATCGCTTAAAATGCGTATAATTATAAATATTTCTCTTCAGACTCCAATCAAAAATAGATTGACGCAAATAAAGCAAGAAGAGAGTTTAACGCCAATAACAAGAGAAGTGCAGCATGAAAGGTTTGTTACTGAGAATAGTTTTACAAGGGTTATGGTTAATAATACTCAGACTTTAACTTTAATTAGAAATGTTCATGTGCAAATGCAAATGTCACATTCTTGTGAAGATTTGTCATTGTGTGACAAAGAAGATGGAAAGTGCCGACCAAAATCCTTAACGGAACAGCTGCACATTACAACTACTTTGTATGCCAGTTCTCCATCTCCCACCAGGAGTATGTTAGCAGGAAAAGTAGGACAACATCATTCTTAATTCAGTTTTTTTATATAAAATGTTACTTTTCTTTTTTTAGCAATGTTTTTCGCCATCTCAACAACAAATTGTTCCTAGTCCTTTGCCTAGTCCAACTAGACGGCCCTATAGGAGGAGTCTAAGTCCTATAGCTTCGCTAAGACCCAGTTCAATTGGTCCAACTAAGAGAAAAAGTAAGTTCATCTTAGTTATTATGTAAATTGTAAGGAATCCAATGGTGAAATTTTTGTTTCAAAGAAATTAGCATCTAAAACCATTCATTTGCAATACATTTAGAAAATAAGGCTTATTAGCTTTAGTGTTTTCGAAGTGTATAAAAGAGGTTAAAGCTTAATTATTGGTTTTTTTTTAGTGGAAATAGATAGCCAATACGAAAACTGGTGTAGTCCGAATAAAAGAATGTCTTTTGGTTCTGCTAATCAATATACACCAGAGAGACAAGATTCAACGGGTAATTTCACTCGAAGGTAATGAAAGAGTTTTTCAAATGTCTAAGAAATAATTAAAGTAAACAATAATCAATAACAGGAATTCATCAACACCCAGTAGCGCCGAGTGTGAGGAACCGATGTGCCAATCTTCATATATATTTCGTCCAGTCCGAAATTCCACGGAATCAGTATCAAGTGACTCTGAGTCTGTTTTAAGTCCTATCAGATATTGCACCCCTTTTAATCTCTCTCCTCTCGTTACTCCTGTCAATGGTACGCCACTAAGACAAACTACCGAAAATTGCGATGCCACTTGACTCAAAAATATATTTCATATTTATCACATTGTAAAAATTATAAAGATTGGAAGAAGAAATGCGACGAAGAATTGGGTTGAGAGAGTCTTGCAGATTCATTTTAAAGCATGCAGTGTTTTTTTCCTCATTCTTTAAAAAAATTTATCAAATTTAGACACTTATGGTGTTTGTATATTTAACGAAAAATTTTAAGTGTGTAGAAGAATCAGAGTTGTATTTGACTCGAATTCATTTAGAAGTGAAAAGTCATATAACTAAATTTCGTATTGTTTTTTTTTTTTTCATTTGATCGTTAGTTTTGTATGTACTGTACAGTATGTTTGTCAGAGGTACCGTGTATATACTTCAAAGAAAAAATAGCCTAATACGATAATTCCAGCAATTATATATTCTTATAGCACAATAATTAATAGCTACTTTTTAACTTTCTTGTGACCTCCTTCAGACTAAGCGATTGGTCAAAGTAAATACTGTAAATATGAAGATCAGCACAAGTATTCTATTTTAGGAAGAAAACTAAAAGACAAACGCTTTATTTTTGTATTCACTCCTTATTCCAGAATAGCATATTTTTAAAAGACATCGGTCTGGTTTAGCAAATAGACTTTACGTATCGAGGTTTATCGCATGGTCTCGATGTCAGTATTTTACGTATCTCTAATAAAACTATTGATATGAAATATAACAAACGCCTTGTTAATCTAAGAAAGCAACGAGATATTGTTCTCTTCACCATTGTCTATATTTGGATAAAGCCGTATTAGTTTATCAGCGGGTTTTGAAAGTAACTAGCTAATTATTAGGATCTTGCTCTTTATCTTGAATAAATAGGAGTTGAAATAAAGGAAAACACCTAGAGCAGACATTCTCTATCCCTCGTGACCGATACATTCTTTGATAACTTTTTTTTACAAATCACTTAACTAACGAGAAAAAACTGACCTAATTTTTTTACTTGATAAATATTTAATATTTTATATATCATCTGACATTCTAACCCTTATATGACCTTTTTTCTGAGGTAAAAACTTGTAAAATGCTATAAAATGCGCTTAAATCTACCAAATTTTTGTAGTAGATTTTAGAATCAGCAGATGTCGCATTCTTCGCTGAGCGACTGTAAAATGACCGTCAGCCGGCAGCACAGTTCAGCTATTATTGATCAGACTCTTTTACATCAGCCCCGGTAAAAATGGCTTGAAAAAACAGAATACAATCGAAAAGAAGGATAGGACATATATCAGTCAATTAAAGGACAATCCATTAGATTTACTTCCCAAAAAATATTATTGATTATAGTTGATCTGGTAAAGCGAAGGATATTCTCTCTCTGACATCAGAAATTAAACAGGCATGGCAAACAAGGTCGATTATTTTAAATATTAGAAAATTCCGAAAAATTTAGTGCTGTTAGTGGTGTTGAAAAGTAAAAATAGTAAGAAGAAAATCATGCTTACGTTTGAAGAATTACTCGTGTTAAAGACTGATGCAGCTTTAAAGAAAATGCCCAGCTTGAATGACTTGAAAGATTGTAAGTTTACTATAATATTTTGTAATACGTAAGGCCTATAATTTTTTATGTTGAGGCGATTATAAGCTGGAATTTAGATTTACGTATAGTAAAACTTTTATGAATTAAAGAGTAATCAATTGAAATTTCCCAATTACCTTTGTGGGAATTGTAAGAGATGATATTAGCAAATAATAGAGGTCATTTAAGGTTGTACATAACAGTCTGATAAGATAGGTAAAATTTGTAGCATACATTTTTTGAATTTATTATTGTTATTAATGATTCTGATAAAAATAGAGATTACAATAGTTCATTTGCATATTTAAATAGCTTGGCTTGGAAGATGGGGATCTCAACCTATGCGATCCAGGTCGTCAACTTTACCATCCGGAAAGAGGCGTAGAGTTTCGTTTGCCGCCTCTACCACCGAATATACTTACTATGATCCATCAGATAATTCTAGTAAAGAAGACCTTCAAGTTTCAAAGGAAGATTTGCGGGCATCTCAGGAATCTCTAACGAAGTTAGTACAAGACTTTGAAACTCAACTGTTGAAGAATAAAGACAAATATGAAGGGCCAAACGAGAGTGTTGAAGAAGCACTGATCAGACGCCAATTAGAAATAGAATATGAGGAAGAGAAAGCCGAAAGGAAAATCTTCCAGCATTCAAAAACTGCACTTTCTGAAAGTACCTCAATCGATTCTTTTGTAAATGATGATGAAACAAAGAATTTAGAAAAATCAAATATTGAAAATAATGATTTAGATAAATTAATGTGTAACGCTCCGGCTTGTAGTACGTCTGATTGTCTTCAAAGTGAGGAGTCAAATGAACTGGAGAGAGTTCATGAAGTAGCCACAAACGTAGTAGATATTGAATTACAAGAAACAGAGAACAATAGAGAAGATGTGATAAAAATAAAGGATAACGATTCTGAAGTGAACGTTATTGCCACAAACTCTACTAATCTTGAGACAATTAGTAATGAAATTGATTGTGTGAAAGGTTCTACGTTACCTATTAGTGATTCTAATGTAGTAGCAAACACAAAAGAGCATGCTGATATAGTGCTAGAGCATGAGCTGCAAGACAAAGAAGTTCATAAAACTTTAGAGAAGGAAGTGAAAGAAGGTCATTGCCACAAGGAGGCTAAATGTATGGGTTGCTATTCAGAGTCAATAACATTACCTGATCTTTTCACAAATGGAAATGGTGCTGAATCCCAACAAGAAGTAGGCTCTTCTCCTTCACCTACCACGTCATTTTATAAATTAAGTCCATCTAAGTCATCAACAATGGAATCAATATCCGAAGAGTTGGAAGAAGAAAAAGTCCCCCCATTACAGAGTCTTGAATGCGTAGAGTCAAATAGACCGGCAGCAATATCATGCAGATCATCATCAAGTAGCGAGGAATTTGTTACGCCTATGCTTTCTCCTGAAGAACACCGCATGAATTCTTTCAGCAAGCAAAATAATTCCTTATCTCCGCCCGTACAAACATCTTTCTTTTGCGGAAATATTCCGAAATTACATAACCACGGAGAAATAAGAGGAACTCTGTCTCCCGGACTGTCGCCATTGTTTGGAAGAAGATTGGAGCTAGGTAGTGAAAGATGCGATCTCTGCGAAATGTGTGATTCCTATGATGACACTATGTCAGTCTGTTCTTTAGACTATCTGAAACTAGATGAAGCGCCTGATGAATATCTCGAAGGATGGATGGAGAGGTATGTATCATTGATTCATGGAAATTTTAGGAAAGAGCTTCTTTACACCCTTAACATCCATTCTTTTCTAAAAAAATATACTTTTTAAACATTAAATCCACTTTGAAACTAAATGTTTGAGTGTAAACTAAAAGGGTAATTCTTACTTTTTATTATCTATGATCTGTTCAGTATGGCTGATTTACAGGTTACCGTCCAGATTGCACCATCTTCCTCTTTGCCAATTAATAATTCCAGGTGAACATATTTCTCTAAGCTTAATTTAACTTTACTTTTTGTGTGTTATGCTAAACATCTTGTTTTACTTACTTCTTAAATCTCTGAAGGCTCACACATATCAATTGCTGTACAAAACGATATGAGAACTGACCTGGATTTCTCACAGTGTAACAAGGCGATGCTAGATGCTCTTGGAAAGTTACCTGACTTTGCAGTGTTTAATCGATTTAAAAAGCATATGAAGTCTCTCTGGAAAGCTTGGATGCCCAAACAACGGCTTTCCCTATTAGATCAATTAAAAAGCGGTGCCAGGTTTCTTCATTGGCGACTCGCTAAAAGAGAGAGCATAGTATATGGAGCACATGGTCTTTACACAAGACCATCGCTGTCCTACATTCAGGACATTGCTTCTTTTTGTTCTAGAAATAGGCGAGAAATAGTCATGCTACATGTAGAAGCTCTAGCCAATATGGACAAAGTAGCTACCGAAAGATGGTTGGATGAAGTATACGATGAGCTAGGAGTGTTTTTAGTGGAAAGAACTAAAAAATTTAGTGATTTAAGCCTAAAATCAGTATGGTAAGCTGTCAAAAAGAATTAATTTAATCAGCCATGTCTATATTGATTTCTAATATTTGTTTTATAATTATCATTCTTTTCAAATAGGGCTACTGGGAGAAATTTGCTACTTTTCATTCCAAATTGCTCTAGTGTTTCACAAGCACTTAAAAGGCACAAGATGCGTAACTATGTTTGGTCAGATCGTCATTTAGAAATTCACGCTTTCAGAGTACAAAACGTGGAAGATTTAGTTAAGAAAATGGATGAGTCATATTCCAAAATTTCAGCCAAGAAAAATAAAGAAAAATTGATAGTTATTAGAGCGGTTCTAGCTCCAGACTGGGAAATGGTTTTTGGAGACTACGAATACACTTCTCTAAAGCAGCTGAATGATGTGGTTGTTCACGACAGACTCAATAGTTGGTTGTTGGACAAGTCATTTTTAAATGTTGTCTCTTTCGACTTTGTAGGTTCGAAATTCTTGATGAGAAACTGCATAAATTTAAACGCTTTAAAGCGGGCAGAAACTACTGTTTAATTTGATTATTTGTTTCCTGCAATTGTAAAATCTGTTCTTTCTTCAACTGTTTTATAGATTGAGCTGCTTGTTAAACAAAATATCGTCCTCTTCTATCGTTCAAAGGCCTATTTAATAGGCTATCAATGTTCTGCAATTTATCATACCCTTTTTACCAAAGGAAAAGTAAAGGGGTGTTGCACATTCTCCTTTTCCTTTAATTTATTTCAAAGTTCATCAGTTATGCAGAATGTTCATACTTTTATGCAATACACAATAGCGTTTAATCTATACTCACTCCTCTTTTCCTCAACTTAATTACTCAATACTGTTTCAAGTGGGTCAATTGAATATTAGATATCTAACTTACACTTACACCTTTAAGCTAAAGTGCATTACAAAACAGAAGACTTGGCAAGTACTTAATATTCCACATACGTCTTTGAAAATTACACAAAACCTGTTTGCACGCGCGATTCCATGTAACTTTGAAATACACTTGGAGATAAGATATAAAAGGTCGAGGTCATAGTCTAAATTTTTAGTTTTTTCTTAGTATCTTGCTAAGTTAGGAACTTTTATATCAAAAATTCATTTTAACTATTACAAAGAGTGAAGTATTATTACAGAAATGATTGGCTTTCTTGTATCTCTTTTATCCAGTTTTGTATCATTGATGACGTTCTCTTGGCTTTGGAAATGCTTTAATTGTGTAAAAAATACTAGAAATAATACCTTAAAAAGAGAAAATGCAAAGGTAAAGAAATTATTGTACATCAGTAGATTAGAAGAAAAACTGAGTAACGTCTTTATTGATGATGCTGAAACTATCCGAAACCTTGACGCTGCAACATTAATAGAGTGTATGAAAGAAGGTAAATATAGACCAGAAGATGTGCTTAAGGCTTATCAGGTAGAGTTTCGATTCAATATTGCTATTAACCTCTATAGTTACATTAGAAGAAATATTGTTTAAAAATAGCAATTCGCTTTGATCGCCCAAAAAGAAACTAACTGTATAACAGCAATAATCGAAGAAGCTGAAGCAGAATGTAAGGAATTAGAAAATCAACCTAGTAAGACAAATATACATTTTTTAATCACTGTTTTAATTATTATTACATGGTGGTTTTGTTTGTAGGCGAGGGTCGATTATTATATGGAATTCCAATTTGTATCAAAGATGATTTAGCAGTTAAAGGGTACGATCAAACCTATGGATGCGCAAATCGTTTGGAAAGTCCACTAAAGGAAGATTCCATCATTGTTCAAGTTCTTAGACATCATGGGGCTATACCCTTCGTTAGAACTAATTTACCTCAAACAGCAATATCGTATGAGTGTTCAAATCCTATATATGGTTGTACCCAAAATCCACATAAGAAAGGAAGATCACCTGGTGGGTCCAGCGGAGGGAATGGCGCCTTATTAGGTCTCAAGGGGAGCCCAGTTGGTATAGGTTCAGACCTGGGTGGATCAATTAGAATACCTTCGCATTTTTGTGGTACTGTGGGATTTAAACCAACGAGCGGCAGATTAAGTCTTCGAAATAATAATGATCTTTTGCCTGGAGCTGATCTCCTCCTTCCCACTTATGGCCCTATGGGAAGAGATGTTAAGTCTGTGTCTACTGTTATGAAGGCATTAGGTTGATAGTTAAAATCAATTATTATACTTTAATGAACCTGTTTTTTTTTAATCAGCCTCTGACATTCTTTTTCAATTGGACGAATCTATACCACCCATGAAATTCAATGACGATGATTTTGCGTCTACTAGGAAGCTTAGAATCGGTTATTTTATTCAAAACGGAATTTTCCCTGCTGCTCCGGCCGTTCAAAGGGCCTGCGAACTTGCGAAAAAAGAATTAGGAAATTTAGGACACGAAATGATAGATTGTAGTAACATTTCTAATGAAATTGACCTACATATAGCGAATGAGCTTATAGTAGATTGTATCGTTCTTGATAATGGTAAGGCATTCCTTGAAAATGTAAAGGATGATGCCCTTGACCCAAGTATTAGAAACGAAATATTTGTTTTAAAATCGCCGGATTTTATTAAGAGATTTCTCTCATTCCTACTATCCTTTCTTGTAAGTTTTGAAATGTTATCCTCTAAGGAAAGAAAATATAAAACATACATTTATATTTTCAGGATAAAAATGTTTCATCGACAATAAAACAAATGATTGGAAAGAAAGATGTATCAAGCTATTATCAAAGAGTTTGTAAGAGAAATGTTCGTATTATTTATTTTATAATACAAATTAATAACACAAGATATTCTACTTTTTTATTTATTAGAAATTTAGGGAAGATATGTTTTCAATCTGGAAAAAATTGAAATTGGACGCTATGATTTGCCCACCTTGTGGTGTATATGCTCCACCTCATTACAAGTTTTCAAAATCAACATCCTGTATGTATTAATATTTTTACTATTATAATATCTTATTTATAGTTTAAGTATATCAAATCATCATTTGATATTTTATTATTTTAGTGGCTTGTTCTTATTCTTCATTATGGAATATTGTAAATTATCCTGCTGGAGTAGTTCCTGTGACAAAAGTTAATAAAGCTGATGATGAGAATTTAAAAAATTACTATAAAGAACACTGTAAACAATATCTACATAAATTAGCATACGTTTGTATTTCATTAAAAATTAGAACTATTTTTGATTTAATTGCTAGTTGTACACCTCATCCTTACTTTTTATTATTTACTTTACCTTAGAATGGATTAAAGGACGGTATAGGACTCCCTGTTGGCGTTCAAGTTGTTACTCTGCCATTTAGAGATGAACTCTGTTTGAACGTAATGGGTCAGCTTGAGACCAGCATAAAACGCCTAATGGAAAAATAAGAGAGTAAACTAAATTACCCTTTGACCTTTTTGTGACTGAAAAAATAGATAATAGATGTCGCTCTTTCATGACACTTAAAGAAATAGAAATAAAAAATAACATTATGAACAATCTATTTTAGGTAAAGGATGTACAGTTAAAATGACACTTTTGACACAGAAATTTTGATTGTAAGTTTGAAATTGTTACATAATAATTTGCCGTAATATCATAGTATTTACGTAAAAGTCAGGTACTGGAGCTATGAATATTCTTTGCAGGAAACTTATCGTAATGTTCCATAGATAGGACACTATTAAACAATAGATATGCATAGATAAGAATTATTTCTTAAATCAATTTTAAAGTCATTGTACCTTGTACGTCTTTTTGTATATTCGCTCATCTTCGTGAATTTGTTTCAACTGCTCCTTTAAATGCTCTTGCCACTCTTGAACATTGTTAAATTGAGATGGTCTTTTTTTGTACGTCCCATTAACAGTCTCATCATTATATTGACGCAGAAGAGTTTTAAGAACAGTCTTCTCTTTGACATTACCAGGTGGTCTGTGATTCATTGTTAATAAACATTTACTTGCTCTATTTATACCCTGCAAAGATATCTTTTTAATTTGAAATAATCGCACCGCCTCTTGAACATGATTATTAATTCTTCTATAATGAACTTTCGGTCTGCTTAATGCAAGACGTTTTTTTGTTGACGTTGTTTTTGGTCTACGATTCTCTGACTCTTTAGGTTTGTGTGATTTTTCTTTGTCGGGAGCGGTTTTTGGACGATTCTTCGTAGTCGGACTGGGAGATTTTTTAGGTACTTCAACTGACCTCGCTTTTCTAATTTGGCGAGGTTTCGAATTAGCTTTTGGCGCTTTTGGAGGATGAGGAATGATTTTTATTTCTTTATTACTTTGAGTAAGCGAGGGAGAAGACGTTTGGGCAGGCGATACAGAATGAGACGATGAAACGGAATGTTCACTTTTAGCTTTATCAGTTGACTTGGAATCCACTGTGATCGAGCTGTCAGCCTCAAATTCATCATTATATTCGGCTTCGACTTCGGCTTCGGTTTTATCTTTGGTTTTAGTAGTTACTTCACCATCTGAGAGATTAGTCTCATCTTTTTCTCTTATTTCTTCAACTCTTTCATCTTCAGCTTTACCTATTTCCTTTTTTTCATTTTCGTCATCTGGCTTTGCTTTATGTTCTATAGAATATTCAGATTTCTCCGAAAGAGATTTATCATGTTCTACTTGTTTTTTATCATCCTCTTTAGTTTGCATTTCCTCACTTTCGCTTTCTTTTTCAGGTTCTTTATTTACTTCTTGTTCAGTCTTTTCCTCCTCTTCTTTTTCTATTTCTTCTTTTTTGCCTTCTTCTTTCTCCTCTTTTTCTTCCTCCTCTTTCTCCTCCTCTTTGATTAATTCTTCTTTCTCTTCTTCAACATCCTCGTCTATTTTATCGAGGTAATTGTCGCTTCTTTCATATATTATTTCTGAATTAGATTGTTTAGGCAGAGTGTTTTCAGCTGATTCTGCTAATACCTCATCCTCTTTTTGACTCTCCTCTTCAGATTTTTCATCTTTTTCTGCTTGTTTTACTTCGTCCTCCTGAATAGACTCGGCCGTTGATTTTGTCTCTTCTTCTGCTGTTGTTTCGTCTACTTCAGAGTCTTTATTGCTCTCTCTATCCTTTTCTTGCTCTTTAGAGTCCTCCTGAGGGCGCTCAACTAATTGTAACTCAGAAATTTTTTCATCATTGTCAGTCTTTTCCGTTTCCAAGTCCTCGCTCTTGTCTTTGTTATCGTTTCCAACCAAAGATTCTTGCCGTTCATTCTCATCAGATAAGTCTTTTTCCGCTTCCGCTAAGCTTTGTGTTTCAATAGCTTTCTCTTCCTCTTCGCTAGTTTCCTTTTCATTGTTTTCTTTCCGGTCAGACATTTCCTTCTCTACGATTTGCTCTTTAGTTTCTAAAAAATAAATATGGCGGATAACTTGACTACGATTAACTTAATATTCTAGAGGGAAATAAAATGAGTAGTTAGGGGACAATTAATTTAATCTCTAATATTAAAGCAAGTTTTTCATAAAAAGCTACGAAGCAAACGAGATCAATTTGGCCTCTATATAATATTCTAAATTGATTATTGATTGAAATCAATCATAAGTATGATACTATGTCGTTTTTAAAGTTAAAATTATTGATTTAATTATATATTTTTACTCTTTTATTCGGTATTGTAGAAAAAGACGTTACAAACCTTCCATGGTAGGCGTCTCCTCAATTTTCAATAAGGCAGCAAGGCTCTCGTGTCCCTTTTCTAGGGCAATATCATAAGGCGTTAGGCTTTTATTTTTGTCCTGTTTAGAAACAAAGTACTAATTATTTTTCTCCTGTTATCATTAGCTATAGAATATACATATTGATTAATATATAAACGGCCTATTTCATATTGTCTATCTGTTTCAACAAAGTGTATTCTGTATACATAATAATATTTATATCGATGCTTAGTAATATATTTAACAGCATCATAAATGATATAATTTCATTTGCCTCAAATTGAGGGTTTACTCTTCTGTTTAGTAAATAATGAAGATGAGTATATCAATCTATTCAAATTTTATCAATTGAAAAACAGCTATATGGAAATAAACCAACCGGAATATGGTAATAAACATCTTTTTTTGCCTTTAACTCTAACAATAGCTTGCATACTTCAGTATTTCCAGTTAAAGCACCAATGTGTAAACACGTTCTACCATTAGAATTTCCAATATTAACCTTTTCTTCGTTTCCAGTTAAAACATACCTTATAACCTGTAAATGATTCCCAAAAGATGCTTCGTGAATTGGATGATCTCCTTTTTTATTTGATCCCCAACATTCACCACCGTATTCTGTCAGATATTTTAGGCATTCTAAATTACCTAATGCACATGCACAATGAGATGGTAGTCTTCCTTTTAAGTCTCTATGATTTGGATTCGCCTTATTTTCTAACAGTTTCTTAACAATTACGTTATGCCCATGACTTATTGCGTAAAAAAGGGGTGTACAACCATTTTTATCTTCTGTGTCTACTTTTGTTTGATCGTTCTTGAGAAAATCAACCAGCACATTCTCGAAACCTTGAGAAGCAACGCAGTGCAAAGCTGATAAGCGGTCGATATCTGAATCTTTCGTTTCTGCTCCCTTCTCCGTTAGTAAATGACAAGCTTCTAGTGAACCTAAAAATTAGAAAGAAAAATAATATAAAAAATATTAAACAATCCTTAAATGAACTGAAAACTAAAATCAAAAATAACATTAAAAGTAATGTTTGCGCTATCTGACATTCTATCAATTACGAAACCAAATTTAATTGTCATTATCCGGGAAACGGTAACATTTTGTTTTTTAATTCAAGCAAATAGCTTCAAAATTAATCTCTGAATATCAGATATTGTTTACAAAATAATCAATAGGTAATTAACAAAAAACAAAATACTTAAATTTTCTGATTTTATGAAAAAAATTCTTTGATCTAAGCTGTGAAATTCGATTTTTTCGCAATATAAAGTGAACCCATTGACAGATATAACACTGAGCAAATCTAACAAAATTCCTTATTTGTTGTTAATCTACTAACCAACATTTGCTGCCCATAAAAAGGGTGTTCTACCCTTTTCATCGACAGCATCTATTTTCGCACCCATTTCTATTAGATCCGTCATTATTCTGTAGGCGATTTCTGGTTCAACATCATATTTTCCGTTTTCTCCGCAAAGTTGAGCGGCATAATGTAAAGGAGTTGCACCATATTTATCCGGTTTATTCAAATCGGCACCATATCTTAGGAGTGTGTGTAGAAGATTATGATGACCACAAACTGTAAATTTATTATCTTTATATAATTTAACAATAATAATAACTGATTTTTTTCCAATCTTTTCATTTTCATTGTTAGATTAATTAATTAATTAATCGATTAATAGTTTACAAAGAAAAAAAAATTAATTGGAAAATTATTGCAGAAAAAAATCATGATTATAGAAGACAGCTTTAATCACAGTGGTAATAACATTCTATTTAAAGCCCCCTTGTCTAATCGTTTTAAGATTAGAGCATATTTGGTTTTTGTACATTACATAACCTTTTAATAGAATGGTATTAAATAAGAAGAAAATTTATAGTAAAAAAATAAAAAAAAAAACAAAGTAAGACTGAATTCTTTTGCTACAAGAAAATTACGATTTTCACTCACCAACTTGAAGTTTTTGTTATGTCAGAAAAGTTACATAATGAATATTAATGAAAGTCTTTTTTTTTGTAAAATTAAACCGAAAGATTATTATAAACAACTACGCTTTGCGCTTTGTTATGGTTTAGTATATATTAGTTAGTTAATCTGTTAGGTATTAGCTTAATGAACAGTGGCAAAAATAACCCAGAAAACGCATGAATATCTGATCAATTTATTTAGTTATTTCTCTTGTATAATTAAAAGGTGTGATACTTATTCTTTAGACTGAGAATCGTTTACGTAAATATGGTATTTAATGATAATCAAGGTAAAATGATATTCAAATTACTGAATATATAAAGATATTAAATAGATATTTTGTATGGTATAGGGAAAAATACCAATCCTCATATAGAAAGCTTTAAAATTAGGCTTAAGTTAGGATTAGTCGTTTTACACTATACCTGTTTGTAAACAATTGAGCTATTTATTAGTGATATTGTCTGAATTTTCTATACTTTCGTTAGTTTAAGCAATGCTTAAAACTCCTCCGCCTATGAAAGTATACACTTTCAATTTCTTTTTGAATAGTATCATAATGTTTTGGGAAAGTCACGATTGTACAGAGGGTATTAGTAGCACTAGCATTCTATTGGTTGTGCTACTTTGATATTTTCTTTATTAATGGCAATCTTCTTTCAAAAAGCGAAAGAGAAATGATAAATTTTTGATGAATGAATTAAATAAAAAGAGAGCAGAGCCGATCCTCTTTCTTATTCTCTCTTCTCTTAAAAGAGTTAGAGAGAAAAAGATAGATGGACTATTAATCACAAGTTTCTGGGTTATCTTATTTTTGGTAGTATTTAGAGTTGTTAGATACCTGTGGCCCAATGCATGACGGTATGTTCTTCGGAATCCAGGCTATTAATATCCGCACCATTTTCTAATAAACACGCTATCAAGTCCTCATTTGAAGCTATTACTGCTAATTGGAGAGGAGAAAAACCGTCATTGTCCTAATGAATAGCAAAACGTAGAATTGTAGAATATCATCAAGAAAGTTAATTACCTTTGCATTGATAATGTCGGATCCATTTTTAAGTAGTAATTTGGTTATTTCTAAACTCTTGTGCTCAGCGCAATAATGTAGAGGGTTACGTCCATATTGATCGACTACTTGAACCGACTGTTCAAAAAAGTTCAATATTTACGTTATACTCTCTAGTTCTTCTATAAGGTGATGAACAGAAAAGACAAAAAATATTTAAAAGTACCTGACTGACGTCTAAGAACGCTTTAACGGCTTTAAAATCTTCATTTTGAACACCTTTTATAAAAGATCTTTCATATTTCGACATAATTTTATAAAAATTATAACTTTCAATAATTCAGCGCCGAAAGCGCAGTTGCTATTGACTGTTGCAGGCCGACAAACAATAAAGGGGGCAGATCTATTCGGCGAGATGGGGTTTTATGATCTCCAGTTTTTTTAAGTAAACTCCTCAATTGATTGACTAATTGTACTTTATCGAGCTAAACGTGACTTTACCATATATGTAAATGTTTTTTTACAAAATGCTACATATTACTGTACCTAATCTAAAATTATTTGCATGTTAACTTCAACATTACATTACCACACCCGCTATTTTTTTTGAGAATAATTACTCCTTGGCTGAAAAAACCGTTCAACCTAAATCTTGGGCAAATAAAATTTGTACGATTATTCATTAACTTTTAAATGTTAATCGAGAGCGAGGAATTTTTCCTTTTTGTACCAAAATTAATTTTGCTTTATAATAATATAAATAAGGTTATATATGAAAGGAATTCCTTTATGGGAACAGGAAGAAAATAGTCTTGAGAAGGATATCTCCAAAAATTTGAGGGGAAAAAGTATAAAGCATGCAAGAACTTTGATTCTTTTTACCTAAAAAGGTAAACATTTATTTAAATTGCAGTATTTATTTATTATAGTTGAACTTGTATCTGAGAATATAGAATAAAGGGAATTCAACTTTAGGATGTGGGCGTACTATTTTCATTAGCATTGATAACAAATACAAAAAAAAATTCGATATTTTTTCATATATTTATAATTATTTGAATAAATACAAATGTTTGTCGTTAAATGGTATTGGAGTTGGTCTCTTACACTTTCGTATTGATCATATAAGTTTAGGTTTTATAAATTAATATCAAATTAATAGCGATTTTTACATAAAACATCTAGAATTAAAACCTGTATATTCATTCAACGACAAGAAAATTGAATTTTTCCAAACCTCATTCAAACAGATACCAATATGCTTAGATTGAAATTTTTTATTTATCTCTTTTTTCACTAAATTAATTAATAAGACATCTTTTAATTAACTTCTAGAATAATAGAGTTATTTTTAGTAAATATACCTGTAAACAATACACTCTTATATACCATATGCATTATACAAAGCAAAATAATGAATGATATTATGTATATGATATATAGCTTATACAAAGCTGTAATATACAGTCTCTTGATTTGAATTATGAATGAACGGATAGAAATAAGCATAAATTAAGCATAACTGATAGATTTGAAATATAAATGAGAATCCTTATTAAGATCTTTGATGAATAGGCAAAACTTTAATGTCCTAATCTGTTGATATATGATTTAATATAACAAATAATTAAACATATTGTGAATAAATATTTGATAAAAAGTTTATTGGCCTTAAGATAGTTTAGCTTTCTAGAGAGGAGTTATAAGGGTGGGGCATTCAGTGAGAAGAGACGAATGCTAGATATTCTACATTCTCATTAAAACAATAAACTTATTATTTGCGTAATATGATTCATATCTAATTTCGTTCTCTATCGTGATATTGTTTTATTATTGTATTTATATTCATTCAGTGTTATACATTGAATAAAATTCAAAATATTGAATACCTAAGGTAAACAGTTGTTTTTTAATATTTATATCGAAATTATGCGATAAAAAAGAATTCAATACACAACTCTTAGCTTTTACACCAACTATGTTTAACGGTAAAGTTCTTAGTTTTATTAATCTCTTTATTCTACTTTAAGTTTCTTTTAACAAATATCAACCCAGTTGTAGTATTTTCTGTTGCTTGTATATTATTATTCAATAGTAAAATACTGATTGACTAATTGTATCTATAAATAGAATAATCCATAGTAATTTTTCTTAAAAGTGACAGAGATTTGTAATTAAATAATAATAAAATCAAATACAATTGGTAATAACACCTTTTCAACTTTTCTTCTGTTATGTTACAAGCATTAAAAGCTTTCAGGGCTTAAAAATGGCAAAGGCAGTAAAATAAGATTAATATCCGTTAAAAACCCATTTGAGTAGGTAATAGTAAAAAATACAGCCATCATAGCTCTCTTTAATAGTCGATGTAATTATTATCATTGATTGTAGTAAAACAAAAGATATTAATTAATGAATTTGAAGAAGCATAAATTATTTCATTTAGATAATTTATTTACTTAACGTGTTAACTCTTCTTTCAAGCACAATCTGAAAGCTTAAATCAGTCATAATTGAAAAGCTTGTCATGTATTGAGAAATTTTTATTCAATTTAGCTCAAATTCTTTGGAAAAATAGAATTTTTCAGGCTATTGTATGTTGCATATGAATTGTTTAACTTGTGATAAATAATGCCAATATGAAAATTAATTAAGTAAAAAATGATTCTTTTATACACATGAAATGAACAATGATGGATAAATCCTTCCTTTCTACACGTTTAAGAATTATGGTATGAACTATGACAAAGTATTATATTTCAAAATATAAAATATATATATCGCATTGTTTCAAACTTGTAGAAAAACTCCTTAATTTTTCAGCTCAGTGTCTTTATGATGATTTAATAGTCAAGTTGTTCATGTGTTTTTGATATAATATTACTTAGAGTTTTCTTCTTATATTTCTTCATTGGAATTAGTTAGTAGAAGATTGGATGATAGAATTTGGGTGCTATGGTGGATTCTTCTGATGACAGAATGCTGGAAAGATCAAGCTCTCTAACTTTCGAACAATCAATGATAATATCTTTTACATAAATTAAATTAATGAATATTAGACTAATTACTGGGGAATAATAGTCTCCTCGCCTTATGCTACAAGGGATTTGGACTCTAAATTTTGAAACGTTAGTGTTGATTGAAACGGAAAAGAAGCTATTTCTCTTTGGATTATATTCTCAACAATAGAGAGAAAAATATACCTTTTTCTGAGACAAACACTTCAAAGAGCAAAAGACAGTCTGTCTTTTTTATTATACTACATATGCTTCTAATTGCATCACTAGAGAAGAAAAAAAGAAAAATTTATGTACAATACTTAACAATACATATACTGTATTGTCATGTACAATTTCTTGAATTTAACAATCTTTCGCTAATCTTGGATTTTTTAAAAAAATGTCTTTATTTCTTCATTAAGAGAAGCCTCTTCTCTTCGTTTATAAATTTAATTTGTACACAAACGCTGAATAAATTTACATAAATGTTATTGGCAACAAACAAAATCAGATGATACAGGTAATATCCCGGGCAATAGGTTATTTACCTAGGCCATCAGTCGAACTACTTGTTAAATATTTGAAACAATGCAAACTCTGAACGAATTTATTAAATATTAGAATAAACAGGTTGTTTAATGTGTTTCAAGGAATAAGTGGTGTCTTAACCATTTTTAGCGTATGTACTAAGTAGGCTAGGGTTAGATTGATTCCGACTATTGCCTAAAATAAGACGTTAACCCAATAAAAATAGTATTTAAAAAACATTGATACTATTATTGAAGATGAAAATATCTCTTCACTTATTACCTAAGAATTTTGCGTACAAGTGAGTTTCACTGTTAATATGAATGTTATATGCTATGTGCTTTATTAAATATTATAGTTTAGCTATAATTATTAAAAACTAACAAGTATTTTATCGTACTAAATAGAAATTCGTGTTAAGATGTATAAATTGCAGTTTTTCTACAAAGATATTTTATAAATTATGCATTAAATTTCCCAATAACCATTTAGCTCTCTCCATTGTTTACCTCACGTATTTCATATGCTACCTATTAATATATCTAGTTAAACAATCATTTGAAGGTAAAGAGTTACAAAAATGAACATAGTTCTGCTTTGATTATAAATTTGTTACTTTGTTAAAGAAGCACAATCAATTTTAAACAACTTTACTATAAATGCAATTAACAAATCTATTTAAAAAGGTGACTAATTGATTAACTTATTTACTTGTCATCTGTTATTATATATCTAAACAAGTGGAAAGACGAAATACTTTAATAAAAGTTGAAAAATGTCCTTGGTAGTTAGCAAACGAAAGTACAAATGACACTTTAACTTAAGTCTAAACAGTATTCCAATAGGAAAAAAGTGCAAGATAGATGAATTGATTACTTTAATCTTAAATTAACTATACAATTCTAGACAAACGTCAATCTGTAAACTTTGATATGTAATCTACTCTGATTAATATCTTCCGCCAGCGACTACTTTAGATATATAAATAAACGTTTGGGTAATTCATAATATGTAATTTAATTATATTCTATTTATTAGTTTTTGAGCTTGTATGAATAGAATAAATCAGTTGTTTACAAGCAAACGTTGATTTAATACTCTATTTTTATGTCAATTGATCCTATTTTCCCTATTAAAACCATCTATATCAAGATGCAATAGTCAACCAAGATAGATGAAGGTCATCCTGTATAGGAAATACATTAACACTTTAATTTATAAAAAAAATTCATTAAGAACAGATTAAAATTAGAAATATTTGTCTTACATCCTTTCTTAGAAGGAACGAATCGATTAATCTCAAAAAAATTCCTTTCCTAAAATAAAGAATAAAAATTCTAGCTTTACATTTCTTCTTTTTGGTTATTCCTTTTTTTGATGATAGGAAAATGTGAGAAGAAACCTTTTTTGTGTCAGTTTGTAATTACAACTAACGAAGCGAATACGTTTCTAAAATTAGGCCTTATTGATGACTAGTGAAATAAGAGAATTATTTTTCTTTCTATACCCTGATTTTATTTATAGAATAAAGAGATTTTACTCGAAATTAATCCTAATCCCAGTTTCAAACTCCTTTGCGGACAGCACCCTTTTATCGTCCTTAGAGAAGTATCTGACATTTTCTTTTAGATCCCATTGTAAGCTACAGCTTTATATAAGATTTTAGGCGTTTACGGATTTGTTTTTAACTATACTGTTCACTTTCAGAGGAGTACGATGTATTTTTCATCTCTCCTTAAATACAAATATACTATTTGAACCATGCAATAGTAAGGGTTCTTTTTAGCTGTATTGTCAATAATTTTCCTTATCAATACACAGCTGATTGTCAGGAATTGAGAATAAACCTCTCCAAAAACAGAAACTGTATCTCAATATTTTTTGAATAGAGATTTTAGCGATGTTTCCTTGAAAAATACGAAGAATACCCTATAATTCCTTAGATTTGCCAATTATAATAAAATTTCGTCAGCTTTACTTTCAACTGAGAAAATTACTAATATTCTAAAAATTTTTCATGATATATAGCAGCAAAGTATATTCTTTAAATATAGAATTTTCAACTCTAAATATAGAGTAATAGGAGGACTGTTGAAATTATTAAGAGCTTCATTTTGTTTGATAAATATGATTTCTTTAATTTTTTATATTCTCTAAAGAATAAGAAGGCACGATTACAATAGAGTATTCGTGAATTGGATGTCTGTTTATTTTATATAATGAAACTATTTTTCCTGGAAAGGGTAAAGTACTTATCTATCAAAAGATTCTATTTTAATGTTTGATGTATAAAATAGCTATTTTTACCATCAATAGAAAGAATTATCTATGTAGCTAATGGTATTATGGATGTACTAGTATGCTAACACTCTTCCTACAAGGAATATGTCTATACCTAAAATGAAATTCAAAGTTCAAAAACCGGAGCAAACGAAAATTGCAAACCAATTTTTTTGTTTGTAAATAAAATTGTCATATAGTCTCTAAAGATTCCATTTAAAACCTTTTCGTCTCTCCCTTCCCTTTCCTCTCTCTCTCTCCCTCTCTCTCTCTCTCTTTCTATTTGCTTCTAAAAATAAAACTGCATTCTGATGGATAACTCCTGAAATTTATCTATAGTATTATTATTTATCCTCAAATTTTGTCCATTTTTTTATTAGCATCGTTATCTGTAAATATGTAATAGTCTTAAGAAGAGTAATTTATTATACCAAGATAAAATTAAGAAAGGTCAACAATAATTTCGAAAAGATGGAATTATTTAATAAAAAAGTAGCTATTATCTTCTTAATTAGTCAATTACTTGCCTTCTTTGTAGAAGTATGAAGTAAAAACAAATGGATTTTACAGCATGAAATTTTCTGTTTTATTTTTGCATTTAAGTGCTTAGTTAAAAACGCTTAACATTTTTCTTTTACTGTTTTTTTTTCAACTTCCGGAAAGTAAGAATAAAGGAGATTTTGTATGAAAGTTTCTTTCTCTTTTTCGTAAAAGGAGCATTTAGGAAAGACATTTTAATTTCACACTATATTCGTAATATTTATATTCAATTAGCAATCAAGAATGCTATATATATATATATATTGCAAACGGTAGAGTATTTTAAATCTACATAGATATATTTAAAACAGATTATCTTTTATTAATTTAAAGTCCCATAGTCGAAACATTACCAAATACAAAAATTATATAGCATTTCCATAAATAACTTCGACATTTATGAGTAAAAATATTAGTTTATTAAAACAATTTAGAATTGTAAATGACGAATTGTTGAACGACTGGATATCATAGTTAAATGTTATCAAATACTAATATTTTACAATTACATAAATATCTTTTTACATACATTTATAATGCATATCTTGAAAAGAAATGGACCATTTTTCTCCTACGCGTATTCTGGTAGCCAGATTAGATATGGTTTGATTAACAAAGCTTCTCTTGCTTATTTCCGGTTACGAATTTGATACTGGGACTGCAGGAAATATTGTGTTTCTCTCGAAGCAGTTGCCTCTTCTGAAGAGAGAGAAAAAATTATTAATGAAAGCATTAGTTAATGAAAACCTCCAACCCTCTAGTTCTATACATTTGGCGCATAATGCTCGTAATACGTTATTTGAAAGTAGGAAACGCTTGAAAGGTTTTCGAAACTGTGGAGAAGCTATTGAATATAAAATAGGGTTGATAGCACTATTAACTGGAAGAACGAAAATGATCAACCACGTGTGGGCTGCATCTGTAAAAATGAAATAATAAGCAGTTTAATTGGAGAATTTTTTAAAGTAAATTAACATGATAGTAACCATTTACTTCTATTTGACACAAAACAAGTATCTTTACTATAAATATTGGAGTCCATGAGAACACATTGGTCAAAACAATTAAAAAACAGCGAGCTGCTAATCCAGCATCTTCTCCTTGCCGACCGCGGTCTACAGATTTTTTCCTAGTTTTTCTCACGCTTTTAAACATGGCCAAGTATGAAGTCGTGACCAATATTACAGTAGCTATATTTATGCCAAGGAAAAGGACAGCAGAATATTGCCAGCCAGATCTAAGAGGTTCATGAATGTACAAAGGTAGACACATTCCGGTACCGCCGTAGAAACCGTTTGAGCCAAAATTTTTCCGCAAAAATATAGGTAGTAAGGACAAAATAATTCCAACAATCCAAAGGATGAAAAGAACTAACCATGTCCTTTTTACAGTTAGATGGGTTTTCCTATAGGGATTTGATATAACGCTACAGCGTTCCACTGACATAAACGTCAAAACAAAACTAGAAACCTGTAGGCATTTTATTTCATTTAGCATGATTGTTGATTCTTGCGTATCTCTTTGAAATTTTAAAGTGTAATTTAACTTGCAATTGAAGAATTAGATAAAGAAAAATTAGCTTGACAAGTTAAAAAATCGATTTACGTTATATTGTTACTCTCTCCAAAGTAGCAATCAGGAGAGATGGCTAGCAATTGGATTGCCAATTACAACCGTTTTACTACTATTAAATTTACTGGTGTTATTTTTAATTAACTAATTTAATATAAAACAGCAGCAACTCTCTCTTTTATTTTTTCTTAGTGATAATCCGTACTGAGGTATAAACCCGCATGATAAGTTCTTTAGCGCTTTTAAGAGAGAAAAGGCTAAAGAAAATCTTACCAGTGCCGACGTAACGGATAAAGATCCGATTAGTTGACATTCCCTGCTTCTTTTCCAATCTAGAGAATGTTTGTTGTAGACGCCCCTAAAGCGTGTGTCATAAATAGCGATCATTATCAAGTAGATGCCCATAATCAAATCGGAAACTGCGAGTTTGTCAAGAAAATAATCACACGTGAAATTTATTTCTTTTCTTACCACAAAGGTTGATTATAAACGCCGAAGTTTTATTTTTATCCCTACTTCTGAGGCGGCTTACAAATACTAAGCTATTAGCCATTATCGTAAAAAGGCCTACTGCCCAGATGAATACTCTAAGTACTACCAAAGCCAAGAGATCTCTGTTTTAGGTTTAGAGACAAAGGGGAAAATGATTATTTTGCAAAATAAACAATGCAGATGATAGGTGTACTTTAAACTGGAAATTCCGTCAGTTTTCGGATAACAATTAGGAACATGAGGTACATATTGGCAATAAGCGAATTTTGAGAATTTTCTGAAATAGAGCATTTGAATTAAAAACAGTCTGAGATATTTTATATTTAAAAAATGTTAACATTCGTTGTAGATGTAAATTTGAAAACATCATAACTTGAATATTTGCTATTGAAATTCCTTCTAAATCCCTTTATAAAATTTGACATAATTAGATGCTATGACGTAAATAACAAATGATACAAACAGGATACGTAATTTTGTTAGAGGAGCAAATAGTTTTGGTGTTATAACTAGCTGTTTGTTGTCAGTTAGTGTTCTATGATTAATTTGTAAAAATTATTACCGTATGAAAATCATTAATAAAGAGATTTTACAAGTGTTCAAGAGAAGTAAAATTGGCAAAGGAGTCATCATCCAGCAATCCAATTTTATTATTTTGTAAATTTCTATAATGAGATTAAAAGAATTATTATCAAATTGTTTTAATTTTATAATTTAACACTAGTTACATACAGATCAATTATATTCGAAAATATAGATCCTTTGATTAATTCATTCATACAATTGTTTTCCATATAACTGTTTAATAAAAAGAGATATATTTCTTAATTAATATATGATGAATGGGAAATGAATAATAAAATTATCTATTTATTATTGTCAACACTTACATTATTTGCAAATTATTTTCACCTATATATTCTGGTTTGAAGTGTTTCAACTTATTTGATTGAACGTACCTTAAATTATGAATGAAGTATACAAATTTATATATATACATAATATATATATATACATGTGTAACAGTATATTAATATATACATGTAATATATTTTAAAGGCAATATTTACAATGTTGTTAAATTTTCTGGTAAAGTTACTGTAAATGTTGGGCCCAGATTATTATTTTGAAGATTACTGTAATTGAAATTGATGGACTGAGTATATTTTACACAAATCATTGGATACTTATCAACTTACAGAGAGTCTAAATTAGTTAGAGGAGGAAGCGCATGAGAGTGTATAAATTTTATTTTGTTTCCAGCCAAATTCCTTAGGGATTATTTCAAAATAATAAATAAGATAGAAATTTATGTTACAAATGTTTTAAATACTCACAAATAGAATAAATTATCTGCTCCAGTAAAGGTAAACTTATCAATTCTCCTTATAGAATTCTCAGCAAGATTACTGATGACAATAATCAATGACATTATATATTCATACAAATAGAAAGAAACTTTTAGTCTGTTTCACTTACAGATATTTTAATGATTGAGAGATAAAAGAAAAATCTGCTAATCTCTTTATATTGTTATTCTTAATGACCCTGAAGAAATAATACAAACAGTTTAGTATAATCTTAAACGCGCTTAGGAATAAAAATAGTTAATATACAAAATCTTAAGGATTTGAAAATGTGCTATAAAGCCTTTGAAAGGTGTTATAATGTTATCCATTAGATTCCTAGTAAAATTAGAACAACTTTAATAAAATATTAAAATCAATTAGTGAGTCTACTTGCAAGTAAGTAACATTTCTTAAGAAGTTTTCTCTCAGTTTGTCTATGGATAATTTATTACATGTAAGTCTGCTTCCTCTTTTACATGAGCATTCAATTGGAACTTGAGGTAAATCTGGTTATCAAAACAGACATTTTTAGGATAATTAAAAGATATATTCACACATAGGTTAACTATTAATTAATATATTCCTCATTAGCATACTTACAGCAAACTGAATTATTTGTTGTATCCATTACTTTGTGTTTGTTCGCATGATAAAATCTATTCCAAGAACCCACTCTGTTTTCTACAACAACAAAAAAAAACAACTAATGGAAAATACTATGAAATTCTTATGGACATTTCAAATAATTGTAATATATACTGTATTACATTACTATTAATTAAATATTAAAGTCATGCAATCTAATGTCCAGTTTCTAGAACAAAAGCTACTATATTCCCATTTTATTGGAAGCTTTTGTACAAACTAATTTTGAAAGACAAACTACTACAAATAGAAATTAAGTAATATAGAAAATATATATATATACTGCAAACTTCTGTTGATTCATCCCATCCGTTATTACAGTCAATTTCATTGTCACATATATTTTGCTGCTCCACGCATTCAACGGAATTTCCACACTAAATTATACAAAACATTAAGAATTCGTGAAATTTAAAAGAAAAGAATAAAACAAATTAGGGCTTTCTAATTAAACTCTGCAATTCCCACTATGCAAAATATTAATTCATTTTTGCAACTAGTCAAAGAGACTACATAATAGAATGTTTAAGTGAGTATTTTACATTTATATTGCACTGTCTTGCATATTAATTGATGTTTGATCACAGCATAATTAAGATAGAGAATATATCTGTTTTTGGCCCTTGCTTTGTAAATCACACTTCCGGTTAGTATAATTGATGCGTTCCGGAGAATTTGTACCATATCTCTAATTTTTACAAAAAGGATAGGGTATAATAAATGTCTTACCTTAAAATAAGGCTTTTTGCAAATCTTTTGTTCCCAAGAATAACAAAAAATTCCTGAATTGAAAAAAAATAATTATTAGATTCAGAAAGACTCTTTTAAACAAATTATACGATAATTTTAGCTAAATATTTTTATTTGTAATGAAGAAGAACCGGTAGTTCTTACTTCTTTCTTACATTTATATTATTCTCAGTAATAAGTCATCTAGAAAGTTTAGACCCAAAATAACAGGTCAATTGATTCAATCAGCATAGTTTGCAATCTCATTTAGCTACTGTATCTATTTTTGAGCCTACAATTTATAGCTTCGGAAAGAATTGACGTCCAAAATGTAGATATAAATAAAGATGAGAATAGAATGTTATGCTTTCACAAGCAATCATCGTTAAAATGTTAAAAAGACTATTATATATCTATTTATACTTGAATTATTGACTGTTTTCATACAACACTAATAATAATTACACTTTTTAATACATACCTAACAGCGTAAGAAAGCTAAAGAGCTTCATTCTGTCTTCCCAAGTTTTCGACTGACATGACTAAACTTTGATGGCGCCACTGTATTAAAAGAATCTTTTAGTGTATGATTGATTCTATCCCATTATAAACAAACAATATTTTAATTACTACATGAGCATTAAAAACAATTAAAGAGAGATTGAAAACTGTATTATATACATTATGAATAAACACACTAGTAATTAATCATTCATAGCGTATTAAATGATTATATATAGCAAGTTTAATATTTAAATTAAACAAGTAATTATAATTCATTCATATTTTTCAAATGTTCGCTTTCTATACTTTTGAATAGATCTTCTCTATATCTTCTCTTCCGCTATTATGTACTCTTGAAAGGGTAGACTAAGTGAGTAAAGTATGGTAAATCCAAAAAAAAGGAACTAAGGAAACATAAAAGCAATAACAACGATAGAGTAATTAAAATAAGTGCCATATTAACCATCAATTAAATAGAGATGCACGATAACCTAACAGTGTCTAAAATATTAATAAAATTGAGAATAATTGCTTTTAATTTTATGTTTGTTTCTCCAGTGAACAGCCAATAAGTCTCTGTCTGATAATGTAAAAAATATAGAAAGAACATTGGGAAATAGGAAATTAATTAAGAAACTCTTGATTAACATGTGAAAATAACTAAGTTTTCTTACAAAATATAGCTTACAAGCTCCTAAATTACAAGGGCTTAATAGTGTAAGAGATTAATTAAAAAGTGATTTCTAGCTACTTTTCCTATATACCGTAGTAATAACTTTCTGACGTTATTTAGAAACTTTCTATCTTTTCTATATATAATAAAAAACAGGATTTTGATCAATTATTTTGTTGAAGAAAAGTAAAAGTGAACTTGCAACTTGACCTATTGAATCAGAAAGTTTAATTGTATTCGAGTTTTACTTGATGATAACATTCAACTTACATTAACCTAATTATGAGATTTGAAAGAAAAAAAGAAATATGATAAAAAATTATTCAGAAGAAAGGTTACATATTAATTTCTTAAACAATGTCATTTATCTTTGTATATTTTTGTATTTTTCTTGCTTTCTAGTTATAATGAATTATTTTAAACATTTAGTGAAAGCTAAAAATAAACAGCATAACATTAAATTGGATTATGTGTAGTTTATAGTAAATCCCGTAGACGGCGTATTTAAAAATTTTTCGTCAACTAGAGCCACCTAACAAGGTGGATAATTTCTGCCATACTATGAACTTTTTCGTTTCCATGTATGGTATCAAGCTAAAGTTTGTGGAAGTTTATTCTTCTACATGATTTGTGCGGATATCATAAATACGTCTCCCAATCTTGCTTCTGTTGCATAGTTTACCATGACATTTTTTGCAGAATATACGAATATAGGAAATGTATGGCCAGAAAGTATTTCGTAGCTGCAAGGTACAGTGGAGGGAGAACCTTCAAAAACAGTTAGCCATCCTTTATCAACTCCACACCCGCCCCAGTTGGCATTCATATAAAATCTTCTATCAGATGCATTATCACTGTCGATTAAAAATATTTTAATATAGATTTTTTTAAGGCGTTAAAAAGTAACCCATCGATTGAAAAGTAGTTAGTTGTTGGTTTTGGAGATTGAAGTAAATCTGTATATGAGCTTGCGATAATTTTATCGATGTCCAACCAGTTCATTTTGTCAGAATTTGTAGAATTAAAAACAACAAATGCCTTTTCTACATTGTTCTCATATACCGAAACACGAATCTGTTTTTAAAGTAAAACTTGAATAATATAATAAAGCATAAGTTAATGTTAAAATTTCTAACCTTTTTTACTTTTTTCCATTCAACTTCATCATCAATCATCTTGGATTTGAATACTCCCTTATGACTTGGGTTGGAAGTCTGAAGATCTGCATTATAACTGTTCAGAGAGTTTGTTGATTTCCAGAGATCAAATAATCTTGTATTTGTGTTTGCAGAACTTCTGAATAAAATTATCCAATTATCATTTTCCTAAAATAAAATGGACTTTACAGGAAAATAAACAAATGGAGTTAATACATCACCTCTCGTAAAATAGTAAAGTATGATTTGTTACCGTAAAGGATTAAAGGATTTTCAGAATTTATTACAGTTGTCAACTTCTTTTTCATGCAAATTCTATCAGGAGTGTAGACTACAAGATCACAGTTATCATCTTTCAAACAAATATAAAAACAACTGGAATACTCTAAAGGGTCATTATATATTTCCCCTATAACTTTCCCATTAGTAACCCCATATTTATGTATAGTTCTAATTTGGGATTGTATACTAACAGCAACAATCCCAAAAAAAATCGCGCAAAACAGTACTCTTATCCTTAAGTTGCTCATGATAGAAATGAAACAAAAAGGTATGAAACACGCATTATTTGCGATATTGACTATTTAAAAGCTGAAAGCTTTTAAATCAATCTTTAGAACAAAAGAGGAAAAACGTCATGAAGAACACATCAGTGGAAAGATTACCAAAAGAGATAACTATTCAACTGATCGTGGTGATCTAATTGCACATTTATTTGATCAATTTTTATCAAATAGTCTTATAACATAGTCAAATTATAAAACAATTAATGAATCTATCGCGTACATAAAAGAAATAATAGGCGTTTTTTCCAACTTTTTACCATGACTTTTAATTGTCCAAGTTAAGATTCCAGTCTGAATAAATGTTGAAAACCATATTAGATTATAATATTCATCTATTTTACATTATATTATCCGTATTATGTCGTTAATACTGTAGTAAGTTTCTTCTCTAAAAGTATAACATTAAGAAGGGAGTAAGATTACAACTTTTATTATAACTAATGATATATCTGATATTAGAAATTTTCCTTGAAGCTATAAAACAAATGCCTATTGCCCATATAGACCTATATTATGCTTTACAATTATGACTCTATTTTATATTATTCCAGATGAAATTACGAAAGAATTGTATATTTGTGATCAATTATCCATGAAGTTAGTTTGATCATTAACAAGCGTATCTGAAACGAAAAAAATGATCCTGACCCCATAAGACTCTAGATTGTCAAAAGGTTCAGTGTACTCGTATAGTTTGTTAATTAAACAATAAAAATATCATAATTAATCTATATTATTTCACAATTTTTCAATATAATAACTTAGTTAACCAATAAAAGGGCGTTTATTTACCTTCTTTATTAAGTTTAATATACATTTCACTAAGAACACAATGATTTAGTTTCATATTAAACACCTTTTAAATAATTGTTTCGTCTTCAAGTAAATATTTGTTAAATAATAAACTACTTAATTAAATTAAGACTACAAACTAGTTTCTTTTATCTCAATAAGACTGCTTATCCTTATGATTAACGCATCTTATGTCATCATTGTGTATCAGGACAATTTTATCGACATATTTTAATCATTTTCATTTTAGGAAAAGTCAGTGTGAAGTATTTAAAAAAGAGAAGTTTTACTGGGACACCCCCAATGAAACACTGTATATGGGCATAATAGAGATATCTACAACTTTTTCTTCTTTTCCTTTCAGTGAAGCAGGTCTTAACCGAAATTATAATATATACAACTGTAAATATAAGCACATATATATACTGTATATATAATATAGACTATGTATAAAAGAAATAATAAACCGTACTCCATTGCCATCTAGCGGCCATTCAAGAAATTTATTATAGAATTCTGTATGATAATTCGAAGATGACTCTTATTGCAAATAATTCTAATTTCGTTAAAGCCTTATTTTTCATTTAAACTTTAAACATAAATTAATTATTCATATCTATTATATTAAAAATATATAGATATTTAGTCCTAGATAAATTTAGTCTTAAGGAATTTAACATACTGTATTTCTCTTCATAGAGTATAATGAAAATATGTTTATAAAACCTTGTTCTCTTTAATTAAATCATTCGAATCGGATGAATGTGTGTTGTTGTTGATTTTTGTTTTTACTGTATTACACTATTCAGAATTAAACAGTTCTTGATTAGTATTTTAATATAAACTACAATAAAATGTATGCCCAATGAAAATGTTCACAAATGTATCAATGTGTTGAATTATCAGCTAATTATAATTTTCTAAAAGGTAAAATCAAGTTCACTGATTCTCTGCTACGTTAATTTTTAGGTTAAAACCTTTGAAATAATTGATTGCATGTAAAAACCATATATTTGATATTTAGTAAGATTTACGTAGCTTTATATTCATAAATATTATCTTTTAGTATACTATACACGTCATTTACTAAATAGAGCAAATGTTCCATAATGTTAAAGTGTAAGCCAGTGTTCTATTTAGAATACAATATCAGTTTAATTGAGAATACAGATATAACGAGTTATATAGCCATAATCACAATTATAAACATTCATAAATGTAAATTTGAATACATGCAGATGTTCATTTATCTATATTCAAAGCCTCAAAAAAATGCTAATATCAATGTTTTATCCCTATGCAGTAATATAAGGTTACAACTTCTACGCCTGAAAACAGCTTCTATATCTACCTTAAGCGTTCTCTTAAATAGCATACTACAATGACAGTTTGCTGATTGGTCAACTGCAAAACTCCGCAGTTAATTTCTTACGATGCAATATATCGAGAAAAGAAATATTTCTACGTATTTAGAATTTAAATTTATATTTACACGTTTAATGTGAAAAAATAATAATTTTTCCCTATACTAGACAAATCACGTGACTAGACGGCGCGAATTTTTCATAAGCTGCAGCAAAAAAATCAATATGACACTGCACTGTTTAAAGTACAAACCGGCTAACTGTGCAGTTGAACGGAATCTATTCAAACATCTTTGAGAAGACAGTCGAAAATTTTTAACACTAAGAAAAATCTACTGCAAATTTCGTTGATTGGCTGACTGCAAAACTGCTCATGCATAATTCATAAGAGACAGAATCAAGATGGACGACGTCGACGACAGATTCGGCAGGCGTTCGTCGATCGTCGTACATAGGAAAACTGTAGGAATATGACCTACATTTTTCCCAATCTGGAAAACTGTAAAAATTCGGCCTGAGTCGGATTACGTAATGACGACGCGTCGTCCGTCGCTCCCTCCTTTACCGGATCTTTCTCACCTAACTGAGGCGGAGAGAAAAATTATCGAAAGTGTTCTGGAGCGGCAAAGGGAAGAAGAAGAGAGGGAACACGAAATATTAAGGTAAGCATCATTTACATTTGACAATAAATGAAAAATTACAGTAGAACGGATCGAAGCCGCCATTTTGACTAATCAATGAGCGGAGTAGGAAAATCGCCTATAGATTATCGTCTTGTCTATTTTTTACTTTAAATGGCATGTTTGATTCTATATTATCTAGAAATATTCAAGTATAAAGCTAAAACAAGTCAAAACCCACGCATTTTCTTGCATAGGTAATATTCTACTTTTGCACATTATACATTCGGCCATTATGTGCACTATTTACATAAACTAGACCATTCTCCGACTATACATGACACAATATGACTTATAAAATATTTATTGTTGCGAAAAAATGCCGAACGCCAACGACATTATCATAATAAATTGATCGAATTATCTATTCTTTTCCTTTTTATACATTTTTGTTCTTCACTTTCCTTCTATGCTCCTCGATTTTTATTCTCTTTCCGTCTTTCTTTCTTCTTTTTTTTGCAAAAGAAAACCGTTCAATTTTTGTTTTCCAAAATGTAAACATTTCAACTTTTTCCGTTTAAAAATAGCTACCAATGACGTCACATTAGTTGTTTGTCAATGGAATCGTCGTTACTTAGTTGTATTTTTATTCATATACCTTTATATATATATTTATATATATATATATATATATATATATATATATTTAGAAGTATACACAAAATATATAAATTTTATATATATTATATATATCTTTACACACATAAGCATAAGCCATATACTGTATATTTTATATTCGTATTTACATATTTTATACATGCACATAATGTGTATAAAAATTATTTACATTTAAATACTTGTATATGTATATATATATATATATATATATATATATATATATATATATATATATATATACTGTATATATGGGAAACTATATATGAAGTTATATATATAACTGTGTATACAGTATGCATAGTACATATAAATATCAAAAGCATATACAGCATATATCCATATTATATTGCCAATATATACACACGCATATATATATATATATATATATATATTTATATATATTTATATATATACTGTATATAGTAACAACTCATGACATATTTTCTAATAAACTATACATCACTTATAAAACTATGTACAATTTCTTTCTTCTGTTCTGGAATTTCTCGTCAAGTTTTTTGTATTGATAATCGATTACTCTTTTAATTCAACCGAATCAGATAACTTGAAATTATATAACCCTTTTTTTTGCGGTGGGCAATCAAAAAGGCAGACGTTACTGACTAAATGAGTCATTGTAATTGTTTTGATTATATCGAATTGCTTCTGTTTACAATTTGTTAAGAGAAATCCTCTATTATATAATCTTACAGCTTTAAACGTATGTCGGTTATCCCATTTCTGGAATTTATGTATCTTTTAAAAAGTCATTATATTTTAGCCCTTTATTCTTCAATCTCTCTTGTAATACTCTTTTTTTTCTCTCTAATGAATTTTACCGTTACCTTTCATTTTTTATTTTTTTTCTTCTTTGTTTCCTTCATAAAATTGATTCCCTTACGTAATAATAGACGAGTAATCTGGGAAAGTAAGTCATTGTCTACATTATGTAGATACTCATAAAATTCATATCTTTATACGTGAGATACAACGTTTACTATTGCATGTTTAATATACATTATAATGCTTTTAGGCCTATATATAGTCTGCTTTTAATCTAACAGTGTCTGATAAATGATTAATTAGCATTCGTTCAAACTTATATTAAAACCCTCTTTAATGTAAAATGCGATAATCAAGTTCTTAACAGGATTAACTTTTTATTTGATTGATAGCACATTTTTATGCATAATCTGCATATGTAGATAATTAACTGAACATTGAATGTCTGTGTAAACGGATTTATTTATACATCGTCTTCTAGGTCGATTACCTTCTTGATTGCATCTATATATTACATAACGATTAGTTAGAAGAGCTCTAAGGAAGATTTTGTGCAAATGTGTTCTTTCATATTAATGGAAAATCATTTTGTAGAGTGCGTTCAATTCCTATTATGACATAAATTTTTCTAGCTTTATACTTTATTCACATTACTCATATTACTATATTGTTTGCACGGTATAAAGTTATTTTTGGTCTGTTAAATAAGGCCCATAGAAATTACTTTATGTAACCTTTTCCCTAATTTGATAGAGAAGGAAATAGGAAACTTAGCTCGTAACGTTTTTTTAAAGCAAATTCAAACGTATACCAACAGTAATATGAATTTCTTAAAACGCCATCTATGTTGATTTACAGGAACTTACAGAACGAGGCAGACAAATGCGACACCGCTATTCGTCAAAAACATGAGGAGGTACAAAGAAAGCAAGTTCAAGCCACATCTGTCGGACAGGATGTAGAGGCAATTTGCCAAATTTGTAATAAAACTAAATTCGCAGACGGTGTTGGGCATCGGTGTCATTATTGTCAATTGTTATCTTGCTCGAGATGCGGTGGAAAAATTCACATGAAAGCCAACAGGGTTAGTATTTTCTCCTTGCCGTCATGTATACATACTTTTTACATTTACTGCATATTATAACTATATATATATATGAAAATAGCAACTACCTAGTAACATATACAGTATATACTATACATGACAACATATACAAGTATATTGATACTTAAAAATCCTATTAATTCTTTCTCGGCGTCCCCTCACTTCCTCCTCTCTCTCTCTCTTGCTATCTCACTCTCTCCCTTTTCACTATATTTAGACATAAATATTTATTAATGACGTAGAGTCTGCTCTATTAATTTTTCAAAAACTTATCTAAAATATGTAAAATGAAAAATAAATTCAAAGTTTTTTCATAAAAAGCAATTTCAAGACTTCTTACGTGACAACGTAATACAGTCGTCCTAAAAATAGTTCAAAACACAGCATATGATATCATTAGCTATTTCTTTTATTTTCTTAAATAATAGACTTTGACACATAGAGTAATAAATATATTGTACATACAAGTATATACCCTTCAAAAAAATATTGTTTATATTCTTTATGCTATATAATTACACTAAGATAACACATTGTTTAAAGAATTCAATAAAATGAGTGTTCAATTTAATATTTCGTAATCAAAAGTCTAAAAACAAATCATATTATTCTAATGTTATTGACCTAAAAATTGGCAAAATCTTTTCAGGGTGGCAAAATGGTGCATACTGGTCAGGTAAGAAAAAGTTTAGATAGGTTCATAAAACAATAAAATAGCAAAGTAATAATGGAAAAAAATAAATAACGACCCTTCAAATTAGCTCTAGTTATTTCTTTTGTTTCTCGTTTGTTATGTTTTTATTTTAACTGGTTGTTTTTCATTTGATGCACTGTATAAAAAAAATATTGAAAGAAAAAATTTATCATACTTTTCCTCAGTTTTTTGATCTGCTTCAAAAAAAAATATTAGAGATATGTAGGAGCTTTTTTCAAGTTCCACTTCACAAATTGAGTATCTTATATTATATGTGTTCTATGCACTAGAAATTAGCTTTCAATTTAATGGTAAAAAGAATAATTTAGTTTTAATTCTGTTTATTTTTCTTGATTACAGTTACTTTGGTGCTGTACATTATGTCGAAAGAAACAAGAACTACTGGTAAAGACTGGTCAATGGTACCATGGTGGCCAAGCGCGACCAGTGCAATTGGACGTTGATTCCCCATCTGACACTGGATCGATAAGATCCATGCCACCATCAATTCCCTCGCAAGATCACAGCAAACCAACAACATTTAGGCGTCAATATTCCCAAGCTGATCGAATAGATGCCGCTAAACGTAATATACAACCTCATCAACCGGACAGGTTGATGAGAGGTCCTCATGAGTTTGACCACCTTGATCCCTCCAAGGCGAGAAGATCAAAAGTGGATAACAGTATGGCTCGAAACGATTCATTATCATCAGACCCATCTGATTGCGTCAGACCTCCTCCTCCCCGTCCTCACAAACAACGACGAAAACAACTTCATACAGTACCGCAACAGTCGCTCTCCTCATCGGATGATGACGTTCGAACAACGCCAGATTGTACCAGTTGCGATGATCAAGAATTAGAAAGCGAGAGCGTATCAGAAAAAGGTAAGATCACTTTGTATATTTATCCCACGAATCTTTTCCTAACCTACAAATTTTTCCAGTATTGTTTTTTAAAAGAAAAAACAAAAGAATGTAGACACAATAACATAAAAAATGTTGATAACAAATAGAAGCTAATCTTCCAAATAATATTATTAATACTATTTAACATAACTTTTAATCTTTTTAATGATCTACATTACTAAAAAAATTACTGTTAATTAATTACGTTCAGCTGCGCGACAAGTTGACCGAAACGAAATTTTGGCTGCGAAAATTAAAAAATTTTTAGCGGTGAGAAATAATATACACTTTATACACTGTGTCATACCGCAATATTGTTTTAGTTCTACTATTTTTATGGTTAATATTTGTATGTGAACATATACATTTATAATAGAAATAACAAAAATTTGATATAAAAATAAATGCAGTATCCTAATACGCATATAATACTATATTATGCATATATTTACAGTATAATTTATATGTTCACATATAACTCTTCGTAATTGAATATTTTTATAGGTCTTTTAGAGACGCGTGCTAACGACACACTAAACTTCCATTTTTGCATAAAAGAATTAAACAAAAATAGGGGAAAAGAGAATGTAAGAGTGAAACAGGAATAGAGAGCAATTCGGGAACATAAAGATTAGCTCCCTCATGACAAAGCAGACAGAAAAAAAAACATTTTTACTTACTCTCTTTATTCACTTGTTGCCTCCACTTGAACTAGATATAAGTAGGCCTTTAAAATAACACAGTACAATATACTAGTAACTTACAGCTGTTGAAAAACATTTATTCCAGTATTATTGTGTTGGAAATCAATTCCTGACTAATTGTGAGACATGTTACAGAGCATTGAAAAAAGTCTCTCTTAACAATACTTGTATGTTATATTTCTTTGCAATTTCTAAAGAAAAGGTGTAAGATGTTTGCAGTTGATCGATTATGACCAAATTAGTTTACGTATGTAATAAACAAAATTTTTTTTATTTCTTTCGATCTTTTTATTCGTTTTTTATGATTGACCAAAAAATACTCAATTCTTCTTAGAAAAGGCAGTTGAGACAAGGGATATAGTTTTAATAAAGAAACAAAATAGAATTAGAATTTTATTGAAAGCGACAAAAAAACAATTAAAACAGGCTATGGAAGTATGGCGGGCAGCATCGGCGACGTGGCAAGAGCTAAACCTCGTCTTGCTCGCCAAAAAGAGAGTAGGAGTTTGGAGGAAGATAGCGGTTGGAGTGAACCTCGCTTTGCACCTTCTCCGCCACCAAATTTGGAAGAAGAAGAGGACGATAGGACCCCGGTTTCAACTACTTTTAGTGTTCAGGTTGATAAAAAAAACCAAACAAAAAACCATCATCTTCCTTCTTGCCTCGTTCACCCGTGCTGCCCGCTGTTGTTCGTGTGCCACGTGATCTCTACTGGCCCCAGCTTTCGGGAATCGTCGACATTTTATTTTTCTTCGAGTCTTCTTATAATTTCTTTATTTTCATTTTCTGCATGAATTTATTATCAGAAACAGATATTTTAATTTCAAAGTGTTATTTTTTAAATAGAATTTTGGCATGCTTCAATGTTCAGAAGAAATTGGATGAATTGTAGAAATTTATATCCAATTTTTTCTCAATTTAATTTATTTCTTTAAATAATTTCTCTTCATTTTAATGATAATTAATTTTTCTTATCTACCATTATCCCGATAATATTTCAAGAGATCTTATTTAAATGAACATTAATCCTTAATTAGACTACTTTGCTGTATAACCTTCTGTTTTTAGACTTTCGTCTTCTCTTGAATCCCATTCCATAAGAAAAATTTGACATATTTTATATGAATTTTTGTTTATTTTTTCTTTTATCCTTTCCCTATTCAGCATCCGGTGCGATGGGAAGTATCAAGAGACCAGACCAAATTGACTGGCCATATGATATTAAAAAAGGGAGAGCCGTCCTATCCAGGCGATACGCGTGGTAACATCTTAGGTAAGGAAAATTTAGGTAAGACAAACAAACTTTTTAGGCTTTTCTGTTTATATTTTACTGAAGAAGAAAAAGAAATCACTATCTATTTTTTCAATTTAGATGCTATCAGCAAAATATTGCTGTGCATTTTTATGACTTAGCACTTTACGGCGCTTTCTAGAATAGTTTTTCTCACCTGACAAGAATTCAACTTGTTCTGTCTCTTTCACCTTCACAAAGTTTTAAAAAAGAGCTATTACTATTCCTTGTAGTATTGTATTATTTTTTTGAGATTTCAGAATAAATATTTATCTAAATTATGCCTCTCTTAACAATAATCAATAGGCCTAAAGGTTACTGGAGGAAAAGTGACTGAAGATGGTTACATGGGAGCGTTCATAACAAAGGTGAAAAAGGGCAGTATAGCAGATAGAATAGGATACTTGAAACCGGGTGACGAAGTCCTGTATTGGAATAATCGTCCGCTGAAAGGAACGACTTTCGAACAGACTTATGATATAATAATGGAATCAAAGCAGGAACCACAAGTGGAACTAACTGTTGAAAGGATAATCACAGAGTAAGTGATATATTTATCACAATATGCAAAGCAATATTATTCAAATGTTTTGCTAAAACTGAAACAGTCCATCCAGCCTTCCACCGGAATATATTGATTCCCATGGCTATAGGATGAGGAAAGATACGCCTCATCAGACTCATCAGCGTCCTCATCATCCTCCCAGTGTTACTGTCACATCACCTACTGCCTCACCGGTCCGCCAACACAATAAGGGGGCCGAAATCCTTATTAAATTACTGTATGAAGATCGTGACCTGCAGCTGATAGTCACAGTTATCAGGGCCGTTCGTCTCCCAACAAGAGCGAATGGTCAGCCCCGGAATCCTTATTGCAAATTGCATATGATTCCAGAACATCGGTAAGTAGAAATCGTTAGAAAAATAGAATGCCTCTTACTAGCTGAAGTTATATTTATTTAAATTTAATTAGAGCTCAAACGGGCAAGCAAAAACAACGAACGAAAACTGTTGCCGCTTCGTTAGAACCGAAATGGAACACCTCTTTCGTCTACCACCCTTTCAAGGAGTCAGATGTTCATTCGAAATCCTTAGAGGTCACTGTCTATGACTACGACCGAATTGGATCAGGGGAATACGTTGGGGAGGTTCTTATTGATTTGAGTAGGGCTAACCTATCAGATAAACCTGACTGGTATAAGTTAATTAATCAAGAAACGGAGAGTATAACATCTTCGATAACCGTAAGTATTTACAATTCTCTTCTTCTATACCACTTCTCATTCTCTTTAATCAAACCTACAGAGTTTGCAGAGGAGAGGAGATCATCTTTCCCCTCCCATGTCGGTTACCAGGTTAAGCGACAGTGATTTATCTGAATGCGAATACGACGAAAACGCTGCAGGTAAATTATCCATTTTTGTTGTTAATTTATTCCCACAGTAGATGTTGTTAATTAAGAAAAGAATAGAAAAATGAAATATTAATTTGTGAAAATACATAATGTACATATTTGTCGTAGCAGAAGTTAAATTTATGGTAGTTAAACGATCATTTATCCAATTTAACACAGTGGCTTATTTAATGTTGTTCATCATTAATGTTGTTCAAACCTGCCCCTGCAAGATAAATTCTTTTATATAATATGGTTACAAATTATTCAGGGAGAATTCGAAAGGTGCTGCCACCTGCTGGCGACGGACTTAGCCTAAGCTCATCTTGCAGTGAACTACAAGGTTGTTATAGAGAAGGACGCAGAGAAATCTATAGATATAATTTTTTAAAAAATGTTCATTTGATTAATGATATACCATATGTTTTAATAACTATAAAAAGAAAAACTTTAAAAACTAAATGACTATTGGTAGAGACTAGGATCAGTTTTCTACATTTTTAAAAGGTTATTATTTATACATTCATACGTTTTGCAGATCCAATATTCGAAAATTCTAGATCTCGTAAACATTCGTCGCAATCTGCCGATAAATTGAACATCCCGTCAAAAACTTCGAATCCGTTACCCAGAAAACCACGCTCAGTGTCTCCAACTCGTCCACAACGCCACTCAGAACCTTCAATGGGATCGTCTACTAAACGTCGTCATCTTCCCCAAATTCCAGCTCTCGATCATGGTACGCAGTTAGAGCAACGGGCAAGAGAAATGAAAATGAAGATCCGACAATCAGTTTCTACGCCTGTTTCCGATAGTGAAGGATCTTGTACAAATCGCTCTAGCAAGAGCGCTGAGGCGGCTGTTCAAAGGACATTACCCCCAACACCACGCGTCGTTCAAAATCGACGAGTGTATGAAGACGACGCAAGGTCAGATGTTTCAGAGACGTCGGACGTATCTGAAATGAGTAAGATGAGCATAAGATCGACGCAAAGCGAACGTCCGAGACGAAAGCTCTCGGAATTTGCTAGCCAAATGGAACAGAGAGGCTCGAGGGTGGTTGGTCCTCGTGGGGCCATCATTAACCGCTCTCAATCCAACACCGACGTCATAAGGGCTGACATGGAGAAAAACGACGGTAGTATCTCTGATTCTGCAATCGCGTCTTCCAAACTAGCAGCACCTACAAGACCTCATCGGAAAAGGAGGCCTTCATTAGGCTACAAGGTAGCTGCCTTAGTTGGTTTATCAAGTAGGAAGAAAAGTTCCAGTACTTCCTCTCTCGTTCAGCAAAGAAATCCTAAGGATTCGGCCAGTTTTCAAAGAAGTGAGGAGGTGGGGGCAGGAACAGATATGCTTACACGGCAGACAAGTAAAGATTCAAATGATGGTAGTATTAGTTCTGATGGTTCAAATGCTATGTGGCTTCCAGCTGGCATGAGAATAGGGCCTGAAGGGCAATTCGGTGATTTTATCGATAAGCTAGGTCCATCTCAACTGGTTGGTAGGCAAGTGCTTGGTTCGGCTTGTTTAGGAGAAATTCAAATGGGCTTATCAGATAGGAAAGGACGGCTAGAAGTTGAAGTGATACGAGCAAGAGGACTTTTATCTAAGCCCAATGCCAGGGTTCTACCTGCTCCTTATATTAAAGTTTATTTAATGGAAGGAAAACAGTGTACAGAAAAGCAAAAAACAGATCCGGCAAGAAGGACTCTTGACCCACTTTATCAAGTTCAATTGACTTTTAACGAACCGTATAAGGGCAAAATACTGCAGGTAACTGTCTGGGGTGATTATGGTAGAATGGATAGGAAAGTTTTTATGGGAGTTGCACAAATACTATTAGATGACTTGGACTTGTCAAACATCGTTATAGGATGGTACAAGTTATTTCAATCTAGTTCCTTAGTCGGTCATGCGACACATTCAGCCCGTCGAAATTCAACCGAACCGGCAAAGTTGTGACGAAGAATAATCATGCAGATTCTCTATAGTTCTTTAATTTTTGCACTCTCTTATACCGAGAACTCGTTCGAGGGTTTTTGTACGGTTCATCTGTAGATGGATAGATGACGTAGTTACAAAAAATATAAGTGTATATACAGTATATGTTAATACTATACTGCCTATATATTTAAGAATATATATATATATATATATATATATATATATTAGTATATATATATATACAATATATATATAACATATATATCATACATCCAACAAATGTATTCTCATGCTTATAAATGACTAAGAAAAGTATGAAAGTTCTTTGACTCTAGTTGATGTAATAGTGCAAACTGTCCTGCAATGGTGCACCCTTCAAAAACAAACAAAAAACATTAAATATGCTTTCCAGCCGTGTGCTAATATAAAACAACTCACCAAGAGGAGAAGCCCAGCGAGAAAATAGAAGATAAACAGTTAACAGATATATAAAATGTTCAATTTTAGGAGTAACAATTCAGTTTTTATACATATCAACATTAGATGACATATAAAAGAAATAGGAAGAAAAAAGACTTTAAAAGTGAAGATACAATTTTCTCTCGCTCCCTCCTCTTCTGCATACTGTACTCTAAAAAACTTTGCATATCCATAACTATCCACTTTTTGTGGGCAAACAGTTGACATTGATAAACTAAAGAACTCTTTTGCCTACAGTAGACATAGAGTTGTATACATCTGTAGACTATACTAAGAAAATACTCTCCTCTCAAAATTTACAAAGGATATTAGAACCAAAAAATAACACAAAAGGAATTTATCACTTTCTGCAGATTTCAGCGTATGACGACCCTCGGCAAGTGATGATGCAATCTCATGCAGACTCTTTCTCTTTTCTCTCTATCTCTGTACAGTGCCCTCTCTCTATTTTCGCCACATATATATATATATATATATGTATATATATTGGTTCGTTGTTTGTTTCGTTCTTTTTTTCTTATAGGCAATAATTGAATGTGTAAAGGGAAAAAAAAGAAAAAAATGAGAAAAATTCAAGAAATTATCATGTTTATAACTAAAAAAAAACGAAAAGATAAGATATATCGAGATTACTTTTTAATGATACAAGAGGAAGTCTTCAAAATTCTTTTTTTTTTTTTGGAATGAACGCGTTTTCTTCGGATGTAGAAAGAAAAATATTTTTTTTCCTAATGCAGAAAAGTTTCATTCTTTCTGTCACGTCAGTGCCTGTAATTCTCTCTATATACTTCTTTCACTCTTTATGTATATTTTTTTATTTGATAAAAAAAACTTGTATATTAAACAAACAATACGTTATATAGAAAAAAAGACGAACTTGTTTTATTACTATTATTTTAATTATTATTAATGAGATAAATAAGGAAAAGATGTTATATGCCTGTTTATTGAAGTATTATTAATTGATTATTAATTGATGCATTATTTTCTTTCACTCCTTTTTTTCCTTAAAATTCTATTATTATGAAATATGCAAAGAGGGTTATTAGTTCTCTTTCAGCCTAGATAACTCGTTGTTATAAACAATAATCAACTATCTGATCTATGGTCTCAAAGAAAGAGTACAAATTAAGTCTAGGCCTATGATAAAGAAATATAATCGAAATATTAAGCCCTTTGAGTACAATCCTAGCTGTAGGTTACTCATTAGGCGATCGAATGAAATCGATTTACAGCTTCCATTCGATTTATTAATTTTTCTTTTTATGGCTAGAGTTAAAATGGTCACTCTCTTTACTTGAATAAAATCGGTCGAGAAGCACTTAACTTTTCTATACGCCAATTCAGCTAAATCAAACTAAAACACTCTTAAACGACTGGGTGCTTTTTCAAGCTTAAAGAGAGTCAAATTTTAAATGACCAAGTACTATAAACCATATAAAATAATTAAAAATAGATTTATTGAAAGATAATTTTCTTGTTTTTTTTTTCATTATTAAAAGTATAAAATATACATTAGATGGAAAGAGTTTAAGAATGGCGATAAAAAACGACTAGGCCTCATCCTCGCGCTGTTTAATATTTTGAACATGTGAACTATTCTGGCGAGCTATTTCATCTATGGCGGCGTCATCGAAAACACTGGAGGTATCATCTTCACAATCGCATTGCAGAACTTTGATAAAATCACTCTGTTCTGAATGACTTGAGCTATCTCCAGCTGGCTTAGAAGACTTTAATGGCGGCAAAAACTTAATAGAGCTGTGCGATCTATTCTTTTGGTATTTTTCTTCAGAGGCTAATTTCATTGCGAATTGGGCTTCCGGTGAAAGGGTAGACGAGAAACGATATTGTTTGTGCCTTCTTGATTCGTCCAAACTCCACAAGCTAGCTCGACGTTCGGTTTTGAATCGGCGAGCCCGCTGAAACTGTTCCAATTCATAGCGTGTTAGATTGAACGCTTGGTCGGAATTTCTGGACATATTGAAGCTTTTCCATTTAGAACTGTTTCAGTGAAAGTAGTTTCAAAATATATTTATAAAATAGATAATCCGTTTTTTTGTTGGGATTAAATTTACCAAAGCGCACACTATGAGTTTAAAGCGATATTTCCCCATATCATATTTCAATAAATCGATCGTCAGATACACAACTTGAAAAGCCTTCGTGTTGAAAGAAATTTAAAATAATTGTCGTTAGCTATTTCGTTATCTATAAACTCTTGGATACAATTTATTTTATCTTATCTCATGCGCATACAAATGATTTATTGACTGAACGGTTTTTTTTTTAAAAAAAAAAGTAAAATAAAAATTACAATCTATGAAACTTATTTTCTTACGCACTTATTCACTGAAGTTAAAAGGACTATATTAATTGGATTTTACTAATTGATATGAACTAAATGGAAGCTAATTTTAAAAAGATAAATTGTTTTATTTTAGCCGATCGAAAAAGAAAGACTTAATAAAATAATCATGATAGAATATTATGATTGTGATACTAATGATAAAGGAAAAGTTTTCCAAGTACTTACAGTGCAGCTAAATTGGAATTATTTCGAACACAAATTTTATTAAAAAGTTAATCCATAGGATTGACTTTTTATAAGAGAAAACAGCATGCTAAACGTCCACTGCTTATCTAACAACAACCGAATCGAAAATCAATTACTTATTATACTTACTAGTAAAAAACGCCACCTGCTTTAACTGTACTTCTTAATTTTTTGTTTCCATTTGCGCCATCTATAGTCTATAACGATACTTTATTTAATATTAATTTTAGTGCTGAGACTATATTTGTAAATTCTCGACTTAAATTTACATATAAATAATCTAAAAAATATTTCGCTTAGAGATTGTTATATGCTCGAAAAATTTTTACTCAGTAGAACCTAATCTTACGGGAATTAGACGTAATTTGGTATTGAGTATTTAACTTTCTGTATTTCCTACTTAAACGAAATGCTAAACCCATACACAAACAATACAATCTTACAATCCCCTCACAATTAAATAGGCCTAAGGTGTAGCTTTTCTTTTTTAAGTGTTCGGTAATTGCTAAATGTTTTATTGGTCTATTATTATTTGAAAGTCTTCTTTATCATTTTCTTTGAATTATTCAAGAAACTCTGTTAGTTCTCCGTATCGATTTTCTGACCAGTTAGGTTTGAAAAGGTTGTTTATTTATTAATACACATCGTCTACGTAGTTCTCACGCTTCATTTTTTATTCATTTGTTAAGAGAGATTAAGTTCGACTAATTAAAATTAATAAATATAACAGATGGCGCAACAGTCTACCTAACAACGTGGAGAGAAAAGTTTCTAAAGTAGAGAGTAAGTTAAATGTATTTATTTTTATTGAAAATAAAGAATATTCGAAAGAGAATTTAAATTAAAATATATAAGCATTTTGCGTGAAATGTTTACATAAGCATTTTACAAACATACAACAAGGTCAATACAGAGATACTCTAATAAAACAATTAGATATGAGATAAACTGTAGTAATTGATGTAGAAGAGCAAACTGTTTATAAATACATGTTGTTGGATTCCTAATAATAATAATTAGTAATACTCTGAAAGAACTTACAGGTAAGATATAATTACGTATTCCGATAACTTTCATTTACAATAAGTGTTGAGAGAGGAATTTTAAGCAAATAGAATACATTCTCATCAAAATAAAGTTATGAAGTTGTATTGCACGCTGAATATATATGTATAAATGTATTTATAGAGCATCAGATTGTATATATTCAGTATATATTTATAAACGCTGTTTTTTAAAAAAACAAAGATCTATTATGCAACTTTCAACCCATGAAAGTCAACAAAACGTCAGACAACAATTAAAAATAACACAGTTGAGAATAAGATATCAAAAAGTAGCACTATAGTACCATACTCTAGTAATTAATGAATGAGTATATTTTTCGATTGACGATATAACCCCTACAACACCTATTCCTGTTTGTGAGTGTGAGTTGTAGTTTTGAGGGGAATGGTAACCAGCTATCATGGCGATTGTGTGATATACCTCCTCTATGCGGCTCTGAGTTTTTTGAGTATTTTCTCATTTCACTCAAATTTTAAGGTTTATATATGTTCATTTGTTATATATATCGTTTAAGTTATTTAATCATTCTTTGTAAAAATATTTTTGTCGTGTTAAAGTGTGCGTTGTGTGTTATAACTTTATATTACAGTTTTATTCACGTGTTGCAGGAATTTTTAGAAAATTCAGGCGTTATTTTTTAGTATTATACTCTTCGTCTATGACGTTTATATTGCTGTACTAATTTAAATAAGTTTATGTAAATTTAGCTATAGAAAATTTAAAACTTTAGTAAAAGTATAACTCAAAAATACTAATAATTTAATAGTTTTCTAGTCGAGAAAAGCATAGAAGTGTCAGTGGAAAGTGTCGACGGGACTTTATTTAGACATGAATTGCTAATTAGGATATTAAAAGGAAATAAATTTATAAAAAATAAGTCTGATTTAATTATCAATGAATTTCAACAGATGCTACAACCTATGGTGGCATGTAAACTATGAATCCATAGCAATAGATTACAGTGTTAAGATTACATAATTGAAAATGATAAAATGCATATAATTAGTTCATATGGATATATAACGGATTTGAAACAAGTATAGACAGACCGCATGAATGCAACAGGCCAATCAGAGACGGCTGGCAGAACACGTATATTCTTATAAATTTATTGTACAGGTTTACAAGAAACAATATTAGGCCGTTTTTACTACTAAATTTTAGTACGGTATATTTGACAAATAGTCTAGACTAGAGATATTAGAAAAATTTCTGCGGTCTTTGACATAATTCTTATTTGAAATAGAATTGAATAATAATTGTTTTGATAGGAATCACTGCAATGACATACTACATATTTAAAGTTTATCTTAATGAGATGAAACAATTCAAGGAAAATTAAAGATTCAAATTTTTCCATCTTGAATGATAACTCCAACTTTTCATTTTTATTTTACAGATTTATAATTATTTTATTAAGATCGCTGAATAGATTATAAATATTTTTATATTCCCTTTTTCTCTTTTTGGAATAGATAGAAATTGAAAAGTGAAACAAAAACAATCTGATATTTTCACAAGGCAAATGTCAAGTGCTGTCAAACACCGAAAGGCGTAAACAATTTGAATATTGCCATATGTAGACAGAGGTGAAGATTGAATATAATATTTAATGTTGAAATAAAAAATATTCATCATACCTTTACTTTTTAAAACTTTAGATAATAAATGTAAAAAGTTTGGCTAAAATGTCTTCAGTACAGTATATTCCGAAATATAAAACAATTAATAGATCATAATTAGATCTCGAGATATTTTTTGTCTTTTTTTAATAGTGTTACAACAGCTTAAAATAAATATCGCCTTAGGCGTTTTGTTTTAAAATGATAGCCCATTCTTTAAGAATATTTGATTTAATTATGTTTTTTATGGTTTATAATATTCATATGTATTTTTTATATAACTTTTAACAATATATAAGAAAACTTTAATAGGAATAAATGTAGTACAAGGCAATCAATCACCTACTTATTGTTTTCTTTGTTTCAGCAGCGCCTCTGCCTCTGAAATTGATGCTAAGATTTGCCATTTTCGCTTGCTTAGCTGCTGTTATCTTCTAGAGTGCAGGTAACTAAAGATATATATTTTTATACCAATTATTTGTTTATTACGGATTTTATACTTTTGTTTACTACAGTTTTTCGGACGTTTTTATTCTTTATTTTAAATTAATAGTAATCAATTGTATAATAATTATATAGATATTTCAAGCTAGTTTTAGTAAACATTATTAATAACTTTATCAAAAGGGCAATATTAAAAAAGGAAGATTATTCTTTCTTCTGTAAACAATAAACTTTTTGTTTAATGTAAATAAAGAATTTGTAAATGTACAACTTTTATGAACCTTGAAAAAATAATATTTAGCATAGGCTTGTGTAATTTTGTCGTAATGTTCGTTTATTAAGTTAAATAATTATATTAGATTATAGTCTAAATGGCTATCTATGGTCTGGCAATTTTTTCCCAGTATTATATATTTTAACATACTTATACAATTTCAATTATTTTAACTTGTAATATTTTACCGAGATATAATCAATTCTACAAAAGCAATAAAATATTTCTTGTTGGTTTAGACTATCAGCAATTGTGAAAAATAGTACTTCTGGAGACAGATAAAGTTCTTTTAGAATATACACCTTAAACTTGTTACATCTATCAGGTATGACAAATGATAATATAATTAAGAACAAAACATAAGGCTTTATTTTCCTATTCTGAACCTATTTTTTTGTTCTACAGTATATAGACTTTTTCTTATTGTAAATTTATTTCAATATTTCTCTACCAGTTTAACAGTGACAAATTTTCCATAAAAAGTTGTAATCAACGCTTTGGCGTTAAGTAATAGTTATTGCAAAGTTTCGTATAATTTAGTAAAAAATTGCACAAAGCTAACCATCTTCTGACAGATGTCTTGTATCGATTTTTTAAATAAATATACTATAGATACATATAAGAAATGCGCCATAGTATATGCTTTTTATACATAAATATATATATATATATCTATATACAAATAGTTAAACAGAGATATATTTGCATATTTTTAGATGAGTTCGTAAGTGCGTACGTATGTATATGTATGTGTTACTTTTGTTATTATTATTATTATTATTATTGCGATAATCTGTCGTTTGAAGAACTATCTAGAATGTTAATATAACATATTTTAATAAGTATTCAACACGTTTTTTTCTGTTTAGTAAAATGTATAAATTTTTTAAATAATATCTTCATTCAATACTTAATTTTCATATTTGTACACAATATTTCTTATTGATTTAAGCAAGAATGAAGTATTAGTTTCTACGATATGTTAATTATAGAAAAATAATCTTTTTGTTGTTCATAAAGGATTAGAAATATCTATTATTAAGAAATAAAAGGAAATAAATTTGGATTTCTTTGGCATTTTTATGCAATATTAAATCTATTAGAAAAAATTTCAATCTGTCGTATTTAATTCAAGGATTAAATAATAAAATATGTTGTTTTTTAGATAAATTTGTAACCTATAGACATTTTTGTCTAAATTATTTGTGCAAGCTCTGTTCAGCTATTTAATCTTTGTCTGCCTTAGATTTCAATAAGAATTAGGATAGAACAGAAATTTTTAAATAGAATTCTAATTGACTTCCCTCAAATTAAATTTGCAAACGATTGTTAATAACTCTTATGCTTTTACAGAAACTTATTGCTTCTTCAAAAATTCAATAAATATCATCCTTGCCCAGAGTGGTAAATGATCTAATAATATCATTTATATAATATATAAACAAAATGGGAGTTAAGGAAAGACTTTGTATGAATCGATCTTCGAGAGAAGAACGGCAAAGTAATTGCGAGGAGACCCAAAACATCAATCAGGAAAATGTAGTAAACGAGGAGCCTGCTGAACCTGGACGAATTAAATGGTCGTCGCCAACAGAATTTATGTTAACTTGCATTGGTTACAGCGTTGGTCTTGGAAATGTATGGAGGTTTCCTTACTTATGCTATAAATCTGGAGGAGGTAAATTACATCTAAATATTCTTAATTCTTTACGCAAATTCTATAGTAAATCATCTTATAGATGTTTAATTATTTCTTTGCTAATTACTCTTGACAATAATCTCTTTGTTAAGACAAAACAAATATAAATACACATAGTTAATATTATATTCACATACATGTAACTACAACCTCTATCACATCTTATCTATTTGAATAAGCTATCATTTACTTTACATTTCTTTATTACAGGAGCCTTCCTTATTCCGTATATGATCATGATGGCTCTTATTGGTTGTCCAGGATTATTCTTGGAATATTCATTTGGTCAATTTTGGGGAATTGGCGGATTAACTATATTCAAAAAAGTTTGCCCTTTATTTCAAGGTGGGTTTCTAATAATTTTTCTACAACAGCCTATTCAATTTTGTCCATGTGACGACACTTCACCATAGGCCTTTAACTTTTTCAAATAAGCATTTCGAGTATTTCTACCCATTTACCATAAAATCTATATTAAGCATTTTTGAGGTGAAAACTATTGTAAAGCCTTTATGAATGAATATATCTTTCGCAGCTAACAAGTATAGCATACGTGAGGTCAATGTCAGTAGAGCGTAATTCCTTATTTGAATTGAATGGAACTGTCTGATTTTGGCAAAAGCAAATAATTCAATTAGTTTCTCCCTTTCAAAAGCTGAGATTTGTCTCATTTTAGTAAAAGAATTCAATTAATATTTCTCTGATTCGTAAGCACAAGACTGAAACATGATACGAATAATTACGAAAGGTTTTCCTCTCTTTGTTTACATTAGCGGAAGACGACACACGAATATATGAATGATTATACGTCGTCCATTTTGACAAATAAGTTGATTCACTTCCTTCTCTAGTCACGGGAAAAACAACAGTTAAAAGACTTCTTTACATTTCTTTTGAACTTGTAAATTATATCATAAAAAGTTCATTTCAATTTAAACATTGAAAATATGTCTGAAATTATATCAATGGAACGCTAAGGATTATGCTGTTTTCAATTTTGCACTGTTACTACAACATTGATTTATGTAGGTCAAAAGCCTTATTCTCTTTATAAAATGCACACCTCCCCTCTCGTATGCTTTAAAAGCTTAAAATATTCTTCTGAAGATCTTAAAGTGTCATCAAACATATTTTTTTTCGTCTAATCCTAGCTATATCCTTTTTTTTATTTAAATAATAACAGTAGATGTATTAATTTACAAAACCAAAATTACACTGTTTTATTGAGGCGGCTAAGTTCAATCATTTCATCCGGTTTTAATTTACCATTGTTAAAACATGCCATTAAGTATAATCCTATAAATATTCGTTTTAACAGATTATTTCCGTTTTCCAAGATTATTTCTGCTTTGACCTTAAAACTGCGCGTTGGTTGGTTCTTTATTGCCTTTTTCAATGAATTGCTCACGTTATATGCCTCTAGGCAAATTACACGACACGTATTTGTCACCATGACACAGAATTTTAGTAAAGAGATTGTAAATTTTATTTTATTGACTAGGCAAGACAAAACGTTTTTATTTAGTAAGCTCGACACTATACTCCGCCGGCAAAAATATCAATAAATGCCAACACAACTGTTTAAATTAAAAATGACGTTTCAAAAAAAAAGAAGTATATACAGAATATTTTAATATATAAAAATGTATTAATTTTAACTGTTCCACATATTTCTGACTCAGAGATCATTTTTTGAGAACAATTTCTTTTTTATTTTCAATCACCTATTGTACATTTAGAAATTATTAACAGTGCTATTATTCATGTATTTTAGCTGTAAAGGAAGCTACTTTCTAAAGAATATTAAATACGCTGTCTCGAATGAGAATATATACCCTCTTCTTTGTTTTATTAATCCTTGAAAAAGTTGCTTAGTTACAATATCGATTAGAGTTGTATACTCTTGAAGATCTTGTTCTGAATCGTTGAAACGTTTTGCCTCGTATTAATTTTTGTTACGCTTTTACAATCGTTCTCATATGCCCTAGCCAAATCAATAGTCTTTTACCCTTCCGTTAATCAATAGTCGACCTAGTGACCTATAAAAAGTCTCATTTTACAATGAAACCTAATTGAACTATACACTCATTTCGTTGATCAATGACTTTGGCCTATATAGACTATTGAATAGTAATAACTTTCGATTTTTTTAACTCGTCCTAATCGTCTGCTCTTTGACGTAATCATGTATATATTCAATATAAACATATGTGACCTACTTATTGAGGGGGCGTTTCATCAATGCACCTTTTTACTACGTCTTAAATAAGACTCGTGTCACCTTATCAAATTAACAATCTTTTTCATCTATCTTTTACGACTTTTGTATAAGAATGTCCTATAATGGAGTATAGTATAGATGTCTTTTATTATATTTTTATTTAGTTTGTTGAAATATGATAAGGAATTTTTGAGAGAGCAAAAAAAGCCCCGTCAGATTTATGTGTAGTTGAGCAGGAGGGTGGGGGGAACTGTTACCGCCTTCGACAACAATATCAGCATATAATTTTTTCTTTACTGTATGATATTTTTAGATTCAGGTTAATAGGATTTCGGAATATTTCGAAGAATTTTTTAAACTTTATAGCAGACGAGCGAAGTAGAGTTTTTTTAGTTTGACAGAGAGTGGAAGAGATAGTGCATCGCACTTAAATTATCATGTATTCTTTAGAGTAATTTTGTAAAATTCATGTAATTTAGCTTGTATAAAGCTTGGTTTTTCATAGCAAATACAGTTTATTTTGCTGGAATCACAAGGTTCACAGCTCCAGACGGGTCATTTAAGTGTCCTACTTAGAGTACTCAATTGCCAATATTAGTCTAGAACATGCACGTTCCAATCGTACTATTTGTTAGCGGTCTAAAACCTTGGCTTATACAGATATCTTTTTATTATTTATTTATCATGCTTTATCGATGTATTACAAAAAATTAATGTCTGGTGAATGTCTTACTCTCTGACCTACTTTCCTATTCAAATATTTTTATTCTAACTTTTCATATAAAAAATTTAGAATATTTTTATTTTCATTACAGGAATCGGCCTATGCTATATGGTTTTAAATGGTTTCGTGTGCATATACTATAACGTTATCATCGCCCTATCAATACACTACCTCTTTCGTTCATTTACAAGTGATCTACCATGGGGCAGTTGCGGAAACGCATGGAATACTCCAAATTGCGGAGATCCAATCGCAAATATTACATATAATAACCAAATGAACAGCACGAACTTCACGACTAGTAGCCCAACAGAATTTGTTACCTCTACATATTCTCCAAATATGAATAAAACTGACAGAGTTAGCCCATCCAAGGAATATTGGGAAAGAAAATTGTTGGCTGTTACCAGCAGTCATTCCATTAGCAATTTAGGGAGTATAAGATGGGAATTATGTCTATGTTTACTAGCTGCTTGGGTAATCGTAGTCATATTTGTCAGCAGGGGTATCAAATCAACTGGAAAAGTTGCTTATTTTACTGCAACTTTCCCTTACCTCATGTTAACTGTTCTGGTTGTCAGGGGAGTCACCCTTAGAGGAGCTTCAGATGGAATCACTTTCTTTGTAATGCCACAATGGGAGAAGTTGCTATCTCCAGATATTTGGTTTAATGCTGCTACACAGCTATTTTACAGGTTTGTTAAAAAAATTCTCTTTTCACCAGATCTAAAGTGCAGTTTTTTGTAACCTATCACTTCCTTTTTTAAGCTTAAGGAAAATATTTATTAATTTTTTTTATATATTGCATTCCATTGTCTTAGAATATAAACGTGCTAACCATATGATAGTTTTGTTCATATTGTTTTTTACTTATTTTAGGGAACTCAATACTCTAATCCATCTTGCATTTAGCACTTAAAAAAATACTCTCTAATATCCTGGAATATTTCTTCAATTAGGGAAAAGAATTATTAATCGCCATATAATTTTTAAAATTGTTCTTAAATGTAGATAAAATCCCAATATTTTCAAAAATTAAAGAAAACTACACATCGGAAGATAATCAATTATATTCAATCAAATTTTTTCTTCAGTACAAATATTGGATGGGGAGGAATGATAACGATGGCTTCCTACAACGAGCGAAGTCATAACTGCTTTCGTGACGCAATTGTTATAAACTTTGTTTCTTTTTGTACTTCGCTGTACGCTGGATTTGCTGTTTTCTCTATCATTGGTTTTATGGCTACAGAAAGTGGACTTGACGTCGGAGTAAGATCAGGATTATCAGAATTTTCCACATATAATTTATTGAAATTAATATTTTTAGGATGTTATTCAGAGCGGACCTGAACTTGCATTCATTGTATACCCAAGAGCCCTTGCTCTTATGCCTTTGGCACCTATGTGGAGTGCGCTTTTCTTTTTTATGCTTTTCTTATTGGGAATTGGAAGTCAGGTTTGTACATTTTAAATTTAGTAGCGGTAAACAGTAATAACAAATTATCTAAAAAGCATAGATTTACTCAAAGAATTTTGAGCGCCGTCTAATTTTTTACTCAAAATACATAGGTATCAATTTATGACAAAGTTATTGCTGAGAAATTAATTTAATCATATTAGATTTCGTATAGTTTAAAAGAGTTTTTTTTTTTTACAATAGCTATAATTTATATTATTTTTACATTGGCTATAGTATTTCAATAAGGTTATTTAGTAAAGTTAGTCTTACAAACTGTTAATTAAGGAGTTGTAAGCCAATTTTTATACCATAAACAAATTATTTATGAAAATTCGTTATTCTCAATGAATTAGCTTAATGTCGTTCTCTTGTATAGAATAGATAGGTAGTAATGGTTCAATATGTACGCATCATACAAATTTTTACATGCAACCTTTATATCAATTGATAAGTGTGCAACACAGCAAACTATACAGGGGGAAAGTTGAGTTTCTTTTCTAAAACTTTGTATCGATTGAATGATAATCTCTGACGGAACTGTCAAAGTGAGCTAATTGACTCAAGATCAAAATGAATATGTCATATACAAGATATATTGACATAAACTTTGCGGAAACTTTTGAAATTCTACTGAAAAACTACACAGTTAGAGGTTAAGAGAACAATCCACAAAAGCTTAGCAGATTTGTGAGACTATTAAAAGCGCTTAGTATTCATCGTGGCCAGTATTCCTTTCGTCATTGAGAATAAAGAATTTCCATGTATTTTAAGGTTGTGACAATATATTTGAGCAAATTCCAGGTCAGCCTTAATTTACAGTTAAAAAACTTAGCCTGACTTATTATATTAAGCATTTAACTTAAAAATATATAATTGCACTAAACTTGGAGGTTAGTACACATTATACTTGTAGAGTATATTGACACTTCTATTGCACGCTCCTGCCTCTATGCTATTCTTTAAATTAATCTATTTTTCGTTCTACATCAAACTTTTCTTGCTGAATGTCCATAGTATAAATTAAGTTTGGGTTATAATATATCTGGCGTTGAAAGAATTTTATTTAACCATATTAATATTGCTATATAATTTTTTAGACGCTTACATGGAATTATCTTTAAAAAATTTTAATATTTCTTATAGAATAGTTAATGCTACAGCTTATTATAAAAGGTTTCTTTTATCTTACATCATTTTTTAATTTTATATCAAAAAGTTTTTATTTTTGCAATTATCAATTTAACTATTTAGTACTTTATTACTTACTATAGATGAATACTAAAACCTTAAAAAATTATAGATATAATAAGCATGCATACTAAAATACTGTAAATTAAATTGTATTTATTTTATTATATTAGCAATGTAGCTTCAAGCTCTGATTCTATTCTATTTATTACTCTATCTATCTGTCAATAACTAGTGGAGCAAGGGGAATTTTTGCACTATATTAATTATATTTAATCACACAGAATCGTTTTGAAATAAAAATTCAAAACAGTTTAGAATAACAATATACCAAAATTTTTATATTTCATCAACAAGGCTTTTTATAATTATAAAACTATCTGCTACTTTCGCCAAACCCCGATACAGATGGTGCTCATTGAAACTGTTGTTACTGGATTCGTCGATGAATTTCCTGCTCTTGGCAAAACACCTTTAGCCCGCCTCGGAACGACAATAGGTTTTTGCATAGTTTTCTGCTTAGTTGCAATACCACAAACAACCCAGGTATTAGTCAATAGGAACAAGAATCAGTAATTTTCTAATAACTGATAAAGGAAGCATTTTTCTCTTAAGAATGAGAGGATGAGCGTGACTGAACATTCATCTGTGTAAAGTTTCTATCTTTTGCTACTGTTTTTCGGCTACTTATTCATTAAGTTATTTTTGTTATCCACCATAGTTATTTCCTAAAAAGTCATCCCCTATACTCATCTAAAAATTCCCTATCAAGGCAGGAGTGTTGTAAAAGTATTTTCATAGTAGGAAATATATATTTTGCTTATTTACTTTTAAAGAAATTCTAAGCTAATAGGTTTAATTAGGTAATCCTTTCAGTAAGCGAGCAATAACGTATCAACTCGATATATAATTCGTTATTGAAGCTATTACCTAACACTGCTCCTCTCCTTAATCTTAGAAAATAATAGTATCATTTTGCTTAGTGTTTAACTAAAAATGCATTTCGTATTAGCATGCTAAGAATATTGTGTTAGGCGTTGTTGTCACAATTCTTCAGATGGTTCAAGTAGAAACAGTGATGACCGGATTACGGGACGAATTTCCTCAATTTAACAGAACAAAAGTTCGCTATCTAGGAAATATCATCGTACTATGCACCGTGGGTTTCCTGATGGGTTTATCTTGTACAACTCAGGTTTCACTTTAACATTGACAATATATTTTCATTTTTCGAAATAGTCACACCTGTTTTCCTAAAGACAAATAGAGAGCTATTTCTTTCCCCCTAGTGCATGCTTATCCCTAGATTTTACTCTACACTCCCGTGTAAATTATTATTCTGGGCGGCGCTCTGAAAATGAAAGGATAATTGCAGTGTTATATGAATTTTTCCACCTCAAATGAAAAATACTTCTTAATCTAGCTACTATGCTTATTTTTCTGATTGGAAAAGTTTCCTTATTCCCAAACCAAATTTATGAAACAGAAAACTTCCGATAAAGAGCTCTTTAAAAGGAAGAAAATTACAAAAGTTACTTTTTATAAATAATCACTGCTGCAAAATAATTCTTATTAATAATTGATAACGAAAAATTCAAGAAGCGACTATAAACACATTTAGGCTTAAATTAAGTATTCAGTATAATTTTCAAAATCACATATTGAAAAGTATGCTTAATTGTCGAACATTTTATTATGTAGTCCTTTTTCATATAACGCAGATGGTAGGGTTGGAAACTGTTATGACTGGTATCACTGACGAATTTAAAATAAAAATCTGGTGGAAACGGCTTTTGGCTACAGTTGTGGTTGCAGTCTGTATGTTTTTATGTGGTTTACCTCAAGTTACACAGGTTTGATAATATAAATCTGTATAGTTCCCATAATTAATGATTATTTAGCTGCATTGATAATAATAGCTGATCAATCAATAATTAGCTTAAATTATATACCATAATATGCAATGGCTAGCTATACGTATAAGACATAATTTAGGAATATTTACTTAGAACGTATACAGATATATGAAAAAGCTTCTTTCATATATTGCTATACTTAATTATTCCTAAGATAATTGTACGTTGTTCCAAATTTTCTGCATTTATAACTATCAAATTCTATAAGGTTGATAGATTTTTAACAGAAAATAGCGTCCCAGTTTTAATGTTTAACCTTTTGATTTTGGTTTCCTGATTTATTCAACAAAACAATTAACAATCACTTTTATAAAAGCGTTGTATATTTGAAATGAATTTAAATCTGCAGGGGCAGTATACATAGTTATTACATCTATACAACGTGATATGCATCTTTACCTTTTCTATTTCTTATATATAAATTTATATATACATATATCTACTTGTATATATGAATATATTATACATGTAATTTTTAAACCAAAGTCTCTCAACCATAGCCTCTTTGTTTGTTGTTAAGTAAATCGCTTCTTAATTTTCTCTATCGAGAAATGCAGTGCTACATAAGTTTGCTTCCTTTCATACCGCTCGTCGACTATCTATTGTAATCAAGTTAATCAAGTGAATGATTGTGTAACTGCATGGCGAAAATGGCTGAACATAGATATGCTTTCCTTTAAACATTGTTTCATAAAAATTCTATCAATTCTTTTACTCTTGCATTAAATAGCAAAGACTGCATACTAATTATATTCTTGAATGAGCTTCGGTTATGGGTTAATAAGATTATATACAATATATTTATTCATTTAAAGTATTTTGCTATTTGATTCACGAGCATAATTTTAGATGGAAAGTGTAAATTTGATATGAACGAACGCTTTTTTTCTATTTAGGGTGGGATGTTTGTGCTGTCACTGATTGACCATTACGCCGCCAGCTTTTCAGTATTGCTCATAGCTTTTCTTGAATTCATCATTATATACTGGATATATGGTGGAGCGCAATTTTCTGGAGATGTGAAGATTATGTTAGGTTCTCCTCCAGGTGTTTGGTGGAGGATATGTTGGGCTATTTTGTCACCTTTGGCTATTGTTTTCATTATTATCTTCAGTTTTATTAACTACAAAGGAGCAAAGTATGGTAGTTACACTTATCCTACTTGGGCGGACTTTATTGGATGGTGTATTGCTTTGGCATCTTTCATACCTATTATCCCTATTGCTATTGTTAAACTCCTAAAGAGTTCTGGGTCCAACATATTTGAGAAATTGAAGTTCATCACTCGACCTCCCTGTGAAAGAGAAGTAGAGAGACGGCAAGATGTTGAGATGAGACAGGGACCTCTTTTAGAAGAAGCTCCCGGCGCGCTCGACGCCTAAATTGTTATTCAATCATTATATCAAGGACTGAACATTATAACATCATTAAATGTTTAAATAATCTCATTTGTATAATATTTAGGAATTATTAGGAAATATTTAAAAACTACTATTGCTAGTGTCATTTCAACTAGTAGCTTCATTTGAAAACTGGGTATTTGATATATTTTCAACACAGATATTGAGTATTTTCATGAGCAACTAGAGAGAAGAAAAAAGAGCAAACACAAGTTAATTATTGTTATGTATTTGTGTTGTTTAAAAAAAAAGTTTCTTTAAAGCTTAATTCATCATGTGCCAGAAAAATGATTTTTCAGAAAAAATGTTTCTAAAAATTATACAAAGAGAAAGATCATCAACTATTAAGCAACAACGTAAAAACAATTCATTTACTAAAACAAATATATTAGTTTTTTTTAGCAAATTTTCGTCCATTGTTTTTATAGAGTAATCATAGTCTTAATTGTTAGACATTATATGTAAAAAATATATTGCGTTATTTTTTCTTTTCAGCCCTTTTTTTCTGAATTTTCAATTATGCACTGTTATCAATATAAATAATAAAACATCGAAAACACGATCATTTTAAATTTTGATCTTGTTCATTTTAATTAATAATTATATATAGTCAAAAAAATGCTCTCTACTCCTTCTACACAGGACACGTAAGAAATGGAGTTTTCTTGCCTATAGATAATCTCTGAACGTTAAAGATAATCTAGAGGATATTAGCATCTACGCTTACAGATAGCCACAACAAATTACATATCTAAAAATACCCTCTCTCGTATGCAAATTATTCGACATGTGATCCCACAATTCTTCCGCCTGTTGAGTTGGACTCTTCCAATCAAGGAAAATACTTAAAAACTTCCACAACTATTCCATAACCACTTGAATCAAAAGTAGAATGTTTAAATAGGTTTTCTACAACTTCATGATAATTACAAACCAGATACCTTTTTCTGAATAGCTACCAATGAGAATACGCCAATGGAACAAGATTATGGAATACAGATTATATGAACAGATAATTTGCAGATTAATTTACTCTCCAGTTGATCCTAATTCATAAATTATTGCAACAAGTTCTGAAAAAAAGCACATTAAATCGATGTAGGCCAAAATTTTTAAGAAAATTCACTACTTTTAGAGCGAAAAGGATAAGAGAATATGATTAATAGATTAGATGGAACTCTACTAGTTTTGATAAAATTTTAAGAAGCTGTAGAACGTGAAAACTTTCTGAATTGTTATTTTGAAGGTAAAGAATACACGTCATATTCGTATATATTAAAATAAAAAACTGGAATATTTTACTGCTGTCTAGATATCATTGTTAAACAGATGCGAAACTGTCATAAAGCATTAATGATAGATGGAGTAAGCTTATATATTCCTGTTGTTTCAGAATACTAAGATTATTGTTTATTGTGATGAATTGTTTCTGCGTCAAATTTTTCATACTGTACATGGTTAAAAAGATACTCTTCAACAGAACTTTCAATTGAGTTCATTTAGTTCAGCGGACCAATTCAGTTTAGAATCAGTAGATGATTATATTTTATGCGTAGCCCTTGTATCCTTTATTATATTTCATTAATATGTTTAAATATAATATAGCAGAAAAAATTACTTTGGCTCAAGATATGTCAATTTTCTATTTCTGGTCATGATTTGTTACTGGCAGTTCTATTGAGAACTGAGTATATCCGTTTAAAATCTTATTTATGTTTATTTATGCAATTTCTATGAATAGTATCCACTACACATTTTTGTCCATTTTTAAGCAAGCTTTCTATAAATATTCAAACAATCAAAACTCTATAATTTGATCTGAAAGAAGACATTGAAGAATCGCCTTTTTTATTGGAAAGTAAATTTTATTACTAAGAAAAACCTCTAAATTTTTCATTGTTTGTGAAAACAAAATATTAAATACTTTGAATATACATAATAGTATATTATCACTTTTAAAAATAGTCTATGCTATTCATATTTCACAAGATCTATTTAATGGAAAGATGATTATCAAAGATGATATTTTAATTTCATTGTAAAGTCTACTATTTACAAATACTAAATCAATGAATTAAAATTTCTTTTATAAAATGGAAACTTGAAGCTTTTTCAGATATTGAGAGAAATTAAGATAAAATATACTTGTTTATGAATTTGATTTAGTGATCAGCTCACTAGATTTGGATAAAATGACATTCAATGGCCTTTTGGTCAGGAAATGAAATATCGGCGTAATATTATATTGTTTTCTATGCAAATTTTAAATTAGTTGGGTATATTTAGCATAGAAAAGTGTCATTGCACTGTTTTTAGGTTAAATTAGCATATATAGATAGGAATCGCTTTTGATTTTAATGTTTAAGTTAATAACTTTTGATGATCAAATGGAAAAGAAGGTTATTATCTGTTCTTACAATTTTCTTTTTATAGAATTGCTGCCAATGTCTTTCCGTTCATTGACATAGTTGTTTTGTAGCTTCTATTTAACAGTTGTTTATATCTCCAACTCTATTTTATTTTAAAGTCTCTTTCACCGCCATCTAACGGCTTAAGAAGATAGAAACTAAAACTGTTGATGAATGTATATAAAAGTTTTTACTTTCGATGTACAAAAACTATTAAAATCAATAAATTTTATTGAATTTTCAAACTTTAAACCCTAAAATACAATCTTCAATTGATTTTTCTCTCTCTTAGTCATAGAAATATTTAAAGATAGCTACTCTTCCAAAATATTTCGAAGAGCAATCTTTTATATTACTAATTTAATCTATTAATTTTATAAGAGATCTTCTATTCAAGAAATGCATATCACTACTGCAAAGAAACAAAAAACCAATAATTCACCTTTAACATTTTAACAATTTAAAGAAAATATAAGACTTGAATGTAATAGATTTACTTTATCTTTTTTAGTCTTTGTTTGTTTTTAAAGAATTTACTTTCGATCTTTTTTAAAAATATTCATATTCTTTAAATAGGCTAGGTAACCAGTTTTTTTTAGTTGGAAAGGATTATCCATACATCTTGTGCCAAGTATCAAATGTATTGATCAAGCATCTATAAATTTCACGTGTACTTTAACACATAGGCATTTTACTCTTGATACTTGCTTTCATTCTGTTAAGTTTGAACGTTGAGAAATTGAATAATGAAAATTCAGCTTAAGTACTTAATATTTGTAGCTTTGTTAGTTTTTTGTTCATGCGAAGATGAAAAAAAACCAAAGAAGCATGACGATCATCCTCCAATAAAGGAAGCTCACTATGATCATGGTGAACACAATGAAGATTATGACCACCAAGCTGTCTTAGGTAATTTAATTTTTTCTAATAATGAATTATTTGAAGGTTGTTACATTCAAATACACTTCTTGTAGGTTCTGAACAAGACGCCGAAGAATTTTCTAAATTGGACGCTGCTGAAGCTAAAGATAGATTAGAGAGTCTTGCCAAGGAAAAAATTGATTTGAATAAAGATCACATCATTGATGAAAATGAATTGGCAAATCATATCCTAAAATCATTCGTTAAGTTGGATGACGCCGAGGTAGTAATCTCTTTGTAAGCTATTAAAAACGTTTTCTTATAATGTGTCGATTGCAATAGGCTCAGGTTAGATTTGGAGAAACTGATGCCGATTCTGATGATATTCTCACTTGGAAAGAATATATGCAAGAAACCTACGGGATGAGTGAAGAAGAACTTCAGGAACAAGCTAAAACAGACAAAGACAAGAAAAATATGTTAAATGTGAGTAATTTCTATATTAAATACTTCAAGTATATTTATTTAATGCAACATAATTATTATTTCCTTTAGGATATTCTTATCGAAAAGTCAAGATTCTTTTTGGCTGACAGAAACAAGGATCAAACTTTGGACAGAAAAGAATTTAACGCTTTTTACCATCCATTTAATTACGAATATATGCACGAAAATGAAGTGAGACTTTTTAGTTAATAAGCCATAATTCATTCATTCTTATTAATCATAATTTTCCATTTCTAGATTAACAATACTTTCAAATTTCATGACAAAAATAGTGATGGTTTCATTACATTCAACGAATACTCTGATGAGAATGCTGATAAAGAGACAGCCGATTACGATAAAGAACACTTTAAACAATACGACAAAGACAGCAATGGAAAATTGGACAAAAAGGTAAGATATCAGATGTTAGAGCACGTTTTGGGAAGGAGTAGTTAATTTATATTTTTCATCAGGAAGTAGAAAAGTGGGTTATTCCCGATCACGGACAATTGGCTATTGATGAAGCTAAGCATCTCATCAGTGAAACAGACGCTGATAAAGATGGTAAACTCACTATAGATGAAATTAGAGATCAACATTCACTCTGGGTTGGAAGTCAACATATTTCTTTACACGATCCAGAAGAGTTGTAAAAAAATAATAATAGCATTGTTGAATTTTCACAATATATTTATTTCTATAAAACACAAAAGTTTTTCTTATATGAAGACAAAAATTAGGAATATAGAAATCGATGTTTTAAGAATCCAGATGTTCAAATAAAAGTGTCTACTGAAAATATCTTAAGAACAGGTGTTCCTTAGTTTTCACACATGTTTGAGTTTTCGATTTTTTAACTTGAAAAACACTCTTTGTGCTTTTATAAAACAAATGTCTGCTAGAATTAGATTCACTAAAATGCTACAACTACATTGAGAGGTAGACACAAAAGGGGACAGATTTGAAAGGAATAAAAGAGAGAAAGAGAGAGAGAGAGAAAAAAAGAAGTTTCGCAATAAAATAATATCTAATAAGGAGTTTTAATATAATTCGTCTTTTAATGAGTGAGATGATATACAAGCGAGCTTTTGATATTATTAAATCATTGATTGCTCAGACCAGTAGATCTACTGATATATCATTAAAGAATGTTTGCTCAAATAGTGACAAGTAGATTCTCTGTCAATAAAAAACCGTTGCAAGTAAAGACGAGATTTTATTCATTATCTTTGACGTATACTTTAAAAATGTCTCATTTTACTTACTAAAACTAAGTTTATAAACGTAAGTGTCTAACATTAATCTAAAAAACTACTCTTAATAAATGTATATTAAGCCATTTTATGTAAAAATGTTTGAAGCATTACTAAGGGATTATCATTCAATAAAAAATATAGGAGAGGCCCACTAAAGATTTATAAAATGAGTAGATTATCTTAGTATAAATGCCAAATTGAATAAAATAATATGCGACCACTGCGCAAGAGTTTTTTTTCAAGCAACCAATCAATAAGAGAATTATAAATCATTGGGAGAGAAGGTGGTATTTTGCGCTATATTTTGTTTGTTTTGTTCGCCAAGTAGAGTGTATGTTTACATTCTAACCGAATTTGTTTTGTTAGTTAGAAGACTGAAACTGGTTGGAAAACTTCTCTTATCATAAAAGAAAACTTTTAAAAATTAAAGTAAGTTTATTAATAGATTAAACAATTTGTTCAAAAGCATTTTTTGAAATGTTCTACCTAGTTTTTTTAATATTTCTCTTCTATTTTTGAATTTATATCTTTAGTTTTTTTTCAAAAGTTTAAATTTTATTTTTATTACATTTAACTGAAAAAGTAATAAAGCCAACAAAACCTTTTATTATTAAAATTGCTTAATAGACAGACAATATATTATAATCTATAAAAAATTTTTAGGCAAGAAAAAAGGATATAAGAAAGAAAAGAAAATGGCGCAAAATTGTCCAGGATACATGCTTGGAGCAACTAGAAAAAGGTTGATAATTTATATGCATTATACTTTTTATAATATTATCAAGAGTTTGCCTATCATTAAGTACTGAACACGTAAAGTAAACTACTAAAATATTATAATCTTTCGCAAATTACTCAACGGAAAGGTTATTGAAATAAAATTTAGATAAAACGTTCATATTATATTCTGTAGTTAACGATAAAAATAATTTTCCCCGTTATTTAGATAATGTATTTCTAGATTATCAATAAGTAATTGGCCTCTAGCTTATTTTCTAGAACTTTGTTTATTATTTCATCATTTTTAACTATTCTATCTATCAAATCATCATCCTCTTTTTTTAATCGATAAACAAACAGTTGCGATGAGAATTTAAACAGAAAATTGAAAATAAAAAGAACAAAATACAACGAGTTCTAATTAGTTAGTCAATTTTTAGTCTTTTGAATATTAACAAAGTTTATATACCATATAGATAATATAGATTTTTACATTTTTTATATATTTCTCTCAGTTATGAAAGTTTTTTGATTGAATGTAACCATAATTCTCTATTGTTTTTATTTTTCCATTTTTTATCATGACACATTTAAACTATTAGCGAATTTTAAACAAAGCAAATGTAAAATATTATTAACAATAATACGAAGATAGATAAGCTAATTTTTTTTTTATTATTATGATATTATTCTAGTCAGCTAAGCTTGCCATTGATTAACAATCACTTTCAACTTTATTCCGACATAAAAATGTATTAAGTAATATATAATATAGTTAATTTCCTGAAAGTTGTACTAATTATTAACCTAAGATCATTCTATTGAAATTTTAGTTTTTCCAATAGTTAATAATATTCTATAGATATAGATAAAAAAGTATATGTATACTGCATTAATCAATACACATTGAACTTGCTTATAGGCCTAGACACGCTTTACACTTACCTCTCAGGCCTACGTAATCCAATTTCTTTTAAACGCCAAACAATAAAGTTTAACTATTGAAAAAGGATTAGGGAAGAAAGGTTTCGTGCGTAATTTTTATCACTTGATGGAGTCAAGTCAAAGGTCAAAGTATTGAAAGTTAATATGATAAGGGAAATTCCTTTCAAACAATATAACATTGACTTTTTTTCTCTCTTCCATATTTGTATAATAGTTCTCGCTTAGCAACGAGGATTTCTGTTGACACATTCTTAGCCAATCTAGAAATTGTTTTCTTGTCTCTACTGAACGATATCGTGAGGCTTATCATCTACCGAATTGATAGTATACAAACGTTATTATGTTTTACCCGGGAGAAAATCGTCCTACATCAGTAGGTTATAGATTGAAATCTCGTTCCAGTGAATTCCATCAGAATTGCACGCCGAAAGAGAGAAGGACTGTACAAATAAGAGAAGCGGAAAAACCTGTTACTGAGGCTGAATTGTTGAAGGCGAACTTCGTTAATCAGGATAAGATTCATAGAGAGACTGTAGACCAAGAGAAAAGGGGCGCTAAACAATGGTAATTAATTAATATAAAGTTAATTTTAAGTAATATCTAATGTAAAATTAAGAATGCTAATTTATTTATTTATTACTCATATCCTATAAAACAGGGAAGAAAATTGGGGTTTCCTAACAGAATTCGATTCGAAAGGGAATCCAATAAAGAAAGAAGAATTGCCAGATAAGGTTACATTCTACTCTGAAGATATTCCACCCACTAACTCGGCCAATTATGGATCAAGACTGAAAACCGATGTTGGGACAACCGTTCAAAAATTAGAGTTCGCTTTTCACGCTCACAATAGAAAGAAAAAACTTGATTCCGAAATGGTCTGCTATTAAAAGCACAGTTTATTAGATAGTAAATGTTACTTTATGCTTGAATAAGAAGGCGTATTCTACTTATATAAATCCCTATTAGGATGTCATAAACTTTTTATCATATCTATCAATAATAAGTAATTGCCCAATGCTTTATAAGTAATACAACAATCTCGCTAGTTTAATTGTCATCATTAATATTAAAATTGTGTTAATATATCAATTAAACAACGTTGGATGAATTATTTTGTGCAGAAAACCTGGAAAGAGCTATTATATTATATGTATAGTCGATAATGGTCCTACTACTGATATTTTAAAGTACTATGCTGTAATGAATGTAAATAGTATATGTTGATGTTCTTTCTCTAAAAATAAAAACAGATGTTGAAATAGTTCGAAACAATAAATAGCTCTTGTTCATGTACACTGGCTGTATAATTACAAATGAATCAAAATGGTAGAAATAATCAAATTATTCTAAATTCTATCTCTGACTGCCATACTCACTCTCTTCTTCGTAACTATTTCATTTATATTTTAAATTGAGCAACATCAAAACATGGGAGGTGCAAAAAAATTTTCTGCCGAAAGTAAAAAATTTGCAGATGAAACGTCATTTCATGGAATACGTTACCTGTCTTCAAAAGATATTAACATCTTTCGAAAGTAAGTAACACTTTTAATATATAATTATTTCTTATTCTATTAAAGTTTTTAATTAATTCTAGAATAATATGGCTTCTAATAGTTCTCTGTTGTTTTACTGTTTTTGTGTACGTTATGGTAATTAGATTAAAACGGTATTATACTTATCCGAAAACAGTTAATGTTGAAGTTAATTTCGTGAACGAGCTACCGTTTCCTAAAATGGTCATTTGCAATACTAATTTATTCAAATCCTCTTCTCTAGCTGAGAGTGGATTATATGATGTAATTCAAGACAGCTTAGTAAATCCCAATGACGATGATGTAGCTAAAAAAGGTTGTAGTTTATCTTATCAACAATCAATTTTCTTATCAAATATATGGATTTTATAGCATGTAATACCTTTACGTATTATCGTCAGTGTTTACCTGACACTTTTTTTTTCAACGACACTGTGATGTCGAGAACTACAAGCTTCAAAGTAGTATCGCTAACATCATGCCAAAGTCTGTGTAACGGTTTATACAGCTCAACTTGTACAAGCGTCATTTATCATAAAATTAATAGAATATGCTATCTGACCCAACTCGACGTCTCACAGAACATTTCACAATTTCTTTCATATAGTAATAAATGTTCTTTTGAATATTATTTTTTCCGCCGAAAGAGATGCTTAGGTGATATTTAAATTAACATAATTCCATTCATAAACCTTATAATCTGCTTTTTTTCTGAAAAAAAAATACAGTGCAAAGCGTTCGCTGCAACCGTAAAACAGATAAATGTGAATTAACAACGAGTCATATATGGGATAACATTGTACATCCAGATATCTCTGCTACTAACAGAATCGGTAAAACTACTTTTAAAAGCTTTAAATAATCTGATCATTGCTTTTTTTTAAATATAATTAGCCAATAGTTACTTTGAATTAGTTCAACACAGGATAAATGTTAACCCAAAAGCCTATCTAATTACTCCTTTTATCGATATGAGAAATAAATGTTTAAGATTTTTCTTTAAATACTCTGCACAGACTGAAAGTATCTTTTCGGACGAGTCAAGCTTTACTGTAAACATTAAATAATATTTGATAATGAGCATAGTTTTAATTTATGATTATCTTTCAAAGACTTATCTTGCCTCTGAAATCGGAAGTGAAATTAACATATCTTATTTTAGGATTACTAAAGGTTACCAACTTTCTTTTAAATAGTATAGTCGTCTTTTTAACAAAAGAATTCTTTTTTAAATACAAACTCCCTAATTTTGTAGAATATCAAAATGATCGTTTTAATGTATTTTTTCTAAATCTATACGAGAGTTTGAAAGATTTGGAGCAGTTGATATTTAAACTTCGCATTGAAATAAATTTAAAATTACCGGGTTTAAAGATCACTTTTGGTGAACTCTTAATACAAAATTGCGACAAATTTCGTAAGAATATTTCGGATTAAAAATTATCTGGAACTTATATATTTTTCATTCGAAATAGTTGATAATTGTAAGACGACGACAGAAGGTTTTCTTTATGCTGGCAATAATGATAAATCAATTTCTGGTAAAAGCTGCTATCCAATTACCAAAAAGTAAGTTTTTTTGAAGAGTTTAATATCTTTAATTGAGCTCGTAATTTAATTCAAACCATAATTCTTTCTTAGTTTATTAATAGAAGACACAACTTTACCATATGGAACTCATTGCATTAATAATGGTGCAGAAAAATTGCCGATTTGTCTAGTTTCCTATAATAACTCTGGTATAGTATTAACTTTATATGTTTAGTTATTGACAAACAATTGAATCTTCGATTTCACAAGATGACAAATTAGCCCAATTTGAAAGATATGAGTATTGTGACATATCCTTTTGTGGTGAGACATTCAATAGGTAACTTTTTAAAAAAAAAGAATAAAGCCATATTTTAAAGCCTGTAAAGAAGAAGAATTTCAATGCGAAAATAAGAAATGTATACCTAAGTTTTTAACCTGTAATGGCGTTAACGATTGCGAGTCAGGATCGGACGAATCAAATAACTGTGGTATGTCGATAATATGTGCTATTCAACTTTCCCGAAAACTAATATTTTATATCTCTAAAGAACGTCTTCAAAATATCGAATGTAACTTTGAAAAATCATATATGTGCGGATATATCACATTATATGCTCTTTCTGCTACTCGGATTGTTCTGCAAAGTGGTGGATCACCCAACTCTCTGAATCGTATCGGCCCTCTAGCTGACCATACTTTTAAAAGTGACTTTGGTCATTATGGCCTATTCGATTCAACTCTTTTGCCTAAAGGAAGCCGTTTAGTAATTAAAAGTCCAAAACATTTTGTCCATGATAGAGACAATTGTTTGAGAATAATGGTAACGTTACCGTATAGTGAAGAAAACATATTCTCTCCCTATGGCATAAGAGTATTACTAATTGATGCAAAAGGTTCGATATCTCATCTAATATTTCAAAATTTAGAAAGAAAACAGACCTTATCTTTTCATCAGCTTCAGATTCTTTTTATTATTCTCAAGTGGGAAATTTTCACAATATAACTTATAACAAATGGACGGCCATTGATATACCTATCACTACTATAAGAAAGGATATCGCCTTCCAAATAGAATTTACTTCTTATAGAATGAATTTATCAGATATAGGTATTGATGATATAAAAATTCATTCTTCATCATGTGCATTTGCTCACAGCAATATAAACATAGAGCAAACACTTGATTGTCAATCAGATAAGGTATTTAAATGTGAAAGACCTTTAAAGACATGTATTGATAAAAAATACATGTGTGATGGAATTGCTCATTGTATAGATGAATCAGATGAATTTAATGAAATATGTGGTAATTATTATATCTGATAAATAAAAATTAATAGATAATATATTAATTTCAATAGAAACTCAAAAGAATATTTCCTGCACCTTTGGTGATTCTAGTTCGTATTTATGCGGATATAGACAGAGATCATCATATATGGGCTATAGATGGGAAAAATCTGATGAAATATTAAAATTCAATCCATTCGAAATAACCGGAAATGGAAAACCAAAAACTGTTAAAGCTGCTCTTATTTCTCCTCGTCAAAATTTCTCTTCAGGAGATTATTGCGTTGAATTTACATATGAGAGTAATACTCTTCTTTCACTTTACAAGGAAACTGACTTAGATACTATGCTACTATTTAAACTAAATCAAGAGTATGGATTTTTCAAAATGGACTCTGTTGAATTTACAGTTGATCATACTCTTTCCCTTAACCTTGTTTTCCTAATAGAAGCTGATGATATTGAAAGAAAAAAGCCTCTCTCCAGTTTTAAATCAATCGACATTTTCAACACCAAATGTTCAATTGTCTTCTATAGGAAGTGTAATTATCTTTCCAAGTTTTTTGGATACATAAATTTATACGCTATACTAATTAATTCTATTATTATTAGTCAGTAACATCTTGTTACACAACCCTCTAAATTGCACATTTATGAATATGAGTGATTGCCATTTTCAAGATGTATCTTCAGGCGTTAATAAGTGGAATCATATCTGTAATAAAATATGCCACTTAGAAGGTTACCTTGACCACCATAGAAATTCAATCAAAGTTGCTTTTATACTAAAGAAATATGATTCATCTTGCATAAAAATCAAACTCTATTCAAAAATTTTGGAAAAAATTTCTTTTATTAAAGAGCCTATAGGCGAATTTGGCCTTGAAATTAATACTCTTAACCTTAATACCTCAAGTAATAAGACTAAGAAATTTCTTGTTTTGAGGTATACAAATATACAATATCATAAAAACTGTTCTTTAACTTTTACTTCTCAAATAATTAGGTATTCGACATCGTATACTCTATTCATTCCAGCAAATAACACTCAAAATGGGCTTACTATTGAAGCTTTTGTCAATGGATCAGTTGGCGAAGTTTTCATTGAACACATTGAACAGATAGAAGGCATTTGTACGTTTCACTCTTTTAATGTTCAACGATATTGATTAAAATAATTATTTTATACAAATAACAACTTTCAAATTAATTGCATAACTAGCACAAAATACTAAATCTTCTAAAAAAATAGGCGAAGCGGAAAATCCACCTTCAGTCGTTTTTAGAGCTTACCCACCCCCTGCTACATCAATTGCACTCCCTTACTATTTGAATAAACTAAAATATAATGTAAATAGTACTATGAGTTTAAAGCCAAGCTCTAAAAAAGAAATGAGAGAAGACTTCCTGCAAACAATAACTTTGGAAACATTTAGTGAGACTTTTAATCACAACAGAACTTCATCTCTATTACAGTTTGTTTCATTACATTAAGCCTGCAAAAAATATTATTTTAGTTTGTTGTTTTCATAGTTGTTCTTGGAAGGGTAAACCATGTCAAGAAAACATGATACAAACGCATTTTTCGAATATAGGAGACTGCTTTACATTTAATTATCAACATAATTTCATGGTTTATCAAGCTGGAACAGGACATGGTTTAAAATTATTAGTTGACATAGAAACGTACGATTTTCTTCCAAATATTAAAACGCAAATGGGTATAATTGTATCAGCGATTCCCCTTGATGATATTCACTTAATTCAAGATAAAGGCTATGCAATTTTAACTGGAACAAATTCACTTCTTAAAATTAAGATAGATGAAGTAAGAATTGTTCTAATATATTTAGACGTAGTAATAATAACAATTATCTTTATGATTCTTTTCAAGATACAAAGTCTTTCTGAACCTTACGGAAGTTGTACCGACAAACACTTACAGTACTACTTAAACTCTACATATACATCAAATAAGTGTGTGACACAATGCCATACACAAATGATAGAAGAAGCGTGCGATTGTAAACCTTCATATGTTTCTGGTTCTAAACGAGATTGTAATTTACTAGAATATCTACTGTGCATTTATCCTCTTATTGGTTTGTTTTTATTATTAAAAGACGTTGACAAATGAACATTAAACTTTTTACCTTAGAGAAGAGAGTAAAACCAACATATTGCAAATGTTCTAGTCCATGTAAAACAACAGTGTATGGAATGGAGTTGTCATCATTAAGTTTAACTTCAGATAACCTTCGTCTCTTGCTGGACGATAAACTTAATTTTGTCCAGAGAAAGTACTCCAATGCTATAAACATCAAGTTTAGATTTACGCCGAAATTATTCAATTCAACGATAACGTCGTTTTCATTATTAACTACATATCTTGATAAGAATGATGAGTATATAAATAAAAAGCTGAAAAAGGAATATTCTCCCTTTTATCTGGCTGTAGAAAGTTTTTTTGTAATTCTCGAGCCCATCAAATATGATATAACAGAGAAGCTATGGGATTATAGTAGTATATATATATATATATATATCTTTTTTTGTTTATTTTTATTTATTACATAGTATTCTTTAAAAATATAAATTTCTTTCATTCAGCTTTCATCGAACAGAAATATCTAAATATGATCGACAAGCCAATCTTTTTAGTAATTCAAAGTTGTTCTACAACTCTTGAAAGTTTATTGTTCATTAAAAGAGAACTTTTGAAAAATTCATATGCTTTAACTGAAGATTTTAACTTGAACACTCAGGATATTTATAACAATTTATTACGAGTAATCAAAGTTATATCTGGATTCAGTACAGATGTAAACGAAGAAATAGTAAATGCCACTGAATTTGACTTTACGTTGTCCTACATTAACGATCAGAGAGTTAAGTTTTTTTCTATCTACTATGATGTTGGATTTGTTTTGAATCGACGTTGTTATGATGATTTAGTTCATTTATCGAGCAATTTAACACGTTTTATCAGAATTATTGAACAATTGGACAAACAAAATAGTACAGAAAATATTTCGTTACTTGAGAATTCAATTGACTTGGGTGTTTCAAATCTATATAAATTTCTTACATGTCTTAATGGTTTGAAAGATGCCATTGGACCTTTTGAAAATGGTAAACGTCAATATAAAACTAATCTTGAACAACTTGAAAACAGTTTGCGATCCTCTCTCACCATAAACGATGAACTGGGTAAAACCATTCAGAACTTGCGATTAGAAAGTACAAAATACAATGATATGAAAGAAAAGTTTGAAAATAATGTAATAACTATAGCAGAATTGGCTAATTCTTTGACATCCACTGATTATAAATCAATTAGAAAAAGGCTAAATGAATTCGAAAACGGTGTTACAAAAGTTCTTGTAGAGCCTTTCCTAACAGAAGTTGATCGATCCATAGAAAGAGCAGTTGTCTTGTATACTTTTTCAATGACAGCTGTAAATGAACTTTTAATTAATTTGGATATTAACCATACGTCGTCAGATGCTATTAATGTCTACAAAAACATAAGAAGTTTTAATATATGGCGCAATCCAAAGTTAGATACTAAACTAAGTTTGGAAGTTCAGTGGCAGGATCCAGATCCCTTCATTTCAAGAATTTGGCCGTCGTCACAGAGTTTAGATGAATTCTTATCAGAAAAAGGATCAGCTATTAAGGAAATTAAGAATCTTATACAGAATTTCATGAAAGAAGCCCTTCGAAAGGTCTGTTGATGAAGAATCAATTTTTATTCTAAATGACCAAAAATCAATTTTAATAAAGGTGGTTGATATCGAAAATGTAGTTGTGGAAAATACACAAAAGATTAGAGATGTTTTAGATGAATTAGATAACATATTGGCTGCCTATACCCAAGCATCACAAATTGATGATGATTTTATTCGGTTAAATATGTTTATCAATAGAAATCAATTGAATGTTATCTTATATTCGTATTTCAGAAAAAATATTGTAGAATTGGAAATTTACTATCCTTCTCTTCAACTTGAATCAATAAGTCAAAGAAAGGCTTACGAAATTGAAGACTATTTCGGTAATTTATATAAAAAACTTATATAAAAAATAATAAGTCATAGTTTTCTATCAAAGGTGATGTTGGTTCATATATGGGTTTGCTACTAGGAGCAAGTGTCATAACTGCACTGGAATTTGTAGACTTTTTACTCTCGGCTCTTTGTAGAAGATCATGCAAGAAGATTACTTAACCTTAAATACATAAGAATCTTTTCTATTCCTTTCAAAACTGTAAACATAAATGTTCACAGAAAATATCATCTTATTAAATAACGATTAAAAGATATCCTCCATTTGATAAGCTAATTTCTCAGACAATTTATCAGTTATAAGATTAGACGTTTACTAATTAGCTAATTCTTTTATCACAACAGAAGGCTTACATGGTTTTTTAATTAATATTTCTCATCTTTATAGGGATTTATAAAAATTTACAGTGTAGACTAATAGCCATAATTAGTATAAAAGTAAGGCACGTAGGTGACGTTTATCCCTTCCTAACTAGGAACAATTTGGCTTAATAACAATCTAATAGAGCATAATTAACAATGACTGACAGAATGGAGAAAGTGTCTGCAGAAAAAAAAACAAATAAAATGTTTCTCACAATGCATTAATAAAGTTAATATAGAATCCATTAAATATTTACTTTGAATAATACGGTTGTACCGTTTAATGGCATCTTAAGAAAATGAATAAATGATCTAAAAGTAGACATTGGACTAGTGCTATAACTATTTTCACCTGAGTTGCATACAATATGCTAATCTATAATGTAAGATTAGTTTATAGATTGCAAAAAATATACTTGAAGACAAATTTCATAGGTATAAATTTATGTAGTCATTACAATGAAATATACTCTATTCTAGAGTTTAGAATTTTTTAGCTTATGGGGAAATTTATAAGAAATTTCAAAAGGATTGATATAGATAACAGCACCATTATTGTTCTGGGCTTCTAAGGCTTTCAAAAATACATCAGCAACCGTTGAAACCCTTAGAAAAAGAAAAAATTGTGATTAATTTTAAATACTATATAATGATCTTAACTTACTTCAATACTCCCAGAGACTCTACGTCTTTCTTTATTGTCTTATAATTTTCACTGGCTTTGAGTTCCTTTAAAAAACCCTCTGAATCGGCAAATGAGGGACATAAACATAAAACTTTCATCTTATCGCTATCAATGCTATCCTGAAAGATAGAAAGCAAATTTCAGGAATATATTTTTGTTTAAAACACAGACTGCTATAGATCTGGAATATCCAACGACGCCGTACTTCGACGCTGAATAGACTGGATTTTCAGACATAGGAAAAAGTCCTAAAAATGAAAAGTATATACTCCAATATTACAATGACATTTAGGAAACAAACCTCCTGCAGAGCTTATATTAACAATTGCAGTTTGTTCATCTTGCTGCTTAAGGATTGGCAAAGCTTTCTTTGAAAAGTTTATTACCGCTTTCTGTAATTATAAAATAGAAATAGTTCATTTTTTATACTAAGTTCTTTAATAATTTTACCCACCAAATTTACGTCAAGAGTCTTCATCCAATTAGTTTCGGTAAGATAACCAGCATTATTAACAAGAATATTAAGTTTCTTATAAGTTTCTAATGTTTTCTTTAATGCGTCTGTTATAAATATGCAATAAAAAATTCGGTTATACTTGATTGATTATTGACCAAATTGTAATTACTATCAATATCAGCCGATTTTGTTACGTCACATCTGATAAACATTGCCGATCCATCTCCATATAAATTATTAAGTTCATTTGCAGTCTTTGAACCAGTTGTGGAGTCAATTTCACAAATGACAACCTTTAGGTTAACAAGAAGAAACAATAATTTAAAATGTCTCTTAGGGAATTTTCAAAGTGCTTACTTTACAATTTTTTTCTAAAAGTCTTTCAGCAAATGCCCTTCCAAATCCCCGACCTGCACCAGTTATCAAAGCAACTGCCCCTCTTATATTCATGATTGACTCTATTCAGCTCTTTGATATAAAACTAATATCAAAGATCACTTGCTTATTGATATGGACATCGTGATAAAAAGCTATCTTTTTTTTTAGCTATTTTCGTATTTGCAAATCAAAAAATGGCGGCAACTTGATATTTACGTTAAACGCCTCTCATAAGGAATTTATCTAATTACTATAATTATTATTTATTTGGTTAACTGGAACGAAAATTCTTTACAAATATGAAGTTTGCCATAGTAACAGTAGTCTTACTTTCATTCATCATGCAAGACAAGAATTAATATAGATGGCGCCAGTGGTTTTTTTTTAAGTTTTCCGAATCGCTTTGTACACGTAGAAACAAAGACACCGATATAACACGTTATTATATATTTTAATCTATAAGGAAAATTTTACAGGTAAATTTTTCAGAGATTCCATAAATCCGATACTATTTGATTCGATTACAGAAAAAATTTTCCCTCGATCCACTTGGAGCTGACGGCGTTGTCTGACACACTTGAGCGATAATACCGTATTAATACAATCCAGCTAATACATCATGGTTAAAATATTTGTAGGAAATATACCTGACGATTTATATGGTAATGAAATTCGAGAATTATTTGAGAGCTTTGGAACGGTTGAGGAGGCGACAAGATTGTCTAAATTTGCATTTGTTGTAAGTAATAATCTTCTTCCTTAACTTATACAATGGGTTTTTATTTATTATTGATATAAGTAGTCACTTATGTATAAACTTTTTTAGTTAGTTACATTTGTTTCTCGCTAGACCGACAATGCATAAAACTTATATAGTACAAAGTTATTTTGCATGAAACAGTAGTATCCTTGTAATTGGATATCAGATCTATGTAAAGAATGAAAAGCGTGCCCTATGGTCTCTTTATTATGTACTTTTGAAATAGCAGTTAAACCTTTAAAGTTGCTTATTTTTATCGATGATATTATAGCTTTGGTTTTTAACTTCATTTAGTTTATAAGTTTAAAACGTTATTAACCACCAAATTTCTATCCCAACAGCATATGCCCAATAAAGAAGAAGCAGATGAGGCCTTAAAGGGACTGGATAAATATCATATCCGTGGATATAATATCAATGTTGAGGTAAATAATTGTAAAAGTCATTTTTGTAGTATCTAGACAACTGATTGGGGTAAACTTATCTTATTGATGATTTAGTTCTTCATGCCGAATTTAACTATAAAAAAAATACAAAAACTTTTATTACTTTAATGGACTTTATTATTAAATGCCATAATACTCATAGGTCTATTTTCATTTTCTTTAGATTTCAACAAGTACCGCTGGAGAAAAAGGTGGACCAAGAAACAAATCAGACAGATCTGCTTTCTCAGGGAACAGAGGCGGTGGTTCTGATAGAGGTGGAATGATGAGACGTGGAGGACCTCCAAATAGGGGAGGATTCAATAGAGGAACACCAGATAGATTTCATCCATATGGCTTTTCTAATCCATATGTCGATTCTGGAAGATCAGAGTATGAAAGGTACTTTGAAAAAAGGCCGCTTAACGATATGGAAAGAAGATTATTAAATGTTTTACTGAAAAGGAGAGACGATTTTGATGGACCTCAACAGGAACCAAATTGGGATCCATACAGTAGGCCACCCCCAGATGCTTATAAGCGACCACAAGAAGCGTAAGTAGAAAAACCATTATAAATAATGAATAAATATTCACTAATTTCTGCAATTTGAAATTGTAGCTTGGGCTCCACAGCTCCTCAACCAACCGCCGGAAACGCTTTTAACTCGACAAGTTTTTAAATCTTAGACTGTCTTTAGTTTTTATTATTTAGTGTACATAGTGTTGTTTGAAAGATTTTTTTTGTATCGTTTGGGCCTTTGACCAATAGAAGAAAAAGTTAAGAAAAAAAAGAAAAAACTTGAGAAGAAAGAACAAAAAAAACCAGTTAATAAAGAAAGAGAAAATAACAAAAATTCATCCGCTTTTAATTGTTTATTTTGTCACAGTTTTTAATAATTTTGTTTTTGTTATAAAAACAAATAAGAATGTAAGTATAAAGTTTTTTTTCCATTTTATACTCATTTGAAATATTATCTGTATATAAATTATATACATTGAAAGTTTATGAATATCAGCTCACTGTATTTACAATAATGTGTACACATATACGTTATGTACATATATATGTACAGTATATATGTATATTTGTTTTATCAACAAAGTTATGAAAATTTAAAGCCTTAAAATTCTGTTAATCGATAAAGTAGCACTTTTAAACGATTATTGACTACGTCTAATTTTTATGTTGATTCTTGTTCATACCCAAATATTTACTGATAGCGTGATTCCAATGATCGAAACAGACAAAACCTTACCTTTTTAATGAGTACTATTGATTAGGCCTAAAATCGATCCTTTTTTCCTCATTGACTTGTTGCCCAGGCTCCTAGATTTTTGTTCTGAAGCTTTTTTTTAAGGCCATACTATAGCAAACAATCATTTCCTTCTTTCCTATTAAATCTATGACGTATACTTTACGATTATTTATAGTCCAATGTCTTAATAAATTATACCAGTCTTATCGGTACTTTTATATTATATAAACTATGACTTTATCGCCATTCAAAAATCATAAAAAGAAGCAAGATGGCGGATAGCTTGGGTTTTAAGAAACGTTGGAATAATATTCAACATACAAAAGCATTAGAAGTTGAAAGAGAGAGAACAATGAAGAATTTGGTAAAAAATTCAAATAAAATGCAGAGAAAATTGAGACAATTAGAACAGTCAAAGTATGAAAAAAAGTTAACAAACCTTCAGTTTCATAAAGCAGCGACAAGTTTTTCCATGTCTAGACCAAGTTCGGCTGCTAGTGAATATGCTTATAAATCTTTGGAAAATTCGGGTATAAGGTAAACTGGTAAATTGTCTAACAATTCCCATTTAAAGAACAGGCGAAAAATGTAGGTTTTAAAATATTCTTTCGTTTTTTTGTTAGAATTCGAAAGTGTTGGGCTGGGGAACCGGAAGCTATTAATAGCGTTAGAAGGAAACTAAAAACTCCAGACGAAAGAAATTTGGAAAAGTTTCTTCAACAGGCCGAAAAAGATGTTCTTGAGGAAGAGAAAGAAAAGAAGGAAGAGGAATATCACAGATTTATACCTCCATACCCAGTTCATTTTCGATCGTCCAAAAAGGAACGAGTGCCAAAGTCAACTGCTGAGGTAAAATCTGAGGAAATTGATTTCGGGAAGCAACTTGTAATAGAAAGACCTATCAGTGGATCTTATCAAACAGCTAAATAGACAGAAAATCTGTTTGATAAAATTTATGTAACAGTTTAAGTATGAAAGAAAAACCTTATTGATATTTGTTTTTGATAGAATATAGGCTTAAAGGTGTTATCTCATAAAAATTTTTGGTTATATCTCAACCGAAGTCTATATACTTGATTTTTAAATAATAAAATATTGATGTCAGATAATTTATTTCTATTTTCTGTATCAATACAAAAATTTTTGGATATTTTTAATTAATTTATGCAGGTTAAGTCTAAAAAAATATTAATTAAGTCATAGAGTGGAATTTTGAGAGATCTTCTTTGTTGAATTAATGAATAAAAGCTATAATCAATAGGATAGTCGCATTGAAATTATAGTTTGATAATGAAAAGAAAAAGAAAGAATAAGAAAAAGAGAAAAATGTTGATAATTCATAAATTGTTTACCACAATATAGCACATTTTTTATTCGCAAAAAAATCCCTTGATTAAATAGTAGCTGGAGTATGTACTTGACGAGTTGATTTTACTGTTTGAATCCGTAATTTTGTTGCTGTGGATTCCGCAACAGCAATTTTTGGCTTTTTCAAACTAGAGACCAAAGACGTTCTTGATTGAGTAAAATCAGGATCGTAGGGTGGTTCAAGTTGCCTATGATTTTTTTTTTATAAAAAATTAAATATTTGCACGGATTTAAATGCACTGATTTTGAAGTAAGAATAGGCCTGATAAAGTAAAAAAGTAAACTAGCGTCAATGTAATTAATAAATATCATAGATTTCATTTTAAATAAATTGAGCGTAAAGAATTAATGTTATTAATCCATTTACGTTTCAATTTTATTTATTAATGCTATGTCTTTTTTATTATCGAAACAAACTTCGTGATTTACTCGTTTATTGAGACAAATAGGCCCGATTATTATATAAACGAAAAGTAGTTTTAATATCATGCTTTCTCACGATTTGATAGGTTTTTACTTATAATTTGTTTGCAATTGAATCAATTGTAAAAAAAAATGGGTGTGTAGGTTACGATTTTTAGCAAATGTATTAATATTATTACTATTAAATTAGGAGTGTTTTGTGATTTGTGTAATTTTCTCGTCGTTTTCATTTCTATACAACACGTTCAGGAAAGGAAATTACTTTTATATCGGTTTACCTGAAATTTTTGTCGGCTTGTAAGAAGGCGGCGTTAGGACATAGCTGTAAAACTTCTTCGTCCAAACTGCAAAGTGGTTTTATGAATTGAACGCTTTCAATTTGCTCTTTACTTAGAAAAATTTGACTAGACTCGGTTTCAATTAATTTTCTCCTTATCCTTACGGGCGGTTTTCTAACAGTAGCAGGTGCTGTAGATATCCTCCTTACTGGAAGATTTGTCGGTCTAACGGTAAAAATTCTTATGCTCCTTTCCATCACCATACTCTTATTTATAATGAAAAACTAAGCCAATTGATAACTGAGATACGTATTTCTTTATTATCTCTTATCACTCTCCGGATTAGTTTTCTCGACCGTATGGCGTCGATAACGAATGGGCCGACGGTTTTTTCTTGGCAGTGTCAATATTTTTAGTTAAATAATCGACCAGGAGACGAGAATTTTGCATAAAAGCGCCATCTACTAGACTAATACCGCTTTAGACTTTTTTTTTGTAAAAATGTGTATAAGAACAGAATTGTTTCTACGTAATGCTTCATAAAAGAACGCTAAAAGGAAGCGTCTCACGTACAGGAGATAGTATTAAATATGATACAAAAGAGATTATCTCGGTAAAACAACTGTGGTTAGTTTTCTCTTTGGAGAAGACATCCCGTAATTAACTACCCAATCATCTGGCCTTACTTTTTCACTATTCTTTCTCAATTGAACTAGCAACTGTGCTAAACCTTGCTGCTTATGCAAAATCTTATTTTTTGACGAATTCTGACGTCTTCTTATCGATCTTGCTTCTAAATCCGATATCAATTTCTCAGTATTTACACTGCTTGTAGCCATCTTTAAACTGGTTCTAAATCTATCTAAAGCCGGCTTTGTTTGATCTATGTCAAAACCTAGAAAGAAAAGTAAACTGTATAAACATTCCATCCATTTGGCCAAAGTAATTAAAAGCTCATTTTTACCAATTGAGTTATACGATTCAGAGACTCTGCAGGGCCAAATATTGCATGTAATCTTATTCCTACTGGGATAAGCAAATTGACAATCATAGCTTGGACTATTTCGGGGAGATTCTTTCAGCTCTTTTTGTTTGAGAGCTTCGTCAGCTTCTTTCAATTCCTCATTAGTCAAGAGTTCTTCAACCAGAAGTTGTTTTTCTTTCTTTATTCGACTTTGTGTTTTTTCCCAAAAAGTTTCAAGTCTTTTATAAGTGTTTTGCAGTCTTAAGTCTTCGTGTTCATGAAAAGACTTCGTACGAAGGTGTTGAGCTTTAATTCTGGCATTTAGTTGTTTTTCTCTTCTAAAACAATCCATGTGTTATCTCTATTATTCCTGTCAAAATGTAAATGTAAATGTTTTATGCCAAATAGTCTTAGCGACAGCATTGACCGTATATATACGTTATTTAAGAGCCGTTCAATTCATAAAAGGTTATTGTTGTCATTTACAAGAGATTAAATGCCAGTTAGTGCTGTAATTGTTGATAGTTTTCCACAAATAATACATTGAAACGCCATTTCTGAAAACATGCATTCAAATACAGAAAATTTACTTAATTTCCTTTTCATTAAATATGCATATTGTTTCTACGTTCAATATAATTATTGCTATATTCGTATCTAGCAGTTGTATTATTTATTCCTGTATGTTATTATAGATGTTTATACCGTTAATATCGAATTGTACTTTAATAATTAACTATGTAGTTTTTAATTATAAAATTGCTTCGTTTCTCTTTAAAAGTTGCGAAACTTAGGCTGTAACTTTTTGAATAATACATTTAATAGATCGCGGTTATATATTCGATCAGTTGCTTCACATATCATAGCCCGGATAGCTCAGTCGGTAGAGCATCAGACTTTTAAGAGAACACTAAATATAAGTGATCTGAGGGTCCAGGGTTCAAGTCCCTGTTCGGGCGTAATACTTTTTGGCGTTTTTTTTGTTACAATTCTATTTAGTTATACTTGATAACTTTTTAATTTGTAACTTTGGCCTATTTTTTTTCAATTTAAATTGAATGTATCGACGACATTCCAACAGAGCGGCCTATATTAACTCTCAACATTGACACTTTAATTGCATATAGCAACAGCAGATGTCGCTATAGAATAAGCAATAAGAAAAGAACACGAACGCATCTACCTAAATGAAAATGATACAGTTTATATAAAAAGCAAGGCTTGAGTTTTATATTACATTCTATACATGATAATTAATTCGTAGAATCTTGACACGAATAAAACATAGAGAAATTTATTATAGAGTAGCCTAAGTATATTTTATTTTTCTGTACTGTACAGAAATTACACTCCTATAAAAAGCTTCAATTGAATAAATAAAATACAACACGGTCATAATTATACCTAAAAAAGAATATTCTTTAACTTGATCAAGCTATCTAGCGATGTTATTTGTTAGCTGTTAAAATTTCAAATTGTCATAAAAAGAGAGAGAGAGAGAGAAAGAGATATTTTACCTGTGTTTGTAATTAAAGAGGAAATAATGGGATACAAAAGTAAATTAGAAATATTGAATGGAAGCAAGGCTAATTCTTTGTCATTAACCAAAAAGGATTGTCTTAAAGTTGATAAACCTAAGGAACAGATTGATGGAGGCTATGCATGGGTGGTATTATATTCTTGTATTATATTACAAATGTTCGGTGCCTCACTTTTGGGAACCTACGGTGTTCTTCTAGTTAACATTGTAGATTCAACAGGCTATAAAACATCCTTTATATCTTGGTACGGGGCATTAACATGCTTAACACAAGGTTTCTCATCGTTTTTTTTGGGACCCTTAGTAGAAATTTACAGTTGCCGCACTGTAACAATAATAGGATCATTAATTTGCACATTTAGCTACATTTCAACAGCTTTCGTAAAAGATATTCCATATATTCTTTTTACGCTGGGATTTGTGCAAGGGCTTGGTATTTCATGTTTTCACGTTTGCCCTAATATCATTGTATCTAGATGGTTTTCTAAGAAACAATCTATGGCTTTAACATTAATAACTTTTGGAAAGGGTATTGGGCAACTTATGTGGGGGCCATATGCAGCTTATACGGTTGACTTATATGGTTGGAGGGGATCATTAATTATGATTGGTGGTGTTGTTCTTCATGGTTGTATTCTTGGAGTCCTCATAAAAGATCCGGTTAGCGTCAAAACTGTAGAAAAGAAGGGCGGACTATTTAAGGTTCTCTTGAAAAATATGATACCAATCGAGTTGATTAAAAATAAGTGGTTTATTTTATGTGTATTGGGGAATTTTCCTTTATTAATTGGCCATGGTTCAGTTTTATCCATGCTTCCAAGAAGAATTGTCGACATCGGTTACAGTAATATTAAGGCTTCGACAACAATTTCCATTATAGGCGGAACAACTAGTATTGTACGTCTAATTGTTTGTGGCTTATCAGGGGTAAGCTGCTGTAATAAATCGATGGCATGTGCTGTTGCGACCTTGATTACAGGCGTCTCGGCAATTATGACCATATTTTTGAAGGATTATACAAGTTTTGCTGTCTTTTCCGCAGTTTTTGGCTCAGTCTCAGGTTGGTACACACTATTTCTCTCTAACAAACTTAACTGACAATAGCCATATTTATTTAGCCGTCTACATATCCTTAATTACACCAATAATAATTCAATTGGTGGAATTGGACTATGTTTCACAAGCAGTTGCCTGGCTTAACGTAGTTGTGGGTCTTTCTATGGGAACTTGTAGAAGTTCAGTTGGTATATTATACGATTTGCAAAATGATGCTACAATATGCTTTGTTATGGGCGGAGTCTTTTTAATAATTACTAGTCTGCTATTTTTATTTATGTACTTTGCCGGAGTTGAGAGAAAATCACCAAAATTGATCATCACTAAAAGTCATGAGGAGAAACAATCAATTAGTGATAAATATGAAGTGACTCATTTATAACAAAAGCTGCGTTATAATCTTACTATTACTACGTCCTCTCTGTCATTCGTAACTTTACATATCACTCAATAATTTCCGTTTATCCTTATCTTTGCAAAACGTAGTCAGTTTTAGCAACCTTTTGACCCATAATGAATACACCACTGTCACAATTATACTTTAAAAAAGCCAACTATAAATAGTCAATTCGAAAAGTTGCACACTCGAAATAAAAGGAAGAAAGAGAGTATAGAATTTAAGTTCAACGGTAAAGTTATGTCTAATAATTTAATACAAAAATTACCTAAATCTATTCAAACTTATTACTAAAGTTAAATATATATTAGATAATTATTGTAACTATATGAGACTAATATAATTCCGACAAAGATATTAGCTACGAATATCAAATAAGTAAATAAGCTATAATGCTAATTTATTACGGTTTAGTTGGTATTAATAAAGTAGAAAGTGAATAAATTAATAATAGTGGGTAGAATATAAAAAATACCATATATATTGTATATATATATATATATATATATATATCGATTTTTTAAATGCTATATGTAACTGTATGCTCAGTATAAAACGCTTCGATAGACTCTTATATCACTCAATATTACGCTTATTCAAAAATCTAAAAAAGATCAATTACAATACTGAAGAAAAATGTTTGTTAGGCCTAGTCAAGTACGTCTAGGCAAGAGACACTTCCGCTTGAGAAAGACTCTGTTAACCTGGTATAATTCCATGCGTTTTTACTACTATATGCATTCTTCAACTAAATTCTAGCGGGAAAGAATTCAACGAAAAATGACCACTAATAATGATTTAGACTTATTAAAACTAATAAGTGACAGACTGAAAGATGACCGTAAATGTTTTTTAAAAGGTGAGTTTCTTTGCTAAAGTAAAAAAAAAACTTTTTTTGTCTCTTGTACAACGTTTTACACGAGAGGGAAAACTTATGAATTATACAACTCTACCTATATATATATATATATATACTGGATACAGTGGATATATATAGAATAAATGTACCCAGACTAATACATAATACATATCTTATAATATTCATATTTATATATACACTTGTACATATATTTTCATATAAATAGACAATAAATATTGATAAATATTTTATTATCGTAGTAATAGATGTTGTTTCACGAAAAAAAAGGGAGGTGATACAGTGCATAGACTATATATAGTTGTTCTTATAAATACAGTATATACTGTATATGTACTAATATGTATAAACTGTCGTTTTAATATCTAAAATTGCCCGACCGTACTATTTGATATATATTTTAACAATAAATGTATTCTTAAAGCTCTAAACCTAACGGATGAGTTTGATCAAGAAAACGAAAAAGATCAAAAAGAGACAGACAAAAAGTTAACAGCTCTACAAAATTGGAAAGAAAAGTACGAAGGTGAAGAATGGTTAGAACAATTGGAAGAGGAGCTAAAGGAACTTTCAGATTCCCCTATAAACGAACAAGATTTGAAAGATAAGTCTTCAGGTATTAAATTTGGTTTACCTATTAATTCTACTTATAGTCTTTCTTTTATTTCATTTGCGGTCTTATTTTTTAAGCGTTTGATAAAACATGATTAGAGATAATATTTCTTTCGAACAGTACAAAAACCTTACTCTATAGAATAATAAGGATAGAAAAAAGACCAGAAATTCTTGTCATATTGTGAAAAAACTATTCATATTTGTGGTTATTTTAAATATTATGAAGTATCTATAGCCCCTTTTTCTCAGTATTCAACACCACAGATTGTTCTTACTCATCAAACAGAGCTCATTTTTTCAACTCAATAGGTTCATTTAAGTTGTTTGAGTGGTTTCTAATTGTTGATTTAGGCCTGTCCATGTACTGGGGTGTGAATTTTCAAATTAACCTAGGAAGATAGTGATATTCAACGTTAGGTGGAGCTGTTCCGCGAATTTGATATTTTATTTATCTAGTTCTTTCTTTGAATTGCTTTTTTATTTTCTTTTCAGATGAAATATTCAACCTCATTTGTCAACGTTTGGATAAAGAAAATTGGATAAAATTCGCTTCCGATCTTCAATTGATTGAAGAAGAAGAGACAGACGAGAAGGACGATAGCGAGCAACTAGATTCTGCAGCGTTTTTGTGTTTGCTAAAAGACAAGTGGTTAAATGGTGAAAGTACTCTTTCTATCGAACAAACAGATAAATTAAAAGATGCTTTAAAAAAAATTGGTAGAGAAGATATTTTAGAAGCTGAAGAGTTTCAAAATTCTAATCCTGTCCCAACAGGTTATTTGCTTCTACTTTCTTTATTCAAAATTAAGCATTGAAAAGTTTTTTATTTGCTTTAGATCTATGTACTGATACGATAGAAGACGATATATCAGAAGGTTGCGTAACAGCTGTTCAAAAGGTTGTGCAAGTTGTTACCGAGCATTCAAAAGTACTCACTTCTACTTCTCATAGCTCTGAGGAAAAAGACGAAGATGAGAAGGATGGTAATAGAATATTTATAAATACATAATAACTTACAAATAGACTATATAATCCCTTACTTTCTCTATAGAAAAAGAAGAGAAACTTGTTGCAAGTGTTAAGGAAGAACGTGTCGTAGTTGAAAAGAGAACAGAGTTTAGTGGTAAGTATTCGCGTTAAAAGCAAATCTCTATAATAATATTAAATGACCCTGTCTAATAAAAAATCACAGAGAAAACTCAAACAATAGAAACGAAACAAGAAGTTATTGTATCAACACAAAAAACTGTTCAAGTTGTTGAGGAAGAGATTGTGAAAGGTTCTTTTTTGTTTTTTAGCTCAAATATAAAATAAAGTAAACATTTTCATATCTAATTTTCAGAAGCAGACGTAAAAGTAGAAGTATCACCTTCAAACGACAAAGAAGCTAAGGAAACAAACGGTGAGACTGCTGACGAAAAACAGAGTGATGCCGACTGTAAGGAAAAGGATGACAGTATAGAGAATAAAGAGAATGATAAAAGTAAAGAGAATGGTGAAGATGAAGAAGAGAGTGAAAATAGAGAGCAAGATGAAAATCAAGAAAAAAATGGTACAAAGGATAAAGTAGAAATCCCTGATAGCAAAGACGATGGCAAAAAGAAAAAGAAGCGAAGCATTCCCAAACTCTTCTCTTGTTTCTCAAAAAAAGAAGCTGATTAAACAACAGTTACGTCTTACTACTAGTAAAAAACAAGAAAAGTAAAAACAGTACCCGGCTAATATGAAATCTAACGCTTATTACATTAAATTTTCTGGGTCGAAGAAAGGATGCCTGTAAGAATATGTTTAAATTTCCTTCATTTTTTTTTATTTTATACATTAGACGCTTCTTTCTTCTATTTATCTTGTTAAACACGATCAATTATCTTGATCTAACTATTGAGAAACTCAATATTTTTCATAAATAATCTCTCTTTTCTTAAGAAACAAATGAATGCTACTTAAATAAATGATGAATACAAGGAATTAGTTGATCAGTTAGACGCGTTGATTTTTTAATCTTCAGCAAAAAGATTTTAAAAAATTAGAAATTTTCCATAGAAATAGTGTAATATTACCTTTTTAATTAGATGACATATTAAGTTATGTCATCTTATTGATTGAAGATGGTTTAGGATGCAAAATTTCAAAATAAAATAGCAGACTGCGGCTTCCTATAGATGTCGTTACGGTAGTTTCTTTCGACACCTGCCAACTAGAAGAAAGCACATTAGTAATAGAGGATATATAATAGACGCTTATTGACGTATTCTCATCATATTTTCAGGTTTGTATATAAATAGTCATTGTCTTAACAGATATATCAAGGCTATTTTTATGACTTTCTTGGTTGTTATTTTTTATGTATGAAAGATGAGAACGTTTTAATTTTAAGATTTTTATTCCATTTTATTGAAAGAATATGTAAATGTAAGTAATTTTATTCAGGCTATGTCCACGCCCATGTATAATATAAGCACGCTTTTAATGTACACCTATAAAAAAAAACATCGCGCACATATTCTTGACGCATTTAATCATACATACCACACCCGCTTTGCTGCGGATAAAAAGACAGACTGCAAAGAGTAAGCAACCTCAGCCAAAAGGACTTTTATTACTGTTTGAACCGGTGTGTATTAGTAGCGTTGTATGAATTTGAGATATCAATCTGTAATAATGTTAATCTGAGAGAAAAATAATATATAATCGCTATAAAAGAAGGATACTTAAATGTTGCCTTCCAGTGTTAAACGGAACCTAATAAGGTATAAAGATGCAAAGCGCTTTCTATCGTTGTTTTTAATTATTAAGAATAATGTGAAAGCATTTCATTTACACATGTAGTTATTTTTCTTGCTTTCAATGTCTTTAAGCATAATCTGCATAAATGTGTGTCGCTTGTTAAGCATATATGCAATATGCTGATTATCATATAAGATGGGAACATAGTATACAATATATACACATACATGTATGTATGTGTGCAATAGTTTCTATAGTACATAATTAATAGAGCTGATATGCAGAATATCTATATTTAATGCAAGTAGTATATATATATATACATTTATAGATTCATGTATATAAATTTTGGTAATGAGACTTTCTTCATTGTTTTTAATTAAATAAAAATCATATTTTTGTATACCCAAGAACTAAAAGAAGCTACTTTCAAGTATCTATTGTTTTCTTCTTATTTTCATATTCTAAATATATTTTCTTTATAAACAAAACACCTATTTTTCATTACAAACATATCATTTTTTGCTTTGTCATCATCTTCAATTTTATGCTCGTCATTTACTTGTAACTTGATTTAGTTACCTAACGGTTAAATTTAATTTTAAACCCAGTCCTTTTTTCATCATGTTTCTCTTTTCTCATATTCTTCTATTCTGTTTTTTTTATTCATTTAATATTCAAGATTTCCAAAATTGAAATAAAAAAGTCATGTGATCATAAAAAATGCAAAATATTCATAATGAATATTTCTTATTAAAGAAACATATAAGCCTTTAATGTTGTCGTTTTATCGCTTCAAAGAATTTTAATCATAAAAATTTGACTTGTTGCGGCACTGTTTAGTTCACTATATTGCTTATGCATGCTAAGCTCAAACATTCATCTTCGACGCTTTTAATATGCTTACAGTTTTTTCAATTCACAAATTATGTTATTTATTAATTAATGCTTTTCAACTCAAATTGAAAAAAAAGAGAAAATACGAAAACGTTAAAGATAAAAGAGACGTTTGGAAGAAAAGTTTTACAGTTTTCATCAAACGCCTGAGAAAAAATTATTTAACAAAGAAATAAAGCAAAAAAAATTAATCGGCTACTTAAGTCTCTTTTTTTTTTAAAAAAAAAGCAAGAAATCTCTTTGTAAAAATCATTATGGGCGTTCTACGAGGCAGGAATGACAGTGAAGCTCTGGAATTTTCGGGTAAATAAACCTTAAAATCTTAGATTTCCAAATCGATTAAGCGATAAATGTATAGCCTTCAACTACAATTTGTAAAAGAAAAAAGACATTCATTATTCTTTTAGTTGCTTGAAATTAAGTTTCCATTGCGCTAAAAAGACTATTGTTAAAAGATTGTTTATTTTGGACAATTTGTAAAAAAAAGAAAAGGAATGTTTAAGCTCAGAAGTTTTAAACTAATGGATATTTCTTGTTGACTCTTTAAGTAATCAGGGAAGAAGGAGACGTTTCCGAAATGACACCGATTAATTAGTATAGCAGAAGAAATTACAAAGAGCATGACTATTAAGAAAATGACCATTTGCCATTTTGTTTTCTCTTTCGTAAACGCTAAATTATTAATTAATTCTTCTTTATTCAATTTTTTAAATTTTCCATTCGATTTGACTTTTTATTCTAATTGATATTTTCACTTCAAAATATTAGTATTTTTGCTATAGATGGCGCCTGTTTCTCTTTATCAAAAACTTGGAAACGTTATCGATTTAAACTCAATTAACTATCGAATTTGGAATGCGTCCCATATATATGAATATGAGTTGATTGTTTGTAATTAGAATAGTCGACATTCTCTTTACAATTTAAGTTCTATTATACTCAATAATAGTATCGTTCCTCTTAAATCGTCTATGGAATTCTGGGTAAGTTCAATACTGCAAATAATTAAAAAGATACCTATTAGCGACGAATAAATGCAAATAGATAGATGCCACTTAAATAATCGACTACCAATTCTTTCACAACATGACTAATACAGCTTTCTATTCAGTATGCTTAATAAATATAATGGCGACGTTATATAAGACGTATCATCAAACTATTTATAGTCGAATAACAGGTCTAATTTAAAAAAATAAGGTTACTTAAAGCATAATCTTGGTCTGTATCTTCCCCTCTAACATCTATCATATTTAAAAATACAAAAAATTTCATAAATCTGCATTGTTTATGGAAAATTTTTACACTATTTCAATACAATATTAATATTGTTCATCAACGTTTACAGTATGAATATTCATAAGAGATCTTCGTCTTTTAATTACTTTTGTTCTCTCCACGAATATTTCTTTTATTTATTAATGTTTACAATTTTCAGTTTCTATAATTCTCTAACATCGATATAAAGAGCTTTTAATTATAAAGCAAGGAATTCGATCTCTAATTTATCAAACGTAAATTACATAATAGACGTAACAGATAAAATTGTTTATAAATTAATCAAAACTATTTATAACAGAAGTTAAATGCTTTAAATGCATAATTTGAAAAGCTTCTCTGGACGGCCAATGAATATTAATAACCCTAAATATTCATTAATATAAACAAAAATAACGGTAGAATAATAAACAATCAATACTTACATGCTTTTATAAGCGTGTACAGTTGTATATACAATAACACAGTAGTATTGAATATGCATGTGCATACTAGGGTTATTTATGAATTTTTCAAGTACTCATAATTATTAGATATGCAACATTTTATAATCGTTATTTTACGGAAATGTCGGAAACCAATAACACGCGTGTTACACTATTTTATTTCTTATGACAGGTGAGACGGTCAGTCCGGCTGTCATGGATCAGGTTTATAAGAAATATAAGGAAACGAAAATGAATCCCCAGAAGTTGATGGACGAGCTGGGGATTGACGTTACGTCAATGGACAATAGAGAAACTCTTGGAATGGGTATAGTTAGGAAGGAAACAGAGCTAAATCATGATGAAAAACTATTTCTTTTGGCTGTGGAGAGAGGAGATTTACCTTCGGTCAGAAGTAGTTTAGAAGAATCATTAACTTATATGAATATTAACATTAACTGCGTTGACCCGCTTGGAAGGACAGCATTGTTGATTAGCATTGAAAATGAGAATATCGAAATGATTGAATTGCTCTTATCCTTTAATGTCGAAGTCGGAGATTCATTATTACATGCAATAAATGAGGAAAACGTCGAAGCCGTTGAATTATTGCTAGGTGACAAACATATGTTGCTTAAATACTAATTAATTTGTTAACAATTAGAGAACCAGAATAGCTGTAACAAATATAAATTTCTGTTTACTTTTTCGAATAGCATATCAAACAAACAAGAAGGATTTATCGGGCTTGTTGGGTGCAGTGCCTTCTTCTTCTTTTACACCCGACATAACTCCTATCATACTAGCTGCGCACAGGGATAATTATGAGATTATAAAGATTCTCTTGGATAGAGGAGATAGAATTGGAAAACCCCATGACGTACGTTGTTCATGTCTGGAATGTAAAACAAGAGCTGCGGAAGATAGCTTGAATTTATCTAGATCAAGAATTAATGCTTATCGAGCTTTAGCGTCACCTTCTTTAATCGCTCTGTCCAGTAAAGATCCAATCTTAACTGCTTTTGAGTTATCTTGGGAACTAAAGCGATTGTCTAGGTTAGAAAATGAATTTCGAATTGAGTATGAAACTCTTTCTAAAAGTTCACAAGACTTTGCTGTTGCTCTTTTGGATCAAACTAGAGGTTCGAAGGAATTAGAAGTGATTCTAAATCATAATTCAGCAGGACTTAGCAATGATGGAGACAGAGAAAATCTAGATAGACTCCGTTTGGCTATTAAGTACAAACAGAAAAAGTTTGTTGCCCACTCAAATTGCCAACAATTATTAGCATCATTTTGGTATGAAGGTTTGCCCGGTTTTAGAAGGCGTCACATTATATTTAAGGTTCTATTAACGGTTACTATATGCATCTGCTACCCAATCCTGTCGATTCTCTATTTGTTATTACCCAAATCCTTTTTGGGAAGGTTTATGCGTCAACCTTTTATCAAGTTCATCTGCCATTCAGCGGCATATATGAGCTTTCTATGTGAGTAAATTAGCGATTAATTCAAATTGTTTTGTTTTACTTGTAATTAACTTAACATATTGTATTCTTTCATTAAGTCACTTATCGTTATTATTATTTTTTAACAGTTTTACTTATTCTGACATCGCAGAGGATTGAGAGTACAATTAAATATGGAAATAACCCGCAAAAGAATATTAGAGAAGTTCGAGGTGCTAGTCCCACAATAATTGAGTGGATCATTTTGGCATATGTTTTAGGTCTGAACATTGATTACAATGTTAATTAATTATTTAGCAAAAGTTTATATTTCTACGTGTAGAAAAATATTTACTTTACTCTTATTAACATCCACAAGTCTCACGGTTAATAAGTTCGGGTGTGGATACAAGTAGTTATAACTAAGCAAGGTTGAAAATGTGAAGGGCGTGGTTGATATTGGTTAAGTTATTACATTAACATAATTCTATCCGTTTCAAGATAGTAAACGTGAAGGGGTTTATACGCCCTGTTTATAAAAAATACACTTGTATATTTACCCCGGTATATTATTGATTATCTCGAAACGCGTTTACATTGATAAACTACCTGAACTGCAACCATAGTAACAAAGTCTTGCTCTCTTGCTGTTGACAATATTGTTCCAATTTCAAAACTTCCTGTAGCTTTACCTGTACAAATAGTTACTGTCCTATAGATTATAATTATTAATGTTTAGTTAAAAACAATAAATTTTCTTTTTTCCTACAAATTAGGATTCACATGGATAGAAGTAAAGCAACTGTGGGATGATGGAGCCAAGGCCTACGTGCAGGACATGTGGAATATCTTAGATTTTATACCCAATGCTTTATACATCGCTACTTACACCCTGAAATTAGTTGCATATTTAAGAGTTCAAGATGAAATAGCCCAAGGACATACGGACGTTGCCAATCTACCCAGATCCCAATGGGACGCTTACGATCCAAATTTAATAAGTGAGGGTCTATTTGCTACAGCAAATATATTTTCATCTCTGAAGCTCGTCTATATATTCATCATTAATCCACATCTGGGCCCCCTGCAAATTTCACTTGGTCGAATGGTTATAGATATATTGAAATATGGCTTTATTGCTGTATTGGTTGTTTTCGCCTATTCTTGTGGTGTTAATCAATTATATTGGTTCTACGCCGAAGCTAAACAGCGTGACTGTGACATTTGCACTGCCGAAGGAGGTTCAGCCTGTGAATGCGACAAATATCTTGCAAAGTAAGTAGTAGCTTCGTTTGGTTAATTACTTATCCCCGTTTCCTTTCCCCCAAGCATTTCAATTTATCCATTTCTCCCCATTTTTTACTCCTTTCTCTATTACATATTATCCTTACACCCTTTCCCTCAAAATTTATATCATTTCAATTTTCCGTGGTAACTGATTCAACTTCTCAGGAGTCAAGAGAACTGTCCATGCGATAAATATAGGCTTAGCAAGTGAGTGGCGCATTTCCCGCTGTTAACGCCATCTCTAAAGCTTTCTATGTGTCATATTCGCTCAAACTGGCATGTTGTACCTTTTTTTGTAAAGAAAAATTATATACATACACCATATGTATTTCTGTAATTTAACCAAATAACTATTGTTTTAAAAAAAATTGTATAACAAGCCATCACGCACGCATATTATGTGTTCTTCTTTATGTGCAACACTGGCCGGAAAAGCAAAAACATTAATTTATTAATATCAATATTTTATGACAAGTATTACTCTACTATTAGCTTTTATTACTTTTACTTTTGTTATGCATAAGTTGTCTAGTCCTCTTCTTTGTCTATTCTTAACTATCTCTGCTCTTTTAAGTATCTCTCGATCTTAAAATTTGTTTTAGAGTATAAGAGGTTGTATATGTGGATGAATACTTATGTAAACTAATATATAATTGTATTGTATATAGAGTTAGTATACAGTATACAAATATTCATATTAGTATGTAAAACTGTATACTGTATATCTATCTTTATTTTTATCTTTATCTTCTAAACTCCTTTTTTCTATTGGCTATTTGATTATTCTTTCTATTATGTTATTCAATCCAAATCTTCCTTTAAATTATCTGTAATATTAAAGATATTAATAGATTCTATATAAATTAATATAAAAGATGAGGAAAGTTAAATATTATTAAATATGCATGTATCATATTTTCTCTACATTATTTGTGACGTATGATATTGAATCAGAACGCAATGCTTTGAAACGTCATTATGCTTTTGTGCCCTTTGAGCAAGCGACATGTAGTATTACAGCTTCTACAACTTTCTTTTACTTTTTTTGCTGACAATATGTAAAATCTATCCTACTTTTTTTTGCTTTTTTATTATACTTCTCTGTTTATCTAAACTATATTTCCGGCTTAATCTTCTATTTTGTATTCTGAACAGCCTCTTTGAAATCATGCAATCGCTTTATTTTGCTATGTTTGGTTTGATTGAAATTAAGCATTTTGAGTTGAAAGAAAAGCATACGTTTACTGAATTTGTTGGTAAAACCATGTACGGAACCTACCTTTTTATTGCTGTTGTTGTCTTAATCAACATGTTAATTGCCATGTTGAGTAATTCTTATCAATATATTCAAAATGATTCGGATGTTGAATGGAAGTTTGCCCGGTCTAAATTATGGTTATCATATTTTGAAGAAGGTGGAACTCTTCCAACACCTTTTAATATCATTCCTACGCCCAAAAGTGTTTATTATATATTTCGATGGATCAAAGAGAAGCTATGTGGCTGCCGGGAGGAGCAGAAGAAAAGTAAATGGCAAAGTATAAGAAAATTAGTACAAAGGGCTAGTGAAAAAGAAGCTCAGTATCAGTTAGTCATACGAGATCTTATTAAGCGGTATATAATGCAGAAACAAAAGGGTGCTTCTGATAAGGGAGTAACTGAAGACGACCTTAATGAGATTAAACAAGATATATCATCGTTCAGATATGATTTATTGGAGATTTTAAGAAACAATGGAATGAAAACTCCTACATACTCGCATATGCCTAAGAGTAGTACTAATTCGTTTAATTAATCATTAACGTCATAAGTAACTTTTTTTTATAACTAAACAGGAATTAAGAGAAAAGGTTCTAGAATGTCAAATCTTGGTCGGCGAATGGGTATGATGACAATGGACTCTCCAAATACGCCTGACGTCCGTCTTCGCCAAATCGTTCAAAAAACATCCGGAATTACAAGATCAGAGAGTGGTGGAAGTTCAATTGAAAGCCCTAACACACATAGAAAGATAATTCGAGACAACTCGGATGGATCTATAGGAAAACAAATGCTTAATGAGCGAACTGCCCCAACACCTCCTGTAGTTAAAAACGATACTATTAAAGAGGAGCATGAAGAAGACGATCAGAAGAGAACTGCAAATGATACGGCTAAAAGAGATAAAGCGGTGTCGAAAAAAGCTAATGAACTACAGTTAGATTGTAAAAAGCCACCCCTGTCGCCTGACGACGGTACCAAATATAATAATTTATATTTAAAATCTATTCAATTGAATTCTAACTTTTTTCTCTTTACGAACAGACGGTCTAGTCTAAAAGAGAAGAGAATGACATTTCCAAATCAGCAAAGAGAGCACATCAGCAGTAGACGTTTTGCAGCAAAAAAAAAAGTAATTGATATTGTCTTGTCAACAAATTACCGCTTGAACAAATCAACTATAATTATCGATATAAATAGTTAAATTATTGCTTATATGCACTGCAGAAAAATGCAAAAAGGAATAAAAAGGCTTCAATAATAAAGCTCAATTATTATTTAAATATTAATTTTACAAATAGACATTAAACTTCAGTCAAAATCCACAATAAAGTTTTATTTTCAATGCTTAATTTCAATGTGTTTTTTAGTGTAAAAAGTGCTAAACCATAAATCACAGCTTGAATAAGTACTAAACACCTTTAAAAGTAGCTATTTCATTGTTATAAAATACTCATAAATATATTCGGCATGGTATATTCACTTAAATCATTTGATGAATTAGATATATAAATAATTATTCTTAATATTTAAAGAATTAAAATTTCAAAGCCGACGTCAATATGAGTATCGGTTGTTTTTTTAAGTGAAAAGGAAAACCAAAACAAAATTAAGAAGTACATAAACAAAAAAGACACGTTTTTTCAAGCCTGACGAAAGTAAAAGTAAGAAGATATGCTTAGTGAATGAATGTTTTGCTCGTATTCATTTTTTTTTTAAAAGAAAATGAATAGAATTTGAATAAAACATATTCATAATTTCTCGTTTTTTTCTGGATAAATTGGAAAATAAGACTAGACGCTACAATATTCAAAACATTTACAAATAATTACATTTTTCTCTATTTTAACATTTTTCGTCCAGTTATTTTCCTAATTATGTTGATTAACAAAATGTGCAAAATAAATATGTACTACTATTTTTTTACTCAAAACGTCATATAAAAAAATCTAGGTGATTTTTTTTTGCTCCTTATGTTGGACATGTTCCTGGTAGTAATTGGATATCGTCCAGAGCTATATCTCCCGAATATTCCCCTCCTCTTATACCAGTAAAACCTATTCGAATATTTGGACTCATAGTTTCAATGTTAACTTGATCGCCTATCCATCTATTTCCTTGTTGTCCAACTTTCTTCCAGATGATTGTGTCTTGAGATCCAATTCTTGTAAAGACATTTAGTTCGTTTATATGAAATCCGTACATATGATATTTAAATTGGAGACATCCTCTTCCACCAGTATTCAATTGAGGTAAGAGAATTCTACAAAAAGTCACAAGTACTGTGAAATTATATGTACTAATATCTTACAACTCTTACTTGGCCATATCTCCTCTTCTCCTCGGTTTACTCGCTTCTATAAAAATGTAATACTCGCCATTGTACGCCCTGTTTGGTCCTGTCATTTTTGACGGAGTCTCTCCCGACTGAAAATATATTTAGTAACTTTTTAAAATATTTTATATTATTTAAGCTTTTTACTAGCAAAGACCAGTCGAATGCATCTCTCTTATCTTGTTCCATTCTACAAAATGTGGCAATGTTGCCACCTATTTCGAATTTGCATTCCCATAGAGTAACTTTAAAGTGAATGTATTTATTAACATGTATATCAATTTTTTTAAATTTAAGTATGCTTTTCTCTTATGTCTTACCAGTAGATGAAGCTTGGCAGGGACCAAATGTAAAAATAACATTATCAATAGCAATGTCGCCGGAGTAATGACCAGAAGTAGCCGCTTCAAATTCAACATTTCCGCCCGAAGACGGTAATGTCAAATCAACTGCAGCTTCCTTCCAAAGATTTTTTTGATCGCCAGATATTTCCCAACGTTGAATCCTTTGAAAATTTGTAATTGAATCGCTTTGAAAAACTCTAAGAGAATTAATATGATAGCCGTTCATGCAATACCAAAATCTTAAGCATCTTGCACCACCACTATTTATAACTTGACCATCTAGTTTTAATCTAGCAACCTGCCCATCACCAGCCTTTGAAGCCTCTATGTACAAATAACTACTTCCTTGCTGAGCACGAGTTGGACCAGTAACAGGTATTGGAACATTGTTAATCTTTCTATCGAAGAGTTTGCCAGATGGAGTTTTTCCTGTACCTTTCAACCACTGTAAATCGTCTGTGTGTATTTGAGAAAGGTAACATTGACTAGACGTAGAAACTCCAACATTTTCAGCGTCACAACTAAATCTGTCTCCAGAACATGAGTTTGGATTGATAAGAATGGAATCTACAGCTATATCAGATTGAATTCCAGAGCCTCTTTCGGCAACGAAAACAAGTTGTTCGTCGCGTTTAATTGCATAATCAACCTCAACACTTTGCCAACTTCTAGGTTGCTCATTAGTCCTGTCAAAAATCGGTTTCATTTCACCTGCAGCTGTTCCGTAAACAAACAATCGCTTTACGTCTCTTCCATACATATAATAGTAAAAACTCAAGCATATGGCTCCGTCATAGTCAATCGCAGGCGTATGAATCCTTAGTAAAAGCAACTGATACGTTTAAGAACTCAATAGAAAACTTAACACATACTTAATTCTGTCATTAAAAGAAAACATTCTGGAATTGAGAAAAATATACCAATTCCCGCTATGTGCCTTATCCGGGCCAGTTGCATCTGATGGTGTTGGTCCATTAATTCGTTGCCAGTCTCCATTATCTGCTTTGCTTTGTACCATTTGACATAAATCAAATTCAAAAGTACATTGGAATGGTAAACGAACTGTTTAAAGTAAAAATTTCAAAGAAAATATAATAGTTTTTATCCGATACTTATAAGATAAGTGCTTGAAGTTGTAAATATTTAGCACTAAAATCTGTATCCAAATGAAACCCGGCCACCAACCGTATAAAAATATAACAATAGCAAAAACTATGTTAACACTGAACAAGTATTTGAGAGAATAAGCAAGTGAAAAGTTCTCTCAATTTAAACAACTTTACCCAATATAACTGCTGCAAGAGTCGTAGGCGGAGGGTCTGAGGAAAAGGCAGTTGGCGGATGATCTTGGAAAAATGTAATTTTTGTTTTTTGAATGAAATAATGAACTTATAAATGACGAAACAGATTGGAGAGAAATTTGACGATATGATGATGACTTTCTCAATAGTAAGAAACTTTGTCATATCTCAAGAGAGTGTATTTTTTTAAAACCTACCTGTATTAGTGGTACAACTTCCTGCTGTTATGCTTAAACGATCTATGGCTATATCGCCGAATATTCCATTTCCTTTAACAGCTGTAAAACGAATAGAGTTTCCTGAACTAATTCTAGATTCTATATTTGCTTGTCTCCAACTATTTCCTTGATCACCAGTACTTGACCAAAGATTTTGCAAATTATTTGATACAAATAACTGCCCCATGTTGATCCCAAACATATGATAGTCCATTCGAATACAGATGTCACCACTATATCGAATGGGCATTGTCGATATTCTAAGTGAAGAGAAGAGGTCTTATTAAAAATAATTAATTTGTAGCAATAATAAGAAGCATACATTGCTCTGGCACTGTTCGTGTTGACCGCACTTGCCCTAAAATAGATATAAAACTGTCCATCTGAAGATCTATCTGGTCCTGTCTCAGAGGTTGGTGTTGGGCCACTTATCCTTATCCAATTTTGGTCATCTGATGTTGACTGAACAAGCCCACAAAGGTCGGTATTCTCAAAGCTGCATTGAAAAGGAAGACCGCTCCCACCAGAATTGTCATTGTCAAGACATCGACCTTGTTCTATACGCAAGTCATCTATGGCTATATCCCCTGAAGGACCTGCAAAAACAAATGAACTAATCCTTTTATCTTTTTATATTGAAAAACAAACAAACCCTCGTTTGCTGATGCATCAAAAAGAATTTTATCATTTTGAGCCTCAATTCTAATGTCAATTTGAGCTGGTCTCCAAACATTTCCCTGATCTCCGTGCTTACTCCACCAATATGCCCCTGAGGCTCTTTTTTCAGTATAAATAGTTAAATGACCAACTGTAGAACCATACATCATATAATAAAATGACAAACAAATGTCTCCTATATGATTTATAATCGGTGTCTCTAAACTTCAATGGTAGAGAAATGAGGTAAGCTTAAAAGGATAAAAAATAATTCAGTATACTTTGCTCTGTCACCAGCTTTTCTTGCCCTTGAATCAGCTAATAAATACCAGTTTCCTGCAAACGCTCGTTGGGGTCCACTATTAGTGGCGGGAGAGGATCCTGTACTTCTTAACCAATCAAAATCATCATTCTTCAACTGTAACATTCCGCATAGCCCAATTGTTTCAAAGCCACAAAGAAGAGGCAGTTGTGCTAAAAGTGTTAAGCAAAACTAATAGTAACTTTTATTGTAATAACTATACAAATTTACAATTCTGACAGGATCCTGCACGAATGTTCAAATTATCAATTGCAATATCTCCGAAAATACCATTTCCCATTACTGCCTTGAAAATGATTGTATCCATGGATGCCAGTACCAAGGTTAAACTCTTCTTTTTCCAGACATTACCTTGATTACCATGACTCTCCCAGGAAGGATTATTTGATCCTTGACTTCGAGTATACACAACTAGGGATCCAACGTTGACACCATTCAAATTATAATGAAATGATAGACAAACACTAGTGACGAAATTGAACACGGGTGTCTCTAATAGCGCGTTATCTCCAGCACTTCTACCGTCAGCTTGAACGTAAAGATACCAGGCACCCGATTGAGCGCGAGTAGGTCCGGTGTTAGCTATAGATGATACCTTATTTGTTCTTGTCCAATCAAATTGATCTACCCCAGAGTGAATTTTATTTTTCAATTGACACCATCCTTTAAGGGTTTAAAATCAATTAATTTTTTAGGGTTTTTCATATTTAATCTTACCATTTTCAACATCGCATGACCATGGTAAAGCTATTGAAGGGCATTCTCTTGGTTCTAAATAAAAGTCATCTATTGCAAAATCAGACTGATCCCCATTACCTCGTCTTGCTATCAAACCAACCCTGTCATTACCTGACAGAGATATTTGTACCTGGGCGTTTATCCATATGTTTCCCTGATTTCCAACAATTTTCCACCAAGGATCATTCGGGCCGCGATTTTGCGTCCAAAGTGTTAGTTCGCCTACGTTAGCACCGTATGCATGGTAGTAGAAATTAGCGCAAACGGGGCCTGTATATGAGAAGGATGGAGACTGCATTCCAGCCCTATCTGGTCCACTATTAGCTTCAAAGTACATAAAATATCTTCCTCCCTTGGCAAATGATGGCCCAGTATTTGGAGTAAAAGTTGGCCCAGTGTGCCTTCTCCAGTAGTCATTTCTCTCAAAGGTGTTAAAAGAGCACAGATCATTCTCAAAATTACAACTCCAAGGTATCGAACTTCCCGATGTTTGGCAGGCGCCATTTGTTATACGGAGGGAGTCCATAGCTATATCACTAAATCTACCATTTCCCACAGTAGCCACAAAACCAATTTTGTCCGAAACCGATAAAGTAGTTGGCACTCTAACTATTTGCCAAATATTATCTTTATTACCTGTTTCTTGCCATATCGGTCTATTTTGAGTTTTGCTTTGAACATAAACTAAAAAGGAACCCTGGTTTGCTCCGTACATATGGTAGTAAAATTCAATACAAACATCACTTGATCTGGCAATCAATGGTGTTTCTATTCTGCAAACAAAATTAAGCTTAATAATGTTTAAACTTGCTATTCAAAGGTTTAGAAATATCATAAATGGTATTTACATAGCTTTGTCACCACTTCTTGTTCCATCAGCTTCAACAAAAGTATACCATTGGCCACTTTCTGCAGCAGACGGACCAGTAGCTGCTGTAGGAGTCGAGCCAATCCATCTTAACCAATTCAATGGAGCAATTTCAGTTTTTCTTGCAGTCATACCACAAAAATTTTGCTCGAAATTGCAGGTGAAGGGTAGCGAAATTGATGGAGCTTGAAAGCAACTTCCAGAACTTACTTTGATGTTATCGATAGCAATATCTGATCGAAAGTCTGGACCTTTAATACCCTCAAACCCAATTCTTCTTCTTCCATTTACAGAGATTTTTTCTTCCTTCCATTCATTCCCTTGGGTTCCTGATCTAGTCCAGACTATGTCCTTAGGGCTATCACGTCCAATAGCCGCTTGAGTTATAATATTTAGAGTGCCCATATCTGAACCGTTCATGTGATAAGAAAACTCGAGGCATATTTCCTCTTGAAAAGGTAAGGTTGGAAGGAATATTCTAGCCGCATCATTTGATCGCTGAGGATCACTAGTCTCGATATAGATATAGTATTTACTTTGATTATCTCCAGTAGTTGGACCTGTATTCGATGTTGGCGTTTTTCCAGTATATCGTTGCCAATCAAAAGAACCTGATTCAAAGAGCGAATTCGTTGCATCTGTCATATCTTGGACCATGTTGCAAAAAGTACTCTCGAAATCGCACGTAAACACTGTTCAAGTAAACAGATGATACATTTTAAAGAATGAATAGTGCTCTATACATGTTAGATCAATAACTCTTTAGGGTCACTGAATTGTTTGAGATTTTTATTTTTTTAATGTAATTATAATATAAATGTTGCAATAATTAATTATGACGTTGTTCAAACAAGTAATTAAATCTTGTACTCAGATTTTCTTAATATCAAGTACAAACTAATAAATTAATAAACAAAGAAATTTCATGGAGATAAATGTAAACTTCGTTATATAAATCTTTTTATTTAGAAATAGAAATTGAAAAAAACTGCAATTTATATTAAAGTACAGAATATGAAATGGTACTATTACGATAATAGGTGTACTTACACAGATCCTGAAGATAAACGTTTGGTACATTTATAAGTACAAGAACAAAATTCAGCATTATCTTCATCTTTGCGGTGGAATAAAAAAAATCGTATTACTTTAAAGAGAGGCCAAAAATGATTGTAAACATCTGCAACGCAAGTAAATATTGATTGTTTTAAATATTTCGGAAGTTTTTTTTTTATCAATTTTTACGAAAGAGATTAAAAAGGAAATAATAATTAGTTGTTTGTTTTTTTTTCATGCATAAAGAGATACAGCAAGGATAGACTATACGACTGTTGATGCAGCTTGAATATTCTTCTGGCATGCTTGATTTAATTTTAGTGAAAGTAAAAAAAAGAAAAAAAAACCCAAATAAAATAGATAAAAATTATTTAAAGTACCTGTTAAAATCTCCGGACGGTTAGTTTATCAATTGTTTTTACGTAATCGAGAATAGAAAAAAGGTTCTATTTCAAAAATGCTCCAAAAAACATTTTTTACTCTATTAAACCTTTAACAGTTTTAGATGCAACAGCTTGAACGTTCGTCGATCAATTCCAATACTAGAGTCGATTCGTAATTGAAAAAAAAAAAAAAACGCCAAATATCTTTAGGCCTAATTTAGGCTTATATCGATTTCTTTCAATGTTTTTTTTTTAAATAATGTATACATTAAAAAACAAAATACAACTGAATGAATGTTAAAACTAATTTTTTTCATACTTATAAAAAAATTGTATACTGAGATTATTGAGTGCAAAGTACTTAATTATTATTCATAGCTAATAACCTTATGAATATTGATTTATTCGAAATAAAAGAATAATATGCAATGTATATATATATATATATATACATATATATAAATAGTATGTGCATATATTACTAAATTCTCGATAACTAATTTCTTTTTCCTTAGTGTAAGCTTATTTAAAAATAGTATTATACCTTTTTTAGTAGAGGGAAAAATAACTTTATGAATTTTTAAATGCTTTAATTAAATTAGTTAATTTAAATTTACAACGAACACATCTCTAATCAATAAAGGAATAGGACTGACTATTAAAAGTTACTAATTTAAACGAAGATAAAAAATCCAGAATGAAATAGAATCGCCATCTATAGGTAAGAATTTTTAGTTTACTTGCATGTCGCTAGGATTGATATAAAATGGAAGAAAAGTTGGTTGTCATAGAAATTAAAGTTGATTTTTTATTTTTGCTTTTAATCTTTTGTATTGTACATTAGAAATTCTATTTTTGTTTAATGCTACAATAAATAAGACGAATGTAAATAGTAAAAAGTCATCGCTCAGTTCACATTGAAAACACCCAAAGCTTTACTAATCTCATTGATTAGAGACGTAGTAGTTTCCACTTGCTCTTCCATCCCAATTATTATTATTGATGCTTTTGTTTGGTTTATATGTCTGACCACTATAATCTGAATGGGCGTAGTATGTAGGAGGGCCTCTGGATACTGAATAAATTGACTCATTAAGTATTTCAGCGTAATCATCTTCATTTTTCACTTCTTTAGATATCTGGACATCAACAGCATTATCGTAATTTGTATAATGTATGATAAGTAGAGCTAAAATAATGCACAGGAGAATGATTATAACACATACAACTCCAAAGCCTATCATCATTTTTGCAGGCCAGCTTGCTTCATCCCTTAATTTATCCCAACAACCATCAAGATATGCAGAAGCCTCAGTTGCTTTTAATATGCATTCTTCACCTTTCGTGAAGATAACTTCTTTTGGATTATCAGGAAATTTATCTGAATCTCTAAGTCGGCAACACGATGCAGGAATTTTTGAATTAACTGTTGTATTACTAATCCTATAAATTTTTTTCCAAGTTTTGGAGGTTTCAAAATTTTTATAAGATTTTAAACCACAACAGCTTAAACTTTGATGAGTTTCATCCCATTGTCTTGATTCTTTATGTGATGTGACATTCATTCGCCCTTGCACATAGACTGAACCGGTGTAGGTATTCATGATAGAATTATTTAGATAGTTATAATAATCTTTTTCCGATTCTTCGATGTCCACAAAAAAGTAAAACTTATTTTTATATAGTTTAAAGCCAAAAAAGAATAGCATTATGAGTATTACAATACAAACAACTATAGTTAAGCCTGCGTACTGAAAAAGATAAGAATGTTATAATTAGTAAGTGTTCTTTTTCAACATTTCCAAAATAATGTAAATTTCTTACTGCTATAGTGAGAATTTTATGTTTTAGGTAGACTCCAAAGTATCCGCAAACGCAAAAAATTAAAGAAATCGCTCCTAAAGTAGTGATAGCATAGACAATCCTAAAAATATATATTTAAAGAACTATATAGTAAAGGGAGTTTTTGATAAAAAAAATTAAGAATTGTTACCGAAAAGCAATGGCGTCATCATTTGTAGGAACACCTGGAAAACTACTATTTGGTGCTGCTCTCTTATGCCATGCCACAACAATTCCCCATATTAAAGCTGCCAATGATAAAACCTAGATGGAACGATATTAGAAACATTAATTTCATATTTGATAAACAAACGACTTTTTATTTATATTTTACTTATTTAACTTACCATCCATAGAGTGTTAAATATATAAAAGGCAATTCGAAACCATTTATTCTTCATACTTTTAAACGTGTAACTTTTTTGATTTTTTTATGTGTACTACACAAGGGAAATGTCTATTTCTCCTGTCTGCGTTTGTTTTGCCGATCGTTGCTATGGAAGTAATGGTAGCCGTTTTTACCACCTCTACTGAGAGGGCGACACTCCTAGGCCTTTTTATTTATCATTATTTAGTTTAGCTGGAAATAAAAAAATCATAAAAGAAGCATTTGATTATTGCACATTTCCATAAAAACTTTGAACGATAGAGTAAGTGAGGTTAAATAGTATCGAAGAAATAATATTTATAAATCTAGACCAAACGAAGGTCTATACACATAGAAATATTAGATATATACGTTTTTAACATACATAAAATTAATGGACAAAAATTATTGTATAGAAAAAAAAAGTCTGCTTTTTTAGGGGGGGAAAGTAGATTGTCCACATTTCTGCTTATTCTTTCAATTAAGTATTTATTCTGCCCACACAATTTACCAAAATGCTTTTCTTTTATTAGAACTTTATTCTATACAATTTTCTTTAAGAAAGCGACATCTACCCAGAAAATACAAAGGTAAAAATTCTTTAAGATTAAACTCTAACGTAGGAGGACTGTATTTATCTTTAAACAAGTTAGAAACGACAAGGGAAGAGTACAACGATTGGTGTTAAAGTAGACAAATTCTATAATTATAGTACAAAAATTTTTTTTTCGACTTTTGATTTTCTAGAGAAAATAAAAATATGACTTGTTTTTATTTTTCTAATATACTTTTAATAGAAAGATAGTCAGCTAAAAAAGATGTAAATATTTCCGAATATCTAGGCATCAAACTGCTCCGTATTATTTGATCCTCGAATCTTTGGTAATTCTTCTTCGCTCTTCTTCTTCTTCTTCTTTTTCTTCTTTTTCTTGTCCTTCTTTCTCTTCTTTTTCTCCTTGTCGTCTTCTACTGGCTCTTCTCGTTCCGTATCCATCTTTACTGGATTTGTGTATGTTTCGGTAGTTTCGTTTTGAACAAGTATTTTCGAACTTTTTCGAACAGTTGCAGAGGGTATAGGAGAAGGAGCTGGGGAAACTTTTGACGTGGATGTTCTTGCCTTGTAAAAAAGGAAAAAGGCACAAAAAAGAGCCGCTAGAGCTATGAAAATTTCAAATATGCTGAAAATTATCAGTATTAGACTCTCTTTTTTCCGATATTTTTCCATATCTTCCTGACAACCATTCAAATGAGCATTATCCGAATTCGGATTTGTTAGACAATCCAGAACATTAACAAAGGTTGTATTATGACCCCAAACGTCATTTTTCACTTTACAACATCCGATTGGTATTTTACCATAAAGCTGTATTTTATTATTCGTTGAATTCACCGATGAATTTATAAGACGGTAATCGTTATTCCACTTGTTAGACCATTTATAGTTGTCTTTTTGAAAATCTTTATAGCTGTCAAGTCCACAGCAGCCAAAATTTCGAAAAATCTGTTCCCAATTTAAAGATACATCATCCGTTGCTGGTAGAAGCTTATAAGTGTAGGCAGACCCTATAAAATCATCCTGAATGCCTACGACCAGCTTCTTATTCATACAATTGGTAATTTTCTTATAGAATAGGGAGTGTGACAAAACTATGCCAATAATTAATAATATAATCGCTATAATAACACCAATAACGTACTAAAGGAAAATATAATAAAATTAGCTTTTTAAGTTATTCATTTCTAATAAAATACTTACAACTAGTAAATAGAATTTATATTTTATAATTGCAGTGACTACTCCTAATATGGAAATCATAAAAAATAGAGTTCCAGCAGCCGTCAATACCAGACAACCAATTTCCAAGTTGTCGTGATGTTCTTTAGCATTATCACATTGTATTTCAATTTTAAAATCATCGTCATCGTGTAAAATTATCAATGAGAAAGTTGTTAATAATATACCAAATATACATATTAAAACATTGAGTATTATGAAAATCCCAGAAGTTATTTTTTCTGAATCTCCTTTGCAAAGTTTCATACCGTTTTGTATCTTTATCTTTATTGTTTTAAATCATTTTCTTTAAAAATATAAATTCTCCTGCAAATAAGAAAATGGTCGTCGTTCAGTTTATAACAGCTATAAATATATTCAATAGTCCACATAGATATTTATATTACATATAAAGTAAATCAATTCCGCTTAAAGATCACCTCCTAGGCCTTTATTCGAAAATACTACAGAAAGGGAGGAGATTTAGGTATTTTTTTATGCATTGGAAAGAAAGAATGCGTTCGTGACTAGTAAAAGAAATGACTTATGAAATTCCTATAGCAAAGAATGTACATAATTCCAATAATCAACTATATAGAATATTCTATATATAAATAATTTTAATTAGATAATTTAAATAGTAAAATATTAATATAAGATTTATTTTTATCTCTCTAAATAAGAACATTGTATTAAATAATGTTAAAAAAATATTGAAAATGTTCGAAGATTCAAGAAGAGAGAATGATTCAACTTGACAACAAAATTTGTCAAGGATATTTGTAATTTAATCTCATTAATAATTATTTTATTATTTATTTAAATTCTAATAAAGTAAAATTATTTTCCAAACCTGTTTCAAAGTTGTAAAATTTAGTTAAAATACCCACAAATCTGTGGTGTAACTGTCGTTCCCTTCCACCATTAGGGTAATCGATAATAACCACCTGGTTACCAAAGGCAACCAATGTAAACAAATGGCAATGCATGCATAGTATTATTTAATCGATAGTACACATACATTGTCGCAATATGTAAAAGAGGTAAAATTCAACAGTAGATAAAGTAGAAGAGTTCCCCAGATGATATCTTTCGCTAAAGAAATCTTTTATTATTAATTATTTATCAATTAATTTGTAAAAGGCGTTCAAGACTCCTTTGAACGTTTAAAAATTGATAACAAATTTTTAAGTAATTACGTTTCACTGGTACGTCTCTTCTTCTCTGTTTTTACTATTTCACTCTTTTTTTAAATTCTCATTAATTATTCATTAAAACTCTTACGCAGTTATAATAACTTCCCCTTTAGTTTTAACCATTTGCAAAATCCTATGAATTCTACTGTACTCTTTCTGTATTATATCATTAAATTTTCACTATATCTTTTAGTTTTTACAAAGAAGAATATTTCTAATAAAACAAACAAAGTGCAAACATTTTTCTTACGAAAGCATAACTATGACTATCCATATTTACTTCACTCTTTTTATTATATAGTTTGGAAGGTATCTATCTTGAGATATTTTTAGAAATAGAATACAACTATCCGACAGGGAATAGATAATAAGTAACGCTTCCATTACCAACAGTTAAAAACTTAATGGTCTTTACTCACCTTCCCTAATTTATCACATTATTTCTATTTGTTTCTTTCGCAGGGGAGAAGATAACTGGAAAAAAATATTTTCAAAATTTGTTTCGTTTAAGCAGAATTGAAGAAATAAACTTGAACGATTAACCTAGTAAAGATCTTTTAATCCTGTAGGTAGCGTAGCTGGTAGGTAAACTATTGAACTTGTTATAAATAATTGATAAAAGGTGTATAGCATTTTACGCTGTATTCTATTAATTAATACTGCTACTTTGGTAAAAACGAATAACAAGACGAGAATGATAACAATATGATTCGTTAAGGACAATAGTAAAATGATACTATTTTCTAATGATACATAAAAATAATAGATCGAAAATTATCTCAAAAAACTCGAAAAGTGTCAGGATGGAGGCCCCCAGCCATAGGCCTACTGCCCCTCCTAAATCTGAAAGAAACTCCTCCATTTCAACTTTGGGAATTTGTTCCAGTGTTTCATAATTAAGTGATTCGAAGAAAACTCGAAGTTCTAAGAAATTATCATAAGCTTCTCCGACACCTTTAGTTATAATTTGAGAAGCTCTAGGGTTCGAAATTTTCAGCTCTTCGAATAGTGTGTCTTCATAAGCCCGAGACGGCCATTTCGATGTTGAAACAGTGGCCGAATAAGCGCTTTCTGAGCACAAAATAAGACAATCTGAGCAATCTGTTGTTTTATACTTTTCCTGAGCGCTCTCAATACAGTCTCGATTTTTTGAATCTTTGATTGAGCAAGGTTTCAACTCACGATTAACTGGAGGATATTTATTATCGAAACAAGAGCACGTTTTCTCTAGTAAAGATTGAAAGCAGGTTCTCTGACACCCAGTAAATGAATATTCAGTCCAATTGTACTTTGCAATGTAAGAATCTATACTTGAATCACGCGTTCTTGTAGAAATACAGTTACCGTAATTACCCCCCAATCTTGTGTACTTTTTCAATCTCAATCCAATAGCAGTCTCTGTACCTGGGGATGCCAATATACCATCTGACTCCGGGAACGGCATGCGTACACTTTCCGTGATAGTAACTCTAACCCCAGCTCTATGAGCTAATTCTCTGATGTACTCGTCCTGGTCAATATTGATTCTTAACTGCAGACCCGAGTGGAAGCCAGATGTTGTTGAAGGGGTATCTTGGATAAATGAATAGCAATTGCCAAATTTATTATTATAAAATCGTTTAAAATCATCCCTGTGACATGGAAAGCCATCAAAATTACATTGCAGTATAAAATCTTGAAACTTATATCCCCAAGCAACTTTTCTGGATTCTGGAATAGTTGATAGATATTCCTGTATTTCTTGTTCTTTCTGAAAGTTCTTATCTAAACTTTTATTATTTTTTACGATATCGTCATTTCCAGAATTTAGTAATACATCTCGAAAATCTTCATTAACTGAACTATTCCTATTGAAATAAGAAGCATGGAATTTGTATTACATAACAAATAATTTTAATTACTTATAAATCAACACTGTTTTTTATTACCTTAACGGATTTGCATTACAAATTGTCACTGCAGGAAATTTTAGTTCTTTGCCTTCTAAAAGTGCTAATTTTGTGTTTGTTTCAAATGTGAAATATTCATTAACTAGTAAATATGAATGATAAGTCCACCATGCAGTAGCCACTATAGTTAAAATTAACCATAAGCCTCTTTTAATTATACCTCTCTCTTGTAATATTCTAGGCAGTCCATGCAGCGTTGAATAATCTCGAAACCCGTCTAGCAGTAAGGATTTTTTTAATTTTGATTGACTAGTTCCATAGTAATCCGGTGTTATAAGGACTTTATAAAATTCAGGCATTCTATTAAGCTACGAAGGGAGAGTTGTTTTTGAATTTAAAGAGGAATTTTGAATAGGCTTCCTTGTTTGTCGATTTACCTTAGAGACTAAATATTGATTAAAGAGACTGTTTGCTTATTGTTGCTCAGTGCTGATATTTAGTTTAATAAATACTTTATTTAAATATTAGAATAATTTTTTCATAACTTGTATTTGAAATATTCAAAACTCTCAGAAATAGTTTTCTTTTTTTGCCAGTAATTTATGTAAATTACATGCAGTTTGCATATTTATGAATTACATAATATTTATTATATCGCTATTTGTTTTTCATTGAAGCAAACAAGGGTTTTTAAAATGGAAATACTGTAAGAATAACTGTCGTTGAAGATGAAACGCATAATAATAGAATCAATGAACAAAAAACAACTTTACTGGCCTCCATTATTTATTTTTATTCACTTCCTTTATACGCTTAAAAAAATCTCGATTCCAAACGGAAATTGATCTTTTATCTACAAAATAGAAGTTACTATAAACTTTTAAAAATAGATAGTTTTTACTGCAAAGCTGCAAGCTAAATTCTAATATTGCTTTGCATTTGCTTTTAGGTGAATTTTTGTTCTGCAAACTAATGACAAAATTAACTAAAGTCGAAAATAAAATGGAGTCTAACTTACATTTTGGAATCAATAGAGGAAATTTGGAAAAAAGAAGACAAACAATAAAATAAAAGAAAATGGCAAACTGGACTAAGTTTATTTCAAAGCTTTATAGTTCGATCTAGCTTCGATTTACCCCTTTACTTTGTTGTTTGGCATTTTGAAGCTTTTTTTCGCAAACGAACGATATGAGAGCTACGGTGTTCATCTACTTGCTATGCTTTTTCAGTTTCTCAACTGAACACAGACAAAAAAGAGGACTCTAGTAAGTTTATAGACAATTTAATAGTTTTTAATACAATAAATAGATTTCATGATAAAAATCGCCTTTCCGTTTTTTTTGTGCAATAAATTAGACAGTAATTATTAAAACTGTTTTAATAAAGATCTAATTGATTTTCCCTTTTGAAACAATTCAAAACATTATTAATACTGAATGGTATAAATTGGCCTGAAAGCGTATAGAGTCGTTAGATGGCGCTCCTAGAGCTTGAAATCTGCATGAAAACGTAATTGAATGAAAAAGCATTTATATTTTTCTGAGAACGTCTTAAATATTAATAAAATATCTATTAATATCTATTTATATATACGTATTCGCTGTATGAAATATAAATGTGATTTGAACAGTGTAACCTACAACGAAAGAGCTGAAACAGTTTGCCTTGGATTATGTTTGTATTACAGAAGAAATCGTAATTTACAATATTGTCTTCAAAGATGCCGAGTAAACAGGTTCATTATTTGTTCTTATACATGCTAATATCAAAATACATATTCAATATTTAACTTGTTATTTATTAATTTAAAAATAAAATAAAAACAGGCCACCGAAAGCAAGGAAACGAGAGAATGAAGCTAATTATCGTATTTGAATCATCTATTCAGTAAAGTTAAATCTCCAAAGCACCTATCCAGAAAGCTTAAGAACTTTTGCATAGTATGTTGACAAACACATAAGTAGTAGTAAGTTTTACATGATTAATTTAACTCTTTGTTTGTTGAAGAAAAGATTAAAAGGGTTGTCCATTCAAATACATTTTGAAAAAGAAAGAAAAAAGTATAAAAAAGTAATGAATAATTAAAGTTAATAGATTGTAATTGACAAAAATTTGCTAGTGAAATTCCGGCGGGTAATTACAATATTCCTCAGTATGCTGACCAAACTAACCAAGGATTCCCTGGGAAATCTTGCCTGATTGATTATCAATTTTTGGTTGTTATTTCTGACCCGATGCAAAAATAGCGGCAAACTCTGTAGGATAATAAATAAAGAGTGATGAAAATAGTATGAGAAATTATTCACCCTTTTATCTATTTCACTCTAATCCAATTATGGGAAAGCGTTGAAAAAAGATCAATTAAGCAAGTGGATTAAAGAAGAAAAAATGAAAGGGAACCAACAGTTTCAATGACGCATAAATAGTTCGATTTTTTATCCACTTACTGTTACTTACCGAAATTAGGTAGGAACTCTTAAATATGACAGCCGCTACCCTAACAACACTTAATGAAGGAAATGTCAGTAAGTTACACAACATAAGATCACGTGTTAACTTAACCCGGGTTTGATGTAACGCAACCTGAAAAGTGCTATCAAAGGAATTTCAATTTTTCCCTTCAAATTCTTTCTATTTAGGCTGCTATTTTATATCAGAAGATGGATGAACGCAATTTGAGTATATCAATCATCTTGATAATTGTAAGACGTCTAACGTATTCGCGGTTTCTGTCTTTATCACTTCTTCACCTCCTCTCCCTTTATTATTTTTTTATCATTTCAATTCTGAACTCAATTTTTAGCATTTTGTTATTTGGAAAATCCTATTATATGATCAAAAGGGTAAAAAATCCGTAAGTAGATGGTGCAACTTAACTAAAAGCTCATAAATTCAAAATTATTATAAAACATGTTGTAAAACAAAATTAACATAAGAATATTTTTTGTGATATTCTCTCTTTTGAAATGAGAAAATGAAAGAATCGATTTTTTTTACTGGGGATTATGCTTTCAAAATTTTTTAGCCTATATTTCTATTATTTATCATGGAAAAAAACCTTACTGGACTGCCTTATACAAGCTGTTACTCTTAACTAAACCACGATATCAGTATTATTAACTGTAGAGCCACAATGTATGGATTAAAAAATATTATTAATACCTTCATAAGTGATTTTGTTATCCATATCCTTATCAACATCCTTTATTATAGCATCTATATCTTCCTGAACGGCATTATCATTATGTAACCACTCCAATACCATACGCAATTCAGTAACGTCGATTGCACCATCTTTAACACTGTTAAATACTCTGAATGCTTCTTTAACCTCTTCGTCGCTATCCGATTTGTTCATCTTTTTAGCCATCATATTGACAAACTCGGAAAAATCAACTGCTCCACTTCCATCAATATCCACTTCATTAATCATTTCCATAAGATCCTAGGTTAGAAAGCATTTTATTTAAATCATTCAAACATCAAATGGAAATGAGAAAAAAATCAATATTATCTTTTTCATCCCTTCTCCTTTTTTCATCCCTTCTCCCTTTTTCCTCCAAATCCCTTTCCAACAATATTTTTGAAGTGAACTTACTCATACAGTTATATTTTATATAGGACAGGCACACACTCCCACATCGACATTTATCTACTCTAACTATATATATATACATAAAAACAGCAAATATACAGTGTATATGTGTACATATATATATATAGCGTAGATTTATATACTTAAAATTTATCCTTATAAATATGTATGCATTTTCCCTTTCATACCTGGCTACATGTATCTGTATTTATGTATGAATTTATACAACATAAGTACTTATAAATGTATATACAATTACTTTATATATACTGTATAGATAGATTTATATATATATATATATATAGATACAGCATATGTGAATAAACGTGTATAGTTATATTAGTTATACAGTATATATATATATATTTATATACATAAGCGTATATATTAAAAGAATCTACTTGCATTTTAATATATAATTATATCGGTATATATTACGATATATAGTGTACATACACCGCGCGTATAGACTATTTTTAATTTTATATCTTCTATAACAACTATAATAAAAATGCTTTTATTACTTGTTCGGTTGGGTTTTGACCCAAAGATCGCATGACCATTCCCAACTCCTTAGTAGATATACTTCCATTACCATCTTTGTCAAATACTTGAAAAGCTTCCCTAAATTCTGCCGAATATTTACATTCAATCTATAATTCAAGATATTTCAAGTCTTTATATTAACCTGCAATTTGTTCATCAGTCAGACTCTCCATAGCGTTTTCTTCTTTTGCGGCCATAATTCTATTATAAAAGTGTATAAAAGCGTCCGGGAACGGACGAACAACTGTTTCATAATTTCGTTAAGCGAATAGTGTGCGGCGTCCCTCGTCTGATGACGTCATTTTCAATGGGAATAGTTAATTATCAAGGCGAGAGGTGGCGTAATGTGCGTTGTTTATTGTTTTTCATCCTATTTTAATTTAATCTTCAATACAATGCTAAACTATCAAATTATAATATACTCCTACTGCGACATCATTATGATGGTTTCAGTATTATTTCAGTCTCTATGGTGTTGTGTATACGAATGCTGTACTTAATTCTCCGCCGAGTCTGAAATCTTAAATGAAAATCTTCGCTTCGGTAAATCCCTTCTCAAACTTCAGTAGTGATAAGACAATGAAAACAAAAATAGACGCCCAATTGTCTCATTATGTGGTTACGTTATTTATTCAAAGAACAACTGAATAATATATCTCAATCTCTTATCTTATTTATCAATCTTTAAAAAATTAAAAGGGAAAAAAATTTCTCTTTCTCCTGCGCCATCTGTTTGCGCTCTTATTTGTTGAACGGTAATTTCTGAACGCCACCTGTCGTTTGGATATCACTTTTTTTACTTGTAGAAAATTATAGCTATTTGCTTACTAAGCGTAAAGCATATATTTGTATAAATGTATGAAAAATTTTTGAAAACTATCGATTTTTTTCACTCGGGTAAAATTCAATCAATGGAAAAACACATCTTGCGGTTTGTAGAGTTGAACAGCAGTTTAGTTCTTTTATACGTGTGCCACGTATCTCATGAAGAATTGCCTAAAAGAATGCTTACAAGGGCAAAACTTAATGTAAATAAACAAACGTGAAGAAGGAAATAGTTTATTGCAAAAGAGACATTTAATATAATACATTTTTCAAACAAATACGTCGATTATTCAAAGAAAAAAAATGGCAACGTCTATGGATAGTTTGGTTGAAAACGGTCAAGAGATGTCAAATGCTCATTCTGATTCTTTAGACTCTTTCACAAAGATCGAGGAACAGATAAAAATTGAAGACGATGAGGAAAAGTCTTCTTTACTTGGAAATGAAGGTGGTTCGAAACAAGATAAAGAAGTCTTTCTTTTACATAAGAATGAAGATAAGAAAGCTATGAGTAGTGAAAGTTCTGTTGACGACTGGGATAGTGTGAAGAAAAACGGTATGGACGAACCAAAGAGAAAAACTCATACAGGTATATAATAAAATAGTAATTCTTGTAAATCTTATTTACTATAGTTACGTCTGTGTATCTGTATACGTTTGTTTTCAATCGTGCATAGAAACACCAGCTTATCAGCAACAACAGCAGCCATCACCCATAAGAGAAAACAAAGGTTCACTCTTACGCCGACAGATGGCGCAACATAAATCATCAACAATGACCTTAAGCGGGGACGATTATATGACTCCAAGTCAAAGGAAGGATGAATTGATAAAAGAGTTAAGATTACAATTGAAATTATCTCAAAAGAGGGCCGAGGAAAGGGAAGAAGAAATCTTAACAAGTGACAGAAAAAGAGCCGAATCTATAGCGGAAGTGGAAGACGTTCTCGGAAGAGAAATTGAAACCATAAAAGTTTCTCATACACAATTGCAAGAAAAGTACGATCAATTACTAACTGTCTATGAAGAAACTCTTCGGAAAAAAAAAGACATCGAAAAGTTGGTAAAAGAAATGAGAGTATGTAATAATACACTCATTTGATGCTCTAATTAAACGTTTCTTTCCCTTTTTTTTTTACAAAATGTGCAGATTGCTCAGGAGGAAAATGAAAAATTGCACCAAAAATTATACTATGAAATGTACCGCAAAGGTCAAATGTCAGTGGAATTTGAGAGACAAGTAGAAGTTAGCATTAGTAATTGAATTCATTAAATTATTACTAATAAGAAAATATGTCTAAATTTCATATTATTAGCTAGAGCAGTTGGCTCAAAAGGAACCGAATAAGGTTTCTGTGGACGAATTATTGGACAAACTAAAATTAACTGAAAGTGAATTAACGAAATGGCAGTGCTACAAACGAACCGAATCATATGCTGAAGGAGAAAAGCCGGATACGGAAGCAGAAGCTCGACTTCGCTTCTTACGGGATTCAATGTATCATTTTTTAACCGACAATGATCGTAAAGACTCAGAACAACATCTTAAAGCTGTAGTTGGTATTCTGTCGTATACCGATGTTCAAATGAAAAGAATAACTAAAGCCATAAGCGATCGAAAGAAGGGAAAATGAGAGAACACTTTTTAACGAAAATTGCGAATTTATTACCTAAATTTTATTTCATTTCTCCTTATATTTTTTTAATTTTCTTAACACTTTCTTATCCATCTTACTACTCTATTTCCTGTTTCCCCTCTCTCCATCTTTGAATTGCAACAAAGAGAATCTTTATTAATTAAGAAAGTCTTTTCATTCAATCTATTCGTATATTTTTGATAAGAAGGAAGAAACTGTTTAATGTTAGTGTTATTGTAAAAAAAAGTTGCGAAATCTATCAACCCCCTGCGTACTTCCACCGGATATACAGAATATAATTATATTGAAGCCTATAAATAAAGGAAAAAATATCTGTATTCTAATCGTAATTGAAATATGTTAGGCCTAAACAAATGACAAAGACATATATAGACATGATTTGATAACTCGAACTTCTCGATTCGGAACAGGAATCAATGCATTGACCTGACCGGACCTGGCATTGAGTCGAATTAACTCTCTGAACCAGCTCTCCGGCAAACTTTTTTGGTGATGCACACTGAGCAATGGTACCTAATGAGATAGCATAAAACAAGTTCGCTGAAAGTACTGAACAATCGCAGTGCAGAGGATTTCCAGATAAATCTAGCAATCTAACAGACTCTACCAATTTCAATATGCACCCAACTGGTATTTGTCTGATGTGACTATGATCTAATCTTAATATGCTCGTTTGAGGATCAATACCACAAAAGGAATCTTTTTCAATCTTTATGTCTTTATTGTTTCCTAAATTCAATATCTCAACCTTAACACCCTTAAAAGCATCCCTAGGAATTTTGCTTAGACCTATTTGCCTTAGAGTTAGGGTGCTTAGAGATTCTAGCTTTCTTAAAGCAGGCGTCGGAATAAAACCCAGTTGGTTTCCTGATAAATCCAAAAATTTAAGATTCGTAAAGCCATCAAACCATTCAGGTAGAAAATTTGTAAAAGAATTAAATTTCAAGAGTAGTGTTGTCAGTTGACGTAGAAGCTTCCCGAATCCAATTGGTAGTGTTTGTAGTAAATTATGATTGAGATTGAGAAATTTCAACTTTCTGCTCTTTTCAAACGTTTTAGTATATAAAATTGCTATATCATTAAAAGATAAATCAATCCTTTCAGCTTGAACATCCTCGAAACTGTTTTCTTTTAGTTCGCCTAGATGATTAAGTGACAAATCCAGCAATTTAAAAGTTGATGTCATTGTTATAAACATAGGTAAAGCTACAAGTCTTTGTGAGCTGCAGTCGATTGTCACTGAACCTCTACAAACACAGGGGCTTACCGCAGGACAAAGTGCATCCTCGTACATTATCATTCGCACTTCCTGAAGTTAGATAAAGCAATTATGAATAATTGACGTTCCTTCGATATAAGCTGTACAAGAGGAAAAAATCGAACGTTCCTGTGAGAAGCACCATCAATTGAATAATATAGTTATACCGACTGAAACGACACCTGCACAAGATACGGGCGTCAAACGTTCTTGACCGTTCGAAGAACGTCCACATATAGACCTTCCTCTCTACAAGTTTCGTTTGTTTAGACTTTTTATCCAATCAAAATACGCTGTTTAAAAGAATATAATTGAGTCAAGTATAGATTTTATACAATATGGCTTCTTTTATTGACTTGTCTCCAGTACTACAAGACGCTTAATTAGCTCATTGCTCAATATTTTATTACAGATTCCCTCTCTTTAATAGAACTTTTAATACTCTTTTTGTCTGCCAATAAGAAATTACCGTGGTAACTGCATCTATTTCAGAACGACAAACGTAAAAAATCGAAATTTGTATTCATTTTTCTTTCTATTACTATATCACTTATAAACTGATGGAAGTATAACGCATATGTATTCATCATTTTCTTCCTTCATAAGAACCTTTTATATGATTTCTATTACTACTGTCTCTATGTAATTTTCTATTTGTTAATCATCTATGAAGATTTCTGACCTCTTTTATATATCTATTGCAGTCTGCAAACTGTTACAAAACTTTATTTTCTGTAACATAGCTATTTGCGAAAAAATATAACATCTCTCCCAATTTCGTTACATTGGGCAAATTCAATAGCTTTTTTAAGGCGATAATATTTTCTGAGACTTGATACAATTTTTTAGTAGATTACGATTTTTTTTCTTATTAACACAGCATCCCTCCAGAGGAAATTTAATTTTGAAATTCTTTTTGCTGCTGCAGTAGTGACATCTGCAAATTCTCCATCTAACACTATCTTCTAATGGTAGATACCATCTATCGGGAAGTTTATTATAAATACGTGATGAAAACAAAAAGAAAATCTCTATCTTTTGTATAAGCTTTTTATAGGATGAGGTATACAATTGCGAACAATTACAACGTTGAAAGGAAGTACAGAGTGAAGGATTTTGTAAAAAGTTAACAAAGCCTATTGAATAATACAATTTGAATTTGTGAAAGTTAAATCCCTTTTGGGATGGAAGAATCAATTAATAAATCTCTGTTATCAAATAAGAGTAGCCGTTAGAGTAAATTGAGTTTATATATTTGCTTAAACTTGATTATAAAGGAAATAATCTTAGTCCGGCCAAATTCATAAAGCTTATTTCTTCTAAAGATTGACTGATGTATTTATTAAATTATCTAGTATAAATTTATATATTTAACAAGTCGCCTATGAAAAGAGATAAGACATAAGAAAATAATTCTTTAGAAGGAGTTACGAGTAATATAATTGTATTTTCTAGTAGAATTATGCGAAATAGCATCAATTTATTTTAGTAATAACCTTCTTGACCTTTTTTAGTATCCTGTTCCTTGTTTCTAATAATTAGTCGAATCTAATCAGGTAATGGTAATTGACCTAAATAAATCCTGCAACACGAATTTGTTTTATACCTGACTTCCTTTATTAACACAAAACGTAATTACACGAGGAGAAAAAACAGAGGTAAGTATTTCTTCATGCAAGACACCAATATATAAGATAGTCAAATATTTTCATATTTCAACAATCACAAGTATCAGATACGACAAATTTTAAGTGAAATATATAGAGTATACAGGATTCTTGCAATTTTTCATGACTTGTTATTGCTGTGAAAAGCCTCTCTTTAAAATAGACCATAAATGTTTCTAATCTATTACAAGACCGTATGGAATAATACAGAAAGGTTTTTTTATCCTCTTTGTTGTCATCTATTTAATAGATTATGCATAAAGTTTTTCTTTCAACTAGACTTTTTCTCAACATTTTATTTTAAGCAACTAAACTGCCAAATCTTCTTAGAGAAAGATAAACTAATATTAAAAACATAATAGTGTTAAATACCCTAGTTTCCAAATCGAAAATAGTTTAGATTCTCCTTAGAGTGAAGCTAACCAATGGTTTTAAAGTCTACTACATATGAGTATATTATATATAGACTAAATGCAAAGACACTATTCTCATTCGAGAATCTTTTTAATATATTTACTCTCCATTTCGTAATAATGTTTCCTTGCGGTAATATTTTTGCACATGTATACAAGATTCTAACTACTTTATTATATTTTTATGTTCCATTTGAAAATTAAAATGATACCATAAAATTTCTTCTAAGACGTCTGTTTTTATGGCAATTTTAGAAGATGGACAATGATTAAATATCTATATTGATATTAAAATTATCTTCAAGTCATATATTATATTTCATCTTTTTACAACTAAAATATAAAGCTTACTATGGCGAATGTAAAAAGTAAAAATGTTTAGATAATAGATTATTTTTCTAATCAGTTGTATACTGTAGACAAACTTTAAATTTAGTACTTTACTGCAATCTTTATTACAATATACGTATAATAAAGTTACTCAAATTATAATTGCCTTTTCATTTGATGTAATTTCCATCCTCTGAAATTATTTGTATTAGTGCAAAATATAAAGAGTTTTATGTTTAGAGGTTAGCCTAAAATGTTGTTGTTATTGTCAAATAGCTTGTAATAAATATATATATATATATTCTAAAGGTATTATTAAGACTCGTCGTCTTTTCTAAATTTGATCGAATTATAATTCTATCTTCAACAACTTTTATCACAGTATTTTCTTTTGTTTGGCTGCGTTTATTCAACCTTCCTTCTCTCTGCATTTGTTGCTATAAAATTATGTATCTTCGTAATTTAGAGTAACATATGTCTATATATAAAATATATATATATTTTAAAACATCTTTAGATATTACGTTTATATCCCAAACATTGTACGTTAATGCATGCCTATAGGATATTATCCTTTTTGCTGCAGTGGGCAGTATTATGTAATGTCTGCTTTCGCTTATTGTTGGTGACATAAGACCTATATTATATTTAAATATATATTGCATAGGCTGCAATAATAATGGATTTTCAGTATTTCAAAAGGCTTTTAAAGACGCCGGCGCCACCTAACCAGAATGCGATGTCTATTGGTACCCTTCGCTAACATGGCGTATTACACAAGGAAACGTAAGTGACTTTGCTTTTCTGATTATCATAGCAACCTTAATGTCAAGATTTTCTATTATTAATAAATAAAATATATGTATTCTCTAGTAAACATGAACCGATTAATAACTCTATTCTGCCTGTTCACCTGTATAACTTCAATAGAAGGTACAGTACATCGATGTTATCCAATATCTATTCTTTTTCAATAAACATAGCAGGGTGACTTTTTTTAACTAAAATATTCTTAGAATATCATTTCCTTGTATTTCAGTCAGATATCTTCTTAAGCATATTCTTACCAATGACCAAGAAAACATACCTATACCGATAAAACTTTTTCCAGATATTGCAAATGAAAAAAATATGAAAAATTTTTTATCAAAGTAAATATAAGGCTTAAGAATCTATATCTATTTTTCTAATAGAACTACTCTAATCCATTTCGTAGAAATAGATGACTTTATCATATTAATAATTGATTTTTTAAGTTTAACATACCCTTTGCCAAAGGAAAGGTACTACTGTTAATAATCTTAAATAGCTTTTTGATGATAATTAAAAGGACGTTCTGAGTACAAGCTAAGAAATGTCAGCTAAGTCACTATTGATTAGACTTCTCTTGTTAATTGCTTCCGGCATTTAGGTTCTGTAAACATTTTATACAAAAAGAAATGATAAATTCGCCTTTTAAAGATATTATTTTCAAATCGTTTTACTGAAATATTAAGCAAAGAAGAGTAATTTTTACATTAGAGAGAAGGTTGAATTTTCTAAATATATACTACATATACAATTTCGAATTAGTCTTCTTCGGAATGGAAGAGAAGATAAACTTTAAATTTAACAAAATCCATTATATAACAAGATAATTCAGGAAAATACGACGATATATGTAAAATTAATAAATTTTTTATGATTAAATAATAATAAACTCCATAGATTATTTCTAAAAGATGTTATTTATCATTTATTTTATGAAATTGATTTCTATCTATTTGTAATCGGACAAAAATGTAATGTACCATCTCGTCTAGATCCTCTTTATCTTCTCAAACATCATTAATTTCTCTTCTATCAAAAATTTTCTACATTACAACTTTCACTCAGTCTTTTTCTATCCTCTTTCCTCATCTCTTTTAACGTTTTTTACTCTATCAAATTCATTTACTTTTATTGGCGATAATCACCTTTAAAATTTCTCGCTTTAGCCTTGATTTTACGTATTACTGACGAAAATTTTGCTTTCTAGCCCTATTATGTGATGGTAAAGACATAATCTCATCTTGTATACAACCTGCCATAAGTTTTGATGAAAGAAAGTTGCAACAATCTTGCTTGTAAGTGATAAATTCATTAAGAAATTTAAATGATCCGTAATTTTGTATATACTGTATGATCGTGTTTTCATTTCTTTTCTTATAACTATTTGATAAGTTTCAAAATTCGATTGAACTGTGCAGAATGTATATTTTCTGCCTGGCTATTATATGTTGGATACTTGTATAACTGAATTAATTCACTTTTCTAATACGAATTGTAGAGAAAGTTCGAAAAAGAAATGTACATGCTTCAATCGCTTTTGCAATGATAGAGATGCTTTCCTAAATATATCGACCTGTCTTCATAACGATCAAACAAAGTTAAATAAATGCAAAAAACAGCTTCGATCGAATTTAAATGATATGAAAAATGCATATAAATCCCTGAGAGAAGTCAACCATAAGATAGGAGAAATACCTGAAAAGAGTTTCCTATCTTGCTGGTATTGCTATTTTACATATTTTGTATTATACAGTAAATATGTCAATATATTTTAATTTCATTTTTAATAGGTCAAGAAAAATAGCATACAAATGTATTAGCAGGGATTTAAGAAAGAAAACTTGTAATCCTAAAACAACGAATTTTCTCAACATTCTGACGTTCTCGGATGAGGAAGAGAAAAGTAAATGCAATCAAATCTATGAGCTATCTTCAAAAGATGTTAGCAAAATTAATGCTATAAAAGTGTCTATATTTCTTTTGTTCATGAGTTTGTTGTTTGTTTTGGTTTTGTATCATTAAAAAATTTGCATATACAAATTATGCTAATAATATTCCAGTTAATAGATAAAAACATTGATTTTATATACGCTATATAAAATCCAAGTAGTTTAAGCAGGAAGAAGTTTTCTGTTTACATCTAACCATCATTTTTCCATGTCAAACTCTAGTTCTTTTGTAAACAGTCTTCTCCTATTCTTCTCTTTTGCAACGCCATCTCTTGGTATAAAAATTTTACGTCAAAATATTTTCGTTATGAAAATGATAATAACCTATTTTGAATTGTTGTTTTGAACTTCCGATAAATGAGTAAATAGAACAGGAGACAATCTATCGAAATATGATTGAACGAGGAAAGATCGTGTAAAGAATGAAAAGGGGATTAATTGAAAGCGGCAACGTAAAATAAAAAAAAAATGGTTAAATGTCCGTTGATCCAAGTAAAGAATTTGGCTAAATGTTAACGAATTAAAAAGCGGCACTCGTATCATATAGCCGGGCTAACAAGCGAAAATCGATAGCATATATTTATAAAAGTATTCAATCACATTTATTAATCCGTACGCCACCATTTGCCAACGTCGGTTCTATTTACGAATGGGATTTTCGAGGCTTTTATGGCGCAATTATCGCCGATTTCGTCTGTCTTAATGATGCAGCAAAAGCAAGAGGTCGGACTCCTACCTCTACCTTTCGTCGGAGGGGATAAGGAAGAGAACGGCTGTAAAATGAAAGGATTTAACAGGAGAGCGGCGACTAAAGCTGTTAAACAAAGGTTATTTTGTAAAAAATAATTATTAAATATACAAAAAGAGCAAATTTAGATATTTATATAAAGTAAATATATAAAAAACTGGACGTTATATTTGTATTTATACATATATTATGTGTGCATAGTTTATTGCATACCTATCTTATATAGTATATATATACATATCTATATATACTATACATATAGAAGAGGAGAGAGGATACTGTTTGACAAATATATAAATAAATATATCTACTATATGCGTATTATGTATAACACATTTGCAGTATAACATTTGGAATATGATACGTGATTTTGATAAATAGTATTTAGAATATATCTGGTCTCCAACAGAATATTCTTTTAATTATATTAAAGAGATAAAAAAAAGCAGTATACCTTAGCAACAGTTACTTTTTATAGATGGCACTTATACAGATATATATTTAAAAATATTAAAAAAAAGAAAGGAATCTAATCCCAATCCCTTCTTTACTTTAAAAAATATACACAAAAGAATACTTTCCTGTTTATACAAGATCTCATTATTAGGTTGTTATTCCCTTTCTTTTCTCTCTTGCATGTATATACAAAAAGTATAAACGTTCTTCAATATTACATTCGGATTGAAGATATAAAATTATTCGATCTTTTTTCTTAGTAAACTAAAGAATGATTACTTAGGAATATTTAAAAAAAATTAAACCTATATTTAATCCATATTTACCTCTTCGTAACAGTAGCATAATTGCAGAATAGATCTATCACTTTAAATTCTTCTGTAGAGATTACGTTAGCTCTTTTTGTAACAATTTTCAAATTATGATTATATTTCAACTGCTCTACATTTTAGTTTATTAGCCATCAATTATCGTTTAAAGAAAATAGAAATAACGATTAATCACTATTTTATTTAAATAGGCATTAGTAATAATAATAATAGTAATTTGTTTGTTTATTGATATAGATTGATTAAAAAGAGGGACAGGGATTTCTTGCCAAATGTACCAAGCTTATCCATAGGATTTTCATTAAGATCTCTTCAAGGTCCCAATTTACAAGAAAGAATTGAAAAGTTTAAAAAGTGGCATGAAGGATTTTATATTGAAAAATTAAGTCAATTGATGCCAGAAGAAGAACCTCTTGAAAAGGAGGAAAAAGCTCAAGTTCAACATTATCGTTATACAACGCATACGCATTTACATCCTATTGCTTATACGTAAGTAGAAATGTCTATATTTGGCTATATTCCTAGAAAAGTAGTCTTTGACTATACAAGAAACTTTTATTTAGTTTTGCAATGTAAAAAGTAATATTATATTCTTTATTAGATATTTCTTTCCAATTTCCTAACTTATCAATATTACAATAATTATGGTTCCCTTTATGTTAACAGCGAACGTCTAGACGAACAAATAATATGGGAGAAAAGTAAGGCAGAAGTCGAGTCCCCTCATCCCGGTCCAAATATCCGTGAAATTCCGCCACCTAGTGCTGGCACATGGAAAACTTGGCGAGGTGTTGACGATTCCTATGCTTACACGAATGCTCGAAGTTACATTAGCGAGCAAAACTTAATGCCACCAGAAAAGGAGAAGAGAATTCAGTTCTGGTTAGATAAAGTTGAAGAAAATAGAGAATTTTTCCAAATATATGACCCAAATGATCGTCCACTTGATACGGAAGAGGAGAAAGATGAAATTGATGAACACGATGAAATCGATAAGAACAGTATTACCTACAGGGCGCTCCATAATTTGTTATAAAGTTATCATTGGAATGGACCCTATCAATCTTTTCCCTCTATTCCTATATTCTTACTCTAATTGACTCTCTTTTACTTTTCCCAATACTAATCAACGAGCGCTGAGTCAGAGGCAAAAGCGCATTTGCTTCTACCTACTTTCAAGGCTTACCTCGTCAAGGATCTCACCTTTAATAAATATAATAAAAGGAAATAACTAATAATTTTTGTGATATAAAAATAAAAGTAAAACGGTAAATAACAGCTGTAATCTTTAATGGCACTTATCCATTCATAATTAAGCCTAGAGAATGAAAAAAGAAGTACACTAAGACGATAATCCTTTGAGGTTGTGTTCAACAAAAAAACATAAAACAGGGTGAGAAAGGGAGAGATAGAAATTAGTATAAAAAAACAAGAGAACATTTCATTTTAGCGTACAAGAGAACATGTGTAATGGGTCATTATTTTTTCCCTATTTTTCTAATAGTAATCGATCTTCATTAACTACTCATTTGAAGTAAAGCAGAAGGAAGATTTTTCGAAAGACTTTTCCCCTGTCTTCATGTTTATCAATGTAATTTTTCGCCTTGAAATAGAATATATATAGAAATGGGTTTGATTTCAATGTCATAATTGCTATTTTCACTCTGTGTAATCGAAGATTATTATCAAATTTATACTCATTTCATCATTGTGTTAATATTTATCAAATACGATTCTATAGATTTATTACCTATCATCTTTCCTTTTTTATCAGAGTGACAAATTTGGTATAACGTTTACCTATCAAATTTGCGTGATTTAGATTACAAGATTAAAATCTAGAAAGAGTATTGAAAAATTGCAAAGGAAGAAAAGAGTCTTTTGTCTTCTTTTTCACCAAAGTATCTCAATATTTAGGGGGGAAAATTGAGTGTGAAGATAAAAGCAACAAATATCTAAAGCTACTTGGGGTTGTTTCTAGGTTTTTATTAGAGGATCGAAGGAGTTTTTTACTAATCTAATTACTGTAAAATTGAGTCGTTCTGTGTCGATTGTACTCTTTTTATAGACTCTCTTAGGAATATCGAACCAATTGCAGAGTCTTCTGATAATATTTCAATTAAATGACTAATTAGCCTAATAATTCATATTCAAATGAGATCAGTTTCTAACGATTTTCCATGTCGATTCTCTTTTTTGGTTTTTTTGATATTTTCCCTTTTAGTTTCCGTTAATAAAAATACACCTATGGAACATCTTTAACGATAACCGATGTGTGTCACTGATAAATAGTCAGATCATAAATAATAATTCCAAATGGAATATCCAATAGTAATTTCTCGGTTCCTTTACTATTTTAATTTCACGGTTTTCATCCCGTTCTCCTTTAAACGATTTTTTATTTCTTTTTTATAACGCCCTTCTTTTTCTTCTTGTTCGTTCCTTACTCATTCGAAATTCTTCAACTACACGTATAAATAGTCTAAGTTTTCCACCCCTCCCTCCACACTCTCCTCCTTCTCCTCTATATACCTACTAACGATAGGATTAATTAGCCTGGTAAAAGTAACTGTTTCCTGGTATTCTTTGATATGAAGGGAAAATATCTAAGATAAAACTTTAAATGAGATCGTTAATCATATTGAGTTGAGATATTTTAAATGAATTCTCTCTTTGATCAAAGTCAGCATAGCAACATCATATAATATTAGTCGCAATTTTCGATACGAATACCTTTTTTCAAGGTATACTCTCTTACATTTATACATTTATCAATTTTCTCAACAAAAATTTGTCGTTTTCTTGTGTCACTGCCCTCTTATTAATCCTACTTTTACCAAAAAAAAAAAACAACTCTAGAAACGACGAACCAGTAACGTAGCAATGTCACGCGAAGACGTTTGGCCGCTCAATGTATATGGGCAGATTTTATTGAGAAAAATAGACGCTTAATATCATGAATAATTTATAGCATAGTTTATTTTGAGGCGTTTATTTTTTGTTGGATTTACTATGTATAAAATGAAAAATAGTCTTTGTAAAATATATTTCAGGCTCTTCCGATAGTATTAGTGAAATTGGAACTACATTTCACAATAAGAAAAGAGCATCAACCTAATTCAAGCATTCTCTTTCAAATTTCTTTGGCAATTCCATTAACAACTTCCGTTAGGCCTACTCAGCCGTAATACCGTACCTTTCAAAGTTACATATAGAGGGGGGAATGTCAAAGGTATTAGCCCATGCTGCCATCTATTTATATGGAACTTTTGAGGATATTAATGAACATATAATTATAGAGTGGAAGATATTGTTTTCATTATTCATTCTTTCGATTAATTGAAAAAAAATTATTTATTTTAATTTCCCTATTGATTATTATATCCATCTAACGTAATTATATTCTATTGTGAAGCTCACCGCTTGACGGCAGAGTCGAATAGCGTCTCTGCATGAACGATTTTATTTTTTTCGTCAACCCTGTTCCTGTTTTCTTCTCCTTTGTTTACTGTACTCTATTCTACCACAAAACCCATTTACAATTTTGGTATCTAGCTGGTTTGAACGCTCTATTCTTTGCAGGTATATTGATGAGGCAGCAATCTACCTGACGAAAATCTCCTTTTCCCAAATTGAACATTATTTTACTCTTTCCCGTTCTAGGATTGAATTTTTCCACAGAATTTACAGATGAAAAATCGTTATTGTCATTATCATTTACATCCTCAATCTGATATCCTCCAATTATAAATATTTTTGATCGAATTTGTACAATTCCGCAGGAGCACCTTGGTTCTCTCAAATATTCATATTTCCTTGAAAGAGCCCTTTTAAATTCCATTGTTTTCATATTCTTTTCTCTTTCTTTTCTATCTTCTGTTGTTTTATTAGAAATATGAAGAATTTCAATTTCTTATTTGCAAAAGAAAAAAATGAAATAATTAGCGCTCCTTTAATTAGTTTTCGTCTAGTTTTATTAATACAAGAACGCATTTAAAAGGATCTTGTAATGAGTGGGAACTAATCTTTTGTAACGTATGACAAAGGTTTAATGCTTAAGGATTTCGCAAGCCTATTTCAAAACGGATTAAGAGGTTCTAGAAACTTACTGTCAGAAGTAACAGGTGAATCTTTACCCTTTAAACCAACAGTCGGCTGAAGGGCGGTTAAACTATCAGCTTCAGTCGTAACTTCGACCTGCTTAGCCTGACTTATGCCCATAAAAACTCCACCAAAATAATATATTTTACTTTCGAATGCGCAGACGGATAATCTGGTTAAAGAGTTCCATAATCTAACCATCTCCCCTTTCCAACTGACCAACTTCTTCCAGATATGTACAGAACAGTTTTTCTTCTTTTTACTACTTGATCTCACTTCTGTTTTCTCAAGAACCCAAATACTGTTGTTACTGTCAAGAAAACCGTGAAAATCACACGTTCCACCTGCACTATACAATACATTATCCATTTCAATTGCACAATGATCAACACAAGGATAGGGTAAACGATCTTCCCTTTGCCAGTCGTCTAAAACTGGTTCATATGATTCGCACGAATCTGTCAACTCAGATTCTCCCACTAGTCCCCCAGATACAAATATTTTACCATCCAAAATTGAAGCAGTATGCCTATAATGATCACAAGATATTTTATAATTAATTCATTAATTAATACTTTTATTAAATTTCTTCCCTTTTCATTACCTATGTCTAGCCTTTGTCATGGAAGCCATTTCGGTCCAATTACCATTAATAACATTGTATTTAAAGACTGTATTAACTATTTCACCACTACTGCATTTCTTACCACCCGTAACGTAAACGCAATTATCCAATACACAAACTCGGTACCCAGTAAGATCCTTTAAACATTCGCAATCCGTTAAATATGACAATTTAGGCATTAGTTCATCAGTCTCCTCATCAACTGTTAAATAGCCGATGCTGTCGGATGCTACCGAAGTTGTAAAAATTAGTACGAAAGTACTTGACATAATCCTTTTTCCTTCCTCTCACTTTTTGCTCTCTTAATGACGACTCACTTTTTTTATTGTTTATTTTCCGTAACTATTTGCCAATTATCGACGAAAAATAGAGTTAGCCGGAATAAGGAATCAGAGAGAAAAGTCTAGTGTTCAGTTCTAGAAAATGACTGTTCTTGAATAGTAACAGTTCAGTCAATCTACCGTTAATAATCTTCTATAAAGCGTTTGGCAAACATTTCCCTTTTTTCATTTCAGATTTGATCGATTGTTCAGACGAGTCTTTTATTCTTTTCTTCTTTTACTTACATTTGTATGTTATTTTATTACAAGTTAAACCGCCCCTTTCTCAATTTTATTCCTTTTTTCATGTATTTACTATAAAGTCTAACGTCGAGTTCAATAAAAACAGGGCGGTTAACAGATGGCGTTAATGTTGAATAAACCATTTCCTAAGAGGATTCGACGCCTCTCTTTTCCCTTTTGCGCAGTAATTCCGTAAAAGGTGATTATGAGCCTTTTCACCCCCTACCCTGCTCTCTATTCTGATTTACTAATTTTTTGCTCTTAAAACTTTTATAGCCCACAGTTCGATTATTCATATTTCATTCACTGAAATATGTTCCTTAATCATTTACGCGAAATTTACAAATATTAGTTTTGAAGTTTATTTTGAACAACTCTAAAATAATTAACTTAGATGTAGCCGTCCAAATTCTTGAAGTGTTTTGAATCTTTCTGTAAGGGAAATGAAATTAAGATTACTGGAATGTCTGCAATGCTAAATTATTAAAGAGAAAGAGAGAGTGGATGTGGGTGTGTGTGTGTGTGTGTGTTTAAAATACTTACAGCTTCCAAACAACCATATAAAATTTGAACTCTTTCAATATCGATTTCACTGAGAGTTACTCTTTGACCAATTTGAGCAGTAGGGTCTATGGGCGTAATTGTGTCCTGGGATGGGTCGATTGCGAACCCTCTTCTACCGTAGTGCATTACTGATCCGTAATCGTAGGTTGTACCCAAATGATCGATGGAAACTCCGTTAGTCAA